AGTAGTTTTTTCCTTTTTATTATAAAAATTTTATAATTCAAACTTTTAAAAAGTAAAAGTTAGCAAGATAGTATAGTAGGCAAACACCTAGACGTATTTTAAAATTAATTTTTAATTTTTTTTAAAAAAGCTATTAGTTTAAATCTAGCTCTTATTAAAAATTTGCTTATTAAAAAAATTGTTTTATCTTTATTATTAAAAGGATAAAATTCTAAATTTTATATTTAAATTATTGTACTTATTGCTAGGTGCTAAGAACTACTTAAAAAGCAAGCTTAAATAAATAGTAAAAAAAGTAAAAGTTCTATAGCTAGTTTTTTATTAAAAATATTAGTATAGTTTTATAATATATTTAAGATCTAAAGTTTATACACTATAGTAGCACTAAAAATATTTAAAATAAATGTTTAAACTTTCTTCTCTACTTAAAGTACTTTTAAAATATAAAACTTTCTACTGTTTACTTTTAAATCTTAAATGTGCTCTTTTTAAGTTACTAGCTATATAGTTATAAAAGACAGCTTTTACTTTTATATTTAATTTTTATAACTAAAGCTAACACCTTCTTTTTAAAGAAAAAAATTACTTAGTATAAAAAAACATTTTTTTTATTAATACTATATACTATAGTAAGTACACTACACTTTACTTTCTAATTATTAGTAATATATAAGTATAGTATATATATAGTATTAGTATTTATCTATTAAAAACTAATTTATTTTAGCTTAAGTAACTTTACTTTTTTAATAAGTTAAAAGTTTATTTCTACTACAACTAATTAACTAATAAAACTAATATTTACTTATAAGTTTAAAAAAAAAAAAGCTATTTTTTTTAAGTCGTTATACTATATATATAGCACTTATACTTTATACTTAGTAAAATATTTAAAAAAAATACACTTTACTATAGCTAAAAAAAATAGTAAAGCTTTTTTTTTTACCTAATTAATTATTACTAAAAAGGAATTTAAATTTTCACTATAATATTTCTTTATATAATAACTATACTTTTAGCATTTATAGTATATAACTTAGCTTTTCTTTTTAACTAAAAAAGGCTGTATAGTTTAAATACTTAGTTTTTTTTTTATATTTTTTTTATATGCTTCTAGCTTTTATTATAAGTAGTATTTAGCTATACTTTACTTAAGTATTAGTTTTTTTTTTTTTAGTATTAAAGCTAAAGAAATAAAGCCTTTTATAATAAAAAGTATTTAATAAAAGTTTTTAATAAACTACTACAAGTTTAGCTTTAGCTTAGTAAAAAAATATTATATTTTTTAAGCTTTAATATATAAAATAATTATTTTTTTTAGTATACTAAAGTAAGTAGTAAAAAATTAAATAGTTTAGTTTTATTATTATATAGCTTAAGCATATACTATAAACACTTTTTAAGTATAGTTAATTAAGTTAAAAAAAATATTAAGTATATACCTTTTAAAGTAAAGCTAAGTTAAAGTATTATTTTTATAACTTTATTAAAATAAGTATATTATTACTTTTTAAAGTTTTCTTTTTAGTATTATATTACTTATATAATTTAGTTGTAGTTTAACTTAAAAACTTTTAAAGCTATTTTAAAGGCTAGCTTATAAAAGTAAAAAAACTTATAATACTTTTTAAAGTTTTTACTTTTTTATTTAGTAAAGTTTTTAATATAAGTACTATACTTTATAAGCGCTATGTTTAAAAAGCTACTTATATAATACTTATAAGTTTTATTTTTTTTTTAACTTTAATAATGCTACTCTTAGTAAATAAAGTTAAAATAAATTTTATAACTTAACTATTTTTACTTTTAGCCTTTAGAGCTTATAAGCTTATAGTAACTTATTATATTTATATTTAGCTACTTAAATATAATTCTTTTTATAGTAAGTGTGTTTTAAGTAACATGTTTTATAAGCAAGTTACTAACTTAAGTAAGTTGCTAATACTTAACTAGCGCACTACTTACACGCAACTATTATAAATGCATAATATTATTAATTACAAATTATAGTAAATTAATTTATTCTTTAAACTTATTACTATTTTTAAAATCTACTATTTCTACTTTATAAGTATAAAAATTATATTTTTTTTACTATAATGCTTATAGTGCCTTACACTATATACTTTAAGTATAGGCTTTTTATTAGTATTACGCTTTTTACTCTCTTTTTTAGTAATTAAGTTTTATACTTTTTTTATAGCTAGAGTTTTTTTTATTTAAATATACTTTTATTTTTTTAATTAACGCATTATAAGCTTATTAATTACGCTTTATATACGCGCTTATTTTTTTTATAATAATACTATATTATATATAATTTACTACGCGCTTTTACTTAGCTAGTAAATATTTTTATTTAGTAAGCTTAGAAAAAACTTAAAATAGTTTTAAATTTTTTTTTAAATAAGTATAGCTTATGCTTTAATTTTATAAGTATTATATAGTATTTATGCTTTTTATACGCTTTACTTTAGTAATAATTATTTTAGAGTTTATAACTTTATATTAAGCTTTAATATAATAGCTTTTAAGTTATATAAAACTAGTCTAGCGCTTTTAAAGCTTACTTTAATATTTTTTACTATTATAGCTTATTTAGAAGCTAGCTTAAATACTTAAAAAAAAAGCTTTTTTATTAATAAAGTGTATGCAGTTGCGCGCTAAAGCTAAAATCTAGTTATTATACTTATACTTTAATAGTATAAAATAGCTAATATTAAAAAGTTATAAAAAGTGTAATAAATATAAAAGTATATAAAAAAAAATTTCTATAAAAATTTTAAAATTTAAGCAAGCTATAGCTTTTATAGCTATTAATTATAAATAAGTAGTATGCACTTACAGCGCTTAACTTTATATACTTATTAAAGTACTTTAACTAAGGAAAAGTAAGCTAGTTATTTATCTAGCTATTAAAGCTTATTTTAAAAACTTAATTATATAGTAAGTTTTTTAACTAAGCGTTAATAAGTACGTAGCTTATAAAAATAATAAAAAGTAAAAGTAAGTAACTTACAGCTTTAACACTTTAGATAATAATTATTTACTTATAGTTCTTTAGCTAGATTTTTTTTATTTTCTTTACTTTTTTTAAGCTTGTAATAACTATTTATAATAATATTTTACCTATAATAAAGCTAGTCTTATTAAAGTTATAAATATTACTATTAAGAATTTTTTATTTTTATTTTATTACTTATACTAAGTTAAACTAGCGCTAAATACTTATAAAATTCTTATAAGCAGCTTACTAATAGTTATATAATTAGCTCTAGTGTATATAGAGCTTAAAAGTCTACTTAATAAAGTTATTAACTTAGTTTTTGCTAATAAAGTTACTACTTTATAATTTAAAAAGTTTATTTACTATTTTTTATATATAAAACTTTAAGTAAACTACTTAATAACTTTTTAAACTATAGCTTTTTTTTTCTAGTTTTATTAAGTGCTTTAAGTTTACTTTATAGTTATATTATATACGCTTTCTAGCGTATTAGTTAATAAAAGTTTTTTAAAGTATATTATATATAGTTGTAGCTTAATTAAAGTTTTAAATATATTATAAATTAATATTAAAAATAATAAGCTATAAATTAGCTTTAGTATAAGTTTTTTAAATAAGTTATAGTTAAAATATTTAATATTATTATTGCGTAAGTAGTGCGCTAGTTAAGTGTTAGTAACTTACTTAAGTTAGCAACTTGCTTATAAAACACGTTACTAAATATACTATATTTAAAAACTATACTTATAAATACTTAATTTATACTTTAAAAGTTTAAAAAGCTCTAAAAAGATATAGTAAAGTTTTAAAATTAAGTAAAAAAAGCTATTTTAAGCTATTAAAACTAGAAGAATTATTATATTAAGTATAGTTATACATAATAAAAAATACTTTACACTATAAATAAATAGTAAAAAATAACTTAGTAAGTATAATAGAATTTTAAATGATTTTTTTAATTATTTTTACTTTTTTTTAAAGCTTTTCATATGCTTTAAATATACTTAGTAAGTAAAGTAAGTGTAGTATATATAAGCTTTAGTATTACTTAAACTGATAAAATACTAAATTTCTGCTAGCTTTATTACATAATACTAGCTTTTTTAAAAGCTATTTATAAAACTAAAATAGTAGTTTTTAATTTACGTAATTTATAATTTCTTATTTTTAATTTATTACTTTATATTACTTTTTATAGCGTGCTATTTTTTACTTATTTTTTTTTTTAATATTTTAGTTTTCTTTTACTTAACTTTTAGTTTTTTTTAGTTTATTAATATTCTACTAGTTTTATTTTACTTACTTTTTAGTTTTACTTACTTTTTTAATATTATACTAGTTTTACTACTTTTACTTTTACTTTTTATTAATATTTATTACTTTTTATTACTTAAATTTTACTTTAATATAATATGTAATTTCTAGCACTTTTTATACTTACTTTAGCTTATTTATTTTTACTTTTTACTAAAAAGCTTATTTTTAAAAAAAAGTTATAAAGCATTTATTATATTTTTTTAATATAATATTTATATATATAATGCTTACTTATTTTTAGCTTTACTAGTAAATATATTTATTTATTTAGGCTTGCTTTTTAAGTAATTCTTAGCACCTAGCAATAGATACACTAATTTAAATACAAAATTTAAAATTTTATTTCTTTAACAATAAAGATATGTAATTTTTTAAATAAGCAAATTTTAACAAGAGCTAGATTTAAACTAACAGCTTTTTTAAAAAATTTAAAAATTATTTTTAAAAGCGTCTAGGTGTTTGCCCACTACACTATCCCGCCCTAGTAAATATGTAATACTTTATTTATAGTTAAGTTTATAGTAAAGTTATTTTTAAGTTTTAGTTTATTAATAAAGTTTTTTTTATAATAGCTATTTATCTTTTTAGTAATTACTTGTTATTTTAGTAAATTTTTTATTTTATACTATTGCTGTGTGTAGGATTACCTAAACTCTAACTTAAAAAATAAAAAATACTACAACTCTTTAAAGAACTTCTTTATACTTCTAAATCTTTTCTTCTTAATGCCCTCCTGAACAGTGTCCTCAGCAACAGGCGTTCCAGGTCTGCTTTTAGGCTTGAATCCTAGGCTTGTCTTTGGACGGTCAACGTACATGTACGCAGTCTGCGGTCTCTGGAATGAGGAGATACGCTTAGATTGCGGGCTACCAGTTGTTGGCCTTGGAGGTAATGATGCACGTTGGTGTGACGAGGAACTCTGCGATTGCGACTGCAATAAGTTTGGGGTATGTGGTAGTGGTGGAGGAGGAGGAGGAGAGTAAGAATATGAGAAGGTAGAGTGCGTTTGCGACGAGTGCGACAAGCGGCGTTTCTGGAGAACAGTGCGAATTGATTTACTGCAATGATCTATTAGTCTCTGGTGGACGGTGAAGAGATAGTAGCAGGTGGTAACTCACGGTTTGCCATGTCTCTCCAGATCGTGTAGTTGAGCCTCACTTTCTTTGAGAGACCTTCTCAGATCGCCTCTAGTTTTCCTTATACCGTCCAGTTCAATCAGAGTCTCATCTCTTATCATGCGAACTCGTTCTACCTCTTTAGCCCAGATGCTCAAATCACCATCTTCCTCAACACTGTTAAGTGGAAGATCTGGTTGAATACTGTGATGGCTTCTTTCGCTGCGTGGCCGCGAGCTTTGAGGGGTACCAGGCGTTAAACTACGTGCCCTCTCTTCACGCCCTCTCTCAATCGAACTTGCACTCGAACGTAGTGACAATTTGGGTGATTTCCCTCGACCAGTAGCATTGGCTGCCATACTCCGAATTTTCTCTTGCAAATTTGCAACAAGTTGGGTAAACTCCCTCTTGGACTCCTTCAACTCTCGCATCTCTGTTTCCACTGCAGCGAGGGAAGTTGCAAACTCGTCCTTCCCTCGCTGCAATTCTACGATTGTGAGGTCTTTGGCCTGCAGTTCATTTGCCAGTCGCTCTTCTTGGGTTTTCCAGAATTCAGATATTTCCCGATCTTTAGCTAGCAGTTGTTCTTCGTGCTGTATCCGACCCGACTCTCTAGTGATATCTTTATTGTTTTTCACCTCCTGAAGCTTCTGTTCAAGACTTGTTTGTAGTCCCTGCAACTGTTTTTTCTTCGTTTCAAGCTCGACCAGAAGCTCGTGTTTCCCGGCTTTCAGTGACTCTGACTCACGGGTCTGGTCGCTGATCTGGCTGTGCAATTCCGAATTTGATTCCGTGAGAATTTCCAGCTCCCTGTTCCTGGCCAAGAGTCTTTGCTTGTATTCGGTCTTGGCTGTTGTTGCCGCGTCAATTTTAGCTTCAGACTCCTGGACAAACTCTTTGAAACGCGCCTCACTCCCTTGCAATGCCGCGTCTGCGGCAAGCATGTCCAGTTCTACTTGCTCTAGAAAACTTTCCAGCTTCGTGTTAGCTGACCTTGCCGCCTCCAGTTCCTGTTCAGCAGTGGCGAGACGATCCTGTAGATACTTTTCAGATGCGCTGAGCTTTGCGTGCGTCTCTTGCAAACTATCGAGCTCTCTATCGGCTTCCATGGCTCTGGACCTTAGGTCATTTCCTTCAGATTCTACTTTTTCGAGGCGTGACCTTGTGTCGTGTAGATTCTTTTCGGTCTCTGCCACTCCTCTAGAAGCAGTTTCGAAATGATCCTCGATTTCAGCCTTGGTGGCTCGTAGAAGTGTAAGCTCCTCTTCAGCGTCCAAGATCCGAGACCGTAACGTCGCACCTTCTTCTTCAGCGAGGCTGAGACGAGAGCTTGTGTTGTTCAGCTTTTCCTCTAATTCAGCCGCGTTATTTGCAGCATGGTTGTAACGCTGTTCCAAGTCGGATTGTGCACTGCGCAGGGATTCTAACTCCTTCTCTGCATCAACGAATTTCGTCTTGAAAGTGGTGCTATCGGTCTCAACATCTGCAAAACGAGACTGCATAGTATTTAATTCTTCTTGAGCCTTGGTAGCTGCTTTGGATGCATTGTGGAGCTGCTCTTCAAGCTCTGTTTTTGCGATGTGCACTGATTCAAGTTCCTTGTTTGCTTCAACGAGCTGTGACTGGAGAGCTGACTTGTCGGTTCCCGAGGCCTTCACCAAAAGTTGCACACTGTTGAGTTGATTCTCGAGGTCGGTCTTCGCAGTAGAAATTTCATCGGAATGTTGCTGAAGCTCAATGTGAATGGATCGCAACGAGCCTAACTCATGTTCAGCATCTTGCACTTGACATTTGAGGGCAGCATTCTCGTTTTGGGAGACGTCTAGTCGTGTTTGCAAAGTATTGTTTTCATCTCTGAGTTCATCGTTGGCCGTAGTAACGTCTTTGTTGGAAGTTCGCAAAGCTTCAAGTTCCTTCTCATTTTCCGACTTTTTTGCGGTCAACGCAGCGAGTTCAACAGTAGAAGCTTCTAATTTTGACCGCGAAGACTGCATGTCCTTTTCGACTTCGGATTTCGCGCCTTCCATGGTACGTATCCTATCCTCTGCCGCGGCTTTGGCGTCACGAACCGCGTGCAACTCCTGATCGATTTTTGAAAGCTCAGAACTGAGTTTTTCGTTCTCGAGGGTGCTTGTAGACAATCGCGAACGAGTTGATTCAAGATCCTTCCTCAATGCTGCACTAGAATCATCTAATTGGGAAACCTTATTGCGGAGGCTGATTTTGAGATATCGTACAGCCTCGAGTTCCTCCTGGGCTACAGAGAGCTCGGTGGTTATGTTGCTCTTCTCTAAATCGAGCGCATCGAATCGAGCCTGTGAGGATTTCACTTCCTCTTTGAGCTCATCATGAGAAGTCGAAAGTTGATCGTATTGCTCTTGTATCTGCTCTTTCGCGTCCTGACTGTCCGCCAAATGTGCCTCGAGAGTCAATACGCGCGACGAAAGCTTTTCCTCGTTGATCTGGATACTACTTAGGTCGCTGCGAGCTTTAGCAAGGTTGTCTTGCGATTGTTCAGCGGTTTGCAACGCTTCGTGTAGCTGTTTCTCGACATCATCTTTCGACTCGTGGGTGCTTTGCAATTTGGTTTGGAGCTCGGAGACCAGAGCACTAAACGCTGCAGCCTCAGCCTGAAGCACACCCAGGCGTTTGTCGACTTCGGACTTGGAGTGCTGATTAGCGGAAAGCTGGTCCTGCAGAGCAGATCGCTCAGTTCGGAGAGTTTCGGCCTCTGATTGTATGCGAGACAGACGTTCTTCCATTTCAAGTTTCGAATCTTGACTTTGATGCAAGCTATCTTGTAGATCAGATACTTTGGATTGCAGAACAGTACTCTGTGATTCGGATCTCTCTAGCCTTGACCGTATACCTTCCAGCTCTCGCTCGAGCTCCGCTTTGGAATTCGATACATCGCTCAATTGCCGTTCCGCTTTCACTTTCGATTTGTCCATGATCCCCAGTTCTTTTTGCAGCGAATTTTTCAATTCGCGGGTATTTTGCAATATATTTTCCATTTCCATCGCAGAAGCCTCCATTCTCGAGATCTTAGTGTTACTGCGGTCCAGCTGTACATGGAGCTCTTTCGATGACTCATGGGCAGCTCCAAGTTCGGTCGATAACGCAACCTTGTCATTCCTCAAAGCCTCTAGCTGTTGTTGCGCTTCAGCGTCTGCTTCTTTCAGAGTCACAAGCTGCTTTTTGGCAGAGTCGAGGTCCCTTTGCATATCTTCGCGCGAGATAATCAGAGCATCCAACTCAGATCGCAGTCTGGTTCTTTGTTTGGACTCATTAGCTAAAGAATCTATTGTCTTTTGTAACTCTTCTTCCAGCTCTCTTTTTATTAGTACCGTTGTGTCAAGTTCAGCTCGCAGATCGTTGCTCGCTTCCTGTGCTGAGCGGAGGCTCGCTTCCAATTCGATCACGGAGCCTTGTGCCATTGCCAGTGTAGCTTCGGTATGCTGCTTCAGCTCCTCGGACGTTTTCAAGTCGCTTCGAAGAGCAGAGATAACGCCCCCGGAAACTTCTACCCTTTTTGCTTGATCTGTAACCTGCTTCTGAAAGAGTAATACAGATTTCTCCAGGACCACCAAATTTCGCTGTCTTTCTTCAAGCTGACCAGTCATTGTTTCGCGAGCAGAGTCATTTTCAGTGATACGATTTTCGAGTTCGATTTCGCGGTGTCCAGCTTCATCCAATTTCTCCTTTAAAGTATCTAGTTCACCTTCCAAACTGGTCGTGTATGTTTCGAGCTTCTGGATTTGCGCCGAACGATCGTCGACATTGGCTTGTAGCACTCCCTTTTCCTCCTCCAACACCGCTATCGAGTCTTGCCGTTGTGTGTTGTTGATTTCCAGCTCCTCAATCTCTCGATCCTTGTGTTCCAATGAAGCCCTCAATTCCTTTTCTGATCTCTGTGATGTTGCAAGCTCGACCTGAACGGCGCGAAGGCTATCCTCCACATATTTTCTCGATCGCTCCAGAGCAACAATGCGCGATTGATGGCTTTGAATCTCGTTTTCCAAGCTGGTCTGCGTTACATCCCATAAGTTCGCCCGATCATGTCCTTTTTCGCATTCCGCCTGCAGCTCTGCAATTCGATTGCGACATATGGTGAGGGCACGATTCGATTCGTGTTTTGCCCGTATCAATCGACTATTCGATGTGCGTATTTCGACTGGACTGCTTTTGTTGGATACATGACCCCAGCCACTGTTGTCCCAGGATGATGAGGCTGAACCAGGAGGCGTCGTGTCCAAGTCGGCGGAATCGTGATCAGAATGAGCAAATCGAGTTGGAGGCGTTGTTGGCGGGGACATTGGGTGTGGTTGCACACGGTTTCGAACTTGTGGGTCCGGATTGGAGTCTATAGATGCGGTGTCAGTCATGTCGTGGGTTACACAATGGGCCACTCACATTGAAGAGTAAGCATCGAAGCCTTCTCCAAGCACTCTAATATGTCCTTGTTCCTATGTTCTTCTTCTTTCAAACATTTGCTGAGTTGATCAATTCTCTTTTCAGCATCCCGACCAGAAAGATAGTTGATTTTTCTACTGCTCGCCAGATTACGAGCCGTCTTCGCGATTTGCTTCTCCTTGACCGAGATGTTGACGGCCATGCGGAGTGCAAGACGGCGAAGTGACGAGATATTCTGCTTCGCTTCCACGCCAGCAATTTGGTGGGCCTTGACTTCTGCTCGGAGGTGGTTTCGCTGGTTCTTAATGAAGGACAACTGGGCCCAGTTGGATATAGGCGCAAAGTTTTCGTCTTTTGTTCGTGGAGAAGCGGGATGCGAATCCAGCGGCGAGCCACCAAGGTGCTTAAGGTGGTCCATAATGAAGCTGTCTGCCATAGACATGGATCGCTCCATTTGGGGGGTATGTGAAGGTGACATACGATCCATCCTTGGTGTGGTCGAAGGATTGGGGTTTTCAAGCCCCGGGTTCGGGTGCGCCTCGCGGCTATGGTGCTCAGAAGCGAGTGAATCAGAGGCCATATTGAGAAGTCGATGCTTGGTCAGTCATGGAGAGCTGAATGTCGAATTGTTTGAGAAATGTGGTTGTGTGGCTGGCGGAGTGCCACGCAATAACAGGCAATGAATGCGTGGCTGTAGGGTAGCTGCAAGGTTGGCGGCTGACGTGTGTGGTGGTGTGGTGAGGTGATAGTCACGCGAGAAAGGGGAGGAGAGCAAAAATCAACAATGCTACCTGGAGGATGAGCATGTCACACTGGTAAGAAAGCCGATGAGTGCATGGGAAAGCTGGGAAAAGGGAGAAGATGCGGGACGTGGACGGACGTTTGTAGGCGCATTCGACGAGGGTAGAACGAAGACAGACTTGCCGTCATGGCGCGAACGGCCTAGGAGGAAAGGCTGGAGGAAAGTGCTTGGACGAAGATGTTGGCGCGGCTTTGGGGTGGAGAAAGCGACGGTGCGTAGCATGGTAGATGCTGGTAATAACAGCAGGTCCACTCCACGTTGGTGCTTGCTGTGGGGACTGCCGGCATGCCATCCATCCCATAGCGGGCTGGACTGTGAAGCGCATACTGGCACGCATTGCGCAGCTGTTGCAATGCTTCCCGTCGCTCTCACTCGGAGATGTTGATTGATCAAGATTTCTGTTGTGATGGTGGTGTGACACTCTCAAGTACGGAACCACGCCGTCATCGCCAGCGAGCGGCGCCAGCATCGGCTGCTTGTGGTGCACGCTAAGCTGCTTCGGGCCGGCTTCACTCGTCATCCCGCCTCCACACTGCTCAACCAGATCGGACAGCCCGCACTACTCCACGGCCACCATCTGAATCACATCGCGAGAGCTACGCTTCGTCAAACTCGCCTCTTCACAATAGCGTCAACAAATTACCAACCAACGTAGGGCATCATCGTTGCAATGGTTTGATTTGGTCTGCAAATAGACGACTGCAATTGTACATCGGTCCTTTTCAAAACGCACTCGGGCTTGTCCAATGCAAAACGCCCGATCCGGATGACAAGATAGCCAGACTCCCCCTTTCTTTTGTACCGACTTCTATTTGGTATACATCTTTTGGAGATGCTTCGCAATCGTCGTCAGCTGGATGTTGCTTGTTCCCTCGTAGATGGCTCCGATCTTGCTGTCCCGGAAGTATTTCTCCGCCAATCCTTCCCGAACGTATCCCATGCCACCCATCCACTCTACAGCCTGTCCCGATACCTTTCCGGCGACTTGCGACGAGTACAACTTAGCCATGGCCGCATCCATGACAAAATCCTCTCCTGCCTCTTTCTTTCGGGCGGCATTGAAGACGAGAGCACGTGCCGCTTGAATCTCAGTCCACGCTTGCGCAAGCTGATGTTGCATGCCCTGGAACTCTCCGATGAGCGTGCCGAACTGCTTGCGGTCGTTCCACGCGTATCTGCTTGTTGTTAGCTACGACTCTGCAACCAAACTCGCTGCTAGGCAAAGACCAACCCTGCTGCGTTCTCCCAGGCACCCAAAGCCAGACCCGTCATCTGTGCTGCAATACCGATGCGGCCCTCGTTCAAAATCCCGATAGCGTACTTGTAGCCCTCGAACTCGTTGCCGAGCAAGTTTTCCTTTGGAATCTCGACATCATCAAAGTTGATCACGCACGTGCTGCTAGCCCGGATGCCCAGCTTCTTCTCCTTCTTCGCAATGGAAAATCCAGGTGTACCCTTTTCCACAATAAAAGCAGTGATTCCTTTGTACTTCTTGCTTGGGTCAAGGTTGGCAAAAACTATGAAGAAATTGGCCTCCTTGCTGTTGGTGATCCACATCTTGCTTCCGCTGATCTTGTACCCATTCTCGGTTCTCGTAGCCTTGGTGGCAAGGGCGAAAGCATCGGATCCTGAAACGGGTTCGGAAAGACAGAAAGATCCTACACGGTCAGTTTTGTCGTTGTCACATTTCCGAGCGGCGAGGATACCTACCCACGGTGTTGGTTGCCATTCGGGGCAGCCACTCCTTCTTCAGCCTCTCAGACCCCCATTTCATCAATGCAGTGTTGCATAGTGTGTTGTGCACATCGCACATGACACTGACGCTGGGATCTATCCGAGCAAGCTCCTCAATAGCAATAATGGCCGAGGTAAAGTTCATGCCAGAGCCGCCGTACTCCTCCGGGATCTCAATACCCATGAGGCCTTGTTCAAACATTGACTCAATCACTGCGGGATCCATTTCCTCCGCCTCGTCCATCTCTCTTGCTTTCGGCAGGACAACTTCAGTGGCAAACTTGGATACGGAATCGGCCATAAGGAGCTCGGTTTCGGAGAGGTGGGTAATGGGTGTGGGCGGTATATCGGTGATATCGGCCTCCCGACGCGGTATTGTCGCTGACAGGCATCGCGCTCTATCCCAATGTCAGTGGGCATCGCATGGTGGTTCGCCTTCGACATAGACTTACTGCGGGGCGGTGCGTGTGAAAGCTGGTCGCAAGGTACGCGAGGAAACAGTTGCAGCGCGTGCAAGCGGTCTCAAAGTCCTTGTGAAAGAGGCCATTGCGAAGAATGTGGATTTTAGGATAGCAAGTTATGAGAGGCAAAAGTGTGTAGTGTGAAAGGTGTCTCGATGTTTGCATGCATAAGTTTCGCTTCAGTTGCTACAGAGCTTGAGCCGAGGTCTGTCTGCGCCGATGGCTTAAAGACATCCGACCGACTGTCAGGCACCTTCCCCAATCCGGGGTAGGTAAGCCGGGGTTCGCGGGGGTCCGATACCGTCACATGTCACATCCATCGACATCTGAAGACACTCAACTTGCCCATGGTCGATTATGTACCAGCGCGCTTCGATCTTTATCTCTCTCTTTCTCTCTCTGAAGGACTGCCCTATTTGCTTGTTCGGTTCCCCCCACTAGATCAGTTAATCTTGAATGGTAAGCGTGCAGGAATTCCGCCACAGGCCAAGTATTTCATGCAGGCGACAGACACCAAGGACCCAGCTCTCACACGCTGCGCTTATACCCGGCTTTAATCTTTACTGCCTTGCACTTTGCACTGTGATCTGTTAATCACAAAAGTTCCCGGGAGTCTTGCGGGAATCCGGACCTTAAAGACACAAATACAACAGGGCGAGCCTCAACAACCCTCTACAAGGACGTAATTACACAATTGGTACAAATCTACCAGACATGCCTGATTGAGCTACTCGAGTCTTGAAAGGTTGGTTACCCTGAATAGCACCGTGAGTTGCTGTACACCCAGAAACCGCGCGTTTTCGCATACGGTACAGCTCAACTTGGCTTGTGAGAACGTGTTATCCAGCTTTCTAAACAAACTACTACGTGGCGTCACGAGGGGCTTTGTACCACGGGAACCTTATTTTTTTTGGGGGGGGGGGGGGGAAGCGACAGGAAGTTTGGTGAAATGTAATAACAGACGGATTGCAGATAGATAGAGAATTTCTCAAAGAAATCTTCAACAAAATCGCTGCTCAATGATAATATGCAACCAGATGGTACAAACCATAAAACTAATACTGAACACATCATATGATTCTATACTAAGAAAGGATTGATCTGGAATCAGAATTCGAGTGCCGTTTCAAGAATCTTGCTACATATTGATCTTCCAATTATAGAAGTATATACAAAAAACTTGAATCGCGGGCATGTGTCTCCAAATAGCAAATGCCCTTCAATCAACTTGAACCTAGATATACTTTGTATTCCTCTTGCAATCCCCCTATCCTCATAATTCTCGCCACTTCAACACATGTATCACAACTCCCATCGTCATCGTCGTCTTCCTCCAACGGGGTAAGCTTCTCATTTACGTGTCCCCAGTAGCCGACTTGCAACTCGCCCCCCAGAACGACATCTAACAGCTCCGAACCCACTTCCTCTAAGAGGCATCCTATCTCGACGAACCCGATACCATGGTTAGCTGAGATCTCCTTATAGGGTGCGTAGTGCCAGAGCCACACATGTATCATCTCATGGAGGATTACACTAATCCTGTGCACTCCCCGAAGAAGGTGCTCCTTGCACCCGTCACCCGTGGGCGATTGGCTGAATTTAGACGGATCCACATATATCTGGGGAGTATTGTTATCTGAGGAGAGCTCAGGATATTCTGGCGCGCTCTGAAGGTCCTGCCTGGCCCAAAATTGTCTTCTTTGCTGAAGCCAGTCGCCCATATAGTAAGTCGCACCCACCATGAGGAGATCCTGGCTCTGCGTAAGATTGTATACTTCCTCTTCATATTTCAAAGGATCTTCCCAGCGGAAGATGAATCTTGGCATCTCGCCATTGAAGAATACGGTGTCCAGCAGGAAGAGGAGATGGCTAGTTGTGGGTTCATCAACGCTCAGGCTGGCATCTTCCCCATTAAGGGCCTCTCTATTTCGATACAGGAAGAGCATTAGACGCCGTATTGCATTCTTTTTTTCACACTCGATTTCGGTAATTTTCATGAGGCTTTTGATGTGTTCAGTGAGCTTGTTTAAGCGGTCTCTTGCGGCGCTGAAGAGTTGGTCCTGTTGTTTAGCTTCTCCAATGAGTGATGGGTTACAGCGAGGACAATTGGCGGAAGGTGACATGGGTAAGCTAATGAAATGTGATGGAATATGAAGGGAAGCGTTGGTTTGTATGAAAGGTGGAGATGGAATCCAAAGAGAAGTGGAGCAAGGGCAGTGGTAGGAGTGGAAAGGAAGACTGTTGAAAGACTGAAAGAGTGAAACTGCGAGTAGGGCATTGTGTCTTTATAGTCTTCTCATAGACCATAAAAAGAATTATTATTTTGTGATATCAAGAAGATGTTGCCCTCAGCGCTTCCCTTGTCTCAACAAAATCATATATTTCAGGGCAGCGGTAACCCAACTTCCAATCAACGTTCATGTTTTGAAATTCAATGGGATATTCATCGGTGCAAGATAAGAAATTAACCTCATAATTGATGTCACTCAGTGTTTCTTCCACTAACATGACTATGATTCCCAATGCTTAAATTTGATTGCTCTGGCGGTCAAAGAGCACTGCGGCCCGTCTAGAGGATGTTTATGTTATTAAGAAATCATATTTGGGTAAAACCTTTTGACTTCCCCTTAACCTGCCTGCCTACCTAGGTAGGTACGTATGTTTCACACTACAGTTGTTGCCTGTCTGCACTAATATAGGCACAGGGATCTTTCTCCAATTGTATAGAATTCACAGAGAAAGTACATTGTGATGCAAACTTACAAATCGTTTGAAGACTGTAATAATCCACTCGAGGATCATCGCCTGCATCTGCGAAGGATTGAATCCTTTTTGTATGACGCAATGCGATGATCGACTGTGATAGTCCTTTCCGCACTCAATCTGCATCTTGCGCAATCACCGGGCATTTGAGCCCACTGGTTGAACAACACAGCCACTGAAATGCGGATAAAATGTTGTAACTGGTTGAAAAATGGCGTGAATTTCGTTTCTCATGACTATCTAGAAACTCTCTATCGAATGTATATCCGAACCTCATGAGCCCAGTCTTTTAAGGCTATAAATGCATGTCCCAAGATGAATAACGCCGAGTGCCATGCGCGTAGATAATGCCGCCCCAAAATCAAAGCACTTTTCGCTGTTGAAAGAATAGGGAAACAGAAAGGAACTTGTTCGGCTGAGAACTTCGCGTGGCAATAATCCTGTCACCATGCTATAGATTCACCCAAAAATTGCGCCAAGAAATGCAACAAGTACACCGACCAAGAGTCATCAGTTGACGTCCATACCGTCATCTTCCGCATCTTCGTCACCTTCCTCCTCACCAGCTAGTAGAATACCAGTACTCCCGACGCTTCTCTTGCGATTGCCTGAAGTAAAGGCTCGGTGGTGTCCCATCATCTCCAGCTCTTCGCCACCAACGACCTTCGCATCTAGGTCGGGTTCGGAGCATAGGTCGACGATGCTGCCATGGCTCAAACCCCTGAATCCAGCGGTGCGGACGACACGGCCCCAGTTCTGTAAGCAGAATGCAGCCGCTCTCCTTTTTAGCCAGTCTTCGTTAGCAGTGGCTGCGCGCTCCCAAATTATAGCTGCATGCTCTATGTCCAGCTCGCGCCCCAGGCGACTGACACACAGCAGCTGTAAACGTGGCATGTCGTAGATATTTGACATGACAAGCATGCCCGCTACATCATTGAGGCTGGGTCCAGTCTGGGGGTGGGGTGCTATGCTATCGGTGTACAGATAGTAGAGGAACGCTCGAACTGCTGAATAGGGTTCCGGAATGTGCATCTTTTTGGTGTGAAACTCGATCATCTGTGCACTCCAAAGCCGGGCAAAATGAGGCCAGCGAGCATGTAGAATGAACCTATGGACATGAATAGGGCGAGAGACCGACGCCAACTCTGTGGATGCTCTATCAAGGCTGGCTTCGTAATCCATATCATCAGGATCAGCAGTGATGATGAAGTCAGCACCGCTGCCTGATTCGGGCGGCTGATCGAAGGTCAATGACAGATCTGCGCCAATACCGGTAAGGTGAGAAGACACGTTTGCGTCGGAAGACGGGAGCTTCGACCGTGGATCGCTAGCTAGGTCATTTCCTAAGATGCCATATTTGCGCAAATCGATGGCAAGAACATCGCTCAAATATTCGCCAGGGTTGACGCCGTTCCCATCTGCAGCTGCTTCAGCGGGGCTGCCTAAGAGCCATGCGTGGGTCCCTTCAGAATTCATAGTGCAGTAGTGCCAACGGAAATGAGGGTTATAAAGATCCTTTCCATCTGCTAGTTTCTGCCAGCGTAGAGTGTCAAGCTCAAGGCTTGAGAGGCTTGTATCGCAGCTAAGTTCTGCGGGTGTTACAAAATCAAGCATGCACCCGGATGAGAATGCATGGAAATGCATACCAGCGGCTTGAGAAGGTAGGTTCGGATCGGAATGGAAGCGCAACGAAGATATGGAACCTGGTGGGATATAAGGCTGTTTAGAGGAGCTGATACTCGGGTACGATTGCACACTCGAGTTAGCTGTGTAGCCAGTACTGCCAGTCGCTGGTGGGCCTGCCCCTGACGGAGGGAACTTGTGTCGAGCGGTGACCAGTTGGCGATCGCCAGTCCCATAAGCCATTGCCGTCTCAAACCCAGGGCTCCCACGTAAATCCAGCCAATAAAGCTCGTTGTTCTTTTCCATGTCCTCGTTGATGCCGCCAAAGATCCAGATGCGGCCATTCCAGATCCAACTGGCATGGTCATAACGACAGACAAACCTCCAGGAGCGCGACCATGTCCAGGTCTTCAAATCGAGAAAGCAAATGTCGTCCAGCACTGTTTCGTGCCCAGTTTGTCCACCACTGATGTACAACTTGTCATCGTAGATAACAGCAGAGTGACGGGCTCTACCTCGAGGAGTCGGTCCATGTAGCTCGGGTTGGGTCCAGTGAGATGTTTTCAAATCGAAGATGACAACGTCAGAGAGATGCTGTCTATGTTCGTTCTCTCCTCCGAAGACGAGAAGCTTGTCGGATCCCCACAAACATGCGGTATGGCCCATGCGTACTCCGGGGATGTCACCGTAGTTATCAACGAGATTCCATTGACGAGTGGCTAGATTCAACCGCAATACATGATTGTATACTGAAGCAAGTTAGCGACAAGAGATCGAGTATTATATGCATAGGTTGCCTACCTTCATCAGTGAATTGATCAAAGCCACCGAAAGCATATATCTGATCGTTGCCCACGTATGTGACTGACGCATTAACCAGGCATGCAGGCTTAGCACCAATAGTGGATATGAGCTTCGGTTTGTATCCTTCGGCGGTGGACCTGCGGTTGCGGACGGGGCTTGCTGTCATGAGGAAAGTATTGGCTCCCGAGCCACCAGACGACGGAGTAGTGGCTTGAGCAGCAGGCGTGGGGGTAGAGACAGGAGCACTATTGCTGGAGAACAACGAGGGAGGGGCAGCGCCGACTTGTTGCGTTTGAGCCATTGTGTTGAGTGAAGTCGAATGACTATGATAGCAGGTACGGTAAGACCATGTGTAGGCCTTGGGCAACGGTGGATCCTCCGTCTTCCAAGAATCTAATCTTAGGAACAAGGTACAGTCAGGCTGAGTGGATGAAGCGGAAAAGGGTGCAGGGGGGGAAAGCGTGCAAGCGTGCAAGTCGGCCAGGGAACGCACTGGGTAGTGTGTACACGTAGGAGGAACAAAGGGGTCGGCGAGAATTAATGGCTGATTCGTGTTGGGGTGAATAATCTGTCAGCCAACAGTCAACCAAAGTAACAGGCGGGCGGTGTGTCGTCTACGCCGGCAGATTATCGGCGGGGCAAGCCAGTCTGCTGAAACCAGCCCAGCCCTTACACGTGATGTCATCGCCCTCCAGTCAGCCCAGCAACCGTTGCCCCGTCAACGACGGCAAGTAAACAAAGCATATTTAACACGCCACGAGCCTGCCTTCATTCACTGTCTGTACCTACCTTACCATCTACCTCTCTCATCCTGCTCCCGTCATCATTTCTTCTTCTCTACCTCTCTACGCAACCGCATCCAACCTACTGTTCCAATCAATACTTTAAAGCATCGATTACAACCATATATAATATCAACCAGCTTCAAGAAGCAAATCAAACTTACAATCTATACCGTATGACTGCACCTTTTCTTAGATGTTCGCTCAGGCTGGCTTGGCTAACTTGCTCTAGGAAAAACAAAGTGTGAAAAAGTACCGCAGCCATGGCCAGCACAGCGGTGATGACCCCGGCTAAGAGCCGTTCTGTCTTCTCAACCCGTACCGCCGGCGGTCGGATGCCTTTGACTCCCTCCCCTCGTCCTTCTCGTACCCAAACTCCAGATGGCCAGGCTCGCGAGTCTATCCACGGCGGCAACTTCATGTCTCGTCTCCAACGCTCCGTCTCCAAGACTACCCGGGATTCTCCCAAGTCAAATATCGCCCGCACAAGCACTCCTCGCCGATTGGAACTTGGTGTGTCCGAGTGGACCTTGACAGGAACGGGAAACACCACCAACGTCAAGACCCCTGCCAAAGCAAAGAAGGAGACCACAGTTCGTGCTCGGCCAACCAAGACCAGGATCGCATACAACTCTGCAGACCGATTCATTCCCAACCGGACAGCAAGTGATGCCATCTGCAACGCAGGTGCAGGCAAGGTTGATCTTGACCAGCGACCCAAATCCAGCTCCACCGGAGAAGGCTCAACAGTCCTGGCAAATGCTGCGAGTGCGTTCGATATCGGTGGTCGTGGCTCAGACGACGATGCTGGCCTCTCCCTGGAAGGCCTTACTCTTGAGGATGACGATGAAGACCGATCAAGCACTAAGCCTGCCCCCGATGCAGTTGCATACCAATCATCACTAGCTTCCGCATGTGGTGTGAACCTCAACACTCGTATCCTCGCGTTCAAGCCGGCTCCTCCAGAGTCATCCAAGCCTATCGATTTGAGGTCACAATACAACCGCCCTCTTAAGTCCGCCAGCAGTGTCAACGCCCAGAGCCGTCGTCGTATCCCGTCAGCACCTGAGCGTGTCCTCGATGCTCCTGGACTTGTCGATGACTATTACCTGAACCTCCTTGATTGGTCGTCGGGCAATCAGGTTGCCATTGGCCTCGAGCGCTCCGTTTATGTGTGGTCTGCCGAGTCCGGTTCCGTTTCATCTCTTCTCGAATGTGCTGATGATACTTACATTTCTTCCGTCAAGTGGTCTGGCGATGGAGCCTATGTCGGTGTTGGCCTTGGTACGGGCGAGGTTCAGATCTGGGACGTCGAAGAAGGCACTAAGCTACGAAGCATGTTCGGCCACGAGACCCGCGTTGGTGTCATGGGCTGGAACAAGCACATTCTCTCGACCGGCGCCCGCTCCGGACTTGTCTACAATCACGATGTTCGCATCGCTCAGCACAAGGTCGCGGAGTTGGTCTCGCACACTGGTGAGGTCTGCGGTCTTGAGTGGCGCGCCGATGGTGCCCAGCTTGCTACCGGTGCCAATGACAACATGGTCTCGATCTGGGACGCTCGTTCCCTTGCCGCCCCCAAGTTCACCAAGACCAACCACCGTGCGGCCGTCAAGGCTGTATCTTGGTGCCCTTGGCAATCTAACCTTTTGGCTACCGGTGGTGGCTCAAACGATCGTCAAATCTACTTCTGGAACACTACCACCGGGGCTCGCATCAACCACATCCCCACCGACTCCCAAGTTACCAGCTTGCGCTGGAGCACTCACTTCAAGGAGCTCGTCAGCACTGGCGGTTTCCCCGACAACTCTCTCAGCATCTGGAGCTACCCATCCGGTGTCAAGAACATGGAGGTCCCCGCCCATGAGTCGCGTGTACTTCATAGCTGCTTGAGCCCTGATGGTCAAATGCTGGCTACTGCTGCTGCTGACGAGTCACTCAAGTTCTGGAAGATCTTCGAGAAGAAGCCTGGCCAACCCTCGATTGCTGCTGCCGGTGCCGCCTCTGTCAAAGGTGGTGTTGTAAAGCAGATGACTATCCGCTAAGCAAGCGATGATGAGGTGATGTCGAGTGGTGTGTGGTGTGTGGAGACTATCGAAGAAAGAGTAGAGCAGCGGGCTCAACGACAAACACCATGCCACACAGGGCGACTATGCTCGAGTGAACATCCATTACCAACGGCTTGCGCAACGGAGCCCACAAAACCCCGACTCTACGCGCAATGGTAAGTTGGTAAGTATCATATCTCATCTGGGTATGTGGCGCGGTCCTTTTCGACGGGAACCTTCCACGATGTGCGCCCTAGAAAACAGGTATCTGGCTGGGCCATTTGGACTCTTTGTCCTCTACGGCGTCTCGGAAGATTCAATGCATTAGCAGGTGTTGGCCGGAGTTTCAAAGTCTTCTCGAGCGTCTTGATTGGATACGAGTTTCACGAAATCTTTTCTTCTTTGACGAGAACAAGATGATTCTTCAAGTTTGTGGCCCAATTGTTTCTTTTTCCGGGTATCCCTTTCACTCTGCCTATGAGCTTGGCTTGTTCCCCGGGATGACGATAGCGGGCAAAGCCGGCTGCGGGCAGAGATGTTTTCTGTAAATTCTTCTTTTTTAGGGCTCCACTGGTCTTTCACTAGGAAGTCAGTTTCTTGTTTTTCTCTCGCACGGCGTCTTCTTAGGATACGCTCTACCGTGTCCAGTCATCCATAATAATCAAATACCCAATTGAACTTTTCTAAAATACCTAAATGAACGCGCCATTGTCCATGCGGTTGGTGTTCGAAATGCTGTTATTGGTTCCCTTAAGCACACACATGTGCTGCTAGTTCGGAGCGACATATCGTGCCGGATGAGCAAAGATGAAACAACATATCGAAGATCGGAACTATGCACATGCACACTCCGCTTGTTCACTCTGTTTTGCCCATGTCCCCACCCTTGACTCGGACTCACATGTTCCCCTCTCTCTCCAGAAAAAAAAATGGAACGAGAGCCTCGGCGACACGTAATGTGGGGTGGTTTCCCCTCCAAGCCATACTTCAGTGAAGTTTCGGGTTTTGGCGTTCCAACAAACAACTCCTGCGAAAATGACGTGGGGTTTTCTTACACGGCAAGCACGGCAAGCTGCAAAACTAAGACAAATTTGTTAGGAGATCACATTCACCCCGCTTCTCCGATCCAGCCCATCAATGTGTTGGATGTGCGTGTGTCGTTTATCGGGACCTACGGGAGGTAATGCGTCTGTGGTGTGTTTCAGGAAACGCACCGTGAACATGCTTTGCGTCATTGGCAATTGTTTTGTAGGTACGCTGCAGTTCTCACGTCTATAGGGGTGGGGGACATTAGGTCAACGAGCAGAGACTACGGTAGGTGACCTGGTCAATCGGCGCCTCATTTCATATCATCGGTGAAGACGGTTTACCGCTGAAGCATACATACGATCGACATAGAATTGAGACTGTGAATTTGTGGGTGGGTGAGAGAAAAGTTGCAATTGATTTGTATGCAGTGCTTGCTTTCCTTGGTAGATTGAATATATGGCAAATCTGTCATTCCTCAACCAAATTCAGATCCCCTTGTTCCTCCGGGGAAAACTCCGTGTCCCACCAGTAACGCCAATTGCAAATAAGTGAACAAACAACGAAGGCGAGAAAGAAAGAAAGACAGAACAACCGCCCATGATAGTGGATATCTCATGAAGAGTAAGCCACGAGGGACAACAAAGGAAGAAAGAAAGAAAACAACAGAGAGGTAGTCGCTCGCAATAGAGAAAACTCCCTTGATCTGCCCCATTTAACGTCCCTACGATGTCCGCGGTATATGCAGCGCAAGATGGATATGAAGAAAATAAAGAAGAAAATCCCGTTTGTATCGTAAATGCATCACCGTGAAACGCAGTGCCGTGCCGAAGTGGGGTGGAGACAGAACGCCGATGCAGGCCAGGTGCTGTTTGGGAAAGTAGACAATTGTGGCTGTCAGCTTTTGGTGATGTGGCTTGGATGTCGTGGCAGACGAAACGACAAGGGCCGAGCACGCGTGTTGTCGAGGCTGATGGCATTGGCAGAGAGCCCCAGCGTGCAAGGCGTTCGCAGATCTCTCCACCTTACTGGCGCGAAATCTCCCAATCAACGTACCCAACGATTTTAACCATGCATCTTCCTGGAAATTCGCAATATCCTCGTTTTGAACCAAGCCACAAACTTCGCCCAGTTGCCCTTGGCCTCGCGACTCTTGGTGACCTTGGGGAGGTGAAATCCGCCTTGCTTTTCCGAAGTGGATGGAGGTACGTAGTTTGGCAGAGTGCGAGTGTGGGCTTCCCTGTGATCTGAATATTGTCGGCCGCCAATTGATGGTCGTGGAGTCTTTTCGTTATTCAGATCAGAAATACTGCGTGTGCGTTTGCTCTCGTTGCCCTCGGACTTGCGCTGTTGATGTTCCAGCTTTCTATTCAGTCTCCGCATATCGCGTTCCGATTGCTTGCTGGCTTCCCTCTCGTGCTTCCTCTCTTTGGCTTCTTCCTTCTCTTGGAATGCCTGGCGAGCGGCACGTATGTAGGCAGCGCGAGACGCAGGGTCAGGAGGAGGGTTGGGGCGCACGAAGCCGAAGGCTTTGTCGAAAGACGTGCGAGAACTCGGAGAGGTGGCCGATTCCAGCGATCGTAAAGTGTCGCCTCTCGATCGAGATTGCGCTATGGGCGATGCGAGTGATGTAGAAGATTGCGAGTAGCTCCCTGCGAGGCCTGTCGAGGAGCCGGTGGCGTGCATGCGCAGTGTAGGTGGTAGTCCTGGAGTGGAAGATATGGAGCCGGAACGACGTGCGGGATCAAAGGACTGCTGCCTCAAGCGATATTCTTCATCGGACATGATATCGTCTGCTTCCGTCTCACTGCCCAGGACTGATGCGGGGGTCGACTTGGACATAGGCGGGGTATATGGACGTGGGGTGTGCCGGGCGGGTGGCATATACGGGGCAGTCGGTCGTTGTAACCCCAAACTAGACGTCGAGAACTGCGAAGTGTTTGAAGTAGAGCGAGTATGCCTATGGCGGCCTGTCTTGACAGGAGCAAAGTTGACGTCGACGACGGACGGCGTGTAAGCTGGATAGTCGGAAATGCCTAGGCCGGCCAGACGCTCATTCTCCTCGGCAGTGCGCGAAAGGTCGAGGCCATTTGCGTCTTTGGAGGAGAGCTTCCGCAGGTAGGGCTTGATCTTGCGGGGGTGGGAGACGGAGGCGGCTGGTGGGGGCATTGGAGGTGACGAAGTGGTGATCCAAGGTTCTTCGTAGGTGACTTTGGGTGTCTCTGAACGACTAAATGTGAAGAGGCCCTGATCGGAGACGGGGCTGAGGGGACTCGTCAACGACGAGGCTGAGTTGCCGCGTTTGTGCAGGCGGGCATGACTGGAGGAGCGCGAAGTGGCCATGATTGATGTTGGTCACAATGAGGTGATACAGAGCATCCAAGTATCAGTGTCACCAGGGCAACATGATTACGCGGTGCGGAGCGAAAGACTGATGCAAAGAGACGCACAGGCCGGGCAAGCAAAGCGATGCACGAAGCGTGCACAGCAAGTACAGAGAGTCCTGTACTGTACTGGACTGTACTGTAGGACGGGGCCGCGGAGAGGGCACAGCGACGTGACGTGACGATGTTGTGGATTGATGGTCGCAAGCGGGATGGGATGGAAGGGCAGGGCAGGGCTATGGGTACCCAGGTAGTTTTATCTTGCAAGATCCGGGGCCGGGCCAGCGGTGGCCGCAACAGGGAACAAGCGCAAGGAGGGCAACAGCGGAACAGCGGATCGGTGGGGTTGTTTTGGTTGGTTAGTTGGCCAAGCGCCACCGTCGACGAGCAATGATGAGACTCAAGTAGCGTAATGGGCGGTGGGTGTTGAGTGGGTTGTGTTCCAATGTCGGAACCGCCAATGCTTCAACGCATGCGCGGCTCAGCGGCTGGCTGGCTGATGTGAAGGATAGGTATGTACCTACCTAGGTATGTAACTCAAGTATGTAGGTGTGCAAATCACTCCAAAGGTACCGGCGATTGGGGAGGAGACGATGGGTGGATGAGACCTGTGTAGTAGGTAGCTGACGAGGGCTGAGTACATACATATGTACATACATACATACATGTGCACATTTATAACAAGAAGCGGTCACAGGTTGATGATTACGAGGTCACGAGTCTCACGGTTACGGTGCTAACCGGGGAGCTAGAGACTTGTTGCTGTGGGTAATCTTCATCCATCGTGCTGGACAAGCCCCGGATGGCGCGGGCTGAGCGGACGACCATGAGCCTTTTCAGCCTTTGCGCGGCAGTTGGTTGGCCACTCACGCCGCTGTTCTTTGGGGGGTTCATGTCTTGACGACTGCAGTACACGCCCATGAACAGTTTGCATGCGTCGTGGCTTTGTTTCTGTTGTTCTACCCAGTGCCAACTACGAGAAGATGTGCCGCACATTACATGAGCAAACAAAACCATGGCATGCAATCTAGCTAGATTACTTCAAGTACTTTGTGCCTACTAGGTACAAAGATATCTTGCGCTGATGCTGTTTTGAGGCGATCCCGAGTTGATCAAGGTTGCGCTGCTGTTGCTACATGTGTACCTTGGTTGCTGGGGAAAGGCTGAGTCAGCACGCCGCAAGAATCTTAGGCGAAGGGCATGTCAAGCACCACCTTTGTGTGTCCTTGCAAGCACTCAACCTCATCCCCATCAACACGTCAACCACTGTTCGGCGCCACCATGTCGAGCAAACGTGGCTCTGTATTCGACCAGGGAAGGCCTGAAAATCCTTTTCCCGAGCGCGATCAGGTGGAGCCTGTCCGCAAAGCGACGGCCGCGCAAATGGCGACGCGAAAGTACGTGCTTCACCTTCACCTTCGCAATTCACATTCACCTCGGACTCCTCACCCTCCTTCTATTGTTGCCACCTCATCATGGACCACAAGTGACTCACAGCATCTTTTCTCTATAGGATCAAGGCCGCAAAAGGCAGACGAACCCCCGGCGTATCCTCCGTAAGTCAACTCCGTCAGACTCCCTCTCCGAGCGGCGCAGAATAAAGACACCACCACTCTGCCAGCGCCAGCATCTTCTGCGATATCACAACCGCCAATAAGTTGCATCTGCTAATATTTTCTTGCAGGGACTTTCGCAGTCCATGATGCAACCCTCTCAGCCCTCTGGCTTCGGCTTCGGTGGTGGCGATAACAACGACGACAACAACAACAATTCCGGCGCAAGCTCTTTTGGCTTTGGGTCGCAACAGGCACAGTCGGGCCAAGGCACGAGCATGTTCGGAGGCGGCGCAACCAATAGCTTCCCGCCAACACAATCTTCTGCGCCGAGCAACTCTTTTTCCAACTCCTCGTTTCCTGCTTTTGGTGGTGGTAACAACGTGAACGCTGCCTTCAGCCCGCAGCCTCCTTCCGCGGGCTTCAGCTTCACGGCAGGTTCCAGCAATCCCTTTGCCGCTTCCGCGCCGCCCACCGCCACAAATGGGTCTAGCTCTGGCGGTTTCAGTGGCTCCATATTCAACACAGGGGCTCAGTCTACGAGTACACCATTCGCAGGATTTGGTGGGAACAACAACACATCATCCGCTGCATCTTCAAATAGCATGTTTGGGACCAGTGCGCCTCAAACAAACATGTTTGGCAACACCATGTCGAGTGCGGAGAACAGTGCTTCAACCACTTTGGCAGCACCTGCAAATCCTTTCGGAGGATTGAGTGCGACTACCCCCTCAGCGCCAGCCACTCCTTTCAATTTTGGTTCCACGCAGCCGGCATCGACACCCACGCAAGATAGCAACTCGGCCTCAAAGTCTCTCTTCGGTTCTGTGCAGCCGGCCTCCACTGCCTCCCATGAAGCTACGCCTGCCTCGAAACCCGCTCCCTTCGGTACCTCCTTCACCCCCGCGCCCATCTCCTCAAACTCTGGTGCTCCCAGCACCCCCTTCTCAATTTTCGGGGCGAAGACGCCGAGCGAAAGCATCAGCACGCCTGCTGCGAGCACTAATCTCTTCAGCAACTTTGGCGCTACATCTCAAAGCGGTTCGGCAAATACTCCGGCAGCAACCCCCAGCTTGTTCCCCGCCATGAAACAAGAAGGAGGAAGTAATGGTTCACTGGCTGGGAGCAACTTATTCGGGGGCTTTGGCAATTCGCAAGGTGCGACGGCAAGTACTCCAGCATCTACCTCAAGCCTTTTCGGCACCGTGTCAAAAGGCGATATCAGCAGCACACCAGCTGCTGGCCCCACTGCGACCCCGACCCCCATCACCAGTCAAAGCGAAACAACAACTACTTCTACGCCCGCACCAAGTCTGTTCAAAAGCTTCGGCCCTACTTCCACTACTTCCTCCGAACCGGACACATCTGGCGCCAATTTGTTCTCTGCGTCAACCCCAGGCAATGTCTTTGGCGGTTTCAACAAGACGCCAGCGACCACTACTTCCAGTGCTCCAAACGAAACCTCCAGTGGCCAGGAGGCTTCGACACCGACATTCGGAATTAACAAGACTACATTCCCTGCAAATACTTCTGGTTCGGGCTCTGGCCTGTTCTCACAATCGCACCAGCCTAAAGCGCCAGAGTCTACATCGTTTGCTTTCCAGCAACCAAGTACTTCTAAGACGCCATCCTTGTTTAGCCAGTCGCAACCGGCCAATTCGAAAGAATCCAATTCGCCCGCCTCATTCAGTCCATTCAACAAGCCAACCTCGAGCTCATCCCAGCCTGCGTCTCAGCAAGATGCCCTCATTAATAAGTTCGGCGCACCCTCGTCGACAGAACAACCTTCAGCACCGCCTTCTAAGATACCCAATCTCACCGAAGCTGCTGCACCGCCGCCACCTGAGATAGCCAGCATGCCGGAGAAACCAAGAATTGGCACTATTCACCTTCCGACCGTATGGGGAACAACAGACGGTTCTGATGATACCCTCAAAGGTCTGGCAATTCAGATAGCTACCCTCAATCATCACTATCGCGAGAGGCTTTCCAATCTTCCACTCACTGCAAATTGGAGTGCTCTCTCACGATTCCATCTTAAAGCCACCGAGGAAATATCGGCGAAGATTGCAGCTTTCAGAAAGCGAGAAGCGGCGGCAAAAGGCATCACAGGTCATGAGTCGAGTCTTTCCGTCAAACGGAAAGCTACCACTGAAGAGGGTCATGATAATCTCGAACAAGATGCGACGCCATCCAAGAAACCACGCGCAGCTGAAGCGCCTAGCACGCCTACTCCCAAAGGACCGGCTCTGCCGACCACGACGCCTAAGGCTTCGCCGCCAGTATCTAATACATCCAGCTTATTCGGTAGTGTCTTGAGCAAGAGCGCAGACTCTACTGCTGCGAATGCCGAGAAGTCTTCCGAGACTTCTCAGAGCGCAACTTCCCAGGCTGGATTCTCCTTTTTGTCAAATGGCGCGAAACCTGCGGCGTCTTCGTCACCCTTCCAAATGCCTTCCTCTGGATCGACTGGCAAGAGCAGTATTTTCGGAAGTAGTGGTGGTGGCTTGCTAGGCCAATTCTCCAGCAAAGCGAAATCGTACGAGCAACTTGTTGCAGAGCGCAAGGCTAAAGAGAAAGAAGAAGATTATGATTCCGACGAGGAGAGCGAAGAGCAATGGTCCGCTCGATGGGATAAAAAGGAGGCTGAACGTGTGGCCAAAGAAAAGGAGAATTCTGCTCCGTCTGTTCAAACATCAACAGCACCCACGTCCTCGAACAGCAGTGGTCTCAATCTTCTCGCTAGCTTCAGCAAGCCAACCAGTGGGGCATCCACACCCGGTCTGTTCGGCTCCCGAACTGGTAGCCCAGCGCCTTCCACGGGTGGAAAATCTGTCTTTGACACGCCTGAAGCCGCCCGGTCGCCTGCATCCAATCCGTTCGCTCACCTGTCGTCTGAACAATCTTCTAACAGCCAAGATGACGACGAAGATGAAGATGCCGATGACCAAGGTGTCAATGGGCAGTCTACTGTCTCCGCCCAGCCATTGCCTAGGAAACGCAAAGTCTTCGATGATAGCGAGTCAGAGTCTGGGGAATTTGCGGAAGATTCTTCTAAGCGTGGTAAGGTAGACACAGCCAAGAAACCTACTCTGGCCGATCGTATAACGAAGGATGCATCTGTTGCAAAGGACGACGATTCTGAGAAGGAGAATGGGGATCCCAACGGAACACAAACGCCCTCAAAGCCCTTCTCATTTTTCGATTTTGGTAAAGCTGCTCAATCGGCGCCTCCCAAATCAGACAAGTTTGCTGGGGACCAGACTTTCAAGATTGGAACGCCAATCAAATTTGGATCATCAGTAAAGGACGCACCCACCTTCCAGTTCCAACCTGCGACTCCTGCACCTGGTGACTTGTCCGCAACGCCATCTAAGCCTCCTCCTGCGTCGACGTTCTCGTTTCTCAATGCTGGCTCTTCGTCAACCCCAGGTTCTGTATTTTCGTCGCGAGCTGCGACGCCCATGTCTGAGGCTGAGGCAAGCGGTAAAGAATCAGCTGCAGACAACGATGACGATGATGGCGAGAAGCATGCTCAAGTTGATCTATCTGATCTCACTGAAGAAGAAAAGGCTGAGAACGCCGTATTGTTCCATACCGAACAAGCCCTCTGCAAGCACCAGGTCGATAAGGAATGGGCGAACTACGCACGAGGTCGTCTGTGGATTTTGAAGAATAACAAAACTGGCAAAGCAATTGTACGCATGCGACTCAGCAGCGGAAACACTATGCTTAATTATAACATCTTCCCTAAGCTCAAAACTAGTATCACTGGCAAAACCAAGAAGATGGTCACAGCGATCGGCACGAAGAAAGACGGCAAGACAGGCAACCTTATTTTCGCTGTTAAGAACGAAGATATCGCCGCCGAATTCTCCAACGTTTACAATGAAAACACAGTTTGAACCAAATGTGTTATGATTCGTGGGAGATGACGGCCATCTTGTCTCACCTGATTGGCATGCCCATAAAAGCAGCTTTCCTAGCTCAGCCTCTGTCATGGGACTACACCGTCAAACACTCGGCCCCTTCGTTTTGGCAACCTATTGCGACCCGATCATTCCATGCTGCATAGCCCCCATTCTGTTCTTCTTTTTACAAAAGCAATATTTCACCTGGCAGTCTGTTCTCCTCCCCCTCCAGCTTCACCTACGAGGGAGTCTCATCAGCATGACTAGCCTGATCCTCTTTTTTTTTTCAAGTCTCTTTGCATTGCACGGTGTTATGATCACAGGAAATGGGAACGGGCAAATACCATACAGTGGAGTGTTTTTTTGCCGCCTTTTTCTTTTCTTTCCCCTTCCCTACCCCTACCTGCGTTTGGTTCCGTCATACCACACTCCCCATAACCGAATTTGCGTCTCTTTTTTTTTTTTACTTTTTACTTGATGGACATGAAGAGCAAGGAAGCGGGATTTTGTATTCCGACGCGGATGTGAACGTGGGAAAATGAAAGTTTATCTTTTTTCTTCGCCAGACTTGTCCGCTTTCTTTTACCAGGAAAGGTTTGGTAGATAAGCGCGGTTGTGATATCAATGACTGTTGGTGGATGGGGTTGATTGACGAGCGGTGATAACAACTTGTAACATAGTAAAATCTCAATTGCATGGCATCTTTGGCACAGGAAATTATTTGCTTGCATATGAGAAGTCGATTCGTCTTTGAACAATCTGATGGTCGGTTATCTGAGGAAGATCTCACACTACGCGATGATTTCCAACAACCCGTGTTTCAACAACTACATTACCTTCTCGTACGGAAGAGAAACAACAATGTTTGGTCCCAGACACTCTAAGCAACGAATACGTGCTTTCCCAAATTCCCTCCCCGTCATTATTACAAACTCATCATCATCTACAGAAAATCTGCACCTCGCCCAGACTTCTTACTTTCCCCTCCACCACCTTCTCGGGCAACCCCAACTCAGTACAGATCTCATCAAAGCAATGCATACCGTCCAAAAACTTAACCAAAGGCAACCCCTGCTCCCGGTCCGAATTAACCAACCGATGCAACCTTGCCGCATCATCCCCTCCAACACGACCACCACGTTCCGCACTCGAAGCGCCGGGCGTCGCCGCCGTCGCCGTCGCAGCAGCAGCAGCGGTAGCCCCGATGAGCGTCGACGCGATACTAGGACGCAGTGCTGCAGCTGCGCCTTGTGCAATGGGGTCTTTGGAGTTGGAGTAGCCTGCTAAGACAGGGCTGTGGACTGTGGATGTGTCGCCAGCGGACTGGAGCGAGGTGGGTGGGGCTGGGGGGAGAGGGATTGATGATGCCACAGCGTATTTGTGGACGCGGTAGAGAAAGCCTTTTATAATGCCGAAAGTGATGAGGCGCCGGACGTCGATGCCTGCAAGGAGTGCCATGTTTTCCAACACCCAATTGCGCAAAGTGAGACCTTGGCGCAGCGAGGTGTAGAGAGTGATGAGTGTCGAGTGGGGAATGAGGGGGACTTCGTCGTTGGAGGTATTTTGGAGGTCGGGTGAAGAGGATGAAGGGTCACGAGGCGTGGAAGAGTGTGAGGTGAAGGAGGTTTGACTGTGCTGTGAGGTTATTGAGGAGGTCGACGAGCGTTCATCTCGCGAGCGAATAGAGTCGGAACCCCCCTTCATTCCACTACTTCCGGGACCATTGGATGCCGGGTACGCATGTGGCATGCATACGTATCGCCCACACTCTTCTCCTACCGTTTCGTCGATGATGAATCCCCCAATTTCGGCGGTTGGGGCATACACAGCGTTGAAGCTAAAGACATCGAGGAGAACAAGGCAACCGTAATAAACCAAATGTTGAATCGCCTTTCTAGTTAGCGAAAGGTCGGTGTCGGCCAGCTGGGCAATGTGCGACACGGAGTTGACACCGTTGATGTGGGGAAGAATGCGGGCGAGTGTTAGGTCCGAGGACAGAGGGCGCGATAAAGTGGAGAGGGACATGGTGAGCAGAGGGACGGTATGGACGTAGATTGGAGGAGGAGGAGCACGAGTGGGGAATAGCTTTAGGTTGATGGTATTGGAGTCATCTTATTAAGATCAGCAGTAGTTCGTGGGTAAGGAAGCAAAGAGCAGATAGGACGTACCAATGGGTATCATACACTCGGCGTAGTTATTCAAGTCCTCCAGCACCATTTCGCATAGCGCGTAAACTTTGCTTCCTCCTCCCGAGCCATACATCCAAGTACTATATGCTTCGGAACTTGGATACATTCCATACGGGCCATCGTCTTCCCAGACCCCCATCAAGTCTTCCTCGCTGCTCAAAAATCCACCTTGTTCCTCCAGTCCCCTCAGCAATCGTCCCAGCTTTCTGGCCACCTCGCCATATGCTACCCAGTCTGCCAAGTCTTCCTCAACGACCAGCGCAAAGTTGAAGATGAATTCATTGCGGTTGTACTTGTTGTTCTCGCGAATGCACACTGGGTAGCTGACGACGCGATAGTGGTTGGTGCAAAAGGTGAGGAGACGGTCGCAAAATTGTTGGTTGGGTATCAGATATGAGGTTATCGAGGAGAATGTGAACAGCGGGTTGCGAAGGGCAGATGGGGAGGTCGACGAGGTTATGCTGCCTTCGGGAACTTGGTGTAGGACGCGAGAGCCTGGTTGCTTGTTAGATGACGGAGAATTTGATACAGGGCACTACACAGCTACCTTTCTCGTGATGGAAGCGAGTGAAGAATATAGATTTTATGGCGCGCGTAGGCATTGAGGGGAGCGAAGGGGAATTGGTGGCTGCATGGTGTCAACAGTGACGGAGTGGTTTGGACGATGACCAGTGTGGGGTAGCTTCGTTCAAAGCGCACTCGGCTCATTACTTCGATCCAGCTACCCAGCAGGTGGTCCGTGCGAACAATAAGTGCAACGGGTTTCCCAAGGTGTTATATAAATACATGTGTAATGCTGCAAAACTTTCCACCTGTCTATTATACCCGCATCGTAAATCGTCCGGCGCATCTATAAATCGCAAATCATCGACCGTCTCTCCCCTATTTGAGGCAGTCTTCGACGTGTGCAAAGCGTAGTTCTGCCATCGTCTCATCCCACAATCGGTCAACCGATTTCTTCCCCTCTGGTGTATACATCAAGCCGTGGAATCTGTGCTAGTGAGCGACGCAATCCTGACCATTTATGCAATTGGTAGACTTACGGTTTGATCTGCCAGTCTGAGAGGAAGCATCCGTGGCTCTCTTGCCCTTTTCCGACTGCAGCATCGATATACGTCCATGCACCTTGTTCCAGAGGCCTTGCGATGGCCATCTTCGCGGCGCCGAAAATCGCTTTCAAGGGCCCGCTTAGACTCTGCAATCACGAGTATAGAATTAGCATAACTCGTCCTTGGACATTTTAATGGGCCGTCAGTCGATCAACCGCTGCAAGACGTGCCATCTCGGCGTGCATCGACTTTGTACCCTGGGTATACGTACGCGGTGCAAATCAGTTCCTGCGCAGAATCCAGGGTCGACAGCATTGACGATAACCTTTGAGGGCTGCACATGCTCGCTAAGCTTCAGCACGAACATGGTCTCGAGCGTCTTGGAGACATTGTATCGCTCAGTTGCTGCGCTCAGATTCCATCCTTTGCCATCATCGAATGAAGGAATCAACGGAACTGAGGTGTAATTTGGAAAATTGGAATGAATAGAGAGTCCAGAAGACACTATGGTGAGTCGACCAGGAAGATCCGAAGAGCTCTTGGTCTTGAGGCTAGGCAGGAGCAGAAGAGATAGGAATACTGTCGAGAGGTAATTGACTTGGAATACCGTCTCATGGCCGGTAGATTTGTTTATGACGAAATCTGGTGTCGTAAGCCCGGCATTGAGGATCGCAATATCAACTCGCGGTAGCTCGGTCGAGCAGCGCTGGGCAAAAGCCTGGATAGAGTCATATGACAACATATCCAGAGCCCAAACCTCGATCTTCACTTGCGGGAATGACCGCCGAAGGCCAGCTGCAGCAGTCTCACCCTTTTCGATGCTCCTCACGGCCATGATGAGATGAGACAGGTGCAGGTGAAGGAGCTGTTTACAGCATTCCAAGCCAATGCCGACGTTGCTTCCCGTGACGATGGCCGTTTGCTCATTGAGTGTGACATTGGAAGGAGGCGGTACAGGCTTCGCACACTTCGCATCTATGGTGGCTTTGAGGGCGCTCGGGTTTGTTGGTTTAAGATTTTTGGATGCCATTGCTTCGTGTCGATAATGATGGAGAATCAGATACTGATGATTTGTGTTTCAGAACCCCAAAAAAATGTAGAATTGTTCTATAGTCACCAGCGCTTGAGTGCAACCTATATAGTCTTCATCGGACGAAATTGCAGCACACAGCGGAGGCAGCTACCAGGTTCACGGCCTTAAAGAACCCCCCAAACGGGAAAGTCTATCGTCACTATCAGTGTTCAAGATGGTACTATTTCGGGCCAGTTCGGTCCAATTTCAACCCCGTTCATACTATATAGTACATGTATCCATGAATATGTAGTGCCTGACGACGTAAGCTAGCTTATCTCCGTGAATCAGCCAAGAGCGCCGGCGTGTCTTGGTACCTGCACTATCCTCAAATAGGGCAGCAATCTGGTCGTTCCCTTTCAGCCCTAGCATAGTCATGAATCCGTACAAATGGAGTCGCATAGGGCTGCCCGTCGTCCACATTGCTACCTGCTCTCGTCGCTAACCTGCAGACACATCTCAGCCGAAACCCGAGAGACCGGCAAAATCCTCTCCTCATCCTTGCTTGCAAATTCCGACAACAAGTGGTGGCCTGTTCCCACATGCCCAACTACACATTCATCGCTACAGACGAGCGCGGCGTGGTCAAGAAGGACGACAACAAGCTAATACGAAGCTCATGCATGCGCGGTAAAAACGAGCGTCACGATTCACGCCGTGTTAAACGACGCACAAAACGATATGCCTCACAATCCACCGAACCACAGACATCGGCCAATGGCACACAAGCAGAGGATCAAGACGGCTCTGTCGACGTGGTGGATATCCCAGCTACAAACACATTAGGCGCCATCCTGGCGGCCAGGGTGATTGGCACTCCTCTCACTGAAGCACATGTCTCCGATGCGTCACTATACAGCTTCATAAACAAGGTGGACCGTCCTTCGCGGGACATCATGTTCAAATGTAAATGGTTTCCTCGGTCAAATCCTCCAATCGTGCCCTGATGCTCATTGATCTTTGTGCAGATCTCACATTCAGTGTCTCCATCGATCTCCTGTATCCTGTGGGGAAATGTCTCAAATACCCACCCATTGATAATTTCATGGTACTGATGATGAAGAACCCGCCTCTCTTGGAGTTGACACTACTAATCACTCATTCTATCCACGATTTTGTACTACAGAGATCTCCTTCTGTTTTGACAATAACTCATCTACGCAAAACTCTCGCCCACCTTAATGCCTTGATTACTCAGCACCCAAGCGAAGAGAATATCTTTATCATTGTTTTCCTGGCTCTTGGCTTGGGTAACATGGCGGCCATGTTTGGCGATTACTCTGCCACTAGCGCCCATATACAGGGTTTGCAGCGGATCGCAACCATCAAGGGCGGCAAAGAGCACCTTGAAAGATTTCCAAAATTTAACTTCAAAATCAGTCGGTACGTCCTGTACCTCCCAAAACTACCCGCGAAGGCAACGATACCTATTTGTGACCCATCCGCACCCGTTAAGACCACCCCAGCTACCACCAACTAACAAACCACACACAGCCTCGATCTAGCATACAGTCTTTGCACAGGCAACAAACCCATCTGGACAGACCTCAATACCTCCGCCCAGCCATCCTCCTGGCAGCCATATTTCTCGGGCTCCCAACCCCTCCCACCACATCTCTACTCCGTCCTCGAAGACTCCTCCATCCCCCCTTTCGCAACCACAAACACCATTTTCCCAAAGTTCACAGTCGTCTACAATGACATGCGGTATTTCGTTAACCTCGTGAACGCAAACGTCGCAGGAGGAACGCACATGGACTCGGAGATGTTTCACCAGTCCATCTACTCAATTCAGGTCCGTCTCATCGAGCTCGACGGGAAGCTCACCGACCACATCGCCGAATGTGTGCGTTTAGGCATGCTGGCACTGCTTACCACTACCTTCCGTCTACCCGGCCCGAAGATGGGGTATACGTACCTCGAGAGGTGCTTAAAAGAGAAATTGGTCGACGTGTGGCCGGAGACGGAAAGTGCGAGGAAGATGATGTTTTGGGTGCTGATGATGAGCGTGATTGCGGTTTTCGAGGACAGCGAGGAGTGGATCGGGGATATCTGGAGGAGGGTTAGAGGGGAGGAGAGACGGTGGGAGAGTGTTAGAGGGGAGCTGAGGAGTGCGCTTTGGATAGGTTTTATTCATGATGAGCCGGGACAGGCGGTGTTTGGAAAGTTGGAGAGTAGATGGGGAGGCTTGCGGGGCACAGTATCATAGACTTGAGGATATAAGGTATTTGTGGTAAGGCATCGATCCTCAAACTTATGGGCAGGTGGGGAATGTCACAATTATTTGAATTTTGATTAGCAACATATAGAATGTCAAGTTCGTCAGGAAATCATATTTAGTAAAAGTGTGGGACATGCTCCTCACCCACATATACATAACTTCACACATAGAGGGAAGGAGAGAGTAGTAGAACACGACAGGCGAGAGAAGAGATTTCAGTGAGAGTCCCCATTGAAATGTCACGCTCACGTGACGCCTCACCCGCGCATGATCAGTTGGTGTCAAAAGCCTCCCCTCCCTATAATCAGTTCATGACTTCTCACGTACGCCGTATCGAATATTTGATACTCATGAATAGTCGCCTATCATCTTTATTTCCTATCATTTATAAAGAGTCTGAGGCCAGGGTGATTGATGAGATCTCGTCTGACATCATCAATCTTAAAATAAGTGTTTTTGAGTTGGGGGTAAGGTAGTTCGTACACAAAGCAATCTTCACAGCGGGGAGAAAAAAAAATCAAAACAAAACAGGCGATAACGAAGAGACAAAATCATTGTTGCCTAGAACAGTAATACTATGGAGCATGAAAGGTACTCGTGGTTTTGACTTCATGTGCTTCCTAACCCTTTGCTCCCCTGGGAGCTTGACGCCAAATCATCATTCTTTGCAAGAACAGACTATACTACGAATGGATAGCCTGCATATTCCCATGGAAGAAAAAGCAAGTTTGCTGTACCCCATCTACCCGCATCAAAATATGATCTAGGGCAAAAAGTCCGGGGACCGGAATGTAAGCCCATACTCCAAACCCCAAACCTCGACCAAGAAAGATGAGAAAAAGAGGACAAGACACCCGCATAACTTCACAGCCGCGAGTAGCGAATTCTCATGACGTCCATGAAGTACTGCCCATCCTGAAGACTGCAGACGAAAACAATCGAGACAAGTAGTTCCCGGTCACCCCACGGCATGTTCAATTCGCGTTCCGGCCTCTCTCCTCTTCCGAGAAATGCATTCGATTGGTGGGGAATAGCCGGCCGAAAGCAATAGTAATAAAAAGCAAAAGGAAACCCGCACTTTGAAAAGTCAAATCCTGCTCTTCTTCCCCTAGCCGAGAACGACAAGTACTGGTACCAGTTCTTACCTATGTGGAGTAATAAAAAAAAGAAGAAAAAAAGGAAAGCAGGGACAGCGCATTGGTGATGATGACAGATCAGACATGGGTGGTGAATGCATCCTGCAGACGATCTGCTATCACGTTGTACAAATACGATGTTAGGTGAGTGTGCTTGAGGAGGTAAGGGGAATTGTTCGTCTTGTTTCTTTTCCGTCTGACGTAACGTGGGATGGATGTCATCTCAGGGCGCAGAAACCAGATGCATCTGTTGACGATTATTTGGGAGTAAATTGAAGAGGTTCATGGCGACCTCTCGTCATCGCCGTCTTTGTCTTGTCGTTACGTACACATAGATGCAACGTAATATCGATTTTATGGCGCTGGGGTCTGGGGATAGAAGAAAGAATTTGTCTCCACGGAGGCTAGGATTAAGTGCATTGCCTTTTTGTTTTCCTTTGCCAGATTCCGGGGAAATACGATGCAGCCTTTCAAGGAAGCGAATTGGCTCGGCATTCTAACCGCACGTCGAAGCAGACAGACAAGCAGGCTTGTTTATCGAACTCTTCGGCATTTTATGCCGACATGCATTTGGGAGCGCGCCTCGGAGCATGGAACCATGCAGTCTCTTGTATGCGCGAGAATGCAATGCCGCTTTTCTCCTGTCTTTTCTGCTCGGTATGACCCGGGCTCAGGCTGACCATGTACGTGTTCTTCTTTATCGTCGTCGTACGAGATGTATGTGTTGTCACGGTGAATATAGGCGGAACCCCAGTTCCCAGGCAGGCGCGAGCTGGAATCTAGGCCTTTGCGACTAACTGGATGGATCCATGGAGAAGAGAAAGCAAATCCATGTAAGCGCTATGATGCCGAAGAATATCGGTAGGTAAGGAGATGGCAGATGGCAGACGATAGAGGCGATGTTTAGACTGAATCTGGTCCGCTTGTGACCCACATGGCCGGTGAATTAGCGTGGTAGTTTAAATTCAAGGTCGATCACCGGTGGGAGGACGCATAGATGGATTGATTGAGGGCTTGCTCATGTTGGCGCGCTTCCACGCCACGTACAAGCAAGTGCGTGATCATGTGTAGACGGCGAGACTTCGGGTCACGGAAGCGTGCAATCTGTCGAACGACAATCGTGTCCGCTCCCTAACGAAGACGATGACCAAATTTATCTGCTGGCTCATTGTGCACTTGAAACTGCAGCGCATGCGTGCAGGAAACGGACAGTGCACCCCTTGCCACATGAATCAGCGCCGTGTGATATCAAATCCCAAGGTGCTGTGATTCCGCGCCACCATTTTGTCGTTTTGTCGTATCCGGGTGCACAATCCAACGTTTACGCACAAGGGAGGGGTGATTCCCCAAAAACCGGCCGTGCATACGCATCTGTTCGCAAAAGCTTAGACACGGAACCCGTTTCCTTGGGAGGGGGTGGACCTGGCGGGTCTCGCGTAGGGTCGAGATGGATGGGGATTGCAATCCTTCGACTAGCTTGTCTCGGTATGAGATCCGCGGAGGAGGCATCAGAGCATGGCTGACTCGCCGGAGCGTAGGGGTGATGTGGATCAGGACAGTGGTTCGTTCAAGCAAAGCATGTGAAGCTGCGGCACAGCAGGCACACTTTGCGAATGAATGATGACACAAGAAAGATTGGCAATATGCAATGCGACTGATGCGGAACCCTGCGAAGGTAGCATTTGTCGATCGCCTAGTGTGGTAATATCATTTGCAAGCAGATGATGGTCATGGGCAAGCCCGCGCTTCGCACTCACCTCCTGCGCTATCTATGTTCTGGTGCAGGGTGCGAACATCGATCGATACATACACCGTCACCATGCACATGCAATCCGGGTCGCGCTAGCCTGTGTACATTTGCGAGCAGAGGGGGGTCATGCGTCTGGATGGTGAAGAGGGGTTACCACGGTCAACCGTCATGGTAGAAAGATTAAGTTTGACAATCAAAGTCCAGCAAAACAGCTTCACTGACTCGACGCGTGCACACGGCTACACATGTACATATGCATGCATGCATTGACGGCACGTATACACGTGGCCGGCGATTCGACACTACTACCTACGTAACTATGTAGCTAGGGCGTCCGCGCTGCCGCCGTCCCAACTCTGATCCGACTTCACAAGTTCGAAACTCGACATCGTAGGCCCTGACTTATTCTCCTGGGCTAAGGCTTGTGGCGCTCTCGTTTGACGACGGAGACAGCGACCTGGGCCTTCGTACGGCCACCCACAGTACACAGCCGTCAACAGGGGCATCTTCCTCGCATGGTGTCGACTCGTTGGTGCTTCCCGGGTCGATTCGCACGAGCTCCTGGCGTTCGAATCCAGCTTTGGCGGCGATAATCGCCCCCATGGGTGCGGCGGATATGCCCTTTGACGAGTCAGGTGGATTGCTTGATGATGATGATGATGCATGCCGCGCGTGAAGAGAGGTTGCATATTTACCACGGGCACCCCTTCCAAATCCGCGAGCTGTGTACACCAATGGACAAGTCTTTGAGCGTGTCCTCGGCCCCAGTACGCACTACGCCTATCCATCAGCTTTGACCTTCAGGGAGCGACATGTGTAATTGCCTACGGATGCACTGCAAGGGTGCTGAGTCTCATTTGACCCGCGAGATGCCTAGAACAGGGACAGTGAGCCTCGACTACTGCAACGACCATTGTCCAACGCGAAAGCAGCCATGTATGCAAGGTACGGTACACGCGGATTGTCCATGCTTCTTTACGTCTTGTGTTGTTGCCTGGAAACTGCATCTGTCCGTTTATTTTACATGTTTTTACCTTTGGTGGTTCCGTGTAACGGCTGCAGGGCGGATTCAACGAGTATGACAAAACACGCACTTTGCCTTTGCGGGGCCAGTCATGGCACTGTACAGCTGCGATGCCTTTGGGCAGACATCGCGATTCGGGCTTTGGACATGGCTGGATGCCGCGGATGCATCCAAAACGTCTTGGTTTGTGTCAGCCACGGACGCATTGGCGCCAGGTCAACATGACGGTGCTGACAAGCTTACTCTCAGGCTGGAAGCGACCGACGTAGCGCGACCCCACGATGGAGATGCTAGACACGCCCACAATAATTCGGCCACGGCTCAAGCTGGATGCAGGCTTGTACGTGACGGCACCTCGAAGAGCATCGTAGACATGGAGACCTTCGACGTCTTTGACAGTGTCTTCGGCGACGAGGACTACACATTCCGGGTCCACGATGCTATCTCTGTACTCGGCCTTGTAGGAGAGCAGCGTATCGTCTGGGTACTTTGCGTGGTATTTTCTCTGGAATTTAAACGTTGGGGAATGATAGAAGCCGGCCGCAGCGACCGTGGCAATGCGCTCGAGATCATGCACGGTAGCAAGGCGCACCATTTCGCAGAGAGGCAAGACAATATCTGAAGGCATGTTGGGAGTGGGAAAGGGCTAGCACAAGACGTGCACCCAGGCTCGCGGAGGGGGGGGAGAGCAAAGTGGCTGACTTTTAAAAAAAAAAGTAAGGGCAAGGAGATAGACGGTGTGCAACAATCTCGGGCTCATCAGGCAATATGTACCAATACGATTTCAGTTTGGTATAGGGCAGGCATTGGCACCGAGATGATTGTATTGGACCTCAGGCAGACGTGCGGATTAACATGGGCTTGTAGTACATTGTGGGTGTTGTTGGCGATGATGGAAATATTACAGAGGTCAATGTACAGAGAGGGGTCTCGGGAGGATGGGTGGGAGGATGGATGGATTGAATGGCGAAGTGATTAGTAAAGATTGATGTCGGGATGGGGAGCGGTGAGCGGTGAGGACAGGCCTGCGCGTCCTCTGTCTGCTAAGTAGGTATTTATATATAAATATATATATATATATATATATATATATATAATGTAATGTACATGTTGTGTGTCTGCGTGAGGAATGTTGCGTAAACGTGTGCAGTTGATGTACAATTACACGCGTAGCGTAGCGTAGCGTAGCGTAGTGTAGTCGTCGAAGGGTTCATAAGTGTACACAGGGACAGTGAGCGGGTGGACCATGGCAGAGTCAGTACCCCAGCCGGGTGGTGACATGGCTGGCCGGCCCACATGGGGCTGCCGGCCGCCCCAGTTTCCAGTTCCCCCCCCCCCCCCCCCCCCCCCTTCCGATGCCCCTGCCTCGCCTTGGCTACAAGAAAAAAAAAAAGAAAGGAAGAAAAGAAGGGGGCCGCCAGCCAGCCAGCGAGCACCGCCCACCCGCCGCCGCCTGCTGGTCGTGTTTCCCCGGCCGGCACTGAAGACTACTGATAGACTCGTCTACCCCATACGGCCCTGGCATGTCGGGTACATACCTGGTCGCTGGCTTACATGGTTGGTCCACCCGGGCCTGCCTACACTACTTAGTTAGTTCCTGTACTGTTTGTTCTGTTCTGTTGCTGGACGTTGCATTACGGCGCACACAAGCAGTCGTCCATTTCACATGGAATGCCTACATGGCGGTTGGTTGGCTGGGGCATGGATAGAAGGATGGATACATACATACATAACATACACACACATGATACATGGACAGTAGACCAGCAGCAAGCAAAGCAGAGCAAAGCAGAGCAAACCAAACGAGACCAGACCAGACCATCCCGCCCACTCGTCTCGCCTCGCCTCGTCTCACCCACCCCATCATCTATCGATGCGCATCCATCTCTTGTGCGTCGTCCAGCCTGCCACCTCCAACACTCAAACAACCCACCGTCCCCGCCTCCATCACGCCTGCGACCCAGTCTAAGCTGCCTGTTCCGCCCCCTTTCTGGGCCCTCAAGCCCTTCCAGCTGATGCTGCAATCCCCCATCGCCACCCACGTTGTACACAGAGCATCCGTACATACAAGCAACCAAGCAAGCAAACCTCCCAGTCAGGCGCCCGCGACCAGCCAGCCAGCATGGCTGCCAGCTCCCAGTACCACCGAGGCGCTCCCACTCCTCACGACCATCTGTACGCCAACCTGGCCACCTCATGGAACTCCCCCAATCTCTTCCCGCGCTCGCTGAATCGCCTTGCCTCGCCTGTCCAGCGCTCCTTCACCAACCCCTACTTTGACTATTCCGCTTCCTCGGGCCCGCCCGATTACCTCCAACACGACCACCCACCACCCCATCACCATCAACACCACCAGGACCACGCCCACCGTCATCACCAGCATCAGCAACAGCAACAGCAGAATCACCACCAGTCTCAACCCGCCTGGCCCACCGACTATTCCCGCCCGCAACCTACTCCTTCTTCCACTTGGAGCGAACCTTTGACCAACGAACCCTTCCCCCCGCGCCACCTCTCTTACGACGACTCCCAAGGTCGTCCCACCGACCATCGCCACGAGGATCCACTTTCCACCACAGTCAATGTAAGTTGTGGTGCTGCGAGCATCGCACATGCTGTAACAACACCTAACATCCTACTAGGACCTCGTCACTTCCCCAGATGCCCCGCTTTTCCCCCAACAAGCCACCTTGAATTCAGCTCCCGTTGCACGTCTGCTCAACTATCCAAACTCGGATTTGCAGCCTTCGCAACCACTCTCCCAGTCTGCCCTGGGTTGGGTGCCCGATGCCGTCTCCGACACCTCTCCCGCCGGCGCCCCGCATCTCCAACATCAGCACCACCACCACCATCATCCAAGTCATGATGCTAATTCACTATCGTCTGACGTCGTGCTTCCCCCTCACCCGGGCATCGAGGGCCAAACATGGGACATGCATGGTCCCGGACCCAACAACACCACCTCTCCCGTGTTTGACCACATTTCTGGGGTGGAACCTGCATGGCCCCACGCGGAACCCCAGCCTGAGCACCTGGAGTACATGGCCCAGCACCACCCCTCCATCTCTCACTCACACCAGAATTATCCCCCTTCCCGCGAGAACAGGTCGCGAGGGGCAGCCCCCAAGAAGACTCTCGCAAGAGTCCCCGCCGCCTTTGTCGAGCGGCAGGAGAAGAACAAGGTCTCAAAACGCAAAGGGCCGCTACCCGAAGCCAGTCGCCAAAAGACTCACCAGATGCGCAAAGAGAAGAGGACCTGCCTTCGATGCAGATTTTACAAGTCAGGGGTACGTCTTTTCAGAGTATATCCATCACCGCCGTAATGCATGTGGCTGACTGGAACAGTGTGATGGCGGCGACCCTTGCCTGAAATGCCTCAAAACCGAGGGCAATGCGAGGTCATTCAAACTCCCATGTATCAGAGAGCGCCTCGAAGATGCTAGTCTGGTGCGCCACTGTGAGTCGTACTTTTCCAGTCGGACAGACAGCTGTACTAATCCATACAGGCAATGGCCGTTCGAACCAGGACGAGGGCGAGTTTCTAGTCTACGACTGGCTTTCGGAATGTCAGCTGTATGACATGGAAATTCTCTGGAACCTCCCAGGATATGGCCCCATCTCCACCAGCCAGCCTATGCGCATTACCTTTCGCCAGTATCAACCCCACCGGGCTCTTCTCGACCCTACTACCAATGTGTGGAGTAACACAGATGGCCAGATCAAAGTGATTGAGCAGCCGCCGTACGCTGTTTATGATACGGCAAGCCTCATCCCGCTCTTCGAGAGATACTTCTCCCAGCTACAGCCTGCCATCGAGAACTGGATCTTCGACCGTGTCCGACACGACGAAATTGCGTTGCTCACATACAACGAAGTAATGAGAGTACGCGCCAAACAGTCTTCAGAGACACGCGGCTTGCTTGACCTCGTTATGCGTATTCAGTGTCTCTCCGTCGTTTCGCAAGGGTACGGTACCGTGTGGTCAAACAACATCCCCGGCATCCAAGAGGTGGATTTTGGGAAGCTGGGCCGCAGCTCATATGAAGCTTATGATCGCAGGTCGCGCGATCGTCCGCTTCCCGGTGCCATCAACCACCAAATGGATGTTGCTGCTCTCAAGTACCTCAAGAAACTGGAACGACTTTGTGTCAAGGAGCTTTCGGCTCAGATGTTCAAGTCCAAGATCAAGCCTTGGTACGAACTGTTCCTGGCTCTGTACGTTTTGTTCTGGAATATGGAGTACATCCACCGCGGTGCGAACAGATACATCATCTCCAAGAATGGCACAGTGAGTAATCCATCTTCTCGGGCCCGGGAATAAGAGGGAATAACGGGCATCTAACGGTGTTTAGGCTATCCAAACCCACGTCAGCAGCGTCGTGAGCACGCAAATCAAAAAGTGGGACTGGGCGTTCCAGGTCCTTATCCACCACTGGATTGCGGTGCTCCGAGGGTACATGCCTTTCAAGCTTGCCCGCGAAAATCCCGAAGAGCTGCGTGAGAAGGGCCACCTCGACGCCGAAGGATTCGAATACGTTATGAAAGTGGCCAGCATCTTTGATCAGATTGGTTTCGGTTAGTATACTCATGGGCCCATGATACATCATACGATATACTTGTCTCTGATCTTCTCGCTAATCATTTTTATAGGTCAATCCACGTCTCCCTTTGTGGGACAGCCCGTCACTTACGATTCGCTCTCGAGCGAATGGATCAAGACGCTCTTCAAGGAAGCTGGCGCTTAGGTCTTTTTTGCTTTGCTTGTTTTGGGATCTTGATTTCTACCCGAATGTTTGTCCTCTATTCTCTATATACTTGCTACATTTGTTACATACCCCTTCAGCGATTTCGTTCTTGTTGGTCAAAAGCGTGGGAGGAAATTTGTCTTTTTTTTTTTTTGTCTTGTTCGAGTCAATCGTTGCCTGCAACCACAACTGGCAACCTTTCTTTTCATTATAGCTGCTCAGTTCCCATATATCTCGCTCTAATTTGGTCTATTTGGTATAGCAAAGTGGTTGCATTAAGGCCTACAATCTAAACTAACGTGACAAAACACTGCCTCTGCACCCAAGAAGTTATCAAAAATTATAAACGAAGGACAAATTGTACATCGCATGATATTCCCGCAACCTAACGCCATTGAACAGAGGAAAAGCAGAGCCCTAGATAAAAGACCAGAATGAGGACCAGAATTATCCGCCCACGCTCGAATTTCATGATAAGACGGGACTACCAATGACATCGCGAACGCACACGTCTCACCTTTTCCCTCGCCGACTCTTCAACCATGGCTCTCGCGGCCAGAAATCCTGCGCCATGGGTCCAAGTCGAGAATGGGAATATGCTGCTCACGCCCGGGGGTAAAAGGATCATCGAAGTTTGTCTTGCACGACGCCGGCTTGTCCCAAGCGAGGGCAGGATCTCGGAGGAACATGCGAAGCAGATGGCGTGAGCTGCGCTCAGTTGCAGAGCCATAGGCGGAGCGAGCGTGAAGGATGCTCAGGTTGTTGACAAACTGAACGTCGCCTTTGCGGCGCTGGAGCTTGGTGGCAAATCGCTTGGCGAGCGCCTCGACGGCGGCAAGAGCGTGTAGCTGCTGGACGGTCAGGTCAGGCATCCTAGGGTCGCGCTGGATCCGAGGGCTCCCGAGGAGCGGGGCTTTGACCAGCTGGCAGATAGGCTTGCTGCTGCTGTCTACCCCGCTGCGACGCGGGGAGAAGAAGAGTGTTGGACCGAGCTCGAGGTATGGGTCGCGATCCCTGGAAGTCAAACGTCAGTCAATATACACGATTAGCTTATATCCCCCAAGTGAAAGAGAATGCCATCGGTCTTCTATCCTGTCCACAGGCTTTTCGCAAGGTCTAAGAGTAACCTCGCACAGGTTAAGAAAAACAGGGAATTTACGAATTTAAAGCATCCGTGTTGACTTACTTTTGCTTCAATTCAAACGGCCAATTCGGTTCGGCCATGGTTTCAAGGACTTGAGGGTCCGTCTCTAACAGCTCGTTGTAGATTTTCCAAAACGAGGTGAAGTATTGCTCGCCGCCGCAATCAACGCCGCCGTCGTCACGGACATGTAGGGCCAGAATGTCACCCGAGAAGCGGTCACTGTGGAAGTCCATGGCAGATGTGATCTTGGACCCGGCGAGTCCAATGTCCTTTGCCCAATGTGGCACGGTATCATGAGTAGCATCGCGAACGTGGCCTAGGAGGTGAATCCGTTAGTCTTGAACAGAAATCCGAGGGTGCGGAATTCAACAGGTGCGGAAACTCACTTAGTGTTTGGTTGGCGTAGGAATCTGTGGCTCGGAGAGCAGCAACATATGAACATATGCCGGCAAATGCAATAACGGCTTCCTCGTCATTGAATCGCGCGTCGTCCAGACCACGGAGAACGGAGATACCACGGCCATCATGGAGTTCGGCGCTGATAGCTGATAGTTTGGAGGCCAGACCATCGTCGAGTGGGAAAGTGGTTTTGCTGATGGCACTTCGTGGGAGTCCCGTCACTAAAAGCAGTGTCAGTGGCTATGGCGATTGTGATGGTATGGTGAGCAGGCTGTCGGGGTGTTGCATGCGTCTTGGCCTCACTTTTCGGAAGGCGGTAGAGAGCCACTTGCCGTAAGTAGCAAGCAAATCAGGCAGGAGAGCTTTTGGGGGAGGGAGGGGGGAGGGGAAGTCGGAATGGAAAATAGCACTCACATTTGAAGTAGATGACTGCAGCACGGATATTTTGGATCTCGGAAGGATGCAGGTGGATAATGTATTTGGCTGGATCCAGCTCATCGCCTTCCCAGACCATTGGACCGGTGACTGCGGGAGCGAGTGTGTCCGGAACGGTATGAGTAGTAGCATTGCTCTGTAAGCTCTCCACGGAGGACCTCGTACTCAGAATTGACTTCGGCATGGTGTGTCCGTATCCTGTATTGCTGATATATGGTCGAGTTAAGTCGGATATCTGTGAGGCGAAGGATGGTTGTGAGTATATATGTTTGTGAGTATATGCGTATGCAACTCGTCAGAACAGTTTATTGTATGTTGCTAGAAGATGAGTAGTAGAATGAGAAGGGAGAAAGGTAAAAGAAAACAAAAAGGTTTTTGTGTTGAGGAGGTTGACCTGGTCGGAAGGCCTGTGGGCGCGGCTTATATAGATAGACCCTAGAAGCCCCATTGAATTATTCCCAGCAATACTCAGCAACCGGGACTTCACCCTTGGGGCGCGTCAACTCGTCGTTTTCAGATCTGAGCTGACGCAACGTCCAACAAGGCCTGATTGAGCCGCAGACCCATATCTAACAGTTTCCACGAGACGCGACCCGGCACATAGCGACCAGGGGGTGGTTCTGTCTGTGAGTCGGGATTGTACCACTGCTGGGATTCCATTGTCGTATTCAATCAAAAAAATTGGGGAATTTCGGGAAATCTATCCCAGCAGTGTTATTCGCCGGAGCCGGTTTGGTGAATGCCATCTTCACCAACGAAAACTGCTTGCCAGGATAGAATGTGTCTCGCGGTCGGGGCCAGCGTCTCTCCCAGCACCTGCGTGGCCCTGCGAGGGGCTGTCTTCTTTCGATAGGTTCGCCACACTGATTAGGCGCGAATAGGTTACCGTCAAACAACGTTGACTGTGCCGTTAAACCCAACTAGTCGGGGCGCTTTACCGTGCGAAAAGAAGCAGCATGAGTTTTGTGGGCAGGGTTGGAGTCAATTACTTGGGGAGATCCCGCAGCTACGCAGATCCCCGGTCATCCCCAGAACTATAATGGTGGGTGGGAAGTGGTAGATTGCTTCGTTACGACTTGGCCGGTTGGATTGTGTGCCTGACTCAACTTTCATGACCATCTGAACGACCTTGCATGAGACTCGCGACTATGCTAGCGATGCACCGACAGCCTACACGCATGAAATATGATTCCTTAGGGTGCGTACTAGGCTCGGATCTTCATCAGCCCTACGACTGAATTGCAGCGTGAAGACCGTTTGTCTCTCATACCAAGTGGGTACACTGCCCACAGTCTTACCCAAGTAGCAGCCCCGCAGCATAAGCTCTGCAGATACTTGCAGCAGACCGAGTCACTCACCGCGAGCAGTTTATATTAGGGGGTGGTCAGATCATCTGCAATGGTTGAAAGGAAGATGAGGAGGCGGTGGGAAACACTCGGGGCCAGTATCAAGTCGTCCTTCCACTTCCCTGCACTTGCAGCGGCCTGCAGCTACTTGCAGTGAACCTCAAATCGGTACTTTGGCTGCTCACTGAATCCCACGTGGGGTCCCGGCTCTATATCAACGGTAGAGTCCACTTGTCGAGTCAGCGGTCGAAACTTATATCAGTGTTGAACCTGCTAAAATTATTCCGGTGAAAGAAGGTTTTACAAGAGACTGGGGAAGGTATGGGTGCAGTAGAAAATGCAGCAATCATCGACACCCACGTACTTCCAACGCTACCCGGACTCTGAGCATAGCATCACACCTTATTCGCATAGCTTGGACGTGGGAACTCTGGCCCGGAAAATGAGGCGAATGCTCGTCGAGGAACACGTACGGTAGCAGTGAGACCGGCCTATCCTGCTGCTTACTGAACATGCTTACTGCGTGAGTTAGCCCAAATAGTTTCCATGACGCGGTCTTAATTCTTCAATTCCAGCAAGGAAGAAGGTCATGAGGGAGGGATGCTGCAGTCGGTGGAAACAAGCCCCCCGGAACCACAGCATCAACGTGGCTCTAGCGCACTCTGGTTGCGCAATTGCAGGCGAAGCGATGTCATGCAGGCTTCTGTCCAAGTGTCTTGTCGACGCCCGGTATCTTGAGCCGCTACGGAATGTCTTTTGTTGAAGAAGTATTCTATTCCTTGTGGCGTTAGATATACGCCTGTCCTGGAATTAAGGTTCTGACGAGTATTGACAGAATGTACCCCAAAACATTCCAAATCGCACACACCCCCAGGCCGGGTACTGATGGTACGGGACGCACCGGTGCGTCCTTCATCAGCGGGTGGAAGAGGGGCGGGGAGGGTTTTCTGAGTATTGTCATCCAGCGTCCTGAGACGGACAGGGGTGTACTGCAATGATCATGCAGCCCAGCGGTCTTTGCCCGATGCAGATGGGTGAGTACATCAAGAGGGGACACCACATGGTTTTGCAAACATGTGGTCACATGTCTTCTTTTTGCTGACCTCGAAAATGAATCGCCGTTAGAATATCGCGATGCCCTGCAGCAGCACAGTGCAGATCCCCAAGGGTTGACGAGTTGCATGGGTGGTGACAGTCGCCCATGCATCTGAATATGCAAAGTGCGATATCCAGCCTTGAATTTTCGAGAAGCTGCCAATACGAACCCCTCTACCTGAGGCAAGCCTCTTGTAGGCCATCTCCCTTCCCCGCTCGAGTGCGATAGAGCTTGTCCGCGATCGTGGACGCTCGGGACAATCGGGGGCCTGAAAAGGGAAAAATTGGGCGAAGCGAAGTGCCCACCAATCTCGCTGATAGCTTATCGACAGCACATGTCGATGCCTACGCCTAGGCAATAGGCGGGAGTCGTGAGGATCGCTTACCTACCGGATCAGGGTGGCAGGCTAGCTGGCTGATATAGAGGCAGATAGATGATAATGCCCGCCCGCTCGTTTTACCGAGCTCGATCCGACCACTCGAAATGGAACGACATGGCTGCATCTATGCGCCTAGACTCTGGACAGAGCTGAAGGGGTCGCCGTCTTTCCAACCCGAACCTTGTTTGTCAATACGAGCGAGGTGGCTGTGTGGAGTCGGAATTTCTGCCCGCACGCATGCCAATCAACTCTCTCCTTTGCGTATACATATGGGGGAGTGGTTTGGTACAGCTCAACAGAGATTGAAAGTGTTGGTCATGGAATGCGCGCCCCACCATGCAACGAGAAGCATCGAAAACTTGGAGTGGAGACAGCATTGGAAAGCGGCGGACTCGACGTTTACGGCTTAGTCATACACACACACGTGATGCTTCGGTAGAACCGGGGGCCGTCACGCTCACCATGTCCATACATACATATGTATGTATGTATGTATGTATGTATGTATGTATGTATGTATGTATGTATGTATGTATGTATGTATGTATGTATGTATGTAGGTATACGTATATGTACATATGTACATGTAGCTTTGTAGCCCGGGTCCGCACTGACGTCTTGTCCCGCGGCTGATGTTGCCGTCAAGGCGCGTTTACCGCTTCTGAGCATTCGTTTTCGGATTCTCGCATTCCAGCTCGAGGACCAGCCTGGTGTGGAAGCGGGCCCGGCGTTGGCTAGCTACATACATAGCTACACATGTAGACACTGGTCCGTTTGCAGATCGAACAGACAGTACACATAATTCTCCCGTGGTGGGAATTTACGTAACTGGACTCGCATTCTACACTCACCGCCCATGTGAGAATCGCTGAAGCATCGCACATGAAGGAAATACTTGGACACCAGGGTCGTGTTTGACCGGTTCAAGGTATGAGGCTTACCACGCGCTTCTTATGCATATCCTGATCGGTGTAATGGACTTTATTACGACCAGCCTCTGAAGCTTACCGCAACTTCTCCGCATGTTGGCGTGAGACTAGCAATCAACTCCACTTCCCCATGGCAAGTTTTCTTGCCTTTAAACATACCAGCATACATGTGTATGTATCTATCTATCTATCTATACGACCCGTGTCCATGTCTTTCCACGCTAATGTCGAATCAGGATAGAAGTGTGTGGTGGCTCGGCATACCATGCATGCCATGATAAGTGGCCGTTGGACTGACCACCACCATTTCGGCGTCATTTGCCAGCGTTTGCCTTGCGGTATAGTGCTAGTGCTATCATCCGTCACCGCAACTTTCTCACGGAAAAATCAACAGGAAAGATCAGAAGACACATTGTTCCATCATGCCAAATGGCTCGCCATGCAGGTTTCGTAATATCATCCAAAGGGATCGTGGTTTTTGCCACATTGGCACCTCAGCCCTACAGCATACGCGATGGAGTAGTGCCGAGAATTTCACCGTCAAGCGCTCAAAGCGCCAGGCTGTAGAGGGCGTTACCCTACACACTCTACCTTCTGCCACTGCTGCCTTGGATCACCAAGACCTTGCTCCCAGGCGGTGTAAAAATATCACCCCCACCCTCCTGTCTCCACAAGGATGTGCCAAGCGAACCTTAGATTGTCCATAGCTCTACATCAGACCACTTGGAGGCAATTGGACATGAATCGATCGCTTACTCTGCGGATTCCGGAGCCTAGATCGCATGACAAACTTGTCTAGCCATGGATGATGAATGAGCATCGGGATCATCTGTGTTGGGCTCCGTTTTGAATGCTCGAGCAAGGAGCGGTGACATATCAGGTTGTCTAAGCAGAGATTCAACCGTGATCAAGCAGGACAGCATGGAGAGTCGAATGCGACGAGAAGCCTGCTCAGTATCGTGTATTCGTACGTGCCACGTGTATTGACGTAGACGTGTGCCCAAATCACTGACAACAAGGAATATTACTATACGTTTTGGATAGTGCCAATCTTATGAATAGTGGATATGAGAGCACATCCATAAGCCAGCCTCTGCTAGTCAGTCAAATTCCACAATGCGGGCCATGGTCAAACGTGGCACCGAGTACAAATACTAGTATGATCTTGTACGGTTTCTCCGCCCGTATACAACAGAGCTCGACTGGAACTTCATCCAGCCTTATGTTGCATCATTCCACCATCGCTCTAGCAGGCCGAGGAAGGGCTCTCTCGTTGTCATCCTACTCGTCAACGCACCTGATCTATCAATATGCACTCTTGGATTCTCATCAGCCCACTGGGAGTCACAGCGGAATTGAGAGTCTGCTGCTCACTCAATAGCCATGGAACATTGCTGACATTCCTGCTACAAAGTCGATGCCCAACAAGGCTCCATACCAGCTGATGGAGTCTAGTCTAATGCGCGTTTATTCGTTGCCGTTGCCGTCGCCCTCTCCACCTCCACGCCCACCCACGCCCAGGCTCATCCACATGCCACTCCACGACGTCTCCTCTTTCGGGACACGGATATTGACACATAACCTCGCGGGCCGATCCGATTCACGCAGGTTTTCTCGGGATTGGCGCATCACGGCCACATGGGATTGCTTGCGCGCGGGTATCTGCCCCCCCTCCCCCCTCCTAGCGATCCTTCTCATCATGGCCCAACTCATACGATGATGGGGAATGGGAGGCGATGCCATATGATAGGCTGGGGCCTGCACCGCAGCTGCAGCAGGGACCTTGTGTGCAGGACATGGTATTCCTTGTTTATGGGGGGTGGTGATACAATCCAAGTGTAATCCACCCCTGGACCTGGAGCTACCCGCTGAGTGGGCATCGTACCTGCACCAGAGATTTTCCCGGGCAACCTACTCATCGGGTTTCGGCTTGTTTGTTCAGGTTGTAGATCATCTTTCCACTCTTCTATACATTGGCGCGGCTACTGAAGCAGTGCTTGCGGTGGATCACCTCCGTGATCCTCTCCAGGGTTTATATGCTGATCGGCTTGGCAAAAAATGATGCTTCACTAACCTTGTGGGCACTTTGAACAGAGATGGTGGGACCCAAGGAACAATGACATATGTCCTTGGGAGGCTTTGATCACGCAAGTAGGAGAGTGATGCCCTCCTTTGTGTGTAGTGAGGTAGTGTTGCGCAAAACGTCTTTCACATCAAGAGAGCGCTAGGGTACTGACCTGGATCTCGTACGTGTAATCTGAGGACGGTAATTAACAAATTACGACCTAAATTCATTTACTGTTTCTGCCTTAGCGCGCGATGGCGTCGTGCTGTGCCGTTCTAGCCCCACATAAATGGATGATGCATCCATCTACTTAGGGCTTATCATGCCGGTCAACGACAATAACACCTAGTCACTTACCCGAGAGGAGAGTTTTGGCAGCGAGGGCAACCCGGTTATGGCAGGAGACTCGAGACGCTAGGCTCTAGGAAGAGTTCCAACGGCTTCCATATGTGGGCAAAAGATTGAGCTATCTACGAAACGTATTGTATGACAACTCTGAGAATGTCTCGGACCCAAAGTACATGTGGACGTTGGTACATACAGCCATCTCGCGGCGAAGTCACAGCCAGATATAGTGTTCGGATGCGACCCTAGATGTCCTGAAACAGTACATTGGTTACCTCTGTCTGAAACGGACTCACGGAATGTGGCTTTTCGTAATATATGGCCTTTTCAATTCAAAAGGAGTTGGAGGAGTTGTTTTGGTTAGTGTCCCGTGGTTTACGGTTGAAGCGGTTCAGGCCAGCAATGAAACAAAACTTATTTTTTCGTGAAACTAGCAATGAATAGCTATAATTGATTTCGTCAAAACATTCTTTTCAGATAGCTTCAGTAGTGATTCTGGTGAGAAATAGAGACTGGTCGAGAATGATCTTCCTCTCGTCATCGAAACCACACAAGACACTGCGCTATACACAGAAACAAATAATGCATAGGCAGCTGAATGCTGACTGAGGCTATTGCGATCAATAAAATCCAACACAGATATCCCGCTCACAGCTCCTTTACACTGCTATCTGGGTAAGCAGATAGCCTAGCTGTACCCTTTGGGTGATTTCACATTGTGCTACTCGCTAAAAGACCAGATGAGTCGAGGAGTGTAGTGAAGACAGCCAATAGCTTCATATGGAACATAGGACTATGAGGTAGGCCTTTCGATGATCCAAACGCAAAAATATGGATAACATGAGAACAAGTACAATCGGTAGATAGAGAATGGCTACTACCCAGAAATCATCCTCATCCGTAGGCAAAGAAATCCTAGACGGAGAATTTCTGCTCTTCGCCAGCTGATGCAGTTGAGAATTCCTGAACGCTCCAAGACATTGTTTAACGCTGAGCGCTCTCTTATTGTGAGCCGCAACATCATGCATGGATGTTGCGATCAATCCAAAACTAGCCTTAGATTTCTGTCGATGCATGGTGCCTAACCGCTCTCGGTTCATTCACGCCCTTCATCTATTACCCCGCTGTGTAAGTTTGAGAGATGTTGTAAAGATTATAGCCGATCTCAATAGATGATGATAACTTACTGATTGCGGTACTTCTACTCCACCGTCTCTCGATCCAACCTTCGCAGGATTTGCACCTTTCCCGGCTCTCGCTTTCGTGTTAGTGCCCGAAATTCAGCTTGTCCATCATCTAGTGCACTAGCAATCTTCTGGCCTTGGACAACAGGTGCCGCATTCACCGCGAACGGAAGCAGCCCACGTTGAGTATTGGGACTAGGAGAATGCCGCTCGATATCAGTGTGGAGCCCGGTCATGCATGAGTCTCTGAATAGTCGCTCGTCTCGCCTACGAAACAAAGGTACACGTGATTGCGCCCAGAGTGGGTCCTTTTCCGCTGGATGTACTTGCTTAGATTTGGCTAATTGACTGGCAGGGATCAAAGTTGAAGACGAAGGCGAAGCAGGTGAGGATGTTGGTAGCAGTGGCATCAAGGTGCCAAGTAGTTGATCCGTCGGGGTGACTGTGGCACGTATTAGCAAAGGCCATTGTCCTCGGAGTTTACCATTGGGGAGCAGACCCTGCACAACATGTTCCTGGCGTATCTCGAACTCGCTCAAGGGCTTTTCGCCCTGGTCGGTAACGGCTGTGATTAGACCTTTCAGTTCAAGGTCGATTACTCTGTAGACCCTGCCTGAAAGGCCAGCCTGAACGCACTTGGCTAGTTGTTCTTCCAGTACGGCGGCGGCAGCATTCTGGGCTGCTTGCAAAGACGAGTATATGCCAATGATGGTGGAACGGACTAATTCGGCTTGATAGTGGTGAAAGACAAGGAATCTGGCTTGAGGTTGGGGCGAGTGGGATGAAGATGTGGGACTTGCGGGAGACATTTGAGACGTTTGCAAGCGTAATGCGGATGCGAGTGGCGCAAGTGGGCGAAGGAAGGTAGAAAAGTGCTGTGGGAGTGCGAGATCAGGGGTGTAGGTACAAAAGTAAGAGAAGGGTGTAGAATGTTTGTTTGCCTATACAGAGTCACCTGAGTACATACTTAGCTATGTAGGTATGTATGTAGCAAGGCTTCCTGTACGGGAAGCTGCCGCCGCGTTGCGTGCCTTCCTATGCTGTCGGGCATATCAAACAAACAAACACTGGAGCCCACGCACTTTCCATTCTCGACCAGCACATGCTGAGTAAGTATGTACCTACATAGGTACTTATCCATTCGACTCCAAACGAGCGCATGTCAGAAGACGGGCCTTTTGAATAGCCAAAGGACGTTCGGTGCGTGGGCAGCTGAGGCGGCACCGGCAGGCAGACGCAGACTCCACCAGTCCCTTGCACACGAGCCGGATAGCACTGCTTGTTATCAACAATCAATCACACAATCAAGACGAGAGGACGACATGGCGGTATCTTGCTGCATACAATGGTACTCACTAGACCTTTGCGCGTGTTGTATATATATGGCCCTGACATTAATCCTCAAGTGCTGCATACACACATGTGCACCCTCTCTCCAACACTTGGATTGCGACACATGCACGCTTTACTTCAACGCACGTGCGCACTTGTTCAAGAGAGCTCACGCCTAAACCCATGGAGATAAAAAGGGGCGACAAGCAATGAAACGCTACAAGTCATGATGTCATGCCATTATTAAACCCAATGCGTGCAAGCAACCAACTTTAAGCAACAAAGGGTCAGCCCCAAAGACAACAGAACCCACGCCCACATCTACCGTTGCGACAATCGTCTACGAGCACATAAATCAACCACACCAACCAAAAGCCCCGTTACCAAGTGCGCGCGCCAATTGAATCAGTGTCGCCATGCCTTCGAGTAAAGGAAAGCCTACAGACCCCAAACTCAGGGAGAAGGTCAAAGAAGACGTCAAAAACGAGACAAACAAGGACGGCGGAGGCAAGGGACAGTGGAGCGCCTGGAAGGTGAGTTCCTCTATACAAAGATGAAGAGAAAAGGAACAAGAACAAGAAAAAGACAATACTGATGCGACGCGACGCCACACATCTAAACAAAACACCCACACACACACAGTCATGTACTTACCCATGCACCACAGGCCGCGAAGCTCTCCAAAGAATATGAGAAGAAGGGCGGATCCTACACCAACGACCCTTCCTCCAAAAACGAGCCGAAGAAAGGCTCCCCCGAACCAAAATCCAAATCAAACAAGAAAAACCAAGACAAATCAGAGGAACCCTCGTCTTCAGATGAAGAGAAAGATGGTCAAGCTGAGGAGGAAGAGGAGAAGCCAAAGGCGAATACCAGCAAGAAGGCCACTGCTGCTAAAGAGGGCGATGATGGTGGTAGTGGCGAGAAAAAGAAGAAGAGCGTTGGGAGGCCCAAGAAAACTGAGGGCGCTGGAGGTGCGAACAAAGGGAAGGAGAAGACCGAGGGGACGAGGAAGAGCGCTAGGGTTGCAGGGAAGAGGAAGGGGAGTGATGAGGACGAGGGAGAGGGAGGGGGCGATGGGGCCAAGAAGAAGAGTAAGAAGTGATTGAGTGACTAGCAGGCTTCTTATTCGTCTTCTTCTTTTTCGGGGTTTCGGATTGGAGAGGTGGAAAAGCAATGAGGAAGGATACATGGGCTGTGTTGATTTTTTGTATTATGTAGTACCTATCGAAGTCATGATTTCTGGAATTTGGTAATGTTAAATGGAAAAGAGATCAAATCACCATATCCTCAAGTACCCGGCTTGGTAGTCGTCTTTTTACCATGTTTCACTGCACCATTCCTCTCGAATCAACTTTCCAAATTTCTTCCACCACCCCGTTCCGATACGCATAATACCAATCAAACAGATTGACTGTTGGATCGATATGACTCGGCACCATCTCGACACGATCCCCAACGTCCAACTTCAACGCCACATTCCCACCATCCCACGCCAAACTTCCATGCTCATCTCCCAAAACACCATACGTATATCCTCGCGTCTTACACTCCGCAAGTCCACTATCGGTAGTCAGACTCTTCAGTCCAGCATCGATTGTGATGATATTTGGACCCTGCGTGCTGAGCACAGTAGCGAGGATAGTAAGAGATTGTTCATAATGCGCTCCAATCGCATTCCGGTAATCGGTGTCCATGAAGACAAAAGAACCAGGCTGAATCTCCGTGATCCCAGGGACTGTAACACAAAAGTCTGCAGTGCCAGTTCCGCCCGTAGTAACGACATCGATTGTGTGCCCTGCGGCACGAAACGCGTCCGCTGTTTGCGTGAGAATCGCCATGCTCTCTAAACACAGCCTCTTCCGCTCTTCATCACCATGAACGTGCTGCAAATGCCCCTCGTAACCCTGCACGCCGATCAAATTCAAATGCGAGCTGTCCGCGACAAACTGAGCGAGCGTGAGCGCCGCCTCACCAGGCTGCACGCCGGTCCTGTGCAAGCCCACATCCAAATCAACAAGTGTATTGATTTTACCCTCAATCCCAGCAACAGCCAGCGCATCATCAATCGCAGACGCGCCTTTCAAACTGTCAACGACAATGCGGATCTCCCTGTGCTTGCGGAACAGCTCAACCAACCGTGCCACCTTGACTTTCCCCACCACCTCGCAGGTAATCAGCAGATCTGTGAATCCGAGCCCGCACATGACTTCGGCTTCGCTGAGTTTGGCAACACAGCCGCCCTTTGCGCCGGCTGCGACGAGCTTTTTCGCAATGGTTGCGGATTTGGTGGTTTTGAGGTGTGGGCGGATGTTGATGCCGGTGGGGAGGAATTTGGAGAAGAGCTTGCGCATGTTGGATTCCATTTTATCGAGGTCGACGACCATGGAGGGCGTGTCGAGCACCTCGATGGGGTCTCCGATTTTCGGGGCGTACGGCATGATTTTTTTCCTCCTTCTATTTCTCTTGTTGATGTGATGGATTTTGGATCCGGAGGTTTTCGATTGTGAGGATGGAACGGATTGGCGGAGTCGAAGATGGCGATGCGGGGTATTCGACCTTTTGTTCACAGACAAATGCAAACAGTGAGTAACCAAGCGTAGCAATAGAATCCTTCGTTGTGAGGTAGTATCTCGAGGAAGATAAGTTACCGTAGCTCGGCCTGGATGTGACGTCGCGGCCTATTGCCGTGTGTGGTATACCGGTGGTGCTTGAGAACCACCTTCCTAAGTGGGAGTTTAGCTTCGACAGCTATCTGCCATAGTTGAATTCGACAAGTAGGACGAGCAAATCCTGACTCCTGCAAATAAAAGGTGAAAACATGACTAGGCTCGAGACAACAAAAGTAAGAAGCCATACTGTATAGTGTGTATTTGGGCAATACCTATATACTGCAAAGGAAAGTACATGGTGCTTGATGAGTTATTCACCATAAGCACGTCCCACCGAGTAGCGGCCGCGCTTACCGTATTACCATGGATCATTATCCCAATGACTCCTTACATATGATAAAATAATGTGCAACAATTTTTTTTTTCCAATTCCTTGAGAACTTTGAACCCCTGACTGAACGTTATGTGCGGGTAGAAATAAGAGCCAAACTGATGTCACCTGGTTTATCCAATCATTGTAACGGGTATAAGAAGAAAATCGAAAACACAAGGAAGGCATAATATAATGAATGACATCTAGAAGAACCCACCGCGGGGGACGGCGCAGAAGATACCCACAATGATGAAGGAAAGTACCAAAGCACCGAGAATGGCTTGCAAGAAGATTGTGTCCTGGATCTGGCGAAGAGCAGGCTCCTGGATCCAAACCTCGCGATCGAAAACTTTGCGAATGAGGTTACGTTTCTCGTACTTGGCAACCCATGGCTCGTCTTCATAGCTGTTGTTGGAATCTTGAGAAGCCAGAGTATCAATCGAGTCGCCCTTGGCATCGAAGCTGGTCGGTTCGTCATCGGACGTGAAGAGTTCCCAGGGTCGCAGGTGACGGTGATGCATGCCGTGCAGGACAACGCACATGCCCTTCCAAGCAGCAATTAGTGTTGATATGCCAATAAGAAAGCCAATGATAGAGATGACGCGCCACGCTCGGCCAGCGCTGCTGAGCGTGATGAGAAGGGCAGCAATGAAGCCACCCACAATGCCGGCGATGCCGAGACCGCGGGCGAAGACAACGCGGGGAAGGTTACCGTTGCAGATGGTCCAACGAATGAAGTTGGGGTGAGCCTGGCAGCGTAGAGACCATTCGACAGTGTTCGCAACATCATGAAAAGCAGATGGGTGGGTGGTGTTTTGAAGTGCGTGCAGCAACTTGTTACGCTCTTTGGATGAGAGATTAAGTTGGCGAGCACCCCCATCTGCGATGTAGATGGAAATGATACGAGTGACCTCCTCGCGGTAAGGTTGGACAGTAACTGCGGAAGATCAATCAGTAAATGCAGATAGCCGAGGGTATCAATTGCACTCACGCGGCTTCCATTTGAGACCAGCGTCCTCAAAAGCGTTCACGGCACGTTGAGCGTGGGCTGCTTTGCCTCCAGCACTCAAATTGGCCTCATACGAATCCAAAGACTCTCCAGCGTCGCGCTTGATATCTTCATTGGGAGTGCCTGGTGGAGTAAAGAAGGGGTTCTTCTCCTTGGAGACCTCACTGACTGTGGGATCGCTGGCAAAGTCGGTACCCTTAAAGATGGCCGCAGCGACGGGGTCGACAGTCTTTTTGCGGAGATTGGGCGTCTCGGCCTCGGCATGTTCCTGGTACCAGACTGGCGACAAAGCCTTCTCGGTTTCGGGAAGGTCGTCGAAGCGCTTGCAATAGGAGCGGAACCAGAGGTGGAACTGCAGGTTCTCGGCAGCCAGCTCGATATACTTCAGGTAGTTCATGAAGTCTCGGGTGGTGCAAGGGGGACAGGTGCCTCCAGAGATGATACGGTCAAAGGATAAAGCCTCGGGTATACCTGAAGTCGCGAATTGAGAGTCAGTGTAATTCATACGGGCATATTTCAGTGCAGTATCAGTACATCATGACTCCACAGTGGGCGATATTTGGTCACGTAGTGATTGTGTACGCGGAATATACGTACCATGAGACATGCCACTGCTATACGAGTGAATGGACGCATCTATCGACTTCTGTTTTGAAGCGCCCGAGATGGAGTCGCTAGATGAGGGGCGCTGAACGCGCTCGGGGCGGCGGTATCCAAGAGAATAGACCATGATGAACTGAAGGTTGACGGGTCAGTACGTAGGATCGTTCCTTTGATACTTTAGATGCGGTACAGGGTAGGTTCATATAGGTACCTTTGATGAGAGAGCGGAGGTTCTAGTTGTGCATGTGAACCAAACAGGTGGAGAACCGATGGGTCGGACAGACAGCAGGTCGAGAAGAGCTGGACAGCGGTCCGGCAATGGATGGTCAGCACTAAAGGTATTCGACTAGTCACGGGCACTAGGAGTCTGTACAGTAGTGTCTGTCGCTACGGAATTGAAGGCAATACTTGGAATGAAGGCAAAAAAAGAGGGTGAAGGTTGGAGATGAAGATGAGCACGAGGGCATCGAGTCATATAAAACCTATGTACGGCGCCTGTTCATGTCAGCCAATACATTCCTGGTAATGAACACGGGTTGCAGATGAGTATGCTTCCGACCTTGAGTCCTACGACGCGGCCACGCTCTCCACGCTGTTTTATTTTTGTCTAGATTCGCAAGGAAGGCAAACAGGGTTCTCCTTTGAAAGTGGCATGTCGATACCGTACTGTATACCAGGAAAATCGCAGTCGGTTGATCCCAAATGCATCCCGGTTGCAGGTGGCTCCTCAGTCCAGCCGTCCTTCATCTTTGCAATTTCACCCACCCATGTTGATGTCCTGCGCCGACCTCGATGATGCGCCGTCGGCAGCCTACCATAGTGGGTGCATGGCTAGAATTACTAGCGTCCTTATCGACACATGGATGACATTCCTACTGCTCTAGCGCTCCGTGGTGGAGATTGACTGACCATCTCGAAAACCTCCGAACACGATGAACACACATCGAATATTGGTGGTAGATTGGTCCCCTCGTTGCATTCCAAGAGATGTAAAGTCTCAAGTCACGTATGCAGCGTGCGTGCTGTCGAGTTGGTGGCTTCAAGCCGCCAGCCACAGCCAGTCATCTCGACTAAACTTTCTTTGCCTGTTATTGCGCTAACCCCCGACCTACTCGTGCAAGACATTGGCTGTAGACAAGGACTGAATACGAGCCAGAACATTTGACATCACGTCTATCCTTGCTGTGCAGACAAAGCAAAGAGAAAAAAAGAAAAGAAAAGAAAACACGAATCGCTTCCAATCGACCGTCCTGGTAAAGTGGTTGACGCATGGAAGTTGCGAACTCGCCCTATCGACCAAGTGCACCAGAAAACGCAATCGCCGAGAACATGCACAGGTTCTGCCATTTTCAGACATTGGCCACCACTGTCTGCTTCTCCCACCCTACACGACTGCGGACCATGGATCTGCGATGCCCAGACAGTCGCCAAACCGGCCGTAGCTGACGAGGCACATAGCCATGCGACAATCCAGCTGAACTCGACTCCTTCACGTTAGTCCACGACTCACCAAAACATATCGAAAAACCATGTTTTTCATCTCTGGCGTGCACTAACTGCCGTAGCTTGCCTTCCGCGGCTCGCGTACAAAAGCCGTGATTGGAGATCTGTTCCCGAGTCCTAAATTGGCCGTAGTAGATTTCCATCGAATGGCATCTAATGAACAGTAGGCTCTCGCGCAAGAAAAAGTCTCCCAGGGGCGGCTCTCGACCGATCTTTTGGAACTGCCCGTAGTTCGTGTTCTGGGTTCGCCACATGTGGACAATGCGCTATGTCGTGGGGGATATGACGCCTGCACGTGCTGCCTTCTGGCTATGTACATGTGTACATAGTCGTCATTCGAGATTATGCAGTACGACAGCTGATGGTGGAAAAAAGAAATCATGCCGCGGCAGGAAGCGGCACGGACGGGTGAGGGTATCGCAGCGAGTATGAAGATCGTCTACGATTAACGAGCTGAACGGGATCTATTGTTGTCTGGTACCTGGATGTTTCGTATTCAGATTGCTACCACGTGTCGGGCGCGGAACAAGAAAGGGGTGGACTTGAGATGTTGTCGTCGATGGGTGCCGTGCGGTACCGCGAGTCGTTGCTCAACCATGGAGACACATCCGCTGGCGAGCGAACAACGATGGGTTGACGACCGGTGATCTCGGACAGACCCACTTCGCATTCAATGAGCGGTTAGGATCCACTATCCGTAAAAGGAAGAAAACAGTTGAGCAGCATTAAGGAGGGAGAAGAATCAAGCCCGACATAGCACTGGGTCCACATCTGCGCTAGACTCGGTTGAGTTGGCATATCCACTTTCGCGTTCCCCCACTCCGCCGTTCTCCATCAGACGGACTGCCCAATGTCCCAACAGAAGGATGAAATGACAGAAAATAATCGTGGAAATGAGGAAACTAACTCTAGTTCCCATGTTCCACGCCGTTGTGTCCCAAGGAAATAAGAGGACAGCATAACGGGTGATCCACAAGTGGAGTAGGATGGCGTCAGAGTCTGCTGTTTCTTGTACACAGGTTCTATATGATAAGTGATGAACAAACCATAACATGAACAATTGTTCTTCTTCAACTAAATCACTATGATGGTCTTCCATGCTCCGAGAGGCATCGTATGCAAGCCACGTACAATAGCTTACGGATCTAGCCCTTTCGCAATGACCATGGCGGGTGCTACGAGGGAGGTGGAGAAAACGCCACTGGCAGACATGTTCCCAATCCAAATGAGTAGCGAACCGTTATAAACGTCACTAATCCCACTCCGGAGCACGGAGTGAATGGGAGAAGTGACAGGCCTAATCATGTTGTTGGATAAGTGGCCACTTCTGGAGTCAAGTCGATTATGATCACATACGGGGGGGGGGGGGGGGGGGTAGGAAGATTGGAAATCATCAATGGAAGTTATCATGGTAACTAGTGAATTGGAGCTTTTGTAGATGAAGCTGGAAGTGTCCGTCTATGAGATAAAGAGGAAAACCCCGGGCCTTTGACTCCAAAATCGCACCGTCCTGATAGCAGTTGCACACCTCAAAAGATGTTAAGCAAAGAGGCGCTGCCATAAACAGAGAAATGTTTCTGCGAGCTATCAAACTTTTCCACGTCAAAACAGACACTGTCTGCTTTCCAAACACAGTACGGCAGTAAAAGTAGGCGAGAGACCATCCACATCAGTGCAAACATTGTCTGCACGTGCTAAGGCAGCAGGAACCACCTAAGCAGGTATCAACTATTGACGGTCTCATCGTGCGAAATCGGAATGGAATGTGATAAGCTATATATGCCTTGCTGGCATACGGTTTGATGCTCGTTATGTGATAGATGCGTTCCGTATCTCTTGGCCCGTTGTAACGTAGCTCCTAGAACATCGCCCTAAGAAATCATTGACGCCCGCATTTCCCATGTCCAGATTCATATTGGTGACTATCCGTCAGAACTACAGCCTGGCGGCACCCGGAACACTGTTCTTCAAGGCGTTCCAGTCTGCTTCTGTGTAAACCACGTAGCCTCCCACATCTTCGACGCCTTTGGTGTTTCCCAAGGACGCAGGACACCAGTACATTGAATCATATTTGATTTTCGCCACGTCCGATCCACTGGCGGCAGCTTCCTTGTTGGCTCTCTCTTGAAGTTTTGGCAGGTCAATGCCGTCATTGCGTAGTGGCACTTTGTTCTGCTTGTTATTGTGCATGGCTGTGATGTTGTTCAATACCCGGATGAAGACAGGCACTGCGTACTTTGGCAGTTTCTCCCTTGAATATTGGAGAAGAGCGTTGAAGTCGAAGCTGCCAAGATGTGCAGGGTCAATATAGATTGCTGCGCAACCTGCACGTCCGTCATGACCGGGTACTTCCACTCCGTAGACGTTGGCCTCTACGATGCCGGGGTAATTGCCCAGCACCTCACTGACTTCTGCAGTGCTCACGTTCTCAGATTTCCATCGGAACGTATCGCCCAATCGATCCATGAAGAACCATCTCCCATCGTTATCTCTCCGAAGAGCATCTCCAGTCCGGTAAAACAGGTCTCCTTTCTTGAACACATTGCGTTCGAATTTCTTATTTGTGGCCTCTGGGTTGTTATAATAGCCCACAAAAGCGTCTTCAGAGGGCAATGCTACAAGGATCTCGCCGCCCTCTTCATACGGGCTCCTCTTAGCAAATCCAGTCTTGGAATCGCGTGCTATGGCACCTGATTCGTGATCAATCTCCACCGGAATGAATATGTTGTTAAACCTTCGTCTAAGAAGAGCGCCGTGGTGACCAACGCATGTAGCAGAGAACGGACCGCGCGAGACATTCATCAGCGCGAACATTCCCTCCGTGCTGTTGAAAAACTCAGCTACTGTCTGTATCCCAAAACGCTCGACAAAGCGCGGCCACACATCAGGACGCATGCCGTTGCCGAACATGACCTTCACCTTGTGTTTCTTATCCAGCTCGCTCGGGGGGTTCGCCAGTAAATACCGTGCAGTCTCTCCGACATATACAAATGCAGTGGAGTCTGATTCGCGGACATCAGACCAGAATCTTGAAGTGGAGAATTTCTTGCCCATGCACAAGGTCAGGCCAGACAGCAGACACGTAACGGCCGTGGTGAAGCCAGTGCCATGATAGAGGGGCATGCAAATATACCATCGATCGCCGTTTGGACCCGGTTCCAGACCCAGAGCTCGCGACCGGCCGCCAGCAAGACTGCCAGCGCGTCGAGTTTCGAAAGCACATGCTTTGGGATGCCCCGTTGTGCCGCTACCCGCAACTGTCAGTGTCTGTACACGGTATTGATGATGGAACTTCATACCTTGTGTAGAACAAACACATGGGAAATTTACCACCAATGGTGCTACGGAGCTCGTCCTCTGGGCGCTTCGGCTCCATGCGCAGAATTTCACCCTTCAACGCCTTGTCCAGTATCCTTATTTCCATGCCGAGCTCGCCTTCAATTCTATCGCGCACATCTTCAATCCTCTCGCGTGCTTCAGCATCCTCATCGACAATCAACAGCTTTCCACCTGCAACCTTCAAACAATGTATCAACCCGTCACCCGCCAGATGGTGGTTTATCATAGCAGGGGCCGATCCGACTGACCATGCTCCCAGTGTACCGAATATGAACTCGGGTTGGTTTGTGAGGTAGAAGGTAACGAGCGTCCCCGATGTTACGCCATTCTGTAGAAAGTATTGACCGTAGCGGCAGGCGTTGGCGTATGTTTCGGGCCAGGTATAGCATCCTGCGCGCGACCAGATGGCTTCTTCGGTCGGGGGAAGGCGATGGACTTGTTCTTCGAATCGATACCAGAGAGAGCCGCGATTGTTGGCGCCTAGTGCAGGGCCGTCTGTTAGATGGGGTTGATGGTGCATGCAGGGGACGAAGGGCTTACTGGCTTTGACAAAAGCGCTCTCTGTCGCAGCTTCGCCGCGGATTGACGTCAGGTCTTTTCGGATGTGAAATTTGGCATCGAGGTAAGCAGCTGCAGCACTTACGCCTGCAATGGCTCCAGCGATAGGTACTGGGCGATGAATTAGTCAGATTCGTAAATGATGACGCTGGACAGGCGGAATGCGGAGAGGTGGAGCTGACGGCGTTAAGGAACACTGAACCCTCCACTCCAGGCCGCCTGACGAACACGACAAGACGGCTTCGCGACAACTCACCAATTGGAAGAGCCATGAGGCACAGTGCAAGACGTGTTGGGAGAAAGGAAAGGGCAATGGACAGAGTTCAAAAACAGATATCAAAGGTGCATGTATCAATGCTGAGGGAGGAGAGGGGAGGAGGAGAACAGCAACAACAACAACAACAATGATTTAATCGTGGAGTTCCATCTAGCTGCCGGCAGTTATCTGCTCCCGTTGAAGTTCCCCCAGACCCCTGCATCCCGTGACGAACCATGTTGAGAGCCGAGGCCTCGCTCGGTGGTGTTTCGGTTCCTGCTCTAGACGTGCAGCAGCCCCACAGTCAACAGACTTCATCCGATCCGATTGTCCATCTACCATCACCATCAGACATGGCAAATGGAGAGATCAAACATGTCCTGTGAGATTACATGTGTCAAGAAAGAGATAGAGAAAGGAAGTGATGATGCATTAGTACTTTACACCAGGCCTTCGCTGTTTGACCGACTTGGAGGGAGGGACAGCATGGTTGTAGCAAGGTGATAGAGTTGCCCAAATCAAAGATGCCAACCAGGGAGATGGAAGCTCCAGGAACTGAGCTTCGAATCCACTCACCGTGGAGAGCTGATCCTCCCAAAGCATCGTTACTCTCCGTTGGCACGTCCAGATGGAGGACTTTGGGACAATGAGAGAGAGAGAGCAGTTGAAGTCAGAGACCCGCCGCAGCTGGCTGCCCACTGAACACCCAGTGTCTAGTACATTGCAGGTATGTACTTACTCAAGTGCATGCCAGGTAGGTAAGTAAGTACATGTATGTACCTACATATGTAGGTAGCTAGACCCTACCATGCGTCGTCTGGCCCACTGTCACGCTGTGTTGTGCCAGCCTGGACCTGTGGGCCCGTGCCCTATCGCGACTTCCTTCTCCTTCTATCTCCTCACCTAAACAAACTTGCGTACCTTCCCTCTCGCTGCTTCCTCTCCCCTCTCCCCTCTCCCCTCTCCCCCCTCTCTCCATCTCTCTTCCACCTCACCGCAAAGAGCATACACGACCCTACAAACAACATCTCTACCCCATCAGCCCTAGGTACGCAATGGCTTCCTCGCCATCTTTCATATACACTGACTCTTCTCAGCAGGCCTGGCTCACCATGGTAGGCCCCATGGCGCCGCGCTTCTTCTGCTCTCGCTGTGATGCCCAATTCAGTGACAAGAATGAGTATCAGGAGCACGTGCGTGACCACCCAGACACTCAACCACCCGCCCCTGTTTGCGTTGTATGCACAAGCCTATTTGAAGACTCTCTTGCGCTCGAGGAGCATTACATGGTGACTGGCCATGGCGCGCCTTTCGCTTTTTGTGGCGAGTGCCTCATAAGCTTCCCATCTATGTCGATGTTTAATGAACATCGCAAGTGGCCCTCTCCGTGTCACGAGGCCCAGAGGAAGTCGCCCAAGTCCACTGACCGCTTCCGCGAGACATCCGCCAACCCTCCGTCTAGGTCCGCGGTCGGTAATACTCTGTCCCCCACGAATCCTCTTCACTGCAAGACTTGCAACAGGTTGTTTGTCAATCTAGCCTCATTGAATCATCATTACTTGGGGTGCTCTGCCAAATCTGGCACTACACCCTCTGCTTCGTTGCTCGCAGAGGCTACCCTCAAACCACCCCGGAAGAAGAAGAAGAAGAAGGCAAAAAAGTCTGAGCAAGATCCTGTCGGGTTAGCAGATCCTTGGTCGGACAAACAGTCTACTAGCCCAGCAGAAGTTCGTCCTGAGCTGGCTGGTCTACATGCTCGCCCAGCCAATCATCCTCCCCGTGACTACAGTCTTGCCTCTCCCGCCGGACCACTGATGAACAATCAGCCCACGGCTTCTCCTGGTAACGCAATCAACGCACCTTCAAGTCCAGCCAATAAGTTCCATTGCAATGCAGGTTGTGGCAAGTTATTTACGTCCAGGGCAGGCTGTGAGATGCATGAGAAGGTTGTTCATGGGGGCGGATCTGGTGGCTTCAACCATCCCACGCCGTCGCCTCCCTTGGCGGGCCGTGGTCAACCTCCTCTTTCTCCGAGAGACGCACACATTCCGAGGGTGAAGATGCCATTGCCGCAACCTGCACCAATGCGACGCCCTTTACCGATGTCTGCGCCCACGTTCGTGCCTCATTCTTCACCAGGCCCGACGCTCCAGGCCCCGGCGCATGCATCTCAGCCCCCTACCGCAGCGCAGCCGTCTATCCCTGGCCTCGCCGAGGTTGAGCAAGTCCACGAACTTACAGAAAAAATCTCTCCTTTGATGATTCCTGTTGATATGTACTTTGATCAGTCTGGATCTTTCAAGTGTGGAGGTCATTCTTGGGTTCGAATCACGATCGAAAAGTACGTATGAGCTATACCATGTTTTGTATCGTGGCCTGTCTAAACTAGATTCGCTGACTTTGTACTCGCGACTTCAGACAAGTAGGTTTTCTGGAGATGTTGAATGGTCTCGTTCACATACGCCTCCCTCCTGATCAACAGGCACAACACTTCCTCCCACCAGCGAAGGCATTCCAAGATAGCTGCGAAATCGACTATCCAGTCGGAGACTTCGAGAGTGCTCCGGTCTCCAACTCTTCGGCTTTGAAGGCAATCTCCATCACTTGCAGCAAGATTCTCTTGCAAGACGGACGATACGAGGTAGTCAAAGTTGCAGCGGTTGACGTCATCACCTGTCAAATCCTTCTGAACCATCTTGTTTGCTCCGACCTAAAAGCTCCGGTCAAAGACTGGTTGACTCCCAAAACGGGCCTGAGCAATTTCCACGATTTTGAGTATGCTCGTGGACAAGGATATCGGGTCCTGAGAGGATGGAAGGCAGCTAGAACGGTGTTGCACAAGTACATGGACCGGAACACCATTGTTGTGGGTCAAGATCTTCGTCGCGACCTGGATGCGCTCCGTATGATTCACGGTCGATCCATTGATATCGCAAAGGTCTTCGAGAAAGCTGCAAAGGGTATGTACTCTTCAGTCAGCACCTCAGTTGGAGCTTTACTGACCTCTGGTTTCATAGGTCCATTGTCCAGGCAGCAGCTCGGCATTCAGAGCATGAGCCGAACCCTGCTAGGTATCGATATCCCAACGAGTGCCAAATTTGGACATGATGTTCTTCAGCTGGCGTTTGCTGTTCGCGGTATGGTCATGTGGGCTCTCAAGAATACCGAAGCGCTTGGCAAGAAGGCCAAAGGTGCATCGTTGGACTATCAGCGTTCGATTAGCAGAACCTAGACTCAATGGTCGGCATCATGGCGATATGATGATTGTCTGAATGAGTCAGTGTACAGAGGAAAAGATGATCAATGCTCAGTTGAATACCAGCATGTCAAACGTCACTGGGCTCGGCTTGAGAACACTGGTTTCAGCTGGAGAGCGCGGGGATAGGGATACGGTGGAATCGTGCATTTCAAGAAATCGGGGCAAGGAGGAACACTCTGTCATTGAAAGTGCAAGGGGTTTCGACCTTGCTCAGAATCCAGAGACAACAGAGACTCGCGTTGTCCCCTCGTGCTCCAACAAGACTAGATAAAAAAGTATCCACGTCTAAAAACGTTCGGGAAAGAACGAGTGAATAGTGTTCCTCAAACATGTTTTACTTTGTGTTTTGTGCAAGGGATTGTTCTTTTCTTGTTTTGTCGCAGCACCGGTCATGTCTATGTCTTGGTTTCCTGCTCTTTCTCGACCACGTCTACCACGAAAGCACCGCCGAGTAGTATAGCTGGTTCATCGATGCTATGATGTTCGTAACTATCTCCAAAGTCAGCACAGTTAACTCCCGGAATACCACCCTCGCTCACTGCGCCACCTAGAGGAAAAAGAAGAAAATGAAACCAGGGAAGTCATTACATACCTCAATGTCCCAACCCCACCCGCCTCCAAGATCAAACTCGGATTATCCACCAACGCCTTCCCCACCCACCTCGCGGCAAACGCCCTCAGAATATGCCCATGCGCTACAATCAACACATCCTTCGCCTTCTTCTCCCCCTCGGCCCCAAATTTCCCCTCATGCCATTTCCCCCGTATTTCCTGTATCAGCTCGTCCAACCTAGTCGTCACATCCGCAGGCATCTCGCCGCCCTCACATCCGTCGCGCCATATATCCCAATCTGCGTTGAGTCCGCGATCGGCGCGGGATTTGCGGATCTGAGGCGATGTGAGACCTTCGTAGTCACCGTAGTCCCACTCGCGGATTTGAGGTGTGATTTGTATGGATGCGCTTGTGCGGATATTTAGGGGGTCGGGGTTTGTGGTGGATGATTTGGAGGACCAGGGGAAGCGGTCTTTGCAGCCGATGTTCAAAAGTTCGAGGGTACGTTGCGCGCGGTGGCGGGGGGATACATAGCTATTGTTCGTGTTAGGGGGTTGTCAATTCTTTCAAGCTTTTGCATATATTGGAAGGTCTTCGGCCTCTGGGCTGAGTGCGAGAGCTTAAAGAGTTTGAGATGGAGGAGGGATATCAAGAACTCAACGTACATGTGCGCCAGATTCGAAGGAACTATCAATCGGTCACCTCCTACAAGAGCTTTCCCTGTTGCGCGGATCCGCTTCTCGCCGTTTTCAGTCAAGGGGAGCTCTGTTGTGCCTGTGTGTCGCCCATTCAGGGACCATTCTGTTTCGCCGTGGCGGATTATGAAGACTCGTGGGTCGGGCATTTTCGTTGGTTAGTTTCTTCACAAGGGAATTGCGATAGAGAGGCACTGCGAGGTCGGAGTTGGAGCTTGAGCTTCTAGACGGGGTGGATGCGCGGAACTTTGGCAGCAAGGCCAGAAATAGTCAATCGCGAGAAAATTAATCAGAAAACCATCGGGGGGAAGAAGTCCAATTCACAAGATGTAGTCAACTCAAACTAAACAGCTGCAGAGGTGCTCAGATATGTATGTACATATGACGAAGTTTTGGGGGAGCCTCCATGCCCTTTTATTTCCGGCGGGGGAGGGGTAGCTTCCAGCAGCGGTCATCTGCTGCATAGCAACCAGACAGCTCTTTCCCCAATAACGAAGGGCCCCACTCATTTCCCCAGCGGGATATGCACAGAGTCAGCGTGAATAAGCAGCATCCGTAAGTGTGTGATGCAAAGACCTCGCACGCATTGCCCGAATGGTGGGAAGAAATCGCTATTGATGCTCCAGCTACACAGAACTCCAATGTGACATACTCATTGCCCAATCAAAGTAAGAAGCATCGATCCACCCTTCGAACCCTTTCATCTAAGAGTCTTCTGCAACGCATTGATAGTACCATTCTACAAAGCAACTTAGCAGAAGCAACTGGGAGACATTCAGCTCACGTCGAGAGGTGAACATACCATTTTGCAACAGACATTTGGCACCGCTGACGCACTTGGAACAGCCCGTCCAAGGTTTTCCATCATAATATCCTCCGCACTGGTAGTACAGCGGTACAGGGCATCTGGTGCTACTCGGTCCCGTCTCCTCGCCAGTCGTAGTCTTGGTCGGCTTCTCCGTAGACTTGGAGGTTGTTGTAGGTTTAGACGTCGTTGTGGGCTTTGTGGTTGGCTTCGTCGTCGTTGGTTTTTCCGTGGTTTTCGTCGTCGTGGGCTTCTCCGTTGTCTTTGTAGTCTACAGGCTACGTTAGAACAAGAACTGTATACAATCTGAAGAATCGTAGCTCACTTTACTAGGGGTGGATGTAGTCATAGTCGGTGCCGTACACCAGCCGGGTTTGCTTGTCGTGGGTTTCTGTGTTGGCTCTGCGCAGTCAAATCCGGCGCATGTAGTGAACGTGATTCCTCCTTCATCCTGACGTCCCCGCAGAGGATTTGCTGGGGCCTGTGATGGATATGAGTTGCTGCGAGACCATACGCTGAGCATGGTTGGTAGGGGATCAACTCACTGCAATGCATGATGCTGAAAAGACCGCAATGAGCAAGTAATTAACAGGATAAAGCATGATGGTCGGTCGGTCTACTGAACTGTGACTGGCAAACTTATGTGATTGATTCAAGCGAGGTTGAAGAAGATAGACTGTTTGAGTATCCCATCCTAAGGTTTTATATAGGCGTCCTAAGACGTGAACGTGAGCAGGACCAGCCCTATTCCTGATCCGAACGCATGCTGGAAACGTCAATATATTGCTTAGAGCGGCCTACTCCTCGTGTTCGTGTTCTAGTAGCGCGAGAGTCTGCAACGTTCTAGTCTTCGTCCATTTGATGGTACCTTAGACGATGTATCTGCAGGCTTGGGGGCCGGGGCTAACATGTCGAAACCAAGCCTCCACGCCATAGCCGGCTTGTGAATACTAGGAATTTTTATTATACAATCGATCGTTCCAATTGCACATGCTGCAAAGATTAGTATCATGTTCCGTGACTATCATTTAATAGTTCAGATTTGGCAGTGTTTGTATACGTGGTGAACAGAGCAGCTAAGGCACTGACATGATCAGCACAATATGCATACGCATGTACGAAGTACGGTGCAAGACCGACCTCAACGGTTGGAGGTCGTAGGATCCGACTTTCTTTCCCGGACCCAGGTCAAAAACACCGGAAGCTATTTTTGTCGTCTGAGAGGTTTATCTTGGTACGTACCATTTACCCGCAAATTGGCCAAATTGACCTTGAGTGTACCCCTGCCCAAGCCGCAATAAACACACAATCCAGACCGCAGTATAACACACTTATTATAGGCCAATCGTGAATACAGGAAACGCTGGTCATGATGATAGTGCATGGTCTGCTGGAATGAAGCCCGAAGGATCTGGTGGAACAGTTGCGAGCTTTCGTGCCCAGCTTCATTAGATTAAAGCCGTCAAAGGTTGGAATATTTGCATTGAACGCGAACACGAATGCAACACCTCCAAGTCTTGCAGTTAGAATAATGGAGGTCTGGTCGGAATACGAATGCGTCGAAGACTGCACGTCGTGGTAGGAGTTTATTGACAGTTCGGCGCGGTGGCCCCGATTTGGCTTGGACGAAGTGTACTGGACGGATAATCTCAACGCAGGACATACTCGAAGCCATAGTAACAAGAATAAAGGCTAGCGAAAAAATAGCGAGGAGTGATATGAGATACACGATCATTGTTGGCTGTTGGATAAGCGTACGCTGACACACCTCTTTTGCGACTTTCTCCTCCTCCCATCACCATTGCAGGCGTTGGTGACTTGACTAGAATGCATTGCCATTTTCTCCTCAGGTGCATTGATTCAGATAGTTGTGGTGCTAGTCTTGCTTGCAGAAGCCAACAAGTCCGACACTGCAATCCATTTCCTCACAAGTACAGCCCCAGAAGGTTTCAGCTTGTTGTAGTACTTTTCCTCTTTTCCAATAATTTCAAATCCTCTCTTTCCATACCATTCCAAGCCATCCTCATTTGCCTCCCACACGTGAGCAGTGACAGAGCGGATGCCATGCTCATGGGAGGCTTTCGCAACTATGTTTTGTAGAAGATGAGCTGCTATGCCATGCGATCGGTATGGTGCGAGCAGGCTGATAGTGGATATGTAGAGCGTAGAGGAAGGGAGAAGACGGCAGCGTATTGCTCCCACCACGCGGGGCTTTTCTGGGTTAGATGCCGATTCTGGAATACGTGGCGCAGTCTGCCAGAGAGCTATCAGGGTAATGCTATGAATGGGCTCCGTCATTGACTCTGCGAAGAAAGCAGGCGGATACGATATGGGCAAAGTTAGCGCAGTAAGGCGTTGGAAGCCAGACATGAGATCCTCGGTCAACGGGACGAGCTGGACATTTGGAGGAAGAGGAGGGAGCGAGTAGGCAGTTTTGACCGGGGCATGAATTGTATCGTGAGTGCTGGCAGCCACTGAAGCCTCAGTGGCAGGTTTGGTCTCCAGAGAAGGATCTGAGCGGGGCACATGGGCTGTATGCGCGGGCGTAGGCGTGGAAGTGGGTGTAGGCTCGTCTGTTTTGCTAGCAGCCATAGGCGTGGGCTTTTTCAGCCAGGCCGTGATGGATAATTGTACCATTCTGTCGTGAGGCTACGGCTGCTCCGATCACGTCCTAGTAGCATGTTCGAGATTGAGATCAAAAGTACCAGAACATCTTCGACGTGTGATGAAGAACTGGGATGGTGTTGACGGACACGCGACTGCCCTTTCCTGCTCGAGTTAGCGCGTCCATTACCTTGCCAAGACAAACTGCCGTCGCTGTTCCGACTTCCTCGAGCTTCAGCGATACAGGGCGAGCTGCAGTATACGCAATCAATCAGCACCTATCTCGCTGTCATAATGGGCGCTGAAAACTCCAAACCTGCCGCCGTCACTTCTCAGCACGTCTTCTCTGCGTAAGTGCATTCGCTCCATGCCAATGGTTGCTGGTGCGCGATTCTGATAGCTGACAATAATTTCCATGCAGAGACGCTCCTGTCCGCTTTTCTAGTGGATTAGTAGATTCCTTACAAAACAACACACAGGTACGAAATGCGCAACGTGTGGGATGTAGTGTATCAACATTGTCCGTTGCTGATTGATGCTGAAGACGGATTCCACCCGCTCAAAACAACAAGAACTCGCATACCAGCAACGCCTGACCGACGAACTCGAGAAACTCCGCGAAAAGGAAGCGCAGAATCTTTCGGAATTGTCCAAAAATCTCTCTGGTGAATCCGAACAACCCACCGACCCGTCATTGACCGAATCTCTCACCGAGAAGATTAGCGACGCTACATCTAGCTCCGCGACCCTTGCCCAGAAACAGAAACAACGAGAGATGAGCAACGCCAGCGTCACAAAGGAGATCGAAGCGCTCAAGAAGAAGCTTGATGCCCGCAAGAAGTTGGAGCAGGCCGATCCCGCTGTGAACAAGGCGAAAGAGGATGTCGCTAACTGCCTGAGGACTCACGATAGGCGGCCACTAGACTGCTGGAAAGAGGTGGAGACGTTCAAGAAGGAAGTTGGAAGGCTGGAGAAGGATTTTGTGGAGAGGACAATAAGATGAGCTACGTATGAGCTCAGCCATCGAGAGTTCCCTCTGCCCGAATATTGTATAGTACAGGTAACGCTGTAGGGTCACATATATTGACCTACAACTTCATCACTCTTCGTCATCGAGCGACTTTCATAACAAAGTATAAACACCCTATCTCTCCATTCTCTCACATCTTTGCCTCACCTTTGCAGCACCTTCTTACCTCTCCCTGCCACTACCTATACCGAGGTCTTGGTTCTTCCCACAGTTGTCTTTAGTGCCCCCCATAACTTCTACCTTTACTTTTGATCGCACCCATTCCCATCCCCATCCCCACCTTTACCTTTTTCAAAGCGCTGCCGCCTTGCTATTGCCTTGGTGGATGTCTTGGCATCGACATACAACTTCTCAGCAGCGAGGCATTTACTCTTAACCACCTGCAACTTCCACACACCCCGGGCTGTCCGCTTGCTACGCTCGCCATGGCGAATCCTCAGTTCGTCTGGATCAGCGACGACGACAACTCTGATACTGATGATAATGAGACTTGGGATTTCGACGACGTGGCTGAAGAAGGCTCTGACTTGACTTATGTCGACGACGCAATTCCCGGCGAGCAACTACCCAAGCTCCACGCCCAGTCAGCGGACGAGTGTCCCCCACTGATTCAAATCAGCGAAGTCACACTAGAATGTGGATCGGTCCAGGCAGGCGACACCATAGAGCTCCTCAATCGACATGGCGATTTCCTTGTAGTTGTTGCTGTTTTAGAAGACTACAGAGAGGACAAAGTCTACCTGCAAGGACACCGCCTTCGCCGCGCAGCGCGTTTTGCTCCGCTGTTCGAGTCTAAGCTTAATGAGTTAATTGTCGTCTTCAACACCCAACGCTACGACACTGAATCTGCTCAAACTCAAGGATTAGAGCTAATATCAACCGACCAAGTTGCTAAGAAGGAAAAGAGAGAAGTAATTTTCTCTACGCAGCCATACAAAGAGTTTGGCATCCGCCAATGCTCTAATCTTGTTCCCCATCTATATAATAACCCTGAAGCAGCTCGCGACTGGCTTCATGACAACGGTCCATTATTTGCTCGGTGGGTCTACGTTTCTATTAAAGACCCAAACGGTAAGCCTTACGGAGGAGAAACTAGAAGGCTATACCACCGAGAGCATATATACTACAGTCAACTTTCTCAGCACATCTCTGGACGCACTATGGGAGATGATGACTGGGTAAGACAAGACCCTCGCCAGCAATCTCTTACATTCGGAGACCTCTTCTGTGGAGCAGGCGGTGCCTCCTACGGTGCAAAAGAGGCAGGACTCATCGTCAAGTTTGGTCTTGATATTGAGGAAAAGATTATGGCCTGTTATGAGTACAACCATCCTGGAGCTCTACCATTGTGTATGGACGCAAAAGACTTCCCTAGTGTGGCATGCCGGAACAACTTCTACTGCGACTTTTTGCACTTTTCTACTACATGCAGATTCTTTGCAAGATGCCATACAGTGGACGGCAAAGATGACCAGATAAACTTAGAAACGATCTTTACAGTAGCAGCTATCCTAAAGAAACTCCAGCCGCCCTACGCAACAGCTGAACAAACTGACGGACTCATCCTAGAGCGGGGGCATCAAAAGTATTTCAGAATCCTGCTGAACGAGTAGGTACCCCCAACAAAGTGTTCTTCAGTTCTCAATCAGGAAGTTTCTAGGCTTGCTAACGTCAGTATTAGTATCATGAGCGCCGGCTACAACGTTCGATATCAAGTCATAGATCTATCAACACTAGGTGTACCTCAGCGCCGTAGACGACTATTGTTCAACATGTCAAAGATTGGATTTCCACTGGCTCCGTTTCCCAATGCCACACACGGTCCCCAGGGAAGTGGTCTGAAACGCTTCGTTACTGTAGCGGACGCATTAGACGGCTTGGAGCGCAGTCATCAGTTCAATTCCGATCCTCTCAACCAACCAAGGTTCTACAAAGCCAACAACTGTGTGCCACCGTACGATCCACATACTACCCTAGTAAAAGGTACATTGACAACTAGCGGCGGCAGCAATCACCACTACTCAGGGAAACGCAAGTTTACCGCGAGAGAAAATTCACAGTTCCAAGGATTCCCACTCAATGCCAATCTGGGAAATACCCTTACGTTTAGCAATATGGTAGTAGGAAACGCGTATCCAGTACCTGCTTCTGCTGCCCATATCCTAATAAATGCCCAAACTCGAGAAGCCTTTGATAACGGGCTGATCAATGCTGAAGACGAGATCAACGACTTGTGCAGTGTCAAAAGGATCTGGGACACAACAAAGTCAAGAAGACGGAATAAACTAAACCTTTCCAAGTATCAATATCTAAACCGCCTGGAGCCTAGCGCTGCTCGCATAGGCTTTACATCGTCTCTATATACGCGAAATATGCCGATTGAGCCATTGCCTCCCCGGCCAAGGGGAAGACCACCTCAAGTCATCGACCGGACTAAGGATCGCCAAAGGAGGGAAGTCCTACAGCAAGTCCGGGACGCACGCTACAAAGGTGAAGTCATGGAGCTTGACTAACGGGTTGAGAAGGATTGGGATGGAGGGAACTGGAGAGGATTTGATGCGCCAGGATGAGTTCTTGAGTGCGTAAGATTTATCATAAGGATAATGTGCGGTAGTTTGGTGGGCTGCGGAAATTGGATGAACAAAGGGGATTCATGCCTCGGCATCCGCAGTTCAAAGCAGCAGCTTTTGCGATCCATCTTAGAAAGTCAACTTCGAAATCAATCATGAGCTAAAGAGGATCGAAATGTGAGGGTATTAGGCATGGTCACTTAGAATCAATTGCTAGGGAGCTACGTACGTACGTACAAAGGCTATAAAGGATGGGTGGTATGTGCGCATCAACACAAATATCCATGTGTGGGTAATCCATCACACGAAATGACCAACTTTCAATATATAATTCTGTATATTTGACGAACATCATTCGACGACTTCATCTCCAACATGCTATAATCCTATCGAAACATGTGTACATGGATAACACTAACTTCGACCATAACAAATGAAGACTTCAGTATCAGATCCTCATCGTCTTCGCTTATATAACCATTGACTGAATCTGAACCTACAACTCAAGGTTTTCCTCAACAAACGGCTCAAGCCTATCTTTGAACTCCTCAACGCCAAGTTCCTCACCCTGCCAGAATCCCTCAGCAGCGTCATCGCCACCGGGCCTCTTGGGCGGGATCAACACATCAGACAAAACCTGAATAACACCGTCGCTAGCAACGCCATCATGCACAGTGACGCGCGAGAAGCCATTGATTCTGACTGAAACAAACGGACCGTAGCGCGTGATATCAACCGCAAGAGACTTACCCTCCAGCGCGGTAGAAAGATCAAGATGGTAGTACGGAGGACGAGTCGAGACTTCCCCATCCTCATCATCAGTGGCATCGTAGTACGCATCCGTGTACAAAGTCTGATCAACGACAACGTGGTATTTGAGCAGCGCCTTCAGGTACTTCTCGCCATACTTGCTGAACAAGAATGCGTTGATCTTCGTGCCTAGCTTCTTGAACGCGAAGTTGCTAGGCGCGAAGAATGTGCCGCCGTGATGCGGGTACTCTGTGCTGTTGATGTAATCATACAAGCCCGTCTTGTCGAGACCGAGCTCGAGGGTGCTGAACTCGCCGGGGAGGAGGTCGATGATGCTTGCGACGTTGGGGGGAGGAACTAATAGCGAGTCGATGCCGTGCACGACACCGTTTGTGCCGAAGATGTTGACAGCGACGATGCGGCTGTAGAAGTTGATCGCAGGGCCCTTGAGCGTTACGCGGACTGTGAGGCGCTGCTTGTGCCCGAGGAGATCTGGATCACTGGGCTCGTATAGTGTGGGGATTGTGTAGGAGTGGAGGACGCGGCCGGCAGGGTAGAGATCGTCGGTGATGTGATAGAGGAGAACCTTCTCGATGGCTTCCTTGGAGGGCTTGTGATGCCCGTGATGTGGGATCTTCTCAAAGGCTGAATCGATGGGGGCGAAGACGGTGTAGTTGGCCTTGGTGCTGTTGAGTTTGTCGACAAGGTCGGGGTACTCATCGATCAACTTGGCGAGCTTCGTGGTGTAGTTGCTCTTACTGATGAGTTCGTAGACTGTCAGGTTGGGCTTGCCATGATGGGGTGGATGATGCGGTTCGCCGTGGTGTGGTGGACGAGGATGATGGGGATGGTCGTGATGTTCGTCAGAGACGGTGATGAAGGGGTCTTCAAAGGAAGAGCCCTCCAACCAGGACTCGACATCGCAGCCTGCCTTGTGGATCTTGCTGTAGACATCATCACCCGCTGTCTTGGCACTTCTGATGGCCTTATCTAAGGCATCGTCTAAAGCATTCTGTGTCTTTTCAACTATTTGGTGGCCTTTTCCAATGGCGGTGCGCGCGGATTCTTCAATGTCTTGGAATACGCTTTGGCCCTTCTCAATCACTCGCCGACCGGATGTTTCGATGTTTTCGAAAACATGTGCGTCGTGGATCACGAATGATGAGGCAAGGGGTAGCAGAGCTACTGCTGGTGTGAACCTCATGTTGGCAATGAGTTAAAGGGAGGTTCGAGGATAAAAAATGCAGGTGGAAATGGGGATTCCGAAGGGTCAATATACTGGAGACGGGGTTATTATTCGATGATGCTGACACTCCAAATGGCCGCGGCAGTGCTACTAGAGGGGGGGAATGGCGTGTGTTGGCACCGATGGCTCCAAACTCTCGATGAGATGTTGTTGTGATGCGATTGCAGCAAAGAGTCGGACAAAAGAACAGCGAGGCGTTACAAGCTGCAATGGATGAGCTGCAATGGACACGATTAAATCAATTCCATCGCACTCTCCCACCCCGCTGTCCAAGGCCGCGTACTTGGAGGTGAATAGGCGGCAAGGCGTCGTCACCCGCATCACGTATTGGCGATGTTGGATGACGTAAGAGGGGTAGTTGTGGAACGAGCGGCATCCGCACCTCTCCGGCCGAACCCCCGCTTGGACAGTCCTTGGACGTGTACGCGAATGGACGATTGATGTCGACGAGCCGTAGGTACCTACCTAGGTATGTATACAATTGCATCGCTAGGTAAGAATCTATTGACATGCATTGTATCGTCATCACAAACCTCCAAATCCACCGATACTGTTGCTAATCCAGTAGCTGCCCGCTCTCCGCGATACTCTCTCCCCACAAGTTCAACTCGCCAGTGGAACTCATGCTAAATACCGCTCACGGCATGCTCACAATCCACTTTGTCGACCACCCGCATGTGTCAAGCTTTTCCAAAAACCTGCTTGGCTTTACTTTTCGCGTAATGATTTGCAGCGGTTTGAATACATTGTTGAATGCCATTGGTCCCCTGTGACAATTGACCCGCTTCAATCCACTCTTAGTGTATACCAAGCTTCGTCAGTGCAATGTCAAGCTTTATGCCCTGGCTCTTGTTCGCCAGCGGAAAGACACATTCCAAGGGTCTGGTCCCATGGCCATCAATCATAAGTGCGTCACCAGACAGCTGTGTAGCTGAATTTAACTCATGGTGCTCCCTCTGAAGTTTCCGAAGACCATCACCAATCTCCCAGGCATTTCTCCTCACTCCAGTGTACATTTTGAATAAGCACATCGACACAATGGCAGGCCTCGCGAAACACGTTGATCCTGATGAATTGATCAAGACTCTTCATGACCATCCTATCCACAAGGCCGGCGGCAACTACGCCCATCGCGCGGTCAACCATACGACACCGTATTCAAGTCGGTATGCGACCCAGACCGAATTGTCCAAATTCCGAATCCCGCAAGATGGTGCTCCAGCCGACACTGTACACCAATTACTCAAAGACGAGCTTGATTTGGACGGGCGACCGCAATTGAACCTTGCGAGTTTTGTGGGTAAGAAGTTACATCTTGACATCGTAGTGTACGACATCTGAGCTGACAGGTGCAACCCAGGAACGTACATGGAACGCGAGGCCGAGCAGCTCATGATCGAGAACCTATCCAAGAACCTTAGCGACGCAGACGAATACCCTGCTATGATGGACATGCACTCTCGATGTGTTTCAATCATCGCGAACCTGTGGGGCGCTCAGAAGGGGGAAAAGGCCATCGGATCAGCCACCACCGGATCCAGCGAAGCTATCCATCTCGGTGGACTTGCCATGAAACGTCGCTGGCAGGAGAAGCGAATGGAGCAAGGCAAGGACACTTCCAAACCGAATATTGTCATGGGCGCCAATGCACAGGTCGCTTTGGAAAAGTTTGCTCGTTACTTTGAGGTTGAGGCGAGAATCTTGCCTGTATCGCAAAAGTCTAATTATCGCCTCGATCCAGATCTGGTCAAGGAGAACATTGACGAAAATACCATCGGTATATTTGTAATCCTAGGTTCCACCTACACTGGGCATTACGAACCGGTTGAGGAGATTCATAAAATATTAGATGACTACGAGAAGAAAACTGGTGTGGATATACCTATCCACGTTGATGTAGGTGGTTGGGCTGCTCCTCGTTCCAGCTCCTATCAAGCTGACATGAGATTAGGCTGCTTCCGGGGGCTTCATCGCGCCCTTCACGCACGCGAAGGCCGGAGCGAAGTGGAATTTTGAGTTACCGAGGGTGAAGTCAATAAACACGAGTGGACACAAGTTTGGGGTAAGCCAAATATCCCCAGAAAATTTGAAACAATACTGAAAAGCCTAGCTTGTATATGCCGGCGTGGGATGGATCATATGGCGCGACCAAAGTCAGCTGCCCAAGCATCTCATCTTCGAACTCCACTATCTGGGCGGCACGGAGGAGTCGTACACTCTCAATTTCTCGCGCCCCGGCGCTCAAGTCATCGCTCAGTACTATAATCTGATCCACCTGGGCTTCAGCGGGTATCGCAACATCATGGAGAATACGCTCCGCAATGCGCGCCTTTTGAGTCGTGCATTGGAAGCCACCGGCTGGTACCGCTGCGTGTCCGACATCCACCGAAAACAAGGTGACCACACTTTTGAGAAGGGAAAGCCCCAGTATGACCAGGGTGATGATAGCGCAAGTTACAATGCTGGTCTTCCCGTCGTGGCCTTCACCTTCTCCGACGATGTCAAGAAACAGTACCCCCACATCCAGCAGGTTGCCATTTCAAACCTGCTTCGGGCGAAGCAATACATTATCCCGAACTACCCGTTGCCGCCAAACGAAGAAAAGACGGAAATCCTGAGAGTTGTGGTCCGCGAGACACTGTCTCTGGATATGATTGACAGGCTTGTCTCGGATATCGTTGGCGTCACCCAATCCGTGCTGGAGAGCACTGAGTCTGACCTGGCGGCATACCAGCCTGTGAGGAATAGCGTCGAGGTACGTTTGTTTTTCGGCCGCACTGGATGAAAGATGTTCGCTGACATTGCGCTTTTCTAGAAAGAGCACTCCTCACACGGCTTGCAAGCCAAGCATCACCACAAAGCTCGTCGGCCGATGCATGATGGCGTTCATCGCAGCGTTTGTTGAGTGGCGTGGAGGTAGGGGAGTTACACGGAGTACTGTCGATATAGCTAAATTGATGAATCGCGGCCCAAATGTGCTCGAGCAGGCGCGGGTGGTGCGACGCCTGGTGCTACATTTGCTGCAAAAGCAAGGTCTCGATGGCCGTTGCAGATGAGGTTGTGAAGATCGGAACGAAACCTGATCGAAACCCAGAGGTTCGGGACCCGGTGTAGATTAGACTAGCTGTTTTAGGCCAAGCGAGATCTGCTTTGCGCTTCGCGATCTTCGCGTACTTCGTCACAAGTCTATGACAGCACCAGCATCGTCAGATACATCACACACCCCTTGTCGCTGTCGCCGACTCCCCCCTCAATCTGTCAGCCTGCGCAGCTGTGCGCCCAGTGCCCAATCGTCACTGCGAACTGAGATCTATGCGCGTCACTCCCCTAGTCATTGCCCCTGTGCATCTCGCTGCAAACCAGGGAACGGATCTCCGCCATGCCAGCACTCAATAACAATGTGGTTAGCAGCCGCCACAGGTACTTGCCAAATGACCTCCCATTCTTTCTCACAAATAGTGCATGCTTCCTTCCATCACTCGCCGAGCGTGCTAGAAGTAGCTGCCTGATCATGACGTCTATTCCGCCTTGACTCGCACCAAACGCCCATCCTTTACGTCCCAAGACCCAATTGCTTAGCATGACCCTTCTTCTCCTCAAACACTGAGGAAAACCCGCCTTTTTGATGTTGCGTCGCTGCCTCACGTGGCCTCCCTCTAATCAATTCTTTTGTGCTTGCTGTTTGAGCCGCCGACACTGTCTCTGCCACGAGTACTTCACCACCATGGCCGGACCAGAACAGTCACCCTCACCCTCGCCGAGATCGCGTGTGCTCGTTTACATCCTCCGGCAGGATGTTCGCCTCTCCGACAACCCCATCTTCCATGCAGCTTCTACCCTTTACGCTGGGGGCATGGTGGATTCGCAGCTGGATGCTAATTGCAACCCTCGCAACGACTCTCCTCTTTCACACCAGCATACACCCCATTTTACACATTTTCTACCTGTATATGTTTTCCCTGCAAACCAAGTCGAGGTTTCTGGGTTCATAGCGAACCCTGCAGATCCGAGTCCGTATCAGGAAGCCCGGAGCCAGATAGCTGGACTATGGCGAACGGGACCACACCGCGCAAAGTTCATGGCCGAAGGAGTATGGGATCTCAAACAGCAGCTGGAGAACTTAGATTGTGACTCTGGACTGCAGATAAGAGTTGGATTGGTTGAGGATGTGGTGCAAAATATTCTCGACTGGTACGCGGGTGGCGAAGAAAGCACTAGCAGTGGCGAAACAGACGTTGTAGGTATATGGATGACATCGCACGAGGGCTCAGAGGAGAAGACCACGGAAGCCAGAGTGAAGCGCCTAGCAAAACGTAGCAATGTCGACTTCAAGCTTTGGGACGATGAGAAATACTTCGTGGACGAGTTTGTCTACCCTATGTCTATCCACTTCTGCCGAAACTAACCTCTTTCTTTTTAGTCAGGATCTTCCCCTCGACCACATCTCAGAGCTTCCCAACGTCTATACGACCTTCCGAAAATCTTTGGAGCCTTTGCGTTCAAAACCACGCAAATTGATACCCGCCCCGACACATATGCCTCCCTTGCCTCCTAACATACCCCCACAAGAGAGCCCATTTGAGATACCATCGAGTTTGACAGGTCTGACTAAAGCACTACTTTCGCCTCTGGAAGATGACTTAGCCCACGGCCTAAAACACGCGCCACGCTGGCCCGAGAATGTCGACTCTGCGCATCCGTTCGGAGGCGGAGACCAAGCTGCGCAAAATCGGCTCACCCACTTGATCTCTTCAGGTGCCATGAGCTCGTACAAAGCCACTAGGAATGGAATGCTCGGCGCGGATTTCAGCACAAAGCTTTCTGCATATTTGGCACAGGGTCACCAGACTGCAAGGCAAATTCATTGGGCCATGATCGATTTCGAAGAAGGAAGAGGCCCTGGCGAAGATATTAGTGGCTACGGGAAAGGTGAAAATGATGGAACAGCCGCGGTCCGATTTGAACTCCTCTGGCGTGATTACATGCGACTGTGCGCGCGCAAATTCGGCTCTGGAATGTTTCGACTTTACGGTGTGCATGAGGCACGCAAATCCTCAAAATGGGGTGCAGATGGGGAAAAGGGACGTAAGCGTTTCAAGCTACTGAACAAAAGTGGTGGCGCAGGCGACAATCCGGAAAAAACACGGGAGGTCTTTGAACGATTCAGATCAGGGCGCACCGGTCTTGGTCTTATTGATGCCTCAAACCGTGAGCTCTTTTTGACGGGCTACACATCAAATCGTGCACGGCAAAACGTGGCCTCCTTTCTGGCTTCGCATCTTGGCATTGATTGGCGCGTTGGTGCTGAATGGTACGAGTACCTTCTCACTGACTACGACATCGCCAACAATTGGGGGAACTGGCAGTACGTGGCTGGAGTAGGCAATGATCCACGGCAGGGCCGTGTCTTCAACCCAGTGAAACAAGCGCTCGACTACGATAAGAACGGAGAATACATCAAGGCGTGGGTGCCAGAGCTCAGGGGAGTAGAACTGAAGAAAAACACGCGAAGCGGTAATGAGGAAATTGATCAAGAGAAACTGATGGGCTTGTATCAGGCGTGGAGGCTTCCAGAGGATGAAAAGCAAGCTCTTGGGCTGAAGGGTGTGGATTGGGTGGAGCAACCGCTGGTCAGAATACAATTTTCGGTAGGGCGAGGCAGGGGACCGCAAAGTTCAGAGCCTAGGGGTAGAGGAAGGGGAAGGGGAAGAGGATGGAAGGGAGGGAACAAGAGCAATGGAAAGGGGTCCCGTCGTTTAGGTAATGAGGACAAGCGGAAGATGAGTGCTGATGGAGATGAAGAGTAGGATGGTATTCGTAGGAGCTGCAAAATCACTACTGCGGTGATAAATCTCAAAGTCTCGCATTCCTTGAAGAAAACCAATTACCTAGGTATTCCTTTCACTCACGCGCACGTGTTCAATTGCTGGACCTGTGATATATCCCACGTGACCAGTCTTGAAAGGCCAGCCATCAACGTGGAGCCTTCAAAGATTTGATACACATCTGAATGCATCATAAACTAATTACGTGGATCTCTTGTTCCATGAATGCGTGCATGCATGTGTGACATCTTGTGCATGAGTAAAATCCCCGCCTGAGTCCAAAATAGATGACGATTATGTCCGACCACAACATGCATCGGATCTCGAGTGTCATTCTGCATACATCGCAATGGTCTGGAGCATGGCCATTCAAAAGACAGTTCGCATGACGTTTGTCTGAATCATCATATCTCCACAGTATCGCAGATCCCAGATCAATAAAAGCCATTGATCTGCCTGGAGAAATTCAAATCTCGGTAGAGTCGAGTCCATGATGTCAATACTTTGTGATCATCGTAGTGTGTGATTCGTGGGCGCTTCGCCTCACCAACGGATGCGCAGTGTGTTCCCTCAGCCAACGAGATGGCAGCTAAGTGGTATTTTTCTTATACTTATTCATTTATGAGTCTTATCACAGATCGTTCGGTTCTTCGTACTTCTTTTCATAGTTGGATGATTTCAAATTTTCATTTTCCTGGTTGCTGGGCGGGTGTCGCATATGCGCCAGGCTTCACGCGCGTAAAATGTAAAATGCCAAAAGCTAGCTCAAGCCTCTGCATATATATATCTCAACACAATGTTGCCGGAAATAGCTCCTATGTATCAGTTTTCAATTGCAATGATCCGGGTATAGCAGTAGGAAGGATTAAGGTTCCTAGAATTCAGAATTTTGTCGAAGGGCAAATACGTCTCAACCCCGTTTCCACGTTACTGTGCCCTTGAACTCAAAATATATATTGTGTCAAGGATAATCTGATAGCTGGGATGTCAATGTCAATGACAGGGTAGAATCCGATTCGCCACACTGCCGCTCTCCTCAGTTCCCACTCCACCCAAGCTCTCTCGAGTCTCGGCCCCCCTGTCAAATTCTTGTTCGCGTAGCCATCTCCGGCATCCCTATTGAGGACTAGTACAACTTACTAGCCATCTTCTCGTCACTGAGGGGGAAAAGTGGTGAAAGTCCACACCTCAACTTGAGTCCACCAGGACACAGCTCAAGCCTTCCAAGAAAGGTATAATTCACAAATAAACGATATGATACAACATCAAACGCCTGGTTCGATGGTGTAGTTGGTTATCACGTAAGCTTAACAAAAAAGGATAGCTGCTCTAATGAGCTGTAAACTCCTGGATGTTATCGCTTAAGGTCTAGAGTTCGATCCTCTATCGAATCATTGTTTTTGGCCTCCTGATGGAGCTGGAGGTCGTTGTTGGATGGTATTTCACCTCCTACGGTTGTTCTCTATTTTCATCTTTTGTTCTTATGTTTAGGACATTGTGTGCACTGTAGATTTTTTTGGTGGAAGTTTGGGGCACTTGGTGAAAGAAGACGCTACGCTCACTATCAATGTGCGGCACTGAAACTGTCTTCTGGAATGATGCATTTATTTTACGTGTAACTCTAGGCAAAACCATCTAATAATCTAGACACTGATGATGAAATGTGATGGGAGTCAGACGGACCGGACCGGAGCAGATCATCTTTATCTCCTCTACAACTATCCACATCATCGGCGCATGTACGGAGCAAATTCACGAGATCATGGATCATCTTAATATTTTAGATTCATGTGTTTCAGATCATACGTCAATTTATATTGTGTTAAACCCAGATTTACGGATGAACTATCCGAGTCAGCTCAACTCCAGTTCAACGGCCCCCAACGCCTCAGAAACGGTGCAAGTCTTTCAATACGGTCGGGCCATCGTCGCGAGGCTACCGGTGTACATTGGCATCTTTTTCGCTTTACCATTCTTGGTAAATGCATGAGGGAGGGGAATGAAGCTCCAGTATTCCTCTGTGCCAATGATAGGTTCGTAAATAGGGTTGAAATGCTTCAAAGCCCAATTCAAATCATCGCCATGATAGGATGAGATGCGATCCTCTTCATCGGTTGGGCTCTCAGTCATGTCCACGACCTCCTCCTCTGGAAAGGGCACGTGCTCAACAGGCTGGACTTCAGCCTCTTCTGCGACATTGCGGGGAGGCGAAACATGTGACTTGCATGCCAGCTGAGATTCGATTCCATGTGCCATTGTTCGAACTGCGGAGCTCTGATCTCCAGGTGTGGTTGCGCTAGCTTCGTCGGCTTTCAGCTGGAACGGAGGGGGTGGGGGCATCCCGATCCGTTGCCGATACACTGTATCGTACTGGAGTCGTGCTTCGGAATCCACAAGCACAAGATACGCCTCTTGCAGTGGACGATACTTTACTGGTGAGTTCGTGAAGTAATCTGCCCGTAGCTTGCGATGCTTTGCTTTGATCTCTTCGGATGTCGCCCAGATATCGAGACCGAGCACACTGTAGTAATCTATAAAGTCGGATGTTGGCGCACGACTTGGGGATACAATGGCAGGAGGGAGATAGGTTCCTGGGGGTATGCTCATCGCAGTGCTGATCATGTTGATGGTTGTGTTCGGCTTCTCTGGGCTGGGGATGATAAGGTGCAGCTTAGGTTTCTTTTGATTCATTCAATGGGCTCCTTCTTCCGGAGTAGCTTAACCTTAGTTGGATGCTTGTGATATTCTGATCATTCGGACAAAGGAGCGAAGTGTATTTTATACCAAGACTCATGGGCATTGTGCAAACAGCGAAATACCGATGTCTCGCATTGTTTGTGTCTCAAACAATGTTTACAAGCGCGTGGCTCACATTTAGTCATTTGAATTGCTTCATCCACCAGCGCTGGAACCATTGAATTGGTTTCTATAGTTTGAATGCATCGTATTGCCATATTGATGGCAAATCGAACTCGAGGTCAACCGCTATTGTCTCTAAACGATTGCTATCATGGAGAAGAGCAGAACGTTAAATTCAGCCTGGTTAGACGAGAAATCATGAATCATATAAATGCATCTGGGTAGGCGAATAAATCAATGTCAAGACAAGTTGAGAGTCGCAGACCTACTTAAGTGATAACGATGAAACTAAAGTCTTCCAGCGGCTGTCCCGCAGAATTAGTTATCAAAATTACTATCATACAAGATTTCGCTTACACCAAATTAAAGCTAGAATGGCAAATATTAATAATCAATGTAGGCAATGCCTTAGTATGTATATCACAATATATCAGAATGCATGGTGGATCGCAGTTCATCTTACATGCTTGGGTGACGCGGGCTACTGAAGCTCAGGAGCTATATGTGTCTTTGAATGCGTGATTGTCTTTCCTGTATCATTTTTAATCGGAAATTTTCAAGAAAAAAGCTATAACTATAGAAGTTTCTGGCCGATTGCTGCTTGGGCTGAGGATCGTTTGACCTTACCTCGATCCCATTATATGATCCATATGAAACCTGGAAAAAGTGTTACAAAACCCCCAACTTGTCAATGGCCCCCGTCAATCTTCCTCTGGGCTAATGGTATGCCATTGGAGCATGAACTTCCACATGAAGATTACCTGTAATATAGCCCTCCAGACTGGACAGACCCTCATTCCTGAAAACCCACTGCTCAACCGGCACTCCGTTGAACGTCATCACATGCCGATCTGTTATAGCCTCCTGTAAATCCTCACGATTGATACGTCTAATCTCGCTAGAAGGAGCCTTGCACTTGTGGCCGATCATCAGGTGCGCATGTGTAAAGTTGTCGAATGGGTCTTCCGGTACATGTTGTTGTCTATTACGCCAGACAACGTATTTCCATTCTGGCGAGTAGTAAAGACGGTTGTATCGAAGGGAGTGAACAAAATCCTTGCTTACAAGTATGCGGGCGGTCCACGATTCTGATAAAGGACACCTCCTCGCTGTGTATCTGCGCTCGAGTTCTGCAACGCCTTTCTCCGTTACGAGAGGTATGGCTGAACAATCGCCGTGGAAATCTCCACCTCGACATTTTTCTATACCGTACAAATTGATATTGTCGTACGGGCCGAAGAGGGTGACATGTGAGTTGAGTACCACATTCGTGTATAGGGCCCTATACCCTTGGGGAATCGCAGGCGGATCCTGAGCAATCACGCACGTCTGTGGAAGATACGTGGACCACGGCTGTCGATCCGCTGGAGCTCCACTCGGGATCTCAGCGGGTGGATTGGAGGCGGCTGCTTTGTCAAGCGATTCAGAAAGCAAAGAAAGGTCAAACGCAGCCTTGTCTCGCTCCGCTCTGGCTTGTTCTTTAAGAGCGTGCATTTGGATTCTCAGGGTTTTGCAGTTCATCTCGATCGTGTCTTCGACCCAATGCATCACTGATTGAGTCTTGAACACCTCTCTGAATTCCGGATCGAGTATTGCGTCCTGTATTTCTCGGTTGATTCCGCAGAGCGTCATCGCCTCGCGGGGGTCACGGGTGTTATCAGCCAATGCCTATATTGCAGATGTGGTCAGTCGCAATCCAGCTCAAATAGTCCAACGATGAGTGAAACCTTGTGATTTCAAAACACTCACTTCATTTGAACTTTATTTTGCAGTCTCAGAGTCAAATCCGGGGGGAACTTACGAAGTGTTGAACGATGTAATCCTCCAAAACAGGGAGGGTGTAGTCAAAATCGGGGGCGTCTTCGAAATTCTCTAAAATGACACGGGCGGCCCCGGGAGTAAGCCCCACATACTCCAAAGCCGTGATACTCTCGAAAATCGTAGGCAACTCGAACCATTCTTGGGTCGATCTGGCGCGCGTGGGGAAAGAAGCAGTAGCTGAGGGTGCGGATGCCCCTTGGTGTGCATCGGCACTGTTTGATGGCAGGCAAAGAATATGCGAGGAAACAAGTCTCATCCCAAACTTTTCCGATGGTTGAATAATACCCGCTCTGGAGAGGCGACTGGCCTCCTCATGGGTAAGTTCTAGGTCTTTGAACATGTTGGGGTTTGCAGTCCAGGCAGCGAAGGGGAACAGTTGCGGAATGTTAGAGCTGAAGTGTGGCTTTTCAGCAGTGGCCAGATGCCTTCTTGTACATGGATTACAAGATTGGGGTTTTGTTGATGGTCTTTGGTAGCTTAGTACGGTGACGTCCAATCATAGAGTCGGTACTTGGAACCCAAGCTTCTTGCACATGTCATCGCGGTGTTTGGATTGTCTTCCTCCAATACCCAGCTACTCTATTAGTCATACATTAACAATACACAGTAGGGCAACAGGCTCAACAGAAACAGACGATTAAGCTGTTTTCTCATTGGAAGCTGAAGTGTTTTCTAGCTTTCGATGATTCATCTCAATATATTTGAGCCAATGGCAGATTGCCGCGGCTTATCCACAAAATGGAAGACTCATTGACTTCGCCAGCTACTTTGCATCTGTCTACCGCTATGCTTCAATCCCCCATGAGCTTGGGAGATACATCTCATGCTTTGAATGCAGGATACTGGATGTAAGAGTTCAGCTATCTGCGAGTCTTGTGGAAGAATGTCACAAAATAAAAGGGAATAATTGATATTAGACTATACAAGTGACCGCACACCAGGCACATTATTTCCTACAAGACTAAACCACCGACAAGGGCCGCCGCAGCACCGATGAAGCCGCTTCCGAGAGCAATAGAAAGCATATCTGCCGCACCTTGCGAAGGAGTCGATGCAGCAGGGGTGGTTGGCGTGGTTATGGAAGAACCATTCTGGGAATTCCCTGGCATGCCCGCAGAAGCAGAAGCACCCGCTCCCGAAGCAGAAGCACCCGAGCTTGAGGCAGAGGCGGTTGGGCTCGCAGAACCGCTAGCCGGTGTAGTTGTTGCAACACCCTGCAGCTTCTCGGCGCCAGCTGTAACGACAACCTTCTGGTCCACGAGCTCACTGCGTGGAAGAGTTGTCGAGGTAACGCCGGGAAAGTTGGCCTCGGCGCCACTGGCGCTCTCGGTGCACGTCATTGTAGGCTTGGACAGGCCGACGCATTGCACGGTGCCGGTGAAGGATGAGTCGGGGCCGGGCATACCCATCTCCATGGCCCAGGTCGAAGGGCCGTAGATCAATCGGTGGTCCGGGAACAGACCGCAGTCGAGAGAGTCGAAATCGGAATCAGTGCTGGTGGGTGTACCGCAGGCCAGAGAGTAGGTGGTGGCAGTAGGGTTGGCAGCTATGACCGACGCCGAGATGGGGAAATCGTCTAGGCCCATGAAAGGGACGGTGACGGTAGTTGTCTGTGCCGCGGCGAGACCGACAAGAGCCGACAAGAGCAGTTTGGAAGCCATTGCGTATATTAGATTGCGAGTATTAGATTTGGGTAGTATTAATTGCTGGTTGTAGGGATGGGATGTGATGGCGTAGGGATGGCGGTGACGATCAAGCGAGTGACGTAAACGGGTAAAGAGCGACAGCGGATAGATGGAACAGAATTAAGAGTGAGCGACACAGATGATGCCGAAAAGAAAAATAAGGGGGGAACAGAAGCTTTTTGAAGGCTTCGTGGTCCAGCCGCGGGAGGAGGCTTGATATCGGCTACGGGGGATCCTACACGAGTTAGCGCGTCGCCGGTCTACTGAAAATCATTAGCCAACCCCTGACGTCCAGGCACCAGCACTCCGGTTGACTGCTTTGGGGCAAGTGAAACCCTGTACGATGGAGAAGCTTAAGATGACGCTCGTTTGCACTCTTTGGAGGATCCAGCTCGCTCGTTTGTTGCATGGCCGAGTCGTCTGTAGGATCCATCCACCCTGCCTTTGTACATTCTTCGCACGGCACAGCTTGGAAACCATGCTAGGTGATGGCCTCTGGAGACGCTTACTTGCGTCACGGAATCAGCGGATGAGTAGATGACGACCGATTGCCGCCAATTCAAGGACGGACAATACGCAAAACCGAAATTACCAATTCATCAAGTTTCCTTCTCAGCATTTTTCAATTGTTTATCGAGACACATATCAGGCATGCCACAGAGGCACTTGTAGCCTCTCACGTAATCAACCATTTATTCCAGCGTGCAAGACCTCAATCCCTCACTCTTGCCCTTTTTCTCTCCCTCTGATCCACCATGATGTAGAATACCTTCGATCCATAATCCCTCTCCTTCTCTTTGCAGTCGAGAGATCGGTGTGTTTCATCGCCATGAGGCTTTTACTTGAAGAATACAACCCGGTCATACGGCTCATTGTCGTCTCCAAAGTGATCGTTGGCTGGCTCGACCTCAAGGAGCCCGCCAAGGTTATTTGCGAACCCGAGGAATTCATCCTTATTTTTCGCAAGGAACTCTGGGGAGCAGAACTCGCCATCTACCTTCCCGTATTCCACTCGCTCTGCATCGGGGGCCTGATATAGGTCCTTGAGGTGCAGATAGTGCAGCAGTCGAGACATTCCCTTGGGCTCCAAGACTAGTTTTCTAAAAATCTGCAGGACGTCGCCCCACTTTCCATTGCGGATGAACCCCATCTGCATTGTAAGACATCGCAGCCTTGGGCCCAGCATGATCATCTTAGCGATTGGTTTGTAGTTTGGCAGGTAGAAATTGATTAGCTCCAATCGACGAACATTGCCCAATTCATGAGGCGCGATCCAATGTGCCGAAGAAGCCGGGCCGTAGCCGCTCGTCAGAGTGTTCTCCATCCTGAATATGGGTATCCCGGGTTTCACGGCTTGGTATAGGATTTGAATCAACTTCGAGTAGGAAATAGAAGAATCATGGTAGGGGTCCGGCCTGCTTACATCGCCATCTGAAATGTCAAGCAGAGTAACAGACATTGTAGCATCGCGTAGCTTCTTCAAGGAACCCTTTCTGGAGTCGACTCGGAGGCTCAGGTACTCTGACGTCATCTGGGCACATCGATACGCTGCGATTGCCACGCATTCGTCCAATTCCTCACCCTCTAGCATCTCAAGATCCAATAGATATTGATGGAACTGCTCATCAAGATCCGAATTGACTTCCAACTCGAAAAATGCACAATGCCCTTTGAGGATAAAGTTGATATTCTTGCGTAGGGTTCCAGTGCCTGACAAGGCCTTGAAGAGGATGTGAAGACACCAGTCAAGGTGCAAGCTTTGCTCACAACTCTGAACTTTTAGAAACTCCGAAGTTGCATCATAATAGTCATCAAATGTGTCATAATAGCCTGATATGTCTAGGTCTTGTTCCCAGGCCTTCTTCAACTGCCTACGCAGTTTCCAAGGTAGTTCCTCGATGTGCCCAGGAGCAAGGGTGCACCCGAAGTCGAAGGAGACATTATCCAGTACAGCAATACGGTGTAGAGCTCCCTGCAACTGCTCCACTACTGGCAAATCCACTCTTGTGGACTCAATCCGTTTGTACTCCAACTTGTACTCGGTCAATGATGGATTTGAGTAACAGACCCGATTACCCATCGCCAAAGGGTAACAAATGCTCGCAAGCGTGGGGCGTATATTGCGAAATCCGTCGAAAGTGGCACAGCATAGGCTGAGCTTGATTTTCCGCGTCTTGATCATATCGTTGTCGAGTAAGACACGCAAAACGCGCAGGTCTGACTCCAAGACGTTGAAATGGAGGTGTAGAGGCTTGTATTTAGGACCGAGAACGATGCTCATCACCACTTCCGCGAATTTCTTGCAGGTCAGCCGCAGGTTACACTTGTCCTGAGCGCTCACAAGTTCAAAGATCGTAAGTTGGAGCTCATCGGGGAGGCCCGAAAGTGTGTTCTTCTTTGCCATGATGGCGGATTCTGCACTGCTCGTCAGATATGTATTTGCAGCTAGATGTGTATCAAAGAGGAGAACATACAGTAAGTAATAGGCAACAGCAAGAAGCTTGATGTAGAGTCGATGTAGAGTCGAAACTCGATGCAGGCTGTCGTTGGGGGGGAGAGAGAGGGAGAGAGCTACGAGGGTAAAATTAATATGTGGGAATTCCGAGTCCAAGCGTGGGAGGCGTTTGAATACTACGCGAATGGTTAATATCAGGGCAAACAATTGGAATAGTGGGCCTATTATCGTGTGTTACATTCGCAAAGGAGCAGGGGTACTCCATTAGAATACAGCTTTCATATTGGCCAGACTGTGACAGTGTGTTGGACTCAGTATTGCTGTGACTAAGACGGTTATGAGGAGCGTATTCAGAGTGATGCGGAGGAGCACGAGGTGAGCGTAGCGATGCTTTGATGGTCTCATGGCCGTACGTGAACGTAGCGATGTGCATATGCGAGTCTTCAGGGCTTTACCCATAGTATCACGATCAAAGAGTGCGCTATTTCAGTGTACATAGATCTATGAGACACATAAGTAGCTATAAAGATAGAGTGGGGTCTCGTATGGCGTGCCTGGCTGAGTGAAGCAGCCATGGTGTCTGCGATATGCTGGTGGGCGGCCTACACACACTCCACCTTCCTGACTGTCCCCCAACACGATTTCCCACTCCTTCGCCTCGCTTGACTCGTGAGAACCGGGTCTCTCATACGTAGCACTTTTCGGCTTTCACGAGAACGAAGAACATAGCACAATCTAGGCACACCTGCCCGCTAGATGGCAGGCGGAAGCAACTTGCGCAGCGAAGCCCCTCACGCCCCGACCCGCTCTCGAGCACCCACCCGCGCTACCGATCGAAACGTTTCTAAGACGAGCAACAAGAGATAAGTAGCCGTTGTCGCAGACTGCAGCTCGACTTCACAAATGGGCACAAGGAATAGATTGGGGGGGGGAGGGGAGGGGGACGCGGAGAAGGCAAAGGCTCCGGACGGGCGCTCGACCAACGAAAGGAATTTGAATCCTATCTGGGCGAGAAGTGGAAACATGAGCGCAGCCTGAATGAACCTTTATTAAGGGAACCATGGCTCTGCTCTGTTTCTGCAGCGGGATAAGGGCGACCGCGCACCAGTCCAAGGGGAGTGCAGTAGCAAACATGCTGGATCGGCAATAGCCTGCGAATACATGAGCGTGGAGCAAATGCCGGGCAGAGACGACGAGAAAGATAGGAAGTGGAGTCGGAAAGTACACGCGGAACTCAGGAGAGACAAGGCAGGCTTGCTGGATTCATGATATGAGCTACAACAAGGGAAGGGGCCAGTTCCAGTTCCAGCTACGCAAGACACATGCAGTCTATGAATAGCACTTGGGCGAATTACACAACTACACACCTGATGCTCGACATAACTGGTGAATACTCCTCAGCGGATATGATAGCCCAGAACCAAGGCAAAACCGCACTGTAGTCTCTCAGGAGATGAAACTCTGCAAAGACGGGATCATGAGGAAGTCGAGGCTGATGGGAACTCTAGGTATCTGGTCTGGATGTTTGCTAAGGAAGTCTATGGAAATCTAATCAGTCCTTCAGAGCTTGAAAACCCGAGATCATGACCTATATCCGGCAGAAGGTACTTTTGTTGGACAAAACAAGCAGGTTGCAACAAGTCAGCCCCTATTTGATTGACGAGAGAGCAGGAAAAGATGGTTTGATCATTTAAACGGCCTGATTAATGCTCTCCTGGTCCAATTTGAATTCATGTTATCGTGAGTTCTATCCCAAGTCACTGGTACAGGGTCAATAACACAGCTACTGCGATCGGAGGTTACTTGCTCTCCCTATGCAGGTAGGTGCAAGTAAAGCACTCACTTTGGTAGACCACCATATATCCTGTGTTCTGTGTTCTAAAGGTTATGAGCGGTTTCTAAATCACTACAAAAAAGATGAGTATGAGCATTCGAGTATGGGCTTCGGAACGACACAGACAACAAAGCTGACGATCACTCCAGGCCACGACCCGCTCTCGGTACATCTCGCTTGAGCTCAAAGCTTAATCGAACGCACTTGAACCTTACGTAAATGATATACACTGATAAGGATGGTTCCGCCTGCATCATCTGCCGTGAGATTGCTCTTTTAGGACTTCTGGTCAGTGCAGAACGTACACTGCTTTCTCCTTGTATGCGTTGGCACCCTTATATAAACCTCGCTCTTCAGATCCGAGCAAGAAAACAGCACCATCAAACACACATGTTCAACATGCAACACAAAATATCAGCCTCAATATCATGGGTGCAATCCTTTTTCCAACCACCAGAGAAAAATAGTAGTCCATTAATGACAACCGAGACTGAGACTACTTCTCTTCTCCCACCTACACGATCCGAGCCTCCAACCACAGAATTTGAGGACCCCGAGGATAATAGCAGATCTCCGGTTTCTGCAATCCTCCAAGAATTTTGGATTCTCCTCCGCGGTTCCATCCCCATAGTGCTCGCCTACGCGCTCCAGAACTCTCTACAAACCATCTCTGTGCTCATCGTTGGTCGCCTTTCTCCCGAAGCCCTCGCAACAGCCGCATTCTCCTACATGTTTGCCATGGCCACCGGCTGGCTGATTGCTCTCGGAGGAACCACCGCAATCGATACGCTAGCATCTGCAAGTTTCACCGGGAGCAAGAATCCACATGATTTGGGGATTATCTTGCAGCGATCATTCGTTGTGCTTAGCGCATTTTATATGCCTGTTGCAGTTTTGTGGATCTGCTCAGAGCCAATTTTCAGGGCGCTTGGGCAGGAAGAGTATATTGCGAGAGACTCGGCTGTTTTCCTGACTGTATTGGTGCCGGGTGGATTGGGGTATATCTACTTTGAGGCACTGAAGAAGTACTTACAGGCGCAAGGTGAGTTTATTGATTGATTGCTGCAACAGTTCTGCTGATAACCACAGAAATAATGAGACCGGGAACATATGTCTTGCTAATCACTTCGCCGTTGAGTGCGGGGTTGAACTACCTGCTCGTCTACACATTCGAGATAGGCCTTCTTGGTGCACCCTTGGCTACCGGCATCGCCTACTGGATATCCTTCTTTATTCTCCTCACTTATGCACGCTTCGTGGACGGTTGGCAGTGCTGGGGCGGTTGGAGCCGCCAGTGTCTCCAGAACATAGGTGTCTTTGCCCGATTAGCCTTTTTGGGGGTAATACACGTCGGCACCGAGTGGTGGGCGTTCGAAATCGTAGCTCTTGCAGCTGGAAAGCTGGGCACAATCCCACTCGCGGCTCAGAGCGTTATCATGACGACGGACCAGGTCATGAACACCATCCCGTTTGGCGTGGGTGTCGCCACCAGTTCAAGGGTGGGCAATCTTCTTGGAGCACGCAATGCCAAGGGGGCGGCGAGGGCGGCCAATACCGCTGCTGTTCTCAGTATGCTGTTTGGAGGAATCGTATTGGCGATTCTCATGGGCGTCAAGGACTGGTATGCCAAGATCTTCAATGATGACGTGGACGTTATCAGGCTCACTGCCGAAGTGATGCCCTACGTTGCACTGTTCCAGATTGCAGACGGATTGAATGGGAGCTGTGGGGGTTCATTGAGGGGGATGGGCAGACAACACATTGGAGCCATTGTCAATATCGTAAGCTATTACTGTGGAGCATTGCCTCTCGGGATATGGCTCGCATTCCATGGCTGGGGTTTGGCAGGTCTTTGGATAGGGCAGTGTATTGCACTATATCTCGTAGGATTTGCTGAATGGGGGATTGTTGCGTGGAGTGACTGGGAGTTCCAAGTCAAGCAAGCATTCGATAGGATGGATCCGGGGGAAAGGGCCGAGCTGGGTGTGGCGGATGGGTATATGCCGAGTGATGATGGACCATTGCCTGGAAGGAACTTTGAGGTGTGAGTCAGTCAATTTTAGTAATTCATTTTATAAATGTGTGCTTGTAGATAGAAGATGCATGGTGTATATGCAGTTGATGTCTGACGTTGCCTGCATCAGGTTAAGCGAGTTTTCGACCGAACTTCTTCTCGTAACATCGTCACGGTCCTTGGACGTCGAAAGTGACAACGTTCCCACTCCCAGATCTCGACGAGTGAACTCATCGTATAAAGATGCTCAAATGATACATAGAATTCTCTGCCACTGTGATGAATTCGTCGTTCAAAGGATCGATGTTGCTAAGAACGATTCCCTTCATTTTTTGTGAGATCGCCGAGTGTGTCTGCATGGGAGCGATTGGCCACAAAGCCATTGAGTACGATACTCACTGGTAATGTCTTTGTCTATCCAATGAGATGAAGAGGCCCCGTTTTCAGACGCTGCCGTGATGCGTTGTCCATGATAAGCACGTAAGATAAGTTCCGTGGCGGCAGCACGCAGTACCCGGAGAGTTACAAACCACTCCCTCCGGACTGTCGAAAGATAAGATTGCATTGGTGTACGGTTAAAAGAAGAGATGCCGTCCAAAATGATCTGTTTATAGGCTCGTCATTGGTCAATTGCGCCGTTACGTAGGCCTAGTGCCCATCAAAGTAAGGCGGGGTTCTCCATGGACCACTAACTTATCAGCGGTCTATATGCCTGTCGGAAGCAGATAGCAAGCTTCTTGCGAAGCCTCCCAGGAGTACGGGGCAGAAGGAGGGGAGGACTAACCCATTGTAGGTATGCGAAGACGTGTGATGCAGGACCTCCTGTACGCGGGGATTGTGTATCGACCATACAAGTTTTCCACAGAAGAGATGTCCCTCTTTTGACCTGCATGATTCAACGATGAGATCAGACCGCAGCTTGTAGGAAGCAGAACGTCGAGTGACAGCAGGTGTTTACCTAAAGCGTGGACAGATAGGAGCCTGGACTGCATCAATATATACTGTGGGAGAGCCCATGAGATGTACTCACCTAACACTTCAATTCCCCTCGTTCTCAGATAACCATGAGGTTTCTCACCCTTCTTCTCAGCTCGGTGCCCCTCGTATTGGCTCACGGTGACCATGACCATGACCAAACTCCAATCTCTGGTCCACTCCAAGATTTGTGGTACAATACACTCCCCGGTGATGGCGGGACTCAGGTGTGTTGATCTAGAGAGTAAGGGAATGATCCAGAAATGACTTCCATAGGCCGATTCGGTGTTCTCTGGGATATCGACTTTCGGTCGCATCAAGTACCATCCATGTCTTTCGAGCCAACAGGTGCCATTCGACATAGCATTCATCGGTAAGCACCCGCAAAAGCGTATCATATGAGATACTGAGAGAAAAATAGGCGCTCCATTCGATACTGGAACTTCATATCGCCCTGGGGCCCGCTTTGGACCCAGTGGGATCCGGCAAGGTTCGCGCCGACTCAATCTCTAGTATGTTTAATCAAAGCAACCGCATGCTTACTTTGGCTTCTTTGTGAGTATGAAGGCTCACGAAGGGTCGGATTTAGTGGCGGCTATAATGTGCCTTTGGATGCGAATCCTTTCAATTCTTGGGCTAAGATCCTAGACTGTGGAGATATACCAGTCACTTCGTGAGTATTTTGACATGTCTTTCATAGTATCAACTGACGACGAAGATATGACAATGCATATGCTCTCAAACAAATCGAGGAAGGACATAACTTGCTTCTGTCTCGAAAACCCGCAACGAACGCTTTGACTCGGGGATATTCCAAGAAGGGCCGAACACTACCTCGTTTGATAACGCTTGGGGGTGATCACACAATCACCCTTCCTCTGTTGCGTTCAGTCAACCGGTAAGCAACATATGCGTTACAATATATTTGCAAAGAATAACCCTGGTTAGCGAGTATGGACCTGTGAGCGTCATTCATTTCGATTCTCACCTTGATACCTGGAGGCCCAAAGTCTTTGGTGGGTCTCCCAGTGAGCAAGCCAGTATAAACCATGGCACGTACTTCTTCCATGCTTCGCAAGAAGGGCTGCTAGCCAATGACTCCAACATTCATGCTGGTATCCGTACGACGCTTTCTGGACCGTCCGACTACGAGAACGATGGGTATTGTGGTTTCGAGATTGTGGAAGCAAGGGAGATCGACAAGATTGGCACGGATGGCATAATTAAGAAAATCAGGGACAGAATCGGTACAGAGAGGCCAGTATATCTTAGCATTGACATCGACACGCTCGATCCGGCCTGTAAGTCCGAACATGAAGACGAGAATGATTACGCCGGCCTAATAAACAACCAGTCGCGCCGGCAACAGGCACTCCAGAAACAGGAGGATGGACTACGCGAGAACTGAGGACTATCGTCCGCGGTCTGGAAGGAATGAATTTCATTGCTGCCGATATCGTTGAGGTTGCACCGGCCTACGATACGAATGCCGAGTTGACTACCATGGCAGCGGCTGTATGTATTCCCACGGCGCTGACGTTGCTTGTACTGATCCTTAAATAACCAGGACGTCCTCTACGAGGTGATGACGCTTATGGTCAAGAAGGGACCGTTAAGCTTAAAGGAAGATGAAGAGGTAATAGAGCTCAAAGCATGATGAATGGCGTGAATGAATGCACGAGGCAGCAATATGGAATTTCGGCAGTTTGAGATGATGTGACTGAATGGCGGAACGGTAAAAGTCAGATAGTAGATAAAGAATGGAATATTTCGATGAACATTGAAAATGGATGGCATTCCCCTGACACTCCCGTGAAGTATCCGGCGACGGTCCACTATGTAAGGTCTGCAGCCAATCAACGACACGGATTACCAATCGACGAGACGTGCCGGGATTTTCCGCAGATGACATAGCACGCTACTCATTCAATCCAAAGAAACATCACCTGTGGCTAATCGTTGTTTCTCCATCCATACCTCAAACCTTCCTCATATTCCAAATTGGAGCTAATCGATTTTGCTGGGACTGCATACGCCTGACCGACCATGTCCCTCCCACGAACAGCAAAAGCTGTGCTTGCGCGCTCCAAACCCGTAGTACTAGGAAGACTCGCCCCAACCCCGACAACTCCCCCGCAATGTCCACGATGCTCACGAACGTTTTCGAGTCTTGCGCCATACTTCGCTTCGTCTAGGCGGCAACTCCAGACTGCCAGTACGCACAGCACTCCGAGTCTACACCCTGAACCCCCACCGCGCAACTTTGGGGTGCCCGACAGTTCCATAGCGGACCGCGAACCAGGAATCAATACTTCAACACCATCCCGCACAGTCTCAGAACAACTTGACACAGCTACACAAAAGGAGCGCTCCAGTATCAGCATATCGGAAGGCGAAGCGCAAAAGAGTCAGCCGGTCCAAGCCAGCAAACCGCTCAGGCCACGGAGGTACAACTTCGGCGCCCGGAAAGCGACTATCAAGCTGTCACAGTCCGCTGTGACGCATCTACGGGATCTACTGAACCAGCCAGAGCCGAAGCTCATACGGATTGGCACAAGAGCAAAGGGATGTTCAGGTCTGGCATACCACCTCGAATATGTAGACAAGCCATCCATGCTGGACGAACAGGTGGAGCAAGATGGCGTTAGAGTCCTGATAGACAACAAAGCTTTGTTGAACATTATAGGAAGCGAGATGGACTGGTTGGAAGATAAACTCAACCAGCGCTTCGTTTTCAAGAATCCCAACATCAGTGAGCCGCGCCACATTCGAATAATACCATGAGCAATGCTAACTACTTCACAGCTGAACAGTGTGGTTGTGGAGAGTCTTTTAGCGTGTCATAACTTTTCCTTCACCTTTGTATAGTAGATGAGTATGTGTCTACATGGCGTAGCATAGCATTATTGGCGTTGTACCTCGGCATAGACGCATCTGTTCGGCAATCCCCATTCTTGCATCAGAACTTTCCCGGTTCAAAATCCAGGACTTTTACGCCACCGATGAAATCACCCGCGAATTCGACGAACGCCAAATGCTCCGGATCTTTATTCAGGTAGTAATCTCGGTCTTCCTCATTCTCGAATTCGACAACAAACCCGTGTGTATGGGGGGCCTGGCGCCTGTTGATCATCATACGTTTATACCGAAATAGATAATATGTACTTACGGCATGGCCTTCGGGGCTGTTATTCTTGCCACCCTGAAAGGATTTGATATATGGGGCTTTGGAGGTTGGATGAATACATCTTTCGGAAAGAGACATCATGCGTTTGCATGCCTGCCCACAATCAGACTGCATTCTTAGTACTGTCACTCAATGCACAATAATCGCCCACCTCATCGACCTGCTCCTGTGTCGCCGTGTCTTTCCACGCGAAGAGAACTATGTGTGTGATTGCCATTCCAAAACTGGTGAAACAAAAGCTTGTTTCGATGCGGAAGGAATAGAAACCGAATTCAGGATAGGATGGCGTGAATTATCGATATGACCGAGTTGTCGTCAACAGGTCGTCTTGAAGGCGATAGCAAATGATGACGACTAGTGGGTGGTTGCCAAGACTACAACCACGGGAGATGAGCATGGGGAGTTCTCACGTCGTTCACAACAACAAGCAGCATATCCCACGACATCCAAAGACAGCGTGTAGAAGTGCAATACGGGCTCCTAGAACAATGATACTGCTCACACATGTAGCCAGCTCCATATAGTCTGCAAACCAAACGTTGCCATCGACACGGAGCGAGCACCCGGTCGCGATCCGCTCCTCATCGCATTGTATCCCTTGCCGCCATGGCGACGACCGCCGCTCTCCCCGAGCAACTCGTTTATTTGATTATTCGTTTCGCGTCATCTATACCAGATCTTCCGCTTGCCATACCCATACCCAGCATAACCACCACTATTTCGCTGAAACAACTCATCCGACCACACCTACCCTTTAGCAATGCATCCGCACGACTACGCCTGATATATGCTGGCAAGGTGCTGTCGGATGCCACGCCGCTGTCAATATCACTCCGTTTACCACCGCCTCCACCGCCTCCGCCGCCGCGAGACGCAGCGTATGACGAGCAGGGGTCAGGCAACAAAGGCAAAGGAAAACAGCCTGTACAGGACAGTGAGCCGGTGGCAGCCAGAGCAGAAATACCCCCCGACGCAAAAAAATACTATGTGCATTGCTCTCTAGGAGATGCTCTTACTCCGTCCGAACTCGGGTCGGAAGTGACACTGGCGCAAACCACAGAAGCGTCACTTCGATCGCAATTCCATTCCGCCTCGGCACACCGCCCAAGAAGCAACACAGTCATTAGTCGCGATGGCACCAAGCGACGGAGATGGTCCGCTGCTGCGGGAACACCGGGAACCGCTCCTGAGCCGCAAGGCTTTGATCGTCTTCTTAGCTCCGGCTTCACTGCTCAAGAAGTAGCCTCGCTGCGCTCCCATTTTCAGACCAATCTGTCCTATACCCATACGCCTGATACCATGCCCTCGGCGGCTGAGATGCGCGCGCTGGAAGACCGGTGGCTTGACTCGGATGCTACAGATCCTTCGCCTGCAATCACGGGTGAAGGAGGTGAAGCAGGATGGGGTGCGGGGTTCGCGGTAGAAGAAGGAGGTCTGGACGATATGCTCTGGGGGTATTTGACGGGGTTCTTCTGGCCGCTCGGGGCATTGATATGGGGATTCAGAGAAGAGGGGATTTGGCCGAGACGACGGCAGTTGGCGGTCGCTATGGGTGTGTTGCTCAATGCTGCGTTTGGATTCATGAGGTGGAGTCAGTGACGAGAAGGTGTCGATGTGCAACACCAGTGGTACGTAGCATGGACATTGATACTGCTGCTACCACACTATAGATTTGTTTTCCCTGTAGCAATATACCATTATGTATCCTAAAGAAAATCGAAATGAATCCAAGCACAGTTCTGGTCAAGGTCGAAGTCCACATTGCGAGTGGGAACATTCAGAGTCACCAAACACACGCCTTACACTTGACATACGGCCAACGCTACCATTAGCATATTACCCCCAAACGTAGCTCATGGAAGATCAAAGACCCACTAAAACTAAGCTTTCTCATAGTCGTGTCAAGCATGGACTCTTGCAAGCGAAGCTAAAGAGTATGGCTCATGACACCCGATGGTGCTCCGAGTCACCACTTGTCAAGATCCAAGGGCGCGCGGAAAACTTGCGCGAAGGAAAACGTTGGGCCAGTTCGAGCTTAGAAATGCGCCCGTTTGTCATTCTAGTAAGACCAGCCAATCAGCGGTCGCTTACAGGTGCTCAGAGAGGTTAGCGTCGCTTAGGTACTAAAGGGGAATGGTGGTGCTGGCGCTGAGGACGAGGTGTGATTGGTGGAGAGGGGCTGGGTTTCGTCAGCTCGCGACTACAGTTGTTCAAGGAAGGGCGGTTGGCGTTATTTGCTAATCATTCAGCCGTCTTCGTCTTGCGAGAGTGGTGTTTGAAGGGGTGTCATTGTGCATGGTGGGGGCTTGAGGATTGGAAATGACTTGATCCGTGGAGCCATGGGTTTGGGAAGAGTATAAAAGGTGGGTTGGAGAGCAAGAGATGAGCATTATCATCAGCAACAACAGCAATTGACTTCTTCGGCTTCAAACATACTACATTGGAGCCACTGATATACCAAAACTTTCACTTCATCATTTCAAGACTCAATTGAAATCCAAGGAGAGCCTCAGAACATCCAAGCAAACTATACTATCAACCTTCCAATTCATTTCAAAGACCAAACAATCCACAGAAGCAAAAAATGCCTGCCACACAAACCATGTTCAACAAGCTCGCCGCCCACGCAAAAGCTCACCACGAATCCGTCAACGCGGCCTACGCAGCAACCTACTCCCCAGGCAGCACCCTCTCCTCCCGTCCCTCAATGGATTCCCACCGCTCGTCCTCTACCAGCTCATCCGAGCCCACGAATCTATCCAAGACATGGCAATTCATCAAGAAGCACGCCAAAGAGCACCATGAGAGCCTCAACGCCGCTCACTCCATCTACTACTCGGGAGGTATGAGCACAACCTCTTCTTCGCCTACCAGTCTCCGTTCCCCAGTGTCGACGACGGCCAATTCTCCGCGTGAGAGTTTGGAGAAGGAAGGGCGTGCCGTGGAAGTTGAGGTTGTAGAAGAGGGGGCGAAGAGTGAGGGGAAGGTGAAGAAAGTCGCGAAGGCGTTGAAGAAGAAGGCTGTTGAGCATCATCGCAGTGTGAATGCTGCTTATGGTGTGTACTACGGTGGAAGAGCTTGATTTTGGGCATCGAGAAGCCGGCGTTTAGCAGGTGTTTTGGCGCTTCGGGGATCTTCCGTTTCCTTTGTTATTCGCTTTCTATTTTTCTTGTGTTTTGTTTTGAATCACGAGTTTGCGTAGCAACTAGCGATGGACAGGAGTTGTATTGGCTACCGAGCAAGCTTGTGGCTCATGTGTTGGGAGTTAGATACGCAGGTGCACCCGGAGTTTCATTTCTGTAATGACTTTCTGAGGTGTTAGATATCCCTTTGATTTGATAATAATACATAGATCAATACATTCAGTAAATCTCAACACGAGTTCCCTTTCGCCAATCTGTACATCCAGAACTGATATCGATATCACTGAGACAGCTTCCCATCAGCGTGACTGCTCAAAAACGATAGGTTTCAGCAGCTACAAGTTTAAACGCCACTCGTCTTTTACATCTAGCTCTTTTTCGTGGCTCATACTGTCGTGTTGATGAAGCTCATTGTTACACCGAGTTCGTGATCAATCCACCCTCTCCATAAACAGAGAACATCGTCAAACTTGATCAGGATTAGGGCTGACACCGGTGATGGAGTCGGCACATGGCGTGCCTGACGAGAGCATACTTCAGCTTGGTTAGAAAAAGTTTCACCGTGTATTCAAATCAGCGTGAGAACTATGTATAGGCAGGACGCTACGTGCTTATGACTTGAAGCAAGCTCACAGAGCTGCAAGCTAATATCCACTCTCGCAAGCTATAGTGTTATAAACTACTCTCTATCTTTCTCGGATTATGTGACCATACACTTTGTGTCATAGCCTCTGTTTTTACATAATATGGGACATCGTGACGTATCGTGGGACTTCTGCCGGCAATTCTTAAGGCCAGCTTGGAGTTGCTGTCGTGTATTTCCGCACAGAACATATGTCGTATCCATCCATCGTTCTTCATCTCATCCGAGATGTCAAAGTTGCGATGTAAACCTGGAAGAGATGGTCTTTGCCCCTACTGCCAGGCGGCACGATGCTCTGGGAGCCGCTCCACACGGTACAGCGTCTATGCCGCTCTTCCTTTCCGGGAGGAGTCATATCGCGGGTATGTTTTCAAGTTCTACAATCGTATAGTCTTTCACAATCCCAAGCGCTCCTCCAACGTCATGTTATCTTGAGGTTTTCGATTATTCTCCGCTTTCCCATCTACAATCGGCAGGATATCCTCGAAATCTTGATAAGGGTCAGCGACACTGTCATTGACTGGCACCGAATTTCTTTCTCCAGTCTTCCACCTGGGCTTTGCGCCGCGTGTGGCCCTGCCGACACCCATCTCTCTCCATTTCTTGGGGGGCTTAACGCCCAACTCTACCAAATTGGACCATATCTTCTCGCCGCGTTTATCCCATCTGCGCATGCGATCCTCTTGCTCTTCATCTGAAGGCCTCCACTTGCTCTTGAGTATGCGCCGGATAGCATCCTTGGAGATTTTGAAATGTTCGGCGAGGACGGGGAGGGTAAATTTGTCCGGCTGTGTCGCGTGCAAATGCCGTATGCCTTCCTGTGTATCAGGGGAAAGTTTCTTGCGCGGATTCCACGCCTCTCCGCCGAGTTTCTCTTTCAAAGCCAGTTTCTGTCTCAGCCATGCTGGTTTCTCATCTGGGACATGCTCATCTGGAGGAACGGCGGAATAGGATCGTGACGGAAGTAAAGCGGGCGTAATCGGTTTGATCAATGTGACTGTGCGTTGAACGGAGTGTATCGAGCGACAAAAGAGGTTTAAACCTTTGAAATAAGTAAGGCAGTTCATTATTGCATGTGCTCCGATATTGAAGTTAAAGGAGTTGAAATCACAGTCTACCGTCGACACGAGCTCCACAACTTTTTTGGCGCACGGTCCCCCGAATCCCGCGCTACAGCGGCCTACGAATCACCTGCGTCATGAACCGCCACCGGCCTCTCCCAAAGGCAGTTTCAAGACATGCGAGGAAAGCAGAGTTTGAGAACAGCATGCATTGCCCAAATGCACCAGATGGCAAGTCCTTGTTTGCGATCGGGCAATGTAGTAGCCGATCGCCCCCGCTCTAGCGCCTCGGTATCATCTGATGGTTTGGGAGGATCGTACATAAGTACATACCTAGGTATGTAGGTGCTTGATATAGTATATATGCGATCATCCAACAGAATCCCTTCTCTCTTCTCTCCTAATTTTGTACATCTTGATCGCTACCTTTGTAGTGTTGGTCACTCATCACAGAATGGCATTTCATAATCCATTCAGAAAGCGCACCGAGAACACTAAAAGGTCAGTCATGCTGAAACGTGCATAGCACCAACATATATCTGACTACAAGATATAGGTGCTGGGGATATGAATTCGAGTGGACCGACGATCACCTTACCAACGAACAGGCCAAGCCTTTGAAGCATTCATACGACGTGCTGGGTGAGGAATGTCTCAGCATACTGAACACGATCTCGCCACCATCCAGGAAGGCACTACCACGAAATGAGAATCTGCAACAGAATTTACCTATACAACCAAAAGTGGACCAAGAAAAGAATGAAGAGAATGGAGACAAGAAGGAAGAATTACCAGTACCGCAACGGGACCTGTACCAACTGCTCAAAGACAACTATGAATCTAACCCAAAGCTGCGCGAGCTGTGGGAGGAGGTGAATACCGTACCGTCATGGGTAGACTGGGCACAGATCAAAAGAGGACAGGATGTTTTCTATCGGTATGGAGGTCCTGCTCTGACAGGGCTAACATATCAGTCCTTGCTAGGCGGCATGGGAGCTGCCCGCGTGGTCGAAACGTTGGCGCGGACTGGCGGCTTTTCCATAAAAGTGGCAAGAAGGAGATTGTTCGAGACAACGCAACATATTTTGCAGTGTACAAAGTCGCTGGAATCCATTCAACCGGGTGGCGCGGGACATGCGTCGTCGGTGCGAGTGCGTCTGCTACATGCTGCCGTCCGCCAGCGTATACTAGACCTTGCAAAACAAAAGCCTAGCTACTTCAACGTCGAAGAATGGGGCGTACCTGTCAATGATCTGGACCAAATTGCTACAATCGGCACATTTTGCGCCACGCTTATATGGATCAGCTTTCCCCGGCAAGGCATTTTCCTACGAGAGCAAGAGAAGGAAGATTATGTCGCACTTTGGAGATATATTGGTTATCTGCTGGGCACACCGACTGACGCATTCGAAACACCCGCAAAAGCGAAAGCTATCATGGAGAGCTTGCTACACAACGAAGTCAGCCCGTCAGATATGTCCAAGGTGTTGGCTAACAATATCATACACTGCCTCGAAGGCCAGCCACCAACTTATGTGTCGCCCGACATGCTCATTGCTAGCGCTCGCTGGCTCAACGGCAACGATCTATGCGATGAACTCGGATTACCACGTGTTTCCCCCTACTACTGGTCACTCATGGCCGGCCAATGCCTCTTTTTCATGGGCCTATGTTACTTCTATCGTTGTATGCCTGGGCTGGACCAAAGCCATATCGCCCGTCTCAAGAAGATTTTCTATGCTGTCATTGTAGAAGCAAAGTTTGGGTTGGCTGGTGTGGAGACCACATTCGATTTCAAGTATGTACCCGAGTACGCAACCGTGACTGAGATGGGAGCACCGAGAGAGATCAAACTGCGGAGCTCTAGCATAGAGACGAGGAACTTGCGGGCGCTCGGTATATTCTTGGGGGTCGTGGGAATAGGCACCTGGGTGTCTTTCAAGGTCACCTCGAGCGTAGTTGGGAAGCTTTGGTAGCGTAGCTTAACGTCGCAAGCATTTTGCTCGGTCAACCACTTGTTCAATCTCTTCATACATCCCAAGGTTTTGCAGAAACTGGCTTCACCTCAACTTTCTTTCCTGCCACCATTGCACATCTTTCTCAGTCCCCTTCACCTCGAATTCTGGTAAGGACTCCATCTTCCAAACTTCTCTTCAACTCCAAGCCGCTCCTGTCTCTTTCTCTTCAACCACCAATCTCTCCTCCACTTTGAAGCCCTACCTCATCATCTTCCAACTTCATCACCGCCATCATGTCCAACCACAACAGCAACAACAACAACAACAAAGAAGAAGACGACTTCTGGGCAAGCGTGGGCTACCCACGAAAATCAACACCCTCCCCACCCCCACCGCCACCACCTCCAAAAGAACCATCGCCGGACCCGTGCGCAGCTTGGGGCGGCTACGATGTCTACGTCCACCACAACAAAGCGGCAAAGGCACTGGCCGAAGGCCGCACACCACCACCACCATTGGAGCCTCCACCACGGCAGATGACACCACCACCACCACCACCACCACCAATCGAAGACCACCCCGACAATGTCGGCACCTCTGCGGCTCCGGCCAGCAGCGAGGCTTCGGCCTCAAATACTAACCACCACCACCACGCCGCGGCCAGAACCGGCCACCAAGAACAGAAGGCTAACGCCTTCACCACAGACAACCGCGCACCATCCTCTGGTGCTTTTGGGGACGATTACATCCCGTTCCCAAGCGATGACGACGGCAACGACGGCAACGACGGCAACGACGGCAACGACTGGAATGCCGTTGAGGCGTCCCAGGGACGCTCCATCAGTCATGCCGGTAAGTAAGCACCTGGGTTCGAAGAAGCACGAGATTCGTTGTAGAGCGTGCTACTGCGCTTCTGATAACGTATTACCGCATTGCTGGATACCTTTTGCTAACTTTGTAATTCGTGGCTTAGGTGTACTCAAGGGACGAAGACGCCATGGATAAAGGGGGCGTGAGATGTGGGAGTGAGTGGTGTGGAGGATGATCACGGGTGGATGATGATGGCGGAGGAGGAGAGGGGTATAAATTCTTGTATAATAATTCATGGCAATGTATAGTACTACTACTCGAGACAAAAATAGAACTTTCACCATACATATGGCTTGTTCTCATATGTCCAGAATGTGCCACTGTGCTGTATCCCCTTGCTTTGAATGACATTCAGCATCTTCGATACTGACTCTTCCGGCGTGATGATACCTTGCACTTCCCACGGGACGTTGATGTTTGCCATATCACTAACCACAATTAGTGTTTCCGTGAAGTTTACTTGTGTGTAGTACTTACGTGGCCACCTCTCCCGGATGCATACACAGGATGATAGTGTCGTCGTCTTTCCTCTTCAACTCTGCAGCCATGTGCCGCACTGCCATATTCAAAGCAGACTTGGAAGCAGCATAGGCAGCAAATCCATCTTCCATCTCTCGAAACTGACCGTGAGAACCAGAGTCACTGGACATGAAGACGATAGTGCCGATGGGGATGTTGGTTTGAAGCAGTTTTTGAGCGGTGATCACAGGGCCTATGGTGTTGGTATGAAGATGGAAGGCGAATTCATCAAACGAGCTAATTCCTGGAGTCAGCGTAGTAGAGTGAAGCACGTGTTTCGCAGACACTATAGTCAGACAAGTGTGATAGCGATGGGAACTTAAGAAGACGTACAACTCAGTCGCTCTCTATCAGGGTTAGTCAGAATATCCCCCATGACAATGAATGCCCTGCGTCTCCAGTACGGCTTACATTGGGGTATCTCAGGACTCCAGCATTCAACACGACATAGTCAATCTTGAGATTCGGTATCGCACACAGCTGAGCCACGAATTTCTAAGGGCGAGAAGAGCAGGGTCAGCGGTTCGTCAAGGCAAATGACGTCTAGGCCTGCACACGGACTGGCGAATTACGAAAGGGAAAACAGGACCACCAGCAGCACAGTGAATGTAGCTACCTGTTCCACATACAAGAATGCTTTGCTCGCTTAAGATGTCGCAGATGTACATCTGACATCTCCCGTGGTCGCTACCTGCCTGCCCCCACAATTGCGAGGCGTGGGCAGCGAACGGTTCGCGGACGGTAGCTATTATACGTTCCCCGCGCTCCAGCAGCTGGCGGACAAACTCGAGACCGATGCCCCTGCTCGCGCCCAGAATGAGCCATGTAGTGTTGTCCTGATCAGCATACAAGATATCAGGGATCTGGTTCATTGTTGCATCCGCAGCACGGCAGGATTCACAGCGTAAGGCAGGGCGGTTGTGACGATTGAATGAGCGAGAGTACCCAAAGAAGTTGTGAATGTTGGCTGCGAAATGGTAGACGCAACAACAATCACTTGGCCGGATGTTACCGGTAGCCGAGTGGGTGGGAAACAAACCAACCTGGGGCAGAAAAAGAAAGTGCTGCTGTCAACAGGAGCTACAGCAATAATAGGCAGACAGGCAGGCGGCGGGCGAAAAAGCAACAACAGCATTGCGGCAGGAAAACCGGGCATGGTCACGAGGTCAGGTTTTCGGCCAGGCGCATGAACGGGGAGACATGGCTCCATATCGCGAAGTGTGATATTCCATCAGTGGTATATATGGCGTCGACGTGACGGAACAGCATGCGGCAAGTCAGACTGGCTGGCGAGGTGTGATGGGCAGTCAACGGAGCTGATTAAGAGATGACGGGCATATTGGCCTGCAGTGTTGTGCAGCTGGGTGGGCGGAAGGGCGCTGGATGGGAAATGTTGGCAGGACCGGATGCATGCGTGCAGCGAAAGTGCAGCGAGAACCTGATTTATGATATCGTCGTCTGTTGCGCGCACACTGATTCATTGCCGCGGCGATGATGCTACGTCAAGGACAGGCAGCCAAACAAAAGGGTGAGAGATGGATTACCGACTTCTCCCGATCGCCTTTGTAATGCCTGCTGTTGATTGGCTGCGCGCTCCCAGCCACGTGACGCGCGGATGGTGAAGGCTCTCATAAGTTTTCTCCCCTGCTTTCCCGACGTCTTTTCCTTCCACATCTCACGTTCACCGTCACTCTCAATCCATACCTCTTCATCTCTATCCCCCCTCAAACCACATCTCATCTTCCTCCCTCTAATCACAATGGGTTTCGAACAAGGTACGTTGACTCTGCCAACTTTTGGAGCCACCAATGCCACTCCATCGCCCCCTACTACCGCATTGCCACACTTCGCTATCGACCCATCCAACTCGCGCGATTCGATGAAAGCCGGTTTGAAGATGGGTGGATTGCCGTTGGAATGGATGGCATGTTCATCTATTGCACACAAGGCGTGATCGGGCTGTGGCAGCACTTGCGCCCAGAGTCTGCGGCAGCTGGTGCGGCAAGATCCTCGGGCATCATCAACATTTGCATCAGGAGAACCGAGACTGACATGTTACACAGGCGATCACAAGAAGGGTGCCAACCTCTTCAAGGTATGCGAATCTAGCCCACTCCTGCGATAGGATTTCCGATCCATCGCTCGCCACGCTTCGTCCTCGACCATCCATCTGACAACCCACAGACCCGATGCGCACAGTGCCACACCTTGAAGGAGGGCGAGGGTAACAAGATTGGCCCCATGCTCCATGGTCTCTTCGGCCGCAAGACTGGCCAGGTCGACGGCTACTCGTACACCGACGCCAACAAGCAGAAGGGCATCACATGGGACGAGAACACTCTGGTACGGCTGCCGTCACCGCAATCTACAGGCTGTCCCTTTGCTGACCGATTTTCCAGTTCGAGTACCTCGAGAACCCCAAGAAGTACATTCCCGGCACCAAGATGGCCTTCGGTGGTCTCAAGAAGAACAAGGACCGCAACGACCTCATCACCTTCCTCAAGGAGGAGACCAAATAGATGCCTAGTCTAGCTTTGGTCCTTCCCGCTTCTTCATCTCCCATTCGACTATGACGCTTCTTTAATCCTATTTCCCCGAAGATGCTGTGATAGAAGTCTCTCAAAAAACGATTTTGTACCATCAGGCCGGCATGATAGACGTATGACTAGGGGCGGTGGTATGCGCTTTGGACGCTTGTTTCTCTTGTAACATATGTTTGGTGTACTATTTAGACAGCGTCCTTTTGATTGATTGCAATACCAACCAATTCTCCTCTTCGACCTGCATATCGAGACGGCTCTTGCACATGTCGATGGTGATGTTTTGTTTGTTGTTCCGAGTTGTTGTGCGCCCTGGGCTTTTTAGCTTTTTTTCGGGAATGCGTCATGATCAGCGTCGAAGTTTAAAGCAGTTGACCTATCAGATGAAGGGACATAGTAAGCAGTGCACAAGTAAGTGACCACGGGGAAAGAAAGAAAAAATTGGAGAAGATTTCTAGAAAGACTACAAAGGCACACCGCCTAATGGCATGATCACGCGATGCGTTGAGGCTACCAGGACTTTGATGCATCCGTTGGTCCCGAGCCACGAGGCCCCTGCAGCGGACGGCGGGAAGTTCTCTGCTGAGGTTTACCGAGGGCTACCAAAACCCGCGTTGGCACGTACAAGCAAAAAACACAACAAGAAATAAAATATGGGTGTGGCTGCAAGTCTGGAGCCAGATCTCCCCCCGTTCAAAGCTTCGCCCAAATACATACCCACCCCGTCAGCCTGTGCGAAACAGAGCATGATCAGCACATGTGACACCATGTGAAGAGGCACGCCGATTTGCCTGACACACGGCGTCGCGTCAACCCCAGGTCAAACGAGGTGGCAGAAACAAAGCGTGGATGCGAATGTGTTGAGCATTCCCCACGCCAAAGCTCTGTACGTAGACGCATAATGTGAGATGAGAGGCTGAAGGGGGTGGGGGAACAGAGAATAGAGAGGCGGCGCGGCGCATGCTTGGGTACTTTATTGCTGTACGATGATGAATTCATCCACACATGCTTCCATCCCATCCCCCCATCCCCATAGCTGCTGTAATAGTTGTAGCTTCCCCGCGCCTGGCCGCCTACTACCCACCTACCCTGCCCTGCCCTGCCCTCACGCGTCTTTGCACCCCATTGATTGTCCGTCACTTGTACCACCACTGCGCTTTGCCCACTCCCTCCTTATATAAATCCACCGTGGTGCGAAGTCTGACTTGAACTGAATACCTCGGCCCAGCTTCCCTTGTCCTGTCCCCGATTTAGCGTCATAGCGGGGCGGCGACATATCCGCGCCGCGAGCTTTCCCCAGACTCACCCATCAGACACCAGACCGCTCTTCGAATCGTCCCCACCAATTCCCTTCACGCCCGTGATACTTTGGCGAACAAGCAGTCTAGGAGGCCGGGTGGCCCATTTCAATTGCAACCATGTCGTGGAAGCGGTCCGAGAAGCTGATGGACACCATCAAGGTATGCTATTCCGCACTGCGCCGACGCTTCATGCTCCTAACTCGTGGCAGCATTACAGCAATTTCCCCGCAACCGGTACATATCCCATGCTCACCCTTCGATCCAATCGTCTGATCTGAGTATACAGGTGTCTCGCTGCGCCAGATGGTGCAGTTTGGCGAAAAGCCATCCACTGGTACACTATTCCGCGCCTCACAATTCCTCTCGGAAGAGCTTCCCATACGATTAGCACACCGCGTGCAAGAGTTGAACGACCTTCCTGATGGCCTCAATGAGATGCCTTCTATAGGGAGGGTTCGAGATTGGTACGCACAGTCGTTTGAGGTAGGTTGCGCGTCGTCTCCCTTGCCCCCCAATCGTCCCACTGACTCATTCCGCTCAGGAGCTCACACAACTCCCTCGACCCAACGTCTCATCCGAAGTGAAAGACAGGCTTCTGCGACCCTCCAAACGGAACGGTAAAGATGCAAACTTGATTAGCAAAACAACGCAGAACCCCAGTATTAGACAAGGCCAGTACAGATCGGCGCCTGAGCACAATGGAAATGGCAACGGACACGCACACAAAGATATCAAGGGCACAACTTCGAGTCGCAGATACTATGCCGCTGCAGATGATGGACAGGAATGGCCCCCAGAGCTTAGTGCGTACAACACTAGATTCGCCGGCACCCTGGAAAAGATCAAGAGACGGCACGATAGCGTGGTCACCACCGTAGCCCAGGGCATCTTGGAGTGGAAGAGAAGGAAGCAGCGTATGCAAATCGACCACAACATTCAAGCCTTCCTCGATCGCTTTTACATGTCGCGCATTGGCATCCGTATGCTCATCGGCCAGCATATTGCCCTCACCGACCAACGGCAACGCTCGGATCCAAACTACGTGGGAATCATCTGCACCAAGACCAACGTCCGTGAACTCGCCCAGGAAGCCATTGAAAACGCACGCTTTGTATGTGAAGACCATTATGGACTGTTTGAAGCGCCCAAAGTTCAATTAGTATGCAACCCGGATATTAGTTTCATGTACGTGCCGGGACATTTGTCGCACATGCTATTTGAGACGCTCAAGAACTCTCTGCGTGCTGTTGTGGAAACTAGAGGTCAGGACAAGGAGGATTTCCCAGTCACCAAAGTCATTGTAGCCGAAGGAAAAGAAGACATCACCATTAAGATATCGGACGAAGGAGGAGGAATCCCGCGATCATCTATTCCGCTTGTCTGGACGTATATGTACACGACTGTAGATCAAACACCATCCTTGGACCCCGACTTCAACAAGAGTGATTTCAAAGCTCCCATGGCCGGCTTTGGGTACGGATTGCCCATCTCGCGTCTCTACGCGCGGTACTTTGGTGGGGACCTGAAGTTGATTAGTATGGAGGGGTAAGTCTCTTTTGTGAACTATAGCCTCGAAGTCGACAACAGTGCTAACCGTCTTCCTTGCAAACAGTTACGGCACCGACGTGTACCTGCACCTCAACCGGCTCTCCTCGTCCTCGGAACCTCTGCAATAGCAATTACCAGTCATGAGGGACGAATGGACATCAAGCGAGCTGATCAGATCATCTTCGTCTCAAGGAATGACGCAAGCGCGGAGGTACGGGAATAAAGGCTCGATGCTGGCCAGCAAGGCCATGCGGCTGAAGCTCAGCGGCCAACTCAATATGGAGGTTAGCGAACGCAGACAGGTTGGCGATGCCGAGGAAATGTTTGCCGAGAAGGGCGTGGGTGCGCCTTGGTGGAGAAATGTGGGCATGGAGGAGGGTGTGTGATGTTACACCTCCTTTTCCTTTTTCGCATCGCTGCTGCTTTTGGCTGCTGGGGGTTTCTTTTCGAATCTTGTATTCTTCACTGATGGGTTATGGTGCGTGTTGAAAGTCAAGATGGAGCAAGTGGAAAGCAAGAAGGGGATCAAGATTTTGAAATTCTGCGCGCTTGGCAGGGGAGGTCGTGTGGGAGTGGTGTCTGAAGTTGGGCTTGATTCTCTCGCGAAATGTTGAGATATTACTATGAGAGGACAAGAGAGAGAGACACACACACATGCACAAGTACGCAAGAGGAAGAGGAAGATGATACAAGAGCGAACAAACAGATCAATACATGCGGAAAAAGGGAAACGGGGAAATAGGGAAATAATACCAGAAAAATATAAACTTTTTTTTAACCATGCTGTAGCGTTCGATTGGCATGAATGAGTTAGAAAAGAGGATATCCGGTTTGGTTCCACGAGTTTACGTGTAGCTTGCTGCTATGTTCATAGAGAATACATATCATTATGTTCAACCATGTGTGTTCAGATAATCCTGTGGGGTGTTCAATTCACGCTTTTTCAAGACATCCTGATGTCCTGACTGGTACCGAAACAATACATTTCAAACTCAATTCGTAAAGTCGTTACACAGCAGTGTCCTACAAACCCAGCCAACCTTAATAAATACATGACTCGAATGGTAAAATCCTAGGTCTTCTCAGCCCCTGTGAGTATCATCCTCCGTCTTCCGCGCGGAGGGGCACCACCCACTAAAAGTTGATGAACGAAAGTAATCAATCAATCAATCCAGTCCACTGCCAGCGGAGGAAACCCTCTTCTTCCCTTTCCCCTTGTCTCTCCTCGCGGGACTTCCGCTTCCTGTACCACCCATGACTGTATCTTCGCCGTCGCCTCCTCCTCGATCTCGACCTCGGTCTCGGCTTTGGTCGCGGTCGCGGTCGCGGTCGCGCACGCGTTGGTGTTCAGGGACCTCCCACTCCTCTCTCCACATAATCGTAGGTGTCGGAGTATACATATGCGATGCAGATTCAAGGCCTCTGGAGGGGTATATAGGCGTAGAAGAAGGTTCAGGAAGACCAAGCACGATATTCTGAAAATACGTCCTAGTTTGCGATAGGCTCTGGCGCATTGCATTTCACAATCAGCATTCAGTTTTCTTTTTCTTTTTCTTTTCCTTTTCCCCATACAAGAAGCAGAAGGAAGAAAAAAGCGAAAGAGAAGTAAGAGTGATCATGATATATACCTCATTTCTGACCCCAGCATACCAAATCACCATCTCCAAGTTGGCCAACACCGCAGCAGCCCACTCGCGCTTCTGCCGCGCATCGAACGATTCGGGACTCCGCCCGCGACCAGCACCACCTCCTCCTCTTATGGTTGCTCTGGCGCTCCCGCCGCCCTGTCGACCGCCCTCGTCGATCTCGTTGCGGTAGGTTTTGTTCCGCGCTTGCGCCGATCGCATCAGGCGTTCGTTCTCTTTTTCGCGCGGTGTCTTGAAGGTGTTGCTGGCGTGCGTTGGTGTTGTGGAAGATGAGGTCGCGGCTTTGTTCGCACTGAATGGAGAGGCGGAGGAGGGGGATTGAGCATTCGCGATTTGTGAGGGGTTCAGGATTGTATTAAAGTAGGCTTGGTTGGCGGGGTGGGTTGGTGTGGGTGGAGGAGGCATGGTTGTGGGTAGGGTGTGCCGTTGCAGGTATTGGGATGACGGGGAGCATTTGGGGAAGTGTCGTGTACGTGATGGAGGTAGAAATGGCTTAATAAATGATTGAAGGGTTTATTCTTGTATGAGCGCGGGGTTGTGGGAGGTGAATAGATTGGAGTTCGAGTTGATGATGTGCTGGAGTGGAGATGTTTGGGGGAGCTTGGGCTGCTGTTTCCCCGCGGGAGTGATGGATTGGGAAGGTGGTCGACGCCGAACAACTCTCAAAATGTGAGTCGTCTTTTTCTCACATTCCACGTCACTCAATCCCGACTCCTACAATTTCTGAATCATTTCAATAATGTAAATTCCATTTACCCTCAACGGAACGGAATAGCGTTCTTTTCTTAAGTACCTCAAGCATACCCACGCAAGTGTATACCTAGGTAGATATGCAGACGTTGTCTAACTGTTGTCCACTAAACCTGAATCTGGTGTTAGGTTGCGGCTAGACATTGTCAACTCAGACCCATATCTTTCTCAATGGTAACAGCATACTCGTGAGAAGCCGAGCTACCAAATCCATTGAAATCAAGTTTCCACCCAATCTTCAATGATCTACCATTTCCATTTTGCCACAGATACCCTGGTTTCAGGACAATGGTCACTCGAATCATAAAGATGCCCCAGCCAATACGAGTAACTCTGTAAGGAGAGCTTGTCAACCGAAGCTCGGATGGCACAAAAGTCGGATGCTGTGAGTAAGGGCCGTCATCAGCACTGCATCTTCGAATTAGGAGTTGATGCAAGTCTTGAAGATACTTACCAGATGTACCTTCACTTCTTGGATTATTTCCTCCCCAGATGCCCTGAGATAGAAGGACCAGATATGTTTATTTCCCAAACCGTAATCAGGCTGCGGTTCCACCAGTCGATGAGTATTACCAAGAACAATCGTCATGGAATCAGGAGTCTCATATGAGGGAAACGGAGATGGTTCGACCCGGTTGGACAACATGTTGCTGCTGTCACGGCTGCTTGTGGGAGCCTCCAGTGACAAGCAGCGCATCTCTTCCGCGACGTCGTCCGACACGGAGTCTCCACACATGGAACCAGCATAGTCAGTCACGCTGTCGAGGTATTTATCCATTACCAGAGTCCTCTCTTGGTCACTGGTGGCCCTCTGAGACACCACCGCCCTAATCCATGCGATGTCCTCCAGAATCTGATCCTGTTTGGCAAGTTGCTCTACAATTTTCATCGTATACTCTTTGATCAAGGATGTGTCCTTGGAAACCTTCTTTGTCTCGGCCGCGGTTGCCGTTGTCATATGTCTAAGTACCACAGCTGGTTAGGCATTCACAATTGCCAACTACACATGAACCGAACATTGAAGATCTAATCACTTGATCGTTGAATTTCACTTACAGTGTTGTCGCTTCCACTACAAGACCCAGTGCTCCCTTGTGCGCCCCAAGAGACGAACGTATCTTCTCTGCATCTTTCCGGCCTGACAGCGCCCACCGAGCCGCGCGCTCGAGCCCCGCGCCGTCGTACTTTCCAAGCAACGTCTCCAATTCAACAAGCACGCTCTTGCAGTTCCCCATGATATCACAAATGCGTTGCCGCAGGTCCTCTGGAAGCTGGTTCGGCCCATTTGCTTGTGTATCATCTTTCAAGATGTGAAGCGTCATGTCCAGATCCGAAAGCTCGCGGGATATGGCGGCGAGATCCTGACGGGCATCCCGGCAGCTGACTACAAAGTTGGTTATGTAGCGAGTACTGTTCCCTACAGCTGCAATTAGAGTAAGGCAACTTGCGGCGATAGAGAGCGGGTCCATGGATATTTCTGAGCTGGCCCTGTGTTGCTTTTTGGCAGCTGTTGGTAAAATCAGGCAACAGAGGTCAATGGCAAGGATATAGCATTTAAGCGGACGTTCCAAGTCCCAAGTCACGTGGCGATTTCGTATACATTGATACGAGAACAGGTTTGCGATCGCGTTCATGAAAGGCGGGGGGGTTAATGGGCTTCTGCGTTGAAATGTTTTGATCTTCCACTTTGCATAATCTATTCAGAATTTTTGGGTTGCAATGGCCGATCTTGTCTAGCTGCATTTGCTTTGATATTGTTGCCAGGAAATAACAAAGTCTTTTCGAATCCAATTGGATATTCCAGTGCCAGCAGAGCATTGTTCTTCATTTCGTGTCTGACATTGCCCTGGAAATTTTAGAATGAGTTCTACTAAGATTGATTGCACTTTTTATAACCAAGTAATGTTGTCGTCTTAGAGCATGATGAAGAGTACCGCTCTAGTCGTAATCAGTATTATCTGTGCCCGGAAGATCTTTGGTCCTCTTCATAGACCTTCTCCGTATAGGTGACATAATAATATAGCCAGGGAACGAAGAAAGAGGGAGAGCGATTTGGGTATAGCGAGTGCTGGTGCGTGCATGCTCTTTTCGCCATCACGACTGGATAATACACAGTATCAAAACAGTCTGGTCGGCACAATGGGGTCCGTGGCAAATATTAGCATGACAAGTAGACGATGGTGAAGCTGTTTGCACAACGTATATATTTACGTACATCCGGCCGCATCGCCATATCCCATAATGTGATACGAACAGTAACCCTCCCAGGGTGATTGATGCCGGAATAGGACCAATGCGGCCACATGCCAGCATGCACACTTTATGTAATCTTGTGTAGTCGAACTACGCCTTGTCTGCACTTTTCTATTTTATTTCCGTTTTGCTAACCAAGTGCCATCTTTCGTTTTCCAGTTACCGCTATTCCTTCTTGTTTCGTCTTCTCTCTCTATGAACCAGCGGAGTGAGATAGTCCCAATGAAATTGTCCTGACACCGTGCCGATGTTCATGCAATCATGAAAGCCTATGCGGCTGAATACGTCGTAATCGTAAACCGAGATATAGAAAGGGGTTGCAAGGGTGAAGATTTGGCAGATTAATCTATACGTGCCATAAAAAGATAATCCGGACTCGGAAATATCCATGGCTGCCGCCAAAAGAATGAAAATGGATGTCGCAGTTGTGTGAGTGAGGACGATTATACTGATGATTTGACCAGTATGACTAAGCTCCCTTTAGTCCTCGGGAGTTGCCGGCGTAATGACATCATACACTTCCGGTTGGTGTCGAACTGGTGCCGTCGGCTTCTTGATGTTCAGCTTTGGTGCCCTTGCCTCTCCAGGTGCTGACTGCTGGGATGTCGGCCTTCAATCGCACCTCCTGAGTCGCATAGGCTTTGGGCGTCAACTTGATGAGAGTGTGGAGCGGAACCTCCATCCAGGGACTCTGCTCTTGCGGGACATTCATGAAGTATGCATAGATGCAACGTAGAATCGCTTGATGCGTAACGATCAAAATGTTTTCGCTGCGCTCTAGCTCCATGATGATGGGCTCTAGTCGAATAACCACATCGCGGTAGGATTCTCCACCCAAGTAACGGTAGTTGTATTTGTCTTCGTCGCGCTGAGCGAAATCCTCGGGATACTTTTGCTCGATTTCTGCGTACGTAAGACCGTCGCAGACGCCCGAGTCAAGCTCATCCAGAGCTTTCCATTCGAGCTTCTCGAAAGGAAGAAAGCGTGCGGTCTGGATCGTACGCTTGAGTGTAGAGGTCCAGACTGTCAACCTACGACCGTCCCCAACTGACTTTGCGACCAAGCCGGGTAATGCATGCGCATAGGCATCACCGCGCTCAGAGATGTCTGCGTCTCCTCCAATCTTTCCCGACAGGTTGTACATTGATTCTCCGTGCTGTATATGTTAATTGAATGCATCTACAGTTGCTGGTAAAAACTTACCCGAGAGAGCCAGATAGAGCGGGGCTTGATGTGAAGATTCATCAGATAATATACCACCCTACTCTGGAGATAGTCCTGAATCTTGTTGATGATGACCTGCTTGCCTACATCGATCAGCTTGACATAGGTAAGGTCACACTCGTCCTCGTCGATTGTTTGGTAGACTTTTTCGTAGTTGCGGATTCGGTTGCGGAAATCAGCAGCGGCCTCCTCGGGATCCTGGCCAACATAGTCTGGTGACGTAGTCTTGACCTCCAAGATATTGCTCATGATCAGATCTTCGTCGTCGCACTTGGACTCTACAAACAACGTCTCGATGTTTTCCTCGCTGCATCGCTCTTGTATCCAACGGCGGCGTGATTTTGTGGAGTTGGTAGCGTCGAGAATGGCAATCAGGCCCTTGCCCTCAGAGAACCATTTGCACATGTCATTAACAGCTGCTTCGGCTGCAGCCCGTCGCAGGCGCTCGCCCTCTGGGTTCGAAGTATCGAAGAACTCGGCGGAGGGGTTGGGGGTCGCTGTACGGCGATATTGGCCGACGTTGAACGTTTTGGCCTTGATAGATAGCCAGTGCAGGTAGCGCACGACTGTAGCATACGGTCAGCAAAGATGGGCCGCGGATTGGCCAAGAATGCGTACTGTACCTTTTTGTGCAATGAGACTCTTGCCTCGCGCCGGCAGTCCCACCATGACGACGCATATCCGTGTGTCTTCAGCCTGGACACCGGCTCCGTTAGTTTTCCTGCTTGGTCTCACGAGGTCGCCCGTGGGCACAGCTCGCATGTTTGGGGCGTAGACGCCATTGGACCCGGACATGATATAGAGAGGTGAGCCTGAGCTCGCGGGAATCAAGAGAGCGCCAGAATGCGATGGGGGAGAAAAGTATACAAAAGGGCAGGAGGGGAGAAATAGGATCGGAAGCTAGGACCAGGGATTTCCGAGCGGGTTCTCAAAGGAAGTAGCAGGGAGGGACCCAGAAAAAAGAGGGGCGGCAGAGCAAGAACAAGGCGGGCAGCGGTGGGCCGATGGAGATGGTGTTTGAGCAATTGGGCTGGTGTTGAGGGGTGTTGAAGCTGGCAACGACGACGAGGCAACTGGATGTGGGTCGGTGGTGTTGTTGTTGTTGCTGGTGCGGGTTGAGCAACAAGTCTGCAGAGCAAGCAAGCAGGGCTGCAGCGAATTCGGCTCGGCTCTCGAGAAGCGAAGAGAGATTCAAATATGGACCACCGTTCCCCGCATTTAGTACTAGGATATTCGCGCGCTTTTGTGTCTGGACGGCCGGACAGCGTTGGGATGGGTGCTAACGTGTGTTGCAGCAATCACTGCAGCTCAGCTCGCGGTCAAAGGGCTTGCCAGTGGACCGGAGCTTGGAGACCAGCAGACAATGCTGGCACAAACGGGTGTACGGAACGGTGAGGTTGCAATGCGCTTGTATCCAGGAGCCCACAAACGACGCGCCCATCAAGACAAGGCGGATTTGAATGCTCGACAGTGGATTGAATTCTGCTGTCTCGCATGCAAGGTGCAGAGGCTCGCTGTGCTCAGCGATTGCCGCGATGTGAATGGAGCAAGTGACACGATTGTTCGATAGTGGATGTTTCTGGTGGTCGTGTGCCTCTTGCGATATTCACCGGCGGTAGATGACGCCACTCCCGAATTTGGCGGATAGATGAAGGTGCCTGGCCCCTAAGCCGGCGTTTTCCTCAGCTGCTGGCTGTGTTTTTTTTTCTGCTTTTCCATGACTCTCGCCGAAAACCGGGTCCCGCTCCGCTGGCTGTTGGGGCTGGCAACCCGCACCAAGTAGATTGAAGGTGACGGCAGCGACGGGCAGTGATTGCAACACACGGCCAGGAAAAAGAGATGGGATTGTTGAAGGCCACCCAAACAAGGATTGACAACGGGTAAGAAACACGGACTCACGGTAGATATGGAATAGTTCCTCGAATGGGTTCGAACAGACGACATGTTGCGGGATTAACCAAGCAGGCGGGTATGCTATGTACTATCAATGGATAGTAGCCATGTCAGTATCACTACCTTCCGTTGGATGCAATGCCGCTGTCTGCAGCGGCGGGGTACACGCTGATGCTTACTCGGGACAAGCTTTGGAGTGACGATGCAGTGCAACAGGGTCAATTGCGTTTGTGCGTGCGTGGTTTTTCTGGCTCTGGTGGTGATGTGTGACGGAGAGCAAGTTTGATTGACGGACTGATTGATTGAGTTGATTGAGTGAGTGAGGATGACTGCTGTGCTTGCTTCTCTTATCGGCAGGAGCCAGGAACGCACACAGCAAGAATCAATCCATCGATAGCATGCAACCCGTCCACCCGGCCCAGGACCTCACATGTCCCTCCCTCTCTCCCTCCACTTAATCAATTCATCTGATGCACGGCGATAACGCTGACAAATTGTGACATGTACCATATTACTACCAAAATGCTTCGTTGCTTTTTGTGGCGTCCTCAGCTCCGAGTCTCGTCCTCGCAAATCAGCCACGGCATTGCTATGCAGTTACATACCCTAATACCCAACTATCTACACACATGTATCAATGCATAAATCAACGCCCAGAGTATAACCAAAACTGTCCTTGACGCGGCCGTGCAAGTCGTATCAAACAAACTATGGGGTATATAGCAATGCTGAACTTGGGAAAAATAAATCACTCTCCTATCGTACAAGCCTTCCGTACCAACAAGGCGCAAAACCGTACATGGATTGTCTCCACGCGCACACTACGCCGTTAGGCATGCAACTTCGTGACAGCTCGTAGAGATTCGTCGCCACTGCCGAGGAGCGAAAGAAGAGCCGCACTTGCATCGAGCCGTCTCTTCATTGCCGCTGCTGTTCGTTCTTGTCCACGACTTCCTACCCCCTCCTCCACCCAACGCATCTTGTGAATCATGAAACTCAATCCGTCGTGTGTGGTGCTTTTGCGACTCGATATACCGTATTCGACCGTGCCTGCGTATTCCTGGACACGCGGAAGTATCAACACATCGATTTGGAGGTCCATGTCAGCTGGTGGAGTGACTGGAGCCGCTGGTGCTTTGCTAAGTGTATCTTCGGCGTCGCTCGGGGCGTTTGGCGCTGTAATACGCGGATCCAGTAGGCCAACGTTGACCGTGTCATCCCATTCCCCTCGAATCCACCCCGAATGGATCGCAGCTGCGATCGGATCCGAGTTGTCGCGGAAGATCTGCGCCCCCCAAAGGTGACGTTGCAACACAATCTGCTGGCGCTGTCGTGGCTTCAGATAGAACCTTGGGACCCTGATTGTAAACGTGCAGTTTACTGGGTCAGAATCGAAGCGGGGGAGCCGCTTTGGTTTCGAGGCATATCCAAACTGGTCATCTACAGACGAGTTTGGTTTGGGTAATTCAGTCGAAGCTTCGTAAAGCTGCGATCCAAGATGTCTACGCGGATGTTTTGCTGCTTCATCCAGAACAGCCTGTATATCGTGGACCTTGGCCGTAATCTTTGGCGAGGGAAGGCTTGGTTGATTGGGGCGCGGAGGGTGATGGTGGTGGTGCGGGCCGCTGTGATAGTGGTGATGGTGGTGAGACTGGCCAGCCCCATTTGAAGGGGTGTTTGTTTGTCTCCCAGAGAAAGCGGGGTTGTACGTAGGAGGCATCTCTTCGTCGGGCTTGTGGTGATGGTGATGATGACTGCAGAAGGATAAGTAAACGAAGATGTTGGAGTGGAGAGAAACATACTGATGGGCATGATGGTGGTGGTGATGGCCGGGGTGAGTGCTCTTGTTCCGTTTGGTACCTCTCATCCCCACAGGGGTGCCGCGGCCATCCACGTCGTCCTGATCGAAACTTGCTTCTTCATCTTTGACTCTCTTCGGCTTCCTGCCGTTCTGTGAACTTACTCGTTGAAGGCGCAAATGCTCGGTGAGATCGGTGCCTGGAAGCGCGTCATGTGCGTTCTGAGGCATTGGACTTCCTCGAGAAGGCGTCGAGCTGCCGAGGCCCCCAAGACCCGAAAACATGCGACCAAACTCGCTTTTCACGTGGGGGTCTTTTCCAACCGATAGCGGTTGTCCCTGTGCACCTTGAACAGCCTGTGGAAGTGGAGAAGCCCGCCCTGTTCGACGATTCGCATCTGGACCGTAAATCGATCGTCCCGCGTAGCTGCCAGAAGACAAAGACCTTGACAGCTGCTCAGACTTGTGACGTTCAGTCGAGTTTGGATCGGAGGTCGGTGCTGCGTGGTACTGTTCTGTGACGCGATGGTTCAGATGATCTAGGCTTCGCCCACGAACCATGTCTTCGGGCCCGATGGGACCATAGGGCGAGGGGCCTTGCGGAGGGGCAGAGTAGCCTCCAAACGGCCTGTAAGGTGGTCTTTCGTCTCTTCGCGCCTCCGGGGCCTCTCGAAGAGGCTCTTCGGGAACTGTATGTCGCCAGGGATTGTGTGAAGAAGCATTCGACTCTGTCGCACCGCGCGGGTCGCGGGGAGGGCTAAATGTAGAGTGCGAAACGGGCTGAACAGTGGAGGGCCGATCCCTATCCGATGCTTGCAATGCGCCACCCACGAGTTCCGCAACATTGGGTCTGGTGTGATGGGAATCACCCAGTGTTCTTCTTCGTTCTTCTGGTGGCCCGTACTGCGCGCGTGCCATGTTCGGCGAATCGTACGTGCTAGGCTCTGGGTTTGGTTGGCCAGGGCCTAAAGGCTGACTATTGGGTCGGGGAGGAACGCCAGTTGGCGTTGGTCGAGAATCGCGTGGATGCAATTCGTTTGGAGATGCTGCATACGGGCGCTGGCCTTGGAAGACCATGGGTTTATAAGGTTGAGATGGTTGCCCTTGAGAGGGACGACCCTGGTCAGGAGAACCCTGGGGGCCATAGAGTCTCGGCGAAAGCGCGTTGTAATTATGCGCCTCCTGCGTTCTGGGACCACCACTGTACAAGTGCCTATCTGGAGATGGCTGCCGACGGAAAGATTGAAAATCGGGTCTGGAGACGGATGGAGGACCGCGCCTGGGTGATGGAGGTTGCATGTGGTGTGGATTCGATGCTGGAGCATTCATGCGAGGCGATGACTGCGACTGTGTTGTTTGAGCTTGATGGCCAGCGTCACCCCCGCCGATAATAGATGAGATGGACATGCTGCTCCCAGGGCGATGCACTTGGTTTATCCCTGGGAGCTCGCGACCACCAAACGCGGTCGAATATGGGGCGCGCTGGGTTTGCGACGAATGATGCTGCTGCTGTTGAGGGGACAAAGGGGGCGGCATGTTGTTACGCGAAAATGAAGGAGGTGGCGGTGGAGGAGGCGGCGGAGGTGGGTGTTCGTGGGATGGAGCTGTTGTCGCAAGATCAGCAAAGCCAGTTTGGGGTACAAGAGTTTCACAACGAGACGATTCAAGTGGAGACATACGTCCATATGGGTTGGGGGGAGTGACGCCGCCCAGAGAGCGCCTACGCGAGGCATCGGGGGCGTAGGGCGACTGGCTCGATGGGTGGTGTGGGGAGGTCATGGATGGCGGTGGAGGAGGTGGAGGTGGACCATTGGGATGGTGTTGGTGTTGATGGAGCATATGGGCAGGAGGATGGTGACGCGCTAGAATGGGATCGTCAGTCGAGAGTCCAACAAGGTTTTAGCCGGGGGCGTTCGCTTAGCGTCGAATGGAGCCAGCAGGGCGGGAACAGATGCGAAATGTCATCGAAGCCAATGCCGCCCTGACCAGCTTGCCGCCCGCCGCCCGTGAGCAGCGAACGCACCCATCCGTCACTCCATCATCCGTCCATTCGTCGACAATGGCCACAACAAGGACTTGAGCGGCAGGGCAGCCACAGGACACACAAACACACCGGTTGGACTTTTGAACGCTGGCGCGCCACGACTGCGTGCGCCGGCCTCTGCTCCGAACCGTGTGAGCTGTCAAGCCGCTTGCCCATGGATCTTGAGAGGTATTCTCGCGTCCGGGAAGCTTGCTTGTGTCGTGTGTTGCACCACAGCGCGCACCCTTTGTTGTTCCACCACGACCTGGGTATTGTGATCCGTACCTGTATTTCCCCATCCACCTTGTCTGCCGTCGTTCGGTTGGAGTGGCCCCTCGGGACCGACTACGCCATAGCTAGCTTGACGGTTGTGCTGTGAAGAAGGAGGGAAGAATGGGTCGCGGCGGGCGGTCGGGTACGGGTCCTGGGCGTAGGTTGGTGGGTGGAAGGGTTGAGTGGTAACGGGAGGATAGTTTTTGAATGTCGGCGGAGGAGGAGGCCCAGACGAATGATTGGGATTGTGCATGAGAGGGCGGTCTGGGGGTCTAGTGAAGGGGTGAGGTTGGCGAGCGTCCATGATTGCTGTAGCGGTGTGCAATGTGCGAGCTCAGGGCGATCTGGCAGGACGGTGGGCTGGGTGAAGGGCGGATGCAGGGAAAAGAGTGTCGTCTGTGGTTGGAATTGATGTGGCGGGCTTTCTTGTTGCTAGCAGGAGTAGTAGTTTGTGTTGTGGATCCCGAGTCGAGAGAAATTCATATTTGCATCGTGGAGCTGTTGGTGGAAGGGGACATGGAGGGTAGGGCGAGGCAAGGTCAAGCAAGAAGCAGGTACGGAGGGCAGGAAATGGCGCACAGGCAGGCAAGCAAGCAGCAAGAGCAGCGGCAGAGGGGACGAGAAGGGAGAAGGGAAAGAAGAAGGTTTGGCGCGAGGATGTGGAGGAAACGAGCGATTCGAGCAGGCGTGCGTTAGTGGACGACGCCTGGAGCTTAGCAACAAGCAGCAGCGGTGGTGGAGCGAGCCTCCCCCGGTTCCCTTTTGGTTGGAATCCCTGCGACATTTTTTTTTAGTTTGGATCCCCCGCATTGACCGGCCGACGGAAAGAGAAGACAGATGCATCGCCATGGAGAGTGATGATGATTCGATTCTTTCTATACGCTTGGGTGTCTACAAGTATGTACCATATGTACGTGCAAAACGATGGAGTCGCCCCTCCCTCCAAATCCATGTCGAGTCTGGCTGCTGGCTGGCGGGCTGGCGGGGTCGCAGCAATCATCTAGCGTGCCCTGCCTGCCAGAGGTCGTGGTCGACGGAATGCATGTCTCTGTTCCTTTTTTTCCCTTTCGACTGCCCTTTTTCTTTTTTTTCTCTTCCATCTCCTTGTTGGTGTGTTGTGCTTCTACAGATGCTTGATCATCCATCATTTCAATCCACAGATGCATGCCTGCATACAGCCATCTCATACAGAGATAAGACGTGTAGGTATTCGACGTCGCGTGGTACCTCGTCATCTGTTCCTGGACGGGACTGGGGGGTTTCCACGAGCCAAGCCAACAACTTTACGCAGACCGCCAATCTGCCGAGTCACTGACCCCTGTCACGCGCCAACCCTGGATCCATCCACCATCTCATACATGTACAATCCATCCACACACACACGCAAACCACATACGTTGCTGCGTGCATGCCGCCACGCATCCAAAACCGCGAGCGGTAATTGCTCTGCTTCCTCGCGCTGCATCCAGATGCACCTCTCTCTATCCGTCTCACCCCCATGCCTCTTCCCATGCCAGGCTCGAGTGCCTACAAAGCTCGCATCCAAGCTGCCTTCGATGGCGCCGACAAGCGGGTTATGATCAGCTTCTGGCTCTTCGGTGCGTGCCTCTCGTCCACCCACTCGTCTTCTTCGTTGGCCTAGCTTTGATCGTGCACTGGGTTAACATCGTGGAACCATCATCTACAAAGGCCTCATAAACAACGTCCTCTACGTCATCATCCTCTCTTCCGCTCTCGATCTCGTCGGTCCCAACGTGCCAAAGGGCGTAGTTCTCCTCGCCGATGTGATACCCTCATTTTTGACCAAGCTCTGCGCTCCCTACTTCATCCACAAGATCCCTTACAATGTCCGAATTCTCGTCTTCGTGGCCTTGTCAGCTTGTGGCATGCTCATCATCGCTCTCACACCTCCACTGCTGGATGCCACCTCCATCGGAATGAAAATGTTTGGTGTTATACTGGCAAGCTTTAGTAGTGGAGGGGGCGAGATGAGCTTTCTGGGCTTGACACACTACTACGGGCATTTTGCTCTTGCGAGTTGGGGTAGTGGAACAGGAGGAGCCGGTCTCGTGGGAGCTGGAGCATATGCCATCTTCACTACAACTTTCCAGATCAGTCCCCGCAACAGCTTGCTGGCCTTCTCCTTTCTTCCGGTAATCATGCTGATTAGCTTCTTCATGATCCTCCCACAAGGCCCCTTGCTGGCATCCACGGCCAAGTCGGGTGGGTACGAAGCAATAGATAATGACGAGGAAAATGAGGGCGACAATCACGGTGTTTCTGTTGTTGAAGAAGACCTGGATGTTCGCGTCGCAGAGAACGAAACTCTCCTGTCTTCATCTCTGCATTCTGCTTCAGGCCGCAGCTTCACATCCACGAACGGCGGCCCTGTGAAGTCCTCATTCCGCGGCTTCCAAGCCAACCTCAAGCGTGCACAAGGCCTCTTCTTCCCATACATGCTTCCTCTGCTTCTTGTCTATATTGTGAGTTCTTCCCGTGAATATTGTCTCCAACCTCGAGAATTTCCACGTGCAACCCAAATAATTAACCATATACAAACGGGTTTAAACAGGCCGAATACACAATCAATCAAGGCGTAGCACCAACGCTCCTCTTTCCACTCTCCTCCAGTCCCTTTGACGCCTACAGAAACTTCTACCCAACCTACAACGCCATTTACCAAATCGGCGTCTTCATCTCACGCTCCTCCACCCCATTCATTCGCATCCACCATCTGTACCTCCCTTCCCTCCTCCAAGTCGCTAACCTCGCCTTCCTCACCCTCCACGCTCTCTTCGACTTCATTCCTAGCTTCTACATTGTCTGCATCGTCGTCTTCTGGGAGGGTTTGCTGGGCGGCTTGGTATACGTCAGTACGTTTGCGGAGATCACCGATAACGTGCCCAGAGAGGACCGGGAGTTCAGTTTGGGTGCGACTAGTGTCAGCGATTCGGCCGGTATCTGTATAGCTGGGTTTCTGGGTATGGCGTTTGAGGTTTGGCTGTGTAATTGGCAGGTTGCTCATGGGAGGGAGTATTGTAAGATGCGTTGAGCACCTGAGTGAAATGATGTTTGCCTGTAGCTTGTGATATGTTTGCTTTCTGAAGATGACTTTGCGGTGCGTATTGCATATACATATGAATACATATATAGAAACTTGTAGACAATACTTTGGTCCCAATCAATTCGGCTGAGAGAACTCGGTAAGGGCTGTCCACGATGCGAAATAATGTTGTCTAGAAAGCGACGCATGAGTATTGAGATATGGTGAGATTTGCAGTCGATTAGTCTCATTACGTCGCCCACTACCCATCAAATGACAACTAACAAAAAGCCTTCTACAAGCAACGAAATAGTTATCGATTGATATCTGACGCATTCCATTCCGTCCGTCTAGCTAGAATACACTATCCGCTCGCACCAATCACAATCGGGCTCCCCCGTCTTTTTTTCCTCTTCCTATATTTACAAAGAGTCCTTGAGTAGCTTGTTCATCTTGGCCATCTTGGAGGAGACGGAGAGGTCGATGGTGCGGTCGCCAATCTCGACGACGAGGCCGCCCTTGATTTCCGGGTTGACCTTGGACACCACCTTGAGCTTCTGGCCCTGTTGCACGTATTGGGACTTGCTGACGGCGGATTCGAGACGGCTGATGGTACGGTTGTCGAGAGGCTACAAGATTGTCAGTCATTGTCCATGGAACCCCTTTCATTTCTCCCACGAGGAGGGTTGGAGATCCCATGTTTCCCCAACAAAAAATGTGATGGACATACCGCGGCACTGGTGACGGTCAATTCGATCTCACCCCTGTACGCACTCATGAGTTCGCTGAACTTCTCTACAACACCCTCCAAAGCACCGAGCCTGTTGTTGAGGGCAAGAGTATCCAAGAAGTTCTTCACGACGCCCTCCTTGTCCGCGCTACCGATGTGCTTCTGGAGCTCAGCGACGATCTGCTGCTTGTCGGACACGGTAAGGGTGGGGGCGCTGAGGACGGTGGAGAGCTTGGGGTCCTTCTTGAAGACGCTGGAGAGAGTCTCCAATGACTTGGCGGTGGGTTCGAGAGTGCTGGTTTTGGCGGCCGCGGTGTACTGGGAGAAAAATTGTTAACACAAGGTCTCAACGGCCCTTTCCATTCCGCATCATCGAAACTTGGGGTGCAATCGACCCAATTGGAGGTACAGAAGACGTACAAGGGCGCTGGCATAGGTTCCGTCAACACCAAAGAGCGCAACGGGAGGCTTGGTGGAAGCGCCGCTGGGTGCAGCGGCCTGGGCGTAGCTTCGGGTTGCGACGACACGGGCGGCAATTGGGGCGCGAGGCGCGCCAGCGCGGAAGGCCGAGGTGAGGGCCCGGGAAGTGAACATTTTTTCAGGGCGAGAGGAGATGGTAGACGATGGGTGGGAGCTCGGAGGGGGTAGGCCAGTGATGCGTGGTTGCTGAAGGAGTGAGGTTTCGCTGCCGGAGGGCGATTATGTGAGCTAGCCGTCTTGGGACTGGCCCATCTTCACCACCATTGACGAGCTCACGGACTCATGGAGCCTCCATCTACACAGCTTCACAGCCTTGGAGTATCTGCAGGTATGCCGCCTAAAGACACAGGCTAGCGATATAGCACACGCTGTCGCCTTTACCTAGGTAGTGTGTTATACGATGAGGTATTTTACCTATCACTCCCGTGCTATTCGCATGTGGATCTTCCCGGATTCCAGAAAGCAGTCATGAACAGGGTGATAGAGGGTTTGTATCGCTACGATGCTCGCACATCCATCTCCGATTCAATCTTTTGATGGTCGCTCATGCTGTTCATCTGCCCTCATCTCTGCTTGCTAACTCGACATGTGTTGTATCTGGGTCGCTCGGGGGAACAGGCACTTTGAACACCATCACTGTTGTCCTGAGTTCACCTCACTTTCACATTCACCTTTTCTCACTTATCTACCTCGCCAACTAATTTCTTTTTACTGTCTTGCGCTGTCTTTTCTCTTACTCCCATTCCAACTCCCGCTCCCTCTCCCGCTCCTGCTGGTCACCACCATACTCTTCAACTACACAAGCACACACAACGCTATTCGCTCTTTGGGAACCCAATATGGCTGGCCCTTCCAAACTCTCGACGCCACCGCCCCGAAGACTTGGTGTAGCTTATATGACACCTCCTTCGACTGGAAAGAGGGCAATGTCAGATGAGCTGCAGGTGAGCCGCAAACGCTTCCAGGCAGCTTTTGACGAGGTCGCTTCCTTTGGAGAATCGGACACGGACACGGAGGATAACTCAGAGAACAACTGGGTAAACCTATCTGACTGGCATTCCGATAGCTCCAGCAACTGCGTAACGTCTGCCAAGTCACTCGACCCCCTATATCTTGTCACACCCAAGGACCATGGCTCCATGCAACCTGCCGACAAGCCCTTCGATTTCATGGGATTGCCATTGTCAATTCGTCAGCGCATCTACAACATGGTACTAGTTGTCCCAGCCATTATCTGTGTTCGCCAAAAGCACGTGGCCTACAGCAATGCAAAGTCGTCCTTGCTCTATATCAAGCCCGAAGATCGTCGACTCCTCCCTGGCATTGCATACGCCCTGGCAAAATTCACTGTGGACGGTACAAAATTCCGGTACTCGCGATTCTCCTCTGCCAACATCAGCATGCTTTGCGTATCTCGCCAGATCCATTCAGAGGCAAAGTCAATTATGTATAGTCAAAACAGCTTTGAAATCATCGCTCCATTCTCCGAGATGAGCCCAGCTGTCGACTTCAAGATTCCGCTGTTTCCCCGCCACTACCAGAAGCTCGTCCAGCGTCTTGTAATCTCTGTACGCGGAGGTTACTGTATGCGATGGCTTCTTTCTAGCGGTCACGGTCACGCTGAGGTCAAGAAGGCATACCCTGCTCTTCAGACTCTAACGGTCATCTTTGAACTGGAGAGTACGAACAGGGGCGTGGGCCGACGTTTGACTAAGGAAGACAACGAGCGTTGGGGACTATACGTGAAGCGCCTCCATGGGGTCTTGAACGATGAGCTCTCCGTCGTCAAGAATATCCCCATTTGGATCAACATGCGGGTTCTCTTCGACGGTGAACGATACGTCGAGGCCCTGGAGCTGCAAAACAACAGCATGACTGACGGCCCACTTCTCCGGACGGCATCAGCCAACGGAAAACAAGACGATGGTGAACAGGCCGCTCGTCAGGCCCTGAAGCTCGGTCTGCCTCAGGCCTTCGAGTTATTCAAGAAGGGGGGTCGTTGCGAGCGATCCTCCGCCGAAGTTCACTGAGCGCACTTAGTTCGCGACTGCACCACTCCATAAGAACACTTTCCTGAACTTGTATAACATATGCTCCATCTACAAGAAAGCGGCACGTAGTTGCGGATTGGCTTCTCTGATAGCATCCGAACCCTTGATTTCTGGACCCTCGATTTCTGGACATCACACCCTCTCTCTCCTGGTCAATTTGATATCGGTTTTGCGAGTCGGCCATGCTTGAGCGACGGCCTGGAGGATTGTCTTTTTTGTCTCTTTGAAGATTGGACAGCGCATGGCTATCTATACACCGTTAGCCAATCTTCTGGTCTCATGTGGCGTATCATGGTAGACCTTGTGCCAAGATGGATTTGGATCGGTTTTAGTTTAGCCTGGGCGCAGAGTATGATGGATCAAATTAGTCACTGGATGGATTCTCAGGTCAAAAGTTTCTGGGCGAGGCATTCATGTCACTTGGTCAATCTACAAGTCAGTCTGATGGATTGCTCTTCGTATCCATGAGGCATCCAGTATGAAGGGTTATAACAGTAATGAATAATAAGCATTTTTTTAGCGTCTGGATAACTCTGACAAGACTATTGATCGCTAAGTTGAATACGCTGTGGTGCTTTCCACATACGTCCAAGATTGATCCAACGTGACACAGATGCATTGGATTTCTCTCTACACATGCCCATACCACACAGATAGCAAAGAGACCATTGAAAAGCACATCACTGAAATGTGAACCCATGATTCATAAGCTCGTGGTATCTAGAAGCGGCATACTATTGCCAGTCCATTCGGAGAACTATGCAGACCAGATACGTGAATAAACACCCATTTTGACCGGACCGATGCACCGAAATATTCCCCAAAACAATCCCTTACTTCCTGAGAGCACGGGAGTAGAAAGCAAGCTCCTCGCCTTCCAAGATGTAACCATCAAGACGACCGCTCTGGCCGGGCCTGGAGGCAACGACGGCGTAGAGACGACCAGCCTCGAACTGCTTCTCAACAGCGTTCTCGATCTTTCCGGAGGTCTTGACACGCTCAGCCTGCTTCTTCTGGATGCTGTTCGACTTCTTCTTCTCCTCCTCTTTCTCGCCGGTCTTGCTCTGCTTCTTGCGGCCGAGCTGGGTGCCGTAGTGGGCCTCGTACCACTGTCGGAAAGGAGCGGCATCGATCTGGACGACGGCGGACTTGGTGAGAGTGTTGGTACGGACGAGTTCGTTGTTGGAGGGGTGGTACACGACACCAATCACACGGGTCTTGCGGGCAATGCCCTCAGAGCCCCATGAGAAGTTGCCGGAGTCGAGACGCAGAGCACGGAACTTGCGGTTGCCGCCGCGTGTGCGGACAAGATGGATACGCTTAGCACCAATACGAGTATTGGCGGGTTGGCGACCCTTCTCGAAAGCCCTAAAGCCATGTCAGACATGACTGTAGATGCGATCGGGTTATGCATACCTCTTCTTGCGGTAGTATGCCCTCTTAGCACCAGAGGCGGAGCGCTTGTGGCGAGAGTCGCGTGAGATACTGTGAGGTGTTAGCTGCTGCAGAAGTCTGAAGAATAGGAATGGAGATACCCCATGATTGCGGCTGGTTAGAAGAAGACTGTTGGGCAAAGTCAGCGATTGTCCATCGAAGCATTGAAATGTCTGATTGTACGAATGGACCGCTCCAGGGCTGTTCCCCCCTCATTTCCGTTCGGTCGTTGGACACCAAGATCGAATTTTGTGATATCGCGAATTCGATAGTCATGGAGTGACCGCAACGAGGCAGAGGAGAGGATGACCGAGGAGCGTTTTTCATTTACTATACATGACTGTGATTCAGAGTCGAGCTGATCAAGACATACCTGGTGTTGGGCCTTCTGTCGCAATCTGCAGTTGTCGTGGGTTGAGCTTGTCGAAAGTCGAAGTAGCGAAGTTGCTCAAGTCCAAATTTCGGTGGGCTCGCTTAACGTTCCGCGCTAATACTGCCTTGGCGTTGGCGCGTGCACCACACCTTCACCTCCACCAACATCATGTACTTGGTGCTCACATCGAATGGAAATGCAGATTACGCTTTCGACTCGCCGTTGGGTTCAGTCCAACAACTCAATGCCACCTGTACTGTGGACGTTGCCTTGGCTTTCTTCGGATTACTCACAGCCATCATTGCGGGCACAGCATCTCCTGCATTGAATTCGATGATTGAACGCACTCATCAATATCATGAATCGTCTGAAATCGAACCAAGGGGACGGTGTGTATTTGGATACCCCCGGAAAGCAACAATATTGAGCACACGATGCTTCATAAGATGCGTCTGACGATTTCGAGGAACCGGTTTATTGTTCTGCAATGCATTGTCCCCTGAGGCGAGCATGCACCTTCCACTTACAAACTATGCGTCTCTGCATACTACTGCTGAGGAACATTGGAAATGCCTAAGAAAGAGCACTAGCGAAGTTTGCCTCTGATCGATCGAACGAACTTTGGCTTCTTCCCCATTGCATGCTGCCCTTTCAACTTGTAGAGTCTTCGACGCCCAGGCTGCTGAGCAACCGGTTGATTACCTGAACCCTTGTACAGTTCAGTGCGCTTTCTACATACCCGACTAGCCACGGAAAGTAGTGTACATCACCTATGCCACATGACCTGGACACATCTATGCGTCCACAACTTCAACGTCTTTCAAAGCTGTCTTGTACCTGGCATAGGCCAACTGCGCAATGGTACTCACCAAAGCTTACACGTACAGGTGTATGCCAACAAACTCTTCCATTATCCGCTATCCCGTGTTTCCGTCCGACTGCTATGGTTCCACAGCACCATGCAACAATCATTTCATCCACAACGCCCAGATCGAACCAGGAATCTTCCGGGACCACGGAGTTTGCCATTGCCATGAATGTGCTCACTCACCCGCCTTTTCCAGACTAGCTCTGCAGTGCTTTCAACTCACGATACACCGCCAGGGTGCTTTCGCTTAATCAACGTTGGTGGCTTGTAAACAGGCAATGGACGTATCACACGACGAGCATTTTCGTCTACAATTTATCCCGTGCAGCTCGACCCATTACACTTCCAACCAGGCTCCAATCAAGACCGTGCATCTGGCGGAGCTTACCCTAGGCTAATCATCGACAATATACGCAATATGTATACAAAGCGGTTCTCGAATTTCAGTCACTCTATACCTGCCGTGGTTGCGAGGACCGACGAGTTTTGCAGAGACGCCTTTTCATACTCTTTAATTGCGAGCTGATGACTAGAGCGTCCTTGGGTAATGAGAATCCTTCTTCGCAATCCCTTATCCTACATCTATACAGCCCGTGTCCCTCTCTGTACACGCTGCGTCCTCTGCCGCCGTCATCTCCGTCTCGACCATCACACGCGCTTCCAGAATGTGCGACTCCCGTCATTGGAATGGGTTACAACCTCCTGTACGCTCAGTGTACCGGGCCACACTGTACATATGGATGATGTGGGCCCACGTAGCAGCCGGTACGGTCCCGAACGCGGCTTCATGCCATTCTTCCGCCTCTGTGTTGTAGTATTTCTAACCCAAGTATAGCAAATGACAAGATCGCGGCAGCACCAACGTCCAGCACTACTCATGTTGCTCTCATACCCTCGGCGCCAAGTATGTAATTGATGTAGAAATCGCAAGAGCAGAGTGGCTAACCAAGAGCTCGATATATGTAGGACCTCTTGGTCTCATCCCGCCCGAGTCCGCGGATGTGCAGTCAATCACACCTCCACAAACGGGTTTGATCCCCTCTCAATCTCGCCCGCCTGTACTTATTCCATCACAACCTCAAACCTTCATCATAACGTCTCAGGCTGGGCCTCCCTCAGCACTCCCACAATCAACATTACGGGAGCCAGGCGGAGGCATAATTCCTTCCGCGCCTCCATCCTTAACCAACCTGCCACCTTCTTCGATAATCTCATCGGGACCTATTATATCCTCCAACGCGACTTCTTCTGGTTTCCCAAATGGGAACTTCACAGGCCCGGTGCCGTCCATGCCGACCTCCAGCGATCAGGCATTGAAACCCATACCTGCGCCTTCAAGTGATCCTGGTTCTCCAGACGGACACCATGAAATCCCCGAGCCCGGTCTTGTAGGACCTTGCCGAAACTGTAACCCAGATATGCAACTTCCAGCTACAGGCTTCAATGATGGTCCGTCGAGTAATTTACCAACTAGCTCTCCACATGTTATCGCGGAGCCCCAGCAAAGCCCCGCGCAGCCCAAGAGCCCCCAAGGACAAGTTACGATTACCGTGGGCCCTTCTAATGTCGTTATTAGACCATCTCCAACAGGACAGGGCAACGGGAATAGTGGCGAGAGTGGTGGCGATGGCAGCGGGGGAGGCGGTGGCGGAGGAGGGACTGGTGGTGGCGGTGTTACTGGGGGAGAACCAGGAAGAGAAAGCGATGACAGCAGCAGTGGTGAAGATATCGACTTCGTCATCGGTGATTCTGCGACTGTCCGACCTGGGCAAACGATCACCATCGAGAACACTCCTATCGTGATTCAAACAACCGCTGGACGCACGGAAGTCATTCTTGGCGGTACACAGACCATACCCTTCGAAAGGCCCGCACAAGCTCTCATCACCAACCCACCTTCTGCCCCTCTTCCTGTGGCCATCGACTCTCAAACCCTCACACCCATCTTCGATTCTAATAAGAAGCCTAGCGAGCAAACACCGACCGCCTACGTTATTCAAGGTCAAACACTGGTTCCAGGCGGTAAGGCAATAACAATCCAAGGGACGGTGTTCTCACTTCCTACCACACCAACTGCAATCGTAGTGAACGGACAAACCACCACCATAACCCCAGCCTACGGCGCCGTCATCTCAACAACAACAATCCCTCTACTCACACTGTTCCAATCGACATTCACCGCCAACGCAGCGGGGAACTATGTTATCGCGCCTGGGACTACGCTTAGACCGGGTGGAGAGGCCATCACGGTGTCAGGTACTGTGATCAGTCTGAAGCCTGGAAACACGGAGGTTGTGGTCCAGGGTAGCACAAGTCAAATGGTGCCGGCCACTACGGTGGTCACGGTGACAAGAAGCGGGGGAAGTGTGGGCGGAGGCGGATTTGGTGGAGAAAATAACAGTCCGTCAGGAAGTGCTGCTGAGATGCTGCCATACCCTGCAGGCGTTGGGAGAATGAGTGTATTGGGTCTAGGACTTGGTGGTCCATTGGAAGGGGTCTTTGCTTTGGGAGCTGTTACAGTGGGTTGGTTGGCTGTTTGGCTATGATGTCGGCGTGGTGAGAAGAGACGAACGTGTACCATATATACCCCTCGGCCGGTGTCTTTTGGGCGTTTTTTTTTTCTTTGCGGGTTAAGCGGAGAACTTTGATAGCGTTGAAACATTGAAAAACAAAAGGAGTTTTTGCATCCGTTGATCATAGAGGGAATCTTTGGTAGGTATTGACAGCATTGGAATAATAGGATGCATTTATTTGATTTTGCTCCAAGGAACCTGGTCAATGCGATCTATATCGTGCCCTTTCAGTTTCGATTCCAAATCAGCGTAATGGCTATCCCCTTATCTCAACCTCTGCAGCCTTGACATGTTCCACAGTCGTCCTCCCCAACCCTTCTCGCGCATAAAAGTCCATTGGATACAGATTTCTCCGCTCCTTCATCTCTCCAGTACCCTCCTCTTCATCCAACCAGGGCGCATCTTTAACACCCAGCGCAACAAGCGCCTCATACGGGCTCAAGAGGGGGCGCGAAAACGCATACCCCCAATCAATACTCAATCTGGGACACGCAATCTGCACCCAGGCCTCTACGTCCGCCATCATGGCTAATTTACCGGGAAAGATCTCGGACAATAGCAAATTAACGCTCTTCAAGCCCTGGCGCTTCAGTTCGTTCTCAATGAGCGTCAGAGTGTGGGGGTTCCCCTGTCGCCCAAGAGAACCGAGAATAATGCCCCACGTGCGCGCTTTCCGCGCTGTCAGAATCGCCGTACGGCGGAGTGTGTAGAGAGACGTGTGTTCGTAAGTCTCGTGTGTTAGACGTCGGGAGTATGGGTCGTACCGATAGGCGGGCAAAGAAGGGTTGGCTATCATAGCACTCTCGAGGTGGAATCTCCCATCGCCGAGGTAGAGAAGGAGATCGGGCACGGGCTCCTCTTTCCCTTTGGAATCTAGTTGACCTGGTTTTATGGCCATGGCTGGTGAAGTGCAACCCAAGATCTCGCCTTTGGAAAGTGGTGCGATCTGAGGCACAATAGGGTTATAACCTTCGCGGCGAAGCGTGGAGACTACGCCGTGGAGGGTCGAATTGAACTGTATAGTACCGACTAACGCTATTGTTTTCCCGGTAGGAAAGTTTTGTGTTATAGTGTTAAGGAGATGCTGCGTGTCGATTCCAATGGAGACGAAGATGTAGAGTGTTTGGATTTTGGTGACTGCCACAGGGATCAGGCAGCTGTGTGCGTAGTGTATCAGTAGATCGCATCCCAGCGCGCGGGCGGTGAAGTCGTCAATACAACATGCGCCGTATGTTACGTCCCCCATGATGAGCGTTGTTATGCCGGGGCAAAACTGCGTCAAGATGTCTGATATGGTGGTCGCAAACAACAGCAAACCCTCAGGGAATTGAAGTGCAATAGACTTCGCCCCCGAAGTGCGTATTCGGTGTATACATTTGTGGATTTCGAAATTGTAGTTGGGAGGGAGGAGGGATATGGCATCGTTGATGTCGGCGTCGTGAAGAATCGAGTCGGGGATTGAATTCAGCGCGCGGGCAGTACGACGAGGTTGTGCCACTATGTAGATCGAAGGCTGTTAGTTACAACTGGATCTCGCATCCCATGAGCTATGGGACGTCGCACACCTTGTATCGCGCTTGAATCTTCGATGCTTGCATTTGGATCGGCGGGTTTCGTCGACGCCTCTGCCGCTTTTCTTCCTACAAAACGTCGCTTTGGTTGCCTGGGAACATGAATAGGCTCATCCGGGATCCCCTCATCGACTGACGGCCCAAGATTCGTAGCGGCTCGATCGTCTTCCATTTTCGGCGCGTGTAATTGAGGCGTGTCGCGGGGTTGTGGTGGGATGGTGGGGCGAACTCGGGAAAAAGTTCGTAGGGCTGAAGCTGAGCTCAAGGCGACGCGAACCACTTAGCTTGTAGACTCTATGAAAGAGCCTTGGATCGGTGATGCACATCTTTCCAGCCTCCTCTGAAGTAGGTGGTGATGTAGTTGATTATTCTGGATATCCAACTCATTTGACGATGGCGTTCATGCCCGGGTGATAGCGGATGTATCAATTGATCTAAACCATGGTACGCGGGTGAAGTTGGGTATAAACATTTGAAGAGCACGCAGGATTTTCACTGCTTCCTCTTCGAATCCATTAACATTAACCCACCGTTTTGAATTTCAGACTATTCCGGCTGTTGTGCATGCTCTTATCAACGGGTATCTGAGGTGCGATACGCAAGCACGTGGGTTCGCCAATTGGCGCTAAGATTTCGACATTCCAATCTTCGTCTCCGCTCGCGTCGCAACCATCCACTCCGGGCACCATCGAGTGCTGCCGCCATGGCGGACAACCCAAAGAAACGGGAGCATGCTGGAGGCAATGGGCCGCCCTCTAAACGACCTCGATTTCCCTTCAACCCGAACCACAACATCCGCACTACACCCACCAACACAGCCTATCCCAATGGCGAGATCAACGTCCGAAACTTTCTCAAATCGCACGAGAACGAGATCAAATCGCTCGAAAATGCGATGCAAGCCGCCAAGAAAGGTCTGAATCGCCGGGCTTTTCAAAATGTCCCCAGAGGCTTGCGGAGGAGGACGGCGAGTCACAATCCACAGCGTGTGCCGAAGCGGCTGAGGACTCAGGCTAAGAGAGAGATGAAAGAAGACAACACTCCAATCAGCAAAGGAGCCAGCGGTATTGGCAAGAGCAGGAAGAAATGGCTGCGGAAGGATGGAATAGAAAGGAGCAGGCAGGCTTGGGACAGAAGAGCAAAGAGGCGCAAGGAGAAAAAGGAGCCATCTGTTACTGTCGAGCCTATGGAAGGCGTGGAAACGGAAGGTGGACGGACAGAACCGCCAACCGCGCCGCGCACGAAAACCAGAACCACAACTACAGCCGATCCGAAAAGCATTGCTTTTTCAGCATTAGCAACACCAGAGATTCCGCCATCACGGTTTCGTCGCCGACAAATAAACAAGACTTGGCTACCGACTCACGTATGGCACGCGAAACGGGCTCGTATGACCCCTCCAGCGAACCCACTTTGGGGCTTCTCGATACCGCTCGTGCAGAACGAGAAAGCATATCGTTCTGCATACCACGCAAAGTCCAAGGGAGCTCTTACGTGTGATACGAGTTACATGGCCACATTAAGCTTGAAAGGACCGGAAGCCAGCATTTTGGGGCTTTTGAAGGCCCTCCATTTCGCTGACGAAGATGACGAGGATCCCTGGGCAAACCATGGCAAGTGGAAGAAATGGCGGAATGGCACACGAGCATGGGAAGGATGGCTGTACGAGAGACAAAGTGAACCCCTCTCAGCGACTGCCCTTGTCACTGTTATATGGTGCGTTCAAGAGTCGGATAGCAACACAAGGAGAGTTTTCATTCGGGTCCATCCAGGCGCCTTTCATCAACTTTGGAACACAGTAATCAGAGTTTCTAAAGTCCAAAAACCTGCCGTCATAGCAGAGGATCTTCGTTTCGAGATCGGATCGATTGAGATCACGGGAAGGGCAGCCCATGAGACGCTTTGCTCAATTCTCCACCCTCGTGTACCTCCCGATATGTCTTCACAAACCCCCGACGCGCTTTGGCAATCGCTTGCTACAATCGCCACCCCCGACGACTTGCCGTCCGGGGCCCTGGTTGCTTTTCCAATCACTGATCCTCGCCTCCGCGACCCACCATCAGCTTCCTCTCTCTCTTATGATGCGAGTGCGCAGGATGCTTTAACAGAGACCCTCGCACAATGGCCTATCGATACAACTCAGACTGTTGCAACGGTTTTTGACCGCAACTCAAGACTTGCTGCAGCACGATCTCTTCAATCTCAACAGTCTATCAACCGCAGGAAATCACCATGCACGAAAGGAGAATATCCAGACCCACGCTCGAGTGATCCACATATCCCGATGTTGACCTATGCGTCGAGGAATAGGAAATCGTGGACCGTCCTCCTCCCCTGGAAATGTGTACCTCCCGTTTGGCAGGGTATAATGCGGTACCATCTTTCGACCGGAGAGAACCCCCTGCCCTGCGGGCTCAAAGAGAGCCGAGACATTCAGTTCATGGAGTCGATTCCCAACTTCCCTTATGATTTCCCTGGCACAGTTGCTGGATGGGATTGGGAGATGAAGGAGCGAGCGGCCAGAGAGCATGAGTGGAAGAAACGCCCGAAAGGGAAGAGGATCGAGTGGTCCACGATTGATCTTGGAAATGGGAGACGGGGTGAAGTTGGGGATCCCTGGGCTTGCGCCTGGGAGAAGCTCTGTTCAAAAGAACATAATGATTTGTTGACATGTGAGATTCCAAATTCGCCGCGACCTTGTTTTCGCCAGCTTCCGTCTCAAGATGCCTCCGCTGTGCTCAAAAAGAAACCCATCGCGTCCAGCATTCTGGACCATAATTACCTTGTCACGGTCAAAATCACCATGAGCAAACGGGGTACGCCTACGGACTGCGCTCGCATCTACCGACTTCCAACGAACAACTCTGACTTACGAAATAAATGGCTGTCTCTTGTTTCGAAGGACGGTTCCGTCAGAAATCCTCGGCCCATGCCGAAGGAAGACCACGATTCTCGCAGCAAAGTCTTTGGAAAACGTGGTCGACGTCAGAAGCTTGCAGAGAATCTCCTCCAGCCGGCACCGAAAAAAGAAGACGATTACCCGTCCGTGCCAGATGAAGAAGATCTGATAGGATTTGTTACAACTGGCAACTATAATCTTGCCGAAGGTGTACCTACAGCTATCGCAAATTTGATGCTTTCCAGAGTCTTCACAAACAATAGCGAAGGCCTGAGCAGGGATGACACTGTGTGCATCGTCCGGGAGGCTGGACACACAATAGGACGTCTGGCGACATGGGAATCTGTGTGACGATGTGAATTCAATACATCTTTACCAGGGTGGGTCTACCCTTGGATCAGCTATCAATACTTATTAAGGGCTTTAATTCATGCCTGGATCTTATTAGCATTCTATAAAAACCATGGTGAGATGCTATTTAACAGGGTATCAAAGGAGAAAGAGCAGTTAACACCCTATCCTCCGTCCCCTGTAATGTAGTTGTCAAAATACAGATATGTTGCAAATTTCGCGTTCGCACTTCACGTAGCAATCTTTTCCAAGCCTCTAGGGGCATTCACCATGTGTAGAGTCTTGTTCGTGACTTTCGTGAATCTTTGCAAGTGCCTTGCCACAGTCTCGTGTGTTTGAAAATAGATCTGCGACGGTTGGTCGTGTGCACGGTGGAGCGTGGCCTTCGGTAGCAGCCAAGGTGTCGGTAGGTAGTGGCTTACGCTAAGGCTTTAACTCCGAGCCTCCTTCTCGACAACCGTTGCACGTCTGCTCAACCTTGAACCGTACAAATAACCACGACGCTGGATAGGCAGACGATAGACGGCCGCGGCTCAGCACTATTATGTCTGAGGACCGATCGGCCGACGGGAAAGATGGAGGGGAAGGGGCTGAGGTGAAGCTGCCACCCGGTGCGCTGGTTGAACTGGTAAGCAACGCTGGCTCGCGCTCATTCATTCTCCCTGCCGGCGCAGAGCCTCCAGGGGTTGCGGAATTCAATTGCATCGCTAACAGCGTCGCGTGTATAGACTGAAGATGTTCTCGATGAGTGTATAGCCAGCATAGTACACCACACTGTGTTGTCATGTCATCGCTCCGAGAAGCTGCTCCGCATGCAGTCAGCGGCCACTCAGGCTGAGTCGCTGGCACTCGCCAACCTCGAACCGCAATCGCAGAAGAACGCGAGTAACAGTCAACCAACCGTCCCCGCTGCCGATACGCCTGCCGCCAAATACGAGAACGGGCGTGTGATCTTGAAGGGGAACCCGCTCAAGACGACACCCGAAATCATATGTCCACACTGCAAGTTACCGCGATTAATGCATCCCATCATGGGCAAGGGCATGCAGAATCCCGATCTCACCAAGGAGTATTGCATGCTCTATCCCTGGGTGCAGAGGCCCGGTCACGATGTATTCGGCAACCCGTTTCCAACTGACATGGCTAAGAGCAAGAAGGAGCGCGAGCTGATGAAGCAACAACAGAAAAATCAAGAGAAGGAGAGCGTTGGCACACCAGGATCTCAGGACACAGATATGGCCGGAGGAGATGGAAGTAAAGAGATCAAGCTCAACACAGGCGGAAAACCCGCGTCGTATATTCCTTGGCACACATGCCCCAACTGCAAGCGCAGTTTACTCATCACACGATTCGCCCAACATTTGGAGAAATGCTTGGGTATTAGCGGCCGTCAGAGTTCTCGAAACGCCATGGCAAAGCTATCGGGTCAGAATGGTAATGGCAGCGGTGTTGGCAATACTCCGCTAGGAAGTCGAATGGGCACGCCAGCGCCTGGCTCGCAGAATGATGCCGCAGTAGCCAAAACCAAAGGAAAAGGTATTAGTCCGGTGAAAAAATTGGGCGCCGGTGCCGACGACGACGACGAAGGCGAGAACGATACTCCCGATAAAAAGAAGAAGAAGAAGAGCACATACGTCAAGAAGGCGGACCGGGAAAAAGGGGGCAAAGACAACATCAAAGTGAAACTCAAGACTAACAATACGGACCGTCGGCAGAGTGAAGGCACTGAAAAGTCGGACGGGAAGCGAGAGCGTGAAGGTGATTCGATCGATTCGGAGAACGCGCCCAAGGCGAAAAAGATCAAATTATCCCTGGGAAAATCTGGGAGTCCACCGGCTGCTGCACCACCAAGTGCCGCAGTGCAAGATTGACAGCACTTGCAATCACGGACTAGACCAGCGTAATTTTTGCCGGCCACGAGAGAGGGCACTCTTGCATCATTAGGCGTTTTGGGATACCAGGGACATCAGCCAGATAAGGCGTGGATTGAGGACGTACATGTTATCTTCTGGAGCCCTGGAAATGGAGCCTCGCACTGCGCATCGGAAAGCGCGATGTGGAGGCAAGATTCTGGCGTTTATAACTTTTTCTCGGTGATTCTATGATCACCTGGTCCTTAGGCCTACGTCAGCAGTTTCGTTTGGATAAGGGGCGGCGGCCAACATTGTTTTTATAAGGCCGTATCTCGGTTACTACTTTTCTTTCGTACCTGTTGTCGTTTTTCCCCTTCTACATATTCCCCTCTTGTTTCTTTCTTTCTTCGTACTTTCGAGAAGGGGAGGAAAGGTAGCATTATTGTGTATTATTTCCACATCTTACATGATGGAGTTGTCATCCGATACACGACTGCCCACGAGTAATAATATTATCGGGAAATGTAAGATTTCCATAACGTAGACGTCTTGATAAGGAGCCAACAGGTGATCAAACGCCAAATCCAAAGCAATCTATTTGCAAAATTGTTTACTAATCTAGAACGATACTCCAAAACCTTAGCCTCTAGACTCTCCGTCGTCCTCTTTTCTAGCAACTTCGTCATCGCGATCCCACACCTTGATGCCAGCAACCCATGTCTGCAGCACGTCCCCCTCCTCACTCACTACGCACAAATCCGCCCTCCGACCTTCCCTCAAAACACCGCGTCCGCCTACTCCATCAATGCCCATGAAGCCAGCTACGTTCTCCGTCACACTGGCCACAGCCTCGGCAATGCCGCACCCGCTCCACTCCATGAGGTTCCGCACGCCCTGCTGTAAGGGGATACATCCACCGATCAGCGTGTCAGTGCCAGCAATCGTAGCTCTAGTGCCGCTCTTCGTCTGCTCGAAGGGAATCTGCGCATGGCCTGGGTAAGTCCCATCAGGAAGAGAGGCGAGCTCAATGGAGTCGGTGATGAGGATTGCACGGGCGGGGTTGGTGCGGTGCAAGAAGGAAACGGTAGCTGGATGGAGGTGTTCGCCATCCGGGATAATCGTGTAGTATGGAGCGGGCGGGTTCGTACTACTTTCCGTAGAAGTACGCGGTAGAGAGATCAAACCCGCAAGACCCGGGGCACGCGAGGTCAAAGGCGGCATGGCGTTGAGGGTGTGGGTTAGACATGTTGCGCCAGCTCTGAGACCAGCCAGTCCATCTGCGTAGGAGGCGGTGGAGTGGCCTAGGGACACACGAATCCCTGTGCTGGCGAGGGATTGAATGAGGGATGATGAGGAGGCGAGTTCGGGTGCGACGGTTGCGAGTTTTACGGTTGTGTTGAGGTTTGTGGTGCCGTAGACTGATGCGGCTGGGGTGTTGCAGGCTTGGAAGAGGGAGGAGTTGTGGGCGCCTTTTTTCGTCGGGTGGAGGTAGGGTCCTTCGGTGTGGGCGCCTAGGAGGGATGCTGCGTTTGGGATGTCGCGGGGAGCGAGGGATGGGAGGATCTGTGGGGGTGAGGTGGAGATGTTAGCGGTGTGGTATGGAGATGGGATGAATGGTGGGGGATCATGTAGTTCTTCCCCTCTTTTCTTTTCTGCTCTATTCTCAACGGCACTTCCCAATGGTGTCTGATTCAATGGGCTTGATGCTCAAGATGGATTTCCCAAACGAGTATACACACCATCTGGAATTCTTCGGGCTTGACCGTGGGGATGGTGGCCCAGAAACCGGTAACGCCTTGAGTAGCATAATATTTGGCGATGCCATCTACATTTTGCTTATAGGTTTCCGAGTCGGTGAAGTGAGTAAAGTGGAAGCCATTGGCGCCATTGGTGTGCAATTCCAAAAAACCAGGAGCAATGATGTTGTCTTCAAGATCGACGGCCTCGCCGCCAATGTAGCCCTCCCTTTTGAGGATGCGGCCTGTCTCGTCGGAGATTACGAGGTGGTCTTCCACGAGCTGGCCATCGAGGATGTAGCGGCCGTTGGTGAAGAGAGTGAACCAGCCAGACATGGCCAAGGTTTAATGCCTATAGTACTAGAAGAATAGCTCGGGCTGTCTGACAGCTGTCGTGGGGAACAAGATGGTGGTTTGGCATGAATCGTGGCGTGGCAGCGCGGGGTTGTCTCCCGACCACCACCAGCACGCACATGAACAAAAGGAAACTCTACGTGTATTTGCACCCCTCCATCCAGCAAGGCCAATACGGCGGGTACCGCGGGTAAGCCCACTGTTTCCAGGCGATCAGAGACATGGTGTAGTATCCCGATCGCCGTAGCCGTGTAGATGAGTTCTCTACCCTTGTACGCAGCCCGCGATAACATGTTTACTATGATGTCAGGTAGTTCAAGCATAGTATAGGATGCAGTGGGGGAGGTCGATAGCCACGATTGAAGCGCCACATCAGCTGTCATCGCACAGCTCTCCACGCAGAACCAACAGCTCAAGATGTCGCTCTGACCTTGTTGTCGGCGAATGCTCGTGTCATCGGAGGCTTGACGCGTCCTCTCGGAGGATCAAAGGCGTGGATCGCGGCCGCGGGCTGTTTAGTATGACATCATCACCAAGCGAGGGCTGCACAGGCGATCACCTATCCCTTCTTTGTGGCGCGCTTCTTCCTTGTTTGCTTAGCATCACAGAAACCAGGGCAGCTGGCTGGCTGTACCGCTCAAAATCTGGTCCTTCGTCCTCTTGGGCCTTGCCCGTCCACAGCTCTCTCACTTCTCCTCCTCGCTTTTTCCTTTCTGTTACCTGCTTGTCCCACAACTCACCAATTGATGCCCGCGCGCAGTGATTGACAAGGCGCGAATTGTGTCAATTTGGCCAACTTGAAGCACCATGGCCGAACAGCACCAGCAGCAACATGCCCCCGGAGGCCACTATTCAGGTCATAATCCTGTCCCTACCGTGAAGAAGTTCATCGAGAACCTGGACAAGGACAAGGTCGATAGAGATCGCAGAATTGATCAGCAGGCCAAGACGAATAAGACTAAAGATCCAAATGCTATTCCTGCGTCGTTAGCAACTGCCAATGGCGAGGCCGTGCCCCACAGACCGCAAAAAGCGGGCATTGAAGGTACTCAGAAATCCGTCACGGATCCTACTACTGGGAAGCAAGTCGTCATTGAGGATGTCGGCGCATCCATGCTGGACCAGGTCGAGAATCCTACACTTTCCGTACCCAATGCCAATCTCGACAAAGAAACGGTAAGCTGAGTTTGATTTCGTAATCTTCTGATTGAGCGCTCCAAATGTCAAGTCATCATCCCACTTACAATCTCGCAGCCTGTCAAAACAGATCCAAGCCAACCGCTGGACGAATACAAATACAATCAGGACATCACAGCTCCACCTGACCCCGTCGCCGAAGGTACTACCTCAGACGTTCCAATCCATGGAGAAAAGACGAATATCCTCTTTCATCCAACCCCGAGCGTTAGTTACGAACCAATGTTCGAGACCCTGGAGAAGAGAGGCACCTTTTTGTCTGCAGCTATCTTTGTGGCGACAGTCATTGTAGGAAAAATGTTTGGGGGTGCTCTCAAGGGGCTCATACCATTGGCCATGTGTTTGTCCTCCGGTGTCTTTCTATGGGTGAAAGAGGTCATCAGGAGCGGTCGCGAGGTTGAATGGCATAGCGAAAAAACCAGGGGTCAACTGGCGACCGCCAATCTGCTTCCAGAATCCGTCGAGTGGATGAATACCCTGTTGTCGATCGTCTGGGGTCTGGTCAATCCTGACATGTTTCAGGGTGTGGCCGACACTCTCGAAGATGTTATGCAGGCTTCTGTCCCTGGTATCATCGAGAACGTACGCGTTGCGGAAATCAACCAGGGTTCCAATCCTCTTCGTATTCTCAGCTTACGGGCCCTACCTGATGACCACATGAAGGAGATGAAGGACTCTATTCATGAGAATAACAAGAAAACCAAGGACCCACAGGAAGCCGCTGCGGACGAAGAGGGAGGCGACTACTACAATCTTGAAGTCTCTTTTGCTTATCACGCAAAGCCGAGTGGAAAGCGAGCATCTGACAAAGCGCGCAACATGCACATGCAGTTGGTTTTCTATCTAGGCGTCAAAGGTCTCTTCGGCGTCCCCCTCCCCATCTTTGTCGAACTTCAAGGTCTCGTTGGGACTGTCCGACTACGACTGAATATGACACCCGAAGCACCCTTCTTGAAGAATCTGACCTTTACTTTGATGGGCACTCCCCAGGTAGAAGCCGGTTGCATTCCCATGTTGGAGAAGGGCCCCAACATTTTGAATTTGCCTCTGATCAGCAACTTCGTCAACTATGCTATCAAGGCTGCAGCAAGCATGTATGTTGCTCCTAAATCCATGTCTATTGACATGCGGGCTATTCTTCAAGGAGACGGTATCCAGAAGGATGTTGAGGCTCTCGGTGTCCTGTGGATCCGTATCCATCGCGCAAAGGGCCTCAGCAAGCAAGACCGTCGTGGTTCAGAGCACGGTGGAAGCGACCCTTACATCACGCTAGCCTTCAGTAAATACGGCAAGCCGATGTATTGTACCCGTGTTATCACCGATGATCTGAATCCCATCTGGGAGGAAACTGCTGCACTACTTGTTACTCCGGAGTTGATCAAAGCCGACGAAAACCTCAGCGTGGAGTTGTGGGATTCTGATCGACACACAGCCGATGATATTGTAGGCAAGATTGAGCTCTCGATGCAGAAGATGATTCAACACCCCGGAAAGATGTATCCCCAGGTCTCTAAATTGGCTGGTATGGATGCTGATAGTGAGATGCCGGGAGAGTTGCACTGGGAAGTCGGCTTCTTCGGAAAACCTCAATTCCGCCCGGCTTTGAGGACCGACGGTAAGAATCGCGCATTGCCCGACGAACTCAAGGACAACCCGAAATTGCAGGATGAGAAGGGCGTCATTAACAGTGAAGAGGATGATGCAGTAATGCACACCCCCCCGGATCCCTTGTGGCCAAGTGGGATCTGCAGTATCATCGTCCACCAAATTGTCAATCTCGAGCTCGACAACGTCAAAGGCACTTCCGGTTCCCGGAAAGGCCGCGAGTTTGAGCCTGCAAAACCATATGGTGAAGCCACCGAGGAGGTTGGGGGTCAACTTCCAACAAGTTATTGTACTATTTTGTACAATGATGAGCTGGTCTACAAGACTCGCTCCAAAGCTGTGTCATCGCAACCCATCTTCAATGCTGGTACGGAGCGATTTCTTCGGGACTGGAGATCGGGTATTATCACTGTCACTGTGCGAGACCAGCGTAATCGTGAACACGATCCCATTCTAGGCGTCGTCCCACTCAAGCTTTCCGATATTTTGGAAACCTCCTCTCAAGTCACTCGTTGGTATCCACTGGACGGTGGTATCGGCTTTGGTCGTATCCGAATCTCTCTTCTTTTCCGTAGCATCGAGACTCGTTTACCCCCACAAATGCTTGGATGGGATGTCGGTACATTTGAGTTCCGATCGGATCGCGTCCTTGCTGTAGGCTACAACCACCACCCTAAAATCAAACTCAGGACCGGAGGAAGTACTGGAAAACTGGGTCGTTCTGCAGCATACAAGCTTGCAGAAGGCGACGGATATTACTGGGACTTGAAGGAAAACAACGGCAAGAACAACGTCAGTCTGCCGGTCAAGTACCGTTACAGGTCTCCCATCGTTTTCGAGTTCCACATTCAGAATAAGCGAAAGGCCGACGCATATGCAGTTGTTTGGCTACAGCACTTCATTGACAACGAGGACGCGGATATCAACATACCCATCTGGACCACCAAGAACCCGGCCCGTCTTACCCAAAACTACATTACCGAGGATAACTGCCACAACGAGGTTGCTTTGGAAGACTTGAAGGAAGTTGGACGCCTGCAGTTCCGTGCGCGATTCAAAGCTGGCACTGACGCGTCGCATCATGCATTCATTCACAACAACGAGACCCGCGAGACATTTGAGACATGGGAGGCGTGTATGACTGAAGGCGTGCGTACCCACAAAGTCGATAAGGAGCTGCCGGAGCGCGTTCAACAGCTACACGAGGAAAGCCTGACCCAGGGACGCGACATTCTCAAGACAGCTGACGAAGAGGAAAAGAAAAAATGGCTTGCCAAAGACGGAGCTGACTGGAGCGGCGCATTTGGCCACGATCCAAAGGCCTACATGGATACCAAAGGTCGCAAGCGCAGAGAACCCGGTGTCGAGGCACCACTGCACGATCCCTTCCATCCATCCGATGACGAAGACAATGACGATGATGAGAATGACACGGACTCGGAGTCTTCATCCGACTTAGGCATCAAAGATGCAGAGACTGATCAAAATACGAAGGAAAATAATGGTAGTCTCAAGCATCAACCTACCGATCTGTCCCCCAGCGCGCCCCGCACATCGCAAAGTACTGCACGGACGCACGGAACCACGGATACAGATGCCACTTCCTCGTCGACCAGCAGTAAAGACATCAATCGGCAGAACAAACGCGCCGAGGAGCGCAAACAGAGGGGTATGATGCAGTGGAAGCCAGCTAGAAATGCACGCTTTGCCAAAGATCAAGCTCAGCTTGGACTCAAGAAGTTGAAGAAGGTGGTGACCGGTAACATGGAAGGAAGGCAGCCTGGTGTTGAGACTGGTAAGTCCTCTCTCTTAATCTCCCCATTTTTCCTATTGCTTTAATTTCTATTGTGTTTCCCGAGAAATAACTTCGTACCCCGCTAACTGACGGCAAAACAGAAACCGGCGCATAGTGACAATGGCAGTCTCCCCTCTTCATTGAACCAGGGGTCCAAGGACAAACAAAAATTACGATGACTACGAGGATGATGAAAACGAATGAGAAAAAACCGACGAACTGAAGGCGGAGTATGGGATGCTATTATGATGGTTTGGGCTCGAGTGCTGAATATTGAACGTTCTATCACTTTCCCTTCTGACGGCCACTTCACCATATTAATTTCCTGTTCTTTTCTATTGGATTCTCTTATCCAATTTGATGAGTCATGCCTACATCTTCGAACTTGAGGGCTAGTGACAGTGGTACATATATTTAATACAAATCTGTTTATTTTCTATATCACAATTCTGTGCTTTGGAATACATGTGCATACACTCGAAGAATGAAGTGGAACCACCGCGACAATTGAAGGTATAAATCTAAAAAATAAAACGTGGCTCTAGAGTTAGTTCACGGGCAAGTCTCAGTCTTTTCCCCCTTCATACCTGAGAAGTTCGAGCTAGATTTTGTTTGAATGCGATGCTCGCACTCACTAAATTGGAGTTTGAGTGATCCTACACATAGCAATAGTTACAACAATAGAACAATAGAGGAGCCCAAAAAATAGGCGATTACCAAAAGACAAACGAAAATTGTCTTTACACAAGCCTTTGAACCAAAAGCAGGGATCGGGGGGCACCCATATGCTCACTCAACTACCATAAAAAACAGGGTGAGCAAGAACTACTTATGTACCCGTATATGATATACACTTTTTGGTAATCGCTCCTTTTTTTTTGGTATATTCCTCGTTGTAAACCCATCGCTGTGTGTAGGATCACCTAAACTCCAACTCAAAACAAACAAATATGATATACACTGTACTCAATTCCAATCGTCATCCATCAAATTTGCTCAGCACATAGAAAGAAAACAGAAACATACAACCAAAACAAAACAGTCTTATACCGGTTTCATTACCTCGCAGTAACATTACCATTGTAATCATCACTGTTACTATTACCAACATGTCCCTTCAGATACCGCAACACAACCGGGAATCATACACACCTCTGTGACCCTCCCGTGTGCATGGTTTATCTTACGCATGTGAGCAATTTCCGCTCTACTCTATCGAGCCTATCTAAACTCCGGGGGGGTTCAGAGGGGATGTCGCTTTTGCAGCTCCACCAACCCAACCCCCTACCTGACCCCTCCTTCTTCTCCGCCCCTCGAGGGTTCGAATGGGTAGACCAGGGGTGGAAAAGATGTCCTTGTGATATGGGTTCGCCCCTCGGACAAGCCCCCAATGACCAAGGTAGTAGTCCGTCGCGGTCGGTCGGTCATTCTTCCCGCTTCTCCCTCGCATGACCATGCCTATCCCTCAAAACTGAGTCATGAAGTGATGAGTTGATCGACTGGCATATTAGTGGATGGATGTATGCGTACAAGGGCACATGTCGGTTCCCGTTTGCCTCGATTCCGCCCCGTTTTGCTCAGGTTCTTTCAGCTGTGTGGAGTGGGTTTCTCAACATCCCGTGTTCGTGCTGGGCTGCAGTGTGCGTTGCGGCCCATGTCTCAGGCACAAACGCAAATGCACGTTTGAGCACACCCATACGTGCCGCTTTGCTTTTACGGAAAATGTAAAAAAGAGCAATCGAAACGAAGTGTGCCCCCCTCTCTTTCGACTCGAGAGCGCCACAGTGATTGATTGTGCCTGCATGGGAAAACTAAATCAAGCGAGCCGTTTACCCCCTTTGAGCCTTGTGGTTCATGCGGCCAACTCCAGAAAGCGGGGCGAGGTGTCGAATCGAATTAATGTGGAATATCTGAGACATGTTCTTCTTTTTTTCTGCGTCTATCGTATGTTGAGGGTAATTTGCCGCATATGGATGCCACACACAGTTAGGCAGATGCCGTGCTTGCGAAATCGACAGGTCAATCGTCCTTCTTCCTATCTTTTAGTGTACTTTAGCAAGTCTTTTATGTCGCGGCGTAGATGTGTTGGGCGTTATTGTCATTAGCTGCTTCCTGTGGCGTAGTAGGGTGGTGGTGTGCTGTGCCTCATGCGCTTGCAGAAGAGTGCCTGTAGTGCCCGAAGTGCCTGAACCCTGATCAAATATGGCATCAAGTCGAAGTAAAATCAAACAGATGCGATTTTAAGAGCCAAAAACATCCGCTATTGCGGAATTTCGGAAAATGAGCGACTCAGGTGCTTCAGTGGTGCGGATGGCGGAAGTAAGTGTTGAATTGGTCTAGAAGTTGGTGGTAGAGCTCGAACCGATGGCTCAAGTTAACCGCTCAAAGTGGTTAATCACTAATCTGCGGCATATTAATGGTATGGAGCAAACCCTAATTACGATGATCAAATCGTGATGGACGTTGAGATATGGTTTGTTGGTCTTGCCAGGACATCCCAGTTCACATCTGCATACTGCGCACATGCATCAATTTATAGTCACGTGGTCTGCGTGTCTTACACGATGGATTCTTTTGGTATAAATCGTAAGCCTTTTGTAGACGGAAAGTCTATCACTACGACACTTTTGCCGCCTGAGTAATCGTGCAATCGATTTCTCGATCGCGCCCTCATGCCTTGTTGAACAGTACTCTTTCGTGATGAGCTGCACATACTCACGGAAGAAATTTGTTTCGACTCAGTCATAGATTCCCAGGCTCAGACAAGGCATACCTACGGAACTCGCCAGACGGGATGGGCCGAATCGCAGGGCGGAAGTGGCGTCAACATGTAAAAAGAAAACAGGTGCTGCGCCATAGGTTTGCCCGAGCTTAGTCAGATCCTTCCTGAAACTCGATCGAAGCAAAACGTATGCTTGTCTCGGAAAAGGTATTGAAGTTTCCAAGTGGTGAGGCCATGAAGGAAAAGCTCCTGCGGGTACTTGAGGACACTGATACGTTAGCGAGCGAGTCACTGCAGATTTTGAAATAAGCGTACCTAGGTAGTTGGTTGGCAATCAATTGATAGTTTTCAACGTAGTATTCCATTGACTCGTGATATGAAGAGGCTGCGCATGCCATTGGTATATTCGCAAGAGACCTCGGATATCGCAAATAATCAGACATAAAGTAGGCCCAGCTCCAGCGCAGTTGATTTTGATGAGCAATGTACTCGCAAGAGGATGAACTTGGTGCATACTTGTAGATTTGAGACGAACCCTTGGTAAAGTGCTCCTCTCAAAGTAACCCAGATCGACCCGAACTGGTACTTGCCCTTTTTAGACAACCAAGCATGTCAAGAGTTTTCTCATGAACACTAACACTTGCGCGCGAGTAGCCGCCCCCGTTACTCGTTACTGACATTGCCGAAGGTCAGGTGTTGGAAAGACGGCAAAGAGTACGACAGCCTTCTTCTCAGTCCTTCCGTGTCGAGTTAAGGAAGTACAGGCGACTTGGCTTTGAAAGGAAGGCACAGCACCTAGAAAGCTCCTACCTCGTAATAAGATCTCACAACAAGCTAGCACTTGCGTCTTCCCAATCACCAAGAATGATTGTGGATGATTGTGTACATAAAGTAAGCACGTATATACTGAATCGAGTAATCATGTATGCATGCGTTTCGGAACATGACTCCACTGCACTGGAGGCTTGGTTGATCTTCATTATTTGTGGCTGGATATTCTGAGAGTATGAAAGGATGATTCTTAGCACTTGGAAGGATTTACCTCAGCTTGAATCAGCCATCGGTCTTCGTGTCTTCGTCTCCCCTCTTTTTGTCGGTCTAGAATGTGGCAAGGACGATGTAATTTCAGCAAAAAGCAGTTGCGTTCAGGAAGCCACGGCTTTGGAATCAATGCGGAGCAAGCACGCCTACGGCACATGCTTAATCTACGAGATTGCACTCCTGTCAGACTGGTCGAACGATCGACAGGTAGCAAGACATTTTCAAGAAATTGAGTCGAACGAGACGTCCCCATTAAGCGCCCTGAAATTTGTAGTGTGATCTTGAAGACCTTTGTTTTTTTGCCGTGCATCAAAATCACATGTTGTCATTTGCGGATACCCTGCTCATAGTGGGATGTTAGCTGCTCCACTGAGAGACCATGAATTCAACAGTAACGATCCAATAATTTTGATGTCTTCAATTTCTTGCGAGTCTTCCGTTAACAAGGAGCTTAGTAGCGTCTACTACCGCAAGTTCACAAAAGCACGAGGAGAGTCTCTTCCCAACATAGTGATTACATGAGAGATAGCGTGACATGAAAAGTGGCTGTATTTCAATGACTGAAGCCCTGAGTAACAGGAAGAAATTTGAATGTTATCTAGTCCCTCGTGAGAGAGTACAAGAAAATTACGAAAGATAGACTCAACATCTAAAGAACAACAAACGATTCAACTTCCACACGAAAGGTGGAACACAAACAGCCACTTCTAATAAAATCCGAACATAAGGAAAATAAGACAAGGAATGGACCGCCGATCATCTGAGCTCAGGAAACAGATTGCCGTGTTTCCGGTAGTCGATCAATGGGCGTGAGTATGACTCTTGTTGGTATGGGAGCAATGCCTTGCTGCCCATTCTGATGTGACGTTTAAGATAGAATAATTAGTTGCGGGCCTTTGAAAGTCAGTGGTATGTCAGGAGGTGCTGGGAAAACATAATTAAACGTACTCTGCAGTTCTCGCAGGTTGTCCCGCTCACTGCGACCCAGCCGTGACTTTGTCCATCCCCTTCGTTGATGCACTGGGAGCTACCGTGCGGGCCTCCGTATTGTCCATTCATCTGAGCTACACAGGTGTTGAGTTGTTGAATAGCCATTGTGACTTGGATAATAATAATAATCAAAAGATGCGCGATTGAAAAGTGATGAAAGCTGATTGAGTTGAGAGCTGAGTGCGGTGTCCTCATTTGGAGCATTCCGTCCACAGCTTTATAGTCGGTATCCAAAGGTGTCGTAGTGACTCTTTCATGTTCGAAGGCAGTTCTACGCCGTGGATTTGCAGGCCTCGAAAGAGCTGCCCCCAGGCAGAATCACCCTTTTGAGTCCTCATGCTCTTCTGCCTCACAACCTAGCCCACATGTGGTAGCGTCGGGAAACGTCCACGCTACTTTGGCACAGAAAGCGATCGGCTCTGGCCGCCACACGCCGCGCAAGGCTTCGTGTAGTGGCCCCCGTGCCATGACCGATGAACCAGAGGGAGTGCCCGTCACCAATGACTTGTGGGGCTTGTGGAGCTATGGGAAGTTTGTCACGAGTCCCTTAATATTACCTGAGATTTGTTTGAAAAGCCTGAGTCAGCTTGAAAAGTATTCGGGCATGACGTTCGTACTGGTTGAGGGAAGTGGCCGAATATCAGACCGCGGCCGCATAAATGACCTCGGCGGCAATACGTGGCACAGCTTTGTCAGGCGGTTTCTTACAACATAGTACTCGAGGTGGCTGAGTAAAGACTATAAGGTACTTAGTACCCATTTTCAGGATTCGTAGGTGGATATTGAAAGATAACACACAGTAATTGCGGGACAGGCATCGTCCTGTCAAAGCCATTGTGGCATGGGGGCTAATGACAGTCTAGGTAATTATAGCAATCAGATCGATCCAGATGCCTGAGAGATGCAATATCTTTGTGGAATTTATGCCTGGTGCATGTGGCTGGCTGGATCTCATATCATACCACTGTAAGAGAGTTATTGACTATACGGTCAGAAAACATGTCCTCTTTGGCCACAGCCTCTACACAATGGCTGAGTTTATGAGGCGTGGTATAGGCTATTTTACTTGGTACATCTACTTGTAAATCAACATGTATGACGTTCTACTGTTCCCATGTACATAGTCCAAAGCTACTGCGATGACACCATATATTTTCACCGCGTGGAAGATAGCTGTGCCAACAGTTCACCCAGGTCCAACTGTGCGAGAAAATGGAATATAACGTTATATTTAGTAGTCCATCATTTATTAATCATCGAAGCTCATGAGTATTACGATACTCCCCCTATACATTCATATTGTGGATGAAATCAGCCGTAGTAAAACAATTATATGGTCAAATTCTTCCTAAGACAGCAGCAATCACGTCAATGACGGGATTAGAGGATTTTTGTGCTCTTGCGCGACTGGTTTTTCTTAACATTTAAATATAAGAGTAATGATATGAGATTTATACTATTTGCATGTTCAGATGATCCGAAAGCCTGATAGCATTCGCGGTCGATTACCAATTTTTGTCACGTGACCTAGATCAAAGCTCTATATGATAACGCAATCCATGATATTCTACTAACATCAGGTTTCGCATCTTGACTTAAGTATTAAGCTCCCTTAATCCCGTCTTATTTTTTATTTCTGCAGGGCTAACAGTTCCAGGCAGAGCAGAAACCTCTTTTATCACCAAAGAAGGTGCTACTTAATAGACAGACCCTCGGCTAAAAAATTGAAATTGGCTTATGAGTAGCACAAGAATTGTGTTAAATCCTATAAATCATCTAAAGCAGCCGTTTTGTAAGTTTGATAGGGTTCTCGTCAACCTTAGAGACCGAAATAGAACGCTATAGCACCTACATTATGGGGTTTAGCCTACTCTAGAATTGACTGTCAACGCTCTGTTAGTATTTATATTTATATTTACAGCCTAAGGAAGTTACATTAAAAGGTTATTAAATAGTGTGTTAAACTGAAAAGAGCAACGAATAGCCTGTTCTAAGCCCAGCTAAATCCCGGAAGGCAGGTAGAGATAATCCGAGCACGTGTTTCAAATGAGCCATTTTCATTATGCTGTAAGTGACCTAAAACACATATAAAATCTTTACTAAGTACACAAAAATCTATAATTTGAGACAACGTGTGTAGCGAGTATCTTTCTGAAATTATTAACGAAGTCATCGCAACTGCTTAAATGTTTAGCACCTAGAGTATCTAAATCGGTATTGTGTTGTTTATATTAGATTGCTAAAGGAATTTGAGATGTAAAGTGATGAAATTGAGTCCATTAATTTAAACTAAATACGTTTTATTGCTGCTTTGGCTTCAAATAACATAAACTAGGACATAATTCAGCACAAAGATATAGCGTGTATGTAGCCGCTCGTAGCGACATTGTGAATGCATTATCAGGCTCTTCTTATTATTACATCTCATTGAGTATAATAACTAAATAAATACCAAAAACTACGTAGCAGGCTAAAAACAATGGAAATGCTATTTGAAATTGATACACTGCAAACCTAAATTTAGTCCTTTAGGAGACAGTTCTAGCCCCACCAATCCTTCCGCGAAAAATAGATTTTGTCAGAATTCGTTGCGGAGCATGAACGTGATAGGTTTTTGTATGTTTGCTGTTGCTATCCACGCTAGTTTCAAGTACACATGATCTCTAATTCTCGCGGAAGACGCTGGTAAAACATCGACATCGGACCTAATATCACATGAAGAAGGCGGTATCTAGATGAGAATAGTACATGAATATTCTGATTATTGGATTAACAAGACACAGGGAAAGCTACCAGTATTTTCATAAATAGCAAGGCTGTTTTTAGGAAGATCCAGGTGGACAGTGCCCCGAGGGAAAGTGGGGATCACGTCTTGTCAGAACGATGGATCGGTTGCTTACTATCCGCTGCTTGAGATTCACGTGTTTCTTCACGAATCACGATCAACGAGCATAAAAACTTCGGGTACTATATTCACACGGGTAATCACCTTTAGACATATACATACGATTGCAAATCTTAACTTCTCGCCTATTCAAGAGCCTTGCGTAGTGCTAAACCTCCACTAGTAGACAGGCATACCCAGTGAGACCCAGCATCGAGATCAGTATTTAGGTAAGGTGCTAGAAGCTGAAGTAATTTTAATAAAAGAAGCCTATTCAGGGATATGTATAATGCATTCTTGGAACACAGTTTCTTGCTCATTAGAGCTGATTAACAAGTGAAGACGATCTTTGATTGAATTTTAAATCGGCATCTGACCTATTTGGACATGCCTATATACATCTACTGAAGTCAAATTCAGATCAAATACAGTTACCAATGATAAGGGAGTAGCTCAAACTGATTAGCGAGAAGTTATAATTCTCATATAAATGGCAGGATTCCTATAAATGAGTGATATCTTAGAATAACACATATCAATTTAGAAGCTAACAGTGCAGATGAACGAGTGTCTGGTTAGAGCACTCAGTCTTTCCTTCCGAAAACAAAATTGCCGAAACAAAAGCTTTTCAAACAAGTATGTAAGACGATAGCAGCACGACATCATGACGGTTGAAGTAGAGTGTTTTCCGGTGCAACCAATGGCCGCAGTCAGTGGCCTTCAGCTGTTGGATGTGGCTCTTGCATACGTTGCACTTGACCTTCAATAAACAGCTGAGTCCTAGATTCTCCCACAATACCTGAGTACGAAGATTACATGTAGAAGAATTTAATTTTCCATAATAGCTAGATCTAGAGAGCTCTAATACATATTGGCTGCGTGTAAGACGATGCTACTGGCCGAACATAAAAACATATACACGGCGTTGTACTATTAGAACACGACTAGTGATACTATACAACATAATTATCAAGTTTTGCTCTTTTCTCTATGTCGAAGTATAAAAGGCTAACTCCGATGGCCAACCATGAGTAAAATGAATCGTTGAAATAGTGAGTCTGGATGTTGGAAGTTCACTCCGGTAGATAGATCAAAGAGAAACAGCGTCATCGCGATCATGTCTATAAAAAATCACGAGTCTGGTTGACGACTTCAACTGTGAGTAGGCAGAAGTGACCATGATTACCTTCACGACTTCCATATTTTGAGACACATGCAGTTCCTGGCTCACTTTCCAGCGACGATATTGAATTAATTGTTGACTAGATGTGCATAAGCGAATCTAGCGAACATGCCCCGATATATGTTCTCAATACGCGTTCAACATACATTTGATATTCATTTAGCTTATCGGTCATAATCCTCGCGGTGTCAATGCTATCATCGAGATTCTGGAAACTGAGCCTGTCGGATTATAACGAATCCTACTGCACTGATATGTGCTCTTCAAACGCTTCAGTTATACCAAGACATTGAGTTCACGTTCTAATAAGTCTACACGATATATTCATCTCTACTTAGAGTTCTTGCACAGCTTACAGTGGTTTGGTATCTTAGCTCTCTGCGCTGCTCCTAACAGTATGCGATTAAACATGTCAAATAGTGAAAGAGTACATAACTCTCACTGACGTGACACTTGCCTTTAAGAGACAAATTCAGCTACAGGAAGGAGGCGTAGAATTCCAAAGGTACTGAACCCTTCTACGACCATACAACGCTTCCCAGGCTCGCACCGCAGCTTCATGTGGCTACCCTGTTCCTCATTAGGTCACACGATTATGGGAACGAAGCTGGAAAATGATAACGAAGGTTGTGTAAACGTCACTGGCTAGCCATCATGCCGTCCTACTTGAAGACACAGATGATAGAATCACGACTGCGTAATATTGCATGCCGTGATGTTCACCATTCGCTTACCCTGACACTTCTCGAAGCATCACAGAAACGCTAATGGCCCGACAGAAAGTTAATCGCCGATCATTCGGCCCTCAGCTGGGCATGATGAGCATTGTAGAGACGGCAACTGGCTGACCCTACGCCAACCGCACTTATCCGCACCGTTCCGCGCCATCGCCCCTGATCTCAATCGCTCCCGTGAAGGCTGATGACGCCTATCGCTGTGTCTGCAGCTTATCGCAGGTTCTCTTCGGTGGGCTGCTTTGGTGTAGGCATGCCGTGCTTGCGCTGCGGAATGCGTGGGGAAGATCAATCAGGTACGGACAGGCACGAGCGAAGCTAATAGGAACAAACGGCAGCGTAGCGCGCCAGTGTCATCCAAAGGGTCCTTGCATGATGCGTGCCATGCGGGATCAGCGTTTGCTGTCACGCATGTATCTACTGCTAGGCTTTGTGGCTTCGGTGAGTGAATCTGCATGCACGGAGCAAAGAGATGGTTCAAGAATGAGTTGGGCAACAAAAGAGTTTGAAGCTGTAGGTAGCGAGAGTAAGCACGCACGACGAGCTGGTTTCGGTGGTATTTTCCAAGGTTGAAGGCATGAGGTTCGGAGATGACCTGTGCGTATACTAGAGATGTTTGGAGTTGCATTGATTGACAGCTGACTAGCGCAAGCATGCACTTTCCAATAGTATCGATATCTCCTAGCGTACTGTACTGAAGCCATTCACCGGGTCCTCTTCTTCATGAATCGTTGTCCGGACCTTTATCCCGCGAGCATTCACAGGTTGATGCGCTTCCAGCAGCTCTGCACGCCGGCATCTGCTACACGTTGTACGCTACGCTTACCAGCAACAGCTACCCCCCATGTCCCTGCCCTTCTCATGTATCCATCCCTCCACATGTCATACCCATACCTCTGCATAGCTCCCATGCCACGGCATGCTTTCGTCCATGACCGCCGCTCCCGTTCCCGTGTCTTCACGCCTCCAACCATGACTCTCTCAACCACACCTCTACTCTCCCAATAGCACATGCCCGATCGTCGACAGCATCTCGACCGCTCGAACATCGCTCCTTGCAAGCGAAGGACGGGAGAGCGGCAGCAGATCATCGATGAAGGAAAAGGTTCTAGCCCAACATTCCCTCCTCCAAGCAGAGGGCTGGCTGTCTGTCACGAACATGCTACAAAGGTCACGTTTGACCCCAAAATCCACCTGACCTCCGGACCGTCCCTAGTTCATCTTGCCATGTCGCCCATCTCGTGTCGGCAACGACTTGCTCTCTCCGTATTTCTAAGACATGGCTTTGATCTTCAAGCTCCACGTACGTCAGACAAGCTTCACGTACAGGTACAGCAAGTAAAGATACACGGTACAAGTACTGCAACGTACATGTACTTAGCAATCCTTGCCCATGTATATATGCCAGTGCACTTATGCATGTACCACACATGCAATCGATAGCGCGCCACCAAGGAAGACAGCTAGCTGCAACGACCATCCTTTCCCTCTCCTGGAGCCCCATGTCAAACTATCCAGCACCTGCATTTCCCTCGCCTGCAAAGCGGCTGCATCGAATAATGCTGTCTAGTTCTAGCACGCCCGGGAGTATACCTCGAAGCAGTATAACTGGCGAGCAGGGCCACGAATGGGCTAGCGCGCGACGGGACGGGGGTTAAGTGCACGCGGGGTATCTGGTGGGATTCGTTGCCAGCAACAACAGCTTCGGACGACGGTGCTTCTGGACAACGTTTGCTTCCGAGTTGACCGGGAGGATTCGAGGGAGACGGCAAGAGTAGCGTCAATCTGCCAGTTTGCATGTGTAAGAGAAACTCGTTGGGCATTTTGGCAATATGGCACGCGGACGGCTATAATGGAGTGCATCATGACTTGGAGAATGGTCTGATGGCTCGGGTACCTACTGATAACCCGTGTTAGCTAATCGAGACGATATCATCTTGTTCTTTTCTTCTTCTTCTCCTGTGTAAACCGAGTCACCGAGAATGGTTTCAAAGGCGGGAAAATGGAACCAGCCAGCAGATAACACGAATATCCTCATACGTTGTATTCCACTTTTCTTGCGCTTCTCAATACATTTGGATGCACGACACCTCTCGTTTGGTTGGGCGCTCCTGATTACCCATGGACGCACCTACACCTCAACGATCTACAGCGCCCAGGGACTTACCAACGGACAGAAGACATGGATAGGACTCCACTCGTCTAGACCTCGTGCCGTGCTTCCTCCGTGGAGTCTAGGCAGGGCGTCTACTATGGGACAGGTATCCAACGACATATTCCGACCCGTGTGCATTGTCCACGACCGCTGCCAGATGCGCCCCACTGACAATACATCTCGTCGCGTGCTCTCGTCTAGTTACTATTACTGGCATCCAATCTCATTCTGTTACATGATCGACCATGATGATCTTGAGACAGTGGGCCATGTACTATAGCACTGGGTACGTGTACGCGTACATTGTAGCTATTGATTCCTCCAACGAGGTAGTATATTTGCTGACTCTGTTTAGCTAAACTTTATAGTTGGTGATTGTAATAGCCGGTTTTCCCGCCTAAAAAGGGGGGCCTTGATTTATGGGGAAAACAATTGCCGCGGTAGAGGGTATTGATGAACAAAGCATGAATGGGCGTGTAGCGAGAGGTCGGCGATTACTTTTTTCCTTGATTACCATTATTCCCCACAGCAAACAGCTACAGCATACCGGCCGCACCAGTCATGTGAAACAGAGTCCCTGAGGGAGTTCTAATGTTCGATGAGAATCAGCCCATTGCAATCGGTTCCTATCTCTCTTTTTCTTTACTAATACCTATAACTCGAGCTAATTCAAGTTATGAGATCATCCTAAAGGCCCCAGGAAAATGGGAAAAAAAAAGAAGCGGACTCGATATTCTCCTAATGTCCTAAATAGACTCGGACGCACAACATAATCTCATGCATACGTCCACAGCACGCGAATAACCTCAAACTTCCCCCCAAAACCCAACCGCAAAAACACCAAAATAATTTCCCGCTCCGTTCGTCCCCATCCAATGTGGTTGGTGGAGTCGAATTCCTTCTTAGATCCCGTCCGCGGGGGGGATAAAGCCACAAGCGACAATATCTCTATGTACGATAAGGCCCATTCTCCACTTTTTGAGGCTCCACTTTGAGGCTCCACTTGCAAAGAGCACGAGCCTCACCTGGCAGGAAGTCGTTCCGAGATGACGAGAGAGAGGGAGAGTGAAGACGAGATATGGGTGGGGCATCACGTCTTTTTGCGTTCCCGCGTTGTTGATGATTGATTGAGAGGAAGGCGGTGAGATGAATGATTCATGCAACCCACTCCAATTAATATCCGTTTCATCTTTGTTATAGTGCCTCGGTGATGTTTGAGTGTAGCTATTTGTATTTTTTTTTGTTTCTGGCATCGCGTAGATGTTCGTCGTGTGGCAATTTTCTCGGGAAAGGGGGGAGGAGGACCCTATCGGTTGTGCTTGGAATTGTCAAGTGTAGGACTCGTCGCTTGGAGATGTTCATAGCACGTACAACTAAATTACAACTTCGAAATGACTTGCTTTCGTAACACTCGATCCGAAAAATAAAATAAAAACGTGATTGAGCATATATCTCTAGAATAATTCTCCGTTGCCACAGCTGGAAAACGCCACAGTTCTACGGAAGAAACACACACATGCAACTGTTTACCATGAACACGATAGACATCACTCAGAAAAAAAAAGGCATAAGAAACAATCGAGGGTAATCGTTGCGATAACATCAGTGTTATGAGCCACTCATACTCGACCCCTATAACATGCCGCCACATATACATGTTCGCATATCCAATGCTTCGGTTTCCCAGTCCAACCATCCTATCTATGCATTATGTGATCAGAATGCGTGTCCATCTGTGTGGTTGCCTATTCGCAGCAAATCAACAAGTCGAACATCATGATTGGCCATCAATGTATAAATTCAGGATATCAAAATAGCCGGAAAGACTTTGTTTGTAAACAGGAGGGGAATCTACATGCGCATGCATGCGCGGGGCAATCCAGACTTTTGCAACATCAAAATCATGGGAAAGATAAGATGTCCCGTGTGAGCAAATGATGAGACATGATATTGTTACAGTACGGTACGTAGAATGCGTAGTGGTAAACAGGATAAACCAAAAAATGCTACGCTACAGTGACAATTACAACCCCTCCTTTCAAACCTTCAAGATAGCGAATCGCCCGCTTATTGATAGATACCCTCGCCCTATGCACCTCGTCGTGCAGTAGATGCGACGGTGAAACACGCATATAGGAAGCAACATGGAAATGCTACATGCTCATTTCATCCACGTCCTCTTCTTTGTAGCTTACCCTTTGGCTAGTGCGGCCTGATCGCTGTCGCGTCGGGGCAGGCCGCTTAGCTGGCCGAGCAGCCTCCGCGCCATCACCATCGCTCAGGTCGCTGAGCGGGGAGCTATCTTCTTCTTCATCCTCCGATGGGCTCGGTGTGGGGACAGCTTTCGGAGCTTTCTTCTTAGCCGGGGCGGCGCGTTTCTTGGGAGTGGGCTTTTTGACAGGTGTGGTGGTAGTCTCGCCACCACCATCGACGGATGCATCGTCTGCAGCGGCTGCCTGCTTCTTAGTTTTGTTCTTTGCGGGTGTGGTGGCGCCGTCATCCTTCTTCTTGATCACACGTTTCGGGGGTCGCAGCCAGTCTTCCATGCCTGGAGGCCAGTACACCCTCCCTTCTGGCCCACCCATGCCGACTTCGTCTTCAGGGATGAGCGGAGGAGGCTTTTGATCCTCTTCTGCTTCTTCGATCTTCATCTCGACGTCCTCGAGGTCATCTGTCTGTTTCTTTTTGCCTTTCTTGGCTGCTTTTTTCGGCTTGGGCTTGAACGGTTTGTTTTCATCTGGTCGAACATGGGGGGTGATGTCGCTGAAGGTGTCAAAGCCGGGTAGCTTGAATGTGCGCATGAGTTCAAAGACAGCCTGCTCCTTGTCTTTTGCTTCGATCATAAGGTCCATAGTATCAGGGCATGGTGGGAAGGTCATGACGCGAGGTGAATGCTTTCGACGATCTCGGCCGGTGATGGCCTCTGGGCGTGGTTCGGAATAGTGCATCTTGGGCGTCTTGCCTTTCTTTGACCATGTTTCGAGGATTTGCGGAAAGAGTTCTACGATGTCCTTGGTACCCTCTCGAATCTTGGTTGAATCAAAAACTATATTGTGATGGTGAAAGTCGAGAACAAAAGGAATGTTAAGCTCCTGACACAATGGCAAAAGTTCATGCACAGACCATACTACATCGTCATTCTCAAGTACAAGGCGGTCTTTCACGCCCTGTGGTAGTTTGGAATAGTTCTCTCGGAACCGATCAAGGGTGGCAGGCTTGTCACCAAAGGCGCCCCCGAGGTGCAGAATCATAACAGCATCTCGGTCTTGCTGAGGTGACAGCTTCAAAAGTGAAAGCATCTCTGCATGATAGGCAAGATCCAAAAATGCCGCATCAATGACGGACTTACGTGGCGAACCAAGTTGAGTGAACTGGCCTGGATGCGTGGTAACGCGGTGGCCCAACTCATTGACTACTTTACCTACCTCTGCAAGGGTTTCTGCGGCAAAGGGGGCCAGCTTGTAACCGTACTCTGCATGGCTAGCAAAGGGGAACATTTCACTACTCAATCGCATGAACTTGATCCCGTATCTGTCATTCCACCGCAGCATCTTGGTCACGTCACGCGCATTGGCTAAGCCCAGCTCCTCGACGTACTTTTGACCCCGCACGACATCAGCAGGCTGGTCTTTATCCGGGCGGTTCTTGGTCGGGTGTTCGGGCTGCGAGGGGTCCTTGAGAGGGTGTCGGTGCTCCAAAATGCTGGCGATTCGACAGGTTCTGGAGCTGAATACAGGCGGGGTGGCATTGCGCAAATAGGTGTTGAGGCATGCCTATCACTTGTGTTAGCTCCGTGGATAGTCAAAGAAGGATGAGCCAAAACGGCATCACATACATATCCCAAGCGTCCTTTCCATGGAAGGGGCAAATAGTCAGAATTGATAGGAGGTGGTCGCGATAGCGCTTCTGCGACATCCTCGTAAGGTTCGTCACCCTGATCCTCGCCCCCGTTGTCATCAGGGTTGGCTGTCACCCCCACGGTTTCCTCCAAGGCACTCCCAGATGGTGGTGGTGGTGCGATGCCATTCTGAACGGTTTGCGCCGTGGCCTTTGCGGCATGTACTTTCACATGCTTCCCGTTGTCAGGCACCGCAGGAGGATCAAGACCAGCCACAGCCGTCTTGGATGTTCCTGGCACAGGTGCATCATTCGCGTCTGATGGTGGCTGGGTAGTGACTCCTTTGGTGCGGCCGCGTCGTGAAGATGTGGGGACGTGCCCTACTGACTGAGAGGGAGTGGTACCAGGCTTGGCGGCAGCGGCGGCATTCTTGCGGAGTTTGGGTGGTGGTGGGACAGCATCAGGCGAAGCCCGTAATGAGGATATGCCATCAACGATATCTGGATTGGCATTGGGATCTGTCACTGCAGCAGCGTTTCTACGGGATGCCTGACGGCGCGGTGGCTGTGGTGGCTCTGCCGGGGCGATCGTGGACGATGATGGTAAAGGCACCGCGGTGCGCTGACGGGGCCGAGATTGACCCTGTTGCTGCTGCTGCCCTGCGGCGGATTCCGATGACCGTTTGCGCTTGCTGACCATGATGGGGGTGGGTGGTGGATGCGCGAGATGGGATGGTAGGTGAAGATGGGCCCAAAGCGGCGCGCGCTGGCGTCTCCTGATGCCGAGTACGACTTGGGGGCTGGTCAAGGCTACGAGGGACGAGGGAACAAAGCGTAGCATGAATTAATTGCCCGATGTCACCTGTTGTGGGCACGCAGGGTCGTCGACGATACCGATGCGCAGCAGAAGCAGTGGGGATTGATGGTGGATGATGATGGGAATTGAGAAAAGGGGTGCATTTGGGGGAGGAATGGTGAATACGCGCATGGTGAAGTCGGACGGGCGCACGCGTCAAGCTGCGGTGGAGGCATTTCGCGTCGACGTCACTACGATGGAAGGTTTCAATGACGACGATGATAATGATGATGCGAAGACCAGAGGTTTGTTTGCTTGTTGCTGTCTGTCGCCGAACGGTGGAGCAATAGATGGTGGTGGAGGTGGACCAGACGATCGGCCGACGAGCAAGCGTATCGATCGGACCGTCGTGGGCGATGCTAGCGCCCTGTGCTGTCGTCATCTCTGCCGTCCTACGATTCAGGCACCACCAAACCACGCCCAACTCATTCATCCCTTCATTCATTCATCGATTGATTCATTCATCCACCCGTCTACCTCCAAGGAGCAAGGTGCGCCCAGTCGATAACTGTCGGCCAGCGCACGATAGGAGATTAGAAGTCGTAAAACCACCGCTTACTCCCGCCCATCTTACCCGTTCTTGTGTCCTCTGTGCCATTCCTCCACTGCTACCACCACCATCACCACCCACAGGGATGCCGCTCCTCGTACTGGGTGGGCCATGTACATGTCCACTTCTGCTGACTGTTTACCTATGTGGCTGGCTTACTTGCAGCAGGCCACCGAGGGGTCCAAGTGAGACATGGGATGATTGTCCAAAAAACCGTTTTTACGTACGAGGAACTCATCGTATCGCAATCGCCCCCATGAGCAGCCTCTCCCGCCCGCTCGCTCCTTCGTTCCCTTCTCGCCTTTAGTTTCCTGCTCACACTTGGCTGGCGCTATGGTCCTCGGCGGCGGCGGCTTACGCTAAACGCGACCGATCAGTTCTTGTGGCCGTAGAGCCACGCCTCGGTCGTTCTTAGGGTGAACCATACTTGGACTTCAATCTTCAAGCCATGGGAACGAACTGGCTGTACTGGCTTGTAGGCTACTCCACTGAGTATGAGCGCTGTACTGCCAGGGAGCGCTTTTCAGCTGTGAGTGGTCAGCCATGCGCCTCCAATCATACATGTTCAAGCAGCTGCGACAAGCCGTGGATCCCTACATTGCACCTTGCCCAATGCAGTCTCCGTGTATTCCGGGGAACCGCGCTTGGTGACAGCTCATTGGACCCCTACTCGAGCTCCACTCCCAGCACGCCTGCGGTAGTCGACTAGTGTCACGTCAAGTGTACCACAGACTATAGTACGCTTTTCTCCACACCACACATCCATCGTATCGAGCACGCATCGCACTTAGCATCGCCAGTGACCGGAAATGACAAATGAAGCGCAAAAGTGACACTCCGCTGCACGCCATCGCCCCTCTCCTGCCATGGACCACCAAGTGTCCTAGCCAACGCCAACTAAATCTCCTTGGAATCCTACCATGTGCGTACGTACCTAGAACTCGCCTCGGCAAATTCACCACCGAAGCAGCCTCCAAAGATAGCCTCGCCGGGTTGGCAAAGACACCAGGCTGGCATCTGAGCAGGCGTGGGGTAACACTTGGGCTCTTTTGCTCCATTGCCTGATACAAGCAGACGGAGGGAGGAGCCAGGTACGTGCGGGTGCGCAGTAGTCCAAATGCAAGTGCATCAGAGCTTTGATGCTGCGATACGAAGGCAAGCGTGTCTTGTTCAATCCGGTTGATTCCCGTCCCCGCACTTTGTTCGTGCGTATGTGCGTGCGTGAGAGGGGTATGCTCATCCATCGCATCCTGCTGATGCCACTGCTCCTTCGACGTTGTCAGGTATTCACGCGTCTGTCTGCGCGCGGCTCAAATGGATGCATCATTTCCCGCTGCACTATCCTGGCCGTCACCCAATCATCAATCCGAACACCACCCGCAAGGTTGATCTACATGTACAAGAATGTATCCAATCGCTGTGGTGTGTCATGTGCGGTACCTACATGGTACATGGGAGTTGGATGTATACAGGCAAATAGCAACAAACCACGACATGGACCAACGAGAACAGAGGAAAGGAACCGGGCTTAAGAGAGCGGAATTATAGTCCTTCCCGCAGGGATCACTCCGGCTCCGAGGCGCCCGACCACGAACGAGCGAACGAACGAACGAACGCTTTTGCGCGGATCCATGTCCTCTTTCAGTTATCGATAGTTAGTTCCAAAAGAAAAAAGGTCCGAGGAGGAAAAGAGTAGGGGGTGGGAGCAACGGACAATGGAATAACGAAACGGCCCTATAACAACACCGGAAACCAAAAAGCAAAAAGAGCTCCAAAATAAGGGTCCGTCCTGTGCTTGCCTGTGATTGGGCGGACAGCGCAGACAGCGCAGACACCACACGCACCACACACCACCCTTCCTCCCCCCTGTACCTGATGATCCGCACATGCTCTCGCAGCAACGCTAGTCCTACACTGTACAAGGTACATACTGTCGAGGCTCCCAGCCAGCTCCGCGCACCGCAGTAAGAGCGTTTCCAAATCGCCCCCTCCCTGCCCCGCTCCGTTCCTTGCGTCGTATAGGCTGGAACGGCGATACTATTCAAGATTCAAGGCAACAAATCTGAAGCGGCTGCGCCCGAATCATGCTATTTCTCTTAATCTCCACGACGTCGCGCCTACCAAATCAAGATTGTTGGATACAGCGACGAACGACGACTAAAGATCAAACGCGCCTTTTGTTTTAATTTTACCTTCAAGGGGGCGAAACAGTGTCTAGCAACGATGGTTCGTTCGCCTTCGCCGACAATGGTGGTGGGGGAAGGGGAGCGGACGTAGTAACGTAACCTCACGTGGGCGAATCAAACCATCGCAAGGTCATGTGCAAAAGAACAATGCTATTCATGCAAGCAAGCGTGGAACGAGATATCGACAGTGCAAGCTAAAACATTCAGGAGAGCTCCAGCACCACTTTCTTCTAAAGTTGTGTTCAAAGGCGATCATGGGCGTATCCTCGGCCAGCCCGAAGTGAGCCAACTTCAATGTCTCACCCAACCACACAACGAAGATAAAGCAAGACAAAACAAGGTATACGCCAAAACTCTCCTTCCCTTCCCTCCCGTCGCCGCGCGTGTAAGAGTATAGGCAACGTAGGTATGTCATGTAGTCAGCACTCTAACTTCTCGTCCTCTCCTTTTCGTAAGCATGTGGGATAGACACCAAGGTATCCAAGGCCCCCATCATGCAATACATCCATCCAATGCAATCATGCCAATTTCGTTCATCTCACCTCACCACCTTATTTCCCAAAACATGTTCTCACCACGAACAACGCATCGTATCGTAATCTCGATTATTCAATATTGCATCTACGCAGCTTCCTACTTGCATTCGTATTCCAGCAGAATGGCTTACAATAAATGTTCCAAAAGTCAAGGAAATATCAAGATTATAGTCTGAGACATGTACAGAAATCGAGATGAGACCAAAGAGGGGCGAGTAGAACACCAACGCCAGAACATTTATCCACCACCACCACCACCACCACCACCACCACCATTGTTATTACATATCATGTGAAGGCCAAAATAAAATGGAAGGGGCCGTCGACGGATCAAGTAAAATTATCCCCCTCTCAAAATCCTAATTGATCCTTCTTCCTTCAAAGAGCCGTGTCGAACTCGGCCCGGCAACTTCGGTAATAAGCTGCTGTTGTGGTTCTGATATGATGATCGCCCCCTTCTCGCTTCCCGGCTGCGAGGCTGACTCTACTCTGCTCTCTCTCTGCCTCAGGTGCCAGTGTATGCGTGCACGTGATATCTATCTTTAAGTCTGGTCTTTGATGGTTACATACCTAGGTATGTAGTTAGTTAGTCATGCGGGACCCCTTAGTAAATGCCCAAACATGTCGTGTGCACGCGCATGCTGCGTGCAACAAGTGACTGACTGACTGACTGACCGACTGAATATAACCACATGAGCATATCATCAGTCGCTGCTGTGCACATGGATCTAGGGCGTCTATGTGTTGCTATGTGTATGTCTACGTGTGTAAGCGGAAGCGCTACCGTTTGTAGAACTTGTTCCCTTTTCGCAAAAGCCATGTTCCCTCATGGCTTCTCATGAATGTCTACATACATACATACATATGTACTCAGCGTACTTGCAGTCGTCGGTCCATGTTCTACCGCGTGCCCACCCCGCTGCGTTCGTTCGCTTCGTTGAACCAACCTTAAGCTTCGCCATCCGCCTTATCTGTGTAACCACACTTTTTTTTCTCCTCCTTTGCCTTTCCCTTTCCCCCGCAATATAAAATATACGCCACCTACCTCTCTGTCCACATCCACGTCCCCATCCACGTTGATGTATGTATGCGCATGTGCTCGTAAATGGCCACAGTTAAACGGTAAAAGCACGACCAGCCGTGTTATTCTCCCCCTAAAAAAACAAAAAGAGGGTGTGCTGCATATCTAAACGTACGTGTGAATATATGTGTGTGGCAGTAGTTTGGTTCACGGGTCTGTTCTGGCGGTGCGAGTTGTCGTCATTTGGGCAGCCTTTTTTATGATCATCATCGCTTTCTATCTTTCTTTTCTGGGTTTTTGGTTTTCGCGGTAGTGGGGGGGGGGGGGGGGGGGGGGTGTGGATGGAGTGGAGGGGGGGCACGTCATAGATAACGTATTCTCATCGCTAGGGTTTGCTTGGAGAGAGAGAGAGATGACGGTGTTTTGGCCTAGTAGACGAGACGCAAGGTGTTGAGTGTGGTTGGGGATGGATGGGTGCATAGCATACACACGTTGCTCTAATGTATCATGGTCTAGGATGGATGGACGCGGTGGGTTTTGTGCCCCACTGTTTCTTGCTTGTCGGATCTGAGAGAAGTGTAGATTGGGGCCCTACCTGATCATCGCAAACCATGATGTCTGTCTACACACAAATCATTCTCATATACACATAACGTAATACGAGAGCAGCAGCGAGTGAGATAAAGTTTCATCTTTTCATGATATGAAACATGTATATACGTTTGATATTTTGTTACAGAAAATGGTCGTTCCGTGTACCATTCAGTTAGATGTTTTCCCTTTTTCTCTTTTTCTCGGCTATCTGCCTGCACGGGCTACGGTTTCAAGAGAAGGCCATTAAACCAACCCCGAAAGCACAGTCCCGCCCAATCATACTTCGTGACCTGCGTAAAAATAAAAATAAACAGAAATGTCCGTGATACGCTCCGAGTGCTAAGATGGGGGAAAAGCGAATAGATGGCAAATGAAAATGTCCGGAGGAGGAGCAAGCATAACCAGAAACAGAAGTATGTAGACAAGGGTATGAACAAGTTCCCGAAGGAAGCAGCAGAAGTGGAAAAAAGGGAATCGTTGCGCTCGGTAATTTCATATGATGATGTACTCTCCGTCGACACGGTCCATGGCCTTTCTCCACCTAAAGACCTGATGTGGCTGTGATGGCTCGTCATCTCCGGTAAGGAGGCTGTTGTCGTAGTCTTGCCAGACCTTTTCGAGGACTTCGAGCCCACTCAGGTTATTGTAGAAGCCCGACTCCCGCTGGATCTCAATGCAGCGTTGTCGAACCAGTGCGCGGTGCTCCGACTGCGTTGCTTCAGATCCCAGGATGAACAGCGGCCACAGGATGAACTTGTTGTAGGGACTAGTGATTCCTATCTTGGAAATGTGGAACAGGCCGCGCGAGACAGTGCTCTGAAAGTTGACAAAACTGGAAGGCGACGACGGACTGACCAATCGCTCCGTGTAGAGCAGGGCAGCGTAGCGGAAGCTCTCGCTCATGTGCAGGCTTGCGACCTCGGCAGGAGGCAGCGACAGTTCACTCGATGAACCGTTGGAAAGATCCGACTTCCAGTCCTGCAGGCGGTTCTGTATCTCGTTCCATTCATCCCAAAAGACCGAGCGCCGATCACTGTTGTAAGGGTTTACCCGGTTGAAAGGATTCTTGCCCCCCAGCACGAGATCGGCGCTTTGCGTCCACCCGTTGCCGTCCACATTGTTGAAGTTGAAGGAATAGAAATCTGTCTGTTTTTGCGGTCGCGGTGACGGGCAAGGTGTGGATGTATCCTCTTTAACGGGACGATTCTGGCTGAGGAGGTTGAGTCTCCCCAGCCTAGCGATTAATTTAAACAAACGGCCCTCACAGCCAGAATAATGCTCCGATGCGCCCAAATTAGCTGTCCAATTCATCATATCCAGGGCATCGCCCTGTACCTCCGTTTCCCGATCGTTTACCGTAGACGTCATGACATCAAACCACGTGAAGAAAAAAGAAATCCATCGTACAAAACTCGACTGCACACTCATATTCCTCATGCTCAGCAGCTTCTGCACCCCGGCGAGCTGTGTCTTAAAGCGACTGAAGCCAGAATCGCACACGTGGAACAAGCACAGAACCAGAAGCGTTGCAAGGATGGTATCATCCTCCGCTGCTGCTTGCTGGTCCGCCAGCTTCTCGTTCAACAGTGCAATGGATTTGGCTTTGTAGTGCTTCTCCTCGGCAGAGGGCTCGCCGTGCATCTCGCGCAGCTCCTGCGACGTCATCTTGGAGAAGGAATGATCCGGCAGCAGCCCCAAATCCTCGGCCAAGCTGAGCCGTCTTCCTTCGATTCCACCGCGCATGCGCAGATTGTTGACCGCCAAGGCGGCAATGGCACTCTGGAGCATGTCGCTCTGCAGAGCCAGGGGCAACAAATGAACGCGATACGGATTCATGTGGTCTTCACCAGCCACCAGCACCGGGCATATTCCACTGTCGAAAAAATCCAGCAGGAAGCGAACTCTCATAGGTAGGTTGGTAGCGGCGGTGAGACTCTGAGGAATGGATGTGGTGAGCGTCAATTCGTCAAACAACAGGGAAGAGCCAGAGCCAAACGTACCCTCCGGAAGATAAGAGAAGCCAGGGTGAGACATCGCCCCCAAACTTGTACCAAGTTCCCCCTCCACAAAGATATCAGGCCAAGCCGGCGGTCCCATGGATTGCGAAGCCGAGCTGACCTCGTTGAAATCCACACTCTGGTCGGAGCTGATGCTGGAGCTCACATCGTCGGCCATGGGAATAGCACGGGACATTTCCTGGTAATGGAGGTTCTCCAGGGAGCCAATGGAGTGCTGGTCGTTGAAGCTGAAGTTGGCGAAGCGAGTGGCCGAAGCCTCGTTGAAGGGGAATTCGTCGACGGGAGTCGGTGGGTACTCGCCTGGGGAAGGAAAGTCGCTGTCGCTGTAGGTACCAAGAGAAGCCGATGAGGCAGAGAGACCGTTGTCCTCATAAGGCACGGCGAGGGAAGTGTGGATCCTCTGCAGGGAGCCACGGTGGATATGTGGGCGTTGCAATTTGGAAGAATGCGGGTGAAATGGATCCACCTGTTCCCCGTAACCAGGGACAGAATATGTGGTGGGGGATGGGATAGGAATGGGACTCGTTGGGTGGCCAAAGTACTGGTACTCGGGGGCAGAGAATGGGTTTGGACTGGTGGGGCTGGTGGGAGAGTGAATGCCGAAGTCGATGCTTCCACGGGTCTCGATGCGAGCTGGTAGCTGGTGCTGGCGTTGCTGCTGCTGCTGCTGTTGCTGTTGTTGTTGTTGCTGAGTTTGCTGCTGCTGAGTCTGTTGTTGCTGCTGCTGCTGCTGCTGCTGCTGTGAGGAAGTGGAAGTGGTCGAAGCAGCAACGGATGACTTTCGAGGTTTGGAGTCGCGAGCAGCCTGAGTGGGCGATTTAGCCACGGGAAGTGACATGCCTCGAAGCTTTCCACGTGAGGCAACACCGACGTTCCAGGTCAGTTGGGTTCGGTATCCGGTGCATTGCTTTCCTTGGTCGATACACTGGCCACAGTACGGCTGGAAATTCAAAGGTTAGCTCCATTGCCATGTTGCCCTTTTCCCACCGGTTTTCCCGCAAGGGAGAATTGGATGGAGATGTAAAAAAAACGTACCCGGCGGCGGTCACACTTGACACCGAGCTTCCTGCAAGAAAAGCAGTCCTCAGTGGCACCGGTGGCGGGAGCCCTTCTCCTCCTCTTCTTCTGGGCGACGGCATTTGCAGTGGTATTTTGAGTTGGGATATCGGTTGGTTGGGTGGCGGCAGAAGACATGGTCACGTCTTGGAGTTTGCGTGAAGGGATGTATATAAACGGGTTGGGATAAGAGTGGTTTGCAGGAGAGGCAATGTAAAAAAAAGTATAGGCAATCTGCAAGTTGGAAGGATGTATATAGTGCGGTGCAGGTTCAAGAAAAAAGAATGAACAAACGACGAGGGTTTCCTTAATGGAGCTGGACCACGAGAGAGGTGCGTCCCGGTGGGTATTAAGGTGGAGGAGGTAAAGCTTGGTTCAGTTTTTTGATAAGCACCAGGGACGGAGAGACATGGAGAGGTGCTACCGGGCAGGGCAGAGCAGGACAGGACAGGGCCACAAGCCCGCCCACCAGGGGTTCTGTCTGGCTCCAGGATGGACAGCAGGGATGGGGGAGCAGCGGTCATGCTGCGGCGGACCTTTGGCTACAATTTCAAAAGGTGCCGAAGAGGTAGGGTCCGTGGCGACCGGGGGGGCCTGGCTACCGCGGACGGCCGCACAATTGAAGGCCGAGGATGGTGGAAGGGTAAGAAAGGAAAGGAATGGAATCCCAGGCGGTGCAGGGCTCTGGACGGTGGTGGCTAGGCGGGCGAAGATCAACGGCGTGATTGGTGGTGAATGGACTCTCCCGTGCTGCATGCAGATAGCGACGATGTAACCCTCAGGCTCAAGGGGTCAGTTCTGTGGGGTTGAAGTCTAAGAGGATAGGATCCAAGCCACAGCAGAAGTGGCAAGCCCGGCGTCAGCGGACCAGGCAGCGCCGGCCGTTGGAGAAAAAAAAAAGGGCCACTGCGGGCTGCACTGGCGCTGGCACTGCAGCCCACCGAACAGGTGCGGAAATGGTGCAGCTTCTAGCTTGCACGCCATCAGGCTTGGTGGTTGGTGAAGACGATGACGATGATTCAGGCAGGCCACGGGATGGATGAAGAGAGACGTTGACGGGGACGAGGAAAAGAAGGCAGACGTGCACAGCAGTTCCGACGGTAGTAGAGCAAGCACACGGAGGGGTTATTTCCAGCCAGCAGTGTTCACGGCCCTGAGCGAGATGGTGGTGTAGGCGAGCAGTTAGTGTAGGAAGCGTAGACGGGCGAAGATCGTCATCATCATCCCCATCGTCATCATCAGCATCATTGGAAAAATGAAAGATGGAAGAGAGGGCCAGAGAAGGCTCGGGATATTGTCTTGCCGCAGTTGGCTCGCAACGAAATTGGTGCAGTAGCAGCAGCGGCGGGCGAGCGAGAGCGAGGAGTGAGAGGGAGAGACGAGAGGCTGGTGGCGGCTTGGCAGACCCGTTCGGGCGGATCCGACGAGAGACGGTGGTGGTGATAACGCCATCTGCATTCTCTTGATCCGGATAGGTAAAAAACAGCAATCTCTCTCTCTCTCCCTCTCACGCACCCCATCAATCACTGGCAATGGCAATGACAGCATGCTCCCCCCACGCTCTCGTCTCGCCCAGCCCTCCATCCATCATCCCTCATCCATCGCTCATCTGAACACCATGCAAGCACGCACGCACGCACGCGCACGAACCCTTGCTGCCAGGTATCTCTGTATGCACATAGATCCATACATACACTGGTCCGGTCTGTGTACATGGACACACACACACACACACACACACTCATACATACGCACGAGCACGATGCGATGCGATGCGATGGGCGCACTGTGAAGCTGATGACCCCCCTTGTGGTTTCATTCCACCATCTCATTTCCCCCTCCACACGAACATGTAGGTACAGCGGGGGGGCGTAAATTTTCCCATCCACTCCATGAGCCGAGGAGGTTTTGCGGCGGGCGTAGCTAGCGTCGACGACGATGGTGAGAGGGACCGTGCAGCGATAGGATAGGATGGGATGCATCGGGGACTAAGCCGCATAGGGCGCTTGCCCCGCGCCGCTCCTGCTCTGCTCTCGCGTGCTGCTGGCTGCTGCGAGCGAGTGAGTGAGTGCCTGAGTGCCTGGCTTGCCTGCCCGCCCGCCCGCCGCCTGTCCTGCCCTGCCCTGCTGCCCTGCCCTGCACTCTCGCAAGCTGCTGCTGGCGCTACTCTCTGCAGGCAGCCAGAGACACAGAGAGTGGGAGACTGGACGCTGCTGCTGCTGCTGCTGCTGCTGTGTTGCGGGGAAAGCCATCAACTACTACCACCCGCCGCTAGCTACTACTACACCTATTGCGCTTCACCACTCGTTGCTCTGCACGCTCTGCATCGTCGCCCTGGCCAGGCCGGCTCCCGACTCCCTCCCTCTCCCTCCCACTCCCCATTTCCACATTGCCCTTCGTGTCTCATTGCTTGCCCATTGTTGTCTGCATTTGTCTTGCCTGTTGCTGCATTCATCCCCTCGCCTTTGTCCCGGTATGACTGACTGTCCACCTCACTCGCCGTCATGCACAATTACGAGCTGGCGAGCTGGCCGCCCGCCGCCACCAGCAACGCCTTTACCGCTCTCCGAGCAAGGCACATGAGCCCATGGTAGTGAGCGAGCAAGCACCACATCAGCCTGCCATTTCGGAGCATCCGCTATGACATTTCCATCCACATCCCCGACTAGCTCAAGGCTTACCCTCCCACACACACACACACGCTCACCAGAGTAAGAGAGAGAGAGCCTCACCACCCACACCACCTCCCTCGTCGTAACCCGCCAGATTATCTCCCATTCATCTGTCCATGTACACACTGGTACCTGCGCCTCTACCTGCCCTGTCCCTCCCTACCCTGCCCCGCCTTGCCTTGCCGCCTGATCCCCCCCCTGGTGAACATCACCACCTTTGTTCCAAGACAAAAAGTAAAATGACACGCCGCGATGCCCTGCCCTCGCTCGACATGTGAAATATGGGGGGGGGGGGGGGGGTTTAGTTAGCATGTCATCTCGTTGCCTTTGCGACCGCGAGGTCAATGCTCTGGAGATAAGCCAGCACTCCAGACGCAATCGCTCGCTTTACAAAGAAAAAAATATAGACGACTACGGATCGGCTGCAATCATGGCCTTACTTTTTCACTCCCTGGCCCTCCCTCTCCTCCGCCGATTAATCTCGGAGCACCCCAATATCCTTTTTGTAAGCTAAAACACAATTACCTCCACGGTAATGCCGGTGCTACAGCCCCCCCTTCATATAATTCATTCCCTTGGAGACTCCCCCTTTGGGTACAGCCTTCCGTTCCCGTTGTTTGACCATTTATTCTTGCCTCCGGGGAAGATAATTGCCCTTTTTGGATTATGCTCTCTCTCTGTCTTTCTCTTGTTCGTTGCAGCGAGTCAATGTCTTGAAACTTAGTAGCTGGTTCGCGCTCGCGGCCGTACTTTTTTTCGGTACTACCAACTCGGCGCCATTGTCCACCACCTGTTGGACTGACTATTGTTACTGTGCTAACTTGGCTGGCCAAAAAGGCGGTCAACCAAGCAAGAAGCCAGCCCTGGCACCAACATCTCCCTCTTCTCTTTTCCGCCCGTTTTCCTATTTCCCCCGTTCTTCTTCTCCTCTTCAATCTGTCGTGCCTGCTTACTAAACACGTGCCCCTCCCATCCTTCCACGGATCAGACGGCCGTTATTGCCTCCGTTCCCCCCCTCGCTCCTTCCCGCGCCAATCTTTCGGCGCTACACTTCTCTGTTAGGAAATATCTGGATATAACAATCAAACAAGTGCCAAAGGGAAAAAAAAACATCAATGCGTTTCTCTCTCTCTTTCCCTGCATCCCCCTGGTCCTCCTTAACATCTCTTTCTCTCGCTCATCTTGCCCGATCCCGTACCCCTACGTCAATGCCTTACATGTACCTACCCACACTATCATGAAACAAACCCTATTTTATTTTTAATCTTTCCTTCCTTCTTGCTCTACTTTCTTCCAATAAATACATTGGAACAATGTCGTGCTACTACTTGCTGCTTTGGGAACCCTTCGGAGATGGCGTACCTGATCCATAACAATTCTCTGTTATCATCATCTGTTGGAGGAGCAAGGGCGGCACGCACGGGCACACAGGGTACGAGTGCGGGTACGGGATGACGCGCATGAATGTATGCCCTTTGATACCCTCTTTTTTTTCTTTTGGTCTTCTGGTTTCTGGCTTTTTGCCTCGGCCGGTCACATTGCTTGCATGGGAAGGTGAGATGGGAGATGACGTGTTTTTGATTATCATGTTAGATGATGCTGATGATGATGTGTGTATGCGTTCAATGTATCTGCCTGTTTTGCCTTCGTATAGAATTTGGATCATCTTTGGCTGGCTTTGTTTGCTTGTTTGTTTGCTCCGTGGCCTGGGATATATGGATCAATAGATCAAAAGATAGATTAAGATAACGGATGGCTTGCATTCATGCAAACCAACTTGTTGCTCATTACGAACAAATGAAACAACGCTATTGATTCCATGCGGCAAGTCAGATTCGATGGAAATGACGAAAGAAAACAAATGTCTGCATCCGGGGCTTTCTCTCGGTGGAACATTGTGATTGAGTGTCTAGATTTGAGGTCAAGATTCTTCGATGATGATCCATCTTCCTTTGCATTGGGAGATCATTGTGCTAATATAGCCATCAACTCTACGATATCTACTATGGAAAATCCAACATGAACCGATGCAGTCATCTAGATGGCTTTGACTTGCTTGTTCCGAGTCAACTCGCGTCTTCCTTATTTCCATGTCCTCCATCTTTCCCTGTAATCAGAAATTCAAACCTAAACTCACTTTGACTCCCTCTGTAGAAGGTTATGTCGCTTTTCACTTGTTCTCATCACATGCTGAGCGCACGCCCTCAAATCCAAAACCACCTACTGCTCTCTCTCTCAAATTTTGCAGTAGCTACAAAGAGTCACAGACAGCTTATGGAATAAGCATGAGATGGTTTACGGTAAGAAAAAGGCGGCAATTAAGCACTGATGGCTAATCCGTCAAGGCGTAGTGCTGCGGATCAAACATTTTTCTAATTAAGGTAGCCCTCTCTTACATGTACTTGGTGTATCAGCCAAACTCATGTTAACAGTGCCACGATACATGTCTCTCCAGCACACTTTAGACATGTACATCACTGGCAGTTGCTTGGGTATTCCTTCGTAACCTTACTAGCGATTTCTTTTATGATCCAAGAGCACAAGGTCAAAGAAGTCAGTGTTAAATTGTATTACGTGATAGGTGTATCTGCCTAAGTCCTCAAATATTTTACTGTGTTTATCCTTTGTACCGTGTTTTGCTAAATATTATAATTGCTGTACGCTTATATTAACACAAGAGAATAAGCGCTTGCGTGGCACCTATATTAAGAACTTGATTGTTCTTTTACATAGTGCTTACATAGAATTGTATTTTAATAGATGTAACTACAGGTAAGACGTCTCCCGCATCTTAGCAGGATTTCTCTTTTTCTAGCAACTGTTACTGACACAGTGTTTCGTCGTTACCACTACATTAGGTTTTTGGTGTGTTTTTAATCTCTTAATCTCTACTGCCTACATGTTTTAATCTTGCGCTCCTTCTTTCTAACTTGTAACTAATCTTATAAAGCAGTTCTTATCTTCTGTACAAGAAAACCTCTAAACAAATAGTTTAAGTATTCTCTTAACTCTATAGACAAGAAGCTATATATACCTACTAGATAATGCACAAGTATCTACATTAGCTTATAAAAAACTATACAAGAGAGCGTGTTATCTTAAAACTCTATAAGACAGTGTCGCCGTGCTGATAACTGCGCTAAATCTTATTACTTATATCTACAAGGTTTAAAATCTAACTGCCCTTTCCAAGGATGGAGCAGCTGTCTTCTAAATATATAAAATTTTCATCTAGTCTTTAGCTCTATACTCTCTACATTCGCTTTAGTCAGATCTGTTTGCAATAGAAATACGCGGGTTATCTATACATCTTTCAATACGGAACACAGCAACGCTTAGAAGTTATGAACAATCACTTAACTTTTAATTTCCGCTGTTACACTGTTGAGATCAGCGTCTCCTAGTCCTACAGATCTACACTTTTGCCGAAGAACGCCATTAGCTAATCTCAGATTAGTGTTTTCCTATAATTATTGATAGAAAGAGATAAGGAAAAGCTTTAGCACTGTTAGAGCTAGTAGAAATTGTGTACAGCATATTGTTAAACTAAGAGACGTTAATCTTTGTAAATCTGCTAGCACCTTAGACTAATGCTACTTGTTTAGATATGGCACTGTAAAGGACTGTAAGTTGTGTTGAAACTCCATTCTCGCGTTAAATTGCTTAGGTGTGAATTGATAACTTTTGAAAGGTGTGTAAACAGTCTCGACTTTTCCATAGACAGTGAGTGCGGGCACTATTGCTTAATAAAATGCGGGAAGATTATGCTAATAGAGTATCAGATATCTATTAATCGTAACCCCGTGTGTATAAGTACCTAGAATACTACTACAGTGATATCAATTATCAATTGTAGACTTTACATACTGCTGCGCGGATCCTACTTCGCTACGTTACATTGTTTATAGGGCTCTCTAGCGATGTTTATATAGAAACGTACATAATTAATGAAGTGCACTGATTGATTGGTTCGTTAGATTTTACTATGTTGACATGAAGAACTGACCCAATTTTTACTATCAAGTTGTAGAATATTTGCCAAAGTGCAAATGCTCTGGCTGCAAATAGTTATCTATTCTAGTGAGATAATTCGCCTTTGAAAGTTTTTTTTTATTACAAACATGAATGTGATTATTATTACTCGGAGCTATTGAGCGTCCAGGGGCATTCTGTCATTCCAAGTATTTGCGGCTGCGTCGGATCCACTGATCGCGACGTGCTCTCTCATGACGAGAAGATGTTGCGGCGCATCTACTGTGTTGCAAATATTGGCTGTGCTTAAACATGTTTCTGATGAGCAGCTAAAAGCATATGAGATCTTATAAAACATGCGTGTTTGCCTAGAGTCCACTAGTAATTATTGTGTCTCTAGTATTCCAAGTGTGTCAGACAGATCTAACGCAATGAAACATCTGAAGCCTCTAAAAACCTAGAAACTACCTAGAAGAGAGACTTAGGGCTTTGCTTGTAATCATCTCACTACCTTGCAACTGATTCTCTGGTATATTCGCCTCCCCTCTCGTTCTGTCACTTTATATATACTTTCTTTAAGAGTCAAAGGAACACTTCAAACACGTCATTTAAATTGTTTACATGATATTTTGTGTATACCGCGCGCATTAAGATGCAGTGAGAGACCACACATAACTGACTATCATATGCACAATGTATCTTTTACTCTAACTCATAACAGTGTCTTTGTTTGCGTTATTATACTAGGACTACTCTGTGTAGTAGGTAGAACAACCCCACAGGACGGTTGTTTCTGCATTATGTATATACAATGTACAAATCATATACGTTTTTATATATGATGAGGACCAACGCAAATGATCCGTACTCATCTACATCACGAACACCACATCTCACCAGCGACTGACTTCCGAGCATCTCGATTTACTTGAATATGGGCCTCTTCAGGAAGACCGCCCCTAAGCCTCAAGTCGTCTACGACTTCGAGGAATTCACTTATATCGACAACGTCGAAGCAAAGAAGGAGTGGCGCAAGACCACCCCCTGGAAGTCCGTGATGAAACTCATCAAGGATTACGCTGATATCTTCATCGACTTGGATGGCGTAGATGAAGATGCAAACGACGATGTAGATGAGAAGGGGGATACGCTCTCAAGCCAAGATGTTTGCTCAGAGCCTGAAAGGGCAAGCAGCCTTCGCAGTCTCCAGCAATCTTACCAAGAGGCACTCCGCGATACTGCCATGGATGAGTTCCAAGGCAGTCAAAACGTGAAGTATGTGATCCTCTTTGATGCTGATGGCAATGCTGATGATGATTTCGTCCCCGTCGACCTTGACGAGAAGTATCGCAAGGTCGACCAACCTAGATCTCTCGAACTTGGTGAGTTCGATGAAGGGAGTGATCCCACAATTTCCTCCCTGAAGCAGATCGCTGGCCGACTGCACAAGCGTGTTCCTAGCCAGGTGGAGCAAAAGGGCAAGGAGTGTGACAAGCAGGCTGGCAATGGGCGGAGGAAGTTCAAGAGTGACAGCTTCGACTTGGAGATCCGGATGACTGCCGTGGATATTGAATTTCCCGAACAGTTCATTACTCAACGTGGCTCTTCTGATTCCCAGGATGGTGGCCGTGAAGATGAAGCAGGAACTTCTTCGCCGACTGTTGAGTTCGGTATCACTGAGCTCATGGAGCTCTGCGACCGTACTGGCTTTGACGATGGCAAACGTGATTCGTCATTCTCAACGGATGTTGAGATACAAAAAGTTGCGAACGCAGCCCGTGAGATACAAGTCTATATAGCCAACGCAGCAGAACGTCCACCTCTGGGTCCGCGATCCAGCTCAGACGGTGACATGATTTGCACGGCTCAGATAGAGCAGAAGTTTGTCCGCAAACGTCCTAAGCCAGCTGCTAAATCGGGGTCGTCGAGATTCGTCGAAGCCTTCGACGCTCCCGCAAAGGACCTCACAACTGTCCTCCGGTACAAAGACACCAAGCAGCTGCTAGAAGCTGTAAAAGAGTCTAAGCGCCGGAAATCTTGGGATGGCGCGTCCAGCAAGCCCGACTCCATCCGACGTTATGTCCGAAGCAAAGGGTATGACAAGCTCGCGCCGATTGAGGAGGAAGATGTACAGTCACCTCCTTTGTCAGCACCCGCGGCGATCTCAACCTTCAGTCAAGCATCGCTTGCGTCGCCTGCTTCGTTGGACGGCTCGATCGACTTCGAAGGTTGCCAGTGGGGCAATGTCATCCGGTTGGAGAGACGTCGTTCGGATTTTCTGGATGACGAGGTGGACTCTGTCGTCGAGTTGAAGACGCGTCGTCCTGACTTCCTCGACAGTGAAGACGACTATGGCGATGTCGTCGTTCCTAAGAGGTCGGTTTCTGCGCCGGGTCGATTGGGTAAGCTGCGTCGCGTGTTCAGTTGGGGCAACCTGAAAAGGAAGCTGAGCAAGTAAAGCTACTGTCTCGACGAGCGGCGTGAGCAAATGTTGGAGAGGAAGCACCGCAGTGCATGTACGCTGGACGTGATAGGCCTATGTTCAGCTTAGTTTTATAGGGAGGCGCTTTGAATTTTGCGGAATGAATATGGTGTTTATTGAAGAAGTTTCTTGTACTTGTGTTGTGTTAGTGTGAACTGGTTGGCTTTGTCCGATAACCATATTTTCGAGGAATGGAATATATGGTCCTTCAATGAAGAGATAGCATTTGCCAAACCTCACGATGATACAACCAGGTAAGGTGAGTGGCAACGAGTTATCGCGGCAAGCGCACCCCCAGTGGCCTGACGGATAAGTCGACAGATTCTGGACAAGAACAATCAGCAGATAACATAAATTCTCGTATCCTGCTTTACTTCCTGAAAGAACAAAAAGACAAAAATAAAAGTATCGTATCTCGGTTAATTCCCCGTATAGTCCAACGCAACAATTATTTCCAATAGTACAACGCATCGAGTGGCGGGTCACGTTGCCCGCCTCGCACGATTGATAACATCTCGCCTTACAACAATGCGTAAACATAAGGCGTGACATCGGCAAGGAAAGCTTGTTCCGTCCCAAAAATCAGCGGTTGCCCCGTAAACAAGAATGATCGGCTTTAGTGGGATGGGTCGTGTGGGTACCCTCCACTGACTGACTCATTGACTCATAGGCAAGTGTGCACAAAGTCGGCCATTGATAAAATGTTGAGGTTACGTGATTGGCGATCGCGGCGTGGGTTGTTGCTGAGTGAGATGTTGGCTGCCCAATTCCTATCCAGACTTTTTGCAGAAGAAGGTGTAGCTGGATTTCCCTGTAGGGTTCTTGCTTGCTACGTGTTTATTTTTGATCTGCGGTTACAAGGAAATATCTGCTTGCGTGGGAGTGGATGTTCAGGAAGGCGGGCCGCGATGAAGACGGTTTTCCTGTGCGTGAACTCGCTTATTTCGCTCGTTCATGCTAAAGCTGCTTGTACGATTTAGCAGTCTTTTTGGCACGGTAGCTGATGTATATCGCGCATGCACAGAGAGGGTGTAACCGAGAGACCGGAGTCAGTATTGACGCCCAACAGTGGAGAGAATCACACCGTTGTCTGCCGGTGCGGTTGTAAGTCATGCTGGTGGCTGCTGATTTTTCTCATGCTCTTTCACGTTCCCATCTGATCGAGTGAGTTAAGCTGAAGGGCGTAGCAAAATGTTTCATTCGGAGTGAACGAAGCCGAGGTCAAAGCGAAGCTTAGTCTACTGAATCTATTTGTCAATTGTCTATCTTCGTCCTGAAGTATTGACTCTGGACAGGTATCTTTAAAATAGAGATGGCGGGTTGGATCTTGAAGATTTTCAACCATGATTGTCAATACTAGTGGAGCCAGGCTCGTAAAAAGAGAACTGAGCAGAAACTAGCCGGTGCAACGTCGCTGTCACGTTCGGATGCTTCCAGAAGCAAGCTAATCCTATTCCCACATAAGCACGCTGTATCGGACCTAGGCGGCTATCTTTATCGGATGAGTAATACGGTAGTCTGGCTCGTCTATTGGCTCGTGTACGTATTGCTTGTTCATTTTGAGTGCGCGCAATATTTTCGATAAAATGGTCGATGGGTCAGTGAACCTGACAATGCTAGTCGTGATGGTATCGATGTCTTATCACAGACCAGGCAGAAAGTGGATACTGTTTGTGCAGAGGCGCGCTGAGAACTGGAGAGCTGAGTTCGGGACACGATGAGGGCAGAGTCATGCTGGCACTAGCAGCGCAATTTCTCAGTCGGAGCTGATCGCGTATGTGCATAGTTGAAGGCGATGCGGTGTATGAGGAAAAAGAAGCAGAAACGTCGTGGCTTGCGCTGAACGACGGTTTCGCTCTGGCATGGTGTTTTGAAGGCCAGCTGGTACTCGGGACGCCCACGTTCCATTCGCCATGAGGGCACTAGTCTGGCCTTAGTAAGGTGGCGTTCTAATCTTAGCCACCAATCGCCAATCCGCTTCGAGCTTCATCCGACCACGGCCGGTGCACTGCCAGTCGGTTTAGCAACGCCATCCATCTGATTCCAACCCTCTAGCCACACACTACGTCAATGCATGCACAAACTCGTGCCCTCATCATGGCTGTGCCTTGGCGAAGTTTTTCACTGCCCCCTGTTCGTTGCGCTATCGACTGACCGTATTCAGATCAGCCCTGCTTCATTGACTGTAGTGGGCGAATGTGACGGCGCTGATGGGGAACAGTAGTGTAGCATTTCTGGATACCTGCCATCCGGTATAAAGATGCCTCACCGCTCACGCCATGTATCTTATCTCTCCCATCATCATTCCATCAATATCTAATACTATTTCCTATCAACCTTCGCTTTACCTCCTTGCCTTAAAGATCAGACACTCGCTCTTCATCTGACTCTCATCCAGCCCTCAAGGACTTTTGCAACATACAACCACCAAAAAAAATCTCAACATCTTAATTACCAACCTAATCAAAATGCGATCCTTCACCGTCGCCGCCGCCATCATCGGTGCTGCTGCCGCCAACCCTGTCGAGTATGGATATCACCCCATTGTTCCAACCGGCTACTCACAGGTTCCTCCCCCTTCTTCTTCGCAATCCTCCAGCATCTACACCCCGATCCCATCGTCAAGTGCTAGCTCCTACACCCCGGTTTCACCCCCGTCTTCGTCCTCGAGCCAGAGCACCTACTCCCCTCTCCCCACCGGTTACTCTTCCGTCAAGCCTCCATCCAGCAGCAGCTCGTCTCTCCCGACTGGCTATTCTTCTATCAAGCCTCCGTCCAGCGGCAGCAGCAGCTACTACTCGTCCCTGCCCACAGGTTACTCTTCCGTGAAGCCTCCACCAACTGGCTACTCCTCTGTGAAGCCTCCTCCTGGCGGCAGCTCGTCTCTCCCCAATGGTTATTCTTCTGTCAAGCCCCCACCCACTGGCTACTCAACAGGCGTGAGCCCACCTCCTACCACTACCTACGTGACTACAACTATCTGTCCTATCACTACGACTTCTGGTACTTCAGTCATCACCACCTTGACGACAAGCACCATCACGGTCACTTCCTGCAAGGGTGGATGCCACCAGCAGCCAACTTCCAAGCCCACCCCGACTGGAAACCCCACCACGGAGACCCAGACCCTCACCACCACCACCTATAAGTGGGTACCTTGCTCAACTTCGGTCGGTAGCAACGATAACTCTGTGATCTACTCGACTTACCTCACACCTACCTACTATGCCACGACTTACACCACCACCGCAGTCACCTACCCTACTGTTGCTCCTCAACCCCAGCCTCCCGTCGTCACTCCTGTAGCCCCCGTCCCTAGCAGCCCTGCTGGTCCTGCTGGCCCCGCCTCGTGCCCAGCCGGTGGTGCAACCCAGACCGTTACTGTCACTGTCAGCGCTCAACCCTGCAAGCAATGCGAGACCAAGACCTACACCATCACCAACGGTGGCGTCCCAACCAGCTTCACTGTTACCGTAACCCCCACTTCCACTCCTGGCTCTAAGCCCACTGGAGGATCTGACTCCGGTTCGAAGCCCAGCGGAACTGGAAGCGGACCTAGCTCCGGCTATGCTCTGCCCACTGGCACCGGTGGTATCTACTACCCCACCAGCAAGCCTTCCAACCCCATCTACAGCACTGGAAACGTTGGTCCCAAGCCTACTACTGCCTATGGATACATCCACTGGTAAACGGTAGACCCACGTCCTTCAAGATTGTTAGATGGGATGTCTAGACTTGGCGTTTTATGGATCGTTTTTCTTCTTCATTGTGCATATTTTCTGCGAGGACATTTAGCGGGCATTGGCATCTTTCCCTTTTCATTGGATGTTACGGATTTACGAACATCATTCACTCCTTCGGGCCATTGCATAGCCGCGGCGTTTTCCATGGGGGGTTTTAGCCATCTGCTACCCCCTTTCTCTGTATTTCAGGGCATACATATCATCATTCGATGTATATGAGATTGATAGTCTAATTGTTTAATGTTGCTGGTGTTTATAGATGATGTGCTTATAAAAAACAAAACTACAAAAAATAAAACAACCCACACGCTCCTTACTAGTCTTGTCCGTTCTCCCAAGTGATATGCAAACTTTCTCTAGTTCATTTCTCGTTGTATGACGCCGAAAGCTACCCTATACACCTTAAACCCTCTTACCACATTAGCAAATGCTACCAGCGAAGTGTAATAGCTACTTAGGAACCTGGACCTAGACTTTCACGTGACCCCGCCACCCTTCCAGCTTTCAGCTCCACCATCCAACACTTCAAGTCCTTGCCTATGCTGACTCCATACTGTGCCACCTCCAAAACACCTGACCAGAAGATTTCGTGTCAGCACCTGAGTCAACGCCAGAGTCTAGAACCGTTATCAGCTGAGTTTTAATGAAACATTCACTTTACTGCTATATTTATAATACATATTTTTATCTCTCTTTCATAAGCTGGGAGAGCGAGAAACATGTAAGAGAATGGCCCAGATCAGTAAGAGTATAGTAACGGGAGAGTATTAGTAGATAAGAATAAAGTCTTGGAAATATTTTTGTGTCTTAATACTAATAGAGGCTCTAATTCGCATGATACAAAAGATGCTGGTCACCTACGGATGGGCTTGCTCTCTTAGTAGAGGCACCGATGATTGCAGTGCAAAAGATTAGTCATCCACGGAGGGGCTTTCTCTCGTGATGGATGCTCCAATTAACATGGTGCGAAAAATGAAGATGAATACCTACGGGGGGACTTGAGTGCATGTTATTCTTAGTTTTGCAGGTTATGTCTGTGAAGAGTGTGAACCTTACTTAGGTTACCCAACCACGCATCGTCAACACGTTTCACGACTGCAGCTTGTTTAAGCCATCTTTCTGCTTCAATTTCTGTGGAAAACATCTCACGCGCGCCGTCGAACCAGCCAAAAATTTCTCGCACACTACATGTATCTGGCGAAGTGGATCTTGTAGTGAGCAATCCACCATACATCGCGTCTAGCGTTAGCGGGGAGGATCTACCCGTGTACGCAGACGGAGGCGCGGATTTGGAAGTCGACATCTCGATGCAGATTGTAGAATTAGCCTGCGATCTTCCTTCTCTTGGGGGGATGTTGATGATATATACGGGTGTTGCGATATCGGTCGAATACCCCGGGTATGATCTTTTCTTGGGAAGGATACAAAAGGTGGAAGGAATGGAAGTGATTGACTACTTCATTTTACATCCAGACATTCGGTCGGAGGAGATTGGTAAGGGTGTTTATACAGAATTTGGGCGGATACAAACCATTGGAGCTGTTCTGAAAAGAATGCCTCAAGATTCAACGAGCCAAATTCCGAGATTTTGAATGGCGTATGGCATTTCTCGATACCACAATTATTCATGGTGCAGTGTCCACGTCAGATGAAACTAGACACCGACTGTGTTTCATTGAATTTTCAGTGTTCTACGACCCAACGCAGCGCAGTGCTTGATCGTTCAAACAAGCAATGCCGAGACAAGAATATTAGGGTTCAAACGATCTCGAGCGATGTTTGGGGTGTATTAATCAAACCTTCTATATTACTCGTAGACGCGAGCGACATGGTTGCCTACGTACTTTTCCGCCCCCAATACCTATCCAATCTTCCGTGTAATAATGAAGTAGCATAGAAATGAATGGATGGAGAATGTAAGCAGCTCAAAGGCTTCGGAAACTCTAATCCATTACATGAGATTGGTTGACGAGAGCTGTATCGTATGCTATCCCGCTATTTCATCTACTATGTAATAGTACAGCAATTGATAACTGATTGCAAATGGCTACTGCTATGAGGTACATTGTCTCATTCTTTTGTTCCCACAGAACGGAACATGTGTCCTGCCTGGAGCTCGAAGGCAGATTTATCGCGTGATTTTTCAATACCCAGTGTTTGTGCCGCATGGAAATGCGATGAATCATTATTACTTCTAGTTCCCACAGAAATTTCTAAGAATGCGGATGCCGGTTCGTTCCATGGAACATTCACCCAGAATCTTCTGTCTTTTGACTTGACAATTAGTATGACCTAATGTTGTACGCTCTTAGCCCGCTCTTTCTACCGACGGAATCAGACAAAGAGTGAAATGCAACTGTATTTCCACATTTGCAGACCTGAAACGTCATGAATTCATCCAGCGAAGACAAGAGAGCCACGTGACAGCAAATCAATTTATTTTCGGTGACCTAAGACTGCAGCTTACGCTTATACGAGGTTTGCGCGAAGTCCGAACTGAACCATCAGCACACACCTACAGTTGCCAGTAATGAGAACGGAAAAATGCGAATAGTATGATTTGGTGGAATATTTTCAACAGGAAGAGTTCAATGATTTCCCACTGTATGCGACAAGATCACTAGATGTAACTCTCCTGCCATCATTCGACTGCGCGCATTTTACGCAAAGCTACAGCCCATATTTTCTGCACGAATCTCCTACGTGGTGATCGCTTGCCTTTTTCTGTTTGGTCCCCGTCGGCGGGTTTTTGCCTCCCATAACTCACCGTACAAACCCCAGATGCTCCAGCCGTATTGCGCTGCACACATCGCACCCATGTAACTTTCTCTATTGGGCACATCCAGAAGACGAACCCCGAACATGAATACCCAACCATGGCCTACCCCGCAAACTCTTGAGTCTCTTTCCTCTGCGAAGTGCAAAGCGGGCAATACTTTGTGACACCACGTACAACGCGATGGATCGCATTCTTGAGGTGATCAGAGAAACACAAGCGTTGTCCCCGGAGAAAGTGCGCTGGGCAATCGAGCACGCATGTCGGGTTGACCAACTGAGCTTCAAGGTATGTCATCATCGGCTTCAATGAGCGCAAAGCGACTAGCGGCACACAGCTTGCTTCTATATCTGTAGCTTTGGCAGATGACACTGATGCTTATATCTACAGGTTTGGATCATTCTACTTGCGGCTTGTGCTATTCTTGCTTCAACAGCTCGCCTCCTCGTACGACATTTACGCGAACGTACTTTCTGTCTAGACGAGTATTTTATGTTACTTTCAGCAATATGTTTCATCATAGAAACTGGGCTAGTGTATTCGTCTATCTCACCGATCTATCTCATCGATGCTGTTACCCTCCAGCTTCCCGTACTCAGTTACACAATGCGACCTACTGAGGGATCACCCACGCACGACCTCCGAGAAGAATTTCTTCAATCCAACCACAGGACTGTGGGCGCGTACTTCGTCTTCGGTTGGCTTGCAATATTCGCCGTCAAAGCAAGCTTTCTGTCGCTCTTCCACAAGATGCTTCGCAATGTCAACAAAAAGTTGATGATATGGTTCTGGGTAACGGTGGTGCTCACTGTCATCAGTGTCATGGCCGTAGTACTAGAGACTTTTGAGCTCTGTTCCAAGTTTGGAGCAGGACCTGTACAATGTTTTTTCGAAGATGGCTTCACCTTCAGCATACATTCCACTGTGGTGGTACAGCTGCTAGATATCATCACTGATCTTATGGGTAAGACCCCCTCGCCCCCAATTTTGCCTGATATCGTGCCCTGTGAAAATTAATCTGGCTTTGCATCCAGTGATTTCGATCCCGGTGTTGTTATTACAGCTGTCTAGCTTAAGATTGAAACTCAAGCTCCGGCTGGTCCTCGTACTCTGTCTCTCTACAGCATGTATCGTGATAGGAATCGCCCGAATGGCTGGAGGGGTACATTCTAATGTACTGTCGAGAAAGCAGTTCAGTATTGTATGGCTTACTTTCATGCTACACTGCGAGGCTGCGGTTGCATTGATGGCCGGTTCTGTTCCTGCTTTGCACGCACTTTTTACGTCCCAAGAGTCGAAAATAAGAAAGCGAGTACTCATCTCCAAGTCCAGCGAAGGAAAATCCAGTCTGAAGACAGGAACAGGAACTCTTGACGAAGACATGGTGGAAAGACAAGAACTACAACCTCAAACCTGTGATGGTGAGAAATCGCCGGGGCTCAACAAGTGGCAGAACTCTGTTGCAAATCTTATCCCGAAGCGAATGAGTAGCCACCGTAGTCGGAGACTGCGAGGCCCCCATGGAAGGACTGGTTCCACTGACAGTGGGATCTTGCACCCAGTTTTGGCATACCACAGATTTCGCAGACAAGAGAGGGACGAGGAAGAGAGCCAAAGATCTCTGAACGATCTTAACGCTATCAAAGTCACATATAACATGACCATATCAAGTCAGTCTGCTGTAGATACTTCAGTGGATGGAGATCATGTGAGTCGATCTATTCCTATAGATTGTGTGGACTTACCCACATATGAAACATATCACTAAGTCAAAAGTGCAGATTGATACCATTGCGTTGGTACCTAAGCCGTCGAATCACCTCGCAGGAATCGAGGCACCAGAACCGGCTATGACTACAAGGCAAATGAACTATTTTGTGGAGGGACAGTTTGGTCAAATCCAAGCTGGTATGCAGATGTAGAGATAATTCGCCATCACGTTCAAACACTTTCAGATATCCTAGTGATAGCATAGTTCATTATCTTAATAAAACCCTGAACAAGTAGTTTGCATAGAGTTATGACTTTGTATAATACATGAGAAGGCAATAATGGCAAGATGCGGCCTCTATAATGGATTGTAGAATATGTATTGGCCAACGGGTGCTAGTTCAAGGACTGTTCTGATTGGTGGACTCTCGTGACGCTAACTGTATTGGAAAATCAACGGATCTCGATCGTAAAGACAGGATTCCATGGCTGACGTCAATCATACGAGTATGCGAACGGTTGACCAGACGATCATATAGGCACGGACTAATTCAAGTCTCCACCTGAGTCCTGCGTTCGTGTCCGTGTCCACGGTTGTGGTTGTTGTATGGTCCGCAAACTGTTCAGCGATAGTTAAATCAGAAGCGCAACCCAAAGTACCACTTCTTATAACACATTTGGACAACTAGAGGGCTTCTTTATGCATGCTATACAGAGTTACGGTGCAGGCGACGCGTTCCAAATTATCATTCGATTTCCAGCACCCGATCATTATCTCCACGACACTCGCTCATGTACTAGAATTCTTCCCACCAATGAAATTCGTATGTAACATTAAATCATTAATTCCAATCCTTCTCTTGTTATCTTGACAACTTCCCGCATCACGCTTACCTCGGAGGCCGGTATGAGGGAAAATTATCATACCCAGGCCTGCCATGCAAATGCGTGAACGTCGAGCTACCTTCCATCGGGTCGATTTGAAAGACGGGGTGTGAAGCGCTTGGAGCCGGCATACCTAACGCTGGATCAATGACATTGGTCCCTGCATTGTAAAACCCACCACTACTTGGCATGGGATAAGGCCCCATACCAACCCCGTCGTCCATCATGCCTGAAGCCATCCCTGGATGTACCGGCACGAAATCACCCCACAAATCCGAGATATCCAATGAAAGTCGGTTTGCCACCAGTTGAAACGAATCGAAGGCAACTCGGGAGGCACGCTCAGCCAAGGGGTCTTCCAAAGAGCGCAGCCATCGTATTGTCTTTTTAGCATAACCGGAAAGTACACTATTCTCCTGGTGACCTATAGAGTATTGGGAGAGAGCAAGAAGAATTATCGCGAAAGCCTGCATGAAATGATGGACTATGCTCCACCACGGACCGTTCTCCAACAGGAACAGAGGATTCGGTTCGTCTGGCAGCAAATTCAACTGCGACTTGGCCGCATTCAGGCATATCATGGCCATCTGCCGCAGAAACCCTGAATTATTTGTGTCTTTATTGTCTTTCCATGCCTGTCCCAGCCCCCCAATACACGGTCGTGTGAGCAGAATTCTCCTACTATAGAACTGGAACCCTAACAGCAAGCGCTCACGGAAGAACTCTTGCGAGAGATTTCCAGCTGTCGTGTCTATGCGGGGATCATATTCACTTGGGAGTGATGCTGCCCAATGGTCAATCCGCCGACCCAGCTGAATTATATCCTGTTGAGTCTCAGCCGGCGGCCGGATCATCGTAGCAGCAGAGTATAGCCCCATGAGGATGCTCTGAGTTATAATGCCCATCTGTACTGTGGCTTTGATGTACGAGCCAGAGTTGGCTTCTGGCCTTCGAATGCCCGTAGGTGTCAAGGGAGGGTCTAGGGAAGTGAACGCGGCCGCTGATGAGGGTCGTCGTGAGGCAATGGCCTCCGCGATTTGATGTTCTGGCACAGGGAGTGGAAGCGGGACGGAGCAGCTGGAATCGACGATAACGCTGGGTCGGCCGGTGATGACACTGAGTTGCCTTTCGAGGGAGTACAGACTCCACCAGATCCGTACCAACACTTCTCGTTTCGGAGGAGTCGCAGAGGGGTCTTCGTTTCTGACATGGAGACCTAACGCTTGTGCAAACCGGAGTGCCATTCCAGCAACAATCCAAGCACTTGAACGGTCAGTATGTAGTACAAGCGATCAATGGTGACTAGCACATACCGACTGACTTGGCCGATAGAGAGATAATACAGCGCCAACAAACCAGCAACCTGGATCTGAGGCAAGTCTGGATGTTGCACGAAAGTCGAATCGTTCCACGCAAACGAACGCGCTCTCGCCTGGTAGACCAAGTGGTCTTGCTCATCTGCTTGCCATTCAGCTTTGATTAGGTGTGAATAGCGGGCTCCAATAGCAAAAACCAAATTGAGAATGGCTTGCCATTTGACGTTGAGATGAGGGGCGGCACCGTGCTTCAGACCTGTGAAGTATTTACGGAATTGCTCTTCGAATAGCTTTCTAGGGAGTATAGGAAAAGAATCGTGTACCTTTTCCATGTACACTCCTAGCAGTCGCTCGGCAGTATCTGGATCGGGCAACTCATATGGTTCAACATAAGAGTTCGGTTCAACGTCCTCGCTGTCTAGATAAAATGTCACAACACTGACTTGATCGTTGTTTCCAGACGTCACTGTGGACATTTTCCGTTTAGCGGCTACTCCAGACATAGTTGGATCATCGGCCACATTTTCCAGGTGCAGCAAAGATCGCAGCCATTGGACCTCTGAATTCTTTCCCACGAATCCTGTGGCACGAGACCGATCATTCATGTGAATATTTTCGTCCAGTGCATCCAATGAGTTGATGTCGACTTGTTCATCCGATTCGGCAATGCTTTCGTCGAATAACGACATCCGGGTCGCTGTTCCGGGTTCGTCCCCTTCAGTATCGGCAATCGAAGGTGGGTTTCCCATAGGTATTTCTGAAACATCTTCGTCCACCTATTGGAGTCAGTGTCCGAGCTTAAAGGCATATTCAGATATCCATACCGCCTCGAGTAACTCGCCTATGCGAGCATTATCTTCCTCGCTAGCCGAGCCTTTTAGCATTCTCAAGTAGCCAGCCATCTGAGCACATCGGTCGGACAAACTGGGGAAGTCAGCTGCTGTAGACTCAAGTTGCGAGAGCTCACCAACATCTTCAAGCGGTCCTTGCGGGGCATGATGTACACGCATTCTCGGTCTGTTGACACACAGTGCTTACACCGTGGACTGTCACCCGAGCATTTTATCTTGTGAGATCTACATGCAGTGCATGCTCTTGCAACCCTCCTCCTTTCTTTTGGGAGTGTATGCGAATTGGAGGCGCGCGGAAGGCGTGGGATTGCGATTTTGCGACCTTCATAGCCGCTACCTTGAGGCGCGTTTGACATGCGCCCAATTCGAAATGAGGGGAGTGGACGAAAATGCCGGAGAAAAAGATTTTGGGCTGCAACTTAGGTTTTCACCTGCTCGGGAGTGCAGCTATCCAGCTCCTGCGGGATTGTGGCGCCGAATTTCGTGAGATAATGCTGGGGGTCAATGTTGGTGACTGCCGACTGACTGCCAAGAAATCACTTCCTAGGAGCAATGATGCGAACTGGATGACGTGTGGGTTTCTCACGTTTTCAGGACTGAGAAGGAGAATATTGCAGGGTGAGTATGATCGGACCGATGTGCAAGATCATCGAAGAAGGAGTGTGCGTGTGGTATCTCGGGATCCCACGACTGGGTTGTTTATGTCTAAGTCCAACACCCAAGAACAGCGCAGGTATCGGCGATAGATTGCAGATTTGACACCTAAGGCATTCTCGATTCGGTAACGACAGCTGCGATCCGTGCTGCTATACGCATCGGCCTTGTATCGACAGCCTCGAATCCACTTTTTATTCCGTGTTCGCTTACCAGCGCCATAGGATGCTGGTGAACCAGGCAACGTTTTTCTCGACGATCTCTCATGCAACTAGCTCGGCAATTTGAGCCGAGTGATTCTGAGGCATCCCCGAATAGGAGGTGGCTGATGCTGAGTCTGTCCCTAGCAGACCCAGCTGGATTTGCAACGTTCCGAGGCAAAGAAACGAAAAACGTCGTGAGGATCACCGATGACTGCAGTAGCTTCATTCACATCCCCGACGTTGGCACTTGGAAGCTTGAGATCTTTTTGCCATCCAGATCTCCCACCAAGAAGGATTCTAAGACCCGGGATCTGTGGGGAACCGGGGCTTAGATAAATCGTACTGCTTGCCATTCATATGGGGATTTCTTAATCTGTTTTGTTAAGAGCTTCCAGAACAAGTTCGATATCGATTCAACTACAGGGCTTCAGGGCTAAGCCGAAAGTGCGTCTCTTGAGGACCCTTGATTCACTGCAATTGGTTGCATCTCTGATTACTCCCATACTGTTGAGAAGGACAGTTTAATCTGAAAGAATAAATGGTACGACTAAAAACAAATCATTTTGCAGAACAGTCCAAGACACAGTTTCGATATTTCGCTTCACAACATATCACTAGGGAGGTGATCCAAACTTCTTTGAGAGGCTTTCATAAAGTGGGGAAACTGTTTCAATCTCACAATTCCGCGGAGACGTTATGAACAGCGACGTGTATTGTGCCAAGGCGCAATGTACCAATCTCAACCTGGGCAAGCGTCAGTCACAATTTTCTCCTGATTTACGGGGAAAGGACCCGTCTCGAGGTTGTTCCATATTCATTGGTTGACCTTTATGTTCGTTCATTACGAAAGCCGCGCGCTTATTTTGGTTTTGGGCGGCCATCGTTATCTGGGTCCCATCCAAACACCCCCGTCTAAAAGATGAGTAGCAACAAAATCAAAGGAATGGCCCAGATTGCCTAGAACTTCAATCCAGGGTATTCTAGACGATGGATAGGAACTCAGTTAATCACTTGTCGAGATTACAGAAATTCTCTTTTCCGGCATCATAGATCGGAACGTGCACAATCGACATAGAGTAGGTTACGGAAGCTATCTTAGTAGCTAAAGACTGGAGTCCAGCAATATATGGATCACTCCATTGTTTTGACACACAATAATGAATATTTTAAAGGTTGAGTTAGCTAGAAAATACGCTGCATGAGCTAACTTGGTGAAAGGATTCTGCCATGTGCGATCTCTTTCGGAAAATTACTTCGCCTCGTCATGCTTTGATGGGGCGAAGGCAAAATAAGGTGAACTATATGATTTTTCCGATGTCTTGAATGAGTACAGAGTCGTTGAGCGCTTGCCAGTTCTTATGCCACAAGCCTTGAGATGGTCTCTAGATCTCTAGACATTGTCTCATGTCTGCATTCATCGAAACCAATTGCTGAGCGTGATGATTCAACTTGAGGAAGAACCACCTATTTACCGTTTCATTCCATTTATGCCTCTCTCTGTTGGGATATGCGCATTCACACTTAAAGTTCATCATGGAGCAACGAATGACGTGGTTCAAAATGATTAGCTTCGAGATGCCAAGACTACCCAAGATCTACAACTGTTATCAAAGCAGGACCAATAATGTCGGAGGTCGGCCTCGGGAATAAAGGCCGACTTGAATTCTCGTCTCCCATTTCTGGGTGCCTGTGCGCGATGATTGGTATCGAAGTCGGACTTTAAATTGGTATTAGGTTTGTCGGTGTCGGCTGCTAGGGATCGATCAGCAGATTGCCTATACCGGTGAATTGGGTTTGAGTGACACGCTTGCCCTCTAATGGTGACAAAGGTGAAAAATAACAATCTTAGTCGTTGTAGTAGGCATCAACTGATGCAACTCTTCTTCATACTAGATTATAGGGTGTCTTCTATGTCCACTAGCCTGTGTTTGCTCTGTATACACTATGTGCTCTTGTACAGTCTTCTACTACTTCTGCCTTCAGTTCAATGCGAAATCAACCTGTCTGTATAATCAAAATCTCCTCAGGCATAGGAAGAAATTGTAGATAGCCAGAAATCTGTCTTGTGTTCATTGAATGTACATATTATGTTTTCGTTCTCCCCTTTCTTTAATTTTGTCGTCCTTAACCAACTACCATTTGACAATTATTACCAACTCTTTCCCTACGATATCAGCAGTCCACGCAGAAACTCTGCTCGGATCGAATCTCATCGTAACGAATACAGGGTGCTAGACATAAGGATTTTGACTAGTCTCAAAATGGTAGCGCCAAGATGCTAGCTAAAGGGTGCGCACGCCATACATGCTCATTGCTGTTGTTTGTCTGCACCACCTCGACAATGTGCAACACGACAAAGTTTTCCTATATGAATTTTATCAGGTACCAGGTTGAATATTAGCGATAAAACAGACAATGCCCATACTTGGTGGATGCCGTCTTTGCGACAACCAGCAAGCAAACATGATCAGCTATATATTCCACCAAGCTTCCTATATATACCTAGGTATGTACCTTTGGATGGTCTGCGTGTTCAAATTATGAACGCAACGGACTAGAATAAACAATCAGTATTAAATGTTTCACACCAGACCGTATACTTGACAGAAAAGGTATTCTGTCATACTACTGCAGGTACATAAGCGATTGTATGATGATTGCGAATGGATGGTCCCTTCCATATTACGCAACATTCATTTTCGCCTACATCTACATCAACTATCCTACTTACTCGAACAATTCCAGTCAGATCAATGCAGAATTTTGATTCGCAGGGTATCTCGGTATCTCATAGTTTAACATAACCCGTGAAAAACAATATTCATTCTGTTTTCATTCAACTTGAACTATGGTTCCAAAGCACAAGTAAACCATGGTAGACTGATACATTAATCCCACAGCCAGACAAACAACAACATAACCATCATTCTTTACAGAAGACGTTTTTAATTGCATAGCGTGCATATCAAAACGTGGAATAGATCTGGCTAGAAACGAAGGAAGGAGAAAGCATGAACTCGCAACTCCCCCCACAGCTATAACAATATCCAATTTACTTACACTACATCCCCCACTCGATCGGCTCGAGCTTCAACTTCATCCCCTGAACAGGCTTGCTAGTAATGGTACCCCCAGGCACAACGACCTCCTCCGGATCAGCCATTTCCCACCTAAAACACCCCACCAGCGCCGCAACCAACGCCCTCAGTTCCGCCCTAGCAAATCTCTCCCCAATACAACTCCTAGGCCCATGCAGAAAAGTCAAAAACGCGTAATTGCTAAACGCACCACCATTCATAGTTGCTTTCCCAGTCGAGGCATCGATCCAGCGATCTGGGTTAAATGTTTCGGAGTCGGCGCCCCAGAGTTTGGGGTTGCGGTTGATAGCCCAGGGAATAACTTCCACGAGTGTACCGCGGGGTACGAAATGGCCGGAAATAGAGGTATCGCGGATGGAGATGCGGGCTGTTACGGGGATGGTGGGGAAGAGGCGAAGGACTTCGTTGCAGACTGCGTTGAGGTAGGGGAGGGATTCGAGGAGGGCAGCGATATCGGGGGAGTCGGGGGAGGATGGAGAGGAGAGGAGGGTGGAAGGGGATGGAATTGCGGCGAAGATCTCGGCGCGGAGACGGGCTTGGGATGTTGGGTTCAGTGCTAGGAGGTGGCTTGCCCAAGTTAAGGCGGAGGAGGTTGTTTCATGTCTGCATATTGGTTGATGTTAGACGCAACTCCCTGTTGCTCTGATTACTTGGAAGGGATAATAATGAATGGTAAAGAGGCTTACCCAGCGGCGAGAAATGTTAATAGCTGATCAACAATATTGTCATCAGAGAAGTCATTTGAACGTAGCATGATGCTGAGAATGTCCTTGCTCTCTTCACTTTCAGTCTTCATTCTACTCTTCTTTTCCGTGACGAATTCCTGGCAGATCCTTTTGAGATTAGACGTTGTGATCTTGACTCGCTGGTTCAGCTTCCAAGGTAAAGCTTGAATGAGCCATTTGGGGAATATAAGGTGGAGTATGAAATATATGCCCTTCTCCGCTGTAGGCTCAAGAATCTCCTCATAGTTCTTGATCAACTCGTCGTCGCTGTTTCGGAGAGACCCCACCTCCCGACCGAGACCAGCAAGACCAATGATGTCCATGGTGACCTGGGTTGAGTAGTGCCCGATTTCCAAAACGTTGTCTCTGCGATCTGTTAACTCGGCTTTGATAACCTGGCACATCTCGAAGGACTTGGAACAGAAGACTGGGTACAGTTCTTTGATATGACGGAAACTGAACGTTGGCATGATGTGTTTTCGTTGATGTTGATGTTCGTCGCCTTCAGTCATCAGGAGACCATCTCCGAGAAATTGACGCAGGAAGTCTCTCGACCATGGTGGCTTCTCGAAGTCGTAACTTCTGTTGACGAGTACATCAGCCAGTGAGGCTGGCTCGGTTAAGAGCAACCGTGCCGAGTTGAAGAAGCTACGGAAATACACGATGCCATGATTATCCGTCTGCTTCATCATGTTCAAGTATCCTTGTCCCGGTGGGCGTGTGAAGACCAACGAGCCGTGATTTATCAGGGGCCATTTGGCCGGTGGTGGTTGCGGAAGATGACGAAGTGGACTGCGGAAATAGGGATATATGAAACAGATGTAGGTAGAGTAACCAGAAAAATTCAAGAAAGTGAAGATGAAAATGAAAGAAGCTAGAGAGACATTGGGGAAGAAGCTGGGGAGAAGATAGAAGCTTGCTGCAGCTTCAGCGAACGAAACGTAAATAACTTGAATTGCGGTAATTGTCATGGTGAGGGATGCAGATTCGAGGTTCAAATAGATGGATTGAGATAGCCACAGGGCGTTGATGTTTATATAGGCGTGAGAGGATTACGTAGACAGTGAGTATCAAGAAGGGATGTGTATGTTCAAGGCTGTAGCGGAACTACCTGACTAGGAGAAGATCAGGCAGAAGCCTCGGCTTCGAGATTGAACTTTGGCTTTTGGTTGGAGGATGAGCTCCAAAGGAATGACATTGGGTCGTATAGCAAGGTAGGCATCCGTCGAACGCATGCCAGGGTCGAGGTCCGCGGGATGCGGGATGCGGGGCAAGCGTGTAACACACGTGCGAGACGACTCGATGGTAACAGTGGAGTTCAGAGCATGGAAGGGAAGAGAAGTCACAAAAATAGTCGAGTTTCCCTTCAATTCGAGATCAGATGAACGCACGCAAGAAAATATCCAATCGACAATCAATGTGCGTTCATGTACAGTCCGGCAGTCGCACCCTTAGTGCTATTAGAGGTGCACTGCTTGTATCGAGATGCAAGTAGCTGAGAAGAGACGGCCAACGATAATTCCACCATGAGGAGTATAGACATATCATCACCCTCACCAAGCGAGAAGGATGCGACACTCTTCGAGTGTACGTATAAACAGACTTTGATGTGGCGCACAAGATTCGCAAAGGGACTTTTGCGATTTGCGAAAATCTTCAGCCCTACGACCGAAGAGGCTAGCGCGTAAAAAGGCAGTGGATCAGTCAGCCAGCCGAATAAAATAATCAGAGCCAATTTCATTCACCGAGTGAGCCCTGAAAAAAAGTGCCGCGCTGTCCCCTCCAGCCCTCTGCTGGAATAATCACTTCTCTGCCCTTTTCCCTCCACCCTCCCCCTCCGTCTTCTTTCCTTTATATATCTCCACTCTCCACTCTACCGCTTGGGGTGATTTTACTTCAAGAACAACCCGGGCCGCACGCTCACTCACCCCTCCATCCATTTTCAGCCCGTGCAAACACCTATCGATAACGGTGCCCCTCAAAGAAAAGTCGACCAGCCTTCCTCAACTACCTACCTACCTACCTACGACCCTTCCGCACGACCCATCCTACACCTACACAGGCAGCTTCCCATATCGGGACATGCCCCATTCCGAATCGCCCCCCATGGCTCCCGCGATAGTCGTCAACAAGGCCGACGGCCCCGCTCCCTCGCAAGAAGACGTTGCAGCGCTCCTGAACACAATCTTCACTGCCAAACTGTCTCACACCTCGGTCGAAGCCGCCTATGCGCTCTCCACCGCTCTCCAAAACTCTGTCGGCTTCCGCGGTCTCAAGGGCTATGGCATTCTCGACGAGATGAAGAAGGCAGCCGGAGATAAGAAGTCTCCTGGCCGGAGAGAAGGCGCCATGAATGCGCTCGGTGCCTTCTTCGAGCGCCTCCTACCTGCACAGAAAACCGCCGAGATTGTCTTTCTCGTGCAGGAACCCGCCTTGATCACCCTGGCGCTCGATGCGCTGGCCGACAAGACGGCCACCGTCAAGGAGTCTGCCCAGTATGCCCTTGACGCGCTATTCACAAACCTTAGTGCCGAAGCCAAGGTCTTCGGGCTGCTCCCCGTGCTTTGCAAGTACCTCGGGAAGAAGTCTGGAAAATGGCAGGGTGCTGTTGGCGGTTATGAGCTTATCGGCCGCATGGCAGACAAGGCCAAGATTGGCATGGAGAGCTTGGAGGTGGAGAAAGAGAAGGATGTTCTCCGAGAATCCATGGGCAAGCAGCTCGAAGGCCTGATTCCTGTTGTTGAGAGCGGCATGCACGACCTCAAGACCGAAGTATGTATCCCTGATGGTGTCGTATTTGCCACCACTAACAATATCATAGGTCTGCAAGCAAGCGATCAAGACCATGAACAGCCTTACAACACTTTTGCAGAATGACGATATCGCTCCTCGGATACCCCTTCTTGTGAAGGCCATCGAAGACCCCTCCGCAAAGAGTCTGCAGAAAGCCATCCATGCGTTGTCGCAGACCACCTTTGTCGCAATCGTCACTTCCCCCGTCCTCGCTCTCGTTACCCCTCTGCTCGAGCGTTCATTGAACTCGCCCCAGACTACACAGGAAGTCACTCGTCAAACTGTGGTTGTCGTAGAAAACTTGACGAAGCTTGTGCACGACCCAATTGAGGCCCGCGCTTTCTTGCCCAAACTTCAACCTGGTGTCAAGAATGTCAAAGATCGCGCATCTCTCCCTGAAGTTCGTGAGATCGGCTCCAGGGCCTTGGATGTCATCGATAAGGCCATGGCTGACAAGGACGGCAACATCTCCAGTGGTGCTATTGCTCGTCTTCACGGCCCAGATGTGGTGAATGTGCTCGAGAAGCTCGTCAATGCTGCGGGAGGCCTACAAAACTTCCCTGGAGATGCGGAGCTGTGGACTGCTGTGAAACCCTACATCTCTGAAATGCTTGCCGAGGATGTGAATCAACGCGCAATCAGCCGAATTCCCAACTTGGTTGCTCCATATCTCGGCCCAATCATGAATCCCGGCGAAGCCGAGAAAGCCGCTGAATCAATTCACCAGCATTTCATTGAAGAAGACCACCGCAAATTTGGAAAGCCAGTCCAGGAGGACGATGGCGAGACTGAAATTGTCAATGCTACCTTCTCTCTCGGCTACGGAGGTATGCTGCTCCTTTCTCACACCAACCTGAAGCTGCTCAAGGGCCATCGTTATGGTCTTTGCGGTCGCAATGGTGCCGGTAAATCTACCTTGATGCGCAGTATCGCAGGCGGCAAACTGGAAGGTTTCCCTCCACAGGATCAGGTCAAGACCTGCTTTGTGGAGCACAACCAGGGAGAAGATGCCGATTCGACTATTCTCGAATACATTTGCAGAGACCCACGTTTTGCAGACGAGAGCAGAGAGCGCATCACCGATGTCTTGGAAGAGGTTGGTTTCACTTCTGGCCCAGAAGGTAGACAGTCTCACAAAGTCGGTTCCCTTTCTGGTGGATGGAAGATGAAGCTTGCTTTGGCTCGTGCTATGCTTATGCGCGCTGACGTTCTTCTCCTGGACGAACCTACCAATCACTTGGATGTCGCCAATATTGCTTGGTTGCAGCAGTACCTCAAGAGTCACACGGAAATCACGAGCATGATTGTTTCTCACGACTCTGGTTTCTTGGACGAAGTTTGCACTGATATTTACCACTACGAGCAGAAGAAGCTCGTGTGCTACAAGGGTAACTTGGCGGATTTCGTCAAGGCAAAACCAGAGGCAAAGAGTTACTATACTCTCTCATCCTCTCAGGTGCAGTTTAAATTCCCGCCACCCGGTATCCTCACTGGTGTCAAGTCCGCCACGCGTAGCATTCTCAAGATGACCAATTGCACGTACACTTACCCTGGAGGTTCGAAGCCCTCACTCTCGGATGTCTCTTGCAGCCTTTCCCTCTCTTCCCGCGTAGCTATCATTGGCGCAAACGGTGCAGGCAAGTCGACACTCATCAAGATTCTCACTGGCGAGAGCATCCCCCAGCAAGGCAAGGTCGAGAAACATCCCAACTTGCGTATCGGATACATCAAGCAGCATGCCCTTGAGCACGTGGAGATGCACTTGGAGAAGACACCAAATCAATACCTCCAATGGCGTTATGCCAACGGTGATGATCGCGAAGTACTGATGAAACAGACTCGTATTCTCACGGATGCCGACAAGGCGCAAATGGAGACGCCCATTGATATGAACGATGGCCGGGGTCCACGAAAAGTTGAGGCCATCATTGGTCGTCAAAAGTACAAGAAGAGTTACCAATATGAGGTTAAATGGCGCAACATGCTGCCCAAATTCAACTCAATGATCTCGTACGACACGCTTATGGAGAAGGGCTTCCAGAAACTTGTTCAGGAATTCGATGATCACGAGGCGTCCCGTGAAGGTCTAGGTTACCGTGTATTGGAACCCAAGGTCATCTCCAAGCACTTCGAAGACCTCGGCATGGATCCCGAAATCGCGAACCACAACGAAATTTCGGGTTTGTCTGGTGGACAGAAGGTTAAGGTCGTTTTGGGTATGTCAAACTGTAAGAGCGCTTTTTAATTATTACTAACGTGTCATAGCTGGTGCTATGTGGAACAACCCGCATTTGCTCGTCCTTGACGAACCTACTAACTTCTTGGACCGTGATTCGCTTGGTGGTTTGGCTGTTGCCATCCGTGAGTTCAAGGGCGGTGTTATCATGATTTCTCACAACGAAGAATTTGTTGGTGCGCTCTGCCCCGAGCAGTGGCATGTAGCCGATGGTCGTGTTGCACACAAGGGCCATCTCGCTGTTTCCCTTGATCGCTTTGAGGACTCGCGTCCAGGATCTAGCGTCGCGAGCTCCAACGTTTCCTCCGTCAACCCTAGCACGGTCGGCACTCCTGTTATGAGTGAAGCCGAGGGCAAGGATGATATGAAGTTCAGGGCGCGCAAGAAGAAGAAGTTGACTAGGGCCCAGTTGAAGGAACGCGAGGTCAGGAGGAAGTTGAGACATATCGAATGGTTGAACACCCCTAAGGTATGGTACCCAGGCTTCCCACTTTGACAGCCGGTGCTAACATTTTTCTAGGGTACACCCAAGCCCCCAGACACAGATGACGAGGCGGAATAGACTCTGGCGGTTGCAACGATATGCTTTGCCGTTATGACTGTGCTTTGCTCATTACCTTAGACTTGCATTGGGCGGCGTTGCTATAGAAAGGTTGCGGGAATCTGTTTGAGCGGTTGACTATACAGAATAGACATCTGGACGTTGCGGACGTTGCGAAAGTACAAAAGCGATTTTCTTAAGTTATGATCATATTTTTCTCGTTTATCTAATACACTTGGTGGATTCAACATCTGTATCGCACGTAGGCTGTACCTGTGAAATACAAAATCTCCCTCTCTCCCTCACCCTCTCGTACCTTTCAGTCATTCTTCTCCATCAAAGGCAGGCACGCTGTATACACATCACTAAACCCACGATACTTCACCATCCTCTGAAAAATCCCCTCATCAACCATCCTCACTGACTCCATCGCCCCCGCTATCAAAAAATCAGTGTAACATGGCTCCTCGCCAAACACAAACCCCGCACCCCCAGCATCCCTCCGCATCATCCCCCCAACCCCAACCATCTCCCCATCCAACTCCCTCCCCATCTCTTCCTCCTTCCCCTCATCCAGCAATTCCTCAAGCCGCCGCCCAAACGCCTCCTCGCGCGTGCGACGGAAGTAATCTTGTGACCGCGGCGAGAGAATCAAGATCTCACGCGGAACAATGGACGTGCGAAGTACAGGACCCAGTAACCCCCGCGCTTTTTTCTCAATTTCTTGGCCCCAGTCCGTGGAGAGGGGGAGTGACGGGTTGGGGTAAGTACGTTCGAGGAATTGTGAGATTGGCGTTGAGTCCATCATATACGTGTTTGTGGGGATGTGGTGGATTGCTGGGACGGTGAATTTGCTGTTCGAGGTGCCGAGGGGGGTCATGCCGCTGTAGTTATTTAGCGGCTGTTTACTATTTTGAGTAGGGCCGGGATGTTGGGTACGTAGAGGGGGTTGTGAAGGGGGGAGGGGCTCACAGCGGTTTCAGAGTCGCTTCGATATCTGGGAATTCTAAGAATATGGTTTTGTAGGGGATGTTTTTGTAGTTTAGGAGGAGACGGATTCGCCATACTACTGGTGAAAAACATGTATTTTTCGTGCAGGCTAGGTCGTAGAGGATGATTTCTGGCTGGGGTGTGGTGGCCATTCTGGTCAGAATTTGAGCGATACGTTCACAGAGTCTTGTTCAGCTCGAAGTTTGTTGTGTACTTTTATGCGGGGTGGTCGAATTTAAGTTGCTGACTAGCATTGGGTGGACGTGTACATATGTACGTAGACGTAATGCGAAATACGAGGAACGGCTCCGAATTTGTAATACTGCGGCTTTTATTTCCTAGTGGACGATACGGGAATAATACGAACTCAGAAGACCTAGTTTGGAAAGTGATATATAATTAAGAGCAGACGCAAGTCACGGTTGAATATTTTTCGAACCGTACTTGGTCGTAGAGCTAGCTAGATAGAGTGCATCATACAAGAAGTGCGACATTAACATACATGCTTGCCAGGAAGTTCCTGGGGGTTTGGAGTAACGTGTTTCTGATGCCAATTATATCACTGTCGAATGCATTCCCCGAATACCTAAACGATCAGCGTTCGAATTTATACAAAATCAAGAGACCTCACCGTTCCAAAGTCAGTGTTGACCCATCCGCCAAAGCCTTGACAGCCGGACGCATAGATGGCTTCCATATATCCATTGCACTCATCCGCCTTGATCATGTGTTCGCCTTTTCTATCAACGCGATAGTTCCCTGCCTGTATATTTAGAAAACCTGCCAATTTCCAAGGAAGAAAAACAGTGTGCATACCCCAGAAGATCTGTTTCCCACCCCATCCATCAGGGAGACTGCTGATCTTTATACCGTATGAACCGCCTTGAGGAACCGTCACGCCAAACGAGAACATGGTGCAGTAACTCCTGGCTGCTTGTAAAAACGCGAAGCGATCTCTGAAGGCGCAGTATTTTCCGATCGAGTCATCTACGGTGTGTGAGTGGAGAGCTTCCAGGCTGGGGTATTTTACATGGCTTTACTTTTCTTATGACATCCACCCTTTTTCCCCCATGTGGAGACGTTCTTGTTGTTTGGCTCATCAAGTATGGACGTGTTGACTAACTCTTCTGTAATATTAGTTCTCCTAGTAGGAATCCCGAAAGCGATGCCTGCTAGGAGAGATCCGAGAAATATATTTCGAATCTTCATTTTTTGTATTCCTTCTTAGTGTTGAAAACGCGTTGGAATTGGGATATGGTAGCAATATACGCTGGGAATGCATTTCCACTTGCGTTGAATCATGTGAAAGTTGCACTGACTAACTATTACTTCTAAATCTTCGTTCGACGTACACGAGAGTTGCACCGGATGGTACAGACAGGCTTCCAGGTACATCAGCTTCAAGTGTATTGGGTGATTGACGGGTGAAAGCTCACCCGCAAGTTTTCATCACAGTTCCTCAACATGCCTCTTAGAAGGAACGCAGGAACGAAGGTTGCGGCATGCAGTGGTTTGTGTAGCGCAATGTCTTACAATAAAACAACAAGAGCGTACGTAGTACCAGACAAACTGCAGCGTGTCACATTGCACACCCTCGAACAAAGTATTGGCCACCAGCAGGCTGTGCAAGGGCAGCTATGTTACGTTCATAATCTCTTGAAATAGATCTATAGTGTCCATACCGATGCACAGACCCATTGAAAATATATCACTATGAGTAGTCACTGTAAAGTAAGTTATTGATTTCTCGGAGATGATTTCGCTGCAGGTTCTTTTCATCATATTACGTCTGGAATAAAGGGTGCGTACCGGGTACCACCTTTAGGGTATTGATTGCCAAACTGCGCTACTACACTTAGGTAGAAAGGCTAGAGAATGTCACACATACACAATTGCTATCAGACGCGGAGGGACAAAGAACAGCGGCAAGTCTAGTAAGATCTTCTGATCTACTTAAACAAGTCACCCCTTCCATGGAACAATGCTCTATCGCAACTTCTCAAAGATTACCTTCGATTGTCAACACAATAACGCGTACACCACACACCCATATACTTCGGAATTTCCACAGAATTGTTCTCTTCATTCCGATCATGAAGTCTTATAGTCTATGCTGCATCGCCATCGTGATTTCACTTTCTAGGACAAACGCACTGGCTGTCGCTCGACTCGATTATCCTAACATATTTGACCCTTTGGGATCCTCCAAAGCGGGAGAAATCAGAATTCTTGGGACCGAAGTGACCACACCAGTATCCAAGCGAGCTACGTACAAACCGGTTACAATCAATGAGGGGTCCGAAGATTGGTGAACCATCCCGGAATTGTAAAACCAATGAAGAATATATCGACTCATTTGTAATAGCAGCCCGTCCGAAGATGCAGCCGAGCCACGTTGTGTGGCTGAGAAGCATACTGATTTTGTCTACAAGCCGGTCTCAATTGAGACGCACGACACAGAGCATGACAACGGATCAGAAGTCAAAACAGCCAAAGTTAACTCATGTGTGAGAAACCTGGCATTATCTTAAACCATATGTCAATGCTGATTCTCGATGAAAGCTTAACTGCATGGTCCAATGTTTTGCGCTTCAAGCAGGAATCAATCTTCTTTCCATAGCACAACAAACAACCTTGTAAGTTTCTTCCACGCATAAGATGCCTTGTAATTCAATCTAAGGTATTTTCTGTCTATAGCTGCATGGGTAATTGCTTTTCGCAGGGCGCTTGCACTGTGAACGACTGGTCGAAATACAACGATCATTTCAGCAATGCGATCCCGGGTCCTGCACCGCAAGGCGGTTTTAGGTATAGGAACTGGAACGAAGTGCCGTACATAGTCAACTGAATGATTTCAAGGGGAAATCAGACTGTAACTTCAGGAATAGAGTAGTTGTTGTGTCTAATATTGGTTGGTACGTGCCTGTATTAGCATAGACGATATTGCAGACATCTGGTGCGCCAGTGTTGTTATGGGATGTTCTAATTTTAGTGTCAAGTTCAGTTAGTCTATCTGCTCATGTGAGGCTCACGGAAGAATACAGTTATGCCCAGAAGGTTTGAATCCATGCGCTTCGATTCAGTATTCTCTCTACCACTCTAGACCGAAAATGAAAATTTGTACGCGAAAGATGTTGCAATCCTATTCTTCTCTTCTTCTTCTCCTTCGATCCATCATTAAAGTATTAATTTACGACAATGACTTAATACCAGAAGATGAGATACTGTCAGTGTCCCTTTTAACAATTCCTTGAACGAGCTTAGACTTTTCTTGCTGCTCGTACCATTATTACCATGACAGAAATGATGTGAGGCTATTTTCCTGTCTCATCGAATACCACCATTATCCCTGTAGTAGCCAAGTCTCGAAAAATAGTAGAGGGAATACCACGTCCAACGGCAAAGTTCATAAGCGAAGCCGGAAGGAATCAACCGAATTTACCGAACCGGATGAAGCAACGCCGAGTCTCTACCAAGTCGAGATGCATAATTGAGGTGCCGAATTAGGGGCCAAGCGGCCCCGAGTACATCTTGATTCTATTGACTACGATCTAGTACTGGGAGTATTTATCATAAGAGAAGCGAGGTATTGTTTCTATCGAGGTGAGACTGTAGCGATAACGACTGGGCAGGGTAAGCGGTCCTGAGTTGGTTCTATTATTGTTATTCGCCCTTGCTATAGGTGAAACACGATATATGCGGATTGTATATGCGGACTTGAAGTACTGTTAGTATCTGAGTTTCCCTGCATGCCTCCATATTTGTAAGACCCTTGTAATTGTACCGTGTTTTGGGATTGTGTTTTATGGTTTACCATAATATGATTCTGTTCTTGGTTTCTATGTTTTGGCTGGATTTTTTCACAGATCTTTTTATAGCGTGGACATGTGGGCTCTCTTCACAATTACCCATGACGCAATCTGTTATCATTCTATCTTCCCAATGATTGAGAGTGGAATCCATGCAGGAGAAATTGCGGCCGAATAGAGAAATGTATGGGGGAACAGTTGCAAACTAGCGTCGTAGAATATCCTGTATAACATCTCATAACGTGAAGAACATCAGCGGTGAACTCGTATATCCCCACAATTATTCCGCGAAAACCTGCATTCTGACATGCATGGTGCATCTTTGAAGCTATACTGCTCGACGAATAGCGCCAGACTGTTGAATTGAGAGTCCCGTATACGACTTCCTAGCGTAGAATACGGGGTATATGCTGGCTAATACCTATGCTTGGAAAGAGGAACCAGTATGGAAACAAGGTACGTAGAATTTCCAAGATAAGCTTAGCGCTGCGTTTCGAAATGTATTGGGTCAGCTATATTCAGCGCAAAGCATCGGCATCGGTAGTAAGCACATCTTAGATTGGTGTAAAACATGCGATACTAACCTGATCTGCTTGTAATATCTGTGCAAGTTGCTCGAGCAGTATACGAGGTAGCATCAGATCTGACCTTGGCGACTGTAAATGCATTGAACGTGTTGAGCGAAGGAGTTTTCTGCATTGAACTCGGGGCCACGAGGATTACACTCACGTATATTTTGGTATTGGCGTTTTCTCTAGATCCTTTTATCGGGAAGGCATAAGTATAAATACATGATAGCCTTTCATTGACTACATCGCTACTGTCTACAATCATCTCAATCACATCAATCAACCATCCACTCTCCTCTCAAACCCCCATCCAAAAGCAACAGCAAACATGCGTGCCTCCACTATCATCGCTACCCTCTTCGCCACCCTCGTCGCGGCCTCACCCCTCGAAACTCGCCAGGATAAGATCTGCCAGCTGGCTTGTCTCCCAGCCACGGGCACTTGCACCACCCCCGGATACGTAAGTCATTATGGTCCAAGATCTGACATGAAATGGTAGATCACTAGAGGCCTTTTTAATCGCTAATTCTTCATTCGTAGACCCTTGAGAAGCAGAGCGACATCTGCTACATTTGCTGCAAAGAGCTCTAGTCTTTCTGTACAGACTATGTAATAGGGAGATCGACATCTCAGAGAGACTAAGAACATCGAAAGATGATTGGATGTACTAGATTTTCCTACGAGTGTAGCTCATTTATCAATCGTGCACTGATGATGGCTTTAGCCATTTGTACATAGAAGAATTGACAATTTGCATTCATTACAAGTACGGACTTACTATAGAATTAGCGATTAACACTTATTCAAGGATTTACCTTATATTTAAATCTTATTAACGTCTTACTAGAACTATGTTAAAATGCTATTGAACAGGGTGTCGAAGTAGAAAGAGTAGCTAACATCCTATCCTTAGATGGGCCCTCCCCTGTAATGATCCTTCAGCTTCACCAAGTGATACGTACAGGCCCCAGGCCTGTTGAAGTATATAAATTATCCCAGATCTTCACCTTGAGAACCAAAAAAAAAGAATCCGGAAAGTCAATATATGTGATATTTCGTTTTCGGGGTGAAAAAGACAATGGAGAAAGATGCAAACTCGAGGTGCTAGCTGGAATGCGCCGCGGCTGACTGACAATGCTAACCGCAAGCGGAAAGACGCGTCGTTGAGCCGCGAGGGAGACGAGGGGTGGCGGGCATCGCCGTTCTCCACATGGGAGGCCGCAGGTATGCCGCGGGAAGTTTCTGAAGGCAACGAGATAAGACCGAATTGTCAGCCCTTTTATTCGTTCCTTTGCTTTTTCGAGGGCGCCGGTGATGTGGGGTTATACAGCAATCAAGGGCCCTGCCTAATCTACTTATGATGCGTTCCCCACTTCATCTTTCCTACCACGGTCCTGTCCCACCCACACTATCAGGAGCTGTTTTATCTTCTTCTTCTTCTTCCGTGTGAAAATAGTTTTCCTGTTTCTTCTATCAAAAGCTCCGGCTTCAGTTTGAAGTCATGGCTCCCGGAATCATTGAACCAGAGCCGGCAGTATCCAACAACGCCAGCCAAACGCTGAGTTCAATCACTTCCGCCTACGATGATACCTTGAGGTTCTATCTCAACGGAACCAAGGTAGTGCTAGACTCTGCCGACCCAGAAGTTACACTTCTAGAGTATCTGAGGGGTATCGGCCTCACTGGTACGAAGTTGGGGTGTGCTGAGGGAGGATGTGGTGCTTGTACAGTTGTAAGTTGCCACTGATCTTGAGAATATTGGTATCAAGCCACCGTACTATTTCGTTCGACGAGCTTGGGAGATACTTCATTTAGCATCAAACTAACTGCTTATCAGGTCGTTTCGCAATATAATCCTACCACCCAAAAAATATACCACGCTTCCGTAAACGCATGCCTCGCTCCGCTTGTTAGTGTCGATGGGAAACACGTTATAACGGTGGAGGGTATAGGCAACGTTAAGAGCCCACATCCAGCTCAGGAGCGAATAGCGAAAGGAAATGGCAGCCAATGTGGTTTCTGCACGCCAGGCATCGTCATGAGCTTGTACGCTTTGCTACGAAACACTGATGCACCTTCCGAATACGACGTCGAGGAAGCCTTTGACGGAAACCTGTGTCGCTGTACTGGATACAGGCCCATATTGGATGCTGCGCAAAGTTTCAGCTCGAAGGCGGGATGTGGTAAAGCTACAGAAAACGGAGGTAGCGGCTGCTGTATGGAGAAGGGGTCAAACGGGGGATGCTGCAAGGGTGGCGGGGACGACTCACAACCTATCAAGAAATTCACGCCGCCAGGATTCATCGAATATAAGCCAGACACCGAGTTGATTTTCCCTCCGCAACTGCGTAAACACGAATTCAAGCCGCTAGCGTTTGGTACAAAGAAGAAGAGATGGTATAGACCTGTCACACTGCAACAGCTTCTCGAGATAAAGAGCGCATACCCATCTGCAAAGATCATTGGAGGAAGTACTGAGACGCAGATTGAAATCAAATTCAAGGCACAGCACTACAGTGCCTCTGTCTTCGTCGGCGATATTGCTGAGCTACGCCAATTTTCCTTTCACGATGACTACCTTGAGATTGGTGGAAACGTGGTGCTGACCGATCTCGAGAAAATCTGCCGTGACGCTGTCAAGCATTACGGAGAGATAAAAGGACAGCCTTTCGCTGCCATTTTGAAGCAAATTCGATACTTCGCAGGTCGACAAATCAGGAATGTGGGAACGCCAGCTGGCAATCTGGCTACCGCTAGCCCCATCTCCGATTTAAATCCAGTATTCGTCGCAAGCAACGCTACTCTTGTAGCAAAAAGTTTGAACGAGACCACAGAGATACCCATGTCGACCTTTTTCAAAAGCTATCGCACGACAGCACTTGGTCCTGACGCAGTGATTGCGAGTTTGAAGATTCCAGTCGCAAGGGAGAAAGGAGAGTTTATGCGAGCGTACAAGCAGGCGAAAAGAAAGGACGACGATATTGCTATCGTGAACGCTGCCTTACGGATATCTCTAGGCGACGAAAATCTTGTACAGAGTGTGGATCTTGTTTACGGCGGCATGGCTCCTACTACAATAGCAGCGAAAAAGGCCATGTCATTTTTGCAGGGCAAGAAATTCACCGATCTTCAAACATTGGAAGGCGTAATGGCCGCGCTTGAAGAGGACTTCGATCTACGCTTCGGAGTTCCGGGCGGAATGGCGACGTATCGTAAAACACTCGCTCTGGGGTTCTTTTACAAATTCTACCACGAAGTTCTCGCAGGGCTAGACGCTGAAGCATCTGGGCTTGACTCCCAAGCTATCGGCGAAATCGAGAGAGAAATTAGCACTGGTGAGAAAGACCAAACTGTTACGGAAGCCTATGCGCAAAAGATTTTGGGTTCGGGGAAGCCACACGTAGCTGCCATGAAGCAGTGCACTGGTGAGGCGCAATACACGGATGATATCCCAGTACAGAAAAACGAGCTTTACGGCTGTCTCGTTCTTTCTACCAAAGCTCACGCGAAGCTCATCAGCGTCAACCCAGAACCTGCGTTAGATCTTCCCGGGGTCGCGGCGTGGGTTGATCACAAGGACATGTCTTCACCAGAAGCGAATTGGTGGGGTGCTCCGTCCTGCGACGAAGTCTTCTTCGCTGTGGATGAAGTATGCACAGCCGGACAACCGATTGGTATGATACTGGCGGACAGTGCAAAGCGAGCAGAACAGGCAGCCCGTGCTGTCAAGGTCGAATACGAGGAACTCCCGGCCATTTTCACAATAGAAGAGGCGATCGAGACCGAAAGCTTTTTCAATCACTTCAAATACATCAAGAAAGGCGACACCGAAAAAGCGTTCACAGAGGCCGATCATGTGTTTTCCGGTGTCGTCCGCATGGGAGGACAAGAACACTTTTATCTCGAGACACAGGCTTGTGTAGCCGTACCAAAGCCCGAAGACGGCGAAATGGAGATATTCAGCTCAACCCAGAATCCTGCCGAAACACAAGCATATGTGTCGAAAATTGTTGGCGTTGCTGCGAATAAGATCGTCACCCGCGTTAAACGAATGGGCGGTGGGTTTGGTGGCAAAGAGACGCGTTCAGTACAGCTGGCAGGGATTGTAGCATGCGCTGCGAACAAAGTCCGACGACCGGTTCGGTGCATGCTGAATCGAGACGAAGACATATTGACATCTGGTCAGCGACATCCCTTCCTCGCTCGTTGGAAAGTAGCAGTGAGCAAAGATGGAATGCTGCAGGCCCTTGATGCCGACGTTTTCAACAATGGGGGCTGGAGTCAAGACCTTTCGGGTGCGGTGGTTGAGCGTGCTCTTTCACACATCGACAATTGCTATTCTATCCCTAATATCCACGTACGCGGTCGTGTAGCGAAAACGAACACCGTGTCGAATACAGCTTTCCGGGGTTTTGGAGGCCCACAAGGCATGTTCATCACGGAAAGCTTCATGGAGGAGATTGCCGACCACCTGAAGGTTCCAGTTGAGAAGTTGCGTGAAATCAACATGTATTCGCCAGAGTCTAACATGATTACGCATTTCAATCAGGAAATCAAGGATTGGTACGTACCACTCATGTACAAACAAGTCCAAGAATCGTTCACCTACGAGCAACGTCGAGTTGAGATCGAGGAGTGGAACAAGACACACAAATGGAATAAACGTGGCATAGCTATCATACCCACAAAATTCGGCATTTCGTTCACAGCATTGTTCCTCAACCAAGCCGGTGCTCTCGTCCACATCTATCACGACGGATCCATCCTTGTTGCCCATGGAGGAACCGAAATGGGCCAAGGTCTACATACCAAGATGACGATGATCGCAGCTGAAGCTCTTGGTGTTCCTCTGTCTTCAGTCTTCATCTCTGAGACTGCTACAAACACGGTAGCAAATGGCTCTAGTACCGCCGCATCCGCATCTTCGGATCTGAATGGATACGCCATTTTCAACGCGTGCAAGCAACTCAACGAACGACTGCAGCCGTACCGCGAAAAACTCGGTCCCGATGCTACCATGAAAGACATAGCCCACGCCGCCTACTTCGACCGCGTGAACCTCTCAGCCCAAGGATTCTACAAGACCCCCGACATTGGCTACGTATGGGGCGAAAATACGGGACAAATGTTCTTCTACTTCACGCAAGGTGTCGCGGCTGCCGAGGTGGAAATCGATACATTGACGGGAGACTGGACGTGTCGTCGTGCTGACATCAAGATGGACGTGGGACGCAGTATCAACCCGGCCATCGACTACGGGCAGATCGAAGGCGCATTTGTGCAAGGTCAAGGCCTCTTTACTACTGAGGAGAGCTTGTGGCAGCGCAATACGGGCGGTATCTTTACTAAAGGTCCTGGCGCATATAAGATCCCTGGGTTCAGAGACATTCCACAGGTCTTCAACGTGTCGCTACTCAAGGATGTGACATGGGAGAATCTACGCACAATCCAGAGGAGTAGGGGTATCGGTAAGTCTATTGCGGTTTTTGTTTTTGTCTGCCTTCTTCTCTCACCTCCACCATTTCTACATAAGCTGACGTACCTCGCACATAGGCGAGCCTCCACTTTTCATGGGCAGCGCTGTCTTCTTCGCCATCCGCGATGCGCTCAAGGCCGCACGTAGCGAGTTTGGTGAGACCAGTGTCCTGTCGTTGCAGAGTCCAGCCACACCAGAGCGTATCAGGGTCAGCTGTGCGGATCCTATCTTGAAGCGCGCTTGGGTGGAGCCAAAGGAGGGGGAGAAGAGTTGGTTTATTAGTATCTAGACGTCCTGGTATCGAACAGGATGAAAATGGTGGTTATGGGTCCAGTTTTCACGGTTTCCGGGGTAATTTGATATGATAGATTGATGACTTTATTGACTTAAGATGCCGTACATGTATCTAGGTAGGCACATACATAATGTAGTGACATTGTAAAACCACTTGACAGGTGAAATTTGTGGGTTCAAATGTTCGGATTAACACAAGCAATGCAGCCACCGCTCGCCAACTCCTTGCATCGCATTCAACGTGAAATTGTGATTAACACTGCTGTATTTCTTCATATTTCTCATGTATACCGTATACATATACAAGGAGCAAACACTACCTCTTCCTCAACTGCGCAAGCGTAGCCTTCCCGGCACGACTCTCATTCGGCCTACCAATCTCCCCCGAAATCCACTCCCCAACCTCAGCCAACCTCTCAATGTCCACGCCCGTCTTCGCACCCAAACTATGCACCAAATGCACCAAATCCTCCGTCGCCACATTCCCCGTAGCCCCAGGACTAAACGGACACCCGCCGAGCCCCGCAACCGCGGCATCAAAAGTGCGAACGCCATGTTCAAGCGCTACCACGGAATTCACAAGAGCCATGCCATACGTGTCATGGAAGTGCAGCGCGAGGTCGTTTTTCTCGACGCCTGCGGCACTCAGCGTCTTCAGGAGCTCTGCGGTTTTGGGTGCCGTGCCCATGCCTGTGGTGTCTGCTACCGAGATCTCGTCGGCACCCATTTCGAGCAGCGAGATGGCTAGCTCGGCGACTTTGTGCGGGTCAACGTTTGGACCTTCGTAGGGACATCCTAGGGCTACTGAGATGTACGCGCGGACGGGGAGGTTGAGGTCTTTTGCGCGCGACATTATGGGTTCGAAGCGAGTGAGGGATTCAGCGATGGAGCAATTTGTGTTCTTCTGGGTGAAGGATTCTGTTGCGGCTGTGAAGATGGAAAGCTCCGTTTTAGGGAGAGTGGAATCCAGGTCTGCAGCGTTTTCAGAGGGTGACGACGGGGGTGTTGGGTACGCGTTTTGGCTTGATGATTGTGCCTGCCAGACTGAGAGGAAGTTGTCTAGGCCGCGGACGTTGGGGAGGAGCCATTGGTACGTGATGGGTGTCTCGGATTTTGGTGGGGACGAGAGGATGTGTTGGAGGATCTCGGATGAGTTCGCCATCTATGGACTTTTGTTAGTCTTTCTGTTTACGTCGAGGCATAGTGTGCCGCAAATCTGGACTTGGGTGCGGTAGTGGGGTGGAGGGCAAGGCTCACTTGAGGAACCCATTTCGGCGACACGAATGAACCTGCCTCAATGGTTTGAAGGCCTGTCTGCGCCAGCCGCTCTACCAGCTCTATTTTTGTTTCAACGGGAATGCTCTTCTTCTCGTTCTGCAGACCGTCTCTTGGCCCTACTTCGACAATGCGGATGAAATCCGCGGCACGGTTCGAGGCTGCCGTGGCAAGGCTTCTTGAACGGCACGGGTGGCGCGCAGCTAGGCGCAAGGTGCGCAGACAAGTAAATTTCGAAATCATTGGGAAAGAACAAACAGTAATGTAGTTGTGGAGGGGTAATGTACACGATATGTCGTTCGGTTGTTCGATGGTGGCGTTGAAGGCGGTTGGACGCGGGTGTTTGTGGGGAAATCCGGGGGAAGCTGTTGGCACCGAGGATGGTGGGAGCTTGGGAAGCTTGGTGATCAGTGCTTTCACGACTGTAACCATCACTACATATGTAGGTGCTAAGTACACATGTAGGTATATACAGGCGATCAAGAATTGATCCAACAATCACCAATCCATTGTTTTGCTCTTGAGCATTTGAATGAGCCTTCACTATATCCGATACTAACTGAAATACTCGCCACCTCCTTTATTTTCTATGAATACATATGGTTCACTTGGCTTGCTGCCTGAGTAGAGGCGTAACAAGCTTTGCTATTTCCAGATACGATGAAGACCTTCTTCATTCTCGTTGTGACATAATATATTGATAAAGCTGGAGAGTCTCGGGCTTTTCCTGCAGCGGGCTCAGTCTTCGCGGGCCGCCACGATCTTTTTGACTTTCTCAAAACACTCAAGCTGTCTACCAAGATCATGCTTCTCATCCCTGAGCTTTACGCTTTCAGCCCACGACCTCCTACCCCAATCTTCCCAGCTACGACACTTAACCTCTAGATGATTGTTATGCCGACGCAGTTCTGCGTTTCCCTCCAACAGTTTTCCGTTCTCCTCCACTAATTGACTTTTCTCATTTTGCTCCTTCTCGAGCCTTTTGCGCATCAGCTTGAACTCTGCCTCGACATCATCGAACTATGAATTGCTGGTGAGAATCAATCAACCTATGATCACAAGATGATACTCACAGAAGCACGAACTCTCTTGGCCGGAGTGTCATTTGAGTTGGAAGCTGGGCGCTTGCAGCTCTCGCCCGTAGACGCGACTGGTGGCTGCTGCATGGCGTGGACTTCAGGACCAGGCGCTACAAGCTTAGGGCTGGCGCTCTCCTGGACTGCAAGCTTGTGACTGTCTTGCTTGGGATGTGTCTCCTGGGGAGAAGCGGAAGAATTCATCGAGACAGATTGCTCCATCTGGGCTTTGGCATCCGCCGATTCGTGAACAATGGAGCGTAATTTTAGGGCGAATTTAGGTGGAAGCTTGAACTTCACAACCCCTTGGGCTGGAGCCGATTCCGGTACTGTTGGGGGGGTTGATTCGCTCATACTCCGAGGTGTTGGTGTGGAGGAGAGACGAAGCGTCAAAAAGAGGTGTGGAGCGAGCTTTAAATAAGCGTGTGGGGACGAGGATAAGTGAGTCCTGAACGTGTGTACCAAAACAAGGTAAAGTGCGGTCAGAGCTGGCTGTGAGTAGGTTCCCCGCACGGTGAGAGAGAGCACGACGGTTGCGACTCAAAGTGATTTTCAAAGGCTATCTTGGTCTGCACGTAGCTCACTCACTGGAGTGTGTTCAAGGCTCAATATCAAAGATTCTTTTTCGGACCTTACATAGGTCACAAGTTCTTTGCGTTACCCTCGTCTGATATGAATCCTTCTGTAGCGCTACTCTGGATTCATGATGAACGCATTTCAAATATACATGTGTAGCCTTAACTAGCATTCCAGATGATTAAAACACTGGATGATGTTTCAGTGTGATGTTTTCTCCTCCGCAAGATCCTCCTCAATCAGTTTCTTGATCCGACCATACCGTTCGAGGTGTTTCTCGCGTGATATGAGCTTCTTCTTGAGTACCTCGATTTCCTTCTTGAGTTTCGAGTTTTCGGCAAGCTCAGCACGCAGCGAGAGTCTGGTAGCTCCGAACAGCCTGTTCTGGGTCTGAATTCGACTTTTCAATTCTGCCTTGGATTTGAACCACGCTTTTCGTTCTTCCTCGTGGTTGTTGTCCTTCAGCTCCATCTCATCGACCTCATCCATCTGTCCCTCGTTAGTGGAGCTCGCCAATCATACAACTGAGAGATGTAAACGTACAAGAGCCCGCATCTTTTTGGATATGGAACCTTCTGAAGTTGATGCACGGCGTTTGAGGCGCTGGCGGCCGCCTTGGGATATGGCTGGCTGCTCCATGTGAGAGGTTGCGGGGCTCTCCTCAGTTTTCATGTCCGATGGCGGATCTGATAAGCCTGAAGAATCCGCAGAGAGCTCTCGTGTGAAGCTCGAGGAGGGTGATACAGTGGGTTCCGACTTGATTGACATGACGAAAGGCGGCATCTCTTTCTTCTACTGGCGTGCGACTGTTCAAGTATAGATGGGAAACATGGGAGCCCGTAGAGAAAGCAGAGGAAGAAAAGTGAGAAAGTGTAGCTGCCAGATCCAGCGTGAGTGTAAGGAAAGAGCGGCCAAAGCACGGACTCCCAAGCAGCGACCACGAACCTATGACATAACGCTCTCGTCTTTAGCCCTTGATCAGTTCCGTACACGTTATCTCGTACATATGTAGACATTCGTCAAGTTTTCGTGCAAAACTATGGCAAAAGCACCACAGTACTATACGCACGAACTCAAATCCATTCCATTAGACCAAAGATAGGTGACCCGAGTCTTCGAATCATATCCTACGACAATACAAGACCTAATCCACAAACTATAAGCTAGTTTCTTCCTCCGCTGTCTCGTCGACGATCAGCTTTCTGACCTTTTCGAAAGTGGCGAGCTTGCGCTTGAGAATCCCATTCGCTGATGCCAACATCTTATTCTCCGCTTCCAACGCATCGACTTTCGCAGTTTTCGACTCCAATTCGGCTTTCAATTTTATAATGTCATCGTTGCGTAGGCTCAGTGACCGCTTGATGATTAAGTTGCTGTCTCCCAACGTTCTTCGTTCTGCTCCGTGCTTCATTTCTTTTTTCTCCAAATCGTCCACCTCATCTACCTACACGACCATCAGTGACGTTTTTTCAAATCAGCTAAGGAGTTCAGGACTTACGATGGCACGCAGCCTCTTCGTCAATGAATCTCGGTCATATGGCGCGGGTCGTTTAAGGGGCAGCTTCAGTTGCTGGGATGGCTGCGAGATGATGGTCGTTTGGGCGCCGACATGGCCAATATCGATCGTAGGAGTAGCTGGTCTGAGCATAGTGGAAAGACGCAACGACTCCGCAGAATGCACAAGCTCATTATGCGCAGTTTCCGCTGGCGTAGACTTCGCTGGCGTAGACTTTTCTGGCGTAGACTTGACTTGCGTAGACTTTTCTGGCGTAGATTTGTCTGGCATACTCTTGGGCGCCATAATGAGGTGAGGCAGGGGCGGTAGTAGAGGTGCGTGGAAGAAGCTGGAGAGAAGCAAAAGGAGAGCATATTTATACCCACGCATGGACGGTTGCAACGCAGGTGGGGCCATGTGAATGCACCTGCGGGCTGGTTTGCTGCAGCACGTGACGTCGAATATCATGCACAAGTGGATCGTGAACGCTTTGACAAACACACGTGCAAAAGGAAAATTACCAAAGCAACACAAGATAGGCCAATGCTCTCGATTTGACGTTGAGAGGACCCCCCGATGTCCACTAAGGGAAGATTTCTAGGAGAGGTATCAATGTAAAGCTTTAGCACTTGGTTCTCTTCCAAAGCTGGTAGTAGCTCCATCGCATGATAGCAAGGTTTCCGCTCGGACACAACTTGTAAAGCTGTTCACAAACAAAGCTCTCACATCTAAGATCTAATTTGAATCTTATATTAGACAGTCCATGGTCTCCTAATAGGAGAAGTGGCACAGAGCCGAAGTGGTCCTGTCAACAGATTTCATTGCAAAGCGCACAGGCACGGCCCATACTATCCGAAACGGCAATGAAAAGGTTCTGATTACATTGTTGAGAATGCTGGCTAAAATCGCTAGATTAACGATCTAAGTCTAAGTAGAGCGCAACTTATCTTACAGTTCGACAAACCTACACTGCGCATGCCCAGGCATCTAGAACTTGTACACCTGATCCTTGCTGTACCCGAGCTCCTTCAAGTAACCAGCCAGCTCGCCCTGATCCGACGGACTCTTCTTTCCTCCGCTGATAGCCTTGTACATGGGTGGGGGACCGCAGACAAAGATCTTAATCTTCTCGCCTTCCTTGGGTTCCGGAAGTACCGTCTTCAAAAGCTCCTTGGTCACGAAACCTTTGCCACCCTGCCACTGCTCTGGGGGGTTGTCGAGGACGTAGAAGGCGCGGAAGCGACGGGGGTAGGTGTTCTCAAGGTGCTCAAGCTCCTTCTTCATGAGAATGTCTTGTTCGCTAATGTTACCAAAGACGAGAGTGACTTGAGTCTTGTCCTCGGGGTTCTTGAAGATAGCATTGGCGACTTGCCACATGGGTGTGATTCCTGTGCCACCAGCAATCATTGCGACATGCTCACTATAATTGGAGTAACGAAATTAGTAAAGCTGGACTAAATGGTTCTGGATAGGCCGTCAAAGCCTCAACATACTACCCTACATGATGTTTGGTCATGATGGATTGTACAAGGGATTGACATACTGCTTGTTCGTTTCCCACTGGTATTTTGGGATAGGGCCCTTGATATCAAGACGCTGGCCGGGCTCCATATCATGAAGGTGGGAGGACATGGGGCCATTGGGGTATTTTTTGATGATGAAGTCAACAGTTCCCTTCTGGTCTACAACGCATTAGTCGATTGTTCCCGTTCAATCAATTTCTGTCGGCTGACTCACCAACATCACTCGTAGGAGTGTAGGGCCGGATGACGGGCTTCTCCATCTCGGCTCCCTTGTATTTGGTGATGACAGCCGAAGCGACGTGCAGACCGCTGTCCATATCGGGCTCGGGCAAAGCAAAGGTGAGCTTCTTCGTATTGTGGTTGATGATCTCGGAGCTCTCCAGCTTCAGCGACAAAAAGCCCTGGTCTCCTCCCGTAAAAGCTGGCTTTCCTGGTTGAGCCGTCAAACCCGGAATCTTGTTCGCTTCCTTTGAAGGCGGCGCGTTGCCAGCTTGACCAGTCGGGGTGCTGCCTCGAGTGTAGAGGTAGCCGCCGGAGAGAGCTCCAGCGGCCACTCCGGTATAGAGCACGGTTTTGTTGCCGCCGCTTTTGGGAGCTTCTGAGGCATAGTTGCGCACTTGCTATCATATAGTCAGCATCAATTGCTAGAAGACTCGGATCGCTGGGACGGTTTGAAGCTCTTTTGCATTTGTCATGGAGCCGGACCGATGTGGGGGGTGCAGCCTCACCCTTTGCAGCGTCTGCGCTGGCCTAAAAACCTGTCTGGAAAACATTTTGTAACGAATTGACACCGGAGGTAGTCGATTGATCACGAGAAGATACTGTGGGCGTGAGTGTTGATGGAGTGATGGATACAAAGCTCAGTGCAGCTATGCTACCGCCAAGAGAAAACGTCATCGTTCGCGCTCTGCCGTCGCCGAGACGCCGAACATTTGATAAGCAAAGGGCCGGGTCCACCAGTTTGACTATCACTATACTGACTATCATCATTTCATACCCAAGACCAAGCTTCCTCGACTCTTGCAGCTGAGGAACAATATCAATGTCAAACTGGAGTTAGCTTGCTTCGAAGCAACACACGAACAAGCACGGTGCACATAAGTGGACAATTGACCACACATGTGTGGTCTCGGCAATGTGAACATTCAAATCCTCAAATACCACATCGATCGCAATCGCATATATGAATCCTTCCGGATTATTACCTACATTCTGCATAGGCTGCATGAGCTGCTGGAGCGGGATGTGAGCAACAGTAAGCCGGCATGTTGCGGATTCCTCCAACTGGAGTCCTTACCGAGGAGCAATATCTACAAAACACTTTAGCCGCTGTATCGACTCGTATTCTTGAGAACAGGTCGATGGTACCGTGATCCAATGCATACAGAAACGTAACATTAAAGAGTCTGTCGTCCATCAGCAATCCAGCGTTGTAAGTCAGATGTCCCCTCCCGCGCAAACTAGACGTCTCCCACCTACCCAAGGATGAAGCCGATACTTCTCCTCCAACTCGCTGGCCTGGCCGTATCTGCAAAGCTGTACGAACGCGCCATTTGCACAGTCGAATCACTTGACGACCCCGAGAAAGACGATGCCCCAGCCATCAACTCTGCCCTCCGAGCCTGTGCAGGGGGTACCACAATTCTGCCCCTCGGTCAAACGTTCAATATCCAGACGCCCCTCAATCTGTCCTCCTGCCAAGCGTGCAGCTTTCAAATCGATGGCAATCTTATTATCTCCGCTGACTGGAACAAATGGAAGTCCCAAACTGCAGCCATACACATTGCCGGAACCACCGCAGCAGTAATCACTAGCCAAGCAAAAACTGGACTCATAGATGCCAGCAATTTCGGGTGGGACGGGCGGGAATCCTCTCCACCAGAAACTTTTCCTTCTCTCTTCAGCATCACCGACCAGAGCTATCAGATCCACATTCGCGAACTAAGAACTAAGAATGTACCAGGGACGGCGTTCAGTATCGCGTCCGGGAGCTCTGCAGTGCGCCTCTACGGAATTGACTTCCTGGATGCCGCTTCCACGGGATACCATGTGGAGCAATCCCAGCACGTCTACGTCTGGAACAACACAATCCGCGCTACACAGGCTTGCGTGTCTATTTCTCCTAACTCTTCCAACATTCAAGTCGAAGATTCGACGTGTATCGTCACCGGGTCTGCGTCGCAAAGCGGGTTCCAGGTTGGCTTTCCAGACAGCAGCAACAGTGGTTTGGGCTTTATTCGAAACATCTTTGTCAAGAGCGTGAGAGCCATTGGCAGTATGAGCGTTGTAGTATTCCGACCCGGTACGCCCGAGGACGGTAGCCAACCCTACCCAGTTGAGATCACGAATGCCACATTCACCGACATCACCATCAGTGGGCCGGCGAAGCAGGCGGTGCTCGTTGAAGCGGGGGATAATAAGCTGACAGCGACGGATATCTCTTTCAATGATTTCAAAGGCGAGGTTGAAAAAGACAGCGAGCTGAAATGTCCTGTACAGGAATATGTCTGTGAATTCGAAACTAAAGACTGGGAGCTAGAAGTAGTGGCAGGCAGTTGATGCAATATACTGCAGTGATTGTGAGCATCTTGCTGAACGTGGCCGATATTGAGGAGATCTTAGAAGCAAATCTATATTGTCTTGTCATTATGTGCCAGCGTGGAATTCAAGGGAAAATTCAAGGGAAAATATAAGCATGCATTCGAAAAAAATGTATGACAGAAGGAAACCCACATCTCGCATTCAACAAAACATGGCAAAGTTGAAAATGCCATTGACGCCACCATGCACAGCCACACAGACCCCAGACTCCCCACTGTCACCTGTCAACTTGCTACAGCACGGAGGCTCGGCGTAAAGACACCACCAAGGTGGCGAAACCCCCCCTACCTCCTATAAACCCACATCTCCATCTCTAACCAACGTACTCTCTCGCACACACCTACATCTATCATCAAAACACATAACATCATCAGAAACAACCATGGACGAAGAAGATATCCTCGCAATCCTCTTCCTGCTCACCATCCTCTCCCTCCCATTAACCCTTGTCCTCCTGACAACCTCCATAATCGCCTACTCGCGCACCAAGAAATGGGATCTCGAGCGTCGTCAACGAGGCACCAAATCCACGTCCTCGGACCCTGAAGCATCGGCCTCTCTCCTCCCTGAGAACGAAGACGAAGAAGAAGACGACTTCCTCGATTCTGAAGATGAGGCTGAGGAGACGGCCCGCAAAGTCGAAGCTGAGAAGGATAGTCACAAGACTTTCGCGCAGATGTGGCGGAAGGAGTTCCGCAGGGTGTGGAGTGGCAAGGGCGTGAAGCGCATTGCGGAGGAGAGGGAGAGGGCGGAGCGGAAGAAGTTGGCGAAGGCGGTTGCGAAGGAGTTGGATCGCAGGGAGAGGAGACGCCAGCGGAAAGCGGCGGCGGCGGCGGCGGCGCAGGGCGAGAGTTTGGAGTTGGATGTGCTGCCCAAGTACGAGAAGTAGGTGGAGAACGGGGATGGTATGAGTGGCAGAGCCGAGGGGAGATGAAGATTATATCACTTTCGGATTGAGAATGTCACATCGTGTTTCTATCTTGTTTTTATTTTTGTATATCTAAAGCGTGTTCACGCCAATAGGATATTTCCAGAAAATATACAAAATGCATATGCATTGCTATGCCCCAAATCTGTGTTTTAACAAAACATGGTAAACGCCGGTCTCATGGACTTGAATATGCGACCTAAATCCTTCATACACAGCCTTCGTGAACCTCTCTCCCAGCGTGAGCGCCAAATTCTAAATCATGACAACAGTGAATCCTCCCGATAGAAAGACCTAGACGTTCCTCATCTCCGCATCCTCCCCACTCTCCAACTCCCCAATCTTGCGCTTACTTGGCGTGGCACTTCCTTCCAATTGACCGTCATCGCCTTCAGTCCACTCCGCAACTTCCCACTCGACCCTAACATGTCCATCTCGCGATTGGTGCCCGCCACGCCGCTGCTTCAGCCTCCCGAACCCTGTATCTTCCACCAACTCTTCAAACCACGGCGCGCCTCTGCTAAGCGGCTCGTTGCGGGCCACCTCGCGAGACTGCCGCGCAGCGCTCACGGCAGCTGCATGTTCTGTGTCCTCATCGCTGCTGTCTGTGCCCGGGAGATATCCTAAGTGGCCGAGCAGAGCCTGATCCTCGTCTAATAGGCTGCCAACGGTGAGGCAAATGTGTTCGGCGTCGTTGGCGGTTTGCTCATGCCACGAGGTCAATTGGGTACCGCAGTAACCGCAGAATTGGCGGCGGGTATTGGGTTCCGAAAGGGAGGAGGTGAAAGTGCGGAGGATGCTAGCATGGCGCTCGTCGGGGAGCTGGGCGAAGGTCGCGGAGGTGTACCAGGTGAGTGGGACGCGGAGCCAGAGGACGTGTGGGCTGGCGGAATGATGACCTGGTGTGTTGGTTAGCCGATATTGATCGTCGATTCTTGGCGGTGGTGGCGTTGGGAGAGGCAAGGTGCGAAAATGAAGGCGTGGGTTCAAGGTGATGTGATGTTGTCAAAGTGACGTGATGTTGTTGCAGGAAGAGACATACGGGAAGCATTCGAATTATCGTACTTCAACTCTGCCAACTCGGTCTGCTCCGCGGGGATATCTACAGTATACCTGTTTCTCCCGCAGGCGCAGGAACCATGGAGTGTGTTTCGGTCGGCCATGGGAAGCGGGGCCAATGCCAATGAGTTGGTTGTGCGTCCGTACAGGTAGCTACCGTGCTAGCTGGGCTGGATGTGGGAGGTGTGAGCGGCAAGGAGGATGAATGCTTTTTGAGGCAAACAAAGACGGGCAAGCAGAAGGTAGGCGAGATGCAGGCAGTGGAAGTATGTGCTGTAGAAGGGTGCACTGTGGATGGTTCGTTGAGCGTGTAGCGCAATAGAAATTCGAGGTGCTTCGATGGCTTTGCCTGTTGTGCTGATGCACGGCGGCGGCGGGAGCATCGGGTCGGGTGATTGGCCAGCTGCGGTGGTTCATCCTGTCTTTCACTCTGGCCAAATGCTGCCCATTGCTCTGCAGTCCCCCCTCGGTCTGTATACACACGCACCTCAAACCCTTTGCCACCAGCGTTGAGCATCTATCTGCATCATCCCTCCCAGAGCCCGCGTCTCCGGGGACATCTGATTCATTCCGAAGTCACAGGCCCACGACCAAGCGAATGCGTTGCACCGCATACATCTGTACGACTTTGCAAGAGGCATGGCATTTTTGACCCTATGGCAACAGCTGGATCCCCGACCCGGTTTCGATGTAGTAAACGACATAGCACTTGTTCTATCTAGGCACCTATATGTATGCCGATATCGTGTCATGGTGCAGGGTAGGTGTATGCTTCAAATGTTTGCTTGCTGTAAAACCGATCCGAGGACTGCACTACAACCTCTGCAATCACATACATTACGTTTTGCATGTACCCATGTTGTGCTATTATCGAACCTCGCCGTGTATGCAATACTACATGAAACTTGTACGTTGTCGCGAATCCCGCGTGCTAATCGGCAGCATTTAATCTTTCATGTGCAGACATGACCTGATTTCCAACAACTCTGTGTTTGAATATGGCGGTAATTGCCTGCGTACGGTGGATTGCATCTGCCGTTCAAACATTCAAGCATTAATGAATGTTTGAAGCTTCTCGTGCACGTGTTCTAATCCAACCTTGGAACGTTCCCAATCTGAGATGGACATCGAGATGACCACTCCTTCTGTCGTCATACACAGAGAAACTGAACTGGTCCTTGACATGGCATTTCGCATTGGTAGGGTCATCGGTTATACCCGCCAGCCAATCGCTTGTACACTGCTGCTCTTGTGTAACCTCAGAGAAGGCAGCTTCTCCTCGCATTGGTGGCCTCTTGACTGAACGCAACCACAATTACATCATCCGGCCATGTCTTGTATTGCCTGCCATTCACTTCTCGATCGAGGGCGGCAGCTAACTTCATTCTTACAAATATCATTCCACAATGGAACACCATCCAATCGCTGCCAAGGTTGCCATTCCTAGGAATCCCAAAGCCGACCCACCACAACCTGTGCCAAAGAAAGCTCGCACACAGCGAGCATGCGAAAATTGTCGCAAGCGCAAAGTGCGCTGTACAGGAGAATCCCATTGCCGCAACTGCCTGGACCAAGGTCTGAGCTGCAGTTACTCTCTGGGCCGACGAGACCGTTTGAACGAGTTTGTTCCCATGCTAACTCCCGATTCCAGCAAACCACTGACGGTAATAGAGCTACCGAGCAGAATAGCCGGTTGATTGGGCTTCTGAGAGATCTGAACCTGCACGTAGACGACGAAGGCCGGAAACTCATCCACCAGTATCTTGATACAGTATGTTTCTGTTCGCAGCTTTCACCCCCGGAGATTGACGTCAGGAAGCCAGGAAATGATGAACAGACACTTGCTTCGCCCTCAATATCCTATGCCTCACCGTATTCAGCCAAACGCTCACGAGAGGGTTCGCCAGAACCTGAAGAGAACCGCCATGACGGTCCTCAGCAAGTCCGCCCTTCTGAAAAAGACAATGAAAAGCACTTCGATGTTTTAGGCGAAAACGTCCTCCAGACATTCAAGAGTCGCGCTACTGGTTATGTCGGAGTCAACTCCTCCATACAGTGGTTGCGAAGTCTGAGAGCACAAATGAAAAATCTTCAGATTGCCTCAAACGACGATGAATCTTCCCGAAACCCCGACATCAACACGCAAAATGCTCGACATCGAAATTCACAACGACTGAACACTATCCGAGTATCGGACTCAACCTTCTACTTGGACTGTGACGATCCGGAGCTCGATGATTTATTTGCCGATCCGCTCGACGTACCGCCACCCGACATCCTAGACGGTCTATTCGATAGCTATATGCAAACGACTCACCCGTCTTTTCCTATATTACCTGATGTTTTCCAAGATCAGTTTCGGAGATATAGCACATCTCTCAAGGAGAAACGTGCAGACCAAGTCTCCGATGAATGGCTCGCCATGTTGAACCTCGTCCTTGCTATTGGTAGGCAGTACTCGCATCTTACATCATCTGATAGCGAATCGCCCGGCCATCTCATCTATATTGCAAGAGCGACAAGACTTCTTCGTTTAGACAAAATCGCAACCTCTCTTCCCTCACCAACATTGTTGTTCATTCAGGTGCGTTGCGCAAATATACAACACATTGAATGTTTCTAACGCTATGCAGTCTATCGGATTGTTATCACTTTCTTATCTAGTCATTGGTCAATTGAGCAGGTAGGAATTTGTTGAAATCCTATTTTCCGCTGGCTGACCGTAATATATAGAGCGTGGATGATGATTGGAATTGCGTTAAGGTTCGCCCTAGCGGCTGGCCTTCATTTGCGCAACGACGACCCATCAACTCCATCGGCACAAAATGAAACAATGATCAACACATGGTGGAGCCTCCAGGTGATCGAAAGCCTCCTGTGCTCCATTATCGGGCGACCATGCGTCATTCCCGATCAGGAGTGCACGGTTCCTCTACCCAGAGCCCTGGGTGCATCACCCCCTCGACCAAACAGTTCAACTGGAAGGATGTCAAAGTCATCAAGGGATGGTTCGGATACAGTTACTAGCGCCTCTTTCCTAGGAGCATGGGTCACGATTGCCTTGTTAACGCAGGAAGCCCTTTCGAAGCTATACTCCCCACGCGCCACCACCGACTCCTGGCATATCATACAGGGAGACATAACATCTTTGATGAGAAGGTTGGACAGATGGGCAGTGAATTCACGTCTTGCGGGAACGAGTACGATGACCACACCCACAGAAGAAACTCATCGTAACAAGCAACTTCTTGCGTTTCAGTATCAGAGTGCAAAGATCTTGATCACCCGTCCGTGCCTTTGTCGTCTGCAAGGATACAAGGAGCTTAACGAAGAACTTTCCGAACTCAAGAAAGGAGCTGCTGCATCTTGCGTGAGTGCCGCACTCGCAATGGCTCAATTGCTTCCCGATGATCCACACAATCTACAAGCCGCCTACTTTCAAATACCTTGGTGGTCAATCATCCACAATATCATGCAAGCCGTCGCAGTGCTGCTGCTGAAAATGTCCTTTGGGCCATTGCATACTGTGCACGAAGGCCAACATATAGTCACAAGCGTTCAAAAGCTAGTAAAGTGGCTCGAAATTCTCAAATCCACAAGTCAAGTCGCTGGACGCGCACTCAACATCGTCGCGAATATCATGCATACCAGCGGCGCACGAAGTTACTTCAACTTCGCGTTCCCATCAGATGCAAGCATACCCACTCCAGATGTAACAGCGAGGTCAACCAGCCAGACACCCGCCAGTACACCAGAGCACAGTGTGATTATGACCCCAGTGTGGCAAGCCCATTTCCCTCACCAACCCACCGGTGCTGACACAGGTCGCCATCAGCAGGAGAACGCATATGCATACCCTCCCCAGCAGATGGAGCCGGTTTCCGTCTGTGGAGAGTATACACCTAGTCAAGGCGATTTTGCAGACTTCCGATCGCCAACCAACCCTAAAGGGTCTCCGTATCTCGGAACCAATACGATGCCACAAAGTCATATGCCGCAAAACAATCTGCTGCCTTTGTATTACGGGCACCCATTCTATACTTACTTCGACTACTCCAACGCGTTAATTGAAGATCCCTCTACAAAAGTTAATGCGTTTACGAACATAGGCTCGTTTAATTAGTCATACCCTAATCCGACGCCCAAGGCAGAACGCACGACTTGCCTCTGGACAACTGATATGATTAACCGCCTACGGGATAGGAAGCTGGAAGAGATACGATTGAAGAATCCAACGCAAAGGGATAGCGCACGATCCAATCGTTTTCCCTCTCATGTTCTATGTACGCTAACTCATATCAAACCATGGCGTATCCTGATTCTCCTCAAGTATCCAGAGTCATCGACACGAGGCGAAATCGTTCCCCACCCCAAATTACAGGGTGTCAGTCACATGGACAATGTTCAACATGTGCCTTTCCCGTGTCATAAAGCAACACAAGTTTTGGCCATATCAATGTTTTTCTGATGGCAGGACATCAAGGTAGAGCGGATTTCTTTTGCTGACAGCTTTGTATCCGATATCTTGATATCCTCTTGTCGCTGATGCCCGCATCTTTTCCGCCGCATGTTGTATTTCTCGATGGAATTCCCTTCTCTTCTCTTGCTACATGCTCGGTGGATCTTTTTTTCTTTTTTCCATTATTTCCTTCCTTCTCTCGGTATTTACTTGTCTGGGTATCAGCTTCCCCGGTTTCCTACTGCGTAGCATAGCGTTGCTGAGCATAAAACACAAAAATAGGAAAATGTTTTGGGCGATGGCCACAATATACGGAAATCAGCCAATCAAACGGTGGATTATTCAACAACTATGGTGGCGAGTATCGGTTCGATTTGAATGTCTGTAGCGAGGGGAGGTGAATATTGCGTGGCAGACGTTTATCGCGCACGTTTGATAGGCTGTCCATTTGGTAAACTATACTAGTGGGGGCACATGGCAGCCCATAGAATCCAGGCACCATCAACGTATAGGCACATGTTGCCAGCCGACGGCACCACACAAGGTGTAGCGATGAAGAAGATTCTGCTGTCTTGAGATAAAAGGTGGACTGCCTTACTCGTACCTCAGTACTAACTGCTTGGAACTGTCACGTCGGCCTTCTTGGCCCCCTTTTGCAATCTCGTGGTCGAATGGAGTAGTCTCTCCCTGGAATCTGACCCCACTAGGCACCCGACGCTAGCCCCACGAGGGCGGGACGCCTGTCAGATGCAGGGACCACTCCCGTCTTAGCTTCAAATACAATACGGGCCGGCTGTCAGCGAATACACGTGCATCCGCTGTCGCTGGGCAGGTACTCGAACCAATAAGAGCGCAGCGCCTGTGTTTTGTAACAGCACTAAGCCTTGCAAACACCTGCTATCCCGACAGTGACACGCATGGCAGAACAGCAAATCACAATGTCTTGGACGTTGTGCAAAGGCGCAGTTGAGAAACAAAAATAAGCTGACGACGATCCATGGGGCCAAGCAAACGTTTCCCCACGACGTCGCCGTCGTCGTCGGCTTTGTCTCTCAACTTCTCACTCACTTCCTCCCCCAGACGCAAAAGCACCATGAACTCCAACAAATCCATCCGGAATCTCGGTTGGCCTCTTCTGAAAGCTCTGGTGTGTTTGTTCGTGCTGTTTGAGATTGGCAGCTTTCTCCTCAGCGCGCGATCGGATCCGCATCCTGTGTCCTCCGACAAGCCAGCCTCCCAGGCACCCGAGCCCAAGTTTTTGAGCGACCAAGAAGTGATCAAATCCACGCCAGAGGATCCCGCCGACTGGGCCAAGAGCTTCCACCGGTATGGACTAGCCGAGGCCCAATGTACTTCGGAATTCTCAGATCTCTTCAAAGACATTGCCCGTGCTGTCGAGCATCGGAACACTATCGGTCATGTGCAGCCCAAGGATCTTGATATCGGCTGGAAAGAAGAAGGCGCCGTGAGAGCCATGATCTACAACCAAAAAGTATGCATCATCTCTTCGCTGGGCCCACTTCCAATAGACCGCAGACCCCAACTGACAACCTTCACAGCTCTTCATCCTCGAGTCCAAGATCAACGATGGATTCATGATCAGTCGCGCTCTTGGTACGCTCCAGCAGATTGATCGCGCACTGAAGGCCAGCCCCGAACCACTCCCCAACATCGAATTCTCCTTCGTCGTAGGCGACCTCCCCGACACAGAGCACGCCCACCACACCGTCTGGGCTCTCTCCCGACTCGCCGTGGACGAAGAAATGTGGTTGATGCCCGATTTCGGATATTGGTCCTGGCCGTTGGACCTGGTCGGCAACTACGAGCAGATCCGCACCGAAATAAAGGCAAACGAAGTCGACTGGGCCCAAAAGATCCCGAAAGCACTGTGGCGTGGCGCCGTCAAGACGAATCCCGTCCGCAGCAAACTGTTGAAGGCGACGCGTGGCAAGAAGTGGGCGGATGTCCAGGAGGTGAAATGGAAGAACCGAACCGATGTCGCCGCCGGATCTGCGTCCTCGGCCATGTCCATGGTGGATCATTGCAAGCATCAGTTCTTGATCCATACCGAGGGTCGGAGCTATTCGGGCCGTGGGAAATACCTGCTCAATTGCGAGTCCATTATATTCATGCACAAGCGGGAGTGGGTCGAGCCGCACCACAGCGTACTGGTTTCAGAGGGTCTCAACCAGAACTTCGTCGAGGTCGAGCGTGACTTTTCGGATATGGAGGCCAAGATCCAGGAACTCATCAACAACCCGGAACGAGCAAAGGTAATTGCTCATAACAGCGCCACGACGTTCCGTGATCGCTATCTCACACCTGCCGCGCAAGCCTGCTACTGGCGACACATGATCCGGGCCTGGGCGCAAGTCAGTTTTACCCCCAAGCCGTGGGTATTGATCAACGGCGAGAAGAAGCTGAGGGGTGTACCTTTCGAAACATATGTGTAAGTGTTCTACTCTGCGTTGTCTCGAAGCTCAACAGGCGAAACTGACTAGTGACAGTGTGCAAGCTCTCGAGAACACCATCAAGACTTGCTCCGTATGGAAAAAGATGTCGCTACAGTGCTGAGGAAGATATCAGCAAAAGACTTCACAGTCTTGAATTCACGCGAAATAAATGTAAGTATGCGCCACACAATGCCAACCTAAACGAACGCACTTCCTCAGCATAAGCTTAGTGCTATGCTTCCCCACGGTTCCTTCAGAGATTCTGTCACAAGACTTTAAAGTTCCTCGGGTTGGATGTTAGTACATAGAGGTGGTTCTTAGCAACAAGGCTACGGAGTCCCGGGGATATGCACATTCCCGGGCGCTCCTGTCAGACCCCCGCTACCGTCGCAAGCGTCCTAGATGATCGGAATCCACGATATCAGGGCTGCCGCAGTTAGTATCTCAATCGAACCGATTGGAGGTTTGACGGAAGAGCGCCACAGTTTCTCGATTTACTGCCTTATACCCACAGACCATGAAAGATCTCGCAATTGCTTGGTTACAGCTGTCTACGTAGTATTCAGCAATGATTACTGCTTGTTCTCTTCTATCCCAGTCAATTCGTGACAACATGGTTTATTTTCTCTTTTTATTCAGTGTTGCCTGTGTTCGCCAGACTTCTCTTCACTGGATATGAGTTAGAAGAATCTATCTGAAGTTGTGCTGCTGAAGGGATAGCTGATTGCATGGTGCGTTCAGCCGTTAGGCTTATAGCCCACAAAAAAAAGATTAGAACTGGGGTGTAATATTAAGATGATTAACTATTGGCGTTGAAACAGCGAGAGGTTTTGAATTGTTTCTCCTCCTGAACGAGCCAGCATTAGGTCTAGATAGCGATACGGCAAGGCTCTTCCGTACTCTACTACGCCAACTAGCAGACTGTTGGCATGACTTTTGTGGACAGAGTCGGTTTCTACCACATAGCAGACACCCATACCCTTTAAGAGATCAACGACCTAATTCTCAACTTCTTCGTTTTACTCACGGCGTTCTCCACTATTACTCAGTTTATAATGGCTAAGTTTATCGTCTACGGTACCTTCACATAGCCCATTTCCCTCCTCTCCCAGTCGCCCCTGGCCGCTATTGTTTTCATCATTTATTACGCCCTAACTAGCCTGTTCCCGCGCGCATCCGAATCCTACTCGCACGGCGGCGGGTTTATTTTCATGCATGTGATTATTCCTGACATTTACAGCTACCTTTTCCGCCGCTGCAGTGTCTATCATGCCTAACGAGGCGACAGGTGTGAGTACAGCCACACTCCTTTGAATAATTTTGCTACTTTTCTATGGCGTACTGGTTGTACTATCTGATTTACCTTGGTTTTAGATTTTTGTGTATCGAGCGACGCTTCCGTGCATTGTGTCCCCCTTCTTGCTAAAGCCGGACTTCACCAAGTTCGCGCCTTGTTTGTCATAAACTGGGCGAAAGAATTTCCGGCTTCTATAGTCTAATCGACTCGCACTTAGCCCTAAGAATCCATCCTGCGTCAAGGCGCAGCATACTAAATAGTATACGCCTCTGCGGCGTCTGCGCCAAGAAAGTAATCCAACAACGCTACTAGACTACACACGGTTTGGGAAGAAGCACCACGCCACGGAGATTATTTCTTTGCCCCGGGCTAAGACACAACTACTATCGGCGCAGGCATGGGTAGTATCATCAGAAGGGTGTAGTTCTTACAAAGAAAGATTGGAATATATGCCATGATGTTGGTAATCGTTCAGAGGTTAGCTTCATCGCGCACTGCTTTTATTAGAAGAAGACTTTATAAAGGCTGCAAGGTTTAGTTTGTACCGAGTTCAGTCACTCGCTTTTCTTTGAATTCATTCTTTTGGTTCTTTGGCTTCCTCACCTTCGTTTTTCTTATTTTATATCTTTCAATCATTCACTCGTTTGTTTTTCTCACTTCTATTTGTATCTTTCGAGTGCTGGGGTAGTGTATTGGACAATTTGACGATGAAGTTCTCCGCCTCCATCCTCGCCTGGGCCTTGTTCGTGGGGGCGACTCTTGGAGCGCCTTTGCTGGGAAATGTCGAGGATCCAAATAACGGGACAATCAACATTGTGAAAAGGGCGGGCCCAGCGGCGGGGAAGAGTGATTTAAAGAAAGGTTTGCTGTGTGAAAGTACGAAGGGCGTGGAGGAGATTAGAGGATACTGTGAGTCTTCGATCTCTATATGTTTCTAGTTTAGTACAATGCTAACCTGTGTGCATCACAGTCCCCGTTGGCAAAGGTATGAAGCTCTGGTTCTGGTACTTCTCTGCCCGTTCCGATACGGCCAAAGATGCACCGCTCGTGGTATGGCTCAACGGTGGACCTGGCGCAAGTAGCATGGGCGGGCTCTTTCAAGACAACGGACCCTGCCAGTTCTCCGAGGGCTCAACATCCCCATCCCGCAACCCGAATAGCTTCAACAATGTCGCAAACATGCTCTATATTGACCAGCCTGCGGGTGCCGGCTTCTCCTTCGGCTCCGACAAGAACGAGGTCAATGGCATCAACACTTCACGCCTCGCTATCAAGTACGTATATGAGTTCCTCCAAGAGTTCCTTGCGCACAAGGAATTTGCGCATCTAGCGAAAAGAAAGTTTGGCATTGCGACCTCGTCGTATGGTGGGCATTGGGGGCCGGAGCTCGCTGTGCATATCCAGGAGCAAAACAAGAAAGCCAAAACGAAGATCAATCTGGCAGGTCTTGCCATCAACAGCGGACTGTTCGATCTAAGCATACAGTACCCAGCCATGGTAGAATACTCCCTCGAGAAAAAATCCATCGACAAGGCCAAACACGACAAAATCATGAAAGATTACAAGACTAAATGCGAGCCTCTGTTGGCTGCATGCAAGAAGACGGACAAAGATGAAGATTGCAGCAAGGCGGACGATGCATGCTATCCTACCGTGGAAGAACCGTTGGAGGAGGTACGAGAGTGGGTTTATGATGTCAGAGGAAACAAGTATAAGCCATCCGTCGCGTATAAGGAATGGTTGAAGAAGTCCGCAAAGGAAGTCGGAGCTCTGGTGGAGTTCAGTGGGAACCTGGGTGAGACCAATGACATCTTCAACCGCTTCACCTCGACCGGCGATACTGCGCGTTCTATGATGTCTCAACTCTCCGAAGTGGTCAAGGCAAATATCCCCACCTTGCTTTGGGTTGGCGATCAAGAGTAAGTATTCCATTCCAGTCCTTGGTATTACTTAACTGACATTGCATGTCTAGCGCCCTGACCACCTACATTGGTGTTCGTGAAGTGGCCGAAGCGGTTGTTCACGGCGGCCAGGCAGCTTTCAAAAAGAAGGTTCCAGGGAAATGGACTGTCAAAGGGAAGGAGCAGGGACTTTTCAAAACTCAGGGCAAGCTTTCGTATTTGCAGCTCAAAAACGCGGGGCACAATGTCCAATTTGGTCGTAAGTGAACCAGTTCAATCACACCCTCCAAAAAGGAGCAACGAATGAGTGCTAACAGTGATGTCATAGAGCCCGAAAATTCACTTCAAGCTTTCACCCAGTTTTTCGGGGGTAAGGGTACTATATCGAGTTCTTAACTGTCTGGGCATTGGTTTTCTTCTTTATCTATAAGGGACTCTATGTCTGAAGGAAACTTGATGTATCTGTATATTCTCTGGAGTATTTTTTTTACTGCTGTTTAACGATCAGCTTTTCTATACACTTTCTTGACTCGATTTCCACTGCGTGGTAACACTCAATATCTTTCGTGAACTTTTATCGTGGTTCTTAACACACAAAGAACAGTTTCCAAAAAGGTAGACGAAATAACAACAGACCAGCGGGCAGTATCGTAGAGTTTAGGTGGCGCAGTTTCCTATAGAACTGCCCATCAAATCAATTGCAATCAGAATCATAGCTAGCTATTCCCGATTAGCTATTTATCACTGTCTTTTAATAAAACTCGCATTCCATTGCGATAATTAAGACCGGGATGCACTAAACAATGTATTTAGTCTGATAATCACCTGCATCCAAGTACCTCATTGTGGTATCACGTGATCATACGCCTACGCAAGATCACCACATCTTCCACATACAACTGCAACTTGGCACATTGTGACTGCGGCAAAGCCAGCAATAATACACTACCCTGTTCCCTCAACAGCTCGTCCAAACATTCTAACTGCAAGACAATCAGAGCCTGCATGATACAGCACCACTCGCGGTGCGACATAACCTCAAACTGGCCTATCGCAATACCGTGATTCCGCTCCACATTTCTCTCTTTGCTCAGCTCTGTTTCGTTTTGCTGCCGGCAGTACAAATCGACTATACTATTCGAGAGATTTATGAGCTTTTCGCAAATGAAAAGTAGGAGTATCGCGGTCTCGGTGCGCAGCGTGCAGTCTTGGCATTGTAGTATGCGTCGCGCATTTGCCAGCACGCGTTTTTGTTGGGCGAGAGATGCATCGAGGGGTGATTTGAGGACGGAAGTAAGCGAAGCGTCAAGATCTTCGATCAGGAAAACGATTATGTTTGAGCAATTACATTTTCGTTCCTCTTCGCTGGCGGGGGATGCTAACCTGCTTTGACTGCTGGGTGTGGATTGGGGAGGCGTGAGTGGCAATCCGGTGATATCCGATAATAATTGAGAGGGAAATACGTGCTGGAAATCTGAGGTAGGCCGTGATAAGTGATAAGAATGGGATGATGCTGGCTATTGGTTGTTGTTCATGCGTACGTACCTACCGGAGTGGCATCGAAATCAACCAGGTTGGACACATTACTTCCAGTGCCCCAGTTCATCATCTCGTTATCGAGCTCTAAGCTTCTAGGCATCAAATCTAGGGAGCTGCAGGAGTCTTGAGGAATGATAATGTGGTCTGGTGTTTGTAGTCGTGAACTGTCGTCCAGTGTCGATCTGTCATGATGCGGCACTTCAATTGAAGTTCCTCTTGCTTTCGGAGATGGCGTTTGTTGTCGTTCGTTTAGCTTTGATGCAGGCAAACCTTTGATTATCCTTCGGTAATTGCGAGGTCGAGTTCGGCATGACGTATTGGTGTATGAGCAGGTGCGTGAGAGCTCCTCGCACCTTTTACATCCTGTTGGATGTCCTGAACAACGTAGCTATGCGATACGTATAAACACATGAACTCGTGTATAAGATGATTGATATGGATGACTGACTGGATGGTTGCGTGCTAGAATGCGCAACGAGGATATGGACTACGTAGGTGGTGAAAACTTACTTTTTTGTCTCGACAGTAATCACATGCTGAATGATGTATGATACCGTAGGTATCGTGTTGAGGAGCGAACCGAATTTCTTTTTTGCGCGAGTCATATTGCAGCATACCAAACATCGGTATGGTTAGAATCCTATCGAGAAACAGATGACAATTGACCTTGATCAAGTGTGAAATAAGTTGGGTTAGAGAGAGGTGAATGGCAAAGCCAGTATGAGCATAGCGAATACAGATCGGTGACCAAATATCTGGATATATAATTTTCTAGATATCTCTTTGTTCATGAAAAGAGAGCAGGAGTATTCAATGATCTTATTATGTGTTATGCCTAAGACAGTTAGATATAGTAAGCTATTGGCAGTAGCGGTGTATTCCTAGTGGACCGACCTCCACGGTGGATAAAGAACCCTCCACAAAGCGGTTCCATTCCCAAAACACAAAATCGGATACCGCTACGCTTACGTACCATGGCCCCGATTTCATCTCAAAGCTTTTGTTCTCGTTGATACCGCGTGGTTGAACTTACTCATCAGTTCAAGCGACTACCTTGGAACTGGATAATAAGTGCGTGGATGTTCCATGGAGAGGCAAAGAGGTTCTTTCTTCGTCAAGGCCGAAGCTATGAATCTGATAAGTAAGAAAAAACCATTGCTTGCACATGCGTATAGTGTGAGCGCGATTGCTCCAGGAAAACACCCAGATTCCGACCTTGAGGTTTGACACACAACGGGTACTAAGTAGGCCGATAATCTAGGGCTGAACAGGTGTTAGACGCAGAATGGTGTCCCGTATCCAAAAATCGAGATTCTCGTCTTCTACAGGATGTGAGGTAGGAAATCCGAGGACGTTTCAAGGGAGGACGAGATGCGTCGATAATACTTCAAGTGAGCAATCGATATCTCACAGCGCCATTGTTTCTGGTGTGCAAGATGCATCAGCCGCACACAAATTGATTGGAGAATATTATTGAAACTGATCTTTGAAATATATTGCTTGTGGCAACCTAAAAGTAGGCCTTAATTCTTGAATGGCGTGATGCTATTCCGTCCAAGAACGGCGTCACCAGCTCGGCGGTATTATTGTGACCAGTCGGAGGTCCGACTTTTTTTCCCTGATTTTCGGCTGAGAACCCCCGCGGGTTGAGCTGATTGTCCTTTTCCTGTGTGGAATGACGTGAGAGGGTCTAGAGCCTTAGTGGGCTGAGGGTAGACGGAGCCACCAGAATGTCCACAAAGTTGGGAGCGTGCCTGACAAGCACGCGTCCCTATAGGAAAAGGTATTTGCTGTTGTTTAGTATTTGCAAGGGATCTGGGGGAATTTGAATGAAGTGCATAAGACTCGAGGAATCAATTGCAATATACACAATAGCGACCGCAGTACAACTTAAGGCGCATAGTCAAGACATGTATCGGCGCAATAGATCAGATACCATTCCAGCCACTTGGCCCCCGTCTCGCAATGTGTTCATTCTCATGTCGTTTTTTTATTTCCAATTCACCACCTCCTTCTACTCGTATACACCTAGCATCGATCATCCAATTGCAGTACAGTGTGTATATCACACATTCAAGCGAGCACATGCGACTGCGGAGAAGCAAGAATGTACAAGAGATGCCAAGATGGCGGATTCGATATCGCAATTCATGGCGAAATTGCGTCAGATGCGAAACGAGAGACGAACCCTGTCACCACGCGCGATAATCGCAAAGGCTCACACAACTGTCGTAATAGAGTGAATCTTTCGGGGTAAATAAACGTCATATTCCTTCAGACTGCGATTTCTCACATATTGCACAAACTGTAACATAAAAGATTTCACTTGCCCGGTAAATTCCCGCGACTTTGTTGCGTCTATACCAGAACATCATGGCACAGTTCGACAACCGAGTGCAAATATCAGCATCGTGTCTAGTCCCGCGATTACAACCCAAGCAACGCCTCGCACGCCACGCCAACATCAAATTCGTTGAATGCCCAGGCCTCGTGCTTCTTGGAACCCGTTCCATTACAGCACTTGGCCTTCCAGCCCCTCCACCGGCGGACGCCATATATAATTATACTTGAGTTGTTGCTTTCACCATGGAGGATCACGCCGACCACCGGGACCTACCACCTGTTGTGATCTCTCGTTCTCGAGAAAAGCAAGGAGACGCACGCGAGTCTCGAGCGTCGATTGAGCAGCCCATTACCCAATCAATTTTCGTCCTGAGTCCGATACTCCAGATCAAATCATCACACTGACAGTCTCGAACAACTGAGCATTGATCAACCGGGCACACTCAGCGGAGAAGTTGCTGCTCTGGACCTGTTCGATCGCAAGCCACTAATCCGAGACGTCTCTTTCAGCTACCCCCCAGGTTACATACCCCATATCTCGTATATTGGGATCATATAAGGAGCCTGATTTGCACCGATACTCTGCCCAACCACCTTGATCAGACCTCGAAACAGTACCACAATATGGCAGCAGCAGTAGCCAAATCAGTTGGCATCAAGCTAGACTATCGCAACGAGCAGCCGCTTGCTGCGAGTACAGTTTCTGGTTCATCAGTTGATCCATGTAAGTTCCAACTATCCGCACTACCAAATCATGAGACTCACAATTTTCAAGACGTTGAGGATGAACCCACTGTGGGTGAGTGGCTAAGCCGCTTCAAGCCCTCCGGCGGCGGAGCCAAACGATATATCCGCAGTCTGTTTCCCTTTTGGAACTGGATATTCCATTACAACTTCTCGTGGCTCTTCGGCGACGTCGTTGCTGGTGGTGAGTAATATCAAGTCCGGACGAGTCATGTGCGCGACGTTCAGTGCTGATTGTTTTCCTCGTCTAGTGACTGTCGGCTTTGTCGTAATCCCGCAAGGAATGGCATATGCGCTTCTAGCCAAACTCCCCCCAGAGTATGGTCTTTACACATCATTCGTTGGTTTTTTGCTCTATTGGGCTTTTGCTACATCAAAAGATATCACCATCGGAGTACGTCAATTCTCTACTGCAGGCGAGACACTTTGACTGACAATCTTTCTTTTAGACGGTAGCAGTCATGTCAACCATAGTCGGGAATATTGTCACCAAAGTTCAAAAGACACACAAGGACATAGCGGCCGAGGAAATTGCAAGGGCTCTCGCAATCATTGCCGGCGCTGTTCTCCTTGCCATAGGTCTGACTCGACTTGGCCGAATCGTTGAGCTCATTCCTTTGATTGCAATCTCATCTTTCATGACCGGCGCGGCTTTTTCGATCGGAGTGGGTCAAGTTCCGGCTCTTCTTGGTATCTCGGGAATCAACACTCGCGGAGCAACTTATCTGGTCATCATCGAGACATTGAAAAACTTGCCAAAGGCCAAGCTCGATGCTGCGATGGGTGTTTCCGCTCTTGCTATGCTCTATGCCATCCGCATATTCTGTAATATCATGACTAAGAAGCAGCCCCATAGGAAGAAGATGTGGTTCTTCCTGAGTACTTTGCGCATGGCGTTTGTGATCCTACTATACATCATGATCAGCTGGTTGGCGAATCGCAACGTCCCAGGTGTTAAAGGAAGCGCGAGCAAAGCTAAATTCAAGATTTTGGGAAGGGTACCAAGAGGTAAGACACTTTTTTTCGCGAATTAAGACGAATTGCTAAAGCTGCGAAGGATTCCAACATGCCGGCGCCCCAAATATGAGTCCGAAGATCTTAAGCGCCATCGCTCCTGATATTCCTGTCACCATAATTGTCCTGATTTTGGAACACATTGCCATCTCCAAGTCTTTTGGTCGCATCAACAACTATGTTATTAACCCTTCTCAAGAGTTGGTTGCCGTTGGCTTTACCAATCTTCTTGGACCCTTCCTTGGTGCATACCCTGCGACTGGATCATTCTCGCGCACTGCTATCAAATCAAAAGCTGGAGTTCGCACACCCCTCGCTGGAGTCTTCACAGCCGTTATTGTCTTGCTCGCACTTTATGCGCTTACTGCCGTTTTCTTCTACATCCCATCAGCTTCGCTTGCGGCAATCATCATCCATGCCGTGGGCGACCTTATCACCCCTCCAAACATTGTTTTTCAATACTGGGAAACCTCGCCGCTTGAGGTCGTGATCTTCTTTGCCGGTGTTCTCATCACTGTCTTCACGGACATCGAGAAAGGAATCTATACCACGATCGGTGCATCGGGTGGTCTTCTCCTCTGGCGCATGCTCTTCACCCACGGTACCGTTCTAGGTAAAGTCAAGATCCACCGAGCCACCACCGACGCCATTGCTTCAGCACCTGTCCGAGACGCCTATATTCCCGTCAATCACCGAGATGGAACCAATCCGCTGGTAGAGCCTGAGTCTCCTTACCCAGGCATCATGATATTCAGGTTCACTGGCGGCTTCACCTATGTCAACCAGCAAGGTTATATGGACGAACTTGTAGCGCATGCCCAACACATAGCTCGCCCAACGCAGCTTAACCGGTACGCGAAATTGGGAGACCGTCCATGGAACGACCCAGGGCCACGCCGAGGCAAGCAGATTGATGAAGACGACCACCGCCCAACTCTGCGTGCCATTGTGCTCGACTTCTCCACTGTCAATCACCTCGATGTAACTACAGTCCAGGGTCTCATTGACGTTCGTGACCAACTCGATCGATACGCCGCTCCCGACGTCGTCGAGTGGCACTTTGCCTCTGTCAGCAACCGTTGGGCCAAACGTGCATTGACGACAGCGGGCTTTGGTTACGTGAATACGCAGCGCGCTCATTCCCGAAAGCACTGGAATCCTGTTTACTCTTTTGCTTCGCTAGATGATAACACTACTCACAAACGGACTGATGTTGAGAGTCAAGGGGTTCAGTCCCGAGGCAAGGTCGCCGCTCTCCATGGATTGAACCGCCCTTTTTTTCACTTGGATGTTCAGGCCGCTGTTGAGAGCGCTATACAGGGTGTGGAATATGAATTGCAGCACACCAGCTCCAGTGATGGCTCGGACAGGGAGATAGTCCATGGAAAGGAAGCGTAAGAGAGGTACGATTGCATCACTACCGTCGGATCATACCATGCTCGTCTGTTAAGAAGGACACAAATCTTCTTCTAGAAAGGCACTTTTATTGTATCTATTTTGACACCAGTGTGTCTGAAATTCCATATGCCCTCGCTTTTTGATCTCCAATCCTTTTCAGAGGAGACCTTTCTACATCTACTTCTATTCAGTGGCCCCTTTAGTAGCTTTAGTACGAAGCTTCATCATGATAATGACCATCGCATAAGAACTAATACAGAACAAAAAAGTAATCCCAACATCTCTCCAGCCATAGTACTTCTCATTCAAGTTGAGCGTCTTCGCATACTCAGACCCATACTTGTACGGGCAGTACTCGCAGGCAGTCATGCTGTTCGGATCGACGACGTAGCCTGCATTCTCGGCCAAAAACGAAGACATGTAGGCCCCGCAAGTGCTACCATTAGGTATTGGGATCGTAGTGAGCTCGTTCGGTTTGCACTCGATTTTCACATCCCAGAGCAACTGTGTCAGCAAACCGCCTACCAGATACGTGAAGGGGTCGAGCCAATATATCCAATATCGCCAGAAAGCGGTAATCTGGCTGTATGGAATCACAATCCCACAGAAAGAGATGAGGCCGGCTCCTATGATGATAGGGTTCATCAAAGATGCGAAAAACTCGTTGGGTGCGTAGGTAGCAATAGCTTGGCCGATGGAGGTATACAAAAACTCGTAGACTATATCATGGTCAGTGCGTCGTTCATCTTAATAAGTGAAAAAGAAACCGGAATGAGACATACGGATCATCTGCAAGTATATTTGGCCTGAAACGGAGCTGGCGAGGGGGAAGCCAGAAGAGAAGTAGGAGCAGACGAAATACAGCGTGCCGCAGACGATGAGCCATGGGATCTCGGCAACACATTGAGCAAAGACGAAAGCGAACCAATGATACGTATTAGCCTAACTCTTAAAGTTAGCATACCCTGAGAATTTCTTTTAGACACTAGATGGGGTCTGACCTTTTTCTCGCGTGTTTCGAATATATCGCGATTGTGGATAAACAAGGGTTGCAGCTGGTTGATGACACCTGGTGCGACGAAGACGAAGTTGAAAATAGCGAAAAGGCGCAGCTGAAGGTCGAAAACACTATTGCCGACTTTCCAGAAGGTAAACCCGGAGAACAATGCCTGGATAACATGGAGGAGAATTTTATTCCAGACGTAGTCAGGGTTTCTCCATAGGGCAATCGACTGGCGAACTGTCACAATCTTCATCTGGTGCAATAAGGGCGTAGCAAAAGTTTTCAGTGGCGGCTTCTGTTCTTGGTCTTGTGGTGAATGTGAAGAGCGATCAAGTCGGTCCAATTCACTCAGAGCCCTTGCCCGTTCAGGAGATTGCAACCAGGTCTGCGTCCAATCTTGCGATGGCCCCTTCCTTCCTTGAACTACATCGATGATGTGCTCTGCTGGATTGACATCCTGACCGCATGGTGCGCCGTTTCGTGCAAAATAATCGAGAAGTATAGCCGAGTCCTGGCCCATTTCGCCGAAATAGGTAGTACGACCACCTCTCGCCAGTAATAACAGGGAATCGAATGAGTTGAAAAGAGTAGCGGACGGTTGGTGAATGGTACATACTATGGCTTGCCCACCACTAGCAAGTTTGCGCATAAAGCGCACAATGTTGTACGCGCTTTGACCGTCGAGACCGCTGGTCGGTTCATCCAAGAATAATAGTTTCGGTTTCGCCACCAACTCTACACCCAGAGTAAGTCGTTTCCTTTGCTCAATAGACAGACCGGCACCTGGCACACCAACTATGGCATCTTGGATATCCTGGAGCTCGAGTAAATCGATGATATGATCGACGTAGTCCAGTTTATCTTGGTCCGGAATATCATGATCCTGGCGAAGGCGGGCAGAGAATACAAGAGCCTCGCGCACAGTTGTAGTAGGCTCGTGAACGTCGTTCTGCTCACAGTATCCAGTGGTTCGTTGGAAATTGAGGTCTTGTATAACACCATCCACATGTATGGAGCCTTCAATCCGCCCCACGTATTTTCTCTGTGCTAGAACATCCATAAGTGTGGTCTTTCCAGCGCCTGAAGTCCCCATCAGAGCGAGAAGATGACCAGGTTTGACAAAGCCACATACTTCGTGCAACAACTGCTTTTCCGCACCTTCGTGGCGAACATGGTAGTTCAGATTCTTCCATGTGAGAGTCGACTGATGAGCAGATGCGGCAGTGTCTTCTACTGGTGGTCCTTTCAGTCCAGGCTGGGACGCGGGGTTATCCCCCCTTTTTTCTTCGTCGGACGATCGTGAGTCCACGCTGGTGTGGCTATCACGTTTGAAGATTAGACGCGAGCCGCCCGAGTCGTACTCTCGTTGGAAGCCCAAGATAGTGAGAAATATGAAGAATGCCCAGAACGCAATGATAATACCGAAGCCTCTCCAGATATGAGAAGGAGAGTGGTTGTACTGGGCAGATATATAGCTTTCTCCCGGTATGATCGAACCTTGAGATCCGGGTACAGTGCATGAGCGATAACTGTCGTTTGTATATTCTGCTCCATACGGAACAAATTGAGGTGAACGGCATTCTAGTCTGAGACCGCTCCATTCATTAGCCATTAGAGACTCGAAGGCATATGCGGCCGGGTTAATGTAGAAGATCCACCGGAACCAGACGTGAATCGAGGTGAATGGAATCAAGTAGCCTAGACATGGGTCAGTGATCATGAACGATAGAGAGTCTCGGACACGTCTTACCTGCACAGACCATCATAATCATGATAATGAACCCGGAAACTTTGGAAGCGTTTCCGAATTGCTTAAAGAGCGCTCCTATGGCCCGGAACTCGGAAGCGAAACAAAACACGGTAACGTTCAGGACGATCCAATACGTAAAGAACTTTGAAGCCTCATATTGTAGATGAGCCATGAAGTACAGAACGATAGAGAATAGCGTGACTTGAGCCATATATACGGGTATGTCCACGAGAACCAGTGCAATACAGTAGGCCGTTGGTCGATAGAACGCGAAGCGTTTTTGGCGCGAAAGGATTGGTCTTCCAGCGAATGATGCGGTGGTTTCGGCGAGAGACTGGAGTCCAAAGTAAAGTATTCCAAAGAAAAGTACACCGGGGCGTAGAAACACCGAGCCGCTGGTATTCGAAAGATTGTAGAAGAGTGATCCGCAAACTAAAGCCTGAATAAAAGCCGAAACAGCCATGATGGCGAGGGACCAACGATCTCCCCACATGATCTGGAAAGATCTTGGATATTGTAAGCAATCGAGTGTTTATATGTTATCAATACTCGCAGACGTACCTTCTTGTGCAAGCCCGAATTTGTTGAATCAAGCTAGTACTGTAGATACTAGGTGTATTGCGGAGCAAGGGATATCTCTCCCTTTCCCTAGCTATGGCATCCCTCAAATTACTTACCTCGTATTCCAGAGTGGAACAATCAACCATATTCTTCTCGGCTGCCTTCCATATAGGACTTTGATAGTATCTTGACTCAAATTCTTCGGCAGTATTGGGTACCTTGTCCTCGAAGCCAGGCCGAATGATACGTTCTGTGCGTACAGGTACTGCCGTCAAGAAGTCTGCAACGGCGCCTCCGGGTGGGCATACAAAGCCCATTTCTTCGAAGTAGCCTTTGGCACAATTTCGTGGACCATAATAGATTGTTCTTCCTTCACATAAGACAAGAATCTTATCGAATTGTTCATACAGTGCATTGCCTGTCTGGTAGAATGAGGCCGCGATCGACTTTTGTTGTTCTCGTGCTGTTCGGCGAAGCACACGCCCGAGGTCGAGCGCTGTGCTGGCGTCTAGACCTCTTGTGGCATTATCCCAACATTGTACGGGAGCCTAACATCGCGTTAGCCTAGGCGGACTGGTATAGAGGGTGGGTTTTTGACCTGTCCCGCAAGCATCTCCGCAATCGACACCCGCTTCCTTTCCCCCCCTGACACTCCGCGCACAAATTCATTGCCCACCAATGTATTCTCGGTATGGGGAATTCCAAGCTGTTCCAAAATGTCTTCCTTTTTCACGATGGAATCATTGTCTGACGATGATTTGGCTTGTCGATTCTTCGAAGCCTTGTTTCGAAGAGCAAAGTCTAGGGTTTGCGAAACAGTCAGGTTCGGGAAATGGATGTCATCTTCACTGTTGAAGAGCATCTGCTGTCGAAATGTTGCCGCCTCTTGGTGGTTTGCACAGCCAAAATTGACATCTCCCTTGATCAAAGGGAAAGAATTTCGTTCGTTGGCAATCATGCGCAGAAGAGAAGTGCAGCCAGCACCAGGTCGGCCAAGGACCAGCAACTTTGCTAGCAGTTAGCATTCCGCGAAACTTGTACTTTTGAGAATGCGGAGGAATAATCACCATTTCGCCTGGTCTCAGTTGTCCCGTGACGTTGTGCAGAATGAACTTGCGAGGTTTAGCCAATGTCATAGAAATTACAAAATGATGTAGTCACCTTTTCCGGAGCACTTTGCTTTCTCCATGGAAAGAGGCTGACCGGATTGATTGCGGAAGCGACTGTGTCACCATAATGTAAATCGGTCCCATTTGCGGTTACTGTCAGGTTTCGAAATGTGACAGTTAACTGTTTTTGACTGCTTTTTGTCGGAGTATCTGATTCTATGTCGGAGTCACCCAGGTGCGAGGGGGAGCCAGAGCTGGTAGGGCAGGCATCAGCCCTTTCATTGGTAGACATGATGAACAAACAAAAAAAAAGAGTGTGTGATGCACAATCTCTGTACCTAGTTGCAAAGAAAGACTGCCAAATATTAATTCATTGTAGAATATAGGACATTTACTTTATTTGTTCATGCATTGTCTACTGCATAGCTCTTCCGATCCGACGCGGCACAATCTCTAAGCTATGAACCGCCTATACATCCATTAGCACTATCTCTCCACAACCAGTCATACAGAATAGCGAATGGGAGATCCCTATATGGGGAATTTAAAAAGCTTTGAAGCAGAGGTGGCCCTCGCCAAAGACTAAGTGATGGAGACTCGGATCGGATTTATGAATCTGAGGGGCCAGATCCGATGCTACTAGGCTGTGTCGGATATATGCAGCAGCGCTAATTGGCTGCACTGCATCGTTCGCAGCGACCACTATAAATCCGATCCGAAATGAGATTTTCGCTGTGGTTTCCTACGCGTACTTTCGTTCATCCTCATGCCTCCGGACCCCGAGTTTGCCGTGGACGACTCTGAGGCCTCTACCTATGCAGGTTCGTAGTACCTTTTTGTAACGCCTGTCTGGTTGGCGCATCGGTCATCTTGCTCGACAAAGTTCTGACCGATCTAGGAAGAGGTACAAAGGTTTCCAAAGCTTGTCAAGGTATCTGCACCACCAATACGAGATAAACAAGGCAAGAGTTAAAATTCTCCGTAGAATGCCGTCGAAGAAAGCAAAAGTGTAACGGCCGGGAGCCGTGCCAGGAATGCACGAAACGGAACACGACGTGTTCATACCGTGCATTTGTAAGGAATCGAAGACGGAAGGTTGCCATCACCCGCGAAGACCAGTCTGCAGTACCATCGGACAGCCATCATGTAGTTCCCAGCGACGAACATATGTTTTTGCCTGGTCGCACTTACATCTTCAACAATATTAGGGCGTCGCATGATATCTCGGGTACGAAGGTGTTCTACGGAGCTTCATCCAATATATCACTGCTACAGCATATTCATCATCATCTTCAGATCCATACACAGCCCCCGACAAGGTCAGGGAGCCGTACTTCCGAAGATCAAGATGCTACTGAAGGCATCAACCGATACAACTACCAAGGTATAGCCTTCGACAACTACACTTCATCTAAGCGACACGATTCCCACTGCGCTTTCATAAGTTATGCGGTAGCAAAAGCTTTCTTGCGGAACTTCCTATTGAGCGCAATCCATCGCGTCCCGTTCCTGAAATCGAACAAGCTGTGCCGTTCTTTAGATCAGCTTTATAGTCAAGACACTGGAGACGCGATTGACCCGTCGGATAGATCTATTGTCATCATTGCTCTCGCTATCAGTGCAATACCAACACCCGATAGCCCTGCGAAACAGCATCTTCTTGCCTTATCCCAAGTAGCGGCCGAAAAATCAATGCCTCTCATCAGTCTGAAAGCCGTTCAAATTTCTCTACTGTTAGCCGACTATGAATTCGAAAACGGAAACCCGAATATGGCCTATCTTCAGCTTGGAAGCGCCATCCGCAAAGCATTTGCTTCGGGAATACATCGCGCGAATTCACCGGAAGAGAAAAGTACCATGTGGGCGCTCTATTGCAGTGAGACCTTGGTTTGTATCAAGCTCGGCAGACAGTATGGTCTAGCGCAGACAGACGTGCCACCCATTCGTTCAGGCAACTTCGATTATTTGGGTGCTTTTGTGCACTTATGTACTATTGGGCGATCCGCTTACAAAATCTACCATCAAAAGGATACTTCTGTCGTGGGCTGTGATCACACATCTGTCGCTGATGACCTTGCATTGGCAAATGCAATTTACGCCCAACTCGTGGATTTCTCTCGCTCAATTAAAGAAGATCTGAATCTTGATATCGATGGAGGGCTATATGCACTCACGGGTGAAAAGCTCTCGTGGCATATAACAATGTCTTACGGTATGTGCTACGTAGCCGTCCTTTTTGTTAGCGCTGCTCACTCCATTTACAGTCTACCACTATATCAAACTTCTCGTATCCCGGCCGTTCCTGCTACTGTGCGTAGAGCTAAAGTGGCGCCCTAGAGAGACCGGTAATACCATAGCCATGATAGGTATAAGAGATGCAAGTACAAGCTGCACACAGTCTGCACGATCCATCATCCAGCTATCGAAATCCCTGATCTCATTAAACATCAATGTTGAGGTTCGTATAGCATCCGTCTCTGATAACCCTACGTCTAACCCACTGCAGGGCCTCCATAACCACGCGTATTACCTAGAAAGCGCTTGTTTCGTCCTTGTCCTTGATGCAATCCAGGGCGGCACTAGTTCAAACGATGCCATCACCCTCGTCAATGTCGGACTGGACATGCTGCAAAGCCTCCCGCAGCGAGAACCTATCAAAATCATCAGGCCTGCGCTCGAACAGATGCTAGCAAGGCTCAGCACCATACCAGATAGCGCAGTCCCAACTTTCACGCCAAACACGCATTTTCAAGGGGTAAGCGGTGCCGGGTTAGCAATAAATGCAGAATCAGCAGCATCTGCGCCATGGGAAGTAACAGGCGAAGCGGCGACTTCCCATTTCCCAGGTACTATTGGTCAGGTAGGAGAGCAACTAGACGAGCTTTGGTCTGTCATTGATTGGAACATGGCTTTTCCGTCGATGGATCTTGGCCCGTTCAATCCTCTGGAAACTGTATAAGTCAATATATCTCCTTTTTGATCTCTACCAAATCGATTCGAGGCCATGGTGACCAATGAGATCAGACAGAACACAAGTGCGTCGAGACTATAAATTGCCCAAGAACCCAGGAATGTCACATGTTCCACCACTCTGCAGAGGATTTGTTCTTGATGACGTGTGTGTGCAATTTGAGGGTGAGGCTCTATAGTCGATTACCAGGTAAAATTCACATTCAAGCATAGTAGGAGCGATTATATGAGACAAGCTAGAGGACTTGTTACAAAGCAGGATCAAGATTGCTACTAACCCGCTGCGCAGCTCCACGGAGAGTATAACAAACCGTTGTGTAAGCACGCTTCATTTCTTTTAGAAGGAGAAAAAGAATGGGGCAACACTCAATCGGAAAATTGCTTTTCGTCGCTGCGGATCGGCACGGCAACTATGCTAAGCTTTGTTGTTTGTCTCCTTGGCTAGCGGGCCCTAAAAAATTAAAAAAAAAAAGTCCTTGTAATTTTGTTCCAGAGCTAACTTAAAACAGTCATATCCACTTGGGCCAGCAAGGGAACGGACCTACAAGGGTATGGAAAAGATGAAAAAAATGAGGGAAAATCGTATATCATCGTTCTTAGAAATACATTGGTAATACGTAGAATTTTCGATCCCTGCGCGATACAAGTGGGACCATGACGTTTTTTCTTATCTTGTCGACCTTCAAGATTCATCATTCTTGTCGTATATAATGTGCGCTGCTTGTGTAGAAATCCAAATGATACAACGACTGCATTGGAGTGATTCTTTCCAACTCTTCAACATCTTTTCTCCAAGATGAAGTTCGCACTTGCCTCCACGTTCCTAGCCTCTGCGACACTGGCGGTCGCCAAAAATGCAACAGCGACTCCCGGGAACAGTCCTCGATACGATTACATTATCGTGGGCGGAGGAACATCAGGTCTTGTCGTCGCCAACCGCCTTTCCGAAGACTGCAATGTCACTGTCGCAGTGATTGAAGCTGGAGATGTGGAACTCTATAACCCCAATGTGACGGATACCTCGAGATACGGCAATGCCCTGGGAACGGCTATCGACTGGCAGTACAAGAGTATTCCCCAGAAATTCGCTGGAGGGGCTCCTCAGGGGTTGAGTGCCGGAAAGGCTCTGGGAGGAACGAGCGATATCAATGGTGGGTACCAGCAATGTCAATTTACTGAATCATCTCGCTGACAGTTATTAGGTATGACTTATCTCAGAGCAGAAACTGCACAGATCGACCTCTGGGAGCAGGTTGGCAACGATGGCTGGAACTGGAACAGCTTGATGGAGTACTACAAGAAGAGTGAGCATATGCAGCCCCCGACCGCGGGCCAGATGCTCCTCGGTGCCTCATATGAACCAGAAAGCCATGGCACGTCCGGCCCATTGGAAGTTGGGTGGACCAAGAGCATGATGGGTCGGGAGGTCGTGGGTCCTCTCAACGAGACATTCACGGCGTTGGGTCTACCATTCAACAAGGAGCCCAATGCTGGATCGATGCGTGGTTTCAACGTGTTCCCCAAGTCTGTTGATAGGGCTCGTAATGTGAGGGAAGATTCGGGACGTGCTTATTACTGGCCCATCTCGGAGCGCCCCAACCTCGATCTCTACTTGAACACGTTCGCCGAGCGGATGGTTTGGCACCCTGCCTCTAATGAACCAGGCGCGAAGCCAAAAGCAAGCGGAGTAGTCGTTATGACTGCCAATGGCACGTGTACCACAATTTATGCCAACCGCGAAGTTATCCTCTCGGCTGGCAGTCTCCGATCCCCTCTGATTTTGGAACAATCTGGCATTGGCAATCCAGCGTAAGTATTCTCTCCGACCATCTCTGAAATTGGCTCACAAAAATCGGCAGTATCCTGAAAAAGCACGGAATCGACGTGGTGGTCGACTCACCGTTCGTAGGCGAAAACCTACAGGACCAGACAACCACCGACATGAGCTACACGATGAGCAACAGCACCAACCTCACCGGACTAGCCGGCTACGCAGCCTACTTCAACGTCGAAGACGTCTTCGGCAGCGACCTGTCCTCGTTCAACGCCAGCATCGCACGCTCGATCCGCAACTACGCCGAAAGAACCGCAAACGCCAGCGGCACCATCTCCGTCTCCGCCACCGAGAAGTTCTTCCAGATGCAGTACGACCTCATCTTCAAGAACAAGATCCCCATCTCCGAAATCATCATTGCGCCTGCGGCGGCAACAAAGAGCCTTACAGTCGAGTATTGGGGCCTTTTGCCTTTCTCCCGTGGCAGCATTCACATCAATTCTTCAAACGCCTCTGCACCTGCCACCATCGATCCAAACTACTTCATGTTGGACTACGACATCCAGCAACAGCTCCGTACAGGAAGAATGGCCCGTGCCGTCGCAAACACTGCGCCTTTCTCGGACCTCGTCGTCGATGAAGTGACGCCTGGACTCAGCACCGTGTCGGCCAACGCATCCGACGCCGAGTGGGCCGAATGGCTCAAGTCTACTTGTACGTTATCTCACCAATCCCATATATATCTGAAAAGAAGCATATTCACTAACATGTTCCGGCAGATCGCTCCAACTTCCACTACATCGCCACCGCAGCAATGATGTCGCAGGAACTCGGCGGTGTGGTAGACTCTAACCTCACTGTCTACGGCACCGGGAACGTACGCGTTGTAGATGCTTCAGTGGTTCCGTTCCAAGTGTGTGGGCATTTGACGTCGACGCTATATGCTATTGCGGAGAAAGCGGCGGATATGATCAAGGCGAAGTATGCTTGAGTATGAGCAAGTGTGCGCATTTTTTCACGCGCGTTGTACCATATGGGGTTTCTTGTTTTCCTGCGCCATGTATATATGAACCTAATCGAGAATTTTAATATTTGAATCTTATGAACAGCGAAGGTTCTATTCTGGTCTGCACAGTCGATTCCACCTAATCCATCCATTCACACACACTCACCCCTCAACAAAGCATCACCAGAAAAATCTTCCCTAGTCTCGCCCTTGTGTAAAAAAATTAAGAATACAATAGAAAAGCAGGGAATCCTTTCACCAATTTATTCGCGAAACAGTAAACCCACGTCAGAAAGACAATATCGTCAACCACCGCAAACAATCAACCATCCTGCGTGGAATTCACCACCACGGCCACCACCACTCCTCATCCACCCCTATAAAAACCAGAACAAAAAAAGGCGATTGAAAAACGGCAAAAAGATAAATCCGCCCGACGTGAGACTCGAACTCACAGCCTTGAGATTAAAAGTCTCACGCGCTAACCAATTGTGCCAGCCGGGCTTCAGTACTCTCCAGACACTGCTATGTGTCTGAATTATATTGTAATCTCCCAGCATTACACAACATATAGTAAGAGCAAGAGGGATGAGTCCAGCGTTCGGACTGCTCCAGGGAAGCTGAGAGCTGAGAAAAGTGGGAAGAGAGGGGGAGGGGGGGCGGAAGGATGGTAGCGAGGCGAATGAAACCGCCACTCAGGGGTGTGGATGCATGTGGGGAACGGAAATACATGTCACGTAGTCCTCGTCGCGGCACGCACGCTTCGTCACTGCCCACCCACACCTGGGCCAGTTAAAAGGTGCAGTACGTACACTTTCTACAATAACACACTGTTAAACAGTATACTATCTTTCAAGGCGGTTGAAATTATATAATGTGAGTAAGACTGATTGTTGATCGCCAGTTGTCAGTCCTGCGAGGTATGCATTCCATGGATAGACCTGATCGATTCGCCCTTGGTCCCTTCAAGCTCTTCTTCACAAGTATAAAGGGTTTTCGCTTGGTTGTGCGTCGTTTTGCTTTCGCAGGAAATCTCATTTCTTTTAGGTATTCCGTGCCTCTTTCTTCTCTTTCTATACACCTACCCCCTTGTCAGCCTGTTGTGTGCTAGGAATCACTCAAACCCCCCTCGACCCAGAAATCCAATTTACTCGATTTCGATGTCTTTTGGGGGGAAAGGAAAGTGTACTATCAAATCGTGTCTGCGCGATCGATCACCATTTTTTCTTCTTGCTTCTCCTATATATCCAGTTGTAGCTTTCCATCATGAAGGCTCTTTAACGCCGATTGGTTTTCTAGCGAGGATAAGAAGCCAGCGCGCTTTTGAAAGCAGGAATCAACATTGCGCGCATGGCAGCCTTCACGATAAAAGGTGTATAAAAGAAAAGGACACAAAAGTAAAAAAAAGTTCATGTTCAGATTTAAACCGATTCTTCCATTCTCTCCGCGTTTCTCAACCCTCAATCAAAAGAGAAAAGAGCGGCAGCGCTACACCTTTATCTCTCATGTAAAGAGGGTAGTAGCGGAGAAGATTAAAAAAAAAAACGGCAGATCAAAAAATACTTATAACGCCTCTTCATCAATTCATACTTTCTTTCTCTCATGTTTCCTTCCTTCCTTCCTATTCTCCGGTTACCAAAAACAAAAAGAATGGATCCATGAGAAGCATTAACAAACACCGCAGACGTCCCCTTGTAATCACTGCGCGCATACTGCTCTTGGTCGTTCCCATTTGCCGCCCCGTGTATCCAACTCCGCAAGTCTTCACAAGAGAAAGGGGGAAATTACCCCCAATGTCCACAAAGAGAAAGAAAATGACAGTGCGCTAAAGTCTAGGCAGAGAGAGAAGGAAAAGAAAACAACCCGCAAGCTTGAGGGCTTATCAGCCTCGGATATAAAGATATTAATAAAAACGCAGGATGGCTCAACGCCCAGCCCCGAACCCTCCGGATAGAAGTCAAAACAAGAGGATGCTTGTCTCTGTTTGTACAGAAATGGATACAAGGCCGTGATATACACAGTTGGCACCATAAATGAGATTTTGTAGGAACCGATTCGCCAGCAAGATGATGCAAATCCATGCTGGTAGATAAAGCAAAACGCCAAATGGAAGGAGAAAGCGATGCTGGTTTCAAGATGCAGGCTGTATGAGTGCAAAAGTCTGAGTAGTATTCTGATGGGCGGCCAAAAGAATATTGACGATTAGATGATGGGCGAAAAAAAAACACGTTTAACTCCGTGTCTGAGTTTTGATGCGAATGCATGCCGACGTATAATGCTTTCGAAAGCTGTTGCGATGATTGTACTGGTGACCCGACTTGGGCGCGGAAGAGATGGTCCATTATTCCACTTCGTATAAGTATGGTAGACACCACATCGCTGTATACCGCTTTGTGAGAGCGATAGGGTGGTATGAGGCCTTGCGTCTTGCAAGGGCCCTAGACGTGGGTCGATCACGCCTCACAACCGTCCATGAGGGTGTTCTTTGGCCAGGAGTTACCCGTGGATGCCCTGCAACATGATTAGTATATTGAAGACTAGGGTGCGGGAAAAGTACTTACCAGTTAGTCAAGTTGGGGTTGTTGTAGGGACCAGGATGTTTTCGGATGTAATCAGTTGTCGGGTAGCCCTTGGGGTCACATGTGAGTTCCATGTCACCATCTTCATCCTGATATATACGAATGAAGTCGATCCGCATGATGGCTGGATAATGCTCCTTCAACTTGTCGACCTGGATAGTGGCGAAAGAGCTTGACATGCCCAGATTGGCAATGATGCCCATTGGCTCCTCTGGGATTGTACGTTGACCGATATTTCCGTTGGGTCCCAAGGATTCTGCTTGTAGAGTCCAGGTCGGGCTGTTGCCCACGTACCAGGTGATGAAGCCGTCGTTGCCTTTCTTGTATTCGAACCCGTACTTTTGATATTCCTTGCCGTTGTACCAGTTGTTGTTGAGGTTGGTTAAACCCGAAAAAGCTTGTTGATACGGACCGCCCTTGTACGCATTCATTTCGGTGACATGTTGATCATACAATTCGACATAATCTGGATGTGGTCAACTTCGAGTTTCTTAGTATAGCTTCGTTCATCACACTCACCATAGTTGGGTTGATACCAAATATCAAAAGGAGCAATTTGGTACGATTGGGAGATGGAGCCAACGGGATTCGTCTCGCCAGGACCAAGATAGATAACGGTACCCTCCAGAGCATCGATTTCAGGAGCACTACGCGATTTTCCTGGACTGGGGTGATCCTCGCCTTTGCACGTGCAGGCAGGGAATCGCATACCGGGAAGCCAACTCAAGCCATCTGGGGAACTCTGGTTGGGGGTGATGCCGGCATCGCATTTATCGTGGTAACTGTATGGCCAGAGCCCTTCAGTGGAGCCCAAGTATCCGGGGCGCGCAAGATTGCCCATGGTCCAGAAACCAGGCCAGAGACCACTAACTTCACCACTCGCAGGGAGCGAAATACTTGCTTCCAAGTGTCCGCCCTTGTAGCAGAGTTTGTTCCAGGACTGTATCATTCCGGATCGGTAATTGAGGCCGTGGTTGACAAAGTTTTCGAATTTGAGGTTCAATGTACCGTTCTCAGTCCACACCGCGTCAGGGTCATACCACTACGCACAGTTAGTCCGGCACCTCATAACAAGCAATGTGAATACCCACCTCCAAATCCTGCGTTGCTCCATACCAGATATCCACGGCTTGGAAATAAGGATCATCACCATCGTAAAACGAACGGCCCGGAGTGTTGAACTCGTCCGAAAACACGAGCTTCTGCTTCTTGCCGTCGTGCGAGATTCGGGTCATGGCGCTCTCGGGGGTGGCTGGATCGATGACGTCTCTGCGGATGTTTTGCAGAAGCGGTTCGTTTTCCTTGCCAGCTATACAAAGGGGGTTGTTCGTGCAAGGAGTTTTCTCGGGCGCGTTCACTTTGTCGACAAAGGTCCTGTAAAAGGGTCAGTTTCGCTATATGGCCATCCTGCACACGGGAAAACATACAATACGGGGTACAAAATGAACACCAGCAACAGTCCTATGGTCAAAACGGCCAATGATCCAACGTTCATGATGCCTCTTTTTGTGAATACATCGCAATCTCTCTTGTTGTCCTCGGCGGGATCGGGATTATGCAGATAATCGTCCTTCTCCACATCTTCGGGAAACAACAGCAGACCTGCCGAAGGGGTGATGTTGAACTTTTCCGAGACCGTCTGGGTGTTCAAATCATCGTCGCTGCCAGCCCGCGATGGCGCCCTGGAATCGTCAAACGGCGAAACGAAGGGACCGGCGATTCGTGAGTCGCGGCTGGACTGCGAATCGAAACTCGACCGTCGCGAGGACAGGATGGTTGGCGAGCGCAGAGGGGATTCATCGCGAAAAGGACGCATTCTTGTAGATCTTCTGCTGGGAGGCAAAAGATGTTCCGAAGACCCTACGATATTGGAGTTGTGGTAGATTGAATTTGAGGACGAATTGGAGCGCAGGCCGGGGCTCATCGTGGGAGAGGGACCGGGACGGATGGGCGCTGTCAATGAGCGGACCGAGTTTGTGCTGCGTGCGGTACCTGGGCGTGGGGGCTCTCCGGTGATATCTTGGGTATCCGAGTTTAATCGGATGTGAGGGTTGGGCCCTCGCGGTGACTCGGGAGGCGACATGATGTGTGAGGAAATGGGGAAACGGTGATTATGCTGAAAAAGCGTCTATTAGGGTGAGGCCGGGGCGTCTACGGCGATGCAGCGAGCGTTGTTGTGAGGTGCAGCTAGTGGAATTCCAGAGGAAGGGACAAGGCGAGACGCGGCGACGGGGCAACCAACAACAGTCGCTGGACCGAAATTCCTGCCTGTTGAGACACCCAAAAGCTGCTCGGTATTGCTGTCTCTATGGCTGCTGCGGGTGTGCTTGAGGGGGAGAAGACGTGCGAGGAGGGTAGAGGGGATCGAGGAGATGGGTCTAAGTCGGCGCAGGAGCGAAAGACAGCCAGGGGAAACGGGTCGGTACCGGGGGTGTGAGATTAGACGGTCGGAGGCGACGGGGATGCAGGCGCGACGGTGGTCAGGGAAGGAGTGGTGGAGGCGGACAGCAAAGTTAGATAGATGGACAGAGGGACAGGTGGTTAGATGGACAGTGTGGTGAGTGTGGCCGCAGAGGCAAACCAGGGGGAGAGGATGTGCGTGTGACTGCTGGGGTGCCAGGCGGTAGGTAACGAATGTATGTGAGTAGCGAGTGAGTGAGTGGTGGTGCGTGCGACAATTGGCGGCGGCGGCGGCGAGACAGTTTCAAACAGAAGAATGAATCGTTTGACAGAAGACAGAAGACAGGCGACAGAAAGACTGGCGGCGATGTCGACTGCGACTGAGGGGGATGGAAAGGCAAGCAAGCAAGCAATGGAGGAGAAAAAAAGCTGGCGTGTCTCCTAAATTGTAATCAGCCTCGAATCCCTGGCCGTGGACAAGACTCAACGCCCCCCGAGCCTCACCCAATCATGCCGGGTGGGGCGCCGAAATGGCTCTGCCCAGCTAAGCGTTTCTCTTTGCCCAGGAGTGCTCGCAGGCTAACTACTTTGCTTGCTTGCTTGCTTGAAGCTGTATGTTACAATCGGGTGGATCCAACCCTTTGAGACGCCCAGTTCATGCCGCCCACTCGTCCAATCTTAACCTCCCAAACCAACCCGTACAAGACGCAAACGATAAACACCCCTTTCCTTGCCTTGCCAGCCCTTGGAGGCCACTTTGCAGCAATCGCATCAATCTCATCGAATTCGCATCGGGCGCTACTGTAGGTACACCTGCTCCTAGTGCTGGATGCAAAATGTCCCGCGCGAGGCCATCTCCACACAAACCCTCGTGGCGAGCGAGCGTTGCCGTCCCGTGACATCACCAAGGTACTGTACCTACCTACACACATGTGCATGCATGCATGCATGCGTGCGTACCTGTTGAATATCCTCTGGATATACACATTGAAGATATGTATACGTGTAATGGGACGACGACGATGATGATGATGAGGATGATGATGCTGCTGATGATGAATGACTACGCCGTGGCGGTCGGTGTTTGCCATGGTCAACTGGAATGTATGGATCCCCAATACCCAAACATGCAGCACACCGGCCATTGAATCGAGCTAGCGCCGGTGGCCCCAACCAAGTCTTACGCGTCCAAAACACCACTCGACAGCCTGCCACCACTTCTCTACACAACGTAATCTCTCCTATTTCGGTCCTCGTCTTGCACGCTATTGTAATAAGTCTACCTCGACAAGTGCGCTATTCATTTACACTATTCTTGTACATGCAGACATGCGCCAGCCTGGTACCACAACTCGTGTACCAAAGTCACTCCTCTCTGACTGACTGACTGCTGGGTAGGCAATCGTATATGCTTGTCGTAATCAATCCGCCTCGTGCCGCCGCGGCAGTCCATCGCTCTGGCCCACTTGGGTCTCACGGCTACCTTATCAGGCACTCTTATCCGCTGCTTCTTGATCCTTCGCCTGCTTGGCTAGCAACCCCCTACTCGTTCACCACCCTTCCAGACCTTCTCGCTTGAATCAATCAATCATGCCTATTCCTTCCATCCCCCTGAGTGACTACCTGCACCGCCGTACAATCCAATATCTGACAATCGTTGTGCATCCAATATCTGCAATCGAGACATCAATTCATCCCATCCTGCTTGCCTGGCGTCGCTGCTTGCCCAGCTATCCCCCGGCTCAGCACATGGCACGTCCCTGCCCTGTTTCAAGCTACGCGCGCATCACATCTCAGAGAGAAAATAAAAGGCCCATCAAACAATCAAGCTCCCCCCCAAAAAACCAGGCGCCCAATCACCTCCGTCATATATCCCATGTTATAAACTAACACAAAACGCGTGGACAATTGTCAAGAGAAATTCCAAAACCCGCCTTTTTTCTAGCGATCCCGTAGTCCTCATATCTGAAACCGGCTTTCTTTCTAGAAATAGATCAGACAGCCCTTCTTTTTTCTTCTCTCCCTCTCTCTATTGCATGGCCTTCTTCTGTTTTTCTTCGGCAGAACTTCGATGCTAGGCAAGGGACAAGGGAGGGGAGGGGGGTAGTGGAAAGATACGAACGGCCGCCCGCCGCGAAAACCAAGATAATGGGCTTAATATCCTAGACTAGGGGGAAGGCCTATCAAATCCGGGCATTGGGCATATTCCCAACATTGGCATTTTCGCCATCCCTCGGTCTGTCTTGTCAATTGTTCCGGGAGAAAATAAGACGGTGCTTGCGCTTCGCGCGAGAGAGAGAGAGGGAGGGAGAGCCTGGACGCATTGCGCCACACGATAAAGAATTGCGCCACCCACAGCCACAGCCATGCGCTTTTCCCCGAGCCCAGTTACACGTGATCAACGGCTTCCCTTTTCGTCCACACGTCACATCACCCAAGGTATTAATCTTTTTTGTAATGGTGTAATAAGATTTCTCAATACCAACATCATCATCATCGTCTTTCGCATCCCTCACCCGCTCACCCGCTCAACCAAAAACAAATTCCATTACCCGATCCGTCAACAAGGCACCCAAGCTCGGGAGGAGTGGATTAAAGTTGCTGGTACCGGCGTCGGGTCCGGAACACCGAGGCGGAGGAGTTCAAGCAAATGTTCAACATTATATATCGGGGGAATGAGAGAAGAATTAGGGTGGATATACATGCGTTTTGACATCACTGAACTTTAAATAATCGATTGGGATGTGTACATGTAACTCAACAGTATATAGGGCGATGGCTGTGCGGTCTATGGCGGGTACTTGAGCTACGTAGGTAGGTATGTACATGGTGGCGGGAGTAGATTGGGTTGACTGACTTTGAGTGGCTCGTTTTTTCGATGTGTTGGAGAAGTGAGTGGGAGGGAGGGAGAGAAAGTTGATAGAAGAAGTGTATGTGTCTCTTGTGACTCTTATTGGGATACAGAAAGAATCATCATATCACGTATTACCTCCTCTACACTCGCACAGGAACGCACTTTAGAGAAGACGAACAAGTTTTTTTTTGAAGACATATACCGAAATATAACATATGGCCCCCCTCTACACATTAAGGCCCCATCCACATCTCCCTCCCAAGCAAGACCACCATTCCAAGTACAAGAATGGTCCTCAAGAGGGACTTCACCAACAGCCCTCACTGCCTCCTCTCAAATATCTCCAACAAGAGAAACAGACAATCACGACTCAACACTCAGAGCCTTCAACCCCAAAACCTTGCCCTCAACCACCCCAACAACATAGTACTCCGCCCTCGTCCCCTCAAGCTCCACCTTGAACACCTTGATGTCGTCGCTCCCACCAGCTGCTTTGCGCACCGCGTCCACAATGGCCTTGTACTGCTTCTTCGGGTCCCACTCGTCGACTTTGAGCTGCGTCACGGAGCCGCTGTGGCTGAGGAGGGTTCCTAGTTGTTCTATACGTTTGCACACAGATTAGCTTCACGTGTTCTCTAATCTCCACTTGAGGAGTGTGTAGGTCTCGAGGATTTCTTTTCACGGTCCCTTGGGGTAAGAGTATGAGAGGAAAAAAGAGAGCAAAGACTCACGAGCATCCAACCCATCACCCCCACCATCAAAGTTCAACGCAACAGGTTCAAAAGGCTCATCCGCATCGCTGACATAGTACTCCTGCACATCCTCCAGCACTTTAGGCACAGCAGTGTTCACGCTCTTGGTTCCATAGCTTTTCTGGGATTGTTCCTGTACGCCGCCGCTGCTGCCTCCGTCATTAGCCTTGTTGAGGAAGGCTTCGTAGTCGACGTCCGACATGCTGCTGTATGTGCGCGTGGAGAGGAGGGATCGCAGAGGCGAGAGCGATTGCGTGTAGACGAGTGCCGGGTGTGATCGTGTCGTGGGGAACGCGGGTGTGGACTGGTGCACGCGGGGGGAAGAAAGGCGCGAGGGTGTGGAATGGCGTGGGTGAGGATGTGATTGCGCTGGTGAGGAGGTGGTGCTGTTGATGTTCAAAGATTTGGGGATGGTGTTAATGTCCGTTACGAAAAGTTTGATGGCTCTTGGAGATTGTTGAAGTGGTGGCAGCCGCATCATGGCCCTCTGCATGTTGGCGAGAGATGGCCCCGATGACGCAAGGGACAAAACACAAACACTCTGCGTGGCTTGCTGGATGGCGGGCGGGATGGCGGGGAGGGGCGCATGGCGACGTCGGTGGTTGGTACCCCGGGCTCCGCCATAGCAACGAAACCTGTCTTTGGGCGGAGATCGCAGTCAACATTCAAACAAGAAATCACCTACATGAACGTACAGCACATTTTACTAGCTTTATGGGCAGTGATCGAGTGTCGCTAAAAGATGCAATGGATAATTGTGCAATCATTTCGAATACAATCTGTTTAGCACAATGAGATAACATATAGCAACTATAAAAAAGGAAATTAATAAAGCGCACATGAACCAGAACGCCCTGAGGCCTGTCATGCGTGCTTCCTACAAGCCCGAGTATTCCATGACTTGTAAATCTTCTTACAATGAATATCCCCACCGACAAACTCCTCCAGGTGTCGTATTGGTATATATATAGCCGGTCCGACGAACCCACCCACTCCAGCCAAAAGACTCCCGCCAGCCAAACAGCAAACATGTCCAGGAAAACAACACCGAAGACAGGGGCATAGGAAACCCAGATGGGATCGTAAGAAAGAGACACATGATTGCTTATTGGGCAAACCTCCGTTGTCTAGGCCGCAGCGACCAAAGGCGAGACTACGACTTTTGTTCAACAGGCGTAGAAGCCGGAGGAACGCCGTTCGTAGCAGTAGTACGCGGGCTACCGCGCTCTGACTTGGGCACACCAGGCTTCGTGTCGTCCCCCTCATCATCGTAATTCTCGTCCACCTCCATCTGCCGAGCAGCAGGTTCGTGGTGCTCAGCACGCTCCTGCTTAGGGGTCTCCGACATGCGGAGAGGAGGCAATGGTTGAGACTGATTCATTGGTGGCAAAGAAGGTGGGTGGTGAGCAGCCTCCGAGGGATGGTAGCCATCGTTGAAACGGCGTGCATCAGGTGCATCTTGCGGGCTCTGGCGCGGTACCTGAGGCGACGACATACGGTGAGGGGGTGGCGAAGGGCGTCGGCTATGGGGCTCTTCCAGCTTTTGACGCTTCTCCTCATTGGCAGGGGGCTTGGGGCCCATGTGCTCACCATCTTCCCACTCGCGGTGTCGTTTGGGGGGAGCTGTCGGAGGGCGATCTTCACGATCCCGAGCTGCAGCTTCTGCAGCAGCGAGAGCGGAGGCTGGTGGAGGTGCACCACTCGCAATGCCACCTCCAGAAGCGGGATCAGGATGATGCTGATAAGGACCTTGGTATCCATTTCGTGGGGAACTAGCCCTGTTCTCGACAAGCGGCCTCACCTCAGGTGGACTCTCCCTCATGCGACCAAAGGGTGGCATGTGTGACTGTGCTCCTTGACTGGAAGGCGTGCCCAGCCCGGTTGGTGGAGGAGGGGGAGGGGGAGGTACGCTGCCTGCACCTGGACCGTAGTTGGGATTGGAGATGCGGTTAGGTGGTTGCTGCTGCTGCTGATGGTGTTGTTGATGCTGTTGCTGTGGAGGCGGGGGAGGTGGTGGCTGCTGCTGTTGCGGAGGCGGCGGCTGTTGATGATGAGGTGGCAGCTGAGGTTGCGCGTGCGAAGACTGCGGTGTCAACTGAGGAGGTGGTGCATGGTAAGGGCTTGGTGCAACATGGTGTGTCTTTGGAGAAGGGGAATGGCCGCGTCGCATGGGAGGACCCGGAGGAGCGCCAGTTGGTCCTGAAGGGCCAGGGCCATTTGTAGGAGGGCGTGGAGGCTCCTGGTATTGCCTTGGGGGCTCCTGTCGTGGACTAGGGAGACGCTGTTGAGGAGCATGCTGAGTTGGTGGGCGGATGCCTTCACGCTGGTCATAGGGATTCAATTGCTGGGGTGGAAGGCCAGGGTCGCGAATCTGTGCCAGCGGGCGATTCCATTCCCCAGCGCCGAGAGCGGGAGGAGGAGGTCCCTGAGGAGGTCCTTGAGGCTGTGGGGCGCCCCATTGGGGAGCAGCAGGTCCGTGAATTGCTGCAGGCTGATAGGCCTGAGGGTGAACGTCTTGCGGGACGGGGGCACTGCCTTGGTTGGGCACGCCAGCCGTAGCCTGGCCATTCTGCAACAATTGCAAGCGGGCTTTGATGTGAACGTTCGCAGGGTCAAGATCCGCTGCGCGCTGATAGGCATCGAGCGCGTCGGCGGTTTGATTGTTACAGGACTCGTACTGAGGCATGGTTAACAACAGGAACAGGAGGAGCGGGTTTCAATCCATGTACTTACCAGGGTACCCAAGTCATACCAAACCTCGGAAATATTAGGGTTAAGACGGATGGCACGGGAGTACGCATCAAGCGCGTCTCGGTATTGGTTGATCTGGTAATACAGCACACCAATGGAACACCAAAACGTTGGGTTGCGGCCGTCGCGGTACACAGCTTGCTGATAGGCTTCGTAGGCTTTGGGGTATTTCTGCTGTGACATGTAGCATCGCCCAAGCAAATACCAGCTTTGCGCGTCGGTTTGGTCTGAACATGAGAGTTAGTAACCTGCAATGATGCTCATTAAGGGGACACAAGACGTACCAGAAGCGACCGACTTCTCCAAGTACTCAATAGCCTGTTCCTGGCTGGCGTAGTTGGTACTCTGCTGATGGTGCAACCAGCCCAACTGCTGCAGGACTTTGGCATGATGGGGGTCACGCTCAAGCACTCGTCGATACGCATTTTTAGCAGCGTCAAACTAGAGGCGGCATTAGCTTGGGGAGCCCGAATTATTACATGTTGTGTGCTCACCTCTTTCTGCTGCTCGTAGACGTGGCCAATCTGAAACCAGATATCCTCCTCTGTGAGAGGACGAGGCGGGTTGGTGACGATGTATTTGAAACACTGACGGAAATTAGCAAATGTAGCTATATCGGTTATAGAGAGATCTACTCACATCGAGACTCTGGTTGAACTTTTGTTGTTGTTTATATATGATGCCGAGACGGAAATAGATTTCATTGGCCTTCTCGAAGTTGGGCTCCATGCGCATGACTTGCGAAAAGGCCTCTTCGGCATGCTCCAAGGAGCCATAGCGGTCGTACAAAATACCGATTCCGTACCAGAGCTTTGGTTCCTAAGAAGATATAAGTATGGACTTTGAAAGCGACGATGGCAAGGTACTCACTTTGGGATCAGACAGATGGTACAGGGCTTGCTGGTAAGCAGAGTAGGCATTCTGCAAGTCATCCATCATGAGATAGCAGTGACCTGTCAGAGAAAGTCAGCGCATGAGCATGAGATGACGGCGCAGACATGGAAGCGTACCCAGACTTCCCCACACATCACCATTGGCAGGGTCTACCTTGAGAATGGTACGCAGATATTCAACAGCCTGTGGGAAATGGTCTTTTGTGCGCAGGATGGCTGCGATGCCTTGCATGGCTTGCACAGACCATTGATTGTACTTGAGTGCTTGTTCGTAGCATTGGAGCGCGCCGTCGAGATCCTGCATCTGCTCGGATAGCGAACCTGGAGAAGGTCAGTGGTTTTGCGGCGGCGTGGAGGGATGGATGAAGCAGCAGCGTACCGACTTGATTCCACACAGTCTCTGTGAGCTGGGAGAGATACTGCGAGGGGGTTTTGGGCTGGCTCATGGGTGGTGGATGACCATTTGGTTGCGCATGCCCCAATTGCGGAGCACCATGGTGCGGCAATGCTGCCGTGGGCGAGGCGACCTGGTGGTGGTGGCTAGCCATGAGCGTAGGCAGTTGAGCGTGAATGCTAGCCGTGATGGTGTGTCTGTGGACAGTAGAGACAGCGGGCTGAGCGGGTGCGGTCAGACTACCGACGCGATGGGCGCGAACAGACCGACGTCAACCAGAGCTGTGGGATGGCGACGATGATTCTACATGAAGCAGAGTTAACTTGATATCGGATACGGGTAGGAAGAGAGGTGGTGGCGGTGGCGGCGGTCAAAGGGAGGAGAGATGGTTGGTGACGCGCGAAGGCGAAGTGTGACTTACAGGTAGGCAACGCGCTCGGTAGTGCGATACCAAGCAATATCAGATAAAAAGCAGCAGTAAGCCGGTGAGCAGATGGAGATGGCCAAGTAGAGGGGGAAGATGGGAGATGGAAGATGGGGCAGTGGGTGAAGGCAGCGTGAAGAAGATGGATGGGGGCGGGATGCGCAAAAAAGAGGAGTGAGAGGAGGAAGAAGAAGGCAGAGGCACTGAGGGAAAGCCGCATCTCCTCATCAGTTCAATCACTTCGTAACCCTAACCCAGAGTTTAGAACCTAGCTCTATCTAGTCTTTGCGTGCCCTTTATATCTGCCTCTTTAACGTGCTAGTTATAACTGTCTGCTAGTCTTAACAGTGTCTTTGTAGCGGTTGCGTCTCTTGTCAAGAACCTACTGCTTGGTGGATGGTCTTTGGTGTAGATTCTTCACGTACGCTTCTCATATTTCTCATCTGCAATTGAGCGAAGCGCACACGAAGCCAGCCAGGGCTAAGCTGTAGCCTGTCGTTGGAAAGGGGGGTGCGGGTCTTACATGGTAATCCATGATGGTCTCCGGGAAGCGAGACTTGGCGTCGCTTTTGGTACGAAGCGGGTCGGCGGGGCTTGTTCCCTACTTTAGTCGTTTATTGTTGATGATCATGCAACCACCCATCGCATTTCAGCCATTGCTTGCTTTCTTGCTTCTGCCGAACCACGCGCCTTGCTCGTATTCGACAGGGCCTGGCCTTGACCAGTGTGCAATGTTCTCACTGCAGTCGCACTGGTTGGCCGTGATACAGGTACCAGTGTCGTTCGAATGTGTATACTCACGCCTTGGTTGTCATTGTGGACCCGGTTGGCTGTGCCTTTGCCTTGTGCTACGCGCAGATTCCTCCTTATTGTTGTCATATGCAAGGCAGGCCGGCACGAGCGTCTTTCATCCCACTGGTGGACTTGGGTACTGCTATGTAAGTGTATACCTATCTGTCTCTGCCATCTATTAATCTTTCCGCTATACAAGTACACCACCCGGTGGTCGGTTTTCTAGTTCACCAGCACCTGCGTATTTTTTTTTTGCTTTTTTTTTTCATTCCAGTACAACCAACCCCAAATTATCAATGTGACGATGGGCGAGATGCAGAAAAACGTTTGCGAGTTCGAGACCGGACCGGAGGCCTGATTGCGACGTTGTCGGCATACGCTGTCGTCGTCTGTCTGGGGACAACCTGCTTGGAACGCGCCTTTTGTTTCTCCCCATGATTTCTTCTTTCCTTCTCCCACAAGGGTCTTCCATCCGTGGAGTTTATGCCGCCTCTTTTTCTTGCTCCCGCTCCACGCAGCTAAAAGGTTCGCTCACGCGCTCCGAAAGGGGGCCTGGCTGGCATGCATCCGCTCATCCAACCCACCTGCTGCCGTGCATGAGTGGACCATGCTGCTGCGGGGGCTTTCATTTGGCTAAGACGCTGGAATAACGTCGTCAAGGAACAAGCAAGCCCGCACGGCCTTCTCGGCTTTCCGGCCTGCCTGGCTGCCCTCTTTCTCCTGGAATAATTCGGAGGCTGGGATCACCCGCCCACCACCTCTGATGACATGACATGGGGGGTGGGCATGGGCTGCTTTGGTACGCGATTTCGTGTTTCAAGAGGGTGATGGAGCGTTCGTGGCGACTTGGCTACCGCCGAGTTCTGGCCCCTGGATCTTTTACTCGATCATATCACCTCCACCTCCTCCACCACCTCCACCACCTCCACCACCGCCGCCGCCGCCATCACCAGCGCTACGAGGCGGATGGTGAGTCTGCACCGTCTGCCCAGATCGGAGGAGTGCAGACGTGTCGCTCAATGGCTGGGCGAATGCATTTGCGAAAAACACGGACTTGGGAGGCCCACAATGATGAATTATCTGAACGATCTGCGCCTCCACACTTGCCGGCTTGATTGCACACTAGCCACGCAAAACGCAAAACGCGAAAAAATCATAGTGGCAAGCTTCCGGTCTGACTGCTTAGCTGTCTGTGCTGTGCTGTGCTGTGACCTCTCCGCACCCGCATCGGCAGGCTGTGCTCCTAATCCCCTTTGGTCGTACATCGGCCTTTTTATCGCCGGAAATCTGCAACAGGGTTCTTATATAAGCGCTCAAACTCGAGCTCCCAACATCATCATCATGTGGGCATCCTGCTACAGAGGTGGCGGCCATGTCAAAACGTGACCGAGTCGGATACTATCACTATACACGCAGCCGTCCCGCGTCCAACAGTGATCAACAGTCCTTGTACTACTACCGCCGCCCGTCCCAGGCTCCTTTGGACCCCCGCCGAACAAAAACAAGCTCTTCTGTCCAACCGTTGTTGTTATTGTTGTTGCTGTTGTCATCGTCATCATCTATCTGCAATCCCACAACCTCCATCTCCACTGTTTTCGAAACTCTGCACGGTGTCCACCAACTTGTTCCGTGCATTCTTTTTTTGTTCCGTGGTTTTCTCGACTTATAGCGGTGACCAGAGTGGTGCGGTAAAGGTGCGACGACGACTCCTACGATTCAGATTCACACCATGTGCTGTCAACGCTGTCACCGGATATCCGGCCTTCGCATGTGCAGCGCAGACGGCGAAGGGGAAAAGGCAAAGCGCGAGTCGAGCTGAAAAATGTCTAACGATGCTTCTCGGTGCGCCCAATGATAACCACTTGCCTGGTTGAGGATGACCTCGTACCGATGAGACAAGGCTGACTATTCGCAAATCCTTCGTCGTATAAGCCGCGACAAGACCCGCAGGCGAGCAAATGGGGTACACGTTGGCCGAGATAGACGGCACGCACAAGCACAAACGCCTTTTCTCTTGTCAGCGTACTACTACTGCCGCTCCCAATCCTATCGGCCCACCTGCATGCATGCATGCCTGCACAGGATGACATTGTCATGTAGTGATCCTTCTTTCGAACAGCATTGCATTCAATCATCGTGCAGCATTACATGTGCATGCATGCAGGCCTGCCTGTCTGCCTGCCTGTATGTGCGGTACCGTCTCACAATCCAGCACCGCGCTTGCGCTTGGTACATTTAGCCAACAAGACGCAATTTCCAATTTCCCGGATGCTTATTCCTTGGCTCATGTGCCCAATGCCAACCTTTCCGTCCGCACCAACCCCCTCGCCAGGCCGGGGTCACTCCCCGTCTGCACACGTCTCCTAACCATTTTGTGTCTGGCCAAGCCGCAGCTGTCACCCCTGGACCGCCCATCTCTTCATCTACGGCAATCAACGTTCGTGCCTTATCCGGATTGTGGCTTGCTCATGCGACGACGCATCGGGGAGGGCGCCGGCGCTGATCCGATTTTGTGGACTCGCTTGCTTGCTTGCTGGCTGATGAGCAAACACCGCCCGTTAACTGCTACCGATCAGCACGGCCTTGGTTCGTTGACTCCAAGCACCTATGTGTGTAACTGCCTTCCCTCACCGACTCTGTAACAATACGTACAGGATTACTGTGCAAGTTTCCGTGTGGTGCCAAATTGGACCGACATGTCCCAGCCCAATACGGTCGGGACCCGGCCTTGAAACCAACCCATCATGGAGATTTCTTGCCAACGTCGCAAAGTCTGGGGGAGGAGTTCAAACATCTTGGCAGACGAACCACCTCTAATGCAAAGACTGGATCCGACTACAACCGCCAGAGGGGCGCTGCACGTCGTATGCATGTCGAAAAGCATCGAGCTCATCGTTGACTCCTCTCCCTCTTTTCGAAGATGAAATGCTGCATTGGCGGGATGAGCCGCGGTTCTCCGATTGTGGGGTGGAACAAGAATGCATCATCCACTACACCGACCAAGCATTTGACGGCGACCGTGCATCCGGACTCGAGGGAAAGTCAGCCACCCTGCAACTAACAGCGTACGAGTCTTTTCTCTTCTTTTTTTTTCTTTTTCTTCTTCCGTGTCGTCATTGCTTCGTCTTCAACCGTGTATAGGATCCATGGAAACCGAAAATGTTTGCCTTGTTTCCCCCCCACTCGGGCGCATGTGTGGCTTGACCGGCAACCAGAGATTCAGTAAGACGGTCTGGCCCAATTTTAGTACATGTACCAAATGGTTGGTGCCGAGTTTCGTCAATCACCCTTTAGAGGGTGAGCAAGTCGAAGCTGAAAACCCTCCATTCGCTCAACCTGCAACCGATGAAATCAAATTATGGGCGTATGGTTTGTCACTGCCGTCTTACAGACCTCACTAAGCTTATTAGCCGTGGCTTGCACCGTGGGCCCACACACAACGATGCCACCCATATCCACGCCCTCCCATCGGTGTCGTGCCTGGCCAATCCTCGGCCAATCAACACTTTTTCTCCGGTAGCCTTTGATGTGCTTTGCAGTGTCAATCGCTTCTGTGCCCAAGTATTAATACCTGTGTCTGTATTTCTGTATGTTTGTAGTAGCAAAGTATAGGCGCACATGATTACACACCCAACATGTTTATCTCTAGTAGCATCTTTTATCTTCTATTAACTCTGTCCTACCTACCTTACTATGGCACCCACCCTTACACCAACACCGCGCGACGAAGCCTTCAAAATCAACGTTGAGTAATGGACATTAGCGTGCGTGAAAAGAATTTACACCAAAGACTATATCCACCAAACAGCAGGTTCTTAACAACAACAAGAGACGCAACTACTGCAAAGACACATTTAAGACTGGCAGACAGTTACAACTAGCACGTTAAAGAGGCAGATATAAAAGGCACGCAAAGACTAGGTAGAGCTAGGTTCTAATTATTAAACATTCGCAGAACGGGCTATATAAATAAATTTCTGGGTTTGACTGACTAAGCCGTCCTACAGACGGCGCTGTAGAACCTGGTGCTCTTTCTTCTTCTTTAAACACAACAACGCTTCTACAAGATTTTAATGAAGCGCATTACCGTTGCCCTCAATAGCACTCGCTAGCTTGGTAGAATCGTACGTCCCAATCAGCATACGCTCTCCTTTGTAACCCATCACACTTTCCCACTCCGACGTATCAAGCCCTTCTGGTTGCTCCTGAAACCGCACAACAATGTGGAGACAGAATGACTTCTGCGTTAGCCAGGTCCCCAGATTTTCCACACAACAGCCCATCGCGTTAATGCTAAAAAGAACAAGATGTTGCGGATAGGAGCCGGGCTGTAAGAGAGACATAATTGAGGTAGTGAATCTCTTGACTACGGGTGTCGAGAAGGCCTTGATTGTTTTCTCGTTTTTGAGCTCCATAGCTCCTTGTCGGTGGAGATGCTGTATGCTAGTCTGCAATGGATGTGCTGAACCTATGACTCTGCTCCTGCACCGAGCCTCCACTTTGGGGTTGATTTTGAGTGCTTCGACGATGTCAGGACCATGGCAACTTACTAGATGACCGCTGTAATGGGATACATGGTCATGAAGTTTAAAGTTGTGGGCACAGTTGATAACTTTTAGGTTAACACCATGCTTGGAGTGATGGTGGGATAGAAGCGACTTGAAGACGTTCAGTAACAGTTGTGATGCCCATCGTGAATGCCCAGTCGAGAACTCTTGGTTGCATGTGTCGCATTTGGTGTAATATTTGACCTCCATCCCGGTATTCTTTTCGTTGTTTGTGGTAAGGCAGTCAGGCGCTACAGACGGCGTCAACGACGACTTCACGCTAGACCCTATGACCATAACTGCCTCACTGAAGTCGATCCGCTCGCCATTCATTGTTGACATGGCATGTGCCCTAAGGGAAAGTCCCTGGAAATAGTCCTCCAGGCTGAGTGTAAGGTCTGCGTGGTTCCATGCCCATGAACTGCGAAAGACGAATACCCAGGTCGGCCGCTTAGGTATGCCTGGCTGACCACCGAGACACCGGATCCAAACATGTGCTCCTGCTTCCTCTGTATCGACCTTCTTCTTCGGAGGCGGAAGAGGCGGGTGATCATCGTCGTGTTCGGAGTGGCTAGGGGCCTTTCTCTTTGCTGCTGAAGACTCCGGAACAACGGTGAAAGAACTTTGTGCAGTTGAATGACTTGATGTTAATAGGGGCTGTGCTCGTGTAGCTGTGACATTCTGCTTTAGAAAAGGGTCGTCCGGGTCTAGGACGTTGCGCAGAAGTGCAAGGATGTCATTTGGTACATATAGTGTGGAACCATGTTCTTGTTCATTGGGGCGATCAGCAGGCGGTGCTTCTCGGCGAGGTTGATCTTGTTCGTTGGGGCGATCAGCAGGTGGTGCTTCTCGGCGGAGTTGTTCTTGTTCGTTGGGGCGATCAGCAGGTGGTGCTTCTCGGCGGAGTTGTTCTTGTTCGTTGGGGTGACCAACAGGCGGTGCTTATCGGCGAGCTTGTTCTTGTTCATCCGGGCGATCAGCGGGCGATGCTTCTCGGCGAGCTTGTGTCTGTTCACTGGAGCGACGAGCGGGCGATGCTTCTTCTCGATTAGTGGGCAGGTGATGAAGGCCTGGGCCTAGGCGAGTTAGCAATAGTCTGACTGACAGTGGGTGTCTGACTTACGACGATCACGATGGTTGTCGTCCATACGGCGGTGTGAGCGAATGGTAACACTTGATTCACGACGGCTGGGCGGCTGGTAGACATCGTTCTCTTGGTGATTTTCGTCTATGCGGCGACGTAAACGAGCGCGAACGCTCTCTTCACGACGGCTAGACGGCTGGTAGACATCGTTCTCTTGGTGATTTTCGTCTATGCGGCGACGTGAACGAGCGCGAACGCTCTCTTCACGACGGCTAGACGGCTGGTAGACATCGTTCTCTTGGTGATTTTCGTCTATGCGGCGACGTGAACGAGCGCGAACGCTCTCTTCACGACGGCTAGACGGCTGGTAGACATCGTGCTCTCGGTGTGTGTCTTGCCTACGACGGCGTGAGCGAACGCGAACGCTCTCTTCACGGCGGCTAGACGGCTGGTAGACATCGTGCTCTCGGTGTGTGTCTTGTTCCGCAGAGACAGAGGCAGAGTCGTGATTGTCACCAGACACGGGATTGAAACGATAATGCGACTGGAGCCAGTCCCTCTCTCTGTCATCCTTTGGCGTTCGACTTCCATCTTTCAGTGAAGTGCGGACTTTCGGGCTTGGCCTCCACAAGCGTTCGGACCCCATGGTGAGTGCTGTGGATGCCGTCGTGATGTCGTCGTGATGTTGTCGTGATGTCGTTGTGGATGCCGTCGTGATGTTGTCGTAGATGCCGTCGTGAATCCTGATGTCGTTGTGGATGCCGTCGTGAATCCTAATGTCGTTGTGGATGCCGTGGATGTCTTGTGAGTGTTATAGATGTCGTGGATGTCTTGTGAGTGCTGTCGTTGTGGATGTCGTGATCAAGTTGAAGACTGGCGCGCTTTGTAGGCTTGCAACTTCCATATCCGTATGCATGTACTAAACGTAGAAGGTGCAACCAATGCAACCCCTCTAGCATAAAGTAAAAGAGCAGAGACATGCATCCTATAGCGTGAAATACAAGATAAGAGATATGCATCCTAAAATGAGGGTTAATGAGATTACCCAAGTATTCTCCAGGCATTATTGTTGTTTAGTTAATGATGCATGTCTGAAGTCGCGTTGCGTAGGTTCGCAGCATCAAATGCTCCATGCAACCAACGACACGGGATTGGGAGTTGGGAATGATTGAGCTGATGAGGAGATGCGGCTTTCCCTCTGCTCTTGTTTTTCTGGGATGGGAATATCACCACCTCCTAACTGGCGTGCTGGACTGCTATTGCGAGCGAATGGGAGAACGACTATGAAAACGAACGGTATTGAATGGATATGACGCAAGAACTGCAAGCATCAGACCAAATATTTGGAGCTTTATAGCAAGGATTGCAGTTCTTCTCCCGGCTACAATATATGGCACAATCGCAGATCAAAGGTCGAGATTCTGAGAGCATCAACATCGACTCCTGCATGGACGCAATCGGCACCAGAGATAACTCCACAGAGTGTACGGCACCGAGTAGTTCGTGTTGATAGCATCTGCTTGTCTTCATGTGTCTTGCCGTGAGACAAGAGCCATATCTCCCTACAAGCAAAGCATAGTCTGGAAGCCGAAACATCTTATAACTACGCAGCAAACAGCATGTTCAACACAAGAACAGAAGGACACATGTGATTGTGATTGAACATAAAATTCATAATGAGATGAAAATTATATGATAATATAAATGCAGTGCAATCACCGCCTGGCATCAGCCATTCCAAGAATGTGATCAAATCTTTGTTTTGAGCGTGAATGCCGACTTGGATTTTTGCCCCACATGGAAGGAAGACAAATAAAGGCAAAACGGCGGTGTAGAGAAGGGGAGGGGTATAGCGCGAGCCAACATGTAGGAACCAACCTAATAGTGAAGAGAGCAGAAAATTCGAATAAAAAAATGGAAAGGAACATTCGTGTTCATCTTTAGGTAGAATCCACCCTCCATCAAACGTGAAGAGAAAAAGACAATCGTATGAGTATGAGATTGAACTCACGCCCCGAAAATAGTAGAGGAAAGGAGTCGAAACATGGAGCACGTTCAAATTCGTTACGGGTTTCGTCGTCGTGAGCGTTTGAAACAAATGAATGCACTATGCGTTGATGATGAGATTGCGCTGGTGAACGTCGTCAGGGTAATTGCCAAAGACAAATCTGTACAGGTCCGACAGCCAGGCAAACTGCGAACTCCGTGTCATCCACTGGACGGCTCTGCCTATTTCGTTGGCCGTGAGCCGGCGAAGCGGTTGGGTATGGGCGTTTTTGAGCGTGGGGTCGGTCAATACGAGCTTCTTGTAGTTTTCGAAAAGCTTTGCCTGCCATGGGATAGAACCGAAACTGTTGGAGGGAAGAGCGCGGACGAAGTCCGGTAGCGATGATGTCCGGGTGTAGCCAGTGTTCATGGCTGCTTTAACGATAAGACACTTCAAACGGACAAGATTTGGATCATCTCGCCCGGCGGTTGCCGTTGAAGAACTGTGTATGGACTGTGATGTATCGGAGTACGTGGAAAGGTTGGACGATGAGGAAGACCAACGCTCGTGCGTTCGCGTTTCCCCAGCTTCAGGACCAAGAACGAGAATGTTGGGAACGTTGGGTTCGTCAGCTGGCGAGAGTTCTTCGCGATCATCGAAGATGGTGGTCGGTGTTTCTGGGTGTGTGAATATCTGCTTGCGCATGGATACTGCTGAATGATAGGATTCGTTGAGGCTTGAGGAGCGTCCCGATATATCGGATAAAGTGGTCTGTGAATGTGGTACAGAAGCGGGGAGGCCGCTTGTGAAAGTGTACTTGGATGGACGTGGGGTCCCACGGTCGGGGCGGATTTGGGTCCAACCGTCGCGGAAGAGGTCACATAATTCCCAGCACGCCTGAATTGCGGAGCCGAGGAGCTCTTCATCTGTTAACCTGCCATCGCTCTTCGTCTGACGGATGTTAAAGAGCATCTCGGCAAGCGACCAGCAGGCGTGAAGTAAAGCGTCCGTTTCCTCCGGCAAGGACGTCTTTTGCTTCATCAGTCGGTGACATAGTGTCAGGTAGAAATCCAGTGTGCGTTCTCGAAATGCTTCAGGCAAGTTCCGATCGTGAGCATTGTACAGGTGATTGTTGAGTTCGAAGCTGACTCTCAGGACCGAATCGGCTGTCTCGTCTTGTCGTTGTCGCACATCGAACAAGGCCTGGCAAAAGTTTCGACACAATTCCAATGTTGGACCAATCTGTGTGGCTGGATCCTGGTCTCGACTTTCGTACAATCTCTGGCAAAGTTTCCAGCATGTTCTCCAAGCATGTTCCTGGACTTCCCCACGTCCCCCAGAGTAGTGAAACATCCTTTGCCTATGGTGTTGACTCAATTTGGCGAGAGAGTTACACAAAGTCCAGCATTCGTGCAAAGCAGTTCGCAAGGCTGTGATTTCTTTTTCGGTCTCGTTGATGCCATGCAGGACTTCTCCCATGGTCCGAGTGTTGTCTTGAAAGCCAGTGGATGTAAAAGGGTGGTCGTCTCTACTCATCTCAGACTCGCTGTCGTCATTATCGATTACTATGGAGCTGGATGCCGATTCCGAAAAGACACTATCATCTGTCTCAACAATATCTGTAGATGGATCAGAACGGGATCGGGCATGGGAGTGGTGCAATTGAGACTGACCTGCTAGGCTGCTGGCTGTGCTGGCTCGCGCACTTCTGCGCTTGCCGTCGTCCTCGAAATCTTGACGCGTCTGTGCGCGTGGGGTTTGGCGATCACTGGTGGCAGTAGGTACCGCAGTGTCAATCGGATGCGTGTAATTGGAATTTTGCTGTTGACGTTCAGCCATCATAACACGAGTCAGAGCATCATGAGCACGACGGACCTGGTCGTCAGGAATCATGTTTGCTTCTGGTGTTTGGGGAGACACCATAGCAGTCTGATCCGACTTGGTTTCAACAGATGAAGATGCGACTGATGCGCTCGATCGGTTCTGGGTGAAAGTCAGCGGCTATGTGGTGGAACCGTGTTTTGGATCGCGCGACGTACGAATGTTTTGAAATGTGCGGGTGCATGAATGACAGACTGGGGGTCCTCATCAGAATCGGCGCGTGGTCGCACGGGGAGCGCGGTATCAAGCTTCGAAGGCTATAAATATGGTATTAATCGCGAGCTTGCGAAGGACAGTGAAGGGATCCATGCGTACCTTGGTATTGCTGTCCTGGCTCGCGGGACTGACAATGTCGTCCAGCGGTGATTTGACGCTGGATTCATCTTCGCTGCTCAAATGATTGATTTGGGCATCATCCTCAATCTATGTATCCGTCAGCGCTGGGGTGAATTGAGTTGTGAGCTCTCGCGCTATAAATACCTCGGTCGAATTGGTGCCATTGCTGTCGACTGGCGAGGGGTCGACAGAGGAGGGGTAGGGACTCGGGGGCGGGACCAAATGGTCCGAATGGTTTGAAGACCTGCGAGTTTCCATTAGCGCTTGCTTGTATGCACAAAGAAAGCACTGATTGATGGATTGATTGAATGCTGGATGAAGTGGAGAGAATGGGAGGGAGGAACGGCACCTATTTGAGAAGACTTGAGCAAAGGTGGCGGGCGAACTGGGCGAGTCGGTATAAGGGCTGAAGGATGACTTCAGGCCGTTCGGAGAAGGCATGAGTTGGGTGGCGGTTGCCATGCCTCGTCGCGATAGCTATCGAGGAAAGTGTGGAGGTGTGGTGTATGCCGCCGGCAAGGCACCACAATGCAAGATGTGTTGCTGCGCCAGGCCTGAGGCAGATCTCGGAGTCGCACCCACGAGCCCACGCGTCTCTTGGAAAGATCTTGGGCGATCGTCTACCCCTAGCAGCAGCAGGTGAGGAAGAGTAAAAGTTTCAAGTTGCAAGGCTGAGCGGGCAGCTGGTTCAGACGAATCAGGGTGGGAAGCGCGCGGCGCAGGAGTGGGCGGGTACAGCAAGTAGCTAAAAGTACAGCGCGGCGAGGGATGGATGGATGATGAATGGGGACAATAGATGGCAGAGCCGGCTGCGCAGGGTCGATAGAGATAGCAACGAGAGGAGGCGTGGTAAGTGAATGGTAGATAGATGGATGGATGGATGGATGGGTATGTAGATGGCCTGCTGGCCTGGTGAGGACTGGGTATTCCTTCTATCCCCCCCCCCCTCTACCTATTTGTTTCTCCCTCCGCTTCTCCACCTGCTCGCGACCCCTGCTCACCGGATTGCTTGGCCTCGAGTCGATCCAATCGCGCCTATGCAACGCGTCAAGCCTCCGTGAACCCAATCGCTGACTATCCTGTTTCCCATCGCCCATAACTATCGACCGCCCGTCCATACGCAAGCCCGTAAGCGCCCGTGGGAAGAGACGGCTTCCATCCACACTTCCGCTCGGGTCTGGTCTGAGCCATGCAGCCGGTTACAACAGCTCCTTGGGGTCCGCCAGCACAGAAAGAGAAGCCGAGACAAGCCACCAGCACGATCCTGTGAGCATTGCAGCATCGCCAATTCTCCGACTCCCCATTCCCTGATATTCTTCATTTCCTTCTTTGTTTCTTCCTTTCTCATCACCACCCACAGTGCGCCGTCTTCCCCATTTAAATTGATCAAATAGGCGTACGAGCAGCCACAACTCCAACAGAACTCTGCCGGGTCATCCACGTCGCGGCATCCCCACATACTCACGCCAGGCTGACCGTGTGTGCTGCTTAGACTTACTGTTGATTTCTGTTACTCACACCAGTGGCGCGACACCCCATCAGCTCTCATCATGGCGTACTATTATCTCACCTCCCCTGGTCCTGTACACGAGCTAAATCCCACAGCCTTGTGTCCTTTCTTTACGCCATTCGTCAATATCTGCTCTGCTCTTATTCTTGGACTCACATGGCCCCCAAGGAAACCGCATCCACACTGACCGCCACGAACTTGCCAAAACTCTGGTCTTGCAAACATATGCCCACCTCATCCGTTTCGTCAAGAATCCTTTGACGTGGCAACGAGTTGTCGCAGATGTGAGTACGCCATGTGGAGGCCTTCTATGCATGCAAGAGGCATGGTCCATCAGCATTGTCGCAAGCGCCCGTCGTACTTTTTTTTTCTTGGTCGACAGCAATTCATCTAGGTAACTTGGACCATCAACACTTCCTACGCCACTATGTACCCTCGTCTGTTGTTGCTCAAGTCTTGACTCACTGCAATGATACAACAATTAAACCCAGTAGAAACCTCATCTCCTCCACTCAAGCCCATTTGATAATGCCCTTGGTCAAATTAGGAAGGCGGCGTGACTGCGCCGTACTGGTGCATCTGGCTGGGTATCGCCGCTCGCCCGCTCCACGCAGCAGCACGGCACCCAATCCAATCGAATATGACCAAAACTTACGAGGCGTGCATGTGCACAAAATCTCGTTTTCCACGCTGCAGCTCGTTTTGCAAGCGATCGGTCAGGGGAACAGCCGCAGTGTCGGGTTGTTTTTGCGTAAGCCACGCAGCGACACCAAAAGTAGCTTTCCACAACTTAGATCCTCCTCGTACGCAGCCATAGCAGCAAACAGCATATGCAAAGCAGCGGGCGCTTATTCCCGCCATATCTATGGCACTTTTCTCGGTGCATTGGCCGGCTTGCGGACTCTACAGTCTGCTCCTACATTCTACAGCAAAGGCTGTATTGAACGCCTTAAAAACAACAAACATGGCTTGCAGCTCGTCACACGTCAATCGTTGCATCTTTGAGCAAACTTCCCAAAATTAACGAGATATGCAGCATGTTGGTGTAGTCAAAGCTCCGAGACAAACACAACAATCCAACAAGTTGCAAATATCCACAATGCGTGGTGAGGTTATCTCGCGCGTAACACATCCTTCTTTTCCTCGAAAACGGTAAACTGATTACAGGATTCTGAAGCGGCGTCGACTTACTTTTGGACCAACCTCACCGTTCGTCGGCAGCAAACGCACCCGGTTCCACATCACTGCGGTGAAAGAATAGTATTCCTTCGTGGTTACAATTGCTCTCTGTTGGTAAATTCCGCCTCGTATCCAGTTCTTTACCTATACCTCCTCATCCATATTACCACTGTTAAGAATTATCCCGGAAAAAACGAAGTCCAACAGCAACAGCAACACCAACAGCAACATAACCTAGTGATGAATTGATCGCCTGTATCATTCCGATCTCACTCTCAGCCTCACGCCTCACACCGCCCTGTCTACACCGTTCTATTAATGTGCCGATTGGCGGAATTCCGTCTCGCAGATAGTACAACCTGGGGAGCATCTCTCCCTCTCTCTCTCTCTCTCTCTCTCCGCCGCATCTACTTAGTCAGCCGAGGACTGAAGAATGGAGACACGACTGAAATTACGAACAACAGGACAAACGCGCACGCACTTGCAATCACAGTCGGCCATATCTTGTAGCTTATCTCATACCATTTCCGGGTTGACGTCGCCGAGTCGTCGTAGATACGCAGTGCGGTTGCGGCGGAGAGGAAGTATCCAACGACGCCCGTAACGGCGATGAAACATTGGGCGAGGACAATCAATCTGAATTGTACAGTGGTGAACATGTATGCGCGGAGGGATTCGTGGGCATTTGCGGTCGATGTGTTGATTTGATTCAAGAGGCTTGAGAAAGACGACGGCGTGGTTGAAGTGGGTGGAACATTTTGCGTGTTTTGAGAAGTGCTTGAAGGAGTGGTCGTGGCTGTAGCTGTAGTGGTTGCAGCAGAGAGATTCGAACCCGATTGTTGGATATATTTTAGGTAGTATGTAACAATACCGTAGATGGGAGCGAGCAACAGTATCATTGGCAGGATCTGCCCGAAATTCATCTCGTTCAGATAATCTGCAACGCACGCAGGGAGGTACCTGAAGCGCGGGAGAAAGAGCTGGAAAGAACTCCATGCAAGATGCAGGCCGACGAGGAATTGCGAAAAGGCCCATGATCCCGTGACTTCTATAAATGCAAGCACGAACATGTAGGCGCCAGTAATGGCTCGGTGTACGATTCTACGGTTCGACTTTTGCGGGCCGCGATTCGTATCCACCATGCGCTGTTCGAGGTGGCGCAACAAACGTTGGGAAAGGTTGCTGATGGCAATGTGCGCTTTCGGGAACAGCATGACGGATTGCCAGACGTGACTGATGATGAGGATAGCGTAGGCGAAAACGCCTTGTGGAATGAGTGAGCCTGGCCTATGGAGTGCTCGCTGCCAGTGCACATCAACCGTCTCTTCGAGGCCAAAGCAGCTATCGGCGCTGGAGCAAAAGCCCTTCGCTCTCACAGTGCTGCCTACCCAGCTCCAAACGGTCGTCGGATATATGGCGATGCACATCATCATCAACAGAGCGCACATGTTCAGTAGTTTGAAAGCGCGGAGCCATGGCCGATCCCAGAAGGACGGTCGGAGGATACTCAGCGTGGAAAGATGCATGTTGATGGCCATCCAAGCAAGGTATACTTTGGTCTGGAAGTCGAAAACCCTCGACTCTTTCATATTTCTGAGGGTCGCACCAAGGATGCCCAGGGCGGTGATCATCTGTTGTTCGTTGATGATCGAGACGCCTTTCTGGAAGTCCTGTACTAGGTGAAGAGCCACTTTGGGCTTGATGTATCGTCTTTCGAAGCTGCTTAGATGCTGAGGAGGTACGCATCCTAGCAGATAGAAGATAACAGCGAGGATGAATGATGTATACGAAGCTATCGTGAAGGATATGATGACCTGCAGGATAATCAGTAATCCAGCGATATCGAGGAGAGACCGTAGAACTCACACCTATCCCATTGATGTCAGGGTCGGGCATAGGGAAAGTCCCCTTGAAGCTAATAATCGTGTTCTTGACGCATTCGACCGCTGGCGATCCTGACGGTACCAGCCACCCCGTCGCTGACGCTTGTGATGGGTTTTTCGACATGTCTGCCATTGCGCTAGATCCCTCGGAACCCCAGAAGTTGGAGATGTTTCGCTAATGACTCCTCCATCAAAGATGCGATGCAGATCAGCACCCGACACAGTAGGCGACAATATAGAAATTGCGCTATACCGGTTCTACCGCAGGTGTTCGCTGCGAGCGCTTCCTCTCTTCAATTGAGAGAAGGTGACGTTGTTTCCGATCTTGAACGGGGTGATTCAATGCTAAAGCGCTGCGATAGGCCTGCGAGGTAGGCTTGCAAAACGTGATGTGGGTAGCCTCTTCCACCAGACCTTCTGGAATATTACTTCTATATGGCAATTGTGTATCTAGCGGTAATGCAGAGGGCGACGATGAGTGCAAATCGCAAGGCCGAGTCAACTTCTCAAGCACAGCAGCCCAATCAGCTACTGCCACAACAAATGTGGCCAGGCGCGTAGCAGGTCGCTTCTTTTCCCTATCCTAGTCGTTGAGGCTTGTGCCACCCAAGTAACTTCTATACCGTGAAGATTTGTACTCGGTGGGTGTGGCATTCCAGACAAATGGAGAACGTCAACCAGACAATGCCCGCAACTGACTTCACATCAGTTGACTTCAATCTTCACCTATTGTTTTGCCCTACCCTATAGGCTACCTATCTGACAATCTTTGTATATATGATCATATGTGCATTAGCCGAGCAGGTAATATTGTGTGTCCAAGTAAATCAAGAGGGAGTGATAGTGGCGTAGTGCTAAGTACCATCGACTATCCGGTCTATTCTAGAGCACTGTGTCCCATTCGTGGTTTCCAGAACATTACTGCATCACCGATCGTACCAACACAAAATGAAGCCTACGAGGCAATGAGAATAACATTATCGGCTAGATCTAGAGATGATATCAATCCAGTCCTCGAGTGGTCTTATAGACAGGTCTGTGGAACCTGATGCTCCTTCTTCTGCACCGTTCCATTGATATATTAATTCCGAAATTTCGTCTTGCAAATCGCACAGGTTGGTGTCAATCATTCTCTCGCGAGAGCAGGTATGCCTAATAATGAATTTCCTGTACGCATTCGCTACTTAATTGGTCAGACTGATCTCCGTTCCCCGCTTCATGGGAATTGTTATCCTAATCTTCCTCGTTGTTATTGCTATCGTTATCGTGCTACTGCAGTGCAATCTCTAGAACGGAGCTAATGTTGGCAGAGACATAGGTCTGAGGTGAGCTTGCCGTCCTCCGTTTGCTTTCCGCTCTCGGATCTTAGGTTTTGAATGAGGGCGTTTCCGGGGTCAGAGGACAGTTGCTCAACGTGGTTCTCTTGACGCTTCTAGGTTTCAGTATTGTGGATAGGAAGTAGCAATGTGGTGCTTCCAATCCACCAATTGGCAACCTACCCATCTATTACTTTATTCAGCTCGTTGTACCTTGTCAATCAAGACTGGTGCATCTACTACATACCTCGGCAAAATATCAACAGGAACTCAACGAGCTGCAATGAAAGGTGAAAAAGGCAATATCACTGCGTGTTTTCCTAACAAGAATCACTGACTGACTAGATATTATTGCCCTCGAAGTGGGCGTGGACCCAGGAAATAGAGATTGCTAATGGCTGTTCTAGATTCGTGTGTCCTGTTCGCTGTTTTCGCCCCCACAAAAATCTTCCCACCGCCTTTCCAGGTACCCACTTAAGTATCCACCACAACCCTCATTACTAGCAAAAAAATAGATTCAAGAAAGAAAAAAACATACAACAGCAGGTATTCGCCAGTGGTCACCCACCTGACTACTAATCCGCCGGTATCATGCTTAAGTACAGCTGAGCGGACGGGAAGCTCTGTTTTCATGATCCTATGGTCGTATGTGGAAGTGAATCTCAATTCTCTATTACATATCACCAATGCAACATCATGAGTGACCTCTGTTTGCAGGGGCCTTTAGCCTCAAAGCGACTGAAATAGAGTCACAGGCGACTGCCAGATGAAAAGACTTTATAATTTGATCCAGTATTTGAGCTCTTCTATGGTTAACCAGCAGTGGATGGATCTTATCTATCTGATACCCTTGATCCGTTGATCCGTTAGAATTCGCAAAATACAGACGTCTGGAAAGTTTGACGCGAACTAGAGCACTTCTTCGCACCATCCTTATCCTTTCTCCGAGTGTCTTCCTTGCATTCGACTTGCCTTTCTTTGCAGAATAATCTCCCGGGGTTCGTACCGTCGCTCTTGTACTCGCACTCTTGGCCTCCGACGTCCAATTTGAAGCTGCCACCGGGGAAAGGGACTTCTTTGACGTCGTCAGCGACTTTGGTATCGCTGGGGCCTTGCGAGCTAATCTCTTGGACTAGATCGGATTTCTCGTCGCATTCCACGCCGTGGCCAATCTTAGTGAGGTAGAAATGCCAGTTGTTATCAACAGTCGCTCCTCTTGAGTGGGAATTGACAATGGACATCATGCCAATAGCCAACGCTTTGCCTTTGGGTAGAGTAGCAACTCTTGGACTGTAGTTGTTGTATGCTTCGATGATTGCGTCCCGATAAGCAGACATGCCGTTGATGTTTGGGTGGAAAACCCGGGCTACCCAATCTGGATAACCTTTGTTGGATTGTGTTGATAAGCCTTTCTCGTCCCCGGGGACGTTGTTTGTCATGTTGTTGAAATCGAGAGATGTATTTTCATCTACGACTCCCTTCGCCATGAGACACATGATGTAGTCAGCTTGGTCGTCGTACAGGTATTGGTTGCAGTCTCCGGAGGGTATATCCTTGCCCTTCCCATCAAAGGTCTGGACAGTACCACCGGTCCAGTATTCCAAAGGATAGAACCAGATGTTTGGATTGCGGTAACTTGGTTCTCGAACACCTTCTTCGCAGAATCGATGGTCTTTGAATTTTGCGTTCACATCCACGTAGTGAATGTCAGCTCCGGTCGGCCAGTTATTGATAATAGTCTTGATCTTGTCGTTCAATTTCCAAGTGAGATAATTCATCCCTTGTCTTCGAGCCTTAATCAACGGAAGGACATTATTCTCTGGACAATTCAACTTGAAACTGACACCATCGCAGTAATCTGTCTTGTCGTTCCAGAATTCAGGATAGCCGGTGACGAAAAGCTTAGTTCGAGGCGCGTTTTCGAGAATAGATTTGATGGCTAGGGTTAGACCCTCGGAAAAATCATTCTTGTCGATTCTTTCGCCAACAGTTTTCATTGCCGAATTACAGTCGTTGGTACAATCGTCAAAGGGAAGAAACCACCAATTACATCCTCCACAGGTGTTAATCTTGTTTTGATAAAATCGATAGACACACTATAAGGATTAATATGAAATCGAGTGTGGCAATCGATCGACTTACTCTATCAAGAAGTTCGACAAACCCAATGTCATTACCCCCAATAGATAAAGTTACAAGATCGGGATTCTTGTCTTTAAGCTGGCTGGCTTGAGACTTTTCCCTTTTGCTGCCTGGCGAATCCTCGTATATGTGCCGAGTTCTGGATCCTGAACATGCGATGAAAGAGAAATCTACGGGCTTTGGACCCTGCAATCTGTTGTCTTCAGCAACCTGAGGGCCGAATGCCTTCTTATATCTTCGGCATTGGGTATTATCGTAAGAATCCCCTGCACTTGGACCAGACGCGAAAGATTCCCCGAGTGACGCATACGTGTGAACTTGGAAAGGATCTCGAGGGAAGATGTTTGCTGGGCTTTCAACTTCCCAGTCAGATGAGGGCAGCGCTAACGCGTTTGACTGGCCTAGAAGTACCAGAAAAGTAGGAAAATATTGTCCGAAGACGGTCATAATGATAGAAATAATGATTTAGACTAAAGTTTGTTTGAGTGTTCAGTGAACAACTGGGGAATATGGCCCAAATTTTATATGCCAGTCTCTGATAGAGCCGCAAGGCCAAAACAATTATAGAGAAGCATCTTACAGTGTGCCAGAGTGATTGAGGCACAAACAACGTCCTTCTCAAACTAGTGGCTATGATAGGGCGTTCATTGATCCACCCCAACAGTATGACACGCCTAGTTTGTATTTCCAATCCATTTACCACTGTATATAAAATTAGAATGTCGGAGGTCTCAGTGCGGAGCGTGGAGCCCGCAAATGTACGCCTCCACCAGCGGCAAGGAGGTCTTGAAGATGGTCTTAGTATCGAGGCATGACAAGTAATGGTTATGTCGCCTGCCGTCAAAACATGCGTGATATCAGATGACGCAGTGACAGGAATAAGCATCGGCAGAATTCAAAGATGGACCGATGTCGTCGAAGCAGTGTCCTTTAGTAGCCGCAAAGTGACACACAAGTGCTCTATGTTTTCTGAAAATAGCAAAGCCCCCGATACTCATGGAATAGAAAGAAAACGCGTACAATCTGGTATTTCACTTTCTCAATCATGTCTATCCTACTGTATGGTGGGATGTTTCAATCGAGTAGGAAACGGCCTATCTGAGCCCGCTGACGATCGGAGCAAGTCTCTTCCGATGTTGGTTCGGTTGAGTACAGTATGGGAGCACTTCTTTTTATGTAGAGGCTGTGCATAATTGATGCGGCGTAGTTAGGCAACATTGCAGTGCAGAGTATTGATCCTGACGTAAGCTAAGATCACGTTGCCTCTATCGATTGTCCTTCCGTCCTTCACCCACACCATCAACATAACTAAAACAAACATACTTTTTATAGCAGTCCTACAGAGAAGTCATCAGCATAGCATCACCACATAGAAACGGCATCTGTTTTCGTCCGACATGGCAGTTTTACGTTCGGTTGCATTCGCGCTGACCTCTGCGGCGTTCTTTTTTATCATGCTACACCAACGAGTGGCCCCAGACAAACCAGCCAGTGCCACAGCTATCGGGATCTCCCTGCACGTCAACTATGGGGCTATATCTATCCGTCAAAATGATGAATCTTTCAGGGATATCGGTATGATTGAAGGGAATTATCAGTACCAGAAACTTATGAGACGACTTTCACAGCGGAGCTCGGAACATCCTAGGTGCGTCCACAAAACCTCCACTGAAACTTTATCTGATATGTTTTGCAGTCCACCATATGAAGACGGCGAAGACCAATGGAAAGACCAGCCGCGACAATTTTTAAGGAATGCACGCAAGGCTCTGGGGTTCCCAGCCTCTACTGATGTCGCTATACTAGCAGCCATGGTACAAGAGCTCATCAACCTTGCAGGGCCCTCTTCATCCGTTATCATTAGTTATCCTGCCATCCCTGGACTCACTCAAGAAGATATAGCGGACGTCGAAACCTATCTTGGTCTTCCAGTGTTCGAAGGGAACCATGGCTATCCACCACGTACACTGACCGCTGCGTACGCCGGATACGATATGGGTCTTTGCGAAAGCTTCACAAACAAGAAAAAATGCACTGAGGAGGAACTCGAGCTTCCCGTACGGCGGACCCTGCTCGTTGAGTACACCGGAACCGCCTTTTTGCTTCATGTTCGGAGCATGCGAGATGCTTATGATCTTGGGATGTCTGAGACGTACCGTTCCAGTAACTTGGATTTCTCTGATACCGTTCCGTCCAAAGCTGGTCGTCTTCCATGGATACGCAACCTTGTTATAGAGTTTGTGCAGAATACCTTTTATCTAGACTTGGACATGCCGAAAACATGTACGGTGATTTTGATCGGGCCAGCTGATCTGGTAAAAGATCATGTGTTTCAGCTCGTACTCAAAGATGGACTCAAGACATCGGGTCTCGAGGTTGAGTTGCTAGATCTGAGGCCTGAGTATGCTGCGTCCAGAGGAGCTGCTGAATTGGCTTGGAGGTCGTTCGCGCTTGCTCAACAGACAGAATTATAATGTCCAGACATAGGTACAAATTACGCCAGCACCGACGAACTCATCATTTCTCGTCTTCACATGTCCTTTACATGACAATCTTCTACACCCCTTTTTATCCGATAACACGCATCAAACTCTTCATCATTTACCATTACACTTGAATTCTACGCAATACCAACATCATGAGCAATTGCTGGTGGACCTGATTTGCGAAATGTATATGAATGTTTGGTATGAAGGCTAGGCAATTAGGAAATTTCACGCATCTCCGTCATGTGAAGCAGATGCTAATGAAGCACACGCGACGGGGCGAGGGCTCAATGGATGTTTTGTTTAACTTTACCTCATTTCGATTCGACAGCTTCAAAGGACCTGGGCGCGAGTGGGGTTACCAGCAGCGCAATGCTTGCTATCTCGTTGTCTTCCGTCACTTCAATGTACAACCTTTCAATGCAATGAAACAATCGTCTGTATTAGAAAGAAAGGGGAGTATCCACACCGATCATTCACATTAGAAGCATGGCACTATCCTTTCGGGGAAAGGCTCTATGTTGCCCAGGAAATCCCGAAAAAACGTCATCTCACTCCATGATCCTTTTCTCCAACCACGAAGACATGAAAAGTGGTGCCGATGGCAGACTCTCAGCGAGCCTGGTTCTTCGGCGCCTCGGTGGGTTTACCCTCGGCGGTGGTATAGCACTTGGTCATGCCGCCATCAACGACAAAGTCGGTACCATTGACGAAGCTACTCTCCTCGCTGGCAAGGAAGACGACGGCCTTGGCCTGCTCGATGGCCTCGCCAAAACGGCCGCTAGGGAAATGCACCTCACGCCTGTGACGCTTGGCCGCGTCGTCACCAAGCCAGTCCTGGAGAAGTGGGGTGCTGCGTACGTGTCAGCACTTTTATAGCCCAGAGAGAACAATCGAAAGACTATGGCTTACTTCAATGGAGCCGGGCACAAAGAGTTGAATCTGAATCCCTCCCTGGCATGAACCATGGCCAACTCGCGCGTCAATGCCAGCACGGCACCTTTACTGGCAGTATAGGCAAGCTGTGGTGTCGCGCTTCCGACAAGAGCCACCACACTCGCGGTGTTGATGACACTAGCCTTTGTCTTTCCGTGTTTCCTGAAGCTCAGAACAGCGTGCTTGCTGCCAAACCACACGCCCTTGACGTTGATGGCCTGAGTAAGGTCCCAGATCTTTTCAGGAGTGTCCACAGCGTCAGCGTCGTCGGCGTGCATGATGCCTGCGTTGTTGAAGATGACGTCTACGCCGCCCCATGCGTCGAGATGCTCAACCATGGCTTGCACGTCGGCCTCCTTGGAGACATCGACGACTTTGGTGTCAATTTTGCTTGCAGAGGGGACGACCTCTTTGAGTTTGGACGCGGCTTTCTCTAGGGCTGGGCCTGAGATATCGGAGAGGAGGACATTTGCGCCTTCTTGCGCAAAGAGAATCGAGGTTTCCAGGCCGATGCCTCTGTGGATTTGTCAGATGTTTGGAGCAAAATGTGAGGGTCTGTGTATCTGGAGCTAGCAAAAAGGTGTGGAGGGAGGGGCAAGTGCGTACCCAGCAGCTCCAGTGACGATGCAGTTCTTGCCTTCAAGACGGCCCATGTTGAATGAATGTGCTTTTGTTGGTGGGTTTCAATGAAGAAGGAGAAAGTTCCGAGTAAGAGGTGACTGGCGCTTGATCAGTTCAAATTCGCAGGTTTCAAGTCGAGGGTGGAGGGAGGCCAGCGTTTAAACAATGACTAATAGTGTATGCTTGAACGTCATAAGACTGGACCCTTCTGACAAGATGCTTGAGAAGAAGGAACTGCTGGTGATAACACGGAAGAAAGAAAAATGAAGTACCTTGTTCTTTTGGCACAACTGAAGGAATTGCGCAATATTGGTGGTCTCTGAAGTCTGAGGTAAAGACACGGAGGAAGTAGTGTCAATACAATGGGACGGATAGAGTCGGTGATATTCCAGCGGCCGAAATCGGCCCATTCAAGATAGGGCATGATAAGAGGGTGCAGATGACCTGGTGGAATTCACCGCCGTAGCCAGCCATGGCAAAGGAAGAGTTAAAGTGTGCTTGATATGCTTCACCCGACGGAGCGGTGTTCCTCCAATAATATGACCAACTGAGAGCTTCAGATGGTGTTGAAGTTGCCCCTCCAAACGCGACGCGGGGTAGCTCCTTACCCTGGATACATGTATGAACGTGTCAACATGGGTAATAACGAATGCTGTTGCCACTATTCTCTGTTCTGGTCCAAGCATCATAAAAGGAGTCAAGTCCAAAGCAACACAGGCCAGGCCGCGTATCTATTCACCACCATGTGACCGATCATGACCCTGACGCCCCCAACCAACCCCCCACCATCCATCCATCGAGACAGGGTTGGGCTGGGCTGGACTACCCCTCATTGGCTCAAGCTCGGGGCAGCCACCGCCAGCTATCTCTGAGCTTAATCCTGCTTCAACACTCCGTCATCAACTCCTCCACCTGTCTGGGCCATTGTCTTCTGCACCGAACCTTACCCTCCCATATTGCACCAGCCCTCGCCATGTCTAACCCCGACCCGTCCACCATCACCGTCGAATCTCTGCCAGAAGTTCTGAAAGATGACCTGGCCGTCAAAGTTGCCGGAATCGATGTTGACGGCATCCTACGGGGGAAATTGATGGCCAAGTCCAAATTCCTCTCCATCGCCAGCGCCGGTTTTGGCTTCTGCAGTGTCATCTTTGGCTGGGATATGCACGACCAGACTTACTTCCGCGAACTCGCCATTTCCAACAAAGAGAACGGATACCGCGACCTCATTGCTATCCCGGATTTGACCTCCTTCAGGAGGATTCCTTGGGAGAACAATGTCCCCTTCTTCCTGATAAGCTTCCATGATCCGGACACAAAGCAGAGCCTCAGTGCCTGCCCTAGAAGTATACTGGCGAGGCAGGTCGACAAGTTGAAGAAGGAGGGCTACGGCGCAATGGCTGGAGGTAAGCTTTCGTCCCATGCTCTGCATGAACCGATACTGCGCGTCAGTGTACAAGAAATTTGACCGTGTTACCATTTGCAGCCGAGTACGAATTCTACCAGTTCCGTGCGCCCCAAAACCACGACGGCACCGAAAGAAACTCGTCGTCCACCGCAACTTTTCTGCGCGATAACCCCGTCGACGCGCTACCATCCCTCACAGAAGGCATGTTCGGGTACAGCATCACTCGACCGGTTCACAACCAAGATTACTACTATGGGATTTTCGACGCATGCGCCAAGTTCAATTGCGGGATCGAAGGATGGCACACTGAATCCGGCCCCGGAGTATTTGAAGCCGTATGTGCACCCGATTTGCAGTCGCTATATTCAAGGAGGCTAATATGGTTATGTTCACCCACAGGCTCTAGAATTCGGCGAAATAACTGCCATGGCAGACAAGGCCTCGCTCTTCAAACTCGTCGTCAAGTCCCTCGCCTCCAAGCACGGCATAACCCCATGCTTCATGGCAAAGCCCCGCGCAGGTCTTCCAGGAAACAGCGGGCATATGCACGTATCCATCGTAGACTCTGCCGGCAAGAATCTCTTTGCGCGCGACTCTGAGGATCCTTCCCCACCATACCCAGATGTCCGCCATCTGTCCGATCTCGGCCGATACTTCCTTGCGGGTCTGATCGACGGCCTCCCGGATATCATGCCCATCCTTGCGCCCAACGTGAACAGTTACAAGCGACTCGTAGAAAACTTCTGGGCGCCTGTAACGGTCAGCTGGGGCCTCGAGCACCGCGCTGCCTCCATCCGACTCATCAGCCCACCTACTTCTTCCGCAAAGGCTACACGCTTCGAGGTCCGCGTGCCCGGCGCCGACACGAACCCGCATTTTGTGCTCGCTGCCATCCTCGCGCTCGGCTGGCGAGGTGTGGAGAAGAAAATGGAAATCCCTATCCCTCCGCTGGGCAAGGGTGAGGATGTCGGTGGGGAGAGCGATAAAGGGGTTCGGTTGGCTAAGAGCTTGAAAGATGCTACCGAGAGGTTTATGAGTAAGGACAGTGTTGCGAGAGAGGTGTTTGGCGATGAGTTTGTGGACCACTTTGGAGGAACGAGACAGCATGAGATAAGGCTGTGGGATGAAGCGGTCACGGATTGGGAGGTGAGGCGGTACATTGAGGCGGTGTAGAAAGAGTCTCCAAATTGAAGACGCGGCTGGTGGGATTTTTTTTGAAGATCGGTCTAGTTTGTAGATATACCCTGACTTTATCGTCAATATATATTTGATTGTATGTGTGAGAGGAACAATTACATATATCGTCTAACCCTAACAGTTATGGAATTAACGCTCGTATTTTGTGCCATGCATGGAGAGCAACACGGCCATGACCTGCATTTGTTTTTTCCCTTGCTTCATCATGTACATATATACTACATATACTACACAGTCATCCTCCAAAAGCTTGCAGCTGATCCATTTAGCGAAACCCTTCACACATCTTTATCCTTCCCTTTCCCCTCTCCCAAACCCATCAGCCCCTTAATTCCCCTAATCTTCCCCCTCAAATCGCCATAGCCAAACCAGACAATCCCCACCGCCATCTCCCACGCTTTCCTCCCCGCATCCTTCCCCTTCAACGGCAGATCCATGGGCGGCGGGATACTCGTCTTGATCAACCCCGGCCAGCGATCCCTCGTGATACTCTTCTGATTACACAGACTCCTCATTCCTTCTTTACCCGCAAAGCGACCATAGCCGCTCCCTTTGACTCCGCCAAAGGGAAGCTGCACCATATACGTGACGGCGAAGTCGTTGACGGCGACCATACCCGCTTTGACGGCCTTGACGACGCGTTCGAGGTCTGCGGTGGAAGATCCGTAGACGGAGGCGCCGAGGGCATAGGGGGTGCTGTTTGCGATGGCGATGGCGTCGTCGACGGATTGCGCCTGCATGAGGCAGAAGACGGGGGCGAAGAGCTCTGTTTGCGCAATTGCCATGGCGGGGGTGACGTCTGCGATGAAGGTTGGGGTGAAGTAGTGGCCCTTTGGGTACTTTGGGTGCGTGTAGCGTTTGCCGCCGCAGAGGAGGCGTGCACCTTGGGATACGGCGTCTTGGATGAGGTTTTCGAGGGCGGTGAAGTTGGCGTCTGAGATGCAGGCGCCCACGTCGATTGGTTCGTCATCTGGGGAGGCGTTGAGAATGGAGCCTGGTCGGAGGGATTTTATGAGTGGGGTCAGTTTTTCGATGAAGCGGTTGTAGACTTTGGGGAGGGCGATGACGCGCTCGATGCCGATGCAGTTCTGCCCTGCGGATTGGAATACGCCGCGCATGAGAATGCTTGAGACGCGGTTGAAATCACTGTTGGAGATGTCGTCGAGAACAATTGCTGGATCCTTTCCACCGAGCTCTACGCATACTGGTGTCAGAGCCTTTGCCGCGGAGGCCGCTACATGGTGTGCCACGGGACGAGACCCAATAAATGTTATGTGCGATATTCCGGGGTGAGAGGTCAAATGTTCGGCGACGTTGGGCCAGCATATTACGGATTGCACAATATCGGGACTGTGACCGCAAGCCACGAGGGCAGAGGTCGCAATGGATGCGAAGTATGACGAGGACCAGGCAGTGTTTTCAGAGCCTTTGACTAAGATGGCATTACCGGCGAAGATGGAGGCGATGACTGGAGAGAGAAGGTTGTGGAACTACATGCTGTCAGCAGAGCGGACATATGTAACGATCGAAAAAGACTTACGGGGTAACTGGAGAATGTTAGTAAGAGTTGAAATCCAAACGACGAGAATGAGCAATACTCACTTCCAGCTCACACAAGCCGCCACCACACCCAACGGTTCCCAGATCACCTCGTGCCACTTATACATCATCAACAGATTCCCCGGCCTCCTCTCACTCTTCAAGCTCGCTTCGCCATGCTTGATAACCCATCTCAACTTCTCCACTGTAACCAATATCTCCCCTAAACTCGCGTCCACCATAGTCTTGCCAGAATCCAGACATGCGACCCGCGCAATCGTCTCCTGATTCTCGAGAATGAACTTGAGCATAGTCTTGAGAACCTTGCGGCGTTCTGTAAACGAAGTCTCGCTCCATTTGATCTGAGCCTCTGTGGCCTTTGCGACAGCACGATCGACGGACGCAGCGCTGGAGGGGTTGATGCGGCCCAGGGACTCGCCGGTCGCGGGGGCGTAGCATTGGATGAGGGAGGATCCGGACACCTTGGTACTGTGGTCAGTCTTGCGTTCCTGCCCGGGAGGAGGCTAAACAAGTACGCATACCTTCAGAGACAGCTCATCAAGCTCCTCGCCCTTCCACCCTTCATCAACCTGGTTCGGCGCATCGACGATATACGGCACGGCCGCCTCGTTGTCTTTTCGAACCAGATACGCTATAAGGAAGCAGAGCAGCCACAGCGACCCGTACAGCCATCCGTTGTAATGGGGCAGCTCGTCAAAGTCCTCGATAGCCATGGTTTTGCGTTGTCGGAGTCGAGGTTGAGAGTTTGAAACAACATTCAATCGGAAGGTGGCATGTTATCGAACCATCTCGGTAACTTTTGGCAGTAAAGTGGTGGGCTTGGAAAATCGACCAATGGCAGAGCGGTGCCTGGCCAGGGGTCCATTCCGTGTGCGAAAGTGGGTCAATTGTAAACCCGCGTTTCGTGTTGCGCGTCGAAAGTGCGCTTGGGGGTGTTGGGATGGATCCCTTGAGACATGTAGAAGCACGACAAGAGAACCATTAGAGATGTGGAATGAGAATCTTGATTCCCCTCTGTAGCAGTACGGGTACATGTACAACCCTTCCCAACAAACACCTCATCATCCTTCTCCAGTATTCCCGATACCATTTCTATTCAGTGATCACTATTCTCTCTCCTACAAAAACAAAATTCCTACAAATCATACATGATCCAGGAAGACCAAACTCCCCTATCCAACTTGACCAAAACAGCTATACATATATCTTCCAAGTACCCTACGTCTCTATCTCTCTAACACAAAAGCCTCCTCCATACTCACCAAAACCCATCCATCCTTCCATCCACCCATACTTCCCAGCATCTCTCACCGACCTATACACCATCTCCCTCGCCCCCCTCCCCTCCCAAAAGAAACCCCCCACCGGTCTCTAAATTCCAAGTCATCCATCCATGCAACGTAATTCCAGCCGCACAGCAACTACCCAAAACAGTACCGACACTAGTCCATATCCAGACAACGGGACAGGCAGAAGCATTTCCAACCACTCTGCATCTCTTTTTCGATCCACTCGATCCGAGCAGTTTTGCTAGCTGGAGGGAATAAGCGGCCGCCTTTTTTTAATCGCGCAAAATTGGCGAAAGAGGGTGGTCAGGCGGAGTTTGGGTTGTTGGGTGTGTAGGACGCGGTTTTCGGGGGGTTGTTTTTGTGTGGTTGGGAGTGGTTACCTAGGCAAGAGGCGAGAGGCAAACCAGGGGCGGAATGGATGGATGGATGGGGATGGATGGGGTCGTGATGATGATTGATTGATTGATTGATTTGACGGATCAACGGATAGACTAGTTTGGTTCCCCATTATACTGATTGGGGCCTGTTCTTTCCTTTCGTTCTGCCTCTCCTTCCTCCCTCCCTCATCTAGCCTTGTTTCTTATTTTGACTTCTTCACTCTAACTTCACATCGTCACATCATCCATCTGTTGCAATTGCTCGTGGGTTTTGCTTGATGGCTCGGGCACAAGGCCCTTCAACTTGTTCATTTTTCGTAACAGCCGGAAGAAACCAACCTTGGAAAAACACCAGATGAGGGAAGACATTATCCCATCCATTAGGTCCACCGGCCAATTCATCCAAAATGACATTTCCGTGTCCCGGTTTTCCCCTCGGGTATACCCAATCTCGCCCGCGCGAAGACAGCAAAGAAAGAAGAAGATTACCCACAGTGTAATACAAGCATGAGAAGGAAACAAAGGAAAAGGGAACTCGCTCGCTAGAAGAAGATGAAAATCCGGAAGATGAAAACGCCAGAGCCAATCTTTTTCGACCAGGACACCCCCCAAAGATACCGTCAAGTCCTTTTTCCGAAATGTCAATTTCGTGGATCGTACCTAATTGGAAAGAGTAAGGGAGAGAGAAGAGAAGAGAAGGTATAAGACGACAGAATAAGGCTATACTCAAAGTCGAGGGTCGAGGTAGATATGTTCGAATGGGTCATTATAGACTCGAACGGTGTCTCCGCCTTCTCAAAGAGGCAAGGGCGGTGGTTCCGGAGGTGGCAGCGGTATGCAACGATGTCCATGTGACACCCCAACTTCTTTTTGTAGATGGGCAAGTTGATACAGCGGCCTACCGCCGACCGATGTGTTGCATCCTCTGCCTCCTCGCATCCCTCTCGCGACGGGTCGAGCCTGTCGTGACGAAATTGCCCACGGGTCTCGTCAGATTGTAGTTCCCACCCCTGAGCTCTTTCAAATCCTGTTCGTCTATCAATCTCTTCCGCCAGAGATGCTGGAAGAGGTGGAAGTCTGGACGGCTCGTCCTCAACGTTTCGCCAAAGCTGGTATGCATCCGGGCAATATGATCCATTCTTATAGCCCACGCCGTCTCGCCGTCATCCCAGGTGCCATGGAAATCACACAGCGGACACTGGATCGATCGTGGGGGGTCCTCGCCGCGGAAATGGCTCAGACAGTGTGTTTTCCACTCGTCTTCGTTTTGCGAAATGTATGAGCAGCTCAGGAACCAGAATGCGCATTCGTAGATTGGGTGCCGGGGCAGGTTCGGACGGTGTTCGAGTACGCCGTTGACTTCTTCTAGCAGCGGCATGCCAGTAAAATGGCTGGCAAGGCCGGTACTAATGGAAGTTTCGGTGGGGGTAGCATCGGAGAAGTTGTAGAGGGATGGCGGGTGTGTGGAAGCGTTGGACTGGTGGATGCATGCGGGCGCCATCGAGGTGCCGCTGCGGACTGATCTCGAGTAGGGCGGGCTCGAGGCAAGGGACGTGGACGACGGCACCTGGCCGTCTATGTCGATGTGAGAAGAGGTGGTGGTGGAGAGAGAAGATAGGTGGACCAAACGAGCGTGGATGTCTCTTGTGGGAGACTGAAGCCACTCGCCGAGCTGCGGACGCGTATCAACGTTGTCGAGGATCGTGTCCAGCGTTACGACTCTGGCGGGGTCCATGGCAGGCATTGGTGGACGGGTTGCTGTGGGAAGTGGCGCATGCGTCATCAGCCTCAGGCTCACATTGCATTGTACTGCAGTACACTATACAGCACAGTACAGCAGTACGTACCCGGGCAGGTGGGGGTGTCGGGAACGATAGCCTTGCAGCCTCAGTACTTTGCCTGTATGTAAGTAAGGCTGGAAGCGAAGACCTGGTCAGGTCAGGTCACCCTTCTCATTACTGGCCGGCGCTTGATGGGTAAAAAAAGGTCGATGGGAGCGGATGGACTGGAAGGATGCGTAAGATGTGGGTGACGTTCGTTGGAGCGAACCTAGCGTTCGTCCGTGAGGCTTCGTTTCCTTTCTCTCTCTCACTGTTCCTTCCGTTTCGTTTCTGTGACGAATTCAAACCAACAATAGATTTGTCGCTCGCAACGCCGCCGCAAAAAGCCGCCCTTTTATCATACATATATGCGTACACACACCACCACCACTCGACCCGGTTCGCCTCTATCGACACGTCCACCACCTACACAACTCTAGCTTCACGCTTGAGCACAAGCAGCGATAGTGCGGCTCTGTAGCCATCGGCCTGTTGTTGCGGGTGCCATGACTGACACTTGACCGCCAGACGGAGACAGCGACGGCAGCATTTGAGATTTGATTTCGGCCTTACCGGCTCAGGAACCTCCCGCGATTGGCCCGAGGCTTCCGACACGCATGATATCCTCCGCACCGTGACGCTAATGCGCAACGCCCACCGCTCTTGTTCGCAGCTCTCGACGTCGCTTCTATGCTGAAATGTCGGTATGCAACTGTATCTGTATGTTAGTTATAGTAGCAGAGCATAGCAGTGCATTGATATGCAGGATTCCACATCCAACATGTTTATTTCAGTGATATGTTTTTGCGCCGGCCAATTGATCGAAGCCAGTAGTCGCGTGAGAGGCTAGTTGAGAACTAAATGGAATTGAGACAGCATCTTGCAATTGCTGCGAACCTACGTAACACAACTTGAAGCACACGGAAAAGGACAAATCAAGATAAAAGCTGATTTATTCTCAGACAATTTGATTGACGCCGGCTCTAGGATGTATGCACCGAGAGTCGAACCTCCATAACAATTGCGCTGCCGGGGAAGCTGGCTGCGAGACAGAGCTTGATCGTCTACTGGAAGACAACTGCCACGACAATCCACCGCCTGGCAACTGCGCTGCTGGGGAGGATTTCGGGGAAGATTTCTGGGAACCAATTTTCGACCGCTTTCTAGATGATGACGATTGCGCTGCTGGGGAAGCTTGCTGGGAGACAGGGTTTCACCTCCTGCAAGAAAACAATCGCCGCCACAATTCTCCGCCTGACAATGGTCCTATCAGAGAAGCTCCTCCAGCCCACATTCCTTCACCTAGCAATGATTCCACTGGAGAAGCTCCTCCAATCTATATTCCAGCCGACATCCTTGCAGGTCTGCAGGGTCTACAACCCTTTCCTCCAGTAGACCTTCGAAAGTACACATGTAACGCAGCCGTCTCCATCAAATGCGAACGCAAACGCAAACTCAAACACAAACTCAAACGCCTCAAACGCATACACCCCTATTGCGCATGCTGGAGTAAAGAGGAAAGCTCCCGATCACCCCAAGCATGATTCGCGCCAGCCCGCCCCGAGGATGTCCCCCAAGGACCCGAGGGTGTCCCACAAGGAAATGGAAGATCCAACTCAGTCCAACTTCCGTGCTAGGTCAGGCCCATGGATCCGGTATCTTGGTGGTCAACCTGGGACGCCTCGGCGTCCGATCTGGACGTTTGTCTTTCGCGACTCGTGGCAATGGTCGAGATCACGTGCACGCACTGTGGATGAATACATATGTACGTACAGAAACGTATGGATATGGTGCATGCTATGCTGTATCAGCAATTAATGGAGAGCCGATTGACCCTAGTAAAGCAGTTGTAGTAATAGGAGCTAACGTGAAGTTATCTTTGACGCCATCTCAAACGCCTGACGCGAACAGGAAGAACACTGGGAGCGATATTACTTATCACACCAATTGCCACATATGCGACGTCGAATTTTCAACCCCTCATACCCAATATCCATCGCATCTCCACTATCTGATTATGAGAAAGTTTACCACTCACCTTTCCAGCACACACCAAGTTGACTTCACATCAATTACCTGTACCCATAACCCAGAACGACGCAGTGCCCTAGATCAGAGGGCTCATTTAGTGCAAAACCACTTTTTCGAGCTCATAGACACATTTGATATCAACCTAAAGATTGAGGCTCGCTGCGGGACTAAAGTACACGGTTCTGCTTATCTATTATAGACTGGGTTGCAGTACCTACACTAAAAGGGAGCTGTTGAGCGTGAAAACGGCAAAGAAGTTGAAGTTTACTCCTCAGGGCTGTCCAGGAGATTCACCACTGCTATCATGTCAATCTTGTCGCCTGAATTTGGTGACTCTGCGGACACCCCACAGCCAGATACCCAGCCGGAAACACAGCATGTTTTCCTATTTGGCATTGATGCGATGGGCTCGTCAGTGAAAAATATGGCTCCTTGGTTGAAGCGATCATCATTCCTGATACATATTATTGTGCGATATCAGAAGCAGCCAGAGCTTCTTGACACGACTTTTGACAAGTCAAAATGGGAGAGATCTGTAGGTTACAAAAGAAGATTCGTGTTTATTAGGACGTACATTTCGCTGGCTGCCCAACACGCGGCTGCTGCTCGCCGTAGCAAAGAACCTTCTAGCAACAAGCTTTCTTCTGAGGAAGAAGAAGAGAATAATGTCAACGAGCGTAAAGAGATGCAGCGTTTGCGCGAAGAGGAGCAAGAAGCCTAGAACCGCGCCGAACCCACGATGCGGTCAGTCCCGCCTACTGTCCACACGCTCCGTCGCAAGTACGGTAGCCCGCGCGCACCAGATGATCCGGTCATGAATCACGAGTACACCCATTGGCCCGCTGCCTGGGTCGACCGCGATCCCGACAACGATAACCGCCCGCGCCCCGACCCCGCCATGAGCATAGGTGGTAATTTGAGCAGGACAGACCCCGTTGAAGTGTTTCGCACGGCTCCCCGTTTAACAGAGGAAGAGGCAAAGCAGAAGGCGAGAGAGTGTAGCATCTTGGCTAGCATTATTGCTAAGGTTGCTTGTGTAGAGATTAAGCGCAATAGTCTATAGTGCTAGCAGAAATATTTAACTGCAGAATTAATGTTTAAGGCGCTAGAGGTTAAGGGTAATTAGATAGCTGCTGTTGCTGCTAAAGTGGCTGCAGAGATGGACGAACAAACGCTCGAGGACGAGGAGGAGAAGGCGGCCGCTTCTAAACGCCCTGTCAACGTTGCATGTGCAGTAGCTCATGTGAGGTATGTTTCATATATGACAGTACTTGGTCAGGCTACTGGCTTCGATTGGTCGATGTACAACTAGAAACTTTGTAAGATCTCTGCTATAGCTTTTTTTCATAGCAAAGGGCAACAAGCGTACTATAGTTCTTCAACCTTAACACTACAGAAATCTCAAATCCGTACATCTATCTCTACTGGATCGTTGGGACGTCGTATACGTCACTACGTCAAATGCGCAGTCAATAATGTCCATTAACAAAGACAAAATCACCCATACCTCACTTTCTTCCCCCCACCTGCACCAATCCCGTCGTTCATCTTGCAGCTGATTCCAACGCCCTTGCCCTCCACGTAGGTAACGGCATCACGACTACTGACCATCCTGCAATTATCCGCCTTGATGAATTGTAATTGGGGCACAGCATCCACCAGCATCTTCAAACTCGCGCCTGAGATCTTCGTCGATGACACATCGGCGACTTGCAGAGAGTCTACTACGCTAGGCTTCATGGTAACCAAATCCTCGATGTCGTCGTCGGTGCAAGGGAGAGATGGGAGGCGGAGGGACTGCAGCGCAGGGGTGAGGATGCGGGGGCTTGCAGCGAAGAGGCCGGTCGGGCTGAAGAGAGCGGCGGAGACGGCAGGGTCAAGGACGCCGCAGAGCCAGATATGTTGGAGTGGTGCGCCGCCGTTATTGGCTGTAGGGTGCGATGCATCGCCGCCTTCTTTTGGATCCTTGTAACGGTCTAGTAGTATTTGGAGGAAATACGGGTTAAGGTTGCCCATTTCACAGAGGGTGAGGTGGGTGAGGTGCGGAAGATGCGAAATGTGCGCGTAATGCCATGCTGGAACGGTCGTGATCGGAGCTTGTCCCGAGGGTGTGATTTCGACGAGAACGGAAGAGTCGGAGGGTAAGAAGAGAGGTTTGCTGGGGTGAAGAACGAAGCGTTTCAAAGTGGGAGGGAGAGGCGGGAAGATCGGTAGGTCGATGCGTTTTATTTCGAGAATTGTTAGGAGTGCAGGGATTGTGTTGTATGGGTAGGGATGAAGGTCAGATCCAAAGTTGAAGCCATATTTCCAGCCTGTCAAAGAGAGGTTCTGAAGGTTAGGAGTTTGCTCGAACAATCTACCACCTATCAGAGTGCGCGAAGCGTCGCTGTTTAAAGCGATTGTGTGGAGCTGCCGGAAAGGCCCTTGCCATTCGACATGTACCTGCTTGCCGATGACAGAATGGAACTCGACATGTTCGAGCGTTGGCCGCTGGCTCATGATCTGGGTGATAGTATCGAGCGTGATATCTGGCTTAACGACGAACTTTTTGAGTCCAACAGCACCACGCGCCTAGAATCGCGGAATTAAAAAGTTAGTGGACAGTCGGAATTCAAGACGTACACATAGCCCTGGGCCATGATCCAGTGCAGTACGTACCACCTGAACAAAGGTCTCAGAAAGCATCCCCGGCGATGACAAAATCTCAACCTCTCGTAAATTTCGACACGCTGTCGCAATGCGTGGTATCATATCAGTATGGTGAAATTTATGTAGTGCGACTCGCGTCACATCCCTTTCCGCATAATTCACAGCTTTATTCATGAATCCTCGTGACACAGGCCTGCTTGCCTCAGACAGGTCAATGTCCCGCCAAAGGTTTGGGCGCCCGGTGATGTAATGTTTCCACCCTTTGCTGACACGGAGGGTATTTACGATGTTTCGGAAAGGGAGATAGGCAAGAATCAACTCGACTAATTCGACGGGCAGGATGGTGAAGGGATCGATGGCTTTAGGCGGTGAGAGCTTGCGAGTGAGATTGTCGTGCATTTTCTGGAGGAACTGTGCTTGATCAGCAATTGACACACTGCAGTAAAACATATATACTTTCTAGAGCAAGGAGAATACAAACTTTATAGTCCTGATGACTCGCTGGTACATTCTTCATGCCGTACTTGTAAATGCCCAGCGCAGCATCCATCCTGTTCAGCTTTTGTAGAGCGCTGGCCGTTCTCAGATAGCCCCTCACATCTCTTTTATTCAGCCGAATGGCTTCACGACCATCCTTGACTGCTGCGGTAAAATCGGCGAGTTTCTCGTGGCATGCTGCGCGGTAGTCGTAGAGCGATACCGTAGGCACTTTGGCCGCTTCGAGACCGTTTGAGAAAGCCGACAGCGCTTTCGCGTACTGCTTTTGCTTGTAGTATGTTTTCCCGAGTTCTTGATAGTCTTCGGCGGAGGTGGTGCGAGGCATTAGTCTGTGCTGTCCTCGTCGGTCAATCTTCCCAAGCTGTAAGTCGTGTTGGAGGTGAAGCGATTTGCGGGAAAGGTGTGCATATTGTCTGGCACAATGACGCGAGCTGTCTTGTCGCGTAACACGCGTCGCAATCACGTGCTTGTCCTAGACCAGCTGACCTCAATATCTGAACGTGGAAGCTCGTCTTCACAGCACCTGCTATTTCTAGATCTTGACAGTTGCCTACTTAGTACTTAACTATACATTGAAGTCTTTGTATTATCAGTCTAACATTGCATCGGTTTCACCGGGCCGGGCATAGCCGTGGACGGAGTGCGCAATACAGCCCGTCTATTAACCACTTCTGTTGGACTCGTTGGAAAAACCGGAATTATTAGAAGTCTGGATGGTCTGAGGATCTGAGTTCTTGTATACTTGGCGTAAGAATGATATGTTGTTTCCCAATATCCATCAACTTTATCCTCTCGTTTCTGCAGTTTCCCCACAAACTGCTCGTATTCGCGAGGTCGCCCCAATCATGCCCACATGATGCAGGTCGTCTAAGACAGTAAGCTGCGGGTTATATTGAAGACTTGAACTCTTCCTGTGATGGGCACGGGCCCTTTCTAGGATCTATTATCATATATTTAATTTGTTTATATTACGTATGTATGTACGAAGACACGTGCAACTGAAGTAATTACACCAATACAAGATTTGAGTGAAGGAAGGCCCATACCGTATAAAGCCATCCTTAGTTATAATCATACGGCTGGAACCACTAACAGACAGTTCGCAAACGAATCCCGCATTGATCTGCGACCATGTTTTCTATCAGACCCCACAATGTCTTTTTCTTGATCTCTTTGGCTTTTTCGGTCTCTGCAACCCCCCTGCCACCAGTGGAGCCGTTTCCAGAGGTCATACCTGGGCCTGGTCTCCCATCTCTCGAATCACTCAATTTGACGTCCACCGAACTATACACAATGGAGCTTCCCAATGATGAAACGGCAAAACTTCCTGCCCATGAAAGTCCTTGTGGCGGCACACATTTGAAAGCACCTGTGAAAGGTGTCGTTGCATGTATGGTGAGTAAGCTTGTTGGCATAGGATTTGGAAACCCGTCTTCTCGTGACTGTAAACTCGCAGTCAGCGCCATCTCCAGCTAGTGCCGAAGTACTGGACAGAGAAAAACGAATACAGCTGCAAACCTGCTAACAGTGCTGTGCAATACCTAGAACTACTTATACAAGTTGGAAAGCACTAATTGTGCGGTCGGAGCATGGTTTGATGCTGGCAATTACAATATGGGTGTGACAGAGATGTGCCGAGCCGGTAATGCTCATATCACAGGATCTGGGCAAAGGAGCCCAACGAATAGCTACTGCTCAAACGTAGCGCGAACTGTGCACTATATCATTGATCGCTGTACTGATGAACAAGGGTTATCCGGAGGAGGTATGTATCCCTGCTTTTCCTGGACTTCCGTCTCATGCGCACACATATGGCTGTGGAAAAAAGAGTAGACTTCTACTTTCACGTGATATATTGATAGACAGAGATTCGTTCTTGTATAATTGGCTGACATTCGTTTCATAGCTTGGTCAGTGGATGAAAATAAAGCCTTCACCGTCGCCGCTGTAAACCTCGAAACATGGTAAAACATGTGGTTTACACGGTCCTGTTTGTTTATCAAGGTCAAGGATATTGCATGTCGGGATATATCATCAAATCCAATCATCTGCCGTAGATCGTGGGGTTTATCGAGTTTCGTCGTCGTTCTTGAACAGCAACGTTACCCATCTATCTTTTGTATACCTGCTATCGAGGTTTTTGTTTAGTCATACTTCTATTTTTCTTGCGGCTGCAAATGAAGAAGGGGTGGAAGAGTTAATTTCAAGGCCCACCGTTCACCATTAGTATCGCTAGTCAGTGGTCCCAGAACGTGCGGTGAACCTCTAGTCAACTGTTCATCTCATCTTCCTATATTGTCAGGTATTCGAATGGCAATATACTATTTTTGTGCGTATTAGAAATGTCTATACTTACCTCTAGGTTTTTATCTGACCTTTTTGTCATCGCCGGTCTTTTTGCACCCTTGCTTTCGCATCTATCGTGCGAGACAAAATCACTCAAACTCATGCATTAGAAACACTGAAAACTATTTCAAATACCTGTGTCAGCAGGGGCTCTACGCTTGGGGGTGGCTTGCGGTACAAGGGGAGAAGGATACTTTATTATCACCAACGTGTAGCAAGAGTAGAAACACGAAGCCGCCTAGGAGTAAGCAATGCAGAGACTGCGTAGAAGCGAAGGCCGCTTGTAATTCCGAATTTACATTTTTGATTGGAAGTTCAAGTGCTCCTTACACTAAAAAGGCCAATAGCTAATAAAATAGGTGTACAAGAAAATGTAGGCGGTAACAAAAAGCCCCAATCTACGGCTTCCACTTTCGATTTCTCATTGGTGTATCGCCGGAAACACCGCGCGAACAACTAGTGATGAGACCCAGTTCACTTCGGTCGAGATCGTGCCTTGCGACAATAGTCGAGATGGCTCTATAGCGACCTTCCCAGCCTCCTCCATCAGCTGACACGCAACTGTTGGTGCCTGCATATACGCTCTTCTGCTTTTAGCTTGCCCGCATATATCAGGCCCCCCATATCGGTCGTCTGTAAGCTCCATCTTATTCTTCGATCAATATTGGCCCCCAACTTTTGGTACTCGGCTCCTGAATTGGAAATAACGCAACAGAGCAGTTTGACACGGAGGCGATAAAGGCAGCCACATGCAGGCATTTTTTGAAACACATGTGTTTTTTACTTCAGTGCTCACTCAGCACGTAAAACTCAGTAGATAAAGGCAGCTCGGCAAAAGTACATATCAAGCAGTCCAATTACTGGAAACAACCAATCACAGCCCACTGTACCGGAGACACCGAATCCTCGTGTTCCGAAAAGGGCAATGAACGAGCTCGACTATCACCTCCAAGGGAAACGGTGAGTCGTAACTGATAATATCTCAAGATACCACAAATTCCATTCCTAGTCAATTTTTTGGGTTTCGAAGTCGACTATGCAATAGTCATCGACTGGTTGAAGGTTGACTAAAAGGTTCGCATCGCATGCGTGTTCAAGGCTGAAACAATTATGAGTATACGCAATCTTTGAATACGCGGTTGCGTATGGGCTCACTGGTGTTTGCATTGACCACCATGCAGGTATGAGCCTATCAACATCAGTGCCCTGGATGGTCGGTAACCCGATGCTGTTGTAGCCGCCCGCTGACCATCTCATCAAGGTAGTTGGCCCCCAATATGACGACAGGGAGCGTGATCTCTCTTGGATACGCGCAGGCATCAAATGCGGCCGTGTGATGATAGGATTTCCGCGAGTAAACACCCCCACCGTTTATCCTTGACCGGTAGCGAAGCTTCTCGCATTATTATACCTTACTCCTGCAGGATTCCTGCCGGATCTTTTCATTCGCACTTCTTTTCTTCAACCTCAATTTCACACTTCTTAATATCTACGTTCAGATGGATCATCAACTATATCATTCCGTGTAATACTAATCATCATCTTGGCATCTACAACCGCAGGGATACGCCTTCTAGAACTCTGCCGGTCGTTTCCAGCGCGGGTACCCAACAGCGATGCGGAGCAAAAACGACCAGTACTTTAGGCTATCATCTCACGACCATTCCCAGGACATCACCGACCTTACCGACAGAAACCAAAACACAGGCGAATCACATCATGGCCCAGATCTGGAGATGGTATCGATCCACTCGGCGTCGAGTTCGAGGTCTTCAAGCAGCTCGCCACCTCAACGAAAGAATACCTGGAGGAGTGTCCAAAGCACTAACAGCTTGGCAACAAATACCTCAAAAAACTCCATTAGCACTGGATTTGAGAAGCTGAAGAATGGATGGGATAGAGGGTTTCGGAAGGGCAAACACAAAACACTCCCTTCGTTACCGCGATATGCACAGGGGTCTATCCATCAGCATCCTGCTGCGGAAGTCGAGCCGACCAAAATTGGGCGTGGGATATGGAAAGATCAGCTGTTGGTAGATCGGTCACTGCGTACAATGGCACTTACCATGTGTCTGTTTGCGTTTGCGATCGTTATTCTACTCATCGTCAACGCGAAGCCGTATAGCGAGCGACTAAACAAATCGACGTCATCGGTAGGCGGTAAGTTTCTAGAGCACAAATCCCAATAAAACAACATGCTGTACAGGGCTTGGGAACGACGACAGCTTACCAATAATCTATCCACGTGCAAACTTTACTGACTTCATACCTCTTCACAGGCGTTACTCAGTCCTGTAAAGCAGTCAAGAACGAAAACGCCGCTCTTCTGTTGTTGATCAATATCGCTGGGACAATGATCCTGGGTATGAGCAACACCTACCAGCAGCTCATCACCTCCTTGACGGTCCAAGACATCAAGCCCGCACTGGAGAAATTGGGAGACTCTAGAGTCGGTACAAATTCCCCATTCAACATCAACCATAAAACTTTTGGGAGAAAGAGGTCTTGGGTTGCATGGACACTATTGGTTGCCACATCATTACCCATCCATTTCCTCGCCAACTCGCTGATGTACGTAAATCCCTGGGCACAGAGTTTTCGTCAGTCGAGGATCTCATTAAGCTGAGTGTCGAGACATGGAAAAGTACTGAAACGTTTGGAGTGTAATCATCGCTGACTTTGTCTCATCGAGCTAGGGGTCCATCCTATGTCACAATGCCGCCCGATCACGTCGAGTACAACGTCACCACCCAAGAAGGCATGGACCGCATAAGATCCGACCTAGGCTATGGCAGCTTCCTATGCTGGAGCTCTTTCCGAACTGGGCGTGCACATTTTGCGCGACCAGAAATGATGATGAGTCAAGATATGGACCAATTTCAGACTTCTTCTCGATACTTTTACCGGAAGATCGTTGTCAGCTACGACTCGAAGAATTGTGAAGGCCTGGAGAACTCTACGACTGATATTGCGGGATTGCAGCACTATTCGTTTTTTCATGACATGCCTACTTTTATGGAGGGGAATTGCTCGTCGAAGGCGAATGTGAAGTGTAACCTGGAGGATCCGGCGCCGGTTGCGTGCCGCTTGAATGTGAGGATGAGCGCTGGGCTTATTCTTGCTGTTGCGTTGGTGATCAAGGCAACGTATATGGTCACTATCAATATCCGCGCACGTAAGTATACCACGGATGGAAAGACGAAGTTTCCGACACGATAGGGCGTGGCGCTCTGCGATTTTGATCACACACAACATGTCTGCCTGAACAGTACTGACATCTCTGCGCAACTGTAGGAGGACATATCAAACAACAACTTTTAACATTCGGGGATGTCATCGTGGCTTCAGCGACACACCCCGAACTACGGATCCAAGGGTGAGTTCCTCACACCCACAAACTATTCCCTGGTAGTCTCCAACGCCCGTTAATTTTCTGTTTCAGGGAATGCATGGTAAACGCCCGCGAATCCTACCGACGACACAACCGACACACCTGCCACAAACACTGCAAGAACCCAGTAGCTTCCTTAACCGGCGACGAAATCGGGCATTGCCAATCCCGCAAGAAATCGTGCAAAAAGTTCAACTCCACCAACAAGTTGGCCAACCAACCACAACCCACGATCGCGACGAAAATCAAACGCGGGTTGATTAGCAATCTTGGGAATACTGCGTTGACGCAGATGGTTATCATGGTTTTCACTGGGGTGATCTTGCTGGGAGCGTCGCTTTTATCTGCGGTAATGTAAGTGGCTCTTATTTTAGGTGTAACGATAGCGTGTTATATGTTTGCTGAGGCGATACATTAGGATCGGGAGCGAGCTTGACCTTGTCAACAAAGGTTGCGATTCAAAGGGGAAGGACTCGCCGTATTCATATTACTACGACCCGATATACTGCGCCGAGAGCAAAGTTGGGCGACTCGGGATGCTGTCAGGTGGTTGGGGAGGCATCAATACATCCAAACCATTGACTACCCTGGGGATGAATAGTTATTCAGCCGAGATAGGTTCTTTCGGCATGTAAGTCATCAAATCCTACAGCGGCCATCGGAACTCAACTAACAGAACTAGATCCAACGGCGCTCAGTTCATCTACAGTCTATTATATTTGATGTTCATATATAACCTGACCTTGATCAGCCAAGAGCATGACTGGGGCAAGCTCGAACACGACCGCAAGCGCCTTCGCACCACGATCGTGAAAGGCGAGGGCTTTACGCAAGACTACCTTCTCCAATTGCCGAAGAAGATATTGATACCAACCATGATCTCATCGATTCTCATTCACTGGTTACTTGGTGAAGCTCTTCATACGCAGGAAGCAATATGGTTGGACAAAAGCCCCGAATGGAACGTCGAACATTCTCAATATGTGGTATGTCGATCCCTCGTACTCTTGAACAGTTGTACTCTGAACAAGACTTGCTAAGCCTTCAGGTGTCTTACGCCACATACCCACTTTGGTGCGCGACGGTATGCATTCTTGCCATGACTGGTGTTTGTCGATGGGCGTTCACGTATCGTCGAGAGGGTTTCATCCCGCAGATGTTTGGAAGCATTCGCGTGCTTTGCTCTGCAACAACGCAACTGGACGATTTCCCGGTCAGTGGGATCAAGTGGGGAGATTTGGGAGAAGGGCAAAAATTCCGGCACGCTGGGCTTTCTGGAGAAGAGGTCATGGGTATTGTACCGTATGAAATCTATGCGGGGATAAGTGAGGACGAGGACGAAGTACCCCGGGAAAAGAAAGAGATCTGATCAGAGATCGAGGGAAGGACAGACACTCCCAGAATCGAAGCCGACCAACTGAAAGCTGCGAATCATCCAGCCCGCGAACCGTTGTTTGAGGTACAGGCTCTCGGGGATTGATCCGTGACAAACATCTGTTTTCCGACCAGATCGGCCAGATGAAGAACCAACAACGTAGGGACCGAGTTGGAGCCACTTCGGTGACAATATGATGGGTTCACCAATCGACGCGGAGCAAAGGCAATCTCTCCAGTTGGCTGAGATGACGATGACAGACTGCGGTCTCACTGCATATAAATCTGTTTAGGAAGGTAACCCTCCCTGCAGGACCGACGGATGGGGTCAATCGTCAAAGTGCTAGCGATAAGCAAATACGATTGAAAACAAGAAACGGTTTTGATGGCTGGCATTGAAATGGCATCATTCTGCTATCGCTGCTATCGCAGGATTGCAACAAAGAATGCCGGCGCGGAGTCAGCACGGCGTTGAGCGTCGGAATCGAGTGCCGTTGTCAATGAGAAGGCTGTGGTGTTTATTCCGCCGTCGACGTCAGCGATATCGGCTCCGTAAGAGGCTCTGATTGGTCGGTTGCAACTATACGTAGTTAGATATAGGGACAACCGTCTCCTCCTTTGATGCTGATTAATGCTGTTGCGCCCTTCCGTCTTGCTAGCACATGCTCTGATTATAGAGCCAACCATGTGCACACACCCATTCGCGTCGGAAAAGCAGCCATCAATCAATCGTCATCCAAGTTCAGCCAACAGCTCACCGTTTCTTGATGCGAAACACGGCAAGTCGTCACATTGCTCACCCCCAGATGCCTCTGGAGGGCTAGAAGGTGAAAATTTTCATGGCGAGCGGACATTGCAGTGATAGTGTTGAGCGGAGCTTTGCATCTAAAGGCATAGCATGAAGGATCGCGACCCCGAATATCCACCTGAAGCCGTGTATACCTTCTGTACACTGACGAGCTGAGTCACGACAAGATGACTTCAGCCTTAACCTACCGTTAGCGATTGCGCATGTACTCTGCGGGCCTCGATTGGTGTTGGCAAAGGGCGCAGAGCTGTCGTGATTGGTACCTAGGGCCAAGACTTGTTATCCCCAGAACGGCTAGCGCGAACGCCATCTGGACCTGGCTGAATACACCGATGCACCACAACCCGCACACTCGCTCTGTAGCCACACCCCAGACGTGGGGATGACTCAAGCACTGCCAATCTATAATACCTGCAGCCCGTGCCTCTGCATTGTCGGCTTCATCAACTTCCAAGACAACACCTGGAAATCCTTCCCTTTCACTGCATGCCGCTTGCTTCTCGCTTGTCTCCCTCCCTGGTCACGAGTTGAGGCAGCTCCGGCCAACTCCTGCTGGCCTTTGTCCTTTTCTTGAACCCGTCGCCGCTTGCAAAGAGCGTCCTCGTTCCAACTCTTCTTTACAACCTGCCAACATGCCGTCGGACACTCCTCGGAGGCCTTCGCGTACGGCTTCCGTTCAGTCCAATGCAATGCACTCCATCACAAACCATGTTCACTATCGAGTACTTCAGATCGCGAACATGGGCCAGCCCATTATCGAAATCGAGCTCGACGAATCAACTCCGGGAAAGCACAGCAGCTATGCCGTGAGTTATGCTACCATGGACACCATTGAGGGCACCGTGAGCATCACAGCGCAGCATGTGAGTAACATCGTTTTGTAAATAATGCTCTACACTCTCAACATATTCATACCCATCAACAGCAAAATTGTTAACATTCCAAAAGGACACCAGGTTCGAGGATATCGAAATCTCTTTTGATGGTGAGTTTACACTGCGCTTCAAATCCTCGTGCATCTATTAACGAGAGCACAGGCGTAGCGCAGGTCTTTGTGGAACGCTTCACGACCAGCCCTAGTATGTCTGGTAGAACAGAGTCGGCCCATAGATTCTTGTCGCTCAAACAACCCATCGACGATTCTGACCTTCCGACTCCTCGCATCCTGTTAGCGGGCAAAAAATACAAATTTCCCTTCTTCTTCACCGTGCCTGCCCAACTGCTTCCACGAGCTTGCACCCATAAAGTTGCATCTGACCATGTCCGCCAGTGCCACCTCATGCTCCCGCCAAGTCTGGGCGATCCAGAGCTGGCCGGTTTTGGGGGTATCCTGAGAGACGATATGGCGCCTGAAATGACCAAGGTCATCTACGCCATCAAAGTGCGACTGACTCATCTCTATGAAGCAGAAGGGAAGACTTCGATCCTCGCTGAAAAGACCCGAAAGGTTAGGGTCAAGCCAATCTTCGAAGAGCAACCTCCCATCAACATCGATGGAATCGCTGAATACAGGCAACGCCACGAGAAGGGGATCAAGAAGTCTCTTTTCAAGGGCAAGCTGGGCACACTAACAGTCGAGTCTATGCAACCAAAACCCCTCGTGATTCCAGGTGCGCGAATGGTCAATCATGCGCTTCCATCGACCAAAGCAACAGTCTTCTTGCGTTTCGACCCAGCCGAGCCAACGAACCTTCCTCCGCGTCTCGGTTCACTGAAGACCCATATCAAAGTGTCGACATTCTACGCAGTATCAGCACGACAGACTATGCCAAGCCGATCGGAAATCAATTTCGACGTCTCACAGGGCGTATTCGCCGAAAATGTCTCCCTCAGCAATATGTGTGTAGCTTCCGCTCAATGGACCAAGCACTCTGCAGCCGAAAGTCCGCCGCCCGTAGACAATTGCACTCAGCAACGACGCGACTCAGGCATCTCAGATACCACGACCCCTCCCGGCCTCGGTCCAAACAACCCTGCCATCATATCTCCTTCCAAGAACTACCAAAACGGCGACTTCTATACCGCATCCATTGTCGTCCCGATCACGATGCCCAACAACAAAAATTTCATTCCAACCTTTCACACCTGCCTCATCTCCCGCATGTACACACTCATCATGAGCCTCTCCGTCCACGGACCTGGCGTAAGCGATCCAACGCTGACCATGCGAGTTCCGCTGCAAGTCTGCGCGCGAGGTAGCGAAGCTGGGAATGAGAACGCAAGAGCCCGGCGCGCAGAAGTGGGAGTCCTGGAAGAAGTGGGTCGCTTGTTCACGCCAAGGAACGTCCTGCAACCACCTACTAGCAACGCAGCAGATGCACCGCCCGAGTACATGTTGGCTGACGTTCCCGTCACGCCAAGGGCGGGAAGAAACAACGCTAGAGTGACTGTGGTGGGCGGACCATGAATGGAGTGGAGGAAGAAAAGAGGAGGAGGTTAACGTTGCAACTTATCCGTCGACTCAAATTCCGGGCAGGAATGAGTGGTTGTGATGGTGGGTGTGCCCAGGAATGCGCGCTTTCGTCATCGTTGTCTGCAGGGTCCGAATCTGTACCCCTCACGCTCGGCACGAAAAGCTTGGTGCGATCGTTTACAGGTTTCGATCGCATCGCATCGGGTGCTCATGATGGAACACACATGCACGAGACGACTTTTTCCATGTTTCTTTTTTCCCTTTCTGTAACCGTGGTTACGTTTTTTCTCCTCCTTTTCCTTGTTACTCTCCTCGACGGTGCTAATTTTCGCGATCCATTATTCTCATCGCCTTCCTCTCTCATTTTTCAACACATACCCTTCCTACGCGAGCGAGTCCCCTGTCACTTTTTTCGGCGTCTTTCAACGGGCGATGGGCATCGCGTTTGCTTGTCAATGACAGATACCCTTTATATCTTCTTTTCTTATCCCTTTTCCATTTTTCGGTCGGGAAGAGGGGCGAAAAAATTGTTTTCTTTTTCTTTTATCTACCGTGGAGGCACCGTTATAGGACTGCGGTGCTTCCATTCAGATTTAGCCGTGTGTGTCATTCAAGATGGACAGTATATATACATATACATATGATCATAATTCTTCAAGGGGTTTCATATGTGCAGTGAGTCTATGTGATATGTGATATGTACCCTGTTGACAGGCCATTCTACGACGATGACGATGACGATGATGTGAGATACATTGAAGGCACATTTGTATGCGAAAAAAGCGGGACTTGGATCACAAAACAAACATTCTGAATGGATTATCATACCTACCTAGGTATGTTGTCGCTGCACTTGAGGTTGCTCCAGTGTGCTTTGGGCTGAACCAACTACTTGCTTGACATCACCATTTCCCTTTGATATTCCGTTCGTATGACTGCTTGGCTATTTGCCCTCTTTTACATCCGTACAGTGGCTGGCCTTTTTCAAAGCGGGGATCACGTGAACGTAGGTATACATTCAACAAATGTTGATGCTGCCTACCTACCTAGGTAGGTACCTAGGTATGTACCTAAGTAGAGTTTTCTGGCGATTTGCTGTGCTTCTGATACTTTTAGAGTTACTTCCGTGTTTAATGCGATGAGTTTCTCTATGCTTTTATGTCAATCTTCCCGTGGGAGGCGCTGGTGTGAACGTCACGTGCCAGCTGAGCTTCACAGTGCTCAAGTGCTACATGCATCCTACCTAGGTACATACGAATTGTGAGCTGGCGCTTGACGATCCTACACACAGCTATATATCAGTCACAATAAAGACGCCAATAAACAGGGCGATTACCACAAAAGATTACATACCTACCTAGGTAGGTATGTACATGTACGAGTGCATCTCAGCCTATTGGTGCGATAAGAAGATTTGCCTACATGTGTATATTGCCCACTGTTCCAATGATTGTCGAGACATGGTGTCCAATCTCCAGCGCGTAGGAATACGCGGTCGCCGAATACGCGGTCGCTTCCTGCCCAATGATGGTGTATTCGTGCATGCATGCCTGTGGTTGCATAAGGCTGAGCAAGGAGCTCTTCACCGGCATAGCCTTCTTGATTTCCCCTCCTTCTCCCCCTCTTCACTCTTCCTCCTCTTTTCTTAATCATCTCATTTTGTGATATCGTTGCTACTTCTCCCGTCATTTGATACGAGTCATTGATACACACACACAAATTTGCAGTTCCGAAACATAACCTCCAGTGTCCTAGGAAACAGCAACGATCATGTCTGATGTAGGCAGCGTGGTTGGCGTACTTTCGCTGTCCCTACAACTCCTCCAAAGCCTCCAAAAATACTACACCGAATTCCGCTCCTTTCACTCCGACATCGATGCCCTTATCAACAGAGCCGAGCGCCTCGAATCCATTCTCCACATTCTCGAAAAACCTGTCCAGAAGCTCTGGAAAGATGACGATGAGCTGTCAGAAGAAGTAAAGAAATGCATGGAAGTCTGTGAGAAGGTCGTAGCGCGACTCAGAGCCTTCCAGCAGAGATGTGGGGAGATTGATCACCGCCCTGAGACGCTTCGAAAGAAGATGGTGCTAGTGAAGAATAGGGCTCTGTGGCCTTTTCGAAAGGATACATTGAGAGATTTACATGTGGAGTTGGGGTGGATGATGGAGGGTTTGAAGGTTGTTCTGCAAGCTCTTGGACTGTAAGTTTTCTGTCGAATTAAATTTTTGCGTCTATTGATGATTCGATTTAAGGGAGACTTCCGTCGAGCAACATAATGAGGTCATCAACCAAACCTCCACGATTCGAAATGATATGTCTCTTGTTCGCTATCAGCAAGCCTACCAAACCGAGCTGTTGGAGACTATCAACCGAAATTCCGAAAATCAAGCGAGTTCTAACTCTCGTCACTTCTTCAGAACAGAGGCCCAATTAAATATGCAGTCAATGCAGCTCTTGAGTATCTATGAGAAGATCGATGACCTCGTGTCAACCGTGGGTCAGGTCCTTCCCAGATCGCACTCATCGCTTCCATCGCCCCAAGAGCTGCGCAATCCATGCGACCAGTACATGCATATCGTAAGAACTACTCAAGAAGCCAACAATGTAGCCGATATTACTCGAGAGACACAAGAAACGAAACAAATGCTCAAGTGCACGTGTACCAAAGCCTTGCGAAGAAGTGGAAGGACGCGACAAACAAGCTGGCTATCTGTCTATTTCGCGGAGCAGTACGATCATCCACCACCTTGCCGCTTTTCAATGCCTTCGCAACGAAAAAGAATAGCAGGACTTCGATTGAAATTATGTCGAGGCGCCCTCGGTTATCTCATCGAAGCGAATTTTGCCTGGTCAAAATACTCAATTAGCCTTTCTCTCACAGCCCGTAACATTGTGTCTCAATCAAGTCCTGCATTTGCACTCCTCGATGTATTCCAGAGCACTGTTTCTATTTTGATGGGGAACCCACAAGAAGTCTCTTCAGCAAATAGTATTATTGGTATTGTGGAGAAGACTAATCAATCGCTTTTGCAATTGTTACAAAAGCGGGAAGCAAGCGTGCAGGACGTGACAGAAATTCACGGTACTTGGGCTCATGTAAGTATAAACGTATATGCAAAGGGACTCGAATGCATCCTTTGTTTTAGGTGATTTTTAGCGGTCAATCGGTCTGTTATTAAGAATTCTTAGGGTTACCTATTTCATCTGGGACGCATTCTGTCTTCATCACCCATCCATACCAGGCTACTCGCATGCATTCTCTCCACAGTTTCGTTTATCCGGGATCTGGGGTTCGTCATGAACGAGAGGGATATATCCGATCGGTGAGTTATATGAAATGATCTGGTTTCCTTATTGCGCTGATCAATGTCTTTATAAGAACTACAATGGATATGTTTTTGTTTGGGCTGGTTCGCTGGAATAATTCCACAGCTCTACACTTGAAATCTATCCCCTGGAAAACGGCTTTCAAGGACGTGGAATTTTCGACCAAATATCTCGAAAACCTAGGCGATCACAACTTGAGAACTTTGATAAAGTCAAATACAGGAATCGATCAGCTTCTGTTTCACATCGGAGACAGCGAACTCGAATCTGGCAAGTGGTCATCTGCTAAGACACAGGGCATACCCCTAACGATTTTAGATTGCACCGATGGTCCTCTGAATCAAGCTGTAATGAAAAGATCAAAACCAGCGCTACAGGTGGCACTAGATTCCGGGCAGATCACGAGAGTTCATCCTGTAGTCACGTGGCAAGTGCTGCAATGGCCAGATGCGCTCGAGCTGCTTCTCCACCATGAAACTGCGCAGAATATTCGACTGGAAATTCTAGAAGTGGCAGTATACTGTGAGCAAATAGACGTCGTGATTAAATTGCTAGAAAGTGGTACAGTAGCACTTGAACCATCCACGTACCGTGACGCCGTTCGCACGGAGAATATGGATTTCATGAAAATTATCGCATCAGCTCTGTATGACTCTCGAAACGCAGAGACTAGCTCAGCCCATGAAGCGCGCTATGAGGCTCAACTGTACACAGCTATATATGACTGCTCGAATTTTCTGGAAGCCGCCACGATACTTTTTGAGGCTGGCTTCAACAATTTTCATGCTGATTTCTTTTGGGAAACTGTGGTCAGTATATCAGGTTTTTGGTATACAAAAAAGTATACGATGATTTGGAACTGGATGATCCGCCATGGATTGGATATTACCGCAATACACTCTGTTTCTAAGCTAATTCCTGCGCATATGATTGCCGAGACAGCAGTGCTATGCGTCTTGGGTTCCGAAAAACTCTCCTCTTACGAGATAAACGACGAGACTACCAGGCACCTTGGCGGTAACGGCTGCTCCGAGTATGACACATATACACTAGCGCTTTATGAGATGGCCTGCGAAGCTCTGGAATCGAATGTCGTAGATGAGTGCGTATGCCTTTGTGCCGACAGCGGTTGCACGATCGTTAGCTCGTCATTTAAAGGAGTACACCGGATGCGAAGTCTAGGCGATCCGAGCAGCCACTTGAACAATCTGATAGACGGGTTCCGTGTGGTTTTGGAACATAACCACTCGCTGCCGCGGAGTGATTCGTTTTTCCAATCTGCCATAAGAAGTTTGACTTTCAACTCGTTGAGCCTAACCCATACATGTCACAACTACGACTACCGCATCTACGACTTCAATACAGGAAGAGCAATTTTTGACATGAGCCTAAATATCCTGGATAAGCCAATGTCAGAGGATGAAATTCAAGACATAAGATATACCGAACAACAAGACATCGGAGTTTTTGAGGATCTCCTGGAGAAGTTTGATTTGATGTGGGTTGATTATGAAGGGTCCATCATGGATTTTGTTGTGAAGGAATGGTATCCTCATATGGAAGAGGTTCTTAAAGAGAGAGATGAAATCGAGGTGGAAGACGATAAGACGGCATTAGAACAGATCGGCGTGGTCATACAAGGTTGTGACTCACAACCAGCGCAGCCTGCCCAGGAGAGAGACATAGGTCCGAAGTATGGTTCATTGGATTGGTTCGACCAAACAGTTCAAAAGATCCTAGATGGCACATACACCGAGAGAGATCTCCTGTACTACTACTGGGAGTAGGGTCTCGGGATATAGTGAGAATCAAAACGCAGTCCCGTTCCCAGGAGATGATTGACTAAAGAAAAATCAGGACGTTTCGATTTCTCCCGCTATAGAATCTATTTTGACATGCAATCTACTACACAACCGCTGGCAATCGGTGCCATTTCTAGCTGTTATCGATATTACAGCTCAGAAAACAGTACCATCACTTTGGATGATAATTGGACTCGACTTAGTATCCGGTCTGTTCTTCGCCGCAAGCTCCCTTCCAGACTTCCACGTTCCAGCTTCAAGCAACTGCGCCATGGTCAAGGGAACACCTCCCATCTCCTCCAGAACCATGCCATGCAGCTTATCGATCAGGACTAGAGTCATCGCACGCCATTCCACAACTACATCGTCGTCTGCAGTGAACACCGGAAGGTTGTTTGTGGACGCTTTCAACCCTTTGTCCAAAGCCTCTTTTTTCAGCGATAATACGCCCAGATCGACGAAAAGTCCGCCGTTGCGATATTCTGGCAAAGCGGTGAGAAATTCCGCGTCTTGCCATTGCACTCCAAGCATACGTTGGAAAGGTACCATGAGGGAGTACGCGAGCCATTGGGTGAGTTTGTGGAATGGTTGGATGCGGTCAGTCTCGTCTTTCGATGGCGACGCCGCGTTCTTCTCTAGTGTACTCAACGGCCATGCATCTCCAATCGATTGCCCGTTTAGTGTTGTGCGGTCTTTGGGCCACACGGGGATGAGCAGAGTTTGCAGAATATCCCAGAAAGTCTTGACACTGAGTTTCGAAGGATCCTCCGAATTGCTCCTCAAATAATCCACTACAGCACCCGGTCGGCCATTTTCTCCAAAAACCTTCGGTTGCGCGAGCAGCGATTTCCCAAGACCCCTCAGCAAATCCGCTCTCGACTCTGTCCCAAGAAGCGGATTTGACTCCGTGACCTGGAATCCCTTCGCCAACGCATCCGTACTGAGCCCCTCCAATCCTTTCCCATCTACAATCGGACTCTTCGCATCTTTCACGCTCGCAAAGTCGAGGTTCTTGAACATGTAGAAACTGGCAACGGCGATGCCTTCACTGCGCTCGTACTTTTGCTGTGTCCCTGGCTCGACGTAGCGCCAGTGATCTCCTGCACCGGCATCTAGCAACACCGAAACGAAGAAAAGATCAATCAGTCGACGCGTTATCTCAAGATCGTCTACACCATCTTCTTTCCATGATTTCATCACTTCAGCGACGCGGGGCACGCCGCCGACTTCGAAGTGTTGCCATCGACCGTGAGGCGGGATTGTGTCGAATTTATCGGGGCCGTAGTCTCGCTATCCAGCCAAACAACAAATCGAATCAGCTTCCTTTCTATTTTTTTTTATCATGAAACCATTTCTTTTCAAGAATAAAAACCTTCTTCGGCGCACCTTGATAACTCCAGTCACGAAAACCGCAACATCCTTCAGACGTTCCTCGTGCACATCAAAGTGGCTTAGCTTTCCGGCTTCGGCCGCCTTTCCGACTTGTTTGGCGCGTTCGCGGACCGCGTCGAGAGAAAGTAGATATTTGACCTTGTCATCCATGATTCTCAATGAAACAGCAAACCAAGAGGGGAAAAAATTGTAAAAGAATTTATTGTTTGGGCGGCGATCAAGTTCAAGATCTTGGTAGAATTGGAAGTGTGAGAGGGAGAAGAGGTGGGGGTGAGGGGTGGTGGAAGGGATCCGTCATACTACATAGGTACAAGTAGACTAGCTAGCTTTAGAACCGATCGGTGTTTGTAGCTGAGCCAGCTTATCGATTCGCGTGGTACCGCTCGGTAGGGGACAGCTGGACAGAATTGTGGGACTTGGATGATAACAGGAAATGTGATACGCGGGAAGATAGTGACATTATCTGGGGAGTTTGGAGGTGTCATGATTTGCGTCGTTCGGGATTGATTTTCCTTTTGGAATGGTAGTGATTGAATCTTCTTCTATGTAAAATGTTGCCTCACTCACTCACTCTCACCGCTCAATTGGTTACCACACTAGCGAGATCGGTGTGTCGATTGATAGGTGGGCGATTGGTTTACCATTTCCATAATATTCCAAAGCTCGTCGATATAATTATTTCCCAAAATGTTTACGATGTTGCCTCCGCAGATCCGCCAGGGCAAAGCACGGCGTTTTCGCGAATACCCGAAGGCGCAAACTCTAAGTTGCGAAACGAAAGTCAAGACTACAACACAGTAAATTAGCAAACATCTCGCAACACTACTGAAACAGCTTACCGTTTATTCCCTTCATCAGTAGTGGTAGCCCGATAATTGTTCTGCTCTTCCGGAGTCATAGCATCCCATTTCTTCGCCTTCGAGTTGTTTCTCCATCGGTAGTACACATAAGTCCCCGGGTATTGGATGAGCTGACGGCGCATAAGCAAAAGCAACCAAAAGCAAAGCTTCGGTTGAAAGGGCGGCTACTTACACACATCCAGACACATATGACGAGGAGCCCTTTGTTGGCTTTGTAGTAGCGCGGCGCATCGGTGGGTTGGTATACTGCGAACGTTAGTATTTGGCTTCAAGATTGTTCTGATGGTGTACTTGCTGTTTGCTCCGATCATTCCGCTGACTTGGACAAACATGTTGTATAGCCTGAAATATTATTAGGCGCATTCTGCGGCAATAATTCGGAGTTGTTGTCTTACGATGCGGAGACAGTGCGATTCTGAACGGATCCTGCGTTTCGACTCGTCCAAGCGACTTGTATAGGATGGGTGCTGAGCACAATTAGCAGGACAACCTTTCTTCGATGCATATGCGACTCCAACTTACTAAGGAAACGACAACAAAGTAGTCGCAATAGCAAAGTACGCCCACCCGCTGATCGGATCCTTCAGTGCCAAAAGAGCCGCAAAGCAAGGAAGCAACCAAGCATCCTCCGCCATAGCAACAAAACTCCTATTGTTGACCAGCTCGCTGAATGCCGTGATAGCCAGCATGGTGATGCTCGAGCCGACGATGTAAGGGATCGACAAAAGATTGGATTGAATCACGTCGAATCCCAAGTCGCGGAAGGATAGCGTGAGATATTGGGTTACGGGGTACTTTGGAAGACCGAAGAGCAAGCCGAGAAGGTACAGAGGCCACATGTCATAGTCTTTCGAACATTGCCAGATCTGCTTGACTGAAAGGCCTTGCCGGTTGTACATGCCTCCTTTGTTGGGATCATCTCGGATTACTGAACGATCTAGTTAGCGATCACGACTCCGCGTTGTACGAGCACATGCCCTACCTGAGTTGACGATGACTTTTTGTTCGTGTTCGTTAAAGTAACCCTTGGGGTTCCACCAGCTTTTAGTGCGTGTCGGGCACTGCGGCATCAGGAAAAAGGACATCAATCCAATCAGAACTGCGATGGAGTCAGTACTTTTGAGGTCTAAATCCGGGAAGGATTGATCTTACAGGTAAAAGCGCCCCTGTTGTCTGTTAGTATCTGTATATTAAAAGTCGGTGTAAATACGTACTCGATGAGGAAAAGCCATCTCCAACCCTCGTAACCAAGAATTCCACGCATGGAAACGAGTCCAACAGCTGCAAAGCCTACACCGATGTCCACTGTGCATAGTGTTAATAGCTTTCCGTATGAAGTGCAGAGCGCGAGTGCTAACCTAATTGAGAGGACATCCAAAACCATGCCAGCCTAATCGGCAACTGCATCATAACATTAGTTCAGGCAAGGTTTTTTTTCGCGAACGTAATCACATACTGATCTTCCAGTATAGAAGTAGCTTAGGTAAAGAATGGTATCCCTACATGTATCTCATTAGCTAAGTGCTTGTACCCGAAAGTGAGGACAGTGTATATCCGTACGGTATGAATCCACCCTGAAACGTAGCGATCAGGTATCGCGTAGCAAGAAAAGAAGCTCTACCCTTGAGAAAGAATTGCATCGCGGATATTAGACTGAAAATACAGATCTGGATCGGAATCCATAGATCGGGACCGATTCGTTTCGATATGAGTTGCGAAGGCAGTTCGGCGACCAAGAAACCGACTCGAGAGATTGTTTGACCAATGTTCTATTCATTTCAGGGCTTTGTTTTTGTGTTTTTTTTTTGGAATGCTAACAATTGAGGTATCAACGTACGTAGTCAGCTCGAGTGATATTGAGATCGTCGAGCATATTATCGGAGACTGCGTTTTGGATGTTGTTGCGGTCGATGTTCAGTGCGGCAAACATGACGCAGACCCAGACCTGTCCATGTAAGCTTCTGATCGAAAGATGATATTTGGTTGGAGGCTTACCATGATCTTCCAATCTACTTTGCGACGAACTACGTTCTCTTCTCTCCAAGTCCAGCGAAACGACGGGTCGAAGGCAGACCAATTTTCCCATTTCGGATGGATATACGTCTCTTTGAGTTCCTCCACATTGTCGTTATCCCATATACTTGGCTGAGTCGCAATCTGAGTCCCATTGTCAGTGACGCTTAGTGTAGAGAACTCCTCCAAACGCTTACCGCATCAAGATCGTATTCGTTGGGCTTGGGCCCTTTGCGAACCCTGAGGAACCGCAATATAGCATCGCCCATCGCCGCTTCCATTCGCTGCGTCTCTTTCGATGCCAGACCCGGCACATCAGTGTTTGTTTCGAGAGGGAGCTTGCCATCGCTACCGTTCGTAGATTGCTGATCGATATTGTTTGGGGAAGAGTCGGATGGAACAGAAGCCTGCGATGCGACTGATCGCCATTTGTCGTCTGTTTGACTTGCCATGATAGCGGCGCGTTTGGAGTAGAGGTTCTGCCTGTATGCCGATATCACCCTCTCAAGCGTAGATCCGAGGGTTCGCAAGCGTCGCAAAAAGCAAAGTGATCAATCAAACTTCGAAAGAACTTCGGATACTATATATGTACGAAAAGTATAGACAAGGCGATTTGCAGGGTCAACACCACGCACGCCACGGCCAAGTTCCTTGGGCTGTCGCGAAGCGATGCAACTTGAGTGGGGAAAGGGATACACCAACTACCCACGAACCCCTGTTTTTTGTCACCTAGTGGGAATCACGCAAGCAGAAACATACATTTCTGCATTGCATCTCTTGAAGAACTACCAATTGATGACAGGTGCCAAGCATCTCGTCATTCGGTACCAATTCACGTAATTGGAGTCGCCATTACTCTAAGCGAATGTCGAATGAGTATACAGTGGAGCACGTAGGAAATATCTTGTCGAAATCTTTTTAAGGCCTTTGTTAAAATAATTGGAATTGTTGGTCTATGATAAATCGAAACTTTGAACAACAAAACCAGCATAGAATTCAAATGGGGGTGATTGATGTTCGGGCTGACGACATCGGAGGATATGATTGTGTTCCCTGTACCATGTAAGTACCGTTTGCTTGATGATGCTCCAAAGGCGCGACGGGAATAGTGGTTACCGGCTATGATCTAGAGAAATCCGGCCGCGAGTGAAACCGATTCGTCAACACTCGATCATGTAATGCATCGAGATGAACAATGTGGAATGATCCCCTGCCGCATGGAAATGCGATGAATCATTATTACGCTTAGTGGAATGATCCCCAGTCAGCAGAATTAGAGATATCTCTCGCATGCGTTCACCGAGAGAAATATTTCAATTGATTCCAATTTACATCTCCTCGGAGTACTCTCCGAGCGACCCGAGTATTGTAACTCTGTCGCTCATACGCTTTACAAGCACTAACTGCTCTTATTCGGCCATATTATTTACTGGTATATGTAACAGAAAGGACCAGCAGTAGTTGAGAAGAGCTGGTTGCTAGCGATTCCATCTTGACCGGTGGGTGCAACAACATCCAACCACTGCTTATCCGTTGCCTTTCCTCTAGCTGAGTTGGGGTTGAACCAGTTCGTACCACCTTTCATCATATTAGCAATTGGTCGCAAACAGTCCATGAAAAAGGATATACATACCCTCATACATGCTAGTTCTGGATTTGAGGTCTGCCTCCAGGTAGTTCTGCCACATCCACCAGTGTCTGTCTAACTGACCGTGGTGGAGCCAGAACACTGGTTCTCCTGGGCTAACGTAGACATCACCTCCTGGGTCCCCCCAGATGCTGAAGTGACCTGAACTGTGGATGGCGGACATCTGAGGGGTATCGTTTTGGAGAGTGTCTTGGAACTTTCCAATGGCGGTGTTGGACGTGATGTGAGAAGCAAGGTTGGTGGGCACCAAAGACGATACGGTATAGTGGTTGTTGACGTCGCGGCGGAGACAGCGTGGGTTATTGCCGTAGCCATCCCTCTGTGGGTTGGCCTTGATTCCGAGCGCAGGGTCCATGGTCGACATCAGAGGACCTAGAGTAACCGTCAAGTTCCCGAAAGGCCCTTTTGTGACGCATCCACCACCTTCACCAGGGGGGATTCCCATCATGCCTCCGCCGTGTTTTACGTAGTCTCCGTTCCCTCCCATACTCCATTCGTCTCCGTTGAAGATGGGTGATTTGGGTAGATCGGAATATTTGCCCCAGTTCCAGTATGGTTGGGCACCTGTACACAGTCAACCCGAGGAACGCTGTAGTTCTTCAATGAGAGACATACCCTTGTATTCGCATTCTGTTTTTAAAGCTGTCTCATATGCCCTGAATGAGTTAGTCACATTCATAATTCATGAAAAGGTGTGATTCATACCAGATGTAGTACCTGTGCCAGTGCATGAAGTTGGCAGTAGAATGTACCGAAGGGGTCATGTTCATATGTACGACCACGAAGTCATCGTATCGGGTCTTCGCTCCAGGGTATTTTCCGGCGGGGAGTTTACTCGGTTTGCTTCGAATGCATTTAACTGCTCTGATGTACTCGAGCCTTTCGTCCTTTGACAAATCACCACTATGTTGACATTAACATTGGATCTTCCACAAATATGAAAATGGCCTAGTCTTACTATTCCTTGCGGATCGACACTGTGTCTTTGGTGCATTTTTCTCGTGTCATACCATCGGCCAGGGTACCTTCCAAGACCTTGTTGGCATTGGTCAAGGCCTGCTTCTGAATGTCGTCGATGCTGAGAGCTTGCCTTTTGTTGAAAGGCCAAGCTGAAACACCAGAGAAGAGGCATAATGACGCCGTGACGGCGGTGAGAAGTGTGTTACCAGCCATTCTGGCGTGTATAAAGACCTGACACTACTGTGCACGTTTTTCAAGGGGGATAACCCCTCACTTTATATGATTATTGCGAGACTACATTCTCAGTGTGCTAGCGACATTCGACACGTGCATCTGTAAGGCCAAGGCCCTCTTTATGGGTGAACTGTTACATCGCAGGCGTTGAACGGAACTTGCAGCCGGTTGTTATTGGAACAACATAGACCCGTGCGACGAAATAGATCGGTTTACTCCGAGAGCGTGAAGATTTTGCCATGGATATGTGATGAGGCTTCATTTGAGAGCCACGAGGCTTACCGTATTACCCAATCAATGACTATCCAGCATCACATGGAGCCCAGCGTTGAGTATTGGTTGTATGCAGACCAACAGCAGAAAGTGGGTATATGCTGAGTCCGGGATGGCACAGGCTGGCGATCTCTGCCAGCAGTATCCGGCTCGTAGATTTACGGTAGATGGGGCGAAGAAATTATATCTTTCGTGAATTTGCTGCGAAAATTGATAGATGCTCAAAACTTAGTACAACTATCATTAACTGTCAGCGCTCAGCTGACTGAATTTGAGGAACTCGATCACTTCATTTTCACAAGTCAAAATAACGACATGCTCTGTTACGCTGAAGGTCCACGAGGAAATGTCTTGTGCGAGCCCCATCAGGATTCGTGCCGACTTGTACTATGGGAGAATCTAGGAACCGCGCAAACCGAGATTAGATCGATGGCCCTGTAATGTAGACGTTTTGGGGGCTCTGTACCAATCTGTATGCATGCACCATTGTAGCTATGATTTACACCGTAGACATGAATACATCCAATCATAATTCCCCATTTTCTCGGAGCTCTCGCGTGGTTGCATCAAGTCGTAACAACTACCGGCGTATCGCTATTCGGTTCTCCTTCTACCGGTGTGGGGGAGCCAATGTGGTCGGAGATATATACGCGAATTGATTGCTCACAATATAGGAAGGTTCCACAAATGCACCCCAGCCTTGGCAATTCATTCTGCTGAGTTTTCTCATGCGTCTTTCATATCGAATGGAATACGGCACATCGTAGGTGATGATTCGGGTTTCGCATTATCAATATCATGTCCATTGGGCCGGATTGATGGGGTACTGGTAGAGCACGTCAACAAGCCATTTCCTTCAAGTGTCTTGCACAAACATGGCTGCGCGATTCCTATACATTATGAGCAAACAAGAGCAGATTGTTGCTCACCATTGTTCAACCGTGTGCGATTTAGGAAGAGCAACGAGGTATCTCTGGGTTTTGAAGGAGGTTAAACAAGACGATGTGCGCTGGTGGTAGATTGAGATGAAAAATGGGAATGGAAGACGTGCGATAAAAGAACATGGATCGACTGTAGAATGAAAATATCTTGCGATAATCCACAGACCTTTTTGCTCTCCAAGGTGACTAGAATAGTATGATGTTATGTACTCATACAGACATACAAACGTGGTTGTCATAGAGAATTAGTGCTTTCGCGCTCCTTGTAATGCCCGACTAGATATCTCCAGAAAATGGTGCACACTGTTCAATAGAACCATACTATCGCGCGACTGTCTAACCAGATATTTAGCGTGAAGTTTTGTGGTGAAGATACTAGCTGGAGAGCTGCGTCTCGTATATGATTCTCCGGTGATTGAACATCCGAATCTCAAAAAAGGATTTAGTCGTGGTATAGTTCGCCCAAGAATCATACGCACGTATTCGCTCAGGCTTGTATCCCCTTTGTGTCCCAATATGTCTAATGCGAATCGAATTGTGTACTCCGGCCCGCCCTGAAAGACCGGGCATCAGTTGAGTGAACTCTGTTCCGACGCCACTGACTGATGTTGAGACATATAACAGATGGTACCAAGATGTCCACATATCAGACATCATGTCGACCGGAAGGGAAAGGGAAGGTTGTGTGGCAGCGTGGCGTTACAGATGCCGAGACCCAAGTCGTTTGTGCCCGTATCTGGCTATATACTCGGCGGTCCGGAACAAGTCGTTCATCAAAAGCGCCGAGTTTGGAAATACAAATCAGTACCACGAGTTGCTGCCCGAAGGTGGACCGATTTAGAAGTTTATCGACTTCGATACAAGGTTTTACCAAAGAATTCAGGTGTGCAAGGAAAAAGATCAGCGGGTTCAGACACCAGGGATTGGCAGAGTGATCAAATCAGTAGCCCTACAGCCAGCGCCCAAGCAGGACGAGAGAGATCGGCGGCACTGCGATGAGCATATCGACCATGAGTCACAGTTGATGGATTGCAGGAAGAGCTCGATACACGGAATGATTTTCAGGGTGCAGCATAAGGACGAAGGGATTGCAGAAGCATCGCCCAAGTACCTGGTGCTACACGAGTTGGAGGATGGGACGGAGATTGGGACGGCAGAGCAAGAAAGAATCGACATTGCGGAATAGAGCCGTGATGAAGCCGGCATGGCAGGCCGACGAAGGTGTGTTTGAGTGTATCTGGGGTGCAGGTTCGGAAGACGCCGGGTGGTGAAGGCTCGCCTCCTATTGGTCTGCTTTAGTACTATATTCCATAATCCATAGCGAATGTGGGTAGGTGGGCCGTGGACGGATCAAACTCTAGCTGTCACAGTCATGTTCGTGTACAGCACAAATCCGCATACGAACCGAATCGCCGACTGCTTGCTTCCATGGAACATTTGAATCCTTCCTTATTTTCGCACGTGAATTCGTGAAGTCGTGTCATCATTTCGCGCTGGCTGTCGCGTTGGATGGATCCTCTAGGATCGCCTGCCATGCAGCCATGCAGCCATGCAGTCATCCAACTCCTGCGTTATCACCACGACTTCCATCTCGACACCCTTCCAAAGCAATTATCGATGCAGGTAAATGCGATACCGGTAGTGAATTCGACATGCGCTAACATCTGTCAAAGCACGTACTGTGATCAGACCCTCTATGTTAAGGGCTTCATGTGGCCCGGTATGGGCTTTGCTCGAAAACCCTTGATTCAAGCTGCCAACGTGTACCTCGGGCTCCAGGATCCTCATGATAATTAAGAGGATATTATCCGCCTATGCCGCCTTCGAAACGGGGAAACGGGACATAGCGTTGCTGGAGCGGCGCCAGACAAGCCTCGGAATCCCAGATATCGTCGCACGCACAGCGCAGCAACCGACTGACGACCTTTCTCAGGGGCTTGCCCAGCAGAGTTTTTACTTTTGGTGGCACCCGACCGAAGCTGTTTGATTTGCGGGTGTGTGCAGTGAGCGTTTAACGCACCACAGCCTAGTGACCACTGTCGCTCTCTTTCTTTTTTAATAACCTCAGTTCCAAGAATCAAGGCGAGGCGTGGTCATAGCTCCCGGTTATCAATCCGAAGGATGGGTGCAAGAGTTCGCTCTTATGCAAACTGTTCTGCAAGCTGATCAATGTCAGTATCTTGTCCACCGGAAATGGTCAGTGGCGCATCAGTAACTGATGATGGTGGATGAAGTTTGCCTTTCGCGATATCGATGTCCTCGGACTTTGATGACTGCAATGAGGATACGAGAGAGCATGTCTCAATCGCCCACTTGTCAACGCCACGACCGCCTTACTTTCTACCGTCGCAGAGTCACGGCCCCTTGCGCCCTGTGCTCGTACTAGGACCGGGGACTCTCTAACGAAGAGGCAACCCTCCTTTCTCACCCCTACCCGGTGTACCCATTAGGCAAAGCGTGCATGTGACTGACGTGTCCTAGCGCGTTTTTGCTCGACGCGAGCGTACAGGTAGGTTTCACGCGTCTTAGTCCCCCCGACCCTGGCCCTTGGGCAAAAAGCGGCCTCCTGGACGGCTAAGTATTTATTCAGGGCCGAGGACGCTCTTGCTTGCGTGGATATTCCCCCTTCTCGACCATTTGCCACTGCAACAGTTTCTGCCTAAGGTTCTAGTCTCTTTTTGTCGTTTCCTATAAGGCTTCCTATAACTGCTGCCTATAACATCTGACTATATATTCATCCTTCGCCATCACCTTCATCCTCCTTTCCCTTCGTCGGACGTCAACTCACATCAACCTTCATCATGTTTTCAAGTCGATCAAGACAACCGAGCGTCTCTAAGCACCGATCAAGCAAGTCGAAATCTTCAAGAAAGAATTCCATGGTAGACTCCACAAGAAGGAATTCATTCTTGGACTCACCACGGAGAGTAGAGAGGGCTGTACAACAAGCACAAGCTTCCCCTCAATCAAACCAGACCTCTCCTACTATCGGAAGGTAAGTCATCACATTACTGGACATCCACTTGGAGATGACCAAACATAACTAACATCATTCATTAGTGCCATCATCACACTTTCCATCGGAAGGGAACAGCGTCTTTTTGCTGCTCATGAAGATGTCCTATCACACTCGCCCTACTTCCAGAACATATGTCATGGCCAGTTCTTCTCCGCCGCCAACAGGCGGATCGACCTCCCTGAAGAGGACCCCGAAGTGTTTTCTTCTATCCTTGAGTATTTGTACAAGGGTGACTACTACCCTCGGCTCGAATATGACACCAAGCGCAAGAGCTGGAATCTTGAAGATGGTGGTGATGCCGGCGCAGATGGAGGAATCATTCACACAACAGCTGGCCCTATTTTGAAGGACACCATCGTCTACTGCCAGGCTGAGAAGTATGGACTCCAAGAACTGAAGAAGTTGGCGTTGAGGAAGCAAGGCCTACAGTCCGGCGTTCAATGCTCAACCATCTTGACATCGGCTCGCTTCGCATATGCGAACACGCCTGACAGCGACTCGAAGCTACGAGCGCACTATCTTGCTCTCATCATCCGTGCTCGTCATACATTCAAGCGCAGTGGTACCATGCAGAACGAAATGGAGAATGGCGGCAAGCTTTTCTTCGACCTGTTCGTTGCCATGTCCAACCACATGGACGATATGTCCCCTCGTACTCCTCGTTAAAGCCGACACTATCACCCAACGCCATCGCAGATTGATGTCCTCATCTCAGTCTATCTCATCTCAACTCCAGATAACACCGACCGTACTCTGCTCTTTTTAATCACCGCTTGAATTCCGCGGCACGGCCTTGCATCTTACCCAGATGCTCATCTCTTCTCTACTCTCACTTCGATTCACATTGCCGCGCCCTTACCTTTTCCACCTTACATCTTTTCCGGACCTAATCGACATTATTCCTTTGGAGCAACCACTCTGGCACGCAATCCTCGCCACGGTACCTTTTTCCATTCTTGTAATTTAGACTTACCTCGCCCAGCCACTCCGGCTACGACTCACGGATCCCTCGAGGCTGTACATTTGATTTCCTATTCTTCCGTCGCTTCCTATCACTCTACGGCGTTCCATGGTTTTGACAGGTTTCTCCTATTGATACCATTCTGGCACTCGTTAGCCGACCCCATTGTACTATTATATAATTTCCTCTTTCTTCTTTATCTTTCTGTTGCGATGATGATTGCGCTTTCTTCTCTCTTCGACGATTGTTCTCCTTGGGCCTCCACAAAAATTGTCAGATCGTCTTCCCCTCCAGGCTCTGTTTCCTGCTGCTGTTGTTTTTGCGAAGCGTATGGTTCTCTTTCCTCTTTGCTCTTCCCACTCACGACACAAACAAAACATCTCGAAACAACGTGGTTGAGTCACGGCAGCCTTGTCTTTGGCTGTGCTGTTTGTCATTTTTCATTGGTCTCGCTATTTCACTCAATCGGTATTGGTTATTCCTTTGATGACGACTTTCGTATCTCTCTATCTGAGTCTTTTCATGGGTTTCAAGCGAGTCTTATCTCTTTCTTTCGACCGGGAGATTAGGAAGAGGAAGCATCAAATTGCACTGCATCTCTCATCGATTATCAGATGGAAGTTGCTTTTTACTTTCAGTTCTTTTTTGGATCTATGAGGAGGATCCGCCCAGATTGTGTAGCTCAGTTTTTTATTTTCTATAGCCGCTTCTCTCGATGGGATCGGGGGAGCGGTGACAGAAAGCAATTCCAAATCTATCCATGAGCGCAACCTATCTTCCCGTGTATTGCCTGCAAACAGAATGAAGTGCTACTGCCGTGAGACATCCGATAGACACAGCCCCCCGGTATTCCACCGGTTCACAGGGACACGGCATCGGTGTGATCCAGATCAGATGGATTGCGCAGTGCATCCCTCTAGAACCCCAACCCACCCCCCTCGAAAAACGCAAAAACTCAAATGCCACGCCTTCATCCTTCACCCCCTTTTCCGCCAGCCAAAGATGAGGCAAGAACCCCCCCACAATGCAGACGTTACCGCCATGACCAAGGCTCTAAATTGCGACGAAGCAAAAAAGCAAGCACCTCGCCACCCCCTGCCGACCACCATAGTACGTACATACGCAGCCTAGTCCGGCCAGCCGTCCCAACCGAGTGGTCGTCTCACAGGCCACAGCGGGATGAACGAGGGACGACAAGGTTCAGTCTCTGCTCAGCGGCGCCGCTGGGCATGCTGCTAGCGGGAAGGGAAAGTGAGCGTCGGTACAGAAAGTGGATGGATGGGTGGGTAGGTGTGGGTGCAAGGATACCCGTGGGAATTACGTTTTGATGTGCTGTTCAGCAGGGGCAAAAAAAGCAGTAATAAGGCGCGCGATATCAATGCACGGATGGTTGCACTTGGAAATGGCGAGATTGATGAATGAGTCACTGACTCAACTGCGAGTGAGACGTTGCACTACCTGCATGGGTTGTGAAAGCGGGACAGGGCTAGGAAAATAACAAAGGAGTGGACGAGTGGGTGGGTACGACGCGGCGGAAGCCTTAATTAGCCATGTTGAGCTGTTGAAACGACCTCGACGCGATATCACGAGACGCTCCCGAACTTTCCCCTTACAAGGATTCCTTGGAAGGGGTGGTCAGCGCAGCTGCACAGACCTTTCGAGACTTGTGGCAAAACTATTGAGGGTACATGACACAAACGCACCCAAGTCCCAAGCATGTGGTTGGATATAATTCAATCGCTAAAGTAGAAATTTGTCCCTCGTCGAGAACGTCGCCGAGCTTCCGAACTTGATCCAGCGTTGATCCGCGGTTTCGAGAATTGTACATTGTCGGATTGTTGTTCAATATCCACCCACGAATGATCATTCGCGGGAGAATGCCGGACTAGGAGATAGTAGGCAGAAATGCTCGCTAATCATACCCCTGTCCGCGGGAAAGCGCCCTTTTTGTTCAGCACAACCATTGCATGTTCGTGGGAGACGTATCCCTTCATGTGCCCCTGTAATGACAGTCAGCCTTAAAGCATTGGACAAGCAATCATATTGCTTCGGAAATGGCCAATGGAAAAATTTAACCTGGTGCCGAAGCCATACGAGACCCACACCAAGCGGAAAGATGCATAAAACGTGCCGTGGGATTTTTCGAGGGTTAGGGTTCTGTGAGGGTGTATTGATGGAAGACAATGTGGCTGCACTAACCTTGTATATCATATTGGCCAACAGACACTCGACCTCTTCGTCATCAATCACTTGGCCACTGTCTGCGCCCGCAGTACTCATTCTCAGAGCTGCGGCAAAATGCGACAGTGGTATTCTGCTCTTTCTGATCCGGTCCTTTTCGGTCTGGCCTTCTTTCAAATCTTCGAAACCTGCTGCCAAGAACACCTTTCTGAACAAGTTGCGTAAGGCGATGTCGCGGCTTCTCTCAAGTGTAAGGAAAATCCTTCGCTTCACAAATTCGGGTTCACCTTCGGCCAGGGCTTTGTCGAAACCTGAGAGGTCGCCCTTCCTGATTGAGTTTATCAGGTCTCCGAATAGGCTACGGAGTTGCGGGAACTGGTCCAGCAGTTTTTTAGTTGGAACAGCATGCTCCGTGATGAGTCGGCATGGGATCAAATAAGACATTATCAGCCTGGTGTTCAATCATGTATTAGCAGATCGTCTGACTCATATGTAGGCTGACATACTCATGGTTTCTGGTACTGTACGCGTAGCATGTATTCCAAGCTTCGGTCAATGATGCTTCAGCCTATAAAGTATTAACTGAGTGCTTCACTGAAGAACGATCGAAAACTGACCTTCGGATAATCTTCTTGAAGGAACGAAATGACACCGATGTAGTACATGTAAGTGACTCGGTGTGATGCTGGATATAGGTGGAACTGAGGGAGGTCCGATTGCGCTGCAATAGACTTGACCACGTTTTTAGACAAACTGATGGTTTTCAGCTATGGTATGGGTCAGTGTCTGCATCATTGAGCCTGATGCAGGGTATTTCGATTCACCTTGAAGTACGTTTTGAATTGGAGATTGGCAATGCAGTATACACCCCATCTCCGTGAAGTCATCCAATCCGGGTTTCTGTCTCCGAGGCACAACGCAAATATCCTGTTGAATACTCGCGCAGCCTCTTCAAGTTTCTCATTACGCGGGGTGGCGCTCACGATATCATCTTGAAAACCAGCACTGAAGGCAACGGGTTTAGCCTTGGCAATCTGCTCATCGGCTTTAAGGGCAAACTTTCTGAGGTGATTTGCGGTAAAGTAGAGTGTGAACACAGTCCAATGCGGAAGTGCACCGTTCGATATGTATTTTATGAAGTTGCTTGTCAAGTCTTTCCAGGCATCGTAGGTATCTAGAGCGTGACGTTCTGCAGATCTCCCTTGATTTTCAGCCTGCTCGGCTTTGACGATTCTATCGACAGCCCGCCAATAACAGGATATTATTTCGGCCCAGGCATTGATCTCGTCTGACGACATGTGCCGTCGCATCTGCGACTGAAGTGCATATTGCACATCGCCTTTCACCCTAACTTCGTTGGTAGTGCGCAGGAAGTCATAGAGACGGCCGGGGTTCTGTGACGGCGGGATCGGACTCAGGAAGCGGGCGACAGCGACAGCCGCACTTGAGGCATGGGCGGTATAGAACTCGACGAGGGCTTCCTGCATGATTGATTCGGTCAAGAATCTCGAGGGGATGTCGCAATGCTGTAAAGGTGGACGTTATGTGAATGATGCTGCGGCATGAGATGCGACCGGCGGGTGGCTCAAGCTTCGCGCATCTTCGGTGGTGACGATCAGGAACTGCGCAATTACTCCAATGTTGGGGTACTTTATGGAGGGGATGATTCCTGAGCTCAGTAGAGTTACGTCGGTCCTGACGAGCTGGCGGGCCGACTTCGGGCTAGCGCTAAATGGACTAGCGCAGAATCTGCCCACACGAGATTTTGGCACCTCACCACTCACCAGACTTTCGACTTCGACAACACCGGTACTAACACCACACATAGCAGCAAGGTACGTCGTGTTCAATCTTCATCAAAGCCGTGTGCGAATACTAACTTGATCACAGATGGGTAAGCATCCCTCCTTTTTCCATTCCCGTTCCCCGCCCGGCAGTAGCAGTTCCCATGTTTGCACAAGTCGCTCGCAAGGCCCGATCCGACTCCAATTCCCCATTTGCAATTCGAGAATCAGCATTCACAATGGAAGCTGCTGTGGAACAAGTGTCAAGCGAGAATGACGACGACCTATGTTCTTGGTGGTGGGGGGTCGCTTGAAGAAAAAGACGGAATGTGCGATTGTTGGAGGCGTCAGCGAGTTTTTTCGGGACCCGTTGCCATGCAAAATTGCAACATTCGTCGACTACGGCACGACTGCACAATGACCGCGACTGCTACTGCCGGATTTTGCAGACATCTACTATCTGAGCCGGACTAACGTCAATAGGTCGTCTTCAGGAATACCAGGTCATCGGCCGTCACCTGCCCTCTGAGGCCAACCCTACCCCCAAGCTCTACCGTATGCGCATCTTTGCGCCCAACGATGTTGTGGCCAAGTCGCGATTCTGGTACTTCCTTGGCAAGCTCCGCAAGATCAAGAAGGCCAACGGTGAGATCGTAACGATGAACCTGGTGCGTACTGCAGAAACCCGAGCGATTCGCTCGTACTATCACGATGTCAATGGACTCTTGCTGATACCTGGTAGATCCACGAGAAGCGCCCCCAGAAGGTCAAGAACTTCGGTATCTGGATCCGATACGACTCGCGCTCCGGTACCCACAACATGTACAAGGAGTACCGTGAGATGTCCCGCTCCGACGCCGTCGATGCTCTCTACCAGGACATGTCCGCTCGTCACCGATCTCGCTTCCGAGATATCCAGGTGTGTATATTCGATGTCAATTCGATTTCGCCTTTGCTGACAATTGGATAGATCCTCAAGGTTGTTGAGGTCAAGAAGGCTGATGACGTTCGCCGCCCCTACATCAAGCAGCTCCTCACCAAGGGTCTCAAGTTCCCTCTTCCCCACCGTGTCAGCAAGCCCAAGTCCGGCAAGATCTTCGCTGCTTCCCGGCCATCAACTTTCTTCTAAGCGTCTTCTTTACTGGAGTGGGGTCTGGCTGGTGGGAATGATACGGCTTTCTCGGGCTTTTATGCATAGCTTCAGATATGAACTGTACTAGGAACGAAATCAAAATCACTGATACCAACCATGTCAATGGCATCATTGGCACGAATGATGCATGAAAAGGCCGCTCCCTCCACTATTTCTATGTCACCAGAAACATTGCGATTCGAGAACCCTATTTCCCAATTCCCATCTCCAAGCGTCACCACCCTATTATATCAGTGTGGAAGCGTGATGTTCGCCGTCCTTTTCGAATCGACTTCACGTTGCCATTTCCATGCTCCGTGTCATTCGATTACTCTGAGTAGCTGCATTGGGTGGTCAATGACTTAGCTGAAGACATTCCAGCGCGGAGGAAACAGAAACTCAACAAGCTTACGTTCATTTATGAAGAGCGTGTCGAGCCAAAGACTACATACATGTACATAAGTATGTACCTACCTATGTAGGTACCTACATAGGTACCTAGGTATGTATGTAAGGTACGTGACATGTGTGTAACACACGATGCTCTCAAATGCTCTTTCTTTCTTCCACTTACCTACACATGTCATGCCGCGCCTGTGCTTGCCATCGCTATTCTCACTTCAATCTACCCTTGCCTTAACTGGCAGAATGGGCAGGGCAGGTACAGACACACTGATGTTATAAACATCCTCTTTTCATCTCTCTCCTCCGCCCTTTACATACCCATACTTTCATAGCACAGTCCAAATTGCTACAATTCATCAAACTCTTCCACCTTCCACCTGCACCATGACGAGGACTCATCACAAGCGCAGTACGAACCGGAGCCAGAATCCATCCAAGCTACGACGAGATCGTGAAAGATCTGAGAGGTACCAAGAGCTCAAGCGTGCTCGCAATCGCGATAACGAGTCACTGTTGTCAACAGGTAGGCTATTTTCCTATCTCCTAATCACACCGCACGAATGTTTACCAAGTTGTTGTTGATCTCCACCATCATATTCTATGTTACTGCACTAGAGGATCAGTAATCGTGCTGGTCGGTTCAGAGAAACAATTGGCTGAACATGTGGCCAAGCCGGGTTTACGAGTCGCCTCTCTTTTGACCTCGGCCCTCCAACATGAGCTGCTTCTCCGCATACATCGTTGTACAATAAACATGTACTCGGGCATTGATATGCTCTCTTGATCGCACGTCAACTAACAGTCCTTCAACTCACCTTCAAGAACTTGTCGCATGATTTGCTTTCGCTAATAATACATCTCAGAAGCTCCACCACAGAGCAACTTCGAAACAATGCCACAACCCCGCAAACCTCCAATGCTCCCCACATCATACAACACCCATCCTTTCACACAGATCAAAACAGAGCACTATGAGTCCGACCCTTCTATCATCATTCTCACGCTCTACCGCCCCAAGAACCACAATGCCTTCACCGAAACCATGATGCGTGAGCTCGAAGAAGCGTACTCCATGTTCGACATCGATGATCGCGTGAAATGTGTAGTATTCACAGGAACAGGCAATATCTTCTGCGCTGGAGCAGATCTAGACCTCGGCTTCACCGGTGGGAAAGAGCCAGTCACTGAGCATAGAGACGGGTGAGCCCTTTCGTCCTCTTTTATATCCTTGAACCCCGAAATCATGAATATCATCTCACCCTCTGTTCCACGATCAAACAAACCCATGGGTTCGATGGAAATTAAATCAACACGTTCAAATCCCTCCTCATATGTGGTATCTGCGACTGACCCCGTGGAACAGCGGCGGCCGCGTCGTCTTGGCAATTCACCACTGCCGCAAGCCCACCATCGGTGCCCTCCAAGGCTCCGCCGTCGGCGTAGGCATAACCATGACTCTCCCCATGAACATCCGGATCGCCTACGCACCCTCGAAGATTGGTTTCGTCTTTGCGCGTCGCGGACTCGTCATGGAAGCATGTTCGTCCTTCTTCCTCCCGCGTCTCATCGGACATTCCCGCGCCATGCAGGTCGTCACCACGGGCGCCACGTACCCCGCGTCGTCGGATGTGTGGGGCGGATTGTTCGCGGAGACGTGTGAGAAGCGCGAGGATGTTTTGCCTAGAGCGTTGGAGGTTGCGAGTGAGGTTGTGAGAAACACGAGCTCGGTCAGTACGTATTTGGTGAAGGAGATGATGTTCAGGGATAAGGGGGATCCCGAGAGGACGCATTTACTTGATTCCAGGATCTTGTATGAACTGTTCAGCTCCGGGTAAGCCTTCCTCTTTCTCTTTGATTATGTGTTTGTGGAGGGGTGAAGGGAACGCGGTTGGGCTGTGTGACTGTATACATGGTTTACTGATTTGTTCGCTCGTTGTTTAGGGATAACAAGGAAGGAGTGAAGAGCTTCATGGAGAAGCGCTTGCCCAAGTTTGAGGGGACGATGGATAATACGGCTTTGTCTGCTTACCCGTGGTGGGATCCTGTGGATATTCTTGGGAGGGCCAAGATCGGAGGTGGTGGTCAGTCGAAGTTGTAGGCGTGGGCAGGGTATGAAGGTACAGATCGCGACGTATGACGGACAAGGTGTCATACATACTGTTGATATTCTCTTGCTGTGTAAACTTAGGTACACACAAATATCGAGCTTGAATTAGACAAGTTACATGCCATGATAGAAACAATCATATTCCCAATCATGAGCTACTCATAAGAATCAATGAAGTTGTCCAGGGTATCATTTTTTTTTCTACACATCATAGTACAAGTGGCCTAACGCTCAGGCACAGGCTTCCCCCTCCTTTCCCGCATCTCCATAACCCTCTTTCTATCTCTCTCAAAGCCCTTCCGCAATTCATTCTCTTTCTCCTTCCTCTTCTCGCGGTTCTGGAACCTGTAGAAGTCGTCCTTGATTGCGTTCTTCTTCTTTCTCTCCTCCAGCTCATCGCGCTTGAGTTCTGCTTGCTCGATACGTGCTGCAGGAGCGGTGCGACCACCTCCACGCGTCACGGTTATAAAGCCGTCTTCGTCGGGGACGGCGCGCGATTTGGCGAGGAGACGGTTGCGCAGAGCTTGCACTTGGTCGAATTGGATGAGGTAGTTGGTTGCGGAGTTGTGGAGGGCCGTGGGCGCTGGATATTGGAGCGCGAAGTGAGATTTGTATCCTGCGATGAGAATGTTAGTACTGTATCTTCCGTCTCACCAGCTTCTCGTCACGAAGCTAGGATAGCAGAAAGAAGATTGAAAAAAAGGGCAACTCACGTTCGACACCCACAGCCTCACCAGCTTCCCACTTCAAGCATCCCCCCTCCTTAGCCACCTTCTTGACCTCCTTCCAAGCCCCCGCCATACTCTTGCGATCCACAAACACCACAACCGCGCTCCCACCGCTCGCTCGAACCTCCCCACTCCACGTCCGTGGCAGAGCACTCTCGCTATCTTCCACCACCCCCTCCGCCACAACCTCGTTATCCTCCCTTTTCCTCTTCAACCCAGCCTTGGCGCCCGGCGGCGCATTCCCCTTCCACCGCTTATGCTCAGGCGCCGCGGGAATCGCAGAGTCAAACTCTACATGCGACACCCGCGACCCACCCAACTGCTCGGCAAAAAGCGCGCGGATGTTCGTCTCAGACGCATCGATCGGGACATTCGCTACAAACAGGCTGCTATCGGTGGTAGACGTAGTCTGCGACGGGTTGTGCGGCTGGACATAGAGGTAGTGGTTTGCGCCGCTCACGGATTCGGGGAGGCCTGGCAGCGCGGGGACGGCGAGCGGCAGCACCGTGAAGGTGCCGACCGATGTTGGGATTTTTTGGCGTTTGGCTGGTTTCGTGGCCGGGGTGGGCGCCATTGTTTGGAAAAAATGGCGAGAGCGCGGATCGAGTGGGAGGAAGTGTTGCAGAACTTGTGCTGTTTCTTGGTCCCAGTGTGTGGTGGGCACGATGCTCGTTGAGAAATTTTGACAGGGGTGCTATGGGTTGGTTGGCTTGGCGTTGATGGGGGAGCTACGTGATTGTGCTACCATGGTATCACCACACTTACTTGCATCGCAAAGATGGTGGGAACTTTCGACATGTCACGTTCGGATGGTAATGTTGGGAATGTGTGGTATGGAGTTTGAGCCCCGTATTTCAATCATGTTATCGAAATATCTTTTTCGTAATCTAGTACCATCAATCAATCCACCAGCGAGTGATTCCGTCTCGATCCCAAAAAGACTGCCATTGCTGGATAAAACCCCGTCGAAGAAAGATATAGAACCAAAATGTCATGTCGCGAATATCACTTAGAATATAGATCTCGTGAGCGCGTGCCGCTTGCGCATACCGTTCGCCAGAACCCAATGAAATGTTACCCAGTCGCTCCCGCACGTTGCCGCCCGTCTGTTCCGAAGAATCCGGGCTTTACTGTGCAATGCGCGATGTCATAGCGACGTGGGAGTGAAGACTTCTCCAACACCATGAACGGGAAATTTGACTCCAATTTACCTTTGTCTCATTATATTTTGTACATGGCCTCGTACACAAGATGACCGGACGCTGAGCTGGTCTCAATATATAGGGCAATGATGAGCCTGCGTCGAATATTGCGGACTTGAAATGTGTATTTTTCAGTTGAACCCACCCGGCATCGTTTTGATCGGAGAGTCTGGAAGTGATGGGAGGTCTTCCAGTTTGTCTTGTTGTTTGATGTTATCCGAAGGCTTGGATTGTAACTGCTTGCTCTCGTGCTCGAATGCTTCAATGGAAGAGAGCGAAGAAGCGGAAGAGCCATCTGCTTTGAGCTCAGGCGTAGAAGTTGCAGAGTCGACTTGATTAGCGTCATCCACGTTAGGGTCACCGGAAATGCGAGGGCGGAAGGGGTTTCTGGGGGGGACTTTGGGGGGGATAGGCTTCGCAACTTGCACAATGCGGGCTCGTGTAATAGTTTGTGGCGCGGCAGCTTGGTGAACTTCTGCGATGACTGGCTCTTCCTCATCTTCGTCCTCCTCCAGATCAACCTCATCAAAAGCTCTGGAAAGCCGTGTTGGGCTGGTAGGCGGTGAGTTGGATTTTATAGAGGACGGTTTCTGGATTTCTGGGATTACTTGTGTGTCGTGGACTGGTTTCGTCTCAGGGATGTCGGCAAGTGTAGGACTTGGTGTATGGACGTTTCTAGGCGGTAGTGACGGTGGCACATGGATGGTTGTCGGTTGGTCCAAGTCAGTTTGTGTTCCCATACTGACCATGGCTGGGGCTTTGGTTTCAAGAACACTGCTAATCGTGCTTGTTCTCCAACTCGAGCGCCGGCTACTATTCCGACCGTCATAGCTTGAGCGATCGAAGCTTTTCCTGAAAGTGGCATATACTGGGCTAGTAGGTGAAGGGTTGAACTCGAATTGTTCGCTTGTAGGCCGTTTTTGTGTACCCGCTTCTCGTATCTCCAGTCCAGCATTTTCCAGCGCCAGTACCCCGAATGGATCGGGATCTTCCTTGGCGGGAACACCGAAGAGCTTCTCGTCCGCCTGCTCAATCTCGTAGTCACCCGGCGGTGGCTCGCTGGTGATGAAAGCTTCGTCTATGCTTGTTTCTCCTTGCGCGGCCCTGGCTGTTTCCAACAGTTTTCTGGTTTCATAAGGAGGATGGCGCACTTTTCCTGCCAATATGTCCTTCACCCCTATGCGCTCTTTGTAGAATGCTTCGTTCGCGTCGCTCCGCTCGATTACGATCGTTCCGTCGATTTGGACACCAGCGTAGAAACCTCGAGACTTGAGATATGTGAAGAGGGGGGCTTGTCGCTTGTGAACTTCGGATTCCACGACACCACCTACCCCGATAGGACCTGCGACGGCGCTGATCTCTCCGCCCAATGTACACCTAATCGTCGAGAAGGCGTCGAGAGCCTCTTGTGTATTGATGACAATGACGCAATCATATATGTCCACGCCCACCAAAAAGCCCAGACCGGCCGTGTGTAGCATGATGCCCGAAGGTGGGGACCATGTCCCGTCTGGTTTGCGACCAATGAGTACGCCACTACCACCAGCCCCAGACACCCAGAGCCCAGTCCTCATGGTAGTGAAAATGGCAAGACCTTTTGCATTTTTGATAATCTGTATATCTTTTAGCAAAGACGTGGAGAGTGGAGTATGCTCAGGTTCGTTCACATACCTCTGGGGGTATCGTCTTCAGGACTCTTTGCTTTGACTTTGGATTCGGGCCATCGGTGGAGGGACGGTCTTCTTCCTGGTAGAAGCCATCTTTACAGAAACTTCTCAGGATCCTCGCAGCTTTGTCGGATTCCTGGTCGAGGGTTGTGGGCCAACTATGAAGACGACAAAGTTAGTGACTGGCTGGTGAGCGCAATCGAGCAGGCAGCATACAATGCTTCTGAGCCCAGTTTATTTGACATGCGATTGATAGGCTTCCCTAATTTATCTACCCATCCATAAACAACATCGAAGCCTTGCTTCGAGTTGGTCTTGGTCCTAGACCAGAAAGCCATCTCGGAGGAGGCGGGAAAGCTGACGGAGGTGGGTGGAAGCCGGGGTTGGGAGGCAGGCCAGGCTGGAGGGGTGTGCGGGGGATATATAGGATTGAGATGATAGATGTGAGATTATGAGCAGTCAACAGACGGGAGGCCGCGGATTATACATTAATAGCAGGCTGGAGGGCGAAGATTCATATGGGGAGGCGTCGCACAGCAGCAGCAGCAGGAGCAGCAGCAGCAGCAAAAGCAGCCCTGCGGCGATGAATGCAAAAGCAAAGAATGGCACGGAGCGACGGACGCAACAGCAAAGCAGGACTATTACATAGGCATGCGTGGAGTGCAGCGGAAGAGGCTGCGCTGCGCGGATCCGGGCGCTGTCATGTCACTACGTTAAATGGCCAGGTCGAGTCCGGTACTGCAAGCGTTGCCATCGTCATAAGGTTTGCCCTTGGTAATTTGGTAATGACGGCTCTAGCTGGCTGGCTAGCACACACACCGTGTGTCTGTCGGGCTCCAGATGCGGAAAACTGGGATGCATCATAGCCAAGGACCCAGCACATCAGCAGCGGGCTGGCAGGGAGCCTATATTGCTTCCATGGGGGGCCACGCGCCCTGATTCGCTCTCAACGGTGTTCCTTGATCCAGTGGCTCGTCTAGCTGCAACGCCCTGGGGGCTGTACCTTTGCAGCTGGACATTGTTGAAGCCCGTGGATGCAAAAGCAATTGGGGGTCCTGTCTCAGCCAGGCGTCAAGTGGCCACGCCGCGTGAGAGACGCCGCTCGGCCCCGGAGATGAGATGGAACTGCGAAACTAACATGGCACAATTTTCACAAACTTCGCGCTTGTTTGTTTGTTGTGCTGATGACCTGCCGGCGGGTTCCATGCTGGTGGATGATTACTAACCACCGGGATCGTTGCCTGGACGTGCTGCCAAGACTTGAGTACATCCGGAGTAACAGTTTTTCCGAGTCGCGCGTGCAGATGCGCGTCTACTGCTAGCTCCACGAAGAGCTCAACTTTGTTTGGCCTTGATCCTCGAGAACAAACAGTTGACGACCGCTGCTCCCCCGCGCACACCACGACCCAATTCTTGCACTCTTCCGAGCGCGCAAAGGGACGCATGCCATCACGGCATACGAGACCGTGAAAGGTCAATTGCGCAACAAACACTATACCCATTAACCCGCAACCATGTTTCGCGTGCCCTCCTCTACGCCGCCATCGACACCGGGACGAGAATCCAGTCGCTCAAATCGACCCTTTCTATCCACGACACCAGCCGGCCCGCCTCCGGAGCTCTTTAGCCCCAATCATCCCTCGAGTACACCCGCAGGGCCTCCACCAAACTTCAATAGTCTCTTCGGCGCCTCGCGACCCAATTTCGACAGACCGGGCCAGCCAAAATTCGATCAATCAGCATTCGGCAGCTCACCACCTAAGCATGGCATCTATGAAGGAGTCGGCGAGGGATCATTGAGAAGCTCCACCTCAGGTCGGCCAGGGTCACAACGTGGGAGAACGGCGAGCTCGGGTCATCGCTTCCAGAGTAGTCCCCCACGAGCCACAGGAGAGGCAGGCGATAGCGAAGAGGGGGATGAGGATATGGATGCAGAGGGCGACGAAGACGACGACGTGCATGATGGGTACTACCGTCCTGTTCAGCGACGTTCGCTTGCTCAGAATCAGTTGTCGCAATCAGTTGTTTCACGGACCAGTGTGACCGATTCCGTGTCCGGTCCCAGTATTGTGCAATCCGGCGCAAAACAAAAACAATACGACTTGCCGAATATTGCCAAAGGCCTGACACCGAACAACGATCGCATAACGCTGCATGAACCGGACAGACTTGTGTTGGAAACAGAAGAGTTGTTGACGACATTGGCTGAATCGTCTGAAAGTGATGGACCGGCGCAACAAGCCCGCTTCATCGGAAACATCGCTCAGGACCTGCTCCAGAAATGGCAAAAAACCCTATCTTCAACATCCCAATCCATGCCTTCAAGCCGATCAGCATCTACTGCTGCATTGAAGAATGCCGTAAAATTGGCAGATCTTCTTATCAACATTCACCATCCCGGTCCCACCGCTGATGCGGAACGCCTTGCAGCGTCAACGTTTTCACTCGCGCGCGTCGGGGCGGCGAGCTTCACACCCATACCTAAAGTTCTGCTAGATTGGCTAAACAAGTACCGGTCAAGTGCATCAGAGATTGATATGGTTTTAAGGGAGAGCGGAGGATATTCTAGGCACCAATACTTCTGGGATGCTGTGCATACATCCGTCTTCCGCGGAGAATTCACCAAAACGGCAGAACTCCTGCAGGGCGCCAATTTTGCGGTTGCTGAAACAGCTCAAGCGGACGACCTCGGCGGGCTAGGATACGAGGGACAACATCGCAGGTATGCGGAAGAGGCCACATATGCAGCCTTGGATCTGCTCCAAGAATGCCCAGCTGTGCGCGCAAACGACTGGGATGTCAAAGGACGTGACTGGAGTATCTTCAGGAGGAATGTGCACCGGGCGTACAGCAACTTGGCAGAGCTTGCAGAAGGTGAAAGCATCAATCGACAATCATTTTCACAGCCCTTCCAAGCCTCACACTTCGGTATTTCACAGTCACAGGCTAGCTTTCAACTCAGCGTTGCCAGCCGTAGAGCAGAAAGTAAAGTTCCTTGGTCTGTCTATCAAAACCTCAGCAAATTCTACCAACTATTGCTCGGAAATGAGGAAGAGATGATGGCGCTGGCGACCGACTGGATCGATGCCACTCTAGGTCTCGCAATATGGTGGGATGGAGAGGAGCAAGAGCCTACTCAGGGTACCTTTGTTGCAAGCCGTCGCTCTCCTGCCCGGCCGCAACGGATAAGAACTGTTGACGTTACTCCAGCTAAAGCTTATTCCCAACGTATGGCATCGGCGCTTGCTGCTGTATTTGACAGCGACGAAGATTTCACCGTTAACACAACGGACCGTTTCGAAGTTGGGGTTGCTTGTATCCTGGATGACAATGTGGAAAGTGCATTGCAGATCCTCCGGGGCTCATCCCTTGTGATAGCATCTGCGGTTGCTGAAGTTGCAACCGCAGGCGAATGGATGATTCTCGCTGACGGCATCCTTGATCAATTCGATCAGAGTGACCTCATGGTCCTAAGTTACACGGAGCAACATCGAAGCGGAGTATCCAAGGACGAACTTCTGGTCGCTTATTCGAAGCTTCTTACGCCGAGAGAGCAAATCAGTAGTGCAGATGGCAGAACGGTGAAGGAGGGCTGGGAGCTGGCAATACGAGCTTTGGGGAGGCTGAGTGACTCAGTTCTGGCAAACGAGCGCATTGAGAGGATTCTAGACCAACTCGAGCTGCAATCCACCGAACGCGTGGATAAAATCATACAGATATGTCACGCTATCGGACTTTCAAACCAGGCGTTCGGTATATCGCTGGTACGTACTTGCATTCCATCCCAGACCGTCGAAAACTAATGTTTGCCATAGAAATACGCCGATCACCTTCGTACCAACACCCAAAATTATGGCGACACTCTTCTGTACTACGCACGAGCTCATGCAAACTCGAAGATACAAGAGGTGCTCCGTGTTCTCGTCGCACACTGCCTTGTAAAATCCATCGCGTATCCGCCTCCTGCACGGCTTGATGAATCGCTGCGTGCTTTGGTTACTTCACCTAAGAGGACTCTTACCCAACTCGCAAGCCTTGATTCAGAAGCAGCACAAATGCTTTCCAATCAACTGAGCGGTTACGCAACGATCCGTAAATATTACGACTTACGAGACGAGGAAATTTTGGTTCAAGACGGCCAGAAACCCGCTCATCGACCGATGGCGAGGAAACGAGTAGCGGCCAATGCGCTCATGGTCATCATTGGAAGCGCAGCATCTAGCATCCATGGAGGCCTCTATGACCCTGAAGTAGAAACTGTAGTACATGTTGATGTGCTATTGCCCCTCCTAGGCGAGGCGCTCGTCTTCATCAACCGTAAGTGTCTTCTCATCACTTCCTCTGAAAATGAATACAAACTAATGTGCTCCTTTCTCTAGAAAATAAACGCACTCTCACACTACGCCACCTCTATTCTCTTCTTGCCGCCATCGAAGACCTAGACACAGCCCCCAGCATGATTCGCACGCAATGCGAAGAAGCACTCCAAACCACCCTTGCAGCCGCCCACTCTACCTCGCCGCAATCCATGCTTCATAAGTCGACTTCCAACCTCACAACGGCGTCCTCGCAATTCTCCCTTATCAACTCGGTTGATCTGGGCTCTGTGGATGCGGCAACAACGCAAAGCAGTGTTGAGAACTCCGCTGTTCTAATCAAAGACGGCAGTGTTGATGATGGTGTGAGGGGCTGGGATTGGCGCAAAGGATTCCCGAAAGGGGCCAGGGGAGAGGATTTGATCAGGCTGCTGAGATTAGGGGTTGCAAGGGAGGTTGCAAGGGCGTTTGCTGAAGGAGACGTTCAGCCGTGATCCATTTCAATCGTAGTTATTAATTGTGCCAATCAATTCAGTAGCCCAAGTCAAAATTACTTGGAGCAAGCTGGATACATGGAGGAGGTGGTATTGAATGTTGGATTGTAGGATAATGAGAACCATGATTCTTTTGAGACAGTCCCCTGTGTTTACAGGTTACGTAGATGTCTCAGACTCAATCCACCAACTTTTAATCTACAACCCAAACCAGGCCTCAGAAGCATCCAAATGTGACGGCACCGAATGCCCAACCCCAACCGCCCAAATCCCCTCCACATTCCCTCCAAAATCATCCATCCTATAATTCCGCTCCGGGGTATCGGGCTTGGAGCTCGTCGGCGTGCCACTCACCCCAAACACATTAGTCCACTGCTTGATGGTTTCGTCGTAGTTCTTGGGCGACAGCGTCCCATCGACCGAGCCATGCCAGATCTGCATCCGCGGTCTCGTGCCATTGTAGCTCGGATACATGCCTCTGACGACATCGCCCCATTTCTGCGCCGAAGCCGTCGACTGTCCGCCCGAGCACGTGTTGTTCCACGCCGCTGCCGCTCCGGACGCCGAGACGAAACATCCCGCAGGTACGCCCGAGTAGAGGGAGATGGCGGAGATGAGGTCGGGGTACGTTGCTGCGAGAACATTCGACATCATTGCTTCCCTCGCGCATTAGAATCAATCCACATTCCTCAAAACTCCGAATTGATAGCAGGAGAAAGAAACTCACCACCGCTAGATCCCCCAGTAACATACACCTTCTTCGGGTCGATCTTATACTGCGTGATCGCGTACTTGATCATGTTCGCGATCGCGTTGCTATCGCCTCCACCATCATGGCTTAGACTCGCTTTACTGGAGACGTCCCAGCACTCGGTTGTTGAAGATGGCCAGACCGTCACGTAGCCTTTGCGATCGGAGCCTTGGTGCCATGGGATCTTGGAGTTGGCGAAGTATTTTTGCGCGCTCGATTGGCACGAGTGGATTGCTACTACGAGGGCGTCGGTTTGGATTTTGTCTGGGACGTAGACCCACCTGTATGATCATACTGTTAGATTTTCAAACGGACACGGATAGGTTGTTTTCTTTTTTAATGGGAGGATGAAGTGTTTTCCACACTTAAAAGGCTAAGAAAAAGGATTTCACAAAAGGCAGGCAGTTACAGAAACAGATTTGAAGGAGAATTGGCGGTGCCGAGTGGCTAACTCACATGCCTGGTTTCGCTTTTGCATTGTTGTTGTAGTTTGTAACTTGCGTGAGCTGCGCCGAGAAAGCGGTAGCTGCGAACGCAGGGATCGCGAGGAGTGTTGAATAAAGCATGCTGATGCAATTCTAGAATGGTTGTCCTGATAAAGTCCTTACCACTACTAAGTTTCGTCGAACAATGGTGGTTTATGCTCTGAACATATCACATTTTCTGGTATCTGCGGGGCATATATCATTCGTGGAATAATTACGACAACACTGGTTCGCGAGAACGCTCGCTGATGCAACGATGCGTTACTTTGAGAGGTATGCATTATAGCATGTACGTCTTAGGCTAATCGGTACAAGGGATTGTAAACAAGCTTTCTGCATCATGTAGTTGTGTAGATTAGCCGCAATATATTTAGGACTGCTGCCCCCACATACGATTACAATCTAGTGTAGCTTGAATATAGCGACTCGTTTTTCTCATGTGCACTAAAGATACATGGAAGCTTAAAAAGACTTGTCAGGCAGTTTGTCTTAGATTGATCACCATTGTGGAGCTATTTGCCATTTGGTTTCGTGTCGATCTTACTCTCTAGTGCTGATAATGCCGGTCATGCCTTCAATATATTGTAAATTGCGATTCCGAAGACACGGTGTGGGGAGATCATTTGTTTTACGATCATGAACTGATGACCTCAAGCATCATCTAAGTGAACTACCGAATGCTTCGCACACCACTTCACACTTGGACTGACTCTAGTGCTTGAATCTTATCCACTCCTCACCTACTCAATTTCTCTTGTTTAGGTGCTTGACTTGCCCGAAAATCGAGCCATTCTCACATACTTTGGCCTAGCTAGACTGCTCTAGTTCAATAATTCCCCAAAAGAGACTATACAACAATGTTACACATTCTAGCTCTCACGAGCACGCTCCTCCTCCAACGGGTCACTGCCCACGGAGGATGTCTCAATTACACAGTCGGAGATATATGGTACCCAGGGTGAGCAAGCCAACCCCAAACCTCAACCCATTCAAACCATCTCTAACATTATCCCAGCTACTCACCTTACGACGACCCCATCCCACAGGACGCCGCCCCCTGGATGCCACAACGAAAATGGGTAACCAACGACCCGATCTTCTCCCCAACCAACATCTCCCTCGCATGCAACGCTCCCGGCGATCCAGCACGCGCCTACATCCCTCTCCTCCCCGGCCAGCCCATTACCGCCGTGTACATGTATTGGGTGCACACCGTCGGCCCCATGATCGCATGGATGGCGCGCTGCCCATCCGACGACTGCCACACCACCGACGCAAGCCGCGTGTCGTGGTTCAAGATCGGGCAGCGCGGGCTCGAGAGCGGGACCATTGAGACTGGGACGTGGTTCCAGGGGAGTTTCTCCAGGTGGGATGGGAGTCCTAGCTTGTGGACTGAGACTGTGCCCGAAGGGCTGCAGAAGGGGAGATATTTGATCAGACATGAGATTGTGAGCTTGCATAGTGCGGGGAAGCCGCAGTTTTATCCGCAGTGTGCGCATGTTGAGGTTGGTGGGGAGGGGGTGGAGAGTCCGGGGGAAGAGTATCTGACTAGGATTCCTGGGGTTTGGAGTATGGATCGTAAGTTTTTTGTTCTCTTGCTTTGTAATCTTTTCTTGGGTGAGTTTTTACTAATGATTTGATGCTTAGAGCCCGAGATCAATATCGATATATATGCGCCTGGCATTGCGAACAGAACAGTGTACAATATCCCTGGGCCACCAGTGTGGAAGGGATAATTTCATGTACCGCTAGGTCAAACTGAAAACGCGCGTTCTCTTTTTTGCATCAAAGTCACAGTCCTGACGCTATGGTATGATTTTAGGAAGATTTTCGTCCATACAAACCAACAAAAACCAGTATCAGCAATACGCCTTGAGCGGGAAGTTCCGTACAGTAATCACTTCGATTAATGACAAACGTTGATCATCACGGGCACTAGCATACTTCCACCCCGTCTTGCCGGAGATAAGAACTTGGAAAAGGGCCCCCGCAGTATCAGAAACAGACAATTCAAGCACAGCACTGACCCAATTCGTCCAAATGAGAAAGAGTGGTACCATATTCAGATACTTCAGGAGCCGCTCCCGTGTGCAATTGACCTAGAGAAATACACTACAACGTTCTACTAAATGATAAGCGCTCCGCACTATGTGCTCTGGTTGCGTGATTATGACCACGAACGTTATCCAACAACATACCGGGATGCTGTTCCTTTGGATGCAAATTATATCGTTTAACTATATATGGATACAATTCGTCTACCTCGACAATTACCAGGTGGGGCTACTACAAATAAGTCCAATTGCGTAAGGACTCAAAGGTGTCAGAATGGAAGGATTCAATGGATTGCATCAATTGTTTCTGAAACCAACTATTGAAAGAAGTGCCGCAGGAACATTTGAGAGATGTGCTTACATCGGACGTGGAAATCGTGGCTGGGCTAGTGAATTCCGAAACCTTTTACTACGTGAATGTCAGACACTCCTCGAAAGTGGAATACTGCGCCACTTGGTGAAGTGGAATTCCACGTGGAAAAGTAGAGCTGAGACATTGGGACAAGGGTGGGTAAGGGCTGGGTGGGGCGGTTTGACAGGGTTCATCGCAACGTTGGCTTTAGACGGCAAGGAACACAGTTTAGTGTATAGTAGATCAATAGTGGGAGGGCTTTTTTACGGATTGGGGCATAGCAATGTAACCATTGACTGTAAGCTCTCTGGTGAGTTCCACGTCAGGTCACATGGGGGTATCAGTCCGCGGAGAGCGGCCTGGTCCATATGGAAAGACGATCTTCTCTCGGAGAGGTCTTTGTTACTTGGTTCCAATTCCACGGCAAGTTATCGCATGAAGCAATAACACACGAGGACCACTGGAGATGTTACAATTCGAGTGCTGTATATAAACTATGCCGAAGACTCTTTATTTTAAGCACTTGTGTTCTTGAAAGATAGCTGACCGTGTACGAGAGCTCTGTTCAAATTAAAATCTGTGCGAATATACACAGTCCAGATCTGCCTGTTGGAACGATGGTTGAGACTTTATGATGAGCGACTCAATGTTTACTACACAGACTGACGGTTGTGTATGACGTGCGTATTGGCGGTCTAATCTTACCCCGCTGGATCTAGGATACTGCGATTCGTAAACACTAACATGCGGCCACCCCTATCATAAATCTATTGATGAAAGCTAAACAGGTTGGCGTAAGTTTCAAATCAAGACGGGTAGAACCTATTGTCTGAGGGGCTTGTCCGCTTTCGGGAGCAGAAGTAGCCTCATCGTTGGAATGATCATACCTCACAGAATTGTCAACTTGGTCTTGCTACAGCGTCCCAATGATCCCACCAAATTTGCGACATCAATGTAATAACGGGAGAGTATATTCGCCGGAAACACTCGGACTCCCCCAGTAATTCTGTTGCGGATACGAGACAAGGGAACAACATCAGCCCCAACCCGCAGGCGATGAGCCTCATGGCGACAAGTTGGATAATTCTCCGATACAACCTATTGAACCCAGCGAAAGTCAGTCTCGTAACGAGAAACACCGAAGAGGCCGAGCCACATACCAGCTACCATCGCTCTCGAGCAACAAGATGAGCCGGGATACTGTGCGACCGCGACTAGGCCCAGAGTAGATAGCTGCTCGTAGCTCTGCTGATGGTTCTAGCAGCCTGACAACTCATCCTGTTTGAGAAGACTATGTAGTAACGATATGTTTGAGTTGCAGCGCAAGTTGCATTGTATAAATGAACTCCAGCGTCCATGATCTTACATTTTCTTCTAGCTGCAGCTATTTGCAGCAATTTGGTTTTTGATAAGCGAAGAGCAACAACGTCGGGAATGCCTACGTTTCTGCCTCGCCTTCGTAGTTGTCCAGAATAGGTAATGTACGAATTCCTTGATGAGAGACTATTACAATCCAAAATTTCCTTTCAGATTTCTTGGAACAAGGAGCCAAGTAAACAATAGATTGCGTCGAACTGACTCTCATATCTAGCTCTTTCGTCAATCCGCGCAATCTCTCGTTGGGCAGTTCCTCTCTTTTCAAAGTCCATTCGCTGTATATACAACACCATTCACTCATTCTCAAAAGCCTCTCAACATAATTACAGCAAGAACAAGAAAAGCCCATGGAAAGGAAGGAAGGTCAGCGCATGGCCAAGTCCAGATCCTCGAGCGAACAACTTCCTTCCTCGACTCCAGGCGGCTCACCAGCTCCGTACGGCTTCGCCAGCTACTACAACACAGCCACCTTGAACGCGCAACATGCCGTTGGAACGCAACCTTACCCGCCCCCACGTCGTAAGAAACTCCCCATGTTGGCACTCATGCCTTTTGCTGCGGGGGTCCATCCGTCTCCGAAGCCTCAATCGCTTCAGATACCATACCAACAGCAGCAGACACAACAGTCGCTTCAGATACCACATCTCCAAACGCGGCAGCAGCAACATCCACTTCAAATACCGCACCAGCATCATCATCATCATCATCAGGGCCAAAATCAACAACACAACCATTACAAATTCCAGCAATATCAACCACCGTCCCACCAATACCAGCAACACCCCCAGTCTCAGGCTCAGGCTCAACCCACAAGTGCAACATACACTCCAGTACCACCCTCTATGAAAACTACTCCGACGTGAAAAAAAAACAATCCTACTTTCGAGTCCTGAAAGTTTTCTCATGCCCTATCCCCTCCATGACTACGTGTCTACCGCCCATGGAGGGGGAAGGAAGGTCACAGCAGCCCGGAACCAAACTAAATGAAGTGTGCTGGAGAGAAGTTTTGCAGCGTGTTTGGATGGGGCCAGGTGAGAAAGTTGGGGGGGATCACATGGCGTTTAAGTAGGGAGGGGGGGATATGAGGAGAGAGAAGGAAGGAAGGAGGAAAAGAGGAAGAGTGGCAGGAGTATAGATGTAGCAGACATAGACCTACATGAATAATCGATTTTGGAAGGTATTAGTTAGCACTGCAGTTAGTCGATTATCAACAAAGCAAAAAAAAAAAAGCCAATGGAAGGAAAAGAAAAAATAGGGTCAAAATCAGAATGGATTGATTGATTACTTGAGTGAAAACGCGGATTCGAATGAAGCGAGTTGCATGTACAAAGGGGAAAAGAAGGAGAAGAAGAAGAAGATATATAAGCATGTACTCTATACCTAAAACAATGAAAAACACAGAATAATAAGCCCACGCTTTTCAACCAGTACTATCGCATGGTGCTATCCTCCTCATTGAGCAGTCCTCGGGTACCAGCAGTAGGATCAACGCCAGCATCCACTTTGTCGTGTCGAAGGTGCTTCGCGCAGATACCTTCCGTATCTGGTGACGCTTGCGGATGACGGAAGACACTCAAATGTTCGTCATCGACGCTCGGATTAGAAGTCGGCACAATGCAGGACGGATTGTCCCTATTCTCGATGAGGATCGACGCTTCATCATCTTGCGATGACAAGACATTAGCAGCTTGCAGAGCCAGAGACATCTGCGCGGCAGTAACCATCGGCATGTTTGCAGCGTTGAGCGTGATGGACATCTGCGCGGCTTCCATGGAATCGCCGATACCATCTCCTTCCTTCTTGATCCACTGACACGTTTTCAAGCTCTTGGTGGCAGCAGAGTCGACGCTTCCCTCATTCTCACCGTTAGCGACAACGCAACTTCCTTCACTGGACGGCGCGTTGTCCGTGGTAGGCCCATCCTGGCTGGACTTGACGTTCCAGAGATGCTCTTCAAAGGCTCCAGCTGGCGGGGCGGCGGCTTTGGTATGTACCTTCTCCCAGAGCAGAGGCGGCAGACCGCGCGGGAAGGTCTCGCTGGCTTTCAGTCCGTTACACTCCCAGTATACTTGTGGCGCATTGAGATGCAGGATCCGTCGGGAGAGGAGGCGTTCTTGAAGTGACCAGGCCCTAGTATCCCACGAGAAGCCAGGCGTGCCCCATTCGAATGTCGGGGTTGCGACAGCAGTAGCAGGATGCATCTTGGATGGTGCACCCTGCGACTCCCAGGCATCCTTTACTTCACTGCACGTACTTCTACTGCTACTACAACAACCGTCGTCGACAGTGTGTATAGTTTGCAAGGGCGAAGAAGTACAGTCGGGTCGATCGAGCATGACGGTGAGGTCCGCGTTACGATATACGTCTGCCGTGGCGATGCACTCACGTTCCTTGTCTTGTGCAGAATCTAAAGTAGAAAGTCAGTGAATATGTCAATCTATCAGTAAGCATATACCGACCTTGCAAGACGCAAAGTGAATCGATCCAGGCATAGCGATAACCCATCCGCTGTAAGGCTGCGATGCCATTCTCTACATTTGCAGACAGTGAAGCGCGAGGGATGTCGACCCGACCGGCTTTGATACGATCTGTAGTCAGTGTGGCATCCGTTTCGTTCCAAGTATGACTCAGAACAGCGTAAGAAGTTGCCTTCTTTCCAAGTTGCGCGCTGTTCAGGATTCGAACATCTGCACCTTCAACCCCGTCGGGACGAATGTCAATCAAGCGTGTAGGCAATACCTTGATACTTCCTGGCTGCTGCTGTTGCTGTTGTTGACAGGCTTCATGTTCGGTTGTACATTCATGAAGCCATTCTGCAACTTGTGCATATGTCTCAGAGACTCCAACCGAAGACTGGTCGACGTGCACATGATTGTGGTCGGGGCTGGAGTCATCAGCGTACATCTTTGCAGCTTCGATTTCCTGATCGGGCCCGGGGTAGCAGGCTTGTTCATTAGGCCAGCTCAGACAGCAAGGTGCGGGTGTGAAGATCATTGTCAACGTAGCTGCGTCAGGCCTCTCGGCTGGATTGGCACTCAGCATTGACTTGACGGTTTGCACAACGGTGGTTTCCGCGGAGCTGGATGATTCTTCGAAGAACTTCGAAAACCAATCTTGCAAAGCGGGAATATCCTGCCAGTAGTAGCTGGTCTTGCGTCCATGGTACTGGCTGCGGAACTTGTGCCAGTGAGGGTTGTCCGAGCTGAAGGCAACTGTTGCCATCTCTGCGAAGACACATCCAAGACTCCAAATGTCAGCAGCTTGCTCACCTTGAGTCCCTCCTGATACTTCGGGGGCACAATACTGGCGTGTAATTGGCTTGTGTTTATCATCCAGCTTCGTCTCTTCGATCGAGCTGATACCGAAGTCGCTGAGAACCACATGAGGGAATTCTTGATTGCCGTGCATGACAAGAATGTTCTGTGGTTTGATGTCCATATGCTTCACAACAGGGCGTTGCTCGTGAAGATAGCGGAGTGTAGATGACAAGCAGCCAAGCATCTTCACGATGGTCTCAGCGAGGCCAGACGGTTTCTCGAGCCCCTTCTGGTCGAGCCATCCTGCGAGCGTAGTTTCAGCAACCGGGGAGAGAAGGATCGATAGCTTATCGTCCTTGGAGTATGCTCCGAGGAATCGGATGACGTGCGGGTGGCGGAGTTTCTGAAGGACGTTCACTTCCTTCTTCAGCTCGTCGATGGCTGATTGGCGACGGTTCTTGAGTGTCTTGCGACTGATGCGAAGGCTTGTACCGCGATGAAGAACTTCATCCACAGTACTAAACCCGCCAGTCCCAAGGAGTTTGATGCTAGTAAACGATTGTTGGTCGAGCAATGTTGTGATGCCCTTCCAGTATTGCTGCTCATTTGTCAGTTGACGTCTCAATGAGACTGCGGGAGAAGGCAATGCTACCTGTAGACTAGTGTTCAGTGGCTTCGCTACAATATTCTGAGATGTGATCAGTCCTTCCAGGAATGACCGCTCAGACCCCAACCACAAATTCGTCGAGTCTCCTAGGCCGTCCGATGGTGGGAGAGGTGGTGGAAGTGCTGGCGCCGCTCTAGGTATGGGGTTCAATAGCGTAAGCAATGCGTTCAGCGCACGAACAGTCGAATTGCCATTGCCATCAATCTTCGGCCCACTGAGCGACTCTAGATCAATACCTCCCAGGTTAGGCATCTTCATGACGGACTTGGAGAAAGCATCTCGGGCCACAAGCGTCGGGTCCACATCCTTTGCCGCGATCGGCTCAGGCTGCCTTGAGCGTCGTTCTCCCAGCTTCGTATCTTCCCAGACGAACGTGTCTTCGCTGGAATCTCTACAATTAATATTCTTGTCTGTTGTCTCCGGCGATGAGATAATGCGCTGTGTTTCTCTCGAGGCTGCTTCCGAGTTGCCATGTGGGTGTTGGGCACTAGGAACGCACGGCTTGTCGGGGCGAAGCAGGGCACCATCATCTGATGCGGTGTTGCTACAGGTGGCGGAGTTGAATTGCGAAAGTTGGAATTCAAAGAAGCTGTCAGGTTGTTGTTGGTAACCAGAGCTGCTACCACCACCACCACCATTACCACCGTCCTTAGAACCAGACCCACCGAACTGGTCATCTTTGCCAGGCGAGAAGAAGGGCTGATCATCACTAGAATCCCCATTGTCGGGTCGTCCATCGTTGTTGTCATCGTCATCATCGGTGTTGTCGGAGTCATTGCTGTCGTTGTCGTTCCACTCGAGCATGCTCTTTCCATCCTTGAAGTGATCTGCGATGTGATCGATACGATCTTGTCGGGATGTGAAACGGTGAGTGCAGAAGCCGCACTTCCTAGGGAAAGCGGTATCGGAGTGAACCACGCTAGCCTCCTCGTAGTTATTGCAGTCCACGCCGGGATGAACGTTGCGGAAATGTTGGGAGAAGTGATATTTCCTGAAGCAGGGCTTTACCCGCTCAACCCCCTGCTCGATGCACAGCGAACATATCCAGGATTTGGAGGGGTAACCCTCCTCTTCGTTGCGCTTCCAGTCGCATTTCCTTCCGTAGCGTTTGCCACACTTGCGTGTGCATTGATAGATTTTCTTTGGATCCCGCTTCAACAACTCGGGATCGTCTGTGGGGTTGCAGCCTTTACGGCCACCCCTCAGAGGGCCTTGGACGGTAGTTGTCGCAGTCGTTTGAATAGTGTCAGAGAGGGGAAGAAGATCTGGGATAGTGATCTGGTCGGCAGCTTCCGGTAGAGTTTGAGAGGTTTGGTGGAAACGTGCATCTTGTGATTGCGTGAAGCCACTGGTCAGTGACTTGTATGCAGAATCGTGGCCAAGACCCTGCTTCAACGCCTGTCCGAACCATTGTCGAATCGCCGTGGCAGACTCGCCTGTTAGTTGTGATAGTGAATCGATGTGCCTATCACTGTGATGATGGTCAGAACTAGGTTGTCCCACCCTTTATCAGCAGATAAGGGTACGTACCTTGGAAGCACATTGTACTTGCTAAACCACGTCGCACACACATCGGCAGCTTCATCGCTGAGCCCTACGGGTTCGACAGAGCTAGAAGGTGTTGATTGAGTGGTTGGTTGAGTGTCGACAGCCCAGCTCGACGCGACACTCAATGGGTAGGGCGAGAAGCCCAGATCGTTGCCTTGATGGCGTTTGGACTGAGGGAAGTCTTGCACATCAAGTTGCAAAGGACGTTTACCCAACGCATTCGTATTTATTTGCGGGGTGTACATGGTATCGAAAGATTGTGTAGGAGTAGGAGGGAATGTTTGGTTGACATGTACAGACTGATCTACCCATGAAGCACCTCCGGAGGTATTATCCAAACCCTACGTACCTCCGCGTCAGACATGCAATTCACATTTGTCATCAAGGGATATATAGACTTACGAGAGGCTGCTGCAAGCCAAAATCGATATCATCCAGACCAGCCAAGACGTTGCCGAAGGCTGCTTGGCCAAAGGAGTCGCTGGTGGTATCGATGCCCTCATCAGCGAAGAAGAAGGCAGGAGAAGTGTTATCCTCTCCGGTAGAGGTCATCTTTGTCGCATTGTTATCGAACGACTGTTGCGGCATAGTGAAGCCGGCGAAATCCATGGCGTTGAAGTCAAAGTGCGTATTGGCGGCGGCGCCCTGAGAATCCATTGATATGGGCTGGCGAAGGGCGCGTTGTTGGTACTCTTTGGGGCTACAGAATGTTCAGGATTTCTAAAGCTCGGAAGAATGGGATATGAGCGAGAATGAGTCAAGCGCCTGAGGCCGGGACATTACCAGCTTTTAGTCGACGAGGGCTGGGTTGTACAGCGAAAATGAGGTTGAGTCAGACCCAGTTGGCCGTTGCGCCCTTGGGGCTATGAAAGGGCGGAGTCGTGCGAACATCCCGGTTCTTGCTGTTCGCGCGCAATACATTACATCTCACGTACCGTACCGCGTATAAATCAGCTACGCCCGCCCGTCTTAACAGCGGGGTTTCTCTCACAGGACTCGAGCTAACTACCTAGGTAACCATTTGCTATGCTGTATAATATTATATTCACCGTATCAAGTACTTTTTACTCGATACCACAAGATTGTATGCGAACGCATCACGAACTTTTCGTTAGTCATCAATTAAAACCACAGAATGATGCGCGGTAAGCACTAACCAATGAAGCTAGCTGAGATGCGGGGCGCCCTTTCCAACTGGGCGCAAGGCGGTGCTCACCGGTGTGGCTCAGCTGGGTGGGGGTGAATGTCTCATCCCATGTCCCTTGGAAATATCAAGAGGTATGAGCAAGACATGCAATGGGCTCTTGTATATCAAAAGTAGGCAATAGACTTGGAACAACGGCTCTTCATGGAATACTAAACCACAGATATCCAAGCACACATACTATACCACGATATGCTATAATGAGCCAATCATATACTATACCACGATATATTATAATAAGACTATCGAATGGAGAACTACAAGACAGAAGAGTGGTACAATTCTGGCTTCTTGACTTGTAGACCAGTATATCCCGTCATACTTTCTGTCCTTCATGCGCTGATTGGTCAAGTATCGCTTTTCAGATGCATCCCCAACACCGATAACCCAGATATCAATCGCACACTCAAAGAACTCCAAGACAATCCTTTCCCTCTCCCCTAGAAGAACCCCAGCCCCAAAGAATGCTGCACCACCATCCAAATAATCTCCTCAGTGCTCTTCTTCTTCTTCCTCCTCTTCTTCCCCTGCTCCTCATCATCTTCCCCTATTCCCCCGTCCAAACTCTGCACTACAATCCAATACCCACCTCCCTCTGCACTGCCATCACGCTTCCTATCCACTACTTTTTCTTTCCCCTTTCCTTTCCCCCCCTCCTTCTCTTTCTTCTTCTTCTTCTTCTCCCCCTTAACAGCCCTCTTCTCCTTCTTCCCTTCCTTCCTAACCTCCCCTTTCTCCGCACGCAACCTCTTCTTCTCTTCCCGAAACCTAACCCTCACATCTTTCCACTGCCGATCCTTCTTCACAACGCCCTGATTGCGCAACACCTGCGTTTCTTCGCGATACGCGGCACGTAGCGCGCGTTTCTTATCCTCCAGATCCATCAGCATCTTGCGTTTCTCCGGGCGCAGCGCAGGGTCAGCTTCTAGAGCGGTGGCATCGTCGCTGTTGTGATATTCGTTGTCGTTGTCGGAAGCAGTGAAGGAATCGATATCAGATTCCTCCTCCTCCTCAGAGGTAGCATGGGGAGCGAGACCCATCGTTTTCTCGTCCCCATCGGTAACAGCAGGGCGACTTGTATATCCCACTCCCCGCACCCTTTCTTTCCCTGCAGATCCGTGAACGATACCGTGTCCCTGCTCCTCCTCCCACTCGACCGCCCTGACTAAAGGAAACAGCGCCCTGACCTTTTCTTCCCCTGTCCTCGCATCCTCAACATCCCGTCCAATCTTCTTAATTTCCCTAACTTCCTTCTTTCCTACCCCGCTTGATGACGGCGATGCCTGGTCGAGTAACGTATCTAAAAGCGCCGGGAGAGTCTTGACATCGACTTTTAAGCCGCGCGAGGCGAAGAAGACTTCGTTGGAGATTTCGAGGTACGAGGATATGAGCGGGGTGGATATAATCGCTGCGGATTGCGTAGGCGAGGTCGTGGATGAAGAAGATGATGTGTGAGAGGAGAAAGCGGAAAGGGAGAGGGAAGGGTGGGAGAGGAGTTCGTTCAGGCCATCTACGAATTCGAGGAATGTTGGTTTATCGATGGAGTGGGGTTGTAAAGCTTTGGAGTACGCGCGGCAGAACTGCAATGTTGTCCCGCTATTCTTCTCTTCTTCTGCTTGTCTTGCGCTATTTTGTTGATTTTTCGTCGATAACGAGGAGGAGGGTAGTGTGATGTGTTGGGGGATAGCGACGCATCTGCCCAACTTCTTTTCTTTGCTCTGGGTTGGAGCGTCGCTGGTCGAATGATAGCTCTCATCTTGCTCGCCACCGCCTTGTTCGTTATCTTTTCTAACGAATTGTAGCGCAGCGCTGAGAAGTCTTCCCATTTCCTCAGCAGCGGCGGAAGCAGATGTACTCTGCTGTACCTGATCTTGGTGATATGCGGCTTCATGGTTGCTTCGTCGTGGAGTTGTTACGCCTCTGTTGTTACCACCATCATTCCCTTCAAACCCCCTTCCATATCCTTTCTCAACCACATTGTCTCTTCTACTAACGCTCACGTTCGCACTACTATTATCGCTAACAACGTCCTCATAGCGTGGCGGCGGCGGTAGCGCATCTAAGTCCTCATAAGCCGGTCCCCCGATCTGGCTCTCCGTAGGCGTATGTAAGTATCCGCTTCCATCGAGCTCAGCGTATTCATAATTGTCTTCGCTATGATAGTTGTTGTATGAACGTAAAGTTAGGCCGGTGTTGCGGGATACTGATGGTGATGATGACGTGGGATTTGTTGGTTGAGTAGATGAGGAGGTGGTTTTATCGTCGTTGTATGGCATGATTGACTGTTTCCTTTAAGTTGTATTCTGCCTCTACTCTGCTTTACGCTGTTGCGATGAGCTTGTTGTCGTTTTGTTACCACTTATATCTCCTCCTCTTTGATGTGTGGTTTTTAGGTGTCGTGAATCAAAATGAGCTAGCAAGAAAAAAGTTTGGACACAGAACGAAAAAGTCAATTCGAATAGATAATGGTTCAACTCGGCTTGAGAATATAAGAGAGAAAAACAAAATAAGAAGTGGATGCTTCAATGGTCTTCAAATATCTTATTTGATGCCTGGATAAGAAGTCGGGGCTATCTCGTCCTATCGCAACACATACTGCAGATAGGTATGCAGGCCACGCGTTGTTCTGCGGACAGGGGCGAGTGGCGCAGACGAGCTGATAGCTCGAGTGTGCTCTCTTGGTTGTGACTTGCTGGTAAAAGATACAAGGGTAAGCACTTAAATGTAGGACAGCATCCTGGTGTTGTGGCTGTGTATTGGAGCTCTGTCTTCATGTCGCATGGACTCTATACCTCAATATCAAGCGACAAATAGTGGCCCCAATGCGTTTTGGGAGTGTCACTATGAAATGTATCTATCGATTGGGAAAGGGAACAGGCATACTTCTGATCTGTGCCGAGATTCGTACATCTCCTGTCACATCGAAATCCCCAAGATTGCCCCACTTTATATGCCACAAGCATTTAGAACCACCGCAATGTAAATTTTACCCTCACAACAACCAGATTGGTCCGTATGTTAGATTCGGGGGTTAAGAGGGCTCATACTTTTTCTGGATCGTTGATACCACCGTTGGTGATGATGTAAGTTGCTTCCTTCTCAGGCATATCTGGCAACGTTAGGCTCCTGCTGCTAAAGTTCGGCTACGACACATACCTGGAGAGTCCTGTATTTTGGCAACACGTTCTTCATTGCGGCCTTTGCGAAGCAGAATACGGGTTGCAGATGCGTGTGCGAGAATGTGACCGCCTACTGGCTTGCGACCATCTGCACTGGCAAATAAAGCACTTGCACTAGGATCACTCTGAACTTGGTTTGTCATGAGCACAGCAATATTGAACTCTGTATATCGGTGAGCTTGGTGAACGGGACTTCGTGCCGATCGTCGACGTACCTTCAGCAACATGCGTCAGTTTGGAAAGAAACTGGTTGAGTTTCTGCTGACGCTCATTGAGCTCACCACGACCGACAAAGTCGACCCGGAACAAGGCCATGATGCTGTCGATGATAAGCAGGCGGTACTCATTTCCGACGAAGAACTCGGCGATTTTGTTCAGAAGCTCCATCTGATGTTCGGAATTCACAGCACGAGCGTAGGTGATGTTCTCTTGAGCTGCAACACCTCAGTCAGCCTGTATTCTATAGGTTTCAACGCAAGATGCTTACCAGTCTCAGGATCGACCCCAAAGCGCTCCGCGATCTGAGCAATCCTCTCTGGCCTAAACGTTCCTTCTGTATCTATTTCTTCTCATTAGAAAGTGTTACACAAGCATAGTTGGCATGCCACGTACCTATATAAGCGACTTTACCCTCGGCGCCACCCATATCTCTAGGAAGCTGCGCGACAACCGACATCGTGTGAGAGAGCTGCGTCTTTCCACAACGAAACTCGCCAAAGACCTCGCTGATGCTCATTGTCTGGAATCCCCTGAGCTTGTCAGTATTTGAAAGTACATTCGGGACGATGAGCCTCACCCTCCAAGGATGGCATCGAACTGCTTGCTTCCTGTCGATACCTTGGTCACCCTCTTCCGTTGCTGTCCAAGCTCCTGGGCAGTCTGAAAGCCACCACCAGCAGGCTGGCACTTGGAAACAGCATCCTTGACCTTATCGACCTTGATCTCGCTGAACCCCTTGATCTTGGCCAAGCTCCTTCTAGTCGCCGCATGCACTGCGGCAATTGTGTAATACCCATTGGCCTTGAGTTTGGCGATGTCAACAGCACCGATTCCATGGGCCTGAATGGCGTCGATGTCGACAATGAAGGAGCCCTTGATCGCTAGCGTTAGCTTTCTTTCGCAGGAGTGAATACGCAAAGGGGTATGTGGAGTAGACCTACGTCGTTGACCGAGTCATCACTGGCGACAGAAGAAGCCCCCATTGTACCGACGAAATAGAGCGAGGCAGTGCTGGCAAAGGCGGAATGCAAGATGACGGAAAAGAGTGGAAGATGTGCGTGCGGAGAGGTGAGGGATGAGTCGCGAGGGAGAAGGAAAGAGCGACACAGTGCTCCTTCCTACGGAACCCACCAACCAAGCAGGCTGGCATCTTTCGAATTACACATGCTCAGAACCACCGTTCCAATCTTTTACTCCTTTCCATCAATTGCTTCCTCTCTTCTGGTTTTTAAACCACTCCCCGCAGACTTCACCAGTACTATTGAATGGACAGAATATATCAACGTGTTATATTGGATAGATGCCATGCTATGCAACCATGCAAGTGCAACGACAGGTTAAAGGAAAAGGGTTACGGGTAGACATTTGTATAGAACCAACAGGGAATGGGGATCAATCGGCCAACACATCTCCGACAAAGACCACACACAGACTACTCTCCGCACACGAACTCGGGTTCTCATTTCCTCCTCCCCCATTCTCAATCCCTCCGATCGATCTCCCCACTACCAAACCACGACGGCCGCCTTCCAGTATTGTAGTCCCCAGCAAAATCTGATGTTATCCAAGTGCCTTCAGCGTAGTTTCTCCCGGGAGGATTAACTAATGTGAAGAGACCCGGAGCATTAGAGATTGCCGTACTCAAAATCTCGCCAAGCAGAATTGTCCAAAAGTATGGTATGGTGTCCGCGTAAAGGGATATAACGTTCGTGGGTATCAGCGTAGGATTCGTGAAAACTTTTCTCTCGATGACAGTAACTCGTAATTGCGTGAAAGTTGCCGGAAGGTGCCGTAAGGCGAACGAAGTGATTGTGGAGGGTGGAATGAAAAAAGGAAAATGGTAAAGGATAGCATTGTAGTCCAGGGAAGCGTCAGGGCAACGTCACTCGCCAGGATATGCGTGTCGTAGGCCTCAAGGCGCCGGTTTATGCCACAGCGGTGGTGGGAGCAGGGGCAGCGGGCGCGGCGGCGGCGGCAGCAGCAGCAGCAGGAGCGGCAGTTTCGCCGTTCACTTCGGCCTGGGTGCATTCACGGGAGATGTGACCGGTCTCGCCGCATCGGTAGCAGGTCTTGCCAGCGGTGTTGAGAGGGCCGCCGTTGGGGGCAGTGCAGTCGCGAGAGATGTGACCAAGCTTGCCGCAAGCGTAGCACTTCATGGCCTGAGCCTGGCAATCGCGAGCAAAGTGGTTGGGTCCACCGCACTTGTAGCAGGTAGCCGGACGACCACCGCCGAAGCCACCCCTGAAGCCGCCACCGAATCCTCCACGAGGGGGGCCTCCACCGCGCATGGGACCGGCGCCGGGGTTGGGGCAGTTACGGGCCAAGTGTCCAGCGATGCCACAGGAGTAGCATCGTCCGCTGGTGCCAGCGCCGCTCAGGCGCAAAGTTGGGCAGTCAGCCTGGACGTGGCCAAGGCCCTGGCAGTGGTAGCACTGCTTGGTCTCGGTGGTGCGTGGGTGGGGGCATCCGTTGGACTCGTGGCCGGGCTGCTTGCCTGTAGAAATAAGTTAGAGACGATGACATGGGATGTTGAACAATTGGGATGCATGGGGGGAGGCGGGACTTACAGTTGTAGCAGAGCCTCTCGGAAGACGAGCACACCTCTGCGAATCCATGTCAGTCGCATATCCCGGTATATGTACGATTGCTCGCGTCGCACAGCTTGCGCGCACGATGCAGGAACGCTATTCCAGACGCCGACGCTCGTGACAGATGCCAAGGCAGTGTCCCACGGCAGGGCAGGACAGAGGCAAAGATTGGAGGGGATTGGATTTACCAGCATAGTGTCCGACGTTTCCGCACTTGAAGCACGCGCGACGAGATAGAGAAGACATGATGACTAGTGTTCTTCGGCGTAATTCTGTGGCGGCAATGGTAAGCGGGAGACTCGCAGAACTCGAGTAAATGTGTATGCGTATAGAGTCTTGGTGGAAAGTGTAAGGGAAGAAGTGTGAAAGGTGTGGTGGCGTGTTGTGTTGTGGTGTGGCGAGCGGTGCACAAGTGGTAGACGGAGGGCAACGTTTGCTACTGATGACGCGCGCGCGAGAGGTGAAGAGGCGAGCACCTACCTGCTTCGTTTCTCTTCTTCGGTTCCTTCACCTACAACGGCCTGTTAGCGACGAGGATCGAATTTTGGTGGTTGCAGCCAGCGGTGGTGGACGGAGCGGCGGACGGCTGGAACGGTGAATGTGCAGGCGCCGGAGAGGAAGCAGAGCAGAGCAGAACAGAACAGATGGCGCGCAAGCATCAACGGGCGTGAGGGGTGACGTGAGGGTGAATGGCGGGCGTGGAGCAGCGGCCAGGTGGTGCGGTATACGTACAGATTTCGACTTTCCAATCCTTCCCTCAGCAACTCAGCTGTCCGTCCTCCGCTCGTAGGTGGGCGAGAGTGTTTTATGGATGTGCGTTGGTTCGCAGCGAGGATTTCACACTAGCGACAATTGGGAAGTGGCCGCCTCGCATGCCGCAATTTAGGGCCAAAACGCAAGAAATACATGTTCCCACGCGCCCAATGGTCCTGGTTATGGACTACCTTTCCTCCCTCCCTCCCGCTATCCATCGCATCAGCGCCCGATTCCACCTTGCTTTTTCCCTTCGTTTGCTCATCGTGTCTTCTCTTTCCGCAGTGATATCCTGGAAACCCACATCCCCATCCCTCGACTGGCCGACTCCCTTTCGCTACCCGCCTCAGCCGCCGTCTACGTGCCGCATCCCATCACTGATATTCATTCATTCCTCCCTAGCGTGTGCGCAATTTTAGTCTTGCCTCCGGCGTCATCTCGATAGGGGCTCTTGGCACCCTCAATCGAGATATTCCCCCACAGCCTACAACACGTTGCCTGCTTGTTCTCGTGAACTCGATAGGAACCTTCTGGTAGGGGTGCGTCCCTGCATCATCAGATACTGTCCGCGTATCATTGGGCCGGCGCTTAGCTAAAACCTTCTTGTACATCACGATTTGGGGGCCGAGCAGTCAACAACAAAAAGGGGATCCTGTGTGGTTGGTTCATCATCGTGTATTTGCTTGCTATCTCGTGACGTGCATGGGCTGCTTTGTACCCATGTTTCTTTTTTCTTCCCTTTTCTTCCTCACCTCTTTGCGCGTGATGCCAGCTCTTGCAGCTAGAGATGCACTTATTCTTCCGACTCGATGACTGCCGGCGCCTTGATCGTTCGGCTCTTGAGGAAGCCGAGCCCTTCTCCGCCCTGTGGTATTTTGTTAAAACAAGTGTCCGCAACAACAAGTCGGGCCAACTTACGTAGGAGATCAATGGAGAAACCTCGACACCATCGTCTTGTTCCTCGCTGACCACGGTCGCACCGGCTGCCTCGACCCATTTCTTGCCCTGCGCGGTGATGTCACGCTTGCTCGTGTCAGGGTCGTCCTCGCCTGTGCCCCTCGCGTTCTTCAACGGCGAGAACTCGTCCTCGCGCTTAACCTCCATGCAAGCGAATTTCTCGAGCGAGAGGAAGGGGAAGCAATCGAAGACAAACTGCTCGAGCTTCACACCGTTGGGCTTCTCGGGCTTGACCGTCTCGCCGCTGTCCGTGTTGACGTGAGGAATCTTTTTGCGTGCCACGTGGTGCGGGAGTTTCTTTGCCCACTCAGGGATGCTCTCCAAGAAACTGAACGAGTAGTAGTGGTTCACAATGTTGGCAGCGCGGAATTTGAGGAGTTCGGGGTCCTTACTGTCCTTTGCCTCGGCGTCCTCAGTGGAGATTTCGGAGTACTCGACCACATCGGGGCGGCCGTTCTTTTGTAGGATCAGACCAACCGACTCTTTGGCGTTGCGCTTGCGGACGACCTTGGTGGCAATGTCGACATTCTTGGAGGCGGAGAAGCCAATGAAGGCAGGGTCGGCAACCTTGACGAGACAGTTATCGACGCAGTAAGCGTGAATGTGCTTGATACCACGTTTGCCCATGTCGGCAACGACACCAGCATTGATGAGAGCTTGGTAAAGACCACCGTTACCATCGGGAGCAACAGCAACCTACTTCATTAGCATTTCAGCTTGACATTGGATAGTGTTGTGGGGTGTACCTTTGACTTGCTCTCCATCAGGATCTTGCCCTCGTTAGAAATGCACGGCAGGACACCCTGCTCGAAGACAATAACGTTCTCCTTCTTCAAGCCAAAGTACTTGTTCTCCTCGAAGAACTTTTCAGTAGGCCCACGGGTCGGACCACTGGTCATGACGTACCAGGGGATGGTAACGCTCTCCTTGCCATGCTTCTTCTTTGCCAATTGCTCCGCCTTTCCAATACGCTCACCTTGAAGCTGGAACAGCGACTTGTGGCTCGGTAATCCAATATCAAAGCAACCCTTGGGTGCAGAGCTACCCAGTCTTGTGCCCTGTCCTCCTGCCATCAACACAACTGCAACCTGGTTCTCCGCGATGAGCGAGAGACCGCTGTCGTACCATTTTTGCAAATCTTCAGCTTCGGAGGAGAGAACGGACGAGGTGGAGGTTTCAGGAAGAGGCTCGAGTTTTGCCTCGGAGGCTTCTGTTGGTGGAGGGTGGAGGGCTTTCTCAGCAAGCTCGTTGATGTAAGAGGGGTCGAAGTTGGAGAGCTGCTCGTAGAGCCCCGCCTTCTCGGCGGTGGAGAGTTTGTCGTAGAAAGCGAAGACCTGACCTTGTTCAGCCTTTTCGTATTTGGACTTGAGCTCGTTCAAGCGTTCTTCGGTGGGCTCCTGAGCGGGAGCACCTTGCTGACCGCCAGTTAGGTGCAGCTTCTCGAGCGTCGAGTTGATGGTGTCTTTGACCGCTTCCATGATGATGCTGCAAGGCGGGGTAAATCGGAATAGTACGGGGGAATGGCAGGATATCAATTGACAGAGATTGACAAAGAGAGAGAGTGTATGTGTATGTGTACCAGGTGGAAGAGTTTTCAAGCGGCGAGGTCTTAATCAATGTCCCTCAAGTAATGCAAGCTCAGCTGGGGGGGTGTACTAAATAATGCCACCATTGCCCCACTTTGGGGCACGGCGCGCAGCTGGTGCCTCATGAAAGTCAGTGGTCAACGTAAGCGGCTGTACATCACCACTAAAAATAGATGAACACTTACAAAAGCATTCCCAAGGTACTGCCATTAGTCGTTAACAATTGGCAATATTGTAGCCGGATGTCTCCCGTAAAAGCAACGAGGTGAGGCGTGCTGGCCGTATAGGATCAATTGATACTAGACGTAGCACCGAAGAACAGCTTCCCCAAAATTTGTTTGAATCTTGAATTTTCGTATGAGAATATGGTATATCAGGATTGATTGTATATAGTTGAAAAGGCGCAGATTGATGGCTCGAACTATACCTAACATTTGCGCAGTTGGCTCCCATATGTCCCTTCACGATCCCGTAAGATTATTTCGAAACATGTTCCAAAGCCCACACGCAGGTTTGAATGCAACGCCTGCAGTATCCAGCCAATGATGCACCCATCTAAATGCTAGCACCCTACAGCACAAACACCAAACATGCAGTCAGTCATATATCCAGAACTGCCCAACCGCCCTCAAATCTAGAGGCTTAGAAAGGTATTACGCCAAGATGAATATGTGCATGATTTATGAAGCGTGGTCGTTTACTTGCGCTCCATTGGCTCCCTCATTGTTCGACCTTCGCGTCTCCGGCTTTTAGTTGTTCCGGTTGTGTCTCCTCCAACTTCAAGGACTTGGATGGTGCAGGATTGAGGATGCTTGCGGCGTTGATGAGTCGAGCGCTGGGATTCAGCTCAAGCCCAAATCCAGGTTTGTCGAGGATAGAAACATCGAGATAGCCTTTAGTGGGGATGGGCTCGTTGACGAAAAGATCTCCGAAGACAGGCAACACCGACTTTCCGTCTGGAGAATTGGCGAGATACTCCTGGAATGGCGAATTGGCCTGGCTGACTACGAAGTGGTACGAGTAAGGCCCGCTAGCATGCGGTACGACGGGAATGTCGTAGGCCGCAGCCATAGCAGCCACTTTCAACAGCTCAGTCATACCGCCCACCCACATGACATCAGGTTGAAGGATGTCAAGATTCCGCCCTTCAATCAGCTTCCGAAAGCCATATCTGGAGTATTCGTGTTCGCCAGTTGTGAACTTCATTCTCGGATGAGCTCGCTTGATCTGTTCGAAACCATCCGTGTCATCAGGTGACAGACATTCCTCCCACCAGTTCAGGTTGAGGTGCTCGGTTGCTTTCACAACCTCGATGGTGTAAGGCACGTTCAAGCTCATGTAGCAGTCGACCATGAGAGGGAAATCGGGCCCAACGCTCTCCCGGTGTTTAGTGAGGAATTCGACGTTCTTCTTCAACCCCTCTACGCCCTCACCTGGACCATATGGAAGCGGAACCTTTGCGCCGAAGAATCCCATTTCCTTCGCAGCTGCAGGTTCAGGACCGGTGCAGTAGAAGTCTAATCTCTCTCGGGTTGCGCCACCAATCATCTTGTACACTGGTTCATTTCGAATCTTGCCAAGCAAGTCCCAGATAGCAAGATCGATGACGGAAATCACGGCGACCGGGAGTCCTTTACGACCGTAGAACATGGAGGCTCGGTACATTTGTTCGAACAAATGGTTGGTATCGCGGGGATCTATAGGTGGCTTGTTAGTATGTTGGCAAGTGAGGGGGCTCCTGCTCAGTAACATGGTAATTTTTTGTACAACATCTCGGTCTTCATAAATTCGGACTCGACGTACCTTGCCCAACCAAAAAGCGCTCAAAGTGCTCTGCTACGAGCCAACAAGCTGGTGGGCCTCCGAACCCAGTAGCAAAGCCTTTGGTACCATCTGAAGCCTCGAGTTCCACACAGAAAGAACCCAGCACATTGATACCCCAGCTTGTTCGGGATTTCCTATATTTTTCATATTGAGACATGGGGGTAGATATCTTGCTATCTATCAGCCAATGTCCGCCATGTACATTGTGATAGTCTCCGCCCGAGCCTGGTCCTTGTGTTATAAAGGTGCGGACATGTTTTATGGTAGGAAAGCTGCGGGCAGAGCTGCTCTGAGTGGTGGAAGACATGGTGCGAAACGGAGGCCAACGTGGCACTGCAAGAAAGGAATTTGAAGATTGGATGTGCAAAAAAAGACGATATCCACACCACTTTAGGAGGGACTCAATGTTAAATAGTCGCAGGAAGCAGCCAGTTGATTGTTGAGTGGTGACGGAGGGCAAGGATGCTTGGTCTGTAGCTAGCCACCTCTCGGTCGATCGGTTCAACTCGCTGCGACTCAAATGCCGAGCAGATGGATCATGTCGACACAAGCCACACAACTGGAAAGTGGCTCTTTTCGTATTTCGTTTGACGATAATGGTCGGCTTAGACGCTGTGGATTAGCTGGTTTCAGTTCAGATCGTGGGATGTATTTCTGCTCTCTCAGCCAGATCCGGCCAATAGGAATGGTCGACGCATCGAAGGATGATTACGCGCGGCAATACGCCCGGCCTCGGCACCTCTGCGAATTGCCTGAGCACGTTAGCTCGACTTTCCTGCGGGGGATTTTCACAAGTTCGGTACAGTGCACCCCGACTTCTGACGCTACCTTTCGCATCTATCATGGATGAGAGCTCGCAACCTTATGGTAGCCCACAAGGCCTCAGGAAATTGTCTCACCATTCGCCTGCAGCTGACGATGACCCTGATAACTGGAGTGCAGAAGGCTCGAGTGGAGACGAAGCCAGCAGAAGTCAAAACGGTGGCTCCTCCAAGCGCAAACGGCCTCTCTCGGTGAGCTGCGAGACATGCAAGCAACGCAAGGTGGGTCAACTCCATATGCCGAATTTCAATTCCTGCTGAACTCGCAAAACAGGTCAAGTGTGATCGAGGCCAGCCTGCCTGTGGGTGGTGTACGAAGAACCATTCAGTATGTGTAAGTTTCCGACGTCTGGCTTGAGGCCTGCCATCTTATGCGACGAGTGGGCAGCTCGGCTCACTCCAATTCAGGTATATTTGCCACGTAAGAAGCCAGGGCTTCGTGCCGGTTACGGTAGAGAATTGGAATCGCGCTTAGGTGAGTGCGATCCTTCGCATAGATTGATATGAATACCACGTCGAGTGAGGTTGTCAGAAACATGTGATCACACCATTTCGAGCTTCACGACCGACTAACTGTCATCTGTGCTCTATACACAGACAAGCTCGAGTCTCTTTTACACCACCAACAACAACAGATTCACCGACTATCAAAAGCCCAACTGGCACCAGCTGCGCCGTCTTTGTCCTCGGATGGCTCGGCCTTCCGCAGCCCATCTACACTGCAAGCACCGCATATTCCGCGAGCCGAAACCGCTCTCTTCTTGCAAAAACCGGGCTCATTTTCCTCACAACCTCCATTACAGCCCAACTACCAAGTGTCTGATTCGAGACCAGTGACGGCTGCTGCGTCCAATGGCTACCCGCCACCGCCTCAGCCCCCTGATGAAGTCCCGTCGGCCGCTCTGGGTGGATTCCCGCGAGACTCGTATGCACCCAATTTTCCCTTCAATGGCGATCGACTTACTTCATCATCGGGGCCTGCCTCACTATCTAATGGAGACAATGATTTTCCCCCTTATGATTTACTCTATGGCTTGGTAGATCTTTTCTTCCGACACGTATATCCATGGTGCCCCATTTTGCATCGCCAGACCACTTTGAACTCGCTTTTCGGGGACTCTAGCTTAGACATAGCGGATCGTATCATTCTCCATTCTATCGTCGCTACGACGCTTAAGTTTTCTACCGATGCTCGCTTGACCCCAGAGAAAAGAATACAGTATCACCAGAACTCCAAGGAGAAGGTCCTTTTATATGGTATCGAAAATAGTTCGGTCAAGTCATTGCAGGCGCTTGTCATTCTTTCGCTCGATGTCATCGGTTGTTCAAACGGACCTCCGGGTTGGAACATGCTGGTCAGTATACCCAAGTAATAAAGTACAACAGACGTGAGCTTTACTGACTTTTGGATCTTTCTCCAGGCTCTGATCACTCGCTCGGTTGTTCAGTTGGGTTTAGCCATGGAGACATATTCACCCATGGTTGCTCCACAGTACGCATCTATCTACACTTTGCGTGCCATTGTCCTCTCTGAACCCAAAGATTGGATTGAGGAAGAGAGTCGCCGCCGACTATTCTGGATGATATACGTGCTTGATCGCTATGCCACAGTTGCCACAGCGTTCGAATTCGCTTTAGATGAAAAGGAAATTGATCGTAAGCTCCCATGTCGAGACGAGCTATTCACTCGCAACGTCCCGGCGGAGACAAGATGGTTCCATACATCCTCGCGGTCAGATTACAACATGAACCGGCCAGAAAATCTGGGATCTTTCTCTTACTATGTGGAGATCCTGGGAATCTTGTCGCGCGTTCATATCTTTTTGAAGCGGCCCGTGGATATCACATCATTGTCGGACGTGGAAACATGGCAGAGCGAGTACCGGGAGCTGGATCAAACCATTGAACAATGGAAATACAACTTGCCAGCAGACTACGGAAACGCCGCTCGCCTCTTCACAGGACCGGCAATGAGCAAGAACCTTGATAGTGGGTTAGCAATGCTACACGCTGCATTTCACACGTAAGTCAGACTATTTATCATTCACATTGCGCTCTTTATTGACACTGATCAACTTCTAGCACCGTCATTCGTCTTCATTCCTCCGCAGCCTACCCCACCCATCGGTCTCCTATCTTCACCCCCTCTTTCAGTGCTAGCCAGAGATGTCTTAATGCGGTTGAGAGCATCGTAGCCCTATGCGCCTGTATCCGTGATAACGGGCTACTGACAAAACTCGGTCCACCTTTTGCTTTTTCCATTTGGGTTGCCGCCCGCGTCCTTCTCGTTCATGGTTCAACCATCGCCCACCGTGTCGACCAGTCCATCAATCTCTTAGTCAGCACTCTTCAGGAGATTGGCCAATACTGGGAGGTGGGCACGCGCTACGCCAACCTGCTTATGAGAGTACTCCAAGAGTATCAAGACTCCCAGCGTACCCCTGCAGCTGTGAATGGCGAGCGCGTTACTCCTTCCACTGTTAAGATTTTGGCAGATATGCGTCGTTGTGCGTTCGACCTAGATTTTCTGATTTCTAGACAACCAAAGACCAGCAACACAAGACCCGTGTCGGTTACACCGGCGAGAACTCCCGGCCCCAACGAGTTGGAATATCTCGACGTATTCGACTTTTTCAACATGCCTCGCTTGCCCGTGTCGACACTGGAAGGATCTGCTGCTAACTATGCTGCATCCGATGGTGCCGTGCACAACATGTCAGAAGGAGGCAACGGCAGCGCCGCCCAGAATGAATTCAATATCACGAACTACATGGTCGATGCGAGCTCTGATTGGTTTATGAAACCTTCGTAAAGCCGCTCATGAGCTTCCAATCTTGTGTTTACAGCCCTGTTTATCCGCAGCGAGCCACCACCCTCCGACCTGGGGTCTATTGGTATCATTCACATGGTACGACTCTCTGTGCGCCGTCTCGCGCTGTTATCTGATTTCTTCCGCAAAGCAACATCAATCGCTTTCTGATATCTTGGCCCGTCTCCACGAAATGTACACTGGCATGTATACCAAAACTATAATACACGAAGCAATATCCACTTATTTCACATTAGCTGATTGGTGTCGGAATTCTATATTTGAAATATTATAATTACAACATCCCTTTAGGACGGCAGTTCCCAAAGACGATCGGTGGGGTGTGTGTATCATAGGCATGAATTCTCATCTGTGCTACTGCAAGTAGATGACTTACACAATCAACCTTCTGATTGTAATGAGTGGCAATGATGCATTAAGATATAAGTGAGCTATGATTTACCGTACACCTCAATATAGTTAGTACATATTAGGAAAGCACCAATCTACAATTTTTTTTTTTCGATTGGAAGTTACAGTGTTTCCTACACTCAAAAAGGCTAACAAAAAAAGGTGACAGAAAGTAGGCGAGGACAAAAAGTTTCACACCAATCTACAAACTCATGCTTCATTCACTTCCCACCGAGAAGAATGTTTGACGTCCGTTTGTAAAGACAACGCTATACCCCACATGGCTAACGCTCTAGCAATGGTGTACTCTCTATTGGTCAGAATTTTCGATATCACTTTATCGTACTTTTGTTCGCAGTCTCGCCGAACGTCTTTCAGCAGGTGAATGCATGTGATCCCAAAACGGCCGTCTCTGCATAGACCGCTCCAGCCCACTTTTCCCTACACCGCCCCTGCGAAACTCCCTAAATCCTCACTTTCTTCCCAAAAACTCCGTCACTCTTTACATGTGCACAGGTCTTTTGGTGATAGAAACATGTTCGCTCGCGTGCCAGGCCTCGGGAGGTTTCGGCGACTGGGACGATCTCTGCAGCTCATTTTTCCTTCGTTGAATTTCATTACCCTCCACTATCTTTACTTTTTGATAACATGTCTACTGGCAAGCGTTATCTTTTGGGGCGCTTCGACGCCTGCGCGAAGCGTCTCTTATGTGGACGCGCTGTTTCTCACGGTTAGCGCTATGACACTGGCGTAAGACTCTGTAACTATTGATGTAATGAACACGAAGCTGATCATCGTAGTGGCCTTAATACCGTAAATCTTTCCACTTTGAATACGTTTCAACAGTGGATGCTGTTTTTCCTGATTATGATTGGTTCCGCAATATTCGTGTCTGGATTTGTGGTTCACATTCGGAAACGGGCCTTTGAGAAACGGTTCGCTTACATTGTTGCTAAGCGACGGAGGGGATCAGAAAGGAGAAGCCGTTCATCACTGCGCCGTCGTTTATCAAGGAGCAGATCTAGGCTGGGAGCTCGAGACGTCGAACATGATACTGGTGATCCATACGAACAAGTTGCGGAAGCTTCTGGACGATGTACTGGCAACCGCGAAAGCATAACAGCACACAATGGTTCCATGACTGAGAAGCAGCCGCCATCACCAAATCCAGTACCAGCAATCGAGGCAGGAGATGAGATTCATTCCAGCTCAAGCCATGTTCCCAATGCGTCCCCATCTCACATCACGTTCGACCCCAACATACACAACCTTCATCGCTTCAATCCTGTCCAAGGTGTCGAGACCGAGTTTCACGCGATGACCAAGAGTCGCTCAGAGACTGGCACGGTTCATGAAGTATCTGAAGCTCAACCAGACAGACTCGGATCCGCCCATAATCCCTTGCCTGTCACGAGTGGTTTCATTCTTTCTAGGAACTCCAGCTTTCACCACCTGTCTGAACAAGAGCGACAAAAGCTAGGCGGGTACGAGTACCGGGCAGTATGCCTACTCTCATGGCTGGTCCCCATATACTACATACTTTTTCAACTCGTTGGATGTATAGGACTAGGTGCCTATGTTGCTATCAATCGTCCTTTGACTGCACGAGCGAACGGGCTCAATCCTTGGTGGGTGGGCGCTTTCAACGCCGTCAGTGCTTTCAACAACTCCGGCATGAGTCTTCTAGATGCAAACATGATTGCATTCCAGACCTCCATCTATATGCTCTTAACCATGGGCCTACTGATTCTGGCTGGAAACACATGCTACCCCATCTTCCTTCGCCTCATCGTTTGGACCCTCCTCAAACTCCTCCCCTCAAGCGAGCGCTGGACGGATCACCGGAAGACTCTCGAATTCCTACTGAATCACCCGCGCCGCTGCTACACGAATCTCTTCCCCTCCCAGCACACTTGGTGGCTAGCCGCTTGCGTCATCTGCTTAAACGGCATTGACTGGGCGGGCTTCGAGGTCCTAAACATAGGCAACCACGCCATCAACTCGCTCCCCACCAACATCCAAGTCCTGGACGGGCTATTTCAAGCTCTAGCCGTACGCAGCGGCGGCTTCTACGTCGTACCTATCCCCAGCGTGCGCATCTCTCTTCAAGTCTTATACGTGATCATGATGTACATCTCCGTGTACCCAGTCGTCATCACCATGCGCAACAGCAACGTCTACGAAGAGCGCAGTCTAGGAATCTACTCGAACGGAGACCAGCATCACAACACCAGACCTTTTTTATCAGCACCAACATCAGCCTCGCACCGCTCCACTGCCTTTTCACTATCTCAACCTCTCCAAAACACATACTTCGTCCGTGCGCAGCTCCGCGCGCAGCTCGCGCATGATCTCTGGATCGTCGTCCTCGCCATCTTCCTCATCAGCATCATCGAGGCGTCGAATTTCGAGCGAGACCCAACACTCTATAGCGTCTTTAACATCCTGTTTGAAACAGTCTCCGCGTACGCATGTGTGGGCGTCTCCATTGGTGTGCCGTACGACGCGTATAGTTTCAGTGGCGCCCTGCATGCACTGAGCAAACTAGTGCTTTGTGCTGTGATGATTAGTGGTCGACATAGGGGTTTGCCTGTCGCGATTGATAAAGCGATACTGCTGCCTGGAGAAGGTGCCGATGGGGCGGAGGAAGAAGATGGGGAAAGGAGATTGGAGGGGGAGAGGAGCCGAGGGAGGGGTATGGTGTGAGTAGCTGGAGATGAGCATTTGGAAGATCAGGCCATGGAGTTTTTTTTATATATCCACCTTTACTAATTTTTTGTTCGGAGAATATCACTTTATTTGTCTTGTAGCTCAGTATCTTTCTCAACTATCAAATCATCAACGATTCCACCGCATTCGCATATCCCGAGTTGGTATGTAAGATATAGTGAACAGGCAAAGAGAAAAGAGCAATGGGGGAAATTTCTAGGTTGGAATAGATTTGAGGCTTGATAACCAAGATACAGGTCAGTGCTTGACTTCTCACACACATGATTACACTCCCCCGATCTTACCTGAAATTCTACATAGACTCACTCAGGCTTATACGCAGGTCTACACTCCGTCCCCGTCTGACAGCATCAGTCAACCACGCTGAGAGTGCGGCTATAAAATAATTGTCTACTCCAGCGCTTTTTTTGAAAAAGCCACGAAATCTTATCAGCCACCTTCACAACGAGACTCTCAGCACTCGCCGCTCTGCTCCTGGCATCCATCGCATACGCTATGCCGAACCTATCAAAACCGGGTGCATCTGCGAATTTGGTATTTCGAGATGTAGGTGTACAAACTCCTTACCAAATAACCTGATATCTGGCGAATAACTGACTAGTGATAACTGTAACGGCGTAGTGCACTGTACGTTCACTATGGTTTTTGCTTATACACACAGCTGATCTCCTTATCTGTCGATCCGTATAGTGCGGTGTAAGTAGGAATATCGTCCTTACTTCGACAGGAAAGTTAAGATAGTAACTAATGACTACTTTATTGTTGGATATAGTGTGTTACCGGCCCTGATGGAGGTTGCCTTTGTAGCCCATGCCATCCGCCTTAGGGGTGTGAGTGCTCTTGGCAGACTCTTGGGTGCAGGGCTGTGGTCATCGACGAAGTATTTGTTATTGTGTAGCAGGTACAATGACAAATACCAACAGCTTGGCAATACATCTGTGGCGTACCACCGTGAATTGGATATTTGCCTAAGTCTATCACATGTTTGTGTAGGTGCATGGTGATGTGACAGGCGAAAGGGAGATCATGAACGAAGGTGTGGCGAAAACTGCACCGCCACCACAGCCACACTCGTGGGGAATCGTGACGTGCCTTCCTGTTACAAGAATGCCATGGATAGAGGCCTTGGTTTAAAAAGAAACAACAGTTGATCCACTTCAAGTGACAACGCACGCTTCCCTCCCTCTCCACGCATCCCTTTTTGTTGAAATTCTCAGATTTATCTTCACCACATAATCACCACAACTTCTTCCCTCCCTCTGTTGCAAGCCCACCTACCCCACTTACCTCCAAGCTCCCGCAGCCCCTCCATAGTAACTATGAGCGGCCACGCCGAACCCCGTCTCCTCTACTCCATTGGAGGCATCAGGGCCTACCACATACAGCAGGGCGAGGAGTCACCGCTCACTCCTTCAGGTGCACAAACGCTGTCCCTGTTGATGGTACCCACCAACTCGCCCTTTGCAGACCTTAGCAACGTACACGGCCAGAACGAAGCGCCGCCCGAAGACTTCTACCTCCACCTCAACCTCCCCCCAGAGCTTGATCTGCCTCTGCCTGCGACGACCCAGATCTACCACCAGCCGCCCCACAGCTACCTCATCCCGCGATGGGACCTTGGCCCAGACAGCGGTGCCTTTACGAGGATCGAGTTCCCACCTCTCGGCAAGGGTTCCAACACCGTGACCCAAGAAGACATTGATACATTCGAGACCATTCTCGCTCAGTGCACGGCTTTTCTTGAACGCGCACAAGCTCCTCAACAAACCAAAGGCGGTGCCGCCAAGCCATACAACCCCGCGGACTACGCCCCCGGCGAAGGCTATGCAGGGGATGGCCGACACGGTGAGATTGTGCTGATCGATGAGGACAATGGTAGTATTGTGGGCGAGCTGGCCGGCGGTGCTCAAATTGTGGAAGATCCTAAAGTGAGGGCCGGATCCAAGAGTGAGTCCAACTCGTGTGCGATATCCTTTCAGCGTCTTATTGACATAGAAACAGATCCCGTGGAGATTGTAGTCTCGCCAGACGGCAAGAAGATTATCGTGCAACCCGCGTCAGAAGAATACCTCCAGAATGCCCGCCTCCCAGCCTACCAGAAGTCCGGTCTCGTGCAGAACTCGGCTGCCGCTTCCAGGCTCATCGTCACCAGCTCCAGTTACATTGGTAATGTCCTAGTATCCGGTGCTGAGTCGTTCATCAACAAGACGAAGCCTAATGAGAAGCCTATGGTGTTCAAGCCCGCGACGCATGAACGTGTGCGCAAGATTAACGCTCTCACCACCAATGTCGCAGGCTTCTCCGCGAAGACTGTAGGTCAAATTTCTAAGCACGCCCAGAATTTCACCGCCGGCGCCATGGGCAAGGGCCCAAGGAAGCCTAAAGCCTACCTTCCTGACGGCACGCCCAACCCCGACTACAAGCCAGGTCTTCTCAATAGGTCCATGATCGCCTTCTCTACCGTTGCCGACGGTATCTCTCAGTCAGGCAGAAACCTTCTCACCACAACCGGCTCAGCAGCTTCCGCAGCTATCGGTCACAAGTACGGCGCGGAGGCCGGCAGTCTTACTGCTGACCTTGCAGGCGGAGTCAAGAACGTCGGTCTCGTATATATTGACGTTACTGGCGTCTCGCGCAAAGCCATCATGACCTCAGTCGCGAAGGGTATGGTAGTCGGGAGAGTCCGTAATAAGAAGGGCGTCGAGCAGAACGTCATTGTGGGAGGTGGAGATGGTGGTGTGATAGATTCCGACTTTCAGCAGAAGAGCGGTGCCAGCAACACTGGCATATCTTCGGTGGAGACAGGCGCTGGTCCGTCTGCTCAGATTGGTTTCGGCAACGCGGCGCCGCCGGGTTACAGCCCTGGCGTGGGTGAGCCTATCCAAGGCCAGTCTGCGTATGGATTTCCTCCTGAGAAACGCCGATAGTCGATATCCCCGTTCTCATCTTGAACTTTTCTCTTTTCTTTTCTCTTTAATCGATTTCTTTTCTTCCTTGTTTCCTTTTAGATAGCTGCGGGTAGCGTTGAGCCAGCTGGCTGTTTTCCTTTGCTGCGAATGGATCAGACAAAATAGGCATGACATGAACTGATTGGTATGACGACTCTTTATGGCAATACGATGTTCGAAATTTGCGCGTGGCGTGCGAGGGATTACTTTGAGGTTATCTTTTTATATATTTTTTTTCGCTCTCTAGGTAGATGGGCGAATCCTTGATTAATACTTTTACCCTTTTTTTCACTGCGGATGTAGACGGTGAATCGAATACGTTGCGGAATGAGATTATCTGCATTTTGTGTGCTCTCGTGAAGAAAAAGAAAAAAAAAAGAAATCTTCACTTCGTAAGCCAGAAAAAAAAAACCCCTCCTGCTTGAAATCTAGAAAACTAGAAAACTAGGGCGGTGAAGCAAACCGCACGAGGAAGAGTGGGAGCGGGTGGGAGCGGGAGCGAAGCGGGCATTCGTATTCCCCATTCTTATATACCTCTGTGTTGTACAACACATACACACATACATACAAACTACATCATTACATCAGTAAGACACAATTCCCATTCTCTTGCAGGAACAATCCTTCTCCGTTTACATGCCTGAATTAGGTAGTTATTTTGCATTCCAGACCGTGGGTGGGTTGGTGGGTGGCGGCGGGGTGGATAAGGTGTGTTGAAGGTTTAGTAAGCTTTTAGTTGAGTTTTGAGTTAGTGCGTAGCGAGCGAGGGACAAGTGGGAAGTGGGAAGTGGGTTTTTTGTGCGGATGAGGTGGTGTATACGAGATTCCCTGTCTATGTTTTTTTTGTTAGGGGCTTTTAAGAGGGGATGTTAGGTTGAATCGCGTTGGGGAGTTGTGTATGATGGAATCAGGTATATATGTTGTGTATGTTCTCGTTGCGTTGGTTTTTATTAGGTGTATAGGATAACATTTTGTTTTTTGGGTTTTTTGAGAATTGGGTGAGAACTCGTTTAATCCCAACATAAATACTACAAGTATCAATGACATACACATCCATGTATAACAATCAACACGAACAAAACCTCCCAGATCCTTCCGCAAGGAAACGTAGTCTCTAGGAATACAAAATAACACATATTCCTTGCCGTGTATTCTCGAACTATGTCTTTCTCACGCTCTTAACCACACTCCGTAGTGCACATCCGCCCTCAACCTCTCAGCTAATCTCATCTACTCCAGACATGCCTGATAAAGTATCTACCTACCTACCGGTCTTTCATCCCGCCCCCTCCTCGTACCCCTTCCCTCACACCTCCTTGCCCCCTCATTCCCCATCCCCCGAAACCCACACTCAAACTGCCTAGAGCTGCACAGCCCAATGCACAGACAATGCACGCTAGAGCCGTATACGCAGCGTACAAGAGCGCGGGGATGACGCCGACGGGGCGCAGCGGGTTCGTGAGGGATGTGTATTGGAGGAGGATGTAGAGGATGAGTGCGGGGGTTGTGGCGAGGGTACAGTGGGAGAGGAGGGCGGCTGTAGGGTTATGTTGTTGTTGGTGTTGGGTTGTGAGTGTGTGCTATAAGGGTGAAGGTATGTTGGTTAGTGGTTTATATTTGATGGAGGGTGTATGGATAGTGAATGGAGGTGGAAAGGTGGGTTAGAAAAGGGAAAGAGAGAAAAAATGGGGAAGGGAGGGAAGGGGAGGGAACGAATAACAGCAATAGAAAAGAAGAAAAAATAGGGAAAACTACACACCTTATCCCCACCTCTCCCTTTCCCACCCAAGAGAATCGAACCGGAAATCTTCGTCGATAATACAACTGTCATCCCGGAAAATATACCGACGAGACCTAGGATGAATAACCCCTCCCACGTCCCCATAACACCGCTCCACCCTCTCGCGCTCCAGATCGATGAATACGCCCCACTACATTGGAATTGCGCATCGAACTTCGCCGTAAGCACTTTAATATGTATATAGAGCTCTTGCCTTCTGCAGAAGAAGGCTAGAGACAGTCCTTCTAGAGCTCCCCACGCAACCACAAAAGGCGCTAATCCAGCGAGTACGAAGCAAAACGCGGTTTTGAAACGCGATGGAGGGGGGAAGGTAACAGCGGTACTGATACTGCTCCTGATAATAGCGGTGGTACTGGTGGTAGCACTGCTTTTCTCTGAAAGCTCGACGGCCGCATACCATGATCCCGCGAGGACGAGAGTTGCTTGGATGAACACCCACAGCGTCCCAGCTGCGATGACCGTTGAGAACGGGATTGCGGTGCCGCCGGCTTGCCACCACACATTTAGATTGATAAGCCACGTGGCTACGAGTGTGAGAATGGGGAGGGTGAAGATGGTGAGGAGGGTATTTTTTTGGAGGAGATTCTGAAAAGTTGGTTGGGGTAAGGCGGAGCGGTGTGCCGGGTATGATTGGGTTGTTGTGTGGACATAAAATGAGACGTAGCCGGAGGAAACCAGGAGGGTGAGATGGGTGAGAATCGAGAGGGTCAGGAAGTGGCTGAAGTAGGGGACATGGGCGAAGTTTAGGAGGTAGATCGAAAAGATGGTGGTTAAGAGGGTGAGGGATTGGATGCCGGCGCCGAGAAAAGGGGGAAGGAAGGTGGATATGTATGTTCTGAAGCGAGGAGAGGAGATGTTGGGTGGTAATGGCGCGGGTTTTAGGGATTGTTTCTCGTCTTCGTCGTCTGATAAAGACGACTGCGGGATAGCGGACTTGTGTTGTTGGGATAAGAGACCGTAACTCTTCTTCGCCTTTCCGGGTTTCTTGTTGGGCTGCATTTGGACACTCTTGATCGCCTGAGGAGGAATGGAGCTGTCGTCATCCTTGTTCTCTTCCTCTGCATCTTTCGATGGTCCACTTCCAAGCCAATACCCAAAAACCAACCAAATAACCCAGGTCCAAACGCTGAACTTATAAGGCACAGTCGACTCGGCCTCTTCCGCCAAAGTAAATCTCTCCCACCGATCTTCCCACTCCAATCCTCCATCATCCTCACGCTTCTCCTCCCGCCAATACACTGAATACGTGACCGGAACCCGCACCTTGCCTTCCTCCTTTCCACCATCTATAACCTCCACCTTCTTCCCCTTCCTCATCGTCCGACCCGTCCCAGTAGAAACAGGCAACGGCCAAATCCTCATACGCTTCTCCACCGCCTTTCCCGCCGCCATCGTAGCAGCAACCTTCCGACTCCGGGGAAACATCTCAAACCCAACAACAACCCTCTCCCACTCCACCCCCTGCAACTTCGCCAGCTCCTCGTCCCTGCGCGCCTCGGGTAGTGAGAGCAGCGCATCCAATTGACGCGGGCGTCCTAGCGAGCGATACCGTATCAGCAGATCCATGTGGTTATACACTTCATACGCTTGCGGCACTCCTTTCCTCATGGCATCTACATTGTGTTCGTCTTCGATTTTCGCGCCGAGCGAGGCTCCGCGAGCATGATAGCGTCCTGTGCCCGATATGTTCCTCCACGCCTGCACGCCAGGTAACCCGTCTAGAACCCATTCTTGACGATAGCCTTTTGCGATGAGGTCTTTTGCGCGTCGTGCGGCGCTGGTGTCAAGGTCGAGAGTGCATAGTAATTTATCTACTTCGTCGATGCCGAAGACGAGGTTATGCTGGGATACGGTGATGCGGTCGCCGCGGGCGATTTGCGCGAGAGATAGAGGGATGCGGGAGGAGGTGCCTGGGTAGTGCGATGACGGTGGGCATGCGATGGGGAGGTTTGCGTAGGCATGGTCTGGGGAGGAAGTGTGGGGGGAGGAGGCGCGGGTTTGGAGGAGTGGGAGGATGTCGCCGTCGCGGTAGGTTTGCGGTGTAAATCCTGGTCGTGGAGAAGGGTTGTGAGTCAATTCGCTTTGATCTCGGTTTTTTTATGCTCTCGCGACTTTGGATTTAGGGTGTAAATACATACCAGGCACCCAAGCTGCCTCCACAGCTAGACTCCAGATCGTCGCGCATAACAATGCTTTTCCACGCGTCTCCAAATGCATATCTGCACTAGATCACGGAATATATCTGTTGATATGTTCTCCAACTCATAGATGAAAGGTTCATGAGTAGATATCCAGCAACGTGTCGTTGATACTCAGGAGAAAGCCATTGTGTTACGCGTATGTTGTGCATGTATTTGGGAGAGCGAGTCTAGCCGCGGGGGATGACGCACAAAACCAACCCCAGCCCGCCCGGGACCCTGGTTGCCGTGTGCAAGGATGACTGTCGACCACGCATATTTGACTACAACGCGTTTGCCTCTCCAAGAACCATCATCACATGAAATTTGGAGAAATTTCTACCAAGGAAGTATTTAGTTCGTTGTGGAATAGCTTGGCCGACTTCAAAGATGGATAATTATTACGATGGAAGAGGTGTACTGGAACAATAATCTTCTCCCTTTTACATATGCATCTTACTTGACTTAACGTTCTACTACTTTATCCTCTTAGATAGAACAATAGCACGCACACACATGATCACGCATATACACAGATGATCTGAAAAAGAAAATGAGCGAAGCCTGACATGAAAATGGAGGAGAGCCTACTATGGCTGCTGTTCAATCAAGAATTACCAAATGATAGATAAGGGAAGGGAAAAGTAAAGGTGACAAACGCCAGTAATCATCTCCAGAATCATCTATATAAATCGAAAAACACCTGTCGTCCATTCTCAATCATCCTTCTCCTCTTCAGGCAACTAGAGGAGGCTAACAAATGGAAAAAAAGAAACAAAAGGTATTAAGCCATGCTCCGCGCATAGAAAGGGGAAAACGAGAGAGAGATCCGTGTACAGTATAAGCAAAAAAGGAAAAAAAAAAAAAGCCCAACGCCTTTGACGAGAATCCAAAAATATGCTTGAAGCTGACACTCGCTAGACTTTTTTGGTTCGCCTTGAAATAGAACTGGTAGTAGAAGAAGAAGGAAAAGGCCCCCATTTACAACACAAACATTAAAATTTCCCGCTTTCAAGATCCGGTCCAATCAGCGCCACGCTTTGCTAATGGTGAAAGAAAAACAAAAAATAAGATCCCGAAACAAGGGGATAGAAGGTAGAAGATGTGGAACACGGTCAAGGTGTCCCCATGCGATGAGAAGATGGCGGGCTGGGGAATCTCAGCGCAACAATATGAGTCCAGAGATCGAGACAACGGTATCTCACAGGGCTGGAGAATTACAACAATCCTCAGCAGGAGGGCGCGAGCGTCCCAAGGAAGGCACAGGTCCGCCTTCGCTACCTAGGTCGAAGGCTCTCCGGGTTGTGAAAAAGGGCTCACAGCTTCATCATTAGACTGTGTTCCCTTCGCCCTAGCCACGCTTGCGTTTTCCGGACTCGCACTGGTGGGTGAAACCGCGGCACCGTTTGATCGCGCTGATGGGCCAGGTACGGGTGACGGAGTAGTTTCGCCCTCTTCCTCTGGTATAGGTGCGCAGTAAGTCTTTAAAACATGTTTGAGAGCAGGTCTGCGAATAGGTTTCGAGAGGAAGAAATCCATGCCGGAGTTGTAGCATTCCTTGATGTTGGATTCTTCTGCATACTGGTGTTCTTCGTTAGTGGGGGTATGTGAAATTAGGGCTAGATAACACTTACGGCTGTCAGGGCTACAATAGGCGCCGAGAATCCAGACTCGCGTATGAGTCTTGTTGATTGAAGCCCATCGAGGTTTGGCATTTGAACATCCATGAAAATGAGATTGTATGGTGTTTGATTCTCCATGCTCTCTTTGACCTTGTCCAGCGCCTCCTGCCCGTCTTTGGCCACAGTCACATCGTATACGTCCTCGAGTTTCAACATTCGCAACACAACTTCTTGATTCGTCTTGTTGTCTTCTGCGACCAGCACACGTACTTTGATGCCTCGTTGTGCCGCTTCGGCTTCTACGCGCTTCATCGCTGCTGTTTGCGAATTTGGTGATTCCAATGGCGCTGTGGATGCAAAGAAAGGTTGGCTCAGACCAACCAAGCGGGGCTTCGAGTCTGTCTCAAAGGCGACTGGCCCTGCTCCAGCAGGTGCTGTTGACTGTATTGTTCCTTGAGTGACGGAGGTCGACTGCGCAGATTGACCGGGCAGGACGTCGTCGGGCTTGGACACTATGGATGCATCATCCATATGCAAGCTAGCTCGTGCGCTGTTGTTGGCCAGATTCATATTACTTGAGCTCGCGGTACTATCCGCACGACTGGTGAGATGTTTCAGTGGTATAGCCATAGTGAACACACTTCCTTGGCCCATCTCACTTTTGAGGGAAATGTTTCCCTTCATCAGTCCAGCCAGCTGTGAGCAGATGCTTAGTCCAAGACCTGTACCTCCATACTTTTTGCTCAGTCCAAGATCGCCTTGAACAAAAGGCTCAAAGATCTTATCATGGAGGGATGCGGGGATGCCGGGTCCGGTGTCCTCCACTTCGAATTCAAAGGCCAGCCAGCGCCCTGGAGGCGGTGTCGCTGCCCGTTCGTGGGCTACCATGTGCGCAAGTACTCCTTTTTCGAGAGGATTGATAACATTGGCGGTGTCATATCGGTCCTGAGTGGCCACCGAAATCGAACCTATTTCGGAGCCAGAGGCGCGAGCCCTCGCTCTTGAGCCTCTCAACGAACTATGCCTGGACTGCAACGAATTTTTCCTGCTGTCTGTCATTTGCGAGGCGCCTAAGCACCTAATCGAGATAGTGACATGCCCTCCCTTGGGTGTGAATTTGAGACTGTTCGAGACAAGATTGATGACGACCTGGAGTATTCTGTGTTGATCGCCATATAGCACCATGTCCTTGAGGCGACCCAGCCCAAACGGGCCGAGATCGCCGCGCTCATTCGGTCTCCCATTTGAGTCTAGGTTTGCATCATAAGGACCCTCGAATTTGACTTCAAGGTTGATGCCGCCGTCGGTGGCCTGCTTCTCGAAAATGGCAAGGACCTGTGAGCTGATATCCCGTAATCTGAAATCCTTCTCGTCCAAACTCAGATGTTGTCCCACCTGATTCTTGCTGAATGTCAAAAGGTCTGTAAGAAGATTGAGAAGCAGATCTCCGCTCTTATATATGATACCTAAACTCCTCCTCAACTTGATAGGATCATCTTCAGACATGCACACTGCGCACATGCCCAGGATACCGTTCAGCGGTGTCTTCAGTTCATGAGAAATGTTGGCGATGAAGAGTGTTTTGCTTTCGTTGGCCGCCTCTGCCGCCTTTTTGCTTTGCTCCAGTTCGGCGGTTCGCTGCTGCACACGCTCCTCGAGCTTTTCATATTGCATCATAAGCTCATCCGTCATTTCATTGAATGTCTTAGTGAGGTCTGTGAGTTCGTCATGAATAAAGTGTTTGCGGTCTTTGACTTTGGCGGGAATGCGGAACTGACGCCTGCGTTCGGCTTCTCTTTTTTCTGCCCTGCTTGCCTTTTGATTCCGTCTGTAGTGTATGATGGACCCGAAGAAGCCTTCTTTTCGAGCGAGCACATCGTCGGAATGGCCGTCTGGTTGCGAGCTCACGCTATCGTCTTCGAACAAGTGAGGCGATACTGACTTCTTTGTAGCATCTCGCAGTCGGCGGATCGGACGACTGGAATAGTGCGCCACGGGAAAAGCAAGAATCATCATAGCGCCCATGGTACCGAAAACGCAAGCCAGTATAACGTTCCGCAAACGATTGATGGGAGCCCATACTTCGCTATGGGTTTGTTCGATCATGACTAACCAATCCACCATTTGATTGTTGATTGCGGCGTACCCAACAGCCACCTTGGCGCCTTCCTCGTTTTTGGTCGAGATTTCGCTGCCAGAGGTGCCGTCACCAGTGTTCATATCTATGAATCCTGTCTTGACGGCGGGGAATGTATTCCAGTCGAAAGATGGGAGGTTTTTCTCCATACCGAACTGCTTATGTCTGCTTGCCACAGACCGATCTGTAGGAGGGACCACCAGGTTGACTTTTTGATCTGGTACGGCACCAGAGTCCAGAAAATTGTGGGGAAATTTATTGGTTGGATTATCCGGTCCAAACACCATAGTCAAGCCAGAATCATCCAGACCTTCCAAAGCATTTACTACACGCGTTATCAGACCTGCATCCAACACTACTGTCAGCCATGCCATGGTGTCTATGCTCGACGTGTTGTTGATGATGGGCATGGTGATGGATATTAGACTGAGCGAACTGTTCACTTGGAAAGGACCGTTGAGGAGGTAATTAGAGCTGTTGATTTCCCTGCCATTGTATGAGGCGAATCTCTGATTGCGAGTTTGGCCGTTGAGGGTGACGGATCTTTCGAACGTGGTGAAGTTGGGGTACAAAACCGAGGGATAGCCGTACGGGACATCTCCGAAAAACACAGGATTACCAGAAGGGTCGTCGGTCGGCATCCTCACACCTTGCATACTTTCCGCGGACACATTGACCAGGACCATTTCGGAGGTATTCCTTGGGTACATTCTCGTTTGGACTGCCAGCCGGGCATCACCCTCGCCGGTAAATACCGCATTGAAATCGTCTTTGGCACGATCAAAGTTGGTTACAGGATTATATGTACCGTTCTGGTTGTAATAGCGTTGCAAGGCGGACTGTATGACGAGACGCGAAGCAGTTTGGCGAACGGTGGTTTGCATCACGAGCAGGTTGGAGGCTAATTGGGCGGCCTTGAGCGATGCTGTCAGCGAGAGGCGGGTGGCTCTGATACTGAGAACGAAGTTATGGTTCGTAATCTAGAGTGTGTAAGCCTTTCCAGTACATGCAGGTAGGTGAAGAATGGAGCAGTACCCATGTTGCAATCGCAATCACAGCCAGACCGATGAGAGACGACAACAAGACCAGACAACCCAATTGCTCACGAATTGGAATGCGCATTTTGACCATGCCGAGCTGCCCCAAGCGGGACGACGGCTGGCTACAGTCTACTGAGACGGGCTGCGCCTTTTACGCACGGAAGGCGTCAGTCGTTCACAGCGATAACGTAGACTTGCACAGATGTTGACCCGGACGTCGAGGTGATGTGGTTGGGGTGGTGATTGGGGGTTGACGACACGAATGCTCCCATGCCTCTACGATTACGATGGTTCACGACGTTCAAGCAACCATGCGACAGGACGAACGACGAGGGGAAAAGCGTGTGTGGTGGACTTGTAGTGGTATGCGGGGGTCGCGCAGTGGGCCGGAGGAACAAAGCGGAGGAAAGGTGCTGGCGTAGCTGGCAGGGTGAGGCTCCCGAGGTGTTCGTTCGGTTATGAATGGTGGTGTTGATGACGGCGGGCGTCTCGCATTGGATGTAGGCGTATATGTATGTATGAAGGTCGGAAAGGGATATCGGGTGGGAAGAAAGGCGTGATAGCAGAGGGCAGGCAGTTGGTTGTATTAATTAGCGTGGTTGTGGCATGGTGATTAGGGTTGAGATGAGTCGAGAGAGGTGGTGGAGAAGGATGGATGAATGGATGGATGGAGGTTAGCAGGTAGGTACTAGTGTGTCGGACGGCGCGGAGGGAGAGAGGCAAGCGCGAGGAACGAAAGCGGAGGTAACTGCAGTCAGTCGCATACAGACAGATTAGACTGACTGACAGACAGTAAACCCGCCCGCGTCGCCTCAACTCATCCTTCCTTCCTTCCTCGATCCCTCCCACACATTGACGCCCCATGCCTGTCACCCCCCCTCCGGCCACGCACGCACGCACGCACGCACGACTGAATGACTGCACGCAGCAATCAAAGCAATCAATCAATCAAAAGACCAACCAGCCGAAGTTCCTGGGGCTGCAGAGAAACAAAAAAAAACCGAGCTTTCCGCCTTCGCCCTGAGCCCATGCGCCCCCAGCAAAGGTAGCTCTAGACTCTTGGGGCATCCCTGCTAGCCCCGTTCCACCTGTGCGCTAGTCCTGTCGCGTTGGCTGGTTCCCGCGCTATTCCACCAGGGCTGACACCATCTCCATTCATCCCTCACCTTCATCTCACACTGAATCACCTTCCATCTCATTATACTGCGAGACACCTGCGTTGGAATGTACCTGCTGTCGTTGTTATCGTTTTCCATTAGCATGCATACATCCAATAACTATCGACTCACCCCCAAAGCCGACTCACTCGTGAACGGAACCATCATCGACATCTCCAAGCATGATACATTCGTATTATGCTCGTGAAATGACCCTCGGCCTGGCGAGACCACCAGGTCCATATCAGCGAGCGTGCCAATCGACCTTGGCATCAAGACATCTGTTGATTCACATTCCCCATGTTTACCTTCATGCATTCGTATATACCTGCATTCTGGAAGCCTTCAATACCCATCTACATACATATATGCGGACCCAATGCGACCAAGCAGAACACATCAATCTAATCCACTAACCAACGGCCAGGACCCGAACCGTCTCGTCACGTGTTCCTAGCCGCCGTTATACATCAAGTCCAGCTTTACCACACTAGCATCCCTACACTAAGCACTCCAAATGCCCTTGACTAAGACGGTACAACCACCAGCAACGCCGAGACACTTGCACGACTGGGTATAAAACAACTGCATGCGTCCCCAATCCCAAACAGCTAAACGGTGAGGCGTCTCCATATTCCGGGCGGACAATCGACTTTCTGCAAACGTTGCTCACCCATCAACATCCACCACCATTGACTTCGACTGCATCGACTTGTGGTATTTACCCATCTTGCGAAAGTTCGCCAGAGCCACCACGAGTCCACACAGCATCTTCTCTACCATGCCATCCATATTCCCAGGCCCCAGAGTCAATACGTGTCGATATATACTCAGATCCCCAGCTTCAGCGCCTCCCAATGCGGCGGTCCCCTTGGCCGAGAAGTTGAAGCGTGCAATTACCTCGTCAGAGGATCGCTGACGCAGCACCATTCTGTATTGCGGGTACCCTTCCAGCATCCACATGCAGTTCCATCCGCCCAGCACTATACTCCAGTCGGAGAAGTTGCGGGATTCCATGGCATGCGTGCTGAACTCCAGTCCGTATTTGTAGCTAAAGTGTGCGCGCGGGCACCACGGTAGAGGGCCATTGTTGTCGAACCATATACTACACATGTGTTCCTCGGCGGTTTTTCCGGGCTTTATGCGCCAGATATCTGTGTCTGCCTTCTTCGAGAAGAGGCGCGCGCTGCGAGATGCGACTCGAAATGACGACGAGGCTGATGGCCCGTATGGTACGAAAAGCTGGTGTCTTCGATCCGTCTGTCGCAGGTAATATGTATGCAGCGGTATGTGGGTGTCCCCGATGGTGTATTCCGGTGCCGTCGCGGGCTCGTAGTCGGGTAGCTCGTCATCGGTGGCTAGCAGGTCGAGCGGATCGTCGCGGTGCTGTAACAAGTCCATATTGTATAGCGCATTGCCGACTGTGTGCTACCCGAACGGCTGTGGTTTATATATGCAAGAAATGCACATTACGACACCGTTCAGCATTTGTTGTTGAGGGCAGACCAGTGCATCGTGGACGACGACTGGCCTTAGTCCTGATGATCACCCCTCAATTCCCAAACTTAGTCATCCATCACACACGTCTAAACTGCCTTTTCGGGCACCATATACGCGAGTGTGAGTTTTTCTGGTACGTTATACGCTCCACTGACGCGTATAATGTGATTCCAATCTTATACAATCAGCTCGATCATGGTTCAGTAAAATTGACGTGCCCAACGCATGTATATGATGTAACATGCAAACACTTTTATCATGTAGGCTGTGCTGGGCATCTCCGTAATATACTGCATGCCCATGTGCACTGACTCAAATCAAGTACTCTCGTCCACTCTGTGCTTCGTCTCCTGTGATCAATAGATAATTAGGACAATTTAATCATGTCAACCACATCTGCAAATGATTATATCTATAAATTTTTGTGTATGACATTGTCCGTGCGGTTCGATGTCACTACAAAGGTCGAAATGCGTGCCTAGCACCCTATTTGTGTATAGGGTTAGTAGGGCTGTACCTGCGCCCCCACGGCCTCACCGAAGTACACTGTACTTAGACCAAGGTACACATCCATCACTTCGCTCCTATAACCTGTGCACCCCAGAACAACAAAAGATGATACGGATACTCTGACTAGTGAGGTGAAACTACCGTACTGATGCGCCTTCGCACGATTCTGAGCCGAGCATCAGTCACTCAGAACTTGCACTTCCTACTCGGCAACTACAAATACACGCCTTTACCCTCGCCCTCGTGCATTCGCCTTCTCCAGCTCGAGCCGCCATCGGATAGAGGAGCTGTACGCTGTTTGTTGAAGACTTACGAACTTGAGGATGCGCCGCCTTTTCGAGCTCTCAGTTACACATGGGGTGATCCCTTGATGCGTATACGAAGCGCAAAGACTTTGCATGAGAGTAGAGATCCCCAGAGATCCAGCGCTGAGCGACGATTCCCAATCGTTTGTGATGACAAGATCATCAAAGTCACTGCTAATCTCAAAGATGCTCTTCGCATGCTTTCGAGGCTCTCCCCTTCGTTGTCGCCCAAGGCTTCTCCTTCGCACTACTGGATCGATTCCTTATGTATGGACCAGGAGAATATCCCCGAGCGAAATGCTCAAGTCGCTAGGATGGCGTCGATTTTTGAGGCAGCCGAAAGTGCCATTGTCTGGTTGGGGAAAGAAGATGTAAGTCAAAAGCCAATCTTTACATACGTTCCCATATACTCTCTTCACAAGCAATAATTCCTTAGACGCTCTTCCCATAAGATTACCTGGCACTCTCAATCTATCAGTTTCTCGGATATTTGCAGCATCTACTGACAGCGGACTGTTTCTTTGACTCAAGAGTTTTACAATGGATGCTCTCGTTACTATCGAAAGTATTTCGAAGTTCCCAAAAGAATCGTGGCCACTTGTACCATACATTTCATTCTACAAGTCTTCTCAAGCAGTTGGATACACTCACCCAAATCTCTCCTACTACAATTGGCTTGGATTCATGGCATTGATTAACCGCCCTTGGTTCAAGCGGGCATGGGTAAGTCGGATGACCATCCGGATGTTCCAAGCTGAGCTATACAGGTCGTGCAAGAAATTGCGCTTGCCAAATCGGCTGTTGTTGTGTGTGGTAACAAGTCTTTCTCCTGGGACAAGCTTTCAAAAACTCTATCTTTTATCAGGACCACCAAGTGGTATCACCATCTTCATACCGAGAAGCTGCGACACATCAAGACTCTACAAGAAAATCCTGGCGTATACAAGCGAGTCTTGCAGTCGAAGTTGGCTGTCGGCATAGGTCCCCTATATCTCGATTCCACCCGTCTAAAGTTGGTCGGTAAGGATCGATCACATCACCGGGAAGTAAATCAGAAACCTCCACTTCGCCAGCTTCTAGATACACACAGATTCTCGAAATCAACCGACCCGCGCGACAAAATATACGCTTTTCTAGGGCTAGCAGATCGAAACATGGCGCCATTTCGCAGCAATCCAAACGCGTTAGTGCCGAATTACAACCTCAGTGTTCAGGAAGTTTATACTGAGACGGCGCGCGTACTTATGGCATCATACCAAAATCTCTCTCTACTCTCGCATGTACAAGATCCTTCACAGACACGTCTCTCGAACCTCCCTTCATGGGTACCTGACTATAGCATCAACTTGGATCCTTACCCACTTCGATACCGTGGACCAAGCTTCTGGAAAGCATCCGGAAACTTGTCATGGAAGCCAAACACCTTCAGCATGACAAAGGGCGAGCTAGATGTCCAAGACTACCAAATCGACGTAATCGATCAAACAGCCATCTTACAGAACGAATCACCAGACCCGAGTGCTTCTTGGGCCAGTATCGTCAAGCTAGCTCTTTCGCTCGACCTCCCATACCCCAACCCCGCCAACAAGGCTAACCAACCAAGCCGCGTCGAAGTCTTGTGGAGAACTCTAACCACCGACATCTACAACAAAATCTATCCCGCACCTACACAAACTGGCTCTCTTTTCATCGACTATATCCTCAATCTACAAATCAGGCACCGTCTACAGCCATGGTCTAGCGCAGACACTTTCCAACCGCACTACACGCCCCTCTCAGAATCAATCTACCCCGAATGGCGCACCTTAATCCAACTCGAAGGTTCAGACTCACCATACAACATCAATGTGTATCGACGGCGACTGGCAACCGTCGTTGAAGATATGTTCAACGGGACGTACTCCCCCATCGGCCTCGCCCAACTCCAGCACGAATTCGACCAAAGCGGCGGAAAGAACCGCCGCCTTTTCCGGACGAGAGGAGGGTATCTGGGAACTGGTGCACGGTCTCTGAAGAATGGCGATGAGGTCTGGATTCTGCACGGTGCCGGTGTTCCTATGGGTATGTACCTCATTCTCACAACCAGTCTCTCGCGATACTCCAGAGTGCCCCTTTCCATACAAGTAATTTTCAAATGCTTCGCGAGTGATTTTTTTTTGGCGTTGAATTGTTTCTGATCCTTTCTTAGTGCTGCGTATGCGACCAAACGGAAACTACCAGCTCATCGGCGAAGCCTTCGTCTACGGCCTCATGCACGGAGAAATGCAGAATCTGCAACTGCCGCGTCAGCATATCACTATCGACTGACATTCCCATCTTCTCTATCAAGATAACTTCTTCGTGGAAACTGACCTCCATCTCCGTCTTCTTCCCCCCGAAATGCAGGACACTAGACCCCCTCTCCCTCGCTAGTCTCTCTCACACCGAAAATAAAGAAGACTACACTATTAAGCGGTCCCTGCAATAACGAAGAAACGTGCACAAGGGAGTTGAGAGATGACTCACAGTAGTCTATCTACACACTCGCTCTACTAGTCTCATCCGCATGACAAATATCTGCAATGCTGCTTGCTCCAAGGAACCCTTATGAAACGCTGCAACGCGAGCAAGAGAAAGAGAGAGAGAAAGAGGAAGATCAGGATGAAACCCCTCCAGAAACCACCTGCTCAAAATCCGGCGCTAATGATAAGAACCACCGAGGGGTAGAACCTGCCACTGAAGAAAAGAAAGACGAAGTTGATCGAAGGCGTGTTTGTTGATGCACTATGCACACACTCGGCACTTCTTCGTCTGATATGAATGATCAGAATATAAGAGAGTATGTGTTTTTGAAGTGTTTGCGGTTTGTGTTTTGTCGTCGGTGTGAGAAGTTGTTTAGGTCTTCAGCACTGGTGTGATGTATATATACATGTATATACGCGAACAAGGAAATGTAGTCTTCTTCTTCATTCGTCGTCTTTATTTATTTTTTATTTTCGTAGATTGTATTCGCCTTTGACTCTAACTCAAAATAAAAAAGTATTCGCCTTTGATGATGAAAAATATCGAAGATAGCAAGGGAAAGATATGACATGATCGACGACGACGAAGAAGAAGAAGAAGAAGAAAAGGTGAAAAGGTGAAAACATTGGAGATTGGAGAAATGCTATCCAGCACTACATCTCCCCCCGGCCCCCATCACAAGCCTGTCGAACAGACTAATCATAGAACCTAAGCACCTTATTCGCACGATCCAGAACCTCCCTCTCCGCCCCCGACAACCCTTCCTCAGCACTATCCCACTCGGCCAACCCCATAGCCCTAGCTCCCTCGACCTGCACAAGCTCCACCATCTCCCTCGCCCCCACCCTCCCAACATGCGCACTCTCGCCAACCCCGCCTCCAAAATCCGGGCTCGGAGTTCCCTGGACAAACATGCTCCTCTGTGTGGCGAGGTACTTTGCGTTATCCTCGGTGAGCGGACACGCCGGGATATACAGGACCGAGGAGTCAGCGGCGCCTTTGTGGATTCTGTCCACGGCGTGGATGGTGTCGCAGTGCCAGGCTACGTAGTCGCCGGGCTGCACGGTAGGCATGTGGATCATGGATTTGGCGAGGTGGAGGTGCGGGTGGAGCAAGTGCGAGAGTTCTTGGCCGCGGCCCGGTGTCGCGCCTTGGATCCAGGAGGACTGGCGCGCGTCCAGTTCCCAGTTGTCAGCGTCGAGGAAGGATGCGGATTCTGTGATGGCTTCGGAAGCGGTTTGCGCGCCGGGGGAGTCGATGCCGCGTTTCGGGCTGAAGAAGGGTCGGAGCAGGTAATATGCTGTTGCTTTGGCGAGTAAGGGGTTTACGAGGAGGGTGCCTTCGAATGGACCTGTTTGAGAAAGGGAGAGCCAGCCTTGGAACATCCGGAAGGCAGTGCAGGCTCCAACGCCTTGATGCAGGTCTGATTCTACTGGAAGGCGGCAGCTGGCTTCCCAAGGGTCGAATTGTTCCCATTCCCCTTTCCATACGTTGTCGTAGACTTTCCCCAGACCGTAGCCGCGCTCATCCCAACGCTCGACACTGCCTCCATCTACGTGTGGGCCAAGGGCAAAGCGGGCATCGCCTGGTAAACGCATGCGTAGACGATCGCAGTAGCTTATGGGGTGGCGGGTGGATATCGGGGTTTCGGGGTTCGACGAGTGCCAGTAGGACATGAGAAAACGCTGTGCTTTGAGCATGTTCGGATGAGCACGTGCGAGAAGTTGGGCGCGGGACCAGTAGAGTTCGAATACTTGCGGATTCTCTGGTGGAAAGGCTGGGCGGTGTCAGTCATATTTACGTGTACCCAGATGGGATGGAAAGAACGAAATACCTTTGGTCTGAGGATTTTGACGTATGTATTGGCGTAGGTCCTCTTTCCAACCCAAAGCCTCTTGCTGGCTCACGACGCCTCGAATCACAGCAACACCTCTCTTCCTGAGCTCCTGGCTGAATGCTTCGGGAGCATCATCGACGTCCTTGAAGTCAATCTGAGGAATGATCTTGGACCCCTGCTCCACGATGAGGGGGATTTCTTCCCTGAGATCCTTCAACAATCGTTCCCATGATTGCCGTATCAAGTCTTCACGACCTTGAATCAAACGCGTTTTTAGCTCCGCATACTCGGGCGTCAGCGGCGTAAATTCCTGGCCTGACAGCGACGCGAATGCGTCCGAGATATCGCCCTCGCGTTTCGAAACCTGCGCCTGCGCCTGTAGCGCACGGTACTGCAGAGGCGCGCGGCTGGCAAACAGGCCGCCGGCGGACTTGGGCAGGCAGCGATGTCTAAGTAGGCCAAACATTGTTGTTGTCTTGAATGAAGAGTAGCTCAATTGGCCGCGTTGGTTTAAGGCTGTGTCACAGCTTTAAAGCCATATAGTTGGGGAGTCTTTCGATACTCGGGTCCGCAAATGTTCACATGATATGATGATGTCTCTTCCGACGAAGACATCAAGCTCGCGCATGTTCCGACGATGATGGTGAAGATGGCGAGGTGACGTGAGGCCAAAAGTTTTCGGGATGTCCTAGAGGGGAATGGTTTCCACGTCGACGCTAATCTCGAACGGGATATGGGGAAGCTGTGGAGGCGTAGCTTCGTATGTCCAGATACTTGACAGCAACGCTTCCGCCGACAGCATTCAGGGGTGGAGCTTTCATCCCACCGAGAGGCGGGAATCTGGAATTGTCCATACAAAACGCGGCAAAACAGGTATGAAGCGGAAGCGTCTGTAGCTGAAACCCCTCCAGCTCGCCTGTTGATGCTCTACAGCTAACTACCCCGCCATCCCACTTTGTTTCTAACACCATGGAGCTCATCCAACAGTGCCACACGTCTGCCCGCGTTGGCTAAAAGGCAGGTTGAATCGACGGCCCGACTGATCCATTGACCGCCTTCCACTGTTGTCACCCACCAGTGGCAGAACCAAAACATATCGTCAGATGTGCAAGCAAACAATGCCTCTTTTTCCAATCCGCACTAGAACCGGGTACACGGTGTTGCGGCGCCAGGGAGAATTGTGTGCTCCAAAGTGGAGTGATAAGCTCTCTAGCCGCCAGAACCCAATCCCCATGTGCAGTTGTGCGTCAATGGATCGTGGCTAGAGTGTTGGGCTCTGCCTATGCTGCTTAACGGCCGCGGCGGGAGTCTTCTCCGTTGCTCCAGCGTCCTGCTCGGGATATATGAGGCATTGGAAGCCCCGTACGACTCAGCCTTCTCAAGTAGACTTCTTTCTTCTTCAAACTCTTTCCGGGAAGTCATTTCAATCCACCATGACAGACTCGTACCTACCCAAAGACTTCCTCTGGGGCTTTGCCACGGCTAGGTTGGTGACCTCTCCCCTCTCTTCCCCGCTATGTAGCATCTTGGCTACATCAATGGAGGGGCATTCGAATTGCTATGATTGGAACCCGGCTGATCCACTCACAGCTACCAGATTGAAGGTGCTCCCAAGGCAGATGGCCGAGGCGAAAGTATCTGGGACACTTTCTGTCGACGACCGGGCAAGATCGCGGACGGATCCAGCGGCGATGTGGCCTGCGATTCCTATAACCGGACAGCTGAGGACATTGAGCTGCTCAAGTCGACCGGTGCTCAATCATACCGCTTCTCATTGTCGTGGTCGCGCATCATTCCCCTGGGCGGCCGCAACGACCCTATCAACGAGAAAGGCATCCAGCACTATGTTAAGTTTGTCGACGACCTACGTGCCGCTGGCATCGAGCCTATGATTACGTTGTTCCACTGGGATCTTCCCGAGGAACTTGATGCCCGGTATGGTGGATTGCTCAACAAGGACGAGTTCTCCAAGGACTTTGAGAACTATGCCCGCGTGTGCTTCAAGGCGTTTGGAGACAAGGTCAAGTACTGGATCACCTTCAACGAGCCCTGGTGCAGTTCCGTGCTCGGATTCAGCATTGGACAGTTCGCTCCGGGCCACACCAGCGACAGGTCCAAGAGTGATGTGGGTGACAGTTCCACGGAACCGTGGATTGCGGGACATTCGTGCCTCGTGGCTCACGGTCGTGCTGTCAAGGCATACAGAGACGATTTCAAGGCCAAGGATGGTGGCCGGATTGCAATCACATTGAACGGTATGTCGTCGCTGTTGATGTGTGCACGCGCTATCTCCACAATATCAGGCGTACCTCGCTATTGCCTCGCTATTGCTTCGCTTCTGTAGCGTCATGTTTTCCCTGCCAGATGGCGTGATGTCCTCACGCCAATACGTCTACACTAGAATTAGGGCAAAGCTGATTATAGCAGGCGACTGGGCCTATCCATGGGATGAGAACGACCCCAAGGACGTTGAGGCCGCCAACCGCAAGATCGAATTCGCAATCGCGTGGTTCGGTGACCCAATTTACTTTGGCAAGTACCCAGACTCGATGCGCGCACAGCTGGGGAACCGCTTGCCGGAGCTCACGCCCGACGAAGTCGCTCTCATCAAGGGCAGCAACGATTTCTATGGCATGAACCATTACTGCGCAAACTACATCCGCCACAAGGAGGGCGAGGCCGACATCAACGATTTCGCAGGCAACCTCGACATCCTGTACCAAAACAAGGAAGGTACCTGGGTCGGTCCCGAGACGCAGTGCCCCTGGCTTCGCCCGAACCCCAAGGGCTTCAGGCTGCTCATTAAGTGGCTCTCGGATCGGTATGGTGGCCCGACTTTCTATGTAACGGAGAACGGGACGAGTTTGAAGGGTGAGAGTCAGTTGCCGCTCGAGCAGCTGCTCGACGACGAATTCAGATGCGAATACTTCCGCGGCTACATCGGCGCGCTGGCTGATGCGCATGCCATAGATGGCGTCGATGTGCGAGGATATTCCGCTTGGAGTCTTATGGAGTACGTGCCTTCTTCTCCTTGATCCCCTTCATCTCGCCTGCACCATCACCCCTTTCATTGCTCCCTAACTATTCCTTTCTTGCCCATCTACATCATTATGGTCTGTTTCTGCGACGCATTCGAGAAGGGTGTTATTACTGCACCCACTTGGTTCGTCCTCCGATCAGCAGACCGAGCATTCGGCCCTCCTGCGCAACCGGGTAATAGGGACACCTCAGCGCGGGTCGGCTCGGCGGCTCAAACAGTAGGCACGCAAAACCTACATGCAAAGTCACGACACGACACCATTCCGGAGAAATCTCTAGTTGCAGCACCCCGACTTCGACACCAAGGCTCTAACGTCCCTTCTTCTCAAACACCCGGAAAAAATATAATTCTTCCCTGCAACACCACCTCCCCCAGTCACCATTACTATACACGCCATTGTTACCGCAGCTGTCCTTTTCCTTTCCCCACATGTTCCCTTTCTCTCCGCATTCACCCCGTGAACAATTGTAGCGCCACTCCTCGACATGCATCCCATGCTTCACAGACTAACGCGTACGTGTCCCTGCAGCAACTTCGAATGGGCCGAAGGCTACGAGACCCGCTTCGGCGTCACCTATGTCGACTACGAGGGAGGCCAGAAACGGCACCCCAAGAAGAGCGCCAAGGAAATCGGCCAGATCTTTGCAAAATATATCAAGAAGGAATAACGATGTAGTCGCATGAGCAACCGATAAACCCATGATCAGCAGACCTGTAAGAAGTATTGCTAATCTCTTATCTATCGGCGACGAGCAGACCAAGGGGGTTTAGGTGAAGGGGAATTCCTAGAGAAGGCAGGATGGATTGGGTTGGCAAGATCATTGAAGGAACGTGATCATTGTTTTTTTTTCCCTTGCTGGTGTGATATAGGTAGGACAAAACGTACATAACATGCAATCAAAGTACTTACACAATTATTGACACGCGCCACACTCGTTCTCGTTTGTCTTGTTTCCTGTTGTTTCTACATCGCTTCTCTTCTCTTGACATGTCCTCCTCGCCACCAAACTGCGAACAATCAATGGAAATCATTCAAATTTCTTACAACGATTTTTACCACCACTCACCACTCACTACTCTCCTCCCCTAACTACAAACCTATACATATATTTTTATACGCTTGTATATACATACCCCTCTAAAACAATCTCTAAAATATACACTCTCTTCTTGAGTATTGCAGCCTGGCCCGGTGCCAAAAGCAAAACTCCTTGTGTAAACCTTTTTGTCCCCGCTTACTATTCATCACCTTATTTTATCCGCCTTTTTTGAGTGTAGGAAACACTGTAACTTCTAATTAAAAAAAATATATATACTCTCCTCTATCCCAAACCATTAAATCCCTCCCCCGTCAAAAATAAGTCTTTTGATCTCTGACCCTTTGTTTTCTGCTCTACCTCACTCTGTTCCACGACCAACAATAATCATATCACAGATGTAGTATAACATAATATACTATAACGAAATATAATGCAGTTGTTCATTCCCATACTCCAACCTGATCGATCCAAAATTCCAACGACCCAAAGATCTAAAAAACGATTCAGGATATGCGATTATGTACATCCAACCATCGCAGTCGTATAAAACCCACGAATTCCAGGAGTCAGTCTCGCTATATAGTCACACCATTTCCTTCTTTTCTTTTCCCTTTCCTCTCCTTTTTCTTCATTCTTTAGTGAAGAATAGAACGGCGTGGGTAGCAATAGAGAGGAAGGAGTAAGAAGAGCTGATTTTTTTTTAAAAAAAAACTCATTTATCTCTCCTTCTTTTTCGAGTTTCTTATCTTGTCTTAATTTTCGTTGTTTAGGTTGGTGTTGGTGTTGGGTATGTCTTCTCTACCTCTCTTCCTCCTTCTCCCCCTTTTCTTCTCCTTTTTTCTTTTTTTGGAAAAAGGGATGAAAAATCATGCGTTGCTCTCGCTTCTCCCGGGGGAATAAATGCGTTTATAGATACTTGTACATATGTATATGTATATATAACAGTACAACAGCGTACATGAATGATACCCTACCCCTCCGCAAGGAAGTAAACCTGCTGCAATCGAATGCACGCAGCGCCCCGTTCCGTTTGAATTGTCTAGTACGGCCATGTCTCTCTCTGTACTATATAGCTATAACAATGACAATAGTAACAATGACTTCGCTTTTCATGTTACTTTTCCTCTATCTTCTTTCAACCACCTCCCTTACACGCTACACCATCTAAGAGGTGCTGAATTCCATACAAACAAATCTTCCCCCAACCCACAAAGCTGTCACAGAAGGCGTGCTTTCAGGGGATTTGCTTGCTGGACAAGCGAGCTGTAATCTGCGTCTTGGCGGGTTAGTTTGTGGGATGGGAGTAGCCAGCCTGAGACGAGTGAACCATCATCGCGGGTGTGGTGGGTAGGAGAAGGAGGGAGGAGAGGAGGGTAGTTCCCTGGATCAAATGCGGCGTGTGTACGAATGGATGGATAGAGGGGATGGGTATCACAGTAGAATGCAATAGGGGTGGGGCGTGAGGATGGGGATCTAGGATCTGGGATGTGCGAGTTTGTTAGGGGGAGGGAGGGGGAAGTACGGATATGTACGTCGTGTTAGTGACGGTGTAGGAGGAATATGTATGGTGATTGTGTATGAGGGGGATGGTAGTGTTAGTGATGGTGAAGAGGGTGGCGGGCGTGTACTCCTTTCTCGCCCACGTCATACGCATACGCATACACAGACACGCATAAAGGGCAAGAGAGACAGAGAAAAAAGGGGTATACGTGTCTGTATCTGCGTGCGCGAGGGAGTGTGATTATCGATGACAGCGATGCATGCTCAGTGTTGTGATGGCCACTAGCCCGCTTCTCCACAACAAATCTGTAGCAATGTGCGTATCATCGCAGCCAACACTTTCATCATAATCAATTTGCCACAATGTTCGGATTCCGAGCGTCTCGTCTCGGTGTGTGAAATTGTGAAATCACACACACACCACCTACCCAACTTAACACATCGACTACTATGATAGCAGCAAGGTTAGATACTCGCAAATGCCCGATCCAGATGTCGGATGCAAGTACGCGGGGAAGGAAAACGATGGCCACAAGGCTACGAGCTGGTGTTTTTTTGTCACGATGTTACCCACCCATTTTCCCAGAAATCCATTCGCCAACGCAAAATGTCAAATCTACAAAAGGGTCCCTTGGCTCCCGGAATGGGGTCAATTACGAAAGAAAGAAAAGCAGAGCAAGTCCAGCCACTCAGAGACTCTACTAGTGATGAGAGGCGCCGCCATGGAGGGTTTCCATTCGCGAGCGAGAGAAGAGAAAAAGGGCTTTAGGAAATGATAGAGCCGCAGCTCCACAGTGGTACCAACACAGTGTGGCAACCTTTTTTGGGTACCATTTTTAGGGTGGAGTGGAGACGGATGGACGCCCCACAACGAGTCCCTTGGATATTGACCGCCAAATTTTCCCTCATGTCGTATCTATCTCTAGGCAGTGACGACGGCGACAGTCACAGCTGACTCAGGCAATCATGTTTGAGCATCCGGCGGGGGGACACTTGGAAACAACAGCGCTGACGGGCTCTAAGAAAAGAGGAGCTTAGTACTGCTGTGCTTGGATGTCGACGATGGATCAAGATGGAGCCCCGTTATCTGATATGAGCCTTCGATCGATAGATGCACGGCATACAAGTGCTCGCCCACTTTATCTATGATGATAGAGGCAACTTGCCCGGAAGTTTCGCTGAGCCGAAGATGGTCCAGGGCTCGCATGAAGAAACCCTTGATGTGCGGCTCTTCACTGCCGTGGAATGTAGCCACCGTGACACGCCAACCGGGCATACATGCTGTCTTTGAGTGCTCTCGTGGACATTGCCAATTGCAGGCACAAATTATAGGGGCCCTGGGGGTATGATCTTCTAGACTGGAAGCTAGAGCGACTAGAGCTTCTGGTGCAAACAGAGTGTCCCTATCCGCGCGAGCATTTTAGCGGAGCCATGATAGCGCCCTCCTGGCCTACGGCAGCTTGGAGACTTTGTTGTTGTCGCTGAGATGACTCGCGTCGCGTCTGTCGATCCTATTCGACGACGGGCACAAGTCAAACTTTAAAATTCTCACTAGCTGGCGCGGTGAGCTCGTGGCAGCCCTGCGAATATCGCGCCAGGGTACAAAGTACACAAACGCTTGTGTCTCAAGAGAGTAGTTAGAGACTAGACGAGCCTCGTGAGGCAGCGTGTGAGAGATGACGGTGGATTCCGGTGTCTGGGCCGTGTATCGTTATAATGGAGATGACGACGGGATCGGCCTACACTGCGGGCTCGCTGTTCTGAAGCCGACAGTGACAGCAAGAGCAGGCGAGGGGCAAGGGCCGATGCAGGCGGAGTGATGTATGTATGTGCGGCGAAGGCAGCGGCGAACAGTGAGGCAGACATGGGGAGGATGGATGGAGAAGGTTTGAGGAAGACGAGGGGCGCGGAAGTGATTGAGCAGTGATTGTGCATACCCATGCTGTCTGGGGGAGAAGTGGTGTCATTGGAGCGTGGAGATTGAGCCCTGAATGGGCAGAGATGGGATGGTATCGCCAGTTCCCCGCGGCTAGTGGCGTGCGTGGCCGGGCATTGCCATGAATTGGCCCTCGGGAGTGGATGGTGATGGATGGGATGGAGGATTGGGCGCAGGTGAATTCAGGGAAACGCGTGAGTGAGGATGTGGTGGAGGAAGGGATCAAGGTTGAAGACGTCGTTTCCTAAGCGTTGATTAGAGTTTGGTTGACTGCAGTCATGATTGGCGCTAAGGCAGCACATCTCATGGTGCGACGACTCTTAGGCGAGGCACGCAATCTCTAGTGAATGGCGACACCCTTCTTCCCCCCCAGGAGTCAGCCAGTCCGCCGTCCAGCACCTGGTGAAGAGCGAGGCAGCAGGCAGATCAATCTCGGCAGCGGAACACGGTACATGGACATGGAGAGAGCAGCCAGGCCAGAGAGCAAGTCTGGTGGGTACACACCAACACCATCACCAGCGTTGGTCCATGGTACCACCGACGTTGAACAGCGCATGGTCGAGTTAGGCACAACAGCGTGCCGGTCGACGACAGAGACGACGATAGATGGATAGCCATGGCCGGTCCAGCTGGTGTGTGTCAACATCTGGGCTCTGCCGATCAATCAAGTCGACTGCACTGCGCTACGCTACAAGATAGCTCCGAGGCGGGCTAGGTGGTGATGGTGGAGAAAGCCTGTGTGTGTTTATATGTCGCATGCATGCATGCGCTGTATGACGACGATAGCTGCTGTCCACGTCGATGCAAGCGTCCCTGATCTGGAAAACACCTGGTAGATTCCAACAGCAGCACGAGCTGGCCGACACACACAATGCTGCTACCTATTATAGTACGGTACCTACCGGTACCTGTGGACGCCAGCCATCGGCAGTATAGCTCACTTGAGAAAGCTCCGTCGACGGTTCGCAGCTATCAAACACGGCACTGCGTCTGGTTCCCTGTCTGGTTTTCATGTCTGTATGCATGTCATACCTCGAGCCTCAAGATACACGACCTAGCCACCCGTGAGTGCATGGCAAAGTACCAGTTGACCCGCAGATTGTACCATGTACCCACAGTACAGCCTTCATGTACCTTTGTACATGTTATGCGCATGGATGTCGGCCAGTGCGTGTTTTGTATAGCGATATAAAATTAGACTCCAACGTTTCAAGCTGCTGCGCTGAGGTCGAGAGACACTCATACTGTCATCGTCCAAGTAACGCCAATTCGGTTACACCACAGAGGCATCCCTGCGCGCGTCCATGCAACGAGCTTTCGCGAACTGCAAGCAGGCTTGGTTTCACACAAGAGAGGGAAAGGCAAGCCAGGGCAGGGCAGGGAGCGCGGAGAACCGCGGACGACGCGGTATCATGCCCCTACCTACCTTCGTTCTCTCTATCGTGATGCCTTTTTGATTTCATCAACAAACACACTAGGAGCCGGCACATGGCTACGAATGGATACTAGACCGTCGACGCAATTTCTCTCCACGGTGGAACAAAGAAAACGTCCTGGCGTCTAACAAGGATCTCCCACGCATGCTGTGCCACCACGCAGTCGCCCAAGTCGTGCTGTTCATGCCGCATGCTTGCAGCCACCACGATCAGATAGATTTCCGCGAACGTTTTAACTGCACCTCCTTTTGAGCCAACCATCCAATTTGCACTAAAACGACTCTCTCGCCAGGAATCCAACTCTGCTTACAGTAAAGGCCCTTGCCAAGCGGCAACCCACACCTGACGACATCTGCCGTGAAAATCATAGTTTGTCCCTAAGATTCAGGCATTGGCGAAAACCATTTCCAACATCATTTCCCCCATCAACATTGAGGATTCCGCTCTTGCTGAACTTGGACGGTTCCCCCACTGCTTCACTGCTGCGGCTGTGCTTCGAAAATGGATCCACAAGTCTGCACCGTTTCGCCCCTTGCGAATAGCTTTCATCTCTCTCTGACACTGCAATCGACGAATAGACCCTCCCGACTATCAATCCGTAGCAGGTATTGCGGCCCAGTGTTTTCTGTTTGCTCATCATTGAGCACCCATCACGGGTACTCGGATGCGTGCAAGCCTACATGCTTTGCCAGGCTAGCAAGATAGCCCCTAACTAAGAGGCTCTAACCTACCCTCAGCCCTTTGCACGATAGCCACACCGAATATTGACAATTTGAATGGTGAACGCTCGTCAACCCAGGTCAAGACACGTGCGGCCGCCGACTTATTAGGGCATGAAAATGTTCTTGCCGACTTGTCTACTTTGGTCGGCGGATGGATACGCCAAGACAGCCGCGATCCCACAATAATGGATAGGCCATTGCGCATCCCTATAAAGAAAGGATGAAAAAAAAACCTCCACGCGAAAACACACTGTGGCTTCCCCTGCGCTAGGCCGCAACAGTTCGCAGCTGCATGAGGGCCCCTGCGACCCAAGCTGATGCATTCAAGAAGCGGTGAACTTGTATCACTATTATCGCATGGGGTTTTTTTTTCTCTCGCGCAGAGCTGGCTGGTGGTGAAGGCCTTTCCGCCGAAAACCGGAGAAAGGTTTCTTGCTTTGCCGTGAGCATGATCCATCCCATCCCACTGACCACCGGGGCACCGGCTGTCAACTGCAAAGCGGCCAGGGTCCCATGGCGTGACGCGATCATGACCTAAAACAGGACAACAACCAAATGTCGGCAGACAATATTTGTATTGTTGGTGGGCACTGCGCCTATCATGCATGAACGACAGTGGGGGAGGGTCATCATGTCGCTGCTATCCTGCTCCTTTACTCGGGGGAGGAGGCGGAGGATGAGGAACAGGACGGGGGGCCTCGCAGATTGTGAAGATGATGCCGCGGATATGCGAGCTGGTCTCAACCTCATGGCCATTTGATATGTTTGTATTTTCTGGTGCCCAGTCTTGGATCAAGAGGGATATGATCGTCCTTGTTGATGTAAGTAAGTAGGTACTCAGGCGATCCATTTGCCTACATGGGGCTGGATTGATGCAGGTTTCCCATGTACAGTGAAGCGAACGCTGCACGTCTCAGCACACGCTTGAAACACACGACGAGTCTCGCGCAGCGCCGTTATCTCTTGAGACACTGTAGGGACGTACGCACGAGCGGACTAAGACGACACGGAGAACAGGAGGAGCGGCGACTACGTATACACCTTCTGGATCAATGGGTCGGGCGCGGGATGGTGTGCTCACGGTGCCGAGATGAGAAAAGGGCGCGTCTTCCCGCAACGGTGAACGGGAGGAAAAAGGTCTGGCAGTCTCAAGGCTCACCATGAGCACCCGCGCCAGCATCATGATCCAGGGGGAGATGAAGTGAGCCAAGGCCAGGTATTGATTTGTAGGATTCATTTTCGAAAAGATCGACAGGCCCCTGCTCCAACGCTGGTTAGGACGTAAGCAAGATTCAGAAATCCAAAGGCATCGCCCGCACTTGAATCACAAACGGGCACTTGCAGTTTGGGCGCCAATTGCCCGAGAGAAGACGATCAATTGACGGCGATTGCTAGGCCCCATACAGGCAAATTGACCAAACGATGGAGGGAGAGAGAGAAAACCACTCAGTGTGACTACTGCGTCGAAGATTTTTGGAGCTACGCCTGGGCGGGAATAGAGAGGGTGGAGGGGCAGTATTTCATTTCGCTTCCCGAAGCGGTCTAGCGCAGCGCAAGTACCTTGCACCACGTGTGGGTGTGCTTGCCGTGCCCTGTTCTACTGCTATGCTATGCCAGACTGTACCCACCGTCCTCTACACCGCAGCACACTGCTGTACTGTACTGTATTCATCGTCATCATCATCGTCGCCGCCCATCGCCCCAATCGCAGGCGGGACGTTTTCTCATTGCCATCCTTCGCCCAGTCGCTGCACACGGCTCGCGAGGGCACCGCTCCGTCGTTACCAATTGGTCGTTGGGTCTTCCTTTTGAATCCCCTCATCCCGTTGCCCCTACATCACTGACGAACTCTGCCCAACCCGAGGGTACAGAGCAAGGCTGACGAACACGAGGTGCGGAATGAGAGCTCGATAGTTTACAATGGCTAGCCATGGCCTCGCATTCCGCCATCCCCCCCCCGTTACGTGATCAAGAATCGACCAAGCATCTCAGCCATTGGTCAGGCCCGGCTACCGAAGGGGAAGTGGCCCGAGACGAGATGACCGAGTATCCAATTCGCCTAGGTTACGCCGTGAGGTGTTGCGCAGCTCGGTCTGGCATGCCATGCACCCATTGTGTGCAAAGCTTCGTTCCCTGATGATGCCGTGCGTGGCTATGACCTTTGGCCAGTCCCGCCGCCGCCCTCCCAGACTAGAAGGATACGGCCGCTTCTAGTGTCCATCAAGAAGCCGTCCGGCCCAAGCACCTTCGCACGTAGTATATGGTAGGTGCCGAAGATTTACCTGCTACCTGCGTGAACAGCTCTGCTGCGGGAGCGGGTTTCGATAGGGGCGCCGGCTCTTGAATTGAGACCGAGTGACGGAAGATGCATCATGGATGGTGCTTTGCTTCCAAGTCGGCCAAGGCCCCCTCATCGCCACAACTGCCTCGAGCTGCTAGCATCCTGCAGGACTCTATCAACGGCTGCCTGATCCTCGCCGCTCGTCTCCAAACTTTCTTTCGGTTTCACCTGGATTTCCCCGCGCACGTGTACCTCATCCATATCCCTGGCACCGCACCGCGTTAGTGACTGACCAGGGTCGAAGTCGTCTGTGCACACCTCCACTCGAGACGGGTCCAGGATGCATGGGATGCATGGGATGCGAGGCGCGCTATTCTTTTCTTTGGGCGGCTTGTTATAGCCTCGTCCCTGCCACGCCCTGGCGACCCTGGCATCCCATTGCATACATATCCTTCACCATCCTGATCTCCTCCCTGGATCACGCCTGACGTTTGTATTCTATCCAACAATAATCCCATTTTCCCTTTCTCTTCGCATCCATTTCAACCACCCCCACCTCCTTCAAGAGCCTACTTTACCTGTGCACATACGCTCTTCTCATAATCTCTTTGTCTCTCCAACACTACCCTACTCCTCCTTCACCCCTCCCCTCCACCGGGGAATCTCCTTGCTGTCTTTGTTTTCCTATCCCCCCAGGACGACATTGCTGGTGACCTGGTATTACGAGCACTACCTTGACCCATCCTGCTCCTGCCAGATAAGTCATTCCCAATGACTTCCGTACTACACTACCGCGACCCCATCAGCTACCGGAGCAACGACCTAATGAGCTCATCCAACTATGTTCCCCCTCACATGGCAAACATGAGGAAGTCTCCATCTTACGAGGGTCACTCTTCTGGTTCCGAGAGGAAACTGTCCGCTTCTTCGGGCATCAAGAAGCGACCTTCGAGAGCAGGTACCCGCAGCGTAACCACACTGACAGCTGCTCAACTGGAACGCAAGCGGGCAAACGACAGAGAAGCCCAGCGTGCTATCAGACAGAGAACCAAGGATCACATCGAGGCTCTCGAGCGTCAAGTACGCGATCTGACTACCCAGGTTGAATCCGGTAGCTCTGGCAAGATGATGGATCTGATGCGTCGCAACGATGAGCTGGAGCAAGAGAACGCCGTTCTACGAGCACGTCTCTCACACGCAGTGCAGGCATTGGGCTTGCCCGAGAACTCTGGTACGTCAAAAAAGCATTCCCCTCCGTCATTCCTTGCTGCATGGCGCAGTCACTTCCATTTGCGGCTCAGTTTTTCTTTTTCTGTTCTTCCCGTTTGGTCGTTCGCCCGTTTCTCCAACGGACCGAGCTCTTGCTTTTTTTCGAACCCTCGTCATGTTCGCTTCCGCTTTAGGCGACCTGCAGCGTCCGCTTCATTTCATTATTCTTATGCAAAGGACAATTGCTAACTCTCTCTCAATAGCAGAATCTACTGGTATAATCTCCGCGACGGGAGGTGCGCCATCGCCTAGCGATCGCATCCAGATTCTATCCCAGCCACGAAGATCTTCTGCGAGTGCCAGGAGTGTTCACTCAGTCCCAGAAATGACCACCACTCCCATTTCGCAATCCCACTCTCATTGGCAGCCTCAGCAACACAGCTACTCTCACGGGCCTAACATGGCCTCACCACACGTAGAGCACCCCTCTACCAGCTGGAACTCTCATCCCTCAGCGCATCCGCCGCACCCCACTGTCTCCATCTCGGTGCCAGACTCATCGCTTCATGCCGTTGAGCCAGTGTCGTACCCTAGCCCTTACGGCATGGAGAATAACACCAGATCCATGTCGTACCCTCTGGAAAATGCTTCGCTCGTCACCTCTCAGCCTATGCAGATGGGTGGCTACAGCACGCCTACTTCAAACCCGTCACCCCATCCCGCGGAATATCAGCGACACATGAGCGTTCCCATGAACGCCCCTCCCGCTGCCAACAGCTCTCAACATGGGCACGCTTACCCCAGTTCCGGCCACCAAAGCTATGTTCCCCAAGGCAGTCATTCGGGCGAGATGATGATGGCTCCCGCTACCCACCCGCAGCCCCATATGATGAATGAGCAAGGCCAGATGATGTACCACATGCAGCCGCCCATGAAGGCTGAACACTGAGTGGAGTACTCCATTCTTTGACTGGGTTCGTGGTGTGTGCGTCCGCGTACCCTGCCCTTGGAGGCGGTGAGGGGACGAGTCGCACCAGTTACATTCTACTTCCTCTGTTGATCATCCTGGCGAAGATTGATATTGAGGTCTGCATGCTTTCCTACTACCTAGGTGCTTGTGGCCGAGCCGCGCTTCGCACCGTCATCTCCTTCTTATCGCCATGGATCGATTGACCCTTAGCGGTATCGCTACGTTATTTCAAATTGCATCCTGGATCCATACACCCCACGCCACCCATACCGGATTCGGACCCCACCAACATGGCCACATTGGACAACTAGGTCTTTTCGTCACCGATAGTTTTTCGATTGCGCATTTCTCTTTGCAATCAGCTATTGGCGAGCCTCGATCGTATTCGGTCTTGGACTACGAATGTTTTAGTCGACGCCAAGACGGCTGTCAAGTTCCGATACGCCGCAGCAGCCCCACAGCTTGCACTGCAGCAGTCAATGCATCGGAACAAACTTTCACCGGTCGCTGCATAGCTTCCCTGGTCACGGTTGTCTCCGAAACCATCCAGCAAGCACGTCATTGTTTGGTGGTCTGCAACAGCGGCCGGCAAAGTAAAGTTTACGTCTGCAAATCACCACAGTACAGGAGAGAAAGTGTTGCGAGATGACTAAATACGCTATCAAACTTTGGTCGCTACTTGTTGCGCACGGATTTGGGCTAGCAGCTCGGGATACTAGCACCGAATGTTAGCCGTCTGCACCTTCTCAATCCACCGAGGCTAGCAAAAGAAAACTCACCCATTTCTCGCCCACATCGGGATGCGACTTGACGCGGTTCATCAGCGTCGCTTCACCGAGATGCCCCCATTTGCCCTTGACAAAAGTAAACTCGACATCGTCTTTGCGCGCCTTGCGTGCTTCGTCCCTTAGCTTCAACACCGCCTCGGGCACGTCCATAGCTTCAAACTGAGCGTCGTAGCTCACTCCTTGGAAGAACGGCACAGAATATCGCGCGCCTTCGCCTTTGCGTGGACTCAAAACCCGATGTGTGGTCGATGCGCAGACGCCGTTGGTCAACGCCTCCATACCCTGTCCGATGGCTACCACCAGAGTGCCTTTGATAGGCTTACAGTCTACCCACTCCCCTCGTGCATTCTGCGCTTGGAGGCCAGGCTGATCGCTCGCTTGCAGTAGATACGACGTCAACATGCTATCCTTGTGTGGACCTACACCCTGTCGCTTAACTTCCCACTTCTTCCTATCCATTTCGCTCGCTCCCGTCGGCAGATCTGGTACATCCACTTCAGGGTACCTCACAATCTTGAGCTTGTGCTGCTGGTTCGTATCGAAGAATTTCTCAAAAGCGTTCGCAGGAAGATCCAGAGCTTCGGCAATCAGACCGGTGAAGAGCATCGATATATCCGACATGCGCCTCATGTACTCTTCGTACACGGGTCGGAACGATGGGAGAAGCGACTCCGAAGGCCACTGGTTGGGTGCTAGCAGATTGTGATACAGTGGCGCCATGGGACCCGGTAGCGGCTGTGGGGTCGACAGGTCCAGTTGTTCGCGGTGGTCGGTATTGAATGCCGTTGTTTCGTTATCGAGCTGCCACGATAGTTTCAGCACACCGTTCACTCGTTAACCCGACCCAACGAATTCCGATAAGAAAAGAAACAAAACAAAAACAGAAAAAAAAAAACTCTGAGAGGCTGTCTATCTATCTACCTATACATTGTACTAATCAACCCAAAACAACAAAAACAACAAAAAAAAGGAGAAAGACAGGCCATCCAGGGAGTCGATGCGAGACATACGGCGGGTTAATGGTTGTACGTTCGTCGAGTGTTATTCACGGCTGCGTTTTCGAAAGAGTGAGAAAAGAGATTACGAGTATCACGGCTTGGTTTGAAAAAGATACCCTCTGTTGTTTCCTGGTTCGATCCACCACCATTTTTTTATTTCCCTTTGAAAGATCTCCTACTTCGTTGGCGGCGTTTGCATATCGGGATGGGATCGAGATGGGGGAGGCTGGTTTTGATGAACTTTTCCCAACGCTCTTTCCTTTCTTCTTTTTTTCTGTAACACATCCAACTCTTTCGCTACTGCTCTTGCATTTTCCTGTACGCTATTCTTGTTCCTGCATCATGCATGCTCTTGGTCTTTGTTCTGCATTGCGGTTCCCTCTTTTATAAGTACGTACTAATAATCTGTTCTTTCTGCATCATTTTAATGTTGGGCATCATCCTTTCTTTGTTGCATACATACCAATCTTAACATTCGATCTCAATCTTTTATTCTCCTTCTCTCTTGCATAACCCTTTCTTTTCTCCAGTTCTTCTTTCAAGACCTACCATGTCCTTTCTTACCGCATAGCACAGTAGATATAAAAAAAGCTGCTGTAATCTAAGACATACCACCCTTGGCCGAAATACATTACCATTTTGTCCCTCTCCCCCTCAATTCCCCCCTCGCTAACAGTAAAGAATCAAACCAAGAGAGAGAAGAAAATAATAAAGAAAAAGAAAAAGGCCAAGCCACACAAACAAGACAAAAACAAAATACATACCTCACTCCACCCCAGAAAGCTCTTCTCATTCTTCATCTCAATCTTCCTCTTCTCCTCCACACCCAGCGTTTCAAAGAACCCTCGACACTCGCCAATCACATTGTCAACCAGCTCCTCGGGGATCCCCGTGTCGCTGAGATATAAGAATCCGACGTTGAGCAGCGCGTCGCGCAGCTCGGCCAGGAAAGATGGTTTTGTGGAGGGGGAGAGGGCGGATGAGAGGGCGAGGATGGGGAGGGTGGAGAATGTTTGTGAGGTTGTGGTGGGGCTGGGGTTTGACATTTTTTGTTATACGAATTTATCGAGGTAAGTAAGTTGATGAAGTTTTGTTTTTATGTGTGTGGGGGGGTTCAAGCTTTCGTCTTATGTTATTGATGAATGGCGACATTTTGGGTTGTTGTAGGGTACAGGATGGCGTCATTTCTGGGGGGTCTTCGGTTATTTCGGTGTTCATGTGTTAACATGGACCTAACCTCATCATCGCCCAACAACGCGACGCGCGCGTCTTCTGGTGCTCGATCGCTTTTACGAAAAATATTATTAACTTTGGATGTTGGGGGGGTTTCGGGCGCGGGATCTAAGGGAAAATGAAGGTTTACAATTTGAATATATACATGTGTGTGTGCAAACCGTAGTTTGTTGTTAAAAGGATGTTTGTTTGGTCTAAGTGTGTATGATTAGGAGTTATTGAAATAAAGTCCGATATTCAATGGAAGATCCTCCTAATTCCCCCTTCCCCTTGAAAAACAATATCGAGAGGACAAAAAAGTCGTGGGTCCCCCCCTCCCCTCGGCGCTCATCTTCTGGTCCCATCGTGTTGGCCGCTCCCCAACGCTTCTTGTTGGAGCGTCATCATCTCGCAGTGATTGTTAGGTCCTATTAAAGTTTCGTGGATACCTTTCAGTGTGGAATTCGCTAGGATAGAGGATCGTTGATAGCAATGCACAACTGGAACTGTGTTGGGGCGATTAAAGCCAAAGCATTTGCGTTGCCGAGGGACATGGTGAACGAATGCATTGTCGAGCAGCCATGCGTGCATGACTACCTCGGTGCAACGCGCAGCAGGTAGCCTTTTTCAACGCAACAATTGTCAGTCAACTTCCAATTTTTGTAACGTTTAGAAATATGTGTTTTCCCTTCCAAGTAATGTGACGGACTCTGACCTGGAAAATGACATACTTTGCTAGACAGGCGGGTTTCTTCGAAGACGTGAATGTTGGAATTATGGTCATCGTGCACAGCTTCCCTGGAATTTCGTATCCTGTTGCTTCTTCCCCTTGCTAATCTATCTTTCCTCAGATCGATCGGTGAAGCTTAAAAATCGAAGGTTCGGACCCTAGTACTTCGCCATCCAGCGAAACGCCAGACCGAGGGCTGCGAGCTTCAGCCCGGTGACGAGGACAATGGCCAGGGTTTCGACGAAGAACATATTTTCTGATGTGCGAGTCTGTCTGTATGTATATCTGTATAGATCGATCTTTGATGTATGGTGATAATCAACGTTGGAGCTCTGATATATGATGTATGGGTGGGAAGTATACTGGACTAGCTTCGCATCCATGTGTATTGTGGGTCTCTCCCTACTTATATAGTCACACACATAAAAAACACGTCTACAAGAACCAAGCAACATCAACCCACCAAACAAGGAAGATGGAAGCAGATTTGTGGAACAACAGTCTAATGTCCCACGTATACCCACACACGCGCATGCGCAATGTCGTGTGCGTTCCCCCAAAGGACAGCAAGAAGGTTATGCTCTGCATATACCCTCTCACCCGACGGCCCGCCTCACCACTATTCGACAGCTACAGCGCACAGGTAGTACAAAAACATAATAAATGAGATGCGGCTGATCCAATGGCGAGACACTACATACATTCATCAGGCAAAAGAATTCGGTTACGGAAACCTCGTGTCGAGTCACCTTTCGTGTACACACACATCATTCACTGTTCGGGTGATCCCACGTGGCACGCTCTGAATGGGGATGCGCACGTGGCCAGCTGAATCTGAGAGCAAGACAGTACACACACACACATAATGTTCGAGTGTTTGGATACTTGAAGAATTGGGAATGAAATGCAATGGGCGTCCCTGTGTCGATAATGTGTCCACCGCGCGTGCCGCTGAGTCTTGCGAGGAGTGAGGCCGGCCAGCTGCTTGTTGACCGGTGATTGTGGGCGCAATCGCTAGCTACACCAAGTTCAGGCGTGCCGAGGAAGTCTCGCGATCTAGTCTGCAGGATGCGACATGTGAGGGGAGACGGCTCGTGACCTGAAGAGGTTTCTTTCCCTAGGGTTGGTGTTGGAGATGGGCATGCAGTGTGGGGGGGCGGGGTTGAATGGTGAGGTGTGATGGAATGACATTCAGACATGGTTCTGGGGCTTCGAACGTAGTCTCGCTTCAGCTTGTCTGGTCACAATAAGAATGTCATTGAGGCTGCGCTCAACTTCAAAAATAACTCGAAATAAAAATCATGCTTCGTTGTTTGGAATCGCTGCTTGTGCAAGCGACAACGATAGTAGCCCCAAGTCTTCACCCAGCGGCCCATTTCCGCCTACCCATGGACCTGAACTAACCCCCGGAGACAATTCCGAGCTGCCGCCTGCACTTCACTCAACGCCCTCTTCCGAAATCATACACCCATCCCGAAAGTCGGGCGGGGCCGGAATACCCGCTTTCCAACAACACACCTCGCTCACTTCGCACGAAGAACTGGAAACCACAATGTAGGGAACGTTACGGTGACCGAACACGACCCTACAATCCGGAGGCGAACCCGTTGAGCGTTTCGCGGAAGCAGCAAGCAAGTGGACGGAGAGTTTCCTCGTCATCGGTGTGCGCGCAAACCCGTCATACAGGCTGCCGGAATTTGACTATTTCTCCGATGCGAACCAACTCGACTCTCGGTGTTGGCATGTCACTTGCTTCCCGGGGCTCTCCTTCACGTCGGGCTGCCGCGGATTGTGCCTACCTCAATCTTGGGGCTGAAAAAGGACCTCGTAAAGAAAGCCCAGTCTACGTCAGGCGTCTCCGCATCGCCGGAATGGGTTACCATCTCGAACGCCAGAGGAGCCGTGCTTTACGAGCGTCATGTCCGGGGAGGCGGGTGGTTTGCTTTGGAGGCTGCCGGCGGCGAGGATTGTGGGATTGCGGTCGGCGAGGTCGAATTCGATCCAAGCAAATCCTCGCATTGACACAGGAAATAGGAAATAGTCGTCTTCTCGTACTAATGACAGGATCGTTGGGTTATACGCGAGGCTCGTTCGTATTGCACGCGCACGTTGTTGCGCACGCTTGGACCTGACGTTAGATGGTTCGAATATGACAATTGACTGGCATCTCACGCCACAAGGTGCTCGCAACGCTCGTAAGCACGGGGGATTCCACGCACTGATCGACTATACCGTCTCCCCGCGTTGACACTGCAGCCTCGATTTATCGGATTTATCATTCCATGTTTCGTCGGTTGGCGTTGGCACGGGGCATCTGTATCAAAAGTCTCCAACATAGCTAGTCCAAGCCACCATCGTCTCCCTCGTCGCCTGCAGACACCCTATACATCGAATCCTCCGTTCCTGATCCCGCAATCAACTCGCCTACCCCTATGCATCACAATGTTGAAAAGAAAAAATAGAACTCGGTCACCCAAGGCGCTCGCCCGCTCCAGCTCCTCTCCTCTCTCCCCCACAACCCGCGATACCTTTCAACCAATCCATTCCCTCCACAGCTCCGAATCGTACACCCAAGCTCCAAACCCGATCCTCACCCCCAGTATTCCTACAAAATAAGTGATTCCGAATCCAGATAGCCACCTGGCAAGTCGATACGCCATCTCTGCCGCCACCCTCACAATTTCCATTTCGGCCCCGCTCGCTGGCGCTATGATAAAACGCGGATCCAGCAAGATTGCCGTCATGTAGATGGCGAGCGCTAGCACCAAGATGGCCAGCACGTCCGCGACGAGGAGTAGCAGTTGAAGCTCTACTGAGACGGCTAGGTACGTGTGGGGGAGGATATACGGGATGCGCAGGGGTACGGAGAGGATTGCAGCATGCGTACGAGAGACGGGGTGGCTGGCTGGAGGCGCGTCTGGTGGTGGTGGCGGCTGGGGCATTTTCCGAAACAGGCGATGAAGTAAATAGAGCAGCGTAATCGCAGCAGTGATGAGACTTATGTGTTTCGACTTGTCGACGCGCTCGCTGTGAAGATGGATGGTGATGATGGCGAAGAGTGTAGATGGAATGTTTGGCTCTGGAGCAATCTTCTGTACAACAGAATTCGTCATTCAACAGGCAATGAAGCAAGCGAATCAATGTGATTAGATTATCTATTTGTTTCTTTTTGTTTGCTGCTATGAAAAATTTCAACGTCTGTGAGTGCTACTTGTGGTAGCCAATTACCCTTCTTGCCATGTCAAATCCATGCATTTGCATTCGTCACCCACGAAGTATCATGACCCTCCTTACTCTTTGTTGATAGTTTGAATTAACCATCCTTACTGGAAAGAAAAAAGAGACACAGAGAGAGGCTTGCGTTCGTAGGATCACGACCCGCTACATCGTCCCGAAAATCTCATACAATGAAGTGCAATGTCTGTCCTCATATATTCATTTATTCATCATTTTAGTTTGTGCTCTCATCCCTAACTGTTGCGTTCTGCTCCCCACCGCCACAGATTAAATACTAAGATCCCACAAGTCGTACAGTCTACATCCATTAACCCTTCACGATCCACGGGCGGAAAAAGGTATAATAACCTCTTACTGTACTTTTTTGGCCATCGCCTGTTATTTCAGTTCCTTTCATCGCTGTCAACCCTTCGCTGTGTGTATGAATGCCCAAACTCCAACTCAGAATCCACGCTGTCTCACTTTCCTGCCCCTCCCTCTTCGTAGTCCGTCATCTCGAGGTCTTCATCCTCGTCTGGTTCGTGTATCACTGTCCTTGATTTCCTCGTCTTCCGACCAAAAATCTTACATCGATACAAGGTCAAGGACAATCCAATCCCCCCACCGATCATGTCGCCTGGCTCAATGCTCCCTCGAAAGTAGGTCCCCGCCATGGAAGAAAACCCTGGTGTTTTCAGGTTGGCACAGAATAAACCGCGTTTTATACCGTATGTGTTGTTCCTGCTCAATATATATATGTCTATATATATGTGTGTGTGTGTGTGTATTGACTGCGCAATTAACGTACAGATGTACGGATTTGAAATGTGTGGTGTTAAGGGTGTTGAGGGTGTCTATATATACATATATATATGTGTGTGTGTGTATTTATATAAGTCTGTACCATCGTTCAATTGATGGGTCTCGGTCATGTCTTACTCGATAGATGGGTTTTATATAGATTAATTAATTTGGTGAGAAGTCATGTCCAGTGTGTTGTTGCCAGTCGGATTGTTGCCGGTCGGATCGTTGCAGTACCAATAAAGCGGTGAAGTCACTGCAGATTTATAGAATAATTTGCTCAGAAGATCTTCTTCTCCTACAGAGGGCGTGGTAGATTAGATTACCTATATCAGGTAATGTAAGGAGGTTTAAATAGGGTAGATATTTCATTGCGTTGTAGGCTTCCCTTATGCAAAATCTGTAGGTCTTGCCGCTCTCTAAGATAACGATAAAAGAACGGGTGTCATGTGTCTTCTTCTTCGAGTTCGTTGAGGGTCATCTCATTTATATCTTTGTGCGATGGTTGAGGTTCGTTCAACCCGCCCCCTTGTTCCCTATTTCCCTTATGCGCGCTTCTTGAACAGCCAATGGACTTTGAAGACCTTAACCGGATCCTATGCTTTGATCGCCTCCTCCTCGAATGATCGCTAGTTTTTCGGGGTCAGGATCTCTTCCTCAAGCAACTGGAGATTTTTCAGGTCGCTCCCCCTAGAAAGATGCACGGGTCTTCGACCCCGCGCTGCCCGCGTGATGGGCTCGCTGTTCCATGACGCCTGTGTAGATATTTTTCATGTGCGGCTTGAAGGCATCACCCACGAACCAGGGCCCGTATATATCAACATAGGGGAATTCCCCAGGCTGTATTATTTCTTCCATTTCATGGAGATCGGCGGGATCTTCCATGGGAGCTCTTTGTCCGCGAATCAGGCGTGACATTATGAGAGATTTCTGTTCTTGGGTAAGCATATATGATATCAGGACTCAGGAGATAGTGTTTGGAAAAGAAACTACTAACTTTTTGTTGAAGAATTTGGTGGTTATTCTTATTTTCGGTTGGTACCGGTCACCAGATTGGAGGTTGGGTTTTGGGTGTGAGTTGGCAGTTAGGGTTGAAAGTAGAGAACTCGAAACTGCCGGTTGTGGTTGAAGTATGCAGTATCCATAGTGGATTTACCGCATATTAAAGGTGATGTATCAATTTTATAGTTGCAAAGGATCATTTATATAGTTGGAAGTATAAAAATAGTCCGCCATGAATACAAGTGAGCCAGTCCCGATCTATGGATGCTTGTTGTCTAAACTGTAACATAGTCAGGAGAAGATATAGGTCAATTCATGGAACAAGGAGGTGAAAGTCCGATACTTACTGTAACAATACTGTGTTCGTGTAGTCAGGGTCTGTACTATTCTCCACGGGGGATGCGCTTAAAGCCGGCGCGATCCCTCCTCTCCTAGAAGAAAACTATGCAAGACGGAGTCAAAGAGCTGTGGTGAGACCTCGCTGTTCCCTCGTTACCACTGACGTGATAAGTGTTTTTCATAAACTCTGCCTTTATAAATGTGTGATACATTGGAATAGTGAAGACTACATATGAAGGTATGTGTACACCAACACTATGAGAGAATTAAGCGCCATGATATGACAGGGCTCAATACATACGTCAAAGTAGCTGAGGGACGAATTCCGATGGACTGAAAGACTGAAGACTGGAAAAGAAAATTTTCAGTGCTTCCGCACGATTCATATACTCTCTTGAACGTGAGTATGAGGTCAGAGTATCAACGCTAGAATCGGAGGGCTGCAGTGAACAATCAAGGAGCAAATACAAATCGCGTACATTTACCATATCATAGATAAGACAATCCTGTGACAATTTCGCCACAATCAATACTATTTTCCGCTATTTGTGCCACATATGAAAGGGTGGAATGCAACCACGAGGTTTGCAGAATGGTTTGCGTCTACACGTGATTACACAGAATGCAGCTTCTTGCAGCGGGCAGAACTGGTTTTCCGGTGTATTGACTCTCTCTAAGAGCGCAACCAAATAGCATACATCAACTAAGTTTCCCGTAGCTATTTGTCACGGGTATGCAGCGTGTTGATTAGCTGCGTACAGGGAACAAACATCAATTGATACTGGATAAGAGCGTATGTATAGCGGATTTGCACTTTTCATGCCAAACGTGAGAATCTATGGTATCTCTACGTTGCACCTACTCCATTCTTTTACTCTAGTTTCATTCCTTTCTGATCTAAGAAATCTACGCGGTTCTAGGCTGTGCAGCGATATTTTCTAGTGGAAGATACTATGAAGGAACTGACAACGACAAAGTTGTTCAGGATTTACTTGCGTCAGAAGGCGGTATATTTCGCCCAACTGGGGCCTTCTAGCATACTCATTCAATTTCAATATGGTCAATGACAAGTCAAGTTTAAACGTTGGATTTTCTTCTGGCACTAAGCTAAAATCTATAATCTATATGTCGCTGTATATCAATGTCAATCAAAATAAATGTGATACTCGTAGCAGATGAAAGCGAGGATACGCTTCGCGAGCCTTTGAAAAGAAAAGGAAAACCCAGCGAATGCTTTGTAGAGCGCGAAACGTCTTCTGCACTGAGACTTGTCGTCACCGAATTAGAATAGAAGAGGAGGGTTTACCAAAACTCCAGCAAAGCCAAAAACCCGAAAGAAATGAACTGCTCGTGACGCACGATATTCATCGTACAAAAACCCCAATTTATTCATGAACCGAACTCAGAGTCCATGTCATCTGGCATGGTAGTTGCACAAACTTTTTGAATGCGCTTCTCCAGCCAAATTTCTGCCTTTGGCCATCCAGCTCCGAGCTTGACTTTGAAGGTGGTGGTGTCAATCCTAAAATCTGGAATCTCACGCAAGAGCTTGTCCGTGAAATTCCAAAGGCTCCCACCTTCATAAATTGCAGCAAAAGCAGCCTGGTAGATCGGCGATTTGAGAGTGAAGCGTGCATCTGTGTCCTCAAGGTTCGCATCCGGATTTTGTTCCATCTGGTGGCGGGAAAATGCTGCTGCATAGATGCTGCGGTAGTATTCCGAATTCAAGCCCATGTACGGGGATTCTTCAATGGCTTCCCCATCATCGTCAGGGAACCAGTCTTGTTGCAAAAACCTCGGGACTGCTGCGGTGCCAATGCAGCGTGGGGCGGCAAAAGCGCCATCCCAGTCGACAATTCCTGTAACACAGCCATTTTCATCAACCAGAATGTTTTGCAAATCAAGATCCGTGTGACAAATAGTGAATGTCTCAAGCTTAGCCGAGGGATTGAAAGCGGGTGCAGAGAAGACCATATCCAGAATTTTGCGGACAGCGAGTCGATTCTGGACCTGCATACTCGTACTTAAATCGGGGTGCTTAGAGAGTTCCTCGCGATTCAAATGGGCGTCCAGTGCTGCTTTGATGTATGCTTGAGTTGACTCAAATGGACCTCGCTCTACTACTTTATGAACATCGTCCTTGTAAGGCCAATGGTAAGTAGGTCCGGTCGTCACATCTTGTGACGAGGCATTAGGTGCCTCACTGAGATAATAGGGCGTGGGAATCCAGGGAAGCCCGATCATATCGAATTCCAGCTCTTGGAGATCCACCATAGCTCGAGCCAAGGAGTCCAAGAAATTGACACGCTTGCGATGAGTCTCTTCAGAAGGGCAATCGGCATCGAGCCAACGGTCGTCGTAGTCTGTATCATCAAACCAGATTTCAGAGGCCCGATACCCACTCAGCTTCTCCATTAAGATATAAGGAGCCCCAAGACAATTGTCGAGAGAGGACGAATGGCCGAAGATCTTGGGTACGGGCACCGACCAGCAATTGAGTTCAATCTGCTTCATCAGACCCACCTGTGCTTCCAATAAATGACTGTCGATTCCTGTCCAAAGAGCTTCTGTGCCATGTGCTGGAATGCGAATCACATACTCCTCAACCTTTCCGTTACGGAAGAGACCCATATGAGCAGCCATGTTGAAAGAACCCTCAGAGCGACGGAGAGTGCTCACACAATCTAATGTTAGAGAATTAGAGTGATCGAGCGTATTTAGAAGTAGGCGACACAAGCATTCGTCAGAGATCGAACGAATAGTGTCCCAATCGCACCGCCCTTCAGTCTCGCCTGTCTCTTCCTCCTCTTCCTCCTCGTCTTCATAATTGTTTTCGTTATTGTAGTCCTGATTGACAACTTTGTCATTGTCTTCAGGTTCCTTGTCGCAATATCCTTGAACCTGGAGGTCAAGCATCGTGTCTTCCTCGTCGGCCTTCATTGATACAGAAGTGGGGTCCTCCTGTTCAATAGGGACGCCAAAGAATGCAGTGTTGCTTGAGATGTCATTCTGGCCAATGCTGTCCATACCAGATTCCCTCTCTGATTGCAATTTGTTCTGATCGATGATAACCAGCCGTTCAATAGAGCTAGCACTTGAGGATTGAGAAAGTGGGCGGAAGGGCGCTGGAGGCACTCCAAGATTGTGGTTGGCAGTGATAGACGTGTCACTTACAGATGTCACTTCTGTGAGTGCCGAGTGATTGCTGTCATTCACTGAATCCTGCGGTGCGATAGATGAGCGATTGCTTGAAGGCTTAGAGCAAACGGTTTGTGTGCCGGAAGATGTGCCTGGGCAATTGGAACTGAGTGATATACGTTGGACCGGGCTAGTAGTGTGTGTATTGGCGGTGTGTTCGTCCGATGATTCTGTGAGAGTGGACGAGGGAGGAGGGCAGAGTAGTTTCGGATTCGGTGTACCAAATCCTTGTATAACAAAGATTATATCTTCCGCATTTAGTTCTGAGGCGTCTTCGGGTAGATCGAGTGTCAGGCGCACATCATCCTTGAATGCAGGCTTTGGAAGAGAATGAGCGTCGTCGGCGTGTCCAGGGGATACAGTATCTGCTGTCTGAGAAGGCTTGAACAACCTCGTGATATGATTGAAGAATTTTTTGGAGGCCTTGATTCTAGAGAGTGTGCGCTTTTGATGCGAGGTAGTAGGCAAAGAGCTAGTGTGGGTCTTGGCAGGGACCGAAAGCGAATCAGGCACAGACTCGGACTTGAAGTTGTGAACGCAGGCTCGTAGGCCTTGCCTAAACCCGAAAGGTAACTTGTACTTGACGCCGTGCATTTGTGATGTCAATATGGTAAGCGTGGTGCAAGGTTGAGGTGCTTCGAACTTGTCACTGATGCTGTGATGTTGTTGGTGGTGGTGGTGGTACCGTGGTAGGTGTAATGGAAAGGCAGTGGCTTGCTCACTCGAGTTAAAATATGGTTGGGGTTGTGCGTTTGTAGGGCAAAGTTTAGCACGCTGACTCATAGTGAATGCAAACATACATCATTCAAGTACTATCAACTGGCCCTATCGGCATTGTTCAGTCACGATCAATTCGACTATTGATTGATGCATGATATGCATTGTTCCAGTGCATACCTATAGTAAGGTTTGCTCGCGTACGTTTTTATTTTAAGTGAGAGTTTAGGTGTTCTCACACGCGACGATGGATTTGACGATGTAAATGTGCTCGCGTACGTAGAATACAAAATGCTTGGAACATTGTGTAGTTCAATCGAGCCTCTACATCATCTCGTGTCCCTGGAGTCATGGGCGAGAAGATCACATAGCACGCCGGCAAAAGGCTAGGCAATCAAGGACAGTGAACTATCGGTTCGAGTTGTTGATATATGTATAGATTAGGGATCGAATCTAAGAGAGTCTGTTGGTTTGCTGTGTACAGTGCTCCCCTGTTCTCTAAGGTCGCAATGCATCATGTAAAGTCTTTCACTGAAAGCTATGCCTCTCGCCAGCAGTCATGCCTTTCACTCGCAAACAGATACAGGAGCCTAGTATCTAGCCACTGTAAACATGAAATCAAACGAATTGATTCTATATAAATTCCTCCATGTCCCTGCCACTGGTCGTGAGATTTTCTCCACCACGCTGAACTCAGAGCTTCAACCTCAACCTCGACGCCGACAATCAGCACCGAAAATGAAAACATACGCCGATCCTGCTTTGGACCATGATCCCGAAGAGATCATAAATGCATATCCTTACGAGGAGATGTATGGGGACTTCTTCTCGGGTGAGTTCAACCCTCACACCAGAAACATCTTCACTGGTGCTATCGAGAACCGCGGGCACCACTCGAGCTCCGGTGAAGGTGCCAAGAAAAAGTCGAGTTTTCTTGGTACCAGACCGCTCCTTGTATTCTGTATGGAATACATAGACGACGTAAACAGGGGCCGCTGTCGCTGCGGTCAAGTGTATACGTTGAAGTCGCCTGGTGGCTGCGGAGGCGACCACGCGAAGACCGCCATATCGGAGGTCTTCAAGAAGCTGGCACGAAACCAGCGCGTGGTATGGGGAGACCTCCGGGACCAGAAAATAATTCCCCCTCTTCCTCCTACCGAGCAGGAGATTCACGAGCAGCGTCGACAAGAAGCGCTGCAGGCCTTCCGCCCATGGGAGGCTATGAAAGCTTTGAGCAAACAGGAGGCCCAAGAGGCCAAGACGAAGAAGCAGCAGCTCCAAGCTGCACAGCAACAAGCCCGGACAAAGAGCAAAACCGCCAAGACAAAACTGATCGAGTCGACGGCTCCAGTGGATCCTAAACTTGCGGCGCTGGAGGCGAAGCGGGCTGGGGCTAAGATCAAGAAGGGGGGTCAGCGAGGGTTCACTGCCACCAGCAAGTTCAGAGCACAAAACAACAATAACCTGTGACCTACAATTACGGGATCAAAGCTTCTCGATGGTCTCACTTTATCTTGCTCGTCCTTCTACGCTATGAAAACGCCCACACTTGCTAGCTTCGCGCCCGGCTCGTCGCTCAGCTCTCATCATCGCTCAAAGAATCTTCTCCCAAACAGAAATCGTCTCCAGCCAACGATACTCGACTTCAATCCACAAATCTCCAACCTAGCAGGAACATCTCGTCTCCAGTTATCGAAAACACTCAGATCCATCCAAAATGACTCGACACTTCTCCCCGGAAGCCCATCTCCCTTCTCTTCCCTTATATCTTATACCCAGTCATCTGCTACTATTTACGAGGTCCCACTCAAGCGTCTTACTCACACTAAAGACCGGAGTCTATTCTCCATTCCATGTTGTCTTTCTTATATTGTTGTTGTCACTACCTTCTTGTATTCTATATCTTGTTGTCTTTACTATCTTGCTGTTGTCTCCAATACCTCCATGTTCCGAAAATCTTGTTGTTGAAATATCAATATCCACACTTCTTTCCAGCATATCATATCCTTAGATAGTTCACAATCAAATCATCACCCAACAAGATTCAATACCTTCTACCTCTTCCTCGCCCCTCTCGTGATTCCAAGCCCTTTAGAAACAACAAAAAAACTAAAGACTCTCCTTTCGATGTGCTAGGAGAAAAGAATTGTTGCTCGGAGTCCATCAACCCAATGTTGATTGTGAGCCCGACCACACCCATCCCCTCCCCCGACAATGATTACATAAGCGAGCTACTACTCAGACCACAACAACCGGGTAAGAGAAACAACCAAAGCTTGAGAAATGCAGAGACGCTGTAACGCTCTAAAGATAACCAGAGCGAGGGTATATGAATGGATGAAGGAGACATGTCATATTTTATCAAGCACCACAAGAATAACCCATACGGTTAGAGAATTAATATTTTGAAGGGAGAGAAAGAAACACCCCCAATGCATCATCGTTCATTCCTCCGTGATAATACCAATCGGTTCCCCACCAAGCACATCGCCCAACTCCGCAAGCGTCTTCTCAAACACCCTAGCAGCCAAAGTCTCTACATCTTCCTCTTCTTCCTCATGATCTCCCTCTCCCTCCCGCGCCGCACCATCAACATCAGCACCATCATCATCATTGTTCTCGAACCCTTCAAACGACACAGTCCCATCTCCATCTCCATCCTGTCTCCCCCGCTCTCCACCATTCTCTTCACCGTCCGCGGCACTACCCCCCACATCCTTATCGGCATCACCGTCATCTTCTTCCGCAACGACCTTAAACACAACGACTCTCATGCGTTCGACAACGCCTTTAATACGGACTTTATCAGTCGTCGAGAGGCCGCGACGTCCGTCGTCGAACCCAGGCAGCGCAGCGCCGGAATCGATATCGCGGCCCGCGAGCAGCGAGCTGAACGCTGCATCGAGTTTGTCGAGGAGGGCGAACGCGTGGGTAGATGATGGTGGGAAAAGCGGGAGGGCGTCGATGGTGAGCGTGGAGATGGTTAAGAGGTAGGGTGTTTGGAGCGTCGCTTTGCGCAGACATCAGGGTTTTAGAGAAGAATGGGGAATGTATATGAGGGGATGGATAGTTGGGAAAGGGGGGAGGGGGAGGGAGGGAGAAAGCAACTTACGTGACCCGCTGACCCAGACTACATCCACAATGCCCTCGATATCCCTTGCGATCTGTGAAAAGGAGATATAGCCCGTTTCTACACCTCTGTTGTCGATCTTCTTTCTGATATCGTTTAAGCTTTTGTCGAGATATGAGATCAATTGCGATTCTTTTGGGCTTCCGCGGGTAAGGGGGCGGCGACGTGGTTGTGGGAGAGGGCTCGCGGCGATGGATGAGGCCGGTGGGGTTGGGAGGTCGATTTCCATTCTTCAAGGGCTGGTGTTTTCGGGTTTGATGGGTGTTAGGTATAATTGGTGAAATTAGGATAGGACGAGGTTGGTATTTGAGCGGTGATGCAATGTAGCGATAGGAAATACGGTCCCGAGAAGTCGAATCGAAATTCAAACTCTTTTCTCCTTCTCTCCCATGAGCAGGCTGCTGATTTTGACGTCGCTTATCCTTCTGATCCGTCGTCGACCTGCTCTCTTATAAACCACCAGATTCGAACTCTGCTCTTGATGCACCCTCTATATATCAAACTCTCCCAACATCAAGCCCGCACACTGCAAACGCAACAGCTTTCCTCGTAATCCACCGCGATCGTAAACCTCCACCTTTACCAACTCCCCAGAAGAGAACTGAAAAGCGGACGGAGTGTCGATGATACCCAATCCCTGCGGGCCGAATAGGGTCGACACTTAAAAAACCAACCTCAATCAATCTAATCCGGTCGATCGCAGGCGCAGGTGCATTCGAATAATACTCTCGGAAACAACCTTCCCTTCCTCTCTTCACAATGGACCTCCCCGTCTCTTGAAAGGGGAAGAAAAAAAAAGGTCACAAGCTCTTATTTCAGTGTATTGTGTTCTACCTTCCCTAGAATGCCGAATCGATGTCTCGAATAAGGGAGAAAGCTCAAAAAAGTCGAATAATTCCGAGCGACGTCTTCGCAATCGCGAAAAACCCCGCGCTCGTCAAAGCGAGAAGAAGACGTCACAAGTCTGCACCGCCACACTTTGTCATTCGGGCTTTTGCATTAGCAACGTTAGCGTTGGCGCGCTAGCCTGGCGCTGGTTTGTGCCCCTGTCGATCTTTCCCTTATCGCGACGGGAGGGTAGGGCGGTAAGCAATCGGCGTCGGGAGGTAGCTTGGGAAAGTCGCGCTTCGCATCGCATCGCATCGCATCGCATCGTCATTATTGTTCTTGTTGGCGACGAGAAATCGGGGTGCAAAAATTCAAGGCTAAAATAAGGAGATATTGAATAATGTGAGTTTTGCTATTGGGTTGGAGCAGGCGGGGGGTGAAAGTCTTGCACCTAGTTACAAGAAGGGCGGGTATATAGATATCATGAGAAGTGTGAAGTCAGAAAGCAAAAAGGAAAGAAAATAGAGAAACAAGAGAACCAAAGGAAATCGGATAGAGATGACTGAGCCTGGAAGATTGAGAAAAAGTTGTGCGTGTGTGCCATATGTAGACAAAAGATCCCGACAGCGTCTCGATCCTCGACTGCTGCGTGCGCCCAACAACTACCTGTATACACATAGGTGCCTGCTTGGGCTTGCCCTGCCTGCTCCGCTCCGCTGTCGCCTTATGACGGCAGCGTTCCTCCCCACAAGTACCCCAGGGGGTCGGCGCAGTAGCTTTCTATTGATCCATTGGCGAGGGCGAGAGGTGAGACTCGGGTTCCTTGTAGCAGAAGCTTCCGAAACATTATGCACTCCCAAAAGAAAAAGAGAAGATTATGATACTCAAAACGTTAGTCCGACCCCACGCGCGCTTCGAACAGCTACCCTGTTGTATCTGGTTCCCGTGTATACAAGAAATGGGGGTTGCCTCATATGATTGCTAAATCATCGGTTTCGGGTTCCCTTATACGCGCGCGTAGCGGCTGGCGCGAGACTGCCAGTTTTGCTTGTGCATCGCGTACTCGGCCTTTTCTTGGTTCTCCTGGGCCTGGAAAGTGGCGTATTCCTTGCGACCAGCACGGCGCTGCTTAACGCAGCAGAAGGCGATGAGGGCAGCGCCGATGAGGACCACACCAGCGACTGAGGCACCGATGGCGATCTTGGTAGTCGTGCTCATGGCCTTGATACGGTCAACACCAGTGGGCTTGGTGGCTTCAACAAAGACTTGAGACCTCTGGTTGGTGTCCTTGCTGCAGTGAAAGTTAGCGATACATATTTCTTTTCACCATCTTCCTACCCCCGAGGATTAAACGTACCCGATAATCTTGACCTTTTGGTGGTCACCCGTATCATCCATGTCATCCCATGAGTACTCCTTGGCGTTGGTGTAGTCTGCAGCGTACACGGACTTGACAATCATGCTGAAGGGAGCTTGCTTGAAGTCGGTCTCACCACCAGCCCATTCGACGACGCCAGGCTTGTTGTTCTCCACGTCGCCGGCAGCCCACAAACCAATGCGGACGTTCATGGGGGTTTGAGGGTAGTATGATTTGCCATCCGAGCCCTTGGCTTCTTCGTACTTGAGCGTGCGAACGACCTTGTCGTCGAGGATCCATTCGATGCGCTCCTCGGTCCAATCGATGGTGTAATTGTGGAAACCGTCCAGGGGCGATGAGTCCATCTTGGGTTCGATGCCACGGTTCGGTGTAGGCATATCCGAGTTGCCCTTGCCGTAGTAGTTGGTGAAGGCGTGGGTAGAGTTGCCGCCCATGAATTCCCAGTCGATCTCGTCGAGATCCTCGGACTGTAGAATAGCGGTGGAGATGATGCCCTTGCCTGCGGCAGCCCTCATAACGACCTCGAGACGGCCGAAGAACATGTAGAAGTTGGAGTGCAGAGTTGGAGACTCGCCGCGCAAACGGAGGGAGAAGTAGGAACCCTCTGACTTCTCGTTGGCCTCGATGACACCGGCGCTCGGCTTGGTCCAGACCTTGTCGTTGTAGCGCTCAGTGAAGTTGAAGGTGAGGTTGGCGCCGAGGGCAGGCATGTTAGGACATCCCCTCTCCTCGAGGGGATTGCAAAGGGTGGAGGTTTGTGCCAGCGCGGTGGGCAGGACCGCCGCGAGGAGCGCGACGGTGGAGAGAGCGCCTGAGAGCATGATGGCGTGTAATGAGTGTGTGGATGTGTGGTAAAGAATTGGGGATATATGTAATGAGTGTGGAACGGCACGTATCCAGACGCACCGAGCAGTGGTGGTTGTGGTGATTGTGGTTTGGACAAAAAGAGTGACTGGTGGGTTGGCAAGTGATGAAATGAGTGGATTCTCGCGGGGAGAGGAGCAGGGCAGAGGAGGGAAAAGAGGGTGTGAAGGCGAGGGCGTTTGAGAGTGGACAGGCATATTAAGGAGGGCAGCCCTTGGAGGCAAAGCATGCCGTGCGTGCTGGGGGCTCGTGCGGCATGACGGTTTGATTGGCTGCACGCCTTGGTCTTGGACTTGTAAACCTCCGTCCGATCGTCGTAGCCACCGTCTCTTAAATAACTATGGGGCAATAAAATCACAGCATGGCGATGAGGGTGGGTTGGATGGCAAGCAGCTAAAAAAGCGTCTGTTGGCGGAATGGGTCCCCCTGAGGTCGCTGTTTGAATCGACTCGTTTGATGTTTGCTGTGGCCAAGGGGGGAGGGATTGAATTATGAAGTTGAGAAATGAAGACAATATGCAAGTACAACCTCAGTCCAGCCTCGCAGGAGTTGGCGGCCAGGAGATTTGCCGCCCGTGCCACACTTACACAATCTCAACGGGGGAAAGAGCGGGCGCTAGGGCCACCTCTTTTGGGCAAGAACGCTGCACTGTCTGCAGGAACGGAACGGAAAAGAGCAGGTGCGATAAGCGAATCATGAAACCCGCCGCCCCCAGTGAGCGAGTGACACCGTGACACCTCATTGTGTGCATAGCCATCGTGCGCTCTCATTCGACAACAGCAAACAAATCATCATATTTCCACCGGGACCAAACAGCCAACGATTGTACACAATCAATAATTATTACTTCAATTCATCTTCTCTTCGGTCCGCCCCAGCTCTACATCTCAAACTACAAAGTACTCTACCGCCAACCCTCTCCACTCCATGGTGAGGCCGCTATCATCCCTTACGTGCCTAATAATAATACCCCACAGCTCCTGCCCAGCGTTGCCGAGAATAGCAGTCTTGCGCCCTCGGACTTGTACGGCATACCGCCGGATATTGCATCCATCCATCCATCCCTCACCTCACCTCACCATCAATCATCAAGTACTGCCACTCACTTGGAAAGCCCGCCACCAGTGGAAGTATGCCCCGTCGAGCGAGAACTTGCCCTGCTGCCGGAACCTGCCAATGAACAGATTGACCGTCACCAGCACCTTGATAATGTCCCACATCTCCCACCCGTAGTACCCCTCGGCCCGCTTGACCTTTTCTTCCTCGTTGAAAAACATGACGCTGATATTCCAGAGCCCGTCGCACGTCGGCTGCCGTCGAGGCAGAGCCGTCTCGCTGTGCAATTCCAGCAGCCCCTGCATCACCTCTTTGCACGCCTGCCGCACCTGCCTGGGCGTCCGCGAGAACAAGACTGCTATCGTTTCAATCCGGCATCCCTCCTGCAGAAGGAACAACAGGTGCAAAATCTTTTCGATTCGGCTGATGCTGCCCGTTCGTTTCACGTACTTCTTGTCCGCCAGCCACTCCCGGAGCTGCTTCACTTCGTGCATCTTGATGTATCGCAGCTTCGGCATCACAAATCGCGAGTCGTTGTTCCCTCGCACCACCAGCATCGTCGCGTAATGCCCATTCGCCGTGCTGCCCTCTCGTCGCCGGTCCGGATCGCGCAGCATCGGCCTGCCAGTTCGCTCTTCGTATTCGCAGTTGCGCTCTACTTCGGCACGTCCTCGAACCAGTACCGGTCCGCTCTCGTGCCGTTCTGTCTTTCGTACAGCGTTGCGCCGTCTCAGTCCAACTGCCTGCGCCTCTTCTTCTGCTTCCGTGCCATCCGTGTCTGCCGAGATGGCGACTCCATAATCATTGCCCTCGTCCTCGTCTTCTGCGAATCCGTCTCTCGCGCTCGAGCTCTCTGCACCTCCCTCCACATCTTGATACTCATCATCTCTGACATATACTTGCCGCTCAACGCGCTTCGGTACCACACTCCGCTTCGCCAAACCAGACCGAGTCGCTCCAGTAGGTACGTATGTCGACAGCGTCGGGTACAACAGTCTCTCCTGCTCTTGCTCCCGCTCTCTCAACCTCTCTTTCCCCTTTCTGTCCCCTAGTCCCATCTCTTCATCCCCACTGACCAGTCTCTTGACCCTCTCCTCCATCCCCACCAATGCCCGATACACTCGCCACGCCTGCCGCGTCAACCCACCCAACGCGATCTTAGCATCGCAATCATGGATCTCGCGCTGTAGTTTCTCCAGATCCCGGTGCGTGTCCTTCATGGCACGCTTCATGGCTTTGACGTCATCAACCGCGCCCGACGAGACGATGTGCTGTAGTTGCTGGACTTGCGATTGAATGGTGCTGATGTAGGTTTGGAGTTGTGTGAGCGAGTCTGGAACGCTTGCAAGCAGGTCGTTGTGTGATTGAAGGTCGTTGGGCGTAAGCTTCGTCTTCGGGTCTGATAAGGTGGATGAGGACGAGGATGAAGGTGGCGATGGAGGAGAGCGGTGTGATGGCGGCGTGTTTGTGCGAGTGTGCGGGCGGATGTGTAAGGGCGGGATGGTGAGCGTGTAGGTGCTGGTGCTGCGTTCCATGCTTTCTTCTTTTGCTGCTGCTGCTGCTATCGGCGGCAGGAGATGGTGATGTGGTGATGGTGGCTTGCGGCCGTTTCGTGTGATGTGCTTTCTTTTGCGTCAGGCCGTGAACCGTGAATCTGGATGTTGTCCGTCAATGTGTCTGCTCTCCCTCTTTCTCTTCGTAGGTTTTAGATCCTCCTTTTGTTTCTCCCTTCCCTTCTTTCTCTCTCGTAAGCCTGTCCAACTGACGTGGTCGAGACCGCACACAGCTATCACTTTGATGATTGATATCCAGCTATCCTGTCGTCGTAGTCGTCGTAGTCGTCGTCGTCGTGTGCTAGGCTTTTCCCCCAACACCACTTTCTATTTTTTCCTTCTCCCTCGCCCAAAAACCGATCCAGTCCTCTCCCTCCCTTCTCCCCGCAGTTCAAGTCCAGATCCAAGTCTCTCGAGGCTAACCAATTCTGAATAAAAAATGTCTCGGAACCCTTTCCGTTTCGATAACTCTTTGTGTCACCCTCTCCCTCTCTGTCTCTTGCTTGAATCAAGCGAGACACAACCTTTCCAACAACCTCGTAAATGTATAGCGCGTTGCGGCAACCTCAAATCATCCGTCTTTTCGTCGGGTACCGTTCCGTTCTGTTTCTTGGTCTTTTTTCCGTCTCTTTTTTTATTTACCCTGGACGAGTGAGGGGGAAGGACGTAGTGTGTGTCCCATGCATGCATTTTGTGGGAGTGAAGCGGGGGTGACTTTTTTGATGAGCGCCAGTTGGTACCGTGGATCGGTCGGTCCTGTTATACACGGGTCTAGCGTCATTGTACCATTCATTTTCAAATGTTCTTTTTTTGGATTTGTCTAATTAGTAGTCGATGATTCGCTCTCTTTTACGCAAAAAAAAATTAGAAAAAAAAAAGTATTGAGATTGTTTAAGTCAGGGGGGTAAGCGGGCATGTGTACCTAGGTAGGTAGGTACTTGTATTCGGAGTGAGAAAAGGAGTACAGGGGATCTAGAAAATTGTAGTAATTCTCATAGTAAGGATATTGTCGAGGTAGGTAGTAAGGTCAGGATCAAAGTCGGAGGTGGTGGTTGATACAGTAAGCAAAACACCAATCTATCATTCTTGTACTTCTTCAAAATTTTGTTTGGGAAGACCTGCGGTTCTTTTTCTTTTGGTAGTTGGGTCGTTTCCATTATTATTCCATGCTGGTCAAAGAAAAGAGCTTAGAATTCTGATTAGGGAGTGCGGTTGAGTCGTTGACGCTGCGAGGTGAAATGTTGGTTTCTTGGACCTGCGGATCCATGGGGCCTCGGGGCGCCTGGACGCTTTACATGGTGTCACGTGATACCATGACATTCAAATGTCTGCATGCATGCATCGCTATACGCGACAAAAACAACATCTTTGATGGAGTTGTTGGGACTAAATACGGTGGCTTTTATCTCTTTCTTTTTAGGATACTTTTTTTTGCGTTGTGCTGGATTTATCACAATGGGCTAAATCATATAAGAGGCTTCAGGTCAGAGACTTGGGATCGAGATTATGTATACATCTGGCAAAGGAGGAAATTGATTTTTATGGTGGTGCAATGTTGTTGCGATTCGGCCGTGCATACGCATATATGTGTGTATGAATGCATGCTTTACTTGTGCGGACTGAGTATGAACTATCTATAGAAGTTTTTGATTTTTGTTGAATCTCCTGTGCCGCACGCAACGCGGGTATATGGGGTGAGGAGATGATGCAAGCGAGCGGATGCAATGAGAGATAAAAAAAAAAGCAAGAGAGAAAAAAGGTGAAAGGCGATGATATGCAAGCATGCAACGCAAACGAACCCAAGCAAAAGAAAGCAAACCCCTAAAAGGTATCCGTAAAACGCCAAAGCCGTTCCTTGAAACACCGCTCAAAGGAAAAAGAAAAGAAGTCGGGGGAAAAGGCAGAGGCAGAGTCTAAAAGCGGTTATAATCCACAATCTCAACCTCGTTCAAATGACTCCTCCTCGCTCCACCGCTCCCAGCAATCCCCATCCTCAAACTGCTCCTCGCGCTTGCATTCGCGCTACCCACAACGCTCTGCCTCATGGCAGCGGCGTTACTCCTGCCACTGCCACTGCCACCCATTCTATACCCGTCATCTCTGCGCATCGCCATAGCGTCGACACTATCCCTCAACGCATCCCTTGTGCCGTTCCTCCATGCCGAAGGTGGAGGCGCATGATGACTGTGCGTGTTTTGGGTTGCGTATGGTGTTGGGGAGGTGGAGTACTTGACAGGTCTCTTTCCATTGGGGGCAGGGCCTTTTCCTCCATAGGCGCGGGGCGGACGAGCCGGAATATGTGGCTCATCGTATGAAGAGCTATCTTGCGCGTTGAAGGATGGTGGGTAGTACTGAATGGATGAATCGGGGGTAGGGGGACCCCAGTCGAAGCTGGGTTGGAAGTGATGGGAAGGGAGGGCTGAAGAAGAAGCGGAGGCGTTGCTAGCATCATTTCGATCATCATCGTCAATATAGACGGATGAGAAGGAGGTTGTGTTTGAGTAGTGACGTGAGAAGAGTGGAGCGCGGCGCGGATGCTGCATTTTGGCGAGCTGCGGGTCGATGAGGTTGCTTGATGCGGTGTCAGTCATCATGCGGGACAGAGCGGCGCGGTCGGGGTGACGCGGTGGTGGAATCATGCTCGTCCTGTTGAGTTTGTTCTTATTGGATGTGCGCTCGAGGCCCAACATCTCGTAACATGCTTTGCCGATCCACAGCATTTGCTCGTGCTCGCGTAGGTATCGTTCTCCGCCAAACGACTTTTGTACGATGCTGCGTGCCATCATGCCTAACTTGCGCCGTTGCTCTGTCTTCTCGTACATGCGACGAGTGATGATCTCGACATCCTGGGGCGTTGGTTTGTAAGGGAGAACAGGTGCCGGTTTATCGGGAGAGTCATCGGCGTATTGCGTCCATTCGTCCAACATAGCAAGGAGATTGATTTGAGCACGAGCGAGGCCGTAGGCATCGTTGGGTGCGACGACTTCGCTGTACCGTTTCCCATTCTGGGGATCAGTAAGCACCCGGAGGGACGCACCTACATCAGTGCATACAACGGGAGCTCCGGTGAGGGCTGCTTCGCCTAGAGCAAGAGGTAGACCTTCAGACACAGAGGAGTTGAGGAAAAGCCACGTGTTTGCAAGAACCATGGCGGGATCGGCAGTACCCTTTAAAGCGACACTTTGGCCCAAACCTTTGCATGCGAGTATCTCTTGACACTCTGAAGAGTACACTGGCGATTTGTTCAGGGCGCCGTATATTTCAAGCTTGTAGTCTTTGAAGCCCCATTCGTTGGAGATGATGTCGGCTGCAAGTAGCGCAGTTTTGATGTCTTTAGCGAACCAAACGTGTGAAAGCATGGTAACTGTGGGCTGCTTGGTCTTGATCTCAGTGACAGGAGAGAACTTCTGCATATCGGTGATTCCGTTGACGATGGGATCAACTTTGCGTTTGAAGACGTTGCGATGGGTAAGTTGTCCTTTTGAACTTCCAATCTCCACTTCCCAGCCCGGATTAAAGAAGTCTACGCATGTTAGTGAGTGAAGCTTATCAATAGATTATCACGAACAAAGTAACAACTTACCTGCACATGGAAGAATTTGGTCGGCATGGTGCAAAATCAAGCAAGAGGTCAACTTCATTAAACCGAGTAAAGAGTTGCGAATGAATGGCGGCAGAGTGCACATAGCGGAGGATAGGTACAGGTTCGTCTCTCGCCACGATATGGCATGATCCCATATCTGGAGTGTACAGTTACGCTTGATCTTACAAACGATTCCGTATGAAGCGGAAACACTGTGATGTGATGCTTGGAACACGTTCGGAATTTTCTCGGGGATCGGAATAGAGAAGATGAAGAGGTCTGTTAGAGTCAGTTAAAGATCAAAATAGCCGAGAGGTAAAACATACATCTGAACCACAGCTCCAAAGCAGTATCGAGATGACTCAATGTCGGCAACTCAGTACGGAACCACTCAGAGGGTGGTTGCGCATTCGGCATATCATCCGCCATCCACAATTTTCTCCATGTGTCCTTGACAATGTCGCTGGTCCAGACTTCCTTCCAATGGCGAGAATCTTGGAAATAAGTGTTCAAATTCACCAGAGCCCGCGTTGCCTGCTTCACATCGGCTTCGGTCATATCAATGGCCCGGGCGCCGCGCACAAGAGCAGTGAGGGTAGGGATGAAATTAATCTTGATGTCGTTGATGGTCGCGTCTGCAACCAAGTGGTCCACCTCGCTGTCGAGTTTATTGGTGAACATTCCATGAGAAGGATGCATGAAGTCGAGTCCCCACAGTGGGATGATCTTGAGGGATTCAACGTTCTCCTCAGTCTGATGCTTGGGCAAGCCGAAATCATTGGCTGACTCCACAACCATGTGCCATTTGATGGTGCGGAGGTTGTTAATCAGATCGCGGCGACAGGCCGACACACCGCCACCTTCGTTTGGCCACGTACCCGTATCAACAGCGATCACATGCAGGTTTTTCTCTGTATCGCGTTGTAGAGCTTTGGTCCTAGTGAAAATGACAGCATCACCGCCCTGACCAAAACTGAAGAGATCGCTCATGCGTATTGCTAACGGGGTCCAAGCACTGATATCGCTAGTCAAATCCGAGCTGGCCATGATCGCATCAGCATGCAGGGCGAGATAGTCTTCGGCCTTGAGCAAGCTACCACGGTCACGACGCCGCCAGTAGGGCCTCAAGAGCTGTTCTTTACGGACAAGTTCTTCATCAACGAATCGAACAAGAACTCCATCGAGATCCAAACGTTTCTTCCATGCTTTCCACAATTGAGATCTGGCACGGGAAGTCGAGATTTGTTGACGTTTAATGTTCGCTCCGAACAAGCGCATGAGAAAAGTCGAAGTTGGTGTCGTGAAGTCTAGAAGTGGGTTTTCATCCATGAACGTACAATGCGTCGGCTTCTTAAGCACACCGAGCCAATCGTATCGGATCATGTCAGGGGTATCGACAGTATGTCCATTGAGCTTCGTGGATATAACGGGATGAAATTTGTGGTCATAGAGCCAGTTGCACTCGTAAACATCGGCACCTTGGACGAATGTCGCTTCGTGAACGCGGGGAGTTGGGATCCAGCGTTCCATCTTCTCAGCGTGACGCACTGGAGGCGCACACCAGCTAACGTTGACGGACATGTGAGGCAGAACAAATTCGGCTCTCAACAATTCATCATCGTACTTGGCATTCTTGCGGTAATGGTACTTGAAGCGCACCAGATTTCCATCCTGTAGATAACTACCGGACTCAATATGGCCCTTGTAGTTGTACTGAACCTTCGCACCCGAGGCGTTACCAGATATGCAATTCCGGCTGATTGGCAGTTTGACGCTTTGGAATTTCATGATCTTTCCAAACTTTGTCGCTCTTTTGCTAGGATATTCGTAAACAAATTCGTTGACCACATTGTTGTTCTTGTACTCTTTGCGGGACGTGATATGCATAGTCCGGTCATACTCTGATACCCTGACGTGACCCCAAGTAGGTTCATTCTTGAGGATACCGTTGTAGAATACCAACTTGAAATTTCCATTTGATGTCGGGTGCACGAAAGCGGTCTCAGTTTCCCCATAGCTACGAATAAGTAGTCGATCTTTCTTCTGGGAGACCAGACTGCCTTTTACCGTAGACGCGAGACTGGCGATATCTTTGCGGTTGTGATATAAGAAGAAAGGGAGTACCCGAGACATGGCAGCATGACTGTATATCCAGAGCCCGGTGAGGATAAAAGTCAGTGGCTTCGCAAGGAAGCTTGGAGTTCTACCCAATGCGCACTTGAGCTCTCGTTGGTACTCTAGATCAGCCATGCACGCGAGCACAAAGAATTTGATCCATTGGCCGGCGGTATGGTAGACGTAAATGAATGGAATGGTGAGCCTCTTGAACACTTTGCCCAAAATTGACGTGGCAGATCGATTGAGAACTGGGTGGTGAGCTTCTTGAATGTCGGCGGTGACCTGCCGATAGTCCTTATCGCTGAGCTCTCTGGCGCCACGAGCTTTGAAGTAATTGTACTTGTTCACCACCAAGTATGCACCCAAATCATGTCTAGCGATTCTTGAGAGGATAGTGCAGGCATCTTCGGCTGCAACATTTTTATTAATCCATGACATTTCAGTGTTGGTGTATGGGCCTCGAGCACCCATGCACCGCCGCAGAAACATCCGACGGATATCGAGGGGCAGATTGTCCCAGTCTTTGTCACAGTCGTACCCAAGACAAAGATGGCGCAGAATTTCTTTTCGGCACTGAGTTTCGAACGCAGCCGCTTTTTGACCCGTTGACTCGGAAGGCATTGAGCGTTTGGCGCATTCAGATACGACATGCGCATCAGCAATCACCGACCGGCAGGCCGGTATAGATTCTGTAATCTCGGCCTGGTGGAGAGGCATGCCGAACATGGTCCCTGCACAAGCATACAATAATGTTTCGGCTATGGATTGTGAGTTGCTGCTGATGTTGACTTGAGTTGCTATGGAGCCTCTCGAATCTGAAGCAATATATAACGTTAAGTGGCCGTTAGAATAGTGAGAAATGGCTCGAAGATCGACGCCATCCTCCGTGACAGACTGCATGGGAACAATGAACACTTTGATCAGTCCATTTTGCCAGGCCAGAACAACTCTTTGTACAAGGAATGGCATCGCAGGGAACGCTTGGAGTGCAAGTCGTGACAGTGAATCGTGAGTACACGAGAGAAGGTTTGCGCAGATCTGGTCTCCAGGATGACCAAAGGGCAAAACCCGAAACCGATCTTCTTTGGGAGCAGAGCGTAGTTTTTCGGTAAAAGCTTGTAGCTCGCTTTGACTCCAATCTTCTTCTGACCCGGTTCCGTTATACGCATGAAACGCTTCTTCCGTAGACCAATGAATGTGGTATTGACTGGGAAGTCCTCGAATGTGGACAGAATCCGTAGAGCTGTTGGGCATTTCTGGACGCTTGTATCGCGCGATCTTCTCCGATATCCACATGCGGAGGTCAAATAATTCTGGTAGTCCGAGCTTTGCTGTGCGGAAAGAGAGCAAAGCTGCCGTCCAAGTTCCGACTGCCAACGCAATGACGTTGTTATATCGGAAACTCGGTTGCACTTCCTGGAGGATGTTGCCCAGAACAAACCCAAGAATGACGGCTATCAGCAGTGGCATCAGAGCATGCGGTCCAGAGAAGATTTTGTTGTACTGGTAGAGTAGCAATCCACTATAGGCCCCCACATAGGCGAGGAACATGATCAATCCGTTGGCCGAGCCATTGAAGATCCAAATGAGTGCGCTACTGAAGGCCAGTGCCCACACATGTACACCAACGAAGCGCCAGAGAGTAATCCAGTATAGACGACGTCGGAATTTCAGGTCGTTGGCTTTTGCTTTCTTGATGTGCGCGACATTCTCGATAGAGACAGGCGCCATCTGTTCAGATAGTTGATGCAAGTGTTGAGCCTTGTAATCAAGAAGTACAGCCCCGATGAGGTAGTATGCGAGACCGAATCCAACCGATAGCCTCAAGATTTTATTGAACTCCGTAATGGCGTCTTCGCTCAATGCCGCGCCCGCAATAGCAGCAGTATTTGACTGAACTGATAGACCGACTAGGCGTCCACCATGAACTAAATCGAGCCAACGATCCATTAGGGCTACCAAAAAGTACAGAATACCACACCCTATCTCATCCCCGGCATTGCGCCAGTGAATGAAGGAATTGTGCAAGCGGATGCCTTTTTGTGATTGCTGCATGCTTTCCAGTGCAACTTGTGTCTCCAGATTCCAAGTGGAACTGAACGGTATGGGTCGCTTCGTCTCAGTTATTCGGCTATACCAATCCAGCAAGAAAAGAGTTGAGTCCCAGCACGACGCCAGATCCTTGACGAAAGTATCGGTTGTAGCCTTTTTCCAGAATGAACGGTTTCTCTCTTTCGTCACTGCATCGAGGAGCTTATCCCGGCAGAGAGCGAGGATAGCAGGCTCACTAAGTCCATAGAATAATTGTTCCTCAGGCGTGAGCTCAGTTGATGGGGTAACAGAGGATGATGCCGCCATAGACAGTCTGAGATCCTTGCCCTGGTTTTTCTCTGAAAAAAAATAAAAAATTGATTAGACTTATGATTGAACGAGACAATTAGATCGCACTTACCTTTGGTGGAGACTGACTCAGCCGACTGTCTTCCCTTGATTTGTTCCCTTATGTACCAATCTTTGACATCTTTATCATTTAGAGTCTTGATGTTATGGTACCAGGTTACCCATTGTGTGGCAACACGCCTTGTTCCCAAGACCAATAAAGAAACAAACACAAACAATATGCATGGATAAATGATGATGTCGTAACCCCGTACCCAGATGGTGATGATAGGTGAGATGATAAGAGTAGGAATAATAGCGATGATAACTTTTCGGCCGTTCAAAAAGGAGGATCCTGGTATCTGATAGGTAGAAAGTACTGCAAGCACGGAAAGGTAAGAAGTGAGAAGGAGAAGATAGAAGAAGTATATGGCGGCTGGCTTGACACCGACAACGATCGCAATGACGATAAAACCCACAAGGCTGGCAGCGAGGGTAAATGCAAGACCACCAATCAAGCGGGTGAGAACAAACATGTTCGCAGCAGAGAATGCCATCGATATCAAGTAGTACGTTCCGCCGATGGAGATCCAGGTGCCGATTGCTCCGGACAGAAGAAGTGAAGTCATAAGAGCTAAAGTGGCATATTTTTGCTCTTCGAAAGTCATCGCAACGCTAAGATACAAGCCGTGACCGGTCGTAGAAAGAAGCAAGATATCTGTATGCATCAGCAAAAACTTCTAGATATTGACTGTACCCCACTTACCGACAAGCGCTGGAATCGCAAAGACACTGAGAAACGTAAATCGACGATATCCCGGCATTACAGAAGCTTTTTGATTGGGATCGATATCCGTCTGCGCTGCGGCATAGGCAGACGCAAATGCAGGCGCATTGAATATCCACATGGGTGGTTGATGATCCGACTCGTTATAGTAGCTTCGATGTTTCTTGGAAAGAAGCACTCCAATATCGCTCGGTCGGATATCAAAGTACGCCTCGCAGCGAGATCCAAGTGCAAACAGCTCGGCGAAAGCGGCACTCTGATCCGAATACTGGTTGAATAGTGGATTCCGATCAGACACTTCAACGTAGACTTCTTCGAATGCAGATTTCCGGGCAGCACAGAAAATACAGAAGAGAACGAAATCAGAAACTGAGTCAATGCTCTGTCTGCTGGTGAGTTTTTCGATAGCTGTAGTGATGGCATCTAAGCTTTTGTGGTCGCGCCACCATAGAATGTTGCGGAAGCAGACGTCGACGTGCCGAAAGAGCGCTATGGCATTGTGCCGCTCAAGACTCGGAAGGTGGCACAGTCGATACCATTTGATTCGGGCATTTACCAATTCTTCGTCGGTAATGCTTTCGCTGAGATAATCCATGTTGGCTTGCTTCTTGAGCTGGCGATACGTTGGAACATCGATGAGAAGCTCCTCGCATTGGGTGCGAACGGATGTAAGTAGTGGACAATCGCCATCCCATTCGGTATGTTGAAGATGTTGGAGATAAAGGACTAAGTCGGAGGAAGATAACAGATCAAGATCTTGTTCCATTCTTGACGGCAATCTCTCAAGCGTATCAGACTTGCTCAAGTGTGCGTTGAAGTTGTATTCCAAGAGAAGACATTGATATCGGCTGAATCCGGCTTTGCTAAGATAAGTGTGGAGCAAGGTAGCGGGTAAATCTTGGGCGGATTTGGATACGTAGATGATGAGAGAAGATGTTCTCCGGTCTACTTCCCAAACAGACCAGTATTGACTCCCACTGGGTGTATGATATCCAGAGTCGATTCCAGTGAAGACGCGCACCGGACGATAATCCTCGTCTTCTTCGTTGGTCGCTAGTAATGCCTCCGCGAAAGCAGATACCGCGGCACGTGAGTTTGATATGTTATCAAACAAGGAACACTCTGACCGACTGTAGGTCAGCAGTACGCTCCCTATTGTGTTCAACTCCGTTGTTTCGACTTTGCTTAGCAAATTCAGCTGTCGCAGCCGCTGTTGTGATCGCAGCACGTGATCGAAATCCGTTTGTGTGGCATTTAGTCCTATTGGAAAGCAGCCTAAAGTACCGTAACGGGTGCCATCAGAAGAGCATGAAAGTGGATTCGAATCATGTTTGTCCATAGCTGTACTCCAGTTGAAGCCAGGAGAAACTGGGGACATCGGTTCTGAAGTCAACAAAGCGCCATTCTCATCGATTTCCGGGTACTGAACAGTAAGGGTAGAACAGCTTGAATGCTCATCGGGCTCCGAGTCGGAGCTATCCAAGCCGGAAAGTGTATTTTGGAGTAATGGGAACACTTCTTGTAGCGGGAGGTAATCATCGATGATGCTCAGAAACTCCGGTGCGAGCTAGAGGGTCTGTCAGACTACCCGAGTTACCATGCTACCCGTACAAGGGTGACTTACGATGCGAGTGCCCCTAAATTTCTCGTGTACACTCATGACTCTTCGATCTTTCAACCATTGGAAAGCTGCAAGTGGCTCCTCACAAGAACGTATCTCCGCCAGATCTGTCAAAGCGCATTGCCTTACAAAGTATGGCGTCGCGCCATGATAACTACACCACATGTGTGCTCTACGCGTTACAGCATGAGACAGCTCAGCATCGTCTGAGATCGTATCCCACATCATTGTGAGAAACGGTCGTAGACACGCTTGTGAGACAAAGGCCTTTGTGGTAGTCTTCATCTTATCCATGGCAAAGAAGTCTCTTCGCTCTCCATTCTCCAGGATTGTCCCATTTCTCACGATTATGCCTGCGAAAAGATTCAAGTCGAGGTCCGTGGTATTGTGCAGGTAATCGGGAGGGCCAACTTCCAGAAACACACCTAAGCCATGGGCAGCGAAGAGCTTGGTGAGCCCAATCAATAATGGCATGCTCAAATATTGCTCCCATCCTGCCACGAGAACGCTAGTGAAGTATCTTCTCTGATCCGGTCTCCTCAAAGATTCCTGGAGAATATTCGAGATGACGTATACAGCGCGGTACTTGTCTAGTTCATTCTCTGTCGCTTTGGCTGGTAGTATTTGTGGGAGGTCGAGCCGAGCAATAATGTGAGGTCCAATTGCAATATCGGGATCGCTGACCGCTTCAAGTACGCCCGACTCGCGGTAATCCAGGACCACGGCATCCCATCCCGCAAGTACTTCTCTCTCTTCCGCTGTAAGTGGAGTATTGAATGAGCCAAGGAACACCCCGAAGGATGATAGCTTCTCAGGAAGAGGTTCGGCAGGTCGAACGCGGTGTGCACTGCGCGTCAATACATAGAAAAAATCTTGTATAGAGCGGGACAGGTTATCGCCACCAGTCTGGCTCTAGAAAAATTCAGGTCAGCTCTCAATTCTATTGTCGCACAAAAGCTGGTCTCATATTCGGCTCTTACTTTGAACCATCTTCGAAATGAATTGTACGATGTCCAGAGAAGGGCGACAACGCCTATGAACCCACTTGCACAGACTATGGCGACGAGGGTATACTCCCACCAGTTCTCAAGAACAGTGCCCGAACTGAAAGCTTGAATACCCAAAATGTCCGCCATTTCTCTCCAGGACGCACCCCAAGGTGGGTGAATGTAGGTTGAAGATGAAACAAACAAATAGATGTGGGACTTGACCGAGGTCCACGGCGGTCAGCGGCGGAGACCGCTGTAATAGCAGGGAGACTATTGAATGACAAGACGAGACGAGCCAGTGGATGGGAGCAAGCGGCAGTGTTTCATGCTGAACTGCTCTTGGTAGCCTACACACCACTGGGATTGAAAAAAAGAAGACGGGAATGATAATTTCTACTCTAAAGAAAGCGCGTCACAAAGTACGGCAGCTGAATGCCGGCACGGTAGTAGCCAGGAATAAACCGGGAGGATGCAATCAGACCGCTCGTGTATGAGACCATCATGTGTCTCGTAAGCATTCGGACGATCCATCAAGACAGACTAGCAACGCTGGCAAATTGCACAACAGGCAGCAGGGAGTGAGGCATAACAGAGCAGGGACTGGCGGCAATGGAAGCACTGATGCGCTTCGAGAAGCGTGCAAGACATATCTTGGCATCCTGAAGTGGCAGTGAGAGGCAGCGATCAAAAGCGTGGTAATAACAAGCAAAGCCTTTGGACCGGATGATGGGCAGGGCAGATCCCAGGGGAGCTGATGTGGCCAAGCAATCTATTATCGACAGCGAGTACATAGTACGAGGCCCTCTGATGACGAAAAAGAAAGCAGAAAACGACAATCCTCGAGAGAAGGGGGATGGGATGTGTGTGTGGTGTGGAAGCGTCATGTTAGTGGTGAAGGAGACGACGTCGAAGCAGAGGCTGAAAGCCGAGACGGGGTTCGCTAGCGCGGGGCCGTGCACAGTGCTGGTTTAAATCTGGCTGGGTGTACTTTAGCCTAACCTCCTCCACATCATGCCGTTAATATCGAGGTACATGCACCCCGGCTTCATCTGCAGCATCTTTACCGTATAACATGCCGCGCAGCAACTCGTACCCAGATGAAGTCCGGGGCCGTAGATGACGCCTCAATATGCCCGCAAGGTGAGCTTGCGTGGAACCAGCCCGCACCACTGCAGCCGATAGAGGGGGACGCGTCGGCCTCAATTTCCTCTTCCTCTGAACCTACATCGGACCATCATCATGATCTGAAAAGCCCTCGGTCATGAGGTTCTCGGCTGCTCTGCCCTAGTCTCCATCTAAAAGACACTGACATTGTTGAGTCGACATGGTCCATGTCACGTTGCTCTGCCGCAATCGCAATACCTAGGTAGAGTAGCTTCTGCAAAAGGACCTCCAAAGTAAGATCCACTATGTAATAATCTTCAAATCATATTTCCTTTCTAGATCCAACTGAGGCACTGGCCACGCGTGGCGCAAGCACCTGGTCTCCTCCACCGGCTCTTCATCGATCACAGGTAGGGTTCGCCAAGAACCCCTGCTCACCTATACATCCCCCTCCCTCCCCATTGTCACGTTGCCTTTCTTTACGTGGCTACCTTGAGGAGAATGTAGCTTCTATGTTACAGTCTACACTTCCAGGCTCGTAGCGGTCCTCGTTTCCGGCACGTCATTGTTGCTACCCCAATCCATTTCTGGAACCTCGCCACCAACTCAAGCCCTCAATTCGATAGTCTTGCGTCTACATGTTTCTCATGCGCTTACATTTCCTCATTGCCCAATCGTAAAACTCGGTTTCTTTGCCGGGATCCGTTCCTATTAAATCCTTCTGGACCCCGAAACTTTTACATGTGTATCTGGTTGCCTTTCGTCGCTATCTTCTAACAATGACAGTGTCTATATTCTCGTGGCTACGAGCTTGCTCGTTAGCAGCGCTTGTAGCTTTCTCTCCCAGCGTTTCTGCTGAAGAGATCGCAGCGGTCGGAAGCGTTTCCGTCTCCAGCACAATCCTCGTCATTGCACGAGACCAAACTGCCGCACAGAACGGCGCAACCTCCGGTCTACAAGGCTATGGAATCCCATTCGAAGTGCTCGCAGTCCCTCAATCTGGAGTCTCCAGTCTGCCTCTACTCAACGCATCAGCAACCCACGGCAATTACGGAGGCATTGTCCTCATCAGCGAAGTCGGTTATAATTACGACGACCTGTTCTACAGTGCGCTTACGCGGGCTCAATTCAACCAGTTGTATAACTACCAGACACAATTTGGTGTGCGAATGGTGCGTCTGGATGTCTTTCCGACAACGGACTTTGGCACTGTCAGCATTGGAGGCACAACTGTGGACGAGCCTGTTGTTTTCACGAATGTGACTGGCTTCTCGACTGCTGGGCTCAAGACGTGCGTTCATCACATTTTCTTATTACCTTCTTTTTTTTCTTCGTGACGCAAAATTCCGGGTCTTTTTTTTGTGAGGCCTGGCTAGACCTTCAGATTTAATTTGGATGCATGCAAGGGAAGACACTGACAGGCTTGGCAGGGGACAAAACGCTAGCATCGCAAACATATGGCATAATCCAGCACAAATAACAAATGCTTCCATTGCCTGGGAAATTGCAAGATTCAGCAATGTAGGAACCGCTGCTGTCATCAATCAGATTGGCAACCGTCAACAGATGGTATGGTTCCTCCCTTTCGCACTCGATTGGGCACCGAGCTCCAACTATTTGCAACATGCCTGGATCAACTGGATCACGCGAGGACTATATGTTGGATTCAGACGTCTGTACTTCAGTACTCAAGTCGATGACATGTTCTTACAAACTCCTTTGTACCGACCTGAGGGACAAACATACCGATGCAAGCCCGACGATTTAGATCTACACGTTTCCTGGCAGGCCACAGTGAACTCCAAAATGCCCAAAGGATCAGAATACTTCATTGAAATTGGTCACAATGGTAATGGCGCTATCGAAGCAGCAACAGATACTAACGCGGGAGAGCGGGTGTGCACGCCGCCATCGGGAATCGAGTACCCTGACCAGATTGATGGAAATCCAGACTATACTAAGCCACCAGGAACTGGTAACGACATTTGGCCAACTACTCCCGCCAAATACGAGTGGAGTCTCGCGTGTAATGAAGTTGATGAGCTCCAGAATTGGTTTGCGGACGCGTCTAACCGTGACGCATTTGCGCATATCTCCCACACCTTCACTCACGAAGATCTTACAAACGCTACATACTCTGATACTTATAAAGAGATAACCTTCAACCAAGCCTGGCTTAAACAAAATGGATTTGACACTGCTCTACGCTTCAGTCCCAAAGGTATCATTCCGCCAGCTATCACAGGTCTCCACAATGCCGATGCTCTCAAGGCTTGGGTTGACACTGGCATCGTTAACGTTGTTGGCGACAATACGCGTCCTCAGCTTTTGAACACACAAAACCGCTTCTGGCCGCTCAAGACCAGTGTTGAAGGCAACGGGTACGAAGGCGTTAACGTCATGCCACGCTGGGCAACTGTCATCTACTACAACTGCGACCTTCCAGCATGCACTCTGCAGGAATGGATCGATACGTCTGGAGGAAAGGGGACCGTCGATGATCTTCTGGCAAACGCACGCGACACTGCTATTAGAAATCTCATGGGTCTTCATTGGGATTCGTGAGCTTTCCTATTCTTTTGCACTTCTTTGGACCATTGCACTAACAGGAGCTCAGTTACATGTTCCATCAAGCTAATATGCGCGTAAACGACGTCCCTACCACCGTCGTCAACGGCAAATCAGGGCAATACTCTCTCCTCATGACATGGGTGGAAATCGTCAGCGCAGAGATCATCAGACTGTAAGTTCTGCCTCCTATCTCAACTGGGATCCCAACATGAATGCAACCTAATCTTACACATAAATCAGCACCACCTGGCCCTTTAGGACTCTCAAGCACGACGATCTCACAGATCAATTTCTCAAACGCCAAACCCGTGATCTTTGCCGTCCTAGCATGACCTGGCAAACCACAGCTGACGGCAAGGGGATTCAAAGCGTCACCGTCTACACCGCAAAGAGCAATCAGTGCGACACCACCATCCCCATCACTTTCCCCATTACTCCAACCTCCACTGAAGGCGCCACCATGGAACAGATTGGCACGGACCCTCTCACGCTGTGGGTTACCATGAGCGGGAAGGCACAGACGTACACATTTGGTAAGGCGCTACCTTTGTAGGTGCTTATACGAATGTGCGTGCATAGGGACTATCGTTTCGGTCACGTCAATTGCTACATGCGAAGACATGCAGTCCCGAAATAGTAATGTGTTTTCATCCGAAAATTTCTTACGGCCACCCTGTTTCCATTTAACCAAGAAAAGGAAGAGAGAAAAGGGGTCATGGGGTTTGACGAAAACATCCCAACTAGCTGCGCATCTACAGCTTCATATTTGTCATCATAGTTTTACGTTGCATGCCTTTTTGTTTTTTTGTTTTCGTTTCTCAATTCACCTTCATCGTTCCCAAAATGTACATAATGCTCTCTAAGCTGAATTAAGCTCATCACCAATACTGACTCAATATTTGCTTTTTCCATACTCGCTAAAGACATCATTACCTTCCAATACATCTCTCATCGCACAAGAAACTGATCCGCATAACCGTTCTCCGGGACGGACGCCTCCACACCCAATACGCCGCGGCGCACCAAGCCTCAGCCCCAACCCCAGCCCCCAAATCACGAATCGAAGAAACAAAACGCACAAAAGGAATAAAAACGCCACGCCGCACGGCAATGGCGCACATCGCGAATACGAACTTCTTGCATCATCATCGCCCCAAAGAAGGAGACACGTTCTTAGTTCAATCGGTTTCCGTATCACCTCCTTTACCTATTAGGTCTAGGACCCCAACTAGGTAAAAACTCGTGTTCATTCGCAACCGATCTTGTGGCTTTCCAAAGAGTGAGGAAGCTCGGACTTAACAGAAAACGGGGAACATGTAAAACAACAACATGGCAGTCAGGCAGGCAGTCAGACATGTCTTGGCTTCGTGCGCATATACGTTTGTGGCACATGGAACATCCATACCCCTACCTGCCTGCTTCTGCATCATCGCGCTATTGTTTCTACTTTTCTCACCCCAGGGAAATGCGGTGTGTGTGTGGAAAAGCAGCGGTCGTTTTGTACCGCGGAGCATGACTGCGTTGTGCGTGATGCGGCGGCGGAGCTGAAAGGATTCAAGACAGGCTGCGGTTTTACCCATCCAGTTGTCGCGTCCGAAGATGTGCAGCAGGATTGGGAATCATGGTTGACTGCATTCGATGGACTCATCACACGCAACATGGGTACTAACTACAGTGGCATCATTATCACCATTGTTTATGGATGTGCGTTATAGCATTATTGAAGATAGCGTTGGGAGGGATCAATTTTCCCGATTGTGATCCTTCGTGCTGGAGACTGCAGATTTTCTTCGGAGTCAAGTCGGGACATGGCATTGGAAGGGAAAGGAGTGCGAAAGCATGTTTCTAGTGATACGGGCGAGAAAAGTGCATGCTCGATGCACTGGATTGTTTTTGCCACGGGGAGACAAGACATTGGCATCACGTATATGCAATGCATACATGCATTTCCTCGGTTTTGTCTTTCTTGTCATTGTTGCTCGACCTGGATCCTGGACTGCCAATGCATGAGGCATGAGCATATCTTGCTCATTTTTACTTTTTGCTTGGGTTGTGGTTGTGCTTACCTAGCGTCTATAGCCGTAAGATCATTGGAGGTGTGGTTCGTGACGCATAGTTGGTTGTCCGGAGTGCTAAGGTCTTGAGTATAGATCTGGACTGTCTTGAGCATCGACAACAAATGCATCCATCCTTTGTATTGGGAACAAATACGAGAAGTTGAATGCGTTCCGCGCCGAAAGCATACAAGCAGCTAATTTTTTTTCTCTAGTTTTCTCGTACAACAAAGTCTAGTTATGTAGTTAAGCGCTTGGGACGTTCAATACGAGCACATCCTCCCGATGCAAAGTCCATCCCAACATCCTCGTCTCACGCACGCACGCAATGCACATGTCCACAAGGTCTGAGCTGAAAAGACAAGAAACCGGAATCCTGCACAGCTCCTCCCGCATCGATGATTCACAGCCTACCTGCTCCGGAAGAAAAAAAATCTTTTCCTCTTTCTTCAAACAGCACGAGTTACCTTCGCGTAAAACAGACCCATGTTCCTTATAACCCCTGTATATGCAATCCTTGCGCCACATCTCGATATTACCCACCCTATCGCCTTCAAACATGCGCTAAGCCCGTTCCGCTCGGTACAGCAATCCGGATATATTGAATTGCGTTTTCTACGGGTATAGATGTACATACTTGCACGGTTACACAGTCCTTCCGGCCCCACAATACCCCACATCATGCACCTTGCTAGCTGCGCCCCTTGAAAGAAAGAAGGATCTCGCGGGACTCGCCGGGTGTGAGTGTTTACTTCGCGTGGGATGTCCTGTTTCTGTGAAGGTGTGGGTGTGGGTGTGGGTGTGAGCGAAGGTTTTACGTAAATGAAATGGATGACACTCTGTGTTCGAGTGAGTGGCTGTGCTTGTAGTTTGCTGTTTGTGAGGGCAGTGAACAAGTTGAAGCGATTTGAGCTCCTGAGAGATCATATTGGCTTGTGCGTAAAGAACGGGACCAGAGATCCAGTAAAGCAAGAAGGATTCACAGAGCCTAAATGTTCCATAGCTAAGGAAAACTATCGACTAGGAAGCGAGGCTGACACAGCCGCAGAAGTTCCATCCAGCGATCGCTTCTTCCCTTTCCAGTAGAGCTTCCGCCCGCGCTCGTTCAGAAGCCAGGAACAAAGTGATAGAGTTTCGAGCATACTTAGTATCGCCGTCTACACCTCTGTTATATAAATCCCGAAATCAAGACTCTCTATCCATCTGCACGGCGAAGAAAGGGGGGAGGAAAGGATGGAAGACACCAAGCCGCGAACGAAAAAGCCCTGGACGCTCCGCAAGAAAGCCCTCGTCATCACTCCAATCGTCATCACAGTCATAGCTCTAGTCCTTGGCCTCAGCCTAGGGTTAACAATTGGTCGCGATAACTCATCGGACGAAGATGACGGGGATGATTCTACCTCTCCTCCGCTTTCGACTCCATCCTCAAGCCCCCTCTGGACTCCGAAACCTAACGATACCTGGCAAATCATCCTGCAGAATAAGATCGAGCTTTCCAAGAGCGCGGAATCCGTCACACCAAATGTATCCATCTACGATATCGATCTCTTCGAAACGCCCGTGGAAACAATAGACACATTACACCGGCTGGGAAAGAAGGTGTTGTGCTATTTCAGCGGAGGAAGCTATGAGCCTGGGCGGCCGGACTCGGAGGAGTTTGCGGAGGCGGACTTGGGCAAGGAGTTGGATGGATGGCCTGGCGAGAAGTGGGTGAAGTTGGATAGTGAAGGCATCAGAAAGATTATGAAGGAGAGGGTGGAATTAGCGGGGCAAAAGAAATGCGATGGGATCGATGTTGACAATGTTGATGGATTTGTGAGTTCCCTCCTGCTTCCCCCATACCCGTACAAGTGACATGGACGGTGATGAGATGCGCGTTATATCCCGTGAAAAACACTCAATGGAGGGGGTCAAGAAAGAAGCCTTACTAATCTTTATGGTTTAATGTTGTGCTAGCAAAACGATAATGGACTTTCCTTGACCGCACAGTCCTCCGTCGATTTCATGAGCTACCTCTCCTCCCTAACGACGCCGCTCAACATATCCCTCGGTCTTAAAAACGCCGGTGACATCATCACACAAGTCCTCCCCATTGTTCACTTCTCAGTCAACGAGCAGTGCGTCGAGTACAAAGAATGTTCCAAATTCCGCAAATTCACCGACGCGGGTAAACCCGTGTTTCACATTGAGTACCCTGACAGCGCGGGGCAGAAACTACGAGAGGATGTGAGGAGCAGATATTGCGGAACAGGCGATGAAGGGAAGAAAGGGGATACAGAAGGATTCAGCACAGTTCTCAAGAAGATGGACTTAGATGGGTGGGTGGAATATTGTGACGGGACGGTAGAAGTGACGGAGGTGAGCGGGTCGGGGGGGAAGGAGTGAGGCAATAATTTCCCAAGGCATGTACCAACGATATTTCCATCTTTCTACTTTCCTCTTTGTCTATAGTTCTGAGGCGATCTCACTTAACATCGAGATTGGTCAAGGTGTTGGTGGTAGGGCGTTTGTCTCAACAAATCGTGCTTTTGCGGACTCATCGCGATGAGGAATGTGAGAAAGAAGTGAGCTTGCGCGTATTCATCCGCATACACATCCGCACTTACAGCATCCCGTAAGCCATGTGCTCCATTTTTCTGCGTGGGTGATATGAGAAAACAACAACCAGTACCGATGCAGGAACGAAGTGCATTCCACATTCTGGGATGCGAGCGGAGATGAGTACCGTTCGGGAAAGCGCGTGGCTGCAATGTACAGAACACTTGAAAGCACAGCAACATGCGTTTACGAGCCTGCGGCCTTTTTGGACAGGGTCAGGATATACGACACGTTCACGGGGCACTGGCGGTTACTGGGTCCATGAACCAAGGATACTACACCGCGCCAATACTCTGGGCTGGCTGTATTAGTAGAGTCTAAGAGATTTTGGTTGAGATTCATAGTGAAATGGATGTCAGTTCCGAAGATAACGCTTCGAGCTTCAGAAGATCGCCGTCTGCGATCGGGGATCGAGGCTCAAAAATGATCGTCGCACCATGAATACATTGCGCGATATCAGCTAGTGTTGGAGTTGAGCGAAGCTTCGTATGGGATGTGCCGATTTTCCGGTGCAATATTCAGCTTCCGTAGGCCCGTCGCTATACGTCCATTGGGCTCGCATGTCACCTGATTTGTCTTCCTATAGCTATGTAGAATCGCCGACCTGCAACGATCAAAGGGTTTGCGAAGCGAGTGTGGAGTACTGAACCGAGACCAAACTTCTGCATGCTGGAAAGGCCATGTCGAAACCCTGTGCTTGTAGGCTTTGCTCGCACCATCTGCACTTGGTTGAAAAAAAAAAGCGAGGAAAACTTTACGATGCAGCGGTCTGGATCTCCGGATCGGGCCATGGATCCTAGTTCCCATTGAAGGGACCGGGGTTTGGTGATGTGAGCGGATGAATGCGGTAAATTCCTCGAGATGCTGAATTGTGGCGACCTACATGACGCTTGCTGGGGTCAAAATTTCCACCTGAAGCTAAGTAATTGGCATATACGTCTACGATGCTTTGATGACCAAAGGATAGTTCACAGAACAGGGACTACGCGTCCTCAATTCAAATAGGTGAGATTAGATATTGAAATATACAACGGCTGGTGGGAAGTAACAATTAGTGCCATACGTTTGTTGCATGCTGCAATTCAGATGGAAAGCCATTCGTTACATCGCTATGAATTCGTCGCTAAGTACACTCCGACCATCGTATAGCGCATTCCTCTTGTTCCAACACGGCCCGATGCAGTCCGGTCGCGGACTCGAGCGCCTCTAAGCATGCATGAAGGTATTGAGAAGCTTAGCGAGAAAGTTCTTGCCAGAAGCGATACGGTCTTTACTTTTAAGCTAATCTCCGAGCTATAGAACACCAGGATTGAACATAATACAGTGCCTGGTATAAACCCAGTTCTCATGTGGTCGATACGACATGCCTGGGAGATATGACGATGTATTTGTGCCCTTGCAAGCAGTAGAATTCAATGCTAAATTTGGTGTAGTACAAATCCAATCTCGAAAGGTCCAGAGTCGCACCCAAACAGGTGGGTTATTCTGGGTGGCAAGTTGCATATCGTCTATGCAATAAGACTTGTTCTAAAAGGCGTGGATTGGTCCGAGCGATATGTATACGCAGAGTTGAAGCCGGGTGGAATGACCGTACGGTTAGAGCCGACGAGCATCTGTATCTGAACATGTCGTATGTGGAGTCGAAGTCGTACAAATGCATGTCAGCGGATATAACGGCCAATCGCACGTCTGGCCATCCTATCACGCAACTCAGAGTTGCGTATACGAGATCCTTTCTGCTGAACCGTCGACACATCATGACCCCACCGGCATCATTCTAGATCGGATGCAAGAAGCGGCAGTGCGAAAAAAATTCTCTCGCCGCAGTCACTTAGAGGAGAACCGCAAGTGCAAGGTGGTTCGAGATTTCAGAACACGATGGCCAATATAACAATCTGGCGGGTTGATGGGAGAGTACGACCCGACCATTCGACTGCTTCCTACTATACTCGTTGCTGGTGTGAGACGTTCGAGCCCTCGAAAACTTCTCTTGGACCGAGAAATATTGGATGACCCTCACTACTTCTAATGTTGATGGCATTGCTATGCCGGCAAAAGAGTGCATACAAATGTGGCGGCGAGACTGAACTATGATATTCTAACATCGTTCTTGGTGTTAGGCAAGGGAGAACACCAAGTACGGGGACTCTGCTGTAAGAAGAATAGAAGTATACTTCAGTCATGATTCGGAGTGAGCGATCGCGGCGAGCAGTCAAAGAATTGCGGCACGCCTTTGACACGCCAAGTCGGCATGGCTCAAAAGACACCTAGAATTCGAGATCGATCGCGATGGTTGCTGAGTGCTAGGGTTACAGCGTCTCGTGGACTTGTGCGGTGCCATGACGCGGCCGGTAGTGGAAGCCACGTCAACGAAATGAATGTACAGTACCGAAATTTGGGTCAATTGCGGGGGAAAATTGAGGCTGTATGAGACGCATGTAGTATGGACATTGATTCCGGGTGCTAAGTGACGCCGGTGAAGGGGTGATCGTTGGGGGTTGAATGTCCAAGACGAAGAGGTATGGTTGAAATAGAGTGAGCAAGCGAATTTAGCACCGACGACATGGGCTTAGTGGCAAGGATCCATCACCCACCGAGGAACCTCTGCAAAAGCAGCAACAGTTTCGATGTAGATGCGTCCGTCATCCGCGGGGAAGAAGCAGGGCTGGCGAAGATCGTTGCTTAATTCACGAAAAGTCATCTTTATTCGCTGACAGCGCCTGTACCTGCTGGGAAGATTCTCCCGGCGGGCTCACGGTCCGCATGAATCAATACATGATGGCTGCACAACAGTCCAGTCATTTCATTTTGCGCAATTCAGCCACCAGCTTACCATGACACCATCACACGCCCGGAGAAAATTCTGTTGTTGAGCTTCTGTGCCTGTTGCGATCAGCACCTTGCAGGGCGATCTGATCTTCGAGTCGAGCCGCTGAATTTTCTGATAGTCAGGAACATGACGTCTCAACACATGTACTGGTGGCCATCTCAGCTGGCAGAAGCTCACATGGCAGTCGGTGATGAGTAGCTGTTCAATTTAGACGCCCGTAAGCAATATACCTGCATTGTATTTTCATGGGTAGCACCCATAACGCTGGGAAGAAGGCTTCGCTGCTAGGTACATTGGACGCTTCAGCATGCGGCATTCCAGCTGGGTGGACTATGCATCTATGCAATCACCCAGAACCGATCATGTCCAGTGTGCTGCAGTGCAACTGTCGGTCTTCCTTCTCTGACTGGTGGACAAATGCTGTCCAAGGGTAGTCTTGGGCATGTCCTTGCCCAGATGCAAGGCGAAAGGCACAATCGAGCTAAAACTGGCGTCATTGTATGATGATTTTGCTTTTGAAGAGCCTGTAGGGTCTCGCCGTGCGTACTCTCAACAAAGGTGAGCTCAGCAGACTCGAAAAAGTGCGAAGACGAGAAAACATCAACCGAGTAAGGCAATTAGGAACAGATCGGTAATTCCCTGACAACTCGAAGGGGGCTGAGAATCAACTGCCGAGCTCCAGAACTTCCCAGATTCCAGGTTGTAATAAGCATCGTGCCACGATGGGAGGTCTACTATGAAGATCGTGAGATCAGTCCTTGCGATTTCGGCGCTTGAACTTTTTTGCGGCCCAAGTATACCAGAATACGGTACAATCATTTGCCCTCTTGAACCTTTCAAGTGAACTGCAAGTCTAGATATCGAATTGCATGTGATGATGCCGTGAGGTGACAACCTTTAGTTCGTATACTCGGCATGCAATGAGTCGGAAGTAGTCTTTCAAGGAAAGTCATGGGCGACTGTCTTCTGCTACGTGTATACAGCTCAGCGGAGATTCTTTCAACAGCAAACCAAAGTACTCGAGGCACCACGTGGGAGACGCAGTGAGGAAGCAACGCAGGAATTTCCAAATGCGTCTGAATCTCGCATGCTCTGAGCACAATGCTTCTTCGACAAGGCGACAACCTCGGGACCACTTTTGGGTCAAAACACTGCCGTGATCTATAATTACGAATGCGAACGGACCTCATCCTCATCCTGCCACTATCGTCTGTCGTTTGCAGTAGGGATGGGTGGGCGGCGGAAAACGCGTACGGCTTAAAGATCGCGTCCATAGCGTTGGGAATGGGATGCAAACAGCGGATGCTTGCATATCTGCATGTTCAAGCGAGTATATTGGTGGTGTAGGAGAAGGTTGAGCTCTGTGAGGCCTTGGCCTGGAAGTCCGGCGCGGCCTCAGCGTGGCCGAGGCTCCTGCAAGTAGATTTGCATGTCTAGAACTGGCACACTTTGTGCTGACAGGGTCAGAATAGTTGGGCGACGATGGATGCCAGCTATGCACAGCCTGACAGTCAGGCTGCGACTGTGGGCATTGTGAAGTTGCGTGTTCATCAAGGCAACCGAATAAAGTCTGAAAACAACGGCAGTGAGCACATGGCAAATGTGCAGTCGAAGACCATATCCTAGATATTGTGCAGGGGTGGTAACCGATTGTAGCATATATTCGAAAGTGCTAGACCGACGACCAAGTTTTCGACCAACATGAATCGGGACGAAAAGGCCGGTCCACGCCAAGGGCGGCCCAACACCCATGATATTGAAAGGTACTGAAAAAAAAACTTGCATCGAATATGTTCTGCCTAATTGAGAGCGTGCCTGACGGTCTTACCGAAGCTTGAATGTATTTAAGAGAATTGCACGTACATCCCTTGGGTTGAACCGAGCCAAGCAGACAGATCCTCATCCACTCACTTTCCATCTTCATCATCAGTATCGTTGTCATGGATTACTTTTCGCTTGAAGAGGTCGAGGCCTCATCCCCTTCAACTTGCTCTTTGTCGATTCCTGAAACGCCAGAGCTCATGGATACTCCGAGCACACAGAGGTCGACTATGTTTGATGATGACATTGCGGCGGATCCTCTTGACATTGCGGGTGGGAATTCTTCCTTCATCATGGTAGTAGGAGGTCTCGGCTATATTGGCTCCCATACCGTGTTGGAATTATTGAAAGAGGACTATAACGTTCTCATCGTCGACGACCTTAGCAACTCTTACGAGAGTGTACTCCACCGCATTCAAGCGTTGGCGGCAGAACATTTTGCAACACTTGACAGACCGATGCCTGCTCTTCAACTTCGACAGCTCGATTATCGGAGCCCAATGATGAGGACAGTACTTGAAGAGTACTCCACATGTACAGCGATCGAAAAGGGCTCTTCTGTCCGCTCGGGAATCGCGACAGAGCATTCTCCATTTTCTACGCTTCATCGCACAGATTCTGGAATCGATATGCCCGTGGACGACATGCCAGAGACTGTGCTTACAAGAGTATCCCGCGTATCCGGAGTCATACACTTTGCCGCTTATAAATCTGTCGAAGAAAGTATCCGAATGCCGTTGAAATACTATAGCAACAACGTTTGCGGTCTGGTAGACTTTCTCAGTCTGCTCGAAGAGTTTGGAATCAAGAACTTTGTATTCTCGTCTTCGGCAACCGTCTACGGAGAGGGTGCTAATTGCGGCGTCCCTCTTCGAGAAGAGCTTTGCGTACACCATCACGAAACTTACAGTGATGTGAATGGACTTGAACTGCACGCCACTCCGGGTGTCATGGGGCTGACTTCCCCATACGGTCGATCCAAGTTCATGTGCGAAAACATCCTTGCTGATATCGCGCGATCGGACCCCTCGTGGTCGATTACAGCCTTGCGGTACTTCAATCCGGTATGTAATATCACCTGCTGATATCGATTCAATCACTGATCCAAGACTAGGTCGGCTGCCATGAGTCCGGACTTTTGGGTGAAGACCCCAGGCAGAAACCAAGTAATCTGATTCCTGTCATTGCCACAGTCCTGACCGGAACGAAGCCGGTCTTGGAGATCTTTGGTAGCGACTGGAATACTCCAGATGGAACCGCTGTGCGAGACTTCATTCACGTTGTCGATCTAGCTCGGGGGCATATTGCAGCATTGGCAGCTTCAACAGCGGGTCGTATAAAGGATGCGTTTCGCGCCTACAATCTTGGTATGTTGCCTCCGCGCCCAAAGACCTCATCAGACAATGTATTGACAGTCAGTAGGAACTGGTAGAGGACACACGGTTCGAGAAGTGCACCAGAGTCTTGAGGAGACATCCCGACGGCATATTCCGGTCAAGGAAGTCGGCCGTCGAGCCGGTGATGTTGGCTTCTGCGTAGCAGAGGTCCAACGAGCGGAGAGGGAGCTCGAATGGAAGGCGGTAAAAACGCTGAAAGACTGTTCGACTGACGTTTGGAACTTTACACGGAGTCGCTGTCCGCCTGTGCCTGGGCAGATGGAGTGTTAATTGATGCTGGTGATGATGTTGGAAAAGTGTTGGGTTGCCTTCCAATTGGATGGAGCTATTTCGGATCATTCTCAGATGTGCGAGCATTAGTTTGGGCGTTTCTTACTTCTTCTCCTTGGTCAGTCCCGTGTGTGTCCGAATTCACCATAGATCATTACTCTTCATCGGTATACCCAATCTAATCAAGCGTAATAATATTGTTGCTGACAGTAATCCCAACCTGCTATCGTTGTTTCTTGTGCCGAATGCTTTTTCTTCCATTCTCTCCGCTTCTTCGTCTTCTTTCCTCGCTCTTCCATCTCGTCCGTTGTCAATTCATTTGCTTTAGCCGTTTGTGCCGAAGGTGTACTCTCTTGCCCTATGCAGTCTCGGAGATGGGACCCCAACTGTGTGACGAGAGGTTACACGGATCCAAGTCGCGGGGCAGATGCGACTGGCTTGACGATGAAAGACGTGTCAAAGGCTCAAGAGAATGGCTTTCGTTTTTGCGGGTTTGCGACATGAGAAAAAGAACTCTATGCAGGCCAGGTGTCAGATGGGTGATGATCTCGGGCCCAAGTAGATCGCGTCAGCTTCGGTAGGATTGACGAAGCGAACCGCTCGGTCGCAAAGCCTCTGACCCCCTCGCCCAACGCCTGTGAAACCGGACAACAGTTGATCACCGCTGTCACGATCTCATTGGAAGTCATCCGCCAAGGTACGCAGGGGCAAATGCATTGATGCTCATCCCCCCGCCGCCGCCTTCCCGCTTATCTATCCCTCTCAAACATCCTCGGCTCGACAAAACAAATCTGACATTGGGCGGCGGTCGGGCAAGCAAGTCACACAGATGGTAGCAGTGGGCTGGCTAGGTGCGACAAAGGAACAACAACGTTAGGCAGCACCACGAAAGAAGGAAGCATTGGCGAGGTTGCAATAGATTGATGTTTGCAGCCGCTGTGCTCCCCGCCGTAGATTACGCGAAACCGCCATCGGGCTAGATCGACACGCTAATCCGCGTCACGTGCCGGCACTACCGTCGACATCGCTGCACATCTCTACGAGCCCCAGACACCTCCCGAGTGCTTTCGGTCGCGCGCGATCCCTTGTAGCAGACAGACCTACCTCAACACCACATTTCGCTCCTCGCCCGCTGGATACCACATGCTGTGACCTTGGCATCTGCCATTTCAAACCACTGACTTACACTTTTCTGGCCGACAGTGGCTCATCTGGCTCCGCCATGAGTTCATCCCACCCTCCATTGACCAATTTCCCCGTCGCGGCTGCGGTAGATCCCGCTTTTTGGAACAACCAGGACCACCCAACTAATCACAATTCGTCGCCGTTGTCGCTTCACCATCTGTCGCCGACTACCAGCGTCGCCACTCAGGAAAGCTTGCACAATTTTACACCTCCTGCCCAAACGCCAAAGTCCGACACAGGCAACAGCACCCCCAGTTCCCAGCCCGCCCAGAACAACCAGAACTCTTCCCAGTCCAGGACATCGGTCGCTGTCGCATGCGTCCCATGTCGGAGTCGGCATCTGAAGTGCGATGGAGGTGTCCGGTGCTCAAGGTGTAGAGCCGATGACGTCGAGTGCACTTATATCAAATCGCGCCGCGGCTGGAAAGGGAAGAGGAAGAAGCCTGGGGAGAATGGTGCCTCAAGCCTGCCATCGCCACCTGGTAAGGTGTCATCCCCATCGCTTGAGTGCCATCCATCTAATGCGCGCCTGTAGGTCAAGATGGTCACCCCAGCTACCATAATACTCTCGGCAACCGGAACATGTCATTCAGCAGCAGCGGCCAGTCACTTTCACCGGAGTTTGTCCATCGCACTGATATTCCCGTGCCTAATCAAGTGACTCCCCCTCACGGCCTGCCTATGGTTCCTGTTGCGGCTGCTCAGCTCAACTTGAATGGGACCGAAAGAGTGCAACTAAACCAATTCGGTCACCTTGGGCCACCGACCGCCATCCAGGCCTTCTATCATTACTTCTATAGAGCCCATCCTTTCTGTCTACCCCAGCCGCAACTGCTCGTGCTTTTCAGAGATAGAAAGGCGCCGCTTCTCGAGTATGCTGTCCATTACATTGGGTCCAGTTTTCTAAAGGAGATCCCAACCGATATTTACAAGGATGCTCTCAATCAAAGCATTGACAGCGGCAATTACATGCGTGACGGTTTCTCGGTCCAAGCTTTGATGCTTTTCGCCATTGGCCTCCACGCCAACAATGAGGTTCCAAGAGCAGCCCAGATATTTGGTATAGCGCAAACACTGACTCTGGAACTTGGAATGCACCGCATCGACTTTGCCATCATGAGTGGCAACAGCGACCCGTATTTGGAGGAATCCTGGAGGAGAACGTGGTGGTCTATGTATTGTGTCAACGGGATGATGACCGCCGTCAATCCAGGGGTTCAATTTCGACTGAAAGATGTTGCGAGCGACGTCCCGCTTCCCTGCGAAAACTCCCAATACTTCGCGGGCCAGATTCCTTACTTGTATACGCTCCAAGACTACGATGACGGACCTTTTGCCCCAACCCAAATTACCTTCTCTTCTTTCGCCTATCTTATAGACGCTATCCGGATCCTAGGCAAAGTATTTGAATGCTCTCGCCTGGATGGGCAGTTCGAATATCATGCCGTCGATGTCGTCGACTCTTACCAAGTCAATTGGCGCCTTCATCTTCCACCATCCAAATATGAGATTGTGGACAACGATGGCGTCATCGATGAGCTGCTTTTTCAAGCCCATATGGTTAATAGCGGTAGTACAATCATGCTGCACCGACCCCGGAGTAACCTAGGGTTTGGCAAAGTCGAAAACGTCAATATCTGCGTGCAACCAGGACAGGTATTACTGCCTACACAAACCCGAGAGATACACACGGCGAAATGTCTCACATCCGCGGAGAACATCTCGAGCCTCATCAAACTCCCAGGGCCACTCCTAAAACATACACCCTTCTTCACATGCGTCGTAGTCATGGCTTCCGTCGTCCATCTATCTTACTGGTCCTTCTTGGTACCGGACGGACAAGACGACATAATCAAACAGTCCATCCGCCTCGACGTTGGGACACTCCAACAATACTCGAACACGTGGGGTATTGCTCACGTTGTGTTGGGACAGGTCCGCGGCGTAGCGCACACGCTGTTCAACAGCAAGAAGGCAATGAGTATCCATTTGTGGAACAACATCGCTCAAGATGACGTTATCAGGGAGGTGATTGCCGATGGTCAGATGGAGCCGCTGCAGAACTACAGTCAGCTCTTGGCACCGTGAGTTTAATCCCACTTCAACATCAGTACATCCTTACATCGTCATCTCCATTGGGAAACGGACATTTTGCTAACAGTCATTTGCTTCGTAGTATGATGAAATCGTAGAAGCGCTCCATTTTCGCATACTCTCTCGCCATTATTTTTCTCGTATCTCATGTTTTCTCACCCTACGGATCACAAATGTCGCTATTTTGGGCCCATGTAATGGCTATCCCGAGATGGCCCAGCCCCCGTAGATCCAAAATCTCCCAGTAACGAAAGAATACCCCCCGGTTCCCTATTGTCTTCTTCTCAAGCCTCGACGAAAATTCCGATCAGGCTACACTCCCGTTCAGTTCCTCGTAATGTACAACTACACGTCCCGCGATGAACCTTGGGAGACAGATCACTCCGTACCCCATGGTAAAATCCACGCGAAACGGTTCTTTTCTTTTTCCTTGCCCGGCTGCTTGTCACCAAAATAAGGGATCTCTCTCTCTCTCATAGCGTGTGTTTCTTTTAATATCTTATGCTATTTAACGCCATTTATCGACGTTGTCCAGGCCGCTTTCTATGTCGGAGATCTGGATCTTTGAAGTCTTATGTGTTTTTTCCTTGTTTAGTCGACGTACGCGTTAGGATAGTTTTCAACATGAACAAGCTCTAGCCTCTTAAAGAAGAGGGGAATACATTGAATTGTAGACATATGATCAAAAGAGATATAAACAATGTTAAAAGCATTCTTGAAAAAACCTTCTCTCAAGTATGATGGATGTTATGACACACAATTGAGGTCATAGTGAATTGCTCATGTAGATTGCTACGCTATCGTAAAGATCACGAAGTGATCGAATTTACCTATATTCGTGTGTGTATATATTCATACATACATGTATGTATATGCGTTGCCATCATCTAGGCAAAGAGAGATGTGCTGGTGGGTAGATAGTGGGGGATTCGGCAATGACGTCAAAAAGAGGCTTGCACGCGCGTAGCCGCCGCCGTCGGACAGCACACACTACAGCAATGCCATCATCTTCTTCCCTAGCGCTTTTGCACTCCCAATATCGACATGAGAGAGAGAGAGAGATGCGCAGAAAACTAAGAGAAATAGCCTCATAGCGTGGGAGTGTGCAGTAGTCACAATTGAAGCATGATCGACTCAAGTGCATACATGAACCGTTCTAAGCTTTAGATAGCTATTCGTCATATGAGAGAGTTGAGGCCGCCGGCTAATCCAGCGGACCTGTATAAACCTCTCGGAAAGAAAACACCTCCTGGCATCACCCAATAATAAAACCATCAACATCGTATCCATCGTCTAAGCCTCATTTCCCATTCGTTTTTTCCAGGCGCGAAGGTTCGATATGGTAATAGTAGTCGTTCCCCCGTTTTGCTAGCCAGATGCCCATTGATCCGTCCTAATTCGATGTTGATGTATCCCGCTCAGCTCTTTCGGCATAAACACCGGTGGAGATCCATGCCAGACAACTATTATTTACAAATCGGCATCCTCCTCGTCGGGAAGCGGCATCTGGGCGGCAGCAGCCATTTCGTCCTGGTACTTCTGGAGGACCTCCTGGTCGACCTGGACCTCGGGAGGAGCCAGAGCGGGGGCAGCGACGAATTCCTGGGTACGTTGTTAGTAAAGTAGGGCTTGATAAAGAAATGAGTGCATCGGCGGTGTCATACCAGAGTAGCGTTACCGACGAGTTTCCTAGCGAGCCAGAGGAAAGGCTTCTCGAAGTTGTAGTTTGACTTGGCGGAGATGTCGTAGTACTGAAGGTTCTTCTTGCGGTGGAAAGTGATGGCCTTGGCCTTCACCTTGCGCTCCTTGACATCGACTTTGTTGCCAGTAAGGACGATGGGGATGTTCTCGCAGACACGGACCAAGTCACCTGAATTTGTTAGTGAGCAATTTGAATACGCGGCCGATGACTGTACGTACGGTGCCAGTTGGGGACGTTCTTGTAGGTGATACGGGAAGTGACATCGAACATGATGATACCGCACTGGCCGTTGATGTAGTATCCATCACGAAGACCGCCGAACTTCTCCTGACCAGCCGTATCCCAGACGTCGAATTGGATCTGTCCGAGGTTCTGCCAACTTTTGTCAGTATGCGACCCGAGGTGCGAGCGCGGGGTAGGGAAACAAACGTACGGTGGTGAAGCCGAGAGGGTGAACCTCTACACCGAGCGTGGCAATGTACTTCTTCTCGAACTCGCCGGTAAGATGGCGCTTGACGAAGGTGGTCTATAGGAGGCATGGTCAGTCAGGGTCTTCGCGGGTACGAAATGACAGCAGCGCTGCTGGCGTGGGACGATGCCGGGGTGCGAAAAGCACACTGACGTGCCGGGAAATGTTATTGCGATCATACCTTTCCAGTTCCACCATCACCAACAAGCACAAGCTTGAAGGTGGGGACGGAAGATGCTCCTTCGGCCATGGTTGGGATGTGTTTTGGTGGGGCTGGGGATGTTGTTGTGAAGGCGCAAAATCTGAGATGCCGTTAGATTTGAGGAATACGAGCGACAGAAGATTGATGCTCCTAGCGCAGAGGATTGCAAGCGTACCGTTATGGAGGTTTGGTGGAGGTAAGTGAGGGGTAGGAGGATTTGCGATGGTCGTGGGGCAGCAAGCAAAGGCGAAAGGCGAATGTTTTTGTACGGCAGCGGTGAGTTGGCTGGCGAAGCACGTGACCCTTAGTGGCTCGTGCTTTCCAAGATTGTTTGCAGGCAACAGCAGGCACCGGGAAGGCTGCGAAAACCCACACGAAAAAGTGAGATGCCTGACACCAGCATTTGTAAGCGCCATCACCAACACATTAAAAAAGCATCTTATTTCATGTTCTATCATGTATGCATTCGTGGCTTATGGCGGTTCCCGCCGGGATATCATTCTAGAATTCATTATGAAGCACGTGCAACCAGTTTAAACTCCGTTCAATGCATGGTGTAGTGAATGCTGCAACGCCTTCAGATCGCTATCAACGGGTCGCTTCACAGCACAAGATGCTGTCTGCCTTCGTCGGGAAGCTTAAGCGTTTACAATGGAAGTAAATGGCACCCTAACATGCCTCGGCCACCCCAATTGCGTTGGGGCGTGAGCTGGGTTTCCACAGCCTCTGCTGGGCCGCCGCTGTCGCTAGGACGCAATACCTTGATCGTGATGGGCAGCTGTACCTGTTAGTCATGAATATAAAGTGGCTGGCAGAGGCTCCTACCCCTTCATTTTGCGACACCACCTGCGTGAGTCGCGCCAGCTTATCATGATTTGTCCAATCCACCCAGCCAAATTTGGTGATTGTGTCGCCCACACGCAATCCGGCAGACCCAGCTGGACTACCGGCCACAACACTGTTGACTTTTGCGAACGGAGCCTCAAGGGCCGGCGATGCCCCATTAGGTGTTGCGGTAGGCTGGGTCGGTGCTGCGTTGTTCTCCTGCTGTCGAGCGTAGTGCTCGTGCAAGCCCTTTTCAATATGGGCCATGAGCTCCTTGTAGTCATTTTTCAACCGTATTATACGTGCTCGCGTTGTCCGGACTGGTACTCTTGTCAGAGAAACACTGGATACCCCATTCGACGAGTGGCGCACTCACTCTGGGGAACGTCAATGTCGGCGCGCGGGAAGCCGTCGAAGGTTGTCAGGCCGGTATTCATGTTGACTCCATGCTAGAAGGCAGGTCAGAAGAAGCTTCCTAGGCGCGAGAAACATGTGCCGCATACAGAATCCAAGACCTGCCCCAAGGCTTTGAGCTCCGTCTCAACGCGATCCTTCTCTGCAATGAGCTCCTGCAATGACAGATGCTCTTTCGAGACACCATTTGAGTAGCCATTGGATGTTGGACCAGAGCCCACCGTCGGTGCGTGAATGTCATCCATGGGCGATCCCATCCGATGAAATCGTTCAGAGTATGGTGGAAGCGAAGGGGGAGCTTGTCAGCCTACGGTGATATCACTCGAATGTGTGGGGTAGCAGAGAGGGTTCTCGTCAGCCAATCAGAGCACAGTTGATACACGCGCACGACCTCTGCAGATGGCGTCGCGTTCACCCCCCGAACATCCTCATCTCCTGTGTGCTCGCTCGAGAAAGATCTTCGTTCAACACGCGCACAAAGGATTCTGGTGGCTCGAGATCAAGGGATACGTCAGAGCTAGATGGCCCTTGCTGGCAAGACTGATAGTCTCTCAAGTTTCACCCGTCGACTGATAATCTACGCACCTCGACGTGCACATAAAGATGTATCCGAACATGTACACAGCCAAGCAGCTCGCAATACAGACAAGTGCGCCCGCAAGGCGATAGCTGCCGTCTTTGATGATTCTCGTAACTAATTTTATCTTTCGTTCTTTCTCACGCGTCGTTCCTTCATTTCCATCTGTTCAAACTCTCAACTCTGGTCCGTACCTTGCGCCTGCGAGCGCACGCGACAGCCCTTACCTACCACACCCATAGGAGATACCTAGGTAGGTGTAAGAATATACATCTGCACAGGGCCCTGCTTCTTCCAGCCTTCACAGCTGTTCATCTTATACTTCGTGCTTTCCCTTTTCCTCATGCTTGAGCTACTGCATGCATTCCCTTGAGCACTTCTCTTTTCATCCGTTTTCGGTTCACTCTACTCAACTCTCCTTCAGCCATTGCCCGTGGCAGCACATACACATATTAATCTCCCATGCCGTTCCATACCACATACCCACTATCAGCCCTACGCCGCAGTGCCTGAGATTCCGTCAAGCTCAATATGGCCTACGTGCTCTCCCTCCGCCCGCAGAGTCCCCTCAAGCGCTCCTTCAGCGACAATCCCTATCTCCAGTCACCTTCCCCTCTGAAAGATGTCACTATCGGCGCACTTCGCGATATAACCACCCGAAACACATCAGTATGTTCGTTGTACTCAGTCGACTCTTTGAGACCAGGACAATGGATTCGCGGCACCGAGAACACACCATCGCCACGGGGCTCCCGTTCCGTGCTCGACCTTGTACCCGAGAAGCAAAAGGCTCTCTCCCCCGCTGAAAGTTTGCCTCGGAAGCGAAACTGTGGTCCAAACCGACCGCCGCCTTCCCTGTCGAGAGTCCACGGCCCTTCCGAACCATATTCGAAGAGTGTCATAAAACGCTCACCTATCCAGTCGCTTCCCGAGAATGACCTTGTATGTCCGGCGCCTATCACTGCCAGCAACACTACAGACGATGAAACTGAGTTCATCAATCTGTACGAGGCGATGCACACTCCCCTTCCACAGGGCTGCTCTTCCGACAATACCAATGTTGAGCGTCAACATGAATCAGTTAAGATACCCGACGTTGTCGCTGATTCCCAACCTTTTCGCCGGTGGATGAGTACGTTGAGACGTCGGCATATACAAAAGAACAAGCAGCGTGCATATCGAGCGCCTACGGTGGAAACAGAGACGGAAGGAAGCGAAGTGTATCCACGGTTGCCGCCTAACTCTGTAGATGAGGCCGTCCGCCGAATGTCAGAGTCGATAACATCGTCTATGGGGTGTGTGGTCACAATGAAGTCTGCATCAATCACCGTGGCGAGTGCCAGTATTTACCCTCAGGCCGAATCAACTGCTCTACGCGGCGTGGTTCGTTTAGGCAACAGGAGTGCGCAGTGTTCAGATGTGCGAAAATCGACGGACAGTCACGGGGGGAGTATGGGTACGATCATGGACGAGGGTGCCTGGTTGCGATCCCTTTCCCGACGCAAAGTTGTAGAGGAGCTCATCTCGTCGGAGGAGAGCTACATTTCCGACTTGAAAGTCCTAATTAATGTGCGTATATATCTTGGTTGAGTGTTTGGACGCTGATGGTACTCTCATAGGATTACTTTATAATCTTAACCTCAGTCCCTACGCTACCGGTCCAAACACGGACAGCAATACAACAAAACATTTCACAAATTTTGCAATTACACGAAGACCTGCTGGCCGATCTTCAACAAGCCGTTCCGCAAGCAGACTTGACTCACAGCGCACAACAAGAAAACCTTCCAGCAACCAGGGCCAAGCATATTCGTTTTCACAGCGCAGACCTCATTCCAGGGCGGTTTCATGACCACAACATCTCACGAAGGCTCAGACACTCTCTCGATAGCATTGGCAGACCGTCTGAGCAGCGACCACAGGGCATAACAACAGATACCATAACAGTGGGGGAAATTGCTCGAATATTCAATAAACACGTGGGTGCGCTCATCATCGATTGAATCCCTGGCTAACATTTCCTCAGATGAAGCGGTTCTTCATATATGAGGAGTATGGTGCTCATTGGACGACCATGTCTCAAGATCTCACGTCCACGTGCAAGAACATGCATGGTTGGCAAGAGTATGAACGAGGGGTTGAGGTACGTTTTCAGAGGTGACCAAGTACACTGGAACATCACGATACAGTGCTCAATACAGAGCATTCCGCAGCTCTGATAATGCACGGAGACATGTGTGATTGAACAACACTAACTTTGTACCCCTTCCGGTCAGGCACTATCGAAAGTAGTAGCTTCTGAGAATAATCGGCAGACAAGCAGTCGCAAGGCTTTGAGCTTTCCTGATCTTCTCATCAAGGTATGTGTACATTGAAAACGGACTGTCGTGATATCAGCTCCTCATCAACATTAGCCTATTCAAAGAGTGTGTAAATACCCGCTGCTGTTTGACGACTTGTGCCGCCATACCCCCGTGTACGATGATCCGGAAGTCCATGCCGAGCTGGGCAAAGCGCTATTCCGTCTACAAGAAACGATTCGAGAAGTGAACAAAGCGAAAGATGACCCCAAAACCCGGCGTTTGATAGAAATTACGTGGCAGTTGCAGGACAGGTTACTCTACCCAGAGCAGGTATGTATGTCAATCTCTTCTCACGAAGACGGATACTCACCATCATAGACCATTCCAAGAGCCCTTGTATTTCGCCTACTTGGACACGTTCTTCTTTGCGGGGTCCTGCATGTCGCATACTCAACTCCAGAGCGACCCAGGGGACAATACATGGTTTGCGCTCTCTACAAATCATGCCTTGTGATTGCAACTAGCAATCGTGGATACACCCCCTACCAGGTTGTCGCTTCTATTGCGCTTGCAAATGCCTCTATTGAATTGCCTGATAATGGCCGCGGTAAGTACTGCAAAACAATTACATTGAGATACACTAATAGACGCTTAGGGCTTCAGTGTCACACTGCACCCAACACTTGGAAGCTGGTTTTCGAGCATGGGCATCGCCTGCACGAGGTTCTTCTGAGCGCCTGCTCTACGCAAGAAGAGGATGTATGGAAGGCACAATTGCGTCAACGCATCACGTGTGAGACCCAAGAAATCAACGAAGGGCAATTCACTATGCATGATATGTTCTCATCCTTAGCCTTGGACATCAAATCTATCGGGCCAGTTTTTGGGCATGCAAACAATCTGGTGCGACGCATGTCAGTCCACCGTGCTGCTACGCTTGGCTCAAAGCAATCCACGACTCAAGTTATCATCAAGAACACTCAAGCACAGAAAATGCAGGAGCCCCCGCCGGCGTTCGCACCCACTCCAGTTACTCGATCTCAGTCTCACCTATCAACCAACCATATCCCTACTTTGGCTCCCAGGAGGACAGAGCGACTACGCCTCGAGGCAGCACTGGAAGATGTTTGGACGAAAGACTTGCTACCATACCCTGGAATGGGCAATCGAAGAGTTGAGAACCAGATTCGCGCGTCAGCCAACTCGGTGATGAGGAAATTGAGCATGGCCAGCATTGCAAGCAACTTCTCTCGTCGCTCCCCTAGCTACTCGAGCATGAGCAACACGCGATCTGAGGACTCTTTCGGAAGCAAAGTAACAAAGATGTCACAAGGAAATTTGCGCGCCCGCTCTGCAGCAGATCGTCGAGCGGCACCTGCAGTGGTCGACTTCCACAACGCCCCCGCTGCGTTCTTGCCAACGGACTTTGAATTGCAAGATATACGCCCGTCAGCTCGACGCCGAAGACTCGCAAATCGAGCGACAGGCACGGAACGCGGCAGCGAGAAACTCACGCCTAACAGACCGAAACGCACGCGCCGCCTTTCGTCACACCTTATGAATCTTCCTCGGACAGACGTAAGCAGTCGGGTGGAAACAAGAATGTCATCAATGGCATCTCAATCGACCGTAATACGTTCGAGCGACACAGGTACAGAAACAACAGTACATGTACGCAGTAATGAGGTTGTAACACACAAGAGGAAGGAGGCGAGCGACCGAGGCTCGCAGAAGGACAACGCGTCACCACCCCTTGCCAAACGGTTTCTGAAGAACAAAAGCAAGGTCTTTAGGTTTTGGGCATGAAAGGTTTTGGGCTAGTCGGCTTGGTCATTCGATCAGAATTGGGTAGCTACTTTTTTTTTCTTTTTTTTTTGCTTTTGTTCTGTCGCTTGGGATCCTTTCTTGCTTGTAGCCGCCAGTTTTGAACAGTTGCGCGGCGTTTGAGAACCAAAAGACAAAACGGGAAAATGGGGGAATAGCGATTTTCGCGTGGAACCTTGGAGACGATGGAGGAAAGAAGTGTGGTTATTGCTCAATGGGTAGAGTATATATCACAATCCAGTAAAGAGAGCATGCCATGCGCTTGTATTCAACATAGTTGTACGTAGTATACCCCAGGAAAGGAAAAAATAAGAGAATAAGGGGTGCAGATCGCGCGGCGGGCGTCGATATCTGCAAGGTACACCCGTGATGGCTTGAATCGAGTGCCGCGAATCCGCATCTTTCTTTTCATGCGTATCCTTCATTTCGGGCTTTTTTCTGTCGTGAGAGAAAGAGCAGGGGTGCTATAAGCGTGACGTCATGGTGTTTCTCGGGCACGCGACAAGTCGATTGAGCATATTGAACACGTAGCAGATCAAAAAGGATCGCGTCATCAATGAAGCACGGAGGATTAATTGTGGATGCCTTTGTTTATTATTCCAGCGAGAAATGCGGAATTGCCAAGTTTCCGTGACACTGTGAGGCTCGGCCGCGGCATGTTGTGGTTCATTGAGGACAAATAGAGCACGGTAAGAGGATTGCTTGGCAATGACGTAGTGTGCCTGGGAAGCTGAGTGAGAGGAAGGGAGCGCGGGGCACCAATTCCCCACAGCACGCCAGCTTGCTTGCTGGCCTGCTTTCCAGCCTGCTACAAAAGCCCAAGCCCCCCTCCCCCTCCTTACTTACCTACTCACTTTACTGAAACTTCACGACTCCAACGAACTCTACCTCTCACGCTTCTACCATCAGCACTCTACCATCACTCAATCTCCACTACATATCCCGAATACCTACTCAAAATGCCTCGCGGAAACGACGGTCAGACAAAGGTGCACTACCAGGGCAAGGACGATGATTACATCATCTTCGTCGACAACGTAGAGGCTGTCAACGAGTGGAAGAAGGACTCGTCGGTGCCTCTCGCCCAGGTCGTGAGCGGATGGAAGATCTTCGTCACACACAAGTGAGTCTCACTCCTCACTCTGATTACCCCGCCATTCTTAGCCTTAGGCAATGCCACGCTGTGTCTACGCCAACCCCTCCTCAAGAGGTGGTTGCGTGTCTTCATGTGTTTGCATACAGGCGATATATACGGTCAATGAGCTGACTTCCAACTCGTATAGGCACGGCAACCAGGGTATCCTAGACACCGCTAGCAACCAGCAGCTCGATGCTGAGTTTGGCACATCCAAGGAGGAGGATGTCGTCAAGCTCATTCTTGAGAAGGGCAACATACAAGAGAACCAGGTACGTTGTTTTCCCGTCCCCGTTACCTGCTGCCGTGTTATCCACTCGCTGACGCCTAGCTGCAGAACAAGGAGCGTCAAGGAGACACCAACATGACCAAGGGCCCCGCCGTCGCCCACTAGACAGATCGTACACACCACACAATTCTGTCCAGTCTTCCTTTCATCGTAAGATAATATACTTTGTGGCGATAACAGATTATTGCATGCTTGGAGAGTAGAAGGGTCATTGGCCGGGTCACAACAAGTTTCGGACCGCCCTCTACAGGTTGAGGCGGATTAGATGATTACGGGGTATATCAGCTTCTTTTAACTTTTTGCATGGTCTCTCTGCTGAGCATCGATGTGTGGGGAAAAATGATGCGAGGACCCATGATGACGATATCAAATGAAAGCATTTATGAACATTTGAACGAACCTCTCCGAACGTGCCATGATTAATATGTTTGGTTGTATGTTTGGTTCATGTCGTGCATACTCATTCCTTTCATGTCTCTATGTCGTGCAATCCGTACCCAATATACGACGAAAATGTACCAATCTTCCCTTCTTTTCCTTCACTTTTCTTCCTCGACTCACAGATGGTGGTTGAAGAGTATTGTAAAGGTATCTACCCGTCTTTATCACCCCCTGGAAATAAGAAAAGATAAATAGCTGTAGTGTTCTTGTCATTGGTTTTATCAATATAATTGCTCAGCGCCGCCGTAGAAGTACACACTCCTCGTCCAACATCTATCAATCAAACCGTGATGGGAGTTTGTTCCGTACTTTCATACCAACTCAAAATAAATCGTGAACTCGATTCCAAAGGTCTTATTCAGAGTATAACCAACTTACCTGGCTATCGTGAGCCATAAATCAATGAGTATCTCCAAATCTATCCCCGAGTGTACTTGGTCACCACATAGATGAGTTGACATATGATTCAATAATGTAATACATCCATTTATTTGTAAAGTTCTATCAACAAGGTGTGCTGTGCGAGCGAAAAAGCACAACAAGAAGAAGAAGACGAAAGGTATTCATGTGAAAATGTAAAAGTGAGAAAAGAAAGTTGGACAGATTTACAGAGTTCGTCAACCCGTCACCGAACCCGACTTCGTTCCGGTGTTGTGCTGATGATGGGGCATTGTGTCGTATCGTATGTTGGGTGACGGCGCTCAGTCCAGGAGAACTAGCACATAGGATCGTTCTTGCTTCCGCGTCCGAAGTTACCTTGGGTAACGTCGGCATCGATCCAACCAGGCTTCCCCGCGCCACACTTTCCATCAATCAAGCCCATCCAGGCGTTGACTTTTTCATCGGAAATAACGATTTCCTCCCACTCTTTGTCGGAAATCTTTTTTCCGTAGTTGCAAATATACGCCTTTGTATCTTTGTATGTGTCCTGTCATGTCCATTAATTAGTACAAGATGCTTAATACGGACTGTTGTAGATGTAGTGAAAGTTTGGCTTACATAGCCCTTGTCAAGCGTGAATTTGAAGTAGTTGAAACCCTCGCCCGTTCTGTATCGATTGGCAAACATCTTTGCCACGGTAGCGAGATCTTCCTTGTTTAGTTCGGGACCGCTGCCGCACTGGACTACGGGCTCCTTGAAGTCTCGGGCAACGACAGTGCTGACCTCGGGGGAACTGGGCAACACGGCGGCGGAAGCCAGGAGAGGGGCAAGAATGACGAGAATTGAGGTCTTCATATTGATTGATGGAAATAAAGAAGAATGTTACTCTGGTCAACAGTTTGAGAAGAGAATGGATATAAAAGAATGTGGATTGTATTGTGAATGAATGTGGCTTGGGAAGCTGTGTTCTGATCATGATTTAGAACTTGTTCACTTCGTATATATATTAGTGAATTGAGCGCTGCGCCGTCGCCATTACCGTTCTTTTGAGGCACGGAGAACACTTGCATTGGTTGTCTCAGAGGGAGCTGTTTACACATAACTGTGCCGTCGCACAATCAGGGGGGTGAAAGGAGTAAGTGCACTGCCCATCGGTAACCGACGAGCATCCTTTGACTGCTTCTTTTTCTCAGTCTCGTATAAAGACGTGAAACTATAGTAAATTCTGTAATATCTATTGTGCTAATAATGTGAGACCTACATTAAAGTCGGAGTTCATTGTATGGTGCAGGCGGCGTAGTTGAATCTTCCTAGTAATCATGTACTAAATAGGCCATTATCAATACTAAGTCCGTAACTAGCCTATTCCGTGGCACACAGAAGCTAAGCCCTAAACTTACGCCGCGATCCTAATGGCTAGCACATAGGCGATCCTACAATTTGACTCGGCATAATATTGTGCCATTAGACGTAGGTTTTTGCCTACACACTATTTCTGTTGTATACTTTGCTCCTGAAATGCGATTTCTCGGAGAAAGGTCCAAAACAGAGAATTTGAGATAGATTGAAAGGCTGGTTGACAGTTGTGATTAGACTCTGAACCTAGATGTGCAATGGGTGGTTAATGTCTCTCCTGGTACAATCGGGGGTTGCAATGCTGCGGAGGCGCGAAATACGTCGGGAATCAATGAACACAGGGTTGTGTTTACTGATCAACTGGCAAGCTCATTTGATGATTGACGGCACAGTTCTTTGTGTGAATCTATTTTGAGACGCAACGGCGTAGCCTTTACCACTACCTATATTAATGAGTGCTTTCTCTATTGTATAATAACAACATCCGAACAATCACACTCAAATCAGAAACACAGATACATTCGCTCATCGTCACTCGTTTCATCAGTCATTACCTATCTTTTCTTCAAGTCAATATTTTATTACATACCTTCGGTTTTTACGGGATTTCAATCTTCTCACCAATATGAAGACTCCAATTATTCTGTTTCTTGCCCCTTTCCTCGCCTCCGCGGCTGTGTTGCTCGAGAACCGCGGCAATAATCTGGACCCTAGATCATACAGGGTTTCCTGTCCGGAAACAGCCGTGAAACTGGATGACAAAAACCTTCAGGCAGCACGCCAGAAGTTCCAGAAGCAACGCAAAGGCAAGGTGACTGACGAAGTAGCCTCTGTAAGTTAACAGGTCCGGAGCCTACCCCTCTATCCAACACCACCTAGCGAGAGTCATTCAAGATGCTGTGTAAGAGATCAGGCTAATCATGACCATTGAATAAAACTCAGGTCACAGACGGGAGTGTGAAGGTGTATATCTGCAACAACAACCCTTATCTTGGGAAAATTTTAGATGGGGGGAGAGCGAGCGTTGAGGTCACCGACAAGAAGGTGGCCAACTGGATGGCTACGATTGACAAGTGGTGCGGTCCGGGCAACGCAGGCCATATGGATGCGCCTGTAGCGGATGGAAACTTTGGACGGGCCGCAGAAGGAGACAAAATCTGTGATGGCTTTAAAGTTTCATAAGCCTGGCCCGCGAATTTTCGGTGGTGACAAAACAGTTGTCGTGGAAGACGGTTCTACTGGCCAAGTATATCCAGATATTTCCAAAGCGCTGGTCTACAAACAGTGTTGAGCATTGCGAATCCAATCAAACGTGCTTCCGCACCTTCTTCCCCTCAAGGTTGATATGGTAATCAAACGAGGAAAAGAAAATATTCAGCGGTAGGCGTTCGCCTATAAGCCAGAGTATATATGCAGAGGGAGAGTTTACGAAACAAGATTGAAAATGGAACTTGTTGCAGTCAACATCGCTGAACTCAAGATTTCGGCGTCATAATACCTGAGATATTCGGCTGGACAATAAGGAGATAATTTCAGAAGAATCGGAGCTTGAGAAGCGTGAAATCCCATTTGATCAGAATTCTCATAACGTAGCTGCAAAGTGCCCAGCATAGCTCAAGTGCTGTTTACAGAGAGAAAGACATACATGACATTTTTGTCTTGGCATTTCTTGGTAGAGCTGACACGATGACACGATGACATTTTAAGCTCTTATTCTCTCCACAACAGCCCAGATAGGCGATAGTTTCCAGAGTAAGAAGGGTAACAGAATACGGCGCCAGGTTCTGGCCGGTAGTCGCCCATCTGACCACTAATCTGCTGGTATCTCGCCAGTAGCCACCCACCTAATCACTACTCAATTGGTATAATGCTTCAGCACAGCTGAGCTGACCAAGAAGCTCTTTTTTATTATCTCCCATTGTTCATGAGTCGTTGTTTTTGCTCCTTCAGGGACTTCTGTTTGGCGTTTTGTATTTCCCGTCTTGATTTCCGTTTACAGTATGATGGTCACCTCCTTCGTGGGCATGAGATGGAATTACATTGCTCGAATAGGGCAAGAGGCTGATAAATTCGATCTATACATACTGCAAGAATAAGCAGCGGTAATCAGAACAGCCACTCTTAGCCCATCGCTCTCCCACTTAGCACAGCAGTTTACGCGTGTAAGTAGCCCTCCAAAAGTAAGCAAATGGACAGTCTAGGCAGAAACTAATAGATTCGCACCGCAAGCAAGCATATACGATATTCTAACCGGCGATGTAGTGAAATTTTGAGGACTAAATAGACGCACAATTCCTGGGCCAGTACCGAGTCACTGGAAGGCACGCACCAGAAATAGGCAACTTCTTTGTGACTTCTGAGATCTTTAAACGGAGTTTTTTTACGAAGAAGTATTGAGAAATCTCTTGGCCGTAAAAATGTGGCCAAATGTAAGTTTGCGGATGAGTAAGATAAGCCGGATATGGTTCGAGTGTGTTGAATGCCTGTCCATTACAGCGTAGCTGAGCGGCTTCGAGTTCAGCTTACTTGCACGTATGATCCGAGGGATACACTATAAAGCAGAGCAACTCTGATAGTTCCATCAAGCATCACAATTCACTTCTTTCTTTCCTTCTTCCATTCATTTGTTGGTCAGTCTGAGAACACTTTTTCACGTTCATTACATTCATCCATTCACTCGTTTATTTTTCCGATTCTTCTTCTTCGCTTGCATACTCCACGTACAGATCTGCGTCACGACGCCCTTAACACCGCCCAATGCGCTTCAACTCGGTCCTAGCCCTTGGGGCTGCTATCAGCCTAGCAGCACCTGGCGTTCTCGCTAGAGCTCTTCCTGAGACACGTGCAGTTGATTCTGACGCTGGAATTCTTGCTGAAGAAACAATTCTTTGCATCAAGGATTTCTGTGCTTCGAAGAGCGATGAAGAACAAGTCAGCACGCAGTGCGGATCATCTCTTCTGGCCCTTACTCAACCTGGATCCCCATCACTATCCTCTATAGAGGAATGTGTTAGCCAATTCAGCAATCTTGTTGTCCAGAACACTGAAACTAGTACTTCCCAGACTGAGGAGGCCTTTTACGAAGTCTTCGCTGTAACTGATAACGAGCATATTGCAAACGAGAAGCGCGCCCGAACATCACCCATCAAGACCACTGCTTCATCCAAGACCACTGCTTCATCCAAGACCACTGCTTCATCCAAGACCACGGCTTCATCCACGACCACTGCTTCGTCCAAGACCGCTTCATCGTCCAAGAGTGCTTCATCGTCCAAGAGTGCTTCATCGTCCAAGAGTGCTTCATCGTCCAAGAGTGCTTCATCGTCCAAGAGTGCTTCATCGTCCAAGAGTGCTTCATCGTCCAAGAGTGCTTCATCGTCCAAGAGTGCTTCATCATCCAAGACCGCTTCATCGTCCAAGACCACTTCTTCTATCACGAGTGCTTCCTCATCCAAAAGCGCTTCCTCGACAGCCTCCTCGCTCATTACTTCCTTGAAGTCATCAAGCACCGGGAGCCCGTCTAATACCACTTCTATCGCCTCCAAGACCACTTCTAGCATTTCTAAAACCCCAAGTAGCTCTGCATGCCCTCTCCCTGGAAAGAATAGCAAGGGACAGACTATTCAGCGACGATGTGCAGATGGCAAGTATTACGACAAGACTGATCTTCTTGCTAACAAAGTTACTCACTGGCGGTTTAACACTATGAATGATGCCAAAGACTATAATGCAGACCCTAAGGTCAAGAAGGTCCTCACAACAATGAAAGAACTTGGTCAGTTGGACGTTGTTAAAATATCAAGTGGAGAACTCAAAGTTATGGGCAATCCGGTAACGGACGATGAAGATAACGGAATTGAGGGTGGAACCGATCCTAAGGATTACACCCAAATGGGCGGAGACTATATCCTGACAAATGGAGGTTTTTTCCAAAACTACGGGGAAAAGGTGCACAGGTACGCACCAGCGATACCAAAGGGCGAAACGACAAAAGTTAAGCGTTGGATTAAAGGTAAAAACGGGGACGCCAAGGAGGGAAAAGAAGCTGAGAAGGCCGAAGCATACGACCACTCGTTTCCTGTAGTTGAAGAGTACCGAAAGTACTACACCGAGATTGTGGGTGTCGATGAAACCAATGTGTGGTCCGGGCCGGACCTCAAGCTGGAATACCCTGAGATCGACACCAAACAAGGAATATGGAAATACCCTTATACCCCCGTAGAGCCGCCAGTTGATGAGGAGACCCCTTCGGCCATCGGAAAGCTGGATCATGCCTCCCAGCCAAACGAGCGTATCGCTCTTGTCAATTTCGGTTCCACTTTTTACAGCATAACATACACATCTGAAAATCGATCGAAGGGTATCCCCACGACACAGTTCAGGACCTTAATTACCACCTTTTTCTCCGAGATGGGAGAGAACAGAGACATCTCCAAAGCCAATGTTGCCGTGTGCCTTGACGGTGGGCCAAGTATCTCGATGATCTGGAAAAAAGATGGGGAAGATAAACCAAAGCACATCGCCTTCGGGCAACAGGGTGACAACGTTCCCAGTCCTGGAAAACCGGGTATGGTCAGCAACTTGATCAAGATCGCCGTCAAATAATTCTGGAACTGATATCGTTCTGTATATACATTTTTTGTCGCATAGATGACGGAGCTGAGGCAGACAGCTATACCTTTGAGACGCATTTTTAGTGTCAGAGGTTTCTTTTCTCTATGGGTTCCCATTCTTTGGCAATCCATTATCTTTTAGTATAGACTATTTATCGCAAGAATTATACCTCGAACTTGCTCAACTTTGTCCCCTTGTATTGAATTTCATATGGCTTGGGAACACGCCTAGAGTTTCAATTGGAACCGAACGCTGTAAATTCACAAGAATAGGTTCTGTGTAGTTCCGCGATGTCAAATGAGATTGAGTTACGCTGGGTTCTGGTTACTATACTAATCACAGCTGTTACTGTGCTAAGAACAATAAGGTACATCTTTTTATTCAATCAGACGTTGCAATGGAATTCTTCTCATGTAACAGCATCAGTCTGTGTGAGTGTCACTGTATTAATAATCATCACTTGCTTATTGAAAAGAGTGAAAGAGTGGTCGAATTGGAATTCTCCGGTATTGAAATCACCAACGCATCTGGAAAGAAGTTCTTTGAGCTCACTACGCAAAACTTTCGTATAGAGGCGGGCTTACAATTGTGAATGGCCTGTCTACATATGAAACATGGATGTTTTTACGAATGCTTACGTGCTGACGAAAAAGAGATTCTAGTTTGAAAGTAGATGATCATATTTTCATGTAATATAAGCAAATCCGGGTCGTGCGACACACGATGTAACGAGGCGAATTCGCCCAAAATACATCATGCGTCCCTATTTTATCGCTATGTAGAGATATATTGAACAGACGACTGTTTGTTGATTATACAACTCTAGTTAAAGTGTGCTGCTATGCTTTGGCCATGCGTGGTCTATGAAAAAAAAAATTGACCAGAGCTTAGTTGAGAATGCATAGTCAAGAACTTAAGTGATATGAACTCCCTAGGGAGTATTTAGAGGTTTGGAAAGAAGCAAATTCTCAGTCGGCAGTACATACATGTACGTAGAATGTTTGCTTGTCCACATGTGTAGGCTCGATGTGGGGGCTTGAGGCTCGACGTTAGTATGCGCTATACTCAGTACAGACTAGCTCTATATTCATCCTTAGGATCAACCAACAGCTCTCATGACTTTACTTGTGCACCCCGACTTCAGTTGCCCTTCTCGCCCCGGAATCGTAGCGCAATGACAAGCATAGACGACCTTTTCAGAAGCGCCACCGCCTCGGGAAAACGCAAATTCGAAAACCCCAGCGAAGCTGACCCAACGAACGCCTACAAATCCGCAAAGCTATCCTCCAACAGCGACGCGAAGCGCGCCTTGCATGCCTCGGCATCTGACGAGCAAGATGAAGACGACGAAGATGAAGCAGGACCCTCGCTACCCCCCGATCTCGAAAGCGACGGTGATGGTGACGACGAAGAAGGGCGGTTCTTCGGTGGGGGCATAGATGAGGATGCGAAGGACGCCATGGACTATCTGGATGCTCAAGATGGTGAAGATGCGATTGGAGAGGAGAAATACGATCTTTCATGGTTGCGCAGATTGGCACTCAATTTTGAGAAGAAAGTAAATAAGAATGCGTCATTGCGCGCGAAATACGAGGACGATCCATCGAAATTCATGGAGTCTGAGGGTGACCTCGACGAAGCTATAAAGGGTCTGAGCATACTTTCAGAGCATTCGGAGCTCTACGAGGAATTCGCAAAGAACGCTGCGGCGACGAAATTGGTGGAGCTGCTCGCGCACGAAAATACAGACATCGCCATTGCAGCCATTGAAATTATTTCAGAGCTCACAGACGAGGATGTGGAAGCTGAGCAGGAGCAGTGGGATTCACTTGTGGGAGCATTCCTTGAAGCTGATCTCTTGAGCTTGCTGATTTCAAACTTTGGCCGGTTTGACGAAAGCGACGAGGGTGACGCTTCAGGCGTATACCACTCGCTCAACGTGCTCGAGAACTTGCTCTCGCAGCCCACGCACACTGACGCCATTGGTAAGGAGACAAAACTCCTCACTTGGCTACTGAACCGCATTCAAGAGAAGGAAAACTCTACGACGCAAAACAAGCTGTATGCTTCCGAGATCCTATCCATCCTCACGCAATCTTCGCGCCCGAACCGCACACTCATCATCACCGCAAACGGTGTCGAGATCCTCATGACCCAGCTCGCCCCATACCGAAAAGACGACCCAGAAAAGGAGAGCACGGAACAAGAGTACATGGAGAACCTTTTCAATTGTCTCACCTCGCTCGTCGACGAACCAGAAGGCAAGGCTAAGTTCCTTGAAGCAGAGGGTGTGGAGCTGTGTCTACTCATGGTCCGCGATGGCAAGACGTCCAAATCGCGCGCTCTGAAAGTGCTGGACCATGCATGCGGGTACGCCGAATCCACCGCCTCGCCTCCATCACAAACACACCCCAACGGCAAATCCGCCACAGACGAAGACCCATCCACAAATACATCTACGATCAACATCGCCGCTCCTGTCTGCGACAAACTCGTGACATCCCGTGGCTTAAAACCCATCTTCACAACCTTCTCCGCCAAGCCGTCCAAAAAGAATAACAGTAGCCACCACGGCAGCGGCAGTGACGAAGCTCAAACTACCGAGCACATCCTCGGCATCTTCGCGTCCCTCCTCCGCTCCCTCCCCGCAAACACAGACTCCCGCTATCGCGTCCTCGCCAAATTTCTTGAAAAAGACTACGCGAAGATCGATAGACTTGTTGCGCTGCGCCGCGACTACGCGGCACGTGTCGCTACCTTTGATGCGCGGCTTAATGAGCGGAAACGCGGGTTGAGTGCGGAGGAGAAAGAGGAGCTTGATGTGGCAAGTATTGCGGATCGTTTGGATGAGGGGCTGTATTGTCTCGAAAGGGTCGATGCTGTGCTTGCGTGGTTGGTGGCTGAGGACGATGGCGCGAATGCTGCTATTGTGAGTAAGCTCGCGGAGAGAGACGAAGGATTGGCCGATGTCAGGAACACGTTGAAGGCGCAGCTTGATGGTGTTTTGGAGGTTGAAGGGGCGGAGAGGGAGATGTTGGAGACATTAGTTGAGTTTTTGAGGTGAAATGTTTGGTCTGATCTGCAAGTTGATATATCCCTTTTTACGGCGGAGGAAAAGGAAGATCTTCATAGCTTCCTCGCGAATGTAAATTCTGTATTTATATATACAACTTCGACACTCGACATTGTCGATAACCTATCTGTAATCAAAATTGCCGGTGCCAGAACGAAGTGAAGAGATACGATACACAACTATTGAAACGAGTTTTCGACAGCTCGCCCTTTCTCACTTCCTTCCAAAACGTCCACCCACGCTTCCGGTCTCAACTTACCTCCATTATAGCCTTTATTCAACCACGCTTCGCCATCAAACCCGAACTCAATTAGGCTATCTTCACTTCCCCAATCTCCATGACCCATCATGCCGACAGGCACCTTGCCTGTACCCTTTACACCATCGACATAACCCACAGGAAACTGGATACAAGGTACACCGGTGAAGTTGGCCATCCACACATACTCCATATTAAAGACTTGCATGTTGCCATCCGTAACACCAAATGTAGCCTCGCCGTCACCAATAGGCCACCCAGCATTCGGCGTCGTGGGCGTAACAATGACTAGACCAGGGTATTTCTGAAACAGATGAGCGAGGTGCTGCATAACAGCATGTCGAACTTTCTGTGCAATGATGAAATCGTGCGCGGTGCTGGACTGCGCGACCTTAAGCAAGACGCGATTTGGCGCCGTCAAGATGCTCAAATCTGGCTGTTCGGCTAAAACTTCAGAAAGGATGGTCAAGGCATGAGCAATTTGTCCCTCATGGAGATACGGGATGTCGATGTCGACTATTGTGTAGCCTAGCTCCGTTGTCATGTACTGCAGCGCGGACTGGCATGCTTCCTGTACAGCAGGGACCGCGCGGTCGAACCATGGTTTGCAGATTCCTAGGACCTTCTTGCGTGGGGCAGTGACAGGCTTAGGGGGTGCGAAGCAGCGCGAGGTGAGATTCGATGGATCGGGTTGGGCTAGTACTCGGTAATAGATCTCTAGGTCGGACATGTTGCTTGCGATGGGTCCATTGATAACGACTGTGTTTCCGGAGCGGGGCAATGGAGATACTGAAACGCGACCGTGTGAGGTTTTGAGGCCATAGAGCCCGCAGTAATTGCTGGGAATGCGAATGGAACCGCCACCATCGGATCCTATAGCGAACGGGACGAGACCTGATCCCACAGCAGACGCGCCTCCACTTGTAGAACCTCCGGGGTAGTATTGCGAGTTGTAAGGATTGAGAGGAGTGCCCCAGTTAGGGTTATTCCCGTTTGTATCTGGCAAGAATGTTAGCAACAGGAAATAATTCCGACATTGCCTTCTAAAGCAATTGAACAAGCTTCATAGGGAGCGACTCACCCATTCCCATCTCATGCATATTGTTCTTTCCCATCATGATTCCCCCTTCTTCCTCTACCTTCTTTACACACCAACTTGTCTCTACCTCCTTTCCCCCTGTATAATCCTTTGTCGTACCGACATACCTCTTGTATCCTTTCACGTCAACCTCGTCCTTCGCCGAGAAGGGAATGCCGTCCAATACACCCAATGGCTTTCCCTCTTGCCACCTCCTTGTAGAAGCGTCCGCGGCTGCCATTATGAGTTCCACATTACTATCAACAAACGCGGCGGTATACGGGGTGTGTTTCCCAACATCTCGACGGATCAATGGTAAGAGGAATTCGACGACATCTCGAGGGGTCAAGCGGCCAGAACGGTAAGCTTCGTGATAATCGGCGATTGTGTAGAATCGACCGGGAGTATTGTTCGGCAAAGTACGTAACGCGGAAGGGTCGGGTTTGGTGTATTCGAGGGGATACGAGCTGTGGCCTGAGGACACGGGAATGACAGTGGGATCGTATCGCGGTTCAACATCGCCCAGCTCTTTCAGAGCTCGCAACGACCCAAATCCCGCATTTCTCCAAAGTACGTAAGGCACGAGAGGTAAGGTAGTGACACTGTACAGATAAGCAGTGAAAGATGTTTGTTGGGCGGTGTTATTACAGGCCTGCAAGGTAATGAAGGGTATAGCCTTTTACGGTAGGGTTGTTGTAAGGCGGTGGAGCTTGGTATAGCTTGTTGTACGCTTGAGCTGAGGGGTATTGGAGGAATGTAGTCCGTGCACTTTCGTCAGACATTGCGATGAATGATTCTGATCAGGATGGGAATTAAGCAAAGCTAAACCAATACCAGTGGACAACCAGAGTACACAAGGCAATCGATGTGGATCAATGGAGAGAGTAGCGCTGTGACGTTGAAGTTGTACGTACTGTAGGACGCGATAGCATGTGATACCGACTAACCAGATTCAGAGCTTTCGATCACACCCAAAAAATGGCAAACAAATGATGAAGCGCAGGAAAATGATATTCATGATTTATCGTGGCCCTAACACCAAGCACCCTTTTCCATTTGAGAAAACTCCAACTCCACATTATGCTATAGAGAGTCGTATGGGCACAGCTGTACTCGCAGACATGCGCCATCACATCGAAGATTCATCTTCTCAGTGGACCCTTCCATTGTCTCCATTCTCTCGAAACCCTTGCGTCCGTTTTCTGAGCAGTCATCGCTAGCGCTGTGGAGACATTCCCAGTCAGCAACGCCAGAATACTATTTGATCAAGTTGCCCTCTACTTTCCGCATCTACTGACCCTTCCTTGGGGTAGATTTGGAGCCAGACACTTCGTCACCCATACGGTTGTACTCGTTCTGCATGCTCTCGACCTGCTTCTTGAGATTCTCCATGTCGCGATCTTTGGCAGCGAGTTCCTCTTTGAGGTTGGCGACCTCACCCATGCCACCAGCATCTTTGATGCTCTTTCCCTTAGCGGCGGGGTCACCCTTCAAAGTCTTGACTTCCTCTTCCAAACGAAGGACATCGAGAATCATGACGTAGGTACGGTTGAGGATGAGGGAAAGGAAGAGGGTGAAACCGCAGAGGTACATGTTACGCTGCGAGTAGAACTTGCGGGCTTGTACTTCCATGCGCTCGGATCCGCCCATTACGGTAGCACTGTAGAGAGTCAGCCATCAGTCCAGATTGTAAAAGCTATTATACACATACCCGCCGCGTGCGTCAGATTTGGAAAACGCAGCGAGTTCGACTTGGACGCGGTAGACACGGTTGACACTATCGATGAAGAGGATCAAGATGAAGATGAAGGTAATCTATAAGATGTCAGATGAGGTACAGACGCCAGATTCAGTGTCACCAACCTTCATGCCATATTGGAGTTTTGCGATGATGGGGCTCTCGGAAATGAAGGTAAATAGCTTGCGGCGCCAGGTGAAGGGCAGAGGAACGATCAAGGCGAGGAAGATCATCATCTCCGTCACCAAGAGGAGGAAGACCTGAGGAAGTAACAAAAGTAAGCATACGAATAACATGTCTGGGTTGCAGGATGGTGTGGCCACGCGATCGGAACGCGCAGTGGAACGCAAGTGACGCCCATGGTGAGATTGTGAGGCAATTCAAGTACGTAGTTGGCAACGCCTTCCACCCATCTCATCTGCGGAAAGAGGGAAAACGTACCAGGCTGTAGTAGAGAGTCATTGTTGCTACGTGGCTGGAAGTAGCTCGTGTATACGATTATTGTTGGCGGGGTAGAATTTTTGTGGTCGACACGGAAACAGACGCCAGCTGCAGTGAGAGCAGCCGTTGATACTCGGGGTAGATGTAGAAGGAGGATGTAATGTCGAGCGAGCAGTGACACTGAATGAAGGGTGGAGCGTTGGGGGTAAGCGGCAGTCTACGGTGCAGGTTTAAAAGCGTGCCTAATAGCTCATGGAGGAATACGTCACTCTTCGCAGCAAACAGTCCGAGCTTGGCAACAGGATCGGGAGAGCTGCTGGTCTAGTGCTTATTTGGGCCTAGTGCGAAATCTCTCACAAATCTGCTTCCGCCATCAACCACTCACCACCTACAGTTAGTTGACAGAAGAGGAATTGCTCATTCGACCTTCGCCAGACAGGCCCTGTTCGAACATGGCAGACTCGGAGAAATCGGCTGCACAGGCCCCCATTGAGCCCGCTGAGATCAAATTTGTCATCAAAGAAGAGATCAAACCCACCAATGGTGGCGATGAACAAAATAACGAGCATGGTAAGATGGAGTCGTCAGGGTTAAGAAAAAGAGATGGCTCTCATATTCAAGACAATGATCCTGCAGATGGTCCTTCCAAACGCCAAAAAGGTGTAGCGCCTATCAAGCAAGAGTGTGTATATCCCTCACCACGATCAACTCACGAGGACATGAAGTAATATTTTCCCAGATTCCTATTGCAGGCTCCCGGAAACACTCAACAAGCAAAGGAAGGCCCTGAGAATGACGATGCCGCTGAAGCCGCTGATGATCGCTACAAAAAGGTCGATGCTCGTGACAACCGTCAGGGCGGTGGCAAAGGCAAGAAGAACAACAAGAAGGACAACAAAAAGAACAAGGGAGGCCAAAACACCAGTCGTACTTTCGGAACGTCACACGACAAGCTGCAGCTGTGCTCATCCCGTGCGCAGAGTCCGGAATTTTCTCCCAAGGAGTGCCGATTTGGTGAAAAGTGCAAATTTGAACATGACCTTCGCCGTTACCTGGACGTTGGCCGTCGGGGTGACCTAGACAGCTTCAGCGGGAAATGTCCCATCTTTGAAGCCAAAGGCACCTGCCACATGGGCTGGAAATGCCGCTTCCACAACAGTCACTCCAAAGAGGTAGACCATGAAGATGGGCGCAAAGAATTAGTTCTCGTCGAAGACAATGAACGGATGGCTTCGAAAGAAAGTGTTGAGGTCTCAGAGGATGCGGATCAGGAAGTGGGCGTCGTTAATATCGTCTCCAGAGAAGACAAACAGAACCTTAACAGAAGGCGAAGAGGGACGCCGCGATCCGATGCTTACATTCAGTGGGTGAATAGCGTGGCCGACGCTGAGAGAGAGTATTTTGATAAACTCAAATTGCAAAGCTCTGGCGGCGGTGTCAAAGGCGAAGAAACCAGTGAAAAGAAAGAAGGACTCGAAGAAAACCGAGCGCAGTTCGTAGAGCCTCCCTTCCGGCCATCTGAGAAGCGAAAGATCTACTATGGACCCGAAACACCAATTCTGGCACCACTTACAACCCAGGGCAACATGCCTTTCCGTCGGCTATGCGTTGAGCTAGGAGCACAAGTGACTTGGTCTGAGATGGCGATGGGACTTCCCCTCATCCAAGGTGAACGGTCAGAGTGGGCGCTCATGAAGGCTCACGAATCTGAGATTAGGGCACCTCGGTTTGAGGGCAAAGGAACTGTCGTTCAGGGATACGATAGCTCCAAAGACCTTAAATTTGGTGTACAGATTGCTGCGAACAAGCCCTGGCTTGCAACAAAGACGGTCGAAGTGCTTACTGCATTGTGCCCACAAATTCGAGCCATTGATCTGAATTGCGGCTGCCCCATCAACTTGGTCTGCGAACAGGGAGCTGGCTCAGCCCTACTTGACAGTGGTTCGCGTCTGGAAAGTGTGCTACGAGGCATGAATTATGTGTCTAACGAAGTTCCTATCACTGTGAAGATCCGAATGGGCACAAGAGACAATCAGCCAACTGCCGATAAACTCATCAAGCGCCTCGTTCTCGGCGGTTACGAAGCCAAAGAATCCGGTAAAGGCGCTGCAGGTGTTGCAGCGATCACTCTCCATGGTCGCAGCAAACAGCAACGGTACACAAAGACCGCTGATTGGAGTTACATTGCCGAGTGCTCTGCTCTTATTTCTAGGCTGAAGAAGGAGAAGAGCGAGCAAATCGACACAATTAGAGAAGCTGACCCACGGGATCTTGCGAATGAAGGTCATGTGTACTTTGTTGGAAATGGCGACTGCTATTCCCACGTGGATTACAATGAACATCTAGAGAATGCCAAAGTGGACTCCGTCATGGTAGGCCGTGGCGCTCTCATCAAGCCATGGATATATGAGGAGATCGAGAAAGGGCAATATCTCGACAAATCGGCCAGTGAGCGTTTGAGCTACATCGAGAAATTCTCCAAATACGGCCTCCAGACGTGGGGATCTGACGAACAGGGCATTGGTACCACACGACGATTCTTGCTGGAATGGTTGAGCTTCGCACACCGATACGTACCGATTGGGCTGCTAGAGCACCTTCCACCAAACATCCAGGACCGTCCTCCTCGGTTTAAAGGCCGCAACGAATTGGAGACGCTGATGGCCAGTGAAAATTACAAGGATTGGATCAAAATCAGGTATGCATTCTAGAGTTGGCTTATTCTGTGGCGCAAACTAACAAAGCCCAGTGAGATGTTCCTCGGTCCGGCAGCGGAGGGATTCAGGTTTGAGCCAAAGCACAAATCCAACGCCTACGAGATGGAAGCCGAGGGCTGATCATGCTGATGGAATGATTCTACAACGATGCAGGAGGATGTGTATGCACGTGGGTCATGACTCTGCAGATCAATGGTCGTCCAGGATCTCGTCTGCAAGATAGGAGTGGCTTATCTGCAGCTTTTATCTTCGTCGAATGGAACCTTAATGGCGGAACTCGTCATAGGCGAGCAAATATAGATTGAGTAATGGGCTTGCCTGAGTGTCGTGATAGTCGGCAACCCTACTTCTCCAGACGGAGCAACATCCACACCGCGATCTCAAGCTAATTCAAAAGTATTGTTAAGCAAGTTCACAAATGATCTCCACGAGTCAATCGCTTGCAAAAAGCATCCAGGGGCAATAAACCTTCTTCACGTGGTTCGGGCGCTAGTGAGGGCCACCCAATTTGTCGGGCCCACACCTCCCGACTACCATATCTTCTACTTCGCATCATCAAATTAACGTGGCGCCAGAACAGCTGTCAAGTACCCACAGCATGATCCATAGCGATAGGGCAGTCAGAGGATGGCGCCATGCACAAGTCAGGTTTGTACGGTGGGGGAACGCCTCCAATCGACCATGACAGCACTGGAACAGCATGCTGTGGGCCCGTGGCCATCGGAAAGTTCGAACGCGTAAAGCCCACGAAGACAGCAGAAAACTTGCGGTCTGCAAGTGGGTGGAATGGATCTTTGCACGCGGAAGGTGCTCCTTGATTTGCGTGTGCGACAGCAGTCTCAGCCTCAGCTACCACAAACGCGTAACGCTCATTCTCGTCGATTGCATGGTGCGAGATGCTGATAACAGTTTTTGTATCCTCTTTTCCTCCGTTTTGTTTCCGCTTTCAACAACTCTCCTTCAATTCCTAATAATTATAATACCATTGGTGTGAAAGTATGAAGACGTTTCTCTGCCTTACTTCCAGAGCACAAGACGAGCCTGATGAATATCACAACATACCGGTCAACCTTTTGAAAGATGACGATGCGACGACTGCCGTAAACATTGAACGAATCAACAAGAGTACCAAATTGCAAAAGCTGCTGCAAGTCATAAGATGCGAGCTCGAAAGACCAAAGGAATCGATAGCAACTAGTGCTCTCAGCCCAACAAAACAATGGACACCTCTATATTACTCAGTCTACCACAATCGAACTGCAGCGCTTCAGCACTTTCTTCACGCTGGCCACTCTCCCAATGGTCTCGTCGACTTAGGGCAACCTCCTCTTTGCATTGCAACGGCAGCTGGACATCTGGATGTGGTCACGCTACTCTGTGAAGCAGACGCAGACATTAATGCAGCAGTTAGATACACTGGCGAGATGGCGCTCCATATTGCCATCAATGCCGGTCGGAGCGATTTGACGGATGTTCTTCTCTCATGCAATCCAAATCTAAATGCAAAAACTCTGCAAAGTCGCGAGACACCACTCCATTACGCGGCTGCGAAAGCTGGATCACTTGCCACTGTCGTTTCATTGATCAAAAGAGGAGCGGATGTCGAAGCTCTAAACGCCAAAGGGTGTAGCCCTGCAGAAGTTGCTCTGCAGTCGAAGAATCTGAATGCTGCCGTCGCTATTGTGAGTGCAGCTCGCGGAAGTCGAAGGATCCTGGCCAAAGAGAAAGAGTTGTTGCTCAAACACGTCGAGAAGGCACAAAACAGATTCTCTATGAACAATGAGCTCATAGGAGATATTTTTGAAGCCGGGTGTCCACCGGACTCCACTGTCTTGATAGAGGCCATCAAAAGGAACGACTCAGGCTTGGTGGAAATGTTCCTCGAGAAAGGTGCTGATCCCAACCGATCATCTGCGTCGGGGCTGCTACCTATATTTGCAGCGTTGGCATGCTCGGGATCGCAGATCATGCATACGCTCATTAAACACAAAGCCGATGTCACATTGAAGGATCAGAGTGGACACACCGTTCTCCAGGGCGTTTTCGAAAGCGTCTTGGCGCATGATAGAGAGGTTGTCTCGAAGCTTTTCCAGATGCTCCTTTCTAATGGAGCCGACCCGCTTGCCAGATATTCGGATGGATCGACACTACTCCATCATGCAGTCGTGGAGGGATCAGGCATAGCCAAAATTGTACAACAGCTGTTACAGCATGGAGTCAAAATCGACGAGCAGGATTTCCAGGGGAATACGGCACTACATATGGCATTCCGCAATCGACTGTGCATCTCAGTTCTAATCAAACATGGCTCCAATACTGAATTATTGAACAAGGAAGGATTGACTGCTCTTCTACACGCGACTAAATATGCCACCAGAGACAAGGAGCCAGATTTTGAACCATTAGTTAAGGCATCCAATATCAGTACAACGGACCCTACGGGGATGACATCTCTACACTTCGCTTCCCAGAACGGGCTGGAAAGAGCAGTGCGTGCTCTGCTTCATGCCCGTTCAGACACATCCGCGGTAGATTCTAGAAAACGAACACCACTACTACTTGCGGTTTGTCACCAACAATGGCATATCGTCCCACTTTTCGCATCACAACCGGGCGTGAATGCCTGGAATGAAGAGGGACTTACTGCACTGCACCTTATTGCTATGAGCACGCCAAACAGTCCATCTTCATGGAAAGATATTGCCTCTGCTACTGCACCGTTCTGCGAGAAAGGTGTGAGCAGGACTTTGCGCGAAAAGTCAGGAGCGACCCCACTTATACTGGCTGTGAAGTCACTTCCTGAGGACGGTTTGCCCGTTGTTGAAGCACTACTTTCTCGAAAGGGTTCCGAGAGAAGTAACTGTGTAGGACACCAGGATTTGCAGCAACATGATGCCCTGTATTATGCAGCAACGCTTTGCAAACCCTCATTTGTTTTGGCGCTGTTGAAAAACGGCTCGCCGTTTGCTCTAAAAGATTGGCTACCAAGCAACAAATTGGTTGATGCAGACAATGCCGTGGGTAAACAAGTCCTGAAAATCATGGCAGAGCATGAGTGGCTGCATCGTGCTCTATCACTTCAAAGACAATCCTTTGGTGACTCAAGCGGATCAGCCCTTCCCTCAATCTTGCCAATCGACGACCTCCGTCTTCTTCTCACCATGGGTCTTAACCCCAACTCGCCACCAAAATCCAAGTTCACAAGTCCCCTTCTCTGGACAGTTTTGAACCAGGTGCAGCCGTCCCTGCCTACAGAGTACCTATCTGATGTCCTGAAGGTTTTGTTCACTTTCGGCGCTGACGCTAATGTAATTGCAACGCGGAATATGCCTCGAAATTCGCTGAATGAAGGCACTCAGAGTACAGGTCTGACCATCCATCCTTTAACCTACCTCCTGGAGCGATCCCAAACCGTGGAAATATCTCTCATTCAACTCTTCCTGGACAATGGCGCCAAACTCTCTATCGCATCAACTTTTTTCAAGGGCCGTCACCCTCTTCACACCGCCGTCCAGATCAAGCAAATCGACATTATCAAACTCTTCCTCAAAAACAACGCAAATGTAAACTCCAAGGACGCCAACGGCCTCACACCCCTTCACACGTCGATCCTCCAAAACAATCCAGAAACAACAGACATGCTCCTGCACGCCGGCGCACAAATCGACACCAAAGACAACGCCGGCAACACACCCCTTCACATCGCCGCCCTCCACAGCAACGCATCTCTAATAACCACTCTCCTCCACCGTGGCGCGTCCGCAAGCGCCCTTAATTCTCACGGGAAAACACCATTAGACCTCTTACCTCCTTCCCCAAACAATCCAGACGCACAACGCATCTCCTCACTCCTCACCTACGCGCAAGAAGACGAGCGTCGCAGCATGTCCACCAGCACCATCACATCCTCCTCTCAGCCCCTCTCCACCACTCCTCCCTCCTCAATCACAACTTCCTCCACCGCTCCCGCTCCTCCACCCACCACCCGCAGAAAGAAATCTTTCGTCCGTCCCCCACCAACCCCAATGACTCCCCACCAACTTCTGTCCACATCCGCCAAAGTCCCTCCCCATCTCCTCCGCAACCAATCAAACCCCTCCATCGACCTCGACGAGCCCCAGCAGCCCAAACCAGAAACCGCAACGCCAGTCCGTCTGTCCAAACAGGTCGTTAGTATCCGCTACACGCCTCCCACGCCGGATCCGCATGCCCGTCTCGCATCACCCCTCCCTTCTTCCTCTCCTGACCAGAATCCTGTTGTGGTTAGAGAGGAGAAAAGGGTGGATAGCAGCGTGCATCTTGCGCTGGTGCAAGGGGAAGAAGGGAAAGTTGCAGTTGTAAGGGGTGAGGACGAGGCGGAGAATAAGAAGCAGAAGAAGGAATTCCCGATTTTGGATCGGAAGTGTACTTCTTTTGATCGCAAAGACGAAGTGGGGGGGAAGATGGGGAAACAGGTGGAAAATCGCGGAGATGGGCATGGGGAAGGGGACGGAGATGAACTTGCGTCTTGGTTGGCGGTTAGTGGGGCTCTGGAGAGATTGTGAAGGAGGGGTTTTATTCTTTTCTTCTTTGGGCGGATGTTTCTGTATCGTTCTCTCCTTCCCTTCTTCTCATCCTCTCCTTCTCTATAATTTTTGTTCCTTCTTTCGGGTTAGAAAACTTTTCCCCTCTTTTTCTACTTGGTCTGTTCTCTTTCGTTCGTACGGTGTATACGAGGATAGATGGGAAATATGGGTTCCGCATGCTCTTTTTTCCCCCGACGTTTCCCTCTCTACGCAATCTCGAGAATGTACATTTCGCTCACCATCCCACTCCCCCCTTCCCTCCTATACTCACTCTTTCCTCGCCTCCAAAATGGTCTTCTCCTCCTAATACCACATCAATTTTCCCACAAGCGAAGAATAGTCATACTTTCACTTACGTGAACGCAACATTAAACTGTTAGCTAGACATTAATACACAAGTCTATACGAATCCGCTACCAACATATAAGAGTGTCGTCTGATTAACCCGTAAAACAAATTCTTCCATGTAATCGTGCACCTCTAAGGCAATGTCAACGTCGGATCTAAAGAACTCAACCCCCCAACAAAATCAGACTATGGAATACAAGACATTGGATGAATGGATGAATGAACAAGAGTTTACGTGACACATATCCATCTCTTACCTCTCTCTACCTCTCCTCCACATCACCAGAAGAAATGCAAATCTCCACATGGAACTTATAAGCAGAAATCTCAAAACCTCGCCATCGAATCCACACATTCAAATCCATACCATTTTGCAGTACGTCTTAGTACTCCGAAACAAACACGAAGAAGAGGAAGAAGAAGAGGAGGGAGAGATCAAAGGCAAAAGCATCGAACCGCCATCTTCCCCTCTCTCTTTTCCTCCCCTCCTTCACTTCACTATAACCCCCCCGCAATTCGAGAAATCCCGCAGCTCGGACGTCATCAATGGTATAAACCCGTATATACGAAACATCAGGGGAATCAAAAAGCACCGCCGAAACCGAGTAAATACCAATCTACGTTCCGTCCAAGAAAAAGAAAACAAGAAACCAAGAACAAGAACAAGTCGGAAGACGAAAGAAAAAGATTCGGCCCGACAGATCAACATATAACAAACGCAATAATCGTACGATATATATACTGTTTTTTTTTTCTTATTCACTCAATTGGAATGATAAGGGAAAGCGGGATATACAGACGGAGACTTGTCCCCACAGCAAAGACAAGATAATCCAAGAACAACGGTTTAAGCAGGACGAGAGGAACAGGTAAAGCTGAGAAGGCCCCCCTCCCCCCTAGTTGGGATAAGAAGAACTAGACAAACGGGATAATGGAAGTATCTTCGGTTAGGAGGGGGGGCTGACGAATTCGCCCCGAATAAAGACCGAAAAGTAATAGTCTGGTTTGTTCCTGGCATATCATGCGTTAAAAGTTTTTTTTTTTTCTTGTTTGTTAATTACTCTACAACGCCTCATATTTTCGTGCACAAGGTAGTTGATTGCATTACGGATAATAAATGCAAATGGTGGATATATATGGGTGTGTGTGTGTGGAGGAAACTTTTTTTATAGATCAAACTACTACACTACTGCAGGGCGTGATATATTACGTTCCCGGGTATATACATCTTGCATATCTTGGGTTGAATAATGCCAAGGGGTGGGTTGAGATGAGTGGGAAGGGGTGTATGAATGCACGCGTAGGTACCGTACCATTGCGATTTTTCGTACATTTGGCTTCCTATGCTGTGTCACACTTTCGACAATACATGTGTTGTCGAAAGTGTGATAGCAGTGGGCTTGGCCGTAGGATACCAGACCCGTCGCGAATGGGGTACGTAGTTCAGAGTACGCTGACCACCCTTTCACACTGTCTTCGTTGTGAAATGAAGAGGATTCTATATAACAGCAAAATTTCTATTCATAGAAAGGCGCAGAACCGCTTCTTAGTTGCTGCGTGGGGTCACGAGACGAGGTTCGTATTTTCCGAATCTCTCATAGGATTGAAAATACGAGATATACGGGCAACGGCAACCCAAGGTTGATAGCAAAGAAGGTATTCAAGGTCGTAGATGGCTGGTCTGGTGGTTAGTAGCAGGTGACTTGGATGTTGTGTTCTTTTTGGTGAGGCGCATTTTGTTCGGTGAATAAATGATCATCCCTTCCACCCCCCACATGCAGATACAAACCGGTCTTACAAGAGCGGACTATTTATTCAAGCAGTCCCGAGAACAAGGTTATATATAACCCAGAGGAGAAGAAAATCCGGTGAAGTTGGGAAAGGTTGGCGGAGGCTATATCCGAGGTCGAGTAGGACGACATGGGGACGCGTCGCCCATCCGTTTGGGAGATGCGTGATCGTCGACCACGAGGATTCCAAGGAAATTCAAGCTACGTGAACAACGACTTTGGAAGACTTGGAAAGGAAAACAATGGAGGAAGGTTGATCGACATAAGTACTTACCCCGCTATAGCATGTGAGTGTGACCGAGGGAGGACGAATGAATGCCATCAACTTCGGGCAATAGGAATTATTTGCCGACCTGGCTTGACTGTAGCGGTGGTCTCCGAGAGATGAACGCTCAACGACTTGTTGTTGGCTGCCGTCGAGAGGCGTGAGGCAGTTCATCGGTCACAGGGAAGATAGTGATTGGCGTGTTCATGACGAAAGGACACCACTGTCGAATGAAGATGGGCAGCAACCCATGGGCTGTGCTGACTCGGTGTGGGTGCGGGGATGGAACATCCGTGAAACGTGCCAGTGCCGATTCCAACGGAAAATATTGCAGCATGGGGCAAGAACGATTATCATTCGTGTTGTGGGTAACTAATGGCTGATTTGATTTTGAAGGGCCGCGTGGTTATGTGTGAGGGGGACGATCATCACGGAGGTCGAAGAAGAGCGGTCTGCCCGATTGCAAGGCTCTGAGACCGAAGGTCGGCAAACCTGCGGCGATATCTTGACCAAGAAGCATGAGAAAAGGGGTCGGACTGCCCAACAAAGCAAAAGATCTTGGTTTGGTGAAATGAGCTGGAGTAGTAACGATGCAGGGTCTCTGTGCGCGGTGTGCAGAGAACACCCAGAGGACCGGGCTCGGGGGGATTAACGTCATCGATCGTCGGACTCGAAGGACGAAAGGAAACAGATTGAGGAAGGTGGGTTGCAGATTGCGACATGAGCGTTGCAGGTAGGGGAAGCGGGATACGCAGGCCCTCCAATGGTGAGGAATGATGTTGGAGTTAGGCTTTCTTCGTTGAAACGGAAAGCTGGCAGCTCCAAAAAGCATGGTTGACGCGCGGTTACCTAACGATGATTATTTGATGACCAGACTATCCATGGTGCCGCGCACTTGCAAACGGCAGGTGCCGCAGGTAGATGCACCAGCGATGGGATTTCTGTAATGAGGTTGATGGGTATTTGTATTTCTCCTTTGCTGGGAGTGGGACCCGTTGGTAGAAGGATAGTGTTAGGCAATGTGTAAGATTGTTGTTGGTCAAGCGCCGAAACAAGACGACCAAAGCAGCAAAGCAGAGGCGACGATCTCTGGTGGCAGGTGGACGAGGAGATGGAGTGATCAGCGCAGGGCGACACGACCCAGCATAGCAGACGAGTAATTCAAAAAAGCGGTCCATGGCTCCGCATCCACTGGGAGCGGGTGTGGATATGGATGGAAGTATAGTTTACTACATACATGACTACAGCAGTGGAGGGGTGGAGGCCGTCCTCCCCCTAAACATTTTATGGTGGGAACGTTGAGGGAGCGAGGGAATTTTTTTTTTATATATTTTGTATAAATATATATATATATATATATATATGATTCCGTAGGTGAGGGGAAAGATGGCTAGGTATCCCCTTCGTACGTGGCTAGGGCTGACGAGATGATGATGATGATGATGATGATGATGATTCAACGTGGTGAGAGGGCAACGGGTAGCGGCAAAGTCGAGTGATGTCAATTTGCTGGGAGCAGGGGTGGTGAGACGGTGCGAATGATTGAATGCAGTAGGAGCGGACCCTGACGCAGGAGCATTGGGTGGTGCCTTCCTGTGCCTCTGTGCGATGTGGCGATCCGAGGCCGCAAGCGGCTAGCGCCAGATGGACAATTGGCACCCGTCGACGTCATCGGCAGGCTCTTGGATGCCGATCTCAGCGGGCATCTCATTCCCAGCATCACAGACAGATGTGCGGCCGTGGCTGGGGGTGCCAAATCCGCAGCCCGCCGCTCGTCATAAGCCGTCCATGGTGAGCGCCAGTGTGCATCACCCATTGCCGTTGCCTGCGTGCGCTCCAAAGCCAATTTCCTTCGACAATCTCCTGTCCGTCCGCTGCATACCTACACCCCCATCCACCCCCCCCATCCATCTATCCACCACCGACACTTGGTCCCGTTGGTTGGGCTCGACAGCCTGCTGCTACTGCTACGACTACGACCACTCCAGCTACTACTGTCCACGCCCCGCCGCTATCTCGTTGCAAAAGGCTCAGTTGGCAATTGCATCGCTGATACTGCCGCTTTTAGCCCTGTTGGTCTCTAGCGCTGGGCCGATCACTCGACGCTCCGTCCGAAAATTTCTTGGTCCCAGTCCCACGACCCGCCGGTCCAGTGACCATCTCTCCATCTGACGGCGACTAAAAGCCTACCACCAACCACTAGCCACCGCGTCTTGCTAGCCGGCTCGAGAGAAACAAGGCCCTCCTCTGCTTTGCCCTGGGCAACACACACCGCTGCCTTCCTTGCCCTCTGGATACCACTCCCAGGTACCCGCCCATTTCTGCCGACCGTCAATCACCATCCACCCTCGCCATCCAACACCAACACGAAAGAAAGGCTAAAACCGAGCGCAAAGCACCACGCGGAGTCAGAGAGGACAAGTCATCCAGTCATCTACGCTTCATATCGCTAGCTGGCCCGACTGCCGTGCTTGCCTTCCTGCCTGTCTGCGCGCGCGTCTGTCTGCTCGCTCCTGTGCATGCCTGCCTACTACACCTTGCCTTTCTCAAGCCTTACCAGTTGCCTCCCCCGCCCGCTATTCGCCGCCACTCGAGCTTCTCAACCTTGACCCTGTTGCTTGCTCAACTTGCATCTCGTCGGGGGCCCTTAACATACACCGTGGCCACCTAAAATCCACTCCCACGCTCGGCTCGGCTCTATTTTATTTTTCTCACCCATCAATTCTTCCCATCACGCACCCCCTCGCAACAGGGAGTCAACCCAACTGTCCTAGTTTGGCCGCACTAGAGGGGTCCCTGCAGCAGCATTTGGTCCTCGCTTGGCGCCCTCCCGCTCCACTCCTACTAACCTACTGCTGCTGCCGCTGTCGCCGTGCTTGCTATCTCTCAATTTGCTCCAACGGCTCCGGCCCTCAACTACCCTAACCTACTCTTGCATCGCCGCCACACATCAAACCCTCCCTTCGGTTATAATGCTGTCCCAATCCTCAACTGCACCTTTTCCTCCACCCCCCGACCGCCGCGTCTCCTACCCAGACGACATGAGCTCGGCATCCTCCAGTTCCTCTATCAGCGACCCGGATAATGTAGACCCCACCAAGCTCGGCCGTCCAAGGTTGGGCAGCCGGAAGTCGAGCGGCACCATCATAATACCACGCGATAGCCCTCAAGTCGAGCTCAAAGAGGAGGAGTACGACGATGGTGACGCGAGGACCATGAGTCCCAGGCGGAGCAGCGAGGAGATTGAGAAGATGGGTCAGGAGGCTCGTCAGGCTTTGATAGAGTGAGTACCGCCCTTATTCTTTATTCCCCCTGCGCCTCTGAGTGCTGCAACACCAGCACCTACCTTGCTTGCCTGCTGTGCTGCTGCTTATATCATCCCCTTTGCCAGTCCCTGGACCCCGAGGCTGACATTCGCCAGACAAGCAAAGCAACTCCAAGCCAGTCTGTTGGAAATCGTGGATCGTGTTGAGATAGTCAAATCGGAACACGAGAAGCTTGAGGGTGGTAACAAGTTCCTCCAATCGTGAGTCAATCCTTTCTCCATGTTTTGCCGTTGGACCCCAACATGACTAACCTCACTCAGTTATATCGGTGAACTTATGCAGACGAGCAAGATTACCTCTACCGGTGCAGCAAAAGCCAAAGGCAAAGGCAAAGGACGAACCGTCAAATAACAATCAGCGCTCCATTCGCCCAGGCCCGTGTATGAGGAGCAGCAGGGCCAGTGGCACGGAGCATACCACGTCGGCATCCCTCCAGGGCCACATCGCATCATCGAGACCACCCACCCCGCCAATCTACATTACCACATGATCATGGCCATCTACTTCACGCATGCGAGGGTCCCCGAGCAATATATGCCGTTTGAAGCATTTCAGAGCTTTGCATAGCACACAGGATTGGATACACGGCGTTCATCTTTCTTTACTATCAATACGACTCATCACTGCAACCTTAACGACAAGACTTCGTTATTCAAACTACATTCGACAAACGCATTCTGGGAGGATCCACTGCTTCCCAACTCTTCATCCTTCATAAACACAACCATACCTCCATTCTGGCATCGCTCTTATGAGCTTGGGCGTTCATCATTCTGTACCTTTTCCAATCGTTGTCTCTATTCTTTTTTTTTGGCGGCATGATGGACCTCGAGTCCTGGCGTTCGCGGCGTGTTTTTGTACTGCATGTTATATACCGGCATGGCTTTGGTTACTTTCTTCCTTCCCCAATCCCTTTCCCTGGGAGCTCTCCCAGCACATTCCATCTCCAGCCAATTGAACAGGTGCAACACGCTGTTCCCCTGATGGTTTGGTGCTACTCCTCTTTTTTTTTCCTTCCAACCTATGCTTTGAGTTTTGTATGTGTATCATGCATTGTCAAAGGATGTACGGTTACGCCATTCTCTGCGCCTCGTTTTTTGGTTTCGAGTGCGTTGGGCTTGGCTGTGTTTTATGTTTTTCTAGATCCCTAGTTGGATTGTCTGACTGTGCACCCTTTTTGAGATAGGAAAAGACATAATTTCTCTTGTAGCTTAGAAGATTCCCCCAAACAACCAACTTGCTTGCAACAAAATATAAATTATCACATTATTACAACATGGTACACACGCTCTATAATGAACTAGTGGCTTCTCGGAATTAGGGTGTCTTGTTGATGTTTGAGAGTCGAGTTGAATAGATCTGGGAGAACACTACTGTGACCTTCGGACGTAGTTTGCTTGATCTTAATTTTGCATATTACCCTTGGTATCAGAACAGAGCCGCCTGAGAATTGTACGGGAAGCGTGTCAGCCCAGTTATCTGTACATATGTACCTAGGTAGGTAAGTCTTTATACAAGGCTCTCGACGTACTTGGAAAGTACATATGCAGGACGAATAGCTCACGAAAAACAGCCTTTGCGAATAAGCTACCCAACTATCAGATTCTAAGTATATTTGAAGTACCTAGATGTGCTAAACCAAGTAAAAAATTGTCAATACAAGGATAGGTATGCTCTCCGTGGTGAGATGAGATGATATGTCACTAGTCTAGTTTCGGTTAGCGGCGATTAGACGTCGCCCTGCATCGTCCCTTCCGCTCTCGCTCCGGTGGGACAGCCCTTTGAACATTCAATAAACAGAAATGCAGACAAGCATGACTAAATAACACACAATTTCAAACACAATCTCCTTCCAGACTTAGTATTCACGATGATACCTCTTCCAAACGAAATAATCCTTCAAATCATTACATGTGAGTGTGCAGCTGTCTCGGAATGACGTGTATGCTCCCCACCACTGACCACTTGTATACCTCAGACCTCGAGCCCGAAGAAGTCGTAAATCTGCAACATGTCTCACGTCGCCTCCTTGAGCTATCTCGCGACGATAACATATGGAAACAACTGTGCTTCGAGCACTCTATTGGAGAGCGCCGTCGTCGCCGGCGCCTACAATCGCCTCCGGACACAGATCCCCACCTAGCGGAGCTGATCAGAGCTGCAAATAACGTCTCTGGTTCCTTTCCAACCCAAGCATTCGCTCTAAATGCGCTAGACCCCGATGCAAGTACTCATCGGAGTGCATCAAAACGCAGAGCCGCGCTGCTCGCGAACTGGGACCCTACCTATGTTGGAGAGAAGGTCAACTTCTACGAGGAATTCATACAGCGGCACGCACCACATTCTATGAGATGGCTTCAGGAAGCAAAATATGGCCACGAAGATGATGGCTTGCGTCGCGAAGCTACGGGCGCGGGTGTACTGTATGGTGAAGATGGAGTGGCAGACAAGCTCATTGCTCCACTGGAAGACGGATCGATCAGCATATATGACGTGCCCGGCAACACTGAACGCGAGGGAAAGATGATCGCTAGAACTGAGATCGGACTGCTGGCAGACCGAGGTTCTGACTTGGACCAGGATACGAGGCTGAACCAAAGTCAAACTATCATGACGGAGACGGGAGCAGTTGAATGCGTAAGCGTGGACAGCGGACAGAAGAAGGCTTTTTTTGCTGTGCAAAATGTACTCAACGAGGTGGATCTAAATACGCTGCAAGTTATCTCTAGAACAACATACCCATTTGCGATCACTGCTCTTTCAGAGTCACGTCATCCAACGCCAATGACTGTCGGCACGAATTGGACGCTCCATCTGCATGACACGAGGAAGCCTGCGGTTGCACAAGCAGAGGTGAAGTGCGAACTGATCGGAGGCCCTACGACCGACTCATTCTCAAGACTATACAGAGATGAATTTGGCGGCCACGTTTCTCTGACACAGCCTGGTCCGTTGTCCATCTTACATCTACCGACTACTAGGGAATCGGATGGCAATGGAGACATATGGGTAGGCGGGCGATTCACCAGCTTCCTCAACTTCGATAGGCGTTTCTTTCCACGAATTCACGGCACCGTACACTCAGGTGCTCGTCTATCATGCCTAACAGCCCTTCCACATCCCTTCATCCCGCATGAGCTTCGCCAACAACGACCCTCCACCTCAACAGCAAGCCTCCTTCATGAAGCCAAAGCAGCCCCAGGCTACACACTCATAGCAGCAGGCGAATACAAAGGGAAAGGCTCTCTCGAACTCTACGGATTATCCAGTGAGCCCACCCGCACATGCTACCAAAACCGACAAACAGCATCGAGCTCCAAACTCCTCTCCGTCGCCGCGCATGGCACACGCCTCGTCTTCTCCGATGGAGACGGCAACCTCAAATGGGTAGAGCGTGACGCCTCGACACCAGTTCGTCACTTCAACATCAACGATCCAGTTCCTAACGACCCTCCACCACCACCTCCATCCTCCATTGCATCATCCACCCCCACGTCTCCACCCGGAATCCAACTTCTTAACCCTGCTGCATCTTCGAGCGCCGTCTTTGACACTCCTTTATCCTCAGGCGACATCGTGCAGAAGATTATCCCCACGCTCTCGCCTTCACTACATCACTACAACACTCAACGATCCCGTGACGCTTCCGCCCTCGGTCAGGATAACCTACTCATTTGGACCGGCGATGGTAGGCTCGGTGTTGTGGGATTTGGACGCGGCGACGACGTGTTCCAGGATGCGGTGGAGCATCTCGAAGATGTTGCCGAAGAGGCCATGAGAGATGGTGAAGGTAGTGGTAGTAGGGGAAGGGAACGGGAAAGAGAAAGTTTGAGAGAGAGGGAGAGGGCGTTTGAGGCGCAGATGAGGTGGGCGCTTGAAGGGCAGGCTAGAGAGGCTAGGTGGTTGAGGGGGTACGGGCTGTAGGCTGGAGACGGAGGCTCGGCGTCTTGTGTCATTGCTGTGTTTGTGGGAGGGGGGAAGTAGAATCCTGTTAGTAGTTAGTTGGCGTATATGGCAACTATCGCAAGTCTGGTATGTTACGCCATGTCTAGTCCATGTGAGTTGGATATCGTGCGGCGGTATAACCACTTGTCTTCCTCCTCCCCCTTAATCTCCATTCTCATATCATATACTTCTAACCTTCAAAATCTGCATTCATTACAGACTTACTAAACTTTTGTATAGAAAAAAACAAAAAGAATTCACCTGCCCCTTTCCTCCTCCACTACAACTATCTCCTACCGTCTGTCTCACTACCTCTCCTTTCCCGATCCCCTTTTTTTTCTTTCTCGGGGGAATTGGATACATGTATCTATCAAAGCTATCTTTCTACAGAACAGACTATTAATATCTACTCCTCAGATTTTTTATTTTTAATTGGAAGTTATAGTGTTCCCTACACCTAAAAAGGCTAATAAAAAGTGTTAACAAAAAGTAGACAGGCATAAAAAGGTTTATAAAAGGAGTGTGCTTTCAGCACTGGGCCAGGGAATAACCCTTAGGAGAGGTTAGGCTAGGGTTTATTAGATAGCTAGTTGTATGTCATCTTTGTTTTTATTCTGTAGTTTTGTGGTTTGTGAGGTAGAGGGTAGAAGGAGGAGAGTTGCGTGGAGGCAGAGAGAGACATCTGCGGATTGAGATTGTTAGGGGAATTTCTTCTGTTAGAAGTTGAAGTGTTTCCTATACTTAAAAGGCTAATAAGAAGATTTTATGCAAAGCAGGCGGTGACAGAAAGAGTTCACAAAGAGTTGTTTTGCTGTTCAGAGATTGTTAGGTGACTGGGTGAATACGCGCTCTACGTAGGGAAGCATGAATATCAGGAGTTGAAGATTGAGAGTTTGGGCAGGCCGTTGTTCGCGGAAAAGTTGGTCGAATAGCTGTCCCGACGACGACGGGGAGATAGAACAGGAGCAAGTGACAGTTCAGCTTTCACATGTTTTCCAAGAAAGAAAGAAAGAAAGAATATACATGTATATACCTACAATTCGACCAGCACTCTCTCACTCACAAACACAGAAAAGGATGATGGAAGAAGATCAAGAAATACAGAATAGTCTGAACAAGATTATCATTCACCAAGCAGCAACATAACTCTGTTCCCTCGCATTTTTTTTTCTGTCTTTCCACGCGGTTTCAAGCTCCAAGCAAGGAGGATATTCAATATCTCTTCTCCACCCACCACATCGTTCTCCCTCATCTATGCAAACTTCCCTTCGTCCGAATGCCCGCAAATTTTGTACGAACGCACACACACGCACTACTTCCAACACACACTGTTTCCAACACACTGCCCATTGTTATCTCTATTCTCTACAGCATGATCGAGTCTAAGCACTCCACAGCTTAGAAACCAGCTCAGTGATGCCAACGTCATTTGTCTCGAACGAGTACAGGGCGATGCCGAGGGTGACGGTGCCGATACGGAGGGCCCACATAGAGGCGTTATAGAGGTTTGGGACACGGCGGCGGGGGAAGTAGTCTATGATGCAGGCTCTGTAGTAATACACATTCAGATTAGCTCTTGCATATAGATCGGGGGAGAGAGCTGAAAGAGCTGGTATGCAAGTGCTGGACATGAGTGTCTCTCAAGAATGGAAATCTGGATGTGCAGGGCAGAAAACTAAATGTATAGAAGACAAGATCAAGTCTCATGTTGAGAGGTGGTTGTTTGCCAGATATCATATGATGCGGATATGACATGTGAAATTGCCATGGAAACAAAGAGGGGAAAGAACGTACTCAAAGCCAATATGCGAGTGTACAACGAGTAAAGCGCACAAGACCGAATCCATGACCGGGTTCAAGCTGCCAGCTGCGAATGGTGCAATTGTCAATGGGATCAGACCGGCCGATACGACGCGCTCAAAGCTCCAGTGGTAGCTGCCATGGGCGGGTGCTGGGTCCGGGACGGCCGTGGGTTCGTTCAGAGTACCCTTGATCTTCTGGGGAAGAGCGGGAAGAATAGCCTTGCGCTGGGTGGCGTGGAAGGCGGCGACCCTGCTGGCAGTGGTGGGCTTGGGGAGCGCGGCTGCGATGGATGGTCGGAGTGTGGTTTGGCGGGTGATGGTGGAGAAGACTCGCTGCTGTGCGGCTTGGGACTGCCTGAGAAGGCTGGGGCGCATCACGGAGGCCATTGCTGCAACAAACGAGAATTGAAGAGTGGAGAGAGAGTGGAGGTGGTTTGGTGGTGTTGGTGGAGGAAGATCGTCCAGCACTCTTCGGTCGATTGTCTGCGATGCTTCGTCACGATTGTATCCGAGGTCTTTAGGTGCGGACCAATCAGACGGCGCTCGATATAATCGCCCGCCCGTGCAATCCCGTGCCTTTTGCCAAGCCCCAAGCAGATTTGACGAAACCTCCATATCGTCTGAGCTACATACAGCTCTCCGTCAGTTTCTCCATCATCACCACCCATCCAATCCCGCGCACCCCCTCCCCCTTCTCCCGACGCCGACTCCCAGAGCGAAAATAGACGCAATGGCATCCCGGCGGCTTGCATTGAACGTGCAGCAGGCCCTTCGCTCCAAGTCGGCCATCAATGCCGTCAAAAACAGCAGAAGGTCGCCCTTGACCAGAGGCCTCGCGACCCCCGTCCCCCACGGCTCCAAGACTGAGTCGACCACCCTCAGCAATGGCTTCACAGTATGCTGCACCTTTTAGGATGTCACAGGGCACTCAATTGACTGATTTGCGCCCAGATCGCTACCGAGCACTCCCCATGGGCCCAGACATCGACCGTTGGTGTGTGGATCGATGCTGGCAGCCGCGCAGAGACGGACAAGACGAATGGAACTGCACACTTCTTGGAGCACCTTGCCTTCAAGGTAGGTCAATGGACGACGCTGTCTGATGGATGAATGGACCTGGTGCTAACGGTTGTCGGTTTGCAGGGTACCCAGAAGCGCACTCAGCAGCAGCTCGAGCTCGAGATAGAAAACATGGGAGGCCACCTCAATGCCTACACTTCTGTATGTTACGCTGCCAAACACCGGGCGCGTCGTCGACTGGATTGCAAATGCTGACGGAACCTACAGCGCGAAAACACCGTTTACTACGCCAAGTCCTTCAACCACGACGTCCCCGCTGCCGTAGACATCCTCTCCGATATCCTGCAAAACTCCAAACTCGACCCCGCTGCCATTGAGCGCGAGCGCGACGTCATCCTCCGCGAGCAGGAAGAGGTCGACAAGCAGCTCGAGGAAGTTGTCTTCGATCACCTTCACGCCTCCGCTTTCCAGGGTCAGCCGCTCGGACGCACCATCCTCGGCCCCAAGGAGAACATTGAGACCATTCAGCGTACCGATTTGGAAAACTACATCAAGACCAACTACACTGCTGACCGCATGGTCCTCGTTGGAGCTGGTGGCGTTCCCCACCAGCAGCTCGTCGACCTCGCCGAGAAGTACTTCTCCAACGTGCCCGCCGAACCCCAAAACTACTCCGCCAAAGCCCTTGCCGCTGAGCAGAAGGAAACCCCCGACTTCATTGGCTCCGAGGTCCGCATCCGCGATGATACCTCGCCCACCGCCAACATCGCTATTGCCGTTGAGGGTGTCAGCTGGAGCGACGATGATTACTTCACTGCTCTCGTCACCCAGGCTATTGTTGGAAACTGGGACCGTGCCATGGGCAACTCTTCGTACCTTGGTAGCAAGCTCAGCTCCTTCGTTGCCGACAACCAACTCGCCAACAGCTTCATGAGCTTCTCCACCAGCTACTCGGACACTGGGTAAGTCTAAAGAAGTCAATATATCTGCATATTCTGTGATTCACTAACACACGATAGTCTCTGGGGTATCTACCTCGTCTCCCAAAGCCCCACCACCGTCGACGACCTCGTCCACTTCTCACTCAAGGAATGGCGCCGCCTGTCCACCAACGTCTCTCCCGCTGAGGTCGAGCGTGCCAAGGCCCAACTCAAGGCGTCGCTCCTACTCGCGCTCGACGGCACCACAGCAGTGGCTGAGGATATCGGCCGCCAGATTGTAACCACCGGCCGCCGGTTATCACCCCAGGAGGTGGAACGCGTCGTCGACGCCATTTCCGAGAAGAACGTCATGGACTTCGCCAAGCGGAAGCTCTGGGACAAGGACATTGCCGTGTCGGCGTTTGGCCAGATCGAGGCTCTCTTCCCGTACGACCGTGTCAGGGGTCTCATGAGCAGCAACTTGTCATAGACGAGCGTTGCTGATGGGCGTGATTGAGCAGAAGCTAAGAGATGCTTGCTTGCTTAGACGGCAGGGGTCTTTTGGCTATCTGGTGTTTGCGAGGGGATGAGCACGAGACTTCGAAACACGTCCTCTCTTCTGCGTGATGGAGAGGGCGTGTTTGTGATGGAGGTGTGTGTAAGAGAAAAGGGGATGTATAGATTCTCGGTCGGAGGGCAACGACGGCGTGAGAGTGAGAAGCAAGGAAGGAAGGGGGCCGAACCTGTATTTTGTGTACACTTAAAGCTTCAATCTGATACAAGAAAGATTTCATTTATCATTTTTATTCATCATCATTATCATGATCACCATACTTGGCTTTTTGTGATTCTGTTCCCGCACTCAAGGTTTTTCAAAAGTCGGTGTAAACATGTTCGTTTCGACATCGAAATCTCCTCACTTCTCGTAGGCCGATATACATGTCCATTTCATGTACTTTTCCCCCTCTTGCCTGTTCCTCGTTGGACCGTGTCGTCTGATCCACACACTCACCTTCCACACTTGAAGATATTCATTCCGCCCCATGCCTTGAACGTACAGGGATGGATCAACTTACGTGCCTGCCTTTTTGTCCTAAACTATCCCCCGTCTCGCGAGAAGACGAATGAGAACGAAAACGAAAAGATAAAGAGACATTAAAAAAGTGTATTGACTACCATATTGGAGATCCCTTATAGGAAAAGAAAATTAAAGTCACCTTATCTAATCTCCCTCGTTTGGAACAGAAGAAAGCAGGGGAAGAAAGATTGCATCGTCCCTCTCCATCTCCCGTCTGCAGAACACTCGGTCAGGCTGTTGGACGAAGAAAGAAAAAAGAAAACAAAAAGGGGGTATCATATATCCGAGATCACGATCCGTGTACGCATGTGAAAGCCAGAGAGAAAGAGTCATATCCTCCCCCAAGTGTATGTTAAGAAAGAAGTGAAAAGGCCATACACCCAATTGTGTGATCGCAAGCCCCACACAGTATGTTGCCAAATCCATGGCGACCAAGGCTCAAAGGCATGAGTCTTTTCGGGGGCGTCATATCGTCTATCGTACAAAACATTCGTAACCGCGCGATTGTGCGCAGAGTACCTAGACCACCTCTCCACTTGCGAAAGTGAGTGGCAGCGACGTGTTTATCGACCGATGGTAGAATCTAGTGTGGAGACAATCCGAACAAGTAACGAAGTTCTCCGACGCTGAGGCGTGTCAATTGCTTGCCTACGCCCTCGTCCATAGCCGTATTGATAAGATCGCGCTTCTTGTCCTGCAACGCACAGATACGATCCTCGACCGTCTCAGGCACCAGGACACGGTGAACCTTGACCTCACGCTGCTGTGGCATCCGGTGAGCGCGATCAACGGCTTGATCTTCGACAAATGGGTTCCAAAATGGATCGAGGATAATAACCTGCGACGCTTTGTTGAGGTTGAGACCGGCGTTGCCGGCTTTGAGGGAGATGAGGAATACAGTCTCACTAGCATTGTCCATGAATTGATTCACGGCATCGGCTCGATCGTTCATGCTCATGCTGCCGTCATACCGTTGGTATTTGACCTTCCTCTCTTGCAGAGGCACCTCGAGCAGATCTAAGAGAGATGTGAACTGGCTGAAGACAAGCGTCTTCTCGGTGGGATCCTTGGCGTTGATTTCGCTCAGTAGTTCCATGGTCTTTTCGATCTTAGCAGAGGTCTGGAACTGTTTACGAAGTCGTTTGAGATATCTCCTCTTGGCGTCTTTGTTACGGAGAGAATCCTTCTTGAGCTGAGCAAGCGTTACTTTGGGCTTTTTCGCCTTCGCTTTTCCTTTGCCTTTGTCTTCTCGTTGTGACTTGGCAGGCTTCACATCTTCTTCTTCGTCCTTGCCCGAAGTGAGTTCGTCATCCAGATACTCTTCGTCGTCTTCTGTGTCGACCACAAAATTTTTCAGGTTCCCGTTCTTGTCGACATCGTCTCCAGACTCCTCGCCATCAGACTCCTCGTCGGAATCGTCTTCGGAGCCGTTATCGGTCTCACTATTATCCTGCAAATCCAAGTCGTCAAGCAGCTCTGGCATGTGGACTCTACAGAAGTGCATGAAATCGGTGATTTCTTTTGAGCTCAGGGCGTTCCGACATTCGGGGCACCTGGCCTCACTAGTCTCCATACCTTGTTGGATGGCACGGGACGGATCGATGAGCTTCTGGAAGCATTCGCCGCAACAAGTGTGGCCACAGGGTATGAATATGGTGGGATTCACTACGGTTTCGTAGCAGATCGGGCACTCGAACCCTTCATCAGCACAGTTGCGCAAGCGGTTAACAACTTCAGCCGACAACATTCCTGCTCGGTCCTCAAGCTCTTCTCCGGAGATGTTCTCCGTAGAAGCTTGAACGCCGAGATCCTTAACGAGGTGTGGATGGCAGCAGATCTGGCGTAACCGAAGAAGCATGACAAGAACGTTCGCGTAATTGTTGTTGACTGTGCCTTTGGCAAGGTACTTGTTGAACTGTAATTGAGATTTCGTCTCGATCGCTTTGTACAAGCTCATCTCCTCGTCAGAAAATTCGACATGCTGAATGAGAGTTCTGCCCAGGGTCAGTTTGTTGATGTCATGCACGATGTCTTACCACTTACTCTTTAGGGGGAATCTGGCAAATCTCTTTGCCATCAACCAAGGTAGTCTTGCATCGACGCAGCATGATCGACTTGAGAAGAGCTTGCACACGCTGCATTGCCTGTTGCCGCATATGGTCGGATTTTTTGAGTGGTGTTGAAACATCCATCCTGAACTTTGAGGACCAGCAACGTCAGCACATCCCTTGCAAATCATTGATGCGGCATAAACACGTACCTTCGCCCACGAATTATAGGGTGGGATCTTGAGGAACCGTACAAGTGAGTACAATTCGTCCACAGAATTCCTGGTCAAAACATTAGCAGCTGAATATTTAAACGCTTGGAACTCTTTCAAAGCTGACGGCTCCATCCACAAGGTAGTGAACCACGTCGGAACCATAAAGAGCGACTCACATCATCGGTGTGCCTGTCATCGCAAGTCTATACCGGCTCTGCAGATCATCCGCTGCTTTTGAGCTCCAAGTATCTCGATTCTTGATGCACTGCGCTTCATCTAGAATGACACGATACCACATGCAATCGCGGCCAACCAAGCCCAGGTCAGGTTCAAGATATTCAGTGATCCGGCGGCGCTTTTTAGGGCCTCCGTCTCCTCCCTGTTGTTCCTGGTCCAATTCCTGTTGTTTCTTTTCCTGTTCCTGTTGTTTAAGGCGGTTAGTCTTCCTTTTATACTGAGAAGCTAGAGTGCCGTAGGTCGTGAGAACAACATCGTAATTGCGCAGTGAGCTCCAAGGTTTCTTCCTAGGCCCTTCGTTGTGACAGACAAAGACCTTAAGGCGGTGATGCGGTTTCACATGACGCTCTATTTCCTTCTCCCATTGCCGCATTAAGGCAACTGGAGCTATAATTAGAGTAGTTTTGCATGCAGGATCCTCGGAAGGGTTGGCCAGGATCAGCGCCAGTGCTTGAACAGTCTTGCCTAGACCCATCTAGAGAGAGCGGTCAGTAAAGCCCATTCGGTCAATCACTACGAGTCATAGAGGTTGTAGTTTACTTACCTCGTCAGCAAGGATCCCGCCTTTGGTATTGTTGCGTTCCATCATTAGCAGCCATGTCAGGGCAATCTTTTGATGCTCCATTAGGGTCGACTTCATGGCCACGGGAGTTGGTTTTCGCTGATCAGGTCGGACCTCTTGGTCAAATTTGATATTCTCGATGAGGTCTTGCACGGCTTCAGGCTCATCGGGAGCAGGCACGTGGCCACCAAAAAGATAGTCATAGTCCGTTTCCGGGACGGGATTACCCCAGGTTGTTGCACCACCGACGCCCATCAAAGACGACAGTTGTGTTGAGTGACTGTCCTCCATGAGGTGGTTTACCCGATTGTAATCTTGTTGGGGGTTCAGCCCATTGAGTTGGGAAGAAAACGGCCTCACCGTCTGCAGCGCCGGAATCTCCATCTTGGGAGCCGCCGGATCCCACAGATAATTGGCCAGTTGATCATTATTCATGAAGGTCTGATTTGAAATGTCGAAAGAAGGCTGCACTCCGGGCATGAAGGCGTCTTTTGTCTCAATGAAAGGATCATCGTCGTCCTGTGTAAGGTCTATGAAATTGCTAGACTGGATAGGCACCTGCAGCTGAGTGTTCCAGCTGTCGTGCTGTTGAGATCGAACGGGAAGAGAAGACGTAGCATATCCCGGAAAAGATAGTTCGGATCGACGTTGACTCGCATTGGAATGGGGTTGAAGGTTAGAGCTAAATTTCCCGTTTGATACCGAATAGTTTGAACCTCCATTTTGCGTCGAGTAGCTTGGACCTCCATTTGGCTTAGAATAGCTAGAAACCTCGTTTGGCATTTGGTAGTTCGAAGTCCCCATTGCAACAGGATACGAAGGTGCAGGAGTTGCGACAGTGGAACACTGGCGCAGTTGCCTATTCATATTGTCGAGCTGACCGTAATAGTGGGCCATGGCCTCCTCGTACTGAGGGCTCTTTGGGTCCAGGGTTGCAACTACAGTGTGAATGAAATCGATCTCGCCTTGGATTTCTTGTCGATCGCCAAGATCCGAAGGGGGAGTGTAAAGATCATAATCCATGGTTGTGGTTGAGATTCCGTTGTGTAGGGGGAAGAGTTGGGTAGAGGGTCGGTAGTGTTGGCGATTTCCGTTGAGGCTGAAAGTTGGTTGCTAGCCGATACGGCCCCGCGAGTAAAGTATAAGTCGCAGAGAGTGAATGTGAATGTGAGGACGACTGTTTGTTATTAAACAGTCAGTGTCCAATAACAGATTACTGTACGGTTTGCGGCAAGCGGCCCAGTATTGACTAGCGGCAAGTGTCGAAGCACGCACCCGGAGAGACGAAGGAACATGTGTAGGGAAAGAGGAAAGAAAAACTCGGGGAGCAAGTCAAATGCCCAAAGAAGCGGACGTAGAAGGGCAAAGGGGCGTAAAGAAGGACTCTCTCCAAATGGAATCAGGGGTCCATCAGAGCTGCATGTAGATATGCTTTTGTGGAGATGCGGGTAGACGAAGAGAGAGGTAGTTGAGCGGAGAATGATCGAACGGTGGGTGGGTCGGGCTCGATACGCTAGCAACGCGTGCCTGCCGTCATCCCACGCACTGCACGGCAGGCACCACAACTCTTTGCCTCACCTCGTCCTGTTGCCTGTCAGCCCACCGGTGAGGCAGGCCATCAGCTCCGCCACAATACCTACATACATACATATGTATGTATGTAGGTATAATGCAGCACACCTCCGACATGGACACCAATCCACTCCAGGCTGAACACCATCTGCATGTTCGAGCCTTGTCGTATACGAGCGAGCCACCGAAATGGTTAAACCGGATGGATCCCGAACGCGAACGTTGAAGTGGTCAAGAGTTGCGTTACACCCGGTCAAAAACTAATTTCTCCCCAAGCCTCAGTCAGACCTATAGCAAGGGTACAGTCTTTCCAATAGCATCTCCATGCCGGAGTGCCAACTAAACACCCGCCGTTCTCCCCGGCCCCCATCTCGAATCACTCGCAGGAAAAGATGCGCTGGTGGGTTATACTTAGGTAACAAATCACAAGACGGGGGAAACGAAGAATAAAGAAAAAGAAACAAAAAAACGCCCATCCAAACAGACTAATGAGACGTGAACAAGTGGTCCCAAAAACGCCGTGTAACAGTGGTAGAAGCTCAAACATATATCAACCTTCTACTAACTCGTCTTTTTTGGTATCGTTCGTAGGCCACTAATGATGATTTCCACCTTTCCCCCCCAATGCGCTGGTAGTCGTGGCTGGCCCGGTGCCTCACTTCACTTGCCACAAGGCGGAAAAAGAAAAGAAAACTGTCCAATCATGAGTGCTAGCATGTCACAAGAAAGTGGTCAGTCAAATCTTCAGAGACGCAGTGTAATATGTCCCACCAGCCCCCTGAGATCCACAAAATATGACTCCAATGTTTGCTGTTCCAGCTCTCGCTTTGTGTGCCATTATATACAACAAGGCCGAAGGAGACAGAGCATATGGAATCGTGTTCAAGGGGCTCGGACTTTGTTAATCATTGATAATACGAGAGTGGCCTCGCCCAACAATCTGATGTTCGTAACCTAGGAGTGTCCTTGGAGCCTTTTCTCTGCCTACATGATATGATGCTGTTGATGTCACGATTTCGCCTGGAATTAGAAGGCGGCACACAAGCACTTCTCTTTCCTCGATAACGACATCACCACGGAAAAGCAAGTCGAGCAACAGATAAACCAAAGACTGCATTTAGAGTAAAAACTTCCATAACGATAGAATAGAATAGGAACAGATAGAAATAATACCCTTTCAGTCGTTTCCATCCCATCCCATCCCGCCACTGACAGGAGACGGGAAAACGCGACAAGAAACAAAACTCCGCAAATGCAATATGAAAACAGACAACGAACAACAATAGTAGGAACGAGGAGGGCAAAGGAGATAGGAGAAAGAATAACAACACATCCAACACTGCTCCTTCCTCCCACCCCGTCATCGCCAAGCCATGCTATGCCATGCTCCCATTCGAATGTCCAGGTTCAAAATACAATCTTTCCCTTGCTTGCTAATGTATGTGGGGTATTTCGTTGATCAAGAGACAGCCGCGACAGCGCTACAATCACCTGTTGCTGCTGTTGCACTGTGGGCTGCTCCCACGAATCAGAGATGCGGATAAAAACAAATTTCCGAAACAAGAAATAAAAAGGAGATCAGAAGAGTAGAATGTAATCCGAGTTGCAAACAAATGGATCGCTCCCATCCAAGACTGCCTTGTTGCTTATTTGCTTGGCTACTCCCAAAAACAATAAATGAGTACGTCGTTGCTCCGGTTCGCTGTGCCGTCAGGAGGGGTGAAGGGGTATCCGCGAAACATGTTTCTGACTGAAGAATACGTCAAGTCGAGCAAAAAGGGATACGTGTTTCAAAATCGACTCAAAGAACCGAGAGACGATAGCCCGCTAACTGCTGTGCGATCGGAGAAGAAGCTGTTATCTGGATCAGTATAAATTCGGCTACCGCAGCGAGAAATATGGAACTTACTCTATCCACGGGATCTGCTTGATCCGCTGCCAGCAACGAAGGGCTGCCATCGGCGGCATTGTTGCGTTCCGTGTAGCCACGCGTCTCCAAGTGCGGCCTTCTCCCCTTGGACTTCGGACTATCCGTTGGGAGCGATAGTTCGGGGAGGTGTGGTTGTCGATCGTGGTCGTAGAGTTGGCTGCTACCAAGGGTGGCGCACCTCAAAAGGGTCTGAATCAGCTGGTTCTGCTTCAATGGCTTCGAAAGATAGTCCTACAAGAGTCAGAATTCGCTATAATTAGGTTGAAAATAATGTTGTCACTTACGTCCATCTGCGCGGCAAGACATTTTTCGCGGTCGCCTACCATGGCGTGCGCAGTCAAGGCAATGACTGGCGTCGACGGTAGAACGTTCACACGCTCCCACTCTCGAATCTTCGCTGTAGCTTCGAAACCACCCTATCCCTCTACGTTAGCATTTGCCCTAAAGAAACACTAACATGAATGAAGACTTACCATAACAGGCATCTGCACGTCCATAAGAACGCAGTCATAACGTTTCTTCTTGATGTGCTCGAAAGCTTCCAGTCCGTTATTAGCGACTGTGACCCGGTGACGATACTTCTCCAAAATCTTGACAGCAAGCTTTTGATTGACATGGTTGTCTTCGGCAAGAAGAATGTTGAACGACTTAGATTGGTCCGATATCAGTGGCGCCGCTCGTCCATCGAGAGCTGGAATCAGTGCGTTGCCAAGATCAATAGACAAGCACGGTGTTGTCATGTAGCTCGAGATACCATTCTCCAATGTCGACTTCAGGCTTATGGACACCCTTGGGGTAAGCATTACCAAGGGTATATACTTGAAGCGTTCAGCAATCCTTAGTTCTCTGGCAGTCCTCTCGTTATCGACCACCACACAGTCAAAGGGCATGTCGGGCACGTTCCTGTCTTCCAAAACAGGTACGTCTTCGACGGTATGAACGACGATGGGGACGAGATCGAGTGCTTTGAGATGTGTCACAATCTGCTCCGAAAAGTTGGTGTGCCCTTGGTCGATGAAAAGAACAGTATGTTTGCTGTATGGTGCGAGCTGTTGTTGGATAGCACTGATATCCGGGTTGCCGAGCCGTACCGTGCAAGTGAAGTAGAACGTACTTCCCTTGCCATAGTCGGACTCCACCCACATTCTTCCGCCCATCAATGTAACAAGACGTTTCGAGATGGAAAGACCCAGACCCGTACCTCCGAATCTACGGGTCGTCGATCCATCGGCTTGCTGGAAAGTGTCGAAGATGAGGTTGAGCTTGTCTCCCCGGATTCCTATGCCAGTATCGGAGACAGCAAATTGGAAGACGTATTGATCCGCCGCACATTCTTGCTGTGCGTGCATTGAGATGGCGACCTTGACCTCACCATGCTCCGTGAACTTGATAGCATTGCCGACAAGATTAAGGATGATCTGCCTCAATCGGAATGAGTCACCAACGACGTAGTCTGGAACCGAATAGGATACGTCGTATGCCAAGTTCAGCTTGCGTTCGTTGGCCCTTTGAGCTAAGGATTTGAGGGCGTTGAATATGGTTCCACGTAGCGAGAACGGAATCTCTTCCATTACCATGCGATTCGCTTCGATCTTGCTGATATCAAGAATGTCATCAATAATGGTAAGAAGCTGACCGGCCAAGTTATGAACAATGGTCAACATTTCTCGCTGCGCGTTTGTGAGGTCCGTGTCCAGAGTGAGCTGTGTCATACCAATGATACCGTTCATGGGTGTTCGGATCTCGTGAGACATGTTCGCCAGAAATTCAGATTTGGTCTTATTGGCCAACTCGGCAGCTTCCCTTGCAGCGGTGTTCCTTTCAATACTCTCTCGAAGACTGGACACCATCTCGTTGATCTTCCTCTTCAGCTCATCCATTTCTCCAGAAGCCTCAACCGTGATCTGAGTGAATTTGCCTTCTATAGCTGCGTTGGTGATATCTCCGAATGCGCGCACTTGAGACGTGAGATTTTGCGCCATGGTGTTTACATCTGTGGTGATTTCCTTCCAGCGGCCGTCAATGTCGTGGATATCTGCTTGTCCTCCCATCTTTCCATCGACACCCACATCTCGAGCCACTCGCTTCACTGCGAGAGACCAATCATCAAGACGGGTAACCATGTCATTGATGGTATCTTTGAGGAGTCGGATCTCTCCCTCCGCATCGACGTGCACTCTGCGACTCATATCGCCCTTAGCGATAGCCTGTGTGACCTCGGATATACTTCGTACTTGAAGCGTGAGATTCTGAGCCATGGTGTTGACATTGTTCGTCAAATCTTTCCATTTGCCTTCCACATTGTCGACTTGCGCTTGTCCTCCTAGGATACCGTCTGTTCCGACTTCCCGAGCGACCTTGCTGACTTCCTGGGCAAAGGTATTCAAACGATCCACCATGGTGTTGATGGTGATCTTCAACGATAGAATTTCACCCTGGACTTCGGCCTTGACTTTGCGACTAAGATCTCCACGAGCCACAGCGGTTGTGACCTCGGCAATCTCTCGGACTTGCGTCGTCAGGTTCATGGCCATACCGTTCACGTTCTCCGTCAAATCTTTCCACGTTCCTTCTACTCCATGCACAGTAGCTTGGCCGCCTAGCCGTCCTTCGGAACCGACCTCGCGCGCGATCTTGGTAACCTCGTGCGCAAACTGCTGCAACTGGTCCACCATGCGATTGATCGTGTTCTTCAGCTCCAGGATCTCGCCTTTGCATTGGGCTTCGACCTTCCTCGTCAGGTTACCCTGAGCGACAGCCGTGGTAACTTGCGCGATATCTCTGACCTGGGTGGTGAGATTTTGGGCCATGGCATTCACATTGACTGTCAATTCGTTCCACATGCCCTGAACGCCTGCTATTTCGGCCTGACCTCCTAGTTTTCCTTCCGTGCCGACATCTCGAGCCACCTTGGTGACTTGCGTTGCAAAGGACTGAAGTTGGTCCACCATGATATTTATAGTCTGTTGTAGTTGCAAAATTTCGCCACGGGCTGGTCGTTCGATCTTCTTGCTCAAGTCGCCGTGTGCCACGGCGGTAGTAACGATGGCGATTTCACGCACTTGTTCAGTCAGGTTGTTCGCCATAACATTTACTAAATGGAAAATCAGTAAGACGAATGAGGAGATGTTGGCAAGGGAGGGACTGAAATACCGCTATCAGTCAGCTCTGCCCAGATACCGGCGACGCCAGGCAGATTCGCCTGACCACCAAGTCTTCCTTCCGTTCCGACTTCTCTCGCCAAGCTGGTGACTTCAGTAGAAAAGGCCTGAAGCTGATCCACCATTCGATTGATGGTGCGCTTGAATAAAGTAATTTCCGGGTCCATTTCCTTCGCGTGTATCAAAACCTTTTTGCTCAAATCACCCATGGCGACAGCCGTGACGATGCTTCCAATCTCACGCAAAGCCTTTTGGAAAGCCAAGTTGGCTTGCTGGTGTTTCCCGAGCTCACGCTTCAAAGCACCGATATCTTCGATGCCATGTTCGAAAGCCATAGTCTGGTTGTTCAACTGCTTATTGACTTCAGCGCTCAGGTTATCGATGTGCTCGCGCTGATTTTTGATCTGGTCAGCCTGCTTATTGAGATGATCACGGAGATAGTTGAGCTGCTCCTCGGTCAGGGCAGCAGGTGGGCTGTCATCGCCGTTGCTCTCTTTCGCAGCCAGCCAGTTGCTAACCCATGTCGCCCGCTGGTCGCGATATGAACCGCGTCGGGCGACTTGGCCTGCAAAGCGGGAGGTGGGGACGGCCGTAGGAGCGTAGAGGAACGGCGAGGAGGCGGGCTCGCCAGGGGTAATAGGAAAGGTGTGGTTGTCGACGACATTTGCTTTTGCTTCGAGATATTGCACGCGTGCAGCAAGTGCGGCGAGTTCTTTTTCAAGTGCGGACTTGTCTGCCGAGTCGGGCCCAGCAAGGGAGATGGCATTCTGTTTCGCGCCGTTGGCTGCTATCTGGGCGCTGAAGGAGGCATCGAGTGCCGGATCGTGCTGCCTGGCCAGATTCTTGACGAAATCCGAGAGGCCTTGGTAGGCGTTGGCGGTCATCGCGACGGCGGGGGTGGGTGTTTGTGTGCCCCCTTTAGATGGGCATTGGGGTTCGCTGGTAAAGGGCGCTCAGAGTCGGGTAGACGGATGCGATGGGCCCGGAAAGAGGCAGGAACGAGCGGCGTGATGTAGGAAGACTGGCTGCTCGCTCAAATCAATACCAGGCGAAAGGGTGGAGAGAGAAGAAAAGTCGAGGTCGAGAGTGCGGTGTGCCAGAGAGCAGGCGTCGTGGGTTGGAATCGATAGATAGAGTTCTGCCCAGCCCTGTCCCCGCTGTGAGACTTGGGATCGTTGGCGCGATGGGATGCCACTGGGTATTCCTGTGCTACTGGGTACTGGGGGGGGGAGGCAGGGCGCAGCGGTCGGCGCTAGCTTTCAACGAGGGTTTTTCTTTTCTCCAATTATTGCTAGCAGCTAGTCGTAAGTATTATGGGAAAGCAATAAAATAACGAACAGTGGCAAGCAAGGACCGAGGTCTTGGAAACGGTTCAAAGACGACGGATGCAAGTATAGACGAACAGCAGAGGGGCTTGCTGCCAGGCTGCCAACTTGGATGAAGAGTGGTGATGCCCTACCGACAAGAAGCGAGCGAGATTGATGTGCAGATGGCAATGCAAGCAGCAAAGCGCGCCCGATGGATATGTATGCTATGTATGTATGTCTGTCTGTATCAGAAACCAGATCGGCGAAAGGCCTTGTCTCTCCTATGTTACCGTGCTGCTATTACGGCGCCGTACAAAGAGGCCTTGCCCTGCGCTGCTGCTACGCGCACCCAACAGGTTAGGCGGTTCGCTTAAGCCCTCATCTCCACCACCTGCTCTTGCCCGACTGGACCCCTACTCACTAGAGAAACTGCCATTGCTGGCTCCCAGGCACAGCCTAACGCATGTACAGTCGTTGCAGAGTCAAGCAGTGGTCCGCCTTTGCTCGTGTGGCTGCAGTAGCACCAGCAGTGGAAACTGGACTGCCTTCTCGGAATTAAATATGCCCGTACTCGACTTATTCGTTCAAGGCACGCTAATGTGGGGAGCGTGTGAATTGAACGGGCAGAACAGCAACTCGCCCTTTCGTCCCATCCCATCCCATCCATCCCCCATCCTATCCACCCAGCGTTTGGCAGCCTCGCTGTGCTCCTCGACAATCCCTCCTCACCACCGCTCCCTTGCCAGATGGCGGACCCGGAGCACATGGGCGGCCAAAAGAAGGCGTTATGATGTAATGGGCGCGCGCAATGGCCATCCCCTTTCCGTTACCAACGTGCCGATAATTATCAACGTGGAGAGCACGGAGCAAGCAGCGTAACCAGCCCCCGTCCGATGGGATCGATCGGGAGCCTTCATTGGCACATGTTTCCATCCGTCGACATGCCAAAGGCCAGAGACCGTGTGACCGTCCACTTTGCGCCCCACGAATGAGACAGCCAGACATTTCGCTCTTGCTGTCTACCTATGTGCCCTTAGCCCTCGGCATATGCCTCGTCTGCTAGCACCCCCCACCAGCATTTGTGACAGACTGCCTTCGCGAAGAACAAAAGAAGGGAGGAAAAAAGGGGGGGAGGGGCAAAGAAGACAATCAGAAAAAAGCAACGACTAGCTGGCTGACTGGCTTGCACCCGTCAAACTACTCCGCCTGCTGCCTCCCTTCAAACTTTCCCAGAAGCTTTTGCGTGACATGCATTCCCCTCGAGTGGAAATGAACCCCCACGAGACATATCGTCCGTCCGAGGATCCTGGCATATCCCTTCTACAAGTAGACGCCGGCGCTGATGCTAGCAGCCCTCCTCACTCATGTGTACACAGTAAGCTCCGAAACCACATGCACCCTCAAGGAGTACCACACCATCGCCACCTCATCAAATGTTGGGTAACAGTGCCCCTGTTTGATCGTCCTTCGCAACGCCCTTTTCCACGTCCTATCCGTTGGGCAGTTGCTGCGATCATTCTCCGACGAAGGGCCTAATATTATGTCTTTCCGCATGCTAAATGCGAGCATGGGAGGTGTCAGTCAGTCACGGAACACGGAACGCGCAATACGATGTTGCCGCATATGCCAGCGCTGGATACCTCCCCAGTAGTTGCGTGGGGTACCCAAAACTGTCGTGTGTGAGTGTGTCTAACGGTACTTGCCAGCATCTTTGTTAAGCAGGCAGCTGTATACATATGTAGGCAATGTAAATTAATCTATCGCTGACCACAATATATAATGCGCGCAACAAGCAAAGTGCAAGCAGATGGCGCTCTTCCAGTGCGCAGTGGTGGTGATTTCACTGTCCATTACCTCTTCCAACCATTACCGTACCAAAAGTCAGACGTGTTGCTGCACTCAAGACTCAAGTGCTCTCCCAAGTGGGGCACCTTGACCAACGGCTACTTAGCCGCGCCGAGAGAAGCCGTGTCACGTGTCACGTGGCAGAACAGATTCCCGAATCCCACCATGTGGTAAGTGTGGACTGCTGTTCTTGACTCGCCTGCAAGGAACCGCCTCACATTTCGAAACGTCTCCCCTTGCCCTTCTTTCTCCTCTAGGCAAGCTTGCCTGCGCCAACACAAAGCTCCCTCAGAGCCACCCTTCCCAATGAACCATCTTGCTATCCGCCTCATCATCATCGCCCATTTGTTCAACCTCCTTGGTGGTTGATGGCACCAGGACAAAGGGACGACGCCTCATCTTAGCTTCTTTGCGTGCGCAACAAGACTTTCAATGACTTGCTCAAAGGCGTCTTTGTCGCCAAGTGCACTCTCCATTCGCTTCTGCCAGTACTCGAATACTTCATTGGCACGCTCTTTGAGCTCTCCCAAACGTTTGATATGCGCCTCTAGTTCGTCGTCTGTAAAGTTGCTGAGCGCAGCATCCGTTGTAGAGCAAAGCATTGTTGTAGAACTGATATCCAATTGTGGCGGTGGAGGCGGTCCCTTTCTTTTCCTGTCAGACTTAGATGCTGATGAATCCACCGATGTCGAGGAAGCATTGTCCTTCTTCACTCTGCCGAGGGCTCCGTTCCGTCCGTCCGTTGACGGCCGTGGCGATTTCTCCCCAGGGATATGGATCGAGGGCAGAATGAGCTTCTTCTGCTTAGAGGCTGGTAGAATTTCATCGAGGTCGACTGGCACACCGAGTGATACCAAGAACAGCCGGCGTATCCGAGACCGCACCCAGTCAGGTGGTTGGAGCGGGGGTGGGGCAACCAACTGTGACCAGAGCGATTCACTTCGCTCTGACAAGAATATAGACCGCAGCGCACCTTGATTTGCAGTAGCAATACTGGGGATGTCTTTCACGGTAGGGTATATATCATCAATATAAGGCTGGGACGCGTTGACTATGTCATCAAGCGTGGTCAAGTCTTCGAAGTTCAAAATGGGCTGCACAGGTCCATGGTCAGCCAAGCAACATCACCACAAGGCAAAAGCTTTGAACGATAGTTGAGCTAGAATTGAATAATGCTGACTTACAGGACCCGGAGGAGGAGCGGGTACAGAAGGCTCATCTAGGGGTTTGTCAAACGAAGTCTCTGCCTCGCCCTGCTGAAACCCATCGTCAAAATCCCCAAAATCGTCCCCTTCGCCGCCTTCCTCAAAATCATCAAAATCGTCCCCTGCGTCAAGAAGTCAGTTTGCTTCAACCGGCAAGGGGTCAGTGAACTATGAAGCTACATTATCGCTTCATGTCGTGGTGTCTGTGTAATCTTGAAAAACGTACCAAACTCGCCGTCGTCCTCCTCACCATCGTTAGTATGGTTGGAGGACTCATGAGCAGAGACATCGGGTGAATCTGCGACGTCGTCTTCGTTGTCGGAGTTCATGGGAGATCTGTTTAGCGAGGTTGTTGGTGACCCTTCTTCCGTCAATTGTACGTAGGGAGTGGAAAGAACTCGCCTTAGGGTTACGTACCCTCTGGATTTCGCTGTGGGGGCTGGGGAGCCTTCAATACAATGTCAGGAACCGCATCAGCTGCACGAAGTTCAAAAGCATGCGTGCCAGGAACGTCACCATGGCTTGGCTGTTCTGGGTCTATCTTCTCCACCACCTGATTGGAACAGTCAGCATATGTATGGTTGAATCGACGATGTTTCAATGTGCTATCAGAGCTGCAAATCATCCCGCGCGGTAGGGTCTTGGAGGGCCGGGATATTGGTATATCAGTGTACTTTGTACTCTGGAAAACGTACCGTTTTAGGGATCAGAGTTCCACCTGGCGTATGCGGTCGATCGCTAGCACTCAACCTAGAAGCACTGCGGCTTCGCTGGCCTTCTGGAACCACTTCCACCTCGTCGGGGACGGCATCTTGCAGTCGCTTGTTGTAGGCATCGGTACCGGGCACTTCGCCGTGGGCGGGGTTATCATCCACACGCTCTACACGCGTGACTGGGATTGGTGAGGTTGCTTCATCCCTGTCAGGTAGAGTCGAAGCACGACCTTCTGTAGCATCCGAAAAGTGCTCGTCGCTTGAGGAATCGGCTGTCCAATAAGTCAGACAATCTGCGTAGCTTGGCCTGAGTTTAGGATAGTAGGAACATGCTACGTACCCATATCCTTGGTACCTGCGTCCTGGAGTTCGACGCTCTTGCGCGGTGGTGCAAGTTCGTCACTCATGATCGGAGGATATGTCGTGAATGGAACTAGTGGTGATGTAGGGAAACAGATGTACGGTGCACGGAGGCAACTCGGTGGGGAGGTGTGGAGGGGCGCGGTTCGTAGGTCAAGGTCAATGGGGAGCGAGTTAGTAGAGAGTCAAAGGACAAGTCTATGAAGTTGAAAGTGATGTAGGTAGGTAATTAGACCCAGAAACCAGGCATGATCTTGATATGGCAGCTGCAGTGGGGGGAGGGCCTAGATCTATGCTATGAGGTCGGAAGGGGCACGGCAGAACAATTCGCCGGCAAGCTTGGCGCGACTATGCTCCATGCTCGACTTTTGGAGCTACAAACAACGCGCTGCCTTGACGCTGCAATCCGCTTCACGCGCCCATTGCGAGCAATCCGAGATTTTTATTCACAAGCACTAGCTTAAATGCGCTCTTGACACTAAAGCGCATCACCCAATCATTCACTTTCAGCCGCATACCATCTCTACCTGCCGTAAACAAGTAAACACCTTGGTGCTCGACCTTCACCACTTTTAGAACGTCAAGGCGACACCCAATCGCTTCCAGCAACACGCCTGATCATGTTCAGCTTTAACCAAAACAACAACGGCACCGGTGGTGGTGGGGAGACTCCAAACAAGCCCTTGTTTGGCGGTACCAGTGGCGGAGGGCTCTTTGGTAATACCACCAACAATGCGACACCAAACTCCGGGACCAGCGCGCCAGGCGCTACGTCGATATTTGGAAGCGCTGGAGGCCAGAAACTGGGTACCGGAGCCAGCACGTCTGGCACTTCGCTATTCGGCGGTGCGGGTGGCTCGACACCTTCTGGGAGCAGCTTGTTCGGAGGATCCAGCACCCCCGCTGCCCCCAAGCCTGCTGGGAGCTTGTTTGGAACCCCTTCAGGCGAGAACAGCAAGCCATTGTTCGGAGCAGTAGGAAATGTCCCGAGTTCTGGCACACCTAGTGGGGGAGCCCCGGCAACATCTACTCCTTCGTTTACGTTGAATGCTGGTCCAGGTACTTGCCCTTCAAGCGCAGAACCTTGATCACGATTTGTAGCTAACCAAGTGCTTCAGGATCTTCAACGCCTACTGCTACACCAGCCGCGAACAAGACTTCATTCCTGCCTTCGACTACACCTGCCGGCGCTCCTCCTCCTTCTGGAAACAGCATCTTCGGCGGACTTTCTTCAAATACTGGATCGGGATCGGGAGGGGGTCTGTTCGGTGGTGCTGGTGCTGCAAAACCGCCTACCACATCTGCGTCCTCTGGCAGTCTTTTCGGTTCTGCAACCCCAACTGCAGGCGCAACCAATGCAAGTGGTGGTGGTTTTAGCTTTGGAAAAACGGCCGGATCAGCAGATAAAAGCAAGGATACACCCACACAATCTGCACCTGCGCCAGGCGGTCTATTTGGTGGTGGTGCTGCTCAGCCGGGAGCACAAAGCACGCCTGCGGGTTCAAAGCCTTTGTTCAGCTTGGGAGGGACAAACCCTTCATCGACCTCCGCAAACAACCCATCACTACTCAGTTTAGGAACTACGCCAAATGCAGGTCAACAAAGCAGTCCGCAGCCTTCCGCTCCGGCTTCTACAGCAGCGCCTACCAAAAGTCTTTTCTCTAATGCCGCACCTGCAACTGGATCTTCATCGGGTGCCGGATTCAATTTTCCCAAGCCAGGCGGCTCATCCTCAGAGTCTGCGACAGCTGGAGCAACAACTACTACAGCTCCATCAAGCGGTAGCCTGTTTGGCGGTCTGAAGTCTTCAACTGCGGCGGGCACCTCTGCCCCAGCCACTGCTCCAACAGCAACGAGCGCACCATCCTCTTCAATGTTTAATCTGGGTGGCTCTAAGCCCGCTGGTACGAATTCCCAACCTTCCACATCAGCTACTACAACTGCACCTGCTGCTGGGGCGGCGACGACGGCAACAGCGGGCGATGCGGCTAAAAGCACATTGGGTAACTCGACCGCGGGGCCGATGCCCTCTGCGCAATCCCGATTGAAGAACAAGTCCATGGATGAAATCATCACCCGATGGGCTGCGGACCTGTCAAAATACCAGAAAGAATTCCAGCAACAAGCCGAGACAGTCAGCAAGTGGGACCGAAGTCTGGTAGAAAACTCGGATAAAGTGAAGCAGCTCTACTCGAAAACTTTCCAGGCAGAGCGCGATGCCGCCGAAGTGGAGCGACAGTTGACCATTATGGAAGAAAACCAGCAGGAGCTCGATACATACCTTGATCGCTACGAGAAGGACATTGACAACCTGATGAGCAGCCACGGCGTTGGTGGAAGGTCAGACAATCTGCGCGGGCCCGACCAAGAGCGCGAGCGAACGTACGTGATACCACACCATGATTAATTATCCTTGACATGGGAACATTCATTTGCTAACATGCCACGTACAGATACAAACTAGCGGAGAAGCTCCAAGACCGCCTCAACGAGCTGAACAAGGATCTCACGGAAATGATTGAGGAAATCAACAGCACATCCCAGACACTCAGCAAAACAGGCAAACCAGATGACCCCGTAAGCTCCTCTCCCATCACACCAGGATAATTCAATCGCTAACCGTTCTTCTCAAAATTATAGTTGACAAAGGTCGTCCGCGTGCTCAACTCACAGCTCTCCCAACTCCAGCTCATCGACTCAGGCGCCGCGCAGCTCCAGGAGAAGATCGACGAGGCCCAGAAGCAGAACCACCGCGGTGGTGCTCACGGTGCTAGCGGTGCGGGCGGGTCGGGTTGGAATGGTTTGGGAACTGATCCTACCGAAGACTTCTACCGGAGTTATCGGGGTGGGAGGACCGACCGATTTGGGGGGCAGGCGTAAACGAAAACTTGTGTATGTACGTGTATAACGATGGAATCGAAAAAAACGAGATTTCGATGATTGATTGCGGAATTCAAGGAGGGTGTTAGTCAAGGACAGGAGGGGGTTTCTCATTGGGCTAGTAAAGCATGTACGAACGGATGGATGAGTCTTGGTTCGTTGGCTTCTTTGTCTTGGATCACCTCGCTCGGCTGGTCTTCCCCAACTTTTCAAGTTTCTTTTCTTGGACCAGAGTCTGAATTTTGAAGGTAGAATTATCCAGGGTGGAGAACACATGGAATCGCATGTTTTAGAAAGTAATATGGACATGTAAGAATATTTTATAGGCGTCCTTGTCTCCCTTTCAAAGACAATAATTAGTGCTTGTGAAGCTGTTGGTGCTTTGGAATGAATCTTTTTCTCTTGTATCATGGTCCATTATAAGGGCTATATTATAGCTGTTGTTCTCTGCCGAGGATCGAGAATCGAGAATCGTGAGGTGAGGACTAGACATAACATTTTAACACAGAAGAGACGAGTGTTGATCTTTTTCGTTGACAGGTGCGGGCATAGCATTTTAAGAATGGAAGAGAAGCGATTATTCACATTGCTAATTGTACAATTCCATGCATCAAAAGGAGCCCAGCTACAAGGGGTCATCCACTGTAGAGAATCAATTCATGCTTTCCTCCACGTTGGTCAGACATTCTGGATCAAGTAGTGGTTTGTTTCTCTGTCTCCCCTCCGGTAATGGTTTGTTTGTTGATCGTTATGGGTTCCTTCGCGGTAAGGAGGGAGTGTAGATCGGTGGTGGTAGTTATCGTTTACTGCTTTCCACCGTCGCTGCCGGGCTGCTCGCCCTGGCCACCTTCTTGGCTTGTGATATCGTCACTATTGAAAGATGGTCAGTCTATTACTTCTGCTACTGATCGCTGACGTGAACTTGTCTAGAGCCGTAGGGGAGCTTGTAGGAAGAGAAATGGGCTACGCACATGTGCTTGGTGAGCTCGTCAATGTGTTGCTGTTGCTGCTTGAGCTTCTCCCTGATGGCGAGGAGCCTGGACACAAAGCGAATAGAGTCAGCTATTTGTTCTTGTAGTAGGCTGTGTTTTTGGCCCACCCCCTCTCTGAATGGAATAAGGTGGGTGGGAAGTTGGGTTCTCGTACTTTATCTTCTCTTCTTCCCTGATGTAGAGCTCCTCGCTGGCCTGCTCGCGCTTGGTGAAGGCATCGCTATAAAATGCAACTCCATTAGCATGTGTACACAGTTATTGCATTAATCGCGAGCGGAGGGATCGAAAAGCTTACCCAGAACGAACGCCTCCAGGACGCACGGCACCGGTGTCGCCGGCAGCCATGACGCGCATCGAGGTGGAGAAGAGGCGCTGAGAAGGGCGAGCGGCCTTGACGAGAGATGTGCGGAACATGATGGAAATGGATTGGAGTTTCTCTTGGAGTGACAGTGAAGTTAGAGAAGCTGCAATTGGATTGACTCGAGGGGAGTTGATATAAATGTTTGCGAACGATGAAAGTGGTGTGATGGAAGAAGCTTCTGTCTGGCAGCTGAGTGAGTGGTGGTATACAGTGTAGCTACCTATGGGATTGGCCGTGCGTCATCCGAGCTCTAAGGGGATTAGCTCGCTCCGGTTGATTCGCACCGGGACAACCTGGTCAGGTGATGGGTGAAATTGGGGGACATGCTGCTTGACACTCGTTGCGAGATGGCAAAGTAGGTGAAACTTGCATGTGTCATGTTAATTGCCAGTGGATGTTTTGCATATGGGTTGCCTCGTGGAGGTCTTTCTGGAAGACTTGATAGCAGCCACGGTGTGTACAGCCCTGGAGTGTATTCAAAATTAACTCGAGCGTTGGAGTGGCGCAGACCGAGCGTCTGCGATGTCGTGATATCCATGTCGATGTTGTCGTTCGATCAAACTCCATGAATTTACGTGTGCTTGTATTGAGTTTTTTCACTTTCAGTAGGTATCAATCATGTATAAAAATACATTCATGCTTCAACGTGGATGTATAGGACAACACCGTTCGAGCTGTACGCGTCAACGACTATCTACAATGTATCTAGAAGTACCCGTGGTGGGGTGGTGCCTTGGGACAAGCTATGCAAAATCGAGCAACTTTGTTGGCCGTGCCGGCAATGACGACGTAGATACGCTTCCCTTCTCTGCCTGGAGTCCTTCAGAGGCAAAAATGAGGCTGAAGCCACGGAGCAGAGACAGCATGAAGGCAATGAAACCAAGGGGGCTGCGTTCTGGCTACTGGAAGGCACGATCGACGTGGGTCTTGGCAAATACACTAGGTGCACTTGCGCTGCGGCTTTGACCTCTCTCTTCCAATCTCCCCACTATCAACAACAATCCACCCTCCCCAGCGAGACCTACACCGTTTCTTGCCTCCTACCACTCTTGCAACCTCCATTCTCTTCACCACTCCAATTCACACCCCAACCCCCTTCACTCCCCACGTAAGTCCCTCTCCCGCTCGCTCTTTCGTCATCCCCCCTCAATCTCGCGGATCGGGCTCCAATTTGCTGCTGTCGCTGCCACCCACCCGCCTCCCACGGCGCTGTCTCTCGCTGCCTGCCGGTGCTCATCAGAACGCCACCCTCGTCCGAGTCGCCTGTCTGGTACCACATTTGCTTCAACTTCGTGGGTGACGGGAGAGCAGCGCCCGTTTGTGGGCTGTGGGCAAAGCCGCTTCCACCGGCTTCCATATTACGCCTCCTTCTCACCTACCTATTGTGCGAGTGGCAGCCCGCGACTCTGGCCATCCAGGCTTGTATTCTCTACTCGAGAACTGCCATTGTTCGCCCGTGGGAAGCACAGATTGCCAGCTTGATTTGCGCCCTTTTCCCTGCGTCCCACGCACACACCTCGTCCTTCTGACTGTCTGCGCACCATATGATCCCGGCTAACACGCTTCATCTCCAGATTCAAACTTCACAATGGGTTACGAGGACTCTGTCTACCTGGCCAAGTTGGCCGAGCAGGCCGAGCGTTATGAGGGTAAGAACTCATCCACCTACGGCATGCGCTCTGCCAAGCTAATAGGTGCCTATAGAGATGGTCGAGAACATGAAGGCTGTCGCCGGCGCAGACCAGGAACTTTCCGTCGAGGAGCGAAATCTTCTCTCTGTCGCTTACAAGAACGTCATTGGCGCTCGCCGCGCGTCGTGGAGGATCGTGACGTCCATCGAGCAGAAAGAAGAGTCGAAGGGCAACGAGGCTCAGGTTGGTCTCATCAAGGAGTACCGCCAGAAGATTGAGGCCGAGCTCGCCAAGATCTGCGAGGACATCCTCGAGACTCTGGACAAGCACTTGATCCCCTCTGCTGAGAGTGGCGAGTCCAAGGTCTTCTACCACAAGATGTAAGTGTGGTCCTATATGTTTGTATGAGCGAGACTAAAGTGATCGCGCTACAGGAAGGGTGACTACCACCGTTACCTTGCCGAGTTCGCTATTGGCGACAAGCGCAAGACATCTGCCGACGAGTCGCTCGAGGCTTACAAGGCTGCCACCGAGGTTGCTTCCACCAGCTTGGCCCCCACCCACCCCATCCGTCTTGGTCTCGCCCTGAACTTCTCGGTCTTCTACTACGAGATCTTGAACTCGCCCGACCAGGCCTGCCAATTGGCCAAGCAAGCGTTCGATGATGCTATTGCCGGTACGTGGCCACCATATCTATCTCCAAAGCCAAAGGACGACTGCTAATATAGTCACAGAGCTCGACACCCTCTCCGAGGAAAGCTACAAGGACTCCACTTTGATCATGCAGCTCCTCCGGGACAACCTTGTATGTTGCAATCCTGAACTTTCTACGATGTAGTGGCTGACATATAATAGACTCTGTGGACTTCCTCCGAGGCTGAGACCAGCAATGAGCCATCCGCTGAGGCTGCCGCTTCATCTGAAGCACCCAAGAAGGAGGAGCCGGCTGCCGAGGCCGCCCCTGCAGAGCCCAAGGCTTAGAGGGATTCTCCTACGTCTTCTCGGAGTGGTAAAAGTGAGGGTAAACGGTTTGGGTCTGGTGCCGGTGCACTGGAACGTGGTTAAGCACTCCTAATTGTTTTCTTATCAGAGGCATGGATGGTTCCCTAGGATGATACTAAGGGCTTCACCGCTTCGTTAGACTCCCTCCGAAATCTCCATATTTTCAGCGTCTCCTCTTGCTTCATCCTCTTACCCGCTCAATAATGTGGCCCCCGTCAATTTTGCACCTCGTAAAAACACAAAAACTTCATCCAACACATTTAAACGCAAGTCCTGTATGCGTGCTTTCCTAGAATAGGGGTTGAAAATTGGTTTCCCTTTTCATGGTTTTGGGCGGACATGATATTATCTCCCAGGGTAGTAGCATTACACGTCTCTTCATTTTTACTGTCTTGCGAACGAGTCTACGATTCTTTTCCTTTCCCCGTACGAAAGACGAAATGTTTCTCTGGCTTGTCTTCGTGGCTTTCTCTCCTTTTCTTCACTGAATCGAACGACTGATTGATAGAACAATACCGGTGAAACCTTCAATCATTTTGATACTCAAATCCTGTTCAAGACTATTCACAGCCAAACAGCTCCGTACCACCCGTAGCCTACATCGCTCCCCAACACAAATCAGCGACCTCTAGCGACACTTTAGGAGGACCTACATGGCACAGCCTTCCAGCTCTCTCTCTCAAAGAACCATTCATATCCGCAGACAGTACGATGACAATAAAACCATTCAACCGATGACTTCGCGATGAACAAAGCGACATACGCACCACAAAATGCAAGTCTCTTCACCGCACTTCCACGCAATCCCGAGGCAAGGACAAAATGAAGTTTCACAGACTTCACAGCTATTTATTATTATGACTTGCCGAAATCTCAATTTTATCGCTGCAAGTGTTAGTTAATCTAATAGTATTCCGACTCTTGTTTACTCCTTCAAGGCTTGAGGTACGAAAGTGAAGGAATTATACGAGCGGTATTTTCAGGGGTGTGGTGAAGATGAGCTAAGAGAGAAGTTGAATCAACAGGGACAAGCATCGTGAAGACGGAGTCTTCGAGTCCTTGATCCCATACCTTTTCTTTCTTTGTTCCTTGGTATTGATGTTGTGTAGTGTTGGGCTACATCTCATTCATAAGCATAGCCTCTTAATTAATCACTGGTCTATCCAGACGAATGACGTGTACAGCGAGGGGAAGACAACAACTCAAACCATACAGAAAAGATGAATATTTCTTTACTAAAGACACAAAATTCAGTTCAGTATGCACAGATAGATAGACGGGTAAGGAATCGCACCTTGTCTGTTAACTATGGAGACGTGAGATTGTCGATGTAGGCAAATGTGTGTCTTTTTTTCCCCCTCTTTGTGTTGTTCGTGGATCTAGAATATATCATTCCACATGTAACACACAAATCATTGCCTTGGCAGGAATAGACCCATCTGCGAGAAATAGCGATATGCCAAAAAAGAAGAATATTAGCTGATAGAGTCAGCAAACAACGCCGCACACAGAAATCTCTGTATTCCAAGAGTACGCCCAATGGAAGGTTTGTTTCGAAGAGAGGATACATAAGGTACTAGAGCTAATATGCTTTCTTCTTTCTACTTTTCGATATGTAAGTATACTGAGTCTTTTCTTCTTCAAGGCGAATTTTGGTCTTGCTGTCTGTGTTCTTGGTTTTTTTTTGGGGGGGGGGGGAGGGGGGAGATTGGTTATATCGAGGTTAAGTGGTTTTCACGACTCTACAAGTAAAGTGATCGTTTTGAGGTGAGAGTGAGAGAATGAAAGGAATGGTTGGTTGGTGTATGGGGGGATTGATAGTGGATATTTTGGTGTGACTGGCTTGAAACGAAGGTATAGATAGACGGTGGAGGAGTTGTGCGAGCGGTGCTGCGTACAAGAATGGGGAGATGTAGGGATGAAGGGGGGAGTATGACAAGATGTCGTAAGAACAAGTCTACTCCGTCGATTATTATGCTTGGAATTCGCATTCCAGGGAGCGTCTAGGATGAAGTTTTCTAGTAATCACTCTGTTTCTTGTTTAGAATCGTTATGGGTGTGCAGGTGTCTGTCTTGTTTCAAGTTTTTTTTTAATGTATCGTACATAGCATAACAACCAGCGGAACAACTCGATTTCTCCTCTATTTCTGATCGAATCTCCTCTACTGACGTTTCCCGTTCTTGTATCTTGGGCTTCTTGAGATAAAGCGTAGAGAAAGATATCTTAGAAAGAAAGCAACGAGAAGGAGGAAAGGATGGGTTCTTGTACTTTTGTATGCTTTTCCGCCCAGCCATATGTATACGCTCGATAACTGTAGAGTGGAAGGGGAGAAAAGAGAAGGAAGAAGACATGTGCAGTTTTCATTAAAGTCGTTGTTTTCTAATTGAAGGGGGTATGATATGCTGGGAAAAGCCAGAACAGAAAAGAAGTAGTAGTAGAAGGGGGAGATGAGGGAAGGGGAAATGCTGAATCGGAGCAAGTGGCCTTTTGTCAAGGGAAGAGGAGCAGAGAGGGCAACTATATCGCTCTTAAAGAGGCTGTTGCCACTCCACGAAGTAACGGCCGGTAGGCTCCCGAAATTATGGCTTTTTCCTCAAGAGGCCTTTTCTCCACGCATACACACACTTTCTTGCCATCGCACATGCTGTTCTTGCACCATTTGCGTGATTCCCAAAGTCCAGTTCCCATTCCTATCTCACTACCATTTGAAGGGTATGCCCATCTCACGGACAAACAGGTCAGGGTCTCGTCTCAGGAACAATAGGAGACGGCTGCGCCAACTCAGTAGCCGCAGGGGGAGAAGGTTGCGCCAATTCCGCGGGTACAGGACTAGTACTTCCAAGCTCAGCAGCTTCAGGGACATTCGAGAGACCGCCTCCTCCGGCACCATATGCCGCGTGTCCTGGTGGCGGGCGATATGGGATGTATCCACCAGCTCCTGCGGTTCCGTCTTGCGGTGCGAAGCCTGAAGCCGTCGAGGCTGGCGAATGCGGGTACGAGTATCCGACTGGCGCGCTGCCCCAACTCGCGGACATAACGGGGGGTGATTCCGGGTATGGCGCGGTGGAGGTATTCGTAGTGGTGTTGTTTTGAGGAGATGGTACGTTTTGGGCTGCCGTTGTATCGCCGCCGCTGTAGTATCGACTACTTGAGCTCCCGCCTCCGACGCCGACGAGATGCGGTGCATGCGGTACAGGAGCGTCCGTTGCGAAGCCGTTTCCAGTGTCGAGTTCGGCGGAGCCGGGGATCGTGGAGATGGGGCGGTCGGGACCGACGCTCTGCGATTCGAGTTCCGGGGGCATTGGTGCGACTCCTATTCCCGTGAGCTTTTCGCTCGTCGTCTTGCCATTCATGAGTTCTTGAAATTTCTTACCGCCTGCGAATCCATGCCCTGCACCGCCTGCAAAGGATTTACCTTCGTTGGTATAGTCTGGGTCGTGGGTCTCGGTGTAGGGGTTTTTCTCTTTTTGCTGCTTTGAGCGCTTGCGGAAGAGCCAGAAGAGGATGCCGGTTAAAGCGAGAGCGAGTGGAATGCCAACTGCGCACCCTACAATGACGGGGATCTTGGATGTAGTTCCCTCGTTACCGTCACCTGGGGGGGTAGGCGAAGGGGGAGGGGAATTGGTTGGTGCGTTGACGGCTGAAGTGACGGTACTCGACTCGGTGATGACAGTTGTACCTGAAGAGCCGGTCGAGGTAGAGGTGCGAGCCGAGACCGAAGTCAACGGTATGCTGGTGGGAAGTTCTGAAGACGAGGATGAATCGCTGCTACTGCTGCTACTGCTGCTGCTGCTGCTGCTGCTATCGCTGCTGTCGCTGCTAGTGCTACTTCCACCGCCAGACGCGAGGCCTGTAATTGAAGCTAACGTAGGGGCGCTTTTGGCTGTGGATTTACCAATTGTCGCATACGGTTTCCCGTCTTGCAGTTTGAAGAAGGGCCGTGGCTCAGGCGATTCCTTGCAACAGTCAACGTGGGTTGCGTCGGCGTTGCAGCACCAGTCGTCGTTATGGTCTGAACACTGCGTGATAGATTCGCCGCCCACTGCATTCATGTCTGGTGTGAGTTGGTCAGCCAAGTGCGTCAACCGTCATGACTGACATTGTCCATCAGAAGGGGTGTGAAGTTGAGCATACCGTATGTGCACATGTTGGACGCACAGCCCGGCGATTTCCAGTCCTTATCCGTGCAACTGTACCTCCCATATATCTTGTCCGCTGGATAATAGCACAGACCGTTGTCAAGACATTGCCACTTGTCAGGGCAGCATGCTGAACCCGATGCCGAAGAGCATGCCTTCTCGGAATCAGCTGCTTCTTCGCCATTCGGATAGTCTGAGATTCCAAGATTGTCAGTGTCGGTCTTTGGTGCCACGCGCATGTATGAATGAATCATTGCGAGGAAGAAAGAGAGGTTCGAAAGCTCACAGCATTGTTGCGCGATAGCAACTTGAATGAGAAACACGAAAGCGCCTATGAGGCGCAAACAATTGAAGTGTGGACCGGTCATTGCGCCAATACCATCGAGGTCGACCTAGAGGGAGCTTTGTCGTCGTTGGCCAGATCGCTCGTCTTGGAACCCCAAACTAATGTTTGATATCTTGAGCACGTCGATCAGGAACGAGAGGTCGAGAAGACAAAAGGCCAAAGTGAGAGTGAGTATGTATGAGGACGATCGAGATAGAGGAGGTCACCAAGCTCGCGTGGTCGAGGCCGTCGGTAGTAGAGGTTAGGGTTGTGGGTGAGATAAAGTCGAACTGCACGATGAGCGCACACAGTACCCCAGTATAAAGTGAATGCCACCTCGTTTGCTCGACCGCTCGCCCGTTCGTTCCCGTGCGGGCGTGTGTATCCAATCTAATTAGTGCCATATCACAAGGGAAGAGCGCACCTAACCACACCAATGCGTTCACAAACAAGCATCGCGACAACAGGCAGCCTGCACACATCCGCGCTGCTGCTCTGCTCCCATGATCATAGTGACGCCATGTCCCAAATAGCACCACACACATATTGTCAAGTCGGAAGGATCCCTGTTCCTTGAATGCCTAAGTCCCCTGTATCCTAGAAAACATCTGCCACTCGTGGGGCGCGGTACAGCGAGGGTGCCTTGGCGCTTGTCCATCGTGTAACGACGAGCTGCTTGTTTGGGAAACCAAGCAAGTCACTCTGAAGGCTGTGTTGACTTATGAAACACCGTCATCGGAGATGTAGATGCCATTCTTCGCCATTGCCGATCTTCAATGTTCACAGTTCGCATACGCGAGAGGGCGCCAATGACGTGTGGGGAGCAGATCAAACAGGGGAGGATCGAAGCAATCTATTTCGGGGCTACAAGAAGGAAATCGTCAATGACCATCAAACACAAAAAAGAACAACATGGACATCGACTCAGACATGCATTAGAGAAAAGAGAAGAAAAGAACGGTGCGTAGTTCATAATTCCAGGGGGAAAAAGAAATGAAGAAGTGCGATAAAGAGCAAGGAAAACCGGCTTTATGCAGAACGACAAGAAACTCAACCAACCAGCCAACGGTAAAAAAGAGAATCATATCTCAATCTATCCAATCATGACATCCTCCGCCAGCCTCGCTTGCAAACGTCGATGGTGATCGACTGCCTGACTCTGGGGCAATTTCATAGCTCCTCGTGGTATATCGTATGTTGCTGATTCACAAGAGGACACATGGAAAGTCAAGGAGCACTAAAGCATGAATGTGGCTCATGATTGTGGCGACATTGATAAGGGTGTGCGTTGAATGGTTCCCTGTACGAGAAATCGACTGCCTGATAGACTGAACCTTCTTCTTTAAGGAGTATTCTCGAGTGTGGATTGCTGTAAGCGCTCGGATCACAAACGCTTGGACCACAGAATCGGTGGAGGAGCCGAACCTTCCTATATAGGAAAGTGGCTACTCGAGCTACGTTCGGCCGTTGAACGCTGTACTGCGCCGGTGAAAGTCAGATCATTCTAACTAACAATATCATCAACCACCAAAAAACGAAACCTCTCATGGATGGGAGTGTGTGAATTTCACAAAAGCAGGAGACGTAATAAACACCAAAACTGATATATTCTGCACCGCCTTACGGTCTTACGTGTATGTACGATTTTGGGATCAGCATATGTATCTGTTCTCCAACGTCCCTTCTACCCAAGCGCCAACGCTTGTAAACCCTCTCTCCCTCTCTCTTGCGCCCTGTACGTTCAAATACACGACACCCACTTGACTCTCCGCTCAAGAACTCAGGATACAAACAGGAGACGTAAATTACAGAGCACGGTGACTGAATAAAAAAAAGACAATTTTCGCTGAAAGAACGGGAGACGCTAACCAGCGAGGAGTGACATGACTGAGTAGCAAAAACGACAATAGAAAAAACCAACCAAACACGCTCCGCTGTAAACTATGAGGAAAATGATCAAACAACAATAAGGAATTCAGATGAAACAATGAGCTTTGGAGGTATTACAGGAAAGCTGGATATGATGACAGCCATGTATTTGGAGGGGACGCCATGAAGGAGGCAAAGACTGAGTTGAACTTTTTTTTCTTCTGTGCTGCGATAACAACGACATACAGAGAGAGTGAATAGGAAAGGAGAAGCACATGGCAGGATAGAGTAGTACGTGTTAACATGAACAACAGTGTTTTGTGTGTCTGATCGAACTTGTCCATGTGGTGATGGTGAAGGAATAGGATCGTGGAAAAGGAGGAAGAGTAATACAGAGTCGAGAATAGAGAAGACTATCGAGTCAGCTGCTTACTTCCCCAGTTCCTGGTCCTGCAATCCATGTACATGGAAGATTGTCCCAGTAAATAATGTCCTCTCTTCCGCACCGACTACGGTTTTAGATGCGCCGAGGCACACCGCGTGGCCACTCCTCCATTGGCACTTCGCTTACTGCGTATCCGGGTCGCCACGCAGGATGGATATCGCTCACGCCTGAATGGCTCGGGGCAATGGACCTTGGCGCAGCTTCAACGATGTAGCTCACGCCATCATCAGACACGTATGACGGCGGACGAGGGCCTTGATCTTCTTCCACCACGAGATCTGCTTCCGTGGTAACCTCACGGAGACGCGAGGAACTCGAGAGTGCAGAGGTAGAGCGGTTGGTGGGAGGAGGTGGGATAGACTGAGCCGACTCAACGCGTTGCCAGTGGAGAAGGTTGGGGTCGACGCGAACACTGCTTCGCCATAGACCGTAGGCGGGTGGTGGAAGGGCGACGGGCTTCTCTTTGATCTCGCCTCTCGAAGGGCTGCTGGTGGTAGGGGAGTGTGTGGGAGAGGAAAGCTCGCGCTCTTCGTCAAAAGAAGAAATATCTTCGTCCCTTGCGAGGTGGACGCGAATGGGCTGTGTGGGGTGGAAACCTTCGGGTCCGGTCATGGAGGGTATGTAGGGTAGCTCGTCGGAAGGTGGGTGCATGAGTAGCATGCAAAGGCGAATCAGGGAGTGGCAGAAGAAGATGGTTGTAGCGAGAACGATCATGATGAAGAGGACATGGAATTCTTGGCCGATGTCGCTGCGGGATAACGCGAGTGCGAGGTCTATGACATATGGTTAGCTATAGGGACCATTTTATGAGGGTGGAAGGGCCACTTACAAACTGCGAGAACACCAATGAGGAACGATCCAGATATGATACTAGCCATCAATTTTCCTCTGGCAGCAGAGCCCCGTGTCAAACGTGCGCGACGGCTGTTACTGTTGCGTCTTCGAACCCATTGTCCTTCAGAGCGAGGATGACGTCTTCGCCTGTGTCTCCGTCTCCTCCTCCTTCGACCATTGATCTCATGTTGAAGCTGCTCAATCTCTGGATCGACACCGCCACTGCCATGATAATCTAATTGGACATCAGCCGGGTGTCGGTCAGTGCTGTGGCTACGGTATGCCATCTCTGGCGCGCGTGGATCGCCTAAAGGAGCAATTGAACGCATGTATGACCCTGCTGTGTGTTGGGGTTGTAAAGGTGAGCGTGAATCGGTCGACTCTCGTGGTGCATCGTTGGAGCCTGATATCGCCAATGGAGCTGGTGCTTGCTCACGACGGAAGCGGCCTAGGAAGGGGATTTTGGGTGTGTTCTCGTTGGAGTGGTTGGGATTTGGTGACTGTGAGTATATGGAAGACCCATTGACCATGGAGCGCACATTATTATGTAGAGTACTGAAGGGACCAAATCGTGACGATGATTGCGAGGCGGGCGACGCATCCGGGCTCTGGTCTGGCCGGGGAGACCATTTGAATAGCTGTGGAACTGTCATATTGTCGGGTCCAATTCCTGGCTCCGAGTAGGCAAAAACGGTATGAAGACGCAAACTTATGCTGCACTAGCTATGGGAAATGGCGCTCCTTGTACTGTTGGTGTCGTGCGCTTCGACACCTTTTCTGTGTTGACTGTGAAAACGTCGAGGGTAGTTATTAAAACGGGAACGAATGTTTATGGTGGCCGACCAGGCGGATCCTGAAGATGTAGCCGGAAAGCTAATGGAAGAAGCAAAAATAACAATGACTGGAACCTGTCCGTCGGTCAAGAAAATACATGCATATTCGTCGTGGGATAGAAAAGGGCTTCGTTGGTTGTTGCTGGAAGAAAAGGGGACGCGTGGTAGTACAAATCGACCAGGTACGTGTGTATGTATGTGCCAACGCGAAGCACGAAGCTCGCAAACGACCGAGATGATGAGAAACGAAGGGTTAGATGGGTGGAGGATGGAGGAAGAATGGAGCGACGATGGCCAAAGACAGGGCCGCGCTCAGGTGGAGGCGAAACTGATGGTCAACAGCAGTTCAGCTCCCAGGTCCTTCTCCGAACGACAAACAGCAAGGTGGAGGGTACAAAAGGAATTGATTCGAGAGCGAGGGGTTGTTTGCCGTTGCAGAGTCACACGACGGGGTGTCTAAGGAACGGCTACAGGACAATCGTCAAGAGAGGCCGGGGCAGCTTCTGCGGCAAAGCGTGTCTCAGCAGGAGGTGTGTGAAACGCTATGGCGCTGCAGCACCCAATACGCCATCCCCGCAACACGGAGCCGCCAGTGCATGGTGCGTCTCTGGATGGTGCAGGACAGCCTTTCCTGGCCTTGCGCTGGCAAAAATGGGGGCCGCACAAATAAACCTCCGACACTTTGCAACCTCTCGTTGCCAATCGTTTCCAACCACACCCGATGCAACAACCTACTGCACCTTTACCTGCACTCCAGGCAAATATCCGAGCTTTGCTATCGTTGAATTGATATAACTCTGGCTGCCCTTCACGCAGCATGTGCCATGTATCGTGTTTGACTATAGAAGAAAACAAGCTTTGGACGCGTTCTGAACGCCTTCTGCCCACCCGTCCACCCTCGTTCACACTATGAGCACCCTTTTCCTCCGTCTGGCTGGGGAGCCATCAGCCAACGTCGCATCGACGTGTCCAGTGTCTAGGCGATGCCCCTGGGACACACGCCAGGACTCGTGCAAATAGCACGGTTCTAGCCCGGAATGTGGCTTTGTGTTTCGCTGCCATGCCTTCCCCGACTATCAGCCAAGGTTGAGGAATTCATCTGATCCCCACACTTCACTTTCCCAGCTCGCCTACAAAAAGCGTGCGATCCGACGATGCGGAGACCACTAAAAAATGCCAAGTCAGCCTTATGTTCACCTTCTCGTCAAGGTTCAGACCAGTTCAACCACCTTAGGTTTCGGCACCCGCGGCTCGGCATCTGCAAATACCGCTCATGCAACGCATACCGCCCTTGCGCTGCGACTCCCAAGATCCTTGGTGTGCTCCAGCTGTGCAGAGAAACAACAGAGAAACAGATCACGCGCATTGCACCTGACAAGGAGATGTGGAACTTACATAGATGCTCATCATGTGGGCTGAAGCGCACATCATTGACCGCACCCTTGTGACCGGGCAATTTGTTCAAGAGCTTTCCGGAACGTGCCTCCCATATCGCCACGCTTCCGTCTCCACTGCCTGCTGCGATTTTGTTTCCCTTGGAGTCCCAGCTCGCCTTGAGAAGGTTACGCTCCTGCCCGGTGGGCGCGCCATCGTATGTCATAATGTGTCGGTCTGTTGGTGCGAAAGGTCGAACATCCCACGTGCGGACAGTCGAATCGTGTGCGTTGGAGAGAAGTTGGGTGTTGTCCGGAGACAACTGCAAGGAGGTAATGGTATCGGCATGGCCGATTAGCGCATATGTGACTGCTTGCTTTCTAAGATCCCAAACTTTGACATCATTATCAATGCCACCCGTGAAGAGCTCGTTGCCGGCTTCGGAGAGGGCGATTGCCGTGATGGGGAACTCGGTCGGTATGAAGCACACAGCATCCTTCGTCCGTGTGTCCCAAAGCTGTTGCCAGTTAGCGCGTCTCGTCTCACATATTACTATTGTAGCTCACATACACCAATGTAACCGTCATCAGAGCCGCTGACAAGCATTTCCTCTCCGCGTTTGCTCACGTCCATACAGTTGATAACCTCCTCATGACCTGGGTGTTTTCGTATTCTCTCGCCTGTTTCCACGTCCCAACTTGCTAGATGCATGTCTGCAGAGGCGGAGAATAGCACTTTGGAGTCTCGCGACCAATGTAGATCCAACACTGCTTGCTTGTGGCCGGTGAGAATACCATAGTTATCACAGGTACCGCTGCCACGCCAAAGTACTGTTATTCATTAGCGACCGTGCGGAGCTCATGGCAAGAAGCGAACTCACATATTGAGCGATCCATAGATCCAGACGCAATGAACTGGCCTGTTGGATCGAAGCGAGAAGCGAATATCTCGCCGGAATGTCCTGTCAATTCCATCACGGGTGACTCGAGAGATCCCATGCGCGACCCCTATACTAGCTGTCAGTTATACAGCCTTTAGCAAAATAGCTCCTCTTTCTCTGGAGATTAAGACAGACATACCGTTTGTATGAGCGCGCCGCCCTGACCGGACCCATTTGCGACCGTCAAGGCAGAATTACCGTTGAGGTTGACATCTGATTTTGCGCGCTTGACAAGCTGTGTTGACCCAAACGAGTCGGCAGCAGGCCTTTTTTCTCCAGACATGGCGCAGGGAAATCGAGGGTTCGAATCAACGTCCGAGGCGTGTTAAGGGATCGGGAGATTTGGCGTGCGTGGCTGGGTTCTTGGGAAGCTTGCGAGTGAAAGTAGGCAAGTTGACGCTAACTTTTTGGGCAGGGCTCCGCGAAGCTGGCTTTATGTAAGCATGCCGGTCCGCCGCTCCTGTCCTCATCTGGCAACTCTATATCGACGACCCCCGCAAGAACTCGCTGCATCTGGACAACTTTCAGGCCATTCCTCCTGATTTCCATATACGAGAAGAAGTATTTCTATTTTTGCGGGGCATGGCATCCACCAAGGCTGCCCGTTTGGGCGAGGAGTGAGCTTCCAAGAACCCATATGAGACCCGTACCTTGCGCTGACGATTGCTAGAGTATGGAAGTAAGTCGTTCTCTTTACACGACCGCCGCTCGAGCCCTCATACTGTCACAGAACACGCGTAGATAAGGTCAGCGCCGAGCTTGTTACCCTGACCTATGGTACCATTGTTGCTCAGTTGTGCAAAGACTACGAGTTCAACTATCCGGAGGTGAACAAGCAGCTGGATCGCATGGGCTACAACATTGGCTTGCGTCTGATTGAAGACTTCCTCGCAAAATCGAGCGCTCCTGCCTGCACCAATTTCCGCGAAGTAGCAGAGATGATCTCGAAAGTGAGCACACTACCGCTTGGTAGGCAGGCGCTGCACAGGAGAACTGATTGTTGGATATAGGTCGGCTTCAAGATCTTTCTAAACGTCACTCCTACAATCACGAACTGGTCCAGTGACAACAAGCAATTCTCACTTGTCTTTGAGGAGAACCCGCTGGCGGACTTTGTAGAGCTCCCAGACGACGGGCGTGCACAAGATGAGCTATGGTTCTCCAACATCCTCGTCGGTGTTTTGAGAGGAGCGCTGGAGATGGTGGGTTTGATCGACCCAGGCGATTCCCACAGCCACCAACTAACTACTTCTTCACCTAGGTTCACATACAAGTGGAGGCGCATTTCATCAGCGACGTCTTGCGAGGCAATGATACGACAGAGATGCGGATATCCTTGATTCGCTACATGGACGATGAAATGCCACCCGATGACGAATGAACAAGGAAAGGCTATGGTATACCCTAACTCGGTTGAACTTTCAATTTTACCTGCATGGGATGGCGTCGAGGTGTATAGGATCCCACAATAGAACAATGACCTGATGTGAAAAAGTGCACACAGTGGCAATGGGCAGCGGATGGTGAATGCCTACTACAATGGAAAAAAGTGCACATCTCGGTGTGTGGTACGCCAAGACGTCTGCCTGTACCACATCCGCTCGCACCCTGTTGTCACATTGCACTTGGGTAGGTTGGGATTCGCGGAAGGTGCAAAATCAGCACGGCACATGCAACAAAATATCGAGCAGTAATTTGCACACAAGACGCAGTGTTCGAGTTGGGCCCATGGATCAATTGCAGCTGAGCGTGCAATGGTGATGGTCGACGTGTTCGTGATGATGTGATTTGAGTTTCAAGCGGCGGCCTCTCACGGCGGCCTCGCAGGTCAGATGACTATGTGGGCAGCTTTCTCAAAAGACCGCCATTGACTTTAATCTTGCGATGTATGATCTGGTTAGTGTAGAATAGAAGGGTATTTGGCCAGATGCAAAAGGAAGATAAAAAATAAACGTGCGTTCGCGCAAAAACAAAAGATGAAGATTGGAAATGGCAATGAATGCCGGTGGTTGGGATGTAATTATAGCACGTGAGGAGGGCTTGGCGGGCTTTCCCCTCGATCTCCCTCTCACCCTCCCCCCCCCCAGATGTCGTTAACTAACTTCTCCTCTCCCATCGCTGCGGCTTGCTCCTAGCCTGCTCAAGCAAGCGTTTGGAATCCCTGTGTCGCAACTCCCGCGACATCACCTACCTACCTACTGTCTTACGACCACCCTGCGTGGATTGTTTTTGCACTCTGCACTTTTCGCGCCACGGCTGATCTCGATCCTGCGCCGTGCCCACTGTCCAAGCCTTCCGCCCTCCTGCCTCCCCCCAGACCCTGTTCGCCTGCGCTTCGCCGGCGTCCCCATCCCATATTGTACCCATACCGTACTCATTCCAGATCAACCCAAATCATCCACCAACTGCGTTTCCTCTAACACATTCACCTGCATTTCGCTTTGCTGCCTCTAGGATTCTGCCGCTGCCGTTGCTGCTGCTGTTCTCCGCGCCAGCGACTCGCACTCCTTTACTCTGCCAGCGACCACAGCAAGCACCCGACGCGGCCGACCCTGTCTCTTCCCGCGTCCTCTTCAACATTCTGCTATCCACCCATCGCCGCCACCATCTGTCCATGCAACATTGATCGGATGCTCGTAAAGCACTGAGGTGCGCATCTCGACCTCGACTCCGGCCATTCCAGCGACTTCCGCCTCCTGTCTGTCCGCCTTCACTGATTGCGCGCCCACCCTTTCGCCTGCACCGTCATCTCCTGTCGCTATGCAGAACCCGCAAATGGCCGCCGCCATGGCCGCCAACATGAATGCTGGCGGTCCTGTGACTGGAACTCCCATCATGAACAATGGCCAGCGCCGCCCCCAGGTGATAGAGCCGCGCGACCACCTCAACACGTACATCTACGATTATTTCCTCCGCAACGGTCATCCCCAAATAGCGCGCATGATGATCAAATGCGAACTTGAGCTAAAGCTCGGCGATAAGAACCAGAAAACAAGCCCGAGTGGCAGGAACGTTAATGGCGTCGATAGCATGGACGATTCCGCGGACGACCTCCCCCCCGCCGAATTACCCCATGGCCATGTCACGGAGACCTCCTTCCTTTCGGATTGGTGGTTCCAGTTCTGGGATATCTTCAGCTCCGCTCGCGGTGGGGGCACTGCCAAGAGCACTCTTTACACTGGTCATGTCCGGGTAAGATTTTGTTTGTCTCTGGCAATGACCAGCTAGCTAACTCTCGGCCAGAACATCACCCAACTGAACAATCAGCAGCGGAATGATCGCATGATGATGACTGGCGGTATGAATGGTATGAACGGCATGAACCCACAGCAATATGGCGGCATGATGCGTAACGTAAACGGTATGCCCAAGCCTAACGAGCTGCAAAGGGCAGCAATGAACAATCGCAATCCGTATGTCTTACTTGAAGCCCCCCTCCGCCCTCCTCTGGACACTAACCCTTTATCCACCGCAGTGGTCAAGCTGCCGCCATGGCAAACATGAATCTGCAGAAACAACAGGCCATGATGGGCGCCCAGATGCAAAGAGATGGCTCGCAGATGGAAATGAACGGGCGACCGCAATCACCAGGGTCCAACGATAATGCTGCGTCGCCGAACAAGCGGCAACGTGTCGAAGGTAAGGAATCTATGCTCGTCAAATCTAGGCCATTGCTAACCTCGTCGCTCTTCTAGGTGGAATGAATGCGGCCAATGGGTCGAATCAGTTTAATGAGTTTGGTGGAAATGTGCAGCAAAAATCCATTGAGGTATATGCCCAAAGCCTTGGCCAACAGCAAAGAATGGCACTCAATAACCATGCGATTACCCAGGGGATGAATGCGGGAGCTCAAGGGTCTCCTTTGATTCAACCAGGCGCCCTCGATGGCTCTGAGCAGATCTTTGTTGGCAACAACCCCAACAGAATGCCTCCCGGCCAAGCTGGCCAGCCTCCCGGCAACCACGCTCTTCAGGACTATCAGATGCAACTCATGCTTCTTGAACAACAGAACAAGAAGCGGCTGCTAATGGCCCGACAGGAACAGGATAACATGTCTGGCCAGGGTGTAGGTGGTCCTGCCCAATTTTCTGCCGCTATGTCTCCCCAGGGGAGCAGCAGAGCAGGCGGTCCTTCCCCTAATCCAACAGATCAAATGAAGAAGAACACACCAAGGATGGGAGCTCAAGTTCTCCCTGGATCACCAATGCCAGACGGTATGATGCAACCACAGCGGAACTCCCCGGCACCTAACATGCCATATGATCCCAACGCACCTCCACAAGGCTTCCCACAGACCTACCCAGGTCTTCCTGGACAAATGCCTACCACCCCGATGATGCGACAAAACCCAAGTTCCCATCCCGGCCAATTCAACGGGCAACAATTGACACCGGCGCAAATGGAGGCAATGCAGCGAACCGGCGGCATGCAGCCCAACGGAGCCTGGCGGGCGCCTCCTGGTCAACCTGGAATGATGCCTGGCCAGCAGCAAATGGGACCAATGGGTGGCCAGCCCCAGCCAAGAGGGCAAATGCCTCCACCTCCAGCGCCTGCCAACGAGCCATCTCGTCCCCAGGTCCCCTCACCTTCTCAGCCTTCTCAAGCTCCTCCAACGCCATCGCAAGGCAATAAGCCAAATCCAAAGAAGAAGAACACCAAGGATACCAAGGTAACGTGTCGCGATTTTCTTATCTCTTTGAGCATCGTTAATGGTCATTCTAGAAACCCGCAAACAAGAAAGGAACGGGTGCAACCCCTGCAGCCTCTGGAGCTGAAGAGCCACCTACGCCAACAACCCCCATGCACAAGAACTTTGGACAGAACGGACAACAGCAGCCGTCTCAGGCTTCTGCCCAGCCTCAGCCTCCCGCAGCATCGCAACAACAGCCACCGCAACCGCAACAGCAACATCAGCCTCCTATGGAGAACAACGCTGGTCCTCCTTTCGGCAACATTCCTGACGATGTAAGCCTCCGTTCATCACACACTGCACATCGATATCAATGAAATATAAGCTAATCGCAACGCAGACTCCATTCACCGACATTGGCTTTGGCGGATTTGATGACGGCACCTCACTCGACACATTCGATTTCGAATCATTCCTACACGTAGGCGACAATGACGGCCTTAGCAACGGGTTCGACTCCGGTTTGGACTTCGGCGTTGAAGCTGGGGGAGACGGTATCCCGTGATCGAATCTTGCATCCCGAGTCTGATTTGTACATTGATTTGATGGGGATTAGCCAACGCCATCAGCAGGATGAGGAAGTTATACTGAAAAGTGCTTAAGCAGGCGTGAGTGAGTGGGAAGCTGACTTCAACAAAATCGTTTATATACCCGTCTGTTATTATTCGACCTCTCGCTTTCTTTCCGGAGCATATTGCGGGAAAACGGGATGTTACGGGAAATCTCATCGGCCGGCCAAGGAATAGGTGGGGGCGGAAGACAGATATCTTGTTTATTGCTTTTTACGCGGCGTTTCCCCTTCTCCCTCTTTTTCAGTTTTGATTTGACGGCGGGGAATCTGGGTATAACTTCTTTTTGCCATTTACATGTTTTTCTGCCATCTATCTTATATTTTCTCCTCGTTACTCCGTCCTATGTAGCTTGCTTGTTTGAAATCCTTTTCCTCTTCTTTTGTTTACTTATATGGCTGTCCTCTTCCCCTATGTCCTTTTTCAGTTGGAAGGAGAAACTGGCCCTCTCTTTCTCATACACACACTCGTAAATTTAACTCGCCATCCTCCACCCCCTCTCTGTCAAACATAACACGAATATTTGGTTGTTCATCCATCACTCTTATCCTTCAATGAGTTTTCTTCTTTTTGCTGTCTTATGCTTGTCTCCTCAATTTGCTATATAAATGGCCTCCCTTTTCACCTCTATAGCCAATCCCCTTTGTGTTTCCATGCCAGCTTCTAGTGTTCTTCAAGTTATGGTGACGTGTTTTCTTAATTTCAGGATTTATATTACTTATTCGTTGTTACACGCTGAGTGATAGCACTGGTCGTCTGTCTTCTTCCTTAAGAAGAAAGTGATGCGTGATGAGTGATGTTCTTACCCTCTTTGCTATAGCTTTTTATGGGGGAGTGAAAAGAAGAGTCCTATGCAAGCGCCGGATTCTCATTTCATCTAAAAGAGCTCAAGTTCGACGGCACAGAGACACGGGTTCTTGAATTTCCGCGTTGTCGATTGCCGTAAATCCGAAGTCAGAGAAGTGGATTGTTACCATGAGTGTGCTTGCGTGAGGCACGTGGGAAGTATTGTTCTCAGTATGTATACGTACCATGCAGTAAAGAACAATAGCAAATAAATTTACGGTATATGTGAGTGTATAGAATAATCATAGATGTAATGGATGAAACTTCATAGCGTGTACGCACGTCGAGCCATCGTCTACCTCTACACAGTATAAGATCTGACGAAACACATGAGAATGAAAACTGAGCGTTTATCTTTGATAAAGAATACTGCCACGTATGTTCTCATATCGTCATGGGACTGTGCTCGAACGACCCAAGGACTAGTGTGGTTGCATCTCATTTGTGCCCTAGCAAATACCCAAGTTTGTCCTTAGCAGCTAAGATATACGTATCGTTTACCTCCTCACAGGTTCTCGGTACTGAGACCTGCTTGTATCAACTAATTGTACCGAACATCCTCAAGCTGCTACCAAAACTCTAACAGGTAGTTTTCCTACGTACACATCCAAGTTCGTGTTTGCCACCTACTCATACATATAACGTTTCACTTCCAGCGAAAGCATAGCAGTCTTGATGTTGGCAATCCTACGACAAATCCAAATGATATAAACAATCCTTCTTACTCAGCTATATACACATTCGAATCCCGGGTATATCAATTAAATTTCCATGATTGGATCGTCAACGCCGTTGCATCGTCCAGTCTACCAGTGCGTAGCAGAAGACGTATGCATACGTCTCCACTGTGTTCTTCTGCTCAATTCATATTCTGGGAACGAGAGACTGTAATTTCAGCTTGCTAGAGCTCCGAATTCCTAATTATGTTTATGTATAGTGTCGTTCGAACCGGGCGTCGAACTACTGAATCCGTATAACCTCATTGCCAACTCCTCCTCACAGCAAAGAATGGGCGATTAATTTCGCCGTTCTCAATACCATACTATATTTCATCTCTCGAGAAATCATACACGTCATCCTATTATCCTCGAACTTTGGATCGCTCTGACCGAATGATGCCTCTCAAAGGTGCACCGTTGATTTCAATTATGAGCTCATACTCACTTAAATGGTCTTGGAGACTAGTAAGTTGATCTTGGTGAGGCGCGGAAGGGGTTCAGTCACGATAGAAGCCTGCACGAGGTGGTAATATTACATTGGATTGATAAGACTGATGACCCTGAGAGGTCCTTCGCGGCACGCGTTGCTAAGCGCTGCGGTATGTCATGATATACAAGAAGAATCAACGCCTTTTTGCAAGAAGAATATGTCCCGGGGTATCATAGAGTGAAACAATTTCGAACACCGGGTGCCCAGAATACAATATAGAACCAAAGAAAGAACGCCGATAATCTTCGCCTCCTCTTCCAAACCATCCACTGGTAACCTTTCCCGCTCATTTTTCTTAGCAGGCCATGATCTTCTCGATTTCCCGTCGCACTTCGGTCGCGTAGGGACCATCCAGATTACTGTTTTCGATGACTTCGTAGCCAAGAGCATCGTAGAGACCATCAAGGTCAACCCTCCTCAGGACCTCAGATTCACCAAAGATCTTCTCGATGATGTTGTTACTATTGGCCATGCCCAAACCAGTCCCATACAAAGAGGAGTTGAAGGCCTGAAACATGGCCGATTTCAACGTGAATCGAGCGTCGTTGTTGTAATCTCCGATCGCTTCGGCCATCTCTTTGGCGTAAAAAGCTCGATACTCCTGGATTTCTGTCATCGACATGAGGGGGTCGATCTTGTGGTTGGGGAACCAATCCTTGATCAGAAACAGTGGCAAAGAGGCATATCCAATGTTCCGAGGGACCATTCGGCATCCGTCCCAGTCAATGATGCAGGTGACCTCTCCTGTCTCGGGATCACAGAGGATGTTCTGGAGATCCAGATCTTCATGCCTAAGCACGTAGCTCTCTACCCCGGAGTTTTGGGGGACTCGGCATGCGTTCTTGAAGGTAGGCGAGTCAAGAATTATGTCGAAAATAGCCCTCTTGCCCACATCAGCGGGAGTTTTCAGTGGATATACCTCCCCAGCTTCCTGCGTCCAGTAATCGCGTGAGTCTCGCACCGTGGGGTAGGCTTGCATGAATCGCAGTTTGTTGGCAGTGTTGAACCAGATATAGACGTTGCAAGACTGGGTGTCAAACGACTCCCCATCATCGGTGGTCATTATGATGACGACTCCGGTTCGAGGAAAGTAGATCACCTTAAGCTCGCTCATTGCGCGAGCAAGCGACTTGAGGAACTTCTGGCGTTTGATCTCCAATGCCATCGCGTCCTGCTTCCGCAACTGAGACTTGGAGAAGTAGCCCCCTTTATTGTCGGTAACGAACCACAATTGATGCGCCGGTACACCCTTGGCAGCTCGCTGAAGAATGTAAGGGAGCCCAAGCACATTATTGTTCGTGCGATTGTAGCCCATCACTTCTGCAACGGGACACTTGGTCTTGTTGAAGATAATATGGATAGTTTCTGCTTCAGATTGGAGCATGAGGCCATCCTCTTCTGACCAGTCTTGCCTCCGTGCCGACCGAGGTACCTTCACGACGTATGTGCCCATATCCGGGCCACCAAGAACGCTGACGAATTGAACGACGTTGAAGGTGCCGCTGCTGGAACTACCGAACTCAAAGAGATCTGGGTGGACTTCGAATTTCCGGAGGGAAGGAAGGTGTCGATGAAGCATTTCCATGATTCTACGCGGATTCATGTTGGCCAAGGGGTTCACTCCGTTGACTTGGTTCCTAGTTGGTCTGATATCCGGATCATCCACTGGCGGGTAAAAAATACGCGAAGGGCTCGAATTTTCTACCCAAGTCAGTGATTCGGGATCCTCTTTGACCTCAGTGTCATCATGACTTGATGGCGGTGTGGAGGAGTCATCAGAATCGCTATCGAGGCCCCACACGATGCGTTCATCCGATGCGTTTTGAATGCTATTTTCCGCGCTGTCCGACTCCACTTCCGGAATCATCGCAGGCCGGCTATCTTTGAGAACATGTTGCGCGACCAATTGGGCAATGCGAAGGTGTTTCTCGGAGCAAGGTTTCTCCTCTGCAAGAACACCTTTCAAGATATCGAACCTTCGAAGCGCCACGGCTAGAATAGGATCTGCAATGGAGAATGCGGAAGGTGTGCGCTTTTGAGAATTGAATGATGTGCGAAGCCCATGTCGGATCGAACGAAGGGAGTTGACGAATACCGGGTGGGCAGGGATGATTGGACGGGGAACGGGGATTGGGGCTTTGATGTATCGCTCATAGTCGAAGGCACGTAGCCCGATGCGAGTGTATGCCATGCTGTATTGGTCGGTGCAAGGCAGAGAGGTGGTGGGTGGTGAGGAAATTGTCGTGGGAGTGCGTGGAGGGTGGTATTGAAAGACAGTGGTGGATTGTACGGTAGGTGGAAGCACTGAGTGCAAATAAGTAGAAGCGGATGCTCAGTCACGCCGACAAATTGGCTACTCAGGTCGACCAATTTCACAGAGGGTGTTGAAGTATGTGTGGGTGGTTGAGTGTTCCGACCAGGTCAGTGCAGTAGAGATCTCTCCAGCCTCGAGAGCGATATAAAAGTGCAGCTGTGGCGCGTGCTTGGTAAACAAACAATGCGTACTAGCCATTCACTCTACAGGACCCAATCGTACGCCTTGCCAGTCAAATGACAAACGGAATCCCAGGCTACAGCCACCTCAATTTCGCTAGGGCGAAAGTGAGAGCCTTTAGCAAACGCTTTTAGCGTATCATCGCGAGCTTTCACTCTAAGGTGTTGTGTAACACAACGATGACAGTGGTATTCGTGCACAGTGCAATGGCAGCCGATCAGTTTACACAATGAAGGGGTTGAAGGCGAGAGGGAGGGGAGCAATTCGACGATTGACAGCTGCTCACTCACGGCATTCATACACAATAAAACGTTCGTATGCTGCAGATGAGAATATCATACACTGCCTACCGCCGAGACCGACATATCCTCACGAGGCTTACGAACGATACTGCCCCCTTGTTTGGTTCCAATTCGATCTATTTATGACATTACATGGCGAACTATATGCACACACAATGCAGAAGACAGCGACACCAACGATCATAGCACGCGGTGTATGTGGAGTGAAGCATGGCAGTGGCCTCGAGGCTATGTACCACCTACAGTGGAGTGGGGCATACTGAGAGTGCATATGGCGTGTAATATGGTAGGATTGTGTTGTACACTGCTACTCAGCTTCAAATCTTGAGCAGTGCTTGCATTTTATTTATCAACATTGATGGAATAGGTAGCTACCCAAAGAATGACTATTGTATCTGATATAAAGACACTGGGACTTTGACATCACAGGCGAAAGTGACTGCGAGACTTTTCTTATTTAGACCGACGACGCACAGTCAGTCCGCTTCTTCCGATCCTCCTCGTTTTTTTTTTTACTCTCTCAATCTCCATACACGCAAAACAATCGCTACCCAACCCCCTTTTCTACAACCATACCATACACCTCCTACACCTCCACTCCATCCCACTTCCTTCAACACCTAAAACTGAACCCCAACCTTCCACCCAACCTTCACCGCGCGACTCCAACAAAACGCCGCAAGCGAAATAACATAGCACCCAAAAGTCCAAACCACAACGGCCCAATACCGACCTCCCGCAGCCTGGATCAGCGCGCCCGCAATCGGGATCCCCGTCAACGTCCCAAACGACACAATCGTATAGCACGTCGCGTAATACCTTCCATACTCGTTGGTATCGCAGAGCTGGCCGACGCACACAGGCGTCAGCGAGATGTTTGATCCAGATGCGAAGCCGAAGATGAGCGCGTAGGTTACAGAGAGCGCTTTTATGGTCAGTGATGAGGAGGAGGAGGTTGGGTCTGGGGTGAGGAGGGAAGCGGGGAGCCAGAGGGAGAGAGTTGTTGCTGTACAGAGGGCGAGGGCGGCGATCATGCTATTTGCGTGTGTAGGTGGTTAGTTTTGCGATGTCAGGTTAGGGGGGAAAGTGTGAGAAGGGGGACGTACCTGTTGAAGCGGCCGAGTTTATCGGCAACGTAGCCTGGCGCCCAGCGGCCTATGCAGGAGCCGGCGTTGAAGATGGCGATGAGGTGGTATGAGAAGGCTGGCTCGAAGAGTCCTGTTGAGGTTGCGAATAAGGCCAAGTATGCGATTGGGACGAAAAGTGCCCATTCCTGTTCGTTCCAAACAAGACGTTCAACATTAGTATCTGTTCTCCAATAATGAGGAATGGGGGAAAGGAGAATACATACCATGAAGTATATTCCAACCGTCAACAACGCATAGCTCTTATTTCTCAAGATCTTCAAGTCGGGCATAACGGTCTGTCCAGGCTTCGGCGGTAAGCGGGACCGGATCAATGCTGTAGCTACACAGCAAAGTCCAATGAAAACGAACCCGATGATACGCGTGGCCCATGCGAAGCCCACAGCAGGGAACAATCGCTGTAAAGACAGCGGGAAAATGATACCACCCAACGACCCACCGGCCGCGGCGATACCAGTAGCGTTTCCGCGCTTGAGCAGGAAAAAGTGGGAGACGGCGGAGAGCGCCGGGGTGAAGATGAGCGAAGTACCTACACCACCGAGGATGCCGAAGTCGAGCATAAAGTGCCAGTATTCTAGCAGGAGTAGTTAGTTGATGTGAAGTAAGGGCAGGGGAGAGAGTAAAAAGGGACGTACTTGTGCATAGTCCAAGAAGAAGCATCGAAGCGCATACACATATGCTACCAGCTAGGATCAATAGACGCGGGCCGTGGGCGTCGAAGACGGGTCCGATCTGTATCCCACAGAAGAAGGAGAGAAAGACATAAACGGAAAAGATCCCTGGAGATGTACAATTAGAATTAGAGAGAAATATAACGATAAGCAGAATTGACTTACAGCCGATGGTGAATTCATCATAGTCTTTCAGTTGGTGTTCACTGAGGTAACTTTGGACTGTTCTTTTATGTTAGCGGAGTTCACCGAAGACAGTGAAACATGTCTGCTTAGTTCTTGGGAACATCTTTGGATAGAGACGGAAGATTGACAGGGGAAGTTCACATGGATAGAAGAGAGGAAGATTTTGATTATTGTAGCCGAAAGGGGTATACCAGCCGTTACTCCTTCAATGCGACCAGAAATGCAGACAAAGAAAGAAAGAGAAAGCAGATAAACCAGAAACCACATATCCGCGCCAATTCAAATGCAAATGAGACAATTGTGGAAGAGGAGCCAGAACCCATACGCCAGGCCATATTATTCTCCCGTGAACAGACAAAAACGAGAAGGAAGACCTACAAACGCCGACAGTATTCATCATACCGAATGACGCAACCATGCCAGAGAAACTCCCAAGCACGACAAGCCAGGCAGCCAATCCGCCTTCCGGGTACGAAGAAACCTCTGCTTGATCATCGTCTTGCGCCGTCGCTCCCCTCAGACGGGCTTCCGCGACCGAGCGTGATTCATCGTCAATGACGGTAGGTGGTAGTCCTGGCGTGCTGCCTTTGAGATCGATGCTCATTCGACGCTTGCGTAGACAAAACCGGGTAGTGGTTACTCGACGTGGAAATAAGCTCCTGCTAATATATATATAATAAGGGTAAAAGTGGGTATCGATGTTGTGAAGACAGAAAAAAACCTTTGGAGATGATGGGACTCTGGCTTTATTCTCGCACACAGGGCCGTTGATGGAGGGTCTGTGGAGAGAATATATAGGGTCCGGGGAAAAGTGCTTGATGAGATACCAGGGAGTGGGGGCGGCAAGAAAAAATTGGTCATTAGCGCCTCACGTCCACTCGACGGCCAACTCCGCGTCGGATGCGGTTTTGGAGACGACTCCAAGAGCCGAGCTCCGACCCCGATGGCGGCAGGACCGCATACTCCGGCAGCAACATGTCAGCGAACTTGAGGTGGAGGTCGTCGGTGACATCGTTGGTCGAAACTTTCCAATCCCCAATGGACTTGAGCATTGTGGCCGCGTCTTTGTCCTCGTAGATTGCGCCCAGAAGAGCCTCAGCTGTCTTGACAGCAATCGAGGGTTGGCTATCATCCAGACTCGATACCAATTTCGCCAGGAGGTTGTTTGCGGCGTTCTTCTGTCTACCCTCGACATCGTGGAAGAAGCGACGGCCCCAGATCCGCTCGTACATTGGGTTTTGCTCGCTATAGATGAAGGCGATTGTAAACACCAGTCGAACGCCACGGTAGGTAAAGCGATCCGGATTGTCAACGCTGGTATCCAAGTTTCGATACCATTTCTCCAATTGTTCGTCGGCAACCGAATAGTCGAATTGTAATCGAGGGAGTTCAGGGTGGGCAGCGGGTGTTGCCATCATGACCAATATCGTGTGGTCGAGCAGAGAAGAATCCAATTTTGTCTGCTTGGCTGGGTCGGTGCTGTACTCGGTTGCGGCCGTTGAGGCGGTAAAGGGTCGGGTGAAAGAGCTGGTGGGTGATGTTGTGATGGTTGAGGATGAAGATTCAACGGCCCTGATGGTAGGCGACTTTATACCATTATCTCGAGGATTGTGGGTGTCGGCCTTGCGGTTCGGTGAAAGGGCCTTGGTAAGCTCGCCCACTACAGTGGCTGCCTGAGGCTCAGGGTGGGAGAAAGAGACCTTGGAAGTATTAGTATGACGTTTGGGCACGACAAAGCATTCACTTACAGATTCAACCCTATGGGCAGAAGTCAAGTCGCGAACCTCAAGGGCGGGCGCAGCATCCCGAATACCAGCCGCAAACTCAGCAACTTGGGCGGCTATGGCACGCTTAGTGCTAAACTGAGGGGACAGAGAGATCTTGAAAACAACATTAGCATAATCCTCAAGGCACAGAATTATTTGACTTACACTGCCAGCCTCGCTAGCGAACGCAGAGTCGCAAACTCCAACCGCGAATTCGGTAGATGGGGTCCTTGCGACGGGCTCAACAGCCGGCACGTCTTGCCTGAGAATGTAGGAGACGTCGTCGAACGGCGAGATATCCCTCGAGACCTGCGAGAGGCGCTCCTTGATTTCCTCGCTGCACTGCTTGTTGCTGCCACGCTTGAACATGTTCGAGACGTCGCGCTTGATCAAGCGGCAGGCCTGACGGGCAGAGAAACGGAATGGAGACAGCTTCATTGTGAAATGGTAATGTGTGGATGGAGAGAGTGTGGGGTATGCCGTAGCAGGAGATGGGGGGTGCAAAGAGTGCAGATAGGATGCCGTAGCAAGAAGTGTTGTGTGGGTGGTGTGTGTAAAGAGATTGCTATGTAGCAAGAAGGTCGTCAGTGGGGATTGCAAAGAGTGCAAGTTTCTGAAGTGCAGATTGTAGACAAGAGTAGTCGGTGGTGGAGGCAATCCGTGGTTGAGAAAGTATGGAGGACAGGGAGGACGCGGCGTCGAGGGCTTATAAATTAGCACAATGGGGGAGCAAACAAACGCACATGGCAAGGCATTTTAGCGAACCAATTGCTATACTAATGAGATTGATAAATTAGGTAACTTGGACAGATAGACGTGCAAATTTTCTCTGTGGCGGGCAAGCTTTTTTTACTCAGAGCAAACACCTCGATATCGTGTGGTTGGCTGATTGCTGACACTGCCCGTTTGCGAAAAGGCCTTTCACTCACTCTACCCCACCAGGGAAATGAGCCTATAGCACGAGGATGACGGGAGACGGCTCCCAAATGGACAATACGGGGAATCTATAGTTTCCATTGCACAGGAGGACCGATGTACAGTTCGGTCTCCTCGAGCCAAGCACCGACAGCCCACGGCTGGATGCTTCGAGGCCAGTACTGGTCCGACTCGTCCACGCTCTCTCTACCTTCCTTTACGCCCTCGTGCACAGTTACCCAACATCCCCGCAATCTAGGCGCAGAAGCTACGAAGTCGAACGTGCACCACTTGTCTGTTCCCGCTAGGAGAGCTTCCTCGTGCTGGGGGCTGGTGTTGTACGGGTTGATTTGTTCGGCATTCTTAGCTCCTGCCTCGACTTCCGCAGCAGCTGCTTTCTTCTGGGCTGGGGCCTCGGGGAGAGGGGGTAGCGCGGGTGTTTTGTCTATTGGGAGGTAGTTGGCATTGAACGGGATTGAGGGCACCCATGTGAACGGTTGGAGAGTACACGCGAAGAACGGACGGACGCCATCACCGTCCATGGTTCCGGGTGGGTACACGGCGACATCAAGAGTTTTAGGAGGAGACTGTCCAGCTTGAGTTGGCGGTGCGGAAAACTTGAAGCGTGCCAGATGCTTGGGGATGTTCCAGTTTAGACGTCCATTGTACACTGTCGTTCGTTGAGAGACGTAGATACGGCAGATCCTCATTGCAGTCTTGGGAATCTTTGGCGGGCCACTGAGTGGTTGAGGGACAGTAAACTTTCCAGGAACAAATATAATCTCATCGTATGTACCTGCCTGAGCATTAACTTGGATTCCTTCTGCAAGGCTATTCACCATGGTGCACACTGTTGTTTTTGAATCATAACATCGATATGCATAACTTACCAACAGGTGTATACGAGTACCTCACAACCATTATGAGCCCCATCCCTCCTTTGAACTCGCCATGCTCCAAGCAAGGTTCCTCGAGCGGATCGTATACCCCTTTTGGCAGGCTCTTCAAATTGACGAGCATCCAGTAGGTCTCAGCTTTGGTAGTCCATGGAGCCTGTGACCGTTCAACTGGGTCCGAACTTAGAGTGGACGACATTTCCAATCAGATGAGATGGTAAATAGGATCTACGCAAGAGTTGGATGCTTCAAGTTTCGTGTTGCACGGACAAATGCCGAGGTGACCGGAAGCTGATGTCAGGAATTGATGTTGTGAAGCAGAGTATAATGAACAGGAAAACAATCTCGGGCCACTTGTCGTGGGAGTCGGCGCAATTTTTAAAGATAAGAGTCTTGGCCTGACCGTGAACAAAGCAAGGTGCCGTAGCAGCACTTTTGTTGGGTGGAAGGAGAAGGACCAATGTTGGTGGAACACGAGTTTGGTGGTCGGAAGGGTCCTTCAAGATGTGGTGAGATAACTCGATCCTACCTATAAACATCGACTCGCCATGTCTCTCGTTATACTCGGGCCCATCTTCGCTGCCTCGGTTGCATGTGCGCCAATCCCAATATGGTCCCTCACAGTAGACGAGACAAGGATGCTGACTTGAGGATGTTGCGTCACCTTCACGATGTCTCACATGTCACGTCAGCGTTGGAATAGGGAGACAAAGGGAACTGCTAAAATCCTCGCTATGCTGAATACTATACGAAACTTAGATAGAAATAACATGCAAATTGCGATCAATCATATTCCCCCGTCGTTGCGTTGCCTGGTTGCCGAGCTGCTGTTCCAACAAGACAGACACAACCCGTGGTCGGAAGCTTAGCAAGCTTACGAATCTACAATTTAGCACAATACGTTTGAACAGGCACAATGCCACCACTTCGGTCGGGAGGGTCTCTGATGGCAACCTCGCGCGTTCTGGCCAGGCTCTCCAGCTCATCCAAGCGGTTCAGCGTCGCCTTAAGATGTTCTTCAAAGCCTTCCTCACTGCAAATTTCCCTGAAGGCGTTTTGCATAGGCACAGAGTCCGCTCTCACCATTCCTTTCCCATCAATGTGGAAAACGTTGATATGGTCGAAACTGTGTACGAAATCCTCTCGAGTGATGATTTGTCGGGATTCGTGAAGAGGTATCTCTGGCAGCCTCGGATCACCTTCGGGGTCTTTCTGGTCCTTTTCTCTGAGCACTAAAGCGCGAGCAAGAATAATGGCAGCCGCACAGAACTTCTGCGGCTCCTCCACATCGTCGTCCATACTATCACCGAGAATCCAGCAGTTGTTGAGAAACCACGATTTTTCCTTCCTGTTGATGTGGTCGCATGTGGCTAGCATGTCATTCGACTTTGCGACCTGATTTAGGAAGATAAGACGCCCGCCGACCTTTGCGAAGATAGTGTCCAGAATGCTTTGAGGGACTTCTTCGTTGTGGAAACGAGCACGGTATTTCTTCAAAGCCTCAAGCGCGATGTCTTTTCGAACATCTCTTACATGGATAGTGTGCATGTTGGTGGCAAGTGGGATCAACTTCTCTTGAGTCCAGTACTCATCGGAAGTGAAGACGACGGTAACAAGCTCGTTTCCGGCCCAGATCTCGGCTCGCTGTTGCAGGATTTCAAGCAAGTTACGCCCAGCTTCATCGTCTCTGAACAGATGAATGTTATTGATGACCAAAAGCAATGGCCGTCCGCGCGTTTGTCGCAGCTTCAATGCTACCTTCTCCATCTGGTTCAGCGCTCTCTCGATATCCAGCAGTGGGGTACTGTCCCGAGGGCCTCTGATGCTGAAAAGACCGCCAATATAGTCCTCGTGGAATTCGTAATCCAATGCTTTACCCAAGCGCAAACGAAAGACTTCGAGGTCATTATGTGCCTCCATCATTGCAATTCCATCCCCGTGTATCTTGCGGATAGCTTCGAGTAGTAGAGCACGTTTTCCAGTGCCTCTCTCCCCAAGGATCAAGTAGTATCGCCCCCGAGCTTTGCCACTGACAATATCATCGATGTATGTTTGTTCCGAACGGGGGACCCAGTACTCTTTTTCCAGTACTTCCTGAATTTTATCTGGCTGGGTGCCGAAGGCGACTTTTCCCATAGCGACGAGTTCATTGGAGCTGTATCCTTTGGAGAATGCCTTCTCGATCTTCTTCATCACAGTCTGCTTGTAGAACAGACTGTACGCGTAGCCGCCCAGGCCCAAACCGAGGAGCGAGATTAGGGCGACGGTGCTGCCTTCGAGCACGCTTCTGGCAAATTTGGAGCGCTCTTGCTTGGGATGGTCTCGAGGAGTCTGGGTTCGAGGCGTAAGGTCATAATTGGAGAATTGCGGCGTGCGAAGGCGAGCTGAGCGCCTACTGAGGGGGAGAAGTATCCATCCTGAGTTTGATCAGTTTCGAATGCATTTGATGGCATTTGGCATTGGGGGGCATACCTCGGGGAGGTTTGATGGAAGCGCGTGGCATTAATTCAGAGGTTTCGGTCACTCTACTCTTACGTATTCGGGCGGGCACATATGTTGCTCACATGTCGTGGAGTGGTCGTTGTTCGAAGGTACGTAGACGCCAAGATGGTAAGATTGTAGCTAAGCGTCTTTAGCTGAAGGGAGGTTTCGATCACCGGTGCCGTGCCGAACAACCGAAAGGCATGTTTCGTGCAGAGAATAGGGCTACCAGGCCATTGCAGCAGAAGATCAAAGCTGTGAGGATGCTCTCATAACGGAGCAAGCAGCGTTGAGTTCCGGAATGAGGTTTGAACCGTGCTGTGTAAACGGGTAAGTACCTACCTGATAGACTGGACCCTGATATTAGCTTGTAGGTAGTGGCCGATTAGCCAGCCGTGTGGGCATCTTCTCAAGATTCTATGACGATTCCCCGGCAGCTACCTCTATGTCGTGACACGAATTCGATTGGACAGCGGTACATGCATAATGGGCGACATTGTTTGAACCGAACAAGAGCACATGAATACAGTTCAGAGTGATGATACAATGTATGCACATCAGAAGTATCGTCTATCAAGGTTGGCTCTAGCCCGATCGAGCGCTAGTCGGCCGAACTCGGTCCAGCCTATGAGGGCGGGGATTTCCTCATCCGCAGTCTGGTCATGTCCATGCAGCCTCACACCACGCTGCAGTCACCAGACCTACCTATTCATGTACCAAAGAATGTAACCTTTTATTACGCCATGGCCTGCCCAAGGTGACACCTCCTGATTCTGATTCCAACAGCCCTTCATTCATCATGGCATCCTCGTCGACACCATCTGTCGTGCCCTCTTCCGAAGCTGCATCAACTCATTCGCCCAACGACCCTGAAACAGTTGCTCAGCGGCAAAGGCCCCAGGCCATGACACGAACCCTCTGGAAATTATACGTCTCCCACACGCTATCCACCTGGAACGCGAGGACGTTTGAGTTCGGATGTATCATCTTTCTGGCTACTATTTTCCCGGGCACATTGTTCTATGCCTCAACCTACGCCCTGTTCCGCGCTGCAGCTGCCACCGTGCTGAGTTCCAGGATAGGTAGACTAGTAGATTCAAAAGAAAGGCTGTACTTCCTCCGACAATCCATTGTCTTCCAACGCTTCTCCGTCGCATTTTCCTGTCTCCTCCTGCTCGCTCTGCTCCACCCCACCGTCGCTACTAACCGGCCCTGGACTCTTTTGCTCTTCTCCTTCTGCTCTATTCTGGCCTGCGTCGAGAAGTTGGCTTTCATTGGCAACACAGTAGCCGTCGAGAGAGACTGGGCTGTAGTGATTGCGGATAAGCTGCAGATTCCAAGAGAAGACCTCAATAGCGGCTTGCGGAGAATCGATTTAATCTGCAAGCTGGTTGCGCCTTTGTGTGTTTCGCTCGTTGAAGCTTATTCGACCAGAATAGCTATATGGGCTATTTTGGGACAGACTCTTGCGAGCGTCGGCCTTGTACGTTTTAGTCGACAATGCACGGCTGAATGAGTTGCTGATTCTATTAGGAATACTTCGCCCTGGTTCACGTATACGCAGCTATTCCCGAGCTTGCTAGAAGTAAAAATACACTATTGACTCCGACGATGCTTTCTGGATCCGAACAGACTTCAGTATCCTTGTTCTCCTTTGCTACTCCGTGGAAGGCTTACTGGCACAACCCTGCCTTCCTAGCTTCCTTCTCGCTCTCCCTTCTATACCTTACCACCCTCAGCTTTGCCTCGCAAATGACCACTTACCTCCTTACACTCGGCTTCACAAGTGTCTCCATCTCGATTTTCCGCCTCCTTGCCGTTGCTGTCGAACTAAGCGCGACGTGTGCAGCCCAGCTCCTCATCCGACGTATCGGCGCAATCCGTGCAGGCCTCTGGTTCGTCAACGAGCAGCTTGTTTCCATCGCCCTCGCCACTGGTCTCTTCAGCTTTTTGCACGGCAAGGGGAAGATTGCGGGCGTAGCTTTAATAGCAGGAGTAACACTCAGTCGGCTGGGTCTCTGGGGCTTCGACCTCAGTGTCCAATATCTCGTTCAAGAGTCTACCTTGGAAGCTTCCCGCGGGAGTTTCTCCGCTGTCGAGGCGAGCCTCCAAAACTTCTTCGAGATGCTTTCATTCGCCATGACGATGATATTCGCTGCCCCAGAGCAGTTCAAATATCCGGTTTACATCAGCGCAGGTGCTATTGCCCTGAGCGCTGTGTGTTTCGCCAGCTTTGTGAGGCAGAAGCGCGGTCATCTCCTTCATACGTCCAGGTGTCTTGAGAAAAGAAGGATGAAAGTAAGATACAATGTGCTTCCAACGATTGAGGAGGAAAACGAGTTCGAGGATACTCTTACACCCGTACCATCATCGTCTTTGCCGTAGCAAATAAAACTGATATATTCGCCGTCTTTCCAACACGGCAATCCCATTTTTTGCCACCTGGTACGGGAAACCTCGACACGCATTTAGATCCACACATCGGCTTGCGCGTCAGGGAGCCCGACGTCTCCGAAGCCCATCCGAAACAGCCCCACTAGCGGCCGGACCACGCCAGTAATTACCTACGAAGATATTTATTTTCGGTGGATCAATTCAATTGGCAATACGCCAAATTCTTCTCGTTACCGGAAAAATGATCGCGACGAGATCTTATACAATCTCCCGGGTCCATCGCGCACTGAAAATCTCGTGGCCAACACGATCCAAGCTCCACACGAGCGCAATTGAGCGCAGGCACGACGTTGGCCGATGACAGGCGGGCGACGCAACATGTGCTCCGTGTAACTAAGGTCCCTGAAAAGTTCCATTGGACTTGACACGGGAAACCTAGTTCAGGTTCAACATTCGCTGTACAGGGAGGGAGCTTTAGTGTACCGTGGTATCCCTTTTACTCGTTCGAATGCGTTGTACCACAAAAGGACCGCCGGCACGTTGCGAATGGACGAGTTACCCAGGTCAACCTTGAACAGCTTGTCGGAGAATAGGGGAGACGATGAATCATGGATGCAGTGTAATGTAACTACCAAGAGTAACCTCTTCCACGTCTCGTCTCGATGCTCCTCACGGATCGAAGCCAACCCCAAATCAAATCAGTATAATTCCCCATTCATTGACTATCCAATACAAATGAATCAATCAATGCAACAGTTTCAGAAGCTAGACCCGCAGAACAAGATTGAAATCAAGCTTCTACCCCAGCTCCCAAACTACCAAACGGGCCGACTGGCAGAAGAAGCCACACCCCTCTCACGCCCGTTCGCTGGATGCTTGCAAGCGCATTTCCCAAAATTTTACAGGTGCAGGACGCGGTAAAGCTACAACGTGGCAGCCACATACGCAACCTGTTTTTGGATTGCGCGCTTGGACGACAAGTCGCTATACAACAACCACGCATCACCTAACCTAACTCAAACAAGCAAAGATGTTAGAGACACCCCCATGTCACACTTTAACGACGTAACCTGAGCGCATCAGTCTTGGTCAATCTCGATACGAAGGTAGCTGTTGGGCGTTTAAATCGCGGAGAAAAGACATGGGTCGTGGCACATGCTTCGTCTACAGTAACCTGTTCAGGGCTAAAACATCAGCACAATTTCCTCGTTTCCTTGTTGGCGGTGAAACGCACAGCTTGGTAGCTGTACAGGGAGAGGGAAATGCGCTCTGTATCTGGATATGTGCATGACTTGGCTAGCTGGATGGAGCCGTGACATTGCATCGTGCGTGCATCAAGAGATTTCACATCTCTCTCTGACAAGACTGGGAAGCAAGGGTAAGAAGCTCGAGTGGGGGGAGCATTTTTTGGATAGCTTCTTTTGAGGATCACGATCGAGTACACTGGTTTTGGTGGATCTTGATACTTGGGGCATACAATATGATGACCTTATCACAGGGATTGGAAAAGATACTTGGAGTTACAATACAACATTTGAGTGAACTCATCTCAAGACTTGGAAATGGCTCTCGTGGGCACAGACGATTCTCACTATGTCCCCGTCTTTCAGATTTGCCTGGAACGTAGATGAGGTGCTCGAAGAAACATGCATCAATTTCTGTATATACATGCCTCATATCTATGCACTACCACAGACCTAGCATCACAATCATCGCACTTTCAAGAAAACAGAAACCCGTAAAAACCCGCACAGCATCCAATCCAATCCAAGCAGTACTCAACCCTACATCCTTACCATCCCCAAAAAAAATCACACATGAAAGCACATTCCACAATCAAACACCAGTGGGAACGAAATAAACACACCAATCCACCACCCCAACCTACCATCAAATCCCAATCTGAACACTAGACCATCCCAACACCTTTTTCCCATTTCCTTCCTTCTCCAGAATCCAGCCTTCACAACACTCCTTTTTAGCGAAACAGTGGTTATATTGTATTGCAAAGGGTTCTACCTATTAACATACCTACCACCGCAGAGACTAAGAAGAAAAGAAAAAAGCGTACCGCGGATTACCGTTGGAGTGAAAAACTGCGGGACCTACACAAACTATATGAATATCCATCAAGAGTTATTCTAATGAGTCTTTTTTGCGTGTAGATTGATTGAATTGGCGCTAAAGGTACTTACTGATGGATGGATAGATTTTTAGCAAACCACTTCACTTGGCCTTTCTTTTTTTCTTCTTGTCGAAGTTATACGAAAGCATGAGTGAGTGAATGAATGTGGGAAAAAAAGACTTTTTCACAGTTTGGAATTTGCTGGAATATAAATGCTAAAGATGTCCGATCCCCCCTTTTTGCGACCGATTTCCTGAAACGAAACTATGACATTTGGTCTACTTGTATGGAGGGGGGAGGGGAGGAGGTTATCTCGCAGAATCGTGGGTCGACCAAGCTTTTATTTGTTGGCAAGATTTGACAGCGATAGTTCTAATCATAATGGATTGTGCAATAACTTGATGTCTTGGACGACAGAAAGTCATCACCATACACACAGAGAAAGCAATGAGAGGGGAAGATGACGGTATTCATATACGAATTTGAGTGAATTAAAAGCGAACTAATGGGAGGAGATTCCTGGTAAGCAGAAAAAGAAGAAACCCCTAGAGCGGAACTAAAAGCAAAGAAGAGAGAGAATAAAGAAAACCGCCCGTCCAAGATTTTTTTTTTGAGTGATAAAAAACCCCCCCTTCCAAGAAACGACAGACATTTGGCAGATAACCAAGTCCATCTCCATTCGCACACGTCTAGACATCGAGTCGTCTCTTTCTACCTCACCTCACGTATTCAAGGGTGAGTTCGCAGTCTTCGATACACCGCATCCTCCCCTCCCTCGAAGAAAACCAAGGTAAGCAAAAAAAGAAAAACAGATAGCGCCGGACCGAATGCAGAGGATGTGACAATCGTGACATTTTTTTTTGCAATGACGCAATGACCCCCTTGAGACAACATGGCGATGAACCAATATAGGAGAATAAAAAACAGAACGAAGATAAAACTCCGTGAACCAAGTCTAGTACTTTTGTGATTGCCGAAGACGAACGCCGTGCAGATGTAAGAATATATGCTCAACCGTGGGGGTATCAACCGTAAAGAGGCGTGCTACACGCAGCGAGATAGAAGAAAGCAGCCGTGGGACGGGGGTATTGCTGCCGACCTTTAGAACATATTTGTATCTATGCCCGTCATGCCGGCACCCGCCACATTCGTATTCACGTTCATTCCCTGCAGCGCGGGCATTTGATTGAAGGCTAACTCCGGATTGCATCTTGGTGCGTGCGTCCGGTGGTATTTGAGGCCGTTGAGGTTCTTGTACCTCTTGCCGCACATTTCGCAGCGATACGGCTTCTCCTTTTCCATGCCGACGGTCCCGGGGTAAGGAATGGATGTGACGGGATCGACAATTGAGAAGGTGCCGTCTTCGTTCTCCTTGAGTTGTTGATTTTGGTGACCGTGCTAGAAGCATATGTTAGTGCCAAGTTCAAGGCATAATGTGATGTACGACATACCTGTTTGTGATACTTGAGGCCGTTCTGGTTCTTGTAGGCCTTTTCACAGCCGATGACGGGACACCTGAATGGCTTGACTTCCTCAGGGAAGGGGAATTGTGGCACGTTGGCACCGTTCATCATCTGCTGCTGCTGCATTCGCTTCGCCATCTCACTCTGATCACCGTTGGCAAGTTGGTAGTTCTTAAGGGCAGCTTGGAGTTGCTGTTGGCTGAGGCCGCCACCCTGTTTACTGAACAGACGCTTTCCAGGCTGATCGATTGTGCCGTCGAATCCGGCCATGGCGCCGAAGTTGCCGTTGCCAAAGTTCATGTCCATGCCTTGCATACCCATCATGGGCTGGTTGAACCCCACAAAATCCATATCGAGCTCGGCAGGGGTGCCAGGATGCGATGATTCGGGAGATGTGAGGTTGTAAGCATTCTGCATTGGGACGGTTCCAAGAGTAGGTGTGTTCACCGATGAAACCGTGGGGTTATTTTGCAGGTTGAACTGCTGCGAAGCAGCCGGGGTGGTTGGGGTAGATGTATGCATGCCTTGGTGGTTCTGCATTGTGTTGGCGAGGTTGACGTTCAGAGGCGGGAGTTGGCCCTGGTTCTGGTTGAACTGGTTTTGTTGGTTAGGGAAGGGCGACGGTGCCTCCTCGATGGTGGCAAGGTTGTCATTCACGTCGTCCATCTCCATGTCCTCGAGCGAATCCATGTCCTGTACAGTGGATAGGTTGGTCCGGCTGAAGCCATCCGAGCCTACTCGCTGTGTCCGACCTCCGCCTATGGATCCGGAACGAGGCTGGAAGCCCAGCTGGGTATGTGTCGCAGGATCTCCATGGGTCTGGGTCTGGCCTGGCGTGATACCGGGATTCTGTGCACCAGATGTGGGGGGTAGACCGCTCTGGGTCGGCTTGGAATGCCGGGAAGCGGGGGCATCGGCGTGAACCTCTTCGAAGTGCTGAAGCACGTCGTGCAGATTGGCGAGAGTTAGGCCGCAGCAGGTGAAGTCGCGCATGAAGTTGGCCTCCATTTTGGGGAGATAGGACGACGAGTGGAAAGAAGGCGACTGGTTGTTGAAGCCTGCGGGAGAGGTTCCCATCATAATGCTGTGGTTTTGATCAGATTAGCGCTGAGACGGATTGCGTGATGCGGTGCGGTGGGTGGAGAAAGACTTACTCATCGCGTATCCAGGAGCCTACAGAAACGCCACCCCAGCTAAGGCCATTGACCAGACTGCCCATGTTGTTAGACTCGCGGCGTGGGCGGTCCTTCATGGAAATAGGGTGAGCGCCACTGCCATAGAAGGAGCCGCCGAGGCCATTGGTCAAGGAGTCGCGGTGAACGCCGAGGCTGGGCCGTTGGTGGTGAACATCGTTGGCAGGAGAGGAGAAGGTGTTGTTGCCGGCGTTGCTAGGGGTGGTGTTGTTTGAACCCTCGCGGGAGGCAGCGGCTTCGCGCAGAGCACTGGTCAGATTGGAGGTCTGGTTCTGCGGGGAGTTTGAGCCGAAGCGCGGGGCGATGGTCGCAATGTCGGGAGGCGAGGCTGCCTGTGCCATGTCTTGCAACAGGCTGTGTGTCGGCGGCGGGCTGTCTGGGAACAGCGGGAAGCTGCAGTCGCCGGCGTCTTCGAACAAGAGATCCGAGTCGGGCAGAGGGCACAGAGAGGCGCTGAGCTCGTGCGGCTTGCGTTGCCAGGCTAGCGAAAGCTGCGAGGGCTTCAGACGGCCAAACTGGGGGGACGAGGCCGAGGGTTCGGTGGGAGTGCTGATGGGGGTGGTGTCTGCAGTCGACTCACGCCCTCGATCGCTGGCGAAAGGCGAGTGGCAGAGGGGAGGCGGCGTAGTCTCCTGGAAATCCAGCTTCGCGGTGTGCGGGGGGTATTTGGAGAGGAAGAGAGGCTGGGCGGGTGGGCCACGGAGGAAAAAAGGTGCACTCGACTCGTCACGATGAGACGGACGGGGCTGATTCGCAGGCGGGCGTGGGCAGGCAAGGCAAGTCGGGAGCGGGACCGGACGAGTGGGTAGCAAAAGTAGTGCTGGCTCGCTCGCTCGCTTGGTACGCGGTTGGGTTGGCTGGCTGGTTGGTTGGGCGGATTGCCTGCAGACAGACGCCTCGTTTTTGTAGAGATGGATGAGGGAACGAATGGAGGTATGGGTGAATGGATGGATGGATGGATAAGTATCCGATATAATGAGGAATAAGGAATCTGTTCTGGCTGTCCCTCTACGTAGGATAGGATAGGATAGGATGGAACCGAGCCGAGCCAATGCGTGTGAGCTGCGGGGAGTGCGGTTGGCTGGGGAGGATGGTGGCGCGTATGTATGTAGCTGTCGATGTATGCAATGGGCAATTGCAACGACGACTGACCGACTTTGTTCTGGATGGATGGATCGGATAGGTGGTGTTGGTGTGTTGGAGAGGGAGGGCGCAGGTGTAGGTAGGTAGGCAGGTAGGCAGGTATGATATCAAAGAGCAGCAGCAGGTAAGAATTATGTATTCACTCACTCGATGGATTAACCAAGCAATCAATCCAGCAGCAGTCAGTCAATCAATACTCGGTAGGTAGCTGGGCTTTGGTGCACCGACGCAAGAACAGGGCCGCCGCGGGCAGACTGGGATTATTAAATATGTACAGACAGACTGGCGGCAAGCAGCAGACAACAACCCTCCCAAAAAAAACAACAGCCAGCAGGCGCTCGAGGGAAGGAGGAAAGAGCAAGGGAAGCGGTGACGAGACGGGAAGCGACCATCCCTGTCGGGCTGCCGCCATGTCCAAGTGTTCGGTCGAATGAGCGGCCAGGCTAATGTGAGTCTAACTCTCCACGCTACCCAGGTTCGCCGCTGCAACGAAGTCTCCATGGCCTGGGATGGCCGTGACTATTGCGAGTATAGTACGCCGTGTTATATGGTACGGTATGGTATAGCCGCCTGTCTCCATGATGGCGACGTTGGCGACGGGCGTGATCGACACCGTCCATGATAATCATGATGAGAGCGATGATGCTGATGATGCAGCCAGCGCTGGACGGCTTCATCGAGTGACGCCGAAGTGAGAGCCGTTGGCCCTGGCCTCTGAGGTCACTGCTACACCACGCTGCACTGCATGCCCCCCCAGTGGTGAAGTGATTCTGACTGACTGTCTGGCTTGATGTCTCCGAAGCCAGGCTGCTGCTCGCGTGTCTCAAGTCGATGCACGTACCTACTCACATGCGGTACAGTACAGGACAGTAGAGTAGACTAAGTATACAGTACAGTAAAGTACAGTACAGGTTGACATGGTTGCTGGTAGGTAGCGCACTTGCCTCGCCCGAACCACGACCTGTTCAACGCATCGTCGGCTCACCTGCCGAGGCTCTTCTGGCCCTGCCGCCTCCCACCTCAAGGCACAGGCAGGCCTGGCACAGTCGTGCATTGCTTTCAAGTCCTGGCTGGCTGGCTGCTGTTCGACTACTACCATACATACCCAAGTACCTATCCACCACGGCGATGCTAAGATCAAATCCAATAGACCAATCCATCGGAGCAAAGGGGTCTGGCCTTGGGACATTGCGCTACGGTAAGGCTGTCGCCTCACAACCAACGTGTGTGGTGGTGCTATTGATTACACACTACCTAGCTCTGCTGGGCCGGCTACGAATCGGCATGACGAAGCTGATGCCTCATGTTGCCTCCTCTTGCACACAGTGATTAATCATTCATTCATTCAATCATTCGTGCTGCGAACCATGCACGGCATTCGAGTCACCCCGTTGACTCATCGCCAGTACATGGTTGAGGCGGCATCTACTCATTGTACAGTGCAGGTACTTAATTGATGATACGCCCATCAAAATAGAACACAAAACAGAGTGAGGTTGATGAATCGCCCCTCGCACGTGGCGGGCCACTATGTGGCTGAAGCCAGCTTGAGCCTCCGTCGACTTTGAATCGGCCACTTAGTTCGTTGATGGCAGAGTACGCTGTTTACTCCGCCGACACCCACCACCCCCTTTCGACCAACCGACAGAAACCGATGGAGAAACATGGACAACATTGAGAGCCGCCTGAGACAAGCAAGCCATCGTGCCCTCTCCTTTTTTTCCCCGCGGAACGAGCGCGGAGAAGGTGAGGAGAGGCGCGCCGTTACACCCTTTTGCTCAATTACAAAGTACTGTCGCCCAGAAGGTCGCCTTGCCGCCCCGCCCGCCGTATGCGCATCACGACCCACCACTGCCCTGCTACTACTTGGTTGTTCCCTCGGTGATTGAGATGCGTAACTCTGTGTGTAATTGCATGCATCCATGCATGCATGTGCTGCATACCAGTCTTTCCTTTCTTTCTTCCATTGCCCATCCAACCAACCATTCATCGTCCACCAAAGTCTGCCACCCCACTCATCTGGAGTGTTACCTGCTCAAGTCTCATGCTCTCCCTCCCCCCACAAATCCGCAGCCCTGGATGGCCTACTACCGACTGGGACCTGACTGTTCCGTCCGCTGTCACTTTTGCTACTTGCTTGCTACACTACTGCTCGTGTCAAAAGGGTCAATCGGCCCGTTGGCCAGCCTGATCTTTCGTCCATGCCCTCGCCTTGTATCGAGTGCACGCACAAGTAGCTACACGTACGTGCCAACATCTGTACGTTGACGTCGACCTTGTCCCCGTTGGAGAAGGGACCGGCGGAGGAATCCCTACCGTGTCGTTGTGCCGCTAGAATCGGATTTTCCAGATTCGAAAGAGATTTTCCTTCGGCTGTTTGTCTGCTTCGAGAACGGCTTACCCGTTTTTTCTCAACCGATGACGAACCGAGCAGACAGACACCATGCACGCAATAATAGAGCATGTACCATGTAGATTATCAGAACAAAAAATGGCAACCACCAAGCACGATCATCTGTGTAGTTGCACCTTCGCGTTTCCGTCCTACGTAGGTATCTTGCACGGTACAGGCTGAAGGAGTGACTTCAATTTAATTCTGATACAATCCAAGGATCAACGAAGACGTGGACCTTGTTCGATCCCACAACGGTGTCGCTCCTGTACGCGTTGTTCGGTAGGCTCAATGCTTTGCGGCAGATGTTGAGAAAACCATCGTGACTATAGATTCGTTACCTTGGCTACCGTTCGGTACTTGGTACCCCGTCACATACGTCCTCACCAAGCGAGCATCAAAGTCTATAGATTATTATACCAGCCATGACAGCCTCTGCCTGATTCTCCCACCCGCCGCCACAGACGCCGCACAGAAGAGCCTCAACTCAGTCCAAACCCCCCCAACAAGACGCAGACGTGTGCAATTGCTGCTCCCTGCCTGAATCTGCCACCCTTGTGCCCTCGTGACTCTATCCGATGACGGAGATGCAACAGCCAGATGCTGCTTGAGCCAATCACACAGCGGCGCACCGCCCGTCCTTGCCGATCAACAGCAGGAGCACTGACAAATGTACCCAATCACTGGGTCCAATTCCCCTTTCTGCTGGACCCTGCATATCTCATTTCGCCTTTTTTTTTTCTTTTGATCCTTCGAAAAAGTGCACGCATGACGGCTTTCTCCAGCTCCAACTCGACCTCTCTGTCTCTGAGCCATCGTCGCTGTACACTCTCCACATGATGCCGTAGCGCCTCCAAGGCGCCGTCTATGCGCTCGGAAATCCACCACCCCACAAAAGCCACGTGCAGCAGCGTTTCACTAGGTGCAATGTCGGCCTGCTTCGGCCAACCGTGCAATATCATGAATGGTCCTGTCTATGCGTTGGCCAGCCAGCCAGCCCAGCTTGAGGATGGAAACGACTCCAAGCATGCACGCAAACAAGCATAGCCCGGCCCGCCATGTCAAGTGCCTACCTCCGAGTCTTCTCCCCAGGGGCGGCAAGCAGTCTCAACGTCGAAACGTCGGAGCTTGGACGCCAAGCCGACAAACCGAGGCTAGCGACCTGGCTGATCCCCAAGTTTCCATGCTCCCACCTATCACCAGCTCCCATCCATCTAACCTCCATCCATTCAGCCCTCTCTCCTATGTACCTTTGGGCCACATCTTCCCGGCCAGCATCGGCTGCGTCCTTTGTGGCGCACCGCCTGCCAGCACTCCGACTGTTTGTTGCACGTGAGCGAATACGATGAACCCAAACTCTCTTTCCACACCATGCCACGCCACGCTGTCGCTCGTCGCCCATATGCCAATCCGCATGGAACAATCAATGATGCTCCCTGAATGACATCCCCCCCCTCGCCGAATTGGAGTCACGCTTGTGGACGCTTGTACTGTCCCTCCAACTCCATCAGGAACAATTCATGCCCAACCCCCAAGAGCAAATTATCCCGTCTATATTAACCTACCCTTTGCAGCAAGTCAAACGAACCCTGTACCGAAACGTCCATTCCCAGGATGCAAGGTTGGGAACGCCCTACCGTTCTGGGCTTAGTCTCGCTCACCGCTTTCAAACTTCTCACCCACGCGTTAGAGACAACATTAGGTCCTGCCAGGCGACGCACGTTGTGCAAGGAGCTTGCGTGTCGCCAGTGACCACCACGCCTCATGCCATTTGCTCGACCCTGAACCTGTTCGTCTTGAGTGCACTCTCGTTCAGGGTCTACTCCAGAGTATCGACAGATATGTCTATTCGTGGCGAGTTTTTGTACATTTCGTCTCGAGAATCGGGGTTCTCACATCTCCAGGCCGCCTCTAGTGACGTTTGTTCCCTGACTTCAAAACACATGAAACTCACCTACTTCAATACTGTAACATGGTCCAGCTCGAGACGAGGTCGACTGAATTGCTGTCAAGCATAGAGGGCCATGTGGTCTTCGTGTCACGTCTGCTTAGCATGTATGCACAACGTGCTCGTACGGTCCGTGTGGCAAGGGCGAAAAGAAACGCGAGGCTCTTTTGCCACCTCTTCGTTTTTTCGCTTACCTGCGGATCGTAGTCGACAGGTGTCCTAGTGACTTGTCGCATGGGCCTTAATTCGACTTCCAAAATATCTCGAGTCCGTCGCTATGCTACAACACCGCGCCATCAACTTGGCTCGGACAGTACTCAGTTCTCAACACCATGTTTGATGTAGTTGCTCAACTTCGGGTTCGGTCCGCCGCTGAGTTGAGGTCCCAGAGTCATGCTACACTCAACACGTGGTGGGTAGCTCGTCCCGAAAGCTTCCTCCCGTCTCCTGTTCTCCACTATCTCAGATACTCTCCAGCGCCCACATAACGCGTAATATTACTATAGGCCAAGTCGGCCAACTACATTGTTCAAAACTCCTTGGACCCAGCTGCTAAATGAACAAGCCGCCCACACCTACTCGACATTACGTTATGAGGGTACCAGATCCACACTGGACCTATCGCTAACGGGAGCTAGATGAACTTCTTTCGCTGATGCAAGCGGGATCTATTCTACCGTGAAAGATTGAGTGGGTGCGGGAATCCCATCCCAGTCGAAGATCATGGGCGTTCTCGAAAATGGATGATGCACCATTTTGATGATTCGGACCGACTCTTACAATCAGACATTCGGATGGAAGGATCGTTCATGGAAGGCGTACATCGTCCCGTCCTATGAAGCTTACACACTGTGTTTCGGCATACATACTCGCTTCAACCCGAATTGACCCTCAAGTCCCTTGTTGAGACGCAGCTAAGGTCACGCAGTCCACTGAGAAAGAGCAAGCCCATACGGATCGACATTCTCATACCCATGTCACCACATTAACCCGACCTCCTTCCCCACTACGAAACATCAGCACGTAGGGAAGAGAATCGGAATGTGCTTGCATTGGTTGGCCACCTCACCTTCACTCCTCCATCCATCACCCTCAGCCTCACCAACAAGCTACAAAGGCATCAACAACATGTACACCCTCAAGACCAAGCTCTTGACCCTTGTCACCTACGCGACAACTTCGGCTCGTTGGCTCGTTTTCGCTGCAATGTCGGACCTTCTATTACCGCCGAATGACTGGGAACGCACCCTCCACCAACATTGGCATCACTGATGAGGTATTCGCCTGTCGTCATTGTACATGTAGACCCTTGCCTCTCCACGAATCTGCATCTCGATGCGGGTAACTACAGATGTAGTTCTCAGCTGTACCTGCGCACCAGTGATTGACAAGACCACGTGCCTGCGTGCTGATCCGTTCATGCCTTATCTTCAATCGACTTAATGGATCTTGGGATTCGATTGATTGCGAAACAAACACTCGGATCGTTCAGCCCCAGCGGGAAGCTGTCGTCATTGTGCATTCGTACCCTGGTCCCTATCTCCCTCTTGATGCTCAACGTCTCCTCGATCTGGACATCCTTCTCCCACGAACCAAAGTTATGTCTGGTTATCGACACCATAGATAACCACGCGTGTATGTACCCGCAACCTCGCTCAACATCCTCAGCTATCAGGCCGTGTAGAGATACTCGTGTCGTTGAAACATCACGTCCGCCGAACCCTCTTTCGGGATCCCGAAGTCGCTGTTTGACGTCAATGCCAACCCCATCCTCTGCATCTAACGGGCCTTTGTCGTTTCTATTCCAAAGCCGTGACGTATGTAGCCGGGTGGCTTATCGTACACCATGGTAACGCAGCGCGTAAGTTGCATTTTTTGGAGAATGCGTATCCATCACTATCTACCTAGCAAGTCTGGGGATCGATCGTGGGAGGAGGTGAGGCGTGTGAGGCGTTTGGTAGAATCATGGCAGAGGATCTCGTGGTTCACCTCATCTCTAGGGACCGCTTGTCTCCCCTCCCTTTTTTCCCTCCACATGTGTATTGCAAACTCGGTAGAGTGTTGTTGAAGTGAATCCTAATGATTACGCGTCTATAGAATACCATCATATCAGTCAGTTGTGAGGACAGATCAAGATAGATACTGCATGATGAATACATAACATCTACTTCTCACTCTAGCTTCTATGCTTGCCCTTTTTTTGTATGACTTTTCTACTCTCCTCTTAATATCCTGCATTGTTTTCATCGCTCTCTCTCTCTCTCTCTCTTACATCACGATCCTCTAGTTTAGCAAGGAAAGAAGTTCAAAATATTCACGTTATCCTACAAACCCTCAGACAAGAAGGAAAAAGAAGAAGAAGAAGAGAGAGAGAGAGGAGAAAAAGGACCTCGCAAAATCCTAATCCCAACAAAAATCATTACATCCTCTGATCCTATAGCACTATACACAACGCAACAACCATCGTCTATTATTAAATTTAAACAACCCCCCTTTTTTTTTCTTCTCTACTGGTGTTAATATCTAAAAATATTTCTAGAAGACTCTGTGTGTACATAATGTAGAATTTGTAATGCTCTTAACAAAAAAAAAGGTAGAAATAAAAAAAGACAGATGTTAGAAGGAAAAAATGTAAATAATAGATGCGTTAGGTATGTACGATTGTATTAAGCTCTAAGTAAGCGGAGGAGGATAAATAGAGAGGGAGAATTGAAGGAGAGATGCAGTGGTGATGGGGATGGATGTGTAAGGGTGAAGGAAAGAAAGAAGGCACGATATTACTAGTGCTGTATTGCGTGAGTGTAAGGCCCCCCCACCCCCTCTTTCGTTCTTCTCTTTCTTCTCCTTCATCGAATACATCGTTAGGGAAGTGATGGCCAGTAGTATGGATCTGGGGCCGGAGGAGTCTGTGGCTATGATGTTGCTTGCTTTGTAGAAAGTTTGCGGTCGGTAAGTAGATAAAAAGGCGTGTGCATGTTTTGTGTGGATGTATGTAAGTGAGGGTAAGAACACCGCTACATTTAGATTCGAGATTGGAAATGTTGTTGCAAGTTTCGAATGCCTGTGTACAGGAAGTTGAAGCGGGGAGCAGTTTAGATTTACTTTGTAGCTACGGTAGTTGGTTAGAAAAAGCTCTCTCTATTGATAAATTATACGTAGTATATAGATGCTTTGTGGTTAGACAGTGCAGACATTGAGCGGACAATGCTGTGGTATACATAGTCTATCATCATTGCCCACGTGCTATTGTCATCGTCCCACATTCAAATCTAGGTTCGGTGGTGTATGAGACGGTTGATTTGCAGTATACGATTGCTAATTATTTGTACACGCTAGAATACGAGATATGCCTGTATTAGAGACTCGGTGTCTGCCATGGAAACCTGCCAGCAATTGTCCAACAGCAGACTTTGTGTTATCTTTCACAACCTAGAACGCAGAAATCAAGCACTTGCGGAACGCTCGGTCGACATCCTTTCTCCTGAACCCCGGCGATCTCCCTAGACAAACAGCATGTAAAATCATTTCTATCGTTCGTTAGCGATTGTTCCGATCTTCAAGAATAGACGGTAGACTTACCATCGACTAATTTTGTAACGTCCACCCACGCCACTTTTTTCTTTTTGATATTTTGTCTTGCTTCCAGTGGCTCTCCGTTGCTACTGTTCCCGTGCCCTGCACCCATCAAGTCCAACCCCAATGGTCCCATGTCGACATTGCTGTCGAAATTCAAGGGTGGGAAATTGTGCGGTGGGACTTGGTTTTGCGTGTTCATGGCGAAACCGGGAGCGAGGTCAAGGCCGATGGCTTCGTCGAAGAGATTGAAATCTAGAGAGGGTAGATTGGAGTTCATGTCTATACCCATGTTCATGTCCATGCCGAATGGTGCGTCGGGTTGCGTAAACAGGTTGCTGGTATTGCTGGCGTTGGCCGCATTTTGTGCTGGCATGTTACCGTGGGATGTAGACTGCGTACTTGCGGCTTGCCCTGGGTGCGAGGCTGAAGTGGGAGCTGGCGGCGGCGGCGGCGGTGGCCATTTTCCGGTATCGTAAGGGTGGAACGTCTTCCCATGTAATCCCATGAATGCGCCAAACTCTTCGCCCGGTGACCCCGGAGTGTTGATGTAATCCTCGTCGACGAGAACTTCCGCGAAAGACTGCTTTGGATCAATGCGGCAGCCTTTCTCCTGCTCCAGATAGCCCTCCACATCGACTGGGTCGAACCACTCGCCCTCAAAGCCTGTGAGATCGATCTTCATCTCGTGATTCTTGGATGGATCCGAAATGTTTTCGACGAGAACTGTGTTTGATGATATCGGCCCTACTCTTCGTATCTTCCAGTTATTTGGTTTAGAGATGATCGTCCCTTGAGCATCCTTTGGCGGATAATGTGTTCCCGCGCCACCTAGATGTAGAAAAGGAGACTCCCAGCTGTCAAGATCTTCGTGTATGCCACGAGATAACAAACCCTTGAACCCTTCAAGAAGTTCATCAACGCTCTTATGCGGTACCCACAGTCTAAAGACCCGGTTGATGGTCGCAGGCCTTTGCGGAGCAATACTGAGAAGTTGGTAGCCAGCCTCAAAAGCGGCGCGGCTCAGCCGACGAGCGAAGGTGGTCTCATCATGGCTATATGTACAAGCAGTTCTCACTGGCTTGGTAGACAGAATGTTCAACGTAGGGGGTGATGGCAAGCGCTTGGATGGCGGTGTAGTCTCCGGTGTAAGGATAGCCGCCGTGATTGCTTGGGAACTCTGCGTCCTGGAAGAGTATTCTTGCTGCCTGACATCAACCATTCCAAAAGGTAGTTCATTGGACTCGCCACGTTCCGGCGCTTGCACCGAGTTCCATGAAATGGCTTGGTCCATGACTTGTCCCACTCTGACTGGCGGTCTCAGTACCCTAGATGTGTAATTATTGTCTCCGTACATGGGCGCATTCGGCGCAGTTGGTGCTTTTGAAAACTCCTTATCGCTTCTGTGGACGGCTTGCGTTGATTCCCAGTTACCTGATCTGGGTACTGCATCGGCCATCTCTGTGCTGTAGCCCCAGCCAATATCCATACGGTTTTCGCTGTTTGGTTGTGCTGGTAGCACGTGCTGTTGTTCTTGACTTCTCGACTCTGGCGCATCCTGGCCATTTGTAGTTGCATCGATCATCGACTCCGCCATATCGTCATCTCCATCGACACTATTTTCAGATGCAGATTTGACTAGAGCAGCAAAGTGACCTGTGATCTGCTTCAGATGCGTGGTAAGATTTGTGTCTAATTGAAGGACACTTGACTTGGCAGCGGCCGTATCGAACTCAGTGACAAGTTTGTTCATTTGAGTAATGATGGCTTGTAGGCGGGCATTCTTTTCTTGCAGTGAAGCTATCGTTGTTTCCTTACGTTGTCGATATGCTCGTTGAGCAAGACGAATTTGAGTGCGCCGTCGCTATATAAAGATGTGAGCAAACTGTTGAAGAGGAAGCTACTTCAAATAACAATAAAGAGCATCCGTATATGAGACAAGAGCCATGTTAAGTAGCAGTTCAGTAACCGCGGCGATGGATTTACAGTATCATCATAACCCATTAGGAGTTCTAATCCATAGTCCCCACTCAGGTGAACAATGGCGATAGAGAAGATAGCGACCAAGTTATTGAGATTATAACTCACATCAGCAGCGGTGGCATCCTGGGTATCCACTCGCGGTCTCCCCCTAGCTTTCTTTCCAGCAGCATCATCCTCCAGACTCGCCCGGCCTCTCCCACGCTTCGTTCCCCGTCGTTGCCCCACTTCATCTGGACTTGACATCCTACTGCCCACCTCTTGACACTGACCTCAGATCTACTATCTTGACAGTGCCCTTGATAGTCACGTTACCAAGGGCTTGATAGGGTCAGGGACAGCGTTGATCTAATGTGGGGCTGGCCCGGTTCCGGACAGCTCCGCGGCTTCTCTCAAAGCTGGAAGTCGAAGGATTGGCCGCCCAAACAACTGCCGGTGAGATCCAACAGAAAGCGAGGAAATGCGATGGCCTACGAAATACAGACGGGCACAATCTTGTGAGTAGAAATTGATGTAGCTATTGAGCGAAACAGTCAGGGAGAAACATGCCCAAAGCACACGAGACGAGCTGTAGGAGGTTTAGCTTGGTAAGCAGATGCGAACTCCTTGGTACAGGCGTACTTTGAGGGCCGGGAAGTCGTCCACGCCGATGCGCCAGTTCCGTCCGAGATCCACCAACGTTGATTCCGTATATGCGGGGTGAACCTAATGGTGGGTGTGGTCTTTTAATGCACACGAGAGGCAATTCTCTCAGGATTGAAAGAAATCCTGGAATTTGATGGGATTGTTGTGTGCACACAGATAATGTCGCTTTCCGCTGATGCATAAGCAGATTTCGATTACTAAACGTTTCGCTTACGTGCACCTTTCCCTCTTCTCTATAGTGTCTGATCCCTCAGTCTGATCGGAAATTGACTCAAGTAATACAAGCTGGCTTGTTTGATAATCACGGAATTCTAAGAGCCACCCTCTACAAGATTGGAGCCTGTCATAAAGCCCTTCTTATCGCCAATGACGAATGAATTGTAAGTTGGAAATTGGGTGATCCTACATATAGCGATAGCAACTGTTTATAACAATAAATGAACCAAAAAACAGGCGGTTACCAAAAGAGATTTGCGAATATATCACCAATGCATTCTTGAATATTTTTGGTCACGGTACTGAGTAGGCAATCTGTCTATTGTATATACATTCACAAACATGCCTCCTGTTTGCACTGGGAGCATTAATGATATGCTCATGTTCAAGAATTATGTTTGGGATAGATGGAAGGGCGATCAAGGTCCGAAAAAAAACACCATCCAAATAACGGAATCTGAAGATGACAATGATATTTTTCGGTTCTACCTCAGGAGCGACTAATGTTCGGATAGAGCAAGTAATAGTATGTCGCCATTCCTAATAGATGTTGCAATTCGTTTCCGGAAAATAGCTACACCTCGGTTCAAGCGTGTTCCTTTCGTTTTCTAGAATACTCATGATCCACAGGTCTCCTGGCCATCTCCTTATCCCTTGACTGGCCCTCATAAATTTTCCTGCTTTCTAGGTCGTTCTCCGTCTTACTAGCATGCATTTCTGGGTCGGTACATCCTGGCAGAATCCTTGGTCCGAAGATGGAAAGATCAGGCCTGAAAAGACAAGAATCAAAGTCAGTAAAGTACAAGCATGAGTTTAACAGTTTTTCGTGAGTATTTCAAAACTCCTCACAACACTGAGTCGTGTTTTTCACACCGTGATGTCTCAGTAAACCTTCTGCTCTGAAAAACGTACCTTAGCTCATCAGGCGGAGGTGGCGGACGTATCGGTGGCGCGCTTTTCATATCATTAGAGAAAGATCCTTCACTAGTTCTGAGTGTAGATAGTGTATGCCTTTCGTGCAGCAACGCGCAGCTATGGTAGCCATTGGCCAGTGGAGCAGGTTCGGCTCGAGTGGGTGATGAATGATTGTCATTTGACACAAAATGCCAATCAACCGGTGAGTATCTTCTGAGGCTCTTCGTGGTTTTACTGCCTTGTGTACCATCAACAAGACTTTTCGAGACGTATGAATCATGCCCAAATGAACTTTGTGTCCTACGCCTCGCTAATCGAGAACTCAGCATACTGGTTCGAATATTGTGTAGAAATGGTTTGAAAGCCGGTCCGCAAGCGAGAGTTATCGATAGAGCTGCGTGAGCTTGTGTTATAGTGTGGAAAGGGATGCTATCGAAAGACAGGTCCGCGCCTTCGGGAAGATAGGCACGCATGAGGACAACGCGGATGACGGATAGGCCCATCAAACTGGGACTGTTAGCTCAGAACAAACTTCTCAGGGAAGACCTAGCGCACAATAATCGAAGGGTGAAGATGGCCATTACAATCAACTTCTTCTTTGTTTTGATGTCCAGTCCAGCAACAATTTGAATGGGTAGCAGTATCATGATAACATCCGTCGAGACGTCGATTGCACTAGCGGAGAACCAGAAGGGCAACTGTCATGTTTAGTCTCTTCCATAAAATATCATTAGAGTGGTGAATAGGTATTCATACAACTTCTATGCAGTGGTTCTGGTAGAACCCCCATGGTTGAGGTAGTCCGCAAGCAAACACAACGACCAAGGTGACTGAGATAGTCCAGAGTAAGACAAGAATACTGAGTACGGTCACACAAAGTCGTTGTAAACGCGTGCAGGCGAGCCTGTCGAGGAATGCCATGACAGATAGTTTCGAGATGCCGACACTCAATACATATAGTATGGTAACGATATAGCATTCTTTCTGTATTTCATCACGGCGATCCGCACTCAGTTGAGAGTATCGTTTCCCCAGGCCAGACTGTACAGCGAAGGACACGACGACCATACCACCGATGGCGATTGCCTGGTAACTAAAGTCAGCTGTCGTTGATCTGGACTTTCAGAGCAAGCCGAATGGCAGATCCGCTTACTACAGCAATAATGACACATAAGTCATCCACATAAGGGCCGTTCTTTGTCAGAAATCGCGTCCCAATACGTAATGCAGTAGCAAAAATCTATCCGCGTAAGTTCCCATTCATTGCTGTGTGATTTCGAGTGATACTTCTTACCAAAATGCAGCCCAAACACCAGGTAACAATTGCCAAGATGGCACCGTGATCATCATCGGTAACGACCGTCTGATTTGACTCTCCAGTCATGATAACAGAAGCCTTGTACTGCTCTTCATGAAAGAACGGAGTTCAACAGTCTCTGGATAATTAAACATACAAGAAAGAACAAGAAGATCATACACGAAATGCTTGGTCCAGATTGGAACCGTGGGGTGGGTAACGGTGGATTTTAGCTCATACCCAGCTGCCGTGTTCAGCAGATAGGTAACCCTTGAGATCTCGGGAGCGACCATACGCCTAGATGTACGAGATTTTGGAGTACAGAATGTTACGTTAACTTGAGTTTTCAGCTGCACTCGATCCCTTCGCTACGTACATTTCCTTCCTTTTAGTTTCAGGTAGATCTTGCAGAACCTCTTCGAGAGAGAACAGAAGTATTTGAGGAGTGAAGATGGATGAAAACGAGGCAAGCTGTTACACCGAAAAGAAATTCCACAACAATTATGCACGTCTTCTACGTCAGATGCCCGATTTAGAGAAGAATCAGTGGATAGATGGATTATTTTTTCTTTCCCGAAAGTTCGGATTTAGCATGCATCGAATCCACAGTAAAGCGACGGCTGCAACCAGGGAGACCCGAATGGCCCATACAATGCGATGGTTATGCAATCCAGGTAAGTGGATTTTCGGGATGTCTCATGATGGTCCCGATTGTAAGAGGTGTGTGACCTGCGCCTGTGTCACTTTGACACGTCATAGTTGCTTTTTTCTTTCTCTGACCCCAATCTGGTCTGCGGCAATGGCTGACACAAGACACAACCGATTGTTAGGATGCGAGAGCTGCCCTTGTTCGATGCATGTAGGTGAAATCCGATTGAGCTGTGGCTTGGGACGGGGCTCCCGTTGTCGGTTGGTGATAGTGGTACCTATACCTTCAGGTCTTAACTTTCCGGCTGTCATGATCACACCCTGGATTTATGCTTTTCGGCGATGAATCAAATCAGCTAGCTACTGAACCATACTTTCAGGTCTTGCCAATTTCGCAGACTCCCCTCGAGGCCATACATTCGATGATGATGAAGACGCCTTACCATCGCTTGGGTCTCTTGTGAAAGAATTGATGGATTTAATAGCTGATTTCGATCCCGAGCAATGCAGTACAGCGACCCGGCCTGCAGGTGGTATTGAGCTGCGCAACAATGCTTTGTGCGACTATAGCTACCCGGAATCCCACGATAAAGCCAATTCGAGGTGCAGCGTACAACTCCAGATACTACCCTACTCCACCATCTACGAATACCGGTGATATTCGTTGCCACACGATCCATTTTTCCCGTAGATTTCGTAAAGAGTAATAGTTAACCTATGAAGTGTAGCAGACTCGGATTCTGCTGTGACGTGATGTCGATTGTGGTCCGTGCGCGAGATTTTCGCTTGATCTCTGTTTCCCCAGCTTTTCATATTTTCTACATCGAAGACGTGCCGCAGCTTGTGAGAGTAGCCGAGACGCGAAAATGGTAAGGCTTAAACTCACAGCGTATGACTGAATCATCTACTGACAGATGATAGGCTCCCGTAACAAGCAAAAAGCGTACCACCGCCCGCGCAAAATCCGCTCGCGCAGCGCGCCCTCAATTGCCAACACCCGACCCCACCGAATCCTCTTCGCTCTTCGCCTCTTCCAAGAAAGACAAACGCTCAATCAAGCACTCCGCGTTCGTCGGCAAGATTGAAAAATCATCTTCCAAATCCACGAAGCGAAGACGCCCAAATAAGAAGCTCGTCGCTGATCTCGAGTCCATCGCCAATGCGTTGCCCGACTTCGACGACGATGGGGAAAAGGAGGAAGTGGAGGTAGGGCAGGCAAAAGTGCGGCGAAAGACTATGAAAAGTCTGAAGAGCAGACCCGGGGCTACGAAGCGAAAAGAGAAACTGGAGAAGATGGAGAGAGATAGGTTCAATGCGAACCTGGTACAGATGGCGAGCACAGGCAGCGGGACAAGCACTGCGGTCGCAGACAGATGGGCAGCATTGAAGAACCATGTGCAGGGTACAATGGAGGTCAAGCCGGAGTTTGCAAAGAAATGAAAAGAGGACGTGGAGGACAATTCTCGAAAGAGATTAATCATGAAAAGACCAGCCTTCCTACGACATGTTTTGCAACCAAAGCCAGATTACGACGGAATATCCTTGAGGTGCTATTTCGATTGAAAGAGCCAAAAAAATCCTGGATGGATCTTCAGGCACCTCGGTAGGCAGATGCTCCCATCTTTTAGTGTAAAAGCGACTAATTGACCCGAAAGCTGTCCGATGATTTCGAAGACATTCATTGCTCGCGATACTCTTAGCGCACGCTTAATTGGCGCTATATCCTGTATCAATTGCTAGGAACGCACAAATACCCAGGCAGCTCACCTGAATACACCAGGCATCTGGGAGCTTCTGAAAACAGATGATGGATTGCGGGGTATTCTGCATATCGAGCTCGAATCCAAATTGATTTTCAAAACCATCTCGCATCGACTTCTCACATTATCCGTATATTCCTGATCTACTAAATTTCCCAAATGACTTCACCACTAAAATAGAATCTCATCTAGTCACGCGATCTAGCGTTTTCTACGTGATCGAGCTAATCCCGTTTCGATTCCATGAAAAAGGAGGCTGAGCTTGGCAGGGACAACTGTACTTGTGACGTCAGATGTTGTGTCAAACACCAAACACTCTGCTAGTCAGTTAGGCTCGGAGTGTCCGGAAGACTGAATATTATAAGCTCGATGGCAAGATCTGTGATCTGAGTTTCGATTGTTCTCTTAACGAACGTTGCTTTGCCGGCCGCTACCCCACACGCGTCGTCACCGTACCATGCGATCAAGCCTCATCCCTGAGCCAATCTTTCTTGGGTGATCTTTCTTCATCTAGATCCCTACCTTTATTCACATCGATTTATCAATCATGCCATATATAAAGCGACAGACGACGCGCATTACCGGGGAAGGAAGCCACGATGAGCCAGCACAGCTTGGACGTACACATAGTGCTATAGGAGGCACGGGAAAAGTCCCACACGCAAAAAAGCCCAGGTCGCGTCCCCCAACAAGTTTGCGAGACAAACTTGGTTTCTTGCATGGGCATTTACCATCACAGTCTGGGCCGTACTCGGTGGGCTCCATGGACATTGAAGTACCAGCTGAGAATCCACGAACGTTCTCCAACATCACACGCGAAGGCAAACACATCATGCAACTCGAAACCGTACTCTTCACTCTCTACTACCCAGCAGCATTTGGTACAGGTCATGGAAAAGACCCAGCCGGCAACCGCAAGTGGTCTCGAGAAACATGGCTTCCAAGACCTAGACGTGAGACAGCAAGGGGCTATAGCAAATTTGCCGGTCTACCAGATGCTGTTGGCATTTCATGGTTCGCAATGACAACTATGCTTACGAAGTTGCGTGCATTCAGGAATGCGCCTCCGGCTACGCATTGGCCTCCTGAGGGCAACAGCAAGCGCAATGGCTATAAAATCAAAAATCAGAAAGGGTCTCCCCCGGATGGTTCGCCAGAAGAGCCTAAGTTCCCCCTGATGTTTTTCAGTCATGGCCTAGGGGGAACTAGAACCTGCTACTCGGCAATGTGTGCGGAATTTGCTAGCTACGGTTTTGTGGTGTGTGCGGTAGAGCATCGGGATGGATCTGGGCCTCGAAGCATTGTCAATTTCCCTAAGAACAGGGAATCGAGTGTGCCAGGCGAGTCAAAAGCAGAACCAATTGATCACACCGAAGAAGAAAGACGAAGAGGATTTAGTAAAGTGGTGAGCTCGTTTATCATCCTTCACATGTCCAATGGCAGCTAACACAGAAAGGACTATGTCTTCCCCAAAGGCAATCCAACGGATACGTCGCCAAACAATGAGAAAGGCGTTGATCGGGAGCTCCGGACTGCGCAAACTGAACTACGACTTGCAGAACTAGAGGAAGCGTATCGAGTCGTGAGAGTCATCAGCGAAGGGAGGGGTGCGGAATTGGAGGAGCAGAACATGCGTAAGAAAGGCTATACTGGAGGTAGTTCTCGTGGTCTCCAGGGTGTCGACTGGGAAAAATGGAAAAACAGGTTCCATGTTGACAACATTATCGTCGCTGGTCATTCGTTTGGAGCTGCCACTGTGGTTGAGGTGCTCAGGAATGCCGATCGCTTTCAGAACGTCAAAGCTGGTATAATATACGACATCTGGGGGTAAGTGGAGAAACGTTCGTAACATTGTAAGCATGGTTAACAATCCTGTAGTGCGCCGATAAAACCGCCACAGGATGATCCACGGCATCGAATCCACTCACCAATCTTGGGGATCAACTCGGAGGCTTTCATGTATTGGCAGCCTAACTTCGACGCTGTTATGTCCTTAATGAACGAAGCAGAAGGAGAGAAAGCACCAGCGGTGCTTTGTACCGTACGGGGCTCTGTGCATCTAACACAGTCCGATTACTCGATTTTGTATCGACATATTATCTCATTGTTCTTCAAAGCTACAGTCAACCCGCAACGAGCGATTGATCTGAACATCAGGTGAGTTCTCTTCTCTTGGAACCAAACAACTCGCTCATTCGTCACTAGTGCTTCATTGGAGTTCCTTCGCGAAGTGACAGAAGGTGCCGGGAAGTCCATCATACAACGTTGTCTTACCGACGAGAAGCTTCTGGAAGCAAAACCTCTTGACCAGGTTCCTGATGAGCACAAACCGGATGACGAATGGATTGCCGCCCGTCTCAAGATTCCGCATGAGTTCAGGACTCGAGTAGCTGCACAAGCCCAAAGAAAGTTCAAAAGGGCAAAAAAACACGGGTTTTACCATCCTGGAGATGAAGTATGGGTACACTGTAAGCCGGAAAGAGATTTTTTGGATGACTGGAAAAAGAGGAACGCGACCGTGATACATTCTGAAGCAGGGAATGATGATGAGGAATCAGTAACCCGAAATAGGCATGGGGAAGTCTTGGAAAGCACTGAAGACCTAGGAGCAGCACCTTCGGAAGGCGACTCTCAGATCACTTGCACGTAACGCGGTAAAGGGCTGACGGTTGATTCCACATCTGCTGGTATCTTCACTGCGGTGCAGAAAGAGTGGACATGGGAACCCTGATCATTTACTGCCGTGGCACAAGAGTAGGCCCGCATTTGGAGAACACGATGTAGACATCGGGAACCTATATCCGTTTTCTTTTTGAAGCATTGTGTTTTGGTGTTTTGGACGGTAAGGGTTTAGATGGGAGCGACGGTATTGGCGCATACTTGTTTTCAATTCCATTTGGATTTGCAATTCATCACTAATATTCACGCCACATTCGTCAGAAGGGGACCGGCGTAGTCGCCCCCTTTCGAATTGTTGGCCCCTGCGTTAAAAATCCACGCTATCCAAATTGTCTAACACGACTGCGGCGTAGTACAGGTTCTGCTTATATCTGAGGCATCTGCCCGGACATCGGATTCTCTCCCATCTCACCAGCATTCGTTACGTTGAAGTATATATATAACCAGAACTTTTTTTTGTTCAGTGACTACAATTTTTGCTCTTCAAAAATGGCAGCGCAGCAATCGTGGGTTGACGGGCCTGTTCCGCTGATGAATCCACCAGAGGATGATTCCCCTGTAAGTCGTCTCATTCCACCTGCCACCACGATAGCTGATTGAAAGTGTCAATCTCCAAGGATGCCCATTTCGCGGTCAAAGCTGCGGCGGAAATGTGTCTCGCTCACAACGTACTCATCCGAGGACTTAACGCCATATACCTCCAAGGACCCAACGTAAAAGATCCCAAAGATGTGACCGACTTTGCGTTCTTCTGTAACGCGTGGGTAAAAACTGTGCACCACCACCACGACGTATGTAGAAATCCTTCAAAGTGGTGTACCCTGCCTGCCCGTTTGACCTTTTATTACTTCTCTTGATGTGCTGCTAACGTCTCCCACTATCGCAGGCCGAGGAAAAAGTGCTGTTTCCAGAGCTCCAAAAGTTCACTCAGGATGCAAACGTCATGAAAGAGAATCTAGAACAACATCAAAAGTTTTTTGAGGGGATGTTCGAATTCGATCGTTACATGCGCGAGCTTGACCGCAACTCTTTTGACTGGAATGCTACGAAGGCAAAGTTGGACGCTTTCGCTCCGGATCTAATGCGGCACCTGAATGACGAAATCCCTACGATTCTAAGCCTAAAGAAATACGACAGCGAGGGGATTCGCAAAGTATGGAAGAAAACCGAAGACGAAGCGAAAGGTGACGTTCGACTGCCAAACATGTTTGTGAGTATATGTAAATTATCAGAGGATATTTCGATAAGCTGACGCTTTCGTTCAAGGACACGATTCTACCGATGGTGCTTGGGTGTGCGGACAAGACATTTGAGGACGGGAAACACAAATTCCCCCCTTTCCCATTCTTCATGCCGTATTTGGTGGATTATTGGTTCGCAGGCACGCACAGAGGAGCATGGCGATTCTGTCCTTGCGATATGTATGGCAACCCTAAGCCACTAGCTTTTGCGTCATAAAGGCAATCAAGATGTTTTTGTGCGAACTCATGCCACACTGTGACATGAAGCCATCAGATTCGAGAGATATCAACAATGAGCTCGCCCCCAACATCGTGAATCTCTGGTACCGGATGTGATATCAGTAATACTCGGGAAAGTCGCTATCAATCTTTTCTCTCCACGCAATTAGACCGCCTTTGATATCTCCAATCCACCTTTGACCGTCGTTGTCAAGCCCAAGCTGTTTCAGTTTCCGAACGACCACCTGTGAATCATTACCCCGGCGACATACCACGAAGATAGGTTTGTCAGGTATGTTCTTTAGCTCGTGCACCCAATGCGAATCATCGGGAATGGCAGCACTTGCAGTGGGTTGAGGGATCGGAAATCCGGATACATCAGCGAAAGGGATATTCACACTTCCATCGATACTGCAGAGCTCGAATTGAACTTTCTCTCGTACATCGACGAGAACATGGCTGTCCTTTGCTGGCTCCATACCCGTGTAAGGGTTCACCTCGGACCTCAGTTTCGCATAATTTTCCGCCGATATGCGTTCATCTGGGCTGAGAAGATTCACGGGATCAATCATGCCGCAGAACTGGACATAATCCAGACTGCCACTGTTAAGGGCTTCTGGGGTGACGGTTGCATGCGCAGAGCATGCTGCGCACTTCGGTTTGCGCGCTCGAAGCCGGATGGACCGAAACATTGGGTTGGCATACGCGGAAAATATAAGCAATGTTGGCGGTTCCGTCACCGGCTGTTCGTTCTCAGAAGTAGATGCGCGTGTCAAAACCTTGATAGCTTCCAAAGCCTGCAAAACGCCCATGGTACCAACTACAGGCCCCAGAATCCCGCCATCTCCGCACGTGACGACCGATTCCGGAGGAGGAGGTTTTGGGAAGATGCAGCGATAACAAGGACCTCCAGTGGGGTCCCCGGCGGATCGTGGAGGGTTATTCAGCACCATAAGCTGCCCATCGATTCGCAAGGCTGATGCTGAAACAAGCGGTTTCCCAAGGAGAACGCAAGTATCAGATATCAAGTACCGAGATGCGGGCGTATCAGTACAGTCGAGTACGATATCGTATGGCTGAACTGTTGAGATGGCTGTCTCCGGGGTTAACCGGCCATGGTGTGGTACCAGATTGACGTTAGGGTTGAGTCTGACATGGTTCTTAGTACATGTTCTTACGGTTCCATTGATTTTTATTGACACAGACTTACGACTGCAATGATACCAATGCACTATCGACTTTTGACATGCCAACTCTTGCTGTCGAGTGTAGGATTTGACGATGTAGATTTGAGTGTTCCACAACGTCTTCATCCACCAACCCTAAAGTTCCCACGCCTGCACCTACTAGATATGCTGCGGCGGGACAACCCAACCCGCCCGCTCCTATGATTAACACCGAAGCGTTTTTGAGACGAAGCTGACCTGTCGTTGGGAAAAACAGGAATTAGCTAATCGTCCAGTCAATATCAGGGAAGAAACTCCTGTGGAGCCAGTACCTTGCAGTCCAATCTCGGGCATGATTAATTGGCGACCATATCGTTTGTATTCGTCTTGACTGAGCGGCCATCGATTAGGTGGCGAGTGATCTCCTTGAGGACGCGAGAGTGCAGCAAACACCTCATTCATGTAATCTTCCGCGATCCCGTGAGACAGATCATGAGCAAGTGGGTCGTCAGAAGCCTGGAAAGTTTGTTCTTGAGACTCTTGTGCGCCGGGTGGCGGTTGATTAAACTGAGCTTCTGCGAGCTGCCGGCGTAAGTCCTCGAGTAGACTTTCGTGGCTTGCTATCTGCCGTTTCAACGACTCTACGGTTTGATCCAAAGACATACTAGGTTTGCTGAAGGCAGTCGAGACAGATTGCCGGATCAATGTATGACTGATAGCAATCATTGACGCTAGTAAAACGCTAATCCCAACCCAGGAACATCATGTGATTCTACAAGACACTGTGTCGAACTTTCGACTGAGAGTCAGCACAGCCTGTTGCTGTCTGCGTCTCTGCTAACTGTCGATCTTTCCGTGCTGAGCACTGGAGTAAAAAACCAAAGGTTCTACAAAGTTGTGTTTGTAAAAAGTCGGGCCAACCTAATTACTAAGATCCTGCACATGTGGGTAACTGCCACAAAGATACTCGAGAGCCATGGTACAACATCTCAACCATCCCAAAGACTCAACAATGGGCATCTTATAACTGTCAGCTGACTGGCAACAGACAAAAGATAAAAGCGCGAGGTAGGTAAGTACAAGTTCCCTACTGTTAACGTCTTACAAATTTTCACATTCACGACCCCGCAAATGGAAATTTCCGCTTACGTGTCGCAGCTGATAACATGGCCAATCAACAACCCTCTTGATGAACACCGATAACTCGACAATTGCAGCAAGCCAAGCTCTACGGTAAAGAATCTCATTTATGACTTTGATAAACGAGATTCTCTACCGTAGAGCCTGGCTTGCTGCAATATCGACTACGTTGAATGCCATAACTGACGTTGAGTTAGACTTGTATTCATCTCGCACTACACGGAACAGAAAAGAAGCAATTATATGGTTTGACTAGGTCGACGCCACATTCTGCCAGAAAGGTTGCTCACGCGGGAGATGGACCGCTAATATCCTTCCACCTATGCAAAGCCAGAATCCACACGTCATTCATCCAGTGACAAACTTCTCTCTGCGCCACGCAAAGTTTTGTTGAACGAACGTCCAGCGATAGGGTGGCAACGGAATGGATTCCCATCTATTCGCAATCGGCCTTCGCCTCTTCAAACTCAAAGGGCTTTTCATTATCAAGCCACACGAGAGCTTTCCAGATCACTTGCACGTGGAACAGAACCCATGCCTCAGACTGAGGATTTAACCAACACCTCAACACCTAAGGGTTGGGAAGCTGCCCAAGCAAATGGTTTTAGCTGTGGTATCAACAGGAGTGGTCTGGCTGTCTGATATCAACCTACTAGTCTCAAATAAAGCATTTAACTTCCCGCAAGCTCGATCTCCGCCGTAGTGCTGTGCTTCTGCGCATTGAGATGATGGGCGTACAAAATGACGACTGCCCCGCCGCGTCGCCCGTTCGCGAACATACTAACACCCCACCACCCATCGCGCCATCAACGGAGAGTGACGTTTGCATGATCCACAATCACCTTTGTCGCGATTAGAATGGCATCAGCGTGTGCAACTTGTCAAGGCCTACAGAAGCATTTGCAGGTGTTTGAGGAAAGGGAGCAGGCGGATCGGCTGGCAGCGATTCAGTGGGTGAACACGACGCTTTCGCATTTGCGACAATCATCGGCAAACTGTCGCGCATGCGCGTTACTCCTCCAAGCGATTCTCCTGCATCATAGCCGTTTCTCCGGAGCAGGCGAGGAGACTGTGGGCGTCGTCGTTGAATCTTTCGAATCAAGCGCGGTAGAGCATGCGCAGGATCATCTATCCATCGAGATACGATGGAATAATGTGGAAGCTGAACATGAAAACGAGGATGCTTATCCCGACTTGAAGTTAGAGCTGTTTACAGATCAAAGTAATACATTGATAGCAATGTGGCACTCAAAGGCTGACTCTGTGTAGACGAACAATCGCCGTATTCGGCTATCGGGCAAGGTCGACACATTGCAGATACTTTCCTCGATGATGCAGGACTGAAAGCTTCGAGAGAGCTGATCAAAGAATGTCTCACGAACCATGCAAGATGCCGTCACGTCAAACCCCATGTCAAGCCTGCAACGTTACCCAGACGAGTCCTCGACGTCTTGATCGACGAGCCGTCCAAGGGTATCAAGCTTCACGAATCGCAATATGACAGTGATCAAGAACAGTACGAGTTTGGTGAATATCTCGCACTCTCTTACTGTCGCGGCATTGGAAGAGGGATCCCGCAAACAACGTCAAAGACGCTGAAGGCACACAAACAAGGTATACCTTGGGCATCTTTTCCGCGGGCTTTTCAAGAAGCGATCCTATTGACCCGCTCGCGCGGCTTCCGCTGGCTTTGGATAGATGCGTTGTGCATTGTTCAGGATGATCCGCTGGAGAAACTCGAAGAAGCCCTGAAAATGGACGAAACATTCGGCAACGCATTCGTTACGATCGCTGCTACATTTTCGGTAGATCCCAGCCAAGGTCTCTTCCCTTCACGTACTCCACCTTTCAGACTCCAGACCTCCGACGTCAATAAAGGATCACCCTCCAAGGTATATGTTCGCGAACAGCCATCACACTATAGCTTCAAAACACCATTCGACCCGTGCACGCAGATCATCGAGTGGGATTTTCCACTCAGCATGTCCAAGGTAACCAGCGCGAATACGCCCCTTCTTAATCGGGCATGGACATATGCCGAACGGCTCTTATCGCCACGGGTGCTACATTTTGCCAAAAGTGAAATGATTCTGGAGTGTAGAGAGGGCTACCAGTGCGAATGCAAAAGGATCGACAATCTGACCTATGATTCCAGAGCCACCGACCCTATCAAGCAGGTGTTGGCAAAAATCGTAGACGAAACCAAAACTCCGGCAAACTCTACAGATCACAAAGATGACCAAATGGATGGTGTCACATCTGCCCTAGCAGAGGCATCGATCACAGATGGCGGTCGGCAAATCACGTCTGAGCAGCGCGAAGAAGCTCTCCAAACCTGGGGATACATCGTTTCCGAGTACACAAACAAGCGTGTCACCTATGATTCCGACCGATTGTTAGCGATTGCACCTGTTGCGAAAACAATATCCCGAACGCTTGACTCTGGCTACATAGCTGGACAATGGACCTGCAGCACCCTCGGACTTCTCTGGTACCCAAACAATAGCACGCAGTGTCGCAGACCTAAGAACATACCCGGCCGCAACGTTCCTAGTTGGTCTTGGGCTTCCGTCGAAGATTCATCTATACTGTTTGACAATGCATCTGCCATGGATCTTGCATGTAGCGCGACATTCTCTGCGAAACCGCAAAGTCCTGTCTGGTCGCCACTCAATGGGGAACAGCTCCGACTGACAGCGAGCATGGCCACCGAAGTCAACTTCCGCGCGGACTCCAACACCGAGTACTCGCTCGTGCGCAACGGTGTTAGCGTTGAGTTTCGGCCTGATGTTGTTCCTCCTCGTGGCGCGGATGCCATGGATTCAGGCGAGAAGCTTGTGTGTGTGCTTGTCTGTATGACGTATCGATCTTCGATTCTCGGGCTCGTACTCAAGGAATCCAAGTCGCATCCCCAAGTGTACCGGCGGGTTGGTCGCTTCGAATGCTACGAGTGTCATAACGACGATGCGGGCGGAGAACCAGAAGATGCGGAGGCTTTGTTCGAGCACTGGTTCCCAGAAGTTGAAGACATGATGCAATTAGATGAAGGGCCTAGTCGGACCTATGTCGTGGTCTGATTTGAACTCTCGTTACTGTATGCGGTTTCCTACTGTGTGCTTGGTGTCGGTGGGGGTTGCTTACTGATGTTCTGCGTGATACCAAGATTCTTTTTTTCGTTGGACCACTCGTTTTGTGTAGGGAGCGCACGCAAGATGGCTTTCTATTTCCATTTTCCTGTACGAGGAGTAGTGAGGAACGTGTATAGTGTCGTCATTCATTTTATCGAGAATTCAAACCAAATTTGACTGTCGTTCAAACCCATCCTACAACGCCCTCTCGCATATATCTCCTCTCCACAATACACCAACGTCATCACATCCATAGACCTATCAAGCATTTCCCCAGTCATCTACGTCGTCCCACCCTCAGCTCACCACCCATCACCACCCCCTGGCCCACATCCATCCACAAAATAAAAGTCCCCGACGCATCCACCGGAATGAAATCTCCATCAACATACCCAAACAAGCAACTTGCACAAAAACCATCGATCAGAGCATGTATCCACGCACCAGCCTACCACATTCGCACTCTCGCTCCGACCTCGACTATCCTCACTTCAGCGCACTTCAGCGCCAGTAAACCCAAATCAGGTATGTAGAGGCGTTTCCTCCGATGCAGCAACGGAGCGTCGTGGAGCTGGTTGGACGCGGCATCAGAGAAATCATGTTTTCGCGACTGGTAAGGCCTCAGACTTAGGTTTGGGTAGATGAGAAAACCGCGATATAACGTGGATGTCGGCTGTGTTATTATTAGTTAGCGCGCGAGCGGGAGGGGTATTGCGGAGAGTTTTGATTGGCTGGTGGCGCGGTGTAGGCTTACTGGGTGTTGGATATTGGGCTCGGCTACGCCTTAGTTGGTGATTCTTATTGTTCATGGGGGTGAGCAGAGTTGATTACTTTTGTTTATTGCGCCCGCAAAAAACGGTTTTTGTTGGGAATGAGGAAGTATGGCGTTGTCTCCCAGCTGATACTCGGTCAGTGATGCTTTCATCAAGTGAGCAGCTTGTTTTGTTTGACTCTACAATCTGCGTACCGCTCTCACCTCTTGATCAGGTGCACAGCACGGCATCAAATCCCCTATCAGTCCATGATTGATGTAGCAATCTTTCAAGCCATATTTGCGCTTGTTATGATCGCTTAACCAAGTAATACTATATAATCATGATGTCCCGCATCATCATTTATCGTCACCCAAGCGAGATGCTTACGCTTGCCCGGAGTTGCGTGACCTTAAACGCAATCGACTTCATTACGCAGCAAATTAATATAAGCAGCAATTGATCAACAGTATCATGAGAAATCACAAGATAATCATATGATGGAATCTTCTCACGATCATCTATAATTGACCTCACAAGTGGCAGAGGCAGGGAACCGGCGTACGAAACATCAATCAACTTCGCTGGAGCCCATCTCAGTTATAAAGAAATGAAATATGAATGAAGAAAGACGTGTACTCACAATTTTAACGTATAAGGAAGGAAGTGGAGTTTGGGAGGTCGATAGATGAACGCCACTGTAAGTCGGGACCACTTTCATCACAGACATATCCATGATGAACTGCGGGAAGAAGTATATCTCGTATTCTACTAATAGTACGTGCAATCATTGAGTAGCGAATATGAGCAACAGTTCAGGATTCTTCGCATGTCTCCTCACTTTCATCAGATGACGTTCGGAAAACAACTACATGCATTGTGAAAAAGCTGCAAGACACAGCGGCTTACTTCAATAAGCCCTGAGATGCTTGGGTATCATGTATAGATGCAACCAACGCCTGTCCCTTTCCAGCCTGGCATCTAAAAGAGCGCCAAAAGAGAATCCTGGGAATGAATGCAATAAGAAATTTCCCCCGCAGCTTTCAGGGTACAGGCTTTTCCTCCCTCCTCCCTCCATCCCTGGCTGATGCCACTGTTGTCATCATTATGCTCTCATTCGCTCTTTCTATCCTTCCCTCACTCCTCATTTCCAACCGGAGACATGACTCGGTAAAGTTCGTTACGGACCTGCTCGACCATGTATCCTGCGCGGGGGTGTTGCAGTTCTTTACCCAGACTGAGGTATACATCAGCGATGCTCATCCTCCTCAGCACATCGGACTCCGCAATGATTTTCTGAATGACATCGTCGGTGTTTCTATCGCCCAAACTGCTGCCATACAGAGAGGAGTTTACAGCCTGGTACATCCCAGATTTGAGCGTAAATTGCGCATCATTGTTGAAATTTCCAATGGCTTTATGCATTGCGTTTGCATAAAGTCGGGAATATTCAGTGACCTCTTGTGGGGAAAGACGCTCAGGCTCGACTTCGTATTTGGGGTGCCATGGACGTATGAGGAACAGGGGAAGCGAACTATAAGCAATGGGGCGGGGCACTGCTCGACATCTATCCCAGTCGATTATTCCCGTGACCACTCCAGTCTCTGGATCACAGAGAATGTTCTGTAGGTCCAAGTCTTCATGCCTGAGAGCGAAGTTCTTTGCTTCGGGGTTGTTGGTATCTCCCTGGAACGCCGGGGTCGACAAAATGGTTTTCATGATCCACGCTCGACCCATATTCCTCAAAACCGTCTCTTCAGAATCTCCAGCCTTCACGGAGCAGTAGAGAGAATTGAACGTATAATTCCAGTAACCATAGGGCGAATCAAACGACGGCGTGACAGTCATGCTTATTTCATGCCAATTGGTCATTATCCAGGTGTTGGTGTTCCCAAGCTTATACGAATCTTCCCTGAGAAACTTAAACAGGACACCACTGCGGCTGAATTCGAAAACAGAGAGGCTAGCCATGTTTTCGACGAGGGACTCCACAAAGTTTACCCGCTTCTGTTTGGACTGCCGCTGTTCATCGGGTGACAGCTGCGACTCATGTACAATGTTGCCAAGCTGATCGAAGTTGTGCCATATATCGACTAAATTCGCAGTCATGTTAGTTCAGTAGATATACTTTAACCTGTTGCCAAAGACTCCAAATACTTCTGGAAAATCTAAAGAGGGGATATACGTACACGCTGATACACCATCTATTGCTTTCATGAGGATGTATGGGACATCAATGACGCTCCCTGGAAGGTAAGCTTGATAGCCCAAGACCTCTGGAGCTAGACACTTTGACTTCTTATTGATGAGAATCATGGTCTCAGCCTCAGAGCAGAGGTTCCATGCGTCAAAATCTGTCCAGGTTTGTTCGACGCCAGATCTAGGTATTTTGACAACATAAGTTCCCTGTGCGGGGCCGCGGACAATCATCAAGAATTGAACAACGTGGAACTAGATGCGCAGATAAGATGTTAGCGAGAGGACCTACCACCATTCTAGAAATATACGTACAGTGCCACTGCTTTTGCGTCCCATAACAACACAGCCGGGAGAGAACGATTCGACCTCCTCGAGGGATGGGATGTGTTTGGAAAGGAGTGAAGTGTAAGCTGAGATCGTAAGACTGTCTGACGGGTCAAATGAATCGCCACTGTAGCCTTTCTTCGTCTCCAAGTGAGTCTCGGCAGGATTTGGAAAGAAAAGCTCCGAGGGGTCTGACGAATCCATGATCTCGTTGACATGAACCAATGACCGGCGGTCCTTTTCGTCGTTCGTCTTGGGGGAAGTGCTGGAAACGGATGTCAGGTGAAGCAGGCGCGAATCGTCCTCACCACTTGAAGTTGACTGGTATTCGGAGGAAGAGATGGAATCTTCACGTTCCGTGCTGTGATACGTCCCAGAGTAAGGGCCAAAGGAGCTTTGAGTGGAGAGGCTGATGCTAGAAAGCCATCGCGCCACACGCTCGCTCAAGGAAGCTGTGTCGTGAAGAATGTGCTGATGACGACGAGGGGGCTCTGAAAGAAGCTCGAGCCCCGAGAAAGAGCCCTTGTTAATGGCAAAGCGTCGAAGTGCCACTTTGAAGATGGGCTCGGAAATGGACGTGCACTCCGTGCCGGATGAAGAAGGCGCAGTGGAGGATCGGTGACAGTCGACAGATACGGTGGTCGAAGTAGCGTGACTGATGCACTCGCAGATTATGGGATAGTTGTTTTTGAAAAGAAGATTGAAGTCGGAGCTTGAAGCCCTCAGGCCAGCTCGAGCACAAACCATCTTGGACAGGACAAGGGTTGAGTCGAGGCGGTAGACTCAAGCTGCGGTGGTAGGTTGGGTCTGTGGGGTGGCTTTCAGACTCGCACTCCAAGGGAAATATATGGCTGCGTGAATGCCAAGAAAAGTGCGCAAGCTGCCCGTTATGTAAGATAAACCTGCGTGCCTCGTAGCAACACAATGCACCCTTGCCCGCAACGACGCAGCGGAACTAATCGTTCTGGGCCAGCAAACGGAATATTTGCAGCCTATTGGACTGCGCTATCGATACATTGTTTGCTTCGTTGCCTGGGAGATGAGTGAAAGCACGTAGCAAACACTTCTGGCGGGGTATCGTGAACCTTGGCGTGGTGTTGCACTGAAAAAATAGGAGGCGGTGGGAAGGCTTTGCCCGAAGCGCGGATACAGTGTGTTTGGTCACAAGGGAATTGAAATAAGATTTTTAATTAGTTTTGGGGGTTGTTTCTGAAGTTGAACGTGGGCAACGGGATGAGAGCGGCACTGCTCGACGTTTGGATGTGAGACAATCTACGAGACTGCCAGTAGTGAGTACACGGCACCTGCTTTCTGCACCACTACATATGTATCTTAGAACGCTTCCATGGCATCGAATTGCTTTTGTTGTTGATTTTAGTGTTTCAACATAGAATCTAGGTCTTACACATGTTTAACCGGAACGGACGAACGAGCATACGGACGGCGCGGCCACGACAGGTCACTACAAGAGTGCAACACGCATATGGTACATTGTGATAGTGATTGATTCTTCTATAAGCATGGCGTTCTTCCTAGATGCTTGTTTGATCCTATATCGTGATCCCAATTCCCAAGTCATACAACGTAGTGGCATTACCGCAAATCCCCAATCGAGTACAAATGCGTACCGTTGCGCCATTCATGCAGAACAGAGCATATAATCTCTTTAGGAAAGCCGTGGCAATGGTATTATCGCACCAATACGTGTAAACACAGCCCACTATACGCCTTGCTACCGGGCTAATCCCTCGTATCGCTCCTGAGCCCGCACACTTCGCCCAATCTTTTATAAATACTCAAAAGTTCACGTACCACTGACGTTCGACCTCCATCATCAACTCATTCATCCACTAGCATACGCGTATATGTCATGAAGTTGCACTCACACTCATTGTTGTTCTTTCCCCCGGTAAAGATATTGTGCATCTTATGATTCCCCAGCGTATACAATATGCCATCTCACACTTTGAACACTAGTATTCAGAAGAACAACCGTCATATCATCACTTTCAACTCATGAAAATCTTCAGACACGATATCAAAAATCTCATACCGGATGGGAGGGGATGAGGAAGAAGGAGAAGAAAAGGAGGAGAGAGAAGAAAGAAGAAGGGGGGGTTTATACTCACGTGTCCACGCTAATGATGTCGTTCCTTCCTATACTTCATCCCTCACATGTCCGTACCCTCCCTTGGGGTTGTTCCTTCCTCCATCCTTCATCTATCCATTAACCCCGGCCCCGCTCTACCACTCATCCAGTCATCACCTGCTTGTAGAATCTGAAGCCATCACTTTCAATGAGTTCTAACACAATACCAACCATCCAACCATGCCAACACGGCAGTTTGTGGAAGTTCTCATTGTCTCGAGGCTTAGCACATGTGAGGTGAAATGAAGCCTTTCTTCTACTGCTATTCGTATACCCACATTTATATAGAGAGCAAGCATCATCGTGGCATTAAGACATGCTTCACTCTCTTCCAGTGACAGGACATCCAGCCGTTACCTCTTTGGTCTCGGAGAAATGTAAGAACAACTTCTTGAGTACCACGAACGATAGGGAACCTGATGAGAGGGAAGTGAGGAGGACGAGTAAGAGAAGAAGACGAGAAAGAGAGAGGGGGGGGGTTTATACTCACCAGACCACACTAGTCATGTCGTGCCTTCCTTTCTTCATTCATCCACACCTCAACCACAAGAGTCGCTCTTTCTTACCTTCCCGTCACTTACCGATACAAACATACATACCTAGGTAGGTACCCACCTACGTAGGTACTTGCGTGAGTCCTGGGGCAATTCACCGTGTTCCTTGATACTGTCAACTGATGTACCAGATCTCCGATCGCCATGGCCTCAATCACAACAAATTTAGCGAAACCTCTACTACTCCGCTCAATTGGCCTTCGTTTATTGCAATGGCAGACGATCGTTGATTAGTGATGATAATTAACATGAAGGTTGGTAAAAGTAGAACAAAACACGGGACAAGCAGTTTGTCAGCGACAAGACATCCCATCACGTGCTCGCCGGCAGATTCTCGGGATACCGGCATGGGTAAGTTGAGCTTCGCCCACCCGCGGCAGGCCATACCTCGTACACCTATACGCGCCCGTCAACGACCCGACGTGCGGCCGTTCCCTCTCGTTGTACAAGGAAAACCACCCGTCCCTACCTACTGTATAGCCAATATCTACATGCAAAGGGGTTGCTGAGGCGTCGCCGTAGCTTCCACCACAGCCAAAAGCGCTGACTTCCGCTTGACCGTCCCCGGAGCTGCACCGACTGTTTTGCCCCACGCGATAACTATACACTTCATTCATCTCACCTTGCGCCCTGCGTACGGAGACGTACAAGCCGACTTTATACAGTTGAGGAAGCTCCAGTTGTCGCAAGCATGTCCAACACGGTCGTGGTTAGTAGCAACCCTGATGCACCTGCGGGTGGCAATGGAAGGAATTATGGGTGAAGCGGGTTGCTAACAGCGACCGCAGGGCTCTGTCTACCAGCAGATCATCGAAAAGGTGATTGCTGCATCGCAGAACGATTTCGAAGAGTTCGGCGTGGATGCTGGAACGCTCGACGAGCTGAAGAATGTACGTGGTCACCTCCCGCGTTCTTTGTTCTGGATTTCCCATCCCAAGAGAGCTCCTTCACGCGCAGCTCGTCTCCTTCTTGTCCTACGGCTCATCATTTTCTTTTTTTCCATTTTGTCTTGTCCATTTCACTTTCCTGTCGTTGTCTGGGGACTCCGCAGTCGCGCAGGCATCGCAGCCTGGGCGGGTTGTTGGGGCTGGCCGAAAGCGGGGCTGAGTACCGGCGGTCTCGCAAAGAATCGGGGGCGCCCTCAGTATTTGGGTCACATTTATACCCCCTGCGCTGGCACACGCACCCTGCCAAGGATCTGCACATCCTTGCTACCTTGGGTATAGCCGGGTCATGTGATATCACCTTGGATTACTCTTTTGTCCTTCACTTTGCTGCATTTAACTCACAACGCCAGGCATTCTGTGTATGTACTCATGCTAACTCGCAATTTAGGTATGGCAAGATAAGCTCTCGTCTCTCAAAGTAGCTTCGTTTCCATGGGATCCTCAGCCCCAGCCCCAGCCGCCTGCGAGCCAACCTCAGGTTGTCCCGTCCAACGTCAAGACGGAGCCTGACTTGATGCCTCCGGTTTCTGCACCAATGGAACAGCATGGCCATGTAAATTTCCCCAATGTGCCTATCAAGACGGAGCAGGGTTATAATCCCCCTGTGCCTTCATATGGTCAGAATTCGAGTTACACTTCTAGCTACAACGAAGCTGTTGCCCAGCAGCGAGCTCAAGCCTTGGTCGCGCAGCGTGTTCAAAACATGCCACCGCAACATCAGCCAAACCCTCAACAACCTCAGCAGCATGGCCAGGTTCACGGGGGACAGGTTCCGGGCCAGCAACAGCGCATGATGCCTGGTCAGCCACAACAGCAGCAGCAACAGCAGCAGCGTCAACCGCCACCCTCTATGCAACAGCGCCCACCGCAGAATCCTGTATACCCGTCGCAGACAGACGGTCCCGGGGATGCGAATGAGGACTGGAATGCTCTAATTGCAGCCAGAGCTGCCGAAGGTGAAGAGGGGCGTATTGCCGCAGACCAATTCATGCGCGCTCGCGTGGATGCTCTTGCTGCCCGCCAGGATAGTGGACTCATGATGCCTCTCAGCGATATGCCAAAAGGTAGAAAGCGCAAGGCTGCAACTCGTGTTCTGCAAGCCGAAGATGCTGAAAAAGCTTCTTCGAGCGTCTCGGCATCTGCCCCAGCTCGCTACGATGGCGATGATGAAGACGAAAAGGAGAACGACTCGGACGCTATCAATTCCGATCTTGACGATCCGGAAGACGATGCTATCAATGGTGAGGACAGCGACGATGAGACCATGGACTACATGCTTTGCACTTATGACAAGGTGCAACGCGTCAAGAACAAGTGGAAGTGCACGCTCAAGGACGGCATCTTGACCACGAACAAGCGAGAGTGAGTGCTCATGTTGAAGCAGCATTGATATACAATACTAACGACGCTTAGATACTTGTTCCACAAGGCCACGGGCGAATTTGAGTGGTAGTAGGGCACGTGTTCGGCATTCCAGATGCCCTGGAAGGTGCGCTTGAACCCTCTCGATCAATTCTTTGGTTGTACTATACGGTTTCTCGACTATTTTGGGAGTAGTGGACTTGAATATCTCCTTTCGCCATCGAAAGCCACCCTCCCCATAGCAATGACGAAGGGCGTTTTCCCCTCAATCTCCCCTTTACATTTTCTTTTCCTTTGGCGTGCGTGGGCGTTTCTCCCGGTTTATGAACCATCCCGAGGATTTGTGGGTTCGACTGGGGCCAGTCAGTCAGTTAGTTAGCCACTCAAAATTAGTCGAAAATTGAATTGAAGCGAATGCTGCGAGATATTGGCATGCAAGATCAGGAAGTGAGATTGTAATTTCACGTAATGCCAGCTATCTATTGATCTGTATGAAAGACACGTACATTTCGGGATCCATACAGTAATATAAACCCCCTCACCCAGTTATGCGTCAGTGCTCCATCCATCCGATCAAGGTATCTTCAGCTCCACCCTCGTCCCCTTCTTCCTCGCCCTCTTCATCATCGTCCTCAACCAACGGCACGAACCGGAAATCCACAAAGCTAACCTTCCCAGAATTCGGCTCCACGTCAATCATGAATTGCAGACTGAGAACACCCTGGTCATCGATACGTATGCTGACCTTTGTGGCTACACTCGCTGCACGCGCGGCGCGTTGAATGAGCGCAAACTTATACGAGGCACGGAGAGGGGCGGTGGGATCACCCAGCTGGAAGGTTTCCAGGACAGACGGCTGGGGTTGTGCGGATGTCGAAGATGTAGCATCTGGTGCTGCTGGGTCGGGCATCGTGTATGTCTGTGGTGGGTTCCTGGTACTGCCCGTATGATCATCGTTGTTAAACTCGACGCGTGCGGATCCGAGGGTGCCCGACGAGGAAAGCGCGAAGTATGGCTTGTTCCTTTTGATGCGCGCCCAGAGGGTTAGTTTCTCTGGCGCGGTGGAAGAGAGTTCCGCAATGGCGTCGCCGAGCCAGTTGCCGCGCATAATAGTCTTGAACGCGAGCGCAGATCTGTCGAACGGGATCTCATCGTTGAAGGCAGTTTCATAGGTTGTTAAGTCGCAACTTGTGCGGATTGTGGATTCCGTCAGGATGATGGTGAGTGGAGCGCCGACCTCGGTGTATACGATGCGGCACAGGTTGTTCATGCCGAGCACGTTGTTGGAAAAGGCGGTAGAGGTGGGGTCGGAGCGCGACCATGGAGGTTTGCCAGAGGTAGAAGGATCGGTCAAGCCGAAGATCTGAAGCGTTTCGAGAAGGGAGGGAAGCGAGATCTGGAAGGTCGGCATGTCGGCGGTGGGATCTTCGCCGTCTTCGTCGTCGGAGTCGGGGGCAGGTGCATTGGTATCTGGCAGCGGTGCGCGGAAAGTGTAGGATGTGAAAAGGGCTTTCGAAAGGAAGGCAGAGCCTGAGGGGTGTTAATGAGACAGGGAAGTGTGGACTGAGCGGGGACTCTACCTTCCATGACGCTTGCTTCATCGACAGAGAATTTGAGACCTTCCTCACTGATTTGTACGTGTGCTTTGTCGGCGAAGTTGATGCAGCGAAGGAGGAGGTAGAGTTGACGAGCGGAACTTGAGACGGCTGTGAGGATAGGAAGGTGGTCGCTGGACTCGGTTTGGGTTTCGGTGTCCATGACGGCGGTCGAATCGATCGGATTTGAGTATCAGAAAGGTGGTTAAGTCAGAGCAAGTGGGTAGGGCAGTTTGTAGTATCGCGAAGCCGGGTATGACACAGCTTCTATTTCATTCCGAGTAGACTACAGAGGGGTTCCGAACGCCGTAAATTGTAGGTGTGAGAAGGAAAGCTAGACGTAGACGCCAACAGCGCAGATCATAAGAACGGAGCCAAAGCTGGAAGCGTGTCAGCAGTTATGGGGAAGCTGTGGAGAGGTCGCGTACCCGAATGCTATTGAGGCGGGGACTCCCAGAAGTGGGAGGTTGATGAACGATCGATCTGAGGCGGTCAATTGAGATTCGAACAGTTGGTGGATGGAGTGGGCGCATACTCAGACTGAAGACGCCGCCAATGAAGAGAGCTGTGAGTTGTGGTGATTAGCGTAGGTGGACGTAGTGTAGTGCGACGGGCGAACATACAGAACAACAGCAGGGTAAAGCCCAGCGTGAACTCGTTGTCCTTTGAGACGATGGGTTGGAAGGGTGAGGCAGAAGCAGCCTCCCAGACGTCAAGTAGCGGAGTCGACATGGAGCACGGCGTTGTGATTGTCGGTGGTGGTGTTGTTGTTGCGATTGTTAAAGGTGGAAGGTGCTTGGTGTCCTCTACTCGACAACTGTCGGCGGTCGGCCTGCCCTCTTGGCAATTCTACACGCTGATTGGCCTGTTGCTCTACATACATATTTACTTCCAGATGTCAATTGGGCATGCATATACTTCGCATCACGGTCTCAATGGCATCAAGACGACAAGTTCGACTTTTCCGTCAATTTCACTATATACACCTGCTCGAATCATCCCACCCATTTGTCCAGTGGTATCTCATGTGCAACTTGGTCAACTGCGGATTGTCATCTTCCACCAGTCCGTTCCACTCATGCATAGTAAGCCCTTGATCACCCTCAAAGAAATGCAATTTAGTTTGGACCACTTGTCCGTCCTCCCCTCGTCTATTTCTTGCTGAACCCAGAAAGAGCATGTGACATAAAAGCAAGCAAAAACTGCACCGCAAGTGGTGCACGGAAGTAAAAAGGGAAAAAGAAGATTGGCAAACAAAAGTGAAACCCCTTCATAGGAGTTGAAATCCCGCATATGCCCGGAACGCCTTCGCAATCTTGTGCATTTGTCGATAGTTTTTTTGTCGGTAAAAAGGGGAAAGCGTCAGCCGTTATTATGGTTGTCTTGCGGCAGAGCCGACAGTGTATTCCGATGAAGCAAAGAAAAGCACATAACCAAGTCAAAGAAGCCGGAAAGGAGCAAACGCCGTTGGCCCTGGAACAGTGGAAATATGGGAAATTGGCGCATGGAGAGAATGTCTTTTTTTGTGATTTTCGGCGGTGCCATCGAGGCCCCACGCAAGTAAGCTCGACCCAGATGAACGGGTCTCGCGGGTGTTGTACATTATTTGCAGAGGATATTATAATGATCACAGGCCGGAAAGCAGACGTGGGCCTAGTCAAAGGTACGCACAACGTTGCCGACCGTGAGTTATTTGAACACAGGCCATGGAAAATCTTCTCTTCGCTTGGAAAAGAGTCAGCTTTTCGTGCCAGAGGTAGAAAGGAAGATGTGTTTTGTACAGGAAGCGAGGCAAGAACCTGGCTTACATATGACAAGTATCCGTATGCACATCAGACTCCAAACACCACTTATTTTGGTGATCTACAGCATAACATGTCAGCACAATTCATACATTGATCTGAACTCAGATGCAACTTACGTTGGAGAATACTGCGGCGATGTCGGCGAATACTTGGGTGACGTCGGCGAGTAGCCCGGAGAGGTGGGTGAGAACTTCGGCGAAGTCGGCGAGTAGGCCATACCCGCCGGTGAGGTAGGGCTGTACACCGGGCTTGTGGGGCTGTAGCTTGGAGACGTAGGGGAGGCGGGGGAGCGTCTATCATTACCAGCGCCAAACTGCGGGCTCGTTGGGCTGTACATGGGCGATGTAGGACTATAGGCAGGAGAGGTAGGACTATAGTGTGGAGAAGTTGCACCACGAGCACCCGAATGCATAGGCGATGTAGGGCTGTAGCTGGGCGACGTGGGGGAATAGGATGGAGACGTGGGCGAGTAGCTCGGGGATGTGGGAGAGTACGAGGGAGAAGTTGGAGACCCGTACGCTGGCGAAGTAGGTGAGTATTGCGGCGAGGTAGGCGAATACTGTGGGCTCGTAATGTTGTACGATGGAGATGTGACTCCGCCAAAACGGGGACTGCTGATGGCAGGCGAGGTTGGCGAGTAGTTTGGTGAGCTGGGGGAATACTGTGGTGAGGCAGGGCTCTGTCCACTGAAAGGACTCTGGATTGTATTGAAGCCAGGGCTTTGGGCATAGACGCCTGGACTGAATGAGCCGCTGCCGTAGGGATCAGCGCCCCAGACACTGGCGCGGCCATCGTCTGTGCCAGCAATATGCTGAGGCGAAAAGTCGCCCATGCCGGCTTCACCGAGACCGCCCTCATAAGTAGGCGAACCGAGGTCATAGGGAGTCGCTGCACCGCTATCGTAGTAGTTGCCTGCACCGGCGTTGGGACGCATCTGTGAATTGTCCTCGACCATGGTGAGAAGCATAGCATTGTCCATGATGACTTCAAATTCGCCAGTGCCCATGGGTGCAAGTTGTCCAAGCATGATGTTCTCCGAAACACCTCGGCAGTCGTCAAGCTCACCATGCCCAGCAGCCTCCACCAAGATTTCCACCGTCTCTTCGAAGGAACAACGCATCAGCGCACCAGTATCGTTGCGGTTGATTCCGTGACGAGTGATGGCCATGAGAGTTCCGCGCTGACACATGATGTCGACGAGGATAGCCATGTGTCGGTGATTGACGTAGGAACCATCGAAAGACAGCACAGCATGCAACTCGCGAAGCAAACACTGTCGCGCAGCTTCGATACCAAGGACATGGAGAACCTCGATGAAAGAGTTTGAGTAGGTGTTTCGCGTGTTGACACCCTCAATGGCAAGTACATCAGACATGGCGATACCATTAGTGTCGAGAAGCCATTCGTCGCATCGTGTATCGTTCTTGTTCAAGAAGAGAGAACCGTCAGGGAGGGTGATGAGCCTAGTATCCTTTCGGATGAAGGCTCGGTCAATGCCACGGATACCACGCAGCGAAACATCGTCCAGCAAATGTTTCTCGAGCTTACGCATCCATCGCTCATCGCGCTCGTCGTCTTCATCCTCTTCCGACTTAAGGTGATGATCCCATACGAATCGCACGCGCAGAACCTGCTCTTCAGCGTTCTCATCGCTGAAAATGATGGCAATATTAGGAGCGAATTCAGCCTTGATCTTGGCTGCGACCTCGGTGATTGTGATGTTCTTGTCGAGCAGCTGTTTTCGCTCCAGAATGATGCGGAGCAGCCATTTAGATTGCTGCGAGGTGTCGATGTTCTCCTCGGGAATGATGAAGTACGACTCCACCATGTCAGCATCTTCCTCGATCAAAGTAGACTGGATGTCGGGATCGAAGTAGAGTTCGACAGAGTGGGTCAAAGAGCGAAGGGTCGTATGTTCAATCCTGCTTCGCAAGTCCTTTGCGGCTGTCATGGTGGCCTCCTCTGGGTTTTCGAGATGGATCACCATTCCTGGTGTCTTGATATCCTTGGCAATATTGAGAATTTCCTTGAGTCGGGGAACACCAAGAGTGACGTTCTTGGACGAGATACCAGTGAAATGGAACGTGTTCAGTGTCATCTGAGTAGCGGGTTCACCAATCGACTGGGCAGCCAACACGCCAACCATCTCACCTGGAGGAACAGCAGCTCTCAAGAATCGATCCCTGATCTGGCCCACAACGAAGTCTAATGCCTTCTTGTTGAGAGACTCCTCAACAACCAAGCGCTTGAAAGCCAACCTGGAGCGTAACAAACATTTGAAAAGCATAGTAGCGCTGTGCTGTGCTTCGAGCGACAAGGGATCCTCTCCACGAATGACGATAAGGTCGTCCGTCAGCTGGCGAACAGTCTGAATAGTCTCGATCGGTTGCAGATCACTGCGCTGGCCAGCCTTGATCTTGAAACGGCGCTTGGCATCTTCAATGATGCGTTGGACGTTGAGTGGCAGATAGTAGTTGGCGTTGTCTTCAGTGGCGGTTTCACGTAGGAAGTTCCTGTCAGCTTCAATCGCCTCGTATTCCTCGGCCAAAAACTTCTGCACCTCGATATCACCCTGAATGCTTGTAGCGATTTCCAAGCGACTGGGTGCGATGGGTGGGACGTCGCCCATGACGTCCATCTTGAAACGCTTCTCAAGCTTGTTCACTGACACGGAAACTGTGTCAATCTTCTGCTTCTCGACCTTTTCACCAGCAAGACCGTCTTCTCCGTAAACGAATTCGACAATGTCGCCCAAGGAATTGCGAACAGTACCGTCGTACTTGACCATGACGTCTTCAAGGGCCTTGACCAGACGACGTTGGATGTAACCAGTCTCAGCAGTCTTGACAGCTGTATCAATGAGACCTTCTCTACCAGCCATAGCGTGGAAGAAGAACTCGGAAGGAGTGAGGCCACGCAAGTATGAGTTCTCAACAAAGCCTCGAGACTCTGGAGAGTAGTCGTCTTTGGTAAAGTGCGGCAGGGTTCGGTACTTGAAACCGAATGGGATACGTGCACCTTCCACGGCCTGCTGTCCCACCAGTGACACCATTTGAGCAATGTTGACATTGGAACCCTTGGATCCGGATTTGACAGTCGCGACGACGTTGTTGAATGGCTTGAGACCGTTCTTGGCGGCTGTACCACCAGTTTCACGACCTCCGTTCAGCTCCTTCATGGCCTTGTTCTCGAACGTTTTACGGATGCTCATACCAGGACTAGGCTCCATCTCGTCATTGTTGGCACTATCAATGAGATCGGCGACAGACGCCTTTGCAACCCTGATGGCATCTAGAATCTTGTTGGCTGTCTTCGTGTCAGGAACAGCGTCACCAACACCGATACTGAAGCCGTGGTGAAGGAACCAATAATTGACGATACGCTGAGCAGCATTGAAGAAGGTGACTGTATCTTCAGGCCCGTGCTCGTTGTAGACAATGTGGACAATACCACCAGCAGAAGCACCAACGGCACTCTTTGCTAGCTGGCCGTGCACCACTTCACCATCATGTACCACCAAAGAGCTGCCAGAGTAATCATTGTAAGGATCCTGAGCTGAGTCATCGGGCCGCATAAGATTGATACCTTCTTTGAGGGCCAAGCTGATGATCTGTTTACCAGTCCAGCGGGGGCGCGGCTTGAGAATGGCGGGTGGTGGAATTACACCATCCCAACCAGGTACCCATAACAGGATTGGCATCATCTGTTCCCGTGTCATGAAAACATCCATATGGCACATCTTGTGAATTCCGCAGAGCGTGTCTTGCACGATACCCATCAGAGGCTTGTTACCCTGCGGCGATACGATCTGCAGGGGAACCATGCACAGGTTCTTGACCTCTGCGCGGGTCTCGTCGCTCTGAGGAACGTGTAGATTCATTTCATCACCGTCGAAATCAGCGTTGTAGGGTGATGTGACAGACAAGTTCAGACGGAATGTCGAATAAGGCATGACTTTGATGCGATGTCCCATCATGGATTCCTTGTGCAGGGAAGGTTGCCGATTGAAGATAATGACGTCGTCGTCATTGATGTGTCGCTCAACCTTCCAACCATATTGCAACCGCAGGTCGGCAAGATTCTTGTTGTGCTTGAGATCAAGACGTACACCATCCGACTTGATGACGAAGTTGGCGCCAGGATGTTGATTAGGGCCGTTGCGAACCAGGTTGGTCAGTTTACTGATATTGAACTTGGTAACCACTTCCGGGTATGTAAGGGTTCGAGCAATGGAGCGGGGAACACCGACTTGATCCAGTGACAGATTGGGGTCGCCCGTAATGACAGTACGCGCAGAAAAGTCGACACGCTTGCCCATCAGATTGCCTCGAAGACGTCCCTCCTTGCCCTTTAAACGACCACGAATCGTCTTGAGAGGACGTCCCGACTTTTGCTGGGCTGGGGGCACACCGTTCGCATCGTTGTCCATGTACGTAGCCACGTGGTACTGCAACAACGTCTCAAACTCGTTCAAAATGTGAGCTGGGGAGCCGTCGCGTTGACACTCCTGCACACGACCATTGGCGCGGATGATGTCGCCGAGCTTGTACGTCAAATCATCCTCTCCACGCATGCCTTGACCGGTTCCATCGACGGAAATACTGGGGCGAACTGGCGGTGGGGGAACTGGAAGCACGGTAAGGACCATCCATTCAGGGCGAGCGTAATCGGCGTTGAGACCAAGGAGCGCAATGGTGTCTTCTTTCAGAATGCGGAAGACATTCAATGCATCCTGCGGGCTAAGGGTCCTCTTCTCATCGCCTTTGCCTTCGTCGTCGTCCTTTCGCGGCTTGTAGACGGCCGTGAGCTTCAGACCTTCCTTTTTGATGCTGTCTGGTTGCCTGTTACCACAGCCACCATGGGGAATCTTGGTTGCCTTCTTGGGATCATCCTCGGGTGGATCGTTGACACAGTCCTTTTTCGTCTTTGACAGGCGCCATATCGCGTCAAATCGCTTTTTAGGATCCTTGAATCGGATAGCTGCCTTCCAGTCCGGATGGTTCTGAAAGTAGGTCAGCACTGAGACAATCACAATATCTAAGCTGTTCGTCTTCCGCAATGAAGACTTACAAAATCAGCCAAGATTAAGCCACAGTTGTGGCACACTGTCTCAAGAATCTTCTTGATCTTCGTGACAAAGCCTGAGACGAGATTAGCAAACAGAGCACAATGCTGGATGGCGTGCTCAACTCACCGACATGGAAAACGGGAACGGACAATTCGATGTGTCCAAAGTGACCAGGGCAGGTGTTTATATCCTCCTTGCAAGTGGAACACTGGAACATGCGATCGATCGTGCCCAGCTTGGTGTCATTGAGGCCCTGTGCGCGAGGCAGTTGCTTCTCCTCGTCCATAGTCTCGGGGTAGATGATGTGCACCACACTCATAGCCTTAATCTCCTCGGGCGAGAAGAGACCAAACTGGATCTCCTTGACAGTCCGGAGCGGACATTTCGACACGGGCGGGGCGCCGGGCGCCATGATTGCGACTGGGTGAGTGAGGCAGAGGCTTTAGTGTCGGGGTTGTCGTCGCGTCGTCGTTGTCGCTGTACAGACTGTGGCAGTGGCCACGGGGGGCAGGCGCCTCCTCACAGGTGAGAGAGACTCTACAAAGTAAGATAAATGCCGGTAATTATGGTGTCGGGATGCGCTCGGCGGGCGCGATGAGATGGGGTGGTGAGGATGGTCGACTGGGTCGGTCGGGGGTAGAGGGACTCGCGTGGATCGCGTCGGGACGGCCGCGGGCTGCGCAGGCGTACAGCGCAGTGTAGATGGCGCACGCGTAGTCGGCCGTACAAGAGGAGCGCTCGCTGATGTGGAAGCGGGGGCGCGAGATGGGGAGGGTGGGTGGTGTTAGAGAGTTGGTGAGAGGCGGCGATCCAGGCGGCAGAGGAAGAACAAGAGGCGGCGACAAAGAGCGAGAGTCGCCAAGAGTTTTAGCGCAGTGCTATTAGTGTCTCCGGGGAGCGACTGGAGGAAACATTCAAATGTTGATATATCGTCAATTACTTTGGAATGTTTGCATGGACATTAATGAAGTATACTTTATAGAGTCTCAAGGTAATAGAAGCTTCACCAGATCTTCAGTATCTGGTCTTATAAAGTCAATACCTTACAAAACTTGACATTCACATCTAGGGGCTGTCCGCAAGTAGACTAGCGTCCAGGAAGCTGCTATGTCGTTCGCGGAGACAATGGTAACAAACCAAACGACCATCACTTGACAGGCATGCATGCGATGAGCGCTGGCGCGGCTGCAAGATGATAATATCGCTGCAGAGGTCGCCGCCATGAATCTGTCGCTTGTTGATCCCTTCGTGCTCGCCCAGGATTGCCCTGAGGTTATCACCGGTCGTCTGCGTCAGTATTGCCCTCTCCAATATTTGCGTATATAAAATTGCGACATTGACTGACGTCTACAGCAGGCAGCGGCCACTCCACTTCTATCCGCTTCAGCCACCGCGGCGATTTACTTGCGTCAGGTCGGAGCGATGGTATCGTCGTCGTCTTCGACATTGAAACCAACGGCGTTGCCCGCAAGCTGCGTGGCCATACCCGCCAAATCCAGTCGCTGAGCTGGTCCACCAACGACCGCTTTCTCCTCAGCGCTGGTCAGGATTGGAAGTGTGTGCTCTGGGACCTTAAGGATGGCTCCCGTGTACGCACCGTTCGCTTCGAGGCTGCCATCTTCATCGCCGAGCTGCACCCGCAGAATCATATGAAATTCGCAGCTGCCTTATTCGAAGACCAGCCTGTGCTTGTTGACATGTCCAACGACGTCCCTGTCAAGCATCTCCTACCCACAATTCCTCGTCGATCTCCAATGGAACGCGAAAACGTTTCTGAGAAGCAAGCTGCCCAGGATGCAAAGCAGACCACCACGGTTACCCTCTTCACTCCCTCGGGGGATCACATCATCGCCGGGACGAATAAAGGATGGTTGAACATCATAGACGCTACAACCCACGAAATAAAATACTCTTTCCGCGTCGGTAACAACATTCTTGTGTTGATTCGTTTGACACAGTCTGGCCGCGATATGGTTCTCAACTCCAGTGACCGCATCGTGCGAACAATCCCCTTGCCCGACTTTAGCGATCCGAAGCTCGATTTCGACGCATTGCAGCTCGAAGTCGAACACAAGTTTCAGGATCTGGTGCAACGATTATCATGGAATCATGTCACCTTCAGCTCGACCGGTGAATTTGTCGCCGCATCGACCTGGATGAACCATCACATTTATATCTGGGAGCGCGGACAGGGCAGTCTTGTCAAGATTTTGGAAGGAACTAGAGAAGAGTTGTCGGTCGTGGAGGTACACAATTTTCTGCCAATAAGAATCCAAGAATCATGCTGACACTATCCAGTGGCATCCGTTCCGCCCCTTTGTCGCAGCCGTCGGCGTCGACACTGGACGCGTATGGCTCTGGTCGATTCTCCAGCCCCAACGCTGGTCCGCCCTAGCACCCGATTTTATCGAAGTCGAAGAAAACGTTGAATACATTGAGCGCGAGGACGAATTCGATATTCAGCCCCTTGAGGAGATTCACAAGCGCCGTCTGGACCAGGAGGACGAAGAAGTCGACGTCCTTACCATTGAGCCCGTCAAAACCACGACGCAGTTCGCGACCGGTGACTTCCGCATGCCCGTTTTGTTAAACATTGAGGCTAGTGATAGCGAGGATGAGGTTGTAGCTGTGGGTGCGGGGCAATTTAGGAGGAGAAGTCCCGGGGCGGGAAGGGAGTGGATGAATGATGAGGATGCCAGGGCTGCTAATGGAACGCCACCAGTCAACGGAACCAAGAGGCGGAGATGATGGCAAAAACCTAGGCATGAATGATGATTCGATTACGAGGTTGTGTTTGGCCATCATCATCAATGGATTATTAGCGGGTTGGTCTTGATATTGGAAATACATTTCATCGGAATCCACGAGCATATGAATTCATGTGTACTTTATGTTTCCGTGATTTGATGCGCTCTTCCGGAGCGAAAGTAGGGTGTGGTGATCTACAAGCAAGGCATACACGCAATCAAGTTGTTCTTTCTAAACAATTAACATGCTTTCTATCCGATAATTGGAAACTGATAGATGGTTGTTCGTGAGTCAATTGTGCCACTTTTTGAACATGAGAGTTGGAAGGAACGGAGAAGCGCGAGCGGTGTTTCAATCTCCGACACATTTTCATTTCGACAACAGTCCATTCCGCAAAGAACATTCGCCCAGCTTTCTAGCTGCACTGTTGCCCAACTTGATAACTCTCTTTGTTTCACACAAGATGTAATCGTCCGTTTGCAGTACTCGTTCGCTCAAATTGGACAAAGGCGCTTTGTGTGAAGAGTGCCGTCAATGACTGTACGAAGACAAACTCAATCCCAGAGTGATCTCCTGAAATCGAGTCGGCTACTTTACTGTGATTCACCTCGAATTCTTTTGGCTTGTTAACTAGCTTCTCGCGTGGTTGAATGAAGTTTTCTGCGTCTTGATCAGCAACTGTCGCCAAATCATGGACGGCGCGGACGGTGCGGACATTGACCGCGTCTCCAATCGTATTAAACCACAGAGAGTGTATGAATTTGCAGACAATCCGCTCGTTGGACTAGGAAACGAACCAGATGATGATCTCGGCTGCCCCGACCGGCGAGGTCCCCAGCGGCCACATACAGACTTTACAAAATGGTTTTGCCATTACCTTAACCGCAAGCAAGTCGCCATGGAGAGCTTCTCGGTGCCTCCAAAGAGCGATTTATATACTCGGGTATTGGCGCAAAAGTTGATCGTGCGTCGAATTAACGTATACGTTCGAGAGCCAGATGTTAAAGTTGAAGATGTGCCGCTCGAGGAAGAAGAGATCTCTTGGAAAGAAGAAGATATCTGGCATTCAGAGAGAACAAGAACGTCTGATGCGTATGGATACTGGTCTTACCATGTTGTACAACTCTTTGGTTCGGTTCACCCCAACTTCGTACCTGTCAGTGCCGATGGGGCCAGGAACGTGATATACATTGGGGAGCGTGAGAAAGGCAAATTCGAGCCTATACCATATACACACTCCCTGTTCTCGTTATGGTTCAACAATACACAAAACTACAAAAGAACATTTCCTGAGAGGTGGCCGGATTATCTTGAGAATAGTTCCAAGGACCCGAAAAGCTACTACTATGAAAGTTCTGTTAGCAAATACGACACTTGGTCTTGGCCAGGCGATGGTGAGTCAGGGTTACAACAGCTGAGAACTGTCTTCCGATCAGTTCACTTGCTGAATTCTTGAATTAGATATTACAGTGCAGCGTCTCGATGGACGACGATCTTTTCAGCGATATCGTATGGCTACATCTCGAACCGCTGCTCGGGCTCTCCAGCGAGTCTACACGGGACGGGCACGATATCATTTGCCCTCGCCGTAAGTTGCGCCCACAAACATATGTATATTCTGACGCTAAAGCTTAAGCGTGTCTAACAGTGAAGAACGAGCCCGCATAAACTTTTCTCGAGGAAATTGGGTCTTCTGGGCGAATGTAAAAGAAGAGGCTTGGACCGATGTATCAGATAAGAAAAGGATGCGAACCAAAAAAAACATCGGGCGAAGATTCAAGGTTGCTAGTAACCAGGACGACACATGCATCTGGTGGCAGGATGGTCACCCCGAGAACCCAAGGCATGTAATGCAGTGGAAGGATCACGACGACACACGCGAATTTTCAAGACACTCAGAGGCCATTCGTAGACGAGCTCTGCAAGAGAGAGAGAAAAGAAGAGTCATAGCCGCTAACACCGGACCAAAATGCGTCTCGAAGAATGAATATGTCATGTATTTGAAGGCCCCAGAAGATGTAGGTTGCTCATGGAAATGAGCGTTGCGTGTACATGGCATGCTGACTGTTGTTAGTCAGTCGAGGTAACAGAAAAGGAACCAAAAAAACGAACCGCGATAGCCCGAGAGCGCGCTCGAAGATCTGAGCAGCTTGAGGCATCGATTCCAGTTGGCACGATGTGGATATGGAACAAAACGCTCGATCGGGTGTACCAGATTGTCAACGTGGGCCCAAGCCGTCCAGAACGAAACCCTCTTGCGTCCGTAAGCTTGATAGATGATGCATTTGAAGCTCCAGGCTTTACCACACTCAAATACGAAGGCAATGGCATCAGGGACTACAATGAGGACATCAATGTAGGGTGCTGGCGATTCTTGAAAATAATCTCGCAGCCGCCTCAATCGAAAAGCAAAGTGACGTTGTGGGGTCGTATTGTGAATCGCATTATCATGGACGTAAGTTACGAACTACTAGCAGTGAATTATTGTCAGATCTAAATTCTTATCAGCGCCTCGTCATGAAGCAGTTCACTACTGCAGATCCCGGGGCTCACCAGCAATGGGTCACACACCCACGAGGCGAGAGGCCCGAGATCTTACACCACTGGATGTCATCAGACCAGACGGAACCAATCATTAGATTCAGAGGCGCAGCCATCTGTAGCTCCGAATCTTCACCATTGCTGCACCATAGAATTTTGTAAGTAATAGACGTGTTCATCACCCTTTGAATCACGTTACTGACTCGCCACACCCGCAGTCTCGAATTCGCGGAAGGAGGCTCTCTCTGGTCACTCATGGAGGCGAGAAGGGCTTTGAAACGCCCAATTCCCGAAGATTTTGTATGGATCGTACTTATGAACCTAGTAGAGGCGTGTATTCGGATGGAAGAAGTAGGTGTTGTACATCTGGACATCAATGTAAGGGCAAAACTATGACACCATCACGCGGAATTTGAGCTCACATATGTCTAGCCTCACAATGTTCTACTCAGTACCAATCATGATCGCCAAGGAGGCCATTGGCTTGATGTTTATCGACCGGTCCTTGCAGACTTCGGCAAAACACATCCCTTTGGCGAGGCCCTCGGTCCTCACGATACGGGTAAATTAGGGTGAGTAGAAAAGCTAAATTGATGACCATGAAGCTGACAATATGTACAGATTTACGTCACCGGGTTTGTCCACTCTCCAAAAGTTCTACGTTCAATAAAAAGCACTCTACTAACTCCTCCAATAGAACAATTCGAAGCAGCCATCGGAATCTCCAATAAATCCAACGATAAAGTCCACGTATACGGCATCGGTTTCACTATCTGGTGCATGATCCGCAACCTTGGATCCGGTCTTGAGCAATCACTGGACTCAAACCCTCCTCGCGCAGTGTTCATAAGCCCGCAAGGTACAAATATCAATCCAGCTCCCCCCGCCTTCTCCCCCGATCCGAGAATCACAGTCCGTAACGACGTAGACCTCAACTCCTCGAAGTACTCTGAAGGCCTGGAATACTTGATTCAGCAATGTTTAATCTATGACCCAGCTCAGAGGATCACTTTGGAGCAGCTAGGCGAGAGAGTTGGTACTAGAATCTTTGAGCGGGGAATGGATCAGTCTGCGAGGCCTGCGGACGAGTTTGCGCTCATGGATACTTTTGATGAGATGTTTGTTAATGCAGATGATGCTATAGAGGCGTAGGCAGAGAAGATGGAGTGTGGGATTTGTATCTCTTATGTAGTCTGCTTTGTGGTTTGATTTGGTCGAATTAATTTCATGTTTTTTCTGTGAACCATGCTTGCGGTCATGAGCGTTGAGTGAAGTTGACAAAGGAAGTAAGAACAATTGAACGAAACTACAGAAAGTTTATGCCCATTGCCCTCCAGCAATAAGGCTCGCACAGTATACAAAGATACTTAGTACGTGCATTTACCACAGTACCCGCAATCCTCACCACAAGCCGTGTAATCGTCCCACTCATCCTCATCCGCAAAAGAAAAACCTCCGCCCTGGTCATAATCATCCTCCTCCTCCTTCTCACTTTCACTCCCATCATCACCATCTTCAACATCGACACTTGCCCACTTCGCTGCCACGTCCTCCGGCAGAACGGCCTCTGTCTTCCTCTCTCCGCTCACCCCCCTGATCTCCAACTGCCCCTTCCCAAAACAAACAACCTCCAGAATCTCCCCATCCGCTTGTCTCCCAACTTCCACAATTCGTCCCAGCAGCGTTCGGAATCTCAAGATCGCCTCTCTATTCGCCTTTTCCCAGGTTTTGAGCGCGTCAACAACGTTCATGACGTGTGTTGTTGCTGGTGAAAATCCGCCATGGCCATCGTGATATGCGATGATGAAGTAGGGGATTTGTTTGAGCCAGAGGATCGGGTACATATCCTGCATGTCGATCTGCTTGCCATGCTTGTTGGAGCGAGTTTTGAGGTCAAAGATGTGTTCTGGTGGTGGGGTTGATTGGTTATTGTGTTCGACAGTCAAAGAAAGTTCCTCTTTTGGATTAGAGTGATTGGAATTTTGTCGGACGGTGGTGGTAGACGTTGCGGCTAATTCATTGACCAGATTGTCAATATCAAGACCTGTAGTCTGCTTGGTACGAGGTGATGATGATGTGGATTCAGAGGCAATGTAGCCGTCACATTCAAAGCGTACGATGCATTGCAGACCAGCGAGATTGTACTGGACAAGCCGCTGGTGCGACTCGGAGCCCTTGACGCTACTCTCCCACGTTGTAGATGCCTCGGGAAATGTGTGGCCATAGCCGCGAACGCCTTGAAGGAGTTCGCGAGGGTCGTTTTCTTTGCGAACGAAGAAGACGGTGTTGCCGATCGTTTGGAAGGTGAAGCGGAATGGCTTGTCAATGAAGCGAACGAAGCGAAGGAGATTTCCCAGCGTGTAGCCACAGGCGAAGACGTCGATTGAGGGGGTTGGAAAGACTGGGTTGTGATCTAGGATGGCGTGGACGCTGGGGAGCATTGGATAGAGTGGGAAGTGGGCTGCGTTTGGGTCGCGGAAGTAGGAACCGTTGTCTTCTTGGAGACGTTGAGGAGTGGTCGAAGGGGTCCATTTTGGTGGTTTGCCTTGGTTATGGTAAGTAAAGTAGATGGGAACATAGACATGCGAAGAAAGATGGAGTGCGTCCAGGAGTTCGAATGAATATTTAACATTTGAATCAAGCTCACTTACCCGGTATCATGATCGTAGGCAAGCCCCTACTAACCCAGTTGTAGGATGCGATATGTGTGCAGTCTTGAATGACCTCATCTAAGGAATCCTCCGTTTTACTGTCAAAGTCATTGCTCTGGAATGTCAGTAACAGTTCCCCCAACGGGTATTTTTCGATATCAAGGGTCGGTTCATCGCGTTTCTGGTATGGGAAACCACCATGTGGTCTATCACGAGTGGAACGTGGCGCAAATCCTCCTCTTCGTGATCTGTATGCCATATTTGGTGTGAAATATGGTTGTAGATGATCACACGTTTTGTTATGGGCACAAGTGGGCTGTCGTATTGATTAAGCATGGTATGCTGCCTGATTATGCAAGGCTGAGCCCAATAGGTGCATGTTTGTATGTGGCACAACATCTGCTTTGTCGCTATCGATTCGCAGAGAGCTTCTCAAACATGTAGGCAGCAATCATCAGGCGATTTCCTGCTTGCTCAACTGCCTTCGTTGTCAAATCAGTTTGCACAGCCTTTGATAAGAACGGCGGCCACTACGCTGTGCGACCATCATCCCCGCACTCTTGAGAAGCAACCATCTTCTCCCACTGTCCAGACACCATTGCACCTTTTGACACCTCTTTCAAATCACCATCATTCGTATTTTTGATACCAAACAAGTACCATCCACACCAACATGGCCAGTCAGGAAGCTGCCGATAAACGGTTAGTAGGCTTGACCAAGCTGTTCAATGCGGTCATCTTTGGCCGTCGAGAGCTGAAGAGTAGTGGAGATGGAAATCGATTCTTGGAAGCTTGGTGTGCACAGCCAGACGCGTCCAAAGCAGTTGAACAAGTCATCGCCGCCCCCCAAGGGCTAACAGCGATCGCCAAGGCTTTTCGCTTGTCTGGGGATCGCGCTTTCCTCATTGGGCATGCCACCTCCACCCTTCGCTACCTTTCGAACCCATCTCTCAAACAGCTCTATGCAGGTCAATTCCTGAACGAGATTCTTGAACAAATCGTCCAGCCTCCAACATTCTGGGATGTCTTTGTCCGGGCTCATCGGGATCAAACCCTTGATGATGACGCAACTCTCGCTTTCGCATGGCTTCTCCTTGAGCTTCTATGCTCGCGTTCTGATGGGATACCAGACGTAAGAGGTCTTGCAGAACAGATTACAAGCGATAAGCTTCTCACTCAATCCGAAAACTTGAACGTCAGAAATCTGGGCCACAAGATCAAACACATTATCGAAAGCACGACCAAGACTACCGATGATGGCCCAGGCGGGCGTCATGACAATGACTTTGTTGACTATCGCAAAGTCAAGATTATGCCTACCCCAGATGAATTTGTTTCGACAGAGCGACCATTCTATCGACCAGCCGAAGCCATCTTGTCCGGAGAGCCCGGACTCAGGGGCAATCTTCACCTTGACAACCAGTTCCGACTATTACGCGAGGACCTTCTCGGAGAGCTGCGAAGTGACTTCCAGATTGCTTCTGGCACGAAGAAAGGCAAGCGTAAGACTGTGATTACGGACTTGGAGTTCTGCGGCATCGACTGTGGTACGGTATCTCGGCGTAAGCTATGCTGTGTTGAGCTTCGCTGCACGAATGGCATCCCTCAGGTTCCCCGGTCTATGAGTCTGGACGAACGTAAGAAGAAATTACACGAGAGCAAAAATCTGCTCAAACATCAGTCTTTGGGCTGTCTAGTAAGCGATGGTCAGCTTGTCGCTTTCGCCAGTGTAGATAGGGATGTGGACAAGCTCGCTACATTCCCACCGATTCTTGTCTTGCGCATCACTGACAACGCCTCATTCCAAAAAGTCATGATGAAGCTCAGCATGTCGTCAGACTTACAGTTTGTTCAAGTGGACACTGCGGTCTTTGCCTACGAGCCCATCCTCAAATGTCTCCAGGATATGCGAGATGTACCTTTGCAAGAACAGCTGCTAGACCTTCACTCCGACTCAAGTGAAGAGCTTTCTGCGATCGTGCCCAAGCTTATATTTGATCGTATTGAATCTGCACGACACCAGAACCTAAAAGACGTACTTGATACCAATACAGAGATCCAACTCGACGATGCGCAAGCTGATTCGTTGCTGGCCGGCATCGCGAAGCGCGTTAGTCTTATTCAAGGACCCCCGGGTACAGGAAAATCTTTCATCGGAGCTTTGATATCGAAAATACTCCACGATCATACCGGCGAGAAGATTCTTGTTTTGACTTACACCAACCACGCGCTTGATCAATTCCTTGGTGATATTCAGAAAATTGGAGTCCCTTCACACTCCATTGTGCGTCTTGGGAACAAATACAGCGAAGAAAACAGAGCCCTCTCTATGAAAGAGCAGAAGACTGCATACAGAATAGATGGTTCCACTCATCACATTATAGATGAGCAGAAAGCTCAAGCAGAGAACTATCAGGACATGCTATCACGGAAGAGCGCCAACTTCACCAGACTCCGCGTTACAAAGACGCAGCTTTTTGCGTTTCTGGAATTCTCTGAAGATTCCGAATTCTTTGACGCATTCCAGATCCCGGACGCAGAGAACGATGAGACTACGGTCGGAAGGCGTGGAAAAAAGATTGAACGATCCTATTTGTACGATCGATGGATACAAGGCCGCGATGCTGGGATCTACCGGAAAACCACGGCATGTGATCATCCGAACGTCTGGTCTTTGAGTCCGGAAGCCCGAAAGGCTCGTCTGAATTCTTGGATAAAGGTATTATTGGAAGAGGAGGTTGCTGAACTCGGAAACCTTGCGGAAAAGTACGATCACTGTCAAGAGAAAGTTACGCGACTTTTCCGTGGAAAAAATGCGCACATCATGGGCGAGAAGCGCATCATCGGATGTACTACAACGGCTGCAGCGATCTATGCGGAAGAGATACAGAAAACCTCACCAGGGATTGTCATCGTCGAGGAGGCTGGGGAGATTCTCGAAAGCCATATATTGACAGCGATGTCGCCTTACACTAAACAGCTCGTGCTCATTGGTGACCACAAACAACTTCGACCGAAGATCAGTAACTATGCACTCACCATCGAGAAAGGCGATGGCTACAACCTCAACGAGTCTATGTTCGAAAGACTTGTGATGGCAGGTGTGCCTCATGTCACATTGAACAGACAACACCGGATGCAGCCGGATATATCAAAGTTTGTACGGGCCTTGACCTACCCTGAGCTCGAAGATGCTCCCAAAACTAAAGGGAGACCCCCTCTTCGTGGCTTCCAAAACAGTGTCATATTTGTCTCGCATGACAAACCTGAACTCAATGCCACGAATATTGCAGATCGTCGAGACGAAGGGGGCAAATCGAGCAAAGAGAACGAGTACGAAGTAGATATGGTCCTCAAGTGTGTCCGCTATTTGGGTCAGCAAGGGTATGGGACCCATCAGATTGTGGTGCTTACACCGTATCTGGGCCAGTTGTATTGTTTAATGCGCAAGTTATCAACAGAAAACGACCCGGTGTTGAATGATCTGGACTCCTTTGAACTGATACGTGCTGGTCTACTCACTCCCGCCGGTGCCAACATCTCGAAAAGTAAAATCAGGATCTCTACTATAGGTAAATTTTGTTGTCCTGGACCCATTCAACTGCAAGAGTCATTGGTTAATTTTTGGCAGACAACTACCAAGGAGAGGAAAGCGACATTGTAATTGCTTCATTGACTCGTAGTAACCCGGTCGGCGACGTTGGTTTCATGTCGGCACCCCAACGAGTGAATGTGTTGCTGTCACGTGCTCGTAATGCCCTGATCATGATCGGAAATGCCGACACATTCCTGAATAGCCGTAAGGGTAAAGAAGTGTGGACTCCTTTGATGGATCAGCTGAAGCGAGACGGGCATATCTATGATGGTTTCCCTGTGCAATGCGAAAACCATCCCGAGAGAAAACAACTTTTGTCTACGCAGGAAGCTTTCGATACCGAGTGTCCTGATGGGGGCTGTTCCGAGCCATGGTAAGTAATGGAAAAGCTTCTTCAGACATATATGAGCGTAGCTAATTCCACCAGCGGAGTTCTACTCAACTGCAATCAGCACAAATGCCCACATAAATGCCATCAGCTCCAAGATCACTCCAAGATGGCGTGCAGAGCAATAGTGGAATCATTCTGTCCCAAGAACCATAAAACCTCGAATCTATGCTACAAATCAACTGGCCAGAGTTGTAAAAAATGCGAGAAAGAGGCGAAAGCAAGCGAGAAGAAACGAAAGCGAGCTTGGGAATTGGACCGCGAAAGGCAGGCTAAACAAGATGCTTATGCCGCGGAGCTGACCCAGCTAGAAGAGGAGATTGAGCACGAGAAGCGACGGATGAAAGATTTGACTGATGAACAAGCTCGAAACAATGTTCTAGCGCAGAAGAAGCTTGACTTGGCCAACATGAAGAAGTTGCGTGCTTCTGGCCTGCAACAATCGACCCAGGCAACTACTGCCGGCACATCCACACAGGCTGCGAAGTCATCTACGACCCCTACAGCGACATCCACACAGGAGATCTCTGCTCAACAATCAAGTAGCCCAAACACCAATACCCCGCCGAGTTCGTCAGTCGCTCCCACGAACTGGGACAAGAGCAAAGCTAGAGATGAATGGGATTGGCAAAAGGCAAATGAGCTTGCAGAGAACAAGGCACTCGACGAACTGATGGATATGATAGGTATGTATTGCATTGTCTGCGATCCAAGATGCAGGATCTAGAAAGTAACTGTTCAATAGGGTTGGAGTCTGTCAAGCAACGATTTCTGCTCATCAAAACTAAGGTCGACACTGCTGTTCGGCAGAACATCTCCTTGGGAGGTGAAAGATTTGGCGCTGCACTGCTGGGAAATCCTGGAACAGGTGCGAGATTAGGTCGAAAGATAATGAGATTACAAGCTGATGTGATTGCAGGCAAGACTACCGTAGCTCGCCTCTACGCCAAATTCTTGGTCAAAGTGGGAGCCTTACCTGGAGGTCACTTCATTGAGAGCTCCGGGTCTTCACTTGCTAACGAAGGAGTCTTGGCATGCACAAAACATATTGAAAAGATTCTTGAAGCAGGTGGGGGTGTCTTCTTTATCGACGAAGCCTACCAGCTCGTTTCGGGCAACTCACCTGGCGGCAAGGCTGTGCTGGACTATCTTCTCGCAGAAATTGAAAATCTCACTGGTAAAGTGGTGTTTGTCCTGGCTGGGTACCATAAGCAGATGGAGGCGTTCTTCGAACATAATCCTGGGATTCCCAGCCGCATCCCCATTCAGATGGAGTTTGAAGACTATACTGACACGGAACTGCACAAGATATTCTGTCAACATATCTCGAAGAAATACAGTGGGAGGATGAAGATACAAGACGGTATGCTAGGCCTTTTCGTCCGGATTGTCGCTCGTCGGATCGGTAGAGGGCGTGGTCGGGATGGGTTTGGAAATGCCCGTGATGTCCAGAACAAGATCTCGCAGATCACTGAGCGACAAGCAAAGCGACTTCAGCAACAACGTAAAGCAGGTCAACTCCCCGATGATTATGAGCTCACCAAAGAGGATCTAATTGGTCCGGAGCCGTCGACAGTACTCAGGAAAAACAAGGCGTGGAAAAAGCTAAAAGAGCTAATCGGTCTTCAAAAGGTCAAAGAAAGTGTTCAGATTCTACTAGACCAGGTGCAGTACAACTACGATCGGGAGCTTGCGGAAAAACCCTTAGTTCAGTATTCACTCAACAAATGCTTTGTTGGATCGCCAGGAACTGGAAAGACGTCAGTCGCAAAGCTATACGGGCATATCTTGGCAGACATTGGGCTTCTTTCCAATGGAGAAGGTGAGCGGACCTCTGTTTCGATAAGCGCATGCTGACAAGATACAGTTGTTGTGAAAAATCCCGCAGATTTTGTTGGGGACGTTATAGGGGCTTCGGAAACCAAGACTAAGGCGATATTGGCATCAACGGTAGGAAAAGTTTTGATCATCGATGAGGCTTACATGCTGGCCGGAGGCGGGAAACCCGACATTTTCAAGGTCGCTGTCATCGACACCATTGTAGCAGAAGTCCAGAGCACTCCTGGAGAAGACCGGTGCGTGCTTCTGCTGGGCTATAAAGACCAAATGGAGGATATGTTCAGAGACACCAACCCCGGCTTGGCGAGGCGCTTCCCACTTGCTTCTTCTTTCGAATTCGAAGATTTCTCTGATGCCGAACTCGGTCAGGTTTTGAACCTGAAGCTAAAGGATGTCGGCTATGACGCGACAGACCAGGCCAAGCGCGTCGCAATAGAAACCCTCCAGAGAGCTCGTAATCGACCCAATTTTGGAAATGCCGGAGAGATAGATATAATGCTTGACCGTGCCAAAGCCCTTCATCAGAAACATCTGTCCTCCCGGAAAGTGAAGCATATTGACACGTTAGAGGCTATCGATTTTGACCCCGAATTCGACAGAACAGCCCGAGCAGCAACCAATCTACCTTTATTATTCAAGGACGTTGTGGGGTGTGAAGCTATCATTAAGCAAATGCAAAGCTACCAGACGACAGCCGCGAATATGAAGGCGCTCAACATGGACCCACGGGAGCAAATTCCATTCAACTTCCTCTTCAAAGGACCTCCAGGTATGATATGTGATTCTGCTTATCTGTTCTTCGCTGACACTTCGTAGGCACCGGAAAGACCACCACAGCCCAGAAAATGGGCAAGGTCTTCTACGACATGGGTTTCCTGGGCCAGGCGAAAGTCGTCGAGGCTTCCGCAACGGATCTTGTTGGCCAATATATAGGACACACGGGGCCAAAGGTGCAGAAACTACTCGAGACAGCTCTTGGCAAAGTTCTGTTCATTGACGAAGCGTATCGCCTTGCCGAGGGCCATTTCGCAACGGAAGCTATGGATGAGCTTGTCGATTGTCTTACAAAACCAAAATACCATCAGAAGCTGATTTGTATTCTCGCTGGATACGATAAGGACATTGATCGATTAATGTCGCAGAACCCTGGTCTGACGAGTCGTTTTCCAGAAAGCGTCGTCTTCCCTCATTTGGACCCAACGACCTCAATCAAACTGATGACGAAAGTCTTGGAGAAGAATGCCCAGCAAGCTCCACTACGTATAGAGTGTTTGGTGAATCCCGAGCCAAAGTTTGAGGGTAAACTACTCGGTCTGTTCAAGCAACTTTCAAGCTTAGATTCGTGGGGGAATGCACGTGATGTGAAGTCATTGGCCAAAGGGATGTTCAACAAACTCATTTCGGCAGCTTCTCTTCCGATCAAAGAACTTGTGTTGACTGAGGAGGTCATCACTGAAATTATGGAGAGCATGCTAGCGGAGCGTTCTCGTCGCAATGAAGCGGTTGGCACCACACGGTTTGATGAGCGGAACCGGACACGGACTCTCCAGCAAGTACAGACTGCCCCAACTGGGCCGCCACCTGTACCATCAGATCCAAATGCTGGCACCAAATCAAATTCCAATGCGAAACCGCCCCCACCTCCGGCAACTGATGGAAAACCTGATGATCCACCCCCTACAAAGGACGAGGGCAACACTACAATCGAAGAGCCAGAATGGATCGACTCCATCATGAAAGCGAAGCGAGATCCAGGCGTTTCAGATGCAGTCTGGGAGCAACTCACCCGCGATAAACTTGCAGCCATTGCCCAGGAACGCGAATATATGCGCCTCCAAAAGGAAAAACAGGACGAAACGGGGCGTATAGAGAAGCTTCGACGCGCCGAGGAACAGGCGCAGCACGATGAAGAGAAGCGAAGGTGGGAGCAAGAACGGATCGAAGCGGAGCTTGAGCGCCGCAGACAGGACGAGATTCTGAAAGAGGTGGAGCGCAAAAGGCAGCTGGAGTTGAAGAGGCAGCAGAGACTCAGAGAGTTGGGACCCTGTCCCGCGGGATTCCGCTGGATCAAGCAGAGTGGGGGATATAGATGTGCTGGTGGGAGTCATTGGCTTGCTGATGGTGCGCTGGGATTGTAGAGTGGTTAGGTTTTGGTGTTCGATTATTTGTGTTTGATGTTGGATCGCATTGTGGGAAGTCGACGAGATGGAACATGGTCGAGTCTAGATTTTTGCTTGATTTTTTTTGAATGCAGGATAAGCATGAGAGAACGCTGCATGATTTCCATCGAAGCCACACCCATCGGAACAGATGGCAGCTAAGATGGCAGCTCAGACAGCGCTAATTTCGGACACTGTCATTGTTTCATTCAAGCCCTCCCGTCTAACATTCTGATAAACATACCAGTGAACAGACATAACCCATGTATTTGAACGCCTTTTTCACGCTGTCAGTTATCATTTGCATATCGCAATCGTGAAGGACTAGCTTTTGTGTTCGATGCTCTCCGAATGAGACATTATGTCAGAGAAAGAGAGAAAAATGACAGAGCGATAAAAAGAGAGTTGGATATCAAACTATAATAATCAAGATCAACGACGTATTAGAACGAAAAGCAACGCTTCGCAAACAAATCAAAACATCCGCGTATCCACCCTCCAAAACGAAGAGACCCCGCAGGCCTCTCTCACTCTCTCACACACACACACATAGACCAACAACTACACCAATCTAACTCTTAACCTTCTCCGGGACAACCTCCTCAGGGGTCTCAGACCCAACGCCTTCATGCACAGCAGCGGCCCTCCCAGTCTTGGCTCCTCTCCCAGTAACATCCAACCAAATAGCCTTGAAGGTCCTAGCGCTCGTACTCCTGCCCTCCCAAAGCGGATACAAGCCGACAGCGAAACAGCTGCAAAACATCCAAAGGATACCGACGACGACCCAGCCGGTGAAGAATTTCTTGGAGAAGATGTAGCCGGAGCCGTACATGGGCATGGGCCAGAGGACGAGGAAGGCGAGGGTCATGAAGACGGTCATCCAGCGGGCGATGCGGGACGCTTTGAGGAGCTTGGCTTGCTCGGCTTCTTCTTCGGCCATGGAGTGCGTGCGGGCTTCGCCTGGGACGAGCTCGAGGTCAAGGTTTGCGGCGGCGGCGAGGTCGTGGTCGTCGCCTTTGCGGATCGCTTTCATGGAGACCCAGTCGTAGTTTTGGGGGCCCAGGGCGTAGGTGAGGACGGGGACGAAGACGAGGGGGGAAAGGAGCGCGACGACGTTTCCTGCGAGCATGGGGTTGTTGGCGCCCGTGCTGTCGACGGTGAGCTCGCCGTATTGCTTTTTGGCGGTGACGAGCCAGGCGATGAGCGAGCAGCAGAATCCTAGAGGTGGGGTGAGAGTCGCGGCCCACCAGTTTTGCTTGCTCCACATGAGGGTGAGCGTGGCGGGGAGTACGGCCGAGGAAATGATGACGCCCATGAGGAGGTAAAGGTAGCCCATGGATATGCCGATGTAGTGAAGAGCAGTAGACCACGCGGCCATGGCAATGGCGAACCCAACGACCATGACGTGTGACATGCCAATGAGCTGCTTTCCGGTGGCCTGGGGGTTGATGTAGGTTTGGTAGAAATCGTAGGTGAAGATACTCGAGACGGCGATGAGCTCAGCGGACATGGCGCTGGTGACAGCCATGAAGACCAAGAGGAGAGTAGCTACGGCACCACCGCTTCCAAGCAAGGCAACTGCAGCAGTGGGCAAAACCAGACCAGCAGTAACATCGGCGGAGGCCATGCGAGCAGGATAGGTAGGGAAAACCGGATTGTTCTCCAAAGCGACGGCAGCAAGGCCCATGGTTGTAGCAGCGAGCCAGGGAATAGCGAACCATGATAGACCGCCCATGATGTAGCCGGGAAGAGCATCCACAGGGCTAGCAGCGATGGCTTTGTTGTAGTAACCGTTGTCGCAGAAGACCGTTCCGAAATTGCCAACAATATTGATGACGAAGAAGATGGCGCCCTCCTTGGAACGCATTGTCAAGTATGAGCCACCAGCATTGCCTTCGACGGGGTGGCGCTTGGCAGCCTCTTGGAGGAGTTCCCACACTTTGCCCGGGCTTCCAAGGTTGGCGTTTGTAGCATACGTGGTGAAGGCGAACAGCAAAAGAATGACGAGGATGACAACGGTGTGGGCGTAATCCGTGAGGAAAGTTGCTTTGATACCACCGAACATGGTGTACAGAACGACACCAACGGGAAGGAGGAAACAAGCCGCGGCAGTAGGCATTCCAGTGAGCTAGTACTGTCAGTATATCGGAGTAAAGAAGTCTGGTGACCAAATTCTTACCGAAGTAACAACCGCACTCCCTCCAGTCAACAGCATAGAAGTGACCAAGATATTGGTGAATAGACCAAACACCATGAACACAATATGGGTAGCCGCACCGTACCGAGCTCGAATTACTTCCAAGAAGGTATGGGCGTTGGGCGCTCTCCGTTTCAATTCGATAGCGATGGTTGCGAACAGGATGATCTGGACAGTGGCGCCGGATGCATACCAGAAAGGCCCCGAAACACCATAGTTGTATGCGACTGCGCTACTCTGGAGCAGGGTAGCAGCCCATGTCCAGGAGGATACCACGGCGGAAGCGACGAGACCTGATTTAACCGATCGTCCAGCGGTACTGAACATTTCAGAAGTCTGAAGTTCATAGTTGTATCTGTGAAAGTTAGTCAAACGTTGATGTACGCGATGTGATGTGTCGAGGGGCTGATATGCTGGAGTCGATGTGTTTGGATATCGGGATAGGACGAATTGGAGTTTTGGGTGTTATTCGAATTTACCTTTTGAGCACAAAGGTCGTGAGAATCATACCAAAGCTATCAATGTCAGTGAGAACCTCATGCTGAAGACGAACGAACGACTTACGAAAAGGCAAAGCCCAATCCAATGACAATTCCATACCCGACACTCTGACTAAGTGGCGGAGTAGTCGACATGATGACGAGCTCTCGTTCAGAGCAAGAAGGTTGTGGTATCGACGCACAACAATTGATGCAGGTCAGCTCAGGGAAGCTTCAGCACAGACCGTGGTGAAGTAGGACAGCGACTGCCAGCAAGAAAAGGGAAAGCAAAGACTTTATAAGTCTACTGCCGAGCCTGGAGTTATCTGGCACAAGAGCGAATTGTAAAAAAGATGTGCAGATATGCAAACGCTAATGTAGGTCTAGCATCACTATCCTGTACAATGGAGGCGTGAAAGAGGTCTAGAGTGAAGCCTGAGAAGAGGAGACGAGGTCAAGCTGAGCGGCATACTCGCAAAAACCTCCGAGGGCGGCCATTGGGGGCCCAGGGTTCAAGTAGTGGCCAAGAGATGGGGTGTGGGATACGCATAACCGCCTAGCCGCGCATCCTAGCTATACTTCCGCCTCAGCCAGCAAATGGAAAGACATGTTTTGGTTGATGAGAGTGCTGAGAGGGACTCGTGGGGAAGTTTTGCCGTGGGAGAGCGAGGATCTGGGCCGAAAACGATAAGCAAGCGGACTGGGGGCAGGGGGAGCTGGCATGTGGTGAACGGTTCGTCGAGATAAGCCGTCTCAGTCTGAATGGCAGCTTTTAGTCAACGCTTGTACATGTACTTGGTGCGCATATTTGCTTGGTGGAAAAGAACTGGAATGAACCAATTGGTTGAACTTTGGTGACGATATCACACGACTGTATGTAGGAGGGCACGAGTGAATATGCGCCTCTTGTCATGTCAAACTCGCCAAAACTCGTAAAAGCGGTTCCAGCCCCTTGGGATAGAACGAAATGTCAATTCGAGGCGTTTACTCCCACGTTGTCCTCGTAAAGGCATATCTTTGGCAGCCCAACTGGGAGAATGTCGCTAGAAAAAGCAAATGAGCTACAGAGCACAGCATCTCCGCGCTGAAGTCGAGGTGAGACGGATAGACATGGCGTTTCAACAAAGTTGGATTTAGCGGCCGTTTGGCGTGCGTTATCAGGGTGCGACTGGAAGCGGACTAGCTGCGAGGCTATGATTGGCCGACGTGTATATCCTTATCTCTCACTCTCTTTCAGCAGCTCGAGTGCAGAACGATGGTTACTCGATTGCGTTGATAATCATTGCTGATTGCATCTCAGGTCTGCATGAGCATCGTGCCGATGTCGCTGAAGTTTGAGAGGCCTCTCGTACCAGCTGCTGTATAAATATGGGAGTTGACGCAGCCTCAATTCTTGACGACTTGCGGAGTAGAGTCTGTGTAGCGTGGGGGTTGTGTAGACATCTAGAGCTGTCCCATGCATCTTATGCAGGAAGAAACCATCCGCAAAAGAGATGTAGACGAACTGAAAAGGAACGGTCAATATTAACAAAACGGCCGGTCCGCGAAGTACATAACCCACGGGCTCAGACTTCACACGTGTGTACGCATCTCGAATGATAGTGTAAAACTCAGTATTACTTATGCGGGCAAATATTCCATCGAAATACAAATGCGCGGTTTTCTATGGTGTCTTAGCGAAGTCGCGTCGCGTCGCCTGAGAGGTGAGGCGCCATGGGTCACGTGGGAGCACGGTCCACAAATGGTGACACCAGTTGACCGTACTCATTCCTCATGTCGTCCAAACCCATACTTGACAGGAGAGATCCTCATGTCGCACAGAACTGTCAGAGGGAAAGAGTAATTGAGTCAAAGTACACCCGTCAGCAACAACAGATGTAACCAGCTCTCAACTTCACACGTTTGAGACATTGTAGTTTGAGAAGAAAAGGTATATTTTTTATAAAGTCTTGGTTCGTTTCGTTCGCTGCAGCGCGTACCACCCCAATTTTATACAATGTTGCTAATATATACAACAGACAACGCTAATCGACAATCTCCCACCTTACGAAGGCGCGACGGTGGAGAAGTGGGACTGGTCCTGGATAACCAATCCAGCCACGCTGGCACTCGTCAGGGTGGAAACGACACCGGAGAACAAAGCACTAAAGGCAAGACGGGCTACATCACCACTGCGGGCGGGCGAGATTTGCGACAGCACACCAATCTGGGTACCGAGAGAACCAATGTTTCCGAAACCACAGATGGCGTAGGTAGCAATGAGCCTGGAGCGAGGGGAGAGATTGTGGTAAGGGGAATCGGGATCCTTTGCGGCGACGAGAGTGTCGAAGGCCACAAACTCGTTGGCGATGACCTTGATACCGATGAGACGTCCGACAAGGAGCAATTCCTTGACGTCGCGCTTGACTCCGAGCAGGAAAGCGATGGGCAGGCAGACGTAACCGAGAATGAGCTCGAGAGTCAAGTCGTACTCGCCTTGCAACCCAATATAACGACCCCACCAGGTAAGAATACCGTCGATGAGGGCGATGAGAGCGATGATGACAAGAAGTGTACTGATAATCATACCAGCAATCTTGATACCGAGCCAGGCACCGTTGGCGAAAGCGTGGAGACCGTTGACGGCCTTGTCGTTCTCATCCTCGGGGATGACGACGCGTCCGGAGGTAAGGGTCTCCTCCTCCTCGGGATAACGGAGTTTACTGATGGCGAGGGAAGCAGGGATACTCATCACGCAAGACGAGATCAAAGCTTGAGGATTGATACCCATGTTACTAGCGCAAGTCAGTTCCCTATTCCTTATCATGTCGAAAAAATGACTTACATATAGGCCACCAAGACACTTCCCGCAATGGTCGCAAAACCAGAGGTCATGATTTGATGAATCTCAGCCCTGGTGAGATGGGCCACAAATGGCTTGATCAACATGGCAGACTCTCCCTGGCCGATGAAGGGAGAGGCAGCGGCGACAACGGCTTCGGCACCGGACACGCGCATGGACCAGAAGAAGAAGACGGCGAACTTGCCAATGAACCACTGGACGAAGCCATAGTAGAACAGGAGCTGGACCAGGGCCACGAAGAAGATGATGGGCGGGATGACACTGAAGAAGAAGAAGGTCTGAGCCGCAATTTCGGGAGTCGTCAAGAAGGCAGCTCCGTCCGCAGCGAAGTGCAGAAGCTCACGAGCTAGAGTAGAGATGAACTCGAAGATGTCGAAACCGGCCTTTGTTCGCAAGACGAACAGGGCGATGATGAACTGCATGAGCATGCCCACGATGACAGTGTGCCATACAATGGCCTTCTTGTTGCGCGAAGTGGCCCAGAAGAAGGTGATGAAGACGGCAAGACCAAACAAACTCACAGCGCGGTTGTCCCGCGTGTTGTCCTCTGATTCCTCGCTAGCAAAAGCGCCGACGATGATGACCGCGATGACCAAGGCACCTCCGGCGGGCACGCGCAATCGCTCGGGGATCAAGGCGACAATCCGGGGACCAGTCTGGTTCCACACCCAGTGCATGGGTTTGGAAACGATACTGATCGGGACGTAGATGAACAGTATGCGAAGCATGATGGCCAACCACAGCAAGAAAGGAATCACCCAGTTCTTGTCATGGCGATGGACAACGAGACTGGCAATCCACCAGCTATCGAGCAAAGATTAGCTCCGATATGGAATGACCAACTGCAAATGGCGTCTGCTTACCCAGTCATGAGCGCACCGAAGAAGACGTGGAAGGCAATGCGGAGGATTCGGCGGTTTTGTCGGATGAAGCGCGCGAAGCTGCTCTCATGTCCCTCGCCACTGGTAGAATTGGGATCGGACGAGGAGCCCTTTTCCACACTGCCCTCCTTGGTGTCGTACATGCCCGTCTTTTCCACGTCGTGGACGGCGTGCTTCTCATATGGCACAGGCGAGGGCTCCACTGGGGTCGCATGATGGTCCCTCAGGCTCTTGGAGTCGGCATCCCGGTTGATGTCGAGGGCAGGGTCGGTATAAGCCGCCTGATGGGAGCCAGTGTTGTCGGCCATGACTGCTTGACGATTCCTGGGAGTGGAAAGATGTCGAGGAGTTCAAAAGTCGGCACGACCGGCGCATGGTGGGATTTTTATTTCGTTCGTAGTGGGAATAGCACTAACGAGAAACGGGACCGCGAGCGACCATCTCGGCCTCGACGACAGTAGTGCCACCGTGCACGCGACATCCTTGACAGCTGCCTTATACGGTTAGTCTAGCTGGACCGCTCTCTGGCGCGGTGTCATCCTGATTGGCACCAGAGCTATCGCCACACCTCATGGTTCCCTCCACCAAGAGAAAAAGCTCCTTCAGCGTCTCCAGCTGGTGGGCCTGCCAACAGGCATCTCGCCCCTGGCCCTCTCTCGCACTGCACATGGTACACTCCTGGCCTAGGTCTGACCCGAATTCCTATCTGCCTTCTCTGCTCGACGTCTGGGCTGCTCCCTTATCACGAGTCGGGACCGTCCCGCGGCCTTGATTGGTCCACTTTTGATATGGTCGTGTTGGTGCGGAGAGATAAGCGCGGCGAATCTCTGCGGGGGCTCGGTTGAGGCTCCAGGTTTGATTCTCGTGGCGTTCTGGAAGCTAACGCCTACTGGCAACGCTGCCCGTTCATTTTGGTTATCATCGTGAACCCCGAGGAAGGATTTCTTGTCATCTTCTTCATTCTCTGATGACGAATCACGTTGGATCATGGGTGGAGCTGATTCTGTGAAGGGATCTATTCGATCAATCTAGCAACGGTTCTACGAGCTGTCCCATCCTTCATCGACTCCGTAGCATCTGGAATTTACATGTACCGAGTACCAGCATCGCAACGCAGTAAGCTGCGCTAACAGTTCCTTGGCCTTGGTCTTGTGATCACCTCCCCAAAACGGCGCGTTGTCGGAGTCGCCCAGATGTCACGATCCAGGTCCTTGTCACTCCTTTTCCGTCTCCCTGCCAAATGGAAACAAACGAGCGGTAAAATCTCTGAGAGCACAGAGGCAATTTCGGTGCAAACACTGATCTGATTATGCTTTGCCTACTGCGTATCATCTCAAACCTACCAGCACATGCGGATACCGAGGGTGGGGCCTCCGAGATGGGAGGATATGCCGCGGTTGGCTGGACCCTTTTTCCCTTTCTTGCATGCCACGCTCATGCAGTTGTTGCCAACTCCACCTCTCCGCGTCGCATGGCAAACCCACTCCCTCTTTAAGACAAAAGTCTGTGGATGCGCAAATCCGAACAGCCGGGAATGCTGGGTCACTCGCATCATCTGGTAGGGCTGGCTAACAGCACTACAGCTGCCAGCTTTGCGACAGTCAACCGTCAAACGTTGGGATGGTAGACTCTTTCACGTGTCAGGCACTCCATTTGTTCGAACCTTACTCGTATCTTTGAGTTTGGGGGTTACCGCTTATCTCTGGTCTATCTACAGTATCAGGTAGGTCGTATCATACGCACAAACAGACACAAGGCGGGATTGCTTTTTTGTTTCCTCTTTTCTCCCTCTCGGATCTCGCCTACTCTTACTTGCAGGCTGACTGCTTCATGCCCTGTCGAGTCTTTTCATCCTTGACCAACCAATCCGAATGTTCTCCCCCTTACCTATTCGACCATGTCCCGGGACGGCGGGTCTCCAATGCACCTCATTGGTTTGTGAGTGTTCCAAGGGCTGCGAATCGAGCGATTGAATTCAAACTAACGACCGGTACTTGTAAATGCTACATAACCACACCATCTCTTGGATTGACATACCGCGAGATAAACCTCCCGTACTATCGCGTGCTTAATTCAATGTCCATCTGATGTAGTATTGTAGCTAGATGCACCATCTCTCTATTGCTTACCACAGCACGTACACCATCCTCCAAAACCAGCCCAGATATTATTTAACCAGTCTACCCATCTAGACAGATCTCGATGTTCGCGTTATGCCGTCGAGCTAGCTATTGGTGATAGTCGGACGGCTGTTTGTCCATCTTGGGTTTGGGGCCTGAGTCGCGTCGGCGTCGGGGTCGGTACCCTAAACATAAATACATCGTATGTGCGGGGTAACCTAACACGTTGATTCGGAGACTGCCCACGAGCCTCGGAGGTAGACGTGGGAAATGTGGAACCCGTATGAACTTGAGAATGAAGCACTGCTGGGGTGAAGGGTTTTTATTTTTTGAGTAACTGCTAGGGTGTGTATGATGAAAGAATTTGGTATACATATATATACACTGAGGTATGAAGTTGAATGTAAGCGGAGCCAGCGCTACGTACCAGGCGCACGACTTTACAAGTTCGTTCTTATTCTACACGAGCCATTGAAGAGGTTTGTCATGAATGAATAAATTGGACAAAAAAGCTGGACGATGCTAACTCTTTGTGATGATTCCGCACCAGAATGTAGACTCTCCCGCCTCCTCCAGAGTTTAACACGCAAATACATTGTGATTGAGTTTGCCAGGAAACTCCCCAATGGATACCCCAGTCCAACATCAATCCTAAACGCCACTAGCCCAGCAAATATAAAGGAAGTAATAACAATATAAGAATCCCCCACCCAAGCCTCCTAAACGCCAATCATGGAAATGCATATGCAGACATCCCTTGCACTCTTCACTTTGCTCGATTTCTACTCGGTGATTTCTCTGGGATTTACAGAAATACCTTTACAGCCTCCCGCGGATGACTCTCGCCAGGGCAATACGGACATTTGAAGCGTCCGCCCTTACTCAGGCGCTGCAGAGATTCCGTTGCAATTACGTGGCCGCACGGCATCATCACAGGAGGGTTCTTATCCGTCGATTGTTCTTTGGACACGGGGCATACGAAGATGGAGTGGAAGTGGTAGGAAGGGGGAAGTGGGATTTCGACCTGTCATCGCATTCATTAGTCACTGTCTGCTACTAAGAGTATCTTTCGGAATAAGAGAAAACTCACGGGTAGTTCATTCTGCGTGGTCCACTCCGTCCGTGTCTTCTCCATGATGCTCTGCAGCTTGAGGAGATGCGGCAGCGCGATAGCACCGGCTGTTGCTGCTATATACAGAGGTGAGTCCGCGCTGAGGCCGAGCAAGGAACAGAATTCGCGCGTGAAACTCGTCGCAACGTCCTCCCATGCGTAATCGTTGTAGAAGTAGCGCGAGTACGGCGATTCAGTGATGTTGGACCAATACGCCATGGCGCCCATGAGTTGACGCACCTCGCGGGAGTAGCGGCGCTGGAATGTGGTGAATTCGCGACGAGCATAGGCCCACGCTTCCATGGGGCCTGGTGCGGTAGAGTCAGAGTTGGCGTCTGAGTCCTCCATAACGTCGTCGGAGGGAGGGCGGTGTCCAACGTAGTAGCATGCAAATTGTAGTCTACAAAGCTCGAATTCGAGGTTGCTGCCCCTGGCCTCAAGGACGTCGCTTCGCTGTCTTGCCCATGCGATGGCCGGGGCGAGGTTTTTCTTCTTCCGTAGTTCGTCAAGAATATGATACATTTCCTCAAACTGCTCCTGCAGCTTCTCCGAGTTTAGGGCGTCTTCAGCTAGCTCCTTCTCCCAGGAGTCTTCGAGAGCGGGATTCGGGGTACTGGGGGTGGGTTCGGGATGCGGAGGGTTGCGGCTAGCCTCTTGAACGAAGGTGGAGGCAACTGCGAATTCGCCTCCGCGAAGGAGGTGCATGGCAATGGCGCGGTTGATGAGTTGAGGGTGGGACGAAAGAGCATCGTTGGAAGCAGAGGGTAGAGGCTTGTCTTTGAATTTCTTGTCCAGCGCTTTTCCGTACTTGTTGAGACCAGAGTATATGGGCTTGAGATCCTTTTGTGCCTGCTCTAGGTTTCGCTTGAGGGGGTCTTGTAGCTTCGCAAGGGTCAAAGGCGCGGATTGCGGTTCGGCGGCGAGGTTCGCTCGGGCGGTGGTGAGGAGGTCGATGGCATTTTGGACGTCGTCGATGCTGCTACGGAGGTTTGCCGTCTTCTCGAGTGTCTCTAGTTGTTCTAGCAGCTCATGCATGCCACTTGTTGAAGACGACGACGTTGGTGGTTGCGGAGTCATTTCGGAGGAGGGATGGGCTGTAAGTGATTGTGCGGTGGGCAGAAGTGTGTTCTGGGGGTGAAAAAGACGGTGGGGAGGCCCTTGCGGGTGATTTAACCATTTTATACACCAGACAAGGTGTAGTTATCGAAGTCGGTCGTCGTGGTGGTGACGGTTCACCATTGACGATGCACGCGGTGCACGTCTACAGCGATGAGACGGGCCGGGATTGGCTGAAGCTATGACGTGTGGGGAAGGATCCCGCCCTTAGCTGTTCACCTAAGCTGTTCATCAGCGCATGTGATTGATACTTCTTTCTTCACACCTCTCTAGGTACACATACATCACCCGCTTTCTATTCCACCTCACAATGCTCCAGACTAGAAGACGATGACCATGAAAGATAGCAAGTCGCCGTCATTGTCTCGCCTCTGCTTCGCACCGACCATCTCCCTGAGAAGGCCGTCGCAAACACCATGAACGAGTAGTTTCATCGCCTTCAAGCATCCGTCATGTCTGCCGCAATTCCACCATCTTCTCGGGATAGCGAGAGGGATGTGCGTGGCCATATTTCGCGTACCCATACCACCCCTTCCGAGTCCCGATCCCTTCTCTCTCGCGTCGATTCCATCAAACAACAGTCCGAATCTACGCGCACAGCATCCTCCAGCGAACACGCCCTCCCTGCAGCTCCCCCCAATCACCAGCGCTTCGTACTCACGGACAATGTGGCTCTCAAGTATCTAGAAGACGATCCTGGCACCACTGTCCTCTCTCGCCGCGAAAAGCTCGAGGGCTATGAAGTATACCTGGTCGAGCAATGGGCGTGCTCCCGCGTGCACCCCACCTTTATCATCACGACTTATACAGGCGACCCAAAAGATACTGCCTGGGCTGGTGTCATTAGCGTACCCAAAGACGAATCGCAATGGTCGCCGGCTATGAGGATGTACTTTAAGGCGCTGAACGAGTATCACGCTCGTAGGAAAGAGACGAACCTAGGCACGCTCATGATTACAAATCTCAACGGCTTCCCATCATCTTTGACCATCATTCCCGTTCCAGACGGGGATCCAAGAAAGCATCGAGAACTCTTCTTTGTAAATGAAAATTTGAAGAGGCTGGGCTGTTCGGGACGCCTGGGAATCAAATTGGCGGAGCCGAGCAGCGCAACCCAGGCAAAATTCTACCAGCTCTACCGGACAAGCGACAAAGTTCCCCTCCACAGTGCTGTGATTGAATTGGTCAAGCTTTGTCAAGTTGCATTGTTCATTTTCGGGAAGTTGGCTCCTGAATACGCAGATGGTCTACTGTGCGACATCACTGAAAGGGCCATCAATGACTGGTGGGTTGAGTTTGGCGCAGAATACTACACTGTCGAGCCCCACGATGGCATTCTCGGGCCCACCACTGTTGCTGCGCTGTTGGGCTTGCTCATGGGTGCGAGAAACAGACTGAGCGCATACAATGCCCCCGTTGCCAAAGATGTATTCGACATAGACAGCACGACCAAAGCCATTTCGCATTTCCAAAAAGCGCAGCGCATCACCAAATCACGAATTTTGGACCGTCAAACACTCGAGCGACTGCGAAGAGCTACTGCAAAGGCAGCCACAAAAGAGAGCTGGGCAGTTCCCCGCGCCTTCAAGAGTACAGTGGCTGAGTTGGGTGGTAAGGGCGGTGAGATGGTCATGGGGATGGTCGGAGCGGGCGACAAGGCTGGGATTGCTGATATCGAGACGGTGGACATGGATCGTTTCATCGAGCTCGTCTCGGGTGAGCGTGCCAAGTGGTTGTGGTATGGAAAGCCGCGGAAGAGCAACACGGCGGACATGTTCAGTCGATTACCTGGTGGAGAGGATGTCTCCTCGACCGCTGACCAACAACATGGCACCAAAAGTGATACTTTACAGGAACCTCATCCGACAACAGCCCGTAACAGTATGGAATTGGGAATGGCTAGACGGGCCGAGTTCAATTTGCTAAACGAAACCGCGGAGAAGGAACGTGATCCGTATTCAAAAAGATCAGCTATCAAGAGAGCAACTGGAAAGATTGAATCAGGAACCGGATTCCATCGCATCAAAGACAAGGTCAATCGCCGTACACACCAGCCCAAATCTTCAAAAGACGATGCAACACGCACGCAAAACGAGATAGTCTCTCCTACCAATTCGAACCACGACAGTCACCTTGCAGCCCTAATGCGTCGCGAGAGCACCAGGCGTAGTACAGAGTTGGGCCGGGCTGCCACTGCTGCCACCAACACCACAGATGCCGACCCTGCCTTTACGAATACGTTGACCGAGACCCCGAGAAACTCAACAAGTACCCTGGCCGTCGAGGAAAGCGCGCGATTAAAGAGTAAAGCCAATGACGACTCAATTGCGACTGTAAAACCAAGTCAGGCAGAGAGGGATGGATCTAGACCACCGACTGTCGAGGACTCTGTCGCAGGCTCTATCTACCGTGGAGTTGACCTCAATGATAAGCTACCCTTTGAGGAAGCCAGCTTGGTGCCTCCTTTGCTTCGTCGCACGCATTCAGCCGATCAACTCGCCTCATACTTGCCCACCCACCGCAACGACAATCGATGGCCGCGTCATCTCTCTTTCAGTATCGCTGAAGAGAGCGTCCTGACCTGGAACAGCGTCGTCTCGACCACCGACTCAACGCCTCCTCCCCCAGCCACCACTATGGCGCGTCTTTATGCTGAATTTGCGTCACAGCGCGTTCTCAGTGAGGAAGCGAAGCGCCTCTACCACTTTCTTTCCCTTGTCTCCTCTCAGGACCTCGCATGGTCGCAAACACACCTTTCCGAGGTCACCAATCTCGACGCATCCGCCGACCAAGACGCTGTGCAGCTCGACGGGCTTTACTATCCTGCTCTCGAAACATATCAAGGCCTCCGCGAAGACGCGCACGAGATCATCTCCTCGAATCGTGTGCAGCTTACCGAAGCACTACGAGAACTGGCTAATGTTGGGGACAAGCTCGAGTACGAGATTGGTGGACTGCGAAGTCGTGTCGATGATGTGGAGGATGGAGTCGCAGAGTTGGAGCGTCTGGTTATAGATGTCGAGGAACGAGTACAGGAGCTGGAGAGTGTGATTGGTGGTGCAGAGAGGGAGGGATGGTTTCGCTGGGTGCTTCGGCTATTGACTGGGATTGATGGTCGGGGTTGATGGGATGTGCGAGTTTTACTGTTGAATCGAATGCAGGATACCCGGACGCGAATATTCAAGCGCGCAATTTAAAGTTGTAATGTACTTGTCTAGATTTTCTATATAATTTACGATTGTTGGCGGACATCACTAAATTTGGCAATTGTTAACCCTTGCTAGCATGGCAATGGAACTTGTACCGGGCAAGTGGGGCTGATCTGTTTTGAGAAATACGAATCTGACTACATCAATTGATGCGACCTTCAGCCTTCGACTTTCAGCTTACTTGATGGTGTGAATACTACTTTGTAAATAAACATAATGTTTCTCGAAAACTACTATCCATGAGATTGATACTTGAGTTGTCCCTTTCTTCCTACGCCTCTGCTCTCTCACCGCCAGTATTCAGCTTGACAAGTTGTGACTCATTTTTCCAGCCAACAAGTATTGTTTCACTCGGTCATACTGTTAGGGCATAGCTGAATTTCGGAATCCGTTCATGTTCCCTGTAACTACAACTGGAGCTGGCTAAAGAAAGCGCGTTGATTCTCACGCAACAGCGCAGACGTGACTCACATTTCTTCCTCCCTCAGATTTCTACCTATAAAAGAGATCGTCGGATCTCGTACTCTTTCCTTACACTTACTATCCTTCTTAAAACAACGCGACAAGGCAATAGAAAAGAGAAAATCAGCGAAGACAACAACATAATGGCGTCCACCGCACCAAAAGACGACGGTCTATCCATCCCCTCAACTCTCGAGACCGACCGCCTAATCCTAAAACGCCTCAACGATCCATCCGATCCCCAGCAAATAGCTTGGTTCCATAAAATCTGGAGTGACGAGGCGTGTACATTATGGAGGTAAGTAACGTACCAGCCTTCTCTATTTGCCCCCACCTACCTGCATCTTCAAGCCTTTCCTTCCAAAAACAGATATACAGAACGGAACTAAGAGCTAACAAAACCGTCTAAAACTCAAGTATGTCAGGCAGATCGACATCACTAGAAGACAGCAAAAAGAAAATGGCATCGCAACTGGAGACATTCGACGGGATAAAATACGCTGTCTTTGCAAAATCCGCGGCGTCGAGTCAAACATCGTCGACGTTGTCAGACGGAGGAGAGGAAGAAGAGGTGCTTCTAGGTAACATTGGGCTCCGCAGGCTGCCAAAGCCTACTATGCCACCATTCGCACAGCTCCCTTCTGATAGCAAAAACGAGGGGCGTGAAAAAGGTGTAGAAGATGAGAAGGAAGTCAGCAACGAGAATCTGTTTGTCAGATCCCTAGGCTACGCATACTTCACGCATACATGGGGGAAAGGCTACGCGACTGAAGCAGGAAGGTGTGTGCTTGATATGTACATTGCTGCTGTTAAGTCTTTTCGCTCCTCGTCATCGTCTTCTGCTACGCCCGCTGCTACGTCACCCGCGCAAAACGAGGGAACGGAGAAAATGTTTTGGATTGAAGCTGGCTGGGATCAAGATAACCCTGCTAGTGGGAACGTAATGAAGAAACTGGGGCTTAAGGAGGTCGGGTGGTATGTTGAAGATACGGACGAGCTTACTTTCATAGGTGGCAAGTGGAGGGGGCCTGGGTATTGGATTTGGGGGATGTGGGTTTGATATTGTGTCTTTTCCGTGCTTGTTTGGCGCTGAAAGTCTACCGTTGAGAGGTGGCGTGGGGAAAATATAGAAAAGGGGGTAATGTATGTATTATTCTTGTAATCAAGATGTGGTATTACGAGAGGGACTACATATGCGAGTGGTGAGAAAGGAGAAGAGGGAAAGAATAAATCATTCAAGAATCCGACTATCCCCATTCCCAACATCTTCCAGCTTCACGCCCTCGAATTCATCATCATCAAGCTCATTACTACCACTCATCTCCGCCTTCGCCTCCTTCAACGCATCCTCCAACGTCCAAACTTTCCTCCGTAAAAACCACGATACCAATCCACCACCTTTCTTCACCTCGTCGTGCGTAGCAACCCAGTATTTCGCGCGCAACAAGCGTTGCGCTAGAACGCCATTCTTCGCGCCGAGATTCAGCTGTTGCGCCGCGGAGATGGAGACGTCATGTAACCCGTGCAAAAAAGCGAGGGTATGTAGTGGAGGATCCGCGGCTGCGATGGGGGTCAGAGCTGTGTGCGGAATCCCATGAGGGGTATAGATGACACATTCGGCGGGTTCCGGGGCGGTGGAGGAAGGCTCGTCGCCGTAAATAGAGAGCGAGGAACGCTTTCTCGGTGTCGTGGGGAGAAAAGGGTGTGTTGCGAAGGTGATGAGGAGTGCGGAGTGGTAATCGAGGGCGTCGTTGGCTGCGGTTAGACGCGTGATGGTGAGCCAGGACGGGAGCTCGAGGAGCGAGTAGTCGTGCCAGTCCGGGGAGGCAGAGGTAAAGGTCGGTGTTGTGGTTACAGAGCGGAAGTGGTTGAAACTTGAAATGAGTTTTGCTGCTTCCTTTGTAGGTGTTAGTTTGGCCACGAGATTTGAGTGTATTTGGACGTACTTGGGTCGCGAAAACTGGCACGTTTGGGTGAACTTCTAAGAGTGTATCCTGATGGCAGTGATCTGTGAACTCGTGCGAGATGGCTACAGCATCAATCCACGACTCCACTTCTGCGCCAACATCTCTGCTTTTCCTCCGACCCTTTCCCGTGCGCACTCCTCCCCCAGATAGTATCTCAATCTGCTTGGCCAGCTCTTCCACCTCGGCAATGTCTTTGACCGCACTCTCGATGGCGTGCCATTGCTGCGAGAACCAGCGCGCTACGTCTGACTGTGGGCCCTGTAGCCACGGGTCGATGAGGATGTTGTAGTATATCCGGCCGCCATGCTTGACGGCGGAGGACGGGCGAGGAATTTGGAGCAACCACGACGTGTCGGCGTTAAGGTGGTGGAGGATTGGGCGGCGCGTCGCCAGTGATTTCACGATCGCATCGCGAATCTCGAGGTTGAGCTGCGCTGATGGCGCGTCCATGGTTGCGGGTTACGAAAGCATCGTGGCTGGTGATGGATGAATGGAGATTGGATGGATCGAATGTCGCAGGCACGAGTCGCGCTAATGGAGTTAAGAGTGAATGACGCACGGATTAATTGTCGACACTACCCCACAATCGCCAGCCCTAGCGGTGTCAGACAACCCGTCGCGTTGGGCATGCAAAAGAAAGCTGCTCGTAGAAGACATCAATTGATATCCTTTTGCGAACAATCCATAATCAGGTTAAGCCAACTCGATAAACAACAATTTTTAGAACATGTTACCTCAGTGTGTAGCTCGAGAAAATTGCCGGCGTATAAGCTATCCTGGAGTACGATAATACGCGACAAGACGATCGTGTGCGGTGTATTGAGTAGCTTGAGGGGTAAGGCGTATAGTTTAAGTACTCCTAAGACTATATATGCTAGGTCAAAAGAGTTGCTCGCAGAAGACACATTCTTTCTTTTTGGATAGTCTATCCTGTGGTACAATAATAGGTAATAAGATAATCGTATGCGGTGCGCTGAGTATCTTAAGGGGTAAGGCATATAGGTTAAAATACACCTAAAACTATACATGATACGCAAAAGAGAGCGGCTTGTACAAGACAGATTCTTTTTTCTGTATAGTCTACTCTGTAGTACTAGAATAGGTGATAAGACGATTGTATGCGGTGCATTAAGTGGCCTGAGGGCTAAGGTGTATAGTTGAAAATATCCCTGAAATTATGCATACTACAGAAACCAAATTACTTATGAAATATCCTGAAGTGTAATAATACATAGTGAGACAGTTGTATCTAGTGCATTGAGTAACCTGGGGGGTTAGGCGTGTAGTTTAAGAATACTCCCGAAATCATGTACCCTAAGCAAGAAGGAGGATTGCTTGTAGTAAAGAACGGGGTTACGTATAATCTATTGTGAAATACAATAGTGCATAGTGTGGCTATTATATCTCGTGCAATGAATATCCCTAGGGGTAAAGCGTGTGATTTAAAGAATACTCCCAAAATCATGCACGCCACGTACAAAAGAATTGCTCGTATAATACATCCTATAGTGCTGTAATACATGGTGCGACTATTGTATCCGGAGCATTGAGTGTCTTGAGGGGTAAAGCGTATAGTTTGAAGAATAAAACTGAAGTCGTGTATGCTATGCAAAAAGAGTTCCTCGTACTATCTATCCTACAGTGCTATAATACATGATGAGGCCACTGTATCAGGCGCATTGTGTGACCCGAGGAGCAAGGCGTATAATTTGAAATATAGTCCCCAAACCTATCTCGAAACGACTCTAATGTGCTTAGAGCTCCCCTTATTCGCAAGTTGGTGGATGGATGCAGATATGCAAGGAACAGCATGAAGCGCAACACATTTGGAGCTCCACTCGGTGTTCATAGAGGGCAATGTCTCCAGCCCGTGAGCCCAAGCTAGCGAGAAGTACGATAGAAAGGCATTTGGAGTTGATTAAATCCCAATTCATAGCCCCATCGTCGAATGCTTTGCTGAGCAAAGCCGTGATCAAGCTACGAACGATCGCGGAACCGACGAACCGGCGCTCCACGGTAGGGTCCTTAGTAATCCTACCCTCGCGGAAGAGGTGATTGTACATGGCATCGATGCGGCGACTAGCATGCTTGGTAATTTCGAATGATTCGTATTCGAACTTGCAGAAGGCGATGACATTCTCGACCCCATGCTTCAGCCATATGTACGATGGGACATGGTTGGACTTGAGCTTCACTAGCTTGACAAAGGTGTCCATGAATCGTTCGATGGTCTCGAAAGTCGGAATGGTGCCAGCTGGCTGCTCTAGGACTATCTCCGTGAAGGCATTGAAGCGGTTCCACCAGCTCCAACCGGCCTTTTGCTGATACAACGAACCATTGGAAAAGACCTGTATTCACGCGAAAAAATGAGCAATCAATCGGGCAATGGGATGAGAAGGGAACACATACCAGGTTCTTGGAGGTCTTCTTCGACTCGATGCGGTTGGCCCTTGCATCTTTGTGCATGGCTTTGAGCACACGCTTGACGAGGGTAGGAAACCGGTTGGAATCTAAATCGAATTCCCCATCAGAGGAGTTGAAGTATTCGGCTGCCATGGTTGAACGGCGGGTGTCGAATGTGCACGGCTTTCGAAAGGAAAATGCATGGAAGAGGGACAGGGGCGTAAGAGAAGAACAGCCCTGTGAGGGATACGCACGCGACCATGTAGTGGAAGAGAAAGAGATGCAGAATCGAGGAGAGGACAGCGATGAAAGTGGCTACTGTGAAAGTGGGGAGGGGCGATGTGCGTGCCTGCCCGCCCTTCAGTCTCCTGGACTCGTACAACTCGAATTTCCAGATGGTCTCGACGTTTCCCTTCCCCAGGCTGGCCTGTATGCTCCTGGATTTTAGAAGTCGGTGTGTCTGGAGTTTTTTTACTGGGCACAGCACTTATATTGGTTTTATTCCTCGTCGTCTACCTAACCGCACTTTCACCCTCATTGCTGAAGCTGATTGTACCACATGTACCACTTCACATAAACAACATCAGAGTAAACTGGACACATTCTGCATATATTCAGTCAATTACAAACCAAAACTACCTCTGCAATTCAGTCATGATTATGGAGGCGTTGCATCGCGCGGGTGCGAAGGCAGACCGCATTATGATGTATCCAGACCACTGGCACATACCCAAAGCTAGCGACTCACGCGCAGTCGAAGAAACCCAGGATTTACAAAGAACAGAGTGGATGTTGCGTGCGAGAGACGAATATAAAGCGAAGCTCGTGCCCATCAGAGTACTGTCGGGTACCCAGGGTGATCCGACATGGCGAGACAGTTTCACCAAACTCATAGCATTCAACCAAACCCAGTACAAGAGACTATTATCACTGGATTCCGATGCTACAGTAATGACTGTAAGTTGATGAACAACATCTCCACTCTCAATATACTTCAAGGTGTTGTACACTAATGGTTATGTTCGCGCGCTCAGCACATGGACGAGTTATTCCTGACGCCATCATCCCCCGTAGCAATGCCGCGCGCATACTGGCTCGATCAGTCCTTCCTATCCAGCCAAGTTGTTCTTCTCACGCCCTCGCAATTCGATTTCCAGCGCGTCCAGGCGCTCACGCACCAATCAGATTCTGGATTCGACATGGATATCCTCAATACACTTTACAAGGATTCATGCATTGTGCTTCCTCATCGCCCCTATAACGCTCTCAGTGCCGAGTTTCGATTCGTGAATCATACCAGATATCTGGGATCTGAGGATGAGGTGTGGAATGTAACGAACGCGCTCGCGGAAGCCAAATACACACATTCTTCAGATTGTCCGAAGCGGAAACCATGGTTGAGGGCGAGTGAAGGAGAAGTGAGGTCGACGCAGCCGGACTGCGGGGGAAATGAAGCATGTGAAGAGCGAAAAATCTGGTTGGAGTTATATCTAGACTTTTCGAGGAGGAGAGAGAGGATTTGTGGACAGAAGTATGATTGATGCTTGGGAACTATTCAAAGATAGATTGGACATATATTACAAAACTACCACTCATCCACCTCACCTTGTCGTGGAGTCTTCACTCGCACAATCTTATCACAATTGAGCAGACATCGCGGGTCATAAGCAAGCTTGAGTCTCCTCATAGCATCGACAGTGTCAGTTCCCAGTTCGTGGGCTAGATAGTCACGTTTAACGAGGCCAACACCATGTTCGCCGGTCGCAGTGCCTTCAAGCTCGATGGCGCGCTTCACCATGTCGTGAACGAGGTGCTTTGTCTTTTCGTATTCAGTCTTCTTGTTGTAGAGAATGATAGCTAGACATGAGATTAGTATCACCGAAACAACCAACTACCTGGAATTGGCGACTTACAGTGGAAGTTTCCATCGCCGACGTGGCCGACGATGCTACCTAGTAGCCCGCTTTTGCTGATTTCGTTCTTGGTCTCTTCGATGATCTGAGGGAGTTTTGAGATGGGAACGGCGACATCAGTGGTCCAGACACCCATATCTTCGTCGCCACCACCTTGCGCCATGACAGACCAGAGAGCTTCCTTCCTCGCTTGCCACAGATCGTTCTTCTCCTGCTCGCTGCGGGCGAACTCGAAGCTTACACTGCCTGCCTTCTTGGCCATACTCTGAACCTGTCCGATCTGCTCCTTGACCGCAGATGGCGTGCCTGCAAATTTGAAGAAAAGTGTGGGCGCGTTCTTCCACGTCTTGTTAGTTTGACCGGCTTCATTGATGCAGCGCATCTGCACATCGTCGAGGATTTCGATGGCCGCGATGGGCACACCGGCACCTACGACGCCGAATACGCAATCAGCGGCAGATCGTACGGACGGGAAGGCGCACACAGCGACGCTAGTGTGTTGGGGCTTGACGGTGACCTTGAGAGTGGCCTCCGTGACAAGTCCGAGAGTTCCTTCGGAGCCAACAAACATGCGGGTGAGATCGTAGCCGGCTGAAGACTTTCTCGGCCGTTGTCTCGTTTTGATGACGGTGCCATCTGCGAGGACGACTGTGAGAGACAACACCCAATCTTTCATTGTGCCATAGCGGTACGAGTTCGTCCCCGAACATCCTGTGCCGACCATTCCGCCGATCATAGCGCCTGGGCCTGGGTCCGGAGGGAAAAAAAGGTTATCTTTGGCAAGTTCCTCATTGAGGAGTTCCCAGCCCACCGCAGGCTGAACCACCACGTCCAGATCCTCCTTGTGCAGCTTGATGATCTTGTCCATACGGGAGAAATCGATGCAGACGCCGCCTCGTGTTGCCGCGAAATGTCCCTCAAGACTCGTTCCTCCACTGTATGGCGTGACAGGGATTTTGCGCTGGTGGCACACCTTCATTATGGCGCTGACCTCCTCTGTACTGCCTGGCTTGACGATGCAAAAAGGCACATCGCCGGGCTCCGAAGGATGTGACGACCAGGACGATCCGGAATGCGATTCCAGATCGCTACGCTCCAGCGAAAGGTTTTCTCTGCCAACAATTTCCCTGAAATCTACCCATGCCGCTTCCATGTTGGCTTCCGAGATGTTGTGTTGAGGAGGGATGAGTGTCTCGAGGGATTGGGTCGATATGGGAGGTGGTAATTGAGGAATCGCTTGACCGTACCAGTATCCCGTACCAGCGGCCATGAATACGACTGTCCTTTCCTTAGCTCAATGCTGTTTGTAAAAAGGTGAATTCTTACGTGCAAGGGTTCCGAAAAACCTTCCTCTGGCGGTTCCTCGCGTGTAATGTTGTTCGCGCAACTGCTGTAACTTCTCCTTTTCCACACGCTTCGCTACACTGTCGTATATTTGAACATTAAACGCCTGCTTCTTTCTATCATCACTGTTCCATCTTTGCTGTATACACCTCGAGGTCGGCGGCACCGCGGAGGTCCGATGAGCGCTCCGCAGAACAATTGAAGCTCGCGGGAAGCTTCGGAGAGACATTGTGGTGGTTTGATTGGGGAGGATTAAGGAGCGTCAGTCGTCGCAATCAGGACATGATGCGATCTCGGTCGGGTATTGCGACAGTGGGATGCGGGGATGAGAGCTTGAATGCTGAGAAATGCTAGCTATCATGCACGAATCCCGCACGGCCGATGGTAGACGCCACACTGCGCCACACTGCGCCACATCTTTAGATCACGTTATTTTCGTCTGGACTTCAACATTTGAACTGTACATCATAGAGCTTGCCACAACGCAGAACTGGCTATTGATGGCGTGCTTAGATACATGAGCACATGGTCTTGGCATCCGGGTGCCTTCTATTACCGTAGCTAAACCTTTCTTAATGAATCAACTTGTACAACACTGTAAAACATATGTCATTTGTCTCTTTTGGGCTTCACCCATAGCAGGTGAAGCGAGAGCGGCCGCGCTAGTGCACTGATGCCATGAGGAAAGAAGGCTGGTGTGAGCGTAGTAGTAGAGGTAATGCAATAACATCACACTTCTAGCTAACAACTACTACTAGTTATACTATAGTAAGTAACGTTGACTACCCACTGCAAGTGATTGGTGTGTGGACGATCAGTGGGGAAAACGAGCCTGAAGGCAGATTATGTGATAGGTTCATAGTAGCCAACACGGGACAACTGGTCATGGCTTGATGATCTCGCCAGTCAGAGCTGAACGTGCTTCTCCGGAACGGCTGGTGGAAACATTTTAGGACTGGATTTGGCACTTGTACAACATGGGCTGAGTATCTGTAAGAGCCTTATCAGGCCCAATTGTCGACCTCGCTAGGGTACTCCGAATCACCGCATGCCACTTTCAACCAATTATCATACTGCATGTCAGCGGCCTATCTCATTTCTTAGGCATATAGTCTAGTGCTGATATCTGTGTCCAGGATTAGGCTCTCCCACGGCGAAGTGTTTGTCCATCATTTGGATACTATCACAATGCATCAAAATTCGACTCTTGCAGTAACGCTGATTTTCGGTTGCAGTTTACTGCAGTCGTTTTCGCAACGCAGAGCTTTGAATTCCCGTGGAGTACGGTGAGCTATGGCCTTGACGGGTCGTGGCAAGTAGTCAGTGTTACGCTAGGAGGCAGTGACAGAAGCGTCATTCCCAGCCATCAAATTGTGGCCGAAGTGAAACTCGAAGTGCCGCCGCGGTATTGAGATTGATTCGAAGTGTCAAATAAGCTCTCGAGCTTCAGTATGAGGTCGCTAATCTGATCTGTACTCGAACTGTAGAAAACCTAGTTGTTCTATACCATGATCATATTTGATTCTTTTAACAGATATTTCCACTAGAATAAGCTCCAAGAAACACAAACTCCAAAGCCCTTTCGCTGATATCACTAATTTCCCAGTTCGCTTGACAATAACATAACATACAAATACATAAAGGACCCCACTCCAAGTCTCAATCGGCCAAAGGCCAACTCTCGCCTCTTCCCCGCCGACTCCTCCCCCTATCTAACTCTCCACCCACGCTTCTCTCTTCCAAAGGCGAAATTGGATTACTGGTCAACGCAATATTCAACCTCGCCTTTACATCCACCATTTTCACGCCTCCAGCACTCTGACTACCAACGATAGCCCCGGCAGAGACCGGTCTCAGCAGCGGCGAAGGCGGATACGAAGAACAAGGTGAATCACCACCATTCTTACTCTGGCCAGGCAGCGCGACGGCGCCTGGAGACAGCAGAGAAGAAGCAGAAGCGCGGGTGCGGATCGAGCGAATACTTCCTTCGCCTTTGTGCGCGTGATGCACGATTTCGACTTTGGAAGCGGAAAGGATGGAAAACTCTGTGTCTTTCTCATTGGTGGGCGTAGGCGGACTAGGTTCTGGTGCAGAGGCAGAAGATGGAGGCGTATCCTTTTCGGGAGAGATTTTGGCGATGAGCGAGGTGAAATGCGTCCGTAGGAAGGGCGAGAACGCGGAGATGGACTGTGTGATATTTTTCCTCCCTCTGCGGGTATATGTGGGGGAGAATGGAGTGCTTGGAATGTTTTCATCGTCGAATGTAGCGCTCTTGTCGGTATGATTCTTTTGCTGTCGTGCTTGCTGGAGACGGCGCCGGCGCCAGAAGAAGAAAAAGACAAGTCCTGTTACGCTCAGAATGCCGACTGTGACGCCAATTCCAATACTGGCTTTTCTAGCGGTGCTCAGACCACCCGAGCCTGGGGTTGGTGAGGAGGTAGGGACAGAAAGGTCGAGGGCGGCAGATGTAGTGACTGTGGATGTCGCGGCGGATACCGGATATGGAGAGGTGATCACGAGTGTCATCGAGGTCGTTGTTGTAGATTGCCCGGGCGACGACAAAGAGAATTGTGCTAGAGGAGCTGTGTTTGCATTTGGAAGAGGATTGGGTGACGGCTGGACCCAAGATTCTACAGAGGGCGAGAACGATGTTGCGAGACTCGTCGTAGGTGAAGGCAGAGGGGTACTCGTCCAGGAAGGCTGCTCAGGAACTGGTGCTGTAGACGTGATGGTGGGATATGTAGTTGTTGGGATGAGCTCAGTCACTATCTGAGGCGCCATGGGGACGAAAGTGGTGCCAACGTTGGAGCTGCTGCTGGTCCATTGCCCCGAGTCCTGCCCGCCTGCGTTGGGATTTTCCTGCGCGTTCTTATGCGAATTGCTTTTGAGCTGGTTGTTGATGAGCTCAAGCGCAAACGACCTCCCAGAGCCCTACAGCTGTTAGCGTTTTGGTCGAATGTACCCACTCTAGATCATACCTCATTACTCCCACGTTTCTTATCCATTGCGTGTGCACCGGAAAAGTCGGTATACTCTTCCTCACGCTGTGCACTAGCCATCGACAGGAAAGAGAAAAGGAAAATGGTCAAGCAGACCATGGTGACTTGGTGTGATTATTGATCCGCTAAATGAATGTATACTAAGACGAAATTGAAGACTTGAAGGAGTGGATAAGAACGAAAATGAGGGAGAGACTAGAGAAGCACCTTGAGAGCTGCATGCACCACCTACATAAGCCATACTTCGAATCCCTCCCTATTCATCGATATAGTCTTGCATTTACGTTTTCCTTTTTGGACATGCCTCAGAAATCCCCCGATTGGCCAGCGCAATTCAGCCTTGGTGTAGGAAAACCAGGTATGCGTCAGATTGAAGAACCGCCGCATACACATTGTGCAATCTTCTCTGACGCCTTCTTTGGGAGGTGCACCAATCTAATCGAGTAATTCACATCCCTGGCCCCTTTGCCTTTAGCCACCCGCGGTTCCGATGACTGGGGGGAGACGCAATGTCATCTCGCTTGTTCGGGCTCATATGTGGGGTTTCATGGCTGGGGACACAGATTGGGAAAAAGCAAGCCTTCGCATAGGGGTGTTGCATTGTACAACCACCTGCATTGATGTGGTGATGGGTGTTCTTTTTCTCAGACGTGTGTTCCAGAAGGATATGGGTTGGGCGTAGATCAGTGGGCTCATCCCGATTAGCAATGCCTGAAACACGGGCGCTGAAGATCCGGGGGTAAATCGAACGAGGACACGAACGCCATTGCGAGCCCACGATCATTCAGAGGGGAAATCAGCAGCCTTGTCGTGAGCGGTGGGCTGGCTTGATCATAAACTGATGGTGTTGTTGACAGTGGTAAGTCTCGACAATATCAGTAATGCGATCCAATAACGTCTATACTGTATTTCCACTCCACGAGAGCACGGCAGGGAGCGCTGCTGTGCCGAAATGACGCTTGTCGCACTCATATTACCACATCGCGCATTCAGCCTACTGTCGAGTACTGGGTGCCCCATGGAAACGCTCTTCAGCCGCATACTCGCTTTGGCATTGGGGTAGAAACAACGGCATCAATGCGTTCTGTCTCTTGCGAAAGGCAACGACGCAAGGGAGAATATGACACCTTCATGCGTCGGCAGAACAAACTGGAACAGAAGAGGAAGTCCGACGCATACTGGCTCGATTATTCTTGGGGCGATGGGGATGGTGAAGGTGGAGGACGAAGAGAACGGGTGGTTAGGCCAGATTGTGGTCGGCTAACCGCATTGGGCCACTGCAGGAATGAAGATCGTGGGAAGCAATCTAGAAGTCAATGGCAAAGTATTGAAAAGTGAGGAACGAGCGGGCGATATCAGTAGATTAGAGCACGCATGGCACTTGCAATATATCTGCGATACAACAAACGCGTATAACATCCATGCTTTCCTTATCTGACTGATTTGAACAATATGAGATTCCCACAAAAAGGTGATGTTCCTCAAGGTCAGATACTTTGGTAGTTTTCTTGTATAGCATGTTCCATTGATCATATAGAATTGAAGGAGAATAGATAGACCGTTGAAAAGAATTCCAGGAATACTCGAGCATCGATCATTGCCTCAGTTCCACCCCTCGCCGCCACCTATCTGTGTGCATCGACTAATGATCTCCTTCACGCCCATGGTCCACGATAAAGTCATCGGCAGAGCCATCGTTGTCCACTTCCATCAGAGATGTGTCTTCCAGTCCATTGATAATCCCATTCAACGTTTCGTCGCTAGCCCGCCGTCGGTAATGCAGAGTGCGAACCACAAATCTCGTGCATGCATCCCTCCAATCGCCGGTTTCTGCTTCCTGTGTTTCTTGGGTTCCGTCTTGCATCTGAGTATCCCCATTTGTGTCTGAAGTATCATCACCTGTGCTCCACTCTTCCTCTGTCACCTTGCCATTCCAAACTAATCTGGGAAACGTCCACAGCTTGGCGCAATCGACTACCCTGTCTAGCTGTCCGCGCTTGGGCTCGTACGTCTCAAGCGCAATGTCCATAGTCTTGAGTGATGGAATGGTGTTGACAATTGCACACAATGAACCATCTGTGGCCGGCGGATTCTTCCCTGCTTTTCGCTCCAAGTATAGACTGAACATATCGCTTGCAGTGCCGATTTCCTCCATACACTCTTCCGTCTTGTCATAGCAGAGAGCAGGGTCATAAGATAGCTGCTCGTCCCTTTTGCGACTGTTTGGATGGCACATCGATGTGCTCCAGTCGTCGTATCTCAGTCGCAGCGTAAGGTGCGTAAGTTGACGAGCGAGCATGACGCCGACATCAAACCTTTTCCGTTCGCGGGACCTATAAGAGCAGAATATGGAATTAGTAAAATTCAAACTGGCGGCTGCCATATGCTTGCAAGAAGGGACTGTACGGACTAGCAGCTTATCCGGCAATCCTCAAAATACGTACCATTGGTCAGAGATATATTCTACAAGCATGCCATCTCTGAGTGGCTCGATCTTAGGCCTGTATGCGCTCATGAGAGCGAAGTTGAAGCTTTTGATGTGCGGTTCGGGAACTACACTCTCAGCTTGGAAGAAGCGTGGTACCACAAACGAGGAGTCATGCCTGGACTCCGGCTTCCACATTCTGATGATGTCTCTCAAATATGGTTCTGAGCTGTCTTGGACGATACTGCACCCGACGTTCTGGATCAATGCAAATTGCCATGGCGCGAGTAATGAAAAGTCGAACGAGGGCCGATTCGGGCCATCGAATTGAAAATAATTGATCAAGTAAGGTATCTTGTACGCTCTCAAGTAGATTGATTTGCAGGTCAAGAGTAGAGGCCACGCGATGGTTGAATCAGGCCAGTTCCCACCTCTGTCGGGTCCAGAGACATAGTTCAATAGAGCAAATTCGTAGATTTTTGATCTGAGGTGTCTAGGCAGTTTGCTGAACAAGGGACATTGGCTTTGCGGATGGGCGGATGCAAGCTTCAGGTCAAACGCAAGTGGTGTGACGCTGCGACCTTTGAACATGCATGTATGCGTAGTTCGCTTGCGCCTCTTCTTTCGACAATTACAAGAATTCTTGCCGTCGCTGTTCCCACATAATGGATTGAATACAGCCTTCATAATATGTTAATATGCGTTAGACTATGAGCGTGCATAATACATACCTCCTGGGGCTTCTGCAGCGAACTTTCAATCCGTAGCTTCTTGTGTTGGGTAGTGCTAGGAATGTCCGAGTCGTCTCGAGAGCGCTTCACGCTTTTTCTGGTACTCGTTCTGGGACCGCGGTTGCCATCAATCTTGACGACAGGGGCCGCCGATATAATCTGGCTCTGTAGCCGAGTCCTCTTGAGTTGTTTTTCTTCGACCGCCCAACTATCGTCTCGCGCGCGTTTGAGCTTGTTGCCGGAATTCGACGGACCGGATTGGCGGATCACCACGTCATGCTTCTTGCCATAGAGCTGTTCGATTCCATTCCAGAAACTCGGCAGATCGATATGTTCCAAATGCATGTTGCTAAAGTCTGTTCACGTCAGGCTGGAGTAAGCTGGCCACGATTCCGAGTGAATGATTCACAGTTTGAGGGAAGCTCATTTTTAAACAATAAATTCGAAATTAGGTATCGAACACCCTTTGCTAATTCCAGTCAATGAGGATTTCGTGTAGGAATTGGCGCCGCAGCTGCCTAAGCCACACGGTATGGCGCAGGCTACAAGATACCGAAATAGTCCTCGCGTACATGGGTAGAGCAGGCACCAGCCAATCACATACATTTGCCTAGAGCAGACGCTCCGAACTTACCTCTGCACGGCAAAGGCGACGCTCCTTGTAGTCTCGTAATCGATGAACAACGCTCACACCATTGCCTATACAATTAGTAAACTGTATGCAAACACGCGACATGTGTCGTGACGTCAGATGATACTCACAGAGCTGCCGACCCGCTACGCTCCCAAGCTTGGGGAGTCCAATCTGCTCGACAGCAAAGCTCGCTGCGACATGACCGAATTTCATGGCTTCGCAAATATCCCCGGTATGCTGCCAGCCAGCTATGTAACCTCCGAGGAAGGTGTTGCCAGCCCCTGTAGGATCGATGACTTTGGAGGATCCTTGCTCGTAGTACGACGGAAGCCAAATCGGTCGCATCGTTTGACTCATGGCCACCGCACCATTTTCGCCTGCTCGAATCACCACCACTCCGGCTCCACTCGGCCCAAGTGACGAATCCAAGATCGACTGTCCAAAGTTTTCCCATCGCTCGGTATCAAAATCCGGCAGAGGTGCATCTTCGAAGACAGCAGCGATTTCAAGGTGGTTGGGTGAGAACACATCGACCACTTGGCAAGCTGCGAGAATGGCCTCGCGGTTTGCCTTTGTACAAGCAGCTGGAAGGGGCTCCCACACAATGAGCGGACGTTCACTGATACCCTGATCATTTCGAAGTTTAAGGAGTTGGGGGACTTGGACCACGATTTCCTTAGGGGACCCGAATAGATGGATAGCTTTGGCATGCAACAGAGGTGTGCCCACGAGATCGTCTGGTGTTGCCCGAAGTGGCTCGCCATTGTACTCGAACGTCTTTGCTGTATGTCGGTTAGCAATCAATTTGCAGATCAAGAGGGTGTCTGTCATACGACCGAATGTGGTATCTTGGTACACCAGCTTGCCCCTCGAAGATTTTCGGTCTGTCCTCACTTTCGTTACTAGCGTTATGCCCCATTCATCAAAGGTTCGTTTTACGTTTGATGGGAAGTCGTTGCCTGCAATAACAAGACATCCAACTTCTGGAGGTGTGGAAGCAAACAAACGCTGGCCTAGCGTCACGAAAGATGCTGAGCCGCCGAGAACATCTTTCAGAGGAGGCCGACCGGGCATGTGAATGTCGTCAATGATCACCATGCCAAGAGAAACGCATGATATATTGGGAGACATTGTAGCTGCGTCTGCGCAATATGTACATAAGTAGAGGCAGTTGAAGTGGAGTCGCTGAACAGGGAAAGAAGTAGCTATATAAGTGTCGGCCAATCACAGCTCTTAGCGCGATGAGTCAGCGACAGTGACTGTTTCCCGTCTATCGCAGAGGGTTGTACAACCACTGCGACGGGTGAAAGAAAACTTCAAAGTCTACTCCTCCAAATACGCCGACAGCAGGAAACAGATCGCATTCGCCCCTCAAACCCATAGTGCCCCCTACACTCCTCTCGTCGAGCTCCTCGTTGCCATCCCAGCCACCCTCCCTGACTCCATTCCGAGTGAAGAAGACGTCAATGTCGAGGATTTTTCCCTGCTGAGACTGCTCGTAGGAAGGTGGGTTTTTCGGCGGCGCGAACGTCATTCCGATTCCGACGACATCGCCAGACAAGAAAGTAGTAGTAAAATCAGTACCTCCAAAGGTATCGTTGATATACTTTCTCCCGTCATCGCCGTGAATTCCCAGGCTGCCCCGCTGCCATCCTGGAAGCCGGAATGTAGGATACGGGGGCGCGATGAAGCCGATTGCGATTCCCGCTTCTGCTTCGGAGAGCGAGAAGCCGCCGCGGCCGACGCTCTGCACTTTGAGCTCAAAGTAGATGGTTTTCGGACGGTGTGTAGTCAACGGTGAGTCGTTGTAGACACAGTACATGGGTAGGTTAGTGAGAAGGCTTGAGTCGTTGCACTTAACGTGCGTTCGGCATTTCCAATGGCCAGCTTGTGTTTGGGCAATCACATCGCCGGTATAGGTTGGGGCTTTGAGAAGAGTGAAGTGTGAGTTTTGGATGATGCTGTAGGCTTCCGATGACAAGCTAGCAGGCGGCCACAGAGGATTGGCTTGCTGCCATGCAGCTGCGCGGTCACTGTCTTCTCCGGTTGCGTTTGCAGTGGGGGAATCCTCATATCCGATTGATGGAGGCGGTGGGAGGAGTGAGTTGTCTGGTATCACAGTCCAGTCGTGGTACTGTTGTTGCTGCTGTAGGGGCGGGCCTAGAGGCGGCGCATAGTCTGAGTTGGAAGGGCCACCATAACTGGGTGGAGGACCAGTAGGCGGTTGATACTTCTCTTCAGAATTGATATCGTGTTGTTGGGCTTGTGGTGGAGGCGTGTAGTATGGATTGCTGGGGTGGAAATTTGAGCTCGACTGCAGATGGCTATAGTCATTTGAGGACTGCAGATGTGCATATTGATCGGGATTCTCGTCGCCCTTGATCTTGCTCTTTAGCTTCTTGAACATGGTAGTGGTCTGGTGCTTTCGGTTCAATGAGTAGGTCAACCCTGGGAATTGTATGATATAGGACAGGTGTGGGTCTGTCGATGTGGCAGTCTGCAGGGTCCAATAACAGATTATAGTGTATGATCGAGGGGAATGGCGAGGTTGCACGAGTATAATAGGTGGGTGGGTCGTTGTGGCTGTGTTGAATTGATGATTCTTGTATTCACTAGTCACGTCATAGAGCGGCTTGGCATTTGGCCACATGTCAGTATTTCCACATAATCATACCCGTTAGGAGCTTTAACAATGAAGCATTACTATTCTTTGCGCGACAATCTTTCGGGAGATCGTAGGTTGATGCGATTTATATTCACCAACATAAAAATAGAAAATGCCCACTAGAAGTATTCAACATGTGCGATATTCATCATTGAACACCTGCCGAAGTCTATCAGAAATGACTTTTATTCTTAAGTATCCTGTCATGATTTGTAGGCTATAAAGATCAACCGCTTGTGCCATAGCTATCTTTCTTCTCGAGATATTACCCTGTGATGGCAAGTCCAAGCCCGTCATATCCCGAATATCTACGACAAGATTCAACGTCGAGTAACAAAATCGGAGTTTACTACTCAACAAATCCCCGAAACCTTCAATGTCTCCAACTAGGAAAAAAAAAAACTCCCAATTGCCATGCCAAAATTTTGAAGTAATCAAGATATATGATAGATGCTCCAGTTCCGTAAGTCCTTTTTCCGTAGAACGAGTCCACAGCCTACTTTTCAGATACCTTAAAGTCCTGTATCACACCTTCGACATCATCCAAGCCAGATTTGCCGCAAAGCTATAAAACAATGTTAGTTCAAGCTGCAATTTCTTTGAAGAGGACGTGACTTACAACACAGCCAACCCCAAAATCTCACCCACAGTCCAGACCTTCTCCCCAATCCACCCAAGTACGCTGATATAAACTGTAGTGCTGAGGATAACCAGCATCCACCGCTCAGATAGAGATGGGTGGTACAATAAAGTGAGGAATACCACAGAAGCTGTAATAGATGCCGGAACGAGCCATCTGCATAGCTGAATCGCTCTCCTGACCGGTCGTCATGTCAGACGCACGTACGCAATGGATGTAGAGTTACTCACTCTCCTGGTGTAGACATTTCGTTCAGAAGCTTCGGAATCTGGTTGTGTTGTGGATTGTGTATGATGATTGTTGGTGATATGTTTCGCTTATAACTTGTTCCTTGCATCTAATTATATACACTCAGCCTCATGCAGTCAGTTGCCTTGTTACCCATTGCATAGGTGGTGCGCACATCTTTTGCCACTTGTTTCACCGGACTTCAAATTGTCCTTGACCGATTGGAACTCCTTCTTATACAGTTTTACATCTCTGTGCATCTTGATAAAATATGATAACAAGTATAGTCTAATTCATATGTCGCGCAGCGGTATCAAACCACCAACACAGAAAAATAGGTCGTGATTGTCTACAGCTCAATTATCATCTCAATGTATGATTCCATTGCAACCACCCAATCAAGGAGACAGAAAATACAGCCAAAAGAATACACTTGCATATCATCGCCTTCCTGTCTGCCTCGATAATCTCAAAAGAGAAAACTCATTCCAATTCCCAGGCATCGAGGGGGTAAAAAACTAAAAGAATAAAGAGTCTACGTATCCTCCCCTCCAACCCGTTGCTTCCGTCGATATTCTCTAATCTACTCACTCGCCCATGAACTCGTCCAACTCCTTGTCATAGTCATCGGGATCCAGCTCAATTCCCGCCAAAGAGATACCGCCACCTTCGTCATGAGAGGCGTCTCTACGTGCTGCGATATTGATATGCCTGGCACCAGAATTATCCTCATCGTTCTACGATCCACCGCCCAGCAGATGCTCTATCGCACCCTGTACATTGCCGCCGCTCCGCCTCAGGGCTGCAACGTTGCGATCGAACTCGTAGAAGCCCATCTCGTTAAGCTGACGGAGCTGTGATTCATAAACCTCTTCAGGTGGGCGGTTGTCTGCGGGTGGGGGTGTTCCGAAGCCGCCGCCAGGGCCGAAAAGCGATGCGAAAGGATTGGCCGGGTTCGATGTGGCGGTTCCATCAGGTGCGGCCTGCCCTCCCAATCCTCCCATCCCGCCTCCTCCTTGCATGGCGCTCATCATTTGCATCGCGTTGCGTAGAGCTTCGGGGTTCTGCATAAGATTTCGCGTCATGTCTGCCATGGGGTTGGATTGCTGGCCACCTGTCGGAGGAGCGCCGAAGAGGCCTGCGAAGGGGTTTGCTGGAGGAGGTGATGTGGTGTTTGAAGTTCCGTCGCCGCTCGGTGCTGATCCAGGTGTCTGACCTTGTGTTGCTTCTGTACCTGTCTGGTTCTGAGTTGGAGGTGTGAATGGGTTCCCACCCAAGAGGCTTGCAAAAGGATTAGCTCCGCCTGCTCCGCCTGCACCGCCCGTTCCACCGAGCAGAGCTGCGAAAGGATCTTGTGGTTGTGTGGAGCCAGTTTGTGTGTTCTCGTTCCCGGGAGTGGTGTTTGTGGCGCCCGGCATGGGAAAGCTCGAACCGCCGCCAGCGCCATTGCCGCCCATAGCCCTCTGCATTTGCATCTGCATCCGCATCATCTCGGGGTTGAACATCATCCGACGCATCTCCGGGTTCCGCAGCATCTCCTGCGCCATTGGGTTGTTCCGCACCATGGGGCTGTTCTGCATCATTTCGATGACAGCAGGATTGTTCATAGCCTCGTTCATCTGCTGCAGAAAGTTGGGGTCGTCCATGAGCTCGAGTAGCTGCTCTTGGTTGGGAGGTGGGCCCATCTATCGTATGCTTGTTAGCTATGTAGCCCGTACAGCTCGAAAAGTCAAAAACTTACCCCTCCATCTGCACCGAACATATCAGCGCTAGGCAGGCCGTGAAACCCAGCATATCTCGCACCGGTCAGGCCCGCGAGAGGGTTGTTCCCCGTTCCCGCGGCAATGTTGGTCGGTACTTGCGGTGTGGCCGTTACCCCTCCTGCTGTGCTTGTGCCCTGGTTTGCGGGGTTCTGCCGCGCATTGCTCGCTGCTCCCTTGACAAGATGTATGGTATGGCCGTCCTTGATCTTGACGCTGCTGAGGGTGTCGTGGTCCTTGAGCACGCGGCCAGAGTATATTAGCCGTTGGCGTTCTGCGGGAATATCGGCGTATTCGGAAGTAGAGAGCTTGTTCTTGAGGTCGGCAATGGTAGTCGAGGCAGACAGAGTCAGCACATGCTTCTGGTCGTTGGCGGCCTTGATGTTGAAGGTGACCTGGGCCTCTTCGGCTGCTCTAGCAGCGTCGTCGGCCATGATGGACGGGGTGGTGAGAGTGATACGATGTCCCGCAGTGACGGGGCGAGGTTTATGTATATGGTCACTAATGCAGGTAGGCGAGGCGTTTGACAAACAGAAGAAGAGTAAGCGATTTCTCCGTGGCAAAATGGGCTGCTGAGTATAGAGACAGATGTACGGTAAGACTGAGAGAGGAAGCGCGGGATGAACGGTTGCTGCTTGTAGACGGGCGATAGACGTTCAAGGAAGGCGAAAGAAGTGTGGCTGCTGCACGTCACATGTGTGGCGGTGCCAACTTCAATGACGGCAGGTACAGGGCAAGCAGGTGTTAGCCGCAAGCGGGGTTTCGCTTATCTAACGTGTGGGATGGGATGGAGACAAGCCGAGGTACTGTGCAGCTCTTGGAAGCTACTCGGCATCCACGATGTTAAATGTTATTCCCATTCATTTACTTTTGCGTAGTTTCCGTCCTTTCACGCTTGATACGATACCAATTGAATAGAAGATTTCATCATGAAAGCCATCCAGGTCACAGAATACCTCAAAGTACATTCCCCCCGTCACACTCCGTTTCCCACCCCGTACTAACACTATCAAGGGTCCAGAAGACCTCAAAGTCACAACCGTCCCCACGCCTACCCCGAAACCCCACGAATACCTTGTCGCTATTCACGCCGCTGCTACAAACTTCTTCGATCTCCTCCAAATTCGCGGCAAATACCAAAACCAACCGCCGTTCCCCTGGATCTCAGGGTCTGAATTCTCCGGCGTTGTCGTCCAAGCACCCTCATCACTCCCTGATGGCCGAATCCCGAAATACAAAGTCGGCGATAAGGTCTTTGGAGGCAGCCAGGGCGCATACGCAACACATATTGTTAGTAAGGAGGAGGGATTGAAGCCAGTACCCAAGGGCTGGAGCTTCGTCGATGCCGCTGGAATCTACGTCACGGGTCCTACCAGCTATGCCGGGCTCGTCGTGAGAGCGGGTATCAAAGCAGGTGACTGGGTGCTGGTACACGCAGCCGCTGGCGGTGTGGGTCTGGCAGCGGTGCAGATCGCGAAGGCTTTCGGTGCCACCGTGGTCGCAACGGCAGGCACTCAACACAAGCTGGATGTGGCGCGTTCATTTGGTGCGGACCATGCCGTCAACTATCGTGATGCGGACTGGGCAGCCCAGGTGAAGAAGCTCACGCCCAAAGGCCGCGGTGTGGATATTGTGTACGATCCTGTCGGGATGGTCGCCGAATCGATGAAATGCACAGCGTGGAACGGTCGGATACTGGTGGTTGGTTTTGCTGCGGGCACGATCGAGAAGGTCGCGATGAACCGTGTGTTGTTGAAGAATGTGAGCGTCGTTGGACTGCATTGGGGAGCGTATACTATCAACGAGCCGGAGATGATGGACGTGGTGTGGGAGGGACTGTACAAGCTATTTGATTCGGGCAAATACAGAGGCATCGGATATACCGATAAGGAGTATGTAGGGCTGGACAGTGTCGGGCCTGCTCTGAAGGCGTTGGGTGCGAGGGATACCTGGGGAAAGGTGGTGGTTACGGTGCCGCAGGATGCGCAGAGCAAGATCTGAGTAGTACATTGAGCGTGCTGTAAAATTTTATATTGCTTTCGATGGAAATGAAATATAAACTCTTTTGAAACGAATCATGCGTTCAGCGTCAGGTCGTCTGCTCATTAAATAGTTGGAACGATGCGCGACATAGTGGTTTTGTGAGTGTGATGCGACTAGCTAGGAACAGTAAAGAATACGCCAGATTTAAAGAGAATGTTGGTTTCAAAGGTAATCACGGCATATAAGATGTGGGTTAGGAGGCGAACTAATTTTATCTGGAGCAGATAAATATCTCTCTACAAAGTTGGTCGATGTATATTAAAAAGTGTATGTAAAGTCTTTGTCTTTCCGAGATCTGCTAGCGACAAGTTAGATAGCGAGGCCTAGTGCGCCGCTCCTTAGCTATACGGCACCCCACCCCTTTCGCAAACAATAACCTAAAGAATGTAATTTCTCTGAGTGTCTGTTATCGCAATAATTGCAGCTTAGTTTTGTGCATAGTCAAGATTCTAGGCGCATTGTAGAGTGTGGTGGTGGTGTTGGGGTGTTCGGTTCTCTGCTAGCTGCGGAAGCAGGGATGCGTGATGTATCTCAATTTTCAGAAATGAAGTACAGTACGATACGAGAATGCGATCGAATTGAGCGGGTTGCAATTGCGCAGAGTCTCCCTTGAACTTCTTTGTAATGCAAGGGTGGGTTGACGCATGAGTGTCGCCGCGACTTTCGTTGCTCCAAGTCCTCATATACGACCCAATTCGATATTGTCGATTTACGCACTCATTCCGCTCAACTAAGCATACTGATAGATGTGAATAGAGTATTACAAACACTGGGAGGTGATCTCTGGCCTTTGTTGCGTGTTTTGGCGTCAGACTTCAGCAAATGTACCCACAGAAGACCCCTACTGCAGATGCCCATAACTCAACCAAAATAAAAGCAAACCCGTACCAAAAGAACTGAGCTGGTCAATCAGATGTCGTAGATTGGCCTGAGCGCAAAAAACCGCTCGCAAAACCGTTACAAGGGCAAAAAGAAACTGCCCTCAGCCAGGATCGAACTGGCGACCTCGGGATAACTCTGTCATCTTGACAGTCAAGGCTTTGATACTATGAGACCCACGTCATGACCAACTAGACCATGAAGGCATTGATGAGCTTCTCTAGGTGGTAGAGAATCATCTGTTTCATTTGATGGAAGTGTTGCTGTCAAAAAGGTATATATTTCACTTCGGTGGTGATGCATGAGTTTTTCGGCGGGGCAGGTGAAGCAGCCCGTTCCAGCTAGCATCCTGCCCCACCTAAGCAATACGGATCTCACTTGTGGTAAAGAATAAGTCTAATAGTATCGTGGGGGAAGATATGTGACTGGTTGACGCCTGGGGGGTATGTGGAAGCGACACGAGATTGTGGGTGAAACCCTATGTGATTCGTGCGGTACACATGTTCGTTATCACTATTCCAGCCTTCTCCTTCGCCTCAAAATTCGCATTAGGCTCCAGATTGCGATGGCAGCACTATTACGCACAAGTGAGATGCGGTATTATGTGCTCAGAGATTCAAGTCATTTTTCGCACACAGCTCATGATGGATAAGCTATTCTAACAACTGATTATGCATTCTGTAACGCATTTGATATGGTTCCTGATGAACAGGATAGCGTTTGCACTGACAACAACTGTCTGTGTTCGCATGCACTATGCGACAGCAGACTTCCGCCATTTCAAATCGAACCCGCACCAAGCGTATCATCAGTGCCCGTCTATTTTGTGTTGTTTTCATCATAAAAACGATAAGGAATACGGATATCACTGCTGGAAAGTATTGTGCAGCCAAATTTTGGTGATCGAATTTTTATGGGGGCCCGCATTTTCTATGTCGCTTGAGCGGTGAGTGCCGCCCAACTTTTTTTTCGCGCAATACCGATTTCACGGATGCATTTACATTCGCCACCCATTGATTGACTAGAGAATCGTAGCAAGATATTCAAAGTTTGATGAACTTCCATATTGCGTTTTGAGTCCACGATACTATCTGTTTTTTTTTTCCTCGCGACGCTGCTTCCGTCCATCACCTAATCATCATTTACAAATGCAAGGAAATGTGTTTCATCATATTGATCACCGATTTATATGATGATGATGCGCATACTTGATTCAATCGAATCCATTGTTGGCTGTTGGTTGTTGAGGCCCTTGCACCCACGTGCGATCCACACTCACGTGTAGATCTATATCGGGCGTTGGGTGTAGATCTATGCTGACTCAGCACATCACGTGTCGTTCGCTCTACAGCCTCTCCGCAATTCGTCCGGGTGTAATCGTAATGCATCTATGCCGAATATAGCAAGTTACCTGTGACATTTCAAGCTCCGGATATGATTAGTTAATCTAAGCATAATGCTGGGAACTGCGACGTGCATCACATGAACGCACACGTAGGTGCGAACACACAGTTGTACAATACCCCGAGTAGAATTCGATCTTTTTTTACAGCGTCAGTCCCAGACGTTGGAGGGAGAATATTGATCGGTTCCATCTAATATTTCTTTGAAAGAACTGATGTGGTGAAGCTAAGCAGGATCATTACAGATTATTTCGTATATCCAGGTATGCAGTTCAAGAGGGAAGCCAGGCTTATACAGAGAACAGCTAGTTTATAAGTCACGGGGTTCCTACGAGATAGGAGTCGGTATGAAAAAGGGCGAACCAGGGGGAGTACTCGGCTGGTAGTCCTTTTGTGACAATTGACATGAACCGAAATTGAGTTTGAAGTCTTTTGACTGAGTGAACTCTATTACTGACAATGGTTTTGAATTTAACAATAAATTCAAACTGCGCCGCATAGCTTACATCAAAACGATTTTTTGCTCCAGCAGAGTGAAGTGCTTCAAAATATTTAATAGGTAGGTCAAAGAGATTGAAGAACAGCAGGCCCATTCGATGGACCACCAATCTAAGAAGTATCGATCGGACATGTGCTACTAAGATATCTTTTTTTTTTCAGCGTGTAGAAGTAAATCTCATAAAAGGGTTCCGTTGCCTTGTCTTCTTTGTAAAAGCGCGTATATTGAATGAAACAGATGATTCTTTATCACCTAGAGAAGCTCATCCATGGCTTCATGCTCCAGTTGGTCACTCAGAAATCAATAGAGTGAAGTATATAAGAGATTGCGCCGACGCAAAAGCAAGGTGTCCCATGGCAAATCAACTTTACTCTGCCTTAGGTAATGAGAACACAAGGGAAGATTACTAAATTATCTTTCATATATGCCGACATGTTATACAAAGCTACTGACGCGAAGAGAATCGCGGCTTCAATAAGTTCCGAGAGGTGTAATGAATCGAAGTGATTCTACATCCCGTGTTTTCATTGCAGCCAGACGCAAGACGCCGCCACGTAAACGAATGCAGAATATGAAATTATATCAAGGATGACCGAGAATAAGCGTGGGTGTGAATAGCTCGTAGACGACATCTGGAGACTTGTGATGAGTAAGCCTGTGATTGCACGGGGTTGGTGACAGAGGGAAGGCACGCCACGTGGGTGTGACGAAATTGGCCGCAGAAGGAAGGAACGCAGACGACCTCTCCCCTCCATTCCGTACTTCTTCTATTTCCACCTCACATCTACGTGTGTCACTCTTTCACCCGGTCATCCTCTGTACATGCTTTGCCGGGTCGCTTGACATTGTCGCCACCAAAACAAAACTCGATCAAGTTGCTGCACAGTTTAAAGTGCGTGGGCGGGAGACATTGCGCAGTAAGGTGATGCCAAAGATGGATGCAGAAGATCACCATTCGCACAACAAAAAGCTTTTAGGTATGCCAACAACCCCATCGATCATCGTGTAGCTCATCATGTTAGCCCCTGGCCGGCATACTGACGCATTCTCAAGGCAAGCTTCAACCATTCGAGCCTCAAGAAGAATCGAGTATGAACTGATTGTACACAGGTCTTAATCAACGCTCTTAGGTCAGAAAACGTCACCGAAACACCCATCATCGAGCTCCTACCTGCCACATCACGAAGGCGCAATCGAACGGTCAAATGGAAATACTGTACACGGCTGGAATCGCCGCAGGTATCATGGAAGGTATCAACCCCCTTGATGTACGGCGTGGAGTAGCACGAGAGTCTGTCCATTTTCCAGGGACCCAGAGGCCTTAACCTGGCATCGACTGCTCCCAACATGGGCGATCCTGAGAATGAACGCGACTTGCCACCGAATCAGCTCGAGCATCGTACCAATTCTCTTGATTTCAAGGAAACCCCATTCTCGCGCACGCCGACGTCTACCGCACTTGTCCACCACGTGCGAAAAACAAGACGAGAGAGAAGACAAACGTAGCGACGAGGAATAGATGAAGACAACAACGCATAGAAAGACGAGGAAAATGACGATTAATCTTCCGGGCTTTCAAAATGAGACAACGGTGCTCGATGAGGGAATGAACGCGACGTGCGCTGACATGAATCAAACACTCAGATTCCGAAATGCATTTTGTTTACTTAAAGAGCTGTGATTTGTACGATGTTGCACCTCATTTCAATGAATTCGTATATGCCTGAATGACTGATTCTTCACCTGGATTTCGATAGAGAAGTGGTAGGTAGGATACAAGGACTTTGTTGCTAAACACATGCTCGCTTTACGTCTAGATCCGCGGTACACGTTCTCGCCTTTTCTATTCTCTTCGCCGATCATTTCTCGTAACGGCGTTCAGTTTTGATTCCTCAAAATCAATAGCGACACTTTAATGAATAGCGATCAGCCCTTGGTACTTGCTAATCAACATGGGACTTTTGAATGCGTTGTCATCACCATCTAACCCGTGCATCGTCATGATGACTTACCATTTATCGGTTTGCGACATGTGGTAAGAATACATCAGTCCAAACGATTGTTGGTTAGTGACTTTCACGAAAATAGGAGCGAACTTCAGCCACGAATAGAGGAGTGCTCTATTCAGCATCTTCTCATCTTCCTGCGGACACACTTGTTTTCGTTGTCGAAATCACATTCGTCGGCGCACCAACCTTCAAAAAAAGCATTGGACAACATCAATAACGCACACAATGAGCACAGAGAATTCTATATTATTGGATTTCTCGCTTTGAATAAGTATTCTACCCCGGATTCACCAGACTAGAACGAGGTAAACGATATTCCACATACTGTCCATCTCCCTCCCCCAGCTAAAGCATGCGGGGTACACACAGCAAAACGCCATCGCAATGCAAGATTTAAGATATCCAGTTTAAAAGACAAACTTTCGAAAGCCGATGCTCCCCAAAGGATGGAAAAAACGACTATTTTTTCGGGGTAGCAGCAATGGATATCAATTTCTTTTTTACTGCAGAAAAGGAAAAGAAAGAAAGAAGGGGATTGAAACCGCAGGTCAATATATACTCTTCGGTGACCCACGTGCGAGTACCTGATTAATCACGCACAGAAAGTCCCGAACGATCCGTAAACATGCGCGTGGCAATGTTCATAGCCATGAGCTCCTGGAACAGCAGCTTCGCAGCGTACGGGATCTGAATCTGCGAAATGCGCTCCTTGTTATGGCAAGGACGGCACTCGTAAAGACCCTTCTTGATTTGCCTGTAGTCACTCGTTAGCTGCAATCCACATAGTATCTAGTCAAAAGAAAACTCACGCGATGGGACTCATCAACCCGCAGATATCGCACACGTGGACGCGATACGCATCCGAGACCTCAAAAAGACGCTCCTTCAAAAAGGCTGCTGCACCATGCGCAATCATGCAATCGCGCTCCATTTCTCCGAAACGCAGACCACCATCACGCGCACGACCTTCCACAGGCTGCCTAGTAAGAATCTGCAGGGGACCGCGAGCGCGGGCGTGGATCTTGTCGTCGACCATGTGCCTCAAGCGCTGGTAGTACGTCGGGCCCAAGAAGATTTGGTGACGCAGTTTGCGTCCGGTGTGGCCGTTGTACATAATCTCGAAGCCTCGCTTCTGGAATCCCTTCTCAAGGAGCAAATTGGAGACTTGGTCGACGGTAATGTCCATGAAGGGAGTAGCGTCGCCCTCACGCGCGTTAATGGCACCAACCTTGGACAGCAAACACTCGACCAAATGAGCAATAGTCATACGGGAGGGAATGGCGTGAGGGTTGATGATGATATCTGGCGTGAGACCGTCGCGCGTGAACGGCATGTCTTCCTGACGGTATGTTATACCAATCGTACCCTTCTGTCCGTGACGCGAGGCAAACTTGTCGCCAATTTGCGGCACCTTGGTGGTACGAGTGCGGACCTTGACGAATCGCAAGCCTTCGGTGTTAGTGGTAAACAGCACTTGGTCAATGATACCGTTCTCTGTGCTCCTAAGCGGGGTCGATACATCACGTTTGGTGTGCAGCGACGTCTTCTGGCCCAGCTCCTTGGTATCGGCAGGAATAGGCGCAGTTTTGCCAATGATAACGTCGTCACCGGATACACGGACACCAGGCGCCACAACACCATCGTCGTCGAGCTTGTCATACGTGCCCGCTTTCAACCTCATAGTGTCGGCGCGGGTCGGCTTCTCGAACTGCTCGAGCACGTTCACACCGATGCGTTTCTCCTGCTCCGTGTAGGCACGGTAGAACAGACTTCTGAACAAACCGCGATCGATGCTGCTCTGGTTCATGATGACGGAATCTTCCTGGTTGTATCCAGAATAACAGGCAATGGCGACAATGGCGTTCTGACCGGCCGGAAGCTCACGGAATCGCAAGTACTCCATGGAACGAGTCGTGGCGAGAGGCTTCTGCGGGTAGTACAAGACATTCATCATGGTTTCCATGCGGAGCGCGTAGTTGGTCAGCGCCACACCCATGGCTTGTTTACCCATAGCAGATTGGTAAGTGTTACGCGGAGATTGGTTGTGGTCGGGGAAGGGAATGATACTGGCGCAGATACCAAGAATCATGGCTGGGTGAATCTCGCAGTGAGTGTATGCGGCGACGGCCGGATTTGGCTTTGGTTTGACAGGTGCCAGTCGTCTGTCCGCTGGCTGCTCTTGAACGGCCGTGTTGCCCTGCTTCATGTCGCGCCACTCGTCGAGATCCTCGGGTGAGAACACAATCATGGCCGATTCCTCTTCTTCTGCGTCCAGATACTCTACGCATCCGTTCTGCAAAAGACCTCTCCAGCCGTACTTGGCCTCGCTCTGTTCCTTGTCGCTCATTCCAGCGGTGTCGATACTCTCGTCATTGTGGAGCATGTGCAAGTGCTGTTTTGTGAACCTTAACCGATCTTTCATCGACTTGCGGGGATCAGTCTCTACCACGAACAGCGGCCTCATCACACGTCCAGCATCGGTAAAGATCTTAAACTCCCGATCTCGAATGTCGCGCACCAAACTCATTTCGTAAGAAAGAGTACCGTTCCGTCGAAGCTCCTGCACAGTACTGATGAGTTGCTGCGGGTTGCTGTGTGTTCCGACCCAGACACCGTTGACGAACACCTTGGTGGCCGTGGGATTCATCTGAGGATCATATTCCTCGAGCAATTCCATATTTCGACCAATCATGAAATCTGTAATGGGCTGACTCTCGCTGCCGACACTGACATAGCACATGAGAGACAAATTCTTCACCAGACCACAGGCCTGTCCTTCGGGCGTTTCAGCCGGGCAGACGAGACCCCAATGACTGTTGTGCAGCTGACGAGGCTTGGCCAGCTTTCCGTCACGTCCGACGGGGGTGTTTGTGCGTCGCAAATGGGACAAGGTAGATGCGTAGGTGTATCGGTTCAACACTTGGGATACACCGGCTTTTGCTGATGCGGCTTTCTTCTGGTCACCCCAATTGCCGGTAGCCAACGAATACTTCAGGCCGTTGGTGATGACTGCGCCTTTGATTGCGATTTGCACGTTGAACTCCTGGTGGTTCTCCACACACCTCTGGAGGTATTTGTAGACGTCTTTGGTAAGCTTGAGGAAGAGGATTCGGAAGAGGTTGGCGATCAAAGGACCCGCCAGATCCAATCGCTTCTTTCCAAAGTGATCACGGTCGTCTTCCTCGCGACGTCCAAGAACACATTGAAGCAGCCGGTGCACCATGTAACCGAAGAAGAACGCTTTACGCGTGTCCTGACCTTCCTTTTGTGAAATGTGCGGTAAGAACTCGCGCATCATGATGTCCTTTGCGAACTTGAGACGCTTGTCCTTGGTTGCACCCTGGCTTATGCCACGCTTTCCGATGTAGTCCAGCGCTGACTCCTTGTCTTGTACCACGGAGGATTCTTCGATACTGGGCTTCAACAGCTCCAGCAGAGGGGTATCTCTGTGATCGTAGCAAATGTGATTGAGAATATCTTGGTCGGAAACGATACCAAGCGCACGGAAAACGAGACCCATGGGGACGTCGGCTTTGATGTATGGGAGTGTAGCGTACACAAACGGACCTGGAGTACGCGGCTGCAATTGCGAGTTCTCGGTCCACTTGATGTTGAAGGACGAAATAAGACGTGTACCTTTCTCGACAGCACTTCGAATCTCGGCGATCCATGGAATGGGACCCTGCTTCTTGCGGAAGACCTGGACGATGTTTGCCGCACTACGCTCCTGGGCAATCAAGACCTTCTCGGAACCATTGATGACAAAGTAGCCGCCCTGATCGTAAGGGCACTCGTTCAATCCAAACAGAGCCTCATCCGTCTGGTTGCGCAAGTGGCACAGCTCCGACCGAAGCATGACCGGCAGCTTCCCGATGAACACTTGCGCCGATTCCTGGTCTATCGGATCCTCACGCTCCCATTTAATCTGTGTGCCCCCATAATTCTCCATTGTTTCATCATCATCGTCAGCCGGGGCCGTCGTCTCGCGGGCAATCATGATTTTGTTATCGATGGTAGCCATCATGGCGCTCGAGTATGTAAGGTTACGCAAACGCGCTTCGTGGGGGTAGAGCTGATTCGTTGAGCCATCGCCTTCGACATGTGTAGGCCGTGCGAGAAAGACGCGACCAAAGGTGATTTGATACCGTCGTTTGATGATGGGATCTCGGTCAACGTCCGGGTCGTACGGTTGGTTCTGCTCGAGAATGACATTACCGTTCTCCGAGACAATGTCTTGTATTGTGTTGCGCGTGAATTCGTCGTATGAGTCGAGCTGCTGCGACACGAGGCCCTTTGTTTCGAAGAAAGAAGTGATGACGGTCCAGCTGTCTTCCGAGGTGACGCCCTCATCCTCCTCGTACAGCTCCTCGTCCTCCATGTCGTACTCGTACTGCTCGGCCATGTTGGAAGCAGGGTATTAGGAAAGCAGGGCGCACAGGCGAGATGGGGGTGCGCAGGGGTGGGTGTGGTCGGGGTGAAGGGCGAAGGACGGAGAGACTGGCTGTCTGGTCGCGATGGAGGCGACAATGAATTGCAGCAGTGCCAAGACATTTGTCTCGTCTTTCACCTTTCCGCAAATGAACTAGCGTGTTTCTCCACGAACGCGACAGAGCCTCATCGAGGCTTTGAATCTTGACGTGATATTATGTGGGATTTTGCTCTTTCGTGTTTCTATTTGAGTGTTGCAGTAGCTACTGTAGCATCAGCAATACGATATCATCCCTACATCTGACCCTCCTAGAATTACACAGTCTGCAACTCCCCAACCTCGATCACCACACCTGCCTCGAGTGCGAGGCAAGCTCTCCTCTCCATCGTCTTTTTCATCCCTCCCCTGTTTCTCGACCCCCAAAATCTCCAAAAGTACCCGAGCGGCAAAGTCCATTCCTTAATCCAAAATAAAAAAGCCTCACAACAAAAAAAATCCAAAACACTACCCGCGATCCTTTCCTGAAACAAGCGGTAGCTAAGCGCGCCGCCTCCCGTAAGCCTGCATACACTCACTCCCTTCCGTTCTTGGCCTTTGGCGGTGAGAACGACATCATGCATGAATTTAAATTATTTATACTGTTTTCGAGTTATTCGGTGGCATTCGGGGTTCCTGATTTAGCGACGGCGCAGTTATCCTGATAGAATTGGAGTTGGCGAGGCACAGGAAGTGGGATGGACAACAAAGACAATAGAATCACTGCTCAAATGAGAAGTCCATTGGATAGTAACTAAACCAACACATGCGAGAGAGAGAAGTGAAGAACAGCAAATCAATTCATCTCATTCGCGGTCCAGCATACAGGACCTCCCGGCAACAAACACGCCGCCCCACTCACAACCCAGAAAAAACCAACAACATCGCGAGTGTGAAATCCATGCTCATAGTATTAGGCTTTGAGTGATACGCCGCTCTCGCACATTCTTCATTTCCGTCACTGCATGCGTGAATGCAGCGAGATCAGCGTACGGACTCGTCATTGAACGCGGATGCATCACAAGTCACGACGCGCGTGTGCGGCGAGGGCGCGGGGAGGCGACGATCTAGGCAAAGTACGTGTTCATGCATGTGCGTATCATCGAAACAGGAAGGACAAATGTTGGATTAGGAGAGCGTGGGTGGGTGTGGTCAGGCGGGCGGCGTGGGAGGTGTGGGATAGGCAGTGAAGCGTAGTAGTGAGGTGTAGATATCCTGACAGTGGAGCTTTGCTATGGGAAAGCTGGACTATCGCAACTGAAGCAGTGTTCGATTTTGAAGAGGCTCACTAGATTATGTGGAAGATGGTTGGTCAAGGAAGGAATCAATGAATTACGCTGATTTTCTACCGCTACAACGAGATTATGGATGAAAACACTGCTGGAAATAACGAGACGTACACCTCCCACGCTCAATCTGTGACCGCCCTGGATATCTGTCGATTACGGGAAAAGGAAAATACAACGCCCTGATAAAGCAAAGAGACCACCCAGCGACGCCTGTTTCGCACATAACAAAAGAAAAGTAGTACTATCGTATGTTGATCAAAGTTCAGTCCAGTGGGAAGTCTCCATACGCTGGAGCTCAAGATTTCCCCACTTCTTCTCTGTCCTGCGGTCGGTATCCGACTTCCGTCTCAGCAGCGCCTTCATCTTCAACGCCAGCCTGTCTAGCTGTGTAGTCTCTTCTTCGTCGACCTTGCCTTCCTCCCCTTCCTTCTCCTTCTCGGTCGTCTCCTCGGAGATGTCTCTGGATGTCGGGTAGTAGGTTTCCTTGTGGGAGTGCGACCGGAGATGACTCGATCTAGCTGGATGAGAAGAAAGAGCCGTCCTAGTCTCAATCTCCTTCTCACTAATGGATGTAGACTTCCGAGCCAGCGAAGGCTTCCTCGAAAACCGACGAGGTCGCTTCTTGGGAGCCTTTTGAATAGGAACCATCATATCCCAGGAAGGCTCGGCGGGTGTAGAAGGAGAAGGCGGAACAGGTGAGAGTAAAACCAGCCTAGATTCATCCCACGAAGAGCCCGATCTGGGAGAGTAGGCGGGTGTGGATGGCTCCGAGTCGATGATGGTACCGAACGATCTTGCCGACATGGGAGGCGACATTGGGGTCAATGGTGGGTCGCTGGGACGAGGCGAGCTGGGAAGCCCCATACGCGCGAACTTGCCAGGCCGGAGGCCGTTGTCTGGGGATTGTGGTGGAGTCGGCCTCGTCATGCCAAAGGCTGACAAGCCGGCCAGATTTGAGTGGTGTTTGGTAGTGCTTGAAGAGGAGACTGAAGCTGAGCGGGATTTGGTCGACTCCATGGCTAATAGCTGGAAGTGGCAGACGAAAGATGCTGTGTACGACCAGCACCGCCGAGACCAGTGCCTAGAAGTATCATAGACGTATATAGAGTGAAACAGTGCCTGATTTGAGACCAAGAGCAGCAAAAGTGAAGAAGACTAGAAGGAAACTGCGCCCCAGGCTGAAAGCTGTGTTACGTTTTGTTTGCCTGGCTGCAGGCAGCATTTACTACTATATGAGCTTACACTCTGGGCAAGTTGGTGTATCCATAGTGGTGGAAACGCCTGCCAGCCGTTAGCTACTAGTGACGCGCTCGAGCGGCGAGGCACGGCGACGAGCTCCATGGCTAGCAAGATTAACTTGCTGAACGCGTATCCAGACTACCGGAAGCAAAATGGTACGATTGTAAAACACTACGTCGAGGCTGTGAGGGTGTTGAAGGTAGAGGGGGCGGCGCGGTATTCGCGAGCTAGCCGCATGGGGCAGATGGCGCTTAACGGATGAATGCTCATTGGCCCGCGCAAAGTACCTCTCCACCGATCAACGATGGCTACTTGCTGGGGCACGGCGGCAGGAAATCGTAGAGACGCGGCTGTTTCTAAACCAAGGTCATTGGGGAGAGGCGTACTGTTTGATCAGCTGCATTTGCATTCAGAGAGGCAAAGAAAGACGTCGTGAGAAGGTTGCAATCCTATTGGTAGAGTCGCGTGATCCATTCTACGCCAATCAGGTCGCGAAAGTGTCCACAGTGAGCTTGAGGGTGTGAACCATTCCTTACGAACACCCTCATGACGACCCGCTCCACTCCATTTCAAGGCAATCTATGCAGGGTGTTGGCTCACAGATTGCGACATTTGCGGAAGGAGGTGTACTGGCTAGGAAGTTGGAACAGCATGAGGAGCGTGCACCAATGAAGCGCAGCAGACGAACTGCGGCGCAGTTGATGCCTTGTAAGGAAGAAAACGCCCGAAAAGCTAGGTTCAGCCGTTCGTGGATGACATTCTGAGCTGACACGTCTTCGCGGTTCGATGATTTTACGGTTCAATACGTCCAATGGTCGCAGTGTGGGCACCACGTCAAACGTAATCCTTCGTGGGCAAACGGCAAGATCCGAGGAACCATACGGGGAGCAGGCGGATATCGCTGCCATTCTGTAAGCGCCAGCTTTTCGAGCCGTACCGTTCTGGGAAATGATTCGCTGCCGCCTAGATGCCGTCGAATTGGAAGATTAGGCGGTCGTGCGGAGTGTTCCCCGCAGCGGACCGTTATAAGACCTGGCATAAACGCGTCTCACCGAATAAGCATGCGGCGGATAACATGAAGGATGTGGCGGAGAGGCACGGTCTTCGAAACAAGTATATCGTGGGCGAGTCTGTACGCGATAACACTGCGAGCGCATATTACGCTAAGCCGGATTGGACACCAAACAACCATCCTACCCTTTACCGAAGGAATTGGTAGTCACACGCAGCCCTTCATGGTTTGTGTATCTATGTTATTCGAATAACCACAGCTTGCGTTGTCTGGGATGTTCTGATGGCCGTGGTAGAGGTTTCCCTGCTCCATTCCACAGTCACTCGACGCATGATATGGAATGGTTACATGAAAGCCGCTGTGACCTCGTCGCCAGGGAGCTCCCATTCCCAGATTCTTGGCCGTCAAAACATGACAATCCGGATAGCCACCATAGTTGTCTGCGAACGATTGAGAATATAAATCAACTCGGAATATTCCAGATTCATCAGCAAATGACCGCTTTATACACTTCCTTTCTGTAGCGCCGTTCGAAAGTCGACAAGACGTAACTCGAGTAATCTGCCATGACAACATTCCTCCTCCATTCCTACGATGCTACCAAACAATACTCCTCTGCTTGTATTAGCACCCTAATCGGGATCGTGCGTACATTCCTGGCCATGTCATAACAAGACTACGTCCATCTCACCCAACGATAAATTTGGTTCCATCTGTCCTGATCACCACCCGTCTCAGACACTCCCACAGTCCTTAATAGTCACTCATTATTTCTGCTCAGCATGAAGGCCGCTCTTTTCATTCCCCTGTTGGCATTGGCCGATGCATCTGTCATCTTGCGCCGCGACGACCCCGGCTCCAGTGCCCAATCATACCACTTCAAGACCCAACAACCTCACTTCTTCAATCTCAAAGTCGATGACTGCAAGTGGACTAAGCGACAGGAGGAAGACGAGGAAGAAGAGCTGTCTCTGGATGATGAGGATGAGACTCCTGAAATTGAAAACGCCAAAATCCTTCCCGGCAAAGGATCGAGCAAATGGAACCGATGCCCTCTGGCAGGATACGCCATCAGGCTAGAGAATGGCATCGTAGTCGCCACCCCATACCAGAAATGGTATGATCCAAAGCTGGCTACCTTCTTTGTCGACGACGACACCCAGCTGTACACTGTAAGTTTAGTTCCTCAGGTCGCCCGATAGTACACTCTAACAGTTCTTTAGGTCAGCAAAGATCCCCTCCAGCTTTACATTGACTCTGTAACGGGTGCGTTCAAATACACCAAGCTTGGATGGCTTCCTCCCAGCGCCATATCCACCAGCTTCTACCACACTGGCAACAACCCTCTCGGTCTAACGAGCCCAAGCCCTTCCTACCTCAGCTGGCCCAGCACTGTTGGTATTGCCTTCGATGGTGAATGGGCTTTTTGTCCTCTCGGCGAGACAGGCCAGTACCAGGTCTTTGTCAACAACGCCAACTTTGCTCAACAAGGCGTTCGCAAGGACTGGTGCAAGAAGAGGCCTCTTGCTGCCGTCAACGCCAACCCATGGAGAAACACCCCGAATGAGGCCGCCGAATAGAGTGAGATCTCTTGTACGGAGCGGCCGCTTGTCGCTAATTGCTTCTGCCACACTCATTATCTCACATAGACCTCGCTGGCATATGATGGAGTCAAGTGCCTGCATTCTCTTCCTTTTCACATTTCTATCTTCTAATCTTAACTAATCCCAAGTCCCATTGTATGTTAGTTTCAAATTGAATTGTTGCTTGCTTCCATCTTGAACGCATGACTGCGAGACTTGAAGCTGGCCTGTGATTGAACTGATGTTTTTGCACATGGCCGCCATCGTTTGCCGTCTATTGAATCCACGTTGATAAATCCATCGGTCTCTATCTCTCTAGGCATCGAAAGATGGGATAGTGTAACATGTTGTTCAATGCCTATTTTTCATGTGTATGTTATATGACAGGACACTATACTTATTTCAAAAGACATAGAACTAATGGATTCCGGTGAGTCATCTCATTCACACGAAGTGATGCAAGTTCTGCCAGTCATGTATATACAGCCCGGAGCATACAAAGCTCTAACCTAACAGCAAAAGTATCCATTGCGTACCCCACCAATCCTCCCGCTCTCACTGCGCTGTTCTGGACGCTTCTTTCCACTAGCGCCGTTTCTTCGAACTGTCTGCCGCAGCTCTATACAAACGCTCCGCCAGACTAAATCCTCGCACCTCACCACCCCACTCTCAGCGACCTACTGTCCAGTCCACTTGACAAAGCCTTCTCTGCGCACTCCAGCACACTACTTTCACTCTTCTTTGACGTCTCCGGACCATTCACTGCCTTTCTCCTGCTTAGTCTTTGCCTTGTCGCCAGACTACCTTTTTGTCCACTTTTTGTCCAGTCTCTGCGCTGTCTTTGGACTGTCTCATCACTTGCTCTACTCCAGCTTCTAGGTCAGCAAATCTGCCGTCTCTAGCTCAGTATCTGCGTTGTCAACAGCCCAGTGTCTGCATCATCTGCATATCAGCCTCTGTGCCTTTTTCAGACCAGCTTTTGCTCTCTATTCGACAAATCTCTGCTCCGTCTTTGGACAGCCTCCGGACAGCTTCTTGACAGCTTTCCCACCAACTTCTACAAATTTTCCACATACCCAACTTTACGCTCTCACGCCAATCTCTACAAAATGTCTTCCCCAGCTCACGCTGCTGCCTTCTCCATTGGCTCTATTCACGTCCGTTATGACGACAATACCATCCCCCAGATCGCGGCCGAAGTCTACGATGGCACTGTCCACGAGACTACCTTGCGCCTCTTCTGCTCCTGGTTGAACGAGAACGACAAAAACTTCCACCTTGCCGCCAAGTACATCCGTGAGCTCAAGCTCCCCGAGGACTATTCCACCCTCCGCATCAAGAACTACCATCTCCGAGCCCTCCTCGACGCTAGGGTGTTCCGACCTAAATACGAAATGGACGACGACCCCAACAACCCCTACATGACCATCACTGACGCCTTCCGCGAGGAATCTAAGACCCCAAAAGCAACCCGATCCCTCCCCCGTCCCATCCCCCATCCCTTCTCCACCCCATCCCGCTCCGCCCATCCCGCCGTCGCAATTACGCCAACCTCGACAATGCAACCGCGCTCGCCCTTCACCACCATGAGCCCCGCGTGGCGTAGCCTGCGTGCTAGGGCAGTCTCGAAAAACAAGAAACTCAGCATAGCAGATATCCCCAAGCCGCTGTTCCCGCCCGACGTCCCAGAGCGTCCAAAGCCCCTCGTGAGCCCCAGCACCCCGTTCTTCACCCCGGGTGGAGACGCGGTCCCTGCTTTTCCGCCTGCGCGGATGAAGCAAACCGACGATCCATTCGTGGAGAAACGCGGTGCTGGGGCACGCGGTGAAGCTGAGGACACCGCGGCGAAGAACGACAAGCCCTCTCCCGCCGCCGCCACCACCACCACATCCCCCGCCGTCGAGCGGAAAGAGATCGAGGACGAGGGCATCCAGGAGATTCACGAGGCCCCCGCGAATGAGGGCTCTACTCCCCCATACCGCACCCCGCGGCGCCGTTTGCCGCTGCCAGACTTCACTTTCCCGGACACGCGACCGACCTCGGTCGATATGGAGGCCTTGGAGCCGTTCGAGGCGTCGTGGAGGAGGACGCACAGACATCTCCTGATCTCGGCGTATGGAAGAGAGAACGCCGTGTTATCGGATGTGGAGATCCAGGTCATTGAGGATATGGCCTTGGCGGAGCGGGCTGCGAGCCCTCAACCCCCTCTTCCTGAGTAAGTATTCCCCGCGTTTTTTTTGTTTCTTTTCTTTTTCGATGTTTGTTGCATGCCAAAGCACACTCGTCGACTAGGAGTAAACCTAGTAAAAAATCAATCCTGGTATGGTTCGTTGGTGAGGGGAGGTTGGGGGTGAAGGTTGGGGGTGGAAGTTTTTTGAGGGCTCTTGGGGGTATCGGGTAGTGGGATGAGCGATGAGTGTTCTTTTTTCTGTGTATAGTTGATGTAATGCTACCTTTGAGATGGAAGTCTTGTTCAAATTCACCGTCTATATTGTGTACAAGTGGACAATAGGACCTTTACTTCATGATACTTCATCACCTTGCTCCTAAGGTGTATGATCGTAATTTCTCAGCATCACAATTAGCAAAGAAATACGTATTCCATGATTTTCATCCTGTCGCATGTCTAGAATTATTATACGACTGTGAATCTCTTCATCTCTTCTTGTGAAAACCAAAAGAAACCAAATGAATATCATACCAACTGCATTTCAACCCCCAAACACCAAACATTGTAACACGCATAACCCCCAAACACCAAACATTGTAACACGCATAACCCCCACATCTCCAATGTCACACAAGTAACACGGCATACAAAAATTTGACACATACCAGATACACATTGATAGACCTCGATATCGCGTTCCATATCAACTCTGCATATCCCTGTATATATCATCTTACTCTTATTTTCCCAAGTTCAAAATGGAGATAGACATCTTGAGATGGGATTTATGATATTGATGTTTTGCACGTGTAATAGTCATGTGAATAAATAGATATAATAGTACTTCAACATATGGCAAAGGTATATGTAAAATTTGATGTGATGCGTGAAACAGTACGCCCAATGTATACACATATCCCACCGAAAAGCGCCACAACCGTACATGCAGGGTCCTGAATATCGATTCAAGCGCAATCATCTACACTGCATTTCTGAAACAGACCGACAAACTCCCTTAATCACCGCTGCATTATCGTTGCATTGGGGACCGGAGAACGGGATTTGTGATTGATTCCGGTGGCGGCGTAGATACATACATCGAGAGGTGCGTTGCACTTGAATGCAAATGACATGCATGAAAGCTGTGGTACGATGCTGCATGTACGCGGGTACAAACGAGGAAGATTTTTACATTGCAGCGGTGACCCCTGGTAGTAGAACGAGCATCGGGCGGGCAAGGCGCGGTTACCGCTGGCAAACTCCGCCCCCGGGGAAGTGAAGTAGTGGATTCGGACGACAGATTTGGGCAGTCGATATGAAGCTCGAGCATCGCAAGTGGGTCTTGTGGTGTCGGAGCCTTGTTTGAACGACGTCCGTTTGCGAATGTATCCCGGTTATGCTGCAGGGATGCCTTGACATGTCGGTGAGGCCGAAGTGTGGTTTGGCTTTGCTGTCTTGATGATGATGGGTGTAGTACACAGGATGTACCGTATGTGTGCGATTGCCTGGATACGCGGGATACGGTGTCCCCACCGCACGCTCAAGCACTACTTTGTTGAATACGACCTTCCCAATACGTCTTATATATGGTCATGACAAGTGGTTGTGTGTTCGCGAAACGACTATATGATTCAGGCTTGTATGCCTTGCCTGAGCCTCCAAGGCGTATGCACAATCTCCGCAGTCGTGCTTTGTAGTACAACTCTCGACACTTTTTGGCGCATTGTTGACACCAGCCCACCCAATGTCAGTATTGAGAATGAGAAACGGGAGATCAGATATCGATTAGGAATGAGATAGATAGATGCGGATACCATGATGTAGTGAGGTAACGATACTATTACGATACAGACAAGGCATTGCCATCCCCGATTAAATGCTTGTAGCCCAGAACGGTCCGTCCGCTGTCTTGGAACAAAGTACTTGTGGAAAGGGCATTCGGAACGAGAAGGCAATGTAACAGAAGCGTAGGAAAAGGCTGCCCATTGATCGAAGAAATCATGAAAACAAACAGGGTAAAGGAAACGCCGTCAACTCCCAAGACGGGATATGATGTGGGAAATTCTTCGACAAGCAAAGCTTTTGTGTAGAAAGTCGAGGGATAGATGCTACGAGAAAGCGGTGAAGCTGCGTCCTATCCAGTCTACCTTGGAATGCACCTAGTTGAAGAAATCGAGCGCCATAGAAGTACCGAATATATGAGAATGAGTTTGTAACAAGATTAAGCGAGCGACTCAACACGTGCGATTGAGGCTCGTCAAGGTAGTTCGTTCTGAAGAGAGAGTATCGTGCGAACTGCGACGCATTGTGTCTTCTAAACTGGCCCGATGACGGGGTTGGCTAGGAGTCAGCGGTGTATAGCGATGACCACTGACTAAGGTTCCGTCGTTGGAATCGCCTCCTCGGCGGTGGCGGGAGCTCTCGTTGACACTGTAACTGTATACGTTCGTAGGAGAGCTTTTCCGAACGACGGGTTTGCTGTCATTCGACAAAGATAGGTTGTAATTTCGAAAGTTGGAATACGCGGTAGGCGCAGTGGCTGTTGGCATACCATCGAGTAGATTAGAAGTACTGAAGTTTAACTGATGCTGGGTTCCCATAGTTGTTGCGGTGATGTCGTCGATCGGACCTGAAGATACAAAGGACATTCCAGAACCTCCAGAGCAAGGAACGGAGGCTGCGCCAATTGATGATTCTGTAGAAGAAGTGGAAGGAATATCGCCGTCGTTATGATACATTAGCGGAGGCTGTGTGAAGCCATTACCAGAAGCGTTGGAGTCGGGGGGGCCTTGGATAGAGCGGAGTCGTTGATCTTGGAGTTGGTCCACTATGTTTCTGGTCTTTTGCGCAGGGCTAGGCTGGGGGATCGGCAGTTGTCGTTGTGTTGCGTTGGACTCTGTGCTTTGTCGCTCGGGTAGAGTCCTGTCAGGCAGAGACAATTGAAGAGAGCCCATATTGAGAGGTGAAAGGGCTTCAGAGGACGCTGCGACGTTTCGTAGATTTGCCGCGGGATAAGGCAAGGACAGACCGGTAGTGCTGAATGCGGGAATGGAATCATGCTCAGCGTATGCATTGACGGGAGCAGGCCTCGACCTTTCGGACCATCGATAGCTGTTTGCATAAGAATCCGAGGTTGAACCTGCCTGCTGGTGTGGAAGATACGTGGCGGGAGACTCGAGGCCATACGTCTCTACCGGAGAAGTATTTCCCGCAAAAGGCACATCCCATGTTGGTGCATATAGTGGCCTCGCTTCTAGCTGCGAGTGTGGAGGTTGTTGGTATACCCCCTCCCGGACTCCACCGTACATTTGCATCATTGTGACCGGTGCATTGCTCAAAGCCTGAAGACCTTGGGCGAGGTTATACTGGTCGATGGCTCTCGATGGCTCGCCCGAACCAACCTTGTCGTGATTAGCAAGAACTCAAAACATCATTCCTGTGGGCTTACCCTGTGAAACTGACACATGTCAGAGCTGACATTGGCCTGCCTACAGTTTAGACATCCCGTTCCATCGCCAGGATCACCGCTGCACCGAATCTTGCGCTTTCTACACCGAGCACACTACACACATGTGAGTTGATGAGATGTTATGGCAATAAAAGATTGGCAACTCACAGCTACAGCGATACGGCGCCTGGATTGGCCACCTTCGACATGAGCTATCTCTTGGTTCATGCTGGGCCGAAGCCGTCCACCAACGGGACCGCCAGTATACGCTCGAGGATCTGGTCTGGCTCCATGGCGTGTTGAAAGCGGATTGCTGCGAGGGTTGCAGTAGTAATGGGGTCGGTATCCTGACGCGGCGTTCTGAGAGTATCGATGACCGGTGTCAAACTCCATCTTCAGCAGCAGGAGCGTCTACAGACATTAGATTCATCAGTGACGATGTGGCACTGTTGACCGACCTAAGAATCATGCTATTGTTTCAACAAAGTGATTCCACCTCAGATCTTGAAGAATAGCCACAAGGATGTAACGAAAGTGCGTGGATATTTTGATACAGACGACTTACCGCTCGGTCCTGTATATATGCTTGGGAGCCTGGTTAATGTTTGTAGATGTAGCGTCCTGAGCCCCCCACACGCACGGATAGATGCAGAGTTGTCACCCAATCCAACAGCGAGAACAGGGGGTCTTCGTATGACAAAGGACTGTACCCTTCGCCCTCAGTATTCCGGTTTGACGCCAAGCACGAGACTCATGTCAGTGGAAGCTATGGTAGCTCTTCGTTTTTTACGGGGCGTTAGCTAGAGAAAGAGGAGCCTGGTTTGATATCCAAGAATACCCAATACGCTACCTGGTTGTATGCACAGATCCACCGGGGAACAAGGAAGGTACAACCACGTGCTGGTACGGCGAGCAGTCAATCTCAGGTACAGTGCGATGTGGGCGCTTTTGGAAGTCAATTGTAGCCTGGTGACAGCAGTACTCATTGTTTCAACTCTGGCTTTATTCCTGATGATGACGGCGCGGAATCTGCATGGGCCTGATGCAAGGCGGAGCAAACGTCTACAGCGCTGCAGGGCATGGGGTCGATTTCCAGTGAGCTGTTGGCCCCAAGCCCCACGTCTTTCACCGCTCGATAGTCGCAGCGGATCCTGCATAGGAGGAGATGCCGCCACGACGCACGCTATGCAAAAGAAGCTTGGGCAGGGGTAGGATCAATCAGTGTGCGCCTGAACAAGATACGGATTACGTTCCGTGTTCCTTGTAAAACAGAAAAGAGGGTCAGGCCTCCACGGGGAACTGGCTAGAAAGCCGCGGTGGAGTACGAGCAGACCCAGTTGCCCGTGCAATGATGGATCTTCGCATTCTGGAAGATGTGAGATTTGTGAAGGGTCTTTGTGATGAACGCGCACATGCAACACCAAGTCCGAGGCACAAACAGAAAGCACACTTTTGGTAAAACAAAGTATCGTGAAGGTCATTCGTCATCGTCCACGTCCGAGCGCGTAGCTTGAAGTAGTGCATCACTGGCAGCAGAGGCTATGGACAGCCAAGCAAACTTTGCCGGTCTCATGGTCGAATAAGACAATAGGTTGGACCACAGATGCAGGCGTTGGCGGCGTTTTATTCACGAAAGGGTGGCGGCATTGAGTGTGGGAGATGTAAGGCGCAAGCAGCGCTGAATGTGGTGCAACAAAAGTGATTGTCCCACTCGCCCGTGCCTTGGGTGCATCGTGTGGTGAATGAGTTGTATTCTCCGCTGATTGACAGCCTATGAACATGCCGATTCGGCACAGGCCTCGTCCCTGAGATGAAGAGATCGGACGCTCAAAACCAGCAAGATCGTCAGCCGTCTTCTAAATAGGTCGAAAAGATTCGATATGTATGTTTTTGAGATGTGAAAACCCAGCCTCTGCGTTTCAGCGCGACTATCGGCAGAGAAACCGATGGCACTGACAACTCTGACATTGCCGAAAAGCGGGAGCGTACAGGGCGGACGGGTGAGCATCCAATAACACGGGGCTTTCGGCTTCTCAGCGCCGTACCATGGAGGTATCAGAGCTGTCCAGTTCCGGCTGATTGAGGTGATCGATGCCCGATGCCTTTACCATGTTTGTTTCGATCACTCGTATTTGTGTTTGCTCAGTCCTGCATGACGTGACTCACGCCGATTGCTCACCAATCCATCGCCTCAAATTTATCAGAGTTACTTCAGTGGACGAGAGGAGACTTGGGCCACGTTTCCCAGAAGTATTGATTGAACATTGTGAGGATTGTTGACTGGACGGATGGACCGTCTGGTACATGGCCAGACGACGTTGTACAACACGGAAAAACGTAGTGCCGATTTCCGGACCAGTTCCCCAGGCCTGCGCGTGCCTCTGCAACATTTGGACTTTTGCGACAAACACAACCTGCAATCGCGCAATCATGTCTGTGTTGCTCGAAACATCACTCGGCGATGTGACTATCGATCTTCTAGTTGATGAAGCGCCAAAATGCTGTGAGAAGTAAGTTGACCCAATTGCTGCGCTTTTGCCACGGCATATGCACCTCTTTATATGTTGACGCTGAGCACAAGATAGACGCTAACGGTTCGCCTTGTAGCTTTCTCAAGCTGTGCAAAACCAAGTACTACAACTTCTCGCCAGTCCACAGCGTCCAACCCAACTTTTCGTTCCAAACCGGCGATCCGATCGGCCCCAATTCCAAAGACAGCGATGGCGGGCGCTCCATCTGGGGCCAACTGGACTCATCGAACCCCGCAAAGAAGACGTTCAAACCCGAGTTCCGACCAAAATTGAAGCACGAGGAGATGGGCACCGTCAGCATGGCCACAGCGCCGGCGCCAGATGACCCGGACGCGCGATTCGCTGGCAGCCAATTTATCGTCACGCTTGGTCAGAATATTGATTTCTTGGACGGCAAGGCAGCTATATTTGGACAAGTCGTGGAGGGTTTTGACACGCTGGAGAAGATCAACACAGCTTTCATCGACGACAAGGGCCAGCCGCTGAAGGACATTCGCATTCTACACACCGTGGTTCTGGACGACCCATACGATGACCCTCCAGGTTTGGTGGAACCACCAGAGAGCCCCGTACCGTCTGCAGCGCAGCTTGCTACTGTGCGCGTGGGGCATGACGAGAACCTGGAAGAAGAGCGGGACGAGGAAGCCCTGGAGAAGGTGCGACGCGAGCGTGAGGCGCGGGCCCAAGCCCTGACGCTTGAAATGGTTGGCGATCTGCCGTTTGCCGAAGTCGCACCCCCGGAAAACGTCTTGTTTGTGTGTAAATTGAATCCAATCACGCAGGACGAAGACCTGGAGCTCATCTTTTCGCGGTTCGGGAAGATTCTGAGTTGCGAGATTATCCGAGACAAGCAAACAGGCGACAGCTTGCAGTATGCTTTCATTGAGTTTTCAAGCCAGAAGGAATGCGAGCAGGCCTACTTCAAGATGGACAGTGTTTTGATCGACGATCATCGCATTCACGTGGACTTCTCTCAGAGTGTATCCAAGATTGCTGACGATTGGCGCGACAATGCTGTGAAGAAGCGGAGAAAGGCAGCGGGTGGTTTTGGAGGAATCGACAACCTGGAGAGGAAGAAGCAGTACCGCGAAGGCCATGGTAGGCAGATTGCCAGCGATTCTGTGGTGAACAATCTCGTCATGGACCGCGCTGCGCCTGCCAAAGAGGCAGAGGAACGTCCAAAAGTGTCAAATGGTAGTCGAAGAGACGACCGACGAGGTGATCGAAGAGATGATGGTCCGCGACGCGAGCGGAGGGAGCAATATCACGATGATCGCTGGAAGAGAGACCGCAGTCGAAGTCCCAGACGGGATCGTGGTCGCGATGATGGGAGGTATGAAGATCGCCGACGAGATCGTAGCAGAGACCGACAGAGGGATTCTCGTAGAGACAGGAGTCGGGATCATTATGGGAGGGATGATAGAGACGGTCGCAGACGACGGGATTAACTGAGTAGCCAGGTTTTGCTGTATTGATAGTTTGTAATTAGATACCCATTTAATGATTTTATATTGGATTGTTTTAGTCGTTGATCAACATTTGAGTGTTCAAATGCTAATGTTCAAATGAATCGAGCAACCCAGACCACGTGATTGCTCATGTATGGTCTGTGCGTTCTGGCCGATCCTTGATCAAAAGGCAAGCTCGTTTTATACATTGGATATATCCACCACAACACCCAAAATGATGTCCTCACGATGGCAGGCTGCAGTCCGGCAGCTCCAAGGACAACCGTCAGCCATATCCAGGGCATTGATGGGGACCAGGCACCCGAACTTGCGGCCACGTACAGCAACATCCCGTCTTCACCATTCGGTCTCTGGACGCGTTCAACTCGAATCACGTGCTTCAGCCCTCACACAGTGCCGCTATTTTTCTTCACGGTCACGTTTATCCGCGGGCAAGAATGATAACAAGACTTGGACTTCATCGCCGGTAGTGCCCACTCAAGTTCTGGAATCTCGTTTCCCCAAAAAGACTGTCCTGTTCTTTGCGATCCTGGGCACTGCAGCGTACTTTCTACTCGAAGTCGTGGAGCCTGATTGGACTGATAATGCCATGGCTGGCTTCGACGATCAGCCGCATTCTGTTCCTCTCCAATTTTACAGGGACCGAGAGTCGTTGGACAATAGACTTGAGCAATTCTACATTGGCGCATTCGAACTACTGAAAGATCCGGAGCGGCTGATGCAGATCAACGATCTATTCAACGACATAGCGAATGGGTGGATGATGAATGAGGAGAATGCCCAAGAGTGGTACATACCAGTAACGCATGGGTGCCGCTTCAAATCCAACGAACCATGCGTGAGTTAGCCATGCACAGATTATGGACATTGTTGTCGCTGATGATCCTCAGGAGGATTTCTACTGTATTGGAACGGCCCCTGGCCCTGGATCGAAGCCTTGGAACTACTGGTCGGTCTTTGACGGCCATGCTGGAAAAGCTACTGCGTTTTATCTTCAAAACACGATGCACCCCGAGCTTTCTCGCCATTTGTCCGACCTCCCCCCAAACGCAGCATCGTGGTCTATCCACGACTCGATGAAAGCCGTCTTCATCGGACTAGACAAAGAGATCATGGACAGGGCCCGTCACGCCGTTAACTGGTACCCGGCCGCCAACTCAGCTGCCATGAACGCCCTGGCGCCCGCCTTCCACGGAAGCTGTGCCCTCGTCGCAGCCTTCGACCCCGAGCAAAGCAAACTCCACGTCGCCTGCACCGGCGACTCACGAGCCGTTCTCGGCCGCTGGGACGACGTCGAAGGTAAATATATCGCCCAGCCCCTCAGCGTCGACCAAACCGGCTTCAACCCATCCGAAGTCGCGCGCATCACCTCTGAACACCCAGACGAGCCCTCCATCCTCGACCCAAAAACCGGCCGTCTCCTCGGCCTAGCCGTAACACGCGCTTTTGGCGACCACCGCTGGAAATGGGACAACAACGCCACCAAAACCGCGCAGCACAAATTCTGGGGCCCCGCGCCCCGTCCAAACTCCACCACCCCACCCTACCTCACCGCGGAACCCGAAATCACCGAAACAGACATCGTCCGCGTCCACCCCAACTCGCCTTCGGGAAAATCAGACTTTATGATTATAGCCACAGACGGCCTCTGGGACCACATGTCGTCGTCCACGGCCGTCTCCTGCGTCTCGTCCTGGCTCACGGCGCGCGCCCGCTCCCCGGACCACCGCGTCTCCACCGATCCCAACCGCCCGTACGCCGACTTCTCCAATCCGACCAGACCAGACCCCGGCGTTACCTTTTCCGTCGAAGACGGGCAGGAAGTCACGTGGCAGGCTGAGCCGAGATATTTCGCCATCGAGGACGATAACGCGGCGGTTTGCTTGACGAGGAATGCGATGGGCGGGTTGAGGAGGGGTTTGGTTGCAGGGTTGGTTACTATGGGTCTGCCTGCGAGAAGGAACGCTGTGGATGATACTACGGTCATGGTTGTGTTTTTTGATCAGTTGGATACCCAGGGGGGGAAGGAGAAGGAGGGCGGGGAACAAATCAAGAGAAGGTGGTGGTTTTGGTGAGCCTGAAGATATTGTTTGTTCAGTTGGACGAGCATTTGGTTCTTTAGCCACTGCTGTATTTTTTGTTTTGTGTATTTCTCGTCTGCTTGTTCTCCGTATCCATACCCCCTGCATAACCAACACTGCAATAGAGACCAGTCTACAAATAAAAGATACAAAATTTGTAAACTCGGCCACCTATTTAGATCGCAGAGTATAGCACTGCGAATATATACCGAGAAAAAATAAACCATAAGAGATACCTTTAAAGCAATACCCCAATCATTCATCCCTTCTTCTCACCAACTCCAAAATCTTTAACTTTGTCGTTCCATCCCCGCACAAATTACAACCTCTGACCCTCCAATTATTTCTTCAATCAGCAGCAGCAGCAGCAGCAGCAGCAGATATTCCATACCCACAGAATGAACAAACGAGTAGATAACATCGCACAGAGTCAACAACTCACAAAGCAGCATCCACTCAGGACAGAGAGAGCCTTGCAAAAAGTCTTTCTTCTTTTGAGAAGAGGAACATGAAGATTCAGAAAAAACAGACAACATGAAAATAAAGATGAGTATATTTTTACCCCCCTAACCGCCCCTAACCGCCTTCCCAAACTAATCTAATCCCGATCCCTTCCTTTGCTTTCCCTTCCCCGAATCATTGTTGTTATGTAGTAAAGTTCCAGAAACGGAAATAAATAGATAAATAAGACGTTACATAAAAACCCCCGCACAAACCTAACCTGATCCCCGAAAAAAAAAACGCCGTCTCTGTAGAGATAAAAAGAAAAAAGAAGGGGAGAGGGATAAAAAAAAACGCCACATGCATAAATAAAATGACAGGGGAGAGAGAGAGAGAGAGTTGTCCACTTTCGACTTCGACTTTCATCATCATGGACGTGACTTACTTCTCTGCAATCTCACAGTCACTAACCCGACCACTTCTCCTTCTCACTCCTGACTGAACCGACGCAGGGGATAAGAATGAAACCCCCCCAAAAAACAATACATAGTCACGCCCTTGTGTGTATGTGTGCAAGAAAAGTAAACCTCCCCGCCCCATTCCCCAGCAAGGAAACATGCCCGACACCACCACCGCCCGCACAACAACGATGATCATCGTCATCATCATTGCAAGAAATCTTTCCTGACGTTGACAAACGCACCGGGCCCACCCTGCTCGGTGAGTTCGTTGACCAGGGCTTCCGTCTGCTGGACTAGGCGCTCGAGCACCGCGCTGCTGGATTTCCCTAGACTCACTGTACAAAAACACACGTAGAGTTAGCGAATTCTCTCTTCCACGGGGATCGAATGGAGGGAAGAAAAGGGGGGAGGATTACCTAAAATAGCACTGTTCAATTCCTCCGCTACAGGCACTCTCCCTGCGGTATCCAGCAGCGGCGCCAAAGTGCTCTCGCGCGCATCTTCGTACGCAATAAGCGCAAACGTATCCTCAAGGGCCTTCTGGACTTCGCGCCGCTGGTCGTTTGCGAATTCCGCGCGCAGCTCTTGGCCGTATTGGATCATGCGGTCTGTCATGTCTCTGACTTGCGCTTCTGTATCGTCTGCTTCGTCAGTCTGGTTTTCCTTTCCTTCTGCGCCGCCGTCTTGGCCGTTTTCGCCTTTGGCTGGAGTTTCCCAGGGTGCGCCATTGTGTACGCCAAGTTGCTCGTCGAGTTCCATCTCGAAATCGTATTCCTCGGTGGCGGTCGAATTGCGTTTGGCTGTTGAGTTTGAGGTGTGGACGGCTGTTGTGGTGGAGCGTTTTGATGGGGGAGTGCGGTCGGATGCGCCGTGGCATTGGGATCTCAGTTCGCTGCATTTCCGAATCATTTCAATGAATTTCCGGCAACGGAGTTTGAAGTAGATGTTTTCGTTGTCTCTAAGAACATTGGCGTAGTGTAGATTCGTGTGCTTCAGAGCCTTGTCAATGTCTCCTTCGAGGATCGCAGCTCGGATTTCTGGCCAAGTCAGCATCGTCGCCTTTTCATCAAGAAAGCAATCTTATCTTACTTTGCCGGTTGATCGCGTGAACATCGTCTTCGGTCCCCGTATAATTGATCGTTGGACTTGACTCATTCGCAAGTGCCTTTGATTCTGCGTCCACTTCCTCCGCAAACGCCCGCGCCGACTCTACGTATCCGTCATGAGCCAGATACTGTCCAATTAAACCGTGTATCAGATCCGTCTCAATGGATGCAACGTCTTTGAAGCGGTTAATTTCAGCCTGTATCGTCGCCTTCTCGTTCTGCACCATTTTATCAATATCGAACGCAAAGGGTTCCTGGCCAAAATTCGCTCTTAGCATCTCGCCCTGCTTCTTCATACCGACGGTAGGGTAGTAGTTGACGTTTGGTTTCAAGTCTCGAAAAGCAACATCTGTCATCGTCAGCATAGCTCGCAGTCCAGTCGCGTTCTCCATACCCAAGTAGTGGCCGTTCTTTGTAAAAAACGCCGTGTTTGTCCGAAAGTTGATGCCACACCCTATCACGTCCAGAGTACCAAACTTTGGCCCGTACGATTTACCCGACGTCGTATTACTGAAACACTGCCCGTCATCGCCGTGGTATGCGTACGAGTCTGGTTCCCAGCCCGGAATTCTAGTCAGCGATACTTTGGGACCAGAAAACCCGACACCGATCATTCTACTGCTGGGGTATTAGTCGCGGGCAAGATCAGGAAGAGGGTGAAACTCACCCATCCTTGCCCTTGGATATCACCGTCACCTCATAATAATATATACCACACTGCCGCGGCATGGAGTAGTCTGATCTTATGGATGCCGCTTCGTCATGCGACTTTTGTGAGCCCGAATACTTGCACAATCTGCCGTTTTCCTCCACCTCCATCTGATGGAACTTGTCAGTCTCGTTCCAGCGCGTGGGCCACGGGGCTATGGGCTCTTCGGTGAGGGCGGGCGCTCGTTCGACGACTTCGTGGGTCAAGCCACGGTGCGACGACGGCATTCGGAAGAGGTTTGCGCTGCTGGAGCTCGTGGATAAGGAATCGGCGTTGGAGGAGTGCGTGGATCGGTATTGTTGCTGGGCAGCCATGCGCGCTCTGTGGACCTCTTGCAGCTTCTCTGCGTGTTTGGAGCCCCGGAGATACGAAGGCACAAAGAAGGACGATACCGGATCATCGTGCACGGAGTAGTCTTTGAAGTAGCCTGAGCCACTCATGTATGAAGGCAGCGGGCCGCCTCTACCCAGAGAAGAGGACATGGCGTTGTGTTGTGGGTCGTCGTAGGTGCGGAAAGAGAGGCGGGGGTCTGGTATCGTATGCGAGTGAGCACCGCTATTAGAGGAGTGATGGAAGCCTCCCAAGCGAGCAGAAACTGAGTTTGTATGGCTGTTTGCTCCCGTACCGGAGGCGACCTGGGCGTATGAGGTCCTGCGCGACATGGTATCTGGGGGTGGTGGGGATTGGAGCTTCAGAAGGCGGAACTACCCCCGACTAGGGCAGCTATGGCACGTCGTCGGCGTGATGTATGGGGTGAAGGATGACGACGAGGAAACAGATCAAGGGCAAACAAATCTGGCTGGCTGCGTGTCCGCCTGTGTTTTCATTTTCCGAGCGGTACAGGCAGGTGGGGACGTTTTTACATGAATATGTCGGAGTACAGAGGACCGCGGAAGTGTGGTTGTCGATGAGGATGGAGGCTTGCTCGAGTTACCGGACCGGGTCTCCCCGCATGCATTACCCACATTACATGTACACGCCTATGATGAACACACATTCACGCTGTAGCACGCAAGCAGCTTAATCAGCCACCACCACAATGGCCATGGTATTTGGTGATATTACTGAAATAAAAGTAAGAGGATAGAAAACAAAAAGACAATTCCGCCCAGTCCACTATACAAATACACATCTTAATGCAGTCACGCGCCGTTCTGACCCGCGCGTCATTCTTAGCCAGCCAGCACCTATGCACCAAAAGCCCTTTCAGTTTTGATCCCACATGACCGTGGATATCCTTCAACGCCAAACATGCTCGAATCAGAATATGGAAAAGTGCCGAGACGTAATCAAATGCCGCAATCACCCGCTGGTGCCATACCAACGCCCCTCTGATAAAAAGGAAAACAAAAAAGAGACATCGAAAGAGCGATGGATTGAACTGGGAAGGAGAAAAGAAGTGTGTCGACTCCACAAGACATATGCAAGGCTGTCTCGTGTGTTGGTCGACTCATCGACCAATCCGTGAACAGCACTACTAAGACGCAGCAGCAACGGGAGCCGGTGAGCTGGCCAGACCGTTCAATGGCGGCGGCACAGGTGTGCCAGCATCAAGCAGTGCACCGCTCTTCTCGCTGATGGCACTGCTCTCATCCTTGGGCTTGTCATCTGTAGAACCGGCCGAATCGCTCTTGACGTCTTCGGCGAAGATGGCTGCCTTCTTAGGAGCGCGCCATGTAGGAACGTCCCAAGCGACGCCAGTGAAGCTGCGGACCTGGAAGCCCTTCTTCTCCCATTTACGGCACGGCTTGCCTGTGCGATCGAGCGCGCGGAGGCCGGCGTTGATGGCGCCCATGTTGGCTTTGGGGCCGAGCTTGATGGGGGCAGGTATGGCGTAGGGGCCTTTGTGGTTGGGGTCGTTGATCATGTCGCCGCTGAGGTCTGTTAGGCTGGGCGTAATAATGGATGATGATGGGATTGTACTTACAGCTTCTGCTTCTTCTTGGGTCCTGGTTTGCCGCGCGGTTTTGGCACGCCATCTATAGCCGCCGCACTCCTCTTGGTGCCGGCCTTTGGCGCAGCAGCACCCTTCTTCTTCGCACTGTTGTTGGCGCCTGGCGGAGCGAGCAGGCCATTGTCTGCACCGGGAACAGGAGTCGACGAGGCGTCGGGGGTGTCGGCAGGAGTGGGCTCGACAGGAAGGGTGGTGGAGGTCTCAGGAGACGACGAGGTCTTTGATGAGTCGGAGGCTGGTTTGGATGGCGGCTCGTGAGGGAACTGGGTGAGTTTCACGGGCGACAGGCTGAGGACGACGACCTTGGACTTTGTCGCGGGCACCTTGGCGCCAGACATGGTGACTGGACAGCGGTGAGGTGACGATGGCGATGGTTGGCGGTGGTGGTGGTGATGGAGTGGATGGCGGCGCTGATGGTGGATGGAGGACGGTGGTGAGGGGGGCGAGGGCGGGTTTTATCAGGTGTGTCCTATAATTATTGTAGCGCGTGAGTCCAAGGGTTGAGCCCAAGGGCTAGATTGTGTGAAGTGTGGCCCGGCAATGCGCCTTCACGGCTTTTGGTGATGCAGACGCGACGAGGAGGTTGGTGGGTGGGTGCGAGGGCAGATGCAGAGGGAAGGGGGGAGAGGGATGCAGGAGTGGAAGCATGATGGGCGGGTTCCGGCGAGGCGAGGCTTTGTATTATAACGTTAGCAGATGTGCTGGAACAGGCGTTGCAGACAGGCGAACATCATCTTTGCTTGGTGTGAGCGGATTGCTTCCCTGGATCTACGAAGACATTCTCAATCGGGCTTAGCTCGGGTTGGCTGAACTCCTGCCTCTTCATCGTGCACTGCATCGCCGTCGACAACGTACTCGTGTATTTTCATCTTTCTTTCTCTTCTCTTCGTCCGTTCTGTTCATCCTCTCGTCTGGCCATGATGCGCCCGTCTCCGTCTCCTGCGCGGTCCGTGTCTTTGTGGCTAATCAGAACAAGCGCAACCTCGTTTGTTTGGTCCGTCATTCCAATCCGCCAGCCTCAACCATCAAATCATGTCCCCCAACAGCATCCGGCCTATTTCATTCTTCTTTCATCTCACTGCCTCGCCTCTCGGTCCTTTCCATTGTTTCGGAAACGCCTAGAGATTGCATCTCGCCTTCTTCTTCCGCGATCCTGCGACCGCCTTTGTCTACATCTGCGTCCATGATTGTCGTGCCTCTCGTCGTGAAACTTCAGCTTGGTGTCGGTGCGTCGCCTGGTCATCCGAGAGCTCGCGGCCAGAAACCCCGCCACTTCCGCCGCAAATTACGGATGCACGCCGTTTTTCTGCTTCCCCTGATTTTGTCTTCGACAACGAACATTGACCACAACTGAACATGCATATTGTCAATTTCTACCAGAATACCTGCGGTTTTCCTGCTCTCCTGTTACATACGGGGTTGAACCTCAGACATGCTAATGCTACCAGACTATTGAGGGATGCATCAGCTGGGCCACCTCGCATGGCGTAACAGCTCAACAGAATTGAAGGTTCTAATTACAGCAGTCTTTCCTTCGACTCAACCACGCTCGTCCAGTCCAAATTATTGACATTTTCTTATTGGCGCGTGTACTACAATGATGTCGGCGAGAAAGAATTCCTTCCTGAAGCACCCTCGTGTTCTCGAGACAGCAACCAAGCGATGAAGGCGAAAAAGAAGCCTTTTTGATCTTTTACATTATCGCCTCCTTTTTGAGGATCTCTTTTCATCAACCCTTTAAACCGCGAGAAATACTTCAACTTCCAATAAAAAAGAGCTCACAGCAACCGAATGCGCCAACCGGAGACCGCTTCCTGATGATCAATTCGTTCGTTGTTGATGGCCTTGATAACTTTTGCTTTAGTTCTCCGGCATGTAATCAGGACAGGTGCAAAGTCCACACGTGCATAAGGCGTTCTGTCTGTATTCCAAGAATCCAGAATACAAAGATCCATCTATAAGGCGCAGAGGAACTTTGGCCGCTAAGTAGGATTTTCTAGGTGTCTTATGCGCCCTCTTAGGCTTTCCTGTATTATCCCGCAGTCCTCTTGTTCCGCCTTCTTTTTCTACGCCTTGTCCTGACGGTGCAGCCTTTGAGCTTTGCCATTGCAGTACCAACAAGTGGAGCATCTTCTGCATCTTCCCTTTATTTTCACGTTTTCTTGAGTGACCATGCCTGGAGGTCGCTGGCCATACCAACGGACGGAATCTCAGGGAATGTTGCTGGGAACTCTCCGGTTCATTTTCAATATGAATCTTTCTCGAGCAACATGTGAGATGTAGACGATGGACTTGGTTTACTTGTAATATTTTGCTGAAGAATATATATCACTTGGATCCGAAGTGGCGCGAAACTGAGCGACTACATCGAACGATCACGAACTGACCGCTGTCCCAGAGTAAGTCATGGTTCGCGAACTCGAGGAGCTGGTAATTGTATCTGCGGAAATGTTGTTTGGACCTGGGGGAGCAAGCCAGCTTAGGAACGGGAACTTTAGGTACGACATCCTCTCCGTCTTCAAATACAATGCTCTCGAACTGGATCATTTTCGTATTGGATTTGCGGGTGTACGAGTCCTCGTGGAGTTTTGCAAGTGGTGAACCAGGTGATTGTGCGTGTGATGTTTCTTAGGGATGATCTGCGTGTTCGAGTCTTGCACTGGACGGACTGGAATGAAAGGGTAGACGATGGGGTTGGTGTACTTGTGATATTGTATTTGAAGAATACACCATCTAGATGTAGTGCTAGACGGAGGATGGGAAACACATGAGATGGTACTTGAACTGGGGCCTGAGTCGGACTAAGTGCTTGAGGATGAATGTCGATGGTCGGCACTGTTAGACAAGACGTGTGGATCTGTTGATCACCTCGGCGCGCGTACATGACACCGATGTAGACCTGCGATGGTCGGAGGCCGAGAGCAGAAACGAGGGCGAGGAGGCATCTCTTCCTGCCGGTGTAGATGCTCAATACACGCGAATTTCATAAACGTATGGAGCAGCGTTGTATTATAGCAACGTCTGAACTATTCTTCCGTGAGATCCAGAACGATTTGCTCGTGTGAGATTGTACTCTTTCCCCAAGAAGTCTCCCCACCTGCAGTCACTGCCACCCCATCCACAAGATTGTTCAACCAAGTCGCAAGTCGAAGAGCGGCTTTGGAAATCTGCAACTCGACAATGGAAACCGCACCGAACGCGTAACCGTCTTCTGCCAGATCTGCAGACTGATTCACCCGACTGTAGACGTAATCACACGTCCACTGGTTGCTTTCAGTAGCCCAACGAGTAGCGCACTCAACCGACCGCGCAGGATCCGTGCATGCAGTCCACATATACGGAGCTTCGTAGAACTGATCTTTTCGGATTCGAGACACGAGATTCGAAAAGAATGGCGCGATCGACTGGTTCGAGAATGGTTCGCTGACGTTGGCTGCGAGGTACGGAATGTATCCATCCCAAACAGCATGGAGTTCTGTCGACTTGTTTCCAAACTTGACGCGGAAGAAGTTCCCTCCAGCGGCTCTTTGAGAAGCGTGCAGCGGTTGCGCAATGTCTCCGAGGAAATGCGATACCCATTTCAGTGCATACGAGCAAGTCAGGTTCGTACCGCCTGAAAAGATTCCAGTCTGCACGTCTTGAATACACCCTTTCAAGATGCTGGTCTGATTGGCAATGGCAGAAACAACACAACCTCCATGGGCACAGTCGCGTGTGTAGTTGAGATTACATCGTTCAGGCGGATAATCATGGGCGTCTATCCAATGCCATTGATACGAAAATCGACCTTCGTCGGTATGTGCATAGCCATCAGCCCAGGCAGCCGCACGGCCTATGGAGCCGTTGTACTGCGGCTCGAGGAGCTGTGAGAGTACGGCTACGGCATGCGGGGTGAGGAGCTCCTCTGCCATGAATCCGATTTGATTATGTACTGCATGTCACGTCGGGTTAGCGATACGATACTCTTGCTTTACGCGTATTTTCCTGCCGTGTTCGGCACGTAAAGCGACATGAAAAGGATGGGTGCATCCCACCATCCGTGTTCCACGCCGCACTCGAGGCCAGCAGGAGGCTTGCGGGAAGTATGTACTTCATAACAGCTGCCATTTACAAACAAACTCTATGAAAACGGACAAAATGAATGAAGTGGCTTTGGAAGTTGGGTGACGCTATTGGGTGAATGATTCGGAATGATTACGCGTTGAATGAGGCTGTATAGAGATGCGGGTGAGAGGTGCAGTTGGTGTTGAGATGGAAATGACGCAGGGACCATCGCTAGTGTCACCTAGTTGGGCGTAGCTTAGGTACCTATCGATAGCGATTGCCGTTTTGGGTATTCGACGATATACCTGTTGATCGTTTTACAATATGAGTTGTTGCGAATATATTGAAGATTGTGCAGGAACAGAGCATGAGGTGCTTCTAATAATAATACCTCCGTCGAGTGTATTGTCAGGCGTCTTTCCAGAACGTGTTCTGTTACAGTTCAACGCTCGGGTTGTACTTGGGCGCAACAGCGTGAATGGCCCCGTTGTTCGGTTTGTGCACTGGCAAATGGCGGTGGGGAAATTGAAAGGACTGCGAATGACTGTACATGTATATGCAAACGGCTCACGAGCGACCTCTTCTCACTGCATATGCATATCGAAGCGTTTGAATATTTGTCGCTGTGAATGTGACTGCTTGCCAATAGCGGATCGTGCTTTCCCAATACCGTGGGCTTCTCTACCACGGCTGCCACACAAAAAAGCATTTTCACCTAACCCCATAAATCCTCACCTATCCGACTCCAAAGACTTGTCTTGACCACCCGTTCAACCAAGCCATCCATACTCGACCTCACGTTGCCCGCACACCGGCATCAGACATCGATACCGAAATACTCTCTACTCTCCCGTGAAGATCCCTACACTTCATCATGCTTCGACGCACTATTACCTCGGTCATCAGCAAGACCAAGCCTACCGCAACCGCCATCCAGACTTTTAGTACAGTCGAAGACCCTCGCAACAAGGCGCGCACCCAGCAGATCGTGGAGCAGGCGCAGAATCCATCAGAATCCCCCGCATACAAAACGATCAAGGAGAAGACAGGCCAGGATCAAGACGCAGTCAAACGCTCCCAAATGGTCGGGCTCGCCCAGCAGTCTCACGCCAATGGTACCGTTGTCAAGGAGCAACAACCTTCACCCCACACCGAACCCTGGAGTCCTCACGATGGTCTTCTCGACAGGAGCGCGACGATGATTACGATTCCCTCTGTCTGGCCTCATATGTGGTAAAGTGGTTGCCCTGCTCCTGTCTTTGGGTGACTTGTTGCTAACGCCGCGGATAGGTGAAGAGTGCTAGAGCCGGTCGGCCGGTGTTTCGGTCGGTTATGCGACTTCGCTCAAGCGAAAATGTACCATGATGACTATCGGCAAGGGTCTCGATCCCAGGATTCCAGTCAGCCAATACACATATAGTTCCTGCTACCTCGGAAAGTTTCATCTTTAATGCGAGCAAGAAAGAAAAGGAGACAGAGAGCGAGACACATCGTGGGACTGAAGACAAGGCATACGCGTCGCCTTAGTTGAGAGGCAGCCTAGGCTCGTATTCGATGGTATACGCGTATTTGCGTACTGCCAGCTCTCCGCTAGCGGAAGGCCGGTCTTATGGTTCAAGGCTGTGGTGGAGAAGACAGGAACCCCACTGATTAAGTAGCTAGGAGAATATAACATTATGAAACCTGCAACAGCTCTCTTTGACTACCCGTACGATGGTTGATCAGGTTCCAGTCATCCTAATCGAGGCACCCTCGCGAATGTTTTGTAGACGCCAATCACAATGGACGCGCGCTCTATGCCGCTTATAGTATCACCACGGAGATACACATGGCTACTGCGCATAGGGACAATGCGCCTATTCTATCCGTGTGCTGGAGAAGCAATGCGATCCGCTTGATCGAGCGCACCATTCACGGCCCATGTCAGGCGGTGCACTGACGTAGGGGTCTGCGCTACAAGTACCAGGGTCGTAGCTACAAAGTATGCGCTCACCAACGCTGCCACTCCCCCCGGCTCTGTCTTGATCTGTACTCCCTTCCAACTGACATACCCTTCCTTTTCACCTCTTTTTTCCTGTGTTACAAGATACCCAAGGCGTGCTTCAGCATCCTACGTTGAACCGCCTCTTACTATGACGGCCCAAGACCCCGCGGCTCCCCCGCCCCCACAACAACCACCACCTCCAATCCCCCAGCAAACCTCACAAACTTCACCATCACAGCAACAACCGCCCAACGAGCCGCCTCCATATTCCAGCGCAGTCGTTTCTGAACTTCCTGGTAATGTCCCAGAATCGCGAAGCTCGACATCACACGATGCCCCTCAAAATACCAGCGAATCCTCGGAGTCGGCGAGAGTGAAACCTGAAGGTTCGAACTACGCAGGCGCATACCGGCCCTCGGATGCTCAGAACATTCCTCCTCCCATGTTAGTATTCCAATTCTGGTTGATTTCTTTTACTTACAACTTCTAGCACTGTAACGGATCACCACCCCGACTTTTCTTCTGCCCACTATGAGCACATGCCGGGCACGTCTCCATCCCAGGCGCCTCCAGCATACACCGAACAGCCAGGCATTCTGGATGACACTGGAAATCAGATGGGTGGCCAGGCCACGGTCGCTGACGATGGTCGTGTCAACATCAACATCAACCAAAAAGATCGCACCCTATCGCGTATAATCCTGCCCCAGCTACAGCGCCAGCTCACCCAGGTCAATCGGGACCCCGCTCCTCCTCCCCCGTATATCCCTGAATTTCTCGGTGGAGTTCCCGGGCAAGAGCCACCACCTGCTCTCAATGTGGTCATACAAGTGGTTGGATCTCGGGGTGATGTGCAGCCGTTTGTGGCGTTGGGTAAAGTGCTCAAGGAGACGTACGGTCACCGCGTTCGAATGGCTACACATCCTACTTTCAAGGACTTTGTGACGGAGCATGGTCTGGAGTTCTTCAGCATCGGTGGCGACCCGGCAGAGTTGATGGCTTTTATGGTCAAGAATCCCGGTCTGATGCCTGGCTTTGATACTCTGCGGAGTGGAGAAGTGGGCAAGAGGAGACGAGGTATAGCGGAGATGTTGCGGGGGACGTGGAGGTCGTGTATCGAGACGGGTGACGGTCTTGGAGTGGATCCTTTGAAGCAGACGGTGGAAGAGTGGATGGGTGTTGAGGATCAGCTGCCCGAAGCCCTGAAGAAGCCGTTCGTGGCCGACGCCATCATTGCGAATCCACCGAGTTTTGGACATATTCACTGTGCGGAGAAACTCGGGATACCTCTTCATATGATGTTTACGTGAGTCGTCTCGATTCCTGGTGTATGTTCAAGCTAACATGAGCAGCATGCCATGGTCTCCGACACAGCAGTTCCCGCATCCTCTGGCCAACATCCAGTCCTCAAACACCGATCCTACCATCACCAACTTCATGTCTTATATCCTGGTGGATATGCTGACCTGGCAAGGTCTGGGCGATGTGACGAATAGGTTTCGTAAAGAGTGTCTCGGTCTTGATCCCGTCAGCATGATCTGGGCTCCGGCGATGCTGGCACGATTGAAGATCCCATGGACATATTGCTGGTGAGTATAACGATCCTCATATTGCACAGCGCTAATTGTAAAAAAGGTCCCCTGCTCTGATACCCAAACCAAAGGATTGGGCGAACCACATCCAGATCTCTGGCTTCTACTTTCTCAATCTTGCATCGAATTACACCCCCGCCCCTGATCTCGCCCAGTTCCTGGCTGCCGGCGAACCTCCAGTGTACATTGGTTTCGGATCCATCGTTGTTGATGACCCAAACGCCATGACCAAGATGATCTTCGACGCGGTTAAGATGACGGGCAGACGAGCGCTCGTCTCGAAGGGCTGGGGAGGTTTGGGGGCCGACGATCTTGGTATACCGGAAGGAGTTTTCATGCTCGGCAATGTACCTCATGACTGGCTCTTCAAACATGTCGCAGCCGTTGTACATCACGGAGGTGCCGGAACTACCGCCGCAGGTATCGCCGCAGGCCGACCCACCGTAGTTGTGCCCTTCTTTGGTGACCAGCCGTTCTGGGGTGCAATGACTGCGAGAGCTGGAGCTGGCCCGGAGCCGGTCGCATACAAAGAGCTGACGGCTGAGAAGCTGGCCGAGTCTATCAATCACGCTCTGAAGCCAGAATCGCTTGATCGAGCTAAGGAACTTTCCGAGAAGATTAGCCGCGAGCAGGGTTCGCAGAACGGAGCACAGTCTTTCCATCAGCTGCTTCGATATGATGAACTCCGATGCGCGGTTGTTCCTCAGCGACCGGCTGTTTGGAGAGTCAAGCGCACTCAGGTCAAGCTTAGTACGAAGGCAGCAACTATTCTCGCGCAAGAAGGCGAACTGAACTTCTCCGAACTCAAGCTGCACCGCCCCCGCGAGTACGAAACAGACGAAGGACCTTGGGATCCCCTTACTGGTGGCGCTACAGCATTGATCGGTACAGGAACACAGATTATGATGGGGGTGGCTGATTTTCCCATTGAAACACTCAAGCTGCTCAATATCCATCCCGATTCGGCCAAGAGCAGTAAAGGCAAAGGAAAGGCGAAACAGAGCACAGATGGGTCCAGCACGCAAGACAAGCTGGGGACGGGCAGTGTTCAGGATTCTGCTGCAAGCAGTAGCACTACCTTGCCGGGTCTTGCCACCCCTGACAGCTCTAACAGCACTGAGATGCCAAGTCCCTCGCACAAGAATTCGTTCATGGCCGAAGCCATGGCCTCATCTTCGCAGGTCTCACGCCCATCTTCCCCGGGTGGCCATCGTCGTCTGTTGTCAAGGGATAACAGCGGTTTCTCCCGAAGTCGCAGATCGTCAACAGCAACCGAAGAGCAACCGTCTACGCAGACGAGGCCCGCGTTTGACTTTCGCTCGAGCTCGAATAAAATGAACGCTAGGATGAACGCCGACTCGTTGGTCGGCACTGGAAAGGGTATCGGCAGAATCGTGGGCGCAGGGTTCAAATCACCAATGGATTTCTCGATGAATGTTGCCAAGGGCTTCCACAATGTACCGAAGCTATACGGGGCGGAGGTCAGGCAAGTCGACAAGGTCACCGATTTCAATAGTGGTGTCAGGACCGCCGCTAAGGTACGTGGGATGATTCCATTCATGTTTCGTGAGCTAACGTCGAACAGGAGTTTGGATTTGGTATGTATGATGGCATTACAGGCCTCGTCACCGACCCCTACAAGGGAGCCAAGAAAGAGGGTGCTGTCGGGTTTGTCAAGGGCGTTGGTCGTGGCATCTTCAGTGTGCCGTTCCGCGTCATGGGAGGGGCTTTTTCAGTCCCAGCATACGCCATGAAGGGCCTGTACGCAGAAATGGTCAAGAGCAAGGGCGCGAACGCGCAAAACTACATCATTGCCGCACGTATAGCCCAAGGATATGACGAAGCGTCGAATGTGTCCGCGCACGAGCGAGCCGAGATCGTTGCTAGATGGAAATCTGTAAAGGTGGACACGACGAAGAAGAAGACTGTCGGCGAGAAGAAGATGGATTTCTTGCACCAGCACATGGAGAACAGGAAAAGGCAGGGACGAAGAGACACCGCGCCAGGGTCCTCCAGCCAGCCTACAGCCACACGCGATACACTCGCACACGCAAATACCTATCCCACCGCCCCAACCCCACAGCAACACCTCTCCGCGGACGTCGAAAAAGAAGAGCTCCGTCTCATGGAAGAAGCGATCCAAGGCTCCATCGCCGAAACCTCGCGCGGCAATCCCGAAGAAGACGAAGTCATCTCGCGCGCCATCCGCGCCTCCCTCGCCGAATTCGAGCGCGAACCCGCCGAACACGAAGACGAAGACCAGGTCCTCGAACGGGTCATGACCGCCAGTCTCCAAGAAGCCCAACGCGCCGGTGCCACAGAGGAAGAACAGAAACTGCTCGAGGAAACGCTGCGCAAGTCGCTGCTAGATACTTCGGCCCGGCGTGTGCATGGCTCGGATTCCGAGTGGGATTCGGACGATACGCAGGAGGACGAGAATTACCAGCGCATCATCGACGAGTCCCAGAAATTGGCCGATCTGCATCGCACCGCGTCGAGGGATATCGCCGCGCAGGAAGAAGAAGAGCTGAAATTGGCGCTGAGGCAGAGCGAACAGGATCCCCCTGCTCCCACCGCCAACGAAGACGACGAGATGCTGCGCAAGGCTATCGCGGAGAGCGAGAAGCTGCGTGAGCGGGAAGGCGCTGGGGGTGGTGGTGATGCGGATGAAGAGGAGTTGCTGCGGAAGGCTATGCAGGAGAGTGAGCAAGCTGAGAAGCAGAGACTCGAGGAGTTGGCGAAGCAGAGAAACGAAGAGGATATTGTGTTGGAGTACGTCAAGAAGCAGAGTTTGGCGGAGGAGGAGCATAAAAGGAGGGTGTTTGGCGGGAGGGATACGGGCGGAGAGAGCTCGAGGGGTGCTGGGTCTGGGAGCGGAGTGTGAAAATCGTGTACGATGGTTATGGAAATGAGTGCGATGGTGTTACTTTGCCCTCTTTTTTCTTTTGGGCATGGCTTGATGTTTTCTTTGATTCGGATACCTAGTCTCCTTGCTTGCTATTTCTCACTATATAGATACACGCGGCTACTCGAGTACACATGAATGATATGAGTTTTGATCAATTGGTCTACAAAAAATCCATCATTCAGCAGAAACAGTTTAAACAAGTCCAGTGGATCAACCTAATGTATTTCGTTGAACTGTTGTGCTTGAGGAGCCGCCGTAGTGGGTCTTGGCATCGCAGTCACACTACCTTAGCAAGCCAGACTCTCTCTCGGCTTTCCAAAACAACACACTCCAAACATGACTCCAGAAGAAGAATTTTTTTACAACGTACAAAGTATCGACGAACCTGTCTCCAGGAGCGTCGATATTCCCCATATTGACCAGCAAGAAGGGTCCCCAAATCGGCATGCCGATTTCGAAGACAACGTTCCGCCGCCAGAGGCACCTATACCTGTCCCGGAGGAACGCGTGGCGTTCATTGTTGGCAGGCGGGAGACTGATCAGTCTGACCAAGAACTCTCCAAGGGCACTCAAACCGACTTCGATGCAAACCGTCGTCATCCGACCCGGGATTTACCATTTACAGTCCCTGGGGAATATGACTTGATAGCCCGCAAACTAAGCTACGATCGGTTCAAATCTATGCCTTCGAAATGGAAATCACCCGTAACCAACACATATTTCCGAGAGAGAAATGAACTCTTCGAGAGCCGGTGGCTTCACCTTACAGACGAGGAAAAGGCTATTCCTGCAAACTCTCTCACAGCCATCCAAGAATTGTCGAACCAGCTTCGGAGAGCGGAGCATGCTATTGCCGCTCGCGACTGGCACGAGGAGAGGAATGCAGAGTACATCAAGATGCTCGAAGATAGAGACAGGCAGCGCGAGATTAAAGAGAAAAAATTGGTCCAAGACAACATCAATTATCGGAGGGAGATTGCCCGCATGACGACCCTTATGGATAATCAAGAGACGCTCAACAAACGCATCAACGATCTCTCCCAAGTCAACACCGCATTGATGCAATCCTGCACAATGAGGAGTGATATTGAAACTCTCGTACAGAAACTTGAGAACGGCACTGATCTCAATAATGTCAAGGTAATGGTGGACGAAGCAATTTCACTGCTTGCCCAATCCAATGCGCTCGATGAAACAATCAAGATCGGCCATGATTTTGAGAGCGCTGTGACACGCTTGGTCAATTTCACAGAGGACATGGAAAGGATCGATCCCAAAGTCTACCTGAAAGAGAAAGCCGCAAAAGACAAAGATCAAATGAACCAAATAATGGAAAATGATCTTCGGGGCTTTGTCGACAGTCGATATGGCTTAGAATCATATATCGATAGATACTACGATCGCGGTGTCTCGGGTTTCGGATACAACAGACGACACGCCCTCGAACAGACGCTCTACCAAGGCTGGGAAGTTTGTGATAGGCTATGGAAAGAGTGCCACCAGGAAATCACGGGCAAAATGTATGTCGGCCGCCTGCGGGATTTCCACCGTGGTGTCAACCTAGGAACACGGATGGCATTGAACCAAACAATCTTGGAAGAAGACAACGCCTACGCAAAGAAAATGGCAGATGCATTCGGTGTCGTTTGTCGTGTCAACTTGAACAAAAACGAGCCGTTCCCGGACCAAAAAACACCGAACAGTATATCTCGCACCACGCATCGCACCCAATCAGCAGAATCCTACGACCCGACCGTCCAGAATAGCTATTACGGATGGGTTTGGGATTCTATCTGCAAGCCCAGCGATGCTATGGAATATCCTTCGTTCCCCGTGGACGATGTGGTGCCTCCGGCAGGCCGTATCGCAGATATTGTGAATGCAGGAAAGGCCGGTCGCTATAAAGAGTACCACGGCCCGCCCTAGAGGCAGGATCAACTTGGATGATCTAGATTGTCGCTCAGCATAGACTGGCGACACTTTTCGCGATCCACGCTCTTGACGAGGCTTTTGTTCCTCACGGGACTGTTGTTCCTCACGGGATTGTTGTCCTCACGGGACTATTATGCCTTACGGGATTGTTATTCTCAGCGGAACTCATGTTCCTCACGGGACTCATGTTCCTGACAGAACTGTTCTTCATGCGGCCGTTGTTTCTCGCGGCACTGCTCTTTACAAAGCACTTTCCTGTTTAACCTCTGCCTGTAGCGGTTTTCTAATCGTACATGTAAATTGAACCAAAAATCAAACTTCTGTGCCCTCTTACAATCTTGGTTTTGTGCAATTTTTCTGCTTCCTGTGCGACGTTAAAAGGTTTTTCAACAAAATAGTTGAAAGATGAAGCAACACCAAAGCCATTATGATTCAGTGGCACTGATTTCCGTACCAGCCTTGCAATAGAATGAATTGATAAGTCATGGGTACAGCCCTGCACTGCAGCAAGAGACTGACCCCATCAGGCACTAGTCCTACTTGGTCTACTAGCTCGCGACACGAGCAGCCGCCCGCGGTGAGCACTCACATAGCCCTTCCCGAGGCCGCATGTGGTTTTGAGACACTTCGTGTCCTCCGAATGCGATGATAATCTGACTAACTCCTCGTTCGAAAGTCGAAGCTCCGTTACCCCAGCCCTCGAGTCGTCAGACATGAATGGCTATCAATCTCGCAGATAATTCAACAACAAAGAATAAAATTGGCAAACATGGCGCGGATACAAGCAAGGTGGATGGGATGGAAGAATGTCATAGTCTCATTTGATCATCGAAGGAAGACATTCCAGTTATCCCAAAACACACCCCTTGACAGATACTATTACCAACTCGAGGACAAGTGCAGCGACAGCGCGGAATATTAGCAGAGGTGGGGAGGACTCGGATACAAACATGATGTAGAAAATGCGGAGGCACAATACAAGCATGCTAGAGGACTAAATAAAAGGCTAGAGGGATCCAGCGCGAACCTTTGCTTGGGGTACCCAGGGGATGGTCATGGGGGCAGTGTGCAATTGTCACTCGAAGATACGCTTTTATGGAAGCAGTTCGTAACTTTGATGGGATCTTCGATATCTACTTATAATTGAAAGAGGCTGTGAGTACAAAAACAACAGATACGAGTATCGCAGGCCTAACGCCCGAAGACCTGAACGAGACAAAGTAAACGTACTCGTAGATTTGAGTGAGACCTCACTGCATTGATCTTGTCCATCATTTGGATACTCCTGCGAGTAAAGCCAATGAAAAAAAAAGACGTTGAAGACAGTGGGATCGACATCCTCGATTCCCATCATGGCTTCTCTGGATCTGGTAGCTCCGGTGATCGGGGGTGATCTCGTAGATGGCAGAGCGGATTCTTGTGATCTGGTAGGCTTGGTGATTTGTGTGGACAGTTTGAGTGGTGGCAGGGTAGCTCTTGTAAACTTGTTAGCTTTTGATTCAATGCGGCACACATACTTGGTAAACAATAACACGACTAGACTGCCTTGGAGCCCCCGACAGAAAACACGTTCAGTGGCTGTCACGGAACTGATGCGTCATCATTTTGAGAAGGAAAGAAGTCAACCACATTGTTCAGTTCTGTTTCCTGCTTTTTGAAATATAATAAACTTCATTCGCCGGCATCAGCTCAGACATTCATAATCTGACGCTCTGGTTTTCATAGTTGGATGACTGCTCTTTTCAATATGTCTATTGATGATATCTATCTCAACTTAGGTACCTTTGCGACGACGTGAAGCTAAAGGAAACGTGGGAAACAGTGCTCGAGTATTATTACGATGAAAATGGAGAAATGAATCGCCAAAGGGAAGCATGTATATAAGTTCAAAACCGTGATCTAGTTCGTATGTCAGCTTATGTGCTGCCGCTGCGGAAAGTGAGTCCGGCTACAAGTATTCAATACTTCTTGAGCCCAAATCTGCTTCACCCCATCTTTGCTGAATTAGCGTGAATATGAATGAGGGTTATCGTGGAAAATCTAAAATCCACTAGCGCAGTCTGCTGTCTGATGAGGAAGTCGCTCGCGCCCACCTCCCCCCACCTCCCCTCCCTCACCACCTTCAGCATTCAAAATCAATGTACGTATTGCCGCCCAGCAAGGCTTTCATGGATTCATTGATTTCTCGTAGTAATGCTGACGTGCAATAGATGTCTGAATCGGATGGTCACGAGGGGCTACGGCCTCATGCTAACCACAACATACAAAACAACACACAAGACAACATCAACCCCAACAATACAGCCCATTTGCAAACACAGCCTCAATCAGTAACATCTACTCGCTCCTCCATGCAGACGAGTACTGAGCATGAAACCACATGTTCTCTTCAAGCCCTTCCCGAAGAATTATTGCTATTGATCATCGAGAACATGGAAGCTGAAGCCAAAAATGCTCTTCGTCTTACTTCCGGAAAGTTCGCACGACTTTTGGAGCGTGATTTTCTCAACAGGGCGCCCACCACAATACATCTTGTCATTCACCCCATAAGCATGGCAAGATTGTCTTCTGTCACTACAATGCAACATCTAGCCCGACGTATTACATCGATTCAGTTTTCAACATACATGCTGGAATCGAGACAAACCCGAGCAGAAGCATCCCGAAATCCAAACATCAATGAACAAGAGTACATTACCCTGTGCAACCAAGAACAGAGCGCGTTTGTCGTGAGTAACGGCAACTATCTTTTTTGTCACACACTTTTCCAATCTCTCCCGCACCTACCAAACTTGAGAGACATACTAGTCGCAAACCACGATGACCGGGTCAGGAATGACACGATATTTCCCGTACTCGAAACCATCAGTGGACAGGGACAGATACTCCGACGCACTGGTTTTTCCATCATAGGAGACCTTGTTACTCATCATACGGACGAGGAAAATAGACTTCGTCGGAACATTATGTTTCTTATACTTCATACTCTGACTGATGCGATTTATCGGCGGAATCTCGCGTTGGACGTGAAGTACTACAATTGGCTTGACGTAATGCCATGCTCTGATTGGATTTATGGAGCACAGGGTTTCGACCTGGACTCCCAATCGGCGTCCGAATTCTTCAGAATATGGCAACAGGTGGCCCCTATGGTGCGACGACTATGGGTAGGAGCTGATGATAGATATTGGCGGCCTATCCAAAAGATGTTTGTGTCTATTCCAAACCTGGAGCGGTTACATATAATGACGGCCAGGCGAGAAGATCCCGCATCATATATGCATGCCTATCCAAGTGTGTTTCAACCCCTCCGAACAGCCAACCTTCGCAGAGTGCGACTAGAAAACTGTGAAATCACAGCGATTGAGCTAGCCGGATTCTTATCAAGTTGCCAAAAATGCACCTGGATTGAAATGTACGCAGTCTATCTCGAAAACAATTTCCCCATCGACTGGAGAGCATCATTCGATGCCATGCAAAGGCTCCCAAATTTGACAGCCTTGAGATTAAACCGCATCGGCTACCAGTCCGACTTGGGAGGACCAGGGCTCGACCGCAATCAAACGTCAAGCAATTTCTTCCGTGGCAATCATGAGATACAAATCTGCCTCCAGTATCTCATAAATAACGAACAAGGCACATGGGCTGATATAGCGGGAGCCTGGCAGCAACTTGGGCACGGTCCCAATGACTGGGCACGCAGTCTTGAAGCATACCCCCCGTAGGATTCTTCAGATTCGAAATTCGGGAAAATGGACGAAAGATCCGCACGCCGCTCTGGTGTGTTTCAATTTCTTCTGATACGCCGTGACAAAAGTGTACTTCACTGTTATTGTCTTTGAGGGAGCCTGAGATGGCTGCCGCGGTGTCAAGATCATTTGCGGCGCGTTGTAAGCTTTCCGTTTCGCGAGCGACTCCTCAACGGGCGCTCCTGATCCGCCGTTCGTGCTTATCCATACTAGAAAGATAACACTTTCTAGGTTGTAATGATGTTGCTTGAGAATAGCAGCGTTGAAACATTACATCTTGTTATTGACGCAGCCTGAGATGGCTACGGTTAGAATTGATTTTCACTCCCGGTCTATCGTGAGTGGTTACTCATTCTAGAAGGATAACACCTTCTAGGCTACTTGTAACAATGTTGCTTGAAAATAGCAGCGTTAAAACGTTACACCAATGTTTTGTTTTTAAAGTAGCCTGAGATGGCTGTTGCGAGTATGAATTGCAGAGAGTGGGGTGCTCTCTGTTGTGCGACCGACTTTTAACTAAGTCGCGAGGTTTGAACATGATGCTTCTGGTTGACAGGGAATTACTGATCCAGCAAGCTAGGAGTGAAGAATCTATCAGCAGCGTGGCTTGAAATGGGAGCCGCGTGATTGAAACATTTGTGGAGGAGATTAGGTGGTTACCATGCAATTCTGATGCGGCAAACATGGTGGGAAATCACACGGGGTTACGGGGCACATTTGGCAAGATGACCACGAAATCAGGGAAGGGAGGGAGGCACTGGACTTCGGGGAAACCAGCCGCGTTTTGAATTTTGAATGGAGGACATACAGGACAGCGCGTCTCGCAATAGAGGCAAGCGTTTCGATCATATAGCACGAGAACAGAAATGTAAAGCCGTGACTTCTCCCAATGCCACTGATCTGATTTTCTAAAGTGATTCATGAACTTCAAATGAACTACACACTCGACAGATCCAGATCCAAATGATTGAAGGTGGTGAGGTACAGGAAGCACTATTCCTTATGAAACGATACATCTATGTCTAGTTTAATGCTTTGAGGGATAGTATGTGCGTACCTAAATAGTCAAAAGATCATCTTGAAACTCAAATCAGGCTTTCCTCGCCCGTAGTGATGTCGGTAAGTTGTTGTCATCCCAAGGATTTCCCCCTGTTTTTCCCCGTCAGATCCTCCATGCTAAAGATTGCACAGAATTCCAAACCTATTTGTTGGTTTCCAGGACCTTCCATCTCATATCAAACCTGATTGCTACTTGTTTGTCACAATCATCTAATATTCTTAGATTGTTATTATACAATCGTTCAATCGCTTGTATTTAATAGATAGATAGCTGAGAGATTCCTCTCTTTTCCTTTCATCTCAATTCAATCTGATCTCCACAAGCTTATCCTACACTATTCCATAATTCGCTACATCTCCGCTCGCGCTGTCATAACCTCTCCTCGACACCGAATACAGAAGCACCAGAATGAGCGAGCGAAACGTGGAGTGGGCTGGTGAACGGGATACAGACTTTCGGGATACTCGGCAGCGCATCTCGCATTCCGGCTGTTCGATCGACTCAGAGTGGGGTTTTTCTCCGCGCTGCGGCGCCGGCTGTGGTTGTGACTGGAATATTTAATGGCTTTTTGCTTCTGCGGTCAAGTGTCATGGCGTCTAGTAAGTAAGAACTTCACTAATGTTCTTATAGGTGACTCAAGGTTGACGATGGTTGCATCAGCTGCAAGGAAGACTTGAGCTCTCTTTTATATCAAAGCAAACAGTTGTCCCCGCCGATAAGAACATCGAAGTGGTCACAGCCACGCAATCGAGTCACGTGACGCATACTGATAAACATTCACTCAGGTTATATATCTGCCCACGCTACCTTCTCCACCACATCACCACACCACCACACCACCACTTCAACTCACCACCACTCACGGTAAGTCTTTTCCAGATACCTCGCGCCCAAGTAGGCTTCGCTTACGTGCTCTAGATGTCTCGACTCGGGGATCCTGATGATATCAAGGATACAAACCTCCAAACCTCCGGTATGTCCAAGTAACTGAATCTCATTATCGAGTATGTAACGAACTGAACAGAGCTACCTGCTCGTGCAGAAGACGTCAACGACCGACCCCAATCTGGTTTCATGAAACTGTCGCATGACCTAATTCTCACTCTCGCTGATGTGTGCGAAACGAAAGATCGTAATATGCTTCGCGCAGTCCACACAAAATTCAAAACTGCACTAGACCGCGCATTCTACCGCGATGCTCCCACGACGCTACATGTTGTCATCCATCCAGAGAGCATGGACAGACTCAAGTACGCCTACAAATTCCCCCAGCTGGCCGAGAGAATCACTTGTGTACAGCTCTCCACCTTTCTGGTACAAGGCGACCCTTGGGATGCCGGTACACTAGCCTCTTTCGATGAGATTCAGTATGACCAGCTGTGTCACTATGAACAAACAGCGATGATACCTGGCCCGTCTGACATGGCGCCCTATTGCAGAGATTTTATCTGCGGTACCTGGTCCTTGCCAAACTTGAAGCGAATTGTATTTGCAAACACTGCAACCGAGTTCCCTTACCAAATGACGGTTGCGCCGCTTGCAGCCATATCCGGACGACAAAAAATTATCGAGATCGCTGGATATGATATCCTGGAAGACGATTCAATTGAACATGAGCCCAATGAGTTGTTGTTGCGCCATAACATCATGATTCATTTGTTCCCGCGTCTTTCTAGTACGCTTCAAGCCCGACACCTTGCACTAGATATCAAATACCTCGCCACGATTGACAACTTTAAGTTCCGCGACTTTCATGGTGCTGCAGGTATGAAACAACACCATTCCGACTTCGCGCAGGCATGGCGTTCCATTGCACGACATATCCAAAATCTGGCGATTAGTTGTGGACCAGATCCTACTTATGGACCATACCAAAGCTACATGAGTAAGGACGAATTCGGATTTTCTGTCAAAATGTTGGAACTCACGTGTCGGCGAGCGGAAAATAACGATCCTTCGGATGTGCTCTTCTGGCCAAAGTCGCGACTACCATTGATCAGGCAAAGCCTTCGTATAATCAGCTTGTTTGAGTGCGATATATATGCAAAAGAACTGGCTGAATTCCTGGAAAATAACCCCAGCTGTACAGAGATTAGTATTCACGAAGTCGATGTGTATCCAAAGACCTCTTTTCAACGTCGAATTGGTTGGCAAGAGTCCTTCATAGTCATGAAGGAAATGCACGATCTCAGGTCTTTGAGTTTGCGCCACATTGACTACGTCCCATATGATATACGCCAGGTGCTAAATCCGAGTCCGCCTTATGTTTTCCTTGGCCGAGACAAGATCCTACAAGGTCTTTCCTATCTCATCGACCACGATAACCTGACCACGCCCAATCTTTCCCGAGCTTGGGAACTTGTCGAACATGACTCTTCGGTCGCCTAATGGGGATTAAGTTGGAAGAATATGAGTCCTTGCAGAGAATGCAGCGGAGGGTACCAGATGATGGGTCTTAGGGTATAAGCACTTGCGAAGAAGGATGCTGCCCGGTATCGCCAATTTGCGGGATGGCTCGATGATAAAATCGTACTGGACCGTTTGTTAAAAGCGTTTTGGGAGGGACCGACACAAGTCTGTGGAAATGATACTGGATAAATTGGAAGACAGCGGTATCAATAGATATTTGATAGAGAATAAAGCGTCTTCTCCCTTTGCAGTAACGTACTTCTCGAGCATTGCTAGATATAATTTGGATGTTTACATCGATGTCGCTCTCTCGTACGTATACGAGGTGAAGATGGAAAGCTAGAGGTCACCTTTGGAGACGTGCCAAGAGTCGACTGATCATGTTTTCTGACGTGAACCCGTATTTCTTGATGCGATACTGCATATATTGTGCCAATTGCGCCAAGTCCTCGCTTAATCCCAAGACTATATATCCCCCACGGCGCCCGCACTTTTGCTCCTCAACTTTTTTCTTTCCTCCTCCTCCCCCGACTGAAAACTCGGCGGCATCTTACCTGGCTGAGCAGGCTTGGGCATCGCTCCCAGCTGAGTAGGCTTGGGCACTCTTCCCTGGCTTATATGCTTGGGCATTTTGACCGACTGAGATGTCGGTGTCTTCCTCCGTCGGCTGAAATCCTCGGCGGCTTCTTACCTGGCTGATCAGGCTCGGGCATTCCCCTCGCTGAGCAGGCTTGGGCATTTTGATCGACTGAGATGTCGGCTACCTCGTCCAACTAGCAGTTGCTTAGTCGACACCTTTCTTCGTTCGTCCTCCTGGCGGTTGCTGGGACTAGGAGTAAACCTAGTAAAAAAATCAGTCCTAATACAGCTCAAACCTCCACGTGGTTTAGGACGGGAACTCTTCTTTTGAAGTGCTAATATGAGCTACATATTCCTATAATGTAGATATTCGTGATAAGATGCATTAGGAAACAAATTAGTCAAGTGGTTAACGATAAATAAATTACTGCATACAACGAAAAGTCTTCAGACGTGTGCTGCATGTGTGAACTAGAATCAGTCCTGTGTTTTTGCATGTAAACATAATGTGTTAGGCGTATACGCTTTAATCTTCTTGCTTATGATTGAAAGCTATAGTTGCCTTTATTCTAGCTATAGACTGCAGATTATATATAAAGAAGCCCCTTTAAGTCCGCGAAGGACGCGCGCTTCTCATTGTTTTAGAGCTTCATTTAGCGGCTAAGAATGGCTTCTGTCTCCTGTTTTTGTTTCAGCTGTTACAGATGGCTTCCATTCTTTAGCAACCACAATTGACTTCCACCTACTTCGAATTAGTAATGAGACTTCAAACAGACCAATCTCTTCCAAGAATTTGATTGACCCAACAGCATTTTCTTGCATCTTGTGCATTCCCAATTATCGCTACTGCACTTTTGAAAACGCTAAAGTGTTACCAATGACGGGGTTCAGGCTCTCGTAACTGTTTACCTGGTGGGTTGAAAATACAAAGTGATGAAACCCGCCACAGACGGGAGATGCACAACCTCTCAACAAGTTCCTCAAAATTTGATCATATGCAACACGGTGACATTTCTTATAGATGTGATGTAACATTTATAAAATCTGGCATAGTGCTAGATCGGGGGATTGCTATGGCTTTATATCAACACAAGCACTGTGTTTCATAAGGAATGTGGGTGGAGGATTAACAAATGTATCCAAAGTGTACTTCCATCTAAAGTATCCGCGACAAAGTTATTGTATGCACGATATATCAGACTTGGTAAATCTCATCTGAATTCACTCCAATGCCATCCTGATAATCAGTACGGAGATAAAGCGAGATTATTCATCTGCTCTTTAGATGAGCTTGCGCGGCGACACCTCAGCCTTTTGCCTCTCTCACCTTGACAGGCCAATGATCATCTCTCGGCCCAGTCATAGTGAAAGTGAAAGGTGAGTGAGCCGGCGAGAAGGTTTCTCCGTAACCCTAGAGCTGTCTTGGCGCGCACAAAGCGGTTTGCACTCACTCGCGTCTCGCCCGTCTCCCCCGCCTCATCACGCTTGCCTTACCCACTGTCTACCACGTCTACCCCACCGAAAAGAATGAACATGGATCACGTATGTATATATAGTAGGGCATCTTAGAAGCGTAGCTGATGCCAATGTCGCAGACTTCCGGTGACGCCCAAGGCGCGCAGCAGCAAGCTGGAGATTCTGATCTCGCGCCCGTGGTGTAGGGTGGTAAATGGGTCTCGGTTTGGTTATGGTATGGTCATGTCACGTGATAACCCTAACCTAACCTATAACTTAACCCAAACTCTTTTTGCTTTTTAGGTTATAGTATAGCTAAAAAAAAAGGTTATAGCTTAGGTATAGTTTTAAAGATATAGGCTATGCGTAAGTCTATACTTAATATGTCTAGTTAGTTTGTATTGCTAGTAAGTACTACTATAAGCTAACTATATAACTATGCTATAACTTACGCTTAAGCTACTCTAACTATAACTATACCTATTCTTAGATTGCTATAACTATAAGTTAGCTATAACCCTTTTTTTTATAGCTAAACCCTAACCATGACCATAATAGCCATAACCATAACTAGATAACCCAGCTATGGTTAGGTATAGCCCATTCGCCAGCCTACCGTGGTGCCACTCACGAATGCCCTTCAAGTATGTAGAAACCTGGTACATACGGAAGAAATTAATTAATTCGACACTATAGATTGACGACGAAGCTGCCGCGGATGCGCAGCTACCCGGTCATACCGTTCAGCATCAAGATCCCGCACCTAGCCCTGATCCTGGACCGGCGCCCAAGTTGGACGGCATTCCGAAAGAAATGTTTCATAAAATTGCGATTTTACTGGATAACGAGAGTCTACAAGCGCTTCGCTTGACGAGCAAGACGTTACTCGATCGCGCTGATTACCAGTTTTCCAAGCGCTACCTCCAAGAGGTCAGTGTGCTATTTCATCCCGATGACCTCGGTAGACTTGTTCATCTCAGCCACGAGTCCGGATTTGCGGGGGTGATTCAGTCGGTGATGATATGTATACCTCATCACAATAGTCTAGCAACGTGGCAGCTATTGGTTTTCCAGGAAGACACGTTGTTGGAACTAGGTTCACAACTCTGTCAAGCCTTGGAGAGATTTACCAATATCAAGGTAGTCACGGTCGCCGATATCAATGCGCCTGGATGGATAGAGCCACCTCTTTATCGTAGAATCCAAGATCTGGTCGAGATCAGCACTCGAGCGCAGTACCGGACCATCTTATCTCCACTCAACCTACGGAAGATTCTGATGGACGCCCTGACAAATTTCACCAAGAAGAAAGATGAGCTCGACTTGCATATAACTTCCAATTTCGTAGCTGCGGGATTCTGTGAGAAAGACTGCGAGTCTACCGCACTATGGAATGGCTGGGCACCTTACATCGATCGTTTTACCTGGGGATATTCGAATCCTCACGTATACCATGCCGCGGACGAGTATTGGTTCGAGGACCCCCTTCCAAACATGAAACCCAAGACTCTGGTTGTGAAGGACTTCGGCGTTTTGTGTCCTATCATCTGCAGCCCCTTGCCTCGCACCAATCTACGCATGGGAATAGCGCCCCCAGAGAAACTCCTACGTCTGCAGAAACTGGAATTGTCGTGTGTATCAGTTCCGCATGTATCTCTCATGGACCTACTCAATAGGACTGAACTCCATATTATTAAATTTGTAGGTTTCAATCTGGAGAGCGAACGCCAACCCATTTCCACGACTGGGACTGAGTGGGACTTTGAATCTTGGGTGAAGATCTGGACTAGAATGCTCAAGAACGAAGATTTGCAATCACTTCACTTCTCAAACATCAGCCGTGACTGCCGGGATCTTGAGAACGATTGGGATTTGAAGCCCCCACAACTCGCGTCCAGTCACTCAGGTTGGGAAGGCCACATATTGGTGAAAGAGAAACTCCAGGGTTTGATAAAGACTTATCAACCGGCCCGATTTCCTGAATGGCGCCATCTGTTTTGGGTTGACCTCTGTTTCTGGGAGAAGCAAGCGACGGACAACGAGACGGACACCAGCGGTTGGATGGAAGACCTTTCAGCGCAGCACATTTCAACTAAAGGGGTAAGCTCATAAAGTATGCGATTTGTTTATAATATCTAATACTATGATTTAGTATCGTGATGCGGTAGATCCCCGACTCGATTACTACACGCCAGACGATGCCATTCAAGGTTGTCCTGACATCTTCTGAAATCACTGAACAACTCAAATCTTTCGTTATGAAAGTCCCGGATCTCGGAGTAAAGATTGATGGTTAGATGAAATTTATGGCCAGTCATCAGGCTCGGATTCCACCAGACTTTTCGTTCTCTAATGACTGTTTACGTTCATATGAAACTTTCATTCCGAACACTGTCGACTGTGCCCTTTGATAAGTATATGGAGTGTTAGGGCGGTTTGGGTAATTCAAATTCACAGCCCTGAATCATGCTCAGTCAGAGCACTATCTTGGCTTGGTGTGTGGTATACAGCAGCGGAGTCTACATTGCCTCAACGCGATATGTGCTCGGTACGCATTTGGTGTTATAGTGGCACGTTGTTGAACTTCTTTTCAACTTTGACTTTATCACAAGAAAGGCGAGAGATCAATGTTTGGAGAGACAGGAAAGGAGAACAGGTTTGTCAGTAACTCATCCCTGCATCGCCTGTAATGTCTACACTTCCCCTCAGATACTTTTTGATACACTGAAAAGCATTACTTCGTCGCTTTGCCACAGCCTTAGTGAACAGTCATGTTCTACGCGCCAACGTTGTAACAATTATGTACCAGTATATGATGCTGCGCGGATGATTACCATTGGTGTCTAGCACGAAACCCCATTGTCTTTATAGTTTCAATCTCAGAAACAGGGATAGACGTAGATGACACGACATCCGCTTATCGACGTAAGATGCTTGACTCTATGAGAGAACCGGACGCCTGAGATTAAACTTACCCGATTAGGAAGGTAAGAGAACGGGTATCGATTACAGCAGATTCAGAGTGATTCATAGTGCTCTAGAGTCGGAATTCTCTATACGAAAAGCGCAGAATTTACGGTTGGAGTGGGAAGTTAGATCATGCGAAATGTTGCCAGACAACACACAATGCACTATCGCAATTTCTTTTAGGATGACTTGACTGCCAATTGTAATCTTGTAGGAGGCTATACTTTAATTTCGACAAATACGACATGGTGTATTAGTTCTTCGATGGACTCTCCTACTACGACGGTACGACCGCGCCTACAGTTCGAAATTCGGACAGATGTCGGTGTAGGCCTGGATCGGGCACTCCGCGCACTCATCATATGGGTACTCCCTCCAGCATATGTCTACCGCATATAATCTATTCTTTCGTCCGAATCTGAAGTGGTCTTCATCGCCGTTGTTCCACCAACCCGGGGAACCCTTTCCACATATCCCCGTCAACCACGACGTGCCATCGGAAATCCAGGTCTCTGAGGCCCACTCGGCCCTTGGGTATTGGTTTTACACAGACGCGAAGGCGATGCCTCGCAAGGAGTACATCACCCCATGTGCTTCCATTTCTTCATCCAGAGCCGACACCCTGTTGTATAAATCAGCGGTTGCATGAGCGGCATCTTGGGCATCTTTTAATGCACCTCAGCACACATCATGGAGGAGCAGGAGAAAACTGTACAAATCTTCGCACCGCAATCACAGCCATAGATTGCTTACATATACTCCCATTCAAGGAGCATTTTTGGATTGAAATACTACTCCGGTGAGTGTATAACAATTCGGTTCTCCAACTTCGTGCTTGGCACCGATTTCGGGGAGATCCTTCTATGAATATCTTGACCGGAGGAATTAGTGAAGGCTACGTATGGGTAACTTCATCAGAGATATTAGCCGGCGCCGAGGTAGCTGTCACTATTGTGGCGGGTGCAGCCGCCCATATGTATTATGGGATTCGGCATCGCGCAGAAGCTTTGCCCGGGCCGGGTGTTGCTTGAGGAAACACGAAGTGCAGATGTGCCAATCAATTTGAAATTGTGTTGCAATTGAACGAGACGAAAGTTAGGTACTTCAAGGGAAAGAAAACCGTCAAATAAGAGTGTCAAAAGGTGGCTATGTAATTTTAGTATACCTACTCTCTTGTTCGCTACAAGATAGTTAGCAGTGAACATTGACTGTTTACAAGGCTGGAAAACGGACTTCAGACACACCGATGATAGCATGGTCCCAAAGGTTTGGGGGGCCCAAAAAGCATACCCTTTTGGTAGAACAAATACGCGTCCACCAATCATAAGGGCGACTGGTCTTTTACCGGTGGCAGATCAATTTCCTGAACCAGACATCTTCTCAAACTAGTCTCCATTGAGAGCTTCAAGTTCTACTCAGCAGCAGAAAAGTCGAAAATTCAACTTGGCATGCCGACATGATCAATCGGTCGAATCTAAGATCATCCGTTGATCCCTTGTGCATTTCTTACCCCAATAAATATGATTGTTGTGTTGATGATACATGGAGGTCAGACCGGTAGTGGGCTGTTTTCTTAGCATGTTAGGCGGCGGCCGGAGAATTACTCAACACGTGGAGCTGACGCTGTTCTACTACTCACCCGGCGCAATCGTATTTTGCGGGTAAGATGTGGTTAAATATTCCGCCGTCAAACATAGGATGCTACAGAGATACTGCACCAAGTCTTAGATTTAAATTATCAAAAGCAAACGAATGAACTATAGGCCTAAGCGTTGGCTATCGGTAGGATGCTAGTGATAGAAAGCTCGATATCATTCTCAAGCTTAGATAGGAATATACTATGGCCTCGTGTAATCTTTTCTGTGCTTTGCGTTATTTTATTGTTCACTCTCAAATGTAATGTTTTTGTCTCGATGATCCCGGAATCTGTACTAGTAGTCCACAGCCCTTATGCTGGGATACTGACACTCCCGTCAAACCAGCGTATCATGACGATCGCAGCGTAATCTGTGTGGGGGCTGGAAATGATCACGACTGCATTGTGGCTTGGACCGCCCTGGAATCTTCACAGCCGCAGCCAAGATCTGACAATCGCTTACCCCATCAGCAATCTTCACCCGTGTTGCGGCTGAAACGATGATAGGCTCTGTTGATCGTTCCAGCAACTATTCTATTGTTTTAATTGTCAGTATCATCTGCATAATAAGCTGTTGCCGCACATATTGTCCAACACCAAAAATAACATCCCATGTAGTGCCCAAGATACGGCTTGTGGAAGTGGAAAGGGTTATCTATCAAAACCTTCAGCCTACTCATATTTCTTGTTCAACAGTGTCTTCCCCTTGTTCCGTGAGGCATGATTGGCCTACGACTCGACTATCCATGTATCACCGCGAAGTGCGTCGGATCTTTTTGCTCCATCATGCTTATGAAGTAAAACGAATTTTCATTCTATTTTATGAGGACCGATAAAGACTTATGCAGGGTGTTACTTGTATCAAGACTCAGCTCCGTCTGTCAAGTCCGCAGATTTGGCTTTGCTGATTCACAGATCCGGACTCCCACAACATCAGCAATCTCGGATTGCGGCCACCAAAGGTCAAGACAGACAACTATAAAGACCAAGTAGACGTCCTTGCATTATCCCCACTACATCACAGCACACATCCGCCGGTTACTCTGAACATTGAATACGATCAAACTCAAAAACACAGTGCTTTTGACCCACCATCATGTTGGCATTTTCCACTCCAGTGAAACTTCTCACGGTATTGGTGAGCTCGATCCAAATCGTCAGTGCCAACACACCTATCAAATGGGACGATTTCTGGGCGAGTAAGTGGCAGGAAACAAGAAAACCAAAGCCAGAACAGCGCTAATTCATACTTAGATGGGGGTCATACTGCTGCAGTGGCTGCAGTTCCCATGTATCACTTCGGTCGCCCAAGGCACCAGACGCCCTGTTATCCTCAGGCCGGTCAAACCAATGGTCGTCAGACCAATGGGTCGCCGACAACAGCCTGTGGCGATCTTGGCAAAGGCTGCGCCGATCCCGGTCCATGGAAAGGACAGAACACCTTAGGAAACCCTTTTCCAGTCTATTACACGGTCAAAGAATGCAACAAAAAAGTCAGAGTTGCCTATAGCATTTACTACAGCCATGTAAGCTCCGATGAACTGATCCTGGAAAAGAGGATCGCAAATAACACTGTCTCAGGACTCTGGTCATATGAGTGACTGGGAGAACGTTATCGTAGAGTGGAACGGAGATGGTGCTGGTGGATGGAAACGGGAAGGCCTTTTCCTGGGTTACCATGGCAAGTGGGAATATCTCAGCTGGCGCGATGTTCAGAACACTGTCAACGGCGAAAGCGACAAATTCGATCAGGACGCTAAAGATCGTGACCATCCCAAAGTATATGCCGGAGCCTTCTACCACGCCATGTTCCACACGCGCAAGACTAGCATCGACTCTTGTATCAATAGCCGTGATGAGTTCAGGTCGAATGATTGGTATTTGCTTCCCGGAAACGATCTTGTGCAGGATGGAAATCTGATTCTAGGTATTTCAAAATCTCGCCCGTACTAAAATCTTTTTGCCAAGTCAGCTAACATATCTTATGAAAGATGGGTGGGATTGGGGCGCGGCTAACACCAATCCTAGCACACTTCGTAAGGACCTTTGCAAAGTCTAGCCATTTACCGAGTTTCTGTCACCGAGTTTCGAAACGTGTCATGGGCAGATAGTGAAACAAGGGTATTTGGACATCTGATGTGGTATGAGAAAGGTTGTTTAGATTGAAAGGTTCAGTGATGTATATCTTCCATCCTCCCTACGATTGGTCTCATTTAGACATCTGGAGTTATTGTGGTTGGGGCTCATAACTCTTTGCGCGACCAGCTTCGAGATGCTCCAAGTAGACATAAGCCGTCATTACACTGCTTTACATTGCGAATGTTATCGTCGAGATGGAGCTGTCAACCACTTGTGTGACTGTCATCCAATGTTCGTGCTCTTATTATTTTTCAGACACTGTGCACCTTTAGTCATACTACAGTTTTCGAGTTGTACTGCACTGTGAAATTGAGAAGTAAATCATTTGGATCATCTATGGATTGCGATGTGATAACTTTTCTTCAGGTCACATACCTGCCATACAATTGGAGTAATTACACGAAGATTTTGGGCCGCTGAACCCAGCGATTGAAATAACTCTCGGAATAGATGCCTGTATCGTGGCCTCGTAGTGTGGATGCACCGAATTGACCCGAATCTGATAATATGTAACTGAGAGGCGCAAGTGTAGCTACCAAGTATAGGATTCCTTGTGTTATTTGGGGTCTTGCATCTAAAATGCTAGCGTGGAGAGGTCAGAGCATGAATTGTGCACGATATGTGAGCAATAAGTATTGATTGATTAATGAGCTAACTAGGGTGTTGAGTGCTGGAAAACAAGAGAATATTGGGAGTATTAATTCCAAGCAAAAGAGAAAAACAGGACGTCTGTAGCGAGCACTACAAACGCAGACACCCGATCATGAACCCTAGAAAGACTGTAGTATTGCTTTTCAAATTGTCCCAATCTCACCGTCACAAAGCTTGAGATCGGGCGTAACTACCAATCTTCGCGAGATGGTGGTGGAAGCGAGGTTGCTCGTTCGGTGGCAGGCGCCGGGGCAGGGGCTATGACGAGGGCACCCGTGAAGCTGAAAACATTGGAGAGTGACCTCCAGGATTGTTGACTGCAGCGGCAGTACGCGAACGTGACGGAGTAGCTACTTGAGCCGGCTCTTGCTGCACAGACGTTGTGATGGGATCTTGGGGGCTCGAAGTGAATGTAGTCGTGATTTGCCTCAACAGCTGCGCCTGCTCCTGGCTGAGATGGTTTATCGTCATTTGGTACGCTATGGGGGTAGGCAATTGACGCTCTTGTTGCGCCTGGGCACCTTGCTGCTGTCGGTGACGCTGCTGTATTGCGGCCGTCTGCGCTGCGTTCGGCGGCGTCGTCAAAGAATTGCGTGCGATAGCATATCTACTGGCCAAGCTTTGGAGTGTGGTCATTTGAGTAAATGGCTGCCGCTCTTCCCAAGAGAGTTCAGCGACCTTTGAATTGTAAACGTTCCACAGAGCCGTGAAACGATCTCGGACTTCCGGCCCGCGTTCATATGTAAATACGTATTGGTATTCAACGTGAACGGAGAGGCGCACGGGTTCCAATTCATTGTTTTCGAGTCTCGTCTTAATGGCTTGCAGCCACAGCTCGACGCTGTCCTCTGACAGACCTACATCACGATTAGTATCAATGTGTACACAATGTGAAATTGAGTGGCTCGTGCTTACCCCTAGCATCTCGTAGATGGACTGGATGCATGTGACTCAGGATATTGGACTGGCCGACGGGCATAGCCGGTGTCTGGTTCTGCTGGACCGCGGTATTGGGCAAATTTCGCTGATTTGGCGCATTGTGCTGGCTTGGTTGATTTGGTTGATTGGGGTTGGCACTGTGGCCTGAACGAGGATCTCGTCGTGGAGGCATGTCTGCTCATCTCAATTAGTATCCTGCCGGCACGAGCTTGCGCTGGAGGTGGGTACTTACTGCACGACTTATTGATACACACTGAAGAGATGTAGGGGAAGGGTGCAGGACTGAGTGTTGGAAGTGAAAGCGGTGTACCAAGGCACGCTTGCCAAGCCCGAATTTTGATAAGCACACCAATATTTATTGGGTCACGTGGGCCTTTGACCACGTTCACATGTGCTATCGTAGTTGGGGGAAACGAGGCGCGCCAAGAAGATTCCTATTTAGTGTGAATAGCCGCACGCCCACTGACAATATCACAACAGGCACGGCCCACTTCCCCTCCCTCCACATCGCTACTCGGTCACCACTATGGAGTATAACAACGTGGAAGCTGACTGGTATCAAGAAGCTGTGAGTCTGCAACCCGATACTGATGGTGATTTGTAGCTAACGCGGTGATCCAGAATCCTAGCCGACAAAACGTGAGTCAAAATTACTTTGTGGCCTCTGACGGCTGGCTGACCAATGACCCAGCCTACAAACAACATGAACCAACTGATGTACCCGTTGGAGGTTTATGTTCCCCGGGACGGCTTCATTGACCCAACTCTACCAATGTTCAAGGAGCAGATGCCCGACAATATTGGAGACTATCACCTTTCCCATGGACATTGCGCCCGTTGTTTGACTATATTCGCGGGTCATGACCGCCAGACTTTGGCCCGCCGAAGCCCACTGGCCTGCAGTAAGGCTTGCGGATTCTGTGGGACCATGAATCACCAAGGAATGATCTGTCCAGATCTGTATGTTACAATGCGCTATGCGAAAAATCGTTTAGGATTCAATCGCAACGAGCCCATCCCAAACATAACCCAGATTAGGCCTAGCAAGAAAGATCTTGTTGTTCTTAAAGCAGCTGGGTACATTCATACAACCGGGCCAGACGTTAGGCTCGACGGGCTACCGAACTTCACGACCTTGGCATGGAGCTCCCGCGGGCTCACTGAATCCCCGGAACCTGCCCGCATGATTTATCACCCCAAACACGATTATATTGTTGAGAGATATCATGCCTTGGAGGCGACAGTCAGCCAAGCTGAGTCTGACAGAGATCGGCAACACCAGACTCAGAACACGGTACATCAGACCCGGAGAACAGGTCACGGCGATCACAGTCATACCCAACGCTCAGAATTCTTTACCCACGATATGGAGCCAACTCTCTTCCAGGATGGTTCAACTACTACTAAGAATCGCGCCCAAACGCAACAGCACAGAGATCCCACGCAGATGTACGGCCAGATGCAACATCAAGAAACAGCATTCCGTAGGTCCGGTGCAATGCAACCTGATTTGGGCATTCAATTCCCAGTGGACCCTGAGCCGACCAGGGTTTCAGGCACTAGAGAGAATCGCCGGATTGCATTGCCTACGTCTCGACTTCATGCAGGGTCAGAAATCTCGCAGCATCATAGCGACGGAGCCCTGGAGCATTATGACGAACCCCCTCGGCAGCGGCGTCGTATGGAGCTCCCACGGCAAGAAAATGATATTCTTCGGCACCGTCAGGATCGCCAAGCATATGAACATGGACGAGGCTATGGGCTTGTTGACGAAACTGGGCTTGAAAACGGGTGGGGTCATCAGCCTTCCCGTATAAGCACCAATTCCCAGTCTTCGTGGGTCCCTAGACACGACGATCATTCCCGTTCCACTACTTTCGGCTTCGAACCACCAAATGATGTTCCCCGCTACTCTGGTCGCACGCGCCGGCCTGTTGACGAGCACTTTTCGGACATGACTCATGCTCAACATGCCATCGGCCGATCTGGATTTGGGACTACTGCCCCTAGCATGCAGCAAGTTCGCCTTGGGAGTCGTGGTGGCTCTGGCAACAGCAGCAGTGGCGAATTTCCAATCAATCCACCTTCACACTTTCAATCCGGGTACGCGGCTGGTCGTCGAGCTTGAGAAGGGTCTGATATGTTGTATTTCGGTAAGATGCCCTTTTTTTTAGCAAAATTCACATGCGCCTGTTCTGATCAATGTGGAAGATAAGACCTGTCGTCGTGCTAGGCTACCCGGACTCTGGAGACGTCTCTTTAGTAAGCTTGGTTCGCCTGGCAGAGATGCGATGATCATACAATGAACCTAGGTTCGGCTGGCGAGGCTTCAAACGTAATCCCCATTGTTAAGATGACCATCGAACCTTTTTGATGGCTTCAATGAAAATTCTAGATCTTCGGATGTTGGTTTCATTCTTTCGGATTCAAAGGTTGTTGGATTGTTGATTTCCTAGCAGCATTGTCATTGATAGGCGCCTAGGCGGGACTGTGAAGCATATGGCCTTTCAGCTGTATCGCTACGGATATCATCCTAACGCCCGCGGCCCGAGTGAAATTATAGCTATCAATATCTTTGGGAAAAAGGTCTAATCTGGGATAAAAGATTGTTCTGCGTCTGCCCCTCTGTTTCCCACATGCAAGCCGCAATGAAAGAACGTGAGGTACTGAGACTACTATTATATAACGGGTTTCAGTCTTAAAACGAAGTTCCAATATATTGATCATCGTATTTTCATGCGGCATATACCAGTGATGACAGGCGCTGTGGCCAGAACGAGGATCTCGTCGTGGAGGCATGGCTGATCACATTAGTTGGTATATTGCCGCCGGGATAGACATCTGCTGGGCGTACTTACTTCACGAATTGTTGATGGACGCTGACGAGGAGTGGAGAGGGGCTGCGCAAATCTGTAGCCGCAGTGTGGGAAGCCAAGACTTTAGCAGTATCCCACTGGGACAAACAACGCTGCAGAAGCGGAAAATAAAGGAGCGGGGTATATGGATGGCGGTGCCTGTCTACTTGAATATTCAATGCAAGTTAGGCTATGCAACACCAAAAGAGTAGCTTTTAAAACACTTCCTGTTTGGTGATGTATTCGATTCAGATACACTAGAATTTATATGTCAAGTCCTGGATCCACTCTGTGGTGTCACAAGACAAACAGACCTCACAACTGAAAGAAAGACCTCCGATCCGTCGAGGTGCGATATATATCCAGCTGAAGGACGAATACATGAATCGCGAGAGTTGTTTGCCGGAACAAGATAGGAGACGGGAGAAAAGAAAATTACAGCTCATAGAAAGATGTATTTCATGGACCCGGGACATTTGAGCCCCACAAATGGGTCATCTGAATGTGAATGTATGTTTTCACTCGTTCATGAAACCAGCCCAGAGATAGATAGTTCTTCCACAAGCGTTATAATGACTATGAGAGACGGAAAGAAGTCACAGAAGACTTCAAAATCAGCCTACACTCGATAGCTCACAAACAGCTCTCTCACTTCGGCTGGCTGACGAAGAATCAATCGCTCGTAGCGCTCACACAAGTCGTTGAATCTAGGGGCAAGAGCTCCGCCGTTGTACTCGCGAACCACCCTCTTCCTCTCTTCCGTTATGCTCCGCCGCACCAACAACATCCTATCCACGCTGAAGTTTCGCTCGCTGGCTTCCACCAACGTTGTCCAAAAGTCCACAAAGTCCAAGGCGCTAGCTCCTGCCATCAAGTTTGTCGCTGTAGTCAACTGTTAGCCTAAACTCGTGGACACAAGAGAAACATCTACCATTTGGCCTCATGGGCTCTAGCTGATTTGCAGCAGAATGAGTGGCCAAGGATTGTTGCAAGTTCTGAATCTTTTTCGCCATGTCGACTAGCTGAGCCCTGATATCCCACACAGTATCTTCCAGTTCATCGAGTTCCTCGCTGAATGGAATTCCCCCGTTTCTCCGTATTTCGCGCTCCAGAACCCTCACACGCGACTCCAGTGCACGGATACGTATGGCCTCACGATTGACAGGAGGGCTGGGCCCATTTCCGAACGCCGCATTTGGATCGACGTTTGACGTCCACTGTGGATCAGCATCTGACTGATAGATAAATCAATAGAATACTAACGTTTGACATGATTCTGTATCTGGCGCTATTGTGATCACGGTAATATCCTTGGGGAAAGCGGGGTGGAGTAGTGAAGGAGTGCTGGAAGTGAAAGGATAATGCTGTAAACACGGAGAGGTAGCACGAAACTCCAGTTGTGGTTAGCGCCCATTGACACGCGCAACCTACGACTGTACCCCTCTCCCCGCTCCTCTACTCTCTCTACTCCTTTCCTTTCAACATTTTGTCAAATTACAGCCATGAACTCGGAAGACAGCACACAGGTGCAGTCCGTAAGTGCTCGGCCCAACACTCATCCTAAACCACAGCTGATGCGTGAACATAGAATGCAATCCAACAACGAAGCCGCAGCCCAGAAAATGAGGCCGATTCCAACCTACTAACTGTGCACACAAGCCATCGCGACGAGACTGCAGCTGACACCGTCCAGCAGGATCAGGAATTGGATCAACCCCATATCGTGGACGCACTCCTGGCCATACTATCACGAGATGAACCGGAAGCAACGGATCCCCTTGATCACGGTCGCCTCGAGCTCACGAGTAATGCTCCAATATCACGAGACGAGCCACAAGAAGACAAAACGACGAGCAGTAATACTAATCTCAACTCCGATGAACCTCGCGAACGACCCGAGAGCCTCAGCCAGGCAACTGGCTTTGCGACACTTTAAGCTCTTGCAAATTCCGGCATTGCATCTCAAACGCCCAACTCTTTTGCACAAAGCCAGCAGAGACCACCCATGCAAACTCGCGGTAATCGAGGGCAGGCCTCGTTTCGAGCGTTCCCAACTCAGAGGCGTGGGTCACAGTTTTCCCGGACGACTGCATATCCAGTGCATACACCAACGCATGAGTATTCTACTCAGAATTTCACGCCTACGCAATCTCAAGCGCAGTCTCAAGCGCAATCTCAAGCTCAATCTCAAGCTCAGATGCAATCTCAAATGCACCCGCCAATGCCATTTGAGATGTACCCGGCAATGCAGTTCCAATACCAGATGCACCCGACAATGCAATACCAATACCACCCGCCAATTCAGTCCCAGTATCAAGCGCAGATGCCATCCCAAATGGGAGCCCAAATGCAATACCAGCCGCAAATGCAGCCCCACATGCAATACCAGGTTCAACCATATCAAATGCCACCTCAAATGCAATACACGATAGAATACCCAACTCTGTCACCGTGGCAGCCCATGATTCAGCCCCAAATGCATGTCCAAGTTCCGACGGCCCCTGCGTCAACTTCAATGCTCGCCACCGGTCAATTCTACAATGGACTTCAACACGAAACAACGAGTGGGGATCCGGGGCATCATCAGCTCGAGGAGCTCTCGGAGAGCGAGGATGAACCCTCCAGACAACGTCAACGTACCTGCCGCGACGATGAAACCAACGAGGAAGACGAAGATGATTCCGAGCATGAAACCCTGTCGAGCCAACGAGGTTTCCGATCTGCACTAGCCCGTAGACGCAGCAATTCCTTTAATCCACGCGCTGCCAACCGTAGAGCCTCTGGCGCGCGAGCTCGTGGTGGGCTTCGCGGATACCGTGGTCGTGGCCGTGGCCGTGGACGTGCAGGAAGCGGTCGTCGTACTTGAATCGCGCGCACCTGTATGACCTTGATCAGCGCGTATGCTACCTTGAATTTTCTTCTCTTTCATTAGCGGGCCAGACTGGAAAGCCGATCGTATATGACGTTGACGCGTCCCCGTCTAGGCGATGAAAGTCAGACTCTCTTTCTAATGCGTTCCTGTTGTTAAGTTTGCTAGAAATTCTCTTAGAGGCATGGTGCATAGACACCGGCTTGGGCAAAATACATTACACTTTACAGCCCGCGATAATACATGATAATCATTGCTTTCAAACATGACCTTGATTTAAGCACTAGAATAGGTGTGATTGGGATGGATGCAGTGCGGAAAAAAAAAGATAAGAGCCCGCACGTGGGTGCTGCTAGGGATGTTCCGCGATGCCGTCCAAACAAGCTTTTAGCCGAGACCCGATGGAACCACAGGAACCGCGGTGGGACGTAGCGCCGTTAAACCCTTGCGCCCTACAACCTCAAATCAATTGCATGCCATGTTCTACTTTCCACGATATAATTCCGGTCATGATTAATCACACCGTGGACGGGAAAAGGGCTTTTACCGAGTTCAAGCGGATCGGGTCAGCGACACCTATGATCAGGGCCAACGTTTTGAACCGTGCAAAGATTGTGCTAGATTCGTGAATCGTTGCGAATTATAATGCACAACACTGTGCGATTTCTCAACTGTAGGGTCACATCTCATTACAAAACCCGTATATTAGGATATGCTGCCTACCGGACCATCGTAAATTCCTGATATGCAACCCCATGAAATAGTGATATTAACTCGACATCGGTGTAGCCTCCGTGTAATGTTGCATTACCTTAGTGATATGCGGACGACATGCACGCTGTACCCTACTTGACGCCATACAGTCGAAGAATTATGATTCCTTCACAACAGTCTTCGTTCTAATTATGCCTACTGCGTTAGAACTTCCTATCATTCTTTGTTTCACGTAGTCGCCTGGTAAATTGGCACTCGTGCCGCTCCTAACACGAAGCGCTCGGGGCGCCGGGGTGGGTCACGTTAGCTACACGCATACATATGTAGGTGAAACTCATGCCGCATTGCACAATAGGGAGTTATGTACAAAGTTGTCTTATTCTCAGTAAATGACGCCTTCGAAGTCCCAAATAAAACCAGACCGCCTTTGAAAACCACGATATGCTTGCACCTTTGAACTCCCAGTGAAATCAGTCCACCCATAGAAACCATAACATTCTTGAACCATCCAACTTGTAGAATTCCCCGGTTTGCTCTTCGACCTCGCGTTTCCGAATCCTAATCAGTATAGTGCGGGTCAGTCAAATATGCTGCCATTAGGGAAGATCATTAGCAACTTACTTTCATAGACAGAATCCTCCGACGTTGGCGTTGTACCATTAGATACATTGCTTCGAGACGAGGCATCCCGTGAGGACATCATCCTCTGGAAAATTGTTGAAAACGTATCATCCCTCCTCATACGTAGTTCCAACATCCCACGTCATGTTGACATACGCGTTCCACGCTGCTTCGAAGAATCTGCGAGGGAGGAACATATCGCCGAACGCACATCCGTTTCCGTTGTTGGTAATGTCCTCCGATGTTTTCATCCAGAAATAACACAATGGTGGACATCTCAGCCCAGCCCAGACCATGATATGGTGGACATCTCAGCCCAGCCCAGACCATGATATGGTGGACATCTCAGCCCAGTCCAGACCATGATATGGTGGACATCCCAGCCCAGCCCAGACCATGATATGGTGGACATCCCAGCCCAGGTCTAATATGATGGACATCTCTGCCCAGGTCTAATATGGTAGACGTCGCAGTCTATGCCTGATATGGTAGACGTCGCAGCCTATGTCTGATATGGTAGACGTTGCAGCCTATGTCTAATTTAGTGGACATTGCAGCCCAGGTCCGATGTTTTCAACCAGAATATAAGAAGATAAGCAAAAGAAAGAATAAGGAGAGGAAGATGGAGGGACGACGGCCTAGTGGGTGTCTTCGGCCGTGTCGAGACGATCAAAGAGTACGCAAAGGCGATCCTCTTCGTCCACATCCATGGCGTCTTGATCCGAGGTGCCAGGATGGGTGGAGCGCTGAGGGCGCCCACGCCCACGTCCACGCCCGCGACCCAGGTCACGGTTTTGTGTATGACCGGTGTTAGATGCAGGCATAGAATACTCAGTGATACGTCCTATTTGTGAACGATCAAGAGTAGTTGAATCAATAAGTGGTGCACCTGCTGTGGGGTTGCCGCGACCGCGGTTGTGTGAGGATCGGCCACGGCTGCGATAGGACTGGCCGCGGTTGTTTGAGAAATCTGTGCGGTTGCGGGAATACCGGCCACGGTTATTTGAAGGCTGATTGTACCGTTGAGCTTGCTGTGGTTGTTCGACGCGACGTCGTTGTCGCCGGGGCTCTTCCGGGTCATCCTGCGCTGTATCCTCACGCCTGAGACGTCGATTACCACGATGAAAATATTCTCCCACGGCCTCTTCTATTTCTTCTATTATTCGATAGCGCTCTGCTTGGCGCTGAGGTGATGGCGGGGGGGCAGTTGCCTGCATCTGAGGCTGGGCTGGGGGGGCAGTGGTGGGCATCTGAGTATCCGCCAGGAAAGTGAATTGACCCATTGCAGGAGTCACCAAGAACTCAGAGCTTGGTGGTGTATAGAAGCCGTTGTACGGCTGAGGTGTCATAAGGGCCTGTGGAGGATTGATGAACACCTGGGGCATGTGGGGAAAGGGTTGCGCTGTATGGTAATAACCAGTGTGCGGCTGAGGAACGTGAGGATTAGAGTACTGCGGATGGAGCAGGTAATTCGTTCCTTGAGCGGTAATTTGCGGCTGCCCTGGGTTGTATTGGAAGGCTGGGTAAGATGTCCCTTGGGCGGGGGTTTGCAGCTGTGCTGGGTTGTATTGGAAGGCTGGGTAAGACGTTTCTTGAACGGGGTTCTGCAGCTGTGCTGGGTTTGCCTGTGGCCGAGGGGGATTCTGCAATGTGGAACCTCTCGTTGAATTGCTGTTCTGTCCTCGGTTTTGATACCCACAAGACTGCACTGAGCTGCGCTGTTGCCAATTTGGGGCTGAGTTGTTGGATCTAGAAGTGGAATTTCTAGGAGTTTGACTGTCTCCGTGCTGCCGTGCAAGTATACTGCGAACGTAGGGACAAGGACGAGCGATTTGTGTTGCCGCAGTTGCCGGCTGGGTCAGACTCATTCCACGCGACTGCCAGGCAAGTTCAGTGAAAAGTGGAACCCTTGAGGCACTATATTCCCCATTGATGAATCCCCTCGCAGTGAGAGTGCGGTGCTCCTGTGGATCGGGCCGGACCTGGTGCAGATTTGGTATGACTTCACCCGCATCGTACCCATAATGGTTATTCAGCCAATTCGAAATTGCGTAAAGCCTTGGACAAACAGAGCCCTGATGGTCAAACGTGCCACAAAATGCGCACGCGTTTCGGCAAGCACGTGAAGATTGTCTTGTCCGGGTGTTACCATCAGGACCAGTTTCTGTGAGCATGAAGTCTGGTTGTACGTGATCCGCAAACCGCTCGAGACAATGTGCGCAGGCTTGTTCTCCCAAATGAGTGGGAATTTGATTGTGGTGAGCTTGTGTGGAGACGTCGATGTAGCCATCTGTAGGCACGTATATGTGCGGGGGATATCGTAGCCGGGACCGTGTGTTGTTTTGCCGGTTGGGATTCTGCGTCATCTCAGCTGTGATTTACATTAGACGCGAGTTAAAAAAAAACTTACGATTTGTTGGCCTGGATTGCCTGGATTGCCTTGATGGCTTTGATTTGGGGGATTCTACATCAAAACGTCAGATTTGTGGCAATTTTTTTTAATGGGCAATACACTTACGGTTTGCTGGTTTTGATTGCCTTGACGGCTTTGATTTGGGGGGTTCTGTATCATGAGATCAGATCCGTATCAAGAGGTGTAATGGAAAAGATACTCACGGTGTGTTGTTGATTGCTATCCATGTTGACGTCTTGGTCCATGGTGTTGACTCAGTCAGAACGTGGATGGAGAAGAGAAGAGGAGAGGAGGGAGAGGGACGTGTCTGTTATTGTGCGTCCTCTTCGCGCTAACCGAAATGAATAGCTCTTGGCGCGATACGTGAGCTCCTCACGGCTCCTCCTACCGTGAGTGACTAGAAGTTTCGGTCGTTTTGGGGCTTTCTATGACGTCAAGGTAGAGGTTTCATTGATCACTACTGTGCCTTTCGAGTAGAAAATCGGGCTATGCAAGGCGTTCAGTAGATCGCACATAGCCCGCTGGAAAGCATTATAGTATTCTGACGCTACGATTCTCACATATATATGCTACTGATAAGAGGGTCTCGAAGCTCACCACATTTAATCCTAACCCCCGTCTTAGGATAACAATCAGCACATTAGTATATCAACTCTCTGATTCCACGACAGGTGAGAAAACCCAAATCTATGAAGTGACATCCGGGGACATGAGAAAGGATTACTTTCATCAATCCTGCGTTGGAGTCTCGGTAATCTTAAACACAGGTGAGGGTTTACAACGATGAATATACCAAAAAGCAAGAGATTACCAAAAGTACAATCGATAAATGCCTTCACACAAGCTTCTAGAACAAAATCAGGGATCGGGGGCCACCCCGAAAAAGTATTGCGTTTGCTAATTTCTCGAAGTCCGCAGGTAAACATATCTAATTCATGCATACTTCGACTAGTTAAAGCATTAAAACAAGATTTGTATTTTTTCATCTACGTTCGAAATTTCACGTTAAGAAAACAGTTCTGCCCAGTCTACCAACACTTTCACGTTTTGATTCAAATGAACAATAGGGAAAGCCAGTAATGTAACCACCGAGTTGCTCTTCATCTCAATTCGGAACTAGAAACTATGGGCCAATTTGAAATCGCGTTTCTCTCAGCGACACCTTTCCCGCAACATAACTTTCCATGATGTTGCTGTCATCAAATCCGTTGGGTATTCAGGTTGCCTGTGACTCAATCTCTAGAGTTAGTACACTGGTTGATTGATCAATCTTCCAATTTCGCGTTTAAACACGTCCTAGGATCGCGCGATTTGGCGGAGAAAATGAGCTTGTCAGTCCCTCAGGCCCAAGATCAACTGATTGGCGCACCACATTCTATTAAAGTAGGCGCTTCGACTGAATCTAAGACCCTTACTCTTCTGGTCGTTGCGACTGTACCTTTTATACTAGCCACCTCAATTGCAGAGGCTGCTTCATTAAGCTTTGCCCCGCTCGCCACGCTGTCTTTTCTGCCAACATCATTCGACGCAGACGAGCGGGATAACTTGAATCCGGCTCACTATTTCTAAAATTGACAGGTGCAGGGACTTGCAGCAGTTGCGGCACTCTTGATTTGCGGCATTTTTCCAGCGGCCATAGCGGTGGGCTCTGATGAGTTGTATTGATAGTCGAGACTCCTTGCTCTTTTTGTTCTTCGTTATTTATTCTCGTTCATAGATACGCAAATCCTTCTCAATCTCAAAAAATAAGAATGATTGCAACTCACATTGACAATGAGTTAAGATGTCATCTAATCCCTTAAGTTTATTTGATTTTGCAATGTTCTGGTCCTACAGGATTAGGCCTACAACACTCTTCTCGTCATTAACAGATAGAGATACGTACGCCTGTGGTGACCATCTGGTTTTCTTTTTAGATGTTGCGTGGCAATACAATTTCCTCCCATTTTTGACACAAGGTGATCCTGAACCCGCGATGCCATGTGTTGTCTCACTGATCCATGGGCATGTAATGCATGCAACGAAGCGGAACGATCGGCGGCGTCGCCCATCGACCAGCAGCTGACTCCGCATTTAGTAGCCGCTTGCCAAAAAATATTGCGCTTACTCCACGCATGCAGGCGACATCCAGAGTACTGTGTAGGCCGCTTTGATCACCAACAGAGGATGGTTTTGGACACGATACGCAATTTTCCACCTGTTTCTATCAGCACAACCTCGTGCACTGTTCGACTCATAGGAAGTTTTAATCCCTCAATGTGACTTGTGCATCTCCGTTAACGGTCGGATGTGTCTTCACTACGTCGCAACTTTCAACTCAGCTGAAAGCGGATAGGAGGCGTCGACATGTCGGTATCAGATGAAAGAGCGGGGAATTGGCAATATATAGGAAGAAAACACATGAAATTTATTCATAGAGGTTTAATCACCAGTTGCAACCGACGAATGACCTTTAGATGTTGTGGACACGTACAGCGTGCACTGGAAACGGCAGTTGACCCCGATCGCAGATTCCCTATACGTACTTAGCGTGATTAGTCATCCATTCATCTCAACTTCACAACCTCACAGCCCACGCCTTGACTTTGTTCATCAATTACACATGTACTATGCCTACTGTTTACAATACAAACCCAGGCATAACCCCATACCAGCAAATACAAGCATGTCGCCGAGAAATGGGCGATTTCATCACTGAGTTGAACGATGCCCTTGAAGGAGGGGGGAGCGACTCCCAGCAAGATGAGTTGAGCAAATCCCAGCAAAATAAAGAGGCAAAAGCTGAAATCTGTCAATGCCTCATTCTGGAGCACGAGCACGTAAAAGAAATCGTGTCATTGAAAGCCCAGCTGGAAAAAGAGCAGGACTCGAGCAGGGCTCTTTCCAAGCGCAATGAGGCTGTATCATCCGAATCAGGGCGCTTACAGACGGAGCTCGAAGCCTCCCGCAGCTATTCCAATTCACTAGAAAATCAGCTACGGAATGCCGAGAATCAGCTGTTCGATACGAACGATTCCCTGCGGCGGGAGAGCGGTCGATGTCAGGACCTCCAGGTAGATCTCGTGGCCGCCAGAGCGGGCTGGGACACTGCCATAGCGCAATCGAAGAAGGCAGACGAAGACCGGATAGCCACATCCGTCAAACTGACCAGAAGCTACAAGGTCTTGGAGGAGGCAAACCAGGCTCAACTTGCCGAGAACAAAAGACTGAGTGCCAGAATAACGGAGCTGGACGCTGCATACAGCAGCCATCTCCAGGAGGCAAGGGATAAAACCCAGCGCCATGCCGTCGAGCAGGAGAGTTTGAATGCCGAAATCTCACGATTGCGCGCCACAATCTCCAGAAAAGAGAGCTCAATCAGTCGCCTAGTGGCAGAGGGGAACGATTTGAGGTCAATAACCACCAACTACTTTGCTGAAATCAACTCCCATTCAGAAAAGTACGGACGGAAGCTTTCGGAAGTCATTGATCGCGTCTCGACAAAGCGGCCATGACTTCACAGCAGAGCTTTATCAAGTTCCATGGATCTCACTGAAGATTATGAGAGTTCCCGCGGCCAACTTGACCAGCCACCCAACCATGAAGCTGGCCCGAGTTCTAAACCGGCCCGAATGTCCACTTTGGCCCTACAATCTGATTCACGAAGAAGAACAGAGCCTACTCGAGGCTTCGCTATCCCCGAGTCGTCTTCTTCCATCCAAAAGATCCCTAATTTCAACTCTCGTTCCCTCCATGATCAACAGTCTGATGATCAGACCCTCGGACAAGTCGATCCATCTTCCCGGGGCGGATTAGAGCTCAGTACTACGAATAGGCTACAACCGAAGAGATCAATTGACCCAGGCTTACGAATTAGTAGCCCGGATGACGAAGTGGAAGCATCAACTCTTCGAAGCAACCGGAGAGAAAACCCAGAATCTCTTCTTTCGGACTTGTCTCGTCCGCTCCGGATGCCTTTCCAGAACTCTTTTGCCCACATCCAAGATTCGCCGGACCTGCCACAGCAGCGTCCAGCACAAGGGCCACGGCAAATAAGTAGACCTCTCTGCATACCAGAATCACGAGGTACGGCCGGCTCCAGACCTCAGACCCAGGCTAATTTCACTCCCTATTCAACGGACGTGCCAAAGCCGAGTCCCATAACGCAGCCCCGGGAGGCCTCGAGCTCAAACGAAACTCTCCTCAAACAGGGACGTCCACCTCAGAAAACGGGAAGAAAACAGCCAAAGGCGAAGGCTTCACAGCAATCTCTGGAAAGTGGGGACAGTGATACTTCTGACGCACGCCCATACTACTTCTACGACCCCGGCCCGAAGATCTATCGGCCCTTCAGCGAATTCCCAGACGCTTTGTCAAGCGAGCTGAAAGATGCCTTCCACGCCGCGACTGAAGGCACACGGGACAGCTTGAAGAGATTCCGATCAATGAAGTCCGAGAAAAAAATCGGTAACCATTGTGACTCAGAGCTGTGTATTCTAGCAGCTGTACGGGAAAAGAAGAATAATAAATCTCCACATATCGAAAAGAACCTTCGAGCATGTTCTGGATGCGCAAAACGGAAGAGACCCTGCGTTGTGGTGCGTAAACTCGACGCAACACAAGAGTACATTCTGCTCTTCTTGCCATTACCAGTGAAAGAGATCCCTGCTTTCACTTCGGTTTTGGACCGCAGGTTCTGGCTAAGATAGTTGTCTCGACGCCCCCTGCTCTTTGGCGTCCACTATCGAGATGGTCTATGACACCTGGCCTTGTCACAACAGGTTCATTTGTATGAGACCACAGATGGTAGCCATCACGCTCTTCCGTTCATGTAGTGCTGGAGACCACAAATGGTAGCCACCTACGATTTCCTTTTATCATGTACTGTTGGAGACCACAAATGGTAGCCATCGTCCTTTCCTTTCACCACGTAGTTTTGGAGACCACAAATGGTAGCCATCTACGATTTCCTTTTTACGTAGTACTGGAGACCACACATGGTAGCCACCTACTTTTCCCTTTCACTTAGTGCTGGAGACCACACATGGTAGCCATCTACGATTTCCTTTTCACGTAGTACTGGAGACCACAAATGGTAGCCATCTACGATTTCCTTTTCACGTAGTACTGGAGACCACACATGGTAGCCATCTACGTTCTCTCATCATATATTGTTGGGAACCACAAATGGTTACCATCGCCTCTTTGACGGTCACAAATGGCTCTCATTGCTTGTATGTAGGTTATACTGAAACAATCAACCCCATGAAAGATCTCTATCTCGGGTTCGTTGTGATTGATCGAGGGTCGCAACGATATGTAAAGTCAAAGCCCATTTAATGTCTCTTTCTAACTCATAGATATCATTTCCATGGTTGAAGCTGTCGTAAAGGAATCTACCGCGCTTCGCGCTTCGAGGACTGAAATATTTGCAGACTGAATTAAGTATACATACGACCTCCTTGTCCGTCAAAGCCTCGCTGAGTATGATGATTACGTCGAAACAAAGTGCAGATGCATCCATATATTTCTTGATACCATATCAACTAGTAACATCAACAGGATAGCATGGACCCTCTTCTTCTCTGAAGCCGGGGAAACACGCTTCTCGGAAAGAGGGGAAAATGATCACACTTCTTTGGAAGCGACGATCAACAGAAACCACGCTTCGTTGGAGGCGACGGTCTGATAAAAAGGAAAACAACCACGCCTCTTTGGAAGCGACGACTGACAGTGATCAAACTTCTTTGGAAGCGTAAACAAATAATAGCAAGAGAAACAACCACGCCTCTTTAGAAGCGACGATTGACAGTGATCAAACTTCTTTGGAAGCGTGAACAGATAAAGATAACGGGAAGACCACCACACTTCTTTGGAAGCGACGATGAAAAGTGAAAACAGGAAAAGAATCACACTTCTTTGGAAGCGAGAGACCAAATGTGGAAGAGCAGGGGAGAGGAACTCAAACGTACTCACGGGTGAGTAAATCAGCCCCCGTTTTCCGCTTGTTTAGCCCTCTTGCACGAGTCAATGAGCCGGTCGGTTGCCTTGCGCATATCCTCGGCCAAGCGGTTGAAGTTGGGGTTGTTGGTCTTGACCAAATCTTTTATCCGCCCCTCCATCTCAGCAATCAAAGCTTCTTCCTTGTCCAGGTCAACCGGAGACTTTCTTTTAGCACGTGTTTGACTAGGTTTATTTCGTGCTATCTTCCATTTCTTATAGGCAGGTCGCCGCAAATCAGTGTCGTCATTCCACCGGACAATGAATTGTTTGTCAGTTTCGCGGAATTGCTGACATGAGGCCCACAGTGCAACAGCATCCTTGTGCAGTCTGTTTCCCAAATCGGCACCGGAAATACTGATTCCTGCTGCAGCGATATTGAAGCCGACTCCGGTGGAGTAGTAGCCGTTGCATATTCGAGTGAGAAGCTCCTCGGCCAGTGCACATTCAAGCTCTGATTTAAGATGAGCGATGATGTACGTACTAATCTCGAATTTGAAGGCGGTTTCTTGGCCGAGACGGTCTGCCTTTCGAGCCTCCATCTTACAGATGTCGCCGACCAGTGAGGAGATGAAGTTTGTATTGCCCTGGTCGTGAGCCTTGCTACGATCCTTTTGATTCGCTGAAAATCCGAAGTATTTGAATTTTTCTTTGATAGGAAAGCGAGCCTGGACACTCCCCGCTGGATAGTACTGATCCAAGTGGGTTTCGAGGGCATGGCAAAATGTATATATCTGGGAGATACGCTCACGCTTGCCATTTAGATGAAAATGGAAGCCTTGCCTGATACAAGCCGCTGTGGAACGCTTTCGTGATGCATTGTCAATGTCTAAATTCTGTCGGTCGTATAGTTGATCGCCGGAAACGTATTGACGCAGCCGGCAAATCACAACCCGTAACTCCTGTGCTGAAGGCGAGGCGCCAGACTTATCCACCAGCATTCGACAGTAAATCACTGGGGCAAAATCGGCTTGCGCTCGTAGACACCATGGTTCCTCTGCATCCAGAAGATGATGCAAGTCTCCATGTCGGGCGTCCTGACTGTGCATCTTATCTGACAAAGTGTCGTCGATGAGTGCATCCAACAGAATTGAAGGGATACTGGCCAGGATCTCATATCCCTCTCCTAGCCATGTATTCCATGTGGAGAGAGGCTTCTTGTGGTGTTTGGGGCCAAAGAAAGGATGATTGGCAGCCCTAGACGTTTCATAAGCTTTGTCTATCAGACCACAGAAGCCAAGCTTGGGGAACTGCTCTTTGTATGTGAAGACCGGAGCACGGGCATCGAGCTTGGCCTTTTGGATATCTCGATCGTCGATAGGCAGCCGTACAGGTACATCGGACGCTTTAGATTCGCGAATCGTGGCGCTTACTTCCCTTTGGGGAATTAAACTCGTAAATTCATCCGAGTCCGAGGCGTTTTCGTCGTCTTCACCGGGCTGCCACAGGGATTCGTCCGACCTTCGATGGGCAGGTGTGCCGCGTCTGCGATTCGTAGTTCTATAAGGGGTCAGCAGAATATACATGGCAAGATGACTTGGGAAGCCTATCAACCGGTGCAATGGCGATTGACTTCGCGTATGGTTGTTACGCAATCTGTTGTTTCTGGTATGCTGGGTATGCTGGGTATGCTGGGTATGCTGGGTATGCTGGGTATGCTGGGTATGCTGGGTATGCTGGGTATGCTGGGTATGCTGGGTATGCTGGTTTTGCTGGTTTTGCTGGTTTGGGTGATCATGCTGATGATTCTCGATTTCATCGTGTTCTGCCATGATTGAGGAAGAAGAGATGAAAGCAGCGGAAGATTGAGGTCAGCTAAATCCATACGTAATGCTGTCTACAGACCGGGAAGGCACGACATCTCGGGAAGGAACGATAGACCGACGCATCATCGACTTCAATCATCCAAAATGCGGCGGCGGCCATGTTCTTGAACGAGATGAATGGAGAGTCTATTGGAAATTTTATATTCAAATGTTCAATTAGGCTAGTTAGTGTCTTTAGGGATGCTGCAAAAGGGCTGAATTATCCCAAGATGTGACCACATCCACCTCATCTATAAGAATGCAGCGACACATGTATGCAGGACCATGAAATCTTCGAAGACATAACTTGTGAACTCTTTCCAATTCCAAGAAAAATAAAATCATGCATTGTCGTATCGTTTTTTGCATCAAATGTTCGCCAATTCGCGAATCAATAGTGACGGTGTTGAGGTGAAGACGTGCCAAGGCTTTAGTGTTCATTTAGCGTGCATTTGCTGGAAGAGGGAAGACCCAAAAGTTGAAGCAACTCTTCTTTTCTTCCCTTTTCTTCTTCATCGACAACTATGAATCCATGGCAGCATGATTCGTCGACCACCCCATACCGGCAAACCCAGCAAGTTCAGCAAATCCAGCAAAATCAGCATACTCAGCATGCCCAGCAGAACCAGCATCACCAGGAAGACGGCTTCAACCCCGGATACTATGCCGGCGGTCTCAGTTATCCACCCTATCGGTATCTGCCTCCGGTGGGAATGTTGCACGTCAATCCCAACCGGAAGGACATCTCGGATGCGCTCCCGATCAATATAGAACACACAAATTCTGAAGCGATGAAGCATACTGTTGCTTGTGGTCGGTGCCTCAAACTGAGGAAAGACCATCCCGCCGATCAGCAGCCGATGTACAGATGCCGAGATGAATGTGGATATTGTGGTGGCAACCACGAGGTTGGCAGTGCTTGTCCTTTTCTTTACGCAACCCATAAGTGGTTGAAGCTACGCGTAAGGACTACTGACCACCCGGAACTGCCGTCCTACATGAGTATCTGCCCGTCGGAAGACGATGAAGTAAAACTTCAAGGGCTTGGATACATCTACCCGGGCGCTAAGTATGATCCTGAAGGTGTTCCCATGTTTACCCCGGAAGCTTGGGCAATGCGAGACCATACGCTGCCAAGGTCGCAATCATCCACCACCATCCACAATCCAGCTTCTGGTGAGATGAAACGCCCTGCTCTGATGGGTCCGCAAGGCTCCGGTAGCAAGCAGCGCCCACCGAGACATCAGCAACAGCACAGGTCACAGCAATCTCCGCATTTCAAGGAGCCCTTCCCTCGTCGTGATAACTATCGCGGTCGAGAAGATTACCCTCGTCGTGAAGAATATTCTCGACGTGATAATTACCCTCGTCGTGATGACTATCGCGGTCGAGAAGATTACCCTCGTCGTGAAGAATATTCTCGACGTGATGATTACCCTCGTCGTGATGACTATCGCGGTCGAGCAGAATACCCTCGTCGTGAAGAATATTCTCGACGTGATGACTATTACCACTCACCGCGCTTGATCACAGATTGGCGGGAGCGTTCACCTCCGCAGACATCCTCATATGGACGGGGCTATCGCTCTCCTCCTCCTCGAGCAGCAGGACCATTGCCTCCTGCGCCGCGCACTGCATATGAGATGCAACCACCAGGAGGCGATCGAGATGGTTTCTTCCGCGGTCAGCCACCCAAAGTCAAGGTCGAGAGTGACGATGGCGTGGTGATTAAGGTAGAAGAACTTGAATAGTCTTGCGATCACCGCGAGTGTCAATCATGAGATTCGCGGTTCAGTAACAACATCCTCTGGGACAAACCGCAAACCGTCCCGCGCTCAATCCGTTGACCATATTGCAGAACTGTAGACTTACAGGTCTCGCCCTTTATGAACTACGGAATCGTGGGTCATACTATGGAACTGCAGAATTGCGGGTCCACCTTCCTAAGAAACACGAAGTCGTGGGTCTTCTGAGTGAACTGCACAGTCGGGGCTCACCTATTTTTTTCTCCACTACATGTACATAGAACAGTTAATTAATTCATTTTCACTTCATTACATCATTTGATCGCAGTAATATCACGCATACATCTCTCGTGAGTCGCTCAGGCCGCGCCTGCTGGCAGGGCAGTGTTGGTGCTGTCCCATACCACTTGTCTCTACCTGCGTACACGTGAAATGTACCACGATGGAATAGTGATTGGTGGACCCGGATTGCGCATTTTCATGATTTTATGCAATAAATACATGGAGTTATGTAGTTTTTAAGAACTGCAGGGATTTATCACAATGTCAGACTTCTCGCTATTTTCGATATGCTGAATTAGATGCGCAGGCTCTTGTGTGGTGAAACCGTGGTCCGCCATCACGGTTAATAAACAAAATTGACATCTGGAAGTTCTGAAGTCTCATATCCGGACACATCGCGCCAAGCCACCCCGGAGGAAAGAGCATTGAGGGGGAAGGAACACCCACTTCGCATCGTATACCGGCTCGCCATTGCGAACTGAGATATTGAATCGAGCGGTGATTGGAAATGGAATGCTCTTATAGATTATTTCGAATACTGTGTTGTAGACTTGTAGCTTCGACAGCGCACTGGACGGACTTACATATGTACATGTAGTCTTTCCCTGACTGTGACGTGACGACGTGCCTAGAGTCTAGTGCCGGGCTAGCGCGAACTGCCTACGCATGAAGGACTCAGATACGATTTCCTCTCCTCTTTTCTTTTCTTTTCTTCTGTGTCGGCATTATGAATCAATACCTCAATGACTCGTCGATCACCACCATACCAGCAAAACCAGCAGACCAGCAAAACCAGCAGAACCAGCAAGGCCAGCAAGGCCAGCAAGGCCAGCAAAGCCAGCAGCCCCAGCCCTCTCAGCAGTCTCAGCCCTCCCAGCAGCCTCAGCCTCAGCAACCTCAGCAACCTCAGCATGGCAACCCTGGCGGCCTGAGGTTTCCCGTCGTGCGGTACCTGCCCCCCGCATCAGCGCTGTACGTCGATCCACAGCGGGAGGAGATAAATGATCAGCTCCCCGAAAATATAGAGCGCGACCTGAGGGACTCTGAATCGGCTATCGTGGTCTGCGGCCGTTGCCTCAAGCCAAAGTCAGATCATCCCCAAGGTCAAGAGCATTTCTGGACGTGCCAGGACGTGTGTGGCTTCTGCGGTGATGTGCATGACACTGCCTGCATTTGTCCCTATCTCTATGCAACCCGGTACTGGTACAACCAGCCAATGAGGACAAGGAGAGGAGGTCATGATATGGATGAGTTCCCATCCTATCTGAGTGTCCGCCCGTCACTCGATGAAGAACGCACACTTCAGCAGCTCGGGTACATCCAGCAGGGAGCGCAGTACACCGCGGGTGCAATGCCCGAGTTCACTCCAATGGCTTGGGCATTGCGGGATCCATCAACGCAGATTTCGCTGTCCGCCAATAGGATCTTCAATCCCGCCCAAGGCTCATTGCTCCGCCAGCATTTACGGGAGAATCATGGATCGCAGCGTCGTGCCCGAGCCTCACATCGGCGTGCCCTTGCCCCTGCTCCTGCTCCTGCTTCTGCTCCTGCTCCTGCTCCTGCTCCTGCCTCGCAGCAACCCACATATGGGGGGCAGCAGAATTCTTATCCTCCATTCCCTCAGCAATCCACAAGTGGGTGGCAGCCTTTTCTTGTTTCTTTTCCGCAGCAACCCACAAGTGGGGGGCAGCAGAACTCGTATCCTCCATTCCCACAGCAACCCACATTTGGTTCGCAGCAGAATTCGTATCCTCCATATAGTTATGGATCACAGAATTCAGGGGGCCCTCATACCTATGGTCAGGCCCCATATGGGAATGGAGTACCTCCTCGCCCTTACAATGCCGAGGCTCAAGAGGCGTTCAATTCCCTCAATTCCCGCGACAGTGCAGCCAATCGCAATAACGGCAACCGAGTTCGAGGCAGTCAAAGCTCTTCTAGCCGACACGGTCACCGCGTAGAGAAAGCGAAGCGGAAGAAAGAGCCAAGAGGCTGGCGCTAACCTGAAGACAAAGACAAGGGCAAGGGCGTCATCACTGGTAAGAGCGACGGCAAAGTCAAAGTCGAGAGTGAAGACGAAAGCAAAGTCAAACTCGAGACTGAAGAATCTGACTGTGCCACGTCGGGTCACGTTCATCTTGATGCTGTCACATCATCAAGCGATGAAGATGGCGTGGTGATCAAGGTCAAGGTAGAGACATCTGAATACCTAGGTAGTCCTACGGGCAACGCGAGTAACAAGATCCTCTAGGGCTGGCCTCACACAGTCCCGCGCCTTTGATGAACCACGCAAACGTGGGTCATTTTTTTGAACTGCACATATGCAGGTCACCTAATGTTTTTTCGTTTACATGTAAATAAAACAGTCAATGAATCCACTTTCACTTTATGACATTTCAGCAATATTATCCATACGTGCTTCGCGAGTCGCTAACAAGTATCATCAATCCTGTGCCACCCGATGTCTCTTCTTTCTAAAACAAGCTCGTTCTTTCAAGCAACTTAATTGACTTCCATAGCGCTGAGTATTCTGGTTGGGGATTGGCAAAATGACGCTTAGATAGCAGCACATCCCCTTCCGGCGGACAGATCAGATACAGGCCCGTATACTAGTAATTATTGGTGCAAACTTCTTTGAAAAAAAATATTCAAATTTTCTCTATTGATTGCTTTGATTCTCATTCCAACCGCTATACGCTCTCGGCACACGCACTACGTCTGGGCGGATGAATGAGTCCACCGCGCGCTAGTCCTAATCTGTCGGCTGATAGCCCGCTCTGCGACCGCCGCCCTCGTTGAGCACCCTAATTTTTACTACGTGAAACGACTGTATACACTTCCTGGAGTCATTATCCAGTGTTCAGCCAAATCTCCTCGATCGCTGTGGCCTCGAACTCTCCCTGCGCAACAACGGCGTTGACAGATCGAACAGCATGTCGCCGATTCCCGCATGTCTACAGCCAGGTCAGCACCAGATTGCCTTCGCATTATGCCGGAAGGCAAGCCAAGACGATATGCCTACAATAGTCTGCAGCGCTTGAGGATAGCAGAAGGGTTGCTGGTCGCGAGCTCGCAGACAGTCGAACGAAGATGGCAACCAGACTCGGTGACGGATACTACGGCTGGGAAGAACTCAGGTAAGGCATTGACCCACAATCGAGCTGGTGGAAGCGTTTTCAGCCACTAAAACCCGTGCACAGTAAGGATGACAACGGGACCCTTGACCCTCGAGACGCCCCGCCGCCTAGTACAGTGAATCGTTACATCTCTCCGCCGCTGCCATGCCGCAGATCGTCTTGTCTTCGCAATTGACTCGTGCCGAACCGTGCAGACCGCGATCCCCAGCTATCCCCGAGTTGGTATCCTTATTCTGTCTGACCCACCAACTGGCCCCGCTTCTCACCACGATGATTGAAGGACAGCCAGGAATTTGTCGCCGTGATAAAATACAACGGAGGCGTGATGCGGAATCTCTGAGCAGGAACACATTCACTTTCAAGGTTATTGAAGGCTAGAGAAACAAGTTTCATGGGGAGAATTCGGGGCATAGCATCGTCTGAGGTTACCATACGGGTGGATATTTCAAGGATGTAGTGGGGCAAATAATCTCATCAAGCTTGTTTGAACATCACGCAACATGATATCGTCATAGTAAGAACATCATTGATTCAAGGGCTACTTATTCTAGACCAGGAAGGCAATGGAAGAAGAGAATGCCCTGTGAAGAGCGCGTTCAGTGAAGAACAGAATCGCCCAGTAAAGGGCATCCCAGTGGAGAGCACACCCGGTAGGGAGCACGTTGAGTTAAGGAGAGAACCGCCCAGTAATGAGCACGCCCAATAAAGAGCCTGTTGAGTGAAGAAGTGAATTGCCCAGTGATGAGCACGCCCGGCAAAGAGCACGTGGAGTGAAGAAGAGAATCGCCCAGTGATGAGCACGCCCGGTAAAGAGCACGTCGATTGAAGAAGAGAATCGCCCAGTAATGAGCAGCCATTGAAGAGCACATCCGGTCAAGAGTAGCCCATTGAAGAGCACGCCCGATGAAGAGCAGCTCAATGAAGAGCACTTCCAGCGAAGATAACGCGATGGATCCCAATGATTTATATCAATTGGGAATCCATGCGCACAAAGACAGAACAGTTATATATATTCGTCTTCCTCGGCGAGGACCATATCGCCTTGATGGTGTGGCGATGTGGATTTTGCCGCGGCTGTGTTAAAGCCTGAGTCTCGCGCATTGGCCTTGGTAGATGGATCATCTAGCTGGCTAATTCGACTGAAAAACTCTTCTTCCCGAGCTCGATTGTTCTGAGGTGAGTTCTGGGACTCTGGGTGCTGCTGTTGTACTCGGCCAAAGAAACCTTCCTCCATAGGTTGATTCTTTGGAGGATGCTGTTGGTTCCTCTTGTCGGCGACTACACGCTGGCGCTGCGATGGGCGCTGCGATGATTCTTCAGCCGGAGAATGAGATCGCTGTCGTTTGGAATCATTCAAGAGCCTGAAATTCTCGTTCTGGAGCCGTGCAATCTCGAGTTTTTGTTGTTGTAGTTCTCGTTTAATATCTTCCGCCTCTTTGGCCTTCTGCTTCTCAACTTGAGCATTGAGGCGATCATTCTCAGCCTTTAATCTCTCTTTCTCGGGATCAGGCTGAGCTGGCGGCTGCGAGAATGGGTGGAGATAAGGATTGTAGCCTAGTGGGAAAGAAGGTGTCCCGATATTCGGATATTGACCCATTTGCATTGGGAAACCCGGCCCGAATGATTGCTACCCCATGTTGGGACCCAGATAAGGAGGATAATGTCCTTGCGTCTGTTGGCCCATCTGGATGTTGCTTTGGTTGGACTGAGAGGGTGCGGTCTGCACCGTCTGCTTCTTTGGCCTGTAAATCGCGCACTCTGCTCGAGTAGTCGACGGGTTGACCAAGAGCTCCACTTGCTGTGAATCGGCTGCAGAAGTACCTCGGAGTGACCATGCATATTCGGTGAATGGTGGCAGGTTCTGGGAGTTGTAAACTGCGTTAGGGTCGATGAAGCCTAGCTGTTGTAGGGCCGGCCAATCTTGCTCGCGGGGTTGGATTTGGAGATAATCAGGGGCATCATCACCCATTGTGTCGATATAACTGTGTGTGTGCAATCACCGCTGGGTAGGATAAAGATGATGACAGATCTGGCCCAGCTGGTGCCCCTCTCCACAGAAACCACAAGGCGCGTCACATTGATGGAAACTGCGCTTGTTGCGAGGGTGGGCTGCGGCATCCTTGACAGGTAACAGACAGCGTCCGCAATGTCCATCCCGATGCCTATAATTGTTGATCTGTATTGGAAGATCGGTATGAACTTTCCCGTTCATAGGATTCCAATACGAGCCGATCGGTGGCAAGTACCGCAGAGGATGGTATTTCAACCCTGTTGCCTGCTGCTGGCCATACACATTTCCCTGTGTCTATTTCATGTCAGCCTCGTCACGATATCAGTGCCACCGCTTACTTACACTGGGAGTTTGTTGGGACTGTTGATCATTTTTGTTCTTGTGAATATCCATGATTGATGATGTTGGGGTATTGGAGTAGAGAAAAGCTCGCTAGGCAGGGCGGATTTGAACTTGCTCTTGTGCTGGCAATTAGCGCTAGTCCAAACAAAGAGTTTTCCGTAATTTTACACGTAATGTTTCCAATGTGACCTGCTAGGATGTGGGTGTCGATAACAACCAGCTAGGCGTGAAGGAAATCACATAGATAAACCTGTCGAAAGAACTTGAAAGCCTACGGCCGTGTCTTCATTGTAGGTCATAGGGTTTACCTTCATCTAGATACGATACATATTCCCTTGCCCTATACAGAGTGGAATCACTATGAGCAGAGACAATGGATTGTTGCAATGAATGACCAGTGTTACATAGCAGATAAGTGATGAACTACCACCTGGAAAGTCTGAATCGAGCTAAGATCCTGCACAAGCTACCTGGGGTATATTATATGCGACTCAGCTAGTGACTACATTGCACATTCTGGTTTTCGCTCGCAATCCGCGTTCCAGAACATTCGCGTCAGGTGGCATTGTCTTGGCACACACCTATTTTGATCTTGGACGTGTCTCCGGCTTTCTCACACCAACACCAACATCAACAGCAGAAGTTAGTATCCCCCTTGTCGCTCTATAATACTCGTTGTGTACTCACCCAATTCACCAGCTATGGATGATAATCTTGATATAAATCATACATATGAATGTACCAACAACGGCAATAGCGCCACATGCAGTAGGTGCCTCGCTCACTCCCGCAAAGCAAAACCACTGAAATTCAATAGGTGACTATTATGTCCGAGAAACCCTGAAAATACTCGAATGGGCCCCCGCGAATAACAGGTTCAAAGGGCTGGCCATGATGATCAAAGATCTTACTCCTGAAAAACAGTACTACATTTACAACGAATGTGGTCCAGAGGTCAGGCAGCGATTCAAGGCCGCGTGGGATAACTGCAAGCAGTTTGTTAAAGCTCACCCGGACAAGTACGAAGATGTAAACATGCCCAACCTCGAGATGTATGACTCTAAATGTGCTGGCCCGTCCCCAAATGTCCTCAACTCTCCCACTCGAGCACAGACAGCTGCTTTGTTACAATCAGCTCCACCTTGGCCGAGCCAGCCAGCAGATTCCCAGTCAGCGCCGGCCAACCAACGAAAGCGCAAGCCTGAGCATGAGATAGACGAACAAGGACGATACAGCAAATCGCAATTGTCGCATCCTAGAGCTCCTCAACAGTATCCAAGTTATTGGCCTAATGTACCATTTGATCTTTGGCCCTGGGAGACTGTCCATAGGATTATTAAAGGTGGTGGACAACTCCCCTTCTCTCCGAAAGCCCACGAGTTGAACCGCAGCACTCCTCGCTCCATCTCCGTCCCATGGACCGCCTGGAAGCCTCGGTTCAATCCTATGACCAAGGCATTGAACGAAGGAGGAGTCAAATACAAATTCAATTCTGCCAAACAAGAATTCGATGTGCGAGCTCCCAACCATTTGATTCAGGGATTGCCACAGAATCAGCGTCTTGGGCTATGTCCCGGCATCTACGACGTCAAAGAGCGTCACTCTCCCTGCCCTTATAAAGGGGATATTGAACAGTGCATATGGGATCACAAAGTACCCCAGGAGCACATCTGGTTCTTATATGAGAATGGAATCGTACACTGGTTGGTGGCTGCCAACTGGATTACTTCTCATAACGCCAACTTGCCCGCTGAAGCAAAGGGAGTCAAGCTCCAATACCCACCCATCCAAGCCACAGGCACTGGCACCATCACCGAGGTTGGCGCGCAACTTCAACAGCTCGCCGTAGTGAAAAACGAAGTCAACTTCCCCCCACTGCAGCCACCTGCCAAAAGCCCCTTGCAGGTTTCAGAAGTCTCCAAACTTACAAAATCGCTCTCATCGCGAGATAACGTGACCGCAAAAATACAAGAAGATGACGCATCATCAATTGCACAAACCAACATACGGGATCAGACACTGGGCGATTATCACGTCTCCGAATTACCCACTATAGTCGATATACCTGGTACTCGAGAAAAGGTCACGGAGACTGCAACTCTTCCAAGAAAGACCTCCCGGTCGGCGGTGCTTCAAGCTGCGGCTCCCCAAACAGCAAATACAGTTTCCCAAATACCAGCTATGGCTGATAAGCCAGCTCAGACACCGGCTGTACCTCGCAGCTTCTCTATAACAGACGAAGAGTACAAACTCATACTGGGGCGGAGGCTCACGTCATTGGCTATGAGTATGTCCCCCGGAACCCAAGAGTCACCCAATGTTGGCTCGTCCAGCTCGCCGCAAACGGCGTGTACGGATACCCCTGCTGTCCCCAACCCGGGGGAGACTTCAGAGGTAGAGTCTGCTCTGTTTTCTGCACTAGCCGCTGCTCTATCGTCTGCCACCCGAAGTCCCGACAAGACTGCTGGGTTGGCAGCTTTCTCCTCAAAGGGGGGATAGAGTGGTGCCTTTGCAAATGCAGTGCATGTCCAAGACATTCTTTATATTCAGGCTTCGCGGCCGCTGGTATCCTCGTATTGCATGTACTTCTTCGTACTCCCAGGATCATTCCCTATATAGCTGTTTTGCTTCTGTGCCTCTCAGCGCGTCCTTTGATCACTTTATTGTAGACATTGTTGTCTTTTTCATCGTTGAACCTCTGGACTTTTTCGTCTTCATTAAACTGACAGGCTGCCCTGTCACGCACTTCATTCTGTATACGGACTTTATCGTTCTTTTCTCCGAAGAAAATAATGAATTTTTTATTTCGAGCTTCACTTCTCTGGTGCTCATTGGCCTTGTGTTTGATGGATGCGCGATTCAGTTTCTCTGTACATAGAACTTCAAAATCCATCTCTCAAACACAAATTCGTGATCTCTTAACGTGATGTTTCTGTCGTCCAATGATACATGCAACGAGTTAAGCACAGTACTGGGCACATTAGTGATTCATGGACATGCAACGAGCAGTCTGCACGAGAAGACCTTTCACTGCCCTGTGGTTTCCGTGTCTGTGGCCTGGTCTATTTCACAATTGATGGGGCGGGGTTTTGGCCGCGATAGGCAAATAAATTCGCTGAACGGGAATCGACGATTTTGATAATGATACATCTGTCAGCGCTTGCAGTGATTGTGCAGGTTCTTTTACTCATCAGGTTGGCCCGCCTTTTTGAAACACCATTTTTGAACCAACTGTTTTTTACTTCAATGCTCACTCAGCACGTAACACTGTGTAGCAGTGATTGTGCACAGCTGCAGACTAAGATGTGCATGTATTTTTCAGCAGACCAAAAGTTGCAAAAGTTCATTTTCTTGTTCCACGGGAGAACGCGGCTGAACGGGAGGTAAGCGCTGTTATACATGACAGATACGAATGTCAATCGAAGTGGAGAGACTTATGTGGGGATGTTATGGTGGGTCGTCGAATCCGGCGGCGCATGGTACGGTACGATACCCACATTGGCCCATGGAACGCACATCAATCCTGCATTAGGGATAGTACTACACAAAGCTTGTTTCAACGGCACGTCGTATTGATCGCGATCCTTGAACAATTACCCTAGCCATTTCATTGACACATCGCATTCTCATTACAACTTGCTACGAGAGGAAAGGCAGAGTCTAGGAGCGAATATCGGCATGTGAACGCGATAATGCCCAGTCTACCGGTGGAGTAAAGAAAGAAATTTGGTAATGTGGGAGCATCGTGATCGATGGATCTGACACGCCCAAAGCAGACAGAGAAAGAAAAAGATCGAAACAGTCGCTTCATTGGCGACATAATACTGGACCGATGGAAGCCCTACCTTGACAGTAGCTGTCCTCAGTGAACACACATGCGCTCCAGCATTTACATCCAGAACTCAATGTCCCTCCACGTCTTTCCAGCAGGAATTTTGTCGGCCGGCTTGGGGTATATAACCAAGCAGTTGTCCCGCATATCGCGCCTGATGAATGTGCAAGGCAGACCTTTACCAACGCAATTGATGCAAGCCGTCAAGCCACTGTCCCTAGGTTTTCGCATCTTTTCCACGTAACTCAGGATGCATTTTCCACTCGCAAAATATTCTGCGTGATCAAAATGATCTAGTAGCCCAACAACCACATACTTGCGCGCGGGAGTGATAGGAATCTGTCGGAATCCACGCATGAGCTGATCGGAGACCTCCTTGGGCAGTGAGAATAGTGACTTCCGCGAGTTGCTGGCAGGATCATACACAAAGATCTCCAAACCATTGGCAAAACACCGGGGCGTTGTACTCGAGACGGCGATGTCGATGCTGTCGATGGTTGGGATGCTTCGAGATGGAGCGTCACTCATGAGGTCATCTTCAGGTGCCTCCACGTGACGCTCTGTGCGGCGCCGCTTTGGGGCCGACGGTCGGTCATTATTAGCTCCCGTGTCAGTCGGATTTGCATGCATTTTCTGAGCCATGAGAACCTGAACCTCGTTGGAAAGCTTTCGGAGCTTATCATTCACTTCCTGGCGAAACAAGATTTGTTGGTTTCGCAGCTCCTGGATCGTGGCTTGCAAATCCTCTACCTTTGCTCGCAACTGCTGTACCTCAGTTGTGCGGTCCTGCTCGTGTTCATGCTCTATGAGACGCATGATCTATGGCTCCGCAGCGTAGGACCTCTCAGGCTGTTGTGAAGTAGGGGTAGCAGCCAGTGTTGGGGCATTGAGATGCACTTGAGGGGGCACGTTTGGAGTTACCGGAGTTGACGACGGCAACTGTGTTCCAGGTTCATGTCTCAGTATCATTCTCATATCCTGCCGTGGATGCTGAGATGTAGAAGAGTTGAAAACACGTGTCGCGGCTGTCGAGGCCTCGGCTGGTGTGGAACGGTAGCTCCATGCCATTGCGGTGAACTTGGGCAGTTCGGATTCATTGTACACCGAATCCTCATCGACATAACCGTGAGTTTTGAGACGATCCTCATCTGCTCTCGACGGACGGATTTGAACATGGAATGGTGGGTCATTTATATTTGTGCCTAAGTGCTCAGAGAGCCATTTACTGCTCGCATACAATGACGGGCAAACCTATCGAAAGAGTCAAACTCCGGCCATCATTTCACTTCTTCTTGTGTCAACTTATCACTCCTGTGACATGTTTTTTTCCGCAGAAACCGCATAGATGCGGACAAGTATTGAATGTGTACGGGTGGCTCGAGAGCAGTTTCAAGCAGCGGCCACAGTGCGAATCTTGATTCTGTGTCTCCTCTATCAATATCGGAATGCTATCCTTTAAGTGTAAAGACTCCGGGCTGTAATAAAGACCGTTCGGTGGTAGATAACGGATGATGGTCAAGGTTGGCACGAGCTGTTGCGTCGGCACGAGCGGTTGCGTTGGCACGATCGGCTGCCCTACACTATGCTGCGCACTGCCAGGGGTTCTGTGTGTCAAGAATGGTGTTCCTACGGCATTCGAGTGGGGTGTAGCTCCGGCGGGGACGTTCTGGTAGGGCTTGCTAGGTTCAGTGGATGCCGTCGGGCTGCTCTCTGTGGATTGACTCACAATGGACGCCATCAGAGGGACCGATTGTCGAAACTGTCGGTGGGATCAGCTTCATGGAACAATAGACAACGGAAGGCTCACTTACGGTAGACCCGTAGGCCGCTGGGGTACCGGGGTGGCTCATTATGTGGGAATTATGGAAGCCGTTGCGCCGGCGTGGATCGTTTACGCGAAGGTTCAAGCGATTGTTGCGGTGGCGGGCCATCGTGAGGTGGTGGTGAATGGTGTTGTCTCCGTCAACAGGCTGCAGCTTTAACATATGGACGACAAGTTGACGCTAACAGGGAAAAAGACTTGGCGCCATATCCGCATTTCACGTAGAACAACAGAGAGAGGTGACAAATGAATTGCTTTTGGTCGTTCAGCACAGCCTGGTGTCCGACGTTTCACCCCACTCCGAACTATAAGCCCACCAGATCAACGATGTATGTGAATTCTGATTTGCCGATAGATCGACATGAATTTCGGCAGAGCTCCACAATATGTTTTACACTCGTAATCCAACAGTATAGTTTTCCTCGTCACATTGTGGACAATATCACGGAAGTCATGCAAGAGAATATAAGGTCTACCTCAATCTTCGTACCTGCTTTCGCCTTTAGTATCCACAAGGTGCGTGGCCGTGCGTCGTATAAGTGAAAGTCTAGTTCGCTTTGACCGCTCTTTTGGAGTGGCAGACGAGACTAGTTTGTATCATCAAGTGAGAGAATGCGCTGCCAAAGGTAGAAGGCTTGGCAGGCCACAAACGAATACAGCTTTCGACCTCTATATCGAACTCCACCGCCAGAACTTCAACTCTCCGCACCACGCACGATGTCACCCTCTCAACCAAGCAGCTCGAAAGTGCAACCAACACCGACACCACATATCCATGGAATTCCTGCGGAGCTTGTGCAGCATATCGTCCGATACATGAGCGATGATACCCTTATTGCCTTTCACTCTACAACCCAGCGTCTTCGAGATCTCTCTCGGCGAGACTTCGTGGATCGATTCCTTGCGTCGGCAACCATTATCTTTCACCCCATCGGAGTCGCGAAACTCATCGAGTTGAGTCAAAATCGTGTGATCGCTTCAGAGATCAAGGTCGTCACCATCTATCTATACGCCATCACGCGAAATCGACAGAGCTCCTCTGCACCAAATGCCGTCCAATTTCACGAAGACATGGACCTCAACAACGACCTTGCTATTCCTCTTCTCTCAGCTCTACGCAACCTCCCAAACATTCAGATACTGGCCGCGGTGGACTACAAAGATGAATGGGCAACCCGTTGCGCGGGATATGTGGAGTCGAGCCCGTTTGGATTACGCCGTATTGGCGAAATGCTCGGGCCAGGTTCCATTACCGATCCCGAGAGCCCGAACAGGTATACCTCTGCTGCCGACATAGAAGTGCATAGGAAACTTCGCGAATGTCTCATTTCAGCATCGGTAGGATTCCAGAAGCAAAATCGCCAGGTCAAATATCACCTCGCCGTTCGTGAAATATGGATTCCTGGATGGTCCAGAAACTACCGTCGCCAATGGAATTGTTGGTCGCACCGCATTCACCGACTGAGCTGGAAACACAAGTCTCACGATTTTAACGATTCGTGGGGTCTTCCAGTTATTGCAAACCCAGTCATCTTCTCCCTGGAACATGAGCATCACCCAAGCAGTCAATGGTGGGAAATACTCGATATGGGACCACTTCTCTGCCCTCGATTGCGACATTTCAGTCTCTGCAACGTCACGACGCCCCTATCCGATCTCTTGACCATGATCGCTCATGATGACATGAAATCTATCAAATTGGAGCGGCTAGAGTTAAGTGATCAATGGGAACGAGTTTGGACAGAGCTTCTAGGATTAAAAAATCTTCAATCACTCCATTTAGGTAACCTGTACCACAGATTCGCTAACTTACGGCCGTCTCACTCTGAGATTATATTCGATCCAGGAAATACCAATGGCGGTTGGTATGGCCGCACTGAGATTGAGCACGGGCTTTGAACGCTGCTAGCGACCTACGCTCCGTTGGAATTGTGGGTTGATCTACGTCCTGCAACAGAGGCAGTCGCTGAACTACGCCGGGGTGGGGAGGCCAAGGGAAGAATTGAGGCGTATGAGAGGAAATGATACCATCTGTTGCACCGGGGTAGATAAAAGATGGCGACGGACTAAGGTGTTTGTCAGCTCTACTCCGTATTTTGCGGTCGATTCTAACAGAAGCTACTCGATACTCGTGAAGCGATATCGACCCCACTGGAACTTCAAATAGAAGAATCCACAACCCTCTCTTCAGTATTTGGACTTTACAGAGCCATCGTGATAAATGCGACCTAGCACAAGACAGTGCGAGAACAGAGTGATTTGTTCAAGTCTCTGAGGGTCACTTGGGAGCAAATTACATTCCAACATGAAAGATCAAGTCATTGTTTCAATCCAGCAACTGGGCGAATTGTGAAACCAAGCAAGGACCGCAATCTACATCTTGACACTCCCACTTTGCCTGTTATAGGTCTTTGCATGTTGTACTCTCGTGCCTTCGTGTTGACTTATGATTTTCTAGCTCAATGTATAGATGTTGTGTTGGTTGACCTACTTGAAACAAATCCGGCTTCTTGAGTTCAGTGTTCCATTTACTGTTACTAGGTATTGACAGAGGGCGTGCTACCTTTCACATCGGGGGCGTATGCACAACATCCTTGGGCGTGTCAAATCCACCAGTCAGATGAGAGGGTCGCGGGGCGGGCATCACTGCGCCTCTCGAGTCCCTTTTAGTAGTGACACAGAAATCAGTGGAATTGACGGGTGTAGCCTTATGACACACTACATTGATTGTGTAAGGTGGGGTCGGCATGCAAGACGGGACACACACATATTAAGCGATCGCGGCCCTCCTTGCCTCGACATCTCAGCCTCCCCTCCATATCCAAACACACCGTAAAAATGACTCTGCCAGGGAAGACTGTACTTGTGATTGGCATGTATACACTCTCGCTTTCGAGACAGAAAAGTAACTGGTCTTCAGGTGCCAATCGAGGCATAGGGCTCATATTCATCAAAACACTGAAAGAACGCGGATGGACAACAATTAGCTCTGTCAGGCCCGAAACACGCAACGATGCTTCCGCCGAAGAGGTATGCACATAGCCAGCCGGGTGACCTGAATGCAGCTGACTTTGCTGGAATATGACAAGCTGGCTGCAACTGGATCGCGCATCGTGGAGATAGACTACAAAGATGAAAATACTATTCAACAAGCCGCCAAGGAACTGCAAAACGTCAAACTCGACATGCTCATAAACTGCGCTGGTGCGTGGAGCAGCTCATTTAAGGGGCCATCTCAACTTACATAGCATGTGCAGGTATCGCGGTGCAGCCTCCCCCATGGCAGAGCCATTTCAAGTCGGATTTGATGGAGCGCTTTGAAGTGATGACAGTTGTGAGATGCGCCAGATACGTTCTCCAGCTCAGCTCACATAATAGGGTCCTTTCCTTGCCATCAAGCACTTCCTTCCGCACATACTTCAAGACGGCGGCGGGAAAATCGTCAACATTTCTTCGAGCTTTGGAAGTATCTCGGGTATGTCAATCAGTCTATACAAAGACTGGTGAACTGACGAATGCAGAGAACGATGACGAGCGGTTCATTGGATACAAGATGGCAAAAGCCGCTCTGAACCAGCTCACAGTGACACTGGCAAATGACTTCAAGAAGAATAATCATCCAATCGGAATCGTGGCTTTTCAGCCAGGATACATCAAAACGAAGCTTACGGGTTTCAAGGGAACCGTTGACATTGTCGAATCTGTAACTGGTAGGGTGAATCTGAGTGAGACAATCACGCCCGAAGGTTCACCATATTTTCTTAGTTGGAAAGGCGAGACGATGGCGTGGTGATCGTCTGATAAACATTTTCAATGTCTGGCTATGAGGGGTTCAGTACGTACATAGTCCTCATCTTTGTATTTGTCATAGAAAGCAATCTACTTTCCATTTTAAAAGCGCCTGCTTGGGTTCCAAACAGCACATGACTGCTCTACCGAAGGTAATTTGGGATATGCTTCATATTTTGTACTAGGCTTAGTTGCGATCTACTCCTCGACCGTGGCATTCAGCACCGCGAAATGCTTTCCCTTCCTAAAATCTCGAAGATCCGGTATCATGCCTACTTTGACCTTGACCGAACACGCGGCTATGAAAGCTCAACGACTACATATTTCAACGGGGCATGGAATAACCTCGTAGAGCGTGATAACAATGGCCCAATATTGTGACTTACCAGCCGAACTGAACATAGGTGCACAGGGCTGTACCTAAATGTCTCTCAGGCCTACATCAGAAACGTCGCGATGTCTTTTTAGATAAATGACATGCCCCGGGCTGCAGAAGGTGAATGATCCGCGTCCATTGAAGTGTTTGATTTGCTGCACTGCTCGGTGAGTTCACGATAGGCTTGCTCCTGTACCCTATTCACTAAAGAAGGCGTCCAAGAGACAACTTAGAATGTGGGTATACAAAGAGCACTTTTACCCGTCCTCTGTAAGCGTCGTGAGTGAGGATCTACCGTCGCATCTAGATGCGTATTAGTGCGAAGTATCCTATGTGTAACGCCCCACTTGGTCTGATTCTATTCATATGGAAGAGCAACGTTCCGGTATCTTCTTTCGCGAACTTTTTTCTAACTAGTAAATATGATAGCTTAGGCGCGGACCTGCGCACATTAGGATGTATCAGAAGAGTGGGCAGACAAGAGCCACGCTACTTTGACAAAACTAGTCCTGGTTCCAGCAGACCTTCAGGGAAAGGTTTGGGTATGCGAAAGGGTAGCTGGTGGGTGTCCCAGAAACTACTTAGCTTCTGAATGTGGCATTATGGGCTGACAGGATGTTGGAGAAATGAGAACGATGACAACAGTGCACGTGACCGCGGATTGTGAAGCTCTCAAGTGCTGGATCATCACAAAATGCGGGATTTTGCGGTCTCCTGGTTCTTACTGTCCTTCCCATAGCACCACGAAAATGTTCTGGACCGGACCAGTAAACGATGTTGAGAATCTCAGCAGCAGGAGCAGCTCGTTGTACTTATATAACCGCCTCAATCTTCACTTCGACCTACAATATCAACTCGAGAGCGAGAATTTGTACTGACCGGGATCTACATTTGCGTTCCTGTCACAGGATTAGGGGATAGACTGTTGATCCATGCTCCATCTCTTTTCCCTGGATAGGATAAAGAAGTCAGAAGAAGATCACTAAGGCGGAGGATTAGTCATGGCTGAAGCTAAGACAATTCTATTGCTCTCGTTTCCTATTGGCTGGATTTAATCAACGTGCAAGCAAAGGACTGTGCAACCCCCTGCACGGCATTTAACGGAGTTTTGACCCAGCCACCCCATTACGTCGCTTATGGCTTGACTTTGGGGGCCGGAACACCCGAAGTATTCCAATCGTAATCGATGTGACCGCGAACATCTAATGAAGTATTTGGTCAGAGGGGGCTGTGGATGTATCCGCTTCGTATAGAAACAATTGGTAGGGCTCGGGGAACGGATTTGAACAAAGATCCATCTCGATACTACTCAAGATAGATTGTACCTCATAATCTGGCAATGAAAAGGTTAAAACTACCCCCCAAGTACTCAACATCGGGACTCACGAGCAACACAGCTCGTGTTTTCATCTGCACCCCCTGCATATTCGCCTCTACTACTCATCTTCGCTGCTATGTCATCTTCATTCAGTTCGTCGCAGGTACATTTAGTAATACGTTCTACTTTTACAGTTTCATTTTCACCAGCGAGAAGCTTCAACTGACGAGTGACGTTTTATCTAGAGCTATTCAGTAAATTACTGTGCTCTTCGGCGCATCAATGCAGTCTAAGCCAGCTGATCAAATAAGCCTCTAAGATGTTCCCGCTACTGCGCAAGACTATGGAACGTGGAGTCGGCTGGGACCCAGTCTTCATCGTTCGGTGGTCCTCTCATTTCTTCAAGAGCTTGAATAAGTTGGTGTCGGAAGCGGCTGGTCGAGTTGTCCAGCTTGATACCCAAGATGAGACCGGGTATCACTCGTCTAACTCCTCCGATCACTCATCTACTTTAACCTTTCCTTCAAACCACGTCTATCTACCATATTCCAATCATGGGGATCGTCACCATTTCATGATTCCAGCTCTCAAATCCCGCAAATCTTTTATGGAGGTTCTGCGCAACGTGTCATATCTTTCCTGGACGAGTACAAGCATCCTAGCTCTCATAATTTTCCAACTAGCAGTCATCGTCATCCACGATGCTCTGTATTTCCTAGGCTATGGAACATATAAGTCAACATTGGATTCCGTAGAAACTGGAATATTTTCGCTATTCACACTGGAGATCATTTGCAGAGGTATTTTACATTATGGGATACCTCGGGATATCACTGCACGTGGCTGGACGTGGCCATTCGACGATATATTCAACGCTTTCGACGTCACTGCTATCATTGCATTCTGGTCCAAACTCGTGGTTTCGGCAGCTGCAGACAGCCCAGGACAGATTGTTCAACTGCTCTCGATGTTGAGTGCACTCCGCATTTCACGCCTACTGCGTATCACTCCAGCCACAGATAAGGAGACTTCGGTGATTATTGCTGCATTGAAAGACTCAAGCGCCAAATTAGCGAAAGTTGCGAGCTTTATTTGCTTCTTTTGGCTACTTTTCGGGGTCATTGGTATTCAGACTTTCCATTCAAGTCTTCGAAGATCCTGTGTCCTACCGGCCTCTCCCGATCTTCCAACTTTAGCGACCTCACAACATAATAAAGATGTCCAGTTTTGTGGGAGTTACGTTATTAATGATACTCTACATTCATGGCTACGTGCAGACGGCAGCCCCGTTGATGACCGTCCAAGAGGGTATTCTTGTCCACGAGGAATGATATGCCAGGAAGGCACAAATCCCTATAACAATACCGTCAGTTTCGATAACATCTTCCAGTCATTGGAACTAGTCTTCGTCATATTCTCTGCGAACACATTTTCGACGCTGATGTACAACACCATTGACAGCGAGGGACTGTTAGCCACACTGTTCTTCATTGCTGTCATCATTGTCCTGTATTTCTGGCTGGTAATCCTGTTGATCGGGGTGATTACCGGCTCTATACAAGAAATCAGACACAGAACGAAGGTTAGGACGGCCAATCTTCAGCCCGCATTCCCGCAACAGACTTCTTCGATGAGCACGCCGAAGGCTTCCCTGCCGGTAGGCCCTTTGCTGAGATTTCTGGAGCGAACGCAGTATTTTTGGATTATGATAATAACGTTTGGAGTTATCATGCAATCATTGCGATCTGCAGACATGTCTCCCTCTAGAAAGGATCTTATTGATAGATCTGAGACTGTTGTCACCTTCTCTCTCTTGGCAGAAATCATCATCCGCGCCATATCATTTGGGAAAGTGTTTTTCTTCAGCAAGCGCAACTTGGTTGATTTGGGACTTGCAACCGTCACAAGCATAATGCAAATCCCTTATATTCGCGAATGTTACGCAGGGCGAGTATACACGTGGTTCACCTTCTTCCAGATCGCTCGATGCTATCGAGTCTTCTGGGCATTACCAATGATCAGACAGATAATGGTAGGAGAATCGCTCAAAAATTGGTCTTCTTTCATTCTGATTGCATACCTAGGTCTTAGCTTTCAGCGCCTTCCCAAGTCTGTTGCAGTTATGCGCGTTCTTGTTTCTCTTAGTTATCTTCGCTGCGATCCTGGCGAGACGTATGTTCATGATGGAAACACAAGGTCCAGATGACCGTTTCACGGACTTGTGGAAATCGTTTTTGGCGATGTATCAGATCTTCACCGGTGAGGATTGGACCGAAACACTATATGCGGTTACATCGCGCAATCCAGGCAAACTGCTAGCCGGACTCGGAGCTATCTTTATCATCGGCTGGTTCATACTTTCTTCGATCATCGTACTTAATATGTTTCTTGCACGTATCGACGAGAGCTTTAACTTGCCAGAAAGAGAGAGGCGAATTTGGCAAGTCCAAACTTTCCTACGTAAGGAGCACTCCCTGGAACCGAAAATCCAAGGACATGATAGCGCGAGCATGGCAAAGCTACAAAGCTGTGCGAGTCGAGAGCGCTCAACATCATCGAATGTCATAGATCTTCACATGAAGTCCTTGATAGAAATCTTCACAGCAGACGAAACTGTGTTGGGACTTTTCAGCCCCGAAGTTGTCCCTGCCAGAGATCTATGGAAACCTATCAAGTTGAAGAGTTTGTTGGGTATCACGTATAATACGTCCCGTTCGGATTCTATAACCAAAAAGAGGCTGAGTACTTTCTTCAGCCGTTCGCAAAACTTCTGCAGACTACTAGTCATTCCAAGTGGCCAACCTTGGAGCTTACTACCCGGCGATGTGTTCAGGATATTCATATACACATCGGTAGTAGCTCAGGTTGCAATCACTTGCGTGACAACTCCGCTGTATCAGAGAGAGTACTTCCTCAAACATCAATACTCTACCTTCAATTGGCTTGTCAAAGTCGACCTGGCTTTCGCCACCCTGTGGAGTCTTGAAGCTTCCTTGAAGATCATCGCAGGTGGCCTCTTTCGAGGCGAAAATGCCTTCTTGAGAGGCTGGAATCTTATTGATGCGGTCGTACTCGTAACTTCATGGGCTGGAATAATACTCTCTCTACACAACTATGGTTCTATCGCTCATCGAATTGCATGTTTCAAAGCATTCCGCGTCCTCCGGCTTCTGACCATCAACGAAAAAATGATGACGGAAGTAACAATGGTGCTTCGACGAGGAGGCATCAAAGTCATAGCGTCGGTCCTTGTGTCGCTCAGTCTTTTGTTCCCCTTCGCCATATACGGGCTAAATATCTTTGTGGGTCTCTCGATGACATGCAATGACCCCCTTATCATGGACTTTCATGACTGTATCACTGAGTTCGATTACTCAGGGCAGCAAGGTGTTCTGATGCCACGAGTTGTTTCTAGACCTTATTATTCTTTCGATAATTTTGGTCAGTCCCTCTATACACTCTTCCTAATTGTATCTCAAGATGGCTGGACCGAAGTCATGTACTGGGCTCGAGGGGTTAGCACGACGCCTTACATGAGGTCGGATTCGATTTCCAACATCAACGCACTGTTTTTCGTTGTCTTCAATTTCTGCGGGACGATCTTTGTGACGGCGCTATTTGCCGCGGTCATGATACAGAACTATACTGAGGCTACTGGTGTCGCCTATTTGACACGCCATCAGAGATCCTGGATTGAGCAACGCAGAATACTTGACAGTGTACGACCTCACCGGCGTCCCACTCCCCAGGGAGAATTTTCATCCCTCAAAAAAGTATGCTATGTGATGTCGGTCAAAAAAGACGGTATATGGTGGAGGTTTGTCACTGCGCTATATATTTTCTACTTACTGCTCTTGTGTACCGAGTTCCATCCCGCAAGTGAAAAGTGGATATTAGTTCGCCGTAAGTATAGCCTTAGAGCAGCATTTTCCACTCTCATTCTAACATCACCGTAGCCGGGCTACTTCGAGCCATCTTGATATTCTTGTCCATCAATATGATTGCTCGAATACACGGTCTGACGCTGAAGTTTTTCTTAAGACGTCCCTGGGATTTGCTGAGTGCTATCCTACTACCCGCTGGATTGGCAACTTCCATCATTCAATCTTTCTTTCCCAAAAATTTCTCGAACAACTACGCCATTTGCATCATTCAACCTTTGATTGCTATATTAGTGATCCCCTATATTTCAACCTTCCAGAATCTTTTGAGCATCGCCTACAATAGTGTTCCATTGGTGACCACATTACTCACAACCTGGATTGTGCTTCTACTTTTTTTCGCTATTGGGTTAAATCAAACATTCGGACTCACACGTTTCAATTCGTACGGGACGAGCACTATAAACTTCCGAAACATTCCCAACTCCATAGTTCTCCTCTTTCGCATGACCCTGGGTGAAGGGCGCACGAAGATTATGGAAGACTTCGCTGCAGTCAAGGAGCCATATTGTACCCGTGTTGGACTCTATTATGAAGACGACTGCGGAGACGAAATTTTCGCGCGGGTCTTCCTCATCTCATGGAAGGTACTGAGTACCTATCTGTTCACCAGTCTTTTTGTTTCACTGGTATTCGATAGTTTCTCGCACGTCTATCAGAAGTTTCCCCTCATCTCTGGAATTCTCGAAAATGATGATATTCGAGCGTTCAAAGATGCTTGGGCCGTTTTCGACCCTACTGGAACGGGGTATATCACACCAGAGTCGCTACCGAAGTTCACAAACGCAATCACTGGACATCTGAGTCTTCGTGTGCACGATACTGCATTCTCGGCGGAAGCGCTACGTAGTGACGCCGAATACGCTGTACCACTACATCCGGGAGATTTGAACATCGTGAAGTTACATGAAAGACTGAATGGGATGGACGTTTCAGTCGTACGTGAGCGTCGTCGGACTATGAATCGATATAGAATGGAGCTGTTCCAACATATGCAACTCGATAAACGTACATCGTCGGTCAGGATACCTATGAAAGTTGCTTTGCTAACTTTATTTTATTATAAGCTAGTTGACCTTCGCGAATATCTTCCGTGAGTATTCCTCTCAAACGGACTTCGGGAACCTATGCGGTTACACAATGATCCAATACTAACATATGAGGTTCTTGTTATAGATTCGATGAATATGTCACGAGAGCTGAGAGGCTGCGAGATGTCGATGAGGCATTAAGAAGGGAATATCTCACAGGTTTAGTCAAGATTTGGCGTTGTAAAAAACGACGCAGGGAACGTTGGCTATCATAGAGATGACTATGACTCAGTAAACATCTTCATGATGACTGGAGGCCCAGGTGATCAATGGTATCTCACATATATAAAAGTATAATAAGAACAGAAGCCTTCTGAAGAACTTCAACGTCACGTTCAATACCGCAGATGCATGCAATGGTGATACATTTGAGTAAGATAAATCTGGGTATCAGTGCGAAAACATGTTCCAATCTATCTGTCTCCTAACATCCTGACTTGATGCTATTCAATTTCTTGTGTTTCGTCTTCCGGGCTCAGATCGAACAATTGAAGTGAGGGTTGAATGAAATTATAACGAGGCAACCTTATCGTACGCAGGTTAGCTAAGCACAGGCCCATGTAGGATTATACGTGTGAGAGGTGCTCGAAGCTGGCGGAGTGATCGGCTGCGTGGAAACATGCCTCCTTCAGCGCAGGACTGTAAAGATATGATCTGTCATTGTACACTTACAGCCGCAATGTCGCATAATGTCATCTACCACCTCAGAACCGAGGGATGAGGCGAATTAAATCAGGCATCGTTTCTCTCCGTGGAATCAGCCTTGATCTAAACCGCATGCGCTTTAGAAATCAGCGATCTGCGGCCACCGGAGTCGATATTGTGGAGATGATACTAGGCTTCTGGCGGCGCATTAGAGGATGGCACCCTTGCCACGCACTCGGAACACTAAGATCAAGAAGAACTCCCATGTCTGCATAGACAGAAGGGTAGCCGGTAATTATGTCGGCTTACTTTGATAGGGCCTCGGACTTCACCTCTGCGGTCACTGTTAGAGACTCACTTTTATTGATAAGTTGCTGGCCAGTGCTTGAGTGGACATGGATTGCTTGCCAGTATCGAAACTCGGAAGGATCTTGATATTTGGAGCTCCGACTTCCATGAAATCCAAATGGCTATGACATAAGCTTCATGACCTCAATCGCATTTGAAGAGCATCCCGTTGCCATTAGTGTCTCTCATTGTTGGCCTATGTTTGTGGTGATATGGTCCACTGCATTCGCCTTTGAAGTTTGTAATGATGAGCTCGTCGCAATTATGAAGACACATAGCTACACTATTACTGAGAAGAACGTTGGATGAAACATCGATCCTGCTATCATGCATGATAAAGCCATAGCGCCACGTAAGTAGGACACGTTTTGAGCTACGGCATGCTGATGGCTGGAGCGTCATACACGTCAATACGTCAATACGTCAAATGCGCAGTCAATGCTGTTGGCTCAGTTCAAAATTAGAAAAATCGATGCGTCGTTCAAATTAACTGAGTAATGGGTCATATTTTGTCCGTAAAAGAGGTGTGAGAAAGATTATGGAAGCAGGGGATCGGAAGATTGTGGAATGAACGTAGAAAATGGGGGACGAAGGACGCAAGGCAGCAAATGGGTGAGAGAGGATTCGACCGACATAGCCCATCATCAGACACTCCACGGCGTGCAGCGACCACCAAAAGAAGTATTGACAATAAATCCTTTGAATAAACAGAGAGTGGATTGGTACTCCCGGATTTGAATTGATATAAATACTACTCGCAGTGTCTGATCATTCTATCACATCACACAACTACTGTTTACTTGAAAAAACCAGTTGACAATCAACCTCAATTTTCACTTTCGCTTGCATTGACAATTATGAAGCTCTTTTACTACATCCTACCTGCTATTGCATCTGCGAGTCCCTTTCTCAGGAACTTAGATGCCAGAGATAAGGATAGCTCCACCGTCGAAGTTATCCCTACGCCCACATCCGCTCCCGAAGACAAACGTTCTATCCCTATAATTGATTTGCTTCTTCCTCACGATACGCCAGGGCCTCCTGCCTCATCAAGCTGGCCTACCCCCACAGCAGGGCCTCCTGCCTCGTCAAGCTGGCCTAACCCGACAGCAGGGCCTCCTGCCTCATAAAGCCGGCCAAGGTCCACGCCTTCTTAACACCTCAACCACTGATCGAATCATGGTGGGCAAGAAGATCTCAATCAAGACGCAGACCGACAACGCAGTCATTCAATATCATCACAGTACGGTCACGATCTATGTACTGAAAAGATATTGCAAGATACTTTTTCATATGCTACAGAGGCTTTTCCATTGTTCTAGTTCACCAGTGTCGTCTCAGGGGAACATCAAGAGTTTTACTGGCTGTTCGGCAATTTCCTGTGTGTGGATCCGCGCTGCTGTTTGCAATCCTGTTTTTGTTTTTATCTCTTTGTGTCTTCTACTGTCATTACCGCCTAACTCACACATGTCTTAAACATTATCAATAGACAATGCATTTATTCTCGCAACAGGGAGCAAATATCGTCCTTCGCAAAAGTGATGCGGAAGCAGTTGCACGGGAATCCCATATCTTGCATCGTATTTCAGGGGTGACTACCTAGGTATATTGTCCAATCAATCACCATGGTATCTTAATCTCACGATAGTCACGTCATAGTTCGCGGAAACTACATCTTCATTCTATTCTGTTCCGCTCTGTTGATTTTTGTACGTGTTCAGTAAGCACTGAAGTAAAAGTGTTGAGGAAAATTATGTTTTCCGTCTCGATCAACCATTGAAAACATACTAGTTCAGACTTTATTTTCCATTATTCTTATATTTTAGACAGTATGAGATGAATTGGGTGATGGAGCAGAGGGCGATAGTTCATATATTCAAATGTTTGAACGGGAAACCAGTCACGTGACCGGAAATATTCGCCTACAAACATCTTCCTGCTATTGAATAACTCGAGGCCATGGCGACAGATGAGGTCTGAACCGATCGATTTCAGTAACAATTGGTGAGTCTACAATTCGGGGTCTTGAAACGGCTGGATACCGAATGGTGGCGCAGTGCCTCGTATTGTGGGGCCGGGAATGTGTGCGGGGCTGAACACGAACATTGAATGATCTCTGCCCCTTACTGTGCGCTTCATTTCCGAAGCCGGGCACTGGGCTTTACATGTCACAGTAAATTGATTGGTGGGGGGGCTGCATGAACTTATGTACAAATTTCTCATACCGGTTTAGTTGTCAATCAGTGTATAGGCTACCGTGGGAAGTACAAGTCGAAGATTGGCGACTTTTGGAGAAGGAAAAGAAAACCTATCTATGCGCGCAATGCCACTTAGATTGATCCAGATATCACACTGCCATTATTATTCCAGCACTTTTGTATTTATTGGTTCCAAGGCTGCATACAAATCCAGCTGTCACGATACTGTAGAGAACCTAAGTCGTGCGCGGTATCTCCCTCCTCGTGCATCTAATGCATGTAATAACATGAAACAGGGTGTAGAAAAGTGAGAAGTACATGCCGGCGAAGGCCGACAATTGCTGGGTACTCTTTCTACAGACATCAATCCCACTATCGTCAACACATGCATCGGAATGACTGCACAGCTTCATATTTCCGCTGTTTTCGATGCCTGATTCTTTTGCCTTCTCATCTGCAAGGCGTTCTTCAACTGGTTGTGAAATTACAGTCAAAAATGCAGTATATAAGGACTGGTATCTTGCTCGACTAAACTTCTCATCACTATCCATCACAGCAGAGCTTTCCATTTCAATCAGATTTACACTCCTCAACATCCATTACACGCAATCTTTGTTCACTTCATCGCAATTATGAAGTCCATGTATTACATCCTGCCCGCGGTGGTAGTAGCTGTACCTCAAAGATTCCAGAACTCTACAGTTGTTGCAAGCCAGATTGCACCGATTCGTGATCCTTCGACGCGTAGTCAAGCAACTCCAAGCATCCAAGTTTCGACTCGTGGTCAAGCACCTTCAAGCATCCAGGCTTCTACACGCAGTGAAGCAGCTCAGCTGCCAGCTAGTAGCCAAGCCGTTTCTATTATTCCAACTACGACACGCGGCAACGCAGCTCCCCAATCGTCGAGCAGCCGACGGGATCAAGATACCGGAGTTCGAGCGAGCAGTTCAGCACCCCAGAGGTCAACGCGTAGTGAAGCAGCGCCGATCTCTTCAGCCGCAGGACAAAGCCAATCTGCTCAGACCACTCGCAATGTAGCGACCAGCTCAGCAGCCCAGAGATCAACACTCAGCCAAGTGGTTCGAAGTTCACAAGGCGCAGCAAACAGTCAATCCGCCCAAACCACTCGCAACGTAGCAAGTAGCTCAGCACCCCAGAGATCAACACTCAGTCAAGTGATTCGAAGCTCGCAAGGCGCAGCGAATAGCCAACCTGCTCAGACCACTCGCAACGTAGTGAGCAGTTTAGCACCCCAGAGATCAACACTCAGTGAAGTAGTTCGAAGCTCGCAAGGCGCAGCAGTGAGTCAATCCGCTGATAATACCTCTGCGGGAAGACCTCGCTCGTCGGCATCTCAAAACACGCTCAATCCGGTACCCAGCTCCGCAGGACCTCAAACCACTCGTAATGTGGTATCCAGCGTACCAGGACCTCAGAATACTCGCAATGTGGTACCTAGCTCAGCGGGACCGCAAAGCCCTGAAAACCCGACGCGTGTGCTTTCAGCAAACTCTGGACCTACTCTTTTGACTGGCAATAGAATTGGCGTGGCGACCAATCTCTAGATTCCCCCGCTCGCGACTTCTAGTCTCGGCTTGGCTTCGTCAGAGTCGTCTAGTACATCACCCTCCAGATGATGCAGATATTAAGCGTTAGTGGGGATAGTTTCTTCAAACTTGTACATATACTGGACATGAATTGTTGTTAGCAGTTTTGCGTAGTTGTTATTTCTTCCTGGCTTTGCTTTCTGTTTTCCTCGGCTGTTTCTTAGTTCCTGTTCTTCTTGATTTGTCCATGTTATGTTTGGAGAAGTCCAATCTAGTAGTGTTCTTCAATTTATAGAAATGAGATCGTGATTTTATTATTACTTTCTGCACCGTGTTTCTGTCAGGGTGAGTGTGAACAATGAGGATAGTGAACAAGGCGAGTCAATTTGCTCTTCATAACGAGGGCTAAACCCCGCTTGGCCACTAATTGGGCCATCATGTGAGATTTTGATTGCAACAGAAGTGGATTGATGATACTATCTAGCTGTGTTGAAAGTTCTAGCCCATATCTGATGAAGACAGAATACCAACACGGCAATTTTTGCGAGGATCTCGTTAGGAATAGACAGTAAGCTGCAATGCCCTTCATCGGGATCCTTAAGTTTAGGTGGAGCTGACGTAGTCCTCTTTCTTTTTCCAATAGTCTGAAAGTGCTGACTCGGCGCAGAGAGTGTCGGTTGAGCGATTAGTGGGCGAGAGGTGTGAAGTTCGGTGGTCCGCGCGTGCCTACATATGTAGGCAACCTTGGAGTCAGCGCCAAGACCCTGAGCCGCTAACTAAGAATAGTGAATGGGAAACGTTGAACGCATGCATCACCACGGTGAATGTCTGCACCGCCACTGAGTCACGTGACCGCTCATAAACCCTACGTGCATACATGTGTATTTATTATGTGCATTTCGCACCATAACCCCACAATCAACATACTGTGCATGCACATTCCCCAACTCTGTACGACAAACTTCTCGATATATCTCGTGCGCCCGCCCCAATACACATGCACTCAAGTTACATATGTACGAAACAGCCTCAACCCCTCCTCCTCTCGCCGAACCGCGCGAAGCCATGTCGAGCCCACAAAACGGATCATCCCTAGCGCACATGCCCCTCGAGATACAACAGAATATCTTCTTTCGACTAGACATGACCGACTTATGCAATCTGCGGAGAACATGTCGCGCGATTGAAAACAGCCTCTACGACGACTTTTTTGACGAGATCTGCCGAGAGATACACGTCGTCTGCCATCCTGTCAGCATGGATAGATTTCGAGCAATGGCGAGCGTTCCAAAATTGGCTGAAAAGATACAAGCGGTGCATATATCTACGCACGTCCTACGGGGTCGTGACGCTGTAGAAGCGCATGCGCAAGAGTATGCGGATATGTGCTGGGCGGAAGCAAACGCTGTGAATTCCGACAGATTTGGAGCCAATACTTTTACCTCGGCTTTCCTTCGATCGTTCCATTGTTTATTGGGTTTACCCAATCTTCGAAACCTGGTCATCTCAGATCTTCCAGACCCATGGGCAGAACTACAAACTGGACTATCGCCACCGAAGCCACTTGGTCGCAAAGCCATACTCGCTAGTACAGGCCACGATATTTTGGATGATACTGACCATATTCCTTCCCCAGCTTTCTACTGGACACTCCGACGATTCGTGATGGCTCAAGCTCTTCGCCTTACGAGACACATTCCGGATGGGCATGATGTCACCTTGGATGTGGCCATCAAGGTCCAGCATGGAATCCAGTGGACAGAAACTGAGATGGATAATTCCTTGCCACCCCAATTTGCCACGGAATGGACTTTAGCCTGTCATCGCGTTCGCCGCTTCACGATCGACTATTCACAAGCCGTCCAACCCCGGCTCGGCAGTATGATGGGCACTGGCGACGCAGTTTTTCATGTAAACCAACGCAATACTAATGATTGGATTATGGGGCCAGATTTAAGTCCTAGCATTCTATCCATTCAAGGTTTATCCAGAAATGCAGTCGGTTCATGGACATTCAGCTTGAAATCATTCACACAATGGAAAAACAATGTCAAGAAGCTGAGGGTTCATAATGCCAAAACCTTACCGCATTTCATGTGTGGGTTACTGGAGCACTATAAGGAATGCACAGTCCTGGAGCTTACAGAAGTACTATTCTATTCTTGGCGATTGGGTCCACCCGCATGGAGAACCACTCTCAGTCATCTGGGAGGAATGCAAGAGTTAAGTTCTCTGCGACTGTCTAAGATAGGCTATAGCACGTTGAAAGGACCACGCCATGACCTGTTGAGACTCCAGGCGAAGTTCTTCCCTAGTCAATCGTCGCACTTCATCGCGAAAGCCGAGCCATGGCTTGGGAAGGAGAAAATACTGGATGTAATGAACAAGATCCGTCTTGACCATCCTCCCCAAAGAACTTTCTTGTTTCAACGCCCTGACGGAAAACTAAAATGGTATGTGGAAGTTGGTGATCTTGCTTGAAGAGTCTAGGTACCTCAACTATGCAATTACATAATAATTGCGAATCGATATCGAGGATGACAAAGCCGATCATGCCTTGGATGGTAGGAGGTTGGCATAATGCAAAACCAGACTGTCCGCTTCAGTTAGCTTCGTCTGTTGAAATTGCGCGTGTGGAGATGAATACGGTCCTCATGGCGATGAGACATTGTGTGTGGATACTGTACGTATGCGCTGTGTGAAGCGAAAAGATATATCCACTGAGCAAGGCTCATGCAAGTACCAATGGAAATGTATACGATATGTTCCTTGAATATATGAATGATCTCCATTTTGTTGTGTTCAATATCCATACTCAGTCCTCCGGTGCTCAGTACATGTGCTATGTTCAGCGTATTGGATGCGACCGGTGGCGATCGACGGGATCTAGCACACCAGTGATACCACAATACAAAGATACTAAAAAATCTACATTGAAATGGCCGCACGATGATGTATTGTGAGAAGTGAACAGAATCTCAAGAATCACGATGTCCTCGACCTCAAGAACGATGACGTTGGTTAACGTCGTCTCGCTACTCTATGTACCGAGGATGTCGCGCTGATCATCACCGCATACGGTAGGTCATGTGTAAGTATATCCTTTCCATCCAAAATAGGTAATCGCTTATCATTGAGCTACGTTCTTCCACCAATGTACACTATCAATTCAGCCTGCAATCATCCCTGCTTGATATGGACCTATACTTGACATGGTATTTGGAGGGGTAGCTAGCAAGTTATCAGCAGTGATGCCCGCCAACTTATAGATTGCGCCTGAACATTCCACGAAATGTTATCTCCTCCACGAGAATTGCACTGGAAACCATGATCTTCAAAGAAAGCTTATGCCGTGTTGTATTGGCGTTGAATGTGGTGGGAACGGTTGTTGGCCACTCCAACGACGAAGGTCCAGGTAGCACCGCCCCTGTGAGGCCATTCCGTCTCGATCAAGTCCAACTCGGCGATGGCTTGTTTCAAGAGAAACGCGACCGTATCAAGAGCTTCATAGAAAGGTACGACGAGCGCAGGTTTCTTGTGCTTTTCAACAACGTAGCTGGCAGGCCAAACCCCGAAGGCGTTCTGCCGCCAGGCGGATGGGAAGAGGGAGGGCTGCTCAGCGGACACTGGACTGGCCACTACATGTCTGCTCTTTCACAGGCCTATGCAGAAAGAAAAGAGAAAGCATTTAAGACGAAGCTTGACTGGATGGTGAAGGAGCTAGCAGCTTGCCAGGAAGCTTATACTACCGATAAAGCACCTACTCATCCGGGATATCTAGGAGCACTTCCAGAGGACACTGTTTTGCGTGCAGGACCCCCGCGTTTCGCAGTTTACGGAAGTAACTTCACGACCAACACTTGGGCACCGTGGTATACGCAGCACAAGATTGTACGGGGGCTATTGAACGCATATTACAACACCAACAATACCCAAGCTTTGGATGTAGCAGTCACCATGGCAGAATGGGCGTACCTCGCACTGACGATTGGCGACAAAAATCATCCGGACTACAAGGGAAACTTGACACGGGACGACCTCAATTACATGTGGGATACTTACATCGCGGGCGAGTTCGGTGGTGCCAACGAAGTGTTTGCAGAAATATACGCCTTGACAGACGACGAGCGTCATTTGAAGACAGCTCAAGCATTCGACAATCGGGAGTCTCTTTTCGGCGCCTCTGTTGCGAATGATGACATCCTCGTCGTTGCGCCGGGTCAGCAACCAGGTCGAAAGCGCGCAGCACGTCTTCACGCCAATACGCATGTGCCGCAATTTCTCGGTTATATGCGAGTTTTCGAACAGAGTGGTGACTCCGAATACTTCACCTCCGCCAAAAACTTCTTCGATTGGCTGGTTCCACATCGCGAATTCGCAAGTGGCGGCATTGGAGGCATTTTCCCAGGTTCCGATACCAACCCTGAGTTGTTCCAAAACAGGGACAACATTGCGAACGCGATTGGAGGTGACGGCGCCGAAACCTGCACGACCTACAACACCCTCAAGCTCGCCCGCAATCTCTTTCTTCATGAGCACAATGCGACGTACATGGATCATTACGAGCGCGGTTTGTTGAACATGATCACTGGGTCTCGCGCCGATACCGACAGTGTAGAAGATCCGCAACTAACGTACTTTCAACCTCTCCGCCCTGGGTCTAACCGCGACTACGGAAACACCGGTACATGCTGCGGCGGTTCGGGCATGGAAAGTCATACCAAGTACCAGGAGACAATATACTTTCGTTCAGCGGATGAATCAGCTCTTTGGGTGAACCTTTACGTACCTTCTACACTGGACTGGAGTGAGAAGAGTTTCGCGGTCAATCAAGAAACAAAGTTTCCCCGGGGAGATACTTCACGCTTGACAATCACTGGAGAAGGACAACTGGATGTGAAACTAAGAATACCCGAGTGGGTTCGTAACGGCTTCACTGTGACTGTAAACGGCGAAGCGCAACCGACTCAAGATGTGCAGCCTAGCACATATTTCTCCATCGATCGCGTGTGGAGCACAGGCGACGTAATCGAGGTCGCAATGCCGAAAAGCATCTGGACGGAACGTGCACTTGACCGTCCGGACACGCAATCTCTTCTTTGGGGGCCGATTGTACTGCAGCTCGTCGGAACACCAAGTAATGGTTCAATCTGGGAGCTTTCTCTCTACAAATACCTCAAGCTAGACGGGGATTATCAACGTGCTGCTCTCCGAAGAACCGGAAACACTACTACCGGCGATCCGCTTTTTACAGTTGGTAATACTACTCTAACCGCTAGGCCTTATTACATCAGCGACAACAGTCCTGTTTCTACATACTTTCGTCGCGTAGAGCCTACCGTAGTATTTGGGGGCACTGATTCTGGTGTGCCGAATCGAAAGCGTAACGACGGTTTGCCAAAATATGACGTTCCCGTTGCTGGCATCACTTCTCCGGGATCGGATGGTCCTTCGTTCCTCGATTTGGTGTGGGATCAAGCGCCCTTTGCGACACATACCGATTTCGTGGACTCCGTTACATCTGTGGCCGATTCCTTTGTTTCTTCAGGAGTGTATAGTGCTCAAGAGAAGGATATGATTATCGATGCTGCTTTGGCGGCAGAGCAGAATATGAGTATGTAGGCATCTGCGATAGGAATTTCCATAGCAATCTTCTCTGGCTATTGTCCACCCCATTTCCATCTGCGTTATAGACTGTTTGTTGATAACTCATTCGTCATGCGGTATAAAACACCTGTTCTCTGACTCGACGGTGCTTGTGCAGCATAGATATAGGATGAATTGAATGCAACACAAGCAGTATAGTCGAAATACGTCAGACGAGGCGTTGTTTGGAATACTGGAATTGGACATTTCTTGAGAAACTAGTACATCTCCACCTCTGTCACCTTTTCTTGTTTCCTGTCTCCCCGCTTCCGTACTATGAAGCATTCATCCCGTCTTCTTTCACACAGATCATGTTCTTCACACTGCACTAAATCTTGGCGGCTTCACAAACATTGACTGAATATTCACCCTGACCTCGCCTCCTACGCTGCACTGCACTCCCTACACTGTTCAACGTCCACCTTAGCATACCACAGGAAGAAGACAAGCATCATATCTCACCGTAAGTGTTTGTTTCATACAAACTGCTCAGTAGGCTAACTTAATAGACACTCGCACACGATGTCCGGTCACCATACACGTCGCCCACCTGCGCTCGGCGAACCAGGAGAATGGCCAGAATGGCCCGCGCTACCCGCGCACATGGATCCGGGGCGTCTGAATCCGGCGCGCATGAACCCCACGCGCATGAATTCGACGCAGTCCACATCCGCTTCTTCGTCCACGCTTTGGGGTGTCCCGGGTCAACACGCAGCACTTGCTCCGCAGCAGGCTTCGACCACAAGTTATGCGGGAGCCGCCCGACTCAATACTCAGCATTCCTTTGTGGGAGGTAATCATCCCTTGTAAGTTTTGGGTCTCCGACAGCTTTGTGGCATTCGGCATTCCTGTTATATAACAGGAAATTATGCTATATCCTAGCCATTGCCATACTCTCTAGATTATACTGATATCCGATTAGCGCGTCACAATCAGGACCGCAAGAGCTACCGCGCCAGTCCTCAGCCGAATCTCAAAGTTCCGACGAGAGCGAGGACGCATGTCCGATCTGTCTGAGCCGGGTGGATGACACCAACCGCTATCCAACTGCATGTGGTCACAAGTTCCATTTCACATGTCTCTTAAAATGGGTGGATCGGCAACCTCGGAGATCCTCAACATGCCCTCTCTGTCGCGTCCGTCTTCAGTGTCCAAACGGATACCAACCTGCTGCGTCCATGTTGCGTCTCGTTCAACACGATATGGCATCGCATCCTATTCGGCATATCGGCCTGCTTCAATTGTCTCTTGCACGCGCTGAAGGTTTCATACGCGGTATGCCGTGGACGGTACGTCCAGCAGCACCGTCCAATACTTCGGTTTCTGGAAACGCTTCCAACGCGCCACCTCGCACGGATGCTCATTTGGATTAAGACGTGGAGATTCACGCATCACTGCACGAGGCGCGAGTGATGAACAAGAATCATGTCACATGCAAGAGTCTATCGATTAGCGCGTGGTCTCTGAGTCTTTGGCAGGCTGTATTTGTGGTCCTGGTACGAGCCATACTAGTTTCTTCTTGTTTTCTTCCGATGGGGGATTAATTCATACCCTGCCTCTCAGTGATTGGCAATGGTGGTTAGAATAGCAGATTATAATGCTATAAGCACGGACTCTGAGCTCAGCTACATTGATGAATACTACTGTGCTCTATGCAATGATGCAAAAACGTGTTGACATGGTCGCGTCTGAAATTCGTTCATTGACATCAGGACTCAGATTTACAACGCTATATTTTGACAGCTGTACCTTTTTCACATCCCATTAAACTAATTCATTTCTAGATCGCAGTGTCCTGTCGAGCTTGTGTCCATTTCACGTTCCTCATAGCCGGCTTCCGCGCCAACACAGAGTCGCAGACCCCTCTTTCGTGATGGCTTCCTTCAACTGAGTGTGTCTTTGTTCACGAAGATGCGCTTGTAATAAGAATGTATCTCATTTCCCATGTTCTCTCGTGCGTTTCTTTGGTTGGTTGTTTTGTATTGTGCTGCCGAGTCCCTAGGGGTAACGATCGTTTGTCTTTCATGATTCACACCCACCTATCGAACGCCACTACTGACATTATCACTCTTTTCAGCAAACAAGCACGACGGATAGCCGAGATTTTGCCGAGAAATGCAGATATATCTCTTTACAGGAATACGCATACGATCGGTCCAGAGCAACGACGCAGACGCGGCCTTTCAACCACTGTGTATGACAACGCATCATGAATCAATTCAACAACCGCGAATATTACCGGCAGCGTCTTCTCACCGCGGCATGCAGGTTGCACCTAATGCTGGTGGCGGAGACGGAGGATCCTCCTCCAGAGGATACGATGCTGCAGAATATCGAGCGAGCTGAATCTTGGTGTGCTCTACTGGAGGAGCGGCACAGAGCTTCAAATCGCAATACAATGCTCAACAGGGATCCCAGCAACTTCAGAGATCTTGGAAAGGCGCTTGAAACGGTAGCTATGGAAGCTGCTTCGTTGAGATCCGTTCAAAATGAACAGCAAACGGTCATCAACAATCTTCATGGTGAGCTAAGCCGGCTGAGAAGTAACAATGCGAGCTCCTCCCAGGAAGACAGTTTGGCAAAACGCATTCAAGATCAACAACAAATCGTAATCAATGATCTCAATCACGAAAACAATCGCCTGAGATTCCAGCTCTTTGGGTCAGCCAATGCCAGCAACAATCGCCGTATGCCTTTTCCACAAAACATCCCAAACAATACTGGGACTTCCAATACGCTCCAAAACAACACTCCCAACGGTGCCATAGCGTCGAGCTCCGATGGCAACAATCGATCCCGCCCCGCGCCAAATCCTTCCGTGGATATCGGTATCTTCTTCCGCCTCCCAGGTCTAAGCTCGAAAACACATATCAGCCAGGTTCCAAACGATGTTGCGTCGCAAGTGAAGACATTATTCGAGCAGGGATGTACGCAGCAAATATACGAGAGCCTAAAAAATCCCGCAATACTACAAAAACACATTTCTTCAGGAGTCTGTATTCGCTCAACTACATGGAATTTGCCCAAGAGCCCCGAAACATCACTCAAGAAAGGACCTCGCGGCTGTGCTAAATGTACAGCGCTCGGCCTACCATGCGCTATCATAGCGAAGCATGATTCACAAGAAACATGGGTTATATTGTTTCTCCCATTGCCGATCGAGGAGATACAGAAAGGCATCACGTGGCACAACTTGGCGTATTGGGCCAAACAATTTATACAAGTCTGATCAAGACAAGGGATTCGCATGATCTCGTAGGATGGTTCACGGGTCAGGATTCAGGACATTGATGATGGATAAAGGGGTTGGGAATTGGTATCGAATGCTATCCGAGTCTCTCACTTTGTCAATTAACGAGTTTGTTACCCAGTTGCTCTCCTGTTCTACGAGGGAAATACATTCATCTTTTAACCTAAAAGAAAAGCACATACGTATGAATCTGGGGTAGCACTTGAGTGGATATTTCTTCCACAAGCCGATTGCGCACCATGGATCATGTTAGTCTTTGATTATTTGGATAATATATTGTTTCACCTGCTATCATTTGCGATATGCGCTGGTGTCTGAGAACAGGCATGGAAGATTGATTCACATTGATTGACGCGATTAATCCACGACTAGGCTTTTTGCCTGTGTCTTCCATTTCCGTGCCCCCTTTCAACATGTCCTCCCCCACATCTCAAGATCCATCATAGCTCCCCGTCTTGACAGCATTCTCCAAGGATCCTCCCGACAATGAAAAACAGTTCCCTTCCAGCCTTTTTGTATTCATCGCATTCTGATGCGGCACCGACACACGATGTATTCCTTCAATCCACCAGTTTCCCTTCCACGAAGAATTAATTTCATCCTTCATTGCTGATAATCTCTCAACCAACACCCTAGCTCCCACAAATTCCAACTTGCAACTTAAGTACCAACTTAAGTACAGAACTTTCTTCAGCTTCTTTCAGGTGAAGAACACAAAACCCTCTGATTTCACCCCAAACCCCAGCTTAAATACATGACGTTTCCAGTTTGTTTCAACTGAACAACAGAAACCCTCTGATCTCACCCCAAACTCCGGCTTAAATACATGAAGTTTTCAGTTTCTTTCAACTGAACAACAGGAAGCTTCCGATTACACCCCAAACTCCAGCTTAAGTACATGACGTTTTCAGTTTCTTTCAGCTGAACAACACAAATCCCTCCGATTTCACCTCAGATTCCAGCTTAAATACATGACTTTTCCAGTTTGTTTCAACTGAAGAACACTAGTACAACGCAATTTGGTGCTTTAGGCAGGTGAAGATGCCACCATTGTAATGAAAAATCGATTTTTTGAGACGATGTTTCTTACGCCGTACAATCACCAAGACGTTTCCCACAAACGGGACATCTCGGAACTTTCAATTCAGCGTCTGATTCTATTTCCGAAATCAAACACTGCAGATGTATCCTATGAGAACAAATTGTTGTGTATGTTGATTCTCGTGAGGTAATCGCGTCGGAGCAAAACCCACATATGTCAGTGTGGCTTCCCAGACTGCCTGCGCTATGATTCCACGCGGTGTTTGGTTCGTGAGGAGTATGTTGCGCGGTATTTATGAGGCTTGAGCGTGGGGAATGGACGGCGTCGTGGCTTTGTGCTCCAATATCTAGCTGTTGAAGGGCTTGTGTGGTTGAAGCAGCAGCAGCTAGATTTCTAGCATCGGCTTTGCGCATCTCCTCTTCTATCATCTCGCCGAGGGTTTGCTCTGCGGGGTTGGAAGTGACAACAGCATTTGTTTGAGTAGCATATTGACTACTTAATCCCCTGTTTGGCTGTTGATGGTCTTGTGAAGGAGCCGATAAGTTCGATGGGGGAACGGGCCTCGAAGATAAAGGAGCTTGAACTAGTTGTTGTTGCGGATGCAAAGAATTCGGAGAGGGTTCAGAACCAGCATTCTGAGTCATTTCCCGTGTCCTGAAAGGCGGTTGAGCTGATGATGCTGTGGCAGATTCCGGCAGTAGATCTCCTGCACGTATCGCTTGCAGAGCCCAGTCTGAATTATCCGGCCGGCTTGAGTCAATGATAAGAGGAGGACCATGCCCCCAACCTTCAGGCATAGGAGGGTTGCCTGTATTTTGTCTCAATGTAGGATCAGAGCAGTACCTACGATTGGCAAGTGATGTGGCCAGGTAGCTAGTCGTGGTGGACTTGTTCAAGGCCCAGCCTTTCTCAGTAAATAATGGTACACTAGATTCAAAGAACGCCGATGTGTCCTTAATGAAGCCATTCAGTTGGAGACTCTCATGTTCCTCCCTGTCGGGACGAACGCGAATGGAACTCGAGTGAACGTGGGAGCAATGGGTTTTAATCCACGTAGGGAGCGCGTATAGGCGAGGACATAGACAGCCTCTAGGATGGGTGGCGCCACAATATCCGCAAGGACCCTCACATTCGTTCAGTAGCCTCTGATTCAGTGGATGATCTGTGTACAGGTTGAGACACCGTACGCAAGTACCTTCCGGGCAGTTATAACATCCCAATAGGTTGGGAAGTTGTTTGCTGAGCGATTCGTTTTCGATATGAAAGATCGGCCCCGGAACAGGGATGCTTCTCCATGGAGGATTTTGAAGTGCGCCTTTCTGCCTTTGTTGGTTTTGTGGGGCTTGCTGGACTTGCAGAGTTGGATTCGGTGGGAAGCTCGTTTGAGGTGGGAAGCTCGTTTGAGGTGGGAAGCTCGTTTGAGGTGGGAAGCTCGTTTGAGGTGGGAAGCTCGTTTGAGGTGGATAGTTCAATTGAGGTTGAAAGGGCGGCGGATTCCCATAGACCCATTGCGGTGGAAGAGGAGTATGAGGTGTATAGACTGGCGGATATCCGTACAACTGTTGAGGCTGTGGCGATGGTTGAATCATATAACCCTGTTGAGGCTGAAAGAATTGTGGGTTTTGAAAGGCTTGTTGGTTCGGAAACGACTGTTGGTCTTGAAATGATTGTGGGTTTTGAAAAGAATGTTGGTTTTGAAAGTTTTGTTGGTTTTGAAAAGATTGTTGATTTGGTGGGGGATAGTTCCACCCCGGCATGCCATAGTTGTAGGATGTCATGGTTTGCGTGAAGAAAAGAAAGGAGAGCTTGAAGCTCCCCAGAAAAGGACTGTATCTGCGTGTGTATACACGCCGGTTGGCTTTGAGGATGCCAGGTGAGCTTGTGCAACGAGGAGAAGAGGCGTTTGCCAGTCACCTCGTGGAAGCCGTGCGAGTGGCCTTGACACGTGACATCGGATTTACGTTCCACCGGTCACCCCAGTACCTCTGGTCATATAAAGTTGGAACCACCGATTTCACAAATTCCAAATAATGTCGAACGGTTGAGAATCAATAGTATTTCACTCCCCGTGCAACAAACCAAGCTTAGAAACGAAACCATGTATGTAGATCAACAGTGATCATACAGCCACTTTCCATATATAGTTGACCATAGCTACAGATGGCATCCCCCACTACCGACTCAGACGGCATGCCCAGCGAGTTCAGTATGTTTGGCGAGCTCACCAACTACGATTTCGTGACTATAGCCGAGGAGATCCTCGAACTCCAAGTCAACTGCCACCGTACAGCTCACAAACATCAACTGAACGCTGAGATACTTGAAAACTACGTCCGGAAACTGCGTCTTGGAAAGACAGACGGAACCATTCAAGACCCGGAAGCAAAGAAGAGCATTGCAAAAGCGGCAGTGTCTGCACGCACTCGTTTTGAAGATTCCAAGCAAAATATCATCACAGCATGTATGTTTTTGCGGGGCGTAAACAAGATTACCCGCTAACGACGCTAGTGGAACGGCTTTTGACGTGTACTATCCACGAACTATCTCCGTACGATGATGTATTCGATTTCAAGCTCATGCACGGCGTCAATAAAATCTTTTCCAAGAGGGAAAACATGAAGCTTTTACAAAGTTTTTATGAGGGTCGCGTGGCTACTCTGCTTGATATTATGTGGGCTCGATTTCAAGACATCATTGTCCAACAACCACTGGACATACAACTGCGCATTAGGGGCAGATCCTTTGACGAGACTGGGTAGCTAACCACTTTGCTGGGTTGTAGCTGCCGTGCAATACATAGTGTAGAGCGAGGGTAATCATACAACTCAATTAGCTCCCATCAGTCTCATCCTGTGCCTCTCGCCCAGTTGGTCGCACTAGCTTAAGTGTTGTACATACCAGAGTCTTATTCCTACTACAATTCTCTTGTGTCTACATCCAGCAGACGCACACGGATAGCCGCACGAATCCCATTATCCTCTTATTCCCCGCGCTTTCCGTGCAGTCTCATATGTTTCTCGGTGGATCAAGCGGTTCCGCACGTGATCATTCTGATAACGTATAGCACTCGTACACGGCACACCACCTTTGTCTCTATCAGATCACCAAATCTTGGTCGGCGAAAAAAGCACAATGGTCGTGAAGCATAATTTTGTATGCTTGACCTGGCGGGTTGTGCAACACGAGAGGGTACGCGATCAAAAAGAGGACGGAAAATCCTCATCGGACATAGCGGAGGTGAGAGTACTGCACAAAAGACATGAATGAATTAGGGTTGGTAAATCTGAGGTGCTCAGTGAGGAGGAATACACTAAGAAATAAGAGACGGGATACATTTACATGGTTCACCCAGCCAGGGAATTGGGATTCAGGCGGGATAACATTACGAGTTACAAGCTCGAGACTTGAGCCAAGTCACGTGGTCTGTGGTTTCCTCGCCGAACAGAACCTTGTATACCGATGGATGCGCACCGTCAAATCGGTGGAGCACGTAAAGGTGGACCTCAAAGGACGAGCATGTATTCCTCCACCTCTCCTTTATCCAACGCGCAAAGTCTCCATGGACTGATGAACCGGTGGCCAAAGAGTGGTGCGCGCAACATGGTGCGTGGGACAGCATCAAGTCGGCGTCGGAAGAACCATGGCAAGCTGGAAAAAAGACGATTGCCGAATGATATGCTGGTAACTTTATAGTCTCTATGCAAAGCCGCACTGCATCCTTTGCGAAGGACGTTGGTGATACGCCCGGGTCGGAAGCCCGCAGCCTGGAGGTGTGAAGGACGATACGATAAGTGGCAGGATGCGAATTGCCACTTTCTCATATGATTCTCGCATTCAGTCTGGCAGCGCGGTCTCTTCATTGACGTCGGAGTGATCAACAGGAGCTGGAGGTTGTCCGCTTCACTATATTCATCTACCGACGTAGCCAAGAGGCAAATCAAAGAACGTATCTGCAGTACTGAGCGATATCACCGTTGCTTATGTTTTCCAAGGTTTACGCTATTTTTGGCAGCTCATGCGCGTCCTCCGGTCTGGAAGAAATGAGGCAAAAGTACGTAGCGCACCCCTGCCACCCCAATTCGAATCGGTCTCGATCTTTTTGCCTCCGTGGGCAAAGAGAGTAATCCGATGCCCTTGGCATGAGTCACCTTGCTGCGTGCCATCAGGGTCTCTGTGGCCTTTTCACGTCACTGCGCTTAAGAAAAGATCTGCTCAAGCTTAGTGGTACCGGAAAACGATGCGACTGCGAGGTGAGATGCTGTACGTTGACGTTGTGCCACCCAGAACGGCGGGTTCGCGAGTGTTGGACAGCGCGGTAGGAAACTTTTTAGCACTGCTTTTTTTACGCAGGGTGAACGATCTAGACTGCCCAAGGGAACATGCAACACATCAGTCGATTTGTTTGCCTTTGCAACATCTTGCTGCTCCGTGCTCCCCCGACAAAACCGTGGTCGGCCGCTCTCCCCGCAGCGCTCCACACCTACCATCTTGTGATTTGTGGCGAGTTTGCGATGGTTGCTGCGGATGAGAGATTTGGCGGTGCAATCAGGATGGTGTGCTTAATGAAGGCTGCGCTAGCATACCGTTTCCGGCTGCAGAGCAACATGGAATATGCAGCTCGTACTTTGGAGAGACCTCGTTCTCGATACTCCCAATGTGTGCCCTGCAGTACGCAGACACATGGCGCAGTAGTCTACCCGGCCCAATAGACTCGAAGCGATAACGGCACCGGGTAACAAGCCAGGGATGCTGCTGCGTTGGCCTTCCTAATGCGTTATTGTTGTCTTCCTAAACTTTGTGCTTGCATCCAACCGCGACTTGGTATGTACCATAAACTTCGCGGAGTCTGTCTGAGATTAAGTGGTGCCGCTGAATGCGCAACGTAGGATGGGTGGGATGGCGGAAATCCGTCGCTGAGCGCGGAAAAGCTGGGGAATTTCGTGCCGATATTTATTGATGATGCACATTGTAAACATCTTGGGATCTGCCGTCTAGAATAAGCCTGCCTCGGAGGCAGCTTTTTGCGAGTTAATGCCATGGTAGTGGGGTGGGGAGGTGTAGGTACTGGGTAGCCGGTATTGCGCCTATATTAATATGCCGCGACCTTGGCATAGCATCATTGAAATGGCTCGCGAACCCTCTGCTTCGACCTTTGCGTGCGATTGAAGATCAGTGGGAAATGCTACATTGGTTGGCTAGTCGAAACCTTGACGAGCACCAACAGCCTGGGTGTTGAGATTCTGTTACGTATGTTCCATTCGCTGAAGACTGTCAGCAGAGCTCCCAACATATTCCATGACGAGGAATAGAATGACGGGAACAGCTGAGGTACCTTCTCTGCATACTGACATAACGTACATCCCTGAGCATAATTCGAACAACTCGACCGCCTAGCGTCATTGCTCAGGATTTGCGATGAATCGCCATGAAGCAAAGTATATGGATACAATGCCAACAAATATCGAAATAGATTGCTTTGCAGCCAGTAAAAATCGACAGTTCACGAAGACATTTCCTTTTTCTTTGATCGTCTTGTGGGTCACGACTCGACAGATCCATTGGTGACTGTCCCAGGAAGACATCGCCTGTGCTCAATACTGATGCATGACACTGTGTGCACCGTGTTAGGACAAACATGTGGAATGTGACGGTCAGATTCTTTGGAGGGTGCGCATCGGTTTGGATTACGCCAGCAAGGCTAGCAGGTAGCGCATGCACGTCATCAGGGATCGACTACTGCTAGTGTTAGCGTGAGTAAGCTGATGGTGGGCGGATTCGCAAGCTGCGAAGCATCGTACATGCACGCCCATGACGCATGGGTGTTTGGAGAGATATGCCTCAATGACAAAAACTGCTAGACAGAACGGTCAGGCTTACACAATACAAGGGCGTTCGCATCCACCCATTCTGGCTGAACAAACTGTATACAAGACATTGGGGAGACCGATCATGTGTATCGAGCGGGATCACAACGCTGGGCCAGCAGGTTTTGACCGTTCGTCGAGCAAAAGACGGGGGTCAGCAGCCAGCAGGATACAGGCCGTCATGTACTCGGTCTGAAATGGACTTGTTGTGTTTGATGCTGTACCTACATGCAGGCCGCGGGATTGCTGAGGCTTGGGTTGAACCGGGAATAGGATTTGACTCCCCCACCACGCCCACCCGTAGTGACTTGTCGTGTACACGATGATCTGAATATCGGAGAGTCAGATCAGTTCGTCTCTAGTCATCGCTTGGACCGGTCGATAGGCCATTGGCAAGCTGCAGGGTCCCATGCTCAATGAAGATTCGCAAACGGAAGTATCGTGCATGGTGGTATCAAATTGATAAGCTTGTCAATGAAGTGGCGTCGTTGTCATGGGGCCAGGGTCAAACTTTCTGTGGGGAAAGCTGAGCTAGAGAGGCAAGCAGACCCAGAATGAGGGGACGAGGGGGCCAGGGTGGAGGGCAAGGTGGTGCAGAGAGACTGGACTCGCCATGAGCGAATCGCCCTGTCGTATAGACATTCGCATCTGATCCTTCCGAGGCGTCTTGGTCTGGCTTGAAGACAAGCGCGTTAAGCCCGTACTCTGAATGTACTAACGTCCTAGAGGCTAGTCAGTAGTTGGTAAGCATCGAGATGAACGTACGTACATACGTCCTAGGTACATGGTACAACGATGAACGAGAACGATGAAGTGCGCTAGATGAGTGAGGTGAAACAGTCTCATTCAGCTTCAATCCTCCAGCCATTGCTTACACGTAGTGGTCGACAGGTGATGGTGTTGAGACTGGTGAGCTCACGTGATGTCAAGCTATGCCTAATCCGGGTTTGGCGCCGAATGCGCCTCCCACCTCTACCAAGTTGTCACGCTAACACTTCGACCTCACCCGTTCATCCTGACCACAGCCAAACGCTGCGCATCATCTGACCGTATCTTGTCGTCCATTGTATGCTGATTTTCATTGCCGCAGCCCTCTGAGGCGTTGCGTCAAGTCGCCGACTCGCCTTGGCCTCATTGCGGTTTACTGCTTTGGCTCGTAGCTGACAGTGATATGATTCGGGGGTGATTTGCGGAGCGACTTGGTACTGTGGTATGGGTTCATCAGTTCAGAATCACTGGGTCATCACAAGGGGAGGATTGTGATTACCGGGAGAAACATGTGTGAGCTGACGTGATGTACAGCACACAATGTGTTCCTTCAACTGCTTTGGACATGACTGCTCAGTATCAACCCAATCGCCGGGCGAACGTGCAAGGCAGTAGAATCGCCCCGTCCAGGAAGCTGTAAATCGCCAATCTCCAGCTTGAGCCAAAACTCATGGCCAATGACAACCGGCTCCGCGTGAGAAGACAAAAGAATTCCAAAGGATAGACTAGATTGGGCATTTGTCTTCACCCGCACAGATCTGTGGTGTGGTTTTGGTCTCCACCTCTTCGTTGTCAGGCCATCACTTCCTTCTTCACTATTCCAATCAAGGGGAAACGTACGGCTTGAATAACGGCTGAGCGAACAATGCTATCGGCTAATCAATATGACCCATGAGTGGGGTCCGGACCGTGACAACAAATATGAAGAAAAATTTTCATACCGATCAGTGAAGAGCAATACCGAGAATTCGGAACGGAGCCAGGGGTAGACGTCGCCTATAGAGGTCTATATACTGGCAGCTTAATTCGTGTTGAACCAGCGCCACATTCGTCTTTCCCGTTCGTCAATCTACAATTTCAACGTCCGGATATGCTGGCTCTCACACTGCTCGCTGCTGCACGTGCATAGGATTTTGCTAACCTCGGCGGAACGTACTGCCTATTGTCATATTGCAGCTTCGCTAACTCAGCCGGCCCGAGTTCCCCTATGGTGAAGCGAGACAGTTTGACAACGCGGTACCAAGTAATATGCGGCGATGGAAATGTCTGCATACGGCTATGACCCTCACAGGCAGAGGATATTCGCGTGGAAGCGGCAGAATCTCCGCCAGATGCAAGACACCATGCTCGTAGCATGCTTCGTGGTTTTATGACGCAACCTTCTTTGGACGACAAGTCTTTGATCAGTAGTGATACGCTGGCAGGTACCACTCTGCATGAAGGTCCTGTCGCTTTTTTTCTTCTTCAGAGGCTCCACCACGGGCCGCCTGCTGCAGGAAGCTTAGCAGCAGGGAATGAGCAATGATGGAATGTAGCTTCTAGTTTGGAAACTCGTCTCGTGTACCGTCTATTGCCAGAAGGAAATTTGAGGAAGAATTCGTGCAGCGGAACCACGCAGTGGGACAAGCCACCGTGTTCGATCTCCCGCATGGTGGGATGCTACACACACCCCCAACAAGACAATTTACATGGTATGCATGCAGTGACAGGGCCCTGAAAGAGGACCATTCGACAGCGGATGCTGTCCCGCGGACCGATGCTTGCTGATCTGCATGCGCAAGGCATACACCCCAGACTGTGCAGATACATGAGCTTGAACTGGTAGCTGCAAGCAGACACGGACCTTGAGCCGATGCCAGGTACGTCGCCATTTCCATTCCTATCTCGCTGGCCGCCGTTGGCTCAGCGATATATTGGTGGTTGTCCACAATGAGCAGCTTCTTGCCGCTGCTGTCGAGAGAAAGTCCGAAATGTTGGTGTCGCCGCTGCATCTGGCATCTTGTCCGATAACAAGTGTGGGCAGGCGACCGGTCTACGGACTCGCTTGCGCGTTGCCTCAGCGTCCGTGGGCCGCTGCGAACTACGACAACTGCGATGCCGGGGGTCCCTATCGGGCGGTTTGCATACTGTGAATGCTGCACGGCTCGACATAGGATGAAGGAAGCATACGACGGCTGTTTATATGACGGCAAGCGAAGGCAGGCAATCTCAAGAGTCGAAGCATGCCATGGGGCGCGGCAGGCGGAAGACGCATGGTTGGCCGGCCTGAGGCAGGGAGTTTATCATGCACATGTAGATTTTTGGGCATTTTGAGAGGCTATATCTGTGTGTGTTTGGAAGCATAATATCGGCGATTAGCCGACGGCACGGCACTGCGCTGCGTCTGACGACAGCACTGCAGCTGCTGCAGCACAAGCAGCGCAAGCAGCAAGCAGCATTGCCTGTCTACAAGCAGCAGCGAAGGCGAAGTTATCTCCATGGACCCATCCATACAAAGATGGGATGGATGGGGTGAGGATGGATGGATAACGCCACGGGTCTGCCTGCCGTTAGTACAGGATTGTACTGTAGGCTCGAGTGGGTTGACGCCTGCAGCGGTTAGTGCGATGCACCACACGCAATGCGCAAGTAGCATGGAGGCTAGAGCGTCATCTCAGATGGGGACTGGCGCTGGGGCGCCAAGCAGAGGCCGCGATATATTGGTGTGCGATCATCAGCCGCATCGTGTGGGCGAACACGCGCGCGGCATGCTGGGGCGACTGTCTGTCCATCCATCGCTTGTTCTGCAATGCACCCAAGTGGTGGTGAGGAGGCACAATGTGGGCATGGTGGTGGAGCTGCGGCGAAGGGTAGGCTTGGTGCAGGTGGGATGGGACGGATGCATACTGAACGTTCGATTCCTGCACAACTCTTGTGCTATCCGCCATACAGATCGCGGTACATTTATCGAACGAGCGTCGAGGCAAAGCAAGAGAAGGAGAGAGAGAGAGAGGGAAAAGAGTCCAGAGCACAGAGCGCAGGCTTGTCTCTGCTGCAAGGACATGGATGGGATCATGGATGGATGGGATGGATGTTCAACTCGAAAGGGCCCCAGAAAGACGCAACGGCCAGGCTGCGGGAAGGAGGCATGACGCTCGAGCTGTTAGTGGGTGGGTGCATGTACAGTCCATGTACCTCCCTAGCGCGTCCACCCCAGCCGACCCTTGCACTGGCTGCTCTGGAATTTTTGCTAACTTCACACTCGTCCAGCCATCAGAAACGAATTATTACCCCAAATGCTGCTAAGAGAAATCTCCTGCAGCTCGAGCAGTAGCCCCGGGACGTGAACCAAAGCCCGGCCCTGCAAACATGTGGCTTGGAATATTTAGTTGTCCCTCCTCCCACCGGGGAAGCACCGGATTCTTTCCTCCCATCGATGTGATCTTCGTCCTCGCCTTCCTCCCTCCGCACTTTACTTCTTCTTCCTTGGTCACCTTTGTCGGTCGTTGCCATGTTTCCCTTTTCCTTCTGGATGTTTCCTAATTGGAGTTGGTCGTGTATATTCCTAGCGCTTTTGTACGTCGTCGTCACCCCACCATCCATCCATTCATCGACTTGGCTATGGAAATTGGAACACATGCTGATGCCGTTTCTCCCTGCAGTCTATTCCGCTATGTGAGATTATATATCAACCTGGCCGCTTATTGGTCGTATAGACCAATCCAGCCTATCGAGGAGCCGACCGTCACGTCACAAGACATGACTGTTATTATACCGACCGTGGCCGAGGATATCCAGCAACTCAAGGAAACAGTTCAGACTGCATATCGCCTGGAACCTTTTGAGGTTCTTCTCGTGACCCCGGATTCGCGAGTCAAGCGTGTATACCAAATGGTCGAGGAGCTCGGTTGCCCAAAGAGATTACAGGTTCTGTCCGTTAGCCAGGCAAACAAGCGCCGACAGCTTTCTCGGGCCATTCCCGAAGTGCAGACCAAGATCACCCTTTTGCTCGACGACGACGTGTGGCTACCGGAGAAGTTTACAAAATGGATTTTAGCGCCCTTTGAAGACTCACGCGTGGGTGGCGTGGGCACGAATCAGCAGCTCCGCCGACTCGACCGATCCAGCATCTGGGAGTTCCTTGGTGCGATCTACTTGGTACGCCGCAACTTCGATTGTACAGCTTGCAATTGGATAGATGGGGGGCTTCCATGTCTCTCTGGACGAGCAGTGGCATATCGATCCGAAATCCTCCAAGATCCCAACTTTACCTACGGATTCACACACGAAACATGGGGAAGCGATCACTTCCTCAATGCCGATGACGACAACTTCATCACACGATGGCTATTTTCACACAACTGGAAAATCCAGCTCCAAAACCACCGCGAGTGCGAAGTGGAGACGACATTGGAAGATGACTCCAAGTACCTCCGGCAGTGCCTTCGATGGGTACGCAGCAACTGGAGGAGCAATCTGACCAGCTTGAGCGAGCTGCATATGTGGATGTAAGTTGTAATTTTTTTTTCTTCCTCTCTCTTTGAAGCAGCGTCATGGCACATGGATAGCCAAGGCCACCCCCCCACCCCTCCCCTGCCCATATATTCGCACTATACTCGTTCGCAGTTGCAGGCAGACAGGCAGTGGCTTACCCCTCGTCACTAGGAACTACCCTTGGTCACTATATGCCGTTTTCCAAACCACGATCACGCAGTGGGCGTTCGTCATCGACTGCGTGCTATTCGCTTGCTTCTACTTTGCGCTGTCGGATGCTGGATACTACTCGGCCCAGGATGTGGGCGAGGATGGGGCTCGAAGCCTGAATTGGCAGCGGGCGCTGCTCTGGGCCCTCTTTGCCGGGCATTGGCTGTTCTCCAAGACGATCAAGCTAGTGCCCCATTTGCTGCGAAACCCGGGCGATGTTCGATTCGTGCCCGTGTCGGTGCTGTTTGGATATTTCCACAATCTCATCAAGATGTACGGGTGCATCACGGTCACAGAGGTTCGTAGCCCCGCACTAGTCCGCTTCGGGGGTGTTCGTTTAGCTGACCAATTGCGCCATCAGACCACCTGGGGCACCCGTGAGGGCGCTGACGCCGACGACAACATCAGAATGATTCCCATCCCCAACATGGCCGCCATCACCCCGCCGTCCACCCCTCCGCCTCAAGGGCGACGCATGCTCCGCGAGCGAGGCACACCGATGACCGCCATGCCTTGATCAAGCCCTTCTCACCACGCCAGAACGTGCTCTTCCTCCGTCCCCGCCTGCTGCTTTGGTCAGCAGACCGATCCCAACCCCTAGCAGGAACCCCTCTCCCTGCCCGGCTACTCGCTGCCGAGGCGCCGCGGACAGCAGCCCGCTGCAAGACAGAAACCAGACTCAGATGAAGCAGTAATTTAGATACGACGATCCGCTCTTCTAATCTTTCATAGAAGGCATGCCCCCATTGGTCTCTGCATGATATTCCGTCTTTGGACTTTGGTCCCAGCGTTTCCTAGTTTTCCTTGTATGTCTTCGCTCACCTTCATCACCATCAGAAATAGCGACAGGAGTTCAGCGTCGGGTCTTTTATCATTTCAGAAACGCTATACTATTTTGACCATGTTTTGTCACCAAAAGGAAGGAACTGGACGGTTTTGGGTCCGGACGGCGTTTATTGTTTTCTTTTTCTTTCTCTCTGTTTCCGACGACAAGAACTGCTTAGGGCCACGATTCATCACTGGCAAATTGTTCTTCATCGTTTTTCTTCTTCCCATTCTTCAGCCTCTTCATCGGAATCCGTTTCCGCCTTCTCAAAGATATCTGTACGCCATTCAAAAAGCGGTTCTGGTGCTGCGATCGTGCATGGTTCATAAATCAAAAAGACTTGCCACCATCTCTATCATTTGACTCGTTACATTCGTCGGGATTCCGACTACCTATGAACATTCAGCGTTGACATTAACGTGCATCCCCGCAGTCCGCGGCGGCGGGGGCGGCAGAAGCTCGACGTTGATCGACGTTGTTCAATTTGTGTTTACTTGTTTCGTCATGATCATGATCACGATCTCGTCTCTCATCACTAGGAATGGCAGCCGCCTCATTTGCAGAAATCCCGCGTCGAGCACCTCGCCCTTGGTCAGACGTATGAATCAAGTTGAGCCGAACCAGTGCTTTGGACGGTATCTATTGAAGGAACGCCTCTTCAAGGGCATGAGTCCACCAATAACCTCCGAGCCCGGTGTCCAGAAACGATTCTCCAGCGTCAGAGCAGAGGAAGCGAACCCCTAGGCGGGAAGGATGCGGCTGCTGCACAAAACACGCAAACGCCCAAACGCAAGCAAGACAAACCTGGTCCTCGCCTACTTACTCCGTGAAATCCAACAAGTGGACCACAACCACCGAGGAACAACCAGGCTCGCACTCGCATTGTGGAGCGGGCGGGCGCCTCCCTCTCTCGGACACGAGCTATTGTTGTTCTAGGTACTCTCCTACCAAATCTATCTATCAATCCTTCCCAGCCTCCAGGGCCTCAATAATCTATCCATCTAGTCGTGCGCCCTGAGTTTGGAGTTCAAAAATACCCCTCGGTCCAACTAGCGTCGGCATCCCTTGTCATTCTCTTCCCCACCATTCGCCTTCTGCTAAGCTAATCCCTTTTTCAGGCCTCACCACGTCGTTGCCGTGCCACCGTGCTACATTCCGCCCGCTTCCTCCGCTGCGATTGGAGTCTGCAACCCCACCAGTGACCGCTGCATCAAGTACCTAGAACTTTGTCTAATGTGCCAATATCGCTCTCAGGCCAAAGTGGCTTGACATGGAAAAACTCAAAGGGACAAGAACGTGCACTGCCCACATTGTTGGAGCCCTTGAGCGAAAACCACACTGGCTGCGGACTAAGCCAGAGGCCCCGCCGCTATCGCGCCCACTCACCATTCTATCAATGCGCTTGTGTGGGTTTCGTCGGGCGATTGAGGAAGCCACTCAAGTGCACTCGAACCGCCCCGCCATGATCCCTGACAGAAGCGGTCCCGTTTCGATCTTCATTGCTGCTTGCCGACATGCTCCCTGTCCGTCCAAGGTCCGGTTTGCAAGTTGCGCGAAGACTGATAACGCAGCATTTGTACTGGCAGTCCTAAAAGAAGGCGCATCGTGCTGCCCCAAACCGAGAAATGAGACTCATGTGACAGACATGCTAACAGGCGAAAGAGGGACTAAGAAAACTCTTTCGCGATGCAACACCCAAGATGGAGCATCGAGGTGGATATTCCTTTCTCGATCCACAGTGTTGAAGCTGGTAAACCCTCGTTCGCTGCTATCGATCGCCGGCGGTAGGTCTCCATAATACTCCCGCTGCCAACCCCCGTCGACCCGCGCCAAGCCCCATCTCCAAGTTTGACCAGCAGTCATCTTCACGGAGCCATCCTCGGGACCAAGTACATCCCTTCCATTGAAGACAACACTACCAAAGCTCGTCACTATACTTCCAAAAACTACGACGTGCTTATCCAATGCATATACCCGTGCCGTTCTGTTCTTCTAACGCGAGCTCTCTACGTCCAGCCGAAATGATGTGCTGCGGGACAAGGGGGAGGATCATGATCCTGTTCTGGCAGGTACCTAGGTACCCAGGTACTCTACCTCCTCCCGTTTGTCCCCTGGCTAATAGGCAATTGCACCTATAATACCCGATTTTCATATGTATGTATGTACGCGTACGTACATTTGACAATTGTAGGATTTGCTGCTACCTTTGTTTCCCATGCAGTTTTATGGAGAAAAATCGGGGGCTGCATGTTTGGGTTTGAGTGGAGACTTTATGTACCATGTAGAGAGACGGGCTTCCTGTATTATCCGGTCCGAGAGGGAGAACAATTGGGCTTGTTGTTGTGAGGTGGGCTCCTTGGTGTGGTTGCATGTGAAAGCAGGTGGATGGGAGGAGGAGCTTGCCTGTCTGCCCGCCTGCCCGCCCGCTCGCGCATGTTTTTTCTTGCTCCGCCCGATAAAGCGGAAGATGTAACCGCTACTCTCCCTACCCACCCTATTCTGTTCCGCTGGACGACTTCGGGCCTCTTTCCTCCCGCGCTGGGTTTATTTCCCTGTACCGTCGCAAATGTTTCTATTTTTTCGAGCTTCTTGCGCTATTGTTCTTTTATATCTTTGAACCTCGGTTTCAATCTCGGGATTCTCGTTGTCTGTGTTTGAGCCTCTACAGCACTCGCTACTGAGTTGCAATTGAGATGGACAACGACTACGCCGCAATATATGCCTGGTAGACGACCTGGTACCTACCGTTGTGTGCCTCGCTCTTATCCTCGACCTAATTTCTCTTTCTCCCCTTCCACGTTCTAGCAACTGCGATGGCGCACAGTATATGCAGAATTCTCTATCTTTCACCTTCAATTGTCAATACACTGAATCATAACACATAGCAGTTCAACTTCGAAAGCGCACGCATTAATTTATAAAAAAAGTAGAAAGTAACTAACAAGCGCAATCTTCTGCAGCGCCCTTGATGCCTATATCTCTTATGAAAGGAAACCCTATGATCTATCGTTCCTCTGTACTATATTGCTAGAAATATCGTCATCTATCTATCCATCTAGATATAACTGCAGTTTTCCTGCTACCATCACCACACGAAATCTTCACTTTGGTCACTTACATCTTCCGTTCTTTATTTTGGTTGTTGTTTATTTGCTCTTAGTCTCTCCTCCTGCATCTCAGGCGCGTTTCGGTCTGGCATTTTCGCGAGATTGCCTTTTATTTTTACAGCATTGGCGGGTTTTGTTGCTTGTTGGAAGGGAAAAATATTGTTTGTGTTTGGGTGTGCTGGCTATGTCTATCCGTCCGTACATCTTGGAGGGTATCCGTTCAACAAAACGCTCAAAAAGAATTCTGCTTTACGAATTCCATAAATTACCGCTATGTTGCGCAATTGCAGGACTAGAGATAGAACAATTATTAATATTGTCGTTAACTGTGTACTTTTCATATATGCGCACGACAACACAAAAAGAAAAAAATGTTGCTAATACCAACCCAACGCAATAAACCACCACACGCTCCCAAAGTATAAAACCTCGTACGATCCTCCCTCTCCAAAACCCCCCATCCACGCTATATTTTCTTTATTGTCTGTTCGTGAATCCAAGCAAGGCCCAAGGGTCCCTCTCAACCATCGATCGACAAAATCATACGATGGAGTGGAGCGGCGGGCGCCCTGCTTGTGCGTGTGTGCGTTGCGCGCCGTGCGTGCGGCGGCGGCGACGGGCGGCGGCCGGGACGGGTCGCAAGACGAACGAGCGTAGTGACGCCGAACTATTGAGCCAACGAACGGACGATGCGCATCGAAGTTAATTATTTTTTTGCCCCTTTCTTCTTGTTGGCTGGAGCGGGCGGATGGACGGGGGATTAGCGGGATTGAGGAATTTGCGAGATTTGCAATGGTTTGGGAGAGTTAGGTTGGGTTGGAGTGTATGGTTTGGTGGGTTAGATTTATGCAGGAGTGGTCTTTTTATTTTTTTTGCGGGATTATTGCGAGGGCGTTAGAGAGAACTGCATGTAGAATTTTTTTTTGTTAGAGGGCCATTGATTGTTATTCTCGTCCTGTTCTTGTGTGGTTCGTGCTTCTCGATGTATATAGCTAAACCACGATGGTTGTTCCAGGTCTACCATGATAAAAGATGGTATCCGAAGGGACGTTTGTTCTTCCTGTATTTAATTAATTAATCAAGCAAGGAATCTTCGTTCAAGTTTGATTGTCAGTCCACGCTGTTGGGGATACTCAATCTTCGAAGCTGGATTGAATTTATAAAAGGGTATTGCTCACTTGGCTCAGTCCATCGTTTTTGATAGCTCCATATGACTTTCCACCATCTTTTTAAACCCCGTGGGGATGCTGATGGCGATAATGGCATGAATCCCACGTATGTATGGCAGTTCCCACCACAAGAACGTTTGCTGATTCTAGATTTGGAAGATGTTATCTCATTAGCATGTTTCCAGGTTCACCGTTCCCGCATTCTGGAATGGGAAATCCCGTCTCTTGCCCGATATGACATGCTCATAAGCGCGACGAACCTAACTGATTCGAGGTGTGGCAGTTTATAGTCGAAGGATGTGGACATTGCTCAAATGCTCTTTGCAATGCACCCGACGTCGACAGGCTGTTTCTATGCGCAGTTAATTACTTGTCTATATCAATAGAGTCTACTTCGAAAGGACGTTACCTTCTGTTTGAAGATCGCAATCGCGATTCAAAGTCTCACAGACGACTATCAAGTTGCTATGATGGTCGAGGACCGATCGTGACGAATTGCTACATTGGATTGTTCGCTTGTGTCCTCTCTTTTGCAGCCTTGTTGACTTGCAGAAGTAGGAGTTGGGCTTTTCCATGCACTTGATCGTTGATCAGCGAGTAGCTGAGTACGTAGGGGATTTCGCTAGTCGACAACAGCGAGCGTGAATGCAGTAAGCCAGGAAAAGCCCCAAATCCCGATTTTTCGTGTACGAGTTTGTCAAGCTTTGGGAAGTAGGCCAGGGTAATTGCATGCTTCTCGAACAACAGGTTTGTTATGCCTATCCTGGCCTGTCGAAACTTGACAACTTGTCATGCCAGATGTTGGCTACACCAAGTCATTGCGACTGATAGACAGTATATGTCTTTTTGCCCTTGCACAATGTTTCCAGCATGTCAATTAGATATTGAGGACCAACCAAGAAACCAGATATTCGTCGAATTGTTTGAGAAGTATATAATTCATGAGCTAGAGTCACGGCACATGCATAGTAGACACATCAAATCGTACGATGAATCTTGATACACTGACCTAGAAGCCAATCTGGCTTCTATAATGCTTGTTCCTACGATCGTGCGTCCCTGATTTCGATCCTACATGATGCATCGGCCGTGGCATCGCCAGCAGCATGCAAGGCATTCGACAACCCCCCACAAGCGCGCCACTACACATGCCACGATGCACCAGTCAACGTTTATTCAAGCGAAGGGTTCGAGATGTCATCAATCCAATGCAATCAATAGCATCTGACATGCGCTAATGCATTCCCTTCCCAGCCACCACCAGACCCTTTCCTCGACGGTAAACTAATCCTTCAATCCCGAAACCGTTCCACGGGTCTCGAGAGAAAATTAAGTTCAGCAGACCCAAACCTGGGATACAGGTGTACGTAGCTACATACAAACGCAGCGTAGTCTACGGCGCACGCAAAGCTACAGAAGCCACGTTCGCGTTCGCGAAGCCGGACCTGTAACCCGACCAACGAACGGGGGTTGGGTGTGGAGAGATAACGTCAGTACTAGCACGTACATACATACACAGTACATATGTAGGTTCTGTGTACTTTGCATGTACAAGGTACCCATTGTGGGTACCGATAGAGAATTGGGACGTGTACAATTGAGCAAGGGAACCGCTTTTTAGATGTCCTTCGCGAGCATGCGCATGGTCGGCGAGTTGGCCCGTAGGCGAATGGTAGAAAATGCGCCCACAAAAAGCGACTTCCGATTTGTTTTTGTTGCGCAATGCAATGTTCATCAAACCCTTCAAGCAACAATCGATTACTGTACGTCTTTGAGTTAGCGCATGAGCTTGAATGGGAGGGCATCGGTAGTGCCGGATAGATCAATCTTGGATAGAGTGATGAATGCGGGAGTTGAGGCGAACTGTCGTAGCAGCCCTCTTTTCAACCCAGCTAGTCCCTTTAGTCTGCGATGTGTAGGATCAGGGTTGTAAAGAGTATCAATCGTTGACATAATCTTGGAATTCCAACATTAGCGCCGCAGTTCGATGATAGTCTTTGTCAATCTTAGATCTTAGCCTCTTAGGTGTTCTTACAATCCTCATCGTGGTGTTGGTCGCGACTCGCGGCGGTACAATGGGGGGCTACGGACATAGTACGTGCGCTTTTGTGGGGAACTGTTCATCCGGGCATTCCTCCACCGTGCTCCGTCTCCCTCGAACAATTTCTAAGAATTCCACGTTCTCTATCTCGCGGATTCCGCTCTCCGTCCGATTCCGCAAAGATCCACCGAAAAAAGTCTACATGACGCATGCCGTACGTTGTCTAATCAGTCATCGGTAGTTCCAAGCATGTTTCCACGGACTAGCTCCATCGGCAACCCCACACATTCTCGCACTCAGCAAGAATCAGGCAAGCGATGGCAATGGTCTAGACAAGAGAGAATACGCGCAAGTGGATACCGTGGCAATCTTAGCTGCAAGCCGCGAGCAAACCAAGGCCGGACAATAGACACAAGAGGTACGCACATACATAAATCGGTACGACTGTACCATGTATATACTACACACCTTGTAGATACAGGACAGGTTAGCGAAGGTCCCCCTACAGCGACAGGAAGGATAAACAACCCATCCCGGTCCCCCTGTCTCGGCCATGTTTCCTCCGATCGTCACCGATCAAGGGTCCCTCCCTCCCCCCTTCTTCATGCATGGTTTTCAGACTTTAGAGACAATGGATGCCGTGCCTCGCGGCTGAACCATCTAATGAATCACGATGCACTGCGAGACGCATCATCCTACGCGGTGGAGACGTTTTGGCAGGCATTTTCGGTACATCCTACGTCGGTCGTTCGTGGCAGATAGACATGTAACATAGCATGTGCATGGCATGTACATACCCCACCATGACCCCCTCCATCCCCACCATCTCATCTACGCAAATCAACCATGACGCAGTGTGGGATGTTTTTTTGCCTGCCGTTTCTCCAGGGTAGACGGAGACTCTCGTCAAGATTCACTGACTGCTCCTGTTCGTTCGTTCGTTCGTTCCCAAGACTTCAGAATTGGCAAAAAGTGTGCTGACCACCGATAACGACACCGCGGCAAAAACAGCGCCTTGGTTTCCGCAATGGTCGCGGATCTCGTAACTGCAGACATGGATCACGGAAAAGACTTGAACGCAAAAGGGCCGGTTCGAATTCGTCTTTTTGCGCATGGTCCCATGTAATGCAGACGAAGGGAGCCGGGATGTCGCTATCTATTCAGGCAGATTTCGCACACGAGGCGGAAATCCTGGGCTATTATTGTCCGGTTTCTTGATTGTGAATGTCATGTAGCTAGGGACCGTTTGCTTACTCGATACGAGGTGCTATGATGTAGTATTGCGCATTTTTTGACGTTGATTCCAGTCGCATTCGTATCAATTCATGTGGACGTGAGTGAAGGTGGGTGCAGTACAGGGCTCTTGCAGACGAGCTGACGAAATCGTCCGAAGCTGCAGAGAAGATGTCATCTTTTGACAAGCCTCGCACGCACATTTCTGCAAGTGCTTGAAGGTGTATGAATTCACATGTCGGTAGAATTTCGTGATACGTTGGCGGAGCAAGAGAAATCTGCAAGTCAGCTATGCGTATAGCAACGTTCATATGTGCGTATGGAGATTTTGCGCAAGCATATTATTGAGTTGACCATACTCCAATAACTTCACAAGGATATTTTCACCGATGGAGGATAATCTATGTTTTCAATCTCATGGCAATGGAGAGGAACCCAGCTCGGTGACAGCTACCCCGCACCCGACTGGAAAGCTTTCCAAGGAGCACTAAGCTACGAGCGCCTTCACCACAATCCATCCACCTCACGACCTCTCAACCGTGTCGAGAATATTCGCGTCGAAAATATTTATCCCAACAAAAGAAATTGAGATAATCAAGACCCCCACAAGAAACAAAAAGGCAACATGCCATCCTACCCCCTCCTCGACAGCCACATCCACCTCTGGCCCGCAACCGCCCTCTCCCCAACAGACCACACATGGATGAAACCAAACCACCTCCTCACGCGACGCCACGGCATCTCAGAATACCGCGCCAGCACATCCTCGTCGCCCTTCCAACCCACAGGCTTCGTCTACGTAGAAACAGACCGCCATCTACCCTCGCTGCACCCTCCCTCGCATTCCGACGAAGACTTGAAGAAATGGGCGCGCGCGCCACTGGAAGAGCTCGATTTCCTGCGCCGCGTCGTAGAAGGACGAAAAGAACATGTCGACGCGGATGGCTTCGATCCCTCGCTTGACCCGTCATTGGTCAAAGGAGTGGTGATTTGGGCGCCGTTTTTGTTGGAGAGTAGTGTTTTTGATAGGTATTTGGGGATTGCGAGGGAGAGGTTAGGAGATATGGCGTGGGGGAAGGTTGTAGGGTTTCGGTATCTGCTGCAAGGGCGCGGGGTTGACGGTGTGAAGAGCGCAGCGGGGAATGCGGAGTTTGTGAGGAACGTGGTCAAGCTTGCGGCGATGGATGGGGGAAAAGGCAAGGTTTTCGATGTTGGGGCTGATGCGCATAGGGATGGGGTTGAGGCTGTTGAGGCGGTTGGCGAGTTGGTTGCGAATGTTCGAAAGGCGGAGGGTGGGGAGAAGGTGAGGTTCGTTATGAGTAAGTGCTCTGCTTTCTTACTGCTACATGCGTATCTCGTTCCTGGGATCGCTAATTCATCGTCTGACGTACCATCTTCAGATCACTTCTGTAAACCCGACCTTTCCACCCCATCTTCAAGCTACTCGTCTTTCTCCCGCTACAAATCCGCTATAGAAAGCTACGCGCACGATCCCAACATCTACATGAAAGTCTCCGGCGCCCTCAACGAATTCGAGCCTACGCCCACCCCCGCAGACCCCATCGATATCATCTCAACTCTAGGCCCCTATCTCGATCTCGTTTACTCTGTTTTTGGCGCAAAGCGACTCATGTTCGGAAGCGACTGGCCCGTACTCAATGTCGGTGGACCAAAAGGCGAGAAAGAAGGCGAGGAGAGCAATTGGAGCGTGTGGCGGAGCGTTGTTGCGAAGTGGATGTCAGAAAAGGACCTGAGCGATGAGGAATGCGCATATATCTGGTCAAGATCAGGGGTTACTGCGTACGGGATTGAGGATTTTACAGCGAGGGGGAGTGGCGGTGGTGAAATGTCTATTGGAGTGTAGGACGAGATAGCTCGATGAATAGAATGTATTAAATGTTGCGCTGCCAGCTCATCTGTTCCACATCAGTGTCTCAAAGTTCAATCATTGTGAACCTGAATTCTCAAAAACACCATGAAAGACCCTGAAAAGACGTTGTATCCGTCCCACGTGCATTTCTGAGAGCCACGTGAACCCCACACCCTGATGACATCATGCCAGACCCTCTCCACGCTAACCCCTCACTCGGCGCCCTTTCCCCCGAAACACCTCCCCTGCCCCTCAAACATCGCGACGCGCCGGCCACATAGCCTCTATTCCATGTGGAGAGAGAAAAACTTCTCGCGACTCACCATGTAGTCCTCATTCCTTCACTCCCCACCAACTTGTCCCGTTTTGCTGAGCGTCGCACCACAACCGCCTCTCACGATGAACCCCTCACCCCTCCTCACCGGCAAGACGATGGCCATTACCGGCGGCGTGACTGGCATCGGACGCGCCATCGTGCTGGGCTATCTTTCCCACGGCGCCCGCGTGGCTGTCAACCATCTCGGTGATCCTACGTCGGCGGGGCAATACAAGTCGCTGATTGAAGAAGCGGCGGCAATCTTCGACGGCAGTGTGGAGAATAAGGGAAAAGGGCGGGAGACGGCAGAAGACAGACTTGCAGAGGTCCCTGGAGATGTAGGGAATCCAGAGACGGGGAAGAAGCTCATCGATGAGGTTGTGAAGCGATGGGGGAGACTGGATGTGTTTGTGACTAATGCGGGCGTGTGCGAGTTTAAGGAGTTTCTAGAGTATGTCGAGTCCACGTCTCTCATCGCACTCGTGTCTGAAGCTTCCCGTCGAGGGATTCTATACAATAATACAATGCTGATATAGTGAATAACAGCATCTCTCCAGATCTTTGGTCAAATACCCTCACCACGAACCTCACCGGCGCCTTCAACACCGTCCAAGCAGCTGCTTCCGTCCTCTCGACGCAATCGCCACCCGGCGGCTCCATCATCGGAATATCGAGTATCAGCGCGCTCGTCGGCGGTGCACAACAAGCACACTACACCCCCACGAAAGCCGGCATCACATCGCTCATGCAATCTTGTGCGTGCGCGCTTGGGAAGTACAACATCAGATGTAATGCGCTGCTCCCAGGGACGATAAAGACACAATTGAACGAAAAGGATCTTGAGGACGACACGAAGAGAAAGTATATGGAGGGCAGGATCCCGCTCGGAAGAACTGGCGTGCCGGCAGATCTAGCGGGGCCAGCGATATTCTTGGGCAGCGATTTGAGTGCGTATGTAACGGGTGCGCAATTGTTGGTGGATGGTGGCCTGTTCGTAAATCTGCAATAGACATAGCAGGCTGAGGCTGTATATACTTCAAACTTCATTGCCAGAATGTAAACTGCGAGTTGTGAGCCGTCGTCATTTCCTGTATCCTCATCTCAAGAAGAATCCATCATTCCCTGCCGCGCTTAGCAACACGACAAAAGTCACTTTCCCGCCATTGACGTGTCCAAGAAAAGCACTCAGCTCTGCATCGTCACCAATTGATATAGCGATTTCCCGTCCAGCTTCACCATGCTCATGCATGATGAGTCCTTCTAGCCTAACAACAGTAGTACCTGGGTGTTCACGCATAGCAAGCGACTTGACTTCCGCAAGTGTTCCGTTCTCAAGGATACTCAACCACACAGATTTACTACGATAGGGCGTCGACGAGAGGGCATGCAGCCGGAAGTATATTGCCAAGGGGCCTGACTCTAATATGGGTGGTTGCGCTGGCATTACCGGTATATATGCATTGGAGTTGAATTGGAGACTTTGTCCAGGACTGAACGAATCGTTCCCTTCCGTATGCGATTGCAACGACGTAGACGCTTGCGCTTGGGTGGGGGACTCTGTTGTCGATGGCGGAAGGGTGTTGCTGAGTTCAGTGGCCGCCGAGGTGGCCGTTTTACCAACCCTGCCTCGTTTTCGGCGGGCACTTGTGGGTGGCCCGCTAGATTTGGCGGGTCCAGGACCGGGACCTTGATGTACCTGTTTAGGTCGTTGGCCTGACGTCCTTTCCACGGCTCGAAACTGCCTCATGGCAGTGCGAGCCAGAACTTCCAAGGCCCTCAATTTCCGGCTGTCCTGCTGTTCCGATGCATCCTCGACATCGAGCAGCTTCGGCAAATCGTTGGATCCTTGTACCCACCTCCGTTTCAGCTCATTCCAGTGCTCTGGACCAGCTAGGAACTTGTTAGTGAAGTGGTCGGCTTGCAAGATTGATATGAACTCAGTTCTGGCCTGGCGCGTCTGTTGAGGGTTGAGGCCAAGAATGTCTTTGACTTCTGACACACCCATCCGACTATTCATCACTCGCATGCTCTTCGTCACGTCCTGGCAAATCACGTCGAGCGACAAACTCTTGGAGTCTTTCGGCTTCCACATCGCATCGCTCTGTTCGAGAACTGCCGAGTCGTCTTTGAAGGTATCTGACAAATGTGGGTTCTCTCGGATCAGGCGTTGGACAAGGCTTGCCCACATCTCGGGTCCTGCGACAGTTTTCTTGGTGACGTCTTGTTCTTCGCAGATGGACTGAAACCGTTCACGCATAGCCTTGTATTGCGTATTGTCGAGATTCAGTTGTGCTTTGCACTCATCGATAGTGGTCTCGGATGGAAATCGAGGGGGTGCGTCAGGCGCATCAGCTGGGAGACATGCCCAAGCTTGAGTGCGTCTGCGCCGCTTTCCAGCTCTCCACTTTTCCTCGCTCTCGGCTATCAGCTGTTCTTGACGCAATCGTAAACGTGCAGCCTTCTCCTCATCGACAGCTTCTTCCACGGGAACGGCGACGGTCGGTGCTGGTGTCACTTCAGCGGCTTCAGCATCCGGCTCGGTCTCTTCTTCACTCTCTGCACCTGACGAATTCCCTTGCATTATCGCATTGGCCAGCTGATCTATAAGACTATTGCTGTAAACGACCTGGGGTTTCTGCTTTTTCCTCTTCTTTGGCGGTTTCGTTGTGGCCCCATCTGCCTGACTCTGCTTTGACCCGGTTGTAGGTGCTCGGAACGTCCATCTGTGCCGGTGTCGCAAATTAATCAGCTCACGATTTCTGATCGAGAAACCTTCCGCGTGGAGCACCTCCAGCATGTCTGTTTGATCATGGTTCGTGTCCCATAATTCCTTCACGCGGGCGATGAGCGCCTCGTTCTTGTACACAGGATGTTGCTTGAGAGGGAAATTCCATCGCTAGGAATTTTCAGTCAGACTGCGGCAAGCGGCGAGTAAATCGTATACCTTGAACTGTAAATTGTATGCGCGTGGGCTATTGAAGATTTAGCTTCCATTGATGAACATTCGCGCGCCGTACCGAGTGGAAGATGAACGTCGGCTACGGGGGTCTGACGCGTGCGTACCTTGCCGTAAACCCGCGTTGTTCCCAGTACCCAATGACTTCCTTCAAATTCTTGTTTTCCTGCACATACATCCGATGGCAATCTGCTTCCATGCCGTCCCAATTGATAACCATGATGAGCGTCTGATTTTGCCAAAGAAAAGTGCGACATTTGAATTGTAGTTTCGGTTCACATGTTGAGGCGCCATCCGAAGTGCCAAGGTGGAGTGCTTAGTCATTTCCATCACGTGAGTGTGTATCGCATTCAACCAGCACTTGAGTTGACCGTTTGAACATTTGAATGTTTAGACACAACAAATTTTGACTGCAGCATACTTATCCGCTCCTGATTAACATTACAACTATCTCTCTGGAATTTCAAATGCTTTGTGCGGTTCTATGCGCTGACAACAATAGGTCTATTAAGTGATCATCGCATATTCTGTGCGGCGAATGCCCTAAAGTGCTCACCGGAGTACTATAGATTTCTATGTACTGAGTGAGTACTGTAGTAAACGATCTTACAAAAATTGGTGTTTCAAGAAGGCCGGCCAACCTGATGACTATAAAATCACGGGTAGATGCTAGAAAAGAGCTCAGTGAACCACGGTACAACATCTCAACCATCCCAACGATTCAACGGAAGATCATCCATATCGCGGATTGCAATAAGAAGGCAGAAGTCACCGGAGTATGACCCTGCAACCGTCCGCGCTACATAATACTAATGTCAACTTTTGTTGTTCAGTGCCGATTGACTCCACGGGCTGATCGGCAGGGATTTCTAGACTGGAGAACTTTAACAAGATACTCGCAACAACGTATGATGCTTCTAGCATCGCAAATCTTTCTATGTGGCGGATTAGGAGACATAATAATGAAGGCTGGCAGTGGCGGTGGAACTTACGACCAAGGCAGATCCTTTGACCAGCGTTGAAGGGGATATATCCATAACCAGCGGAAGAGAAAAGTCGACCTTCATTCTCAAGCCATCGATCCGGGCGGAAAATGTTTGCGTCTGAGCCAAAGACATCCTCCCGTCTATGCATTATATATGGACAATAGCCAACTGCCTCACCTTTTCGCACCAGAACTGGTGCTTTCCCGTCAGTACCACCACCAGTAGGGAGCACCGTAGTACAGTTCGCGACCCTGGAATTAATCGGCACCGAAGGATAAAGACGGAGCACTATAACCATTTAGACCGGTCGCGTTTGCGCATGAGAATAACAGACCTTCTTTCAGTACAGCGTCTACGAACTTCATGCGTTCTAGCTGTTGGCGAGTCAATTGTTCTCGCTCGGAACATATTTCCATGACTTCTTTTCGGCAACGATCAAAAACAGTGGGGTTTCGAGCCAGCAAGCGACTGTACGTGTTAGCTACCGAAGAGCGCTCGAGGATGGGAACACCATACAAAGTCCAGCTCAGAAGACATGCAGTGGTGTCTCTCCCCGCGAGAAGAACGTTCAGGCATTGTTCGCGTAGCACCTTGGGATCCTGGGTCTCCTTTATCAGAGCACCCAGAATGGTGTATGTCGCTTCTTGATCCAGAGAATTCGACTTTTGTAGAGCCTTTTCGATGGCTCCATCTATGTGTTCGTGGACGCGAGCACAGTCTTTTCGAAATTGGGGGCCGTCTATCAACCAATAAAGCGGCCCCAACCGACCGCGCCTTGCGAGGCAATCTTGAGCTCTATCAAATGCGGCTGAAAAAGAAGCAAATTTTTCGCTCAAGTCGGACTCCAAGCCGCCCAGCCTATGCCCAAAGAGAAGATAGGATGTCGTATCGAGTGTGAAGCGAAAAAACAAAGGCTGGAGATCAACAAGGCTGCCCTCGGGAATACGGCAGATTAGTTCCTCGGTTGCTTCTGCTATTTGGGCCATTACAGAATCATTGTGGCGAAATGCAGGTTTCAGGAGAGCGCGGGACTGGGCCCAGGCATGTCCATCCTGCGTAAAAATGCCATCCCCGAGTAGAGGCGCGAACACGAGCCTTCGCTCTCCCAAACCAAAATCTAACTTCGCGTTAGCTACAATGCTCATCGGCAGACGAAGCGAGTGAATCACCAGTAAATTTTGTGCTAAGAATGGCTTCAACATTGGACGGCGCCACTGTGTCAATGCCCCGGGATCCCAAAAGTTTCTGTTCGAAAGTTGACCCTGTCTTCTCAACGATAAGGCTCATTAGTTCCAGTAAGCGCTGTTGCCCGGCGGCTCGAAATGCAGTGACAATCAATTCCAATCCCAAAGGCCAGCGGCCAGTGTCCAGCCTTGCGGGCGTTTTGCATGAATGCGCAACCGCTATTAATTGTTCAGCCTTTACATCGTTAACATCAGTAAATACGCTTTCTTCCACGGATATAACGTCTCAAATCTACGTACCCGTCGCAATCGCAAAGCTCGCAGTATATAATCGCCTGCGCATATGGTGACCACCGCAGTCAGTAGTAAAAGGAACATGTTGCATACTGAGAGAGGAGCGGAGTTCCCTCTCGTATTTTGTACCCTGAAAGAGAAGTGAGAAAAAAAGTAGAGCCGCAGGTTGCAACCGCGGTTAGCCAGGACATTCGAACTTCATTGGTTGCGGCCCTCTGGATCTGCAGGGGTGTAGCATCGATTGGTTGGATATGCTGGGCGCCAATGCAGGATTTTGGCCCCCATTGTAACATGAAAGGATATATCTATCATGCTCACAAAAGTCAAAGGATTTTTCTCTACACGCAATCGCTTGACATGAATGAGCACAGTCCAAAGTACAGCAACATGCTCAGAACAAACCCCAATGAGCAATACCAGTATCAGCCAGATCTGGAGTTGAACCAGATGGGAAAAGGTATGTACTACTCGAGGATGGCAGAAGCATGGCTCATGCAAGATAGATAGAAATCACTACGCCGTGCGCAGCTCTGGGGTTGCTCGGATAGACACGAAACAGCAAGAACATCGACAAGCCCTACAAGACGGATATCCAACCTTTGTACCCACCTTCGTTTCTCTGAGAGCAGCTTGTCTGCAGCGTACACGGGAGCAGTTACTAGAGTTGGAAACCCAGATCGATTTCTGCGAAGACGAGGTAAAGAGAGATGGTCTGCTAGATCGAGCCACGGCTTTGTTGCGTGAACTCGACGAGCAATTGAAAGCGAATGTGAAATGGCGGCAGCTCGAAGACCCAATTTACGCCGCTCAGCGGGGCTTATCTTTGACACACTTTACCATGGATTCTGCCAAAAGAAATGATCACTGGATGCTACTCACGAGTAATTTCGGCGTCAGTGCGAACTCTATCATAGAATCAGACCCCAGCCAACTCGCTTCGAGAGACAGAGATTGGCTTGAGGAGTTCTGTGGTGGAGACGTTCCCCCAACTATCGCTTTCAAGCGTAAAAAGACGATGCTCGAACGCCAACGCGGGGGTGTCTTGCAGCATGGAAAGATCGTCACTCCTAATCCCGGGATGAAGAGGCTTTGGGCATTTCTAATCAGCCTGGGAGTTGCAGTCTCCATTGGCTTCCTCGCGGTGGCCATCATCGCAACAACGACTGAGTTCCATCCGTTATTCATCAAATACTTCTTTTGGATAGCTATTGTGTGGGTACTTGCGGCTTCTGCTACCCTGGTTGCACTTGTACGAGCATTTGGAGCTAGTGGCAAAGATTCGTTAAGCGTTTTCCTGGCTACTGTAGCGATTTATCTGGTCATTATTCAGATAGGTCAGACGAAGCTCTATGGGCAACTCCAAGGCGAGGCACAATAATTAGCACATGTCCCGAAGAGGGCATAGATGGCGGCAAAACTGAAGCTCCTGATAAGATTCCTGTATGAAACTCAACATGATATGATTACATTTGATGCCCAAACATGTCGCCCAATAAGTTTTATGTGGTGATCGCAAATCCTATCGTTATCTGACTTCACACTGCCGCCATGTATTCACGGAATAAAGCGGCCGAGACCAGTGATGATGCGATAGAACGCAGGACGCAGAGTAGAGTAGCGAGATGGCATGAGGCTTGATACGGCTACAAAGCTCAGATGGAATTTTCTATACTTGAAATCACAGGATTCTCATCCCACTCCATGACCCAAATTTACTTCCAAATGTACTAGTAGCGGAGTGAAGAAAATCTTTCGGGTCACACAGATTGCGGGCTGACTATCTGATAGATAAAGTACTTGCGCCATGACTGGATCACGTTCTGAGGCCATAGTTCTTATCATAATGCTGCCTTACCAAAGCAATCTTCTGGAAGAGTCTTGAAGCCCACTCGGAACGATCAGCCCGATCAAAATGGCGATCGATTCCTCTGAAGTCATCCTTGCCTCCATCTGATCCACGTACCTCGCTGACCTTGAAAAATTAATTGGAGCCTAAAATATTGACCATGTGTGGAGATGTGGTTGCAAATAAACATCCAGATGATATAGCCGACTGGATGGTAGCTCAGCACCGATCCCTGTCCGGCAGTATACGGGGCATTTGTTTAATCTACGGGACTCTCGGCACTTCAACATCAGCGCTCGGCTTGCACCACAAATTGATCAGTTCATTAAATCCACGAATTCAACCATTATCACCCGCCTATTAGTGGACAGATCTTACCCATGATTCGAGAAAGCATTCCCTAATTCAAATATTCGGAATGCCGGTCGATCATCAATAGGCTTCCCCTGGCTACCCCACACAACTGAGGTAATCTGATGATGGGGTATCAGGCAAGTGCGCATACTGTTTAAGAAGATGGAAAAAGCCTCCCTTTCGTATCTTCAGAGTCAATCTACTTTTTCGAAACACCTAACAGCCATGTATTGGAACGCTCTCATCGCCGGTGCCGTCTTGGGGCAGACTGCCTCCGCGCAGAACATGCTGCGGTTTGGCTGCTCGCAGCTTACTATAGAGCGTGCTGATCCTCTCGTTACCCCGGGCCAGGCACCTTCGCCCCATACTCACCAGATCATCGGAGGGGTAAGTAAAAGCCCAGGTTGCTATCAAATCAGGCTAACAGTTGGTAGAACTCATTCAACTTGACGGTAGGAATACGCGAATCGTGACCGCGAAGTACACACTGACAAATCCTAGATGGAGCCAGGAAAATTCGATCCGCCATCCAAATCCACCTGCACCTCATGCACCTACTCGGAGGATTTCTCGAACTACTGGACGGCCTCTCTCTACTTCAAGTCGCCTGAAAACGGCACATACCAGCGTGTTCCACAATACGCCAACCTTGGTATCCAGCAGAAGGGTGGCATGACCGTCTACTACATGCCCTACTCAGCCAAGAACAACAAGATGACGGCCTTCAAGCCCGGTTTCCGCATGATTGCAGGCGACCCCATGACCACCAAAAACAACCGTGTATCCATCTGCCATCGCTGCCTCGGCAATGGTGAGGGCTTTGCACCATGCGACGCAAAGGACACGGGTGAACTCCCAACCAAGTACTGCCCTAATGGTATTCGCGCAACTGTCATCTTCCCCAGCTGCTGGGACGGTGTCAATGTCGACTCGCCCGACCACAAGAGCCATGTCGCGTACTCCAACTCGGGAGGTCTTGGATCCCAGAACTGCCCATCTACTCACCCTGTTCCGATCCCGCAGGTGATGTACGAGATTATGTGGGATACCGGACGCTACAAGAACAATGCGTGGTACGGAAATGGCAAGCAGCCGTTTGTCTACAGTTTCGGCGACAAGGTTGGCTATGGCCAGCACGGAGACTACGTAAGTTCATTCTTTCCCTCGTTGCAATCATGTCGTCCGGCCTAAAAATCTGGACAATTCACCGCGTTTGTTTTGCAGTGAAATATGCTGAGTCTTCTTGACTGCCATGTCCATTCATGCGAATTTCAAGCTAACTGAATATAGCTCTTTGGCTGGAAAGACGACTCCCTGCAAAAGGCCATGGATGCACTACCCACTGGAAAGTGCGCCAACGCCAACTGCAGCGTACTCAAGATCCAGTCAGCACAGCAGGCCGAGCAGTGTACCAAAGCGCAGCAGGTTGTGGAGGATGTTGGTAAAGATGGTGCTTGGATCAAGGAGCTTCCCGGTGGTGTTCAGGTTAGGGAGTAGTGTACCAAACATTAGGAGATTCTGTCTGCTGTGGTGTTTGTCACTCGCTCGATACTTTGATAGTTTGATCAACTCTACTCATCGGCGTAGCATTTTCACGGTTCACCACCAGTTGCCTCCTGACAGCGTTGCAACTGGTGCCTTCAGACGTGTTCAATCAAGACAGAGCTTACACGCCGTGATTAGTCATTTCTAGATCTATTATATCAATTATCGCATTTCCATGTGGTACAACCACTTGATAAGATTGGACATTCCATATTGGTGTAACTGTCGTTCTCCAGCTTACCAAGCCGTGACGCTGATCTGCTAGATATACGATTGTGCCCGCTATGCACACCGCCTGGAATTGATAGGCATATTGCCACTGCTCTACTCGCGCATTGCGTGCGCGACGGGCCGTATCATATTCTTGAATTTCTGAATGGGGTATGCTGAATATGCTTTGAACCGCGCTTGTATCTACTTACCCTAAATGGCTCGTTTACTGGGTCCGAGGTAGATTCAAATGCTTGATCTATTCAAATGTGTCGACGAATAATGATGGCTATCAGACAGGCTCACAAAGCTTGGAATCCGGGAAATACACGTGAAGAAGCCTGGCGATTCCAGTAGCATACCTAGGTAAAAATGTATTTCAAGTCACGCTGTCACATGCGCTGAAGCAGTGCACGGGCGAATGAGAGGTGTCCGGTGAAAAGTGAATCCGTTATCACGTGAGCACACCATTTTGGGGCGCACCTTAAACGCTCTTTCTCATTCACAGTCCTTGCATCTGCCACCTTCAAAAACACAGTAAAAACAAGAGAAGATCAACCTTCGACCGCGCAATGTATGTTTCCCGTCCCTAACATCAAGAATATGAATAGATACTGAGTATTGTAGATGTCGCACTCCGCCGACGCGAGCGCGCCACCTACTGGTACTGCGACTACCATAGGAGAAGAGATTGCTGCTACGAGAAAACGCCTTCGATTCATCGACGAATGGCAGAAATGTCTATATCAGGAAGCAAGAGCCCTCAAGAGCAAACTCGAAACCCTAGTAGTCGCACAGCCATTACCCGTCCCGCCGCCTACGTCCGAACGTCGTAACTATATCCTCGAACTTTCCGGCTCAAAGATGATGCTCGATTGCATCAACCGCTGGCTGGAACACAGCGAAAAACGGTTCGATCGACAGCGCATGCTGCAGATCTACGAATTACCTCAGGATACAAAAGATTTCATACGAGAATGTTGCGGCGGCCTGTATGCAGAGGATTTCGATAATGCGTGGAAGAAATTCGAGGAAATTGTTAGTCGCCAGCCTTCGAAAGTCTTGAAATATCACTTCCCCACGATCACCCCGCGGTCCCCGCCCCGATCCGATAACGCTACGACTACTCCTGGAGAACTCCCGTTGGAGGATACCCAGAGGAGATCAAGCAGTGTTTCAACGGCTCGAACTTCAACACCAGCAGCTGCTACAACATCCCGGTCGAAAAGAGCTGAGGCCACCAGAACGTCAGCCCCCCTAATGGATGAATACAGACAACAATGGAATACACTCTTCCAACCCCAGACTCAGCTATACTCACTCTTTGGGAAGAGGAACACGAGTGAAGAATTTTCTTCAGAGGCGGCCAAACGGAGACGGGGAACACCTCGCCGGTCCTCCAAAACGTCCAACGAGCGCATGGACGTCGACTCCGAGGACGATGATCCAGTACGGAAGCCGGGCAGGCGTGACCCTAAACGAAAGGCATCTGATCGCAGGGTCAATGAATAACTGATCTCAGAGGCTCAGGTTTGTCGCATGGTTTGCGTGGAATTTGGTTGTGTTAAAAGGTTAATATTCAGGCGTGGGAAACGCTCTTTGGGCACTTGATGTGGAGACAGGCGATTGACGGGATATCTGCATGGACGTTCCAGCTCCCCTGTCATAAGCCGTCTTGTTATACCTCTATAATACAGAGGGTCCTGTACTGTTCTATCATGTTCTTAGCTCGTACAATAATGCTATTGTAAGATATTCAAGTCTACAGGTTCCGTGAAGCTCGATCATCTCAAGATCACGATTCCTATTCTTAAAGTATGAACATTGCAGGGGCAGAACGACCCTTAAATCAGCTATCGAGACTCTTTCAAAGCTTCGCTTTATGTCTAGATTATATTAATATCCAGTCAAGACTGTGCTCAGATGCGATTTGATAGGCCATTGAAGCAGAAAAAGTGGTTGGCACCATATCCCTGGCCCCGGGTGGGGCGTCCCTTTAATGACAACTACAAAGGTGCCAATCACGCCGTTGCTGATCACGCAGCCTCGCTTTGAAACAATGCCACCCGTGTACACGTAGTCACATTGCTTCAATATCGTAGCCAACATCCCAATAACGCCACAACACGTGTTTTTGACTCGTATATTATATTTGCGGTAGTCTGATCGGTTCGCATACTGTGACAAAGGGGGTAGCAGCACCTGTTTTGAGTCAGCATCGTATCTTGTTCCTATTCGATATGCGTCCGTAGAATGCGCTGTTCATGATCAATGAAGTGACGTACCCCCAATGAAAAGCCGCCCGCGGAGAGAGTCGAAAACCGCAATTGTGGCGCTGGCGACGAATCTCGCGTCACGATCTTCCAGAACCTTCGTGAACTTGTACTTACCATCGCGACTCTTGTGGATTTTGAAAATTGTACTGGGACTTTCCTTGTTGAATGGGTCGACGATAGAGTCGACAAGATCGAAGACCTTTGGAATGCCCACGGCCCATATATCACCGTTCGAATCCACGGAGAGATTGTCAGCAGCCATGCCCGTAGGAATTCTATCAATCCCCTCCAGCTGGCCGGTTTTGGTGAAACGATACACACCAATGTATGGAGATCCAGTGAATGCGACATATACGAGCCCATCTTGGTCTCTCGCGATACCGTTGGCAAATTTGAGGGAGCTTCCTATCACTGGCTTGCAATCCCCAGTGCTTTGGCAATGAACAACGTTACCTCCTCCAATGAACAAATCCAACTCCTTGCGCTATGAGAGTGTTAATATAATCTCTGGAGCTACGGAGCAATCGAAATGAACGCTCACCATTCCAACTGGATGATTGTCAGCTGACGGCACATCGAAGGGGGCTCAATGTCTTGTGCATACCTTTACCAGAATGATCATTCGTCAAAACAAATGTTCCATCACCCATCAGTGCCAAATTGTTCGCCGAGTAGACGCTAGAATGGACAATCGTTTGAAGATGGTTCATATACTTCGACCTTTTTTTGAGGCTGAAAACATCCACAGTCACATTTGCTCCAACTTTGGACGCATCCAAAAAGTTATTCTCTGTGTCCACTGGCGGTCGTTGATTGATCAGCCAGAACCGCAACTCTCCAGGAACACTGTTGTCGACATCGAATCCAATCAGGTCCAGCGATTGATCGCCAGTCACACCTTTGTACCCTCTCTTCCCAACACTGCGCATGGGAAAGAAACCGTCAACAGTAGGCTCGTCGATTTTGATGGATATGAGTTGAGATCCTCCTGGACGGCGACCCGAAATGTTATATTTGGACAATCTAGTGCAGTTTTCAGCGACACGATGCAAGGCAGAGAGGGACCAGTCCTACCCAGGATTCCATTGTCCACGAGACAAGCTTCCAGAGCAAGCTGCATACAGCACTCGATCTTGATTGTCCAGCCACATATCCTCGCATCCCTCCAGCGCAGCACTGGTCATACGACGACAATTCCAACGAAAGTTCTCGATCGGCTCGATAGTACGTCCGAAGCCTAGGGTATCGAAAACAAACTCTTTGGCATAGAGCTGGTAGAATACCGCGATACCCGCAACGGAGGTAGTTGCAACGGAGATAGCTGCATTCCTGAGTTTCGCCATCTTCAGTTGACGAGAAGACTGTATTCTCTCAAGTAAAAAGAAAGGAGAAAGAAAAAAGCAGCAGAGCCAGCACAAGAAAGTTGTTGATCTTATCTACGCGGGTAAAGCTTTTGCCTGCGTTCTGGTATTCACCCCGCACAGTCAGCTTTGACGTACGGCGCAGCCCGTGCAGGAGGACGAGTGCTCGTAGCAGACTGTGCCACGTGCACGCAACACAACGCCTACAGTTGGGAGCTGTATCTAGTCCTCCCGCGCATGCGGACCGACATCCGCGAGAGAAACCAATTCTGAAGATACGGGTTCCAGGATATCGTTGATTCACTCTCTGGCAACCTCGTCAAGGGGCTTCGGAACAGGAAGATCGGCGTAATTCATACACTGCTCGTTTCATATTCTTTGAAACGTGCGAATAACAAGCGCAACGCCTACCTTTCCGTTTTCTGTATCCTCTATCATGTGATCATCGCATATCTATGCGGCACAAACACTTGGTATTCAAAAATCACACGATAAAGCTGCCTTTTTCCGCAGTTCACGAAACCGATGAGTCATCATTTGAGATAGCTAAGTGCTAATAGGATACTGGAATGCAAATGTTTGATACCGTTCTTGATGTCTTCACAAAAACAAAACTTGTATGGAACATCCACACTCATCAAAATCGATCCCCAGAAAGGTAGAGGATCCCTTGTTCAGCTACACAGCTTGAATAATAACCCTCCGTAAGTGCTTCTGCACATCTCATAGTGGTATATGCCTCGTATCCAATGAGCTACCCCAGCGAGTCATGAAACCGTAGAATGGGATATCGTAAGCCTTCTTATTCTTGGAGTAAACTAGCGATGCCAGTCTCGATCTCTTCTCTGCCTTCCCATGAGATCTCAGGGAGTCCACTTATTGTTCCTCGAACATAGTGATGAAAGTGAAAATATGTATATGGGCCGTAACGAAGCCGAGACAAACGCAAAGATGACAACGGGAGGGAAGCAATATTGGTCAATACCGTCTTCCATTCGTTTGATACGGTAGTACTGGTCGTGTAAATAACGGTGTCTACGATTTCAAGATCTGTACAATTCCCACAGAGCCCTATCACATCAAGTATTCCCCTGAGACGGTTGTTGAAAGTTTCCAGGCGTAGTTTCTTGGTGCTAAGGCCATTGTGCATGAATCCCACTGTCCACTCCGGAGGGAAAGCACGGGATGATATGTTGATTGCGTCTTGTGGATCATAGGGAGGATCTCTGGGTTTGCAATCCAAAGAGAGAATTTCGGGTTTCATTTCTTGAAGCAGTTTCGCCACCGGGAATACAAGTATCGCGGGAGCTCTATGCTGGACCGAGAATCGACGCACTTTGTTCGCGAATGAAGACCATTCTTTGAGAAATTCCTGCTTCAAGCTAAAGTGACAAGCGGTGACAGCCACATCCACAACCAAATTTCGCTCTTGAAATACCTCGTTCACGTAACGCATGATGGGGAGAATAAATTCGAGGCAGCATCCCCCATAACGCCAGTATGGGACACCGAATTCTGAGTTTGCTTTCGATCCCATGGGTCTCGGAATGGTAAGCCCCGTCACTTGCTCAGCCCATTTGTCATGGTGATCTGCAATAACCAGGTTCTTCAAATTGGGCAGGGATCGTAGGCAATCGGCCAATACCTCTGTGGGAGTGCGTTCAGGATCAACGTTATCTGATGGACTCGCCCAACCAGGGTGGCCTAACGAAAAATCATTGGAGATCTGTACGACCTTCACCCTTGTAGCCATTGTGGGTAGACTCAAAATAGAGAGAAATCGACCGACGCAGACCGGATGGATGGTAACATGAACTTCATGGAAAATCTCGTTGAAGGAGTCCTCGTAAATGCACGATTCCAGCTTCCGGCAGGTCAGACGGAGATTGCATTTATCCTCGAGTCCCAAGTACCCGAAGATGGCGAGTTTTAGCTCGTTTGCAAGTCTCATGAGGCCACTTGCAACATTCAGTGGAGTAGTCGACAGTGTGAGGGATTGCAGAGCCTGCGTTACCGGCTGGGTGGTCGCCATGGTTGGTGGTTGATCGCAGCAGCAGTTGTGGAACTGATGGGTGTGAACGCTCAGAGAAAAATTAAGAGATCGGTTGATCGCTCAATTTGCTCAATTTATTTAAAGGGAGAACATGGTAGGTAAGTTCCTTTTATATTTCCAATGACCGCCAAGACATTGTGTGTGTAACCACACTAAGTACAATCACATCTAGTGCATTCACGTGCGGACAACACCACGAAAGGTGATTAGATAGCTACTACGCAGAATTCTCAGAATGGGTAATTATTCTATACGCGATGACAGCTCCATAGGCTTTCAGCATCTCGAGCCATATTTGATTGTTGATGCTTCCCAGCACGTGAACTCTCGAGGGCGAGGGAGTCCGGCTTGCTGCACTAGTAACAAAGCCTCTGTAGTCCGAAAAATGATTCAACAGGTCAAAAGGACATGAGGGGAATATGGAACGAAAAGTGGCGGAACCGTCACCTTACAGTCGGTCTACATCACTGCGCGCAGGACATGACAATGATTACCGCGGAAACACTGGGGAGGATATTTGGTATGACAGTACTCGACAGGAGAGAAGAAGGGAAAGACGCACTCGCGGTGTTGAAAGGCAATCTTCGAGTCAACTTCCGAGTGGGAAACGAGAAAGGATTGTGCGGGCTGCTGCTCCTTCGCCAGATGTGCGTCGTAGAGCTGAGTGATAGTCTAGACGAGGTGTTCAAGAGGGCCGAGCAAGGAGTATTCGGAAGAGAAAATAAGGGATGATGAATGACATCTTGAATTGAGAGGGTGGGGGGAGCCGGGTGTAACAAGGATTGAGATATCTCTCGGAAAGTTTACCCGAGAAAAGATTACTGTACAATGCAGAACATGAAATGCTTAGTCGAATGAGATTTCGAGCTCTTCCCTATTGAGTACGCGTGTTATGACATAAGTGAGATAATTTCGAACTCCGGGAAATCAAAAAGAAAGGAGGAGTGCATCATTTCTCTTTTTTCTAGGCGCTCAGGTTTATGATGAAATATATTTGATTCGCGGACCTGCATCAGCTATCGGATATCCCCCTTTCTCTATGCTAGTGGACGTGGGTGCGTTGTGTATGCAGCATGTTGAGCATCATCGCAGTGAGACTCTAGCGACATATATTCTGACCAGAGTAACGAAGAGCCTGTCTCATCGGCTGGCATGCCGTCAAGGATCAAGACACGCTGATCAGGGGGTATTCGTAGGACAACTATCAACTCCACGACTAGGTCCAGCAGAGGCTCAAAGCACTGCTCCCGGATGATCTTCTTGACCTTTTGAGAAGCAAGGTCGCCCACAATTTCATTCAGCTTGCTGGCCAATTTTGCTTTGTGGGAAGGATATCGAGCTGGAATGCCCTCAAGTGCCGTACCGCGAACCCCATCACCTGTCACCACAAGACGGAAATAGTATCGGAGAGCACGTAGTTGTTCTTGGAAAAGCTCGACATATCGTTCTGTAATGATTCAGTCACAGGCACACAAAGGATCAGCGAGATATCCAAGTACCTTCAGACTCGACAGTGGGTGCACTGTGATGGGATTCCAGCATCCTCTGATATACAACCTTGCTGCTGTCGGCCACAAAATTGGCGGCAAACGCTCCCAGGATTTTGAGCAAAGCGAACTTCGGACCTTCGATTGCTTGTTTGGTGCCTGAAGCTGACCAGAATAATCTTATTCCTTCATATACGCTTGTCGTGTCACTCGGGACAGGTGGGGAGTCGTCTTGTTGCTGCCGAGCAGAAGCATTCTCCAGTCTCTTGAGCCTATCGTCCGCTCGATTGAGTCGCTCTTGCGTTCTCCTTGCGAAAGCACGAAATTCGGCCGACCAATGGTCTCGCTGGGAGGAGCCCTTTATCTACTAGCGGTCAGTAACTGGCGTTACGCTTATTATGAATTGACAGACATACCATTGCAATGTGCGATGAGCATGCTTACAAGTATGAGCAGAAGTGTCAAGGACAGTCAGGAGGAGGACCGGCGTTGTTGACTGTAGCTGTCAATGCCAAGCCACTAAGCTTTGCAGCTCTGGATTAAGGTGAGAGAAAACAGCAGAAATATGAAGCCATTAGCGAGGCGATGAGGCTAAAACAAGCTAGCTAGACCCTCATGTTCACACCGTCGTTTGCGCTACATTATAATTCGAAAGACTAGACGTAGCGTTCCTCTCTTGCTGGCAGCTGAATAGTCACGTGAGCTTTAATTCACACAAAGCACGTGATTTGATGCTCTGCTTATGTACCACCAGCTTGGAGTAGTAAGTACTTCAAAAACTGATATACAACTTAATTTTTGCACCTTCGCAAAAGGCACGTAGCTCAGGACACGGTCTCCCCGCTTTGATAGCGGCGCGGACAACATCCTGTAGACCGTCTTCCCTTGTGGATTGGGTTCTCCTCTGATGTCAATACCAAAGACATGAGTGAAGCTTGCGTGATTCGCCGTCAGGCCTCTTGCACCTCCCGTGCGAGTCTATTTATGTAGATTCAACGTGCGTTGTGTGGGAGTTCCTTCGTACGAGAGCCACGGAAACAAGATCCTGGCCATCGCGGAGAATATTGCAACTATAAACAGGCACCGCTGCTCGAAACCTCAGAAATGATCACGTATCTATTAAGTGTGTACAAATCCACTTTCGTCGTAATCGTCTGTTTCGTTCATCTCCATCGTCAAAACCCATCGTCGTGTGTAAGAACACCTTAACTCTTAAAATACATAAATAAATAAATAAAAGTGTACAAATCCACGCGCATCGAAGAGACATCTAGTACCAAGTTGACGGGATTCATTAAATTGAAGAGCTTTAGCCATTGTATGTATGTTAGGCGTCACGATCCGAAGAGAAATCACGGTTGACCAGGCCTTGCACATGCATATGGCTTCAGGAGATGGGTCGGCGATGTAACAATTCAACTTCACAAATGAGATGGACCCTTAATAGATCATTGAAGAAGATTCAAGATCTCATTTCATATCAAACGCCTATCCTCCGCATTTCCTTGCAGATAGTTGCCCAAGACTTGCATTGCCTTTTATGTCGTGAAAGCTCTCCAGATCAGCTCGGACCCTTATGAGCCTATATGCCACCACTCTGTCGCATGCTTGTAGTCGTGTGGTGTCTCGTCACACCGCTTGTCCTGTAGCACCCAACACGGTCAGACTGTATCACAGGCCCTGAACAAACATACCACTTACATCCAGATATTTTCTCGGACACAAGTACGTTTAAGGAGTTGAAGCGAAGATGACAGCAGCGCAAGCAGCCTGGCAAGTACCGAAAGCGGCGTTGCACGCAATGATGGTAGCGGGAGCCGTAGCACCAGGAGTCGCACCCCAAGTGAAGCCAGCCCCGGAATAGCAGGCCATTACAACGTCCGCGCAGCCAGCCTGGCAGATGCCGTATGCTGCAGGCCCAGCTTGAGTAGTGCCAGCGAGGCCGAGAAGTGCGAGGGGGGTAAGGTAGTGGAAGCGCATGGTGCTTGATGTGTGATGCAGCTTGTTTTCTGTTCCGGTTAGAGTTCTTGTTCAGGCTCTTTACAAAGGCTGATGACCTGACTTTGCTTGGTTGAGTATGTAGAGCTATGGTTGAGAGCAGTGGAGTGCGATGAGGTTGTGGTGACCAGCTCTATCTTTCAGAAACGATGGAAATTTATGGTGCCAAACTACTGTCACCGGATCCTAGTAGCTTCCAGCGCACTTGCTAGAAAGTTCTGCGCCCATTGACAAGACAAAGCGGATCTTTCTCTAGAATTCCTGGTAGGTACGTTATAGTTAGGCAACCACCGCGCCCAAACCAACGGTTTTCGGCGACACAAACACGTATGATCCTGCATCTCGAGAGACGTCTTCTTTGCACACAGGGAGTCCCACTCGCTTCACCCGGAGCTCATTGAAAAGGCGTTCAAGAAGTCTTCTGGTATCAATATGTGATAAAATTACTAGCTGCAAAATTTGTGGTATACAAGAAGCATAACTGTCGTGTCAGGTAAACGCGAAGACTACGACGATGACAAGTCGTGTCAGGTATCTATCGATAATTAGCCGGACGTATCGCAATCCAGCTGTGATTGAATGATGAATGTCCCTTTCAGTGTTTTCCAAATGGCCCCGTCTTCATTCCTTGATGCAATGCCTCCCTTTCACGTCAGAACAGACATGAATTAGCCTCCTCAGAATTGTCTTCCAATCTCTTCATGATGAAAATCGCTTGCACATCAAATACTCCGCATCATTTTGCACCGGGAGAGGTTGGTAATTCCCCAACAGCGTTAGGTGGTACAGGGCTAGTCGACATTGCGGAGTGATTTGGCGACTGGCCTCTGGACGGGGGCACAACGTATCCAGCCGCATTAGGAGGCGCTTCATATATCGGCGCCTGCACATCGCCCTGCAGCTCCGGTTTATCATGTTGGTAGGTAGGTTGGTAGTAGCCAGTAGGGGCTTGTGGGTTCTGCAAGTAGGGGTCGTATCCAGTATTCGCGTTCGTGTCGAGAGGAGCCGCTGCTTCGTCCCTCCTGCGCTTACTACGTCGTAGAATCCAGAATACAGCCACTCCTGCTATAGCTAGAACAGCCAATCCGCCCACCACACCACCGGCGATTGCGCTAGTATTATTCGTGGCTGGAGGGGCTGCTGGAGGGGGTGGCGTGTCTGATGACCCTTCGGCGGGTGGGGTAGAGGTCGCAGGTTTGGTGAGGCCAGCTATATTTCGCGTATGATTAGATTAAAGTATGGTTTCGCATAAAGTGTCTACTCACTTGATTCAGGCTTCTTTTGGTAGATGGCAGTCTCAAATATCTCCTGTGAGTTGGTAGTTGTATAACAACCCAGCGATGTCATAGTTGGTGTGCCGCTCCAGCTGTCGAAAAGCGTATATGTCATGCATCTCGATGGACCATTTTGGCAGAAGGATGGTGACACTCCGATGCCAGACAGGGTTCCGGCTTGACAATCGGTCCATATAGGACACGAATAGGTACCCGAAGTCGTCATAAATGAGGATGAGTAGGACCGGGAGGTTGAGGACAAGCTGGTTATGGTGAAGGTCGAAGACGATACATAGTAGGAACATTGTCTCCAATAATTGCTTTGCGACGTCACATAGTATACCCCAGCAGTTGAAGCTATCACCGGCGCCCCTAAAGTGGTGGTCAGTCATAGCAGGGTGACTGGGAGAGGGTAGTCCGACTCACAAACAGTGACCGTAGGTGTTCCTGCTGTCTCGTCATTGGAATAGTAGCCTAGTGTGGTTGGCGGTGCGGTCGTCGAAGATGAAGATGATGTTGATGTTTCCCGAGCCCTCACTTGCGTAGCCCCCGTTGGCCCCGTTACCCACGAAACATCATCAGTAAATGTATTACCAAGTGTGACAGATGTCTGAGCAGACACTGCGCCGAAGAAAAGAAGTGTCGGGAGTAGCATCGTCGTATCACTGGCGCGTTCTTACTGGAGACAGTACAATTGTCGTGGCACACGGAGCCAGTCAAGCGGGGACAAAACGAGCAGGACAGTCGAACGAGCCGCGAACAGCCTTCCCCGTCATTACTATAGGATTCCGCTGTCAAGATATCCGCCCCCACAACAAAGCCAGAGGCTCGCCTGATTAGGCTAGGGGGGTGAAGCACTGAATGCAAGGCCAAGCATCTCGGTATGCAATCTAGCCGCTGACTGGCCATCAGCGCGGGTGGTGTGGGCCCAAACACGAAGTTGGAGGCCTTATACTACATCTTGGGGTTATACAGATGGACTGATTGGTCTCCTTGCAACTGTGTATCTTAAGGATACGAGAACCGGATTTGTTTGAAGAATATTATCGGAGTCGAAAGATGACGCCGGCTTAACCGAAGTATAAGGTTGAGATGAGAACGTCTTCTGGATTCAGTCTTCAGTATTTTCATCGCCACACGGTACCTCACGTCTCCGATACTCTTCCTTGAAACGCACTCGCTGACAAACGGAACATCAGCATTCTTATATTTAGTATAAGAACAGCACACAGGCCTACCTTGGACGCACATTTTGAAGGCAGTGGTATCCTGTTATTCAACAAGTGTTTGTGCCGCATGGAAACGCGATGATTGAATCAAGTGCGCAGTATGAGCGTGTTCAGACGACAGAAAAAGAATCGCAAACCGGAACTGGAAGTCTCCCCTCACAAATAACCCTCTCCAAGAAGCAGAGGCGAAGTTCACGGGCAGTTTCAAGGCCGCAGCGATACGTATATACAGATCATGCCCGTCTAGACACCCGCGCGAGCACGCGAATCGGGGGGCCGCACTAATTTAGTGCCTACGTTTATTTTTACACCCCAGAATCTCACACCATACCCTCCGCAACAACGGAAATCGCAATAAGATATCAGCATTTTAAAGATTACCTCTTTTCGCATACAGCAGAGTTCCAGAATCCAGCCTCAACAGCGTTTGTTTCTTCAATATCGAGTGCTCTGAGAGCCAAGTCCATAGCAATACCTAGTCCCAAGCCTCGCATGTCATCCCACATGCACCATGGATCAAAAGGAATAAGCGCGATAACGTGAAAGGATTTCGGTTCTGCATGAGAATCCTTCCTGCATTTTTATTTCCGAATTAGAGCGCATAGCGAATAATCGGACGTCATAGCGTTTACTCTCTCTTTGTTTTTTGTTTGCTGTGTTCGGTTCTTGTCGGCCAGACCCTGGATCTGGAAGATATTGGAGTATTGCATCGCCGAGGTTAATGTCAAAAGCCTGGCTAGGGTTGAAGGCAAATTTCGGCGATTTCTCGATGACCAGAGGGGTGGAATTGACGTTGGGAGTCGTTCGTAAGGAGAGGCGTCTTAGCGGTGTGCACTGTGCGACCGCAGTTAGGTGCTTCAGTTTCCAAGTACAATTATGAACCATCTTGGTTATAGGCAGAGGCATGTCCTATATTGCTGTTTCTCAATGCCAGGAACAAATCACAGCTTTTCTTCATACTAAACTGGCCACGCCTAATATCATAAATCGCAATATGCTCAATCAACCATAGAGTATCACCGCGTTCCAGTCTCATTCGAAGCTACATACATTCAATCATATCAAGAGCTCGTCCCATATAGATCTATCTATTCAATGGTCAATCTTAGCCAGAAGCTATCCTGCGTGTTTCGCACCCATACAGAAAGAGCCCTGAAATGAGAACAATCAGATCGAATTTTGGCAGCAAGGGTCGTGTTTATCCCAGCGCAAACCCCATAGTGAAGACCAGGACTTCTATACGCATAAGAAAACAGATCCGAGGCTCGAAAAAAAAACCCCCCTCCCCCCGTCATGCTCTTCCCTGGGACGCCACACACAACATCTCCTTCAACCATCGCGATGAGATGCTGGACCTCGGAGAAAGGGGTCGACACAGTGACGGGCTTGCATCGCAGAATGCGAATGCTAACTACGTCAAACAAGACAAATCCAGGTCAGAAAAGTCGAGAAGAACTGCAGAGGATGAGTGGAGTGAGATGCCATAACAGAGGATCGTGGTAGACTCCCAGACAAGGCAGCAGTACAGACACTAAAGCACCAGGCAACCACCAAAAACGCGATCAAATCACACCAACCACGACTACACCCACATGACACGTGGAAGACCACGAATCAACGTACATATTTACAGGTAGACCATTTAGAGAGAGTGAATAGAGATAGCAACTACATTCATCTACAAACAGACCTATGAATGACCCCTCGTCATGAAAACAAACACCCAAACAGAGAGTGAAAGCACACCCGTTTGCCAACCAGCACGCCATAAATACCCCTTCTCCGCCCTTCCACAGCACCCCGCATTCTCTACCACCACCGGGGAAAGTACCTCAACCACGACAAAATGTTTTCAACTTTGCGGTCTATCATCTCGGCCATCGTCGGCCGCACGACAAGTGTACCATCGCCTTCTATCCTCCACGGACGCCCCACCCAAGCTCCGACATCCCGCCATGAGATCCGCGAACTCCTCGCATCGGCGTTGTCGGAGAAATGCTCTTGTGAGATCTGCTCAAGCGCCGAGTACTCCAACCAGGCCACGCTCTGCCCCGTAGAGCACGCGCCAACCGACATCATCATACAGCCGTGCCGACAACCAATGCTGCAGGATCCTGAAACCGATCTTTGGCCGTACAACGCTATGCATTTGGCCCGCGCGACGGTGCGGTACTTTACGCGGTCTATCAAACAGTTCGACAAGTACCAGAGAATGTCTGCAGCGTATTGTCGGAATATGTTCCAGGATGAGGAGTTCATGGGCGCGCTGAATAAGGAGGATTGCCGGAATACGCTTAATGAGGGACTGATGTTGATTCTGGTCAGGAATCTGGGGCAAGTGTTCTTCTTCGGCGAGGTGAATGTTGTGGAGTTTCGTTGGGGCGAAAAGGATGACAAGTCGGTGGACACAGATGGACCGTATACGATGACGATTCATCCCACGGCGTATGATGAAGAGGTGGGGACGCCACGGTCGATGCAGCGCATTGGCGCTATTCTCCATGAACTGACCCGCCTCTTCTTGCGAGCAAATTCCTGCGCTTGTTGCATGTGGGCCTCCACGGACAATTTCAATCAAGTAGGCCGAGGTCGCGCGTGGCATATCATCGCCAAAGCTATCGAAGAGGCTGACCATTTTCTGCTATCTCTCGATTATATCGATTTGCGCCGGCAGGCATGTCTGATCGCCGACGTGCAGGATAACTTCGACCGGCCTAGTCTTCATGATATCCGGGCTTATGGGTTCGCCGACCTACTGGAGGAGGGCGCATAACGTGTGGAGCAAGCCCATCGTTCCATATGGTGGCAGAGGAGTATCGAAATTGATGTACCGCTCATCGAGGGGCTTTCTGGTGTCTTTCCTCGCTCTCCAACCATATCTGTCTCACGCTCGGCATTCTTTCGTCGGCATATGCTTGGTCTTTCCTCATAGCCCTGTGTGGTCGATGTTCGACACCCGGCGGCCTCTGGCCAACATCACTCAATCCCTTTTGCGGCACCTTCTTCACCAAGTCTTCCTGCGCGATTGTTTTCATCGGTGTATACCGCCCCCAAAGGAACTGTTTCTCAATGTAATCGTAGTGCACCACACGCGAGCGGTCAACGGTGATTTGGAACCACTTTGAAATTGTATTCGGCGTTTCGACGGATGGTTCGAATGGCATCGGTTTCGATGGAGGGTCCAAGGTTGGTTCTATGGGGGGTTCTTTGTAGCGGGTGTTCGTAAGGAGCTCGCCGGGGCGGAGAATGTCGTCAATGCCGGTCTCTGTGGCTCCCTCGCGCTGTGGTGTACCATATTCCACTTCTTCCATATCCACGGAGGTATTCTGGTTGGGCGGGACATCGTTCTGCTTTTCGAGCGCGAATCGGATGGGGGATGCATTTAGTGCGCGTTGGGCGGCGTCTCCATCGCGATAGATGCCAAGTGCTACATTGTCCATAGGTCTAAAGTATTCGTGCTACAGAATAAGACAATTCATTAGCTACCATAATGTTCTGCATGTGATGTACGACGCCGACAAAGATTCACTGACCTTCAAATGCTTGTACATGTCCATCGGCCCGTACCGCTGTAGAACGCGCAACACTTCGCGACTTTCCGCCAAATTCGCAGGGCGTGGCACAATTGTCAAGTGTACAGCGCGCTGCGCGAGCGTCGCAGTAGCTGCCCTTCGAAACGACATTTCGACGGCTGGATGGACGATGTTTGAGTCGTATTCGGAGAATTGCCGGTTGAGATTGAAGATTGGAGATGGATAGCTTACGTCATCCGCACGCTCTCACGTGATTAGCTCAGAGCGAGTGGCAACATTGGAGCAACATATGAATGAAACAACGTCCAGGGCGGACGATAACTATAGAGCTTCAGGAGACGAATTGAATGGAAGAGAGGATCCTGTATATTCAGTGCGATACTTGACAGCCTCATCCTTGACTGCTGCCTGTGATTTGTTTGCGGACCACAACCTGTGGGCCATGCTTCAAACTGTGAAGCACTCTTCCAATGCTCTCCTAGCCCCAGCTATCATTATATATATGTTCCCATACATCTGCCACCCAAAGACAGATGGACCCCGAAAAAAGACAATGGTATATGACGCAGATTTGTACCCCAGCCCAGCCCGGGATATACCCAATCCCCAATTGATCCATGCATGTAAAAAACGCCTGTATATGCAACCGAATATTTTGTAAACCAGTGTTGATGCAAATTACTTCGCACACGCTTTCGATACCCTGCTCTTACGCATGCGCGGTCGCTTGACCACCCTCGCGGCATCATCGCGAAGTCCGTCGACCCGAAGACGCCATGACGATACAGGAGGGAGTCTGTGATCATAGTCCTGTTTTGCGGGGGTCGGCCAGAAGCTCATATCGACTCCTTCATCTTCCTGAATGGTGAGATTGCGCTCGCAGATGGTGCACTGGTCGTCTGTGTCGATCATCTTTTGGACGAGCTCGGCGATATCTCTGACGTGCGATGTTGAGCTTAGCATGCGCGCGTTTGCTTGTCGCTGCATTCTGCGTGTGGCAGAGTTGAGACGAGATGTGGATGTGCTGGTTGGGGACGGTGCGTCACTGATGGTAGAAGGCGAAGATGGTGAATCAATGTCAGCGACGTGGATGCGCAGGTTTTGCTGGTCTAGAGCATCTGCAAGGTCCCGAACGGCGCACGGCGGTGATGGTGTAGATTCCCTCGCCACTGACGGAACAAAGGATGATCTGTGAGATTTTGGCGAGAAGTAGGAGGCATCGAGTCCCTTTGAATTGTCCTCGTCGTTGTAGACATAAGACGCAAAGGAGAAGTCCCCGAATAGTGTCGTGGTAGTAGCCATGATGGCTGGAAAACCCCCCGAGAGGAAATTCGAGATAAAAAGGTCGTATTCACATTTGACGACCGCAGCTTATGGAAGACAGGCGGACTAGATATACGCACGGTATCATGTATTGCCTCTGCACCATGACCACAAGGCCAAGGACCGATGGCGGTTTCCCAAACCTGTGGATGGTGGAGGGTTGGGCCCAACCCGGTCAAGTCTGTCATCGGTGGCGGCTGAGCCCTGGCTTCTGCGACACGAAGCGTCGGGTCAATGCAGCCGCCTGTGATGAAATCCATCAATCTGGTAGTGTTTTCCAGGCTTTTCGCCACTTCGCTACGTGCGCAATTGTTTCTCTCACGCAATGTTTCACTTGCCTCGACCGTTGGAAGGGATCTGGCAGGGCTACATGACGAGCATCTGCACCGCCAACCCCACCACTGCCGCATTCGAGAAGTCGTTGAGCTGATTCCAAACCTGATCTGCGACCATGCGACCATCGGTAGCGACGCCAATATTCAGTCAGATGCCTAGCCACTAGAAAGGTGCTAGAAGGCGACTCTGTATGGTCCGGTGTGGTGGTGATCGTCATTGTCCCAGACTCGATACATACACCAATGTCTCACTTCCACCAACCATTCATCATTCCTCCACAATCTTCACCATACCCCCACCATTCTGCTCAGATCATGTGCGCAAACCCTGAGCCTACGCCTCAAACCGAAGCGTCACCTAGGAGAACCCTGCTTTGGTTCACGAGTTGAGTAGGGGCCGGGAATAGCCAGATTGCCATCAATCTTACCGGACAAGCTTTCAATCTCAGCACAGAACAAATAGGGGACTGTTGCCTTCACAGCCACGATCGCGGAGCATTAAGCGTGTAGGGTTTCTCCCTGGCAGCTGTCCATCAAATAGGGCTGCAATACATTGCCACCCAATCGGAGTGCGCTCATCCCAGGAGAACCCCCAATATTTGGCTTATTTTCAGCTCTGCTATCCCATTCAGGTGTTCACGACATTGATAATCTTCACCACTAAACTTCAAGCCTCACAATCTATGATTGCTTCCCGAGACCCCAATCTAGGGGTCAGAGTCCGTCCTCAGTCGTTAGCTTTCGGTTTTGAAACTTCGGAATTTCCGAGTCCTAGGAATCGGGCCCGCGGCGTAGTGCATACGACATCCATGGTTTCCTCCAACGCCGGTTGATCATAGCATGCCGAATCATCGTTCAATGCAGGGGGCGGCCCGACATCTTATGACAAGCGGTGTAACCTTGAACACTGGTGAGGGTTACATCTTTGACAAATGTGTTGAGGTGTCGAGACTGGTCAGGCTGGCCCCCAATGGTGGTTTCACCGAGACTATACGCACTAGAACAACTACCAGCTTTGCTCTTCTTATTGGCAGTCATAGTTCTGCTCAATATGCTTCTTCTTGCACTTGGATTGGAGCGGTCTGAAAATCATGCCTCCTTGATGCTTGAAAAAACCTGCGCCCCTGCATAGTAGTAGAATAACAGCTCAGATGCAATCATCAGCCAATCTACCAAGTACTCGGAACTTCGGACGTTCCGTCAACATAAATCCAACAGCCCAATCAACAACCAACAAGTGGGTATTGACACAGAATATATTGTGCCTGCAAAGTCACTGACCGGCGTTGTTGGCTCTCCCGTGTCTGCATGTACGGTCCCTGCTTCACAATCACGTGCTGTACGAATGCCCCATTCGAACTGTGCATACACTCAGGTGCGGCTTAGGGAGTTTCATCATCTCTGAGGCAGCCCGCACTATTTCTGCTTGTCTGTTTGATTTAGGCCGGAAGCTACCATGCTTAGGTCGTTGCCTCACTTTGGCTTAGTCATCATGTGATCGGAATGCACTTGTCACCGCCAGCTGTTTGCGCACAGCAACCTCCAATCTTGTCCGAATCCAGCCTGCAGAAGAGCAAACAATCTACTGTGAGGAGTATCTTCATGTTCGCATAGCTGGATGCCTCTCGCTCCTATCTGAATGATGATCGAAGAGACCGCAGAAGTCTTTCTTTGCTCTCCTTCCTACCAGGAGATGCATGAGAAACCGAATACTGATCTTGGTGACAATGGTATCTCTCCAATAAGGATCAATAATGCTATGTACATGGCTTCATATAATCAGCAGAAAATCTGAACAAGGCCTCTCCTTCCATGTATCTCGCACAATCACTTCTCTTTGAGGCCGCTGTCAAACATTCCTCAGCACATTCCCATCGGGCTTCCGCAAACGGCATCCAAAACAAAGACACTGCGTAACATTGCAAACGGTTACCAAGCCAACAAAGGACATACAATGTCGTGCATCCCTCAAAACCAGACGTTCAACTCGCTCCGCTCCGAGCTCCTTCACTTGATCCAAGTCAAACACATAGCACTGTGAGGTACCATCTTTTTCTTGCAAGCGGTGACAAGCTCACTCTTTTCCCGTCACTTTCTTTTCCCTCGGTTCACCAACATTACACGCATCCACAATGTCTTGGTTCAACGTTGCCCGGATTTTCCGTGAGCTCATCACAGGCGAAAACGACCCACCGTCTCCTCCGCCAGTCATCCGTCGTAAGCGCAAAGCCGAAGACAAGTCCTACAACGAGGACGACTACGATGTCTCGGATGATGGCAAGCCCAAACGGATGAAGCGGTATAGGCAATTAGATTACCAACGTCAAGATCTTTTCCGACATGCACGAGATCGAGACGGTGGAGATGGCGAAGAACAGGAAGCACTGTATCGATCAGATACACCCCCATCGCGACGACGAACGAGATCAATGACCAGCGGCCCAGCCCGGCGCCCGCCCCAACCCCAGTCTAGTAAGCGTCATGGCACCAGTGCTCGCATCATCACCAAAAATAAAGAGAAACTCAAGCAACACGACGAGCTTCTCGATGACGCCGAACGGGCCCTCCTCCTGTTCAAAGATCTCCAAGAAGTTCTCTTGCGGAGCAAAGACAATCTGGAGAGAATTCCTAGGGGTGATCCTGAACACGCTGCAATCTGGCTTGAGAATTTGTTGTATCAGTTAAACGCTACGAAGGATGACCTCGATGGATATCACAAGGCAACGAAACTCAACAACAAACAATTGCATCAACAGCTTGACAGCAAGCAGGGGCTCTCCAAGTCTTTATCTAAGCCTTATGAACCCCAAGAGCCCACGCCCACACCGTCTTCTAAACCCACTGTATCCGGATCGAAGCAACGGGAACTTGAGAACTTGGCGCAGGCCGCTATGATGATGGCTCGACAAAAAGAAGCCGACAATAAAGCAGCAAGAGCTGAAGCAGTAAGAGTTGAAGCTGCAAAAGCTGAAACTGCAAGAGCGGAAAAGGAAAAATTGGAAAAGGCCGCGCAAAGCATAAACTTCCAAGATGCCGGTGTTTCCACCAACATGTGGAAAGATATGAGTGGAAGCATGCTACAAGCCAGGAATCATCTCCGAATGGCTGCCGAAGATCCCGATTACACCTATAGCGATGTTGAACTCGTATCTGAGCTTGACTATCTCCGGAAACTGATGGAGTCATTTACTGCTGAGTACTGCGCCCATGGTTGCAAAGCAGGCGATATGACCGAAAGACTGCGAAAAGCCTTTTTAAATATGACGCCTGAGACGACGCGTATCTATTGCAATGTAGCTTCTGGTGGTCCGGGAGGTCCGGGAGGCTGGCACCAGTTCTTCCAGGACAAAGAAAAGATGCAAGCTTTTGCTCTCGCAGTCATTGGCAACGTAGTTGTTGAGCAAGTCCTCCACCATGTTGCGTTCGGTGCTGATGAAAAGTTGTTGGATAAACTGAAGGGGGTGCAGAGTAGACTCAGGAATCACGATGGTGAGTGACCCGCTTTCTCCTTTTTCCTCCTCCTCCCCCTCCCCCTCCCCCAATAACCCATAAAACAACAATAACAGAGTCTGACCCAACTCGTCAAAATAGGATTCGTCCGCAATCAAGCAACCGCAGAAGCGCTTCTGGAGAACCTCAAAAACGGTGAAGACAGTGAAGACGAAACCGTCGACAAGGCACACTCAATGGAGCTCACCACCCACTTCCAGGAGTCAGTCTCCACCATAACAACAGCCGTCATTACACACCTCACCCCAATCCTCTCCCTCGCACCCCGTTCCAACAAACCACCCGCCTCCATGCAACGCGACCTCGCAGCCATCCTAACCCTCGCAGGCATCCTCTCCTTGAACATGCGCATGGACCCGCACACCGTATACTACATCGTTCCTCTCTACAAAGAACAACCCTTCGCCCGCAGTGAACACGACCTCTTCAACCCCGCCTCCGCAGAACAAGCAACCCAGAAAGCGCGGGGATCAGACTACAAAATCACGCAAATCTGCCTCTTCAACGGCATCACCGCATACCGCAAGGGAGGCTGGGAAGCCGCAAATTCCCGCGTCTCAAACCCCATCTACGAGCCATTGCCTCGCCCCGGAAAACCTCCCTTGCCCCGGGGAACCTCCGACTCCTTGTCGGAAAAAACGGGCGTGCGCGTCAGAGTGCTGACGAAAGGTTGGGTGTACGTGCGTGTTGGGCAGCGCAGGACTTTCAACTCTGGCGTTGAGGTTGTACGGCCTGATGCCCATGGGGATCAGTGGGTTGAGCCTGGGTTTGTGGAGTTTCATGACCTCGATGGGGTGGAGAAGCCGCCGCCGCCTGTGGCGAATAGAGGGATCGATATAGGGAAGTATCAGGAATTGGTTCATGGGAAGTCTACGGGGCAGGGGCTGGGAAAGGGTAAGGGTAGAGGGAAGGGGAAGGGGAAGGGGAAGGGGAAGGAGAGGGCTACTGAGGGGGGGATGATGCTTCCGGGGACTCAGGCCGATGAAGGAGGGGTAAGGAGAGGTAAGCGACGACGACTTTGAGTGAGATGACGATGATGATTGTGTTGTGATGATAGTATGAGTGGTCTCGAGTGTTTCGTGCTTTGTATTCACCCCTTTTCCTTCTTCTGTAGGCTCATAGAACAATCATACTACATTCCATCTCAGTTATCAGATCGTACCAAGGTGGGCATGATGTGTATTGACATGCTATAGTCGGTTGCAAATTAACAAAATGTCCTACGGTGTACCTCAATGCGCGTGCACTTACTTGATGTCACTAATATCTTTGCCCAATCAACAATCTAGACCGCATCCAATATCATCCACCTCACCTTGTTTCCAATCCCTGTTCGTATTTCGGACCACTACACTGCGTACTGCCTCGACATGATTCCGCGTACCCGAACAACAAAAAATGCGTGAATTGAGTCTTCGGGCAATCCATCAAGTCTATTATTCGATCATCGCATATTCCATGCGGCACGAACACTTGGTGCTGTAAACCACACGAATTTTATTTATTTATTTTTTAAGGTGGAGTTAAGGTGTTCCTACACACGACGATGGGTTTTGACGATGGAGATGAACGAAACAGGTGATTACGACGAAATCAATGCAAATCACACGATAAATCTGCCTCTAAGCTCCAGGCACGACACATGTTCCGTGCTTATCACGAAACTGATGAGTTATCATTATGAATAGCTGAGTGCGAGTTGGGTGAGCGTGATTACTCGAATGTTTGAGTGGGAGCTCGCATCCAAGCATCCTGGACATTTGTTATGACACCATAGAGCGCGCACGATGGCTGACTTACGAAAAGTGTGGTCGGTGTTCGATTTCTGAAAAGCCTATTTAATGGAGGGGTGCTGCAGTACGCTACATCTCAGCGATGACGGAAGGACCAGCATACAAGTAGTCGAATGCGGGAGTGCACCTCGCAAGAGAGTTGGCAGATATGTGAAAAAAATATAAAGTAGGGTAAACCAACCACCAGAAGTCCTCGTGACGAAGCTTAAGGTGAATTTGAGCTTGATACGGGCGTTGAGGCTACGCGCTTGACTGTGTTGAGCAATAACAACATGCTGTTCAACAGGTCTCGTCGGAAGACTATACATGTGGCCCAGCAGTAATAAAGCTATTGAAAACAATAAAAGAAGCGGAGACAGAGCATTTAGTAAGATCCATAGCGAAATGTTGGAAGAAAGGCAATCCAGCTCCTCTTCATGAAGCTTCCTATCCGATCGGACTTCGAGTTGAAGAGTAATGAAGCCCCAATGAGGCTTCTTTCTCGTGGGGTGGAATAATATGGTGTGCATTCCTGCGAAAACACTAAGCGTGAAGACGGGCCCGAGGATTCTCACTGAGCTGGCGTTCCGTCCATCAACCCTGCGCAGCCCGCCTACGATAAGGAAGTTCGGCTTTTCTCTCGGTCCACTGGTGGATGAGCGGTGTGAGCTCGAAATGTAAAAAGGGAGTAGCAACGAAGAGCGTGATCTTGTGTTACCATCAGTGTGAAATCTTCCATCCTATTGGAACATGTATATACAATTCCCGCCACCCCTTGCGCTGCTTGAAGTCGCTATTCCAGCTCGAAAGGGTCTGTTTGAGCCAGATGGGTCATGAATGATGTTATGTTGCGGGGAGGAGTCCTTTATGTCGCCTGCTGCGAGAGGACGCTTGGGACTGGGCCCACTAGTGGGATGTCTCACATTGTTCCACGGAATCTTCTGTTCTGTGGGCTAGTGGGGTGCTTTGTTCAATATTATTGCGCATTATTTTGTGCAGGGTTGTAGTAATGAAGGATGTCGCGAGCAGTCAGATCAAGCACAGCCACTTAGTACAGAGGCTATGACACAATAATTCGACATAATTGTGAATCGTTCTTCGGCAAGAATTCTCGCGTGCCATCATATTCCTCTACCTCACTTCCCTCGTAACAGTTCGTAACTATGGGGCCATCGAGTTCTTCCGACTTCCGTGATCACCCCTTGATCGCAAGCCCATCGCGTAGAGCGCAAAGTGAACGTGAGTGAACTGTGGGCCGATTTTGACGTCTCCTGTTTCCGATACGGGTATCCACAGCGCTTAACCCGTGTGTGGCTGTCGTTGGTAAAACCCAACGGCTGTTCAGGAGAGGAGACAGATGTCAAAAGTAGCGCACGCACGTGGCACGCTCAATAGCCTCATACAGTACCTAGGTAGGTAGCAAAGGGATGCCGTGCCATCATTTAGCTTAACTCGGTAGTAAATCCGTGCGTCCCCCTTGAGGTTTGAGGCTTTGGCGAAGATGAGAAGCTTGATCCTGTGCAGAGATATGAAACCTGGAGAAGCTTACAGTGCACACAGATACACTCGCTAATAGGCAGTATGGCCCGTATTCGTGTTCCAATACGGTGTCTCGGAACGCGGCAAGCTCGAGAGTGAATCACCTGCAGCATGTTTAAGAGTATGCGCGATTGCGAACGGTGATATCAATGATTGTATGAAGGCTCATTGTTCAAGCCACTGAGCGTAGTGGAGCGTGTGGAGATGGGGGTGTAGGTTTCAGGTTGCCGCTATGTAGTGTAGACTTAGTCCTAAAAAGGTATAGCGTTCTGGCCCAGGCATGAAAGGTGAGCCGAGACATCCGAATATACCGCCGACTATTCGAGTGGTACTTGTTTTTCTCTATCCATAAATGAACAATGTACTATTGAATAACTTCTGCGAGCGAAGCATAGTCTTCCGAAACTGTTCTGCTCTGAAGCGGAGGAGTAAAGCTGATCTCACATTGCAGCTCCACGCATGAACCGAGAGCATGACATGTTCATTACTCAGATGGATCTCAAGCTCCCCTGGTCAGATCTTGATCTGATTGGTGGATCGCCATGTTCGAGAATGTTTGAGAATACGCACTATATACCCTTTGGCCCATCGCTTACTACCACTACGTCGCAGGTACTCTCAGAGCAAAAAGCCGTAGAAGACATGTTTAGAGTCTAGCCTCATTGAGCAGCTTGATCAGGAATCAAGTTATGTAAGTAGGCGAGCTTTGAAAACGTGTCGGACAACCCCGTCGTCCAGCCGTGTCGCAAACATGAAACCACGACATCGATGCCTCAGAACTTGGGAGGTAACCGCTTTGGGAGATTAAGATTCCTGAACAAGTCGCTTTGCCTCAACTGGCAATTCAACGCCGAGTTGGATATAAGGAGACAGACTGGCGCTGGACTCTCAATCGAGCATCCCAACTCATTCATTCCTTCTTTTCATCTTTTGCTTCAGTCCCGACTAGTTCGGCTTCTATTCTTTCAACCCTTTGACTCCGACTGGCTTGGGTCGAATTGCCTTTTTCGATTCTCTTCTACACTACTCAACTATTATCATTCTTTCTTGTAAACATGTATTCACGTTCCATTCTTCTCGCGATGGTCGCGTCGGCGGGTCTCATCGAAGGCACTGCTATTGACTTCTCTGTTGGCTCTCAGATGGTCGCTAGACAGCAGGGTGGTCGAGGAGGTGGCCGAGGAGGAAACAACCAGGGAAACAACCAAGGAAACAATCAAGGAAACGGGCAAGGAAATGGCCAGCAAGGCGGCCAGCAGGGTGGGCAAACATGCCTGAACAACGACCTCATCCAGTCCGCCAGTGCCCTCACTGGACAAGAGGCGGGCACGGAGGGCATCAAAGACGGCCAGGCACCCTCAGCTACGTAAGTTTCTACATCTCTCCACACATCATTGCACAAACTAACACACCTCCAGTGATCCCGCCAACTTCATCAACTTCTGCCAGGGCAAGGAGATCACCAACGGTATGCAAATCAAGACGGGATCCTGCAACGGTATCCCCATGGGCCAGATCCCCGCGCAGGCCAACATGATCACAGCCGTCATCACCAACCCCAAAGTGGGCGTGCAAGTCCCCTCGGACACCACCTTCACCATCGACGTCCAAACCGAGCATCTCGCCGCCGGTTTCTTCGTCAACCCAACAACAAACTACTACACCGCACCCCAAGAGCTCGACAACAAGGGCGACATCATCGGCCACTGCCACGTCACAGTCCAGGACATTGGCGACATGCAAGCCACGACCCCTCCCGACCCAACCACTTTCGCTTTCTTCAAGGGCATCGACGACGATGGAAACGGCAACGGTCTGCTCTCGGCTACCGTCACTGATGGTCTCCCCGCTGGTACTTATCGCGTCTGCACTATGATCGCCGCCCGCAACCACCAGCCTGTCAACATGCCTGTCGCTCAGCGCGGCGCCCAAGACGACTGCACGAAATTCGAGGTCGTTGCAGCGGGTGGCGGCGGTGGCGGCGGTAAGAAGTCGCCAAACAACAAGAACGGCAATGGCGAGCAGAACCAAGCTCAGGAGGGTGTTGTTAAGGATAAGGGCGCCAAGGGCAATGGTGATGACGGGAACCAGGGCAACAATGGACAGAATGCTGCTCAGGGAGCTCAGGCCGGGAACCAGAATGCTAACCAGGGCGCGAACGGTCAGGCTGGTCAAGCTGGTCAAGAAGCTGCCCAAGGCGCGAATGGTCAAGCCGGTCAAGCTGGACAAGCTGGACAAGATGCGAACGGTCAGGCTGGACAAGATGCAAATGGTCAGGCTGGACAAGATGCAAATGGCCAAGCTGGACAAGATGCAAATGGCCAAGCTGGTCAAGACGCTGCCCAAGGCGCGAACGGTCAAGCTGGACAAGATGCAAATGGCCAAGCTGGTCAAGACGCTGCCCAGGGCGCGAACGGTCAAACTGGTCAAGCTGGTCAGGCTGGACAAGATGCGAATGGACAGGCTGGACAACAAGCTGGCCAGGGCGCGAATGGTCAAGCCGGTCAAGCTGGTCAAGACGCTGCCCAAGGCGCGAACGGTCAGGCTGGTCAAGGTGCGAATGGCCAAGATGGACAGCAAGCTGGTCAGAACGGTAATGGCCAAGAAGCTGGTCAAGAAGCTGGTCAGAATGGTCAAGGGCAAGGTCAAGGACAGGCTGCTGCTGGACAAGGACAACAAGGCGCCGCTGGACAACAGCAGGGAGCCAATGGTCAGGGACAAGCCGCCGCCGGACAGGAACAAGCTGCTGCTGGACAAGGACAGGGACAACAACAACAACAACAACAACAACAACAACAACAACAACAACAACAACAACAACAACAACAACAACAACAACAACAACAACAACAACAACAACAACAACAACAACAACAACAACAACAACAACAACAACAACAACAACAACAACAACAACAACAACAACAACAACAACAACAACAACAACAACAACAACAACAACAACAACAACAACAAGGTGCCGCTGGACAGCAACAAGGTGCTAATGGACAAGCCGCTGCTGGACAAGATGCGAATGGCCAGAATGGACAAGGTGCTCAAGGACAAGCCGGCCAGAACGCCAACGAGCAAGCCGCCGGTAATCAGCAACAGGCAGCCGGCAACCAAGATGCCAATCAAGGAGCGGGCCAGGATGCCGGTCAAAACGGTGGCCGTGGTGGCCGAGGTGGCCGAAGACTCAGATTCAGCAAGAGGCACATCCAGGGAATGAACTGGTAATCGGATGAGAGAAAGAGTTATGGCGTTTGCACGAACATTGAGAAGAGGCCAGAGGTAGAGGCATGGATTGAAGACATAAAACACGGTCTTTGGAATGATCGATAGATACCACATTTCTTTTTTATTTTTGTACAGTACGCGGGATACGAGTGAAACCTGATGACCACTTCTATGGATCAGTATAGAAATAGTTTTGTATATATTGCTCTTTTGACGTCGATATTGTTCACGTTGTAGCCAAAACAAATCTATAATACAAAATCCCAATCATCTACCACTCACAGAACGCAACGGGATGGCTAGATATCTCTCCAACACCTGCCTGAACACATGTTGAGCTGGCGCCTGAGTCCTCTTTGCCAGGATGCGTTTTACAGGCAACGCTGTAATCCATACTAGGACAAGTCAAAACACCCGCATGATCATACGCATCGTAGATGCATTCTTCTTTATGCAAAGTCATCGACCATTTAGCTTGTGCATAAGGAAGCAACTGCACGTTAGCCTTGTCCCGTACGCACTCACCATCAACTGTTCACTTTCACCTCCCTGATCGCACTGGCGCTTTTTCTAACACTAATATCCCATCCAAATACTTCTATTCGCCCAGTCTTTTTATCCAGACAGCCCTCTAGCTCGTCGTTCACATTAAGCTCACTGTAACTCAATAGCTTCCCATGTTGCTCACAGCTCAAATGTCCACGAACTGCAAGATGTCCAAATCACACGAGAAGACTTTTATGATCAAAATGATATTCAAGGATGTGAGAACACTTGAGTCCTGCGCGTGTTGAGTCTGGATACCTGTGGGCGTGAGGGCATCGTGAGCAACAGATTCGGCACAACCCAAGTACGACGACGATGTCTACCTAGGTAGAGACTGATTATTTTAACCACAAGGCTCTGACAGAGACTGTGATATTCGACCAATCTGACCGTCACACTGTTCCCCACATGCTCACGCACCTCGCGCATAGGGCTTGCCTCGTTTAATTCTGCGGTATGCGAGGATGCGAAAAGCGAGATGTGTGGGGAGTTCTCCACTGGATGATCAATGGAGGCGTGTGATATGACTCTGGGACGACCGGACATGGACTACCAAACTAAGCGCGTACACGCAAGTCATAGTCCACGCACGTCTTTTTTTATTCAATCGCAATAGCTAGAACAATGGAGTTTTGGTCAACAACTAGAGAATTCTCGCGAGAAATGAGACACGCGAGAAGCCCGCTAACGACAAGAACGCAACATAGCCCCCGTCAGCACTACGACGAGCGTGCGATATGCGACTGAACGAAAAGACTAGTATGAAAACCTATCACGAAGTCTTTGGAGACTTAACAGACATAAATACTTGGTATAGGCATGCTCTATCCATCGGCAGCTGGTTCACCACTCGTCTTAGAACCATACGTACTTCTTTGATCGACTAGACGTAAACATGGCTTTCCACCGACGAGTTCAAATGGGCTTACTACTTGCTGCTGCGGGTATTGCGAATGTTGCGGCCACTAAACAATGTGTCGAATTCGAGTTACCAATTTCTGTCGACACCACCAACGAACACTATAATATTCGACGTGTGGACAACGATGTCGACGCCGTGCAATGGGCACTGGACTCCAGCATATGGAACCAGACATTTGGCAAAATCATCGATCATGTGAACATCACCACAACCTACAACATCAGTGCTGAGCTTTGCGTCCCGTCGGAGAAGTCGGACAAGTCAGACATCTTGCAGATTGCAGTGCATGGAAATGCATGGGATAAAAGGTGCGTTTCCAATCCCTTTTCAAATATTCACGACAGGTCGCCTCTGTTTCAAACACTGACACGAGTATGGGAACAGAGCCTGGGACGTACAGGTTAGGCCGGAGCAGCAGTCCTATGTAGACGCAGCCATCGCAAAAGGATACTCAATCCTTACCTTCGACCGCATCGGCACCGGACAGTCCACACTCGTCAACGCCTACGACGATGCGCAGCCTAATACCGAAATCGAGATCCTCGCGCAGATCACCACGTTAGCGCGCAGCGGAAAGCTTCTCAGCGGAGCCACCATCATCTCCAACACCACCGCTATTCCATCGCCAACCCCGAAAAAAATCGTCCACGTTGGTCACTCTTTTGGCTCCCTTCTCATATTTGGTCTGCTCAAGAAACAAGGCGATTTGTCTGATGGCGCGCTTCTTACTGGGTTTTTGAACAGCTCGCACTTGCGTGATGTTCCTGTCGCCACTTTCGAACACGCTTACGCTGCTACTCACGACCCTGCTCGCTTTGGAACTTTCGGCTCGGGATACGTTGTCCTTACTTCTTTGAATACGTTGCAGAAGTTGTATTTCACAAAGGCAACACTTGATGCGGAGCTGCTCGAGTACACGGAGAGGATCAAGCAGCCAGAGCCTGTCGCTGTGTATGCATCCGCTGGGCAAGTTTTTGGTTCGGAGAATACGAACTTGTTTAGGGGTCCTGTACAGGTATGTTCTCCCCTCCACTTTTTCTTGTAATGATTAGCCATCGATGTGTCTAGAGAATTGACTTAAACTGACCGTTATTGTTGTGTAGTTGATCGCGGGTGAAGCAGACTTCGTGACCTGCAATGGGTATTGCCCAGGAACATACGATGAAGAGGAGATGAAAGACCAGTGGTTTCAGAATGCGGCCAATTTGACGGTGTATATTGCACCTGACACCGCCCATGTGCTCAATGTAGCTACGAGTGCATCGGCTACATACAAGAAGATGCTTGATTACCTAGAAGAACATGGCCTGTAAAACAGCCAGATGTAGAAGCAGCACAAGTAGAATTTACTGATATGTAATGAGGCGATAGAGAGAACTCAATAGACAGAAAGAGGTGGAGGTTCCTAGCATGAGGGGGTTCGGGAGTGTAGCAATTTATGAGCTTGACATCAGTCACATAAGCTTGCATGCGGATCATTGCATTTATGATTGACATCATTTTCTATCCATTCAAAGTCTCGCCCTCGATCGCAACTGGAAAGGCTGCTTACCTTTAACACCCAAGACGCCCGTCCCGAAATACCTCCAATCAATCTCTACCTCTTTCGAGGCCAACACAACGTCGTAGTTCCCAATCAACAAAGCAGCCGTGACCAGCATTTCCTGTTTGGCAAAAAACCGACCGGGACAGATACTGCTCCCTCCACCATAAGGAAACCAGGCGTCTTCGCTGCCTTTCAGCGAGAATTCAACACCATCGCGATCTACTCCACTCTTAACCAAAAACCTCTCAGCCCAGAACTCATCAAGCGGGCGTGGATCTTTCTCACTCCCTGTATTGAACCGCGAGCTATCTCTATGCATCGGATATGTAACCGCAGCAACAATCTCACCCTTCTGAACCCCCCACCCATCTATCGAGAGCGTCCGCGAATGCGGCGTCCGCAGGATAATGTTGCATACATACAAACGCAACGTCTCAGCATACAACGACTGCACAAACGGAATCGCACATAGAGCGTCAACATCGTACGTCGTAAATCCCCCCTCACCCCGCACCTCCACTTTCTGTATCTCAAACCGGAAGCGCTCGAGCGTGCTGCTGCTTCGCACAATCGCGTGGATCAGCCAGAACGTGGCGTGCGTCGTATTCGCGTTTCCCCAGATCAGCGCAAAGTCCTCAGCTGCTCTTACATCGATGCTCATGACGTCCATTCTCGAAAACGCCGCATGTCGCTTTTTGACAATGCAGCTCCCGAATGTATCGTCGTAGTCCTGCTGTGAGAGTCGGGCCGCGAGATCAGGGTCAGCGGTTCTTTTCTTATCTAGGTTTTCGTGCCACGCCCGCACGGTTTCGAGACACGCGTCTCGCGCGCGGTGTTGGCTGGGGTATACGAATCGCGGCAGCCCTTTCCCCAGCTCGGGAACCCCCATCTCGAAGTCCCAGAACCGCGTGGAGAACTCGGGATCGATGTCGAATAAGCCAGTTCCAAACAATGCTTTGACCGAGGAATGGAAGATACTGTGCTTGACGAATCGATAGAGGCAGTCATGCTCGGTATCTGCATCTGCATCTACACTTCCACATTTTCGTAGCCGATCTTCCATATTCAGAGTAAACCGCGCCGCGAGCGCCTGCAACCTCGACCCGGTCAAGAACTCGACCAGCAGCGAATGCATTATATACTCTACGCGGTTCTCTGGCTTTGTATCAGTTCCCGGGAGAGGGGTCCGCGATATCCCCGTAGTATCTGCGTAGAAGAAGTTCTGGAATTCCTTGGGGACGCTGAACGTCGAGTTGACCCATTTCCGATACGGGCGGTTGGTGACTTCGCTGGATTGACGGAAAAGGGCGGCGACGTGCTCGGAAGATGTGAGGTAGACGATGTCCGTGGCGAGGAGGCGGAGACGGAGGGGAATGCCGTGGAAGCGTTTGGTAAGCATCGTGGTGAAGTTGGGGGTGTCTAGTGTAAAGGGAATAGTGTGGCCGAGAAGCGGAAGCTTGTTTGGTGCATTGATTGGACGTTTGAGACTTGAGAGCACAGGTTGATGCTTTTGACGTACATAATTAAAGAGAATGTAGACGGAAATCGCAGCTACGGAAGTGGAGATAGCAGGATGCAGGACCATCCAGTCCAGAACGGCGTGCCCCATGTTGTTGAAAAAGGATTTCGAACACTGATGTGCTGAATCTCAAGGTAGAAATAGAAAAAGACTATTTGTATGCTGGTAAACAACTGTAGATTATATCCCTTCGATACCGTGTCGCGGGACACGTATTTCTCCAGCTCATATAGATGCATTTCCGAGGTCATACATCACTTGAGCAACTGTGCCGCAGTTGTATGACTGCCTAGAATATCGTACATATCCACTACTTACCCTTTATCTACCCATTCGCTCCTTGCAACAAGAGACGAGGAAGGGAACAGCAAAAGAAGTGTGCTTCGTACACTTGATACGTCAGATTCCAGCCCATCATCATAGAATCATGCAGCACATCGCCAAACTAGGCAAATGGGCATAAAGACATGTAAGATTGTTCTTACTTGCAGCAGAACTCTATCTGTCAGCTCGTATTGCTGCTTAATCTAATACAATGATTGGATCGATACAGCGCAAACACTAGACGCCTATCGCTGCTCGGTCCTCTCATTCGACCGCGCTTATCACAACTTTCAGGCTTGTCTGCTTCCTTGTGTTCTTCGTTCAAGGCACCCAATTTTCGTAGATGCTGGTATTTGAGCTTCCGTTACTATTCCACGATTTTCTTTGCAGGTATTGAGAAACTTAAATTAAATAAACGTTGACTAAGTAGACGACTGAAGCTACAGCGTGTTTACCGAGTAAAGAAACGTCTTGAGATTGTTCACATCGATCGCCGAGCAAACTCCACCAACTCGCCGTCGCAAGAGGAGATAAAGGGGATGAGATTATTGGCGGGGAAGAAGACGGTGAAAAGATCAGTACACTGAAAATTCAGGATTGATCGAATGCACGATGTGAGACTTTCTATCTTGACTCATGCATAAAGGAGATTTTTATATCAAACTTTCTAGCTGCAGTTTGATGACCTAGGTTTGATTATTGATGAAGCGCAGCGATGATCGCACGAGTAATAGCCAGGGCCTTTTCCTCTTCGAGTCTATTGGCAACAAGTCTAAATAAATCACACGAGTCAGCCGGGATATCCCAACCTCCAATACGGCAGAGAACGACGAAGGAAAAAAAAAAACTTACTGCAGACTTATCGGCATTCCGTGAGCTAAATCCACATCATCTAGGTCGGGTCGGCGCATTAGTCGACGCTCTCATAGGAGATGTGCGGCGATGAGGAAATGCACTTACAGCTCGACTGCACCTCTCTGTCATAATCACTCAGCGGTTCTTGATTTGACGCGTCTGTCCTCTTGTCTTTCTCTTTATCGACAACAAGTCCGCTCGGGAACGACACGGCCGAATAATCCACCACATTAAACACCCCCGTATACCCGACATACTTGAACTTCCCATGCGCAGGCGCCCCCGCATACGGCGTGGTAGGCGCCAGAATCGCATCGATGCCTCCCCCACCAGCACAACGCATCCATTGCTCGAGGAACTTTTTCTGGAACGTGCTGCGCTCTAGATGGAGTTGCCACATGTCGTAGACGCCCAGCTCGCGCGCGGCCTCGTACATGGCCATCTCGGGCCTCCAGGGCTCGCGGGCGGGCGCGAGCAACTTCTCAATCGACTTGCCGCCGTCGGCGACGAACATGCGCGCGAGGAGGGCGAGGCCTTGCGCGTGGAGCGTGGGATCCCATTCTACGATGTCGTGGCCCGCGGCTTTCAGGGCTGATACCGTCTCGTGCAGTGCACGTGTCACGGGGGGCGTGGGTTTGACGACGCCGTCGGCCCAGCATACGGCGATTTTCAGCGTCTTTGGGAGGTGCTGTTCCCGCCATGGGATGGGGATACATTTTGGGTCTTTTCTCCACGGCTCCGCACTGACAACTGTCCGGCAGTACATCTCTACATCCCGCAGTTCCCTCGCCATGGGCCCGTTCACGCTCGCGACAGCCTCTTGTCCGCCCATCCCGCTTGTGCAGCCTTGTGTGGGAAAACGCCCGAGCGAGGGTCGCAGGGTGAACAGGCCGGTGCAGGACGCGGGGATGCGGAGGGAGCCGCCGATGTCGGTGCCGATTCCCAGCGGGGAGGCGTTGAAAGCTAGGAGCGCTGCTTCGCCGCCGGAGGACCCGCCGGGGGTGAGGTGGAGGTTGAGAGGGTTTTTGGTTACGGGGAAGAGGTTGGATGTTGTTTCTGCGATCATCATGGCGGTTGGGGTTGTGGTTTTGACGAAGTAGACGGCGCCTGTATGGTCAATTGTTAACCCTTATCCAATCTTCTTTTCTTGTTGAGGATGTTGGAAATGGGGGCCCATTGGTACCTAGATCTTGCAGCACATCTACTAATGTTGCATTCGCCGTGGCGGGTTTCGCTACGAGCGAGACGAAGCCGATTGTGCTGTCTTTGCCCTCGACATTGAAGTTGTCTTTTAGCGAGATGGGGAGGCCGTGGAGTGGTCCTTTGGGGTTTCCGGTGCGTGCGAGATGCTCGTCGAGGGATTTTGCGCGGGCGATTGCTTCGCCAGGGAAGAAGTCTGTGAGGCAGTTTGTCTACACGACCTCGTTCGAGTGTCAGCGTTAGTTATGACTTCAAACTGTCCATCTTTGTGTACAGTTTGCATGGATTTCATGGGGATTGGGGTGATCAGGGAGAAGACGGACCAGTTGATGCGCCGCCGCCGCAGTCTTACAAAACGCCCTCGTAACCTCTTCACTGCTCCATTTGCTAGTTTTCAGCTTTTCTAGGATGGCGCAGGCATCACTCGACGTGATCTCGAGCTCGTTCTCCGTGAACCAGCCCGACGATTTCCGGAACAAAGTCGCGTCTGACTGAGACTGGGACGGGAAGATATCTTGAGGAATGATGTATTCCTGTGGAATCTTTGCGAGGAGTTGCGCGCAGTGCTTCGACGCTACAGTCTCCCACGTTTGCGATGCTGGCTCTTGTGTTGCTGTCGTCATATTTACGCGCGCTGGCTTCCAATGTACAAGTCCAAACGACGGGATACCAGACAAGAAAAAAAAGGTCAATAGAAGCGTCCAAAGCTCGAATAGAAGAGAAAACACGCAACGAAAACAGCCAAACTCGTAAAGATAAATCACGACGACGGAAAAGATGATGAAGCTGGCGTCTGCCACTTCCAACCTACCCCCCATCCGACATGCCCTCGGATCGCATTCCCCCCACTCTCGCCTCGGGACAAAGACACGACGAAAGACGAGGGACTCTCCATCTTATTCTGGAATGGAGCAAGTGTAGCGCCCTGTCGCCTTGTTCGTCTGTCCAGGAGACGGCGGTGATCGTCGTCGTCTACGGCTACCCCACTTTACGTGGAGGGCGTTTTTTCGCGTAACGGACGGGGTTAGCTAGCGGCACATGGAAAAGATCTGACAGCACTTCTTTTCCGGATACGCTCTCCTTCCTCCTTTCGCTTTCGCGCGGGTCATTGATGTGTGTTGGCTGAAGGGTGCGCGGTTCGTCGATATATATTAACCGCAGACGTATTCGCTCTCCCTTGCTGTCGCGGTGGGAGATAGAGAGGGACATTGGTTCCCCGGCAACCGAGGTTTGGAGAGTGACCTTGCAAGCGCCCCGAGTACATGCAGGGACTTTGGAAGAAAAGAGCTAGTTGAACGGAAAAAGGGACGCTGGGCATCGGTTGATAGACGCATCTATATCTTTCCATCTATCTCTCGCGTTGAGATAGAACGAGCGGCATCCCACTTTGCGAGAGATAGGGACTTTGTCGGGGGAGTCGCATACCTACCCGCATCTCTCCATCAGTCTACACTCCGGTGTATATTCACGGATCGCGGACTCGAAAAAAAAAAACACAAAAATTGAAAAGAATATCCAAATCTCATGCAACACACTCAGCCATCATGGTAGCGAATTTCCTAGAATATCTGCGCGGCTCGCAGACGTCGCCCGCCGAGCGCAAACTGGTGCAGAAGCTCGACTTCTTCATTCTCACCTTCTGCTGCTTGATGTACTTTCTCAACTATTTGGACCGCTCCAATCTGACAAACGCATACGTGACGGGCATGCAGCAGGATCTGAACTTCAGAGGGAACCAGTTGAACCAGATCAACACCGTTTTCACGGTGGGATACACGATTGGACAGATCCCGTGCAATATTGCCTTGTATTACGTTAAACCGCGCATCTTCTTTCCAAGCTGCATGGTAAGTTTTGATTTTCCGGATCAAGCCTGAGGGAATAGTTGGATGAGGTAGCTAACGCTCTTGACGTTCAGGTAGCATGGGCTGCGTGCACCATGGTTACAGCCGCAGCGCAACACCCTCGTGACATCATGGCTATCCGCTTTTTCCAGGCCATCTTTGAATCCTCTACTTTTGTAGGCACGCACTACATTCTCGGATCGTGGTACACTGGCTCCGAACTCGGAAAGCGTTCGGGCATCTTCACCGCGTCCGGACTCGCCGGCACCATGATCGGCGGTTTCATTCAAACCGGCATCAATTCCTCCCTGGACGGGCGCCACGGGCTACCCGGCTGGCGCTGGCTGTTCATAGTCGACGGCATCATCACGTTGCCCGTCGCCGTCTACGGCTACTTCCTGTTCCCGGACACGCCGCGCAACACGCAGGCACCGTATCTCTCCCCCGAGGAAAAAACAATGGCCATCGATCGCGTGCCCGAAGTCTCGGAGCGCACGCCCATATCCTTGGGGTTCCTGAAACACTGTTTTTCGACGTGGTATTGGTACTTCTTCACCATTCTGTGGATCATCGCCGGAGAAACGGAATCGTTCAGCACGAATTCGCTGCTCGCGCTGTACATGAATGCGCATCCGACCAATACCTACTCGCGAGCGCAGAAGAACAATTATCCGTCCGGTGTTCCCGCCGTGGGGATCGTATCGACGCTTTTCTGGGCCACGTTGACGGATTTCCTGCAGGGGAAACGCTATCTTGGTACGTATCCTTTCCTTCTACATGTCGCTGGCAACTTGCTTCTGTATCATTGCTGACATCTCTTCGTGGATAGTTGGCTACTGGATCGGCATCACAGGCGTCATAACCTCCGCCCTCATCCTCGCCTACCCTGATAACACGACGATCCATTTCGCCATGTACTACTGGGCGGGCAGCGTGTACGCATGCCAGGCGACCTTCTTCGCGTGGGCCAACGACGTACTGCGATACGAAGAAGACGCACTCCGCGCTGTAGTGATTGCGAGCATGAACATGGGCTCCAACGCCATCAACGCATGGTGGAGCATCGTGTTCTACGGGGCCAACTTTGCGCCATACTTTACGAGGGGGATGTGGGCTATGATTGCCGTCAGTATTGCTAGTAAGTTGGACCTTTTTCGTACTTTTGTTTTCTCGTTGCGCTTTTGCTTGGAATGTAGCTGATTGAATGGTGATAGTGGCGATTTGGACTGCTCTCATTGTGTGGATGCATGCACGCACCGAAAGGCGCCGGGAAGTGGAAGGCGTGTATGACGCCGCGCACGCCCACGGGCCCAATAAAGTGGATGAAGGGGTCGCAAAAGCTTGAGTCTGGAAATTTGAAGAAACGAATCGATAGTAATGTGCAATATTCCAATGCTCGAATGTTCTTGAGGTCATTATTCAGAATGTTGGCCTATCACGCATGTATGCACGTGACCCGGCCGTTGTGGAAAGTGCAGGCAGTTCGGGAAGGGGCCATCAGATATCAGCGGACTTCAACATCGCTCATCTTCTCTCTACGCTCACCAGCAGTCCTCTTCTTATTTCCTCTGCATGTCTGTTTGTCCAGCGGCCAGCTTCGTTCTCTGTCCTCCTCCTCGCTTCCAACAACAGCAGAAGATACCTCGTCATCCTGAAGCTGGCCGTGTCCTACCTATTCGCTGATCACGTACAATCCTAAGCCTCTGCGCCGCAGCTCGACGCAACCCATACAAGTTTCCAAGACTGCAGTTTATGCTTCGCATTCTATTCGTTCCCGGGCCGACGTTCTCGGTCCGTTCATCATTCCTAAGATATGTCCCTCACACCTCTCCAAAACCGCATCGATAAAGTCCGAGCAGAGCAGAGCGCCAAGAACTCTACCATCCTGACTCCACCTGCGAGATCAACACGACGGCCCTACGCTAGAAGACTGCCATGGTTGGATGGAAAATCGTCATTGGCAACTTCACCCGCCAGCACGACCTCGCCACCACTTCGCAGATCCAGTCAGCTCATAGAGCAGTTGCCGAGAGCGCTGGAAGTACCCTTAGCTGCGGCTTTCTCCCACTCTCACTCGCCGACTGCAGACGTCCTATCGGTTTCTTCGCAAACACTCGGAGCGCACAGTCCAGAAACCTCGCCTGACAGGCAGCATGTCCCTATAGCTTTGGTCTCCGCCTTACGCCGTTCATCGGTTTCTCATGCGCCCGCGAAAAGACTATCGATTGTGAACATAGATGACTCGGAAGATCCACCCGAGGTGCAACGGCCGAGAGCAGAAAGTCTGGCTCCAGTCCCTGATCATCTCGACAGAACAGAAACACCCGAGTTGGTACTCATTCCACGAGACGTATACAAGGCTTCACCGCCTCGGTTCATCAAGACAGTACAAATATCACCAAACCAACCAACTCCCAGAAGTGGCCCTCTTACGCGCGTCAACTCGGAGCAACTAAGCCATACAGTGGAAGGTCTCGAGAACATTGTTCAGGATGCCGTGCTGACTGCGGAGGAAACCAACGATCCTGATCAAGTCGCAGAGCTATACGCGATTGTTGAAGATGCAAGAAACGCGATACAGGACGCACTTGCCGACCCTCTTGCGGTGAAATCGTCGCCGCTCGAAGCTTCAGACCTTTCAGATCTCTCGGGCTTCTCGTCTGACTCCTCTGTGGAACAAGAAATGCACCATCGCAAGCCCACGTATTCGCCACCCATACCTCCTCTACCCACAGCGCATCTAGAAAGCGGGCTTCGAGCTGTATCTCCTGTCCAACTCGGACACGGACGGACGGAAGCTCGTGATTGGGCTTATCACAGCAGTAAAGACCCAGAGCGGGACGGAAATAATTCAGTTGAGCCCAGTGAAGTTGGCCGGGGCCGCTCCCAGTCGCGCTACAGCACACACAGCGTCAATCTACCCCATCCCCGAACTCCCCAGCTTTCACCGCGAGAGAATGTCGACCATACTTCGAGACCTATTCGCAAATCATCCCGCGGCCGTTCACGTCAACGCAGGCAGGGTAGCTTTGATAGAGATGCGCGGAGAAGTCACCATCATACACGATCTAGATCTCTTCGTCAGCGCCGTCGCCAGCAAAAAGCCGGTCTCAGAGTTTACGACAAATCGGTCGACGTAGATGATCTTGACGATGTGGGCAAGCCTTATGATGTTCCAAAATTCGATGACCCGCCTGATGAGCAGGATGTGGAGAATGGTCACACGTTCAGTCGGCGTCGATTCCATCGCCGGCAACCAATCGCTCGCAACTGGAGAACGGGAAAGAAGCGACTCACGGCAATGATAGCCTGCATCAATACCGCTCTTTTGGGCATTATTGTTGGAATATATGTAAGTCAAACAAGTCCATTGTATTATCATCGCATGTCTTTGACACCTGACTAGGCTGGGGAAGTTCCTCGCATCCAGTACGTATTGGCAGACGAACATCATCGCGTCATCATTGGAAATGTTGCGTACGTTATTCTCCGTTGATCTATCAGATAATAGCTCATTTTATCAGTCTCTATTCCGGCCTCGCGGTGTCTACGCTGGTGGCGTGGCCTCTTCCCCTACTCCATGGCCGCAAACCGTACATACTAGCATCTCTCATGCTTGCTATGCCACTTCAATTCCCGCAGGCACTTGTCATTAGCGCAAAGCGGTCACCAAACGATATTGGATACATCAAAGGCCTGTTGTTGACTCGCGGCTTCTCGGGACTTGTTCTAGGCTTTGCCAATGTTAATTATATCGCCATTCTGCTTGACTTATTCGGCGCGTCACTTCAGTCGAAGCACCCACATCAAGAGTTCACGGTCGGGAGTGATCCTCGCAGGCATGGGGGTGGATTGGGCATGTGGTTGGGGATATGGTCTTGGTGTTCTATTGGCAGTCTGGCGGTTGGTTTCCAGGTCGGGGCTGCAATCATCAACAACTCCACGCCGGACTGGGGCTTCTATGTAGTCATCATCATACTGGCAGCTGCTCTTGTGCTCAATGTCGTGGCGCCCGAGACACGCCGCTCTGCGTTCCGCCGGTCGGTCACAGAAGTCTACGACCGGGACGAGAACTACATCACGCGGCGAGTTGCCCGTGGCGAGATCAAGCTGCACATCTCGACCGAAGGCCCTGTTTATTGGTTCGAGGAAGTGTGGGCTGGCTTAAAGCTCACAACCATGATGATCGGCCAGCCCGGGTTTCTCGTTTTGGCGCTGTACCTGGGCTGGATCTATGCGCAAATTGTGTTAGTGATTGTTCTGCTCGGTGCGCTGCTTTCAACAGACTACAAATGGAGACCTCGATTTGTCGGATTGGGTGTGCTGGCCATCGCGATCGGGGCTATGCTTGCTGTCCCGTTGACAAAAGCGGGCATCTTTTCACGCTCGCGCAAAAAGCCGTTTCGGACCGACTCCATGACATTCGAAAAACAAGTCACCTGGTCCAGCCATTTTGTGCGTCGCATCATCTTCACGCTCACGCTGCCTCTTGTAGGGTTGGGATATACAGTGTCGAGTGCGGGAAATCCCTATCCTTTTGCTGTTCCTATTGTTTTCGCAGCGGTGCTGGGTTTCTTCAGCATCCTGGCCATTTCCGAATGCTACGGAATCATCATGGAAACGTACGACACTTGCGACCTGCAACCTGGTGTCAACACAAAACATCGTCTCCAGAGTATGGCCACAGCTGATCGCCGTCGTCGCACAACCTACTCTTCGTTCCCACGAGTGTCGGCAGGCATCTTTGCCAGCCAAACACTGAGTTTTATCGGCGCGGCAATCGCGACGCAGGTTGGCGGTGTCATGACACGAAATATTGGAGCGCAAGCGGCGACTGGAGTGACGGCAGGCATTCTATTGTTTCTGACAATCTTGCTCACACTGGTCCTCACGCGATTCAGGCAGACTCAGGTCATACCGAACCATACATTTGGCACGCGGCGCAACACTGCCACGTTTTCCGACTTCAAGGGCAAGGATGGGCGTGGAGCGGATTGGAAGGCAGTGGTGATTGGAAACCCGAGCGGCAAAATACGCAGGATGAATGTGTTGGAGCTGGGACGGTTGAGTCGGTGGACGGAGATTCGCAAATTGAATTTCTTGATCAAGGGGACAGAAAGAACGCGGGACGAGTGGCATCGGAATTGAGGGATGATCCCATGGTAAGTAGATAGCCTTAGTGGATATTATTAACGATTTGCATCTTCCTCGCTCAGATGGCACTACCGTGAGTCGGGGCGGAAGAAACTTCCCGGCTAGCCAATAGCGATCAGACCTACAATCCAACCCTTACGCACATCACCCGTGCATTTGCGGGGCGAGTGATCGAGTTCTTTTGGAGCTTTTTTCAGCCTATTTGCGCTAGATGGAATGCCATGAGCGACTGGGTGTAAAATGATTCAGGGGCAGTGGAACCTTCACCACAAAGGGCAGCCGTTCATGACAACTGATGGGGCTAGTAATAGCATCGTCATGTTAGCTTTGGTAAGTAGTCATTTTGGCATGAAAGTAGCTTGGAAAAGGAGTCATTTTTTCGGCGAGTTGCAATGTCGATCTCTGGCTTCCATGAGTGATGGCATACTCGTCGCACTACACTTGTTTCTAGGAGATTATTTCACAATTCTCGAACATATATCACCCCAACTTCTATCTCGCAAAAAACGTCTCCCCCGCTTGCACTAGGCCCATCAACAAACTTTTGACAGCTCGGAGAAATCGCGAGACAGAGAGCCTTGTAGAGCCCCTTATCAAAAATGGCTCGCTCAGTGTCTGTCTTAGCAGTCGTGGTGCTGTTCTTTTCGCTCTTTTTCAAACCATCACACTCTTTACCTTTCCTAGATTCCATTCTCAAACCCTTCACCGAGCTCCTCGAATCCGTTGCCAATGGAAACGGCATCATCGATACCACGCTCGGGACTTTGGAAGGTGCCCTGGGCTACGACGCCACGTTTGACTACGTCGTCGTCGGGGGCGGGACCGCTGGGAATGCGATTGGCGTGCGTTTAGCTGATGCAGGGCATACCGTTGCCATTGTCGAAGCCGGCGGCTACTATCAGATTGGAAAGCCTATATTGGGGAGCACGCCTTTTGGCGATACGATTGGCATTGGGTCGTCTGTGCTGGATACCAATCCCCTTGTTGACTGGGGGTTCGTTACTGCGCCGCAAGAGGGGCTGAATGGGAGGCAGATACACTATGCGCGCGGGAAATGCCTCGGTGGGTCGTAGGTTTTGCATTGCTCGTGGATTTGGATAGATTTGCTGCTGACGTGAATGCATAGTTCTGCTTTGAATTTCATGGTCTATCAGAGGTGAGACAGAGCGCGGAGCCCGCAAGCAACCAGTGGCTAATTGTTCAATAGGGGAACCAAAGGCTCGTATGCAAAGTGGGCAGAGCTCGTGGGTGACTCGTCGTACGAGTGGGATAACATCTTGAAGTACTTTAAGAAGTCGATCAGTTTCACACCGCCAAACACCGACACTCGACTTGCCAATGCGACGACCATGTATGATCCGAGCGCCTTCGACGCGTCCGGTGGTCCGATACAAGTAGCCTACACCAACTACGTTTCCGCCTTCCCGACGTGGCTCAGCAAAGGCTTCGAAGCTGCTGGAATCAAAGAGGTGAAGGATTTTAACAGTGGATTCCTCATTGGCCAGCAGTACGGCTCGTCGACTATCGATGGCAAGTCGCAAACCAGAAGCAGTTCAGACCAGTTCATCAACAAAGCCAAGAACAACGAGAATCTCAAGGTGTACATCGGAACGATAGTAAAGAAGATTTTGTTTGACGAGGCAAAGAAGGCGACTGGAGTGAGGGTCAGCACTGCTGGTATCAACTACGATCTCCTCGCTACGAAAGAGGTCATCGTTTCCGCGGGGGCATTCCAGTCGCCACAGCTCCTCATGGTCTCTGGAATCGGCCCGGCCGATCAATTGGAAGCTCTTGATATTCCGGTGATTTCCAATCTCCCCGGCGTGGGCCAGAATATGTGGGATCACGTCATGGTAGGCCCGACGCACGAAGTCGACGTCGACACTCTGAGCCGCGTGATCCACGACCCCGTCTATCTCGCAGATGCCCTATTGAACTACACGCTCGCGCAAGACGGACCACTCACCTCGACAGCATTTGAGCTAGTAGGCTGGGAAAAGGTACCCTCGGAATACAGGGCGAACTTCAGCGCGTCCACAATCGAAGACCTCAAACAGTTCCCCGACGACTGGCCCGAAAGCGAGGTTCGTCCTTCCCCATCCCTATCCCCAAACCCGCAAGAAAATCCCCACCCACTAACAACGTTTACCAATCCAGCTCCTCTCCGCAGGCGGCTACATCGCCGACTTCGTCTTCCCCCTTCTCATGCAGCCCGTCAACAACAAACAATACGCCTCGATCCTCGGCGCCCTCGTCGCCCCAACCTCCCGCGGCAACATCACCATCCAAAGCCGCTCCACCCTCATCCCGCCCATCATAAACCCCAACCTCCTCGCCACAAAAACAGACCAGGAAGTCGCCCTCGCAATGTGGAAACGCAACCGCGCCATCTGGAAATCAACCCAACTCTCCCCCATCGTCCTCGGCGGCGAAGCTTGGCCCGGCGAGCAGATCGAATCCGATGAGGATATTCTTAATATGATTCGCGAATCCGCTATGACGCTTTGGCACGCCAGTTGCACTTGTAAGATGGGCAGGAGCGACGACGTCATGGCTGTGGTTGATAGTAAGGCGAGGGTGTTTGGTGTTGAGGGGGTGAGGGTCGTGGATGCGAGTAGTTTCCCGTTGTTGCCGCCGGGGCATCCGCAGTCGAGTATTTATATGCTTGCTGAGAAGATTGCGGATGACATCATTCGTGGGCTGTAACCACCTTCTTCCAACTTTTTTTTCTTTTGTTATATACTTTATCCCGCTTTTCTTATTCTTCTCCGTTTGGGGGAAATGCTTCTTCTTCGTTTTCTTCTCTGTTGTTTGAGGTACTTCTTTTTTTTTGGTAAATATTTCGTTGGGATGTAAGATCATATGAACTTCCACTTAACCATCTTGAAACGGGCTGCCGATTGGCTGACTTCATATATGCGTCCTCATTCGGCGACCGTGGATATGTTTCTAGCGTAACTCGTCGGAATTGAAAAGGATAGTAGATAGTCCCGCTGACAATTTCGTTATCATTATAAACTATCGCTGTGTGTAGGAACACCTAAGCTCCAACTCAAAATCAATCGCTGACAATGATCGCATGTAGTCAATGATATCCTTAGATCTTCTGAGACGAAGGGAGCTAGCACCAAAGTTCATTTAGAGGAACGCAACGTTGTACTTGCAAAGAGATCAGTACGCTTAAACAACAAGTACAAATCCATCACTTAAAACCCGTTGGACTCCAAACCAGTGGATCCAAGACTATATAACTGCCCTTAGTGATAGCCACTGTTATCTAGTTTGTATCTGTCTGCTGTCAGAATACCTTAGAGTGCGGATTAGTATGACAAGACTAATGCTGGAGGGACCCAGGTGTCATAGTCCCTTTCACACCCTAAAACCCGACGTGGTGGGAAGTGGACACGTCAAGGGCGACGGGGTGGACACGGAGAAACACTATAGACACAAGATGCGTTCTTTCATAGCAGGTGCGATATCCCTTCCATTTAAACGGAGCTTGGAACGCGGATTCGGGCTAAAATAACGATGGACTCAAATCCCCAAAAAATGGTGATTTCCTTGCGGTTCTGTCAGATATATTTAGGATCGGGGTTTCTCTCTGTCATGGTATTTCAACTTCTTGTTCTCCTGTCCACAGAAATGTGTACGCTGGGTTCCCCCTACGTTGAACTTAGTTTGCCTCTTCTCAGTGATATATATGAATCAGGTCTGCGAGCAGTCTCTTCGAGCTATAGAGGACAAAGTGTTGCCTAAGCCCATTAGCCCAACGCAGAAAAGTTCATATTAATCATCGGGGAAGTATGCCATATTGGCGTTTGTGGAAGCTGTCTTCTTCCTCGAAGGGGACAGAGAGCGCGAATAGGATAATGGCGCTGGTAATGAGAGTGCGATCTCCGTTAAATACAAAGTGAACTGTCGTCTGAGACAGGCTTTACCAGCCGAATGAACAGATCTTAGAGCTGCTAGTCCGGTCCCTATACGGCGAGACAGATTCCAGTTGCGTTCCGACAATCGCAGGGCAGGGCACTCGGTTTACGCATGTTCTGAGCGATGATAGGCGTGTATGATCGTGTTGCGTAGACGTGAAAGCGTATACAACACTGGCTGCTTTTATAGCCATTTTACAGATATCTCCTTTTGCATTCTGCAACGTTTCTATAGCTGACTATTGTCTGTGCAATATTTGATTCATAAGTGTGAGAGATTGTGATCTGCACGTAAGATGCAAAAACTGCAGTTCATGCGGCCTCAGTGGAGGCGGAGTGGCTGTGGGCACGCACTACCACCAGGATACATACCTTTCCGATGGACGAAATTGATATGACAACTGGTCAAACTAATCTTTCGTGAAAATTACCCAGCGAATTGCACCTCATACTAGTAAAATGTCCAATGGATTCGTGCAACGTCTGAATGGGATAGGCACTAGAAACTGCTTTTGATAAAAGATTTCCGCATAAATGTTACAATCTTGCACTACAATGAATTGCCACCTACGTATTTTCACCCTGAAGTCTCTCGAGCGTAATCGCCCTAGTAGCGACCAACTGAGTGATCTGGGCATAGCCTGCGACGAAATCAAGCAAGATGCTCGAAGAGGTAGACAGGCACTTGCAACAAACTCGATATCAATACGAGCAAGCGATCAATCAGTTCGTTGCTCATCGAAAAATGCGCTATGATCGTAGGATTGAATACTCCGGGTAATTCACGGCCAAGTGTTCTCTCTTGAGTCCGTCCTGTATTACTCTCTCCTCTCACCTGACTACGGAAGTCGCACAAACCAAGGTTTACCACCAAGACAGTTAGTGAAACTCAAATGTAAACCTTCCTAGATGCCAGTGCCCAATTAGCTGTTCGCCTGCGTGTCATACCGACGCTTGGGCTGGCCCTTGCGCGCGCTAGATTCCGAACCGCTCCTAACGTGAAGATCTCTTCGGTCGTGGAGCTGTACCTGAACCATAAAGCGAAAGAAACATAAAGGGGGAGGCGCGTCGGGTTCGCATATCGGAGCCTGAACTAGCTCATCTTATCCGAGAAGTCCTACTTATCTACTCTCCTATCAGATAAGTGTACCTTAACCATATGCCGTATACTAATGTGATCTAAGATTCGGATATGCGATGACCCGACGCGTCCTCCCATGTGTCTGATTGATTGCTGGAGGAGGACAGGACTATTAGTTATTATACCGGAGCACTGAGGTATGCCAAGGGGGACTCGGGAGAGCTACAGCCGGCATGTTCACGATGATTGACAGGGCACCTGCAGTGCCGTCTTCTGATTCCATGTCGAGCCTCAGAATTCGGGCTGTCTTCGTGTCTACAGTAGGCATAGTCTGATGGGTTGCTAGACGAGAATATGGGGATCAGCCATTACTAGAGCACAGAGGTATGCTAAGGGGAACTCGGGAGAGCTAAAGCCAGCATGTTTACAATGATTAACAGGGCGCCCGCAGTATCGCCTTCAGATTCATTATCGTGGCTCGGATTCGGGCTGTTTTTGCGTCTATAGTAGGCATGCCAAGCGGGACCCTTGGTCATTCAAGCTTGGGATGCCTGACTAACGTTCAAAGATCGACAAGAAAATCTTCGCTCACTCCACATGGTTGTCCAGTGGTTGAGACAATCTAGTCATGTTGTTCCCTATTGAGCTTTCAGTCGTATCGGATGTGTTCATCCGTTAGTTCACCCGTATATAGCGTGATTTAGTATGAACAGTCTAGTAGGAAAACCCCCACTGGCCCCGCACCAGACGATCAGATTAGCTTTCGGGGGATGAGAGATTGACCCTAGCGCGTACGGCCCAGAGCTTATGGGGACTACTGTGGTACACGGCAAATGCTATTTTGTGGGTGGGCACGTGGTGGGCACGTTTGACAGTGGTTATCTCGATATGCCTCAAATTGGTCTCACTGACGTACATGGCATTCACAATACCTCTACCGATTCGGTATATGGAAATAATCATGGCGGATATTTCTGCACACCTTCTCTCACAAAACTACTGCCCTGTACTGGAGCTGAAACTTCAAGTTCAAAAGCGCATCCAGTGTCACACACGCAGAACACGATAGTGGCGGACCCTGAGACTAAACGCCCCGATAAACTGCGCTTAAAAGGCACTGCAGCGAAATTAATAGAACATCTTGAAAGGGCTTTCCCGTGGAGCTGCGTCTAAGTCTAGATCTTCTGTAAAGAAGCCCGCAATGCGTGCATCAGACAAATTATGCCAAGATTTATATTGCACTGTCTGTCGCAGTGTCCACCTAACGTGAAGCTTCCCTAAGCTTCTCCACAATCATCTATCTAAGATTTTGCCACACGTTCACTGTGTCATCTTAGCTTGGGTTCTACTGGTCGACTCTTCCCGCATGTCCAGCAGTTAAGGAGAAGGGGAATAGCTCGGAGATATCTGCATGTATATCCACATTGCGTTTGATATAAATCCCAGATCAACATCGCAACGTCTTGAGAGAGAGACTTGAGAGACCTTCGGAGTCTGGGTAACGAGCCAGGGACATTTGTCGCTTCTTTTTGCCAACATGGATCCAACCGAATCACCTCCAATCGAAACATCTCCCATCGATTCCTGGATCCAGAACCCGGCAGAGAATAATGGACCTCTGATGTCCGTTGTTACCTGGTGTTTGGTCTCAGTTGCTGGTACCTGCTTGGCCACCCGGCTCGGTATTCGCCAGTATCAAGGGCAACTGTGGTTCGACGATGCCACACTTGTCATCAGTTGGGTAAACGAATACAACTTCTCGAGGCAACGAGCAATTGACTGACATGGCATAGTTGTTACTTCTGGCACAAGTCATCGTCAACCAACTCTCTATCAACATAGGCTACGGAAAACATACTCTTGATCGTAAGACACCGAAGGACAACCGCACATCCAATGTTACAGATCGCTGACCTTTGAATTAGTTGATTTCACTAAAGTCGATCTCATGATGGTCTATGGCGCGGCGGAACTCACGATATATACTGTGGCTATTGCCATGAGCAAGATTTCTTTTGGAATCTCTTTGCTTCGATTGACGAAGGGATGGACTCGATATATCGTATGCTTTGCGATCACTACCTTGGCGATTTTTGCGATTCCCGCCACCATTATACCATGGGTGCAATGCAAACCACTGGCAAAAACCTTTGTGGATTTCTTACCTGGTAAATGTTACAACAAGAAACCATCTGTCAAGTATGGGCAATTCCAAGCTAGTAAGCAGAGGACTCCAAAGATTACCCACTTGGATCTTTTTTTGGCTAACATGAAACGCAGTATGGTCAGCGATGATGGATTTGTGTCTTGCACTACTGCCCTGGCAAATCATTTGGGGATTGCAGATGCGCCTCGCGGAAAAGATCGGCGTAGGCGTCGCGATGAGTCTGGGAATATTGTAAGTACCTATACTGTCAAATTGAAGACTGGGCTGACCCCGTCAAAGTGCCGGCGCTACATCCATTATTCGTTCTACATACATCCAGAAATTGACAGTACAGGATGTATCGTGTAAGACAACCGACGAAACCAAGCACGGAATTTCGCTGACAATTACAGATGAATCATACAATGCGATCATATGGGCAACGGCAGAATGCTCCATGACCATTGTCGCTATTTCGATCCCCGTATTTCGCGTCTTTTTCAAAAAGGCGATACAGACGGCGAGGACCGGCTACTCGAGCAGCAAAAGCAGATCACGAACAGACCCCTCCAACAACGCGAGCGCACACAACCGAATCAGCATACGGCAATTCAGCAAGAAAACACCAGACACATTGATCAGCGACAACTTCTCAAAAAAGGGGTTCGGGAGTGAATCTCAAAGCTACGTACAGCTAGACGATCTGGTGATCAACGAGCAGACTCAGCAGAGGCGCGCCACTTCTTCTTCCTCATCGGATGCCCAGCCGGATTCATCTGTGCGCCAGATACCAACCTCGCCGGTGTGAGATTAGCTGCGACTAGTGCACGCATTTCATACGAGTCGGCGTTCCGAGGAGGCCCATAGAATGTTTCTTGATTGTAATCTACCACCAAGCCTAGTTCTTAGTAATAATACATCATCAAGCCAAGCGCCTAAGTGACAATATACGTTCATTCAAACTATTGAAGATTTATGGGACAAAAAGCTCACCAATCAATTTTTGCCATTTATAATGGAGTCACAAAGGGTCCAAGTGTGGGGCGTGGCGTATGCCGCTTGTGGTTGACCTGAGGCCAAGATCCGAGTCAGTCAGTCGACGCGGTAGAATCACCACCATGTCCATCTTTTTGCCCGAAAAACCTCCGCCTTGCAATCTGGAATACGAGCAGATAGCATCATTTTACTGGGAATTAACCAAAAGAGTCATGCCTGACAGTAATGGCCCAAACATGACACGCCGTTCATTATCCCCTTATCTTTGAAATTTAAAGGTCCCCAACTAGCCAAAGACTGAGCCCTCCCACCCCAACTGCAGCCACTCTTTCACAGTCCTTACCTCTACAATATTCTGGTGTAAACATGAGGGTATCAGTACTCTGCAGCGCCACGCTCTTTTCTTGGGCGACCTTCGCCTTTCCCGCGAACCTGCTCAACGGCGATATCAGTGAAGCCACACTTGCAGAAATCACTTCTTTGACGCAAAAGATCACGAGAGACCTGGAGGCTCAGCGTCAAGGTAGCCATGTGAAGCGCTCATTCAATGCAGAGGCTCAGCGTATCGATACCACTGGCGAACACAGATATGTAGGCAGTCCTATTGATATGAAAACATGGCAGTGCAGTTGCTAACCGTCTCATTTGCAGATTAAGCCAGGCCCCAATGATCTCCGTGGACCTTGCCCCGGTCTTAACGTCATGGCCAACCATGGCTACTTGCCCAGGAACGGAATGTCGACAATCCTGCAAACGGCTACGGCTTCCAACGAAGGTCAGCATACCGTTCTATCATGCAATCCTCCATGCTGACGACTCTAGTTTTTGGTATGGGCATTGACCTTTCCACATTTTTGTCAGTCTATGCTGCAGTCATGGCGGGTGACCTTACCACATTCTCAATTGGTGGTAAGCCCAAGAGTAGTGGGCTCCTCGGACTCACCTCATCTCTTGGTCTCACTGGAGCACCGCAAGGTTTGAGTGCGTCGCACAATCGCTTTGAGCATGATGCATCACCCACGCGAGATGATTTGTACTCGACGTAAGTCACTGAGATACACCCCCCTCACTACGCGCTAAACAAGACTAATCATTCCATGTGCAGTGGCGATACCGATTCTCTCAACATGGACTATTTCAAGCAACTCCTTTCCATGCCCCTCGGGCCAAACGGTATTGACGATTCAGTCTTTGCCGCGTACCGCGTTGAACGCGTCAGGCACTCGATTGCTACAAATGGACATTACTTTGCCGGCCCTCTCACGTTCTTCGCGCTCAACCCTGCAACATATCAGTTCACCTACCGATTCTACGCCAACCATACCGCCGAAAACCCAGTGGGTTACCTTGATGCCCAGACTTTGATGGCTTTCCAAGGTGTCACTGAGGAGAACGGCGAATACAAGTGGAATCCAGGACAAGAGACGTTTCCTGAAAACGTTCGTCACCACCTCCATCTTACTCTTATACCTGTGCTAACTCTGGCTCCAGTGGTACCGTCGTGTCATCGGCGATGATTACGGCATCGTCCCCTTTACTGCCGAAGCTGTTTCTATCGAACTCGCAAACCCCGAACTGATCCGACTGGGTGGAAACACGGGCGAACCAAACACTTTCACTGGTGTTGACGTCGACGACCTTACCGGTAACGTCTTGAACGCGCAAACCCTTCTCGAAGGAAACAACCTCATGTGCCTCGCGTTTTCGGCTGCCCTTGAAGCTTCGCCTGACATTCTCGGAGGATTAGTTGGCAATGTCTTGCTCGCTGTGGAGAAGTTGACTGGTGCTTTGGAACCAGTTCTTGCATTGCTCAACTGCCCCCAGATCACCAAGTTTGATACGACCCTATTCAAGGCTTTCCCTGGTGCTGGAAGTGGGTTGTAAAAGCTGGATCGCATGATCAAGACAATCATAGACTTTATATCAACTTCAGACCCTCATGTATCAATACCACTACTTTCTTATGTATCATGCTTGTCCCTTTGTGATACGTGCGACTTGACAGCCATTCGATACTTCCGCTTCACCAAGAATACACACAAGCCCCTCACCATCAGCTATCCCCCAAGCTCAAAAATGTGTAGTAAACTTGGCATCTCCACTCGACAAGCCTTTCATGCCGCCGATATTGTTACTGTATCGAAGAACGGCGCAGAGCAGATAGTATAGTTTACATTTATTTCGTCCATATCCCCGACAGATCCTCGGCTTCTCCAATGATTTACATGCTTGTTCGCGCACGCGTTGGGGACGTGAAACTCCGCTTAATGGCTTGGTCTATACTATTTTTTATTGTAATATTATATCTTAATTAATTTTCTGCTTAGGCGTGGAACGAATATTTAAACTAATTAGCGGGATTACTTCTTCACCAGGATACTGTGAGTATGATTGGGCAGGTCGGCGCAATAGCAGGAGTAAATAACATGTTATTTATAGACAAACTTTCACGGAGTTCGATGATTGAAACATTTGAATGCTCTTAATGAAGATACCCGGTCACGTGACGGGGCCTTCTCGACCCGCTTAAGGGTCTACAGCCCCATTCTCTGCTATTTTCATCGTCCTCTCGAAGCTGGTGATATGCTGGAAGGATTATGAGCACGGATACCACTTTTGCCAAGCTCCGTGCTCCACCGATCGTACAATTCCCTACGTTGTGGCAGTGTTCGGTGGCCTTGAGATGGGGTGGGGGCGAATGATTCCTTCGACGTTGGAACAACCACCACCAACCTCCCACCTCACCATCCCATCTTCTCCACAACACGGTGTACAGCATAGCCTTTTGCCCGTGGAATATCGCAAGTCCCAGTTATTTCGAGTGATTTCGAGTGATTTTACCAGTAAAGGAGCGCACATCAACAGGGAGTATGACGTCACCTCATACACAAACAACAATGCAGCATCCGGATTACGATTATATGCAGCAGCAGCAACAACAGCCAGACTACATCCAACCACATTACGCAGCACCTAGCAGTCCTCCGACTTTTATCGCAGAGCTTCCTGCGCCTCCGCCGCCTGCGCCGCACACTACCACATCACCGCAACAACTTAACCAGGATGAATTGCTTGCGCATAAGCTGCAACAGTTGGAGGTTGAGGATGCGAGGAGGTCGTCTATGAGCTTACGTGGAAGCTGGGAGGGCCAACGACGGTCGCTGGGAGCGGCAACGTCGCAGCTTGATCTGAGAGGCGGTGCGGCAGGAGGAGCGGGAAGAGGCAGGCTGCATTCCAAGAGTGTGTCGGAGTTGAGGGGTCCGGCAAATATATCAACGTCGCTTTCTCCTCGTGGATCCAGTATTGGAAATACTCCTTCTACTACTAATCAACAGGCTAGACCGCATTCCCAAAGCCTGTCGTCGACAATGCCTGCTTACAGCCCGGATTCCTTCAGTCGGCCTATTGGTATAGAAACTAGCGATCTTCCAGAGGTTGTCGTTGAGGATAGTTCTGCGACATGGGCGCCAGAACTAAGCCAGCTTCCGGAGGTAGTCGTAGGTCCCCACGTAGTAACTGGCAGTGGAGAGGTACATAAGCTGCCCTCTCCTACGACAAGCCCAAGACCGACTCCCCCAAAGACACCAGACAACCCGTCCTCCATCTCGAGATATCTAGAAGAGCATCTCCAAGTCCCATATCCACCACAATGGGCTCTTCAGCCTCCCGTAGCAACATTCTACGGGGTAACCATCCGCGCTCCTAAGTCCGACTCCTGGCTCGATACACCCCAGTCCCAGCAATGGCGAACAACTCGCATCACGCGCAAACCCGGCAAAAACGTCCCACCAGCGTTCGAATTCACCTTCAAATCCAAAGGCGGCACTTTTCGCGACCCGCAATACACCTGGACCATGTCCCACTCCACCCTCACCAACAAGAACAAAACGCACCCCTACCAACTCCAACCCGAATGGCGCTACCACCTCCGCATGGAACCCGACCACAAGATCCGCAAATCCGAACACGTCTATCCCGCCCGATCAACAGCGGGCTTCATAACCACCTATGTGCACGCCACCAACTACGACAGCCTCCGCTTCGTCGGCCCCGGCGGGCTCCTCTACAAATGGGTGTCCCACGCGCCCGTGACCGGCCTCAACGGCTCTCGCCACGACGCCCTCCGCCACGCGCTCTTCGTCTCGCACGACGGAACCTCCGACCCGCTCTACGGCCACCTCGTCGCCGACCACGCCTACTGGGACGGCTTCATCGACACCACGTCCCCGCACCCCAACACCGTCTGCACCAGCTGCAGCACCGCCCCCATCACGGGCCTCCGCTACAAATGCCGCACATGCCTCGACGATCACAACGTCTGCGACCCCTGCCGTGCTTCCAAACGCTCCATCAAAAATACCTGCGTCTTCACCCTTGTCAACCTCCCCGACGAAACGCTGCATATCCGCTCCCCACGCATCGATCCCGCGCTCGTCGTGGCCACCTTGCAGGTTCTCAAAGATTGGGAGTTTCATACGCTACGCTGGGAACGCATGGCTAGTCCGAGGCTATTCGCTGATAGCGAGGCGCTTGCGAGGAAGGGGGCTTTGGGACGCATTAGGCATTGGCGGAGAGAGGATCTGGATCGCAAGGGGAGATGGGCTGAGGTTGGGGAGGTTTTTGGGACCGTGGTTAAAGCTAGGGAGGTCGAGGATGGATTTGGGGTCGATGATGTTGTTGCAGGTGGTAAAGAGGGTAAAGGGGTGGGGAAGATTGTTAAGGATCGAGAGGGGAGGGGGAGTTTGGGGAGTGTGGGGGGGTAGGGGGCGGAGTGAGGAGTGGTGTTTTTGAGTTCTGAAATCTGTTTTATTTCCCAAATGAATGCATTATTGAAAGTTATGAGCATCGCTATCGCTATTTATATTCTATTCTACTCTATTTGGATCTTACAGTTCGACACTCAGCACACTCCTCCGATAAAAAACTAAACTTCTTGTCTTTATTTAACACACACTCTCTAAATCATCGCATTTTCATGCGTCCACAAACACCCACCACATCCAAGAATCACACAAGAAAAACTCCCTCTGAGCTCTAGGCAAAAACCATATTGCGTGGTTATCGCAATATTAATCTAATGAGTCGTCATTTTAAGACAGCCCCGTGCGGAATAGGTGAGAGCTTTAACACTACAGCTTAATAATCAAAAATGACTTCTCATAACATGATGGGAAGAGAAAATTGCCAGTTTTGTATTGCCATGCCACGATATAGACCCATCCCGTGTAGTAGCTAGATGGAGCAGCATGGGGTTTGTTTGCAGAGGCATGGTATGTTAGGGCCATTTAACTCTTGGAGCGCAGAACAAGAAGAAGAAGAAGAAGAAGAAGAAGGCAAGAAAATAGAAAAAAGGTGTTTATTGAAATAAAACAGAGATGAGCACTTCAATACAATACAAAATATACATGTTCACGCCTACCTGCCCTTACCCTCCAACACCCCCCCAAATTCCCGGCTTCACCACATACCTAGGTATGTACCTTCGCCCCATACCACAACCGCCAAACGCCATAATAAAGAAAACTGCACATCCAAAGCGCCACGCAAAGAAGATGAAGCGGCAAATCCCCCCAAACCCTCACGTTCATGTGATATCCGAGCCCAACCATCACCACTATAGCCAAGCTCACAAGCACTCCAATGCAAGGCAGCTTACGTAGATCTTTTTCCTCGCGATCGCGATCGTCGCGGTATTGGATCCACGAGGAGAGTATCTGTAGTATGAACATGCAGATGACCGCCAGTAACCAGTGCATTCTCATCACCTGGTAGGAGACGGAGATGAGGAGGGAGAAATGTAGGGCGATGTAGAGAGGCGGGGTGGTAAAGTATATGCGGATATATTTGAGGCCTTTTGAGAGGGTGCGTTTGAGACGTTGTTTGCGAGTCGGTGGAGAAGTCGATGGTTGTTGGGAGATGGGGAGAGGCACGGGTTGTGGGATGTTTGAGTTGGCCATTTTTGAATGTTTGTTGTGGGATACTTTGATGTTTGGAGGGTCTCTTCGATTGCTGTTGGGAGGATTTTGATGGGTATTGGTGTTTAGTTAAAGAACTATTGGAAAGGAGGGGAGGAGGTGGTAGGAAGACTGCATATTTATACCTGCCTCCAGCCTTGAAATCGAATAATTGGATATTTCTTGAACGTATGTAGGCCGATGAGGATTGGTCAATCAAGTTCTTCTAATCGTTGTGTGTGACGGGATGACTCCAACCGACGAATGAAAATTGAGATATTTGTTGATACGGTCACATATATGTGTACTTCCCCCTCGATAGTTGAGCTGTCTGATAATGTGTTGACCTTTCTTTCCCGTGTTTTTTTTTCTTTCAATTTTTTACCCATTTCTGTACGATAAAGGGAGTAAGGAGTGCATTTTCCTGAATTATGTTGCGGAGGGAAGTCGCAATGATGAGCGCGTTGGCAGACAAAACTCGCTGGAACCCCGGCCCCATACGTTCCTATGTATCTCTCTTTTGACTGAGTCTGTTATGTGATCATCGCATATGCTATGCGTCACAAACACTTGGTCTTGAAAACACGATATATCAACCTTCGCTATCTTCTAGCAAGTATGGATACCACGCAACAGTCACTTATTTCCGATTCAGTCCCCCTCACCAACCCACCTGTTCTCTCATCATATCCTCCCTCAATATACCACAAGTCCCAGATAAGCTTATAATGTACAACACACGCACTCTCCGTAGACAAAGCGTGCGACAGCATCGCCTGCCAAATCTCTCGCTCTGCACCCCTCGAGGTCCAAACAGGGAACGCCCCCAGACAAACCAAGAAAACGACTAGGAAACTCAATTTCATCCCAAAGTGCGGTAGCACATCTTTCCCTTTTGCTATAGCTCGGGAGGTATGGCGTCGTTGAAGCCAGTCCGCTAGGATTTGGATTGCGAGCATGAAGATGATTGTAAAGGACCAGTGGAGGATGATGATTTGGTAGATTACTGGGACAATAATGGTGAGGAAGATGCAGATGTAGAAGGGCGGGGATGTAACGTGGATGTGTGCGGGTTTATAGCCGTTGGAGAAGGCTTGCCTCAGGCGTCGTCCGAGGATTGGAGGATCGGCTGGAGCAGTAGGCTGGAGTTCGGGCTGGGAGGTTGGTAGGGTAGGACTGGCTGTCTTGAAGATGGGAAAGGTCATGATGGAATTGGCTGTTCGTGGAGGGTTTTGGGGATAGCGTAGTTGTAAAGATATTGCGTTCGAGGGAGATGTAGGCTCGTTTCGATGTGAATGTGGTAATTTGTGGCGGTTTTGCGTTCGAAAGGATGTGGTGGAATTCGGTAGGTAAAGGGAGCTGCTCAGAGGGGAAATGCCTGTATATAGGTAAGAATGTACCAGAATTCCAAACGACTGACGAGTAGACAGCCCAGCCTACTTTGGAACCATGGTTGCGATTCAACCAAGATCCATGAGTGACTTCACCTTGTGTCTTGGTAATCAACTCAGATCACCTCTTTGGTATTAGGCTTCTACTTACTCGGTATTTTAATGTAGTAGCCGATTGGCACAGCTCAACATTACCCGATGTGTATGTGTTATGGTTTTGTCCTCCAGGTGGTGAATTGATTAGATGGAATATCTAGAGGGTTAAATTAATCTTATCACGTACAAGTACATGTTCGTATTCTCGCCCGTCAGATCAATTATAGGACATGCGTGTCCACGTCCAATATTAGCAAAGAGTAGTTTCTTCTCTGCTACATCAACTTCTTCTTTCCCATACGGTCTCCCTTTCGTCCTCTAAACTACAGTGTACAAGGAAAAGGAGAGTTTTCGGCATACGCACTTGGTACTCGTACATTTGAAGGAAGATTTGCTCCTTTTGATCCCCCCCATACATCAACAATCCTCTAATATACAACGACTCTACAATCGTACAGCCAATATGAAAAAAAAGTATAACCACGAAAAAACGCCAAAGCCCAATGCGAAGAGAAGAAAAGAAAATCCCCTCCCAAACAAAGCACCGCAGTCTACCGTTTCTCCCCAACAACCTCAGCTTTCTTCCCCATCAGCTTTCCCCCCTCATCCAGCGCCCACCACTCTTTATGCTGCCTCCTGGCCTCCTCGAGTTTCCGCGCATGCTCCTCGCGCTTCTCCCTCCGCTCGCCGGCGAGCTGGAACCACTGTGCACGAGCGCGGTCGAGTTCGTCCTGGCCCTGATACTGCAGCATGCAGCTGTTCATGGTGAGTTTCTCGGCGCGGCAGGCCCATGCGAGGGTGAGGGTGCGGCCGGTGGCGCAGTTTGCGAATGCTGTTATTCCAATTACCCTTGTTAGTAAAGATGTATGGAAGAAGAGAGGGGCAGAGGGAGTAGTACCTGCTATTTCGTCTGCGCATTTCGAGCGCACGTTTGCGTAGTAGAGATCGCGGACTTGCTGTTCTTGGGGGGCAGAGAGCGGCGTGGGGTTGGAGGGGAGCTTCATGAGGGGTTTTGAGGAGGCGGCGGCTGGAGCGCTTGGGGGAGTTGTTGGGGTCGCCATTGCCGGTGTGGCAGTTGTGGATGTCTGGTCTGGTCGACGTGGTGGTGTGGAACTGCTTTTCTTTTCTCTTCTCGGTGCGAGGGGATGTCGGAATTGAGGGAGGACACGTACGCCGGGAGACGGCAATTAGGCTGACGTGGAGATTCACTCTATTAAAGGCGTCGCGGGCGATATGGGACGGTTTGGTGGTTTGGCTCTTTTGGACGGTGGTGGGAGAGATGGTTTGATCGTTTACTCTCTTAGAGGGAGCTTGGACGTCTCGGGGTTAAGTTTACATGTACACGGCGCTAGTCCGTTTACGGTCACGGATATCAGATGGAAAACACCATCACGACTCCTCTTGCAACCACGATACTTCAATGATACCATGATATAACGATCTAATATCCATGAGTTTCTCTTTTTATATTTTGTATCTGCCAATATACATGGCCTAAGCGCAATAACCATGCGTCAATCTGCCACTCCCCCCCTAACCACCCACAATGACAACCCCCTTCCAGGCCCTCAGGCCTCGCCTTCCCCAGCATGAAGACCATGAAGAAACCACCCAATTCCCCTCCTCCCCTCATGATGCCCCCATATCTACCTCCAAACTCGCATACAAATCCTTCACCGCTCTTACAACCCCCCGTAAACTCATCCTCCTCATCTCCTTCCTCCTCGGCATCTCCCTAACCACAATGCTCAAACACGAGTCCCTCCTCTGGCTCCTCGCCTCCAAAACAGGCACCACCCCAATGGTAGGATACGGCCAAGGAGCCCCCTTCGACTACCCAGGCCTCCGCTTCGACGTCCAGGACCGCAAATTCCAAATCACCGTCTTCAGCGACCTGCATTTAGCCGACCAAGCGCGTCCAGAAGGTTCAGACAACCAAACCATCGCCGTCATGAACAAAGTCCTCGATGCCGAGCCAGGCACTGATCTCGTGGTTCTCAACGGCGACCTCATCTCCTGCGAATGGGTCGGCCCGGAATCCGTAAACTCGACTATCGACAAAATCATCGATCCGCTGCTCGCTAGGAAATTGCCGTTTACAGCAACGTTTGGGAATCACGACATGAGCAAGACGTGTGACACGCGCGCTGTGGCGCAGCATATGCGCGAGAAAGCGAGTGTGCTGGCTACGGGGCATCGCGAGGTCACGTGGACGAGGAATGCCGTGCAGGGGAAGTATGAGGATGTGGGGACCAGCAATTACTACATCCCTGTTTACTCGGCGAGTGGAGGCGGGAACCCGAATTTGAGCATGGTGTTGTGGTTTTTTGATAGTAGGGGTGGGAACAAGTATCAGCCGGGAGGAGAGGACGAAGGGGTTGGAGACTGGGTTGGCGATGAGGTATGTATCCTCCCCATCCCCCCTCTTTTTAATTCCCCCGCTTCCCTCATTTCTACCATTCATGCTGTCCATTCAAAGTGAGACGCCTGAGTTCTAATCCCTGTGTCAAAAAGGTGGTATCGTGGTTCACGCTCCAACGCAACTTCCTCCTCTCCCAAAACAACAACATCCCCATCCCCAGTCTAGCCTTCGTCCACATCCCGCCCTCCGTCACCGCTGCGTTCCAGAAAAGCGGCCTCCGCACAGAAGCCACGGAACCAGGCCTCAACGAGGAAACCATCAACACGCAAGCCGAAGGGATAAAAGGCGGCGACCACAAGTTCTTGCAAGCGCTCATCGACACAGAGGGATTGATGGCGGTGTTTTCGGGCCATGATCACCGCATCGATTGGTATATCCTCCTCATCCATCTCCTTTCCTGCCGCCCTCTTCTCCTCCTCCTTTGCTTCTATGAATAGAGCTCTGTCATCAACAAACGTGTTGGAGTTGTAAGCATGCAAGTCCATCCGCTAACAACCAAACTCCCCAGGTGCATGAAATACTCCCGCACCCACCCAATCCCCACCTTCCAGCCCCCCGTCGCGAAAAACGGCATGCATCTCTGTTTCAACAGACACACGGGGTACGGCGGGTACTCGGACTACGAGCGCGGCGGACGGCACATCGTTGTCGACGAAGACGATCTGATTACCTCTCTTCATGCCTCCCACCCCCGCCAACAACCACCCGGAGAAACGCAACAGCGTAAAGAAAAAGAAGGAGGTGGTGGAGGGCTGCAAATGTGGATCCGTCTTGAATCCGGACATGTTTCCGGAAACGTCAGTTTGAATGCTTCGTACGGCGTTGACGAGTATGAGGTTGTTGGGAGGGGGAAGACGTTTTTAGGTGGTGGTGGTGTGGAGGTTGATCTTTCCTCCTCCTCGTCCCTCGCCCCTTCTCCTTCGTACATTTCTTCTTCCGCTGGATATGCTTCGCGAGTAAGTCGGAGTCGGAGTTCAACGCCGACCCCACCCACAACAACAACGACAACGACAACGACGACGTCGGCGACAGGCACTCCCGAATCTACTCCAATCCCAACTGAAGTTCACGACGCTTCGGGAGTCGTGGCGGTGTCGAGGTCTTTGCCGTCGGCTAACTCTGCGTCTTCTCCACTATCTTCATCATTATTAGTGATGAGGTGGTGGATCCTGGTGTTTCTCTAGAAACATGTTTTTTTTTTGCGGGAGGGCGGGAGAGATAGAGGTTTGGAGTTGCTTTTTTTTTTGTTCTTTCCCCGTCTTTTGTCGCGATATGTTTTTTTGGATTCGAAGAGGAAGTGTGAATGGGAGAGAGGGGAGAAAGCGGTTACATGTTCCCCCTTTTTTTTTTTTGATATGGACGATATAGATTGATGGATAAATATACTAAAGTACTATACATCCGTCTCTTCCTCACTTTACCTCTTGAGTTCACCTTTTTCTTTTGAATTCTTCCAAAAACAAAAAAATGAAAAAAAGACTTTGTTTTCTCGTGTCTCTATCTACATAATCAGCAAACAGAGAAGAGACAAAGGTAGACAGCTCATGCATATAGATATAGATGTAAGATTCATTCTATGAGTAGAGATGAGCGAGCGAGCTAGCTAGCCTAATCTGACAGCTTTGAGTTTCGGGGAGTGAGAAAGACTCAGAGTCTCCTTTGTCGTAGACGTGGCTCGTTCAAGTGCTATGTTGGAGCGGCGGTATCTGTCTAGGCGGTCTGAGCTACTGCCTACCCAGAGGAGTGGTGTCGATATTGAGGTGATTTTGGTGGTCCTCTTATGGATATGATGAACCAAGAGATATCGTGGGTCCCCGTGTCTGCTGGTTGATGCCTTCCGCAGGTGTATGATTTTGATGAACCGAGCCAACCTTCCCTCCAACGACCCCGCAGATCCTTTGCGTATCCAATTATTGATGATTTCAATGCGTCCTCGAACCTCGCACTCTTCACCCATTCGTCATATCCGCATCCTGCGAAGCCGCTTCAGCCCCCGACGCTCCACCAGCAGCAGGCGCAGCCGCCCCGCCAGTCCCCATGACCTCCTCGAAGAGCTCCTCGTCCTCCTCATCCTCCATCCCCTGCATAAGCGTATCGCCATCGTCCAGCGCCGCGCCCAACCCGCCACCGACAGGCCCGCCAACCCCAGCGCCGCCGCCGCCAATCTCCGCCATGTCCTCGTCGTCGCCGTCTTCCTCCCACGCCTCGCGCACGCCGAATCCAACGCCCGTGAAGCAGTACCGCTCGGGCGGTAAACGGATCCCCCATTCCTTTTCGACGCGCGGAAGCGCGATCCGATTGCGCTCGCCAGCGACATCCGTCATGAACTCCTTGGGTAAAGTCGATGTGAACTGCGAGGCCGCGCGCGCCGCGACGGCAGTTCTGAGAGCATTGAGGGTGATGCCGCCGCTGTCGTCGTCGTTCTTAGCTGCGCGACCGCGGCCGCCGCCTGTCGTGGTTTGGTGAGGGGGTGGAGGTTCGTAGGAGAGGGCATCGGATAGGATGCCGGACGTGTAGCGGTATGCGAAGTCGAGGAGTTGGAGGGGCACGCGTTCGGTGTAGGCGTGCACGCCCATGTTGGCGAGGATGAGGTGGATGAGACGCGCGTCGCGGGGGCGTTTGCTGGTGCCTGAGTCTTGAAGGGAGGTTGATGGGAAGGCTGGATTTATGGGAGCGGCGGGAGCGGCGGTGGACGAGGGGCCGGTTGATGCGAATGTGCCGTTCATCTGTGAGGTTTGTTGGGTATTGGCTTGAGTAGACGATGCGGTCGGCGGACTGGGGTTGCCGGCGTTGGCTGTAGTGGGCGGCGTCGAGATGCCATTTGTGAGAGGCTCCGGTGCGGGAGACGCCATGATGGAGGTGATGGAGGACACAGCTTTGCGTCGAGATGAAGAATCGAGGTGGATGGTCGATTGTATCGTGGAGGTATGAATCAACTAAAGGTGAAGGGCGAACGTCGGCGCGAAGTCTTGGCGCGAACCACTCCAGCAAGTTTATTGCAACGACAGGCCAACAATCACGAGTTCACAAAAGTAATCGAAAAATAGTGACATCGATATGAAAGATAGAACCGCCAAGCAATGCTAATAAGAAACAGCTGAGCTAGCTCAATGAATATCATCTACAATATGAACATTATCCAACCACTATTAACATCACTCCGCCTTCTCATAGCCCTTCTCGTGGCCCTCGTCCTCATCCCCAGTCGTCTCACTTGCGATGCTCTCGTGCAAGCTCGGTGTCTTATCCCCTCTCTTACCCATCCGCTTGATCGAGCTCCAGCTCAACGCACTGCTCTTGTCCTTGGGCGTGCCAATCGACGGGCTGTTTCCAGGGCTGTCAGTATCCTTGAGCACCAGCCTGCCGTGATCATCGTCCACCTCATCCGGCGTAACTGCTTCGCTCGATTTTTTCGACAGCAAAAAATTCTTGCTTTTGCTGAATTGCAGGAACTGACTGGTACTGCTTTTCCTAGATAGCTTTTGCATAAACGACTCTTTGCTAAACGAGGGTAAGTGCTGGGAATCCGACGGAGTCAAAGATAGTGGTCGCTCCAAAGACTCGCGAGGGGACGCATCTGAGTATTCCGCGGTGGTAATGGAGCGATTATCGCGAGACCGGCGGGGATCGGCATGTTCCTCCTCGTATGGTCCAGACGCCTTTTCCTTGCCTTTGCGGGAGCTCCTATCTGCCTTACGGGCTTCCTTTTCGGCCTTCTTGGCCTCCTTCTCCGCTGCCTTCTCTGCCGCTTTCTTCGCTTTTTCTGCTTTGTCTTCGCGGCCGAACAAACTTGTAAATTGCGGTGCGGCTGGATTGAGTTGCTTGGGCGGCGTCGGGGGTACCATTCCCGAAGGCGGCATATAAGATGCAGACGACTGCGGCCGTGTGCCAATGGGCGCTTGCTGGGAAGGCGACCGAGACGTGGAAGGGAAATCGGGAAGATCACCGTGTAGCAAGTCCTCATTGACAAGGCTCACCGAGGAACCGTGCTGTACCGAAGGACGTCGCGATGGCATTCGAGACCATGAAACCGTGCTGGTATTGTTGACGCTCCAGTCGACCACGCCTAGTGGACTGTTCCTTGCGTTGAAAGATTCCAATCCCCACCCGTAACGCGTCTGGCTTTCCGTGGACGGGCGTGGGAGACCGTGAGTCTCAGCCGAGTTGGTGGATCCCTGTCTCGGCGAGGAAGGTCTGTCACGTCCTGGTGCAGATGTCAGCCACGGGTCACCTCTTATGCCAAACATGTTGAATGCCCGCCTGCGCGTAGCAATATGATTGGGGCTTTCAGAGGATGATTCCGTGGGTAATGTGTTGGTTCTCGTTGGCATAAAGGCGTTGTACCAAGCTCCAGACGAGTGACTGCCCCGGCGACCTTGCGTTCCAATGGGATCCAGACCTCCCGCATCCTGACGGGGCAGAGATTGGCTCTGGGAGGGCTTGAGAGATCCCAAGGGAGGGCCTTGGTCGGAGATTGTCTTACCACGCTGCCTGTGAATCCCAAACAAACTACCAAACCGGGTGGTGGGTGGGTTCTTGAACGAGCTCGAGGTACTACGTGTAGAGCGTCTGTCACTATCCATGTTGGCATTGTCGGCAGACGGATAGAAGCCCAGCTGACCAGAGCTATCCCTGGGACTAGCAAAAGGAGATCGGCTCTGAACAGACGCTGGAGAGCTTGGAATTTCCTCTCGCTGAAACGTGCCTGGCGCACCAAGACCGGGGAGGATGTGATGAAGATTGGGCGAGGGGTTTAGGGACTGCGGCTGAGGAGGTCCGAGATCATCGTCATCTTCTGCATCCGTAAGCCCACTGGGGTCATCCCCAAACAATCCAGACGGCAGCAAAGCTCCAGCAGTGGGACTCATGGGCGCACCTCCCGTGAGGCTCTCGATTTCGGCTTGGGAAAAGGACGAGGCACGTGCACTGGGTGGGGGAGGCAGAGCCATGCCGTTGACAGGGTTGAAATAGGGGGTGATGTTGTTGTTATTGTATGATGGCGATGCGGTCGTGAGGCTGCTGTTGAAAGGTGCTGCCGTGGAGTGGACAAAACCGGCTGGTATGCCAGATGTGAGAGGTTCCCGCATACTAAGAGGACGTTGCTGAGGCGGGCTGGCGCGTCTAGCGGGGACAAATTCAGGCGCCATTCCTGACATCTGGGGCTGGCTGAGACGACGCTGCTGCAGAAAGTTCAATCTCCCCAAAGCCTCGTGGTTGACGCGCTCAGCTTCATTGACAATGGTCCACGCTTCGGTGTATTGTTTCTGCAGAAGCTGGAAACGCTCAGCCCACTTGCGATCCTCTTCCGCTGCGGTCTCGGCTCCCTCTTGAGCATCAGCGCCGTCTTCGCCCTCTTCCAGCTGTTTCCTCTGCTCCTCCAGCGCCTTGATCTGCGTGCCCTTTTCCCGAATGACGTCCTCGAGGCTCTTGTTGGTCTGCAGCTCGTCGGAGCCTTTCTGCTTCAATTCGTCGATGCGCGCTTGGGACGACTTCTCGTACTCGGCGCGCTCGTTGCCTATAGTCTCGGTTGCAGTACGCAATTCTCCAGTCTCGCGGGCCCATCTGGCAACGTCATCTTTTGCCTTTTCTCTCTCCGTCTCCTTCTGGCGGAGGAGTTTCTCTTGATGGGCCTTTCGTGTTTGCGCAGCGGCGTTTGTGCGCTCCAGGGTGGCTACCTCTTTCCGCAAATCCCTGCTGACTTCATCTTTTTCCTTGAGCGCCGCTTTTTTCTCATCGCGCTTTTCCACAAGAATGGCCTTTTGGGTGACAAACTCCTCCTCTTCGTCTTGAATCTGTCGCTCCATATCCTCATTCTCGCGACGGAGACTGTCTAGTTTCTCAGTCAAGACCTTGATGGATTCCATCGAGTCGGCAGCCTCTTGGGCGGAGCGGGCCTGATCCACGGTTTGGGAAGCGGGCGAATTACGCCTGGCGGAATCGGTACGGCGGGTGCGGGTAACGCTGTTGCTGTGTTCGCGGGTTATGACAGGCGGTGGGTTAGAGGGAACCATGACGTCGACCAGATTTTTGTTCGTGCGGATGATGGGGGTCGGGTTGTAGCCTTCATCTTGTGCGTCTCGCTGGTCTTTTTGCGGGGTAGTGCTGTAGAATTGTTCTGATTCGGCGGTCAGGGTGCGAAGGCGAATGGGCATACTCGGGGCCTGAAAATTGGCAGTGTTGAGGGTCACGATGCGGATGGCGTAGTGGGTGTCGGGCTTGAGGTTCTCGATGGTGACGGAGGTTTCTTGAGGGGCGACGTCGCCGATGTCGATGCCGTTGATGCGGATCACGTATTTGACGACCGAGGTGCGGTGCTCAGGTGGTTTCCAGTGGAGCAGGACTCCATCAGCGCGGATGCCTGCCAACGAAACGAGGGGCGCAACGGGGACTTCGAGACCGAGAAGGTTGACGAGCTCTTCGACGGGTTTGGACAGAACGCGATAGGCGCGGAAGGCGACCCAGAAGAGAGCGAACAAGACACAAGCCGTCTTGAGCCAGCCCGAGGAGAGGAAGACGAGGCCCTCCATGTTGTAGCGAGCGACGTCGGGCGGCCAGTAGGGGAGCATGGGGGAGAGGTTGTGCAGGTGAGCAGACATATCTGCTACACGCTGCCACCCTGCCTCCACTGCTCGGTTAGATAAAGATGCGATAGTCGTTGGGGGAGGGAATTGTCGAGGGTTTTGGAGTTGGGCCCCCCGCAGAGCGAAGTGGCGAGTGGAAGGGATAGCGAATGAGAGATTGGTTGATTGACTGAGTGATTGCGGTGGTGTTGATGGCATCGGAGGATTTGCGTGTCCCAGGTCCGATGGAGCGGTCACGTGCGCGGCTGCCAGGCGAGGGCAATTTTACAGTGGAGCCCCAAAGAGGAAGGGCCGAGGCTCGGGGGCTTGGCAAGCACGCACCCGCCTGACTCTTTCCGGCCTTTTCATCATCGTGCATATCCTTTTTCGTCCATGTCCAGGCAGTCCAAGAGTATCGCTCTGGGGGACTTTTATATATGCTCCAAGTCTCTCTGGAAAGCCCCGGGTATTTTCTTAGTGAGCGGGAATATCTGTTGGTTGAACCCTGGCGCGCCTCAACACATGGATGCATGCACCAATGCACCGTTTGTCACTTGGCTAGCTTCTACCATTCCAGAATACAAGCTATCTGGACTATAGAATCCTCGGGATCTTGTAAAGAGAGAGAAAATTCAGACGGAAGCGATAACAAGTATTGCAGACAGACATGACTAGCAAGAGAAAAATAGAAACGGAACAGGAAACGGAGAATCCAACATATCCCATGACCGCCGACGGTGGAATTGGCCCGTGATGATCCTGTTGTTGCGCTCTCACATGCCCAACAAACTCACTTCACTCCACTTCCTCTCCCACCATTCTTCGCTGTATCCTCCCTCTTCCCCCCTTTTTATTCATCTTCTCTCTCTCTCTGACATAGAGACTATACACACCCCTTTCGCTCTCCCAATAATTGCACACATTCGCTCGCTCCAACATCCGCTACTGCCGCCTGACCTCCAAAACCGTCGTCAACCCTCCCCCAACAACCACGCACGCACCACCACCACCAGCGAGTGAACGCTTCTGTTTGAGCCTTCGGGCTAGAGACACTCAAGATGAACTACGTCCGGTCCATTACCGGCTCTGTCTCCAAAGGCTGGAACTCAATCAACCCGGCCACCCTCAGCGGCGCAATCGACGTCATTGTCGTCGAACAAGAAGATGGCTCCCTCGCATGTTCACCCTTCCACGTCCGCTTCGGCAAATACCAGATCTTGCGACCTTCGGACAAGAAGGTCCAGTTCACCGTCAATGGCCAGAAACAGGACTACGCCATGAAGCTCGGCGAGGGCGGCGAGGCTTTCTTCGTCTTTGAGACCTCGGCCGCCATCCCCGAAGAGATGCAGACGTCGCCCCTCGCCTCGCCCGCCTCAAGTCCCGAGCAGAAGCCGCTGGAGCGCACAAATACCGACATCGACGACGCAGATCCCCTCGAGCTGGACGGAACCAGCGGCGCCCGTCGAGCCACCATCACCGCACCCCGCCGCCCCGAGATGATGATCCAGCGCCCACAGTCGGGAGACTGGTCGGGTATCCAGGTCCCGCGCGCCCAGAGCGAGGATATACTGCCGTCTTCCAAATCACACTTTGCCGCCGAGTTCGAAGAAAAGGTGCATGCCCCGATTCACATCAGCAAGGACGAGGCAACAGCATGGAACCGCCCCAAGCGCGCGACCAGTCCGCCCCCGCTCTCCGTCGACGAAGCCATGGCTCGCGCCATTGCCCTCTCCAAGAAGCTCTTCACATCAAATATTCCCAATAAAGTCACCGAGAGCGGCGATCTGATGCTGGACATGACGGGCTACAAGAGCAGCGACGAGGAAACCCTGCGCGCCGAGGTGATCGCGAGAAAGGTGCTGGCCGACGAGGTCGAGGGAAATTACGACATTGGGGCTCTGATTGGCGCTGATCAGGAAGGGAACTTGTGGATCTACAGCAGCGAAGAAGCAAAAATGGCGGCCATGCAAAAATCTGGCATTTCCGTGCTGAACGTGGACGCGATGCAGTCTGCAGACGCCCTGTCGGATCCTGGCTATCATAGCGATGATGCCCAGAGTGATTCCTCGGAGAACCTGCCCGCGCACATGCGTAGAGACTCGGATAGTGCCATAGGGCTGGCCACGCCTCCAGACTCTCCAGACATGGGCGCCGGCGAGACCAAGAGCTACGCAAAAACCCTCCGCTTAACGAGCGACCAGCTCAAGGCCCTCGACCTCAAACCCGGCGCCAACACGGTCAGCTTCACTGTCAATCGCTCCACCTGCAACGCCTTCATGTTCTACTGGCAGCACAACGTCCCCATTGTCATCTCCGACATCGATGGCACCATCACAAAATCCGACGCCCTCGGTCACGTCCTGACCTACATCGGCCGCGACTGGACCCACCAAGGAGTCGCCAAACTCTACACCGACATTGTGAACAACGGCTACAACATCTTCTATCTTACCTCGCGGTCGGTAGGCCAGGCCGACATGACCCGTGCATACCTAAACGGCGTCGTGCAAGACAATTACCGCCTCCCAAAGGGGCCCGTCATCATGAGCCCGGACCGCACCATCGCCGCCCTTCGCCGCGAAATCTACCTCCGCAAACCCGAAGTCTTTAAGATGGCCTGCCTTCGCGACATCATGAATCTCTTCCACAAACCGACCGGACAAACCCCCTTCTACGCCGGCTTCGGTAACCGCTTTACAGACGCTCTGAGCTACCGTTCCGTCAACATCCCATCCACCCGCATTTTCACCATCAATTCGAATGCTGAAGTCAGCCTCGATGTTCTCTCCCTAAACAGTTACAAAACCGGTTACGCCAGCATGCGCGAGATTGTAGACCACTTTTTCCCGCCCGTTGGTCTTCTCGTGCCCTCGGGCGGCGAAGATTTCACCGACTTCAATTACTGGCGCGAAAGACCGCTAGAGATTGAAGATTTCACAGACTCGGAAAGCGAAGACGAGGATGAAGGCGATGTGGATGACAACGCGAGCGTGAGGAGCGAAGATGAGGGCTCGCTCCAGGAAGAGGATCTCGAAGCGAGCTACATGCTCCAAGGCGACGATGTCGACGTCGATGAAGATCTAGAACTAGATGTCGATACCGCAGGCATGGAGGACTCGATATTAGAAAGCGTGGAGGGCGACTATGAGGACTCTGAAGACGAAGAAGACGAAACTGACGACGGCGCGGAAGAATCGGGAGAGGAGGACGAGGAAAGTGACGAAGAAGAAGCATCGGCGGGACATACCCCACCTATCCAGCCCCATCAACAGCAACAGTTGGAACCGAATACCCCGACGAAAAACCTATCGGGTTTGAGGGGGAGGCTCGAGCAGTTGGAGATTGCGCAGCAGCAGAGCTTACCGATATCGCCTGCTCCGCAAGACGAAGCTCACTCGCAGCCAACACAGACTACCAAATCTCCGCCACTACCACCGCCGCCTCCGGCGTTTAATGCGAAAGATCGATAGCTGGTCGTTTGGAGTTTTGCTTTCTTTCTCTCTTCGACGATTCAAGAGAATCGTTAGCGGAGCGAGGCTTTGACTTCCGTTGTTTGCTTGCTTATCGCTGTCATCGAACCGTCGCCGTTGCAGGATTAGATTTTCCATGTATATAAGCATTTGGGCATTGGGAGGCTGTACTTCATTAGCATTTGGGCATCTTTGTTCCCTCTCTTTTTTTTATCAATGCATTATCAATCGAAGCGTTATCTGTGTTTCTGTTCCTACAATGAAGTGTAGATAGAGAACGATATCTAATCCTACTCCCCACCTTATCTTTTCAAAACTATTTCCAGTATGTAAATATATCATGGGTTTTGTCGCGTCCCCGTCAGAGGCTGAGTGGCTGCAAGCTCGTATTTGGATCCAATCAACACGGATACACGTGATTAATCTTGGCGACTGCATATACGCGGGGCTCAGCCTCATATCAGCACTTCAACCTCACATCTCTCCAACTAAAGCTCTATCGAAAAGCAGAGATCTTCCTGATGTCCTTGCTGAGTATCATCGTGTGCCGCCATGGACAGTGCACATGGCGCCGATGAGCTGTGGGAAAGCCGGATTGCGGCAGCTCTTGCAACACCTGAAGGGGAGCCGCTCACCGAACAACGCCTGCAAACCATCTCCAACTCTCTCCGGAGCTCTGGCCGTGATAGCTGGAGTCGAATTCCACGCGTCTATGCAACTTTGCGGGCGATTGATGAGCTGGCGCTTATCGAGAACTTCATCGAGTATGAGATGAGCGATGCTGGATTCCCTTTCACCCATGGAACACTTCCTAGTTTCTTGCGCCGCCAGGAAACCAGGAATAAGTTTATAGATGCACAGTCTATGGTGCTCACCAAGGGACTACACCTTGAGAAGGAAGGCAGTAGACACAAGCACTTTGCCAGTCCCGAGGATATTCCCTTGAAGAAGCTGGCCGAGCTGGGTGTGGGCGGATACGGTTTCGTGGAGAAAGTCATTAGCACCATCAGCCATAAGGAATATGCTAGGAAGCTTCTTCCACGGGGCATCAACTTCCGCAAGGACAAGACCGCTCTTCGGGAGTTTGAGAATGAGCTGGCGCATATGAAGAAAGTGTCACATCGGCATATCGTGCAGCTTGTTGGCAGTTATACTGATCCAAGGTACACTGTCCATTTTTCCCCTTTTGTGCTTCAATGGTGGCTAACAGCTAGGTAGATGCGTTGCTATCCTGATCTCGCCCGTCGCGGATTGTGATCTTGAGGAATATCTTAGAACTCCCATGACGGACAACAAGAGGTCTTTGCTTGCCACGTCCTTTGGTTGTCTGACATCAGCTATCAATTACTTGCATCAGATCAAGATTCGGCATAAAGACATCAAACCTCGAGTAAGGCCTATTCATCATGTTGCGTTTGATTCCACGCTCATAGTTGTAGAATATCCTCGTCAAGGATCATCATGTCTACGTAACGGATTTTGGCATCAGTCTAGATTGGGCCGATAATAGCCGAAGCACAACTACGGGGTTCACCGTCAAGACGATCAAGTACTGCGCTCCTGAAGTTGTGGATAATCTACCTCGCAACTCTACTTCAGATATCTGGTCTCTGGGTTGCATCTTCTTGGAGATATGGTCTATCCTGAGCGGCGAAACCATTGCCACTCTCTCCAGCTATTTCGATACTCACGGCAGTCATTCTCAAAACTATTGTAAGAATAATGAAGCAATTGACTCGTGGTGCGAATTCTTGAGGAAGAAGCCAGGAGACGAAGAGCTCAAAGCACCCGGCGAGTGGATCCCTTGGATGATGAAGAAGAACAAACAAGACCGATGGAACGCGCAAGAACTATTCGATACCATCCAGGAATCCTCACTTGCCCCGGATAGAAACTACAGAATATCGTATATGGGCTCTTGCTGCAGGTATGAGGACGACACAGCTGAGAGTGTGCAATCCTCTGATCACAATTCGTACCTTGAACTCGACCCCATGACAGTAAAAAAAGATCTAGAAAGTTTGGAGCCAGATCCCCTCACAAAAGAAAGTCTTCAAGAGACTTCCGGTTCTACCCAGGCAATATTCGAGGATGCGAATACTTCAGCTTCCGTCGAAATTGACAGCGAATCCAGAGACGACCTATCAGATTCTACACACGAATACCTGGATGCTGAAGAGGAGATATCAACTGAAGGCTCTGGTGATGCAGTTCTTCTCGGGGCTGACAGCAAAGGTGGGAGTGTCCAACATGAATTCACTGTTGACGCTCATAATCATATTGTAGTAGCAACCAAGAGTGATGGCAATGAACCTCGATTCAATCACGATCCAGATATCGAAATCCTTCAACCCAGTTTCATGTATAAAGCATTCGATTTCGTTCGAGGATATGTTGCAGGCAATGCAGCTCCTGTTCCGATTGTCGACAAGGAAGCGCAGCCCGATTTGCCTGCCGACACTACCCACGGTTTACATCGAGCTGCAAGCACAGGCAAGACCAGGATTATCGAGATTTTGGTGGACAGGGGAGTCGATGTGAATGTCCGGTGCAAGGACCTTAAAACAGCAGTGATATATGCGGCTGAAGCGGGTCAGGTTAAAGCCGTGGAACTGTTGATCATGAGAGGCGCCGACGTATCGATCCGAGGTAGCAATGATTATACAGCGCTGCATATGGCGTCTTATTTTGGCCATTTGAAAGTAGTCGAGCTGCTGATATTGAACGGCGTCGATAGATCAATAGTCTCGGGGAAACAAACTACGCCACTCCACTTGGCCGCACGAAAAAGACATGTCCAAGTATCCGAGCTCCTGCTGACCATCGAAGGAGCCGACGCATCAGTGCCCGATGAAATTGGCCGTACACCGTTACACATGGCTTCCGTAAACAATGACATTGAGGTCGCAGGGATGTTGATTGCAAACGGCGCCCAGGTCTCCGCAACAACCGACGCGGGAGACACCCCACTCCACACCGCATCTTATCGAGACTCCCCCCATGTCGCCAAACTTCTTCTCGACAATGGCGCGCAGTCTTCTGCGATCGATTATCGAGGATATACGCCCCTATTCCTCGCGTCTGGTGGAGGCAATCTTGCCATCGTCGAGCTGCTCATCTCCTGCGGCGCAGACCCTTCAAAAGCGAAACGAGGGAAGAAAAGCCAACCACTCATCTACGCTGCAAAGAACGGACACATTGATGTCGTAAACCTCCTTCTCCTCCGCGGCGCCGTCATTGACGTGAAATCCGAATGCGGCGAAACTCCCTTATTAATTGCGTCTGCGTTCAATCAACTTTCCACCGTTGAGAACCTCATTGTCAAAGGCGCGAAAGTCAACACTGCAGATAACTGGAATCGCACTGCTCTTTATTTTGCTGCCGAGAATGGGCATGTCGAGATTGTGAAGCTGCTGCTACGGCATCGTGCTGATATCACGATTGTTTCATGGAAACAAAAGACTTGCTTGGATGTTGCAAAAGATAATAATCACGCTGAGATTTTGCAGTTGCTCGAGGATCAGTTATCACGGTCCAAGAAGATCAAAATTATGGGGAAAACCATTCTATCATCTGCTATGAGGCAATGATACGACTCGTCTGAACGCCTGTTCCCTCTTTCTACCTCCCCGATCTCTACTTCTGATGCAAGTCTTGTTCGATCTGCGATAGTATCTAAAGATGCAATTGTGTTTTCATTCTGCCATTTGTTATTGCCATCTCACCCTCTGTGCGAAGTGGGTAGAGAGGGTTGTCCCTCCAACTACTGTAGGCACATATGCCTCCTCCACAGTTGGCTAAATAATGTACCTCTTTTATACCAGAATATTCCAAAGCCATTGCGTACTGGCGCTGAATATATTCTTTTCAATCGCCATGGTTTCAAGTTATCAAGTTGCTGATGTACCGCGCGGTTGTGGCCCAGACGTCAGGATCCCTGATCGGCCGAGCCGGTACGGTGCAGCATATGATTGGTTGATCGGCCGACTTGTAGATCTACTAAGACTCAACTCCCACCAACCACTACTATAACCAAGTAGAGCCTACATATGTATACAGCCAACACCAAACAGACACAAAACCGACTCGCCGTCCCCTCATCACCATCGTCATGGTTTCCTGGTTTGCTCTAGTAGTCCGTCTATACATCAAATACATCCGACGCTCCAAACAAACCTTTGGAAATGCCCAAACCATGCGCAAAAGCCTCCACAATCTCCATCTCCACCCCCAATCTTTCAACCCGCCAACCAACCCGGGCCACGACATAACCATCCACCGAGAAGACGTCAACGAATGGCCATTATACCGAGTCTCCCCGCACCCTCCCCCTCCAGGTCCAACCCCCTCTCCATCACCCTCCCGCGCAATCCTCTACATCCACGGCGGAGCATTCTACCGCGAAATCGACCCCTACCACTGGAAACTCACCATCCACCTCGCGCGCTCAACCGGTCTAGACGTGCTAGTCCCCATCTACCCCTTACTCCCGCGCCCCACAGCAACAGCACATCAAGTCGTCGACGGCCTCCTCTCAATCTGCCGCCTAACCCCTCACACCATCGTAAACATCACCGGCGACTCCGCAGGCGGCTGTCTCGCGCTCGCCACAACCCAACATCTCGTTTCCACCTTCCCAGCCCTCGCCCTTACCCTCTCCTCTCTAATCCTCATCTCCCCCGTCCTCGATCTAACCCTCTCACATCCCGAATGCGTGCGTCTCGACCACATAGATCCCTGGCTCGGCATCGACGGGCTGCGCGTCCTCACCCCGCTGTGGGCTGCTGGAACGTCCGTTACAGATCCGATTGTGAGTCCGCTGTTTGGAGATATCGAGGGGCTTCCGCCCGTTTTGATGCTCTCCGGTACACATGATTTGTTGAATTCCGACGCCAGACGGCTTAGTGCTAAGGTTCTGGGGAAGAATGGGAATGCGGGGGAGTGGGTGGATGAGAGGGATTGGGTGGGAGGGAGTGTGAGGGTTGAGGAGCGGCGGTTTGTGTATGTCGAGGAGGGGGGGATGATTCATGATTATGCGCTGCTGCCGCATCCGGAGGGGGAGCGGGCTAGGGGATTGATTGTGGATTTTATTTTGGGGAATATGGTTTGAAGTGGAGAAAGAGAGGGGGCTTGTATTTCATTTGCTGAGCTATTTGATGTTTTGTGTAGTAGCTGATGATGATGGCATCACTAAATGCATTGAGAGACACCAGAAAGACAAGATCCACACGTAAAAATACCACAATCAGTTCTTCAAGGCGTTTAAGGGATAAGTCAGTTACTCAATATTTTCCACAATTCATGTTGTGTAGGAGGAACAACTGATTTGAACAGACAGACATCTACTAGTCACGTGACCACCCTATCAAACAATCTACCCGGGTATATGAGCTGTGACTCTTTATGCTACTCTACCACTCGCTCAATAATTCCCCTAGATTTTGAGACATTGTTCATGCTATGGCTTCGAGTAATGTGTTAGTGTAAGGTGAGCATTGGAGTGTACTGTGTGTCGCATACCTACTACCTAGGTAGGTACTCTCAGCCTTTCAGGAAAATGTCAATCAATTAGTTCTTTCGCATCTTGATTAGTAATTCTGTTATTAACTATGTAGCCAATAGTTCTACCCGTATCGCGGCCTGCCCGGTTGCCTCGCTCGTATTCATATATCTTCGGTAAGCTACGCCATTCCCTCGGTGCTGAAGTCGACCATCGATTGACTAACGCAGGGGTATTTTCGCCCCTCGCTGCATTACAGTGCACAGTGATTTTCCGATGTCCGAGCTCAGCAGCTCTACCTATCATTCCGCTGTGCTCAACGTCTTTATACATACACCCCCACAGATTTACTCGACTTGTTTCACATGTGAGGCGGGAATCTGATCTCAAACTGCGAGGGGCCTGTGATTTTCAGGTAGTGTGTCAACTGTTTGCCTGCTGCTAACGTCGTTGAGTCCGGCCAAAATCAAGTCCGCCCCCCTCCACTCTGACATTGTCGTGAATCATTTGACACTTATCAACCTGTTCTCGCCTCATAACTTTCTTCTAGCTTTTCTACCCGACCAGCCCACTTGCCGGGTGCTCTTCCGTCCCTCCGTCACATGGCACCAAGAAGAATTTGTCTCACCAGACTGAACCATCGATTTCACTTTCACAGCGCGAGTTAGGGAAGCGAACGTCTGAATTCATCGCCAGCCACGTCACGCAATGTCAATAACTTTGCAACCTCTGAGCCAGCCGTACACGTTTGATTCTCCCGCGCCTAGTCCTACCCTCATAGTCACACCTGCGCCAGAACCGTCAAGTCGACCAACGAATGTCCCGATGTTAACTACAATATATCGGTATCCAACAAACTGCAAATCACAGTGGTATCTCGGCTCCGTACCTTACGAATACAATACTTTTGTGTTCAGCTGGGGTGATTCGAGGTTTGGCCCCTATGCAGTTGATCCGTCATATACTTTGTGTCTGCCATTTTCAGCTCGCCCAATCTATAGTCCGGGGATATGCCCTGAAGACCACACAGTCGCTGATATCACGCAACATTACATGGCGAATTCGATAAACAAGACAACAACTTGGTGGAAAGGAATTTGCTGTAGAAGGTATTGCACATCAATTTCTTTACGTCTAACAAAAGCTGATTATGGTTGTATCTAGTGAAATGATGTTCCACCCATTACTCACCTCTTGGTACGATACTCGCAAGACGGTAGCAGATCCCTTGTGCGTTAGTCAATTAGCTACGCCAATCAATGCATATTCCCCAATCACATTTTATGGAGACAGCACAACCGTATTCATCGATTACACATCTCTTGTCTTCGGCAACATGACCTCGGGCGCTAGTGTCGTTGAAACAAACTCCACCACGGGCTTGAAGACATTAATTCAAAGCGGATGGGCGATTGCCGGGGGCTTGCAAGTGGCATGGGAAATGAGCGACTTCTCTCTCTTCCCAACAGACTATGCTTCGTCTCTCGCTGAACAGATGAACATATCTCTCAACCTATCCATTACTTCCAAAGACCCAGGGCCCATCACCGCGACGAGCCCACAACCGCCACCGTCCAAAATTGATAAAGGATCAATAGGTAAAGGATCAATAATAGGAATCATTGTCGGTGCCATTGCGGGCGCCATTCTTCTTGGGACATCAATCCTCTTTGTCCTTCGCAGACGTCACAACAAACTCAAAACAAGAAAAGATGCAAATCGGGAGGGAGGAGATCAAGATCAAGGCGTGGGAATCCGACCATGGTATCTGGGGGGACTCTGGAAAAGTGAGGCAGATGCATCGGCGGAACGAAAGGAACTCGAAGCGCAGCATGGGAGTGGGGAGATGGATACTGCGTATGAGATTAAAGAGATTGATTCGAGGACGGTTTATGTAGTTCCGGGACCGCCTGCTGAGCTACCCGCCTCAGACAAAGCGACGTTTATATGAACACGCGCTCCTCTGGCTATGCATTTTCAGTTTCTAATACTTCTTCATTTCAGTCATCAATCCAACTTCAAGAAAGCGTCTCGGAACCCCCACGGGCTACCCTCCATTGTGCACTAGATAGGGCGACAACATGTGGGGAGGCGTACAGTTAGTGCACATCACCTTATAGACTCGTTACCCGTGGGATACAAAGTATCAAGGCCCCACCACTACATCCTTGCTTTCTCATGCGGAGGATACCGCGTCTAAGACGGTATCTATTCTTGTGAGTATCTATTGTAGGCGTTTGGTCACTGAAACTCGCCAAACTGGAAGATTATCGTCATTCTTCCCGGTAGCTCAGAATTTGCATCGCTGGACCGAGCTGGTGGGGTCTCTGGCATACACTGCTCTGCCAGTTTCTATTGCACTGGATCTGGCATTTGATCATGAGGATATTCAACGAATCACAGCGATTTCATTGCTTATCTTTACTTGGGAGATAGTTTAGTGAGGGAGTCTGCGGGCGGGATCAAGTTCATCAGTCTATTTCTTATCCTAATCTTGGTATATACCTATACATAAATGTACCCTGAATTTCGAGTTTCTTCTCACCCAATCACGACAGTCATGTTTTCAATGGGATGGAAAGAAACTGTTTCTTGTCCATGCTCGTTGGTCTTGAGAGGTGGGGTCTTCGTCCTCAGCACCCTAAACCTCAAATGATGTTAGAGGCTACCTCCGCATGTGGAGATGATGTCATACAACAGGAAGTAATTCGAGTTGAGAGAACAATCGATTTTCCTGACAGAATGAGGCTGGCGATACAAATCTGATCTTGAGTTCAGTTGATTGTAACAAGTCCTTGTGATCGATTTGAATGTTCGGGCACAGGGAATAAGTCACGTGCGATTTCGACAGCGTTAAAAAGTGCGCAGGATTCGTGTAAGCACGTCTCTTCGGTATATTGAAAGTTAAGTTAATATGTTTATTGTCCCACATAGCTAGTGATAGATGCGGATTCGGATGCTGGAAGGGCTCTGTACAAGAGGATCTCAAACCTGGGGTTGCGGAGTAAGACCCACATCAGTCGGTAATACACTTCCCGACATATGACACTGGATACGAGCCAATCCCATAAATATGCGCGGGTAGTATCCATAGCTGTGTTCTCTAAACTCACAAGACTGATTTGTAAATATCCACATGAGAATGTTGATAGACCGCTTCAACGAAATTCCGCATCTACCTGGCTCGGCGGCGCTCGTGGTACTTGCAGTCCTTGCCCTTGGCATTCTAGTCGTCGACTACGGACGAATCCTTTTGCTCAGACGAAAGCTACCTCCCGGACCCTTCCCATTTCCCATCGTTGGCAATCACTATCAAATATCCAAGGATCGACCGTGGATCCAATGGGCTGAATGGGCTGAATACTACCAAAACCCTCTTACAACTATTTGGGTCGGTAGAGAGCCTCGTATCATCGTTCAGGATGCCTGGGTCGCTTCCGACCTCCTTGAGAAACGTGCGGATATCTTCTCCTCGCGACCTAGACTTGTCGTGTTAGGGGATGTTGTAGATGCGACGACTACCAATCAGACGATGCTGGTGTATGGCGACAGGTGGCGGATTCACAGGAAGCTGATGGTAAGTAGAATCTTCGTTACCCTCACCACATTTCAAGCCTTATGTGCTAAGTGTTCTAGCATGGTGCTGTAGGCGTACAAGCTGTTCGAGGATATCGCTCAGCTCAAGCAAATGAATCCAAGATCTTGACACGAGATCTCTTGAACAACCCAACAGACTTTGTATTATCCATCGAGAGGTACTCTGTCTCTCTGACCTCCATCGTCGGGTGGGGTCGAAGAATTGACAAGACAAACGATGATACAGCACAATTCGCACTAGACTTTATGGAAGCGGTGAATTACGTTGTCCCCGGCTTCTTCCTCATGGAGTCGGTACCCTTCCTCACCAAACTCCCATCTTTCATCTACAGTTTACCCTCGAAGATCGAAAAGACTGCAACTTCATCTCTGCGGTATTTTTACATGCTTACTCAAGAGGGTGCTCAAGCGCAAGTCCCAACCTTTGCGAAGAACTTGCTCGAAGCCCAATCAGAATTCAATCTCAACGACAAAGAAGTCAGTAACATGGCGGCGAATCTGATTGGTGGTGGTGTCGACACGACCTCTAGCACAATGGTCAGCTTCATACTGGCCATGGCGTATTTCCCGAACGTACAGAAGAAAGTTCACGAGGAGCTAGATCGCGTAGTCGGGCGAGATCGCTCCCCGAATTGGGAAGACATCGACAAGAACCTTCCATACGTGATGGCGACGGTGAAAGAAGTTCTTCGCTGGAGAACAGTGACAATCCTTGCTGGTATCCCCCACGCAAACACGGTCGACTACCAGTATCGCGGCTACCATATTCCCGCAGGCACCAACATCACTGGGAACATGTGGGCTATTCACCGCAATCCCCGCGACTTCCCCGAACCAGATGTGGTGCGACCTGAACGATTCCTTGGTGCGCTAGAGAACCCATACCCAAACTCGCGAGGAAGCAATCCTTTTGGATTTGGGAGACGGCAGTGCAGCGGGCAGCCTATGGCGGAGCAAGGACTTTATTACTCCTTGGCAAGAATCGCTTGGGCATTCGACATACAGCCGGGACTAGATGAAAATGTACGTTTGTATTTTCAGATGATTTATTCGGCGAGGCTTCAATCACATGGAGCCGCAACAGAATCACGCTGTTTTGCTACTTGAAGCTAACGTGCATGTTACAGGGAGACGAAGTCAAATTGGATATTTTTGCTTACACCAACACGGAGAACATGCGACCAGAGCCGTTCAAAGTTCGCTTTGTTCCCCGCACACCCGAGCTCGAGGAGATGGTCATATCTGAGGCTGCTGACGCCAGAGAAGAATTGCGCATTTACGATAGGGAGACTAAAGTCAAGATGAAGGATGCACTTGCATCGAGCAAGACCTTCTGAGGCATATGGAATCAGAGATTTCACCACAAGTACCGGAAGAAGGTAAATAGGGTATTAGTTTGCCGAGTATAGTCCTTTATCCCAAGACTTCAGCCTCGCGCTTATTCAAGTAATTGCATCTGAGTAAGCCTGCGTGCCAAGGCCGACCTAACCTTTCCATATTTTTCCATAATAGGAAAATGGGTATTAATGGAGTAGCTCGTTCGGAGATTTGGAAGTTTAAATCTAGAGTTTTAGGGGAACTCAGCTACTAACAATGCCTTGGCGGAGCAGTATTCGCCTTAAACAGGCATTAAAAAGAGACTTCTGTGTATAGGCCCCGTATCGTGCTACATTCAGACTCCGTACATGATCTTTTACAACTAGAACACGGGATCTAATTCAGATGGAGTCACTATTTGGGGACGCTCGATGTACTGCAATTTCTCATATTTAACTACTGAGACTTTCCTTTCGTAACTATAGACCCGGCCACTTACTCACCCATTCATTCTTTTTTTCGGCAACTCTTGATCTTTCACTGTCTTTTATATCAACTTGCAATAGTTTCGATTGTATACATCAGCAACGATGCGTCTCTTCAATTCGATTCCTCTCTACCTCTCTCTCGCCAATTCCGCCACAGCTTTTTTCAGCTATTGGCTGACCGTCGAAGGCAATTTCACGTTTGTTACGCATGATGGGTACACGCTTCAATTCGCTGACGAGACCTCTTACTCGTTCGACATCGGGGAGATGGAAGGCACTATTGACATCGGAGGCACAAACTTTACCGTCAATCGCAATGAAGAGGCGCTCGACGATTTTGCAGTAGACCCAGACGAATTTGTGATGAAATCGTATGACATCTCTGAGTTGACAATGGACGCACGCCAGAAGTACGAAGAGCAGGTACAGGAGGATTTGAAAAATGGAATTTATGACCGGAAAGGGAATTTCCGCATTCCCTGTGAGTTTATCCTGGGCCAACCATCGGGCCTTTGCCTGATTCAGTGTTTGTCTTTATGATCATGTGTTCATCTCACGCACCCAAAGAACAGGTGTCTCATTCGACAAAGGGATTAGACTAACCATACTCTACAGTCAAGAAAGAAAGCATGACCATCGCTGATATCGAGCTCGACGACATCTTTCAAAGTCTGCGCGACGCTTGTCACCCCACGGGTAACTGCGAAACCAACGATATTGAGCTTAAAGGCCAGCTCATTGGCAAGGGCACGACAACCAATGTCAAAAACGTTGAACTCACGCTGTCACCACACGGACTGTACCGCGAATCCCATCGAGAAGATCTTCTCGATTTGTTGGAGTATGCTGTCCGCCAAGTCGCCGAGTGCGAGGAATATACCCACAAGAGCCCATGTCCCAACCCTGCAGTTTTTTGTCCTTGTAAGTCAGAAAAATACATACCCGAAATTACACCTGAGTGCTGTTTCCACTGGGCACTAGAGCTCCAATAACTACAACCTCCTGCTTGATCAATCGCGTTGACTTTTGCTCTGCTAACTATCGTCGTATTAGCTGATTCCACGCGTGTCAAGAGATGCTCCGTCCCCTCATACTGGGCTGTCAATCTTCAAAAGGAAGAAGATAAGGATGAAGGCTCCGCACCTCCAACCATTGAGACGGACCTGAGCTTGGAGGTTGTCGACGACACCATCTGTGAGGATTGGTACGATAAGCTCTCCGAATTCGGAGGTGAGTCTCTCTTCCCGTTTCTGCTATGGTTTTTCTGTGTGTGACTAATGTGGTAATGCGTGCGTTTCTAGGTATGGTCAACGGCCACGCAGGAACTGGACTCAGTCTGTGGAAGTTTGCCTGCATCTAAGACAAGTCTCTCCGCTTTGTGTTATAGAAACAGCAGCAAATGTTTCTTCTGGATGGCTATTGATGAGCATGGAATTCTGTCTTTGGTTGGTGCTGTTTACACCATTCTCTCGAAATCAAGTTATGCATTCCCCATACTCGCCTGTCATTCACAATACCGTATGTCGAAGAGGAAAAGAAAATAAAAAGCGGAAAAGTAACGATCGGCTACAACATGATTAGATAATCTCATCGCAAAAACTATGCTCTTTGACAATTCGAGACAACCAATCGTGTGTTCTATCACACTGGTGAAGATTCCGATGCCATGACGGCGATGAGATCGCACAATTGTTCTACCGGATGATTCAGATACAATCAAGTAACAATCCAACCAAAAAAGAAAAAGCCAACGCAAAAAAACCATGGAAATCAATATGCGACCTAACCAGCATAAATCCAAAGCATCGCCCAAGCGCGCCTGGACTTCCGTTTGCGTCACCACTCGTCTACCCACTACGTCAACACCACAAAATACATATCACCTAATTCGCCCAACCAAAACTCCCCCCCAATCACGCCCTAACCCAAACATGAACCGAAAAAAATTCAATTTCCACATCCACATAAACGTACGCTCTCTCCTTCGACAAAGAAACCAAGTTCACACACTGTCATCGCCAACCTACCTTTTGGCTGGCATGCGCACTGTGACCGGTGATGAGAAAGTGTGTCGTCGACGCACGTCAAAAAGCTCAGAGGTCGTTGAAGATAGGGGTGGGTGTGCAGTGAAGGAGAGAGCCGTGGATGTCGTGGTTGAGAGAGTGTGGGAGACGAGAGAATCAGACGGAGAGATGATCTCATCAATCAACCAGGTACGTCGGAAAGATGGAGAAGGAAGCCAATTTCCATTACATCTACTAGCTGTCACACCATCGGCACGCAAGTCATGCAATCAGACTTCGAATAAGTGCCGACATGCAGCAATTTCTCATTCGATGTCTAGGTCTATATACGCCTCTCGACGCCTCTGGCATTCCACCCCCTTTCCCTCTTCAGACAAAAGGCAACAGTCGTAACAACACCGATTCGGGACCTATGATGCACAGTCCGCCGCGATTGTTCATCGGTCTCCGAAACGAGGAGGGGACCCGAGGGAAAGAGAGGATCGAGACCTAGAAGGTGCGCATGTCAGCCAAAAGAGGCTGAGTAGGGCGTCTTTTCGGACAGCATCCAGTTATGGTAGTTTTCTTCACCGGCGGAGGGGCCTCAGATTGTTCACACCAAACCTTCATCGCTGCCACCTACCTGGTTGGCATGATGGTTGTACCATGACCAGTGATGAGAATGCGAGTCTTAGGATAGACACTTGAAGCTCTGAGGTCTTGCGGTGTAATGGCCGTGCGGTGATGGAGAGGTGTGTGGCATGGTCGATCGAGGAGTGAGTGTGAGAAGCAGACACGACAGTGTGAAACAAACAAGCAAACGACGAAAAAACAAAAGACAACTGGAAAATCGATGGAGTTCAAAAGGGGTGAATTGAAAAGAAGAGTGTGCCCGAGTGCAGAGAAGAAGAGGAGAAGAAGACAGACAGATGGTTAATTGGCACGGTTTTAAGTCACCGCGTTCCCCTTCGTTGTTCCTCCCCTCCTCCATTCCACAAGTCTTCAAAGTAAACAGGTGCTAATCGCTTCTGTGCAGGTGTGAATCGTTGAAGAGCACAGAGCGACCGCTCACATTCAGGAGAGAATGCTTCGGGTGTGTACGACAGCTGGAAGGAGTGTCCTTGCCGGGCACACCTACCTCCCACGATTGAAGTCGAGAATCAACGAACGCTATTATACAAAGAGACGAACTACAGCATACCCGAGTGTACTACGTACGTTGTACCGAGCGTGGCCGAGCAGTCGCTTCAGATGCGCAACGTGGAAGACTTTGCTAGAGCGCATATACTGCTCCTACCTATCAAAATGATACAGCCTAGACGAAAACCAGTCAACACCAGAGTAATCCATCAGTTTGCAGCCAGGCAGACAGCTCCAGCGTTGACGGTGTACAGCAACGGGGGCGCCGAGTCTTGGGATACAAAGGGTCTTGCCTGAGGTTGTATTATTTCTCTATGTAGCATAATCTTCCACGCCGCATGTCCTTGGTCTCAGGCATTATCAAATTACACTACCAAGTATAATACAAACCCTCAATTGCCATCTATCAAACTATATGTACGAATACCTATCAGCACCATGTAAAAGGGCAATCGTCCACACTCGCGTACTCCACTCGACTCTACAAAGACAAAGTTCAAAAATAAATTGGATCACCCCAACAGAATTCATTCATACCAAATCCACGGATCTCTGTAAAAGATACGTGTAAAGCCCAAGAAAAGCAAGAGTACATAGGTCAGAAAGAGACGAAGAGAGGGGAAGAGGTTGGTAAAGTAGAGAGAGATTTTTCGTTTCCTTCATTACGCGTGATCCCATAAGTCCATTAACACGTAAGCCCATGACATCATTAGTATACTGTAACCATACTTGACCGTTCCCGTTTCCATGCCCATGCCGAGCTCATAAACTATACTATCTACATTAGTCTATTTACTCCACCGATTCATTTCAGTCTGATACATCCGTGAATAGAACCAACTGTGCGCGTAAGGGCTAAAAGATTTCACACGCTCCTCTCCTTCTCTCTAATATCCTTATCATCAGCATCCTGATCTGGATTCGTCATTTCGTACTCGAGGATCTTGATGAACTTGTAGAATAGCACGGCCACGCAGGCACCGATGGCTGGGCCGACCCCTGAATTCACCTCTCGTTAGCTAGGAATCTGTTTCGCGAAGAAGATGCACCGAGGTGTGAATCGTAGAATGGAGGCAGGTAGGGGCGAGTAATTGGAAGGGAGGAAAGGGAAGAGAGGGGACGTACAGTAGATCCAGTGTTCGCGATCAAAGACGCCTGTGACGACGCAAGGACCAAAGCTGCGGGCAGGGTTCAGGGAGCCACCGGTGTAGTATACGCCGACGAGTTCGGCGACGAAGAGGGAGAGGCCGATGCCAACTGGGGCTATGAAGGTTGCTGTTTGGAACATACTTGAGTAGGCCATATAATTTGAAGAGTGGGAGGAAAAGGAATCGACATACCTTTGTGTTTCTCCTTCGCCAGCATGAATATGGTGAAGACAAGTTCCGCAGTGAGCAACGCCTCAATGAAGATACCCCTCGCCAAACTTGTCTCTGCACTCAACGTCGTCCGTACGTTCAGCGGGGTGGGGAACATGACACTGACTAAGAAGCTCGCAAATATACTCCCAGCCAGCTGCGCTACAAGCAAGAGAAAGAACTTGGCGGGCGTCATGGCTCGGGTAAGTAACATGGCGAAGGTGACGGCGGGGTTGAATAGGCCACCGCTGATACGGAAGAAGATCCATACGTTGACCATGAGCGAGAAGCCGAAGACAAGAGCGATGTACTGAAGGACTTGTGGGGAGAAGCCGGTATCGGCACCCGTAGTGGTATTCGTGCTAGAAGATTCGGAGCGGATGTTTGCGACTTGGGTTCCAGAGAAGGCGAAAAACAGAAACATGGTTGTGCCGACGAACTCGCCAATAAAGGCCACGAAGTCTGCGCAAAAGTTAGACTCAGTGAGTGTGGAAGAGGTGTCAGAATAGACCAGACTCACGGTTCTTTGCTGTCGAGTTCATCCACATGGTCCAGGGCAGCCGCATAGGATTCTCAGGGATAGACATATTCCTCGGAGGGCCTCTTCCACCGCCACCGCCGTAGGCGGCGCCTCCAGACTGATACCGGCGGTCATCCTCACTTTCATATGCGTATTGATACCGAGGTTTTCCGATGGGATCCATATTCTCGTAATCCTCGTGGCTTTCTCTCCGGCTGTCGAGACTGCGTCGTTCCTGGTCCACGGAAATGCGGGCACGGGAACCGGGGGTCTGGCGATGCGAAACAGGGGGCCGTCTGTGTCGCCTCTCAGGGCGTCGATACGTACGCGGAGAGTCATCTTCCTCAGATAAGTACTCCTCGACGTACGGCATGCGGTGAGACAAGGGGGTTGAGCGATACTCTGTGCTTTGTCGACCGTTGCGGTAATCAATGTCGCCCCGATTATCCACAGGAAAAGATACCCATCGGCTGGTATCCTCCACTTTGGAAGACGCACGTCTCCGGCTGGGCGTGGCTGGGGTGACGGTCATCACACTGCCAGGTGCCACTGGACTCACCGGTGACGCGGGGTGTGTGTATGCGGGATGGGGCTGGATGGGAAGGCGGAGTAGAGCATCTTGACTGTCATTGACTGTCGGTTTGGCTGGAGGGCTTTCTACTACAGTCCCATCTGCCATGGTCTCGCCATAGAATTGCGGCAATGAGCCAATGTTAGTCGGCGGGTGTGCCATGTGAGTTGAGGACATAGGGTTAGCGTCTTGCGACAAATAGATGGTTATGCGTCGTCTGTAGAGCTTATGGAAGAGGGTTGAGAGGTGAGGATACGTTTTTGGCAAGGTGAATGTTGATCTTGTGTAAAGAAGAAGGAGAGATCGATGGAGAGTAGAGAGATGGACAGTTGTGAAACGAGAGCGCGACTTGTATTATTATAGATAGTCAGGGGCAGCCATTCATGGCTCGAGACTCATGAGCGATTCCCCGTCGTTGTGCACCTCCAAGAGATTATCCAAGCATCCTGCACTATCGATTCGTTGATCAGGGCAACAGGTTCGTGGCAGATCTGGGATGTCGAGATCGATCTCGTGGGGGGAAAGATAGAATGACGTTGAGGTGAGTCCAGAATGTCCAAATGTCAAAGGGTTTTATCAATCCTCGCATGGGTAAGCCTGGGGAGTGTTCATGCAGTGGCTTAAATCTCGTAAAAAGCAGAGGAGCAACAGCGGGCTTGGCACGGGTCCCTATGGCAATTTGTATGTTTGATTGATGGAAAGCTTGAAAGTAGTGACCGGGTATGCATGGTAGAGCCATGTCATGGTAATACGAAAAGATGGTTGCTGTAGAAGATGGGTCCGAGAGGTCGGCCGAGAACTCGTGGGTGATGGCGTAGGGGTGCCACGCGAATGGAACATCCTTGTATCAAGATCGTGGGTCACCCTTCGCGCGATGGAATAAGCAAATCAAAGCGACGTCGCGCCTTTCGGCAGAATTCCTGAAACAGCGCGCATACAGCGAAACGCGCTTCCTTTGGCTGGTGCTGAAATGATGTTGATGTCATAGGAGCCGTTGGGCGAAGTGATTACGGCGCTGTTGGAATTGATGCCCAAGATGTCGGTCTGTCTTCAAACAATATGAACTCCAGAATGGCCGCGCAGAGAAGCAATGCCCTAGCTCTTACATTGCGTACTATAGATTTGCTGCATTATGGGGGTGCTCGGATCCGTACGGCAACAGACGCCGTGGGTCGTTCACTGGGAAGGAGAGGGCGCGCGTATCTTGGAATTCCAAGCATCTGTACGGTAAGCGAGCATGCATTCGTGAGCTGTCAGCGAGAACAGTCTTTTTTAAGTCCAAAAAAAGTCCAATTTTCTTTTTCTCATGCAGGCAATGATTCCTTTTTCACTGCCGGGTACGTGTCTACGGCCTTTTGAGATGGAAAACAGCAGCCCATGCCCTCGTATCCTGTAAACTTGGCTGTATGCCTGTCAGTTAGGAAGCGGTAAGTATGGATTACGACGATGGATGACAGCGAAGTTGCTGGTCACGAGGTGAGCCCTGATGGTGCGGTTGCCGCAGTGATTGGCAGCAGATCACGGTTCGATAATCATGAAGGGTGAAGAGTCAGCAGGGGATTGCCAACCGATATCAGGAAGAAATATGCACACGAATAACACTGAAGCGATGTTGATGTAGATGAAGGTGGTGGTGGCATTGATGATGATGGTGATGATGGAGGAAAGGGATGGTGTTGAGTGTCTGCGCACGGGCCGGAAATAACCGGAAAAATCTCAACACCATTGCCGACCACAGCTCTCGAGCAATCTCAACCTCGACGACCGACCTCAATTCCATCGACAACCCCCCCACCCCCTCCTTCATCCCCTCTCTCCCTTCACAATGTCTGCCGTTGCATCTCGCGCCGTGCTGCGGCAATCGAGGGCCGCCGCCCGCCGCACCGGCTTCCGCAATGCCTCGTCCACCGCCGAAGTCGCCAAGGAGAAGGCTGCTGAGGTGTCGTCCAAGGCCGGCGAAGGTCTATCGCGCGTCTCATCCAGCGCTGGCGAGGCTGCCAGCAAGGTCTCGTCTTCGACGGCAAACGCTGCCGGCCAGGCCAAGGCCACGTCGAGCGGTATCGTGGGCCGCGTACAGTGTGAGTCGCCTGATCACCATCACTATCACAGATATCGTAGATATGCTTCCAATGGCACGCATATCTCTCACCATCAACTCAATGCATCTCCAGTATAACTAATGCTTCTCCCAGCGTTGATCCCACGCGTCTCCTATTACTCGAGAGTCGCTCTCGAGCTCGGCAAGCTCGTCGTCAACCAGCGCGCCATGGCTCCTCCGTAAGAAACTCCTTGTACAAGCACCCATCAACAAGACCAGCAGTCTGACAGCATTACTAGCAACGTCGCCACGTTCCAAAGCTACTTCCAGCCCATCATCAACGCCGCCCGTAACCCCTCCAACATCCTCAACCAGATCAACCAGACCGCCAACTCGAGCGCCGCACAGCCCGTCAACATCCTCAACCGAGTGCGAAACATGTCCACCACCCAGTGGATGTCTGCTGGTGTCGTCGCCGCCGAGGTCATTGGTTTCTACACTGTTGGCGAAGCCATTGGCCGCCGCAAGCTGGTTGGATACCGCGCCAACACCCCCCACCACTAGATTCGCTTGACAGATAATTGTTTTCAGCGCGCAATCAAAAGCAATTCAGGGTGAACGACGGCGATGCATGTGAGAAGTGGAACCGGTATTCGGATGATGGTGGAGCTACCAACGCAGCGTTGTATTGGCTACGTGAGACGCGAGGGTGGAAGGGGAGCGCATAGGCTGTTGGGCACGTGATGCGCAAACAATGGCCCGCTGTACTGTACTATTGCACATACTCTGACCTAGATTTCTTTTATTTTTGTCTCTGTGAAAATACCAATGGACAATTCTTCATCCATACCTACATCTGCTAGAGCTTCAAATGTTCCCTCATGTTGCTGCCCGCGGTGATCGGCGGGCTAGTTTTGCCGAGCCCCGATGCCCGTGAACTTTTTCTTTCCTCGCCTCCAACATGAACGTTTTTTTATTTCTGTCACAGTTTTGATGAACAATCCTCCACCATGAATACCTAACAAATCTTCTCCCTTTACTATTTCCTGCCGAAAAGATGATGAACGTGTTCAAACTCCTCTCCCGCACAGCGAAAGCGCCGCAAAGCGCCTCGGCGCAAAATCTACCCTCCGCAGGCGCCGCCGCCAACCCTCAGCTCTTCGGTCACGATGAACTCGCACCCGTCGCTGCCCCAGAGGAAACAAAGAAGAGCAAGAAACGGAAGAGGGGGAATGCTCCTGTCGAGTCTTCTTCAGACTTGCCCGCCGATCTAGACTTTTTCGGCGACAAACCCAAGGCAGATGCAGAGGATGACGCGGTCACTGCCGCCAAAAAGAGTCGGGTAGAGGGCAAGACCAATGGCATGTCCTCTGCACACGAAGAAAATGCATTCTCTGAGGCCTACAACGAAGACGAGAGCAAGCGCATGCTGAGATCACACAAATTGAAGGTCACGGTGCTGGAGGATTTTGCGCCCAAAGTGGAGGAGCCGGAGAAAAAGAAAAAGAAGAAAAAGAAGAGCAAGGCCAAAGAAGAGGAGAAGAAGAAAGAGGCCAAGAAACAGTTATACCCGCAGCCTTTGTCGTTCTTTGGTCAATTGCGACCACGTTTCAGCATTTCGAGGAGATTGGCAGACAACCTCAAAGAGCAGGGTTATACGGTGCCTACGGAAGTGCAACTTGGAGCTCTGCCTTTACTTTTAGGAAAGGATGGTGTCCAGGAAGCTTCGGGCTCAGGCGCAGAGTATGGGGGTGATATCGACCTCCTTACGGTAGCACCCACCGGCAGTGGCAAGACGATCGCGTTCCTGGTGCCTATCATCAACGCTCTACTTTCCGAAAAACCCAGTGACGAGCAGGGCTCTCGGGCGGTCGTAATTGCACCAACCCGAGAATTGGCGTCGCAAATCGTCAACGAAGCACGCAAACTATCCCAGGGCACCGGCATCAAGGCGGCACTCATGAAAAAGGGTATGGAAGTCGTTGAAAGACCACAAGCTGCTGAACAGCAAAACGAGGCTGCATCCCCTGCAGCTTCGGACAACGAAGATGATGAAGAAGATGACGATGTATCGGATTCGGACGCGCAGGAGGAAACTACCTCAAAGCAAAAGAAAGCCCCCCGGAGACGAGCAGAAAAGGTCAAGGCGGCCATCCTCGTCGCAACGCCAATGGCTCTCCTCAACGCTCTAAAATGCCCAGACGGAACCGTCGCCGAATTCCCATCCATCCGCCATCTCGTGCTCGACGAAGCCGATGTTCTCCTCGACCCGCTCTTCCGCGACCAAACCCTTGCCGTCTGGAATGCGTGCACCAACCCACTCCTCCGCGTGGGACTCTGGTCCGCAACCATGGGCTCAAACATTGAAGCCCTTGCTATCTCCACCCTCAACAACCGCTGGGCCTCACTCTCTTCGTCGACCTCGGACTCTCTTCCAGCTCGTCCGCCCCTCATACGCCTTGTAGTCGGCCTCAAAGACTCCGCCATCCCCAACATCTCCCACCAACTAACTTACGCTGCAACCGAACAAGGCAAACTTCTCGGTCTCCGCCAACTCCTCCACCCGACCCACATCTCCACCACTTCATCTTCTTCCCCCACCCTTCGTCCCCCCTTCCTAGTCTTCACCCAAACTATCCCCCGCGCCATCGCTCTTCACTCCGAACTCCTCTACGACATTCCTCCCGAAGCAGGCGGCAGCTCGCGCATCGCTGTTCTGCACGCCGATCTCTCCGCTTCTGCCCGCGACATGGTCATGACGCGTTTCCGCCGCGGCGAAATTTGGGTCCTTATCACGACCGACCTTCTCGCGCGCGGCGTCGACTTCCGCGGCCTCAACGGCGTCGTCAACTACGATGTCCCCAACTCCGCAGCCGCGTACGTCCACCGCGTTGGTCGCACGGGTCGGGCGGGTCGCAAAGGCGGAGTTGCTGTGACTTTCTACACGCAGGAAGATATACCCTACGTCAAGCTCATCGCGAATGTGATCCGCAAAGCAGAGGCATTGAGAGGAGAAGAGGGTGAAGTAGTGGTTAAGCAGTGGCTGCTTGACGCTCTCCCTGCGCCGTCGAAGCGAGACAAGCAGCAGCTCAAGAAGTACGGTGTCGAAGCTAGACGCACAAAACGCACCGGAGATGCCGAGCACGATCACGATAATGACGATAAAAAGGGCAAAGGCAAAGATGCGAGGGAGAAGGCGCGTGCGAGGATTAGTACGAAGAGTGGGTATGTTAGGAAAGTGGAGAATAACCGGAAAGCTGCTGTGGAAGCGAGTCGGCGGCGGAACCGTGATCTTGGGACGGGTAAACAACATGGCAGCGGAGGTGGCGGTGGTGAGGGAGGAGGAGAGGGCAGCGAGTTTGAGGGGTTCGATTAGTACGATGTCTAGCTTCAAATCTTTATGAATCAAAAGCAGGGGTTCTTGAAGCGCGACACGGAAAAGTATTTATCTGGAAAAAGCGAAGAGAGATGCGTAGATGATATATCTACATGGAATTTGCAAATCAATGATGCAGTTCTGTATACACATGCCCAACTCTACTCTCCCCATAATACCTGCCTTCAGTCACCCACAACCATCCCTATCACTTCCCACCCTCCCCTCTCTCTGCATCACGCAAGCCCCGTCTCCAAAACATACCGCCCCCCAAACCACACCTCCCACACCCCCACATAAACTAAGCGCATCCCCACCATTACACACAAAAAAATGCAGCCCCATAACCTCCCAAACCGGCATCCCCTCCGCCTTCTCCAACTTCTCCATCGCCCCTAAACTAACAAACGCCACGACCCCAAAACTCATCATCACCCCGAAAAACGGTCGTTTTTCAACCCCTTTATTTCTTTTAAGTAAGAGTTAAGGTGTTGGAGCCATGTAGCGACGGTTTGTAGGGCGAGCATGAATGCGAGCGCTAGCGACCAGTGCTGTTTGACGAGTTGGTAGATGCATGGGATCAGTAGGAGGATGAGGAGCGATAGGTAGAGTGGTGGCGTTGTGAAGGTGTGCTTTAGGCGGTTGGTAAGACTTCTAGTTTGTCGGGGGGATGGCTGGGAGGTTGGGAGGAGAGGGGTTGGTGTTTGGACGGTCGAGGTAGCCATTTTGTTTTTTTTGCGTTCGTATGGGTGTCGTGGGAGGAGATGTTGAGGTTGGTTGGGTGGGTGGGTGGGTAGGTGAGGTTTTTGAAGGATTGGGGAGGGGATGTTGCCATCTTTTATATCTGTATGTCTTGATTTTGGGAGGTTCCATTGTGAGACTTGTTCTTTTCTGATTATTGTACGTGCTAGGATGATTTGAACGTGTGTATCAAAGAAAGGGATATTCATGGACAAGATCTGGGATATATTAGCTATAGGAGCACGGTGATTCGCTGAGGGCTGAGCAGTGCATCTACAGATTTATAAGATTGGGTGATAGATCATCGATTGGATTATCAATGAGTGATGAAGTATCTCACAAGTGGACGGGTCAATCAGTCTCTCTTAGTTGCGACCTGATATTTGAAATCTCTGGTAGCTGATTGGTGTGTGAAGCATCAAGCATCAGGTACCCAACCTTTTAATATCGGTATAACTCGATCCTGGGGATTCTATCGTATGACTGGTTCTTTTCTGCTTACTTTACGTGCCAGCGTGATTCGAACGTGTATATATATATATATAAAAAAAGGGGGGGGGATGTAGGTGGACAGAATTTGGTACACGTTAGCTATGGGGGAGCACGCGGTGATTTGCTGGGGACTAGGCAGGCAGCGCAGAATTACCGCACCGACTGTTACCCCGACCGATAACCACCAAAGGCGCGCAACTTTGTCGTTCAGTTCATAAGCCTCCTGTAGCATTCCCAGCAGTCTCGCCGTCATTTGGATTTGCATCCGATTCTTAACCATACTGTTGTTGACCTGCTAGGCTATTTCGCCAATTGCTGATAACGGCCTTGATATCTTCCAGTTTTGCCGGCTTAGAAATGTAATCATCAACGCCCGCTTCGAATGCCTTTTTGCGATCGCTGAGGCTGACAAGGCCAGTGAGTGCACATATGTACATGCGTGATATTGGCTCCAAGCATGCCTCGAGCTCACGGATCTTCCTTGCGACGTCGAAGCCGGATATCTCCGGCATTGACAGGTCCAAAAAAACTAGATCGTATTTCGGCAGCTCATCAGACTCGCTAGCCAGAGCCTCATTGATTGCGTCTATGGCTTCCTGACCACTACCGGCAGATTTTGAGGGTATCGTGCTACACTTGCGTGCAAACATGACAAGCACTTTGAGGTTGATGGAGTTATCGTCAACAAGTAGTAGCTTTGGCTCTTTCAATTTTGTGGCATTAGATTCAGAGTTCTTTTCTAAAATCGACGCTGATGGTTGAGCCTGGTTGCTGCTTGTTCTGATACCTGTCTGCAGGGTCTTGGGGGCTGCAGATAATACTTCATGGGGCGATTGTAAAACTGTGGGGTTTGGAGAAATACTTTGCTGAGCGGGGCCACTTGAAATATCGTCTGGATCTTCCCGCACGAGTTTCAAGTCGCTTAGCATTCCGGGCAGCAAGTGATTGTCTTGGACTCCAGTCGACAGTGTCATGATGTCTTCAACTTTGGTCAACTTCCGCCCGTCTCCTTGGGTTTTTGCTACTTGGTCAAAAGAAGGATGGGACTTCGAAGGCAGAAGTATTCCAGGAAACAAGCGCGTTAGCGCATCCTCGAGGCTCGAAGTAGTCACTGGACCGACAATGATTGTAGCATTCTGCAATGGTATCTTCTGCAAGCTCGGAATTTTCTCCATGTCCGGGCAAAGCACAACGATGTTAATATGGTAGACTTCGTCTCCTAAAACCTGTAAGGCATGATGTAGATCCTCGAGTAAGATGAAAAGTAAGCGAGGCAGTGGGCTCGGAGGTCTCCAAATGGTGCTCTTGGTCTGGAACCATCGGCTTACACCTCGCATGAGCGAGTCTAGCGCCAACTGAGCGCACCGGCGACCTCGCTGATCGTTTCCTACTTCCCACCTTCTCGGCATGAATAAACTCATCTCCAGCTGGGGCAACTCGAGCACTGCGGGTTGCGGTTCAACAGTCTCGGGATCTGCGGTCTTTTGCGGTGGATGGAATGCTATCTGGTCCGAAGGAAACGTCACAGCGAAGGTGGAGCCCCTCGATTCGTCCGAGTCAATCGCCATGCGCCCGCCAAGCTGAGCAACAGCATGCTTAGCATTAGCAAGCCCAAGACCGGTCCCTTCGCTTAGGGGATCTTCTTGCGAAAACGGATCAAGGATGACATGACGAATGAAGTCCGGAGCTACCCCTTTGCCAGTGTCACTGAACGATAGTCTAGTCAAATTTTGATTGATGTTCAAGTAGACACATACGCAGCCAGTCGGATCACCAAACTTCAAAGCATTGTCCTAGTACATTTTCAGCGTGTAAGGGGTCTGAATCAATTCGGTTCGCGACATACCAGCAGATTCGTATACAAGGTTTTGAAATTGACTGTATCAGTGAGGCAGTAAGACCAAGTGGCATTAGTGTCGAAGAATATAACAGGGTATGGAGCGACGCTGAGAGGCTCTTCAAGTACAAGAGCAGGGGAGCTATGTATGGTACCAGCACTCTTACTAGTATTAAAGAGCTCGGGCCTTACGGACCGTTTCAAGTGAAGTCTTTCAACCGCATGTCGAAGATATGATTCGCAAACATGAATAACTCCTGAAAGCTCGTCCTTGGGATAAGGAGCTGCCGTTTGTTGGGATAGGAAGCGCGACTTTTGTTCAAGCCGTTCACTCAATTGTTTGACCGGACGTTCGCTTGACAGCTGCGTTTCGGAACTAACTCCGCTAAAGTAAAGAACACGGTCAATGGTGTCGAGTAACGACGAACCACTGTACTGTGCTATCTGGAGTAAATCGCGCTGGGACTCATCGCAAGGGGTATCGGCTAAGAGCTCAAGGCTTGACAAGATACCATGGAGTGGTGTCCGCATCTCGTGGGATATCGAACCGAGGAAGTCTGATTTGATCTGATCCATTGCGTGTACCTCGAAGCGTTGTACTTGTGTCATCATCGTTGTGCAGAACGCAGACAATGATGACAGATCATTCGTGCTGAGATGCACACCTGACCGACGATTGACAAAGCCCAAAACTACGCCAATGTTGCGTTCGTAATGGGCCTCCCACAGCGGCATCATGATCATTTGCTCGACATTTGGAAAGGTGTTTGACAACTCCACAAACAAGTCGTCGTTATCTTGGATAGCCGTACTTTGCCCGATTGTTGCAGTCGTGATCTCGCTTGACTCTGCTGCGATGTGGAAAACAACACCTTGCGGAAACAACTCCAAAAGCCGTCTCAACAGTGCTTCGGGAGGGTCGCCTGGATCTTGTGATTTTGACTCGAAGTGTTGGGCTATGACCTCAGAGTTGTTGTCCCGGCGTTCATCAGCGTCAACATTGCTTCGCGACACTCCCACTCGTTGAATTTTAACGCCACCCAATTCGAACACGTCGCAGAGGAGGGTCGCAGCCAGATGATAGAGGTATGAGGAGGAACCATCCCGATATAGATTCGGCGTTGAGTGCGGCCGTTCGCATTCGGAATCCAGGAAGGAAGTTTGAAAACTGCGGGAGTTGAGATTGCCAGAGCTCATATTCAACAAAGAAGCAACACCGCGATTAAACCGCAACGCCCTCTTTCCTTCCAAAGCTTCAACAGCTTGTTCGAGATGCGTCGTGATATGGTCGGCGGCCTCGGTCAGGTAGGAACGGATGCCAGCAGAGAGAGTGGCCACAGAGGGCTTTTCGCCAAAGATGAAGACTGTGCCTATGTTTGGACCACCATAGGGATTCAACGGAACACCGGCATAATGTCTGAACGTGGCGACGTCGCCTTTGACAAAAGGAAGATTCCGAGTTCTCTCATTGTGAGCCATGTCGAGCTCTTCGTAAAAGGCCATGTTTCCGGGGCAATTTTGCAGGGTGATGGTCCGTTCACAAAGGCCACCATGATGGATGACGGATTCGCACCCATACCATTGGGTCGACTCTACGGTTAGATGATGAGAAACAAAGTCTGGGTAGTCGTGAGGTTTAGCAAAAGCACTCACCCATGGAGATCTTCACATCTCGTACATTGTGGCGACTCGCTCCAGATACAAAGTATTGGGTATGATCATCAAGCAAGCTCACCATGGCCAAATCAACGTCCAGCTGGTATATGAGGCCGCGCAGCAAAGCAGCCAGTGCACCATTCGGCTTCGAGCTAGGGTAAATTGCATGGGCCGTCTCGTTCCCGCGCTCGTACTCGACCACCGAGGGTAAAACCTGACAGAAGCGTCTTACCTCCCAGATGCGTGCACGGCGGGCGCTGGAGCTCAGCTGCTCCCCAGCAAGCTCCTGCGGCGCCATAGCCCGTAGTAGTAGGTAGGACGTGGTGATGTAGTCGCAGGTGGCGAGACGAGGTCAAGAACACCTTACCGTACTAGACTGTACTTTGCCTAGCTTGCACGCTCAATACCTCGGCTGATTGGTGTGTAGAGCATCAAACACCACATGGAACCCAACCAGTACTAGCCACACACTATCCATCATAAAGCACGGCTAGCAAGTTACATAACGTACGTTAGCAGAAGAAAAAAAAATTGAACGTTGTTGCTGATAGCAGGGGTTCGCTAACGATTAGGGCCTTACGAACCCACCTGTGCGCCCTCACCCACTTCACTCATCCGTTTTCATTTCCTCACATTACATCACACGATGGGCATAATAGGAGCAAAAAACATACAACAGCAGGTATTCGCTAGTGGTCATCCACCTAACTAATAATCCGCTGGTATCATGCTTAAGTACAGCTGAGCGGACGGGAAGCTCTGTTATCTCCTCTTCACATTACCATTTACTTATGTACTTCAATGGGGAACCGTATTCGAACAGACTACGCCTTTTTATTTCCTATTATTGAAAGGGTATTATTATCACGTGCATAATATAGAACTCGGTATGCGGCTGCTTTAGCTTTGGTTGGTGATGAAAAATGTCATCATTATACAGCTTTTCAGTCCTGGGAAAGAATGTAGAGCTAATAGCATTGCTCAGACTCTCCTATCAGCTTGTCTATCCGTTTTCCTCTAGCAAACTAGAAAATTTTGACAGTACAAACAAACCTTGCAAGGTCAGTAGACTCAAGTCTTGCACCTTCAACCACAGGGTAGCTAGATATATACTCCAACCTGGCGGCCAGTGTACCCAGCGGATTTTTGTCCTGTGTCATGAAAGTACCCATTCGGGTATAAGAAATTTCATCCGCTGGAAAACGTTGTTGTCTTAATATCAATCCGGTGAACCATGTCTCATCACCCCAATCATCGTACTTGACAAGCATGCAAAGGAGATGAGAATGTCGTTCTGAAAGAAGAGAAGCCCGTCTTTCTATATCGACATCTGACTTAGATATATTCTCATCCCAAGTAATGCTCACGCAAATGTCTATTGTCGTACCATCATTTTCAAGATCAGTGCATTGAAGTATCCAGCAATCGTCTTCAACACGATTCTCTTGAAACTGTAAAGACTTGGGTCTAGCCCATACAGCAATCCCTCGAAGAACCATGCCAGATGGAGTGAAACTGTGCAATTTGGACTCGTGTGTTGAGTGGATGGTTACATCCACAACTTCGATCAAAGACGTGGGATGATCTTCGTCAAGATAGTACCATTGATCACTTCTGACTGGCCCATCCATGCTTGCCCACGACCAGGTGGGCGCTTCATAAGGTTTTATCCTACGCCGATCATCTTTTCTTCGTACGTCGTCATCCGTGACCCAGCATAGCTGACTTTCAATGTCCTTTCTCCAGAGTCCTGCGAGATACGTGTCTTCTTCCATGAGACTCATCTGTCTGGCCAAGCCAGCCAGAGCAATCATCTTATCTGAAATTTTCGAGAATTTGCAATTAGAGTAGAAGTCTACCAGACCTGCCCAGGCAGCGCGGCGTTGGAATGTATTTGCATGGTCCAGGGTTGGTTTTCCGACGGGGGGTGCTGCTTGGTTGTAAGGAGACAAGTCCATCAAAGCTTCTGGTATGCCGTTGGGGTATTGTTCAGAAGCGGTGAGCTCTCGACATTCCCAGTATATTTGGCTTTTCGCGAAACTCAGTTGGCGTCTTGCTAGGTACCGTTCCTGGGTAACCCATCCTCGGGTGTTTAATGGGGCTTCCATAAGATCCTTATAGTAAAGCAGATAGCTGTCAACGTAGTATTCCCATGTCTGTCCGAGCGGAAAATTTAATAATATAGTCCTGGTTTCCTTCGTTGCAAAGCAGCCGCCATCGCCATCTGGTGCCCATGTTGCAGCAATGTTACAGGAGGCGCCTTCATAGATTGATCCCATCATCGACGCTTGAGTCAACCAATCGTCTAGGTCGTTCTGGATGATACATAAAGAATCGATCCAAATAAAATGGAATCCGAGCTTAAATGCGATATGGAAGGCATGTTGGAAAGTTTTTGGCAATGCAGAAGAACTAGTAGGCTCCATCCGAGCATAAATATTTTCTTTTTCTAGCCTTGCGTGTTGGGATGCGCCCCAACAATGACTCAAAGTGAGATACAAGATATTCTCAAGACCAGCAGTAAGAACAAGCTTCCACTCGAATGAAATGCCACCATCGTTGGTAGATATTTCAAGCAGCCTGTCAGGCACCATTTGTTTGGATTCATGGTCCAATGCGCGACATTTGTGATGAGACTGTGAGCAGATACGAAGCCAATGTTTCCACATCCAGGGCTTTCTGATTGCGAATGTATCGTCGTCGATAATCTCCTCCCCTAGATATGATGGGCGTCTTTCTGTATAGCGAGGCTTTCGCGTAAGAATGAAGTCCGAAGAACGGCGGGGACTAGTTTTCGTCATTGGGAGCCGAAATATTGTCAAGGATAGCAGCATGTAATTGTTTTTGACTGATATTCCAAGTTTAACCAGACTGTTCTGCCACCTGACCAGGGTCTCGGGGTCCATGGATAATTGCTTGGCCGGGGTGGAATCGTCATCTTCTCGCCAGAACAGCGAGGTCCATAATTGCCGACAGATCCAACATTGGGTCACGACCGACTGGTGCAATTCGGCCAGTGATTTATGGAGTGTCTTCGAAGATTTTGTACCAGGACGAGTAAGATGCAGATCCTCTATGACAGCGCGTGTAGTTGTGAGGCAACTTTGACAAAACATTTTAAGCCAAGTCGGCGACTTTGACCATGGGCAGCTCAAGATCCCTCTTGTGGGCAAGTTAAGAAATTGGGCAAAAACTAAGAAAGAGGGGACACGCTGAGATGCGTGCTTATTTATAATACCGTGCTGTGGTGCTGCGCCGCATCGTATCGCTTTCAATTATTGTTTCTTGGGCAGATCGCTTCGTGATTGGTGAGCCTTGCAGCACATTGAGCCGGCAATATTTTCTGCCGATTCGGCCAGCGTACGATACCCCGCAGTATGGTATCAGTATCCTAACCGCTCTAGTTGATCATCCTAGTGTTGAGACTCGTATTAGTACAGGAGAAAGGCTTAACTCGTGCAAGAGTCATCGTTAAGAAGGTTCGTATTGTAGGCAGCAACCTAAATTTGTTGGCAGTGGCAGTGAATTCTTCCCTAGTGCTGTGCATAGACACACATCTCTGGTAACGCGTTAAGATTTGATAGAAGACTTACATACCGAAGGGAATGTAGTCATATATGAAAGTGCCGGTACAAGAACTGCAAGTATATCGCAGTTGCATCAATCTTCGATGTAACAGGACCTTGACTTGAAACAGTATCCTGCTATCGCAATACTGTAAAATGTATGGAGGATTGGAGCGAATTGTGTGTAGGTTTCTTACCGTGTAACGCTGCTTTAGCAAATCCAGCAGTTAGGGGATGTGCGCAGTGTTACAAAACCGTAAGCAGGACTGCGCAACACATATTACTGTATAATTAGCAACAACTCCCTGAAAACGGCACTGCACCAAATGGCTGATCGAAGAAGAAAATCTGTTTTCATGATCCTATGGTCGTATGTAATAGAGACTGCATTTTATAGCATTTATGACGTCTGATAGCACTTGAGATGAAAGCAGCTGCTGCCGAATATGTCACAGAATCTGCACTCCCTAGTAGTTCAGCCCCTTTGTAGAAGTGACGACCAAGACGGGTATCATGGAGTTATATAGCGTACTAGAAAAACATAAAGCGTTGTATTGCAATTGTAGTTGCAACAATTGAAGGAGTGTCAACGCTCCCTTGTTGCCAAAAAGCACATTCCCATTGCTGGAGGCCCTCCCATCCAACTCACATCCTGGCGATCCCATCCCAACTCCTCGATATCTACTGTTCTAGTTTCTATCTTCCACACTGTGTTGGTGTGTTTTCCAATGTCCCACCAGAGCACCAGCATGGATATATCATCGTGCACCATACTTCTCGTGCCGGACTCGTCCCAATACCCTTCTTTTGCATTGGTTGTAGTCGCACCTCGAGAATAACCTATAACCTGTGTCCCTATTTTGCTCAAGGCAACAGCCGTGTTCAGAACTTCCTTTTGATCTGGAAAATGGAACAAATCAAGAAACATTGCCATGAGTATGACATCAACTTTACCACTCAGCTGGTATAGTCGTTCGGGTTTGTGTCGTAGCGAGTTACCAAATAGGTGGCTTCTAGCGTCCGCGTGAATGAATTCTGCTGGTGGAGAACCGGCGTCACCAAAGAAACTCAAGCCCAAGTTCCATATTTCTCGAGTGACATCAAGGGCATATAATTGGGAGGGCTTCACTCCGTTGATCGCCGCCACCCTTCTGATTTCTTGTCCTATACTGATGCGAGATCAGTCGGATTTTGATTCCAGCCACTATTGGAGTTGGACGCTTACCCACAACCCATATCCAAGACCACCTCACCCTTTTGAGCTCTTGTCTGCACCACTTCTTCCCACCACCCTGTCAAGCCGGAAATTCCCGGTAAAACAAACCACCAAAGCCCATAACACGGATAAGCATCAACTGCCCACATTTTCTCTCTCAATTCGTACAGAGCGGGCAAGAGATGCTTCTCTTCAAGTGCAGTAGCTTCGATGAAAAAGTCGAGATCTTGGGTGAGCTTACGACCGATAGTTGGAGTGTACCATGCCACATCTATACGGACTGCTCTAGGAAAGTAATGATCGAGAAAACGAGTTAAAAAAGACGCGCGGCGGATATGCGAATTGTCTATGCGTTTGGGGCCATAAGTTGGGCGAGGCGAGGGGTGAACGCTGGCGTGAAGACGTGCTAATGCCGATGCCTGGCGCGATCGGTTTCTGGTGTTGGACATCCTTCTATTCAGCAGAACTGATGCGTATAGCTTGAGCGCATGAACGTGCTTTACTGATAATAATGCGGTCGCACTGAAGCAGTTGAATTGGGTGAGCGTCTGCCTAGTTCCGTGCATTCGCCTGTGCATCATTGACCCCCGGCCATACGCCGCACTGTTCTTAGTCATCTGAGGCTAATATCAGCTTTCATGCTTCTGCTTATGTCGGGTGTCTAACGGCTGATGCACAATTACTGGACAGAATTACACTTTATTTGACCGAGAACTAGGGTGTGGTAACCCTGGGGCTCGAGCGCTTTGGGACAAAAATCGGAATTTCGATCTGTACAGATTGGTGGTACTGTGTATATGCATTCGAGAATTGAATCGAGATTACCCCAGTCGTCATAACGGCTCGATAGCTTTGCCCTACAAACTCGAACTACCGAGTACCCTTGCTTAGTACATGCAGCGTCCCGTTTGAACTTTTGTCGCTATCCCTCCAGCCTTCATGCCCTTCTCTACCAGGTCGAAAAGGGTCAAGTCGGCACCTAAAACATAAAATGTCAGCGAGTAGCCACCAAGTACAAAATCGTAGTCATACCAGGAGCCCCGATAACTGAAACTGCTATTGGCAAATGCTCTTCTTTTTGGGTAACAGTAGAAAGGTATGGAATATCACCAACTACAGCAGCTTATCAGTCAGGTAAGCAATGGATAGATACGAGGACCTTTACCCGGTGCGGTGACTTCAGGCGCCCGCATCATTGGAGACATATTCAACGCTGCATAGCCACTTAATAGCCCGTTTGGTCTACCCTTTATGTCAAAATCTCATAATCGAAGCTCGTGTCTAGAAGGACGTACGGAAGGTCGGCGTCTCGATAGTTGGGCTCTCCAGCTTCAATGGGTAGGACCATGATGGTGATGCAGTCTTCAGACTTATGCTTGAAGACCCTTTCGAGGAGCCAGTGCCGGTATACTTCCGAGCGACGCCAGCATTCATCGCGTTCATCCTGCGAGATGCTCTTCCCAATATCCCTTGGGCGAGCAAATCAGTGCTTTTTCTCCGTTTATAACAGTAGTCATCTCGCTTACCATTGCCAGTGTAGTGCGCGATGAACGAACGGGAGCTTCCCGAACTTATGTTCATATTCTTCCCTGAAAGAAGCGAGGTTGTGATACTGATCGTGGTAGAAAGGATAGATTCCGGCCCACGAAGGTTAGTAATCGCCACAAAGAGCTTTCTGGTCCCAAACAAACCGTTTCAAGGTACTCCGCAATATATTATGCTTAGTTCCATCAGGAAAATCCTTCTCCCATTGTTCCGCCAGCGATATAGGCGTTCTTTTGACGTGACAGGCTGCCTCTAGACCTGAGATGAATAAATCGATCAAACGAGTCTGAGCGTCGTTCGATGTTAGAAGGTAATCTAAAGGGTAGAGGACCTCGACAGGTAGCTGGTTAAGGATGAGAATTATTACAGAGTGTTTGAGACAGTTGGACGGACCTTGGAGGGAGCGTGAAGCGATGGAGAGTCTCCGTACCACACCGATATGAACTCTGAGAACCTGGAGATGTCTCTTCCATAGAAGACCGGCATGTCGAATGGCCTGCATTCCGAGCCGATGGGTCAGTAAAGGCGGCATAGCTTTAAAGAAAAGCTTACGGAAAATAGCCCACTACTCCTTCTGTATTCATGATGCCTGTGGATGGACGGATTGAGAAGCATCCATTGTACGAAGCAGGTTTCCGACCACTCCCGTTGGCTAGTATCGTATTGTTAGCTACCTTGGGTTTCAGAAGTAAGTGGAACGTACTATCGGATCCAATGGAGAAGTCGAGCCATTCATATGAAGCGATCCCCGCTGCGCTTCCATGGCTACTTCCTGAAGGGACCTGATATCCGTCGGTGCGAGGGTTGAAGGGGGCTGAAAACTCGACGCATTCCAGAGGTTCCTCTCTCATAATCATTGCTTGCAGCTTGACTTTACCAACAATCACAGCGCCAGCGTCCACAAGCACTTGAATGCAGGCTGCGGTCTTGGACTTGGGCGGATAAAGCTCAATCCATGATCTGTTGCAAAGAGTGGTCTTGTGGCCCGCAATGTCAATACTGTCTTTGACACTGACTCTAGCACCATCAAGGGGACGCAACTTTGATGGTTTGAAGTAGCATCGAGACGGCACAATGACTCGGCAGTCTGTGCCACCCATCGGAGTATCGATTGTACCTAGAGTATGGGGGTGCCAGTCTCTTCTAAGTTCTGCTCATGATAGAGAAAAGGAGGGCTACTCATCTTCCACCAACATCCAGAGATGGTTTGAAAGAGGTCATGAAGCACCCATTGGTATCGTTGTAGACCCTCCATGGCTGCCAAGTTCTGCCCCTGAAAGATACATATGGCCCAGCGGCGACCTTGGCTGTTGTATCGCCTTCAAGAAAGGTTTGGGTCTTTACATCCCACATAGCCAACTCTTCGGCGGCGTCAGGCTCCATCTGAACATCATCTTCCTTGCTTCCATAGAATATGATGTTATTATAGAAGCTGGAATGGAAGACATCGTCCCGCTCGAGTATGTTGGCTCGGAAGTCACGCAAAGCGGACGCGGAGATATTGTCACCAGGAATAACCGAATAAACAAGTGCCAAAGTCACAGCATCCTCTGCAAAGCCGACCCCTCGAATAAAATCCTGGAAGGGTTAGCACAACGTCCTAATCGCGAAAGTTGAAGAGCGCGAAATAACGGTCAAAGGGATAAGTGCTCTAGCGATGGGGAAACAACCTCTCGATTTGGGATCAAGAGGTATCGAACATCACCAATGGTGATTTCAACCTCGACCTCAATGTCCCTGGTGGTCTTTGGCGAATTCATGAATGAAGAAAAAAAGCTACAGTTTATTGAATTGGTGCCCATCTTGGGCTGGGTGCTTTGTGCATTTTGGTAACCACTTGCTAGCATAAGCATCACAGCCCAACGCCGCCCTACAAGCCTAACCCCGCAAAATTCACAGGATGGTCGTGCGGCCTAACACTTGAATCAATGTTACACAGCGTGTTACAAGTGATGTGCTATTTGGGGCGGCGGCAGACCCTTGAGCTTTTGTTAGCCTGCTGGTCGTCCATGCGCGTACTTTCGACTTTTTTTGGTTTACCGTAGTAGGCTGACTACTAGTGTAAGCAGTGTGTGAGGAGGTCTAGTATCCAGTGAATTTCTTTACATGCTGGGATTTTGAGATTGGAGCCGACACGGGCAAAAGAAACATTAGTGAGTCGCCCAGAAACGCAGGTCAATTTTCATGTATTTCTTGTCAGTACAATGCTCACTTAGTCCAAATAAATGGTACTGGCGGAAATTAAATGATAAGGTAAAGTCGTGACATTCACAGTTCCTATAGACATTGTTTCTGACCTATATACTGCTTAAGACTATTTCCGTTCCTGGATAGAAAGAGATTCATTCACTAGTATGAAAATCAAGAAAACTAGTATGAAAATCAAGAAACTGGTCAATTGCCCATCTACTGCTAGGTAAGCTGGGTCAAAGATTTGCGCGCAAAACACCCGAGATCCTGCAGCGTCCCGTGTCTGTGTACAGTATGTTGTTGCACAAATATGATCCATGTCCAGTGATTTGACCATTGGAAGTTATATACTGTCAAACCCTGGTTCGTCACAGCCATATGATGCTTGCCTTCCTGACCAAAATGGATTATGCAGTTTCTCTCGATCGGAATACAAGATTGACATTGGCCCATGTGAATGAAAAAATTCCGCAATAATGGCAGGCTTTGTGAATGACCGCTCCTGACATCACCAGGTGTTACTCAAGCATTGTTGAACAGCCACACCGTCCGTAATTGACCCCTACGACGAAATAAACTAACATCAAAGCAGTAGAGAAAGAGCAGTGTCTAGTTAAAGTTGTTGATGAACTTGATAATCTTCCTCCCTGTTCCGCTCCTTTGGAACGCATTATCATTATCCATAAATGCCAAGTTGAACCGATGGCGATTGTGCTTGTAGATATGAAAGAAAATCTCAATCGTACGCGTAAGCTTCTCTCGAGAATGAATATTTGTACCATTTTGGTCTGCGGAAAGCGCGCGTACGACACGCACCTCCAAGAACTCTTCCTCTGAGCCCTCCATCTTATCAAGTAGAACCTGCCACTGCAGAACTCCAGACTTCGGATCATTCATGAGATCACTGACGTTGCTGAACTCGAAATACTCCCCATCCCATTCAAAACTGAATCGATGGTCTCTACCCTGCAAACGAAGAACACGGAAATGCGTCTCGTTCAGACAGGGAATAGCTTTCCGAACGTTACCTGCGACGTGATGTAGAGAACCAACGTCGCCTGTGACATATCGTACGAGCGGATTGCGCAAGCGCATCAGGGAGGTTTGCGCGATGATCCCTTTCTCGCCGTCGCATAGCGGTTCAGGTGTGGCCTCCTGCTCTGTCGTTGAAGCGGGGAGAATTTCAATCCTCATCTGTCGGGTAACGTAGATGAAGTCCTCGTGCGATAGATTGGCCCAATTACTACTCAGCAGATGCGAGCAACTGAATGCATACGGACCTGCTTCTGCGCTGCCTAAAATGGAATAGATTTGGACTTTTGGAAAAACAAGGAGGATTTCTGATCGTTGGAATGGAGTCAGCCCTGACGACGTGTATATGATTTTATCAAGATGTAGACCGACGGATCTCTCTTTTGGGAGAGTGGCTACATAATAGACAACAGAAACGATTTGGCTTGCGTCGCCGGAAAGAACATTGGCGTGGTACTTTATAATTAGTTCCACTACATCTTTTGGTGCCAAGATGTGTCCGGCAGTGAGGACAGATGCCCCTGCAGATTCAAAAATCTCGGTCATGAGGTCTAGCGACCTGTAAAAGATCGATAATCAGTGTTCCGTTCTGCAAATAATCGAGCGTATATGTACGCGCCTACCTGTACAGTTTCCCACTAGCATGCGTTGTAACGACAAAGTCTGTGTCTCCTATCAAGCCAGCACGACGAATCAAGCTGCCAAAAAGCGACCTAGCGTGCCGGTTCTCATGCACATCAGTGGTGAAGAATAGAGGGGAAGATCCTGAGCCCCCACCGGTGTTGCTGATGTACGAACGGCGGCGGAAGTGGTTCTCGGGGCTGGTGTCGTGCACAAGTCGCCTGATTGATTTGTAACTTTGTGGAGTCAGCTTGATCATTCATGTTCATTTATGTTCTTGGTCTTACAGATCGCTCTTCCAGGTCAGTTGGTGTGCTTCCAGGTCTGGCGCTATCTCGTCGGCATGTTTCTGAGCCGCAAGAATTTTGTCGTCGCTGGGTGGATACTTGGTTGCTCGAGTATAGAAAGGATGAATACGAGCAACACACAGAACATCCTTCAGTGGAAATGGAGCGGTAGATGCCATGTTTTGATAAAATAAATAAATAAATGCCATGTTTCGAAACTCTGAGTTATGTCGCGACAGTCGCTCATTGATTGTCACTGCTGCGTACGGTATGATATGGAATGAAGAGAGTACATGAATTGTAGAAAACGTGTAGTCCTTTTAGACATATATGAATGAAAATCGGTGCTCCAGCTTTCCTGAGTTTGTTCGCATCAGCTTGCATTCGCATGTGGTGGATCCCGTGTTTGACCCGGTTATCGCGATGCCCAGATACTGAGTGTGCTACAACCATGATGGACCCTGATCACCGGGATCTTGTGACACCGGTATGTATGACCGACAAACAGTTAGTTGGTGAATAATTCGGAGTCCAAATTTCGTTGTGGGGTTGAGCTGTACCTCATACCAGTGGCGTATCTGTCTCTGAACTTTTCTTTGCCCCAATAGAGCAAGTAACTCCACGAAAAAAAAAAGAAAAAATAAAAACCATTCATTTGTCCCACGACATATGAAGCCTCGAATTTCCACGGTGCGATTGTGGCGCATTCATTACGTTAAAAGCTTACAACATTTTATCTATGGATGTCCTATGATGATCCGCCCCCGGTCCCACAAGTAATCAAGGGCGCAAAATGTACAGCAGCAGACACGAGAGTCTATTCATGTACCCTCGTTACCTAGCGGGACGGCATCCCACCTCACACGGCGCAGGTGGCGTTCCTGATCTTTAATCTGGTTTCTCGCGTGCAGCCACTTCCGATTATCGATAACTATTACTGAGCCTCTGGGCAGATCCTGAGCTGAGAGACGAAGAGACGAAGACGACTGAACCGTTGCGTCTTGCAACAACAGATCTAACTCTGCCAAAGCCTGGGACGCTCTCGTGGTCACAGCGCTTATGAGATCCCTTCGAAATCTGATCGAAATTCCCTTGTTCGGGTGATGGGGCGTTAAAATACTTCCGAAGATCCACCTCTTCGTAGGGTTCTTCATAAACTCCTGCGGAACCATGATTTTGAATTCTGGTCGACTCAAGGCGTTGATCGCTTTTGGCGAAAGGTGGTCTAGGATCTTGTTTACGCTCATCACAGATAACGCACCACCACCATGGCGATCGTGTTGAAGTACGTGTAAGGCGAAATACCTCGGAGGATATTCTTCGTAGCAACAGTCGGTGTGCCATGGAAAGTTTTTCATGGTTTCTGATCGCGCTTGATACGTTCCTCCTTGGAAGTTGCTCACAGCTGGACGGACATCCCAGAATGCGCCTCGGAGACCACTGTGGGTGATTGGAAGATGATGATTGTGGTTGTTATGCAATCCAAGCACTAATTGACTGAGGTAATCGCTCTTGGGATCCGGAAATAGAAGACTGAGCTTGAGGATTCCGGCATCTCCAAGTATTGTGGAAACTTGAGCAACATGATTGGTATTTCTCGAATATAGAAGGCCTGGGACCTCGATGGTTTCTATCGGAAAGACTCTCTGAGCAGTCGAAAACGTAACAGATGTACCAGAACGGGTAGGACCTCTTGGAAGTACAGATGAGAATAACCGGAAACGGCAATTTCTCAGTGACATGTGTCCAAAAAAGGGGTTGCTGCGAAGCATTTTCTAAAAACAAAGGTATCGCGCGAATGGTTCAACGAGTGTTCGTCGGGTCATTCCATAATCGATCTCATGTCTTGTTGGCGGAGAAGATATGTATACAATCGAAGGTTTCTAACCACGCCGTCAATCAGAAAATCGACAGCGGTGAGAACAGTAGGTGTAAAACAAACAATAGTCACTCGTGACCCTCAATCATTGCTTGTTCTTGGAATCATCTTTCCACTGCAGATCCATGTCGTGTTATGCGCGTGTCACAGCATCAAACTACTCGTGACTTAGCTTGCAGTGTGTGTACCTTCAGAAAGGGTGCACAAATCTATTGACCAAGCCAGATTTCTGATAGTAGAAATTTCTGGAAAATGCTTTTAAAAGGATATATAAGACCTGCCACATACGGAATTGTGTTATGTTCACCACCTTTCTTGTGTGAATATTAAACCATTCATTCAAATCTTGAACTACTACCTAAGATAAACACATCAGAATGTCGATTCCTCGGCTGCAGCAGATTGAATTTGGCGATGGAAGGTCAACGCAAGAGCTACAATACCAGAACTATCATGCCGCGTTGCTAGAATCAGCTCCCAGCTCTGTTTGGCCGAATCAGGCCTATCGAAGTGCCTGTCCAATGCCAATCCTTGTCAGAAGACACCATTTACAGCAATTGAAAGCATTACAAGAAACAATCTCAATAGCAATCGAGGATATCATCTCGCGGTGGTGGTCTGACCAGGATGCTCAATTCCCAAAGCGGATGCCGCTAAGCGAAGACGAGGAGGATCTTTTAAGAGTAAGCCTTACCCCACAAGGCTTCATCAGTATCACATCTGACAAATGCATATCTTAGTGGGTCAATAACCAAAGTGCGCTTGGTACGATTCAGAAATTCTCCGGCTGTATGGGGTCTTGGAGACCCGATTTCATGGTAGAATAACGTCGTACTGCGCAACACATTCATAATGAGGAGAATTTCACAGTAACCGAGATCAATGCTCGATTCTCATTCAACGGGTATATGCTTGAAGCTTATAGTCAATGCGCTCTGAGAAAGAATCAAACGAGGAGCGAGGATGTATCTGGGCACGATGATAAAACCGATCCAATCAAGGTAAGTATCTGGTCGATCTGCAAGAAATATCACCACGAAGAAATCTAGACTTTTCGAGTGGTCCCTACAAAAAGAATCCCTGTTAATGTTGTATAGTTGTTCCACGACCTACGCCAACTTTTCGATCCGGACCTGCCTCTTCATCTTTTGAAAGGCGAAGAGCCAGGAATGGATATCCATCTGTTCATCCACGAATTCTCGAAGCAGTTTGGAACCAAGCCTCGTATTATCCATCCTGCCGATCTTCGACTTTTGCATGACCCAAGCCATCCCTCTGGGTATCGGCTGTTTTGCAAGACTGAGAAACAGGAAAATGCTGTCGTCTCCGAAAAGCAGGCGGTTGCAAACGACCCTTGTCATGACGAAAGCGTCGAGGAGGTCCACCAGATTGGTTTGGAACTACATCAGCATGAGCTGGCTGCTCTTACACCAGAGATGCAGCGCCAGATCAGTCTACTGTGTTTCAACGATATGCGTTCTGTTCTCCTTGTTCATGATAAGCGCATGCTCGGGATTATCAGACAGGAGATCCCCAATATGTTGTCTCGAGAAGTGATTACCCAGTCGCAGGCGGATGCCCTGAAATGGGGGATTGTCGAGACAGTCTTGTCCAAGTCACTTGAAGCGCAAAGTCTACTGCAGAACTCACAATCACACCCCAATCTGAAAAACGACTACATATTGAAGCCTATACGGAGCGGGAAAGGAGATGGGATCATATTTGGGGAAGATCTAACAGATTACGAATGGATTAACAAACTGGAAGGCCTGCAGTCAATCAATACTCAGAGCCTGGGTACTAGCTACGTCGCTCAACGTCGAATTGTTCCGCTGCTGTACAATCTCACACTAAACCTTGGCGATGGTGAGACTCAGTATCCTCTTGTGGGGACATATCATGTAGTGAATGGCAAATTTGTGGGGACAGGCATATGGCGTTCGAGTCTTGATCGGGTCGTCGCCGTTACCCATGGCGGCGCATGGCTTTCCTCAGTCACATGCGAATAGACCAAGCAAACGTACAATTTGTTCCAATGAAATTATTAACCAATCCAGCTTTCTGCATGGGAGCATTGTGAGACCCGGAACTTGTACACTTGTGGCAGTTCTGACGTTATACATGTATGTTCTCAATTTTTGGGGGGGGAACCAGTCAAGGAAGCAGATGAAGCAGAGATCAACGCTTATAGTGACGAGCAACTTGAAAAAAGCAAACATTTTACTTGATCACAGAAGGTCTCACGATCAGACGTTGTTCGTTAATCCGCCAGCGCGATGCTAGTCACTTCAGTATATGCACGCAGGTATTTACATACCTAGGTATGCAGGTAAAGACAGTCTCGCATGACATCGTCCTGCGCAAGCGGGCCCAATGCAGCCCACTAAACAATTGATGCATCAAACATCCGAGCGAATGGAGGCTACGATATCTGAACTTTAAACTGATCCCTCGTGTGACTCGCCACGACTCCTCAAGCCCGCCAAGAAATTCCACGTCGCAACAGGGCTTGCTCCACGACATTCATTGTGGTATATCTAAAATTAGGTTGCAGTACAACACACCAAAGTTGGTTAAGATCGAATATCTGGGCGTCCAGAATAGAATCTTCACTAACAGGACAAGCCTCAATCGACTTACAGCAAAGCATATTCGTATGAGTAACCTGTTAGCTGTTTTCTTCACACGAAATTGGGAGATTGCAGGGGTACGGCATGGCTTGATTGAGGTAACAGATAATCTGGCAAGCTGAGATGGCGTTGATGTACGAAATATTGTGTAAAGCTGTGCGCCGTGACTTTGTACCATCTAAAGAGTTGACCATAATCGCTATATCTTGTGAATCGATACACCCGCAATGCCTTGGAGAATCTTCCTTTTTTGATGAGACATGCTCCAATTTGTTGAAAGTGGCGTAAGGCATACTCAAATCATTGCATTCTGCCTGAAGAACAAATCGTCGGTAGCCCTTTCCAATGAAAAGAGCGCAGAATATTGAACTATCAAATACCAATTTGAAAGAGGTGAATGAGAACTTATATTCACTTTCCGTTTTGTTATAACCCTGCTTTCAGAATCCTGAGATCGGAATCCCGAACTAGAAGTCTGCCTTGCCTTGGCGAGCGTGCAGCTGAACTTCCAGCACGATGGCTTTGCAAGAGCTGGAGGATGGCATTGTTTGGGTAGTTTTGACGATAATTACCATTTCATGCTTTCTGGCTGTGGCTTCGTCATCACCTCGAATCCGTAATAGCACACTTCATCGATGGCTTTTCGGAAAAGAGAATGACTTCGATTCATCCGAGGCGATTGACAACGTGCCCAAATGCCCAGTTTCTCTCGCCATATTCATGTTGTCTGTGTCAGGATTGGCGAGCGCCTCTGCTAGCTTTCTTCTGGAACATACACGTCTGGGTCGGCATAGAGAAGAGTGGAGACATGGCTCAATCCTGCTTGCTTGGGTACGTCCGAGGTTCTGCGCAATTCTACATCCGTCTACATTCTGATCGTATAGACTACTATTTTCATCCATGGCTGCTACGCAGCTGCTTCTCGATCTTCTGTCAAATTATATCGCATTGGGATATGGCTCCTTGTATCTTCCACGGCTGTCTCCGTTCTTTCATTTTCACGATTTCCTCCTGGGTCGGCGTCGTTCTCGAATATCTCATACCCGGTGGTTGGGGCGTGGATTCTCAACAGTGCATCGAGTGTAGCCCTGGCAATACTGAGCATCAGTATATCCCGAGGTCGTGATGTGACTGTGCGAGGTCGTCCTGTCGACCGGGAAAGAGTTGTGTCGGTTCTCAGCAGGTTCACATGGGCCTGGGTCGAACCGCTTCTGTTGCAGGCTTCATCGAAAAACGACCTACATCAAGATGATGTCAATTATCCGGACTACATGCTTCAATCCCATCATCTATATGATGATTGGAAAGGGACGGCCGGTCATGATACTCTTCTGGTCAATCTCATGTACCAGTATAGAGTATTGTTTGGTGTCTCTTGGCTTTTCACTGGGCTGCGCTGCCTGGTCAGTATGCTGCCGTTCTTGACTTTATCGAAAACTTTGGATTTATTGCAGCATCGGCTCACGGGAGGTCCGGTTGATCTCATATTGATAAGTCTGATACTTCGAATATCGCTTTTCAACCTACTCGACGCCGTGAGTATTTTCTTTACTACGTCTGTCTCCGACTACTAAACTGATGTCAAGGTGTAGTGGATGGACGGCTGCCTTTACTGGTTCTCTCTTTCTAGGCTAGCATTACCCATCAGGGCACAGTTGACAGCCCTGGTGTTCGGAAAATCATTGCGGCTAAAAGATATCGCATCCGCACAAACGAGAACGTTTGATGGAGAGAGCGGGAATGATCAAGATCCCGAAGACTCCGCCGATCCCACCGATCCGAAACAATATCCCGAAAAGCAAAGTGAAAGAGTCGCAAATTTGATTGGTGTCGACGCGGAACGAATCACATACTTCTTCCAGTACCAATTCTACATTATCTATGCTATATTGAAGTTATCGCTCTTCTCTGTGTATCTAGCGAAAACCATCGGTGCACTACCCGTAATCGCTGGACTCACAGCTTGGCTCGTTACTACGATGGCCGGCACGTGGATTTCCAAGCTGCTTGCGACGCAGTCCAAAACGTTGATGAGGCTACGCGACGCGAAAACTTCCCTGCTCTCCGAGCTTCTTATGGGAATACGCCAGATCAAATTATCCGCACTCGAGGCACGATGGGAGGAAAGATTACTCGCGTCACGGAAGGTTGAACTGGGCGCTCTGTGGAAGTGCTTCATCACAGACAGCGCGATAGCTGGTTGTTGGAGGCTGGGCAACATTCTCATGGCGACGACTACACTTGCCGTCTACGTCATTATAAACGGTACTTTGTCGGCATCCGTGGCGTTTGTGAGCACTGCTATGCTCGGTTCTTTGCAGAACACGCTGGAGATTGTGCCGGAATTGATCGCATTAGGTGTTGATACGTTGGTTTCCATCGCCAGGATAGCCGAGTATCTTCGACAACCAGAATTCGAGGCGATGTCGCGCGGAGGCCAATGCATTCGTTTTCAAGGAGCTAGCATCGTCTGGTGCATCGAAAGAAAACAACTTACAGGAACCCAATTCACTCTGCAAGATCTGGATATAGAATTCCCCAGAGAGCAGTTCACTGTAGTGCTAGGAAAAACGGGGAGCGGGAAAAGCCTCCTGCTTTCCGCGATTCTCGGCGAAGCCCAACTACTACGTGGTACTATCTCTATTCCCGCGGCAGCGAGCTCCCCTGCCTGCGATCCCCTCGTTCCAGAAGATCAGTGGATCGTCAAAGGGTCCGTAGCATACGTGAGCCAAACCCCCTGGCTCTACGCCGGTTCGTTGAAACACAACATTCTATTCGGGACGCCATTCAACCACAAACGTTACGATGAAGTCATTCGCGCGTGCGCTTTACATATCGATCTAGAAACCCTGCCCGACGGCGATGACACAGAACTAGGACGCAGCGGCGTGAATCTGAGTGGGGGTCAGAAATGGCGAATCACGCTCGCAAGAGCAGTCTATTCGCGCGCAGAGATTCTGGTATTGGAAGATATTTTCAGTGCGGTGGACACCAAGGTGAGTCGCTGGATCTTGGAGAACTGCATCAACGGCGCTTTGTGTGAGGGAAGAACGCGGATCCTTGCCACCCATAGCGCACGACTAGTTTTATCTTCCGCGGAATACGTGGTTGAGCTAGAAAGGGGGAAGGCTTCGTGCTTTGTGCCGAAACGGCGGGAAGTGTTCGAGCATGTCACTGATGCGGTTACGGACGACGATGAGGCTGGACAGGTTAGATTCCCTCGGACGGAATCCGCTGTAAAGTTTATCCCTGATGAGACGCGTGAAATTGGAACTGTGAGCAAGCGGGTTTACTTTTCGTATCTGAATCGCTGCGGGGGGGTATTTCTGTGCGTCATCTGCTTGGTTCTATTCTGTGCTTATCAGGCGCTTATTCTAGGTAAGTTTCAGGACAATGCTGTTATAACAGCTCGTCAGGAGTACGTTTCTTGCTTCCGAATTTCAGCACTCGAGAGTCTAAAAAACCCCTCCAATCATATATTTCTGATTTTTTTCCAGGCCGAGCGTGGTGGATACGCATCTGGACCTCAGACCACGACTCCAGCCGGCGTCCTTATCACCCAGCCATCCACCAATCCGTTCTACACATCTACCCAGAAAGCAGCAGCGACTACACCAAGCTCATCCCACCACACCCTAATGCGAACCTATATTTCTATCTGGGAATCTACGTCACAATATCAGCAAGCATTGCCATCCTCGGGATCGTGCGCGACTTCTGGATCTATCATCTCTCCGTCAAAGCCAGCAAGACCGTATTCAGCGATCTTCTTTCCAAGGTACTTTACGCTCCATTGCAATGGTTAGATTCCGTCCCGACAGGAAGAATCATGAACCGCTTCACCGCAGATATGAATATTCTAGACCAACGCGTTCCTCTCAACTGGACGCTGTTTGTCGCCAACGTGCTCAAGCTGCTGGGGATCTGCGTTGCCTCGTTTTCCGCTTGCGCATATCTCGTTGCCCCTGCTGTACCGTTCGTCCTGGCGGGTCTGTATCTCGGCGCGCGATACATGAATGCGAGCCGACCGCTCAAACGGATGGAGAGTTTGGCCCGATCACCGGTTTTCGAGCTCTTCGATACAGTGTCGGAGGGTATCAAAGTCATCCGCGCGTCTCGAAACACGCATGTTTACATGGAGCAGATGCATGAGTTGATAGACCGGTGGACAATGACGACGTTTTACACGTGGCTTGTCAACAGGTGGATGAGCTTTCGCATGGCCGTCATCGCCGCTGCTTTCTGCCTTGCCGTCGGCCTCGCGGTGACGTTTGATACGTCCATCGATGCCGCGTTGGCCGGGCTGATGCTGTCGCTGGTGCTCGATTTCTCGGAAAGCATGGGTTGGGTCGTCCGGTCGTATGGAGAACTGGAACTCGACATGAGCTCCATGGAACGTCTCCACGAATACATGAACATTGAAACAGAATCTACGGCTGGGAAGATCCCGCCGGCATCCTGGCCAGCGCACGGGAAGATGGAAATTCGCGAGCTGGCTGTTGGTTACGGATCGCAAACGCCACCAGTCCTTCGCGAAGTTTCGTTCACCGTTGAAGATCGAGCGCGAGTGGCGATTGTGGGACGGACGGGAGCAGGGAAATCGTCCCTGGCACCTGCTCTCCTTGGATGCGCAGAAATCAGAGCCGGGAACATCACGATAGACGGACATGACATTTCCACCCTCGCGCTTCACCACTTGCGATCCCGCATTTCCTTCATCTCCCAAGATCCCATCCTCTTCTCCGGAACCCTCCGCTCCAACCTCGACCCATCAAACACACACACCGACCCGGAACTCCACGCCGCGCTCGCCAAACTCCAACTCACCAGCTCTCCAACCCTCACACACCACACCATCGACTTCTCCAACCTCCTAACCCCCATCTCCAAAGCCGGCAGCAACCTCTCGCACGGCCAAAAACAACTCATCAGCATCGCGCGCACGGTTCTCGCGAGTCCGAAGATCATCATCTTGGATGAAGCGACATCTGCCGTCGACGCAGCGACCGATGCCCTCGTACAACGCAGCATCCGCTCGAGCTTCCCAAACAGCACGTTGGTCGTCATCGCGCACCGGCTCAGCACAATCATCGATTTCGACAAGATTGTGGTGTTGGAGCAAGGGCGGTTGGAGGAGTGTGGGACGCCGGTGGAGCTGTGGGAGAGGGATGGCTTGTTCCGCGCGTTGTGTAAAAATGGTATAAGGATGGAGGGTGGGAGGCTCATTGCGGTGTAGTCGCTTTTCGAAGCAGAGAATATAATCGTTATCTAATATAAGTTTATTCAGGCTAGAATATAAAACAGGATGATGGGAGACTCCTTCCATCATAGTCCCTTCTCAAATACAAACAACATATCCAACATCCAATCCATCATCTATCCAAAATTATATATACCTTCAACACATAACACTTCCTTCCAACCCTCCTCCGGAACCCTCACTAGAGCCTCTAAAACGTCGCCCCTAAGTTGCACGACTATATGCCATTCGACACGGCCAAACGGAATATTGACATATTCGATGGCCTGGGTGGCCATGCTAGTTATTGTTTATGGGTGCTCCTCCCCAAGCACTCTTACACTCCCTCTATCACTTGCGCCCCCAGTTCTTCCGCCACTTAAACTGTCTTGCTGTACGTTCAAACACCAGGTTTCCTATGCTGATCAGCGTGTCTAGATGCTCCGCACCTAGCGCCCTCTTCCTCGTATCTATCACTCGCACAACCAGCTCTTCGGTCTCATTCCACCGATTTTGCTTGCTGTACGTCATCGCCAGGTTGGCCATGCTAGTCAGCGTGGAAGGATGTTCATCTCCCATCATACCTTAAGACGCAGCAAGCGCAGAAGCGGACTTCAACAAACGGAGATTTCTATGAATTCCCCAACCGACTCCCCAACCGACTCTCCTGCGAGTCTCCCGGATGGGCCTCTGCCGGTGCGGTGCCGAGTAGGAAGCGCACAACGCCGGAACTTCCCTTGGATAGAAGATCCGGAAAGCATTTCTTGGCTTGCCTCTCCACTCCGACCTGCCACATTATACGGTAACGTATCATTTTCATTCACTTCCTTTGAGCATGGGGTTAGACAATGGATATACAGGTTCCACAGCTAATTTCTGAAATAGAGCTATTCTTTGGCCAGGTGCTCACCTCGCTTGCCCCTCTCACAAATTCCGTAATTGAAGCTCTAGAATGGGGTCCCATCAGGGCAGGAATACCGGGCACAGTCATTTCAACTTCACACCTTACTCATATCAATACTTTAGTACAAACTCAAAAGGGGGTTTTCGCGGGCTGTTTCACGAAGCCAATGCCTCTAATTACATCCTTGTCATTTTGAATTGGGGTGATATGCCTTGTACACCTGCAAAGCGCCCTCGATGCTTTGGACCAGTCCGAAGAATATAGTCAGACAAAGTACTAAGACAGCAACCCAGAACGTATACCATTGGACTTTGTTCCTCCGATCATACCAAAACTGGACAATCGAGGTAGAGCGTGGCTTTTCAAATTTCTCTTTCAAAGTAATAAGTTCATCGCGCCAAAACTTGAACTTCTCGGCGCAGCGTTCTTCAGGCATGAGGCGTTCGCAGTTTAGCAACTCCTGATCTAGGTAAATCGTGTCTCTGGAAGACGACCTTTCGGAGAGCAACCACCTTCGTGTACTCTTGTTGTATCGAGGGAAGAGGAGGGCCAGAGTTTGGAGAGTCTCTTTCGCGAGGCCGTCGGGAAAGATGGTGCTGAGAATGGTTAGGCAGAGCGTTGGTACAGAGTCGTGGTGAGTGCCAAACCTGTTCTGATATCTGAGAAATGCTACATGGTGGAAGATGCAGAGTGTTGTGTCATTGTCCATTAGTCGCAAGTGGTTGGCAAGATTATTTGACCATTGAATTCTAAGCCCAGAGAATCGTCGAAGGTTGAATGCGGTGAATTCTTCCTCGAACTTGATCCCTTCCGGGTCAGTAGAGCTTTCTTCGAAGTACTGCCCCAGCAAGGTTCTCAAGTCCCAATCTTCGTTGTCCCATGGAATAGGAGCACGACCTTGAATGCCATATGGAAGCGGACCAATGTCGACCATTGAGATTAAGCGAGCAACAAGCCTTGCGGAACCCTCTGCCATACGAACCCTAACATCTGTGGGCCTCTGCTGCGTGTCCAGTGGAAGAAGTGATTGTTTGATTTTTTCCTTAGTGTAACCGTCCTCGAGTTTTTTAGCGATTACCGTGATGTCCTTATGCTTCCTAACGGTTGTGTACTCTCCACGACCATATCCTATCGCCTTTTGGCACTCGGCGGTATAGTATTGGAAGTATACATCCCATTTCCTGATATCCATTAGCGACGTTGGGGTAGTGTTCCACTGCCAGAGGCCTTTAATGATATCAGCCTTGATATCTTCTGGTACTGGGTCTTCTTTGGCGCTCCTGGCAAGTGCCATTTTCGGGGATAGTATCGCAAATCAGACTATGGAATAGTATATGGCCTTTGGGACTACCTTGAAATATTTATATTGTTGCTGCGCATTGCCGACAGCTGCTTTTTACAACTAGCAGGCTTGCACTAACTCTAACTCTACTTACTTATTATCTACTATATTTAGCTAATCAATATTAAGTTTAACTAAAGAATGTACATTTCTGCTATAAGTTTTACTTTTAAAAAAAGCTTATTTAAATTTTTAAGTATTTAATATCTTATTCTATTTTAAGTTAAAGCTTAGGTAATTTTGTATATAGTAATAACTAAAATAATAGAAAATAATTATAAAAACTAAATAAGTTTTATCTTTACTAAGCTTAATAAGTAAAAACTAAAAAAAAACTTTATTATAAGAAACTTAGTAAAAGTAAAATATATTTAGTTTTTTTTAGCAATTGTTTATTATTTTAGTTTATTTTTTATTATTAATTATTACTATACATAGAACTACTTTAACTATAACTTTAAATTATTTAATAGCATTTATAACTACTTAAAAAACGGTATATTTTCTAAAAAAAAAACTTATTTATTAGTAATATAATTGCTAGCCGCAGCACTTACTACCATAGAGACCTAATAATAGTAGGTACTAGATCAATACGTCTACACACCGTATTTCTGCTTACCCTAGCTGTCCATGCAGCTGAGCTGAGACTTTCGCGAGGAGCAGACCAGTTATACACCTTGCATTGCCGCTACAAATTAGCCACGGGGTAGCAGTTCCGGTGAACCAAGCACTGCGCTTCAACTGCTTGTCGCTGCCATATGACTCATGCCTCACACTTTCGAGCGTCGAGACGCCTCGACCTAACATAGCAGACGACCACGAGGAAGGCGGCAAAATTGCACAGACATGAATTTCGAGAATTTCGAGAATTTATGTTACTGTGTCGTTGTCTCGGCGAGCCCTGTCTTTCCATGTGCGGCGTATCCTTCGTCACCTATCCGTGCCATTTAAATCGCATACGCACCGGTTCTGCTTCGCTGCTTCAAGTACCTCAGCCACGAAAAAATGCCGTTTTGAACATCTCCCACGTTGAACGGACGACAGGAGAGGATGCTCGGCCCGGGTAACTTCGTCGAAAGGACCCGAAATCACCTTCGGCCTCGTGCGGGTTTCCAAGATTCTGTGGACGAAGCGAACCCCGTGGAAATCGATTACAAGGCGAACCCTTGGTGGAAATCCCGTTATTCCTGTTGGGAGGTCAAAGGACAAGTGGCAGAGGACTACAAGGACGTTGGAGCTAAGATTCATAATGAACTAAGGCAGTCGTGCAGAGAATCGAGCTGGGAGGTGTCTGTCTCGCCTTATATGGTTGGGAAGTCCACAAAGAATGCCAAGCCAGTAATAGTGATTGCCAGCGTAGACGAGTCATCACGCGAAGAAGCCAAAGCAGCGATCGAAAGAAGCGGCATCCTTATGCACCACCCATACTTCAAATTGTGGCCCTTACGTTATCTCCCTACAGGCCCGGTTAATCCTGTTGCAATGGAAGATCAAGCTCCCCCCAAGTCTCTGCCCTCTGTTCCATCCTTCAAAGTCTATTTCGACCCTACGGAGCGTGTTCGGCTGGTTGGAATGCCGGTATACATCAGGCACAACGAAACTTCGGTGCGGCGAGCAACGGCTAATGCAGTATATAACGGCACAGACTATGGGTACATCACTGCTGCACATGCTTGCACAAGGATGTTTCCAGACAACACTCCTTCAAGAGATTCTCAAGATAATTTCGAATTCCCTTTCGATAGCGACAGCGAGAGCGAAAGTGCTGACGATGCGGAAGTGGAAGCTCTATCTCATTATAGTGGTACCTCACCAGAAGCAACAGAATCGGCGAGCTCACCTTTCACGTCATCTCAAACCTCAGAAACCCGCAGCCAAAGCCCTGGGCATGTCTACGCCACTCTATCAGATACGGCAGAACAACTGATGAGCTCGAGTCAGTCATCCAGAGATGTCGAGGCGCCTATGAACCAAGGCATGCATTCAGTCGAACCTGCACGCATCGCAGAACTTGAACTGTTAGGGGAAGTCTCGGCAACGTTCATGCCTCTCGATTGCGTAGTAGTTTCCGTCGGCAACACAGCAGTCATATCCTTTCTAGAGGGAACAAAAAACATGAGGAAAAATTCGGACAATGCTATTATGGTCTCAAAGGCTAGGCGCACGACGGTCATCGCGTGGACTTCTCGTGGGCCTATACATGGTAGCCTTGTCGACTTGCCATTATACATGCGCCTCCCTAGCAGCGATTTATTTCAGCTGGTGTACAAGTTCACATACGATGGAGACATCAAAATGGGCGATTGCGGGACGCTCGTCATTGACACAGAAACTAGAGAATTATACGGTCATGTCATCGCGGACTCACAGCACCGTCGCGTTGCTTTCATGATGGCTGCTGAGCCGGTCATGAACGACATAAAAGAGAACGGGAACTGGCAATTGATTACTTTGCCCCTCTCTTCAGAGCAAGAATGCATCGATCACATTGGTGCTCATGCACATCGTGGTTTCGCTGCAGCTAGCGTTCCCGATCAGCTAAAGCACGAATGGCCGCCAGGCCCGTCAGCGCCCGCGTCGACCAGGGATAATTGCACCATATCATCAATAGGCTTGCATCGACATCCGCACTCACTCTCTCCTCGCCATTCCGAAATTTCCCGCTATTCTCTTCCTGAGACTCCACGAAGCGTGCTCCGGATTGACGTGCCTCTAACCAGCGCGTATCCCGTCCCTAGCAGCCCTCCTTTCAACCTGCAGGAAAACTACCACGACATCACCTGCGAAGGCTTGATCGTGGCTCCTAACATTGAAGTCAATATTGGAAAAGGCTTCTTTCTTTCTTCGGACCGCGTCTGGACCTGCTACCGGAGAAACTACTTTTCAGTCAAAGTTTCGTACGGACTGAGCCCGTGGACCCCAAAGGCACGACTGTACTTGAATCAGGGAGGCAGAAAACCTCCTATGCAAATCCAGTCAATAGCTGTCTCTCTCAACGCTGGCGTGGACGGTGCGGAAGGAAAGCGTATCGATTTGATCCAGAACACGCCCAAGCGCGATAAGGGGCCGCAGTTTACGATGAAGAAGGAGCTGCTTGCGCCTGTTCCACCAGGAAAGAATCAAGAACACAGCGGCTACGGCCTTGATGAATTTCGTTCCTCAAGCCAGGTAGCGGGGCCGCAATTACCGCTCCAGAACATCTTGCAGTACTGGCCCGCTAGCCGTGGTAGCAACAGCAACTACCAGCACGCTTTTGAACGCATCCAGTTCAGGTCGTCCACAGCAAACAACGGCAAACGCCGAAACCAGCAACAGTACTACCACCTAATTGTAGAGCTGTGGGCAAACGTCCAGAAACCCCAAGATCCAGAGCCTTGGTGGGTGAGGGTTGCCGGAAAATCATCTCATCCTATCGTTGTCCGCGGAAGATCACCTAGCTACTACAAAGACCAAGGGCCTCACAATGCGAATCCGTCGCGGAAGCCTCGTGAGAGATCAGCAGATAGTGAACAACAATGACGCCAAGATGATTGACACGCATTACGACTACCAGTACTACCCAGCCCCATCTACGAGACCATCTCCACCAAAGCAGAGAACGTGCGTCCACCGCTCTCCGAGCGCAGGATCAAAAAGGAGTCTCCTGGCCCCGCGTCCATGGGCAGCGGATTGCAGGTCGAAGGGAGCTCACGGTTCCTGGGCATAAAGACTAACCGCAGGTATCGCCCAGACGTACATGCCCACGTGGATTATTGATGGAGACCAGACATTCCTCACCATTTGTCACGCCTGTTGTGTGGTTCAATTGATCAACGAGCTTGCCAGCCAAGGACTCTGTGCTTATGAATGGGCGTCGACAAGGGCAGGACGCACAACAGACTTTAACGCTGCAAAACGACCGACACAGGCGGACACAGCATCGCGCATTCCTGCCAACCCTCCCCGACTTCTGCAACAACTCTGTTGATTCAGTCATAACTTAATGTCATGGAGTTATAGGCGCCTACCGTCCAACCAATTGCAGCCTCGACCCGACCGAACCACGTACGGACACACCATTGCTCGCAGCAACGCAGTTGTGCAAGAATCATAGCAGCCAGGGTGAAGAGACAGAGCGCAATCACAGAGACAATATTAGGTCTCTTAAGCAGTCTGTTGTAGTGAAATGTTAAGCGTACTACCAAATTTGGAAAGCCGTCTCTCAAGTGGAGGCCATAGGGCAGCGGCAAAGCTTCTGCTCAAGAAAGGCGCCAGTAAGTTAATAGCTACGTTCCTAAGCATGCTTAGGAATGGACCCAACAGTAACGAATGTATTATAGGTGTAGAATCGTCGCGATTTATTTGTATGCCTTTCGCTTCTTTCATATACCCCTTCATACTTTAGGGGACATATCATAGTTATAGTATTAGAGAGGACTTATAAGGTAGAAAATGTTCTAGTAGCAATTTTTTGTCTATTTCAAGCGTTTCAATCCTCGCCTCCTCGCCTCCTCGTAGTATCTAATACCTCACACACACAACTTATTTTTTTTTCCTTCTTGCGAACGAATCAGAAAAAAAAAGTTTTTTTAAAGAGATAACATGCGCACGTGTGTAGCTCCTATATCCTCAAATAGTGCATGTAAGTATGTACAGTCACGTGCCCTACCCACCCACAACATACATACATACAACAATAGGTTTCTATATTATAAATATATATACTAATTTAAGTGTGCGCGGGCATTCCCGTATAGTGTAGTAAGAAATATAGTTTGAATTATTATTATTCTAACAGGACAAATAGATAAGTAAAGTAAGTAGGTACATGTACTTTTTCTCTCTTGTCTTGTGCTTAAAGGAATGTTTTATTATTAACAGCCATCCCGTATCAACAAGACATAATTAAAGCTATAAAGGACGCAAGGAGTATTTATCTACCTACCTACCTACTTACTATATACACCCCATCACTTATCTTATAAAGAAGTAGGGAAGGAAGGGAGGGATAAGCAAGAAGCGCGCATAAATCCAAATGTCTAATAAAGAGTTATGGAATAGTTAGCGGTATAACACGTGAAATACCGAGGGCGAAGACATTAGTCTTAAACATGCACACATACACATGTGCATATGTGTGTTTCCAAGGTTGATATATAGATAGAATGTATGAGGTATGCATCCATGCATGTATGCTTGATGCGAAAAAAGGAAAGGAAAGGAAGGGAAAAGGACTTGTTCTTGACGGCGGTATGTATGAGGAAGAGAGGAAGCGGAAACGTTGACAGCGGAGTCGTGGTCCGAAGCGTTCCGCGCTTTTTCTGTTCGCCCCTGCGCGCGCGCTGCTATGCTATGCTATGCTATGCTATGCTGTGCCATCTATATATTCGTTCGTTTTTGGTTTTTTGTGTGTGGGATTTTTTTTTTAGAGAGAGAGGGGGAGGGGGGAGCGTTTGTGTCACGTGGTATTGCTATATGGGGCGGAGAGGGACGGAGAGAGAAGAGATGTGTATATATGGTTCGAGGGGTGTGCAGGGTGAGAAAGTAAGTAGTTTGGGCTTTGACAGATAGTATACCATGTACTATTGATGCTGCTGTTATGTAAGGAGGTTTTGTTGGGTCGCTAGGTTACGGTGTTTTACCCGGCGGTCTGCTTTTTTTTTTTCGTTTTCTTGCGGCAGTGGGGGTGTTTATTTGGGGGTCGGAGCGGTGTTACTCTGCGCAGTAGGTTGAATGAATGAATCAATGAATGAATGGGATTTCTCCTCCTTTGCTGAGGTGTCGGGCTGTGGGGGGGGGGGGGGGGGGGGATGAGTGGAGCTGAGGCGTGGAGTGGAGCCATGTAATACCCTATACCCCCCCCCCTGCATTGTTGCATGCTGTGTGGCTTCGGGTAGCCATGCGCGAAAATGATGATTTGGATTTGCGTGTATTTTGGATATTTGGGTTTGCTGTGGCGTTTGAGAAGTTTCTTCGGGGGTGGGAATCATGTCAAAGTTAGTTTTGGGTTTCTCATGGAAGAGGGTGGATGCACATGTCAGTGAGACAGACGGTGGTGGTTGACCGGGACCGGGTGGGGCCAAAAGTGCGGATGGATGCTGAGGAACGAGGTCCAAGTAAGCCGCATAAGGAGAATTTTTCTGTAGTCAGCCATGGACATGTAGATGGTGGTGGTGGTGGTGGTGGTTGGATGGAGGCATTTGTCCACGTCGACCAACCAACCCACGTCGACGACGCCTGCTTGTCGGCCGTGACTGTGGATGTATGCAACGAAAGAGGGAGCGCATGGATATATGCAGGCAATGGGATATATAAAGATGGTGCTGCATGACATGCGTCTTCCTGAAACCTCTTGTGGTGCAGGCCAGCGGCCAACCCCGGCACCACGCCTGCTTGGGAGCCCGCTGGAGCCTCGTCCGGCCACGGCGACCGTCACCATCGGGTTACTGCTTATGCCGTGAACATGGCACGTATGTACAAGTGCTGTTGTTGTTGGTAGTAGTAGTGGTGGTGGTGGTGGTGGTGGTGAAAGAAGACGAGGAAGAATGGGGTCGTTCTAGTTCGTTTGGGGCATCGTCTGTCTGTCTGTCCCCAAATCTTTTTTCAGCCTCTTTTGCACCTTTGAACCATCCCATCCACCATCCCATCCACCATCCCATCCCTCCCTCCCTCCATCCGTTCCCTACCTACATACATACGTCCCATCGGCACACCTCCTCTTCCACGGCCACCGCAGACAGGCACTCCCTTTCTTTCTCGCCGTCCTCGCTCTCCATTTCCTGTCTCCCCCCAGTCCCTACCTTCTTACCTCACTCACGGCCTTGATTCTATTCTATACCATCCTTCTATACTTACATACGCCTTGAATTGATTATTATTTCTTCTTCTCCCTTCTCCCCACCGTTCGCCTGCAAACCTGCGATGCCGTGCAACTGAGCAGGCCTTGAAGCGCCTGGTTCCATGGCGAATTCAAGGTGAGAGGGTCCCTTCTTCCCAGCCCTGCAAATCTTGAATGTCACCTCTATTTCAAATCTCAATTGCCCGCCCCCATCGGCAAATATTCCCCAATCTATCTGCTTCAGGCCAACAACATGGCTGATGGTGGTGCTGCCACAATACAGGTACGGCTATGTGCGCGCCTACGAGCAGCCCGATATCCTCCTCCCCAACACATACATCGTCGTGCGCATCGACGGGAGGGGCTTTACCAAGTAAGTCTGGACTGCCATTCCGTAATTCCCATTCTCTTCTCTTCTTCCCCTCCTTGTCGGGCTGCTTCTGGTTGGAGCGGGTGGAGAAGCGCTGCGGCTGATGCTCCTTCACGTGAACGGCAATGCACTCGACGCATGCCACCACCCCAACTCGCGTGCGCATAGCATATGAAGCAAGTCTCCGGGATATACAACCACCACCACCACCACTCATCTCTGCATACAGCTCCAATACGACAGCATGACATGTACTGACAAATGGCAGACTCACGGCGAGGTACAACTTCGTCAAGCCAAACGATGTCCGCGCTCTGCACCTCATGAACGCCGCCGCCGAGGCCGTCATGAAAGAGCTGCCAGACCTCGTGTTGGCCTATGGCCAGAGCGATGAGTACAGGTACGTTCGTTGCACACCCAACAGCCCGCCGCATCGCCTGTCGGGTGGCAAAGCCCATGTCAATCCCTCTTGTTTTCTGGCCTCGTTCGCGTCGGGGGGTGATTACCCATGGGCAAATAGAAAGATGCAACCCCAAATAGCCGCACGTGGCAATCGTTTCGAGGGCTTCAGCTGACGTGTTACACAGTTTCGTCTTCCCCAAGGACTGTCAGCTGTTTGAGAGGAGAGCCAGGTACGTTCGGACATTTCGCCCTGTGGCCCCCATCCACCATCCTCTCTCTCGTACTCCCTCTGCCTTTTGGGCAACACATATAGATCCGCTTCGTTCGCTCACCGTGCATGATGCAACTCTAGCAAACTGACCACCACCATTGTCTCGACCTTCACGGCCAACTACGTATTCGCCTGGTCCACCTATTTCCCGGACACTCCGCTGACGCCGCCTCTGCCTTCCTTTGACGGCCGAGCTGTGTGCTATCCGAGCGAGGTCAATCTGAGAGACTATCTCAGCTGGCGGCAAGTCGATTGTAAGTAACCTACCAGATTGCTCTCCCCGTGTCAGCATGACCCGTAGCGCCGAGTCTTTTCCGACCATCCCTCCCAGTCATGTCAGCAACACTACTAGATGCTGACCCGAACAGGCCATATCAACAACCTCTTCAACACCACCTTCTGGGCCCTCGTTCAGAAGGGGGGAATGGAACGGCGTGCAGCCGAAGAGGAACTCGCCGGCACCGTCGCAGCAGATAAGAACGAAATCCTCTTCTCGCGTTTCGGAATCAACTACAACAACGAGCCCGAAATCTTCAAAAAGGGCTCCGTCTTGTACCGCGATGTGAGCGACCACGTGCCTAGCCTGTCACCGATCAAACATTGGACACTGACCGATGTTTGTAGTTCTCCCCGGCATCTACCCAGCCGTCGATTACCCCGGCCAAACCTGTAGAGCCGTCCCCACTTCCACTACTATCCCACCCTCAACCCAAGAAACTCTTACCACGTCCAATGTCGCAACCACTCCAGAGCACCTACCCTAGCCTGTTTCAAGATACTCCACTCCCAATGCCTTCGGATCCAACAACCCCACGAGGCCCGACATTCTTGTCTACCTCAACCACACCTTCACCGCCTCCCTCAGCTCCAGACATGTCGATCCCGTCCTTCTCTACATCTTCGACCGAGAAGCTCTCTCTCGCTTACCCTCAGACATTCTTTCCTGTCTCACCCCCATCCAACAGTTCTGGTTCCGCAGCCTCTGGTTCTACCATGAAGTCGCCACTTCCAAGCTTGACTCCTCTCCCTCTCCCTCCTCCGACATTGAAGCCCAGCACGCGGCCGCCACCGTCGTTGAGTCCCCCAAATCCAACAACCCATTCCAACTTCTCGCCGTTACCATCCCCCAATCCGGGCGGCCATGAGACTTATGCCACGATACCTTTGCAGCAACCGTCCTCTTCGAAACGCTCCAAAAATTCGGTTTCCCATTCGGCGTCTGCGTCTCTTTCACGTCCCGTGACTGTTGCGGCGCCAGGCAGGCCGCTTCCCAAACGGAGTCCCAGCATGTCGATTCTCAACTTTAGCCCTCCTCAGATTCCGATTCGCATATCTTCCATTCCTCTCGATGCGCCCACACGGAAACTCTCTTTACCTTCATCAAAGGCTTACCTGCTGAACCGTGCCGAAGAGAAGGAGAATACTTCCCCTGGACGAGGCGATCATTCACGCACACCGCCATTGCGAACTATGAAAGAGCTACCCTCACCGCCGGCTGACGAGGACCACGTTATCCGCGGAGCCGTCATGGGCAGCCAACCCCAAGAATGGAGCATCAGCCCTACACGAGAGTCTGTGCACTTGGCGTTCGGATCGGTCGATGCATCAAGATCATCATACGACGCCCCACCGTCAGAGCCACCTCCGCGGTCCGCGAAGCGCATGAGCAGTCATTCCAGACTACACTCCGCGCCGCCATCTTCATCGTTCTTTGCGTCAACAATGGCCGCCGCAGACGCGATCCTGTCGCCACCCCTAACCTCACGCGATGTGAACGGCGACTGGCCGCGGACCTCGACCCGCTCAACGTCTCTCTCCCCAACGTCCACTCCTCCGGCCACATCTGTACCACCCACCCACCCACAATCTCACTCCCAGACCCCGAGATCCGACCCCGCCTCTCACCAACCCCCAAAAGGACCGCCGCCCCCGAAGAAGGACAGAAGCCAGTGCACGCACAACAGCACCCACCACCACATCCACCACCCGCAGCAGCGCAGCAGCAGCAGCAGCAAGAAGAAGAACGTCGGCGGGGGCAGCAAAGTGCAGGATCCCATGGAGGAAGATGGAGGGTGGCTAGCCTCTTCCTCCGCTGGCGGACCCTCCGACGGGCGGCCCGTGGAAAAATCAAAAACCCAGCGTGAGAAGGAGCGCAAGAAGAAGATGAAGGCAAAGGTCGTCACCGAGCATGTCGACATCATCAAAGATGGGTTTTGGGAGAAGAGGCCGTGGATTCTGAACGGCAAGGTGGGGTGATTAGCTTTTTTTTTCATGGAGCAACGAGCTATTATCGTGTGTGTATTGTTTACGTGAAACGATCAGTAGCGACAACTGGGAGGATCTGTCATTAGAGAGTGGAGAGGAAGAGGTTTTTTTTCTTTCTTTTACTCTCGGTTCCTTCACTTTCTTCGCCGTGTTTGAACTTTTACTCTTTGGTTGCTCCTTCTTCATGACTCCGTTCTTGTTCTCTTCTCAATTGTTTTTCTCCATTGCATATGGTCTTGTTCTACGTCAGGGCTTCGGCCTTCTTCATCACCCTCATCCTCATCACCGTCATCATCACCCACCATACCACCATCATATATCATCTCTCTACGTTCCACGAATGAAATATCAACGACAGCTCTACTCGGCAACTTCTAATACCTCCCACAACTCCTTCCCAGTGACTTTTTCTATCCAAGCTTATAGATGTACAGGGTGTGGGGATATCGCATTAAGCCATCACACAACACGCGCATAGCGTACTATAACATTCCTCGTAAATGCAAGAGCTGCTAAGAAATCTACTAGAGTTTTTTTGGTTTGCGGATGATAGATGGTGTGTTTAAACTTCCTGAGATGTGACATCCTGATGTAACGCGTAGCATTCTATGACGCGTCTGCCGTAACATGCATCGCATCTCAAAGATTGAGTCCAGCCGCAGCGCAGTCGTCACGTGATCAAGATACACGCTAAGCGGGAATCTATCTCGAACCAATCACCGCTCGATAAGCGCCGACAAGGTCTTGGCAGAACGTTAATTTTTCTTACCACCACCCCAAAGATTTCTTGGGTTTTGATGATGTGAACTCGACATATCCCCCGTCCGAAACACGAAGAACTTGTTTTTTTTCTCAACTTCCAGCGTCCCACTGTGCCACGAGAGGATCGTTAGGGATATTGTCGAACGGAAGAGCGATTTGGAGAAGATGTCGTCGATTCGGAATGCCGTGCAGCGGCGCAATCACAAGGAGCGCGCGCAGCCCGAAGAGCGCGCAAAATGGGGGTTACTGGAGAAGCGAAAGGTGCGTTCTCCGAAAGAAAATTACCCCCTCTCGACATATTTTCATTAAACAATTGGATTGGGAAAATATGCACGATATCATTCTTCGGACGAAGCTAGACAGTCAGGAATATAGCAAGAAGAGCTAACATGGGAGCGGGTAACAGGACTACAAACTGCGGGCGGCCGACCACCGCGACAAGAAGAAACGCATCAAGATCCTCAAGGAGAAAGCGGCGGAGCGCAACCCGGATGAATTCTCGTTTGCGATGCTGAATGCTTCCGTCGATAAGTATGGGAGGAAGGTCAAGGAGCGAGGGAATACCACGCTCGGCCAGGATGTGGTCAAGCTGCTTAAAACGCAGGATGCCGGGTATATACGCACGATGCTGCAGATGGTGCGGAAAGAGCGCGAGGAGCTGGAGCAGAGGGTGGTGTTGGCGGACGAGGAGGTGAAGGTGCTGAGGGATGGGGGTGGAAAGAAGGCGAGGCATACGGTGTATGTGGGGGGTGTTGGGGAGCAGGAGGGGTTTGATGAGGAGGCGTGGTTTGGGGTGGGTGGGGAGTGTCCTTCGTGGAATAGGCGGAGGAAGAGTGAGGCGGGTGGGGAGGAAGATGGGGATGCGGGAGAGACGAAGAAGATGTCGAAGAAGCAGGTCGAGGCCAAGGCGCTCAAGGAGAAGGAGGAGCGGTCGTTGATGAGCAAGCGGGCGAGACTTCAGCACAGGTCGGCTCTGCATCTCGAGGCGGTCAAGGCTCGCGAGCGCGATCTCGTGGCTGCACAGGAAGAACTGGAGAAGCAGCGGGCCAAGATGAACAATACTGTGGGCGGGACTAACAAGCACGGCGTCAAGTTCAAGCTGCGCGAGAGGAAACGATGAATGTGCGACCTCATTTACCTACGACACTGGATGCTTTTTTTTTTGGAGTTGGGACAAGAACAGGAATACACTACAGGAAACTCACAGCCTGGCCGGCATGCGCATCGCTCCGTCCAACCGTATAACAGTCCCATTCAGCATGGTATTCTCCACCGAATCCCTCACCGTCCTCGCAAACTCCTCGGGCTGCCCCGCTCTCTTCGGAAACTCCATGGCATTCTCCAAGCTCTGCCTCACCCTGCCACTCATCATCTTGGTCATATTCGACTCAAACAGCGCGGGCGCAATCGTGACCGCCCTAATCCCCACCCTCGACAAGTCCCTCGCAAGCGGCAGCGTCAACGCCGCAACCGCCCCTTTACTAGCCGCATAAGCAACCTGTCCCATCTGCCCGTCAAACGCCGCCGAGCTCGCAACCATGACCACCACGCCCCTCTCCCCGTCCACGCCCTCGGGCGTGTTCGTCGTCATATGCGGCAGCGCCTGCCTGATCAGATCCAAGGTCCCGCGTAGATTGATACCCAGCACAAAATCAATACTCTCAATCGCGAGCGGCTCGTTCTTCTTGTCGATCATCATGCCCGGCATTCCTACGCCCGCGCCAGCCACCACCCCGCCGATTTCTTTGCCGGTTTCACGCACCCACGACACCGTTCCCGCGATCGCCGTGGCAATGGATGTCGTGGACGAGACGTCGACTTGGAAGAAGCGCGCGCGTGTGGGCCCGAGTTCCGCGACGATGGACGAGCCGGCGTCGCTGTTGAGGTCGAGCAGCGACACGTACGCGCCGTGGGAGTGCAGGTCGCGGGCGGTTGCGAGACCGAGGCCGGATGCGCCGCCGGAGATTATAAAGGTGCGGTTTGCGATCTTCATGGTGGTGGTGGAGGTGGAGGTGAGCTGGTGGGCGGACGGGCGATGTAGTGTGGTGATAACAGGTATACCAAATGCGAGATGTTCTGTTCTATGAAGCTGGGTACCTGATTCCAGAGTATATGCGAGTGAGCAAACAACGGAGAGTCTGCAAAAAGGGGATGCAGATGGATGTGTAGTGTTGACATGTGAGCATGATGCATCATCCCAAACGTCCGAAAGAAAGATTTCCATGGCCCCGCGTAACCTCGGCTTCTTCCGTTTTAGGCCTAACGCCTTTCTTCTCTCCCGACAGACAAACGCGCCAAGATTCCGCAGAAAAATCATCCAAACAGGTCCGTTCCGTCCCCACTAAAAAGTTTCTCTCCCTCGCTCTCTCTTCCAAACTGGCCCATTCCTCGCTCACCACCCCATTCGTTTCCCTGCCCCTGGCTCCCCTCTGTCTCCCTATCCCCAAACAAAAGAAAGAAGAAAAAAAAAACACGAAAAATGGACGCCTCCGCCCTCCTCCTCCGCCAAGGCTGGCGCGGCACCGGCCACTCCCTCGACGCATCCAACCGCGGCATCGCAAAACCGCTCCTCATCTCCCACAAGCAAGACCAGCTGGGGCTCGGCAAGAAGAAGGCAGCGCACATGGCGGACGATCAGTGGTGGATGAGGGCTTTTGACGAGAGCTTGAAGAACATTGGGACGACGGAGAAGAAGAGCACGTTGACGGAGGTTAGGGAGAAGGGCATCAATCGCGGTGGGCTGTATGGGTTTTTTGTGAGGGGGGAGGGGTTGAGGGGGACTGTTGGGGTTGTGGAGGGGGTTGTGGAGGGGGAGGGGAAGAAGAGGAAGAGGGGAGATGACGAGGGGGATGTGGAGGTTGCGATGGACACGCAGAAGAAGGCTAGAAAGACGGATAAGAAAGCGAAGGAATCTTCGTCTGCGGAATCCGCGACGACAACGACAACGCAGACACAGAACGCGATACAAACCCCCATCGGCCCCCTCTCACCCCCGCAAACATCAACCCTCCGCACCTTTCTCAAACGCGCCGAGAAATCCTTACACACGACTATCCGCGGCCAGGAGAAAAAAGGCACTTTCGGCGTCTTTGGCGCGCGCGCTACAAAAGCCGTCAAGGCGGCCCGCAAGAAAAAATCAGAAGAAGCGTTTAAATCGCTGCGCAAGGAAAAAATCGTCGCGGCCATGATCAAAGGCACGATACCGAATCCCAGGGGGTGGGACGAATACGAGTTAAAAGGACCGAAATGGCGAGATGTAGAAAGGACGTGCAATATCGTTCTCGCGTCGAGGGAGGGCACGGATCTGGCGAAGCTGTTTGGGTTGGGTGATGTCGTAGCCCTTTCTTCTTCTTCTTCTTCGAGCTCGGCAACCGAAACATCGACGCCCGCCGACGACACAAAAACCACAAAATCGAAATCGAAATCGAAATCGAAATCATCGTCCAAATCTTCTTCTAAATCCTCGACCACGCCGTCGTCGGACTCTGAAGACCACGACGCTAACATTGGCGATGCAGCGCTGGTGTCGGACCTCGCGGTCGCGGCCAAACTCGCCAAATTATCCGATCAAGAGCGTCAGTCGTATGCTGCGCGCGCGGCGGGGAAAGGGCAGAGTCTGGAAACGTACGTTCAGAGGCGCATTGTTAAGAAGAGCGAGAAAGCTGCAAAGAGGAAAAGTAGTCATAGTAGTAGGAAAACTAAGCAGTAAATAAATTCAATAAATCAATCTTTTGTTTTTTTTTCTTCTCTCTCTCTCTCTCTCTTTTCATCTTACTTGTTCATAATCTCGCGTACTGCTATCTTCTCTTTTGTTCCCCTCTCCCTATTTTTGTTTTTGTTCCCTTTTCTTCGCTCAATTATGTCTGCTTTGAGCGCGTGGAATTAATAGCCCGCCCATACCATATCATATCAAATCAGTCAAAGCCAAAGCACACACCCCCCCCCCCCCCCTCCTTCCCCCCTATTTTATATATACATAAGCATCTATCCCAACATTCGCCCTTCTTTTTTTTTTCTTTTCCATCCAACTCATCCCTACCTTCACAACAGAGAAGAAATACGAAGAGAGAGAAGATAGGCGTTTAGTAAAAAATTGTATGTACGTTATTAGGTAAGGTACTTACTTAAGCTTTTCCTACCCTGTCAAGCTTCCTTCTCCCGCTATATGATAGATCTTAGGAGATTGTTCAACTTGGCGAAAACACCTAATATAGATAATAGACAACACGCTTCTGTGTATATCTATCTATTTATTTTTATTTAACGTCTTGAGAAAGGGGTGGGCTACATTTTTTTTTTTTTGAGATTCTGGTAAAGGGTAAGGTAACAATAATAACGACTTTTATATATCTCCAACTCTCTATATATATATATATATAAATCTTGTTATTCCTAGCTGTTAAACTTCTGATAAATTCATACTAAACTTCTGATAAACGCTTGAAATAACCGACCAATCATACCCCCTTGACCCGCCCGCTCTGGATGCGGTAAGCCTTCCGTCCCCATATCAATCTCTACTATACCTATTTGTGATGGGATCCTCCGGGTAAAACGAGATAGCAGCAGCGTGATGCGATACGGCGGAGCGAGCGCGAGGGAAGGACACTGGTCTGCGAGATTGTGCGGATAGATCTTGGATATGTAAGGGTCCAAGGAAAGGTGGACGTAGGAAAAGGGAACAAAGGGTATGCTGTAAGCGTGTGAAAGACGGGATATTATAAGGGTTTAGGGGAATGAAGAGATGGAAAGTGGTGGTTGAAGCTGCGGGAGAAGAATGGGAGGAATTGTGAACGATGCAGAATTGACATCAAGGAAGTGGATGTTGAAGGAAGTGCATGTTAGAGGAGTGTGACGGACAGGGATGTCATGGACGTACATATCACCGCAACACTGCAGAACCAATTACACTGGATGGAGATGATCTGCCCCGCACAGCTTCACCCCCATCCTTGAAGCCGTCTGTCTGTCTGTCAATCTATCAATCTATCTCGTTATCACCTCCCTCGTATGCAAGCCGGGAACATGGATACATAAACATGCGGCCCTCTGACCTTGCAGAAGTACCTAACAACGCCGTTCTTCGTTTGCTTCGCCGACTTCGGATTCCTACTCCTCTTCGCTGAGCAGCGAGCGAGCATTCGACACCGTCTCGCCGATTGTCTACGGTATACGTAAGAGGACAATGGACGTGGAAGCCAAACCCGCGGACCCGCCCGTCGAAGTGCGGAAACTATCGACTCAGCACGACAACGCGGACGAAGTCGCCGAGGCCATTGCCATCGAGCATGCCCTTACGTTCTGGCAGGCCGTGAAGCTGTACCCAAAGGCGATTGGATGGAGCGTGTATTTCAGTCTCGGCGTTATTATGCTGTGTATGTATGCTTTCTTGCTTTTCCCATCTCCTTCCATTTCTCCTCTAATCAACATGTTAGGAAGAGAGAGGCTGATGGAACCGATCTAGCATTCGACCCGCAGCTTCTGGGAAACCTCTACGCAATGCCCGCGTTCCAGCGCGACTTCGGCTACCCGTTTGAAGACGGCTACCTCATCTCCGCAGCATGGCAGACAGGGCTCGGCATGGGGAATCCCATCGGGCAAGTCGTGGGCGCGCTCGCCGCCGGGTACCCCATGGAATGGTACGGGCGGAAACGCACGTTTGCCGCGTGCGTCGCCGCCGTCGCGGCCCTCGTCTTCATCCAGTTCTTCGCCCGCTCGCTCAAGGTGCTGCTCGCGGGCGAGCTGCTCGCCGGGCTCGTCCTCGGCGCCTTCGTCGTCATCGCCCCCGCGTACGTTTCCGAAGTCTCGCCGCTCGTGCTGCGCAGCGTTGCTACCAGTTATGTGAATTTGTGCTTTGTTACGGGACAGTTGCTTGGGAACGGGGTTACGGCTGCTACCAAGGATCTGGCGAGCCACTGGGCGTATTCGATCCCGTTTTCGCTGCAGTGGGTGTGGATTCTGGTGATCATCCCGGGGCTGTATTTTGCGCCTGAGAGCCCGTGGTGGTTGGCGCGGCAGGGGCGGTTGGAGGATGCCGAGACGGCGTTGAGGAGGTTGTCGGGGAACGGGGTGAATGTGAAAGCGGTGCTTGCGCAGATTGTCGAGACGGACCGCTTGGAGACGCGCCTCGAGGCTGGGAGCTCCTATCTCGATGTCTTCCGCAAGACCAACTGGCGCCGCACCGAGATCGCGATTGGCGTTTATACCACGCAGGTTCTCTGCGGCATCTATCTTATCAACTACGGGACGTACTTCTTCAGCCTTGCGGGGCTAAACACGCAGCAGGCGTATAACATGGGGATCGGGTTTTTGGCCGTGGGGTGGGTGAGTACGGTGTTCTCGTGGTATCTGATGCTGCGGTTCGGGAGGAGAGTGCTGTATAACACGGGTCTCGCACTCCTGATGATCATCATGTTCCTGGTCGGGATCCTGGATGTCGTGCCGACCAACGGCGCAGTGTGGGCGCAATCTGCGCTGTTGCTGGTGTGGAACTTCACTTTTGACTGGAGGTATGTCTTCATCGCTCTTCTTTTGCTGCGTTGGCGGATCCCAAATGTGTCTAACCTGCCACCAGCGTCGGCCCTGTCGCCTATGCCATTTTCTGCGAAGTCAGCGCAACACGCGTCCGCTCCAAAACCATCGCCGTGGCAACGGCTTTCCAGGCTACCGTCGGTATCATCATGACGGTCGCTATCCCTTACCTCATCAACCCGGACGAAGCGGATCTACGCGGGAAGCTGGGGTTCTTTTTCGGTGGATTGAGTGTGCCGTGCCTGGTGTGGTGTTGGTTTCGGGTGCCGGAGATGAAGGGACGTACGTTTGAGGAGCTCGACATCATGTTTGAGCGGGGTGTGAAGACGAGAGATTTCAAAGACTATGTGATTTAGAAAAAAGAGAAACTTGTGGGATCGAGGTATTCTGCTGGACGCTTGACCGTACAAGATGTTGATGACTAACTCGATATGATGGTTGGAATGGATACTTGTCGAGAATGATGGCTCAATGGATCATATTCGTAGCTGAGAAGATCAACGCAGTGTTGAATCTAGACGACCAAGAGTTCTCGTGTTTAGAGTGAGACTCGTGCGATAGATCCAACAAGCCACTGGAAGCTCATCACTGCTGCGTGGACGAAGGCCAGATAACGAGGCTGCCCACGAATATCCCGCACGTGCTGACCATTACTTCGGAATTGCCTTCTTGAGCAGAGAATGCGAGGGAGCCTATAAGAGACTGTTAGCCAAGGTTCCATAGTGTTGATAACTGCTTACAGCAACGTCAGCGTATCCGACAAGCACCTAGCCCGTCAGTCTACAAGAGACATTCTCATTCTTTGTCTGTTCCACAATAGACAGAATTCCAAAGTTGTGGTTATGGCTGGGTGCGAAGTGCATGCGAATCTTCTCGAGTTCGACCATATGCGCAGATCGTGGCTTGATTTCGAACTGACTCAGTCTTCTCGCATCATCTACTGTAAGAAGAAATCGAGCTCCTTCATCCTACTGCATGACCTCCATGGCATGAATAGTGGCGTTGATGGAAGGAATCGTAAGATATACCCCCCAGTGTGCACCGCATAGGGACACGTAGGGTGTTACGTAGATGTGCAAATCTAGGTCTAATGATATTAATCATCGATTCTGTGTGAAGCACAATATATAAAGCGGATATGTCCTGCAATTGTGTCAAAGAATAACAGACAGACTCAGAATACTGAAGTTTGGGAACATGACGCAGCAGGGCTCCTCTGCTTCCACGAACTCAATGAACTCCCAGCCCACGTCCCCCTCTTCTTCTTCCACATTTCCATGCGCAAACGATGTCGAACTCAATCAGACTATATCAAAAGAGCCGGCAGAAAGGAACCAGCTTCTTGCAAAACTTCGCGGCCAAACAGTTCGGATCCCAAACCTCGCGCCTTTATTCGCCCACTGGCCTACCAAAACCAACGTGCATCTAAACACCATCCGCACAGACACCAAAAGCTGGATCGACGAGTAAGTCCATGTGAATGGTTAACCCGCACTTTCCCAGTCGCGTTCTCCATCACCACTAACAGACAGCCTATATAGGATGTCTCCGGCAGGGAACCCAACCAAACCGCTGCAAGAATCCGACTTCGGGCTCTTCGGCGCCACATTCTGGCCCGCGGCGCAATACTACAAGCTCCGCACCCTGACGTACTTCGGTATCTGGCTCTTCATCTGGGACGACCAGATCGACGTCAACGATGGGGCTATGTGGAACGAGACTGCGGCCGCACAAACGCATCGCGAGCAGACTCTCGCGTATGTGCGGTACGCGCTGGGCCTCGACGACGACGATGCCGCGCGCCCTCCCATTTCCAACCCGCTCATCCTGAACTTCGAACGCGTCGGCGCGGCGCTGAAAGAAGCGTATACAGTCGAGCAGAACGAGGCGGTGCTAAGAGAAATGGAGGTGTTCATGCACATGTCGGAACGCGAGCAGCGGATGCGGGTTGCGGGCGCGATTCCGTCCATTGAAGAGTTTTGGCGGTGCAGGCTTGGGAGCAGCGGGATTGGATTGTGTCTTGCGTTCACTGAGTTTAGTTTCGAGGATATGCGCTTGCCGGCTTCTTTTTTCGAGCGCGAAGATGCGGAGGTTCTTAGGCGTTGTACGATTACGCTTGTTGGTGCCACCAACGATCTCTTGTCGTTGAAGAAAGAGATTGAGCGCGACGCTATTGATTCGCTGGTTCCGCTCCTGTATTATCATTCTGGAGGTGGGTTGCAGAGTGCGGTGGATGAAGTTGTTGCGTTCTTGGGGCGGGAAATCAAGAGGTTCGATTTGGCGGCTGATAGACTGACGAAGGCGTATGGGGCTGGAGATGAGGATTTGAGGAGGCAGGTTGGCGAGTACGTGGAAGGGTGTCGGTATTTCACTACTGGGAATCTGGAGTGGAGCATGTCTACTAGAAGATACGGCGTTGAAACTGTGGATGGAGAGATTGTGATGAAGCTTTAACCCTAGGAAGACTGATTAGAACACTGCTGCATTTCTACTAGATTCTATGTACATTGATGAGCAAGTAGCGCGAAATTCCCCACATACATTTTACTTCAAGGTTTCGGGGCCAAAATCTCGTTAGGGATGTATACGTTGCAATCGGCGTGTGGCACAGTGATTTTCGGTGAAGATTTTTTCAGTGTTTGCTGTGCCGCACGGGAGCACGAAACGACGAATCCGCCCGTGCTATAGCTTTGTCCTAACAGCCCGTGAAAACGCTATTCAATCGAGAAAAACCGGTAGCGTTGCGAATACCAGCACCTGGATCGACTCCTTTTCCGTATTCCAAAGCAAGTATGAATCGCTCTATTCCAAACGATTGACGTACCTAGCGAGGAACTCTACGGACAAAAAGAATGTGGATACCGGCGGGATCATCCACGCCTCAAGCCGATTACTTCCGGGCTAGTGGTCTTTAGACATTCTTGACCACTTGTCGAAAGGTATGTGCTCTATTTCCAGCCCCCACATACCCACCTGGTAGACGTTGACCTAGCCAGAACGGTGCCTTACAAAGACCGCACGGCCAACAGGACCTGGTGGTCAAGACGGATACATTCGCCATTACGAAGCTGCGATAAACACTGCCCTTTCTTGAATTACGAGGTCAGAGAGTCACGTGGCTCGTTCTTCAATGCGTTCTTTATACTCGTGCCTTGTAAGCGCGTTTCCAGTCGCGCAAGTCACACATTCTCATGCGGTTACTGGCACGCTGGGCAGTGTAATCTTAGTCAATGCAATCACCCTGCTAGTGCTTATACTTACCAAGCCTAGGTCCGCATACGCCTCACGATGTATCGATTAGTACTCGAGCATTGTCACTCCTGTGTACACGCTATGAGAGAAGGGACTGCCGTGCCTCAAGGACCCGAATTTAAAAGATAAATAGCCACGCAGCACATATGGCTGACATAAAGTAGTCCTTCAACCAAAATCCACTGCGCCATCCAACTTTCGACTCGCGTCCAACAGCAAATATATTGTTTATTGATTTTTCCTCATCATGGCTGATGTTATCGTAGTTGGGGGCGGCACAGCCGGCGTCGTGCTCGCTTCACGCCTGCACCAACGCAAACCAGAACTATCAATCACCCTTATCGAAGCAGGCCCGGATGTAACCGGACACGCCCACGTAGCGAATCCTGCAGAGGCTTCGCTGCTCCACTTCTCCGATCTCGACTACAAGTACATGACCGTCCCTCAGAAGCACTTGAATGGCGCGCCACGTTATAACTGCGCCATCAAAGGGCTATCAGGAGGCACAATCATCAATACTGGGGGATGGATTCGCGGGGATAAGAAAGACTATGATGAATGGGCTCGCACTGTAAAAGATGATCGATGGAGTTATGATGGGTTATTGCCTTATTTTAAGAGGTCTGAGAAGCATTTTGATCCTAATGCGGATCCTACCCAGCATGGCTTTGACGGACCGATCACGACTGCTTCAGTCACCTCGTCTGGCCGGACGTTTCCTCTAAGGGAGACGGTGTTCAAAATGTGGTCCAAGGGACTCGGGTTGGACCATGTTCCAGATGCTAATAATGGCCATCCGCAAGGTATCACCGATCTGGTTGAGAACTGGAAAGACGGGAAGCGGCAGATAGCCAGTGATGTCTATCCTTTGGATGGAGTCAAAGTCCTCACCGACACCGCGGTACACCGCGTGATTCTCGAAGACAAGGTGGCTGTGGGTGTCGAACTCGTAGGCGGTGAGAAGCATCTAGTCAAACAAGGCGGGCAAGTCATCGTCAGCTCGGGAGCATACGGAACTCCCAAACTGCTCCAACTCTCTGGAATCGGTGAACCCGCTCTTCTCTCCCCGCTCGGGATAAACACAACCATTGATCTGCCGGTTGGAAACAATCTCTTCGACCACATGCTGCTGTTCCGCTACTGGAAACTGCGGCAACCAGAAAAAGGGCTGGCGCTCGGGTCTCCAGACTTTGGCGGCCCAAACTACGATAAGGGAGGGCCCGTGGACTGGCTCGTCACAGCCCCGATCCCAACTGTGCCGCTCAAAGCGGCGCTCGAGAAGGACGAGGGCCACGTCTCTGACCATCATCCTCTACTTCAAGGGCGGAGCCACTTGGAAATGAACCTATTGTATGCAGCGCTTGGTGCGGAAACGCAAGGTCTGACAATCCCACTAGACGGGAAATCAATCATGACGTTCTTCATGGGGTGTCTTCCAACATCGCGAGGAAGCGTGAAGCTGAGCTCCAGTGATCCCCTGGCTCCGCCGTTGATAGATCCCAACTACTACGCTACGAATGCTGATAAGCATGTCATGCGACAAGGCTTCCGTTTACAGTCCAAAGTCATGCTGGAAACGCCCCAAGGCAAGGACCTCGTTGTCGAAGAATACATTCCTCCAGGCCAGGACGGCAGCGCGGCAGACGCTACTGACGAACAGATAGATGATCGGATCAAGCTGGGTGGATCCACTGTCTTCCATCCGGGAGGCACAGCTGCCATGGGTAAGGTCGTCGATGCGTCCCTCAAAGTGTATGGAGTCAGGAACCTCCGAGTGGTGGATGCAAGTGTGGTAAGTCCCGCTGCTTATAGTTGAGTGGTAATGGAAGCTGACGGCGCTGTGAATAGATACCTGCGCCGATTGCTGCGCATCCTCAGGCTCCCGTTTATGCCATCGCTGAGCAGGCTGTGGATATCATATTGAAGGAAGACTTTTGAGCTCCCTGGCGATGAAGAAGTGATTGGGGTGCGGCGGCCTTTGAAATGGACCGGATACTAGTTAGTTAGCTCTAGCGACATCATTGAGAAGATCACCGCCCAGTTACTATCAAGATTCAGTGCGATGCGTGTACTACGATACACCGAATATACCAGTTTCTGTGTTTTATTGAACAAGCGCGAAATGATGGAGCGATTTGAACAAGTCGTCCAGGTCGTGCAAATAACATCCATAGCGGCGATTACTCCACACAGAAAAACGATCCCAAACGGCGAAATAATCGAGTTTTGACAGAAGCGAATTGGATTGGTATATCAAAAAAAAGAGTATTCAAAATTATATATAAGAAATTAGATCCGTCCCCGTAGCAGCCGCTAATACTACCGTTTTTTCTTTTCTGATCTCGGGAAATTATGCCCTGTGCCTCTTCTTGACCCCCTGTTCCCCGGCGCATCCTCGTCCTCAGACATGTGGCCCGGAAGTTCGAATCTCTCCACGCTTCTTGACGCAGCCAGCTCCGACACATTCGGTCCCGCGAGCTCGAATGGCGTTGCGTGTGATGACCACGGAGGCGATAACGCGGATTGCTGCTCTGGTGAGATCGGGTATCCGCCTTGTGGGTGTTGATGTTGATTTTGGTGTTGGTGTTGATGTTGGCGTTGCTGTTGGTAAGGGTGGTTGTGTTGTGTGTTACTGTCTGGAGCAGTGTAGCCCCATTTGCTGTCCCTGAGAGGAGGCGAACCTGGTGGAGAGTGGACCAAGCCTGCTTTGGAGGATACCGGGCTGTCCATTTCGGATGGTGGCGGCATCGCTCGGCTTGATTGATTTGGGTGTGCGGCTTGTGCTCGTTGCTTGCGTCGTCTGAGGAGGAAGAATACGCCCACAGCTGCGATCACGAGAACGCCTCCGACTGCGCCGCCTACTGCACCACCTATGACTTTAGTATTGTCGTTGTCTTCAGGAGTAGGGGCCGGGGTTTCCGTTGATGCCGCTGGCGGTGGAGGTGGATTGATGTCCCGAGTTGGGGGTCTGTCCGTTTGCGTGTGCGCTCGACTGAATTGCGTCTTCAAATCCCTATGCATCCAGCCCACCGGTGGTTCCTGAAGAGTAGCTCCGCCTTTCTCACTTCCTCCGATCTTCTTGTAGATCTCAGGAGGAATTCGGTAGCCCTTTTTCCCCGGCTTGAAATCTCCCCAAACCTCATCTTTGTCGGTTTTGCCAAAGTGGAGGTTGTGTTGGCCGTAGATGGTTGGGACGTCGCAGTTGCTGGTCTGGTTGGGGAAGTGGCCTCCCATGACAATCATCTGGGTGTTTTCGAATACTGTACATGAGAGCGAGTGGTGTGGATATTCGTTGTCGGGATAGAACTGCATAACTGTTAGTATAAGTTGTGATAATGACATCTGAGATATGGCGCTTGTTGTCCAAGCGAGAGCATGACTTGCCTTGATCCACGTAAAAGATGGTAAACTGAGGATCCAAACGTCTCCGTACCCCGTTCCATCTCCTACCGAAGCACCACCGTAGAGATATCTTGAAAGAAGTCAGTAGATGGACACATGCGAGCGCCGTGTCGACTTACATGTTGTACGAAGAGCGGTCTTCCGCCCACGCCGCACCTGCACAGAACCGACGCCTGTTACCCGGGATTTCGTCGCCAGTAGCATTTTGCATAAACCACAAGTTGTTGGCAATGTCGTAAATGCGGATCATGTTCATCGGCATCTGCGATCGTTCAGTCTCGTGGATCGCATCACTTGGTTGCAGTCGCAGTACTTACCGGTTGCCCTATCAGGTTTCCGTTTACGAATTCGACACCCCCAAAGTACACGAGCATTCCGCCATCACCTGCTGGGATGTACACCATACTGCCTTCGGCGCGAGGGTTGTTGTCCGGTCCGGATTGGTTCCTGAATGAATTGTCGTTCATGTTGTAGATGATCATGTTACTCAAAACTGTTGTCGTCGGGTATCCGGGGACAGACGCGGCCGTCAAGTATCCTCCATAGTAAAAGCTCATCCCCTTGTCCTGTGCTGTAGCGCCAGCCCCTGTTACCGTTAGTCGAGGTCCACTTACTCCACTGCGCGTCGTTCAAACTCACCCCATGCTGATCGCTGTATATTCGTCGTGGTAGCGTTGGAGACATTCCATGTTTTGTAGACGATGTCGTAGAACCGCAGCTTGAACTCCTCCGGTCTCGAGTTGCCATATTCACCGCCATACTGATAGACCAACTTGTTCGACTCATCAGGCCATAACACTCCACCCTGAACAGAAGGCACCGTCTCGTCCTTGGTCAGTAAGCTGTGCTCCGGGAACGCCTCGTGTAAATTATCAAAGTCTGCTTCCCGCAACCAGGTACCTGTGGTTGATCGAGTCAGATGGAGCCATGTGAGCAAGTTGGCAGCCAAACCTACTTGTGTAGTTTGTTGATTCCGCGGAGAGAGGCGTCCAATTCACCAGCCCTCCATCAATATAGAACTTGCGATCAACGACGGCCGTCTGGTGTCCATGGAGTCGGCAAAACCCTTTGAGAGGATCGGTCTCAATAGCGAGCGTAACGGTTCCCAGGAACCATAATATTATCAAAGGAAACAACATGGTGGAGGATCCAGTCGCAAACCTTGAGTGAGTGAAAGAGCAACTGGCTGAGACTTGAATCTGGTCGACAGAAAGAAGGGGCAGATCTCAGACTAGACTATGCGGGGGGTGTAAGCCAGTTTAATGAGCTTCGCCACTTTTGGAAAGTCATACCTTATCGTAAGCATTGGGGCCACACCACTCGGTTGCCGCAGTTGCAGGTAAAATTGCGCTGCGATCCTACGCCGGAACAAATGAAACCTCGGTTTGCTGCTGCTTCGTCGCCCCGTCGACGCCGCACGCCTCAAACAAGGCAACATTCAATATAACGCTTCATGCTGCGCCCAAGGTCGATATCGAACTGCGCGTTGGGAAGCATGCGCCGTGCCTCGACGAGTCGGTTGGTATGCTAAGCGCAGGACGTTGGAGTATCAAGAGCCCAGTCCACGACTCTACGCGACGCTCGCGGTAAAGTCGACGTCGCGGACGAATACCATCTCCTATCCTGGGTAACGCGACACCCCCATGCTAAGGCTGGCCCAGACTACGGCCTGTTTGGAGCGCAAATGCCCAGTCTTCCATCCAGAGTTAGCTCTGCCTTGGGGCCTACTCCCGGTGCACTGACGCGCTTAGTATTCTTACACAGCGCGCGATGGGGTATGGTATTGTGGATACTCGAGACGTGGGGCGATGTGCTGCTTGGAATGGAGTATTCGTAGTAACGATGCTCTGATCCTGCGTAGTCAGTGCAGTCGAGTTCGACAGCACCCCATAGATTGTGGGACGAACCGCCTTCTCCAAAGTTGTGTACCTCGCCGTCGTGGAGTCTGCAGAAGCAGGGGCAACACACGAAGTCCGTAGCAGTGCAGGTGTCCGGAGATTATTGGTCAACAATGTATGTCAGCGAAGCACTGCTGCCCCCAGCTATTTATACGAACTTACTCATCGCCCTCTTCAGTTACATGCTTGAATACAATTTCTCGTGATGCGCTTCTCTCCCTTTATCTTTGGCTTCATCAAGTGCAGATAGTTGGCTACGCGTTGAGCATTACTTCATACGAAATGCTTGCATAGTCCATCCACGCACCTGGTAATCATGATGGCGGGCTACACTCTGAAACGAGACAGGGGGCGAAGAGTCCGCTCGCAGAGATTATCCCATCAACCCCCATCTCTGATCTACACACGCGCATACCAAACAGGTTTCGCGCGCGGCATACACAGGCTCCAGATCCATGACCGAACTCGTGCGGAACGATTGCGACTCTTAGCCCAATAGCGCAATACATGTGAGATCTAAGATGAACGACTCTTGACAGCTTCAAAATAATCATCCCCAACCCCCATATCTTGATAGTCCCTCCGCCCTTCCTTACATGTGAAGTCTTTTTTAGGGAGTTCGCGTAAGACTCGCAAGGCTGTCCTCCAAACCCTTCAACGCGAATCCGCGCACTACACCTATCCCCCTATTCAAGTTTAGTGTCCCCCGACTGTACTGTACGCGCATCTTCTCCAGTAGTTCAACGCGTGCTCCGCTCAATGCCGTTCCGTCGCGGGGAATTTTAACGTACGGGTGGTCAAGCGTAAGGCCAAAGATGTAGCCAAATATATCGGACACAGACGAGTCGCCGAAGGCTAACAAAGTCGCGACTCCGTGGGTGAGCGAAGCACACGTGTTGAAGAATGATATGCTTTATCCGCGGCACGTTGGATTCGCACATGGTGCGAACATGGGTTAGCGAAGCCAGAGTCCGGCCCCCCTTGTGTTTGGAACGTGAAGATGCTGGATCGTGCTACACGGAACACGTGCTTCACGTGGAGTCATAACGGTCGCTGTTGTTTGACTAGATAGATGCGGTAGCGTCGTGAGTTTAGTTTTTTCTGGCGCTCTACAGTCGCACCGCGTCTACACGCGATGAGACATGCCAACCTGTCAAGTATGACCAAGGATGCGGTTGTCCGGTGCTGTGGTTCAGGCACGTTTCAGCGGAGGGTGACTGAGGAACCCCGGTCGCAGGGTATACGCTGCTTCCACCTCGCGATTTCGATGCCGTCGGGCTCGACTTGCCGTCCTACGAAATTCCGCGAAATGCAGTGGTATCATAAATAACATAGAGATCATCCAATGATACCACCTTTTCGGGAGAAAATGGAGAGAAATATTCTATCCGCTATTCCGCATGCGTCCATCATTTCTCACATTGTAATCTCCACCTGTGGGTTTCTTCTTTTTATCTTTAGAACATCGCTTTCTTCCGAACCTGCAGGCTGGGGTACCATACAGGTGTCGTGCGTGCTGTTGTACTTATTTATACGACAGAGGTATGCTTAAATTTGCGGTTGTCATGGTAAGATCCGTGAACCCTATAGCACATACTAATCATGTTGTGCCGGTGTGTTTGATTCCGGGGTACTTCAAGCATATGAGACAAAGATCATAGAACAATGAGATTCATTAATAAGCAGAACACTACGTAGCTATTCATACTCGATTGTGATCATGTATCTCTGCCCACCATAATCAATTTCACCAGATAACTACCCCCACTCAAGAAGTCATAGTGAAGGGCTGAGGATTCTTCGGAACAAGAGTAGCAACACTAACATGCGGCCAAGTAAGACCCGCAAAGTTCAAAAACACAGTCTGCGAGTACTGAATCTGAATGCCCTGGATCAAGATCGTCTTCGCCTCCGAAGGCAGCTTCGCCGGCGCCGTAACAGCGAAAACGGGTGTAGGGGCCGTCGCGTCCCTAGGCATAGTCGGCCTCAGCAAAACGGTGCAAGGTTTGGTGAATCTCGGAACAATGACGTCGTATGCGACCGTCTCGATCCAGAATCTGGATCGCATGAATGGCGCGTGGGCGTTTGGTTTATCGGGGGCGGAGGTGGCGCCGAGTTCCTGCGTGCCTGCAAGGAAACTGATGTTGGCGGTTCCACCGCCGTTGATGGTCTCAGTGGGACCGCCGGTGGAAACTTCGAACGTGATGTTTTCTTTGATGTTCAGACCGTTGATGGCGTTCTGGAGGACCAGGTTGGGATTCTTAATGATGTCGGTGTTGATTGTTCCTGCTTCTATGAACTTTGTGAGGGTCTGTGGGATTCTTGGACTGTTTGTGCTGCTTGCGTCCATGGCGAGGGAGAAAGGATTCGGGTTGAGGGGTGTGGTGGTTCCGATTGGGAAAGGTGTAGTGTCGAGGACCTCGAAGGTTGGGCCTCCTGGAGTGCCACCAAGAGTGGTAGCCTGTTGTTGGGGAGATAAGGCTTGCGCATTGATGGTCGTGCCATGTGGAATGGAGGCCATACGGCATACACTTGGTCCGTTTTTGGGGCTGGTTGTCTCTGGGATGTTGAGCCACATGCCAGGCTCGAAGTGAATACCGGTAGGGTTGGTTCTATCACCCTTTCCAGTCTCCCTGTTAGTGACGTCTTGGATGGTCTGAAGGTACGGGAAACCTCCAAGGGTAATATCGGACTGATTGTTGATGTTCAACCCGCGATTGGGGATGTCACCAATAGTCTCGCCGAAAGTCAATTGCTCCGTAGTGAGGTTGAGTTCAAGAATATTGTCATTCGGGCCAACTGGTGTCTGCTCGAACGGCGTCGCGTCATCGCTCGGGCGAGGGCGGAAGATGAGGTTGAATCCATTACCAGCATACGCACCCTGGAATTGGGCGAGTGGAAAGAGAGGAGCTGGAGGTGCAGGTAGTCCTGGAACCAGTCCTAGCTGTCCTGGCAACTGGGCCCCCAGTGATTCTGGCGACAACGGCAACCTTGGTGCGGGCAACTCGCCTACTTGGAGCGGCTGCTCCTGTGCTGTGACTTTTGCATCGAGTGAGGCAGCGAAAAGCGGAGTTTGTTCGACTGCACCAGGTCCCTCGAGCTCGTCAGATGGCTTCTTCTCGAAGCCCTGAACGACTTCGTCCACGGTATCCCATTTGAATCCCTTGAGGCTGATTACAGGAGCAGGTGCAGTGATATTGAACGGAGGGATGACTTGACCCTCTGGGGTAAGTTCGCTTGCCATACTGACAATGGAAAATGTGAAATGGAATAGAGTTCAAGTTGTTATCGATGATTCAGCAAATAGTCGTGAGTGTAGTTACGATAACGAGAAAATGAGGGAGAGTTAGGACCTCTTTTTATATTGGTGAATACGATCACACTTGTACTACGTCTGGCCCAAAGCTGAAATTACGTTTTTTGTACTCGGAATGTTCCAGGTAGCATCTCTGGAATTGAGTCCAGACCTTACCCAACAAGCTCTATCATTTGTCCTTACCGTCTTGCATGGCGCCCCTAAGCCTCCTAGCTGGACTACATATGTGGTGGCTGACTGAGTCTGGAGAGCTGGTCGCCTTTAATTGCCTCAGCTGCTCATTCTTTTATCGACTTGGTAGTATTTTTTACTGTGATTTTTTTAGAAGTGAAGATCTTTTTCACTTTTTTATCTGGCTGAGTACCTATATCAACATGTCCTTCCACCCCTACAATAAATGACCCTCAGTCCGCCATAGACACTCATTACATAGTTTTGAATATCTGATACATTTTTCGCAAGATGTTGACGTCCAGACAGCAGGTAGCTGACTGTACTGGTCGTATAGTGTCTTAGCTCGCTTTGCTAGAGCTTATGGTTCCACAAACAACCGCCCGGTCAGGAGCTTCATGTGGTGGGGCCCGAATATCAGCTCACAAGTGATCCAATAATGAACCTTGTAATAGATCCAGTACACCTGACTATTACCACCTTTGTGACTGGCTTAGTCTTCGTCTGTTTGCCTTTTCTGTCGTGTCTTTCTCTTAATTCTATCAAGTTCGCAAAAACAACACCGGATCCGGTTGAAATGTAAGTCACCAAGCACATCTTTCAGCGATGGGTATCCACCAATACATGATTTCATGAACACGATGGAATAAAGCAGTAAGGTGTACCCAACGCCAGAGCCTACAATTGAATCAATTCTTCCTGTTCTATAGTAGGTCCCCACCAACGCAAAAGCAAAGCGATCTTGGCTGGTTTTTCTTCTGCCACGATTCCTTCGCTATCGAAAGTCTATCATAAAGTTTGAAGCTTACAGTGTTCAGGCTGAATATACGCGTCAGCTCTGAGCGCAGGCTTGGAACATGGGCTGAAATTTCGTATGCGATTGACCAATCGCACACCCGAAGTTTCAGCTGACCGCAGAGTATGCGGGGATATGCGAACGGTTTGTATCACGTAAAAAAACAGTTTGACGAGTGGTTACAGCTGTCAGCTCACCGTTGCATACATGCACATAACGGTTTATTGGTTGCCAATGCAGAACATAATGCAGGGAAACATGCATAGCGGCGGTTGATCATATTGCTTACTTCAGCGCACGATCTACAATAGCATTAAACTACCACGGTTTCTTGCGGATTGCCTGGATAATAACATAAGCTCTAGTTTGCGCATGAAAGTGTTAGTTGATGCTATATGCGACCAGTTGAATATTAGTGCAAAGGGATGCCGAACAGATGTATCCAACTAAAGGGGGTAGCTACGATCAAAGCCAGCCCGGAAATCCATGACAGACAAGCAGCGCCGAGGATAAGTCAATCCAATAGTCTTGGTAGCAGTCGTTGATACTCTCGGTTATCAGGTTAGCTTGATCGCACATGAGAAGGACGATACGAGAAGGCTGAGCGGCAAGAAACCAAAAAGCAAACCAGTTTGACATCTAGAAGCAAGTTGGCTTGCAGCTACCAAGCAAGCTGAGAAGCGGGAGCACTGCAGCTGTTACCAAAACTTATCACTTGCATATGCAACTCGCATTTTGAACAACTGTGGGGAATACCCCGTCTTGCAGATCGTTGAGACCTCTGCGCCACTGATTTGTTGTCGCGTTATCATTTGTGATGACTGTTCATATGTGTTCTATATGCGGAAGGGCAACCTTGATACCTCTGGGCGGTAGATTCTTTCACTTTCCTAGAATTCAGACACCTACCAATGCCTCGCATCTTGAACGCGCATTCTCTTCGCCTACGCCAGCGACATCCGCTAGAGTCTGCAATCCCTTGACTGCAAGTATCTACGCGCAGTGTTTGATGATGCGCTTGTTGCCCTCTTCTGATTCTGCAGTCTCTGGCACTGCCTATCAATGAAATGATTCGAGTTCACTTCCATCGAAATTTCAGAAGAGTGACGTAGTTTTGTACCTTCTCGTTGACCTAGTAAGTCTCGTCTCATCATGCGTGGGGGAGATACAGCAGGCTGCAGGACATACAAGAGAACAAGGTAATGGCTGTCCCCTATATTCTCTGCTAGCTATGCTGTGCTCGCTTGAACCTTCAAGTTGCTGAGCTGATGGGAGACTCCAAGTAGTTATGTCGGATGATTGCGTAGAAAGATGTCATGTCGGACGCCTACTTCCCATATGTTCAGCCTCGAAAGTATCCACCATGCACAGCCCTGTCGTCGCACCAAAGGTGTTAGTGCGATGCGTGCCCTGATGTCTCCTGATCTAAACCCTGGCAGTATGTCACTGACTAGTACTATTGCGCTATTTGACGAGCGACAGACAGGGCTGTCGAATACCCTACTTGTTAAGCGATTCGGAATGTAGTTAAACAAGAGACTAATGGCAGTATTAGTGGGTTTTCAGGCATCTTAAACAGTGTCGCTCTCCTCCGATATTCCGACATCGCTCCACAATCGGTAATTAGCTAAAGCGCTAGATTCAGCCCTACAGTGACAGAAGATATCCACTTTCGTGGCTCAATTGATTGCCTTATACATCATGATTGTTGATATAAAAGTTGCTTGAGTTTCTTAGAGTTCAAAATTCTATTATCAGCATCCATACATTCACTTGTTCATTCATTCATTCATCCATTCTTTCACACAACCATTCTAAACATGAAATTCTCTCTCGCTACTGTGGCTCTGGTCAGCCTTCTCCAAATCACCAGCGCGCTTCCCACGGATTCGGAGGCAAACTCTGTCATTCCCGTCAATGCTGCCACCAAGGAGGTCCTCGAAGACTTTGACGAGGCCAAAAACTCCACTCTCGAAGACCGCGGCTTTTTCGATAGCTACGAGTGCAAGACAGCCTACGTGCTCAAGATGTTCAAGTCGGGGAGATGCGATGGAAAGAGCACCAGGATCGATATGGTAAACTATCCGCTGTCAAATGAGTTCTTCGAGAACAAAGGCAGATGCGAGGATATTACCAGCAAGTCGGATATGCTGAGTGCAACTCTCAACACTGATCTCAACAGTAAGTCTCTTAGCCTCCACCCCGAAAAACCTCTCCAACTCTTCTTCCCATTTCTCTCATTATCATCAACACCTAAAAGAAGTCTCCGTTGGTGTGTCTCTTTCGAAACCTAGCTTACTGACTGTTGTTATTCTTACAGCTTTGCGAGTCATGTACTACAGTGAGCCCGGCTGCCCTAAAAAGGCGGAATACCGGAAGTCGAATGGAATTGGTGGCTTATGCACTTCACTGTTCGACAACAAAGCCATACTTGACAAGAAACCTATCAAGTCAATGAAGATTTACCAGTACAAGAAGGACGAGAAGTGCCGCGCCATTTACAAGAACGGTATTCCTGGAGGCGGACTCTGATCAAAGAATTGGGTAGAGGGAGTTGTATGAAATGTTCTTAATTTTGTGTACGATATTGAAGCCGATAGAACATAGATCAGTGAGACACAGCAAAAGACTTATAGATCAATCATCCACCTTGTTATCAGCGCTTGCTACACCAAAACGATGTAAATACAGGTTGTAACGTCGGAGTCAAGATTCCTGGTGGAAGTAGGAGAAGTAGCTGCGAACTCGATGGTATTATGTGCGAACTCCGGCCTTCCGATGGTTATTTCAATGTTTGCTAGACATCGTGTGTAAACTGACAGGAGAGAGACCCACGGAAGGATCGCAATTATGGATCCACTCTGCGGCTGGGGCATACTCTTCACCTCGTCGGCACTTAGATAACTTCCCGTGGAAAATTCGGTTAAGGCGCAGTCAAAAACAGGGTACCTGTATAGACTTAGGCCACGGCGATCGATAAGATCTGGTACAACACCACTTAGTAGACAGCCTCGAGAACTCAAACAGGGACAAATTTCATGAAAACATGAATGAAAACAAGTCATTGACTATCACAGGCAAGGATGAAGCTGCTTGCACCCGTGTTCTTTGACTCATGTATGGCCTCGAAGAAGAATCTCTCGCATCTCCACTGACAACAAGTTGTTTTCCGCCCACAGTTTTGCAAGAGCAACGGAGCCGTGGAGGAACACTAAATGATGATTAGTTCATACCCAAAAGATGGGACAAACATTGGTCGATTTCTGACTTACTGTTCAATAGCCATGCTACTCCCTCTTCCGTCTTGATATACTCTAGGGTCGCTGGATCGCCTAGCGCAAGCAGTGCGAGTATTTCTTCCGGTTTTCTCTGATTGACTGGGATAACCACGGGCTCTGGAACGCTCGGTGCAGGAGGAACGGCTGCCGATTGATCTTTGTCGCGTTCATTCTTTTCGTCATTGGCATCGTCAGAGACGACATCGCTGGAGGTGGATGGAATCTCAACTTCAACCCCTTCGCTTTCTTCGGTGATCATTGGAGCGTCATCTTCGGGGGCTATTGATGCATCGTTCTGTGTGTCTTGGCTATCCTCCACATTCGATGAAATAACAGCATCCGATCCATCTGTTATTTGGTCCTGGGTTTCCTTTGCTGCTTCTGAGCTCACTTCAATTTCCGGATTATGGTTACTCAAAGCAGCGTCCCCAACGTCTTCGCTTTCCTCAGTGCTTGCTAGTACTGCATTTTCCGATGTTGCTAATTGGTTTTCGTGGAGGGTTTTAACCTCACTGGCGTCGTCGAGAACACCAATTTCGGACATGTTCGATGGTTTTTCTTCTATCAGGTCGCTCTCACCGGCTTCATCTGCAGCAGGGTTTTTCGAATTGTCTTCATTTTCCACGACCAACGAGTCATCTTGGTCTTCTAGTGTTGTTAAGGGAGAAGCCGGTAGAGGTATACTCTCAGCCTGTAAGTCTACGGCCACTGAATCCTCGAGACCTGTCTCTTGGGTACTCTCAGCTGTAGCGACCTGTGATGAAGAAGGGGTTGATGGCTCTGGCAAATTCTCTTGTGGTGGTAGTGAGACAACGTCTTGAGAAATCTCAGATTCTAGTGGCACAGGATCAGCTGGCGTAGGATCTGATGCAGCCGCTGACGAGTCCAGTGCATTCGCCTTCGGCGGGTCGTAATCCTCCAGTGGGGTTGTGGATGGATTTATATTGTCGCTAGCTTCTGTCGCGCCCTGCGCTACGTCTGGGATCGTAGTTTCTTGTGAATCCTGTGCTTCCCCACTGACATCGCCAGCGCCCGATATTTGGCTCGAGGTATTTTCTTGCCCAACTTCTGTTACGTCTCCCCCGTGCTGTTTTCGTTCCTTTTCTACCATCTGAGGGAGAAACAACGGTCTCAATCCCCTATTGTGTTGGCTAAGCCGCTTATTCGCTGCATCCCTGGTGTGCTTTTCGATCTCATGTCGGTCGAAATGCTGATGTTCCCCGGATGGAGAGACGGCGTTGCTGGAATGAGTTCTATCGCTTAATGCAAGACTGTTACGCTTGCTTCCCGCGTTGCTGCTGTCGTCTTTTACTGAGTTTGCTTCAGACTCCGGCCTTTGGACACCAGCAAGTGCTCGTAGAAGCTCCCATCTTGCTCTTGTCTCTGCTGATACTTTGGAGCTTCGGGATGGATTACTGATATTCCATGATATCTCGGGTACAGCCTCTGGTTCTTCCCCTTCATACGTCGATTCGAGAGATTGGTTTTCTGCTGGGGGAGTGGGGTGATCCATTTCGGTATGCGACACTGGATCCACGCATGAACTGAAGTCAATGGGATTATCTTCTTGCCTGGCGTGCTTTCAGGAAAAGAAACAAAAAGAAAGAATTAGGTAAAGTTCTGATGGCGCTTGGGTTCCCAAAGATAGACATCGTGTGTAAAAGACTCTCGGGTGCCGAAGAGAGCATATAGATGCTGAGCGTGCGCGCATCAGCAGTGTAAGCTTATTAATTACCCTTTTCGTGTCCAGGCTGATAGTCTATAGGCAAGCTGTTTTTAATGAGATGTTCCTCGAAGATCATTGGTCAACTTGAGTTGGGGGTCAGCCGCTCGTGAACTTGGTGTGGTAGCATGTCCTTTGTCATCAGCCATGCTTACTACAGCATATGCCAAATACTACCAGTTTTCGTGATCAGCTGCCCCTAATTCGACTGTGCCTCCCTGTGGCTACACCGTGTAATACGGAATGTGCGAGTTTCTGCATAACGGTCCCGAATTTTTTATTGCTTTAGCCACAAATATCTTCATCTCAGCTCTCCACACTCTGCAAGATGCGACGTCTAAGCAGTGAGTGTAAGCCGGTGCTGATTTTGGCCCCTCCCTAGGCAACGCGCAGGATTTAGATGAAGCTGAAGCCTCTTGAACTCTGAGCATGAGATATTCGTATAAATACTTATTGCAAAAATTCTACAACCACATTCGATGTCCACACACACCATTTCAGAGAGCTCCGACACAACGGAGTCAGTTAACCTAGCACTTCCCCAAAGAAATAACTCGCACCGGAGACACATTTCCCTCGCTCAAAGCCTTATCATTCGCGGTCACATATCTCACAGGATGTCGCAATTAGGACCAGAAACGACGACTGCACCGATTGATGCTCCTGTTGATCAAAGCACTCCCGCTGCGACCGCTCCCGCCCCAGAAGCTCCTGCAACAGTAGCACCGCCTGCTACTGCTACACCAACAGCCATTCCTGCTTCTACGACTCCAGCGCCAGGTGCTCCTACTCCAGCTATTCCCGCAACCAGCACTCCTTCTTCGACCGTTCCCCCTTCAACTGTTCCACTTGCAGCAGCTCCGTCGTCCACTACGCCAGTTCCAGCTGCTCCGGCTACTGCTACACCTGAGCCAGCCGCTCCGGCTCAGTCGCAAGCGACCGCAACGCCTACCAGTGGTCAAGATTCTGCTGTGCAAGACAGTGCCAAACAGACTTCGGCTGCTACAACGCAAGACGCGGCCCCTACCGCTGCGGCCCAGCAAGTGCAAAGCGTCGAAGAACCTCAAGTTGCAACTGAACAAAGCAATGAAGCGTCTGCACAGACATCTGCCACCCAAGAATCAGTTGTAGATTCAGCTCCTTCGGCGCAGAGTGCCCCACAAGATCAACAAATTTCTGTGGGAACAGCTGAAGCTACCGAGATTCCCTCTGTGCAAGATGCCCCACAACCTCCTGTCACAGATGCATCCCTTCCTGCGAGTGAGCCAACAGTCCCAGAACAGCCTACTGTGGACGAGTCGGCGGTCGCAAGTGAACCAGCTATCGTAGATCCAGCTCTTAATAGTGAGCCAGTTGTGACAGAGCAACTACCAAAAATTGAACCATCTGTGGTGGATCAGGGTTCTGCTAGCCAACCGCCTGCTACGGAGCAACCAACTGCAGATGTACCATCTGTTGCAGACCCAACCTCGGCCGGTGAACCTTCTAGTAAAGAACAAACTGCCATCAGCGAGGCGCCTGTTGACGCACAGCCTTCTGCCGAAGAGCCGAATTCAGGTGTCAACACTGCGATAGTAGATGAGAAACCCTCGGCTGAGGCTGATTCTCAACAGCCTGCATCAGAGCCCACTGCTACGGAACAGCCATCCCAAGATTCTACTACGGCAGAAGTACCTGCAGTCGACGAAGGGTCTGCCAGCACCCAGCAATCTGATCTGGCCGATCAAACCGACTCTGCAGCTTCGGTGTCAGCGACCTTTGCTGACGAGACTCCACTTTCAAGTGTGCAGGGTAGCAAAGATCACACAGTGACCCAAAGTGGTGTTGGCGAGGACTCGGATAAGATTGAATTTGCAGACGCAATAGTTGACTCGAAGTCCTCTGAGCCCACCGGAAATGATTCGACCGCTGTTCTTACGGATCCCGTCGTTGACGAGCCTACAGCGCCTGAAGAAGGTCCTGTTGACTCAAGCATCACCGGCTCGAACGATGCTGTCGCCGGTGAGGACCCATCTTCCATAGATGCGCAGGCGGAATCCACCGACAACGCCGCAGACTCCTCCGCCGCAGAGAACCAAGACGGCGAGGCCACTCCTGACCCTGAAGAATCTGCCCCCACCGATTCAACGGAAGCTACAGCTACTGTCAATGATACAGAAACTACGGAGGATTCGACAATCACGCCTGTTGTCGCAGATCCCTCAAGTGCCACCGCAACACCTGAGCAAGCGAGTGTGCCTGTTTCTACCGCGGTCGAAACTAGCTCTCCCGCATCGAAATCGGTGCCCACCCCTTCCCGCTTTGCAAATGATCCTCAGTTTGAGGCTACTATGCGCATGTTTACGAATATCACCAGTAAGTTCGATTGAGACGCGCAAGACTGCTTTTTGTACTAATAGTGTAATCTTAGATCAAGGGCTTACCCAAGAGCACATCCACAGCTTGGTGCATGTTGGTACTTTCGGATTGGCCATGCTGGCTAAGATGTCTGGTATGACGGCTGGATTTGAAGACAACAACAAACCTCGAAATCAATAATTATGGTGCGCGATTGGTACCCGCTCTAGATTCATCACAACCGGCTTTTTTTCGCTCTGCTATTTGCTGTTCAACGTACCCCCTTAATTTATATATAAGTTTCCTGGTCAAGCATGCATATTATTCCATCCTGCCATCTAAAACGGAATCGAAGCTGTGAAGAACTGTTGAACCTCGCCACTAACGTTTCGCATGACCCTTGTCCTGGTCAAGATGCCACTTCACCCCACGACGAAAACCGTCTTCCATGCTAACCCTGGGCTCATATCCCAGCCTCTCTCTTGCTTTAGTGATGTCGAAGGTGCGTATCTGGCCAGTATATCGCAGCATCTTCGCTTTGACCTCTGGCTCACCGCCAAACGTGAAGACCCAGTATACCAATTCCCAGATCTGCATGAAGAAGCATACCAGCTCCATAGGTATCTTCCAGACTTGCTGTTCGGTTATGGGATAGCCGGCCGCGTTGGAGACGAACCTTGCAGCACCCCAGAAGAGCCACGGCTCTCCGTTGGTCATGAAGAAAACTTCACCGTCAACTCGTTTGTTTTCGGGAACTTTCCCTTCGGAAGTGGCGGCTTTGAGGAGCGCCTAAGTTGTTTTCACAATGTAAGAAAGAGTTAGTATGGTTACATATGAGAGAGGTAACGTACCTTGGCCGCGAGCAAATGTCCTTCTGCAGCGTTTCCTCCATAAATGAAGTCATACAGATTTTTCCCCTGGCCTACTTGATATTTGATAGTTCCTTTCCTCCCAAGTTCAATAAAGTGTCTCGTGAGCACTCTATCTCCCTCCCCAAAGATCGTACACAGTCTGATCACGGTTGTCAAGAGCCCCTTCTGCCCGTTTGCGGCAAGCGCCAGGCCTTCACCAACAACCTTGGTTTTTGCGTAAACACTGCCATTGACTGGATTTTCTTGGACCGGCCAGTTTTCATTAGCCCATACCATGTCGTGGTATGAGTCCTGTACGACTTCGGAGCTGGATGAGTGCACGAGAACACGAATCCCCTGTTCTTGTGCGCACTCGATAACGTTTTGCACTCCCACGATGTTGCATTTCGCGAAGACGGATTTATCTGGGGTCATGGCATCGGGAGAGGCGACGTTGATGATGACATTGGGATTCGTTTGCTTCATCGCTGCGGACACGGCGTCCTTGTGAGAGAGGTCTCCGGCAATGTAAGTGATACCATTAAAACGATTTTGTTTGATGGATATATCGAACACGAAGATTTCGCTGGCGGGTTTGTCGTTCTCGAGGAGAAATTTGACAATGTGGCGGCCAAGGAGACCGCATCCTCCTATGATCAGGACATTACCCAGATCCTGGGCGGCGTGCTCTGGAGGTAACATGACAAGCAGATCCGAAAAGAGCGGTACGAGTGTTATTGTGTCCTATAGTGATCTCAGGGAATCGCTGGAGGGAAAACATGAAATATATGAGGCTTGAGCGTTGGACAGCTCGTGGCTTAGCGGCGGCGTAGTTACTAGTATCAAAAGATAGCCGGGGGTGGGCTGCTGGGTATGTTCGCCCAATCAAAACGGACCTGTGCTGTGCGTCGGTACTGAAGCCGAGACAACACCAGGTGTCTGTGCCACATTCGTGCTATATGGGAATTCTCTGATTTAATGAAGTACATAGAAGCCCAAACAGGTTACATGCATGCCTTAAGTTGGCTAACCACCCAACACATTCAATATGACACGATATGTGTTTTCACCATATCTATATACCCGCAGTCCCCACCAGAAGCGAATAGAAAGCTAATAAAGATATTTTGTATGCAGTCATCTGTCGTATACCCAATTTCTTCATCCGCTACGAATACGAAATAGTATACAAGCAACATACATATATACTAGGGCGGCGTTTGCTTCGGAACTCCATAACGAGTTAGATCTTACGAACCCGACTTTGATATACACCAAAAAAAAAGGATCTGATTGAATAGGGATACCCAAAGACCATGCCGTATCTTCTCGGAAGCACTCGATTCCATTGCGTTAAACACAAAACCCATAAGACTGAAAATGAAAACATTTGAAAGCAGAAGACTAGTGATGCAAATTCCGCACGATCCCGAACAATAATGTGCAACCGTATTCAAGAATTGCCACAACATTGAACCGTGTATGTAAACGTAGATTAGTCTGCTTCGAGGGCAATGCTTCTGGAGGGTATCAGTTTCGTTGTAAGATGGTCAGACTGATCCTTACATAGGAGGTACATAGGTATGTATAGTGTTCAATTGTCAAGGTTCATCCTGGCTCCCGCAAAGAAACAAGATGAATTGAATGTAATTTGAACTCCAAAATCGTAAGTGATGAACAACCAGGAGCACCTAAAACTGCTGAACTTTGTACAAGAAGAATGAAACTTGAGTTATATCACGTGCCTTTTTTCTTAGCGCAACCGAGGCTTCCGAACTTCCAAGGCTTCCTCGCCAACCCTCCTGTGCACATCCATTTCATCAACACCATCAAAAGCATCATGGCAGAACATCCATCATTCACACTCGCGGGACTACGTGAGCCAATTGACCCCCACTGACCCCGACCAGGCACTGACATGTATAGTGGCGGTCGGCGGCACGGCAGGCTACCTCCGCACACGCTCCACGCCCTCGCTCGTGGCCGGTCTCGTGCTGGGCGCATCCTACGGTTACGCCGGTATGCAGAAACCCTTTGCCATTTTTGTTTTCTCTTCTCATACTGATTGTTCAATCAGGCTACCGGATCAAGCAAAACCAGGACTATGGTACTGAGCTTGCGCTGGGAAACAGTATCGCGCTCTTTGGATCTGCGATCCCTCGTATCGTGAAGACAGGGGGAAGAGCGCCTGTGCCGATTGCGCTTGGTGCGACGGGCGCTCTTGCGACGTATTACTACCAGAGGAAAGTCAGGGAGTTTAGGTATGGGGTGTAGAGCGACTCTCGCATCGCCGTCACGTGGTCGTGCAAATCGCGACGGGACATGTATTATCTTGTAAAAATATTGTAAAATGAGTTGATTTGATGTGGAAACACAGGTGCGCTACGCTCCACTCTTATGTACCTCGAGATTGCCCACTGTACTGCTTCGTCGCCATGTTCTGCGTCCCACGTACATGTCTTGTAAACGACTCTCGCTGGTGCACTGGCGGTAACGCGGTAATTGGTCTCAGTTCACTACCAGCAGAACCCTGCTCCGCATCAACGCTCCCTTCAAACGAACGATCGTTCCCATCCAGCTTCAGGAAAGACCGCGACAGCTTCGACGATCTCGAAGCTCCGGACCGTTGGCTACTGTTATTTTCGCTGGGTCTGGATGCGAAAGCGGGGATGACTTGCACGACGAGCGGTTTCAGCGCGGGGACGCAGGCGCACACGATAGCTAGGTTCATCTCGATGGCTGCCCAGTATATCGGGGGTGCGGCGTAGAACATGCTGTCCTGAGGGTTCTGCGAAAGCACGTAGAGCGAGTGGAGGCGGATGATGGACACGATGGAAACGCTGATCAGACGGAAAGTCAGCAATTACGTTTTTCCATGAGGCGCCGATGAAGGATACTTACAACCAGCCCAGTGTTAACAGTGCGATCAAGGCGATCTTTTGTCTCCGTACGAGCTGTAGACGCCATATGACACGTATCGGCAGAGCGGCAATAAGCAAGTCAGTGACCATGTTTAGTGTGCCGTTGATATAACGCAGTCTAAACCGATCAGCAAGCGTTGATCATCAAGTCGAGGCAAGATACGACTTACACATCTTCATCAAGACACTTGGCAGCAGGTCTCTTCATCACGTTCCAGAACGCATCAACCGGCGTGCACACAAACGCGAAGGTGAAGAGCGCTTCAGTGCCAGTGGCCACGCAGAGTCCCATCACGATGTATATCGGGATTCGCGCTCTTTTGACAGCGAAGATGCGGCGGTATTGCGTCAATATGGAGACTTTTGTGAACGTGAAGCCAACGCAGTACGTCAGGATACTCCAGTAAAGATACTGCGCCTGGTGTTAGCAGCTTGGAATGCCTGAGACTACTGAAGTAGGCTGTTCAACATACCTTCAGGCTATTTATCGTCGATGGAAGATCGACCAACACTTGGTGTTTGCCGGCGCCCCATCCTACCTGCTTGATTTGCAGCGCAGCCTGAGCGACCGAGAACAGCTGGTGATCGATTTAGTATTGCGGCAGCGACATGGATTTTCGTCTTTTTACAAACGTACCATAGACACCGTGATGAAGCAGTCTTCCCATCCAACAAGCTGCGTGAAGCGAATCCGTACAAACAATCGAAGCAAGACAAAGACAAGAGCTAGCGCCGTGAAAGCGATCACAATGCTAACAGTCTTGGGCCCCTGGCTCTCACTCGCTAATATCGCGAGCTGCTCCGGCGGTATCGGGGGTGCCATATCCATTATAATGGTGTATGACGATCGTCGACTGCAACAACTGGTATCCACGATTTGCCCCTCCCATCTTCAGCGTATAACACCATCCATTATATACTCTCCCACTTCTCACAACCTGCGTCCCAGCAGCACCCAGAGAAGCGAAAGTTTAATGGTTCGCCTGCGGGTAAAATGTGAAGCGCAGGATGGGCAAAGTTCTGTGAGCCCGGCCATGGTACCTGACATGGGCTAGTGCAGCGTGCCCTGCATAACCACCTCAAGCAATATTGCTACCCAACTTTGCGAACTTTATACTGATTGGGCTAGGAGGGCCGGGCGAGGTACAGGTTTTGAGGGCGGTACTTAGGTAACGTATATTCTTCATCGTGGTCACTCTGTGATTGTCAAGTCGACTAGCCATGAGCTTGGGAAGGGTTGGTGGCCTTAGCAATGTGATCCTAGTGTTAGTATGTAGGGCAGAGTATGTAGACTGAGGTCGCTGGACTAGGCTACTTAGTCGACATAGTAGATCAATACAATTGAACTTGTTAGCAGCGGTTCACTCAACCCTACATATGAATTCACGAAACACGGCGCACGCATATGCACCCACGGCAGCGATAAGCAGGTAGCATCAATGTTAATCTATCCCACACTCTGTGCGCAACAACGACGCGGGATAATCCTAAACGCAGCGTGTTTCTGCGCGTGACTCTCCAAGATTCTGGATGCGGTGTGTGGCGCAACCGGCAGCTTGCGAAAAGAACGCGGCCGGCAATTTGTCGTATGCATGGCTGGCAGGGCCTGATGTGCGGGATTGTGCATTAGTGTTTAAGAAAGTTTTTTTTGGGCACGTACAGCGAGATGAAATCCCTTATTGTGTAGACCCTGAGGCAATCGCATGTTCGCAAGATTCCCATGTTTGATTCTGTCGATTTCTCCGAGATGATTTGCTGCTTAGCACGGAGAAAAAAAAAGAAAGAAGAAAGATTCTGCACATAAAGCATTGATGCTCCTATGTACACCTGGTGCTCCGGCAGCGAAGCCGACAGATCATTCGGTAAGTGGGGTAGCTTTGGAGACGGGACAGGCACATTGACATGAGTAAGGACATGGTTCCCCGCAGGAGAATCATGAAACCAACATTTGAACCCTCTTGGCAATGCTGTCTGTTGAGAACCAGAAAAACAGGTACCCGGTTACATGCATCCTAACGTCTAGACAATCCCACGACTGCGAGGCATATTAGCAGCTTTCCCCGGTCGTATTTTTAGGGTAGCCAGACTTGTGTCCTCCTGTAGTTGTTTGAGAAGTATGTAGTAGATATGCGTCTCTTGCGCCGGCACTGCGTATCTTCTCCTTCCGAGTGCCTGGCATTGTCGCACGCGGTGTTTCGAATATATTAGATTGAGCGCGAAATCGCATTTTATACTCGAATATCATATGCAGCAAACGCGACAGATGTATACATGATGGTATAGAGATTGGGGTGATAAAGAGCAAGTGAGGTGAATAAAGACTACCTCCTATCAGCACGCGCCGAAGTAATACATGTACAAAGCGATGATTTGAGCGATCGGCGACATATTTCAGGGTCTCCAAATACTTTACAAGCACTCCCAATGCGCTAATAAGTTGTAGGCAGCAGGCGCATTATCTTGACTTATGGCTGTCCCCTTGTTAACATTTCCTCTTTGCGCAGACAGCAAGCAACTGGTACGCCGTACGCAAAGTTCGCCAACACGACCCATTGAGTCGGATGTACCCGCGGACCACTATTATGTGCAGGGATATCATTAAAATTGAAATAATGCGATCTCTTTCTTAATATGAGGACATCATAATCGTTCCATTCCCAGGACAACATCCGATTAGAACGATTTTGTCACGTGGGCTGCGTCACGTTTGTGCCCACGAAGCGGCCAAGACAACAATTAATACGTAGATTCCTCAACCGCAGAATACCTTATATGATAGAGCACTCCGAACTTCATGTTTACGATTCTTTCATCGCCGTCAAGTCATAGACCCAATTATCTTGGAATGGCGATTAAGAGCAGAGACATGGTGGTTCAGCCCCCACGCTAGCTTCATTAAGACGATGACATGAGCGAAACTTCGAACTTTTGCGATGAAGACGGATCCCCTCAGTCATTTACATCACTCTGGCCCGCCTCTACTTGGGCGGGGTCATGTCTAGCGACTGTGAAAGCCAAAGCGAGAGCCCCGTATCAACACCGCCGCCGTCTGAGGACGAGAGAAGCACGGGGAAGAAATTCCCAGAATCTGATGTGAACTTTGCGTTCGGGCCTTCGAACTGGTACTGGGCGCGATGTGGATCGCGGTGGAGATCGTATGTAGCTCCACTTCTCCCATATGGTCGACTACTAATGGTATATGAATGTAGTGTGAGATCCAGTAGAAGTGACTGGAATGACTTGTTCATCGCAACGCCGTACTGGTCAGTCTTCAAACATGATACTGGCATTCTCATTGGAGGTGAGGATGATGATGGGAATGGTCGAGTTGTGCATACTTGGAATGACGATATCAGTAAGTCGATTTGGAAGTATAGTTGATCGCGGCTGACTCGTCCTAGTGATCAAGGCTAAGGACGTTGATACTTGTAAGTCAGCAAGGTCATACAATTCAATATGATTAATTTGTTCCAGTCGTAAAAACTCGCGATGCATACATCAGATTGCATGACTGGATATCTGAGCGCGTTCAATCGGACCCGATAAAAGTTGAAAAGACATCTGTCAGTATCGGACCAAAGGGAAGCTACTTCGCACGTTCTGGATCATCCCAAATCACCCATGCGCTTCCGAAAGACCTTGAAAAGGCCATGGAAGAGTCCGAATCTCCTCTCGTCACTGTCGCACTGGGAATGAAAGGGGCTTGGATAGTGATCTTCGAGGACGGCTCACGTGTTTGGGATCTTCGCCGCGCGTACCCCAGCCTTGCATCGAACGGAAAACTGAGTAATAGCGAGAATCGAACCGTATTCGTGGCTCTAAATCCCTATCAAGAGGATAGCTACTTTCATGTCGCAGAGGATGGACAGTGCAGCTACAGCGCAAATTTTAACGACGACGAGGAAGGACGCAAGCTGCACGAGATGACTGATTCTTATATACGATTTCGAGCCAAGCGCGACAACTCAACGTTCACACACTCGATGAAATTGAACGGCGTCGACAAAGTGATCAAAATCACGCCGCATTCTAGTCCATCCGAAGGGAGAATGGAGTCTATCTTGTCCACATTGCGTGCGAGGCAACACCAGGGTTTGATACAGTATCGCGACGTGTCGCTTATAGGTGCCGTAGCAGGTGGCACAGGTGTTATTGCGAAGATTTCCGGATCGCCGACTACGAAAGCTGCGGCTTACGCTGCCACTGCAGGGCTTGGAGCTGTTCTTGCGACTTTATTCCATCGGGCTGGATTGTGATGAGCTTTGAACGTAGGTCGCTATCATGTGGTTGAATCGCACGATATGTAATATCTCGGTTTTTCAACAGACAAACGAAATTCGCAAACGCGCAAAGATGGATTTCGATTGATAGACTACTGAGTTGATGAATCTCAATTGGAACGTCGTCAATATTAATCGTACTGCAAGACTTCTGATGATCGAAATATGACAAATGCTGGTCAATACTCTGGTGGTCCACATAATGCTTGGGTAATGTACTACGCCGCAACTCGACTCGGATGCAATTGACGGCAACACTCGGTCTCCGACAGAGTTGAAAGACCGAGAGATCTGTAAGCAGAAAGACTTGGACATTTGGGTTACATCATACTAAATGCCCAGACCTAATGAAAACAGGCGATCATCGTGAAAAAGACCTTTTGCGGGAGCGGAAATGAAGCCGAACACTCACCACAGTACTAGTGTACGGAGCGGAAGACTGGAGCTTTATGTGGCTATAAGAAGTCGGAAGAAGCAGCGCTTAAGAATCACGCAGCACCGTTCTTCCTCATCATCTACACCCGCATCAACCAAATGCTCTTCATCATGCACTATCTCAAAGTTACCTTACCTACCGTGTGGGCACTTCTGTATACCACTTCCGCACTTGCCAAAACAAACGTGTTGACAGGAGGAACCATCATCGCCTACGACGAAGCAACCAAGCTTCCGAAAGTGATCCGTGGGGGAACCCTCGTGCTGGAAAATGACCGAGTGTCACAGATCTTGGAGCAGTCTTCAACTAATGGCACATTCTCCAACAGCAGCGATACCGAAGTGATTGATTGCACAGACAAAATCATCACTCCAGGCTTCATCGATACCCATCGCCACGGTTGGCAGACCGTCTACAAAACTATGGCCTCCAACACGACGTTGGGCGAATACTTCTCTCGACTGAGTGCGTTCGTCTCCCAGCCTTACTTCACGCCAGAAGACGTATACATTAGTCAAAAGGTTGGTATTTTGGAAGCTCTCAATGCCGGTACGACGACGATACTGGATCATGCCCACCATACATGGACTCGTGAACATGCCGCAGCGGGCTACAACGGGACAGTGGACAGCGGAGCTAGGGTTTACTTTGCATATACCTTTCAGAATGTGTCCGGCTTCTCGGTTCAAGATCAGTTGAGTCATTGGCGGGAGCTAAATGCTCTCAATGCGAGTAGTCTTACTACTCTCGTCATGTCGTACGACGACTTCTCCGCCAACACATACGGGAAGGACACTCAGGACATGGTGAAGCTTGCCTTGTAAGCATTATGGTCGAGACTTTCATTTGCGACATAACTAACATGCGGCACAGAGAATCGAAAATCCCTGTTTTCACTGGACACCAAGTCGCTGGGCCCTGGAATCGTAAGTCGCCCGAAACGACGATGTTTGATCAGAACTAACATTTTGGGAATAGTGGGAAATGAACCCGAAGACTTCCTGCACGCAGGTATTCTCAACAGCAGTGTCGCAGTGGTGATTTCGCATGCGACGGGCATCACTCCTCGCAGTGTGGAACTCATGCGCGCTACCAACCAACACATTTCTGTCACGCCCGAGAGCGAGATGCATTACGGGCATCTCCACCAATCTTCTCTTCACATCGCAGATCAGGCTTCCCTCGGCGTGGACTCGCATTTCACCTTCTCGACCGACATTCTCACTCAAGCACGGCTGTGGCTGCAATCCACTCGCTACAGAATGTATGCGAACACCCTAGATCGGTGGGAGATTCCAAACTCCAATCCCTTCTCAGTCACACAAGCGTTCCTTCTCGCAACTCGAAACGGTGGACTAGCGCTTGGTCGCGAAGATCTCGGCGTGATCACCGAAGGCGCTAAAGCGGATCTGATTGTTTGGGACGGTCGATCTCCTTCGCTTCTCGGGTGGGCGGATCCGATTGCAGCTGTTATCCTCCACGCCTGCATTGGTGATATCGATCACGTGCTTGTTGACGGAAACTTCGTCAAGCGCGACAGGAAACTCACCATGGAGTCCTACGCGGAGGATGTTGAAGTATTCTTGGAAGCAGCGAAGCGCATTCAGAAAAAAGTCAAGGAAACGCCGCTGGTGCCGCTGGTGGATGATTTTTTCGGGGGGTATCCGTATGGCGAACAATACCAGATTGATGTGCAGAGAGGTGAAGGGACTGGGTATGGACCGAGTTACGTTTAGCGAGCTTCACCACGAGGCTGGTGTTGAGGGATCCCGAGCCTGGGAGGTATTTGCGAGAAGCACAATTTGGGGTCGTTATCGAGACATTGCAGTAGATATCGCAATCAAAGCGCATGATATTAGCAAACTGTTAATGATACCACGATGTGCAACATTGACGAATATAAACGTTCATTGAGCCCCGGGGATGCGAAATCTATTAGGAAGTGGAGTATGAAGGAGGTGCTTATGCTCTGGCTCACACTGCGATGAACAAACGAAGAACAACATCGAAGCAGACGGCACGTGATTCGGCATTTAAGATCGGCATGCATTAGAATGGTTTGCGGCGTAGCGAATGGTCTGACGCGCAGGTCAGCCCGCCCCGTGAAAGTGTGTGTTGGCAATGAGATCACGTCTCAATGGACTGCATATGATATACAGTGGATTCTCGCGTACAAATTCACTGGATGGCTGCAGGTTTGTTTTCTGGTGTTTGTTACGTGCCACCATCGCCAGACATTGCGTTCTGTATCGACGTCCATGTTTTTCTGTTACACAGAGCGATTTCGGTATAATAGCGCTCTGCCGCAGGACGAACCAGTCTTTACTCGTCTCTTTTCAAGGCTCGCTGATCTGAGCTGTTATCATGGCTCAAACTCGGCTCCATTTTGAAGACCAAGTCAGCAAGGCTGAAATGTAGCTTCTCGTTGCATTCCATAATATCTACTCATCTCTAGGCTAATTATCTCATAGAAGATTAGGCAGGGGAAATTCGACATCATGCGAAGCTCGCGAAGGAAAATGTTACACAATCTAGGGCACCTAATCACACTCTAGTTCCATGCTCAATCTTTTCTGTTGATGTATTTGATGGCCTGATTCATCACAACTTGGCCACCGAAGAAGAGGCTCCGAGTCCCTGAGCAACTGCCAGCGCAGGGAAAGATGCAGAAGGTCGCATGTAGAAATTGAGAACAGTGCCTTTGTCGGAGCCGCTAATGCTACCACAACACTCACCTCGAATCAATCTCTCCAAGGCTGGTTGCTTTGCCTGCACAGCCCAATCGCAAGGCGTTTCCCCCAAACTGTCGACGGCCGATGTCGACGCGCCCCGTTCGAGGAGGAGACTAATGACTGCCGCGTTACCAATTCTGGCAGCTGTATGTAAAGGCGTGATCTTATTGAAATCTGCTTGAGATACGTCTGCTCCTGCATTGATGAGCATCTTCATGATAGACAGATGTTCGCGTAATACCGCCCCATGCAGCGCCGTGCCACCAAAGCGACTTCCAGCAGCGTTGACTTCTGCTCCAGCCTTCAGAAGACGACCCGCATCGCTTTCAAGTCCAAACGATGCAGCGTAATACAAAGGCGTAGCATGACGTGGATATTCGTTCCATCCCTTGATCCAGTGCGAGTTGAGAATCTGAATCCACGACATGAACAATTTACTGGGCCGTGGGGCCAGGATTCGCTGAACAATCTCCTTCAAGTCTTCTGTTTGTTCTGCAGAACGATAGTAGTACGGCCAAGCTTTTGTCACATGATGGAGTAGAGGATGGTTTTCTCGTCGGTACTGCCAATCTTCGATTGAGTCAGATGGTCCTGTAGCAAAGCTATCCAGCGTCAGGTAAGCGAGACTGCCGGTTGCCAGCTCCTGATATGCTTGATCAGGCTCCAGGGCAAATAGGCCGATTTCGCGATTGGTCTTGATTTGCATGGAAAGCAGGTAGTCCTTTACAGACAAATGTGCTAGTCGAACATGACCGGACTCCGAAACGCTTACCAGGCTACCACCAATGGCCAATATATCTTTTGGGTCTGGCAGTCGATCTTGTTCTATATCGATTAATGTTTTCGCATCCAAGTCAATAGCGATGGCTTCTCGTAGTTCGTCCAGAGTAAGTGGGGTGACGGAGAAGGTGATCCACATCAAAACCCGTCGAAGTATCTCAACATCGTCCTTGTGAATTCTTCTCAGCATGTTCTCATATGTATCATTGAGACCCTCTGGTAGCTGCTCTAGTCTCTTCTGAATTGCCCGTATGGTGCGCACGTGTGATAGATCGTCCAGTTGACACTGAGCCCATCGGAACCTAATTTAATTTAGATATATATGCTAATAGAGCTGAATCCAGAAAATCTTACATGCCGGCGGACTTTTGTACGAGTGCATCCTGGACTTCACGTCTTACGGCCAGAGAAAGCCTTTTGAGATTCGCATCGTTTTCAAGGCGTTTGGTGATGTAGGCTTCGATGTCTTGTTTCATCTCCATTTGGTGGTCTTCCAAGCGCAATCTAGGGAGATCCTCAAAAGCATCCTCTATTTCCGCTTCCACGCGGCTGGTTACCAAGATCTTGAGGCTCGCTTTCTCTGCGTTCAATTTGCGGAGCAACGTCAGGATACTGCTTCTCTGCTCGCATTCATCCAGTGCATCGAGCAAGATGATAACATTGTACTTCTCAGAGAACTGACAGAGTGCACGGTAGAGGATATCCAGATTTGGACGTCGTTTGCGGCCTGAAACTGTACTCTCGGTAAAAGCGTGGTGCAGCTCATTTGGACAAAGGAACTGCAAGCACAACTGTGCCACTAACGAGCCGACAACATTCTCAGCCGTTTGACATTGACTTTTGGTAAAATCGCAATAAAAGTATGCGATGCCAAACCTGTTGTCTGCACGTCCGGAAGTTTGCACAAGACGTTTCACAACATCAGAGAAGAGAATCGTCTTCCCGGAACCGGCAAAACCGCTTACCCAGAGAAAGCGTTTTCCTGGCTGATTCCAGTCTGAGAATTCGGTGGATTTTATGAACCAAGAACTTGTCCCAGACAGATGTGTCGAAGTCGCTTCTTCGTGGTTTTCCGATGAATCCAGAGGGGATAGCCATTCGAGTATAGCTTGCCGCTCATCATCTGATCGGGTCAGTGATGACACCCTAACTCCAGAAAGAGAAGACACAATCACCTAGCTTACTATCGATGTGAAACTGCTCCATGGCTTTCATTGTGGATTCCATATTGTGCGTCGTTTCTTGTAGCGAAGCAGCTATAGAATGAACGTGAAGCAGGCGGGCACTTTGGAAGACGTGATTAACACATTTGAAGCATCGCAGCAAAAGTCTGGGAATAGAAGACACTCACCTTTGATCAATATTGAGAGCTAACAACAAAGTTGTCTTGTATCGCTCTATGCTTTCCAGGTACTGCTTTGTATCTTTATCTTTCAGCTCCCATCGCAAGGACTGCATAGCTGCCTTTCGCATAGAGCCCGCAGACCCGACATGACTAAAGGATTTGATCTTATCCTCTAGACTTTTGAGCTCACGCACACAAGACGCAAATGGGCCTTCATCTCCCTCCAAAAGAGACGTGATCATTGATATCTTCTTCACATCTTCGTGGGTGTTGAGGCGTTGTACAAGATCTTCGAGCGTCTCTAAGACGTTACGTAAACTCTTTAATTCACCAATAATCCGGGTTAGTGACCACGGCGCGTTTGTGAGAGCAGCCTTGAAGTTGTAGCAGACAGATATAACAGCCGAGATTGCTTGTAGTGTGGTGATGATTCCCGTAGTAATGGTGAGGGGGTCCATTCTACGCAAGGCTACTCCGTATAGTGCAGCCTGCTCTTTCAGAAATTTCTTCGCATTTTATGTAAAAGTATGCCTAACCGTATGAGAGGAGTAGATGTTCGGTTGAACAACAAGTTTGACAGTGCGCAAGACCGCAAATCTGGCCCATGGGGAAGCTTTATTGACCGCAGTATCGAACCAACCCACTCTGCTTATCTACCCCTCATCCGCACATCAATCAACCTGCCTGAAAGTGGTGTAACAGAGCGAGGCTGTATCATAGTACCCCCTGCAATGGAATGGTGGGGTATGGCACACCCATATGTACTACCGGCATCTCAGCTCATGCGCCTTAGCACACGTGCATTTCGATTATGCCTTGTTATAATTCAGTCGGTCATGCCGCGATGAATGAGAGCCGACTCTCTGAGTCTCTAACCATCCCAATTCATATATGATACAATCAGCCGAGCGAGATCAAGTGGTATGTGCTCAGTCTTGTGCTAATAGTCGGGCGACAATGTCGTGGTACTTGTCACTTGCGTATGTGTCGCATCAGGATTGCGATACACTCACACTGACCCGAAGTCAGGCAAAGTCACAGTGATCATCTACTACGAAATGTGGAATGCACTTCATGTAGCACTTTTCATAGCCTGTGATCTCCAGGTAACCCTCACTGGCTAGGCTGTACTCTGAGTGTTCGTGCCGTAAAATAAGTTGATGATCAGTAGCGCTTTCTCCTAACGTTACGAACATCTATATTACGAATGGTCGCATATTGGGGATGGCCCGATTAATCTCTGACATTACTCATGCAAATCAGATGGTTCAACGGATTTTAGCCATATACACGCATCTGCTGCTAATAGTACCAAACTACGACACAGCCGCAACTAAAGGCGAACCCGGGCGACCAAGGGTCCTTCTCTATCTATAGAGATATGGACTCAAAGGGTATCTGACATAGGGGGCACATGTTTTGGCTCGTCTGAGCCCTTTCAAAGTCTTCTCTCAGGCGGTGATCATGATGGGGGGCGCATCAATCTCATTGGTCAGCCTTGCCTCTCATCAGCCTTGTCGTTGTTGCTCAACAGCTCGTATACGCCGGAATTCGATTTTGCAGTCGGCCGACCAGGAATACTACCCAATAATTGGACTGGGATAGTAGGTGGCGCATCCAGCGGTGAACACGCGGCTGACCCCTATGAGAAGCATAGGTCAAACCCCCTGAAACATTCAGCCTCCCAGTCCGCCAAAATCCCAGACATATATTTTCGAGATCTTCTCCATTTGATTCTATAGGTTTCATCTCCATTCTTATTTCATGAGCCAACCAAACTCTACCATGGATACTCAAGAGCCAACGGGCGGCGCTCCTCCTAGAGGTACTGGGAGAAAGCGGGCGCTATCAGAAGACTCCTCCTCTTCATTTCCAATATACAAGGTGCCTAAGAGAGACGAAGAAAGGCCAGTCATAGCTCAGAGAGTAGGATACTGGAACGAATCCCGACCACCTCAGAACATGAAGGAGAAAGTGAAAGCCAATTTTGTCAACGCTGCCAAGAGAGCCAGCCAACTGAAGGACCACAAGCTGCTCTACCAGTACAAAAGAATCAAACCCACGGAAATGAGACTGTTATACATCAGTCCTGCTCAAAGTCGCAATATGGATCTTTTCGTCTCGATAGGCACCATCGCGGACAAAAGGGTCGGATCGCAGAACTCCGATTGTCAAGCTTATGAGGCATTGTCATACCATTGGGGTCCGGGTCCGGCAGATAAGCCCGTATATCTGTCCGGTGGCACCAAAGAGCCCAAGATTGGGATTGCGGACTTGATTCTTCTGAGGAGTCTCGTCCCAGATTATGGCAAAGGTCAGAGATTCTATGTTCGACCCAGCCTGGATCAAGCCCTACGACATCTGCGACACCAGACTGAGATGGTCATCCTTTGGGTTGATGCTGTTTGTATCAACCAAAGCGACGAAAAAGGGGAGAAGCCTGAGCAGATTGCCAAAATGAAGGATATCTACAACAAAGCGGAGCGGGTGTGTATATGGTTGGGTGATGGGAAAGGTAACGGTGTGAACGAGAAGGTCGAGGATCGGACCAAGGACTTCCACGCCGCAATGGATTTCAGCCGCGAAATCATCCAACTTAAGAGACTCGAAGCACTTTCCCAGGATTCGAGTGCGACAAAGTATTGGAGCGATCTGCTGGACTTGATGCGCTGCAGCTGGTTTTCTCGGCGTTGGGTTATCCAAGAGCTAGCTCTCGCAAGGAAGGCTACAATCCACTGCGGCGAGAAAACTATTCCGTGGCAGGAGTTTGCGGATGCTATAGGTCTGTTCGCTCTTAATTTCGACAAAATTCGTGCCCTGTTCAGATCGTCAAAGGACGACAGGATTTTTAGCAACTACAGAAACTTCAATGAGCTAGAGCCACTCGGAGCAAAGGTATTGGTCGATGCAGTTACGAATACGTTTCGCAAGAGCGTTGATGATAATATCTTCGAGCCGGTGTTTGACTTGGAAACGCTCGTGTCGAGTCTCACGTTCTTTGAGTCTTCCGATCCGCGTGACACCATATACGCGCTTCTCAACATCTCTAGAGAATCCCTATCGGTGGATAGTCAGGGGAATCAAGTGATCCATCCACCAAAGCCCGACTATGAAAGGGATATTCTTGAGGTTTACACCGATTTCTTGGAATGGGTTGTTTTCACTACCAACTCACTGGACATGATCTGTCGACAGTGGGCTATGCCCGAGCGAGTCAAACCAGGTGGCAGGAAGAATCCTACACCCATCATCACTCTGCCATCTTGGATACAGACAATCAACAAATCCGCTTGGGGTCTCCAGGAGCAAGGTTTCAATGGACGTATGAACGGAGACAGTATTGTTGGAAAAGCTGGACGAAGGCGCTACAACGCATCGAGAGGCATGAGTCCAGTCGTCCAATTTGGGAAAAGGCGTCGGGGCCATCTCAATGGAAAACAAAATACGCGTACACAATCAGCTCCGTCTGCTCTTGGAACGGTTCAGATTCCCAGGGCAAGAGATGTGGCTTTTGGCCCGGAGCGTAAGCAAAGCCCTTCTCACCGGTTATATGTAACGGGCATAGAGATCGGGCACGTGACATGGACTCACGGTCCGGTGTCACGTAGCGTTATCACCAAAGATTGTCTTGAAAAGGGCGGTTGGAAAAAGAATGAAGAGATGACCAGAGTGCCTGATAAACTGTGGCGCACGCTTGTTGCTGATCGAAATGCTGAAGGCGAGAATCCACCCCCCTGGTATCATAGGGCGGCACTTCACTCAATGGCGCTCGCCGACAATAACGGTCACATTGCCTGCCATGAGCAACTGGAACAGGAAAACACACCGAGCAACAAACTTCCCCACATCGTCGCGGAATATCTGAAACGAGTTCAGGCAGTGACTTGGAACCGCAAGTTCATTGAAGGATACCCCAAAGCAGCTAATCTGGACCCTCTATTTGGACTTGGCCCGCCTGACACTGAAGAGAATGATCGCATTTGCATCCTCTTCGGTTGCAGCGTTCCATGCATTCTGCGACTTTGTGAAACAAACAATATTCCATATTACCAATTCGTAGGCGAAGCATATATCTACGGGAGAATGGATGGAGAGGCCATTACTATGATGAACGAGGAAGATTTGGAGAAAAACACTAGAGAGTTTGTCATCATTTGAGTCTCAAGCTCCAGAAATTACGCAAAACTGTGAGTACTTCAAGCCTTTATCTCCCGTTCCCCACAGATCACTATCGGATAGATCGTGCTGCTGGTGATATTAATGTTGTCGAATCCAGTGATCTTCAGGATAGATCTTGCGGTATCACGATGCGTTGTTATAGATAGAAATGTAGCCTTTTCATCGTTGAGAACATCGTCGAGTATTTTTGCAGCTCGGACAGCCTGCTCTTCGTGACTCTCTCGTTTCTCGGGAATCCACAATTCGTCAAGCTCGGTGAATCCGGGTTCGGTATAAAAGGACGGGTATGACCTGTTGATCCACGACCTGGTGCTGCGTTGATCGCAGGTACGTCTACCGTACTGACTACGTAAGTTCTCTTTGATGATAGGTCTTGGGCGAGTCGATTGCTGCAGGAGCAAGTCTGACGATAGCTGCAGCGTTTGAAGACAGCGACGGTGTGGACTTGAATAAAAGACTTCCGGTATAGGCACCATTAGGCTATTGATCGAGTATTTCCACAAGGCAGCGATGCGTTTCGCTTGCTTTTCGCCTTCCGATGTAAGCCCCGCATCCGCCCAGCGCGCTGTCCCTTTGCCCGATAAGGTCGACCAGTAGCTCTAATACACGTGTTAGGTGCTTCCCCCCTCGCGCGACAGCAAGCATCTGAATTGAAATGACTAGTGGATACTGACACTCCATTCATGATTTCCCACTTCTCTCTGCTTGACATGGTGCTGGCTTTCGCACGATGTCGTGAGGAACATGACTTTATAAACTTTGACGCCCGAAGATATATTGTTCAGCTGTCTAATGTAGTACTCAAAGCGCTGCCACTGCGTCAAGTCGAGCTGGGGATCCACCTCATTGTCTGTTGGATATCTGCGATTTATAAGTTGGAGAGAGGATGATGTGCCCTGCACTATGTCAATAATGGTCAATCTCGCATCATAGATATGTCAATTGGGGCCAAGTACTTTGAAGGTCTCTGAGCTTCCACAGCATTGGTCATATTGGAAGTATCCGTGTTGCAGGATGGGTTTCCATTGGGGCTTGTAATGAGTAGAAAGCATTGTAACAGACGCGTAGTTGCGAATTATTGAATGCAAGAGTATAGTAATCTGTGTCAATCGACTCTTGAATGGGTTTATACACGAAGTAAAGACTGGAGCTCGCTTGAGAAATACTGATTGCGCCAGCACGTCAGCTGGGCGAATACCGGTCAGGCCGTTAGCGGTGCGCTCACTGCCGGGCCTCAGCCACCTGCAGCACAGCACCCAAAGGATCTGAATGTTGCCTGGTAACCTGAGATTGCACAGCGACACGACCTTTGGCTGAAACTGAGTTTCCCGGTCAAATTGGCTGCGCCCTCCGCATATGCTTGCCAATTTCACTGGATGTTGGAATCGCATGATTAGAAAAGTCCGATGTGCGACCAGGCAATGTATGCCACGCCTCGGCGCAGACAGCATAAGCCCACTCAGACGGAGTGCAACAAGTCACAACCTGCCTTAGTCGCGAGTCTCGGGGCACAAGTAGGCCCACTCCCAATGTGCTCAAGAACAGGGCGTATTTCGGTCAGAACAATAAGAATAAGCCTTCACAGGTTGAGAGACTGGAATCTTTCGCGCCTTGCTCTCTCGGATGCCCTGCATATTGTCTAATTACTCGGCTGCAGTCAGTATGAAACATGTCAATGACCCTTGTGTACATTTGGCCATCGAAATCCGGTAACGAAGTACTCAGTGTTTACTTCGCAATGACGTTCTTGAAATAAACCTACAACTTTCTCGACGCCAACATTATAACCGCTGTTTTGAGACGACCGAATCCAGGGTGCACGCGCGTCTTGTTTTCTTTTTCTGTTCTTTCCTTTTTTTTATTTTCTTTTCTTTTTTCGACCTTGAGCTAGATTTCTTATCGGCCCACTTATTCAATGACCCGAAGCGTGAACCGAAGATTCAATGGTAACATTTCTTCTCTGTCTTATGTTATGCCTTCAATTTTTACATATCGAACCTCTCTTCTACCCGCAATTACGTTCATTGAGCCTTTCAAATCATATTTAGTTGTCAAATATCTGATCGCACACTTTTAATGATTTTTCCGTCCACTGAATTGATAATATCTCGCGCGAGAACAGTACAAATAAAACAACTGAAGTGCCCGAAGACACAGGTAAATACATATGTCCTGTGACGACGCACGTTGCCACATAACAATACTCATTATTATAGGGTCTTTCGCGCCCGGGTATCAAGTGATATTGACTAGTCATCCATGCAGTTGATTTTTATATACGAAAGTAGGCGTTGAAGCCTCAAAAAATATGAGATGAAGGTGCGCTCTTGCCAAAATTGGCGCTACGTGTGTTCCTCTAAGGTCCTTGACAGTTCACTGGAATTTTTATACTGGTTGGGCCACATCCCACCAGTCGTCTTGGTCTTACATTCCCCATAATCGAATTTACAATCCACATCAATATTCGAATTCTCCACGCTATCAAGTCATCTCTCCTCGTATTGAAACTCAGATGATGTATGCTCTGATTGTTTATCGCATCAAAACTTCACAGCCATCGTACCTGTTTCCTGAGAATGTTAAGGAAGAGTACCGGCTCACTCTTATGAATCGCACGAATACCAAGTCTATTAGCTACTCCTGCTTATTAACATTGTCTGATTTCCGGTTTCCGTAGGTCATCTGGCTTTGTGTTGGGTGGGTACTCATACTATGAGTTGATTATCGCAATCGCATTCTGCTTGTCGTACATTGTTTGCTAACAATCGGAATGGGTCCCTGTATTGTTTAAAAACAGATGAATGTCTCTCCAAATTCTCAGGAATTCGAATTACCAGATACGAGTGCTTTATAGATTCTATGGCTAGTCGAGTTTCATGCATGCTGTCCAAGGTCAAGGTAACCGTTAATCCTTTGACTCTTTTTGTCGATGCGTAGGTGAGCTCGCCGGTCTGCAAGCATTTTGATAGAGCTGCTTTATAAATCAACATCACAACTCTTTGGGGCCTAGGCGGCCATAAACGCAAAATTGATCCAACAAATTCTCGCGAGCTGCGCTGTACGCAGCCTTCTCAGGCCCATCATAGTCCCCATAGCATAGGCATCTTTACAATGCTCTCCTGTCTGGAAATATATATGAAAATCAACTGGAAAAATATTAGTCATATATATGTACCAATCGACCTGCGTTGGTGGTTACACAGCCTGTCAGAGATGAGTGAAAGATCAACACGCTAGTATCTTTTAGGGCCTACTTGGATACTTCAAACCGAGTTCCAGAGCAGAACCAAACACCTCCACCGACAATTATTATATAAAGTCCCCCTCCATGGATAATTTCTTTCTCTTCACCCTCGACCGACCCATCTACCACGGCACGGACTTCAACCACCCACCAACATACAACCTTGTCGAAAAACCTCTGGTATCCAAAGGACCAAAGCAGATCACCATGTCGCAGATCAATTGCACCAACAATGATCTAGTGCCCTCGTCCACACCTCATCTTAGTTACACCGAATCGAGTCATGAGGTGGAAACCTTTCAAGGCTCAGTCTTTGACATCGAAGACATACTCGCTCGATTAGACGGGCGGAAGCCAGCTGATGGTCTGGTAAATCCAACCGAGTTAACGGTCGGCATCAATAACCACCGCCTGCCAATCGGGGTACGCCGCATCCTCCGTGGAAATGCTGCGTCGTTGCCGCCCGACCTGGCTCTACCATACCACCCAGTTTTCAGCACTGCGCCATCTCCAAACGTGGATTTACGGCTGATGGGTGATGTGGAAATTACTTCCATCGAAATGATTGTGGTATGTCATCATTGAAAGAATAAAGTTTTGCGCGGCTCACTGACTATCAAAGTTTTTCTCCAATCATTACCGTTGGAAGGATTGGGGATTACGATTATGGAATGCTGGATGGACCTTCTCCCCACTGGTGCGGCTCATTGTAAGTGATGCTGATATTCATTGTGTTTGCTGATAAGCTAACTTGACCAGTTCGAGGTGCGAAAGTGCTCCGACGAGATCAAAAACATGCAGAGTGTCTTGAGCAAAACTACTTTCAAGCACCTGGGGGACGCCCGCGGAAATCCTCGTTCTCCTTATACGACTTACACCTGCAAGCAGTGGACACCACCAAATGCAACGAACCTCATTGACTACTATGTGAGGGACATTGCCGTTGGAGTGAGTCGCGAGGACTTCCCCACCGGGAAAGATGCCGGACTGTTGACTCAGACACTTCAGCACCTTTTCGACCATCAACACGACCCCGAGGTGATGGAACTGAAGCTGAGCGGTCTGGAGCAGTTTATCCATAAGATGAAGTTCACCAAGACAGATGGAGAAATTGATGACAAGGCTTCCTGTCTTAGCAGGCATGGGTGTGGTGGTAAGCCACCGACCTATTCCTCGTGATTGGTGAGATGTCTGATGTGCATAGGCATGATGGCAATGAATGGCGTTTGGAGGACGCAATGTTACCTAAATACTAGGTAGTATACTGTATGTGTATGAGCGAATGGATGCGTGCTCATTGTTGTTAGTTTTATGTCTGTTCGGTGGTGCTCTAGACATAACTTTCCTATTCAACTCCTGACGAACAACTCCACGACCCTATTTCTCCATATGTATTCCACAACGAATTTTTCCATCGCCCAGTTTCATCGAGTAGAGACATGAGGCTAGAAATTGTGATGTATAACGCAGTGAATCTGAAATTTAATAGTGTTATCAACTACATACGTTGCTCATGAGACCGTCCTTTCACGTTTTTCTGTATGATCACCCACTCCGATACCGAATATTGAAGTTATCTCAGAGGGGTATTTTTTACGTCTCATGAGACTAGTAGAAAATGCTCATTTGGTTTGAACAGGGCTTGTGCGATAGTGCAGCCACTGCGAAGAGCCATTGCCGCGATCGCAGGAGTAATACCTGTGTTCCTTGAAGTCCGGTCAGTTACTTGCTTAGTCAGAAGACTGCGACTTTGTTATAGGTGATAAATGCCTTTTTAAAGGTGTGAATACCGCACTTTAATGAAAACATGGACATCCTCCACGCCGCTGTCACGTGCGCATCACGTGCGCATCACGTGTTTCTTCCCAGGACACATGCATGGAAGCTTCAATACACGGTCTTGAAGCGCTACATTTTCCGGCTGAACACAAAAATTCGGGCAACTGATTTCAGTTCATTCAGGAGTCGCTCAGTACCACACTTCAAGGGTAAACTATTACAGGAATAATACCATTGCTCATTTCAGCTTCTAAGTGCCTCTCGCTATCAACGTAAACTCTTGGAAACTATCTTGTCATGCACCTCAGATACGTGGAATCATCTCTACAGTGAATCAATACATTGCTAGTTGGTTATGCTTGTCGCGCTCTGAACTGTACCACTGGCCCGTGGACAAGAGCTATGTAAGAATCCTGCACTACCTGTTGCCTCGGATCTCTCGAGCCCCATCCTAGCTTCGCGTTCCCTGCGCCCAAATCAGTGCCCGGAGCTAGCCTTACGTCCATACGCCACAGCGTTCTCGCCACAATGATCGACATCATGAGCATGGCTAGCCTCTGTCCCGCACAATCTCCGGGTCCCTTCAAGAAGGAATGCAGCGCATGTTTGACCTCACGCACACTCTCCTTCGTATTCAGCGTTTTCAGCTCATCTGAGACGATAAATCGTTCGGGTCTGAACGTGAACGCGTCCCCGTACACCTCTTCATTCCGGTTCAAAGCCCAATTAGGGGTACCGACAATCGTGCCAGCAGGACAGTACACGCCATCAATGTTGATGCCTCCGGGTAGCACCTCTCGTGGCAGTTCGCTCGGCCCTGCTGGTGACAAGCGGAAAGTCTCGTCGATGCAGGCTCGCAGATACTTGCAACCACTTAACAGAGTAGGCCCGTAGACGATATCCTCGGGTTTAGCAAATGTCTCTCTAATTTCCTTCACCAGCTTCAAGTAGGCTCGTTCGTTATGCACGAGGTAAAAGAACAAGCTACTAATCGTGATGGATGTTGTGTCCGAGCCAGCCATGATCAGTAGACTAGCTTCCGACCGCAATTCACCACGGTCAAAAGCCGGGCCGCCGGTGTCCGGGTCCCTAGCGCTGCATAAAAAGTGGAGCATATCCTCTCTTCCGATCGGCGCTTTTTCCGCCTCACGTTTCCGATGCTCCTCTAGTCGTTTTGTGACCATGTCTTCAACGAAGGCATAGTGCTCTTTGATAGTCGTGGGAATGACAAATTCGAGCAATTGCTCCAGCCCACGAGGCTTGGCCCATATGAGAAAATCAAGAAGCGGCGATTTAGCTATCTGCACCATGGGTTAGTCTTTTCCCGATGAGGAAGATCGATCGGGGTCGTGTGTTTGACTGACTGGATTGTTGAATGTGACAAAGCTGTCGAAAGCTAGGGGCACCTTCTTGAAAGGATTCTCTCCAGGTTCCTTCGTATTCATGGTAGCCCCGAAAGATAAATCCATCATGATATCAAAAACCAGGTACATGAATACCGGCGAGATGTCTTGGGGCTGAGACCAATCCCCATTCTCATTTCCCTTTGAATTGACCAAGATATCATGACATCGATCTACATGGCCGACAATGAAGGCACTTGCAGCTTTTATTGAGTGATCGGTGAAGACAAGATTCAAAAGACGTCTTCTCCTGGCGTGAATCTCCACACTGGATGTCTGCAAAGTGTTGACATCTTCTGCATTGCGAGACCAAGCATCGTAAAACTTTGACCGCTTCACGTTCGCTTTGTGTGAGAAGATGGAGTTGTATGCACTGGGGGAGTTGAACAGCACAATGTTGGGCGCTGCACGAATCTTGCCGCCGTATATCTGGAATTGTTGCCATAACCAGATATGGCGATCACGTTTGACCGCATGGTAGAAAGACGGCAGGCTGGAAATGCGACATAGGAATGGACCTGGGACATTGGCGAGTGGATGAAAAAACAGATTATGGATGGTGGTAGCCACCAACTTAGTGGGAGATTGAGTTAGTGCCCGGCAGCACGATCGCGATTTGCGTACAACTCACATAGCTGAGCAAGGAGCCAGTCGCGATAAGAATAAGATAGCCCATAGCGGATAGTATGGGGGGTCGTATCGTGAGTCACCAAGCGGATGTAGGGTGAAGTATAGTGCCAAGTTATGAGAGGAATGGAGTACGGGAAAATCGAGGCATACAACTCTATGCACAGGCTTAATTCGACAGCCGTAACTCTTTGCAAGACGACTGGTACTTTTTTAAGTCTCATGATATGGCTGAGAGCTGCACACAAGTCACTCACGAGAGAAGCTGCAGGCCCTTGGCAACGGCACAGTTGACTCCCCCGCATCGCTCTCGCCCGAGACGGGCCACCCGAGACACGCGTGCCGCATCCAATATTACATGCATTCAACTTCGGTTGCCTTGTCGAATATTTGTCTTGGCACCGGGATATGCATCCTTCGGGTACCGACAGCCCGAAATTGTATCACCCACCTGCAGCGTGCAACCACAACACTATGCAGGGCGCGATCTTCTGAATGTGCGATAAGAAACATGACGTATCATGCAGAGAAAACTCCTGCATCAGAATTGACTTGAACTGTTTTCGATTGAATTTCGGGGAGAGTCCTGTCCCCCCGTTCTGTACTCTCTTCCTAACGAACCCGTATCATCCCAATGTCATTGCACGAATCCAGATCAGCCGAAACGACTGACAGCAATGTCGTCGCTGTTCCTGAGTCACACCTTGCGAGCGACGTGGAGCCCATGGAAAAGAAGGCTGACGAACCAAGCTCTGAGGAGACCATCAGTCCTGCCGAGACTCACTATCCGACCGGATGGCGCTTACACCTGTCAACAATTAGTCTTTCAGTTTTGATATTCTTGGTCCAAATGGAATCATCAATCGCTAGCACTACGCTACTGAAGATTACCGATCAGTTTGGGGGATATGAGAAAAGTTCTTGGGTCTTCACAGCATACATGTTGACCTACTGTGGTATGAAATCCACTATCCCCTACTCATCCGACTCAAAAGCTGTATATTGACTCATTAGGATTCCAAATGATATGGGCAAAATGGTCCGATATAGCGGGGCGACGCCTCACCTTGCTGGTGTGTGTGGTGATATTCACAATCTCCTCGGCACTCTGTGGCGCCAGTCAGAGTCTTATACAACTGATCCAGTTTCGTTGGATCCAGGGAATCGGTGGCTGTGGCATATTTGCCATGGGGCAGATCTATCTCTTCGAGCTCTATCCGCCCCATCTATGGCCTTTTTATATGACTATTTTCACCGCTGTGATTGCGTTTTCCTTGATCGCTGGTCCGCTCTTGGGCGGCGGTATTACGGAATCTGGTTCTTGGCGATGGATCTTTCTTCTCAAGTAAGTCTTCCTTGTTGCCAATTTACTCTCTGTTTTCTAATGCACGGCTCTCCTTTACACCAAAAGTGTGCCCGCCGGCGTCTTACTCATTCCGGCTATCTATCTAATTTTCCCACGAAAATCCGGGAATCAAGTATCTATCGAATCCAGCAACAGAGCCTTGTTTTCCTCTGCATCCCTCAGAAAAGTGGATATTTTGGGATCAGTGACTCTTCTGGGCGCCTCAATACTTTTATCCACGGGCTTCCAGGAAGCATCGATCGTCTCGTCTTGGAAGTCGGCCGTCGTTTTGTCATTGATAATATGCAGCATTCCATTCATCGCGGTATTTCTTGCCTGGGAGTGGTTTGTCACCACGCGCCGGGAGTTTCCAGAGCCAGTCTTCCCATGGAGATTTTTCCAAAGTCGTGTTCGGATAGGAATGATCATGTACGTGGCTTGACTTGGGAGTAACAGTGATTACCTACTAAGACAAAAACCTAGAAACACATTCCTCGTGGGATCCGTCACCTACGTTTGCTCCGTTCAGATCCCACAAAAGTTCATGACGGTTCACGGTCTTTCGCCGTTCGATGCGGCAATCAAGCTCCTTTCCTTTGGTGTATTGATTTCCGGTGGGTCCTCGGTTGCTGCAGCATTGATGGGCAAGTTAAGAATCCCACCCTGTTGGATGATACTCTTCGGAGCCGTGATGCAGGTCATTGGATTAGTGCTCTTATCTAGAGTCAAAGACACTGCTAGGATTGAGCCAGCACAATATGCCTACCATGTTCTTGCGGGTCTTGGGGTAGGTTTCATCAATGCAGCAATCACTCTCTTGGTGCCATATATCATGGAAAAAAGAGATCTCGGTAAGTTCAATTGTTCAACTCATGGACCGTTCACTGAAAGAAACATAGCAACTGGGACAGCTGCAATCTCGCAGTTTCGCATGTTGGGGGGCCTCATGGGTTTGTCTATCGCGGTATCACTCTCTACGCCGCAGATACGATCTCAGTTACTCGGGGTATTACCTGCAGCAGATGTTTCGCAGTTACTGGAAAGAACCGAAACCATCAACACAATAGATGGCGTCCTACTGGAGACTGTGAAGGGAATATTTGCAGAAGGGTATTCGCTCCAAATCAAGATGCTTGTGGGGTTTGCGGTAGCTCAGGTCCCAACGACGCTTTTGATGTGGACGAATCAAGCGGCAGAGCCGGGAACAGGTCATTCTTGATTTTAAGGATAGATTGAGTACATATTGAATCCTGATAATATATATCAGCTTCTTTTCATCATATCAGCCTGTGCTATTGCTCTTCGAAGTGCTCTAACTGTTCCTCTCATATCGTTCTTCGCCTTGCCATTTGGTATATCATGCCCACCGAGATGAACGTATTTCCAGCATCCCATGTCTGACTGGACCATTCTGTGAATATCTTCCGTTTGTGATATCGCCTGTGGCAGGTCATGCTTCCCGGTGATCACCGCTATGGGGATGTTCAGGGGGCTGGCTGTATCCACAAGCAGGCGTAACTTTCCGGTCTCAATCCAAGTAACCGGATCCAGCAGGCCAACCGGGGAGAATAAAAGAAGGCAACGAAAAGGCAAGGGCCTCCCTGGGCGTAGATTCATGAAGTAACGGCTATACATTAGGGCCAAACCGGCGCCCTGGCTGAAAGCGAGGATACCGTCAAATGCAGATTCCGAAGTTAAGTATGCATCCAAATCTTTCAATGCATCGATTGCGGACTGCGGACTGTTGTTGTGATAGGCGAAATGGGGCTTTGTGACGTCGGAGATGTGCTCAAGTTCTACGCGCACGGGTTCACTATGTTTCGTTCCACCCTAGTCAGAAATCTCGAGTGACATACCTGGTGCCATGGTGCACTCTATGTGACCCTGGACGAACTCGTAACTATGATCCCCTGCAAGTTCATTTCGGAGGGCAGCTAAAAACACCGTTTTATCAGGAAGGTGGTAGATCAGAAGCATCAAGGGACATACCAGTTTGCATTTTGAAGATCTGTTTAAAATGTTAGCATGTAAATCTTTGCTATGACAATGATCTGCTACAGCCAAAAAGTGTATGCCTTGACGTACCTCACTACTAACTCCCATTCCATGGAGGCAGAGAAAACGCATGCTGTTTCAAGAGCAGGGTGACAATCAACCAACCTCTGTTGGCTAAGGAAGAAGGTTCAATATTCATGTGTCAGTTGAGTAAAACACTGGTGTGATGTCTTTACGTGACAAAGTACTGTCTCTGACCGATCCCGACGACATCTCGCTTATGCTAGCGATCCAAAAGTACGAGTAAAGGAATAGCGCCATGGGGACAGTCAGAACCCTATCGCCAGGGGGTGACAAGTTGGGCCGTAGATAACCACAAGACCCGTCGATTTGAAAATCAGAACCCAGACTTTGTTTACCCGCGTGTACGGATACGAAAATGCGTTCCCACTACTCTCTTTCCTAAAGCTGCCAAGATTCAACTTATCACCCCCCTGTAAAGTCAAAGCGAGGTCGCCTACTATGTCTCTAATAGCTGCCCCTAAATATGCGACAAATACGACTATGACAAAATGACTGCCCACGTTGTCACCCCTAAAACACAATGACTTGCCAAATGTACGATCGACCTGTTGCATACTTGGTGTCTTTAGCCGGCGACCCTTGTCTCTGCCCGGTTGCCTTCTTCTGACAATCATTACCTTTTCTGTACAAAAGATAAGATACCGAGATGGCAATACATGTCTGTTGACCCACGCAAATAAAGCTCCGTCGATGTGTCTAGATGTGTGTCGGGAACGCATGGCTATTGCTGACTGCATAGCCAAGAGTAGTAATATCTCACTGACGGGTTGCATTCGAGTACGACTAGGGATTTCTCTATTATACCATAACATGAAGATGATCATATCCAGGCATTATATCTTGAGCTCTGCAGGCTCGAATTTTGAACGCAATCATATGGTTCGATACACTGCAGTTCGAGAAAAATGTCTATGACAGCAGATCCTGCCGTGATTGCTTCACTTCCTCCATCCTACTTCGAGGAAGATGTCAGCGCACCTCTCTGGCATGCGTCAATAGCAATGATAGTCTTACAAACAGTTGCTGTAACGCTTTTCTTCGCGTCTCGAATTCTCAACAAGACGTCCAATGGCATAGATTTTTGGCTCTTCATACCCGCTGGTTACGTCTTCTGTACAATCCATAGCGCCTTTGGTATCTGTAAGCTCCCCCACCATCTTTCCGACACCTAGTTCTTGCCTCGTTTGAACCAACATATGCTAAGGCGTAGCAATGTAGTGCTTGTCAAGCTAGGTGGCGCGGGCCGCCATACTCTGTTTTGGATGAGGGAAGATCCAGGAATAATTGTGACTTGGCTGAAATTTTGCACGGTGATAGAGTTCACATGGGCTCTGTCTGTCACTTTCCCTAAGCTCGCAATGTTGGTCCTTTACCTACGAATCTTTCCAACCCGAGTATACCGCATTGCCGGTTACGCAGCCGGTGTTCTAGTCATCCTCGTCCTTGTAGTATCGACCATCGCATCTTTCACTATATGCATGCCGTTTGCCTTCAATTGGGACAAGACAATTCCTGGGGGGAAATGCGGAGACCAAATGCTTAGCTACCGAATCATGGGATTTCCCAATCTGGCGGCGGATATATTTCTACTCGTTCTTCCTCTTCCTGCGATCTACAAACTTCATGTGGACGCGGCTACCAAGATTGGAATTTTCCTTACATTTATCAGCGGAAGCTTGTAAGTGTGGAGAGATAAAAAAAAAACTGGTTGCAGTATCCAACGAATAACTAACTGTGAAATAGTGGAATCGTAACCTGCATGATTCGAATCGCCTATTTCTTTACCATTGATCTCTTCGCCGATCCAACTTACAACTGTATACATACAATGATCTGGACCATGGTTGAGCCCGGCGTATATTTGATTGCAGTTTCGCTGCCATCTCTTCGACCCCTCAAGAAGAGGGTTCCGTGGGTAAGAGATATTAGCTTTGGTAGTCTAATCTCCCGCGCTACGTCCTGGACTGGCAAGTCAACAAACAACACATCCTGGCTCGAACCGAAAATGGCAGCGAAGAACGGAGTGATCAGAACCACGGATATTGAACTGAAAAGCTCAAACTTTCCCATTGAAGAAGGCGGCAGTATGCACAGCACCGCGAGGATCAATCCCCCGTTTTACAGTCTGGCCGATATCGACGAACAACAGATAAGCCATGATAAGCCTGCAAAATTCATCGGATAGTCAAAACTGCAAGAGCTTAACGAATGAACCGCTGATGGAAGGTTTTGCACGGCATTTCACTCTAGCTATTTCCTTACCAACCTTAGTACAACTGCCCTGATCTGCGCAGATCTATCCATGAAACTGTTCTCGATAACTCACACTTCTCAAATACAAATTGCTTTTATAGAAACATTTGGACATGTGATTCAACATTCTACGTGCTCTGTGGTCAGTGATAATCACTACCTGCTGTCTAATCAGTCCTAACCCATATTATCACTCAGCAAGGCCTTGTGGATGGCAACATCTCTCTTCATGCAACAGTTTCTCCAGGCCAACAGTTCCAAAATCCAGGAACAATGGCGTATGCCCTTTTTCCCTTCTCGACCCAAGAACGAATGTGAATGATGCAACATCAACATCATGCATCGTACTAAATAGCGCGGTGTTCAAGCGCATGTATTACTGTCGGTTCCCGATAATCACGAATACGAACGATCCGAGGCTAGATTGTCTCCCCGCTTCGTTGAGAGGGTGTATATGCATGCGTATTCCAATCAGCAATCATTTTCAAACGGAGCTGCATGCCAGCTGGGCCATTGCATGCGCACCGACGCACAGCAACAATCGTCCGATGAAAGACAATCACGAACCATTTGGGCACTGTGAGACACCAGGATAGTCTGAATGTGTTGTCTTAGAGGACGGTGATTGCCCGCAAGACGATTGCAAGTTAGGGGTATCGCTCGTGCAGTCATAATTCATGTTGTACTACACAGATATATGACCTTCCATTGGTTGAGGCGCCTCGGCGTTTGAATACTCGGGCTACTAGTCGGAGAATCCACATGTGCCTGAATTGCTGGGGAGATCTGATTCCGATGATCAAATTGTAACAATGAATGGAGGAAACACCAAAGTACAGAATATAACAGTTTTCTCGAGGCTAGATCATTCTGATCGCGTGGAAACTGCAGACTTCGATTGAGAGAAAAGCTCAACCCCAACCTAAGCTCGACTTTGAGTGGCGTTGTGATTGAGGAGCATATGCGTCAGTGACATACTGATTTATGACAAAAGCATACCACGAAGTTCTTGGCCAGAGACATTTTTCGGGCAATGTAGACTTCGGTTTCCGAAGATTCATGCCTTGCTCTTCTTGCACCGCGGACATATGATTAGACACCCGGCGGAGAGGCTTTCTGCAGCCAAGATCAGTGTTTGCGTACAATCAATGTTTTTGCGTCTCAAGAATCGAAATCACCCAAGCGATTTGGGCGTCGTATCACTTTCAGGTGATAAATGGGTGAGCCCGATGCGATAATGATTGCATTTGCCTTTTCCTGTTTGGTTTAGCGTGAGGTAACATGGGTATGATCTGAACAATATGATGCCCACGCAGCCCACCCACACTGGCGAGACAGTCGGTCTCCGAGGCGCAACTGCACTAGCATTTCGATTAACCTGCATTCCAAACTAGATCGACCACTCGGAAAAATTGCAATATCGAGTCAATCGAATAGCAGAGACAAGTCTGGCATGCATGACTGCACCAGAACCACGCTCTGATGGTCTCATGGTTTCTCATGTATGATAAGTGTTTACATTTCAACCATAACCTCAATCGATCAGTGTAACCAGATAGTGATTCTACGTTGTAATGACCACAGCTTTGTTGACTATAAATGGAGTGACTCTTTTGACGAGAAAAGGGATTCTAAGCCTACTGTTGGATCGATGAGAAGCCCAATATACAGGGATAGTCAACTTGAATCGAGATTTAGTGCAGGAAGCTGTGAGAGATTTCACTAAGTGACCTCAATTTTTACGATTGTGGAATAATGCGCGAGTGATACTGATGGAGGTCGTATGTATGCTGAAGTTGTGGGCTAAAAGGATATGCCATGAGGAATACCTGCAGAATGGATCCCCTGCAAGGGAATTGCAGTCCAGTCAGCGTAAGAAATCGGTTTTGCGCTTGTATGAATGTAGAACGGGACGCACGGAGGAGTGGATGGTTCTTCCTGGCGCCAGGTAGATAGTGCCGAAGCAGCTGGACCCGCATAAACCATGCAGCAACCTCTCACCCCGAATATACAGCTTAGTCTGGCAGGGTTGTCTTTGCCTGCAGGATTAGTTTACACCCGAGACATCATTTACCTCCATTCCAGATCGCCAGGCATTGGCCCAGCTTTACAATATTGGTTAACTCAAGTCTTGACTCAACGAGCTTCGCCAAGCATACTCAGTGCTTTGCGGTCTTGTCTCCATCATCCATATGGACAAGCTTGATGTATTTCCCTCTATATAGAAAGGGTCCAGGAAGGTCATTGATAGTACGCTCTCCAGAACAATTTTTTTCAAATTTCTTTGACGACTTACAACGTAATTGGATGACTATAATTTTTGAACAGCAAGGGAACTCAAATAATCAATCTATTCAGAATGACTGTGGCAGACAAAGTCCCAATGAGCCACAAAACTGCCGCAAATGGGCACGCAAACGGCGACAACCAATCACAGCCTACCTCAAACGGCGAAAAACATGAGTCTCAAAAGGTACCCGTGGAAGCCCACCTCGAACCGCTGGCTATCATCGGCATGGCATTTCAGTTTCCCGACGGGGCCGATACTGAAGATTCTTTCTGGGAGATGCTGGTTCAGAATCGTTGTGCATCCAGAGAGTATCCAAAGGAAAGGTTGAATATCGGTGCATTTTATAGCACTGACAGAAACAAGCCTGGTGCGGTACGAAACATACGCTGTCTCTGTACTCTTTGAGTGACCACTGATGTTAAACTTAGATACACACCAAAAACGCTCATTTTCTCAGGGACGATATTCGAAACTTTGATCCAGCCTTCTTTTCTATCTCGCCAGCAGACGCGAGGGCGATGGACCCTTGCCAACGCACGCTTATGGAAACCACATATCATGCATTGGAGAACAGCGGTCTATCTCTCTCCGATGTGTCTGGTTCCAAGACCTCAGTTCATGTAGGTTGCTTTTCCAGCGACCATATGACAACTGCTTTCCGCGACCTGGAACAAATGCAGAGATACTCTGCGACTGGGATATCTAGCGCAATGCTTTCCAATCGTTTAAGCTGGTTTTTCAATTTACATGGTCCAAGTCTCACAATTGATACGGCCTGTTCAAGTGGCATGGTAGCTCTAGATCTGGCATGCGAAGGACTCTGGAGTGGGCAGACTAGTATGGCTATCGTTTCAGCATCAAATCTGAACCTTACTCCGGAGCTCAATGTCTCACTCAGCAATATGGGATTCCTTTCCCCTGATGGTCGATGTTTCAGTTTCGATCACCGCGCTAATGGGTATGCTCGCGGAGAGGGAGTAGTAACCTTAATTATCAAACCACTCTCAAAGGCCATTGAGTCCGGAAATCAAATTAGGGCGTTGATTCGCTCTGTGGGATCAAACCAGGACGGAAGAACAGCCGGAGGGATTACCCAACCAAGCAAAACTATGCAAGCTGAACTTATCCGAGAAACGTATCGCCGAGCCGGGGCTGATTTGGATATGAGCAAAACCCGATATTTCGAGGCTCACGGAACAGGGACGACAATAGGAGATCCTATAGAGGCGGAAGCTATCGGGGAATGCTCCAGGGAACATTTCACTGACGATCATCCCTTATTTGTAGGGGCAGTGAAATCGAACATCGGGCATACCGAGGGCACGAGTGGCCTTGCTGGAATTGTCAAGGCCGTTCTGGCTCTAGAGAAGGGAATTATCCCACCCAACACCAATTTCGAGCGCCTCAATCCCGACATTGATGCCGAGTTTTACAGACTCGCATTTCCCCAAGAATGTATCGATTGGCCGGCAGTCTCGGGTGGAGTTCGACGGGCTTCCGTGAATTCATTTGGATTTGGTGGAGCCAATGCCCACGTCGTGCTCGATGACGTCAGGTCGTACCTTCAAGCACATCGACTGAGTGGAAATCATCGTACAGTCGCACCAAAGTTGATCGATACTGACCAACACAAAAATGGCCACAAGATATCTAAAGCGGCCTTGGATGTTCAAAGTGTCTTTGTTCCCCAGCTTTTGATATTCTCCGCGTTTGATAAAGGTGGGATAGAACGGCAAACTCAGGCACACAGCACATACCTCAACAGATTTGGCGGCTGCTACCCGCCTAACTTCTTTTCGGACTACGCATTCACACTTGCAAAGCATCGAACAAGACACACGTGGAATTCATTCTGCGTTGTCGAAAGTTCGAGAGACGTCGAAAACATAGGCAAACTACTCGAACACGGTCCAGCCACCGGTACATCCCTGCTGAACACTGGATTCGTGTTTACAGGCCAAGGGGCCCAGTGGCATGGAATGGGTCATGAGCTTCTCAGCAACCCTATCTTCAGGCAGAGTATCGACGGCTCACAACGTTATCTGACAGATCTTGGTTGTAAATGGTCTGTCAGAACGTTACTCACGGACGACAAGTTTGCCCACCTTATCAATGAAGCTCAATACAGCCAAGTAGTTACAACAGTTGTGCAGTTGGCACTAGTGGACTTGACCTCATCCCTCGGTATTACCCCATCCGTGGTAGTCGGCCACTCATCTGGAGAAATTGCAGCTGCATATACTGCCGGGCTCATCTCTCACAAATCTGCAATCAAAATCTCGTATTACAGAGGCCTTCTAGCTTCTGAATTGCAGCGTTCGCAAGACGAGCCATACGCAATGGCTGCTGTAGGGCTGTCAGCTGAAGAGGTCGAACATGAGCTTCATGTCCTGTGGACCGAAGGAACCCCAGTAGTAATCAGTTGTATCAACAGTCCATCAACTGTGACCGTCTCAGGGCCAGACACTGAGTTAGATGTGTTGATATCACATCTTCGCTCCAAAGATTTGTTTTGCAGAAAGCTAAGAGTCAGCCTGGGTTATCATTCCCCTCAGATGAACGCCATTAGTTCGAGATACCTGGAGGTCCTTGGCGACCTCGATCCTGGGTCACCCCAAGAGACTCCTCGACCGCCTATGGTGTCATCCGTAACAGGAGATCTGGTAGATTCTGACATTGTATGTAATGGTCAGTATTGGGTCAGAAACATGGTGTCAGTAGTCAATTTTTTGGCTGCCATTCAACGTTGCAGTCAATTTTCGAGAAAGACCACAGTCTTAGATCGTTTCGGTAGCAAGAATGCGAAGGAGCTTGCCGTTGACGGTTGGCTCGAAATTGGTCCACACTCGGCACTCCAGGGCCCCATACGGGAGATTCTAAAAAGTCTCCCGGGTATCAAGGAAATCAGGTATACTTCGACACTCGTTCGAAATCAATCTGCAGTGCGCACCCTCCTCGCCGCAGCAGGGTACTTACATTGCCACAACTTCCCTGTCATTATCTCCAACGCAACGAGTCTCGGAATGGACAAAGAAAGCATCGAATGTCGTAGGATGTTGGACATATCATCCTATCAGTTCAATCACGACATCATTTATTGGGAAGAGTCGCCCATGAATGTTCATCTGCGTCTACGTTCCCGAGGACCTCACGAGCTCCTTGGAACACGAGTTGGAGCGCCAAATCCTTTTGAAGCAGAGTGGAGATTTATTATCAGAGAAGACAGCATGCCGTGGATTCGAGAACATAAGGTTAACGGTACTATCCTCTATCCTGCTGCGGGTATGTTGGTGATGGCAATTGAAGCAGGGCGGCAACTCTCATCCAAAACACCTCTGGTGGCAATACAGCTTGAGGATGTAGATGTTCCAGCCCCGATTGTCATATCAACTACCGGTGAACAGACAGAGGTGAGGCTACATATCTCCTCTGCATCCGAGGACACTGAGATACACAATTTCCGGATATTCTCATGTAAACAGGGCATACACCGAGAGACTGTTTGCAGTGGCAAGATTCGGCAGATCTTCCAGCGCTCAGAATCAGAAATCGACAATGGACGGGAAAATCGCGAGAGCGCTGAACGATTAGCACTTGAATACGACACCATACGTGGGTCTTGTCATCAGACGATAGATGAGACGAAGCTATACAACACCTTTGACAAGGATCTGGGATTGCAATATGGTCCGTCCTTCCAGACCCTGCGTCGCGTTTGCTCTGACAATGCGGGCCATGCTATCGCACAACTAGCCGAGTATGAATCCGCCATCGCCTCATCACACGTTATCCACCCCACGCAACTGGACGGTATGTTTCAATTATGTTATCCTGCAGCTCCCAACAAGGATGAGTCAAGTACTATGGTCCCTACTCATTTCGGCAGAATATGGGTATCAATTCCTGGCTCCAGTCATCCTTCCGATTGGCATCCTGAGATGACTGTTTGCGCCACTGCGACAAGCTCGCTCCGCCAGAAGAAAACGTTCAACATCAAAGCTGTCAATCATTCTACCATGCATCTAAATATCGAAGTAGATGAATTGGTCTTATCCGTGATAGCAGCCAGCCCTGCAAAAGTCAAAACCCTTGAAGACTCAAATTACCTTTGCGCGCACATGAAATGGAGAGCGGATCTGGATGTTTTGGATAAAGAGGAAATACAGGAGTTCTGTGAAGAGGTCAGGCCCGCGAAACAGGCACCTGAGCAACGTTTTCAGGACATGACCAGGCTTTGTCTGCACTACGGTGAGCAGGCTTTGAGAGATGTAACTGAAGAAGAAGTCGTTCCGTCCATGAAAAGATACGCTACTTGGTTACGCAAAACCCTGAACCAGCGGTCAACGGATAAGATGATGAATCCCGACGATGTCCAACGACTTTACATGTCACTGCTCCCTAGTACACGTGTCGAACTTCAAACCATCGTTGGACAGAACCTAGCACGTCTGCTTCGTGGTGAAGTTGACCCTCTCGAGCTTTTCTTCACTGATGAAAGCAAGATGACAAAGTTCTATGCTGAAGCTATGGAAGACTCCACGTCTCAACTGCCTTTGAGCCGATTTTTGGACAGCCTCACTCACAAGACTCCGAATTTGAGTTTTCTTGAAGTGGGTGCTGGTACAGGAGGCTCGACTACAGCGATCATGAAAACAATAGGGGACAGTGCAACTGGTCCCGCATTCGAACATTATACATATACTGATATCAGCCCGTCCTTCTTCGAGCAGGCGCAAGAGAGATTTGCAGCTCTCGATAGCCGCATGACATATCGAATGTTGGATATCGAACGTGACCCGGCTTCTCAAGGCTATGAGTTGGGGGCATACGATATAGTCATCGCGGACAATGTGCTGCATGCGACAAAAGATATATCCAAGGCGTTAATACACGTTCACAAACTCCTAAGACCAGGTGGAAAGCTCATCTTGCGAGAACTTTCATCGCCTGAGGGATTGCTAACGGGATACTTATTTGGTCTCCTTCCAGGTTGGTGGCTCGCCACTGAAGAGACACGTCAGCTAAGTCCTACCATGAGCGTAAGCAGCTGGGATAACTCTTTGCGCAAATCTGGCTTCTCCGGAACGGATCTCATCCTTCCTGATTATCCTGGGAGCGAATGCAACCAAGTGACGTTCATGGTGTCAACGGCAATAGAGTCTTCGGCAGCACTATCCAATGGTCTGGGTTCGACGTCGATGTTTCCAATATTTATCGTCGATTCTCTATCCAGCAGCCAGGCATGTTTGGCATTATCCGTTGCCCAGTTCCTAGACGGTGATCAAGCTCGTCCTAACATGATGACCCTTGTTGAGGCTGCTGCTCTCGCGACAAGGACGGGGTATTCCCACGATTTCGTTTTCCTCAACGAAACAGAGTCGCCTCTACTACCCGCCGTAGAACACACAGTCTTCGACGCCATAAAAGATTTACTAGCCTCCGCAAGAAGCATTTTATGGGTCAAGAAAGGCGGCGCGGGGAAATTGGCTCCCGATTTTGCTACAAGCGACGGCTTATGTCGAGTGAGTCGTAATGAGAACTCGAGAGTTGCGCTAGTGACAGTTGCTCTTGAAGTGACTAGTCCTTCTAATGCACGGCATATTGCGAACATCTTCCGGAAACTCCACTGGCACATTGATGCTAACGATTCAATCGTCGAGTCAGAATACAGCGTGATCAATGGGCGTCCTCACATCAACAGGGTTCGCCGGGCTAAGTACCTGGATGAGCATGTTTTCATGCGTACAGAGCGCCCTCTGATACACCGACAGGCGAATGGTCAGAAGCTCGATATAGATATACGGGTACCTGGTCTACTGGATACAATCGAATATGCCCAAGCTCAGAATGAGAGCCCAGTTCTAGGTGCAACAGAGATCGAAATCGAAGTCAAGGCTCTCGGGTTGAACTATAAAGATATTTTGCTTCTTATTGGTCTCGGTAAATCAGATAACCTTGGGAGTGAGTACGCCGGTATTGTGCGAGCCACAGGCTCGAGCGTTGCTGGTATCAAGCCTGGCGATCGCGTAGCAGCATTGTCACTGGAACACACCATGTCAACCCGCTACCGAACACATCCAGATAATGTCATTCGGATACAAGACGACTTGAGCTTCGCAAAGGCAGCGACAATTCCGACGGCATATGGCACAGCCTATTACGCGCTAGTTGAAGAAGCTCGCCTCCGACCTGGAGAAACGATCCTGATCCATTCGGCCGCTGGTGGAACAGGCCAGGCAATGCTACAAGTTGCACAATGGATTGGAGCCGAAGTATTTGCCACTGTCGGTGATATCAACAAGAAAGAATACATAATGCACGAGTACGGAATATCGGACCCACACATTTTCTCATCGAGAGACCCATTCTTTGTTACAGGCATCAAGCGTTTAAAAAAGCTGGGAGTCGACGTGGTAGTGAACTCACTTTCGGGAGCATTGATGGAGGCATCGTGGAACTGTATCGCTCCTTTTGGTCGATTCGTTGAAATCGGTTTGAAAGATGCGTATGCTAGAAAAAGTTTGCCCATGTACACCTTCACCCAGAACGTTTCCTTCCATGCCATTGACTTGGAGCTAATGCTTGAGCATAAACACACCATGTCCATGAATATACTCAGACATGTGTACGATCTGATTGCTCAGGGTAGTCTTAGACCAAGAGATCCGAAACGATATTCTCTGGGAAATCTTGAATCGGCAGTCAGATATCTGCAGAGCGGGATGAGCATGGGGAAGTTAGCGATCGAGGTGGAAGATGAGGAAACGTTACCGGTAGGAAAATGCTCAGTAGGCTTGAAGGACTTACGCTAATAAAGAAATATATAGATTGTGCAGGGGTCACCGACATCCTACCAACTACCACATGACACGAGTTACGTCATTGCAGGAGGCTTGGGCATTGTTGGGCGAAGTATCGCTCGTTGGCTTGTCCTTCGTGGTGCAAGGAATTTGATTTTGTTATCTCGTTCAGGACCAAGGCAAGATGACGAAGAAGTCCAAGAAATGCTGAGAAGTATGCAAGAAACGGGCGTTAATGTACATTGTCCAGTTTGCGATATTGCAGATCCATCTGCATTGAAGAAAGTGATAGCAGACGCATCTCAGATCATGCCTCCTATCAAAGGTTGTATTCAAGGCGCAATGGTACTTCATGTAAGTTCTCCACAGTGGAAAGACTTGCACGTGTATAACGTTGGTATAAATGTTGTACTATAAGTGCTGATTCTTGACAGGATGCGACGTTGTCAACTATGACCATCACCGATTGGAGAAAAGCAATCAGACCAAAGGTCGATGGCTCTTGGAACCTACATCGCGCTTTGCCATTAGGCTTGGACTTTTTTGTCCTGCTATCCTCAATCTCTGGCATTTTTGGGAATGGCGGTCAAGCCAACTACGTCTCTGGAAATACATACCAAGATGCGTTGGCGGGTTATCGAGTCGCACAGGGCGAGCATGCAGTGTCCCTAGACATTGGGTATATCCGACACGATGGTTTTGAAGCGAAACGTCCAGACATGGTAGATCGAATGACCGGTGTAGCGAGAATGCATCCTAGCTCTTTGGATGAGATCAACGCAATACTGGATTACTATTGCCAGCCAGGACTCAAGCTCACCCAATACCAAAGCCAGGTCATTACCGGCTTAGACCCGCCGGCAGATATCTTATTGAAAGGACAAGACTTACCGGACTATATGCATAATCCCCTATTCCGCCACTTGTTTCAGCACGAATCTTCGCAAACACCAGAACGAGCTTCTTCCTCGCGACAGTCAAAAACGGTCACAGCAACCTTCATAAGTGCATCCTCGGCCCAGGAAGGTGGCAAGGTCATTGCCCGGGCTCTGATGGCGAAGTTGAGTCGAGTACTGGGCATGCCGTGTGAGTCCAGTGAGCCCAGTGAACTTGATCGTTCACTTGTCTCTTTTGGCGTGGACTCTCTTGTGGGTCTTGAACTGAAGAATTGGCTTAGCAAAGAAGCAGGCGCCGATCTTGCCGTGTTTGAAATTCTCAGTGGTGCGACTTTCGAGGAGATTGGCGAGTTGGTTGCTGTCAGGAGTGCACTGAGACCTGTTGATTGGAGTGCGAAATAGTCGGATGTGTAATAACACCTGTACGAGCAGAGTTTCGCGAAATCTCCTAATAGCATAATGAACCGATGACATATTCACAGCAGCGAAGAACAGTTTGCCCGTTTACTGGTCAACAAGGCAATCTCGTAGGTGGAATTGACGGTTAATACAGTAAAGCGGTTAGATAACGAGTTTGAACGGTCCATGGTTCACATTTAGGTGTACGGGTGGATTGAGCACGTGATGCACATTCAATCATGTGACTGGGAGCAAGTCACGAGACACTTGGCGTTATGAGGTCATCCATATCCGTTCCATCCAACCTGAAACAGGGTCGCGTACATCGCCTCGGTTGATCCGCGACAGTTGCGCAAGACACCATCCCGATAATTCGCATGTGCGCCCAAAACTGATACCGTCTGCATCGCCGCCGATACAATGCGCGATTACATCTTGCTTGGGCTTGTGACTTGGCTGGCACGCGCCGCATCTGACCCGTCCCGTTATAAAGCCCAACAACCTATGCTCGCTCCGCTACACAGCCCAGGCAGCGGTAAATATTCTGTTCAGACTCCACCTTTGGACACAGACTGGACATACCAGGTTGGCACAGATCCGTGGCCACAGTATCCCCGACCCAAGCTTGCCCGGCCCAAATGGCAAAGCTTGAATGGAGTCTGGACATACGCCAATGCTTCCGGCCACGATGCTCTTGATCATCCGCCATTCAATCGGACGTTGTCAAAAGAGGTGCTGGTCCCGTTTTGTCTAGAGAGTGCTTTATCTGGCCTTCAAGGCGAGCGTACGATACACTCGTGGTATAGGACGACTTTCACCGTACCGGGGTCATGGGATAGCGAGGATCGTGTAGTCCTCAATTTTGGAGCTGTTGATTACGAGGCAACTGTTTTTATCAACGGACAGAAGGCCACATTCCACCGCGGAGGCTTCTTCTCCTTTTCCGTCGACGTTACGTCCTACCTAAATGGTGGCGAAGAAGAATTGTGCGTATCATCTTTCCAACTTCTCGTGTTTGTATTATAGACGTTCACACTATAGCGAATCCGGAAAAGCTACCATTCCACCTAATCAAGTTACATCGCCTTGGAATAAAGAGTGAAGCTAATAATCGTGTGCCAGGGTCGTGTTTGCTTTTGACCCCTCAGACAGTGACTCCTACGTAATACCACTGGGTAAACAGACGCTCACTCCCGACCACATATTCTATCGACCATGTAGTGGCATATGGCAGAGCGTATGGCTTGAATCAGCACCAAGAAGTCATATCAAAGATCTTGAGATTCAGGGCGATGCGAGCGGTCTTGTCAACCTGACAGTGGTCGCCACAGATGGCCTTCCATCCGTTGTCAATATTACAATTCACGAGCGGGTAAGCCATTGGTCATCACGTGTTAAGAGATCTAGGATAACTTCCAAGGACCAACCTTCTAACGATATTTGCAGATGACAAACTCGATTGTAGCTAAACATGTGGCGAATGCTGGCTCCCCGGTTACATTCAACGTCCCATCAGTCAAGCCTTGGTCACCCGATTCTCCCACCCTTTACGATGTCACTATCACAATGGGCTCAGATACAGTACGCAGCTATATTGGATTTCGAACAGTGAAGAAAGTCAGGGTCAATGGGGTGCAGAGAATTGTGTTGGTATGTGCATGGCCGTGTTCTTCTCATGGTTTCTCCGTGCAACCCTAAAATCTTCGCGTTGCTTTGCACGGTGCGCTCACATTCTTGCAGAATGACAAAGTCATCTTTCCGTTCGGCACACTTGATCAAGGTATGTTATTCATGACACTTGTTGAGCATATCCATTGTAGACTGACAAGAACGAACCAAGGTTATTGGCCAGATGGCTTATACACTCCACCTACGTATGAAGCTATGACTTTCGACATCAAGACACTCAAACGGCTTGGCTACAACATGCTCCGAAAACACGTCAAAGTTGAATCTGCGCTCTACTACGCAGCTGCCGACGAGCTGGGTATCTTGATAATGCAGGATATGCCCTCACTTCCATCCTCGCTCAAACCGAACAAGATCCAGTATGCCGAATTCGAACGCCAGCTTAAATTACTTGTCAACCAATTCAAAAGCTACACATCAATTTTTGCATGGGTCATATACAATGAAGGTTGGGGTCAAAATAAATCCCATAAACCAGACTTTGAACTCACTGATGCGATTCGCCATCTCGATCCCACGCGTCTTGTAGACTCGGCGAGTGGTTGGTTTGATCATGGCGCTGGTGACTTTAGCGACGATCATCATTATGCCAGCCCAAGATGTGGCACACCAACGCAATACGTTGGCACCGAAGAGTTTCACCCTTCACGTATTGGTTTCGAGGGCGAGTTTGGTGGCATCGGTCATAATGTCTCGGCCAATCACTTATGGAAGGTTCAGCAAGCTATCGACGGCATCAATGAAACTTATGAGATGTGGGATACAGTTGAAACCTGGAATGCCCGTGGTCATTTCCTGCTGAGCGAGCTATTATTTCAGGTACAGGTTTACTCATGTGCAGGCGCTGTCTGGACTGAAACAACAGATATCGAAGGTGAAGTGAATGGCATGATGACATATGACCGCCGCATCTTGAGGCCGGATGTTGTTACATGGAATGCCGACATCAAGGCATTGTATGATGCTTCCGAGTACCGTTCAAAGGAAAATCGTTAAGGGAAGAATCTCTTCACCTTTCTGTGTACGGACAAGAAGCGCATAAATATACTTCAGTTGCTTTCCTCACTTCAAAATCATGCGTACAAAATATAAACAAACGCTATTGATTTGTTTGGTAAAATTGATAGTGGCAAGTATAGCCAAGATCGGAACGACTTTGCGATAAAGCTCTCGAAAAGCGAACTACTGCATTAAGAAGAGAATTTCTATAAAGGTCAAGGTAGACCATACATTTGAAGGGAAAAAAACAGAGCGACTTGCACCTTATAACCATGTTCGCACACCTTCTAGACGCTATTAAAGATAACGTCAATAGCCTTCATACTCATGGTGAATGTCGGCAGATTGCTGTAGGCACCAGGGACACGAGGCCAGACACTCGCATCGACAATCCGCAAGCCTTTGGTGCCCTTCACCCTGAACTTGCTGTCCACACAAGTGTCAGTCGCATTATCAGCTCCCATCCGGCAGCTCGACGTGGCATGATGACTAAAGGCTTCATCCATGATGGACTGCTCCACGGGCATGCCTGGCTTAGGTTCACGGACTTCGTATGGTACGCCTGTTCCGTCGAACGAGCGCAACAGCATGTCCACAGATTCAGACAAGGCCTGTAGGTCAGTCTCGGCATTGTGCTCGAAGAAGTTAAAGTTGATAGCAGGTGCTATACGGGGATCCTTTGACTGCAACTTGACTGTGCCGGCTGGGTTCGCCGTCTGCATTTTGATCACCTAAAACCACCGATATCCAGTCAGCAAAATCTTATTATGGGATTAAACAATATGAGATATATGGACATGTAGGTGCCATTCAATAATCGGGGGATACATACCGCGGTGGAGAAAAAGAATGGGTTTTGTGTGCCATTTGAATAACCGGGGAAGAAACCTGTGCTTTGGCGACCGGGTTGACAGAGGAAGACAAGGTCGCCATCGGCATCCCATGAAACGCTGCTACGACCTGTGTACCCGGCACCGATTTGTTGGGTGTAGGGACCGGTAGCATTGCGCTCCCATAGAACGAAGCATGGGTCGGAATCATCATAAGTACGTGTACAATTCGGTGATGATGGTGTGGGGGGGTGCGGGACGATCCATGGTTCTTCAGCCCGAATGTGGACTCCGGATTCGTAATTATCTTGCATAAAGTTGCCAACAGCGGGGAGATCGACGACAACAGGGATGTCGAATTCTTTCAACTCTTCCGCGGGTCCAATACCACTCAATTTGAGGATCTGAGGGGTATTGAATGTGCCACCGGAAACGATGACTTCTTTTCTCGCGCGAACACTCTTTTCAATGCCCTGTTGCTGGGGATCATATCGGTTATCGGCTGAGTATAGACTGGGCAAGCATATACGTTAGTGTACTGTGAACAGGAAGTTGTCGCGTGACAAGCCATGAAAATCATTCTGGATGGCTCGAAAACGCGATTTTGGCAAGGCGAGTACTTACCCTTCACCTTCTAGATACTCCACACCTACAGCTCTTGGCTCTCCGCTCTCTGGGCACTCCTCGAAGATAATCCTCTTGGCAAGAGAATGAAGACTAAGCGTGAGGGGGTAGCCCTGCTCAACGACACGGTTCACGTACTCAGCGATGCCACTCCGGGATACGGTAGTAGGATTTGCCGCAAGTGGAGGCGTGTATGCAGATGGGTTGTTTCGGTCGTTGTCAATCCTGTTGATGTCCCGTACCAAGCGTTCCCTAAGTTCTTCCGTTCCGTTTGGACGGCTGCCTTCGACCTCGAGAACCATATTCGAGTAGAAGCTGGCAAGGTTGGGAAATTCCAACTCCGCAAAAGTGCTAGCTTGGAGGAGCTGGAGAAAACCGTCGTGCCCGTGACCCGGCGTACCCTGAGGAACGTACGTAGCATTTTCCAACTTGACAAGATAGTTTCGCATCGACTCATGGCCCCAGGTACAGTCCCCAGTGAGATTGGCGATGTAATCCCATTCGTTATCTGGAGCCCATTGGCCGTTCATCGCATTCACCTGAGCGCTACCACCAAGTGTGGCACCTCTGGGGTACAAGACGCCGTGGGGCTTAGCACCCTCCGGTGGATCGATTCCAGAGTAGTAAGAGCCATTGCTGAATTGGTAGGTATATTTGGAGTCACGTCGAGCCTGGGTCTCGTTTTGGTAATGCTCCACAAAGAATTGCCACGAATGCGGGGCATTTTCTCCAGCGAATTGTAGCCGCGCTGCGAGCCTTTGGGCGACATCGTCCGAATGATCCCCTCCAGCTTCCATAAGAAGGACGGAGGCGCCTAGCTGTGCTAGACCAGCAGCTAATGGACCACCACCTGGACCAGATCCGATGATAATATAGTCATATTCGTCGGGGTCGGTTGAATTAGAGGCACTAGCGATACCGCTGATCGCTAGTATGCCAGCAATGAGAGAGTGTTTCATTGCGCGAGGAGGGTTTAACTGCCTCTGGAGATTGAAAATGGAGTAACGAAAGCTGTTGAAAGAGTGTGAATTGATTACTAGTGTAAAGCAGAAGATTGTGCGTGAGTATTGATCGTAGGGAGAAATGTCAATATATATATTGCCCATGCTTCAACTTCTCGTTGTTGCTACAGACTCTTAGTGTTGAGGCTGAGCGGCTTGATGTTAGGATGAACATGGGTGTTGGGTCGCTAAGTACATACGAGATTCCGAATCGGACGAACCATACGAGATTTGGTCGCCGAGAGCTATACCAGATCGTCACATCTCACATAATATACTAACTAGATTAGTCCCCCCTTAAGTCTAAAGTGGCTCATGCTCACTTTAAGTGAGATTAAAAAGTCATCGCTCGCTTCGTTAGCTCCGTAAATGCCCAGGTCCCAAGGAGAATTATGTAGCAAGTAGCAAGCTGAGTGAAATGGGTCTTATTATTGTGACTTGTGTTGCACGCGGTCATCGTATTCTAATACTGCCCAGACACTTGGTATGGTTTGGTTTTGCAGCATGGTGGGCATGATCGGCATTGCTGACTTCATAGCCTGTGACGAAATAGTCCGGTACATACGAATACCGAGGTTGTGCGATGTATAGCCTGGTGTCTACCTCGTAGGGTGGCTTCATTATGGTATCTATCTTGACGAAAGTCCAGCCCCGTACAGCCTTCCACACCCGGCTTCAAGCACCGCGGCGCGCGCACTTCTCCCATGACAGCCCGTCTTGACCGTCAATTGAGTTGCAACGCAGAATGTATATGATGAAGATGACAATGAGAATGAGAATGCGCCGTTCAGAGCGATGAACCGAGCTGATCAAAAAAAGAAAAAAAATCGAAACCTAGAATTGATTTTAAAGATATCATAGATCAAGACACAGACACACACAAAAGCTGAAAAAGTAAAATGGGATAAGGGAAGCAAAAGAAATCAGCCCCTGTGATGGGAAATGAAAGGGATTATCAACTTGTTCGTGTCATGCCATGGTTGTTGTCCGTCGAATCCGAATGCGGCACGAACACGATACACAATCACATTACAATTACATGGGTAAAGATCTGCCTTCAAGCTTCCGACAGGGCACATTTTCCCCGGTAACCATTAACCCGACGAGTGACCTGGCTGGTATTGACCATGTCGGGGTAGCTATTGGGCCAAGACTAGGTATCGTGAAATTGGCGAAATTATTTTTCCTTCGGGACTCACGTCAATCCGTAATAGACTGTTGAACGGGCAGACCATGCTTTCGCTCGACCAACCTATGATGATAACAGTAATCTGGTGACTGTGCATTCACTTCGTATAATCTCTGAACTGTTTTCAACCAATCAAAGCCTTTGGTTATGTTTGCAGCGTTCTTATATTCCCGCGCTGGTCCACTGACTCACACATATTGATCACTGACCACTCATCTACGAGAAGCCAGATACTGGATTCTCCGGGTCCAAAAATGGTCGGCTATGCCATTCAAGACGCTCATATGGGCTATAAGGCCAGTATTCAGTGAGGCGCAGCTTCCCGCTATTTTTGCCTTATCTTATACAGGATGAACCATCTTCGACCGGATAGTCTAATGTCTGGCGACGACGAACAGGCCTTGCAACTCAATAACGCTACCCCCTGTGACACCAGCGACATCGAGAATAATACCGGATTGGGCGATGCCGATCGTGTCTTGGTGGCCAAAAATGGGTACACCCCAGTTTTCAGGAGAGAATTTGGCTCCCTGGCGACATTTTCCTTCGCTGTAAGCATCGGTGGCGTCTTCTCGTCAGTTGCGACGACCTTCGTCTATCCGCTCCAAGCCGGAGGTAGCGCTGCGGTGGTTTGGTGTATGTCGGCTCTTTCTTTCTATTATCCTGTGCTGTGATTCATTGCGCACAGATGCTAACTTATTTGAAAGGCTGGCTGATATCAGGCATCGGTTGTATGGCAATCGCCCTCTCTGTCTCCGAGCTCGTGTCTGCCTACCCTACATGCGGCGGCCTTTACTATACTGTCTCCCAACTTGCGGCCAAGAACCATGCTCCCATTCTGAGCTGGCTTACTGGATGGTTGAATATCCTTGGGCAGCTCGCCGGCGTGGCGGCTTCCGAGTGGGGCGCCGCAGGTTTGTTGCTCGCTGTGCTGTCTATCAGCTCCGACTTCACATATCTGCCTAGCGTCGAGCACGCGGTCGCTACTATGGCTGGAATGGTGGTACTTTCGGGCATCGTTAATTCGCTTTCGACGTATTGGATTGCAAAACTGACTAGTTCGTACGTTATCTTCCATGTGCTGGTACTACTGTCATGTTCAATTGCGCTCTTGACTATGGCCACAACTGCGAATGGGAACCCACGACATACCGCGAAATATGTTTTTACGGATATTGAAAACCAATCTGGATGGCCGAGTGCCTGGAGTTTCATGTTTGGGTTCTTGTCGGTCTCGTGGACCATGTCCGACTACGATGCGACCGCACACATCGCTGAAGAGATCCAGAATCCCGATATTAAAGCTCCATGGGCTATTTCCATGGGAATGTTGTTCACTTTCGTCGCCGGCTGGCTCTACAATATAGTTCTATGTTTTGTTATGGGGGACATCACGGGAGTAGACTCAATCCTCGCGTCTCCAATCCAACAACCTGTCGCGCAGATCTTTTACAATGTTCTCGGAAAGCGAGGAAGTATCGTCTTCACCACTTGCGCGTTTATAATTCTGAAATTTGGAAACATTTCTGCTATGCAGTCCACGACGCGTACCATTTACGCTCTTTCCCGGGATCGACTACTGCCATGCAGCAATATCTGGACCACGATTCTACCTACTACGGGCATCCCGATGAATGCTGTTTGGTTGACAGTCGTGTTAGCCACTGCCATCAACCTTATTGGTCTCGGCTCGTATCCTGCCATCGCTGGCGTCTTCAATGTCTGTGCCATCGCGCTTGACTTGTCGTACTGTATCCCCATCCTCTGCAAAATATACTATGGGCGGTTCGTACGGGGTCCATGGCACTTAGGGAGATATTCTATGCTCATCAACATCTATGCCTGCCTGTGGACATGCTTTGTAGTGGTTATCTTCATGATGCCAACGAATTTGCCAGTGACACCCGAGACAGTAAGTTCATTCCAGGTTCAACCACAGATCGCGGCAATGCACACGGCGGCTAATTATATTGCAGATGAACTATGCGGCTGTGTATTTGATTGCTATATTGATGTTTTTAATGGTGTACTGGGGCACGCATGGGCGGAAGTCATTTTCTGGACCACCGGTTGATAGGTGTATCTCGTGAAGAAGTTAGGAAAAACCGAGAACGTGCTGCAATCGACATTGGATTTCCAGGTGTTTAGTTGCCCGGGACCATTTATACGGGCTGTTCTTCCTTGAATTCCCTTAAAATTCATTTGAAAATAATGGTTTCCAACAGACCAAGGTTTTCTGAAGCCTTTCCCATGCTTAGCACCTGACGAATTGGCCTAAACATCACCTCGACGACTTGATAGCGGTTTTATATGACATTCTGGTACCCTGGCTTGAATTATGTCAATTACGACTGATTTAGTGATGGAGCAGCACAACCGTGAGGCGTTCTTAGATGGTAAAGGAATTTGGTCACGTGACACAGGAAATAACGCCTTTAGACATAGGGACCACTGACGCACCAGACCCTACTGAACCCTACTGCATTCTGCGCGATCAAGGTACTCTTCAGATACTTGAGACGCGCAGGGTCGAATATACCCTAAAAGATATACTGCATGCTGAAATTTCCATTTAATTTACGGCCGCAAAGATAGCCGAGGCTCCCGTGGCTGTTACACTCAGACCAACGAACAGGGGACGACGTTTCAGCATTTGGGTGCTAGCCCATGCTTTGCGCGAGGCCATCTGACGGCATTTCCCAAAAACATGTGGCCAGGAGTGTCCGCCCGGAACAGATGATCGAGCTGCGGTGGAGCTTCGGAAAACTATGCGTTCTCTCTGTTTACTTTTGCACTGCGCTCTTCCCAGCGGCTCGATATATCCGGGGAGAGATACGTGACACCTCAAAACGAGGACGGTATTATTTCTTTCAGCCTATCATTTACAGATCAGCACTGCATATTCCAGCTACAAGATGAGCGTGGCTTACATCGTGTGAAAGTTGGACTGAATCAGTACTGTGAGGGTTCGACGAGCCTTTCTTGTGCTCAGCTTCACCATGAGTATGAGTGTGCAGAGCTACTTGTAGTCGCCAGCGGCAAATGGACGGCGGAAGATAAGTTCGAAATAACCTTGCAATACATTGAGACCGCTTTCCGGGATACCATGACCATCATGTTCTCTGATGACAAGACAATAGCAAGATTGTATTAGTCTGTGAACGTCAGCCCCTTCAGTATCCAAAAACCAACGATTTGGGGCGGTATACTTCAAAACAAAGATGATCTAGAGATCCTCAAGAGCAAGATACAACCAGCCCAAGAATCGTATTCGATATCTACAAGTGCTATTGGAAACTTGTTAAACTCCCCGACGACCAGAGCTATTCTCGAGCAGGGAATCCTCAGTCTACTGAGCAATTCGAGAATCGCAGAGGCTCGCAGTTACACCCTCAATACCATCTATCGCTACATTAAGGGCGTTAGCCATGATGATGTGTTGACAGTTGATAGTAGATTTGCCGAGCTAAACAGGGCAAATGGTCTGACCAGTTAAAAATAACTCGCTCAATCAATTCATCTGTCTATATGCGACCAATGCGAACCTGAGTGTTGGGAAGCTGCATTTATGTGGCATGTCAATAGATAGGTCGGCCGTATTTCCCCAATTTCGCCACAAAGAGATCACGCTGTGTAGCTAAGTACATACTGGCGATTTCTATGCGGTGAGCACGGTACTGAGCTAAAGACCTTCTATAGATCGATGTTCTTCACTAAAAACATACATAACGAAACATCTGTCTAACTAGTCTACCTGAATGGATGTTCCTTTACTTTCATCACTCCGATTTATCCACTATGGCAATTACGTGGTCAATTCCTAGCCCCGAGAAAAGGGTTACATCAGGAATACATGTCGAGTTAACTGGCGGTAGCTGGCCTTCGTTGAAGTATGCACGTATAGCGCGGAAAGTACAAGCCGACTGCTGGGCGAAACTGGAGTGCTGTAATGATCTATTAGTCTGATTTTGCACATATATATATACTCAGCTTGAGAGCGGAAGACCTACACCATATCCGAAATGTTCGAGCGTAACACTACCATAAAAGGCAGCACTCATATTCCTTGCAGATTCCACAGGTGTCACAGGGTCGTAGGTATTTCCAATGAACAATACGGGATTCTTAGTAGTGACATGGAATAGATCACCCTCGTAGAGTTCCTTAGACGGCATACGCCAATGGGCACAGGCCATTTCTTGAAACCCATCCGTGTCGCCTGCGATGTTCGAAAGAGTGTACTTTTCGCGGGAGATCTGGAAGAGATGATTGCGACTCTTCTCCTCAACACGTTTATCAGAACATCTGATAGCGAACATAGCGTTAGGCGTGCCCTCTTCGGACATGCTCGTTCCTATCGACGCTTTTATTAAGGCCGTCGCGTTTCCTTTGTATAGTCCATCAAGAGCTATCGCCGTAGCAGGCCAACTTTCGGGGGCGTAGATAGCTTCCAGCATGTAGTCTTTCAATGTAACATAGTCGATTGATGCGTTTCCATTGAAAAGCCAAGGATTTACTTTGATATTCCAAAGGTATTCGTAGAACTGATTCTCGAGTTGGGCGGCAGTAGCATTGCCATTGGCCAGTGCGCAATTGGAAGCGTTACCAATGCATCCTTCGAAAAAGCCCGACAATGCTGCGTCGGCTTTCGTAAGATACTCAAATTCGCTGAAGGAATTGAGCACTTGATTTTAACCGCATGAACTAGTCGGGCGGGTTAGGTTAATACGTACTATCCATTGTAGTACTCATGCGCGTTGACAACTGCGTCGAGTACAAGTTTGTCCATTCTATCAGGGAACATAGCAGCAACGGTAGCACCCAAGACTGTACCGTATGAAATTCCTTTGTGTGCGCATAAGTTCATTGTTTACAATCGAATTTATCGCGGCTAGAATTGGTTCTCACCCCAAAATCGCAGTAGTCCGTCTTCACCGAGTGCGTCAACGACACTCATGAGATCTCGAGCGGTTGTTCCCGTGCCTATGAGATGGCCAAAATTGCTCATGTTCTTGTAGCATGCGTTTGCAAGTATTTCGGAACCAACCCAATGGTGGGATAGTTGAACGTCTGATACATTCGAAAACATTGGATATTTTGCGGTGAAAACGCTGTTTTCTTCATTGTTCATACAAGAGGTTCGAAGGGTGTTCACAGTCCCTCTAGAAGCGAGCGAAGAATCAGTACCTGCTTTCTTGATTTGGGGAATTTTAGAGTTGATGGGTCTTACCTTGGATCGAAAGCTATCAAGTCGTGTACGTAGTTCGAAGCGACGGAATACTGCGTCGATGTGTTGGCAAGACTGTGTCTGCCATCTCCTCCGGGGCCACCGAAGTTGAGGAGAATACTGCCCTTGTTTGGACCCCTGAGTGCGGGAACGCGGAGGAGCTCTAGGTCAATGGTGGCTTTATTGCTGTGGTTGGTGTAGTCTAGTGGTACAGCTAGGCAAGCGCACTGAATTGTGACATTTGCACCGTTACTCTCTTCTAGTTCCGGGCTACACTGTCCCCAGTTGATGGATTTTTCCAGAGTTTTTCTCGGCTTGGTTTCAAATGATAGCTCGGCCTGGGCAACAGCAGCCACGAGTAAGGTTGGCAAAGACAACGAGAAGGCTATCATTTCAATGTAATCTGAGATTTTCCGGAGTCTGACTGGAAGGTTCTGTGATTCTGATTGCACCTGAAGATTTGTTGATGAGTATGGAAGATGAACTACTTATACATCCCAGTAACAATTCATGTCGATTGGTATCTGTTGGTATACTACCTGTTTCGTAAATAATGACGCAGTATCTGATCGAGATTCAAGAGGATCTGAGCCCTAAAGATGCACGCGGTCGCCAGTGGCGGTATGATGGTCTTGGCCACTATCTTCCTTGATGTGGTATTGTAATGAGCGAAAGATTTGAAATGATTCAAATCAGGGCGGGATTCGTCTTGGGCGCAGGTGGCTAGTGGCCATGGTAAGCCTGATCTTTACTAGATCGGGGCAAAAATGTGCCAAGACTAATATCAGCTCCACAAATGTCCGTCTGCCGTGAGATTCAGCCACGAGACCCCCGTCAAAGTATATCTTCGGAAGGTAGCCGGGAAAATAAGTTTTTCATGTTGCCCGTGACGTTGGGCTGTGTACGATATTGATTTCACCTTGCGTTGACATCATGGAGAGTGGAATCGCAGCTGCCGTGGCAGTGGTCAGACCTAAACGTCATTGTTGGGAATGTCTGCGGCGACGCCTTGTCTGTGATGGTACCCATCCATCCTGCAAACGGTGCCAAATGAGCTCCATCGATTGCCCTGGCTATGGGCACAAGAAGCCACTCAGATGGGTTGAGCCTGGGAAGAAAAGTCGAAAGCGGCTATCCAAAGAAAAACCTGCCCCAGGTTCTAGCCTTGTAAATCTCGAGCAAGTCAATAAACAGGCACAATCTACGAGAGAATCAGTCTCTCAGCATCAGATCCCGAGAAATAGCATGGCTGTAGCAGTGCCCAATTTTCAACCCCGATCCGACGCCAGTGAGGTTATTCAGGCTGTTCATTACTGCAAGGGCCCCTGCCTTAATTTGCTTTGAACTCGGACTGACCACATAGAGCTAGATAATTCTTGGATCCTTCCCAATCTACAAAAGGTCGATCAATTGACGCCGAATGCCTTCATCAGTAACATACCCCTAGAGATGGTGCGGGATATGCCTCCCGCCATAACCCATGCGTTAGCCTGTATTGCCTTAGATCACCGATTACATCAACTTCCGGAGACAGATAAGCCAAGTATAGGGACAGTAACAGTTCGAGATAGATTACTGGAACACAGAGGTGCCGCCCTACGTGCCATTTCGGAGCTTCTTGGTAATGCTAAAGCTCGTATTTCGGACTTAGCGGTGGGCTCAATCTTGTTCTTCATGTCTGTTGATGTATGTATTCTCTTGCAAAGCTTTGTTTCCGTTATGGTGAATTGAATCAGCTAATATGTTGGTAGAATAGAGTATCTCCTAGCCATTGGCGCGTTCACTATGATGGAGTTACCAAGCTGATTCAGCTTGCTGGTGGCCCATCCAGGCTCTTCAGACCAATTCCTCATCTGCAAACAGCAATACTCTCATACATCATGTAAGACCCCTCTAGGTTGAACTTTGGCCAAGTTATTCCACTTACTAAGCGGCTCGACTGGTGATTGTAGCATGGGTGTCATGGGCAACACAACAAGTCCGGCACATAATCTCGCATGGCCACGTCTGCACTTGCAGCACTTGGACTCGGTTGCGGTTTTATATGAGCATGGCTTTTATCCAACCCTGTTTTGTCCAGCAGAGCTATTTCTAGCCATTGTTAGAATCAATAGTCTGCGGCACGAAGTAGCCAATCACTACTTCATTGGCGACTCTCCACAGGTTAAAGCTGAGGAGATACTTTGGCAAATACAACAGCACAATCCAGCATCGTGGGCCGCGTCTGTGCCATCTGGATCGGGGCTCATAACAGTAAGCAGCATACACCAGTCGGCGGTAACAATCTATTGTGTCTCGTCTCTTCAAAGCCTCGGAGTTCTGCCAAATTCCGCAGCGTTAAGGTCACTCCTGAAGTGGCATAAGCAGCGTCTGGGCATGCTCCTAAAAGAATCCCTAGGGTCCATTGCTTTGAGACATATCAGTATGAAATTCATTGCTTGGCCATTGGTCGTATTTGGCATGAAAGCGAATGCGGAAGATAGAAAATTTGTCAAGGAAGAACTCGCGCATATAGCGTACGATATAGGATCATACCTCCCTATGCTGGCAGGGTCGGTTCTGAGTGAATTTTGGCGATCCGAAGCAACGGGATGGGATGACTGCTTCCAAACGCCTTTCATTTTCATCAATACCTAGACCCAGCAAACAATGTAAATTTTTTCATGCACCTGTTGTTGCTATTGTTCATCATATCTACACAAATACATACAAGGAACACGTGTCATGCACAAACAGGGCTCTGAGATTTGTACTAGTGAAATACACCTTATCACTGAAGAATGGTGGGATATACTCAGAACAGAACAGAAGTGAAAATTGAAGATGAAAACTAAGGCCGGACAGTGAGGTTTGTAAGAAGCATATCCGTATACCATCAAGCGCGGAAGCCCTCACCCCAGCTCTAGCCCCGTTTAACCATTTATTCTGCTTTAACCAACGGGGCATAACACTAAGGTTATCTAACTATTTTATTATTCCACCAACGCAGCAAGTACCGTTTTGAATCATTCTAGATAATTCACATCAACATAGTATCATTATAGTATCCAAAGAACTCTAAGCGAGGCAAAATGTTCTTGTGAATCAGCTAAAGACGCCCAAGAACAGCACCCACGGCGTCCCACGCTCCGCTATTTCCCAACAATCATTCACAATATCATACTCTATTGTGCAGCAAATGATCAGTTCTATTTGCAATGTAGAAAATTTGGGGCAAGCTTGGTAGCGAAGCCAAAGTCGATACGGGGTCGCAGATCTCACTCCTTTACCCAAAAATCTACAGGTCCATCCCCATCAAAACATCTCCATCGTGGTCAGGCGGTCCAATCTCTCTGAATCCAAGTTTCTCATAAAATCTGTATGGCGAATCCTCAGGCTTCACAGTCATGTCCGGATCCGAATCATTCTTCTTTCCTTCACGAGGCGTTGACCTGAGCTGTAGCTGCTTTGCCTTGGGGTGGTTCTGGCGCAAGTGTGCAATTGCGAATTCTACGCTCCGTCGCCCATATCCTAGATGCTGATACCGGCCATCGATCATGAATCGCCAGATGTGGTATGACTCGGTAGGATCCCATATTTCCATCATGAGCATACCTACAAGCGTCTCGTCAGCGTAGATGGCTCGCACCCATGCCTCTTGTTCGAAGCGGGATACCAAGAGTGACCATACGTTCGAGGAAAGGTTGCCAGATTGACCGTCTTTGAAGCTTAGACGTGCCACGTCTAAGTAATTATCCGTGGTAACTTCGCGAAACGTGAGGATGGAGTCTCTGGTTGGAGCGGTCTTGTCGCGAAAGTCGTTCATGATGTCGAAAGTAGGAGAAATGAGGTGAGCCGAGAGATTTTCGAGTATAGTTATTTCCAAGCTTGTGCTAGAAAGTAACAGCAAAGCTAGATCTTCTTATACATGTGTATTGTGGTTCATACAGAATGCACGGTGTACGTAAGCTGACTACAGTCGGCTGGAAAATCTGCATATTGCCGTGCTGCTGTTATTGAATTCACTATGAGTCATATTGAGTCTAGGTATGCGTCGAATCAGAAATACAGTACAAATCGTGAGTCTGGTAAACGGTAAACCTATGAGTGACAACATGCACAAGATCAAAGGGCGGTCAACGGGACAAAAACCACACAATCTTTCGAACCAATGGCATTCAAACGTTTTGTCCAATCTTCACAGCGCTGTTCCAGCCCGCCGGTGCGGAAGAACGTCTGTACTTGGGTTTTGTACGAGCATCATTTAAAACTTTTTAAGGATGCAACAATAGGCTTAGACGTCTCGTTTAGTTGGCAATGCGCATAATCAGCAAAGCCCTAACAGCGGGACGAAAACTTGAGCCGTGTAGGAAATGTAATGATTATATAATCAACGTAGCGAGTAAGGAAGTGCCAGCAGTCTCGTGACTACTCTCGACCTGATTCAAGAAAAAGACATGGCAGAGAAGCTCATCAGTGCTCATAGAAAACTCAAAGTAAACGTCGGGTCTGCTTAACCGACGGAAAGTCTTGGCGGTCCATGGACCCACTTCCTATACGAAGTCGCCAAAAGGTGAGGAAGCATATGGACTCTTATCATGGTAATTCAAGATGGGATAACCAGGTTGCAACGAGGGTACACTACTCATACCGATGCCACCACCAGCACAGCTTGCCAGGCAACTGTTTTCTGTTTCTACTGGACGATGTTTTAATCTCTGTCGAGGCTGCGATTGAGGGGTCCGAAGCGCATGCCATTATTGGGGAGTCTTGCTGCCTCGTCGACGGGGCCTCAGTGATTGACAGTGATTGAAATTTTGAAGGCTCCAGGCGATGGAGCTGCGGCACGAAAGACGGCAACACCATCGGCAGACGTAAATTTCGAGTCGTCGATAGCCGCCCAGGCACGCCAGGCCTCAAATATCTGACATAGCAAGGTACATCGCCAGCTTCAGATCATAGCGTCGGTGATGTTGGCGGAAAGAAGGTTAGGGAAGAGGCGAGTAGCAGGGTATCGTTGCGGGGTAGCGTTGACAAGAAATCTGTGCGGGGTAAATGATGCCGAGGAGTTTATGTGGGGGCCCATCGTACGTATATATCCGGGTTGATATGTTTCTGTGGTTTATGGTATCCCCCCACGCGTTGTGAAGTTGCTTCGATACATTTTTTCTACTTCAATTCCACTTCTCTGGACAGTACGACTCCAAAGGCACCTATCAACCCGGCGTGATGCAGAGAAGTGAAGACACTGCTCCCGTTGTGGAAGGGAGGGCCCCTAGCGAGAAAGGCGATATGAAACATGAAGAGTTCGAGGAGAAAGTTCGAGTACGAGGGGACTACTCTGGGGCGACATCAAAAACCGACCCTGCAGAGAAAAAGCTTGTCCGAAAATTGGATATCTGGATTATGGTAAGGGCTCAGTGTGCGACTTACCAATACACAATTTGTTGACCTGTTGCTCTAGCCTATGCTGTGGCTAATGTATTGGCTAAACTATCTGGATCGCAATGCCATCACTCTTGCTCGCCTGAACGGGTTCCAGAAGGAACTAGGTCTTTCCAGCGAACAGTATTCCACCACAATCTCTATTCTATTTGTCGGGTACATCCTAGGTCCGCCTTACCCCCCTTGAGATAGATGGAAAATCCATCCCAAGACCTCAAGAACATAGGCTAAGGACAATACAGGACAAATACCCAGTAACATGATTATCACTAGGGTCCGCCCATCGTGGTATATGGGACTATGCATGATGGGGTGGGCTATAGTGAGCGGTCTCACTGCCCTGACTCATAATTACACAGGTGTTGTCCTGACCCGTTTCTTCTTGGGACTCGTGGAAGCTCCTTATTACCCCGGCGCGCTCTATCTACGTCAGTTCCATTTATTACTTCAACCATTGGCTATCCACTTACAGTAAATCAGTAAGTATATTCTATACGCGCAAAGAAATCGCGACTCGAATCAGCGTGCTGTACTCTGGGAACATTCTTGCGTCATCTTTCGCCGGGTTGATTGCACTCGGTGTTTTCAAGCTAGACGGCGTACGTGGACTTAGCGGCTGGCGCTGGTTATTCATCATCCAAGGTGTTGCTACCTTTGTGGTAGCCGTTGCTGCGTGCTTCGTCATTCCGGATGAACCACTAAAAACCTGGTGGCTCAGTCCACAGGAACGCCAGATGGCTTACGACCGAGTGGCAAGGGATACTGTTGGGCATAGCACTGACGTTTCAATTTTTGCTGGACTCAAGGAAGCTGTTCGGGATCCCAAAGTCTGGGTCTTCGTCTACATGCAACACCTACATATTGCAACAAATGGCTTCAAGAACTTCATGCCAACAATCGTTGACACCCTGGGGTACTCGGAAAGTGTCACGCTCGTCATGATAACACCCCCATATTTGATAGCGGGAATCATCTCAATCGGCTGGGCTATATCGTCTGGCCATTTCAACGAACGCACCTGGCATATCACGATTGCCAAAGCCGTCGCTATTCTTGGATTCGTGCTTGGGTGCGCGACCATGAATGTTGGTGCTCGCTACTTTGCCATGTGTGTCTTCACCATCGGCACGTATGCTGTAAATTCCATCATCCTAGGGTGGGTGGCTTCTTCGTGTGGCCAGACAAAGGAGAAGAAGGCTGCCTCTCTGGCTATTGCCAACGTTGCTGCGACACTCAGCTTGATTTGGACTCCCGTAAGTTGTCGTGCAAAATGCGAACTCATCTAAATTCCCTTGCACAGCTAACGTCCAATAGTATATATGGCCTGAATGGTCGGAGCCCCGTTTTGTCTTCCCCTTAGCGATGAGCGCTGGTATGGCTTTGGCTTGTGCCGGTGGAGCATGGCTGATGCGATGGATGCTAGTTCGAGAGAATAGAAAGATCAGGATGTCTGATTCCGAGACCACTATGTTTTACGCCTATTGATGCGCGAGGCTTAGGGTACTGGAGAAGGACTCTTGAGTAGCAGTAGAGAAGAGAATGAAAGCCTTAACAAACTCTACCCAGTCTTATGGCCTCCTGACTCGTGCTGGCGTGTGGCGGGGTTGCGTCTACTTTGGTAGTCACACTATTGCCTTAACGCGTGCAAGCTGCGGAGATTCTGCTAGCGCTTGTGGTAGTCGTTCAGAATATTTTACTAAACATAGTGTGTCTCGACAATGGGGAGCTGCCACTCTAATTCTACCACGACAACAAACGAACAGTCGATTAATGAGTCCTATGCCTACCGCTTTAGTGGTAGTTGTGAGGTTGCGTTGTGAGTCTGGCGACAATGTGAGTAATTCAACATCGCGACTGTACTGAATTTAGCCCTGGACATTCAGGTTCGCAACTACAATACACAATAGTCATGAATTTCCAGCCCGGAAATAATAGAAGACAATTATCCAAGATGCACTTATACAAAGAGGTCAACGCGACGTTCAGGTGCTTAAAGATGCAAGTCAGCAAAATATCTTCATCTGGCACTACCAACTGCACGAAAATAGCAAAGCAACCTATATCTCTGTTTATAACAGCACTAAATGCGCAGCCAATGCGTAGTTCATACATTTGTTTCTGTGCTTTCCGATCCACCCGCGCTCGTGTATCGTATTTAAGAGTTACCCGTTTTTTGTACTGTAGTCGGACCAGATTGGCAATCACCAAGGTTTGACTGTGCCGGCCCCGAGCAACAGTCCGTGTCTCACATTGGGCCGTGGCTGATCAGGCGGCAATTTCTATACTGTAGCTGTGCAGTTAAGCGATGTACATGGCAACTCCACGACAACCAATGACATGCCCCCGAGACCAATTAATGACTAGGGGGCTGGTGAATCTGGCGCTTCCACATAACTATGATTGGTTTGAGATAGCAAATGTAGCAACTTCGTCACTGTATTGCATACACGGCATGCGGGCAAAAGGGTTGAGAACACCCAACGCGAAACATACGAGCATGAAAAACAGGGTTTGAACACGACGATAAGCGTTGGAGCGCGGAAAGCGGGAGACGGGACGACACCGGCGCTAATCATCGTGTGCATTTCTTGTTGCCATAGGGTGGCGATGCAAGCGCAGAAACAGACTAATGTCGCGAAGGTACAGAACAGTCTTTAAGACTCTAGACTCACTTGAAACTCTTTAAAGGTTGTCTCAGTCTATTATTTGATCATCGCATATTTGATGCGGCCCAACCTAAGAAACTACTTGCAACTCAGACCGAACGTTTGATCGAGTTTATGATTTTATCATTGTCATTGCGCGCATTGATATATAGTTCCCAGGCCAATTTCACGGTAGACGTCATCATCAATTCAGGTATACTATAGGCAGCATGCCGCCTACTCCACCTGTTTCGCTCGAAAGATATCTCTACAGTCCGATGGCTCTCTCTACAAATGCGTCCGTCGCACATAGGATAGCGGACTTTCGCAGAGTGACATGGATGACATGTCTCGGCGGCTATAATTCACCTTGCATCGCAGCCAATTATCGACAGACCGGACTTCGTATTGCGTTAAACGATCCTGCAGTCGAACATTTCCTGCACGAAAGCGCTCATTACGGGTTAGGTAAATGTATCGCGCATGCGGCGCAGCAGAAACGAGCGGTATATATGTTACGTCGCTCCATGCTGCTTTCAGACAACCAACCCGCATTTGAGTGCCTATCCCAGAGACTAATATCAACTAAAATTCTGTTGACTTGACATTCTCGAACGACTCGATAAATTTACAGAGATGGTAGAGCGCGAATCAGCTCTGGAGGGAACAACCCTTCACCAACTGCTCTCCAATGACGATAGTAAACTACTCGATGCTATCGATGAGCTCCGCTCTCTCGGAATCGGAAGATTGCTAGAGGGGAAGGGGCTTCCGCAGATTATCGTCTGTGGAGACCAATCCTCTGGCAAAAGCTCTGTTCTCGAGGCTCTCACCCGCGTACGCTTTCCGACGAAAAGCAGCACATGTACTACCTTTCCAACTGAACTTCGCCTGCGCCGGGAGGAACAGTCTCGACTTAGCTGTCGAATCAAAGCCGGACCCACGGTCGATGCCGAAACCGCGAAGCGACTTTCGGAATTCAGTCAATCGTTCGATGGCCCGGAGAAGTTTGCAGATCTCGTCGCGGGTGCGCGCAAAGCCATGAGCGGAAATTCAGATGACAAACTTGAATTTTTCGACCACGTACTAGAAGTCGAGATAATGGGTCCAAAACTTGTCCCATTGACGCTGGTTGACCTCCCTGGAGTTATTCATTATAGCAACGCCCCATCCGGCGCCCGAGACATCACTCTGATCAACGACCTGGTCGGAAAATATATGGCAGAGCCAAACAGCATCATTCTTGCAGTCGTCTCGGCTCATAATGACCTCAATCTTCAGGCTATCCTAACGCGGATTCAGAAAGTCAACGGAGCCACCGACCGCACGCTCGGTATCATAACCAAGCCGGATGAGCTACCACGAGGGTCGGAAAAGGAACAAGAATGTATGGAGTACGCATGCTCCAATACAGCCAAGTTCAAATACGGTTGGTATGTGACAATCCCTGCACTCTAACCCCTCTTAATGCTCTGGTCGCTGACCTGGTCTTGTCTTTTCTAGGCACGTTGTTCGTAATCGATCATTTGCAGAGCAAAGCACGTCTCTGGAAGCAAGAGATGCACTCGAGACAGATTTCTTTCAGAATAGCAGCTGGAGTTCTTTGCCAATACGTGAAGTGGGTCGTGGCATTGATAGCCTACGCCAGAAACTCAGCAAAATGCTCATTAATCATATCTCGCTCAGCCTCCCATCAATCGTAGACCGCCTGGAGAGAGATCTCACTCAAAGCAAGCAGGATCTACATAAGCTTGGGGATGCGCGCACCACTTTCAAAGAAATGCGCAACTACTTGTTTGACATCTCAGACAGTTTTGGTGAATATACGAGGGATGCACTTGAAGGTCGATACCATCGTAAGGATTTCTTTGGCGGGACCCTAGAGCCGGATGGTCTAGAGAAACGCTTACGAGCAAATGTTCGCAATCTGAACGATTCATTTGCTACAAAGATGCTCGAGCAAGGGCACAAATGGCATGTGGTCGAAAGATACGATAAGAAGCTGGTTACTGGTAATCCTCACCGTAACATTATCCTGAAATCGGAGTTCCTTAAGCGTCACGTCGATGTTATGGCGCACCAGGAGAGGACCATCGAACTGCCTGGAATGTCCAATCCAGTCTTGGTGGGCTCACTCTTCCAACAACAATCCGAACCATGGCAGAGTATTGCATCCGAGCATCTGGACGTGGTATGGAACTCTGTAAAAACATTCCTGGAAACACTTTTGTATTACTTGACCGATGATAGAACCAGCCGCTTACTATTCAGCCGTATAATTGACCCCGCCTTGGAAGAGCGGCGCCGGGCGTTGAAAACAAAACTTGAGGAACTGCTCATCCCGCATCGTAATCACCACCCTCTTAGTATTGACCCAAAGTTTGCTCAAACGATTTGGGCATTACGGAAAAAGAGAGTGGCGCGGTCAGTGGTAGAAGCAATCCACGATGAGCTTCAATCTGAGGAAGATGTGCCTTCTGTTGAGGAGTTGTTGGGTAGAATCTCGGACATAGATCCCGAAACTGAGAACAAGTATGGATCTTTGGAGATTTACGAAGTCATGGAAGCATATTACGAGGTAGGTTCGTACCTGCAGATTGATGTGTTCATGCATACCTTCCGTTGCTGACCGAATTTAGTCGGCAATTCTCACATTCATGAATAACGTTGCATCTCTAGCGATTGAGCAATGCTTGCTTTCCGGCGTGGCAAAGATGCTTTCATCAGCAACAGTAAGAGATATGGAAGATGATGAGCTTCAAGCTATTGCTGCGGAATCAGATGAGACTATGCAAGAAAGAGCTAGACTAAGCGAACGAGTGAAGACCTTGGAAAAGGGCCTTGGTATATTGAGATTTCACCCTGGTAAGTACGAGACATGTTCATAGCCTGGTGACCCAATCACGGCTATATGAGATTTCTGGCTGATGGATCTTTTATACAGCCTCTCGAATGCAGAGAGTAATACCAAAGCCGGTAACGCACGCGGGGATATCACCGCTATCTGCCGATGCACGAACCAAACAGAAGCCACCAATGGCAGCGAAAGCACGACCTACTGACGGTCCTTTCAGTATTCCAACCACTGATACGACCGTTAAAAAGTCTCCTTTCCCCTCCAGCAACCATCAAACACTATCGTCGATGAAAACGGAAACCTTTGCACACAGTGAACTCCCTCAGCGAGCGTTCACACCAGCGACACAGCCAGTAGCGCCGGCACCACATCTCTTCGGGAGCCGTAATACCTCATCCGCTTGGGGTCCCTCCAATGCATCAAGTCCAGGAACTGGTCGTCTATTCGGCCAAACTACTTCGGAAAAGCCTGCCAGCTCCACTAACAGTTCCAATTCCCCCGGCATATTTGCTTCAACTTCACCTTTCAGCAAACCGACTGGTTCACCAAGCCCATTCGGGAAGTCTGGGGGATTTAGTTTGCCCTCAGCAGATCATACCGGCGGCACTAGTAGTGCCGGGGCCTTTAGCTTTTCGGATTATAATCGCACGGCATCGTCAGTGTTTAGTGGTGATACACCTAAAGGTACGCCTTCTTCATTTATCCCTCATATCGACAATACCCCCTGGGGAAAAGAGATGTTGGACAGTGTTACTGCCCTTCCTGCTTATCGGAACATGTCGCTCGAGGTCGGCCTCCTTCGTCATGAACAAGAAGCGAAGATGCTAAGTATTCACAGGAACTTAGGCATGAAGATTACGCGCTGGGCCGCCAACGGGTAGTGCAGTGAAGCTCGTGATATGGATTAGTACATGCGTGACAGTGACAGGAAGCTATAAAGGGACAGTATTGATTGAGATGATATATCTGCTTTTCTGCTAGTCTTCGGACCTCCAATCTCTCTGAGCTTACCGCATACTTGAGCATAAGCAGTTGACCTCTACGTGACTCTCGAATTCCTACAGCATTCCTTTGTTGGAAGCCCATCAAATCTTTTCCCAAGCGGCAATTGCTTATCGAGGACTCAACTTTGTATCAACAACCGTGACCTTGAGATATTCATAACTTGCATAACTTTTTCTATTTATGAATTTGAATGAGGCCTAATATAAACTAGTACTTAAGCCTTTCAATATCGCCCCCCAACCAAGCAAACTTTTTATTCTAAATTGCGAGTCCATGAGTCGCTCAAGGCGCCACCGATGGCCGCTTCTCAATGGTAATCCACATATCCTCAAAGAACGAGATACCCCCCTTGTACACAAACCGACCCGCCTGCTCGGAATTGACAGCCTGAGGCTTGAAAGTGCGGAAGAACTGTAGCGGCGCTTTGAAGAGTTCCATGTTGGCAATTTCCCTTCCTAGACACACCCTGGCGCCATACCCAAACCCCATATTGTACTTGTTATAGTCCTTAACCTTTTCAGGATCTCCGAGCCAACGCTCAGGACGAAAGACTTCCGCGTCAGAACCGTAGATGTTGGGATCTCGGTGCACGATCCATGGGTTACACGTGACTTCGGATCCCTCGGGCACAAACTGGCCGAACAGATTCAAGCCGTCTTTGGGCGCGAGGCGAGGGAAGATGTTGGGTGCGGAGGGATTCAGACGCATGGCTTCCTTGACGCAGGCAACGTAATAAGGGCAGTGCTCCAAAACGTCCTCATATCGCGGCACGCCGGCTGAGATGTGGCCCGCGCGCGTGGCCTGGTCGATCTCATCCATGAGCTTCTGATAGACACGGTCGTCGGAGAAAATCTCCGTCATAAGGGCTTGGAAGGCGGTGCCGGTTGTGTCGGCGCCTGCGAGAAGCACGAGCAGAATCTCTGCTTTAATGTAGTCCAAGTCCAGAGCCTTACCGTTCTCATCGCGGGCATCGATGAATCTGGGGTATCGTTGTCAGACGGTTTTGGGTTCATTGCACGGCTGAAGACATGGGCAGAAGGGGGTGAGTGCATGCTTACGTTTGCAAAAGGTCGATTCGTCCCGCCGCTTTGCCCGCAGCGATGTCTTTGTAACGATTCTGAATCAGGCGATCACGGAACCGCATCAGAGTGCCGATACCTGATTGCTGCTCGGGGCTTGCAACCATATACTTGCCAAGGAATGTGCTCTTGACCCAGTTGGTGAACGGGTATAGCCGCGCCATAATACCGAAGGGAACCAGACCATCGTGGAATCCTTGAATAAGACCGCCCACATCTGTCTCCTGCTCAATGAAACCGAAGGGCTCTCCAAATCCTACCTCGGAGATGACATCGTACGCCATGTATACCGCCCAGGGGGAGAAATCGAATTTCTGACCAGACGTGGCAAAACGGGCGTCCAGCTTGGTGATCCACCGGTCGATGTTGCTGTCTACCAGCGGCTCCATTTTCTTGATGTTGCTAAAGCTGTACGGAGCCGCGGCGATTTTCCGGAAGTGAGAGTGCACTTTATGGTCTTGTATGTTGAAGAGGGACTCGGTATCACCGAAGGACCCCGTGATGTAATGCTTGGACTTGTCGGCATAGCGACTGTAGATTTCAGGCAGTTTAGTAGCATCACTGACCATGAGCATCGTAGGTGTGATGCGGATCACAGGCCCTGCTCATCATATTAACATGTAGCAGTGTAGGCAAGTTGATGATGATTTTACCATGCTTCTTATGCAACGCGTGGACTACTTCCACTTCATCCGCTTTGACATTGTGGTACGTAAGCCAGAGTCGCGTGACACTAGCCCAAAAGGGACCCGGGAACTTTGCCAGCGGGTGGAAGAATCGGTAATTTACAACCTGGTAGATGACAGTGCAGAGTATGTAGCCCAAGCCGGCGAGCACCAAGTTGGTGAACGATAGTAATGCCATGCTTCGCAGGTGTCGAAAGGTGACAATACCCAAAGGATTGGGTTTGGAGCTTTGAAGAGCGAGAAGTGGAATGGGGCGGAAAAGCAGGCGTAAATACCATCTCTCTTAATAGTGCCGCTCTTATCCAAGATGAACTCAAGTGCGGCGTGCCCCTGCCGCTCCACCGGTCTTGGCAACAAGACGCCTATTTTCGCACAGTTTTGAATCTCCTAACCGACTTTCCAGAAGTCTACTGAGTTGCGTAGTCGCCATATACATCACTTACAGCCAGTCGCCAGGCTCTTATGTCATCCCCTTCTTAGTTTTTGAGAAGTCCTAGCATCGAGCTTTCTAATCCTTCTACGTGTGCTGCTGAAATACCCCAGCTGTCTTATGTATGTACTATGTACAACTCTGCATAACACTGGCTGAGGTGTCTTACGAGTCAGCAGATGACGCTAGCCAACGGTATGCGACATCTAAGCCGACGGGGGCCGCGGGTGTATCTCCTAGTCTAGTTTGACGGTACGCTAGTACTACATTTAGTAGTCCCCTGGAGATCGCAGGGAGGTTCGACTTGGGCATTGAAATTCTTGACTTCTTAGGAGGTCTTGAAGAGGAAGCAATGTAGGCTTTAGTGTGTAACTGAGCTGTCGCGTAGTTTTGTGAACATTGCAAAACCATCATATGTTTTACCGCGTTTCTCCATGTACTCACCGAGCTTGCATCCAACCAAAGATATTCAGTTCGATGTATAATGACGTACTTCCACAAGCTATCTGTATACCAGATTTCGCAAGCGAGCCGCGACAAAGGATTTTGAAGTGACGAAGGCATGCGCAAATCGCACGCCAGATTTTCCTCCCAACACAATTAACGCCAGCATTCAAGTACATTTTATACATGGAATCAGTTCCATTGGTGTGTTAGCTTTGCCCAAGAACGACAAAAATCCACTTGTTCTGGTTTCACCATTCGAAGCGGCGCACGGGACGGTCCGATGGCATTACTATGATCAATACGAAAAATGACTAAGATGACCACCTTCTCAAGAAGGATTGGACGCCCGCTTCGAAGCCCCACATCCAAGACGCGGCGCAGCAGTGATCATAACACTAATAGAGGTTGATCCGCCCTGCGCCAAGCTGGAGAAAGGTGTCAAAAAGGAGTGTGATCGCTCTCTTACTGCAAACCGCTTCCCCTGTGGTTATCCCGAGGAACAGCCGTTCAGACGTCTCACAGTGGAAGGTGTCGGTCACGTGAGCTGCGATATTGTGTGTTTGATCAAGAGTTCTACGTAAACAGTGGCCACGACGTGAAGATGAATCACAATGGTTCTGACGACGCAAGCTAGTTATTTCATACATACTCGCCATTGCGAATTTTTCGGTTCGCCTGATTTTTGAAGCGATATTAATCAGCGCACTTTTGGCATGGCTTGAGGCCGTCCATCCCTTACTATGTACAGAAAGATGGGGTTGACGATTAACCTTGGAATATACCCTGCATCAGTGACAATCAGGCGTTCCAATATGATTCTGATCTGTGCGCGCCCACCGTCAGCTTCGGCTGGCGGGCCAGTCATACGTTGACATCTCTCGCATTTCTTCCCTCATTGTCTGAACTTTCTCACTACCTCTTTTCCCCACATATTTTTTCTTCATCTTGGCGCAAAGCTAATCGACTCTAGACATCAATACGAAGTGGTGCAGGCACGCATAAGCCTCTAGGTAACAAGGAACTCATTATTTCTGCTTCTGGTGTATCGCAAGTCCCCACTGGTACGAACAGTTCCTCAGACCACTGAAAGGGGGGGTCGGGCCGACTGTCGATCACCGGCATAGTCATGAGAAGCCGTCGTGAGCTTCACGAATTTGGCGCCCCAGAAGATACCCGCACCTGTGTCGTTCCAGACAGTCGGGTCGCTGTTTACGCCCGTGAGCTTTTCGGCGATTATTGCCGTAATCGAACTGTAGAGGATCCGCAAAGGCTCGGTTACTGCAGAGGATTCGCAACGGCTGGCTTAGAAGTTGGCTTCAAATTACAATCTTCCGTCTGAGGTTAATATGAGTCGCGCTTGTCCCGTGTCGCCATGCATTGCGGCACCGCCATGTTGGTATTGCGCATCCAAGCTGGAAGGGTGAGTTTCATCCACTGGTTCAATCCTTCCTGGTTGAAACTCTTTTACGTCTATGCCATTTTCATGATGGGCCCCTAACATTCTTATAAGGACAGAAGAAGTCTGGACCGGAGTAAAAACCGGCTGCTCCTCCCGTTGCCCCATTGCCGGTTCATGTCCCCGCTGGGAGATCATTGAGAGAGTACCTGGATTTCCAACTGCATTGCGCAAAGGTCGCACCGCTGCCGCCACGACTCCAATATGGCTGAAACCCAGGGTCCTACGGTTATCTCTGTAGCCATCATATTTGCTACCATCACAGCTGTTGTGTTGATCTTGAGGCTATTCGCACGATTTCACATTGTAAAGCGGGTTGGTTATGACGATAGTAAGTTGCCAAAGCCGTTCTTCCATCGAAAAATTTGCTTCAATACGAAACTGACCATGATCCAGTATTCATCGCGGTAGCTTGTGTAAGATGGCACCTTCGCCAACTATTCTTTACCTTACTTCAATGGACTTTCTGACATCACCACTTTAGTGCCTTTCCTGGGCATTCTCTATCGTCACAGTTCTTGGTGAGAATCCCCATCGATTAGTACTTGAAGACACCCTAAGCTAAGCATCATGATTAGCGGTCAATCGCGGCCTCGGATCCCACATCGAAGATGTCACATCAAGGGGGGTGAACAATATGGTTCAATATGCCTTCAACGTCTGGCTGTCCTCAATCTTCTACAACGCCTGCCTCGGCTTCATCAAGATCTCTGTTCTGTCTTTGTATCTGAGGTTGGGCGACCAACTGCTGCGGCGCCTATCCTACATCATGCTCGGCGTCGTCTGCTGCCAGGCCGGAGCAAACGTACTGGCTTGCATTTTTCAATGTTGGCCAATCAAAGGCGCCTACGATATTCGAATTCCAGACGAGGAGAAGAAATGCATTAACATCAATGCCTTTTACCTAGCCAACGCAGCGGTCAACATATTCACCGATATCCTGACCTACACTCTGCCCGTTCACCTTATCATCAACCTCCAGGTGCCCCGCGGCCAGAAGATCGGACTGGCTGTCATTCTATCCTTAGGTCTGCTGTAAGTGCCACATGCAAAGCTTTCCCCCATCCTCGACTAACAAACACCACCATTTAGCGCTTGCGTGTCGTCAATCATCCGAATCACGTACGTACCCTCGATGCTCGTGGCTGAGGACGCAACCTGGGTCATCTCGTCGCCCATGTACTGGTCCGTCATCGAGATCAACATCGGCATCCTTGCGGCATCGATCCCGTCCTTCAAATCTATCGCCAAAACATACTTTCCCCGCCTCCTGGGCAGTTCCAACGGGGGCAAGGGCAACAAGAACTCGTCGGACAAGCTGTCTGGGTTCCAGAAAATGGACAACAATACTGGCAACACCAAGGCCCGGAGCATTGGTCTGCGCACAATGGAGAGGCAGGGGAAAAAGGGCATGGGCATCGAAACAAACGCGGAGAGGTGCTCCGACGACGGCAGCTCCGGCGATGTTCCTTTCGCAGGGCTTGGTCAAATCGGGGTTAGGACGGATATTGAGACACATTATGATCGCTGATAAGGGCACGCGAAAGGAAAAGATGTTGGGTCCGTCGCGAAGACATTTTGCGTGGAGCTTAAAGGCAGTATTGTTGTGTGTTATGTGAATACTAGAGTTTAGTGCCGCAACGAACTGCAATATCTAACAGCTATGTATAGTTATAAGTACAAGCTAGTACAGAATTCTCTGTTACTTTAGGTCTTAGAACTTCTTATTGCATAACTTGCGCAGATGTAATATTGTATATTGCGCATTTCTGCAGCGTGCTGCGCTACTTAAGTAGTAAACTTTAATAGATTTTTTACAACTAATTTCTCTTCTACACTATTATTTACTAGCAATTAACTTATATTACTAAACAGCTGCAGCTACTACTATAATTATAAATAAATACTTTAGCGTCTTCTACATTAACGCAGTGCTTTTTTTTTTTTTTTTTTTGTTTTTTACTAGCGCGTTTATTACTAGCTGCGTTGCCTACTAGTAGCTATACTATATAATTTATACATAACGTATTTTATAAGCAAGTAGCTTACTTAAGCAAGTAGCTTACTAATTTTTACTAATAAAAAAAGTTTATGTATAATTATATATTTTTATAAATAATAAATAATAAAATTTAAAATTTTTATAGCTTACTTACTAGTATATAAATTAATTTATTTTTAAGTTTTTAACTTTATAGCTTATATACTTATAGAGATATTTTAAATTAAAGCTAATTTTAGTCTTTATATTTTATATTTTTAAAACTATAAAAGCTATATAGTTAAAAACTTAAAAATATATTAATTTATATACTAGTAAGTAAGCTATAAAAATTTTAAAATTTATTATTTATTATTTATAAAAATATATAGTTACGCATAAACTTTTTTTATTAATAAAAACTAGTAAGCTACTTACTTAAGTAAGCTACTTACTTATAAAATATATTAAGTACTTTAGTATTATAATAATAATAGTTATTACTATTAGCGTTATAATGCTACTATTTATAATTTAAATTAGCTTTATTTTTGATAAAAAAGTATAATTATAGTTAGTAGCTATAGCGCAGCATTAAGCACAGTATATTATTTAATATTTAAAAATATAAAAAGAGAATATCTAGTTTATAAAAAACTATAGTAAGGCGTAATAAAGTAATAATTAAATAGTATTAAATACTGCACTTTTATAAATAAATAAGTAAAGCTACTAATTAAAGAAAAAATATATATAGTTGTAACATTGCTGCATAAGAGTTAGTATTAAAAGAAATTAATATTACTAAAGTACTACTGGTTAGCGTAAGTAGCTTAGTAAAAGCGCATAAAAAGCATACTTAAAGTACTAAAAAAAAAATTATTTTAAATTATTAAAAAGAAGTACTTTTTAAAAGTAGCTATTTTTTACTATTACTAGTAGTGTAAAGCAAGCACTATTGCTTATAACTACGCCTTATAGTAGTAGGCTTATAAAACATTAATATACTTTAGTTTTTAACTTTTTAATATGTTAATATGTTAAAAGCTAGTTTTTGCTACTTTACTACGTCTTACTAGTTGCTTTGTACAGAAAGAATAAAAACACATATGTAAGGTAGGCTTTAAGTTGCTGACTTTTAAGATGCTTAATGTTAAGTTAACAAGGAAGTCGCATTATCGCTTCCGGGGACTATTACAAAATAGGGAAGCGGAGCAGAGTCAAGTAGGTATTTGTGCAATTTCGGGATTGTGGTTTTTAACTTTCTGATTTCCTAGAGGCGATGCTCTGTTTTTCGAATTTAAGTTAAGAGGGACAGTGTGCGCGGAATAGACACTACAAGCATATGCTGAGCCGGTTGGGATCTATGTAAGCTATGCTTAACAAGCGACTACGCGCAACATGGCCAAAGCGCTTGGTAGTGTGCTTTTTAGTTCCCGCCGTAGAGCCCTACGGCACTCCACCCAGAATTGCAGAGCATTCTCACATTTTTCAACAACTCATAGCATCGCTTCCCTTGCAAGGGCAGGACCGGTGCGGGTCGGCCACCACCCAGTATGCGGTGGCAACATAGAGTACCGCCTCAGACAGGTTACGTATCGCGACGATGTGTAAGCAAACTGTTGTACTCTCACTATACCGCTTTGGTGTTACACCTAGAGATGCCGCTTTAAAGAATCTACCCTTGCATCTAGGAGATGGTGCATGATGGAGTAAACCAGACAGCTTAGAGTACTCAGGTTGACATGCTAGATGTAAGCAAGGACCTAAAATATCCATGGGCTCTTCGGCAACTCGTTTGACTGGATGAGCATCTCTAGGAATAAGGCCTTAATCGCTATTTGGAAAGACCTTGGGCCTGCTATCCACAGAGATGATCCCTTGCATCGGGTGGCCGTGCCCAGGTGAGTGAAGGCATGTTGCACAAGGATACAGTGCGTTTATCTGTCTGTTGTTTTTCGCATTCTTGTAGCCCATCGTTTGCTGCTGGTAGTAGCCTATATTCATTCTCGCTCCACAGTAATTAGCCCACTATATGATATGACTTTGAGGGGTTAGAATATTTGCGGTGACATGATGACCAGAGTTTGTAGAAATATTAGTAGAACACCTAGCTAAAGGTGCAGTTTCGAAGTGGATAAAGTCCAGGCAAGCCGCACGCTTACAGGAGCGGCACCTTCTGCGCAAGTAATCGTCGTGATTACATATCCGCTTTGCCTCAGCCTGAGCCTTAGCTGTATTTTGCATCTTTGTTCTTCCTTCTGGCATACTATCCACTATTGATCTCGCATTTTTGATAGAGATTCTTCTCGACAGAGAGAATAGAAAGGGGCCAAACCGAGGTTCGATGGGGGTGGCAAAGATGCCTGGTGTGCAAGCCATTGCACGACAGCTTTTCGGCCGCCAAGATCCGCTACGAAGTACACCATAACACCCGAAAATGGTGCGAGGATCCGACTGGAGAAGATCGCAGTGGCGTTGTCTGTAGCCGGTATATTCCATGATGTTGAGGTTAAACGCTGGCTCGTGATGGTTTGGGATATTTTCCGATAGCTGATAACCCCAAACTCGGACCCGGAAGGTAAGAAAAAGGAAACTTCAAACATATTGTTCCTTTCTATATACATGCTCTCTCTCTCTCTCTCTCTCTCTCTCCTGCTCACCCACGCGCCCCACACAGATGCGAGTACATCGTCGCCGACCTTAAAGACAAAGTCGGCTGTGTCGCCCTCTGCGCCTAAGTCAAATCCTGCGTCCCCTGCCTAACCGTCCTAATTAACAACACAGGCGCGACCTGGGGCGCTAACTACTACAACTTCCTAGAGAGCAGCTGGGACAAGCTTATAAGCCTTAACATTAAGAGCATCTTCTACACGACTGTTGGGCTGGAGCTGCTGCTGCTGCAAGGCGCCACGCCTGATAACCCCTCGCGCGTTGTGAATATCGCGAGCATGGCGGGCATTAGGACTGTGGATATTACTACGGGCGAGGAGGGTGGGCTCTCGGCGCCTGGGACGGGGACTTTTTCTTACGGACCTTCGAAGGCTGCTTGCATCCACCTCACTAAGATGCAGGCGTCGAAGCTTGCGCTGAAGAATATTATAGTGAATGTGATCTGTCCTGGCGTTTTCCCCTCGCGCATGACGAGCTATGGGCTAGGCAAATTTAAGGACACCCTTGTTGCTAGCCAGCCTACGGGGCGTATTAGGAAGCCATCTGATTTTAGAGGTTTAGTGCTGTTTTTGGGAAGCTTAGCTAGTGCTCACATTACGGGTAATGTAGTTGAAATGGATGGCGGCGCGACGTTAAGTGCGTGGAGGGGGAAGGGGCGCGCCGAGGGGCAGGAGAGCAAGCTTTAGGATGAATTCTCATTTTTTTTTGTAGGGCTGGACAATGGTACATCTAGATGAGTGAAAACGACGTTATGGCCCCATTACTTATTATTGTATCAGAGCGCTAGGCTATGCAAGTATAACAATCGAGCTATTTATAGTTAGAATAGTAAGATAAAATAAGAAGGGCGTTAACTGGCCTGATTATTTGCGGTGTTGAAGAATGTTCTGAAGCCTAACCTGGGGGTAGCTTAATTCCATGTTAATTGTACGTATGGGAGTATGGGAGGGGGTTGCTGCATTGAATGAGTTTGTTGGCTGCGGATCGAAGAATGGCATATATATGTGATGATAAAAGGGCACTAGCTCACAAGGTTGACTAGCCCACACCCTTATGTCCTTAGAGAGACGTAGGTGACGACTAACACGACTAGCACCCTTCGTCGGAGGCTCCGGCACTACTTACTGGGCTCACGAAACGTTACGGGCTTTACCTTCTCAACCAGGTTGCGCTGCCTAAAGATTCAAAAGACCACGGCATGGGAGTCGACATCAAAGCTATACATGGTCTGAACGGCGACGTGTATATAACGTGGCAACACGAGAATGGCACCTTGCGGTTTCGAGATCTGCTGCTACATGCTGTTACGATAAGAGCAGTAGCTGCCGCGTCTCCTTGCTCCACAAGTATTAAAACAGCTAGCAGTAGGCAGCCAAACAGTATTTTGCCACCAGACATCTCCGCCAATGCTAGGATTAGGCTCTAGGTTTTATACGTTGCTTAACTTTCTTCCACGTGCACCCTTGTCTCGCTTAGCGCCTTTCCTATATATTAGCCTTCTGTCTTGCCCGACACCAAATAGAGTTAAGTAGACCACTCAAGCCTCTAAGCAAAAACTAGACAAAGGCATCCTAAGATCAGCATTTAGACGTCTGGGCGAGGACAGTAAAGGCGCTAGATTAAAATTGCTATAAGAAGAATATCTATAATAAAATAACGCAGTAGTTTAAAGTTATAAAAAAAATACTTTATAATCTAGCTCTTATAGCAGAAAATATTTATAATATAGGCGAGACTAGGGCAATGTTATCTATACTAGGCTCTACTAAGGTTCTTCTAGGCAGGCACAATGTAAGATTATACAGAAGAGGGAGTATAAAGCGTAAAATTATAACTGCCGCTAAATACGTTAGCGCTAATAGCTATAACTAGCCTACCTATTCACCAGCCTGAAAACAATGTTTATACTAGAATAACCCAGTGTTCCTACATTATATAAGGTAATGTATAATGGGCTTTCTCTATAATTTGTGTGAGATGTACGCAAGGTAGACCGCCTTTATTAGTACCTAGGTACTCACGTGCACATTGCAATTAACTAGTCTACATACAGACAACCCTAGACCCTCTGTCCAACAACATCTCTAAACAATCCCCTCCCCCCTAAATCTTCGCCCTCCCACCCTTCCCCTGAAAAATCTCCGCCTTCGCCCCCTTAAGAAAGTCCTCTGACATCTCTCTCCCTATCTACACCTCTTGACTCCCTGCTAACCCCCTCTTTAAATTTACACACTTATTATTCTGCACTAAGACTCTAACCCCGCAACTCTCTAGCCCACCTGCCATTAACCCGCCTACCACCTCAGCTACCTTCCTGACTGTATTTACTGCAACCCTACTCTTCCTTAACACCTCCGCCTCGTCCTTGGGCGAGCGCCCGGACGGTACCATACGCGACCCCTCCGTCGCCGCAATCATGGGCGTTAGTGTGACAGCTGGTGCAACAACACTGATTGCAATTCCTAACTCTCTACACTCGTGCTTGAGCGCGCGCATTAGCCCTACGACCCCATGCTTAGCCGCAGAATACATGTGCATCCCCGCCGCGCCTACGTACCCTGCCACACTAGCCGTTATCACAATCAACCCTCCCGCGGCACCGTTCATGCCTAGGTAGTGGATGGCGAGTTTCAGCGTCGCGGCCGCCGCGGTAAGGTTAATGTTAAGCACGCGGTTGTTGGGCGGTGCGAGCTTGCCATCGCCGTCGAGCGTTGAGGTAAAGAATTAGTTGCTGGATTCGGTGATGCTAGCGTTGATGAAGATGGCATCGATGCGGGAGAAGCGCGCGTGCGCTTTTTCGAAGCCTGTGCGTAGGGCGAGCCAGGAGGTGATGTTGCAGGTGTGGATTAGGGTGTGCGAGGCCGGGAGGGGGGAGTTGCGGGGTGGTTGTTTGTTGAGGAGGATGATGTTGTTGAGCGGGTTGAGGGTGTGGAGGTGGAGGGCTGTGGCGTACCCGATTCCGGAGGCGCCGCTGGTTATGAGAATGGTTTTGGGGGTGGAGGTGAAGGCGTTGAGGGAGGTTGGGGAGGGGTGGAAGAGAGACATTGTGTGGGTTGGGGCGGTCGTTTCGGGGAGTGGTGATGGGTATTTAGATTTGGAAGAGGTTTAGCGATGACATGCGCGGTGTAGGATCAAGGGTTGTAGCGATCTATAGAGTCAGCTGTTGAAGGAGCTACGATAGATCAGTTAAAACACGTAGAGCGAAGAGAGAAGAGGATGGATTGATTTATCATAGGAGAATCTACAGAAAAGCTATGGTGGTGAGGACCGTGCGTAGAGCAGGTGCGTAGAGCAGGTGCGTAGAGCAGGTGCCTTAGCATATGACGTGCCGTCACAAGGGTTGTGTCTTGGAGCTGCTCTTGCGGATACGGACAATGTAGGTATGTACTAGTACTAAGTGAGCCGTACACCCTCGTGATAATCTACACCTTAACAATATTATAGTTTATACAATTATTCATATATAACTTAATATCATCCGCTCTATCTTATTCTACGTAAACTCTAAAAATTAGAGTGTTTTCTAAATTGTGCTAGAGGTCCTTTAACTTGGAGACCAATATATGTCTTGAACTCTCGATCTGTACATATACTAGCAGAAGTGGATCTGCAGCAAGGTGCATCAGATGCTAGACGCATGTCTAACGAAAAGACTGCTCTTGCTACCACAATCTGCAACTCGGCCATAGCTAGTTTAGAACCCACACAGTATCGCGCCCCAAACCCAAAGGGGAAAAACGATTTCCTTGCTGCCTGTGGAATTAACTTCCCGCCTTCTAACCACCGCGCGGGCCGGAAACGATCGGGATTCACATGGTCCTGATTTCTGTGGACAACATAGATTGATGAACCAACCACAGTACCTTCTGGAAGATATTCTCCATCTATCATAGCTCCACCTTTGAGTACCCGTCTGGGTAGTAAGTTTGGAATACCCGGGACCATCCGTAATGTCTCGTCAATACATGCATGCAAGAACACGCATCCAGATAGTTTTGGACCCAACCGAATCTCATCGACGGAAGAAAACGCAGAGCGTACTTCCTTGGTAAGTTGGGCGAGAGCTTCAGGGTCGTGCAGGACAAAAAAGAACAATGAACTCATTGTAGGGCCAACTGTTAGAACACCTGCATGTCAGTTAGAAACAGTTCCTAGGGGTCTTCCCTAGAGAACTTACCTGCACCCAGCATGAGCATTGCCTCTACCCAGAAATCCTTGGTATCGTATTTGAAATCCAATTTGCCTTGCATGCTTAATATACTGCCAAACAAATCGAAGTTGTCATCAACGTCTAATGATAGACGCTCTTCGGTTCGCTGCCACGCATATTTTCCCAGCTTGACCAACTCATAGTAAGATAATGGAGCAGATAGCCGATCCAACTTCAATTTGTAAAACTGAGGCTGCAGGAAACACTGATGGGGTTTCAGACACTTTCTTTATACCAGCTTTCTAGGATAGAGATGACACATACAATTATACCACGCCAGCTCATGAACTTCGTTGCAGACAGCAATCCACGCAGCTCAGGAAAGGTTTGCATATTTGAACCTTTCGTGAAAACCGAGTCCGTGATGACATCGTGAGTGAGCCAGATACATCTTTCCGCTATGTCGACGGGGGGGCTCCAACTAGTTTCTCCAGTTGAATCAGTTAGTTGTGATACAAACATCTGAAAATGGACAAGAAGCCGCTTTTCAAGTCTTCTCATATTTTGATTGGAAAACGTTTGTAGATAAGGTCGACGTTTAACATTTGCGACATCTCGGGTGACCGTGCTCATAACATGGCTCCTGCGACGGCTTGCACTAAAAGCACGATAGCTGTCATGTTTACGCAAATTTGCATTGCTGTTGTAGATCTCCTGGTAGCTCCGATGGGAGCTGAAAGAGATAGTGTTGGGAGCAATTCTGATTGCGGGACCTGCGCTCACGCTTAGCACACTTCCAGCTTCATGAAATATCAGCATACCATATTTCTCATGCCAGGAACGCAACTTTCGATGGTATCTTCCTTTCATAGCCCAGAATGCTATATACCAATTCGTCGATGCGGCTAGGGCTGGACCAGGGTATTTTCGTAAAGGATGCATGTATAAGCGATAGATCGCCAAGCTCAGGACCTTCCCACATTTTAGCTCTAGAAACTGGGTTTGATAGGTGAACATACACTAAGGCTTACGAGTATAATTGCTACAGTGATTGTAAAAGATAAACAAGTCCAAAGCATTTCGATCAGAGACATCGAATCCCTATACATACTGTAACGATGGATTATAGATCTTTGGAAAGCCTTTGAAATTTCAAGTGTTCTGATCCTGCTACAGTTTGGGTGGAAACATCAAGTATTAATGGTATAGGATCAATCACAAGCAACAGGGAATTGCTTTTTGGGAAAAAGCAGGATGGAGTAGAAATTGTTGAGTTTTCCGAGTGGAGATCCGATGCAGTGCGCAGCATGTTAACCAAAACGTGTTGAGCTGAGGAGGTAGCATTGCAATAGTTGGGTTTGTAGATTCTGTGGAGAGTACGTAATCTTTTTTCAGCCACTCATTTCAACTCAGCATATACAGTGTTCCATTGTCCAGCCTCACGAACACCATTTGGAATCTGAACCGACATCCAGGCCTCCTAGTCCCTGTTTGCCCACTCGATTAGCAGCCATGACACAAGATAAAGAAGGTGATCATGGAAACATTCCGTATGTCTGATGTTCCCTATTGTTTGTGTTTGATTTAACTCCTTGATAAGGTGGGCCGAACCAGCATGGCACGGCAGGCTTCCCTCTCCCCACTACAGCGACTCGCACAGACGTCTCCAAAGCTACTGCAGAAATTTCATCGATACCAATATTTTCCCTCACATGATGGAGTGGGAAGCTATGGGATCATGCCCACGAGAGACTTCATTAAAATATGTTGCTTCTGGCCTTGCTTTCTTGGACGTCCCAATTCGCTATCGGCCGGAACATCTCCGTCACATTGCTGGTATACCGATCGAACAAATAGACGCTTTTCACCGCATGATCGTAATGGACGAAACTGCACGTATTGCCGGAGGATGTATACATGCCCTTGAAGGTGCATCGAGCATTGGTGCAGCGCCAGTGATAGACTATGGAACTGAGTTACAACAACGCAGATGGCTACCTAGTCTCTTCACCTGGGAGACATCGTTCTGTCTTGGTGTTACCGAAGTAAATGCTGGTTCGGACATTAGTGGCATAGCCACTGTAGCCATACCATCTATGGACGAAACACATTACGAAGTCACGGGCTCGAAGAAGTGGGTTGCCGGTGGTCGCTGGGCGACCCATATGACAACACTAGTCCGCACAGGACAATTGCCTACAGATTTATCGCTGCTAGTCATACCGCTCAAGAATCCTGGGGTCAGTATTGATCGTATACAAAGCCAGGGATACTGTGCGGCCGGCCTTAGCTGGATCCATTTGAATAAAGTGAAGGTACCTGCGGATCACTTGATAGGAAAAAGAGACAAGGGTATTCCACTGATATTTAACAACTTTGTCAAGGAGCGCTTGATCGGTGCTGTGTGTAGCAATCGGCGCTCACGCCTATGTCTATCACTTGCTATCGCCCATGCGTATCAGCGCAAAACTTTCGGGCGCCCGATTGCGACACGATCAATTGTACAATATCGATTATCAAGACTAGCCCAGTTGATCGAACAACATTGGGCCTTCCTTGAGCATGTTGTTTTCGCAATCGAAAAGGACGGCTGGCAGTCTTCACAAGTCATAGCTGCTATTGCGTCAGCAAAGTCTACAGGAGGCAGAATGCTGGAGCTTACAGCAAACAGAGCACAGTTGACTTTTGGTTCCAGCGGATTTGAGAGAGGCAAAAGCTCGAGCGGCCTGGTCGAAATGATAAGCCGTGAGGTCAAGTGTGCGCAGATAGGTGGTGGAACAGAGGAAATATTGGCGAAAGTCATTTGGAGAGAGTCACACAAAGCGTACGGGAACAATAAGTTATAGAAACGTTAGTGTCATGGTATCCTCCTCAGAACCCTTACACTAACTGGCTAGCTAATTGTATTGTTGGTAAACTTATTCATCCCGCCTTTAGTATTAGAATAGAACCCTAAAACTGAACACCACCACCAAGTCCCACACCAGAACTCACCATAGCCACCAAAGCCGGCATCGGGATCGGCGGAGCACTGGGTGGGGCCATTGCAATTGGAGCCATCATCTCACTTCCTGAAGCAGATGCAAGTAGTTCGCGACGGATATGCGATTTCTGTTTAGGTAGGCAGCTGCTTGCGCGATGGCGAGTGGCAGGCACATCAACTCGTCTAGCAGTTTATTTGTCGTTCTCTCGTTGCGAAGAAGGCTTTCTCTTCTCAACGACTCTGTAAGAAAGGCGGCTGCGTCCTGTCGGTTCATTGCCCCGAGCTCTATGGCATCGCCGCGTGTTATTTCAGCTATCTCCGGAGTGCGCGTAGTGTACACGACTACGCCCGTCTCGCTCTCTGTTAGGTAGTCGACGATGCCCTTCGACCGCAGAGTTCCGAAGAAGATGTCAGGATCATCATTATTGTCAACCACTAATAACCACCGCCTAGCTCCCTTACGTCCTCTTCCCCGCCTACTGCCTGCGGTATGCGTAGCGCTCTTGCAATGCTTGCGCATGCCTGCTCAAAACTCTCCATACTCAGTGCAGGCAACCAGAAGATAGAGTACTCTGACCACGTCTTTTTTACGGTATATGCAAACTGCAGCGCAACCTGCGTCTTGCCTGTCCCGCCAAGCCCTACAATGGACATCTTCTGGCAGTTTTGGTCCACCATCAGCCTCTGCTGCAGCATGTCAAGCTCATCTTCCCTTCCAACGAAGTGTCGATTCTTGAGAAAAGGGATACAGTAGGTCGGTTGAGCTACGCAGTATCAGCGCCAACATACGACCAAACCTAGGATTACTGCCGCACTAACCGTTCGCTTCTCGGATGACCTTGTCCACCGTGTGCGTCTTTGCTATCTCGGCTAGCGGGATCACTAACACCACCTCCTTTGCATACGCTGCCGCGTTCCCCGCCGCGTACGGCTGCCATCTCTTGTTGTGCGAGTCCGCGTAATCGCAGATGCCGTGGACGACGAGGCATGGAAAGCTGTTTATTGGGCCCGCCTGGACGCCCCTCAACTCAGCATCAGACAGCGGCCATCTTAAAGTTGTCAAGCTGCTGCTTAATAAAGGGGCTAATATAAGATTAGCTAATAACAATAGCTAGACTCCTCTTTACTTAGCAGCGCACAAAAGTTATTTTAAAGTTATTAAGCTGCTACTTAAAAAGAAAGCTAATATAATAGTAGCTAATAATAATAGCTAGATACTTTTTTATTTTGCAGTGCACTGCAGCTATTTTAAAGTTATTAAGCTACTACTTAAAAAGAGAGCTAATATAATAGTAGCTAATAATAATAGCTAAATACTTTTTTATTTAGCAGCGCATTATAGCTATCTAGAAGCTATTTAGCTACTACTTAAAAATAGTGCTAATATTAATGCGTATAGCAAAAAATATAGTACTATACTTTAGGCAGCTATTTATACTTACTTTATACTTATTATTTAGCTGCTTTTTAATTAAGGTATAGATTTTATAGCTAAAGATAAGCATAATTAAATAGCTTTAATAGTTGCGTTTTAAAGTTGTAACAATTTACCTCGTTATTATGTGCGCAGCCTTACTAAGTTAGGTATACTTTAGGTTCCTACTAGCTACAGCTACCTTCTATTAGTTACATCTACTAAGTTATTAGCAACTAGCTAATTACACGCCTTAGCTACTATACAGATGCAACTTATTATCTTTTTAATAAAAGCACTTCTAAATTGCCCCTTCTAGCATTACGTACATAAAATTAATCTATTTCTAACTTATATCTGTCTTAGTACAGATACTTACAGTAGTTTATAATAATTAATTTTAGAAGCATGCTAGCAATGCTATCTATATAAACTGTAGATAGTTCTTTTATAGTTTAATAGTTTTAATTGTCCTACTATACAAGACCTATAGGAATTTAGTTATTTCTCTTTAGCACTTTTTATCCTTATGTAATCTTTCTATTAAGTTAATTTATAGCTGTATTAGAGCTGTACTATGCCTGTGTTATTACATTATAATTAAAACTCTTCTTTGCTAGAGACAGCCTGTAGAATATTTTATCTCTGTTAGATAGTTAGAATTAGACCTTAGATATATAACAGTTGTATCTAAGATACCTCTAGACTGTTACGCCCCCTCTCTAAGACTTATAGCATAGTTAAGATCTTAAAGTTCTCTTAACAACTAAAGCTTTAGGGTTTAAAACTTTTATCTCTTGTTAACTCTAAAAAGAGTTAGATTGCTTTTAAAAAAGACGCAAAAGACTGCGCTAAGATAGCAACTAGGTAACTACTAATAACTTACTTAAATTGCATTAGAATAGCAATGTTAGGCTCTTTTTATAATACGCGCCTTTAGCAGTTGCGCGCAGCAACTAGCGCTCTTAAACTAGGTTTAGGACTAGCTAAGTTGCCTTACTACTCTAATCTTCTACACTACTTTTTTAAAGCACTACTTTTTCTTATAGACTAGTTTGCCTCTGTTTCGCCTTAGTCTTCTACCTCTTACTAGTATTAGAACTGCTTCCTTACTCTAGACTAACTTAATGTTTAAGTCTAGGAGCTTAGGGACCTAATATTACTACTTGCTAGTAAACAACTAAGTTAAGACCTAAGTAGGACTAGAATTAGAACTGCTCCTCCTCTTTTTGCTTTTTCTCCTTTTCTTCTCTTATAAGACATACCTCTTTCTAGTACAGAGCCTTTTAGGCTACTGCTACTTTTAAGCACTACTTTTAAAAAACTAAATTTAAGCACTTCTTTAAGGATGTATGTCCTATTTAAGTTGCCTATAATAATAGTCTGCTAAAAGCTCTTTAAACAGACGCCTAAAATTAAGCCCCTTAAAAACAGTACTAACTCTACTTTTAGGCAGTAGTTAGCGTCTATCTAGAACTAACTTAACTTTAATTTAAACTACTTCCTAACAAAACGTGCCTATATAGCAGAAGTTTAGGGCTACACTTAAGGCCTAGCTAAAGAATACTTAAAACTTACCTACCTTACTACTAACCTTAACAAGAAGTTTATTAACGCTAAAGCTATAGTAGATCTGCTTTAATTCTACTTTGTTTTAAGCAATAAAGAAGCTAAAAATTACACTGCTTTCTACTGTTTATAAATAAAAAGAGGGGAGACTTTCTCTACATTTAAGGCCTAATTTATATCTGCAGCAACTAAAGGTTATATCTAGCAAAACAAATAGTTCTTCTATCTTTAGAAAAAGATATCTCTATCTCTTTAAGTACCTAATCTAGAATTTAAGTCTTATTATGTAAGGCGTAGTTATAGGCAATAGTACTTGCTTTACACTACTAGTAATAGTAAAAAATAGCTTTTTTTAGAAGGTATCCCCTTCTAATAATTTAGAATAACACTTGTCTCTATTTAGTGCCCTAGGTGCGCCTTTTATACGCTCTTGCTAAGCTGCCTACGCTAACTAGTAGCGCCTTAGTAATATTAATCTTCTTTAATACTAACTCTTATGCAGCAATGTTATAAAACCTCTTCTTTTAGCTAACATCTCTAGCAGCCTTGCCTTATAGTCTCTTTATATAGAACTTATTTATATAGTATACGTACGTGTGCATGTGTATAGCGCTAGTTATTATTTAAGTGTATAGTTAGTGCGCGTAGCGTGCAATAAGTGTAGCTACTTATTATTATTTACTGCTTTAAAAAATCTAACATAAAGTTAAATTGCGCAGTCTTAGTGCTAGCTTGCTTAGGTTATTTATATTTCTATTATTAGTTGTTTTGCTTTATTACTTGTTGTTTTCTCTACTTTTTACTTTTTTTTACTTAGCGCACCTCTCTTGCACTATTAACGCTTGCTAATATAGTTTACTATCTGCTCTTTAAGTATATTAAGAAATCCTACCTCTATAATGCAGCTCTCTTTGCTTAGAGTAATAGAAACAAGCGTGCTAACTATATTGCCTAAGTAGCAACTTGCCTGCGCTGCGCTTAGAACATTGCTAGTTAAAAAAAACTCTACTAAAAGAAGGAATATTATTATTATAGCTATTACTTTAAAAACAACTAGGGCTAGTGCACTTTAGTAAGATTTCTAGACGTCTGCTTTACCTACGCTTTTGCTAATTATTGTAAGCTTATGCGCGCTTTAACAGCTGTGTTAATTATTTATATTAGCTTTATTATTAATATAATAAGGCTGTTAAAGCTGCTGCTGCCTCTTGCATAAATGTTATAGTGCGCTATTACAGCGTAAAGCTTATACTTACGCAGTGTTAATTTAATTTAGAGCTTTTAGCTTTCTACTATTAAGCTGCTTACTCTAGTACTTTTATAAGTTTACCTACTTAAGTTCTTACTTCTACTACTAATTACTTAAGTTTAGTTCTTGTTAAGCAGCGCTGCATTGCTGCTGCCTTAAAGCAGCTTGCTAGTCTTATAAGCTTTATTATATGTTTACTCTTAATGCGCACTTTAAACGCATGCTAATTACTTTATAGATAAATTGTCTTAGTGCAGGTAATAAGGATTTATTTTTAAATAAATCTTCTTCTTCTTCTTTTTCTAAGAACAATAATAGCAATGCTAACTAGACTGCCGCCTCTGTTAGAAGTTCTTAAAAAAATTAAAGTAGTGCTTATAGTAGTTGTAGCAGTAGTTTAGCTTATAGCAGTTGCGCTAATAGCGCAGCTGCAGCGCGTGTCTCTCTTTTAGCTAAAAGCAAAGATAAAGATAACAATAATAAAAATGTAGGCAAGGATAAAATTGTAGGCAAAAATAAAAAGTAAAGAATTTTTTTCTATCTATGTATAATAGCTTTTCTAGAGCTTGCTCCTCTCTTTAACAATAAAAGTGTCTTTTATGCTCTCTACCTGCGCTTTTGCTGCAGTGCTCTTTTTTTTTTTTTAAATTTTTTAACTAACTCTTGCATGTTTCTAAAATCTAACTCTAGTATCTAGCTATCTTAAGTTTTATTATATCCTTTCTAACAAATAAGGTACTAAATTTTCCCTTTGTAAGTTCTTTTCTCTAGGATTTTTTCTGCTTTCTAAAGTTCTTCTTCCTTTAAATTAATATTAAGTAGTTAGGTATTTAATTCTTCTTAACTAGGCCTAGGTTTCTAGCGTTCTAGAAGGAAAACGTAAAAAACGTTATAAATATAATAGTAAGGTAGAAGCATTAGGCAGTAAGCCTGCGTTCTAATTGCGCGTTCTACTCTAAAAGGCCTTATAAACTTGCTAGATAGTTTCTTACTTAGTTAATAGGTAAAGTTAATGTTCTTTATACTAAGTAATACTAGGTTACCTTAGCAGAAGATTTTGGGTTAGGGTTAGGGTTAGGGTTAGGGTTAGGGTTAGGGTTAGGGTTAGGGTTAGGGTTAGGGTTAGGGTTAGGGTTAGGGTTAGGGTTAGGGTTAGGGTTAGGGTTAGGGTTAGGGTTAGGGTTAGGGTTAGGGTTAGGGT